TCTAAAAAGCTCTTTGTTGCATTTCGTTCAACACCAGCGAGTCGCTCTCACCGCGGTCGCGGTCGTAGCAGACGGGAGCTATTTTTGGCTCTCGCCCATCCTCCCTTTTACAGTAGCCCATTGTATATCCCCAGTTCAAGGGCACATGCCGACCGTATCCTGTAGCACATTCGTCCAGCCACGGTCAGGTAGGAACTCGAGCAAGGCCTTGAGCGCCCCAAGTTGTTGGGGCGCTTGAGTCCAATAGTCTTGATGCACGTATCCATTGGCGCTAGCATTATTATATTATGGTCCTTTGCGCATTTGTGAATTTGTTGTGTCCCGTATATAATAAGTTTGGCCTTTCATTCAAGCACTAATGTGGTCCATGAAGAATCAAGAGACTCTTACTCTACCTCCTCCAAATAACATGGAAGCAGTTAACCAGAAAGTATCAAAGCGCTTAAGAGCAAGCAAGAAGTTGATTCGCCAGAAGCGTGACCGTCGCAAACATTGTCTTATGAGGAAATCTTTTGAGTACAGCAACATGTGCGGAGCCGATGTCTGCTTGGGCATACGTATCCGGGAGACTGGCCGAGTACACATCTTTTCGGCTGATTCCTCAGGATTTTGGGCATTTGTGGGGCTACAATTGGTATACTTCTTAGGCGCACGTCCAGTACTAGAGCTAATTTGTCTAGGCATCATATTATCCAACACCAAGTCAAGTAACTGACAAGGAATTTAGTAGCTTAAGATGCCAAACTTTGTCAGCATCAAGTTCTGAGGAGCCTAAATGTGTGAATTCTTCGGCTAAATAGCTTAATTTTGTCTGTGGTGCAGAGATTTTTTTCATAATTCTTTTCCTAATCTAAGATAGGATAACGGTTTTGTTTGGATCACTGCCGAGTTGAGGCCTTGCTCTTGTTGATATCTCTGTACATAATGAGTTCAATGAAACTTCCAGGTTGGGGGGTCGCAGGAAATGGCAATTCAAAGATAAGTGAACAAGTACTGTAGGGACATACTTTCAGTTTTCAGTAACTAGATTACCAGGGGAAAAACAGGAATGCCCCAGGGCAAAGAAAGGATGCCCCAGGGCAAAGAAAGGATGCCCCAGGGCAAAGAAAGGATGCCCCAGGGCAAAGAAAGGATGCCCCAGGGCNAGAGAAACTCGTACAGCAAGATTCCCTTCAATGTATGTATTTAATGTGGATTAAACACTACCTCTTTCCCACTCAAAGGCTCCTTGAAATGGATGGGCACATTGCATTCCGGTTTCACACTTTTAAGGGACACCTTAAGCTCCTGTAAAACATCTGCTGCAAACTCTGGTTCTTCTCGAATCACCTCTGAGAACTTGAAAGTATTAGAATGTAGGAACGTGTCTATTGTTGCTTGAGCGAGTAGTCGCCGAACCAAATGTCCCTTCGGTAAGCGAGTAGCTGCATAGACATGTTCAGGCGTCATGTGACGAACAAGTCTGTCTTTAGAATAAGCGTCTGGAACATTGTCCAAAATAGTCGCGCGGATATGTTCAACGATTTGTGATTCCACATTGCTGATACTTAGCATGTCTGCGAGTCTGGCAAATTCGATCATCGCAGATATCCAGTCTGTTGGCGATTCCTTGCCAAGAATAACACGGCCGAGGTACAGCCACTGGAGAAATAATCGAAAACTTCGATTTGATACAACTCCCTCAATCTCTTCCAGTACTGCGGACTGTTCTTGCCCTTCTTTGAACTTCCCATTAAACATTCCTGCAAAATATGGTGAATGGCTGCAAAGAAGTGGCTTAGACACGTTATAGGCCGTGGGTCCTATTTTTATTTTGACCATAGGACCATGATAAAGAGGTAGGGAACTAAATCAAAAACGTCAGGACTGAGCTTAGAATGAATACATTCGCATACACTTTGGCAAATTCTTCATATGACATATCGAGTAGATTGCCAACGGGCTCTTCACTTGGCATCGCGGCATAAAATAGTGGGAAGTATAAAGTTATGCTAGTGACAAAGCCAGGACAGTTGTCTGCTCATTGAAGTAGAGGTGGGTAGTCTTTTTGTGGATCAAGGCATTGCTCCCTGAGTGACGCAGTGCAGGCAGCTCGGCCTAGAGCCAGATCTGGATGTTGACTAAGTGTTTGCTTAGTTTGCATTAAAGCAGCCTTAGTCACCCTAGTCAGATCGGTCCGCTTCCACCCAGTAAGCTGCTTTCTTTAGCAGTTCGGGTTGACCTTCGAGCTACAGTACATATTGACATTAATGTTTATCTGCGGAGGCGTCGAGCCAGACGTGAGGCTGCTGGTAGATTTATTCTGTTTAAGAAGGCGTTGTTGGTCGTGGGGTGCTAAATTTAGCTACCTGTGTCTCTCAATGGGTGACTCCCCGCTCCAGTCAGGGTCAAACTCATCGCCCACTTTCCGAGAGACTTTCCTTAGAATTCTGTTTTCAAAAAGAAGCCTACTGTTATGGAAAGGACACTGACCCCTCAGGTGTCTTTCCTAAATCTTGGGATCGTGTTGACCTTAGCCTTGACAGTGGATTGATTTTGATTTACTCGGGTTTGCTCAACGTGCAAATAGTGTGAGGACTCGTGACGATCGGGTTGGGAGGAAGGTGCAACGAAGTAAGGCCAGTCTTCACCACGTATGGTGAATCCTGTCAAGAAGTTTTGGATTTAGAATAGTTTGAAGGTAGTACTTGGAATAACAATAGCGGAAGACTAAATCCAGGTGGTAACGAGCGTCCTATTTATTCTTCGTTCTGGCATACCATCCCGTATACCGTTCCCTGGTACGTACCTTGCCTGGTATCTTGCCTATTGTTCCTTGGAGGGTCCTTCCCGATCCCGCGATTCCCTGGCATCTTGTGACCTGGTCCCTGGTTCGCGGGAACGGTAGCGGAGTTCTCGCGAGCCGCTGCCGCCCTCCCAGGGTTTCAAGTACCGTGAGACACATATGGTAGGATTCTCTTGGGTTTGGCTAGATCGGGTTTAGCGCTCAGACGTTGACCACTGAGTGCTGGGGTGAGCATCGGGCATTGGATTGTTGCGGGCCCAACTAACTACCAGGTTTCAGCGCAACACTTCTCGTCTTGATAAGGCAGGCAGTCCCCAAGCCATCTTCCGGTGCAAACAATGACAGACTTCGACAGTCTTTCTAATCTGGATAGCCACCAGAATATTGGCATTGCATTCCAGGCTATATTCCGCCGCTCTCTTAAAGATAATATTCTTCCGCCTATTTTCCTATTGTAATGCCGTCTTGGCAGTTTCGGAGCGACGCTTCTTCACCCAGGCGGATTTCCGAGGCATGGTGAAATATGCTATATTTGGGCGAACTTCCTTGACCTTGATACAGGGTTTCCGGAAACTGGTGTCACCACGGAATACTCTTCCTTTGTTTTTGGAGCCCTTATTTGAAACCAAGCTAAACTTAATCTGGTCTGGAACGGAACGATGATTTTCATTGTAAAATTTGGTATTGTACTGACAGGTAATCCATACACAGAGCGGGAACAGGGGTGAGGACGAGTGGCAAATTCACTAGGGCCACGGCACTCACTCGGGTCACGACACTCACTCGGGCCACGAGNGGGATCTTGAGCTGACTCTCATCCGTCACCCGGACGGAGGGCGCCCACGATTATTTATTTACTTGACCCCAAGGTTTACCAAGACGTTTCTGGGCGAGAAGGAAGAGTAAGTCCTGGGCGATCCCTTTTTTATTGCCGCGTGAAGTCACATGCCAGATAGAGCTAATTGTGTATGGAATAGGAATACCTTCCCTATTCCCGAAATCGTCTTTGACCCGACATTGGTCCTCAGTCCTCATGTGTTCCTTCTCGGGATGCTGTTCCGTATCCAGGCGTTCAAGAATATCTCCAAAGACGGCCTAGTGTTAAACTGTCCCGAAAATCTATATAACCTTGGTGTTTTGGATGGACTTGGAGAACAGCCGCTGAAATTGAAAGATGAAATTCTAGATCACTTTGTGTTCTGTCAGGGAATGCGCGAATCCGACGGACTTCGAATTGCTTTGGAGGAACGACTAACGGAAGGAGCGCTGCGATATCGGATGAAACGGGGAGGCGAAATCACAGGGTTTGAACAGGTCACAAAGCCGTATGGTCTCCGTTATGGGGCGGCGAAAGCATTTAATGACAGCTGTGAGTTATCTGGTTTGTTCACATCGAAAACGATCATGTCCTTACTAACACAGCCGTCTCCTTCGTCGAACAGCGGATGTGACGAACGAGCTCCAGAACGTGATGATACAGCATGCGAACATCGACACCTTCGTTAAACATTATAGCGTGGGCATCCATGTTGACGCCCAGGCCATTGTCCGGGGACTGCCGGCTCAGAAACAGCTAATGCGGTTCGCAGCATCAATGAGCCGGTCGATTGATCCACGCCGACCGTACAAGCTCGAGGACACTAGTTGTGTCAACAACATTCCGCGCGTGCGAACACTGCAGACGCGGGTCTGTGAAAGAAAACAATTCCGGGACGAGATGAAGCGGGCTTTTGAGACGGCGGAACGGGACTTTGAGCGACGCTTTNGCCCCAGGGCAAAGAAAGGATGCCCCAGGGCAAAGAAAGGATGCCCCAGGGCAAAGAAAGGATGCCCCAGGGCAAAGAAAGGACGCCCCAGGGCAAAGAAAGGACGCCCCAGGGCAAGCCTTCGCTGCCGTGGGGCGTCCTTTCTTTGCCTTGGCCTTGAATTTCCGACGGTAAAAATGGGGGGCAAACAGGGCGGGTGTCTCGGAGTCAGAGAGACGACGGGTCGCGACCAATAGCACATTCGTAATCTAAGCTATCAAAGGCCAGGTACAGGCCGAGGCCCATGTTCAATTCTGATGACTCTGGCTGTCAAGAGCACCGAGGGGGTATGTCAGCTTCCAGCTGTTGATGGAACTGGGATGTCCCGATTTTGCCCCGCCCCCACATAGCACCCGATAGAGACCCAACTAGCCCAAAGGCTGGACGGCAGCAATTTTAGCGCCATAATGGTATACAGCGGGATCTTATTGGCCCATTATCAGGTGGATTGCGCGTGGCTCGGTCTTTCGAAATGCTAAATTTGGCAGTTCATCCCTAGAAATCCACGAGACCTACCAAGAGTAACTTATTCTTGGAACGTGAAAACTTTTATGGAAAAAACAGACTTCCAACAGACAGTCAAGAGAATGCCGTCCTTGTAGACAGATATCTTCCGTTTAATGTGGCGGGTGAGGCTTGGACATCACCATTTTGACACTATTTTTGGATGGAAACATAGTATTATGTGTTCTCTTACTGCTCGGGCATCGTCAATCTCAAATCTCGTGAATTTAACTAAATACAGTTTCGTGATTACACAAACAATGGGCGGGGTCGGGCAAGAATTTCCAGGTCAGTATGGACCAATATGGAGTAAGCAGCCGTGGGCAAGCCCATATATCTGTAGCTGGTTTTTGTAATGCCTCCAGGGAAATTAATGGCCAGTTCGTTTCCGCCATTCCGGATAATTTTGTACGCATTGTGTTCGAGGAGAACCTTCACATTGTCGATCAAACCATAAAGTGCTGCCTCCGTAAGAGCACTCGAGCTCATGGTTAAAAATACCATGTCATACAATAGATTGCTCATTCATGCGGCCAAAAAAGACAATACGCCTCTGAATTTTCTGAATGACCACCGCGGGGCCACCAATCATGGTCTGTTCTTCAATTTTCTCTCCTGGGAATATGCAAAGATACGAATCGATGCAGCCATAGAATTTCCAAAGCCACCCTCCAAGATACCTCATCATTCGCTCTTGCACAAGCCTGTACTCCAGGTCTGTGATATATCGAATCTGGTCCTACACTCTCGACGCCAGTCATTACCACTAACTTCAAGGCAGGATTCAATCAGCACAGCCATGTTTGCGTTTCTTAAACCCGATAGGCAGCTGACTGTTTTCGCTGCAGCAAGGCTTCCAGCATACCCTGTCTCTCTCTGCAACTGAGAATAAATATGCTCCATTCGACCGTGTCATGTCTTGGTCACTTCTGCTATTTAATAGTGACCCATCAGCATGCTTTGGAGATAAAGAAACTTCTTCACTACCGACAGGAGTTCCCGCAATGGCTACACAAATTTTGTTTTGTCCCAATCCATTCCAAAGGAACCAGTTGAAATACTTTTCAAGAAAAACAATCCCTACATATCTTTTTCGTCTCGTTGCGCCTAGGACTGCAGGACGCACGAGCATGTCCACTGTTACTTCGAAAGCCACTATGGACCCTGAATGCAGCAATCACCCGGATGATATCTTTCGCCATAGCCAGATAGATGGCGCAGCTCTTGTATACGCACATCTTTACTGGAGATGCGATGAGCGATGCAACTTCATGAGCTGGACTAGTTCCTTACTCTTTGCGCTGCATTACGGCTTATATCGGCATAAAACGGATCGTGATGGACCGGATCTCAGCGAAATATTTTTATATATTCTCGACACTAGTGACTTCCCAGATGGCACGTTTGTGAAAGACCTGGACATTTTAGAGGCCTTCAAGGGAGAGTCACAGGACGTGAGAAAATTGCTGGGAATGCGACGCGGAGATAATGGGCAACCAAGATTTTATTTTGGTGAATATCTCACCCAGGGGCGGCTGGAAATCGAGGGAAGATGTGCGCGTGTTTCTCTTCAGCAATTGATAGATCTAGGACTATTTGAGCTGCACCCTGGACTAGAAAACCAGAAAGGATGGGCCTTATTAGTGCGTCGCGTTCTTGAGCTTCGAACGAATTTTGCGAATTTGCCGGCCACAACATGTTCTGAGGTCCGAAAAGCGATCACGATTGCACAATGCTGTGTCGGGGACCGCTGGGCAGTCCCATTCTCAGCTATGCTGCTTGCGCTTCGGCCGAGAAGTCGTGACGACCATGCTAAAATTGAAGCGGCCTATTCGGCGATGTTCGCAGGTGAGTTTGTGGCTTAGCTTAACTGTTTTAGTATATTTATTGACTCCTTTAGCGGACGAAATCTTGGTTCAAGATATTCAGATTGATCCTGAAGGTTTACCAGAAGTTAAACGATTTGGGGAACTCATCAACGCTATCAATCACAAATTCAATAACAGCGACATCAATATTCTGCTGAATCCATTTTTGAGACTAGCGTTCGAGTAATACTATATAGTATTTGGTGAAAGAAAATTGATGCGAATCTTATGTCAGGAAGGGAAAATAATCGGAATTACAGATATCCACACCGAGGGATAGGTCTGGGTACCGATATTTCTGCCGCTAACATAATTAATTTCGTAAAATCGATGGATATGCCACCGTTGTATCAATATGACTATCCGCCGCAGGAGGCTGCGATAAATGTCTTTACCCTTCCTTCTGTAGCAGCAGACATGGGCTCGGCTGGTGGCAAAAATAATAGCAAGAGTAAAACTTGTACGACAGCCAGATGGGTATAAAGAGAGCCTACACTCCAGGCTCTCTTTTAGTAAGGGGATAAGAAAATACTATTGGTTGAGCGCGGTGGATGAAACCCGATAATTAAAACTCAACCGTCACTATATCCAAGAGCCAGGGTATCATTCAGGGTGGCAGAACAAACAAACTGGCGATGGCGTGGCGGAAGCCATAGAGCCCGCCTCCCAGCAAAAACCACCCAACGGTCATCTACAGTTATCTGAAAGTTTTTCCCGTCTACAGAGACCACTGAGTGAACCAAGTCGAAATTACCCTCAAGCGTCTGCATCTCCAAGCTGGACTTGGCATCCCAGAGTTTGATTTTGAAATCGTCCGAGCCTGAGGCTAACATAAGGCCATCTACTGAGAAGGCCACCGAGTAAACAGGGGCTGAATAACCATTAAGTGCCCGGGGCTCCAAGCCAGTCTTGGTGTCCCAGAGCCTGACCATGTGATCGTCTGAGCCTGAGGCTACCATCAGGCCGTCTGCTGAGTCTGAGGGTCGCTGCAAAAACTTGAGCTGTGGTAAAGGGCACCTCTTCCAAACTGTCACCCAAGCTAGTGCGGCTGACGGACGTTTGCTTTTTCTAACTTGCCCCACTTCTTGAACCTGATCCCAACCCCCTGCTAACTAACACTGTCTGGTAACACAGACAAAGAGAGAGGTAAGGAAAAGATTTAAGAACTTCTAGAGTGAAGTTTACAAGCAAATAAAGCCACCATCTTTGAATCCCTCCCAAGACAGTATAACGCACTAAAGACATCCCATTCTCTCTGTCTGGTTTAATTAACAACGACAATGAGCAGCGATCAGCCTATGACCCTGAAAATCAAGGCGGACGCCATGGAAGCTGACGAAAACGAAGGTGACCTTACTAGGAGCATTCAAAGGTTGGTCAAATCTGCAAGATAAATTATATAGTACTGATGCGCCTCTATCAGATACTTTCAAACATCAACGTTCTCCGACTTGATAATAGTCACCAAGGACCAGAAATTTGAAGTGCACAAATTAATTGTCTCTGGGCAGTCAGAATTCTTCTCTCGACTTTTCAACCACAATTGGAAAGTGAGCTGATTTTAAACCCTATTACGAGCGCACTCAAAGCTTATTCAGATTTGTCAGGAAGTAATAGAGAATATTATAATACTTGAGGACGATGATCCTAGAGCCCTAGAAGCAATGATTCACTTTCTATGGATTTAATTATGATAGCAGTAGCAGCGACCAGGGTTGAACCTCTCCCATGCTTTTTAACGTCAAAGTTTACTAAATTAGTGATAAATATGGCATTCCTAACCTCAAGGCGCAAGCGAAGGAGAAGTTTTTAGTTACTATAAAGACGTGCTGGGACATGGATGACTTCCCCGCTGCTATCACAAGCGCGTATTCCACTACGAGCTCCGTAGATAGAAGCCTTCGGGATCTTCTTATTAGCACATCTTTGGAACGTATTAATAACTTGCTGAAGAACAACGATTTCAAGCAAGCTTTAGGGGAAACTTTGGGCTTCGCAGCTGACCTTGTACAGAGGCAAGATCATCCAGTGAGCACAATAACCTACCACTGCCCTAACTGTGGTATGAACTGGGGGCTACAGAGTTCTGGGAAGGTCCAGTACTGTCCGTTATGCTCATACAGTATTGACTGGAGACGCAATGGTAAAAAGTGATATTTGGGCTCTTATGGAGGGTTTCCTTTTTGGTGGTTGGGGGTGGGAATCGTTGTTATCCTTTGCGTTTCTTTGGTGTACCTCTTCAGTGGGGCTTGGTTAGGAAATTTCTGCCCTGTGCGTCGGGAGTCGATCAGGTCGATTAAATTGACAATCACCTCAGCGAAAGCCTTATCGTTTAGCCTTGTCAGCCTGACCACTTCAGTGCAGGAAGAGGTAGAAATAAGCCTTTCGGCACTGATTGATGGTAGCGAAAGGTCCCTCAATTCCCAAAAACTCGAACAAGAGCTTGGTGATTTTGGAGCTTGTTGCCAACATCATGATAGTGTGCGAACTCTGGTATTGGAGTGGAAATGCCTCCAGCGTGTGAATTGCTTTGCGCCCGCGAAACTTAGTCCAGCTTCGATGCGTTCCTGCCTGACCGCCTACGGATGACATGGCAATTTCCTAGGAAATTGACGCGCCCGGGACGGAATATTGTATCGCCTGCTCAAGAACTCGCTCTGCAAGATCAAGGAATCTTATACAGATCTCTCAAGAAAGAATGAATACTCAAAAATCGGTGCCTAAAAATTGACCTTTCTCAACTTTTTCCAAATATTCACAGAAATTCTAGAATTTGGCAGCCCTCTTTGGGTGCAACGTCTGCTCGGAAGTCTTACTTTAACTATCATAAGGAAATAAGGCTTCTACCACCGTCGGTTGTCACCCTCTGGCGTATCTTAACATACAACCTTCCGGATCCGAGCCTTGTGAAGGCCACGCGCCCATCATCTAGACAAGTAGCCCGAACGATAGCACTTGGAGAGAATATCAGCGCTTCACCAACTTCGAGTTCGACTACCTGACCAAAAAGTGATTGTAACTCATCATCATCATTACTTGAATCATCCCGTGCAGCAAGGTGATTCACTGTAGCTCCAGCTAAGTGCTTCTGTAGGACGCGTAGCCATTCTGGGGATGAGAATCTGTGAACAATAGTTGTGGAACATAGATTCAACAGGGCCGTAGAAATTGTTGGCTCTTGTGTGGATATAATCATTCGAACTCCGAGATGTCTTTGAAGGCGAACAGCAGACAGGAGGGTCTCCGTGAATCCGCGAGCCTCGACCGACTTATTCATATACTTAACAACTCGTAAGCTTACAGCTGCAAATAGTATAGAGCTATTGGGATAAACAAACTTTGTGGGCTTCATCCAAAGCCATGACTCTTCCAATACTCGGCTTCTGTTCCAAAAAGATACTGGCACAAATGTTGAACAACGAGCAGGCAGTTTCAGGCGATATGCACGGACAAGACAGATCGATTATTGTCAATCGACGTGCCTGGATTCATTAAAACGGCTACTGCAAGGCAAAGGATGCACGGTTACCTGAGGCTCCCAAATAGATCCTCCCGATTTCTTTCCCTTAGTAACCCTGGCCTTTCCTGTCTGCGATTTAGGCATGAAGCTCTCAAGTGTATCTAGGCGCTGGCTGAGGGGTTCTAGCTGAGCTTGAGTCAGATTGGAAGACATCAGCCTTTGCTTGAATCCCTGGTAGTCAAAGCCTGTTTCATTTTTCTGTTGAGCGATACGCATATCGCGCAGGATGCGTTTCACAGTGTGCATGTACAGTGGCATGGGGCCGTCATCCTGGCCAACAGCCATGAGGTCTAGCATCCGCTGAGTGTTCAAATGTTCTTGATCAAGCTCAAGAGGCGCAACGTTTATATTGAACCTGGAATATGTCCCCTGTGTTCTTGACATCAGCGTGCAAGAAGTAGGGCATGTGATGGGGCTAGTCACCTTGATGGTACGTAGATTAGTTGGAGAGCACAGCACACGGACTTCTAACTCTGAATGCGTAGCGAGAAAGGCTGCTTCGCAAGGCGAGCCCATGTTGTCACTGATAAATGTATCGTAGTGGAAAACTAAAGCTGTGAGAGGACTTGGTAGCCTTCCCACTCTGCATGGTATTAAGCAGTTTTCCAAAATGCACGCTAGGGTGTGGCTTTTTCCTGAACCCTGAGAGCCGCATATGAATGTGCTTGATGGAGGGGTGACATTAAAGAAAATGCGAGGATCATCGGTAACTAAGGAGTCTGCGCTTCTCAGCTTACTATGGTCTCCTGCTAACAGGCCAAACTGCGTTGTTTGATCAAGGCCGGAGGCATGTGCAAAAACGCAGCTCGCAACAATAGGCGCAAGGGAATGCTCTCCGTTTTCCGGGCGCGGATTTCCAGGCCTCAGAAGGCTGACGTGATATTCAAAGACATCCTCATCGAACACTGAAGCCTGAGGAGAGTCAGAAAGCAGTTGGTACTTAGTAACAGCGGAAGCCTACTTACAGTCAAGCTGGCATCACCAGTTGACCCCATTTTAAGTCTCAGGCTGCCAAGTGCGGCACGGTCTTTCAGGCAATAATAAAAAAAAAAAGAGAAACCAGGATGGACTATTGATCTCTTACGTTGGGAAAGAAGAGTAGCCACTTTATATGTTGACAGGCAGCTGAGCATTGGTCCATGGCGGAGTTATAAGCTCTGATCGGCAATCGTTCCTAGGTCTAAATGATCCTGATCAATGTTTCTTGACAAGGGTCATCGTAAGGCACGTCTGCGTAATACCCCATTCACCGACTCCCATTGCCCGGGATACTCCCAAACGGTGAACACTGGCGGTTTAAGTCATTCCCGTTGAGACTTCGACTGCTTGCGGCATTTCCTAATTATCCACCATCCCTCCTTGAATTATTAGCAGTAGCGGGAATAAGGTACGGCTATTGATGGACGGAAACGATTAGGTGAACTTTTCAAATGTCTCAGGCAAATCATGATAGTTATTAAGGTCTAAATCATCTAATTCCTCAAGTAGAATATACGATACCTACCAATGAATAGTTGATTATTTGCTATCTTGGTTGTAATCTATCTCTTAAAATCCAGATTTTCCATCATCATGGCTAGGCCCTCCGCTGCGTTTCCTCCATTGTCCATCTTCAAAATTGCTTCGGTCTTGAAGCTTAAATCTCTGGGTAACCATCCGTTATCTAACTTATCTCTTATGCTTTTTTGAAAAACCTCACAATAGGAGGTCCTCCACTCGTTAATGAACCTTTCAGCCTCCTTCCGAGTCTCAAAACCCTGGTGGCATGCTGACTTGAATCCTTTAGTAGCCATCTCAACGTCTCTGCATCACGTTAAATCAATTCTGAATAGTCAGGCGAGCTCATACCTGTAGTCCTCGAATACCCCACTGGTTCTTCCATATGCTACCGCATAAAACTTTTTTTGTCCCCGCGTGGAGGTCGTACTTGTTGAATTGCTTTGAACAACTGCACTAAACTCGATGTAACCTCTTTCCTGCAGTGAGCTGCGAGCATCTTCAAGAGTATCAAAGCCCTGATGATGCGCGCCTTTGTATCCCGTCACCCTGGGGTGCACCTGGGCCCTGGGCGAAATCATAAATAAAAATGTATGTCTCACAAAGCGGGTTTGCCTACCAAGAGGAGAATATAGTAGGGCCGTTTACACGGCCTTTGTATACCACATAATAGTTACTTTGAGACATCGTGCATCTAAGCAACCGACAATGAATTCTAAGAGAAAAAGTCGTGTTATAGACACTTGCAGTGGGCAGGGAGTGCATAGAATTTATGTCTGTGCTAGGCCGCGAGTCAGAGGTCAAACCTTACCGCGGCAATAAGTGTCATTTAAATTAATTCGCGCAACATTCGACACCATAATTCATACCTTATCAGGTGGAAGGAGGTAGGCGGAAACGCAGTGAGACTGTACTTTTGGCAGCGACCCCGCACACTGGCGAGGACGCTATGCTCTTTTTAGGATTAAAGGAATTGCAACAGACTTACTTCCTTTTCTGTTAGCAAGAGAGAATTGATGTTCAGAGAAATAAAGGCATTATCTTAAGGACTATTTTTGTAGAGGTAGGCGACGCGTTCCCCCCGGTCCACGCTTGCTGAACCCCGTTCTCTGGCCACTGCCGAACCCCCTCGTTGAAGGACATTCTCGCAAATTCAACGCAGCACCATAAACCGCCATGGCTAATTCTTTTATCAGGCGCTTGCTGTCTGTCAAGTTTTTGGAGCTTTCACAACCGGTTGAAGAAACAATCTTCTCAATCACCTGCTAGCTAATGAGACGAAGTAGATCCGGTGAGCCTTTAGTCAACTCGAGAATTTTATCTCTGCCAACTCTCTCGAGAGAAAAAGGCTCTTCCTCCTCCAGCCTTCCTTGTAGCAAGGCCCACAGAGGGGGAAAAACCGCAACACTAAATTGTCTGAGAATATCCCCTTGACAGTCGTCTAAAAGCTTGACAAATTCGTCAAAGACACTGTTTCTCAAATTCAAGATCCTAGCTAAAGTCAGATTTCTAAAGCGTTCTTGACAGAGAACTTACTTGAAATCTGGCAAAGGTCTGTGGGTACCATTCTCACAGCTAAATGGCATCATCAGACCAAGCACCCCTCGACCGAATTTCTCAACCAGCAGGTGCAGTCGCTTCCCAAGCTGACGAAGTTTCTTGAAAGTGGCCAGCTTTGTCCGATACTCCACAGTCCCAGCCTGGAGGCCAGGATAGATTTCCTCCATCATCGTTTGAGCTACATTTGCATCGTCTCTGTTAGCTGGATTTCCAAAACACCCTCTTCTTTGCGGTTGGAAAGTTGTCGGCATGTTATTCACAAATCGGGTCACTGAACGAGTTTCAGGACCGCCACATGCTTCAAAGAGGGCGATGATATGATACCACTGCACAAGTTGGGCGCCTGCAACTTTTTCGTCTAGCTCTAAAATCATCTTCACTCTCTCGCTTGGTATTATCTCGCCCCTCAAGGCGTATTTTCGCAACGGCTTCTCAACTCTTGCACAGCATATAATGTCACGCAGACTAGCTATTCGCTGTGGCGCCGCTATTGTTACCAACAAAACTGCAAGAGATTCCTCGAACTTGGACGTCGCATTCTGGGTATTCATGTCAAAGTAGGTATTCTCCGGGAGCAGTCTTTCGTCTTTGCATTTTGCTCTTTCTTGAGCCAAAAATTCTTCAATCATCGTACTAGCTTCCTTGCTATCGCGCAGGGATGCTTTTCGCTTGTTTTGTTTCGTTGTGTCCTGGTATGTTCGCTTATTCCCCTTGATAACGCTCTCGACAGATGGCAGGCTGCGAACGGCATTTTGTATTGGCGATGCCGAGGCGTCTGTTGAAATGCCTTCCGTAAGACTCGAAACAGGACCCGGACCTAGAGACCAGGAGGGGAAGGGAGTTTGCTGGATCATATCTAGATCATTAAAGTCGTCCAGGAATTGGCTTTCTGTGGTCATATAAGGATCCTGCTGTGGTTCACTATTGTCCACGAGGGGTATTGGAGGGCTTAGGTCGCAAATGTTAAACACCAGTGGATAACCTCTTTGGTAGTCTGTGGTTGGGCCAGATAGGACTGCCGGGTTGATAGTACCTGCATCGCGGGCCATTATCCCCTCCAACACACCAAGGAGTGAGTCCCGCAGATCCGGATCACTTGCCAGCAACCGAAGGCTTTCATTTCCAGTCGTGAACATTCTTCCAGAGGCTTAATATTAGCCTTATTTCCTCAAGAGTTGTCTAAGCTTTAGGGTACCTTATTGTAGCCAGCAGAGTAGTTTTTAGAGAAAAACTATCCAGCAGCACAGCTGCTATGATGGCATTTATGCCTTTACGATGGACTTCTGGAGAATCCAGTGCAGTCCTCTCGTTCCATTTGATGCATTGATCGATGCCAGTCCGTTTGGCAATGGTAGAATAGTGCTCTTTGTTCAAAAAAATTTGTCTGAGCTTTGCTGTGCGGCCTAAAAACGTCAGCACCAGTGCATATATTTGACTCTTCTTGAAGAAATCCGTTTGGGTCACCTCTATTCACACCCGTATTATACACAAGAATAGCAAGAATCGTATCCATTAAGGAGGCGCCAAGCTGTGACAGCTGCCTGTTCCCGTCATAGTTATGTTCCTCCGCTCCAGCCGCAGTGAGTGCCTGGCGAATGAGCCACCGCTGCCTAAAGATGTATCCGGTGACCCTTTCAACGGTCCTGATATGCTCATCTGTTACCATGTTGTTTGCACTATCCACGCTTGCAATGAGAGATCATCTGCCGAATAAAATCATGTAGAAATTTGATCTTGAGACCGTGATGTTCTTGTCAAAGAGCAGTATTTAATAAGCATGTCTGAGTTCCAAGAGCGGCGCTGGGGCTCGTTAGATATAACATAAATTTGAATGTTTGCCACCACCGTTCTATGAAATGGGCGCATGCACAAGACAGGTCATAGCAAGACGCGGGATATAACAGGGCGGCCACTCTGGGCTTCCTGAGCTCGACTCCTGCACCACATCTGTCTTTACGGTAGTAAACACGCTGGAAAGTCGCAACTTCCATTTTGGGCCCCTCCTGCGTCTCTGACTGGTAGACTAGTTAGTCTAACTTGTTCCCTTGCTGAGCATTGGCCGCGAAGGAACGGAAACTGCTGACGCGTCCCGTGGCTCAATAATAAACTTTTAATTTGTCCTGATGAAGATCCAGCGAGTTCAACGGTACGCTAACGATTCAACAAAGAATAGAATTCCTTTTTAGCTGCGGTATCCTCCTGTAGTACACCCGTCATCCATTTAGTTGTCGCCACTGCATTGGATTTCTTGACGCCTCGCATGATCATACACATGTGTGTTGCTTCAATGATCACGCCCACTCCTTGAGGCTTTAGGATACTCTCGATAGCAAGAGCAACGTTCTCTGTCAGCCGCTCTTGGATCTGTAAGCGACGGGAAAAAATACTCGCAATACGAGCAAGTTTGGAAAGACCGAGCACCTGGCCGTTGGGGACATAGCCAATGTGAATCTTCAGAAAAGTGAGCAGCTTGAAAGCGCAGGATAGCCCAAACGTACGATACCTTTCCTATGAATGGAAGCATGTGATGCTCGCAGAGACTGCATATTTCGATGTCTTTGACCAGGACAAGCTGACTATTTTCCCTGAAGATAGCGCTTTCCACAACATCTAAGGGATCTTGGGAGTAGCCCTCGGTAAGGTAGAGCATGGCACTGGCAAATCTTTCCGGCGTAGCCACAAGCCCTTCGCGGGTCGGATCTTCCCCGAGGCATTGCAGCATCCTTCTGGCAATAGACTCCAGAAAGGCCTTCCTTTCTTCATTTCTGGATCCAAGATCTGAAAGGCCTATTAGTAAATCTGAGGGAAGACTGTAGAGGCAGTAAGGTACTATTGATTGTGTGCACATCCCTGCACAGTCCCTTCTCGTCCGCAGCTGGAAGCTCTAAGAGAGCAGTATCAGAATCGTAGTTGGTTTCATTTTCACGCTTCCGGTATACGAATGCTGATTCTGATGGACTTTTCATCGTGTTATTGTTGCTGCATAGGCCTCCGCTAGGAATCAGGTGTGACTCAAGGCTCATCTTGTCTTGTTTTAGTATGATAGTATATTAAAGGCAGTTTGGTGATTCAGCCCTGGGTGAGTTCTCCCTACTTATAGATCGCGGAAGCCTCTAGATGCAACTGCGATTGCGCGTGTCTTATTCTTCTAGCACATCAAAGCTCGGTCAGTGTACTGGGACATGGAACGGAGCGCATTTGCCTTAGCAGGCAACAGACCCTTGTCTCCTGGCTTTCGTTCATTCTCGGCTTGAGGGAATTAATGACACCTCGCCTGAACCCCGCTTCAAAAGAAGCAAAGTCCGTGCGCGTGATGAAGTGCCAGTCACAAATCGTCGCGGCAGCATATCGATTTCCCCATTGGGCAAACTGTGCGTCCAAAGGCTGGTGAGCGGCCCACCCCCAAATATTGCCTCCTCAGTGCTCACCTTTGACTCGATCCGATTCTGAGCCGCGAATCAGAATCCTAGGCGCGATAATTGGAGTGTACACCATGTGCATAGTAATTGCTTGGGGATTCTTGAACGAAGAATGCTACGGGCGGGACAAGCATTCGCTCGTTACGGGTGGTGTGGCTCACCATTTGCTGCTCTTCTGCATTATGGCCAGGAGGAGCCCCCGACCAATAGCAGAACTGGCAGCATACACAACAACCTAATGCAAAGCTCCTATCCCTGCAATTATGCGACACTCATCATGGTCGCGTCCCATGACCCCCAAAAGTACATGCATCGCAAGTCCTGGGTATTTGAAATACGTGCGTTGAGGCCCGTTCAGTGAATCATCCTTTATGTTCCTTACTTTTCGCCTCATCACTGGCTTCTTGCACAAAAATTCGACAGCCTCCCCAGGACAGTGCACTTGGACTACACCACAACATGGCAACCCTTCACTTTCTCAAGCAAGCCCTCAGGGAGAGGGTTTTCAAAGTATCAGGGCAGCCATTATCCGATACGCAGTACACCGATGGCTTTGAGATCATAATAAAAGGCTCAGGTGGGATATACAAAGAACTCATTATTCCTCAACTGTCTCACTTATTTGCTCAACTGGACACCCAGATCTCATTTCTTGAAATCGGGCCAGGTCCCAAGAGCATACTTGGGTGCCTTCCCAAGCAACAGAGACGGATCATCAAGAAATATACTGCATTCGAGCCTAACAGCCTGCATGCTGCAAAACTCGAAGACTGGCTTGGTCAAGCCTCGGAGGGCGAACTTCCGCTCCCCTGCCTCGAAGATGGACACGATGTTCGTCAAAGTCCATTCCCAGGGGCCAGCAGCATGAGTGAAGGCGAAACCTTTAACGTCATCCTATTCTGTCACAGTCTATACGGCATGGGACCTAAACGTGATATTATTAAACGGGCACTCGAAATGCTTGTTGATCGACCTGGGCCTGGAATAGTTGTGGTATTCCATCGGGACCATACCTTACAGCTTGACGGACTAGTGAGCCATCACAGTGCTTCTCTCCCAACCGGGACAATCACAGTTCCCGATGAGGACGGAACGCTGGACTCGTTTGCTTCTTTTATCGCAGGGTTTGTTATAACCCAGAAGGCTCTTCAGGCCGAATGGCGCGCGGTATGCCGGGCCTTGAGCCATCGTGGCCAAACGGGCTATCTATTATTTCGCTCCCCCGAGGCCATGATATCCTTTATAAAGCGCGCTGACACGCTACCGGAGCTCGCAGCGCAGGTGCCTTTGCTGAGCGGGCACAGAATGGTTAAAAACAGGGAGGCCCGCCTTCACTGTCCTGCCGCGGTTGTTCTACCGACAGAAGTAGAACACGTCCAGCAATGTGTTCGGTGGGCTTTAAAGCAAAGGGTCAGCCTGACAGTCATTGGTGGAGGTCACAGCGGCCACTGCTTATGGGCCAATGTTGTTTCGATCGACATGGCCGCTTTTAATCGGATACACGTGCACGCAGTGAAAGAACTTGAGTTGGGATTTGACTCCGACCTTAGCCCATGTATTGTCGCTGGGACTGGTTGCAAAACCGAAGATATCATCCGCAGCGCCATGGCCGTAGGCCTTACAGTGCCATTGGGGTCCCGCCCTAGTGTAGGGGCCGGGCTATGGCTCCAAGGCGGTATTGGGCACCAGGCTAGGCTGTACGGACTTACGTGCGACGCTATCATTGGTGCGGTCATAGTCAGCGTCAAAACCGGTCAGATCCTTGGCATAGGCCATGTACCAAGCGAGCACTGGCCCCCGGACGCGGTGCGCCCGAAGGACGAGACCGACCTCCTATGGGCGCTCAAAGGCGCCGGAACCAATATCGGCATTGTGATCAGTGTTACTTTCAGGGCGTTTCCTGCTCAGTCACATTTAGTTCGAAACTGGGTCATCCCGATCAACAGCCCTCTGGAAGCGCAAAATAGGCTCAGCCGTCTTGATTACCTCACCAGCAAGCTACCCCGCCACTGCTCTGCGGATGCCTACCTTCACTGGGACAACGGCGAGCTACAGCTCGGCGTAACGGTCTTTGAGACACTCACCGCCGAATCAAGTCTATCCATGCCACTTTGCCTGTTCGATGATTTGGGGCCGCCGGATAGCTCCCAGACCGTGAATGGCGTTGGTCTATTCGATTGCGAAATGTACATGTCCGGGATATGCGGCGGGCACGGCAAGGGTAAAACTTCCTCCTTTAAACGTTGTGTATTCTTAAAAAACATCGGCAAAGAGAACATTGCTGGCATTTTGGTGGCGGCTATTAAAGCTTGCCCCTTGCCGCTTTGCTATCTTCACCTGCTGCAGGGTGGTGGGGCAGTCAGGGATGTCTCAATTGGTGCCACGGCTTTCGGTTGTCGAGACTGGGACTACGCCTGTGTCATAACCGGCGTTTGGCCTCGAGATCAAGATATGACAGATATTTCTTACAGAACTGTCCAATGGGTATACGACGTTGCAAGAGATTTGTTGCCCTTCAGTAACGGCATCTACGGCGCAGACCTCGGGCCAGACCCAAGGGACGCCTGCCTGGCGACCAAAGCGTTCGGGCCGAACGGGCCGCGCCTAGCGGCTGTTAAGCAAGGCCATGACCCACATGGCGTGCTGGTTTACGCCTGCCCAGTCCCAAAAATTCCGACGACTGTCATTCTTGTTACAGGCCCAAATTGCAGCGGAAAGGACTATTGCGCCAGCATCTGGGCATCATCGATTAACGCAAATGCCAACAAAGGCATCACGTTCACGGCCCGGGTAGCCAGCATCAGCGATGCGACCAAGAGGGCGTACGCCGTAGCCACTGGGTCCGATTTGGATCGCTTGTTACAGGACCGTGCCTACAAAGAGCAGCACCGGATGGACTTGACAGATTTCTATCTGGGCCAGGTCAAGTGTCGACCTCAACTTCCAGAGGAGCATTTTTTAAGCGTTGTAGGCGGTATGGTGGATACAGACGTGCTTTTCGTTACTGGAATGAGGGATGAAGCTCCAGTCGCTGTCTTTTCGCGACTAGTGCCATATACGCGCTTGATCGAGGTTAACATCGCGGCTGATGAAGGGATGTGGCGAGCTGGCCAAGGCTCCTCCTCCAATGACCGTCTTCATGACAGCGATAGACAATCGGAAACTGCGAATGTGACGTCTAATGCGACCGCCTTGGACTACCAGCCCAATTTTGTCTTCCAAAATAATGTGAGAGGTAGCGGAGCGGCAGAAAAATTTGCCGAGCGCTGGTTGGCTCCCTTCTTTCATGCAGATCTTCAACGGCTAGCCGACATGATACGCTTAGTACCCGACTTTCCGCGTTCAGGCGTTGATTTTCGTCATGTGCTGAACATCGCCCAGCAGCGAGGCGGATTGAAGCTGTGCGTATCCTTACTCCAGACTCATTTCACTGGCGACTGGTCCAAAGTTGATTCTATAGCGTGTTGCCAGGCTGCCGGATTTGTCATTGGATCGGCGCTGTCAATGCAGGTTAATATACCATTGGTGCTGATTCGCGAGCGCGGAAAGCTTCCACCACCTACTGCTTCCGTCCTCAACCCCGGGTCCCATATCTCGTCCGTGGGATCACATGACGGGGACGGGAAGTTACTAGAATTAGAAGAGAGACTACTCTCTAGAGACGCCTCCGTCGTGATTCTGGACGATGTGCTTGCTAGCGGGCGCACTCTTTACGCAGTGCTGCAGTTACTGAATCAAGTTGGAATCATTTTGGAGAAGATCCACGTGATTGTGGTTGCTGAGTTTCCTGCACATGGTGGCCGGGGTTTCCTGCGCGAGCAGGGTTTTGGAAGAGTTAATATCCAGAGCCTTCTGGTCCTGGGAGGGATTTAGAATAGATTAAGCAGATTATTTTCTACTTTTCGGTTTATCATCAATTTGAACTTCACTTACGTCGGCCACCGCGAATTCCTGATCAAGTTAAGCTCACACCGCGTGCCAGGTACCCTAGATCACCATCAAACATTAGACGACCAGATTCGGTAACCAGGCGGCCCTGCTTCCTTTCAGCATGCTGAAACTCTTGAATCAGCTCCGCAAATCGCTCAACTAGTTCGCCGTCCATCTTCCCAGGCTCAAATAGATAATCCATCCTGGTTTTAGCGGTGTTGAAATCCCTCACCCTTTTTAGTAGAGCATCTGGATCAGCGGCCAGAAGCTCCAAGTATAACATCAGGTAGTAGCCGCACAACTGCTTCGACTGTTGGGGAAGCGTCCCTTCTGTAGCTTCGTAAAACCGAATCATGCCCCTCTGGTTTGCGTTTAAACTACCTATAGCTCGAATAATAACCTGTTTGATAGGCTGGTAGAGCTTCTCCTTCTTCCAATCAAACCAGGAAGAGTCCAGAATATACACCGTAGGCGTCTCCCCACTGGCAAGCCCACCGGGGCTTGACACGATAACTGTAAACCAATGATCATTTTCATAAGTCACGATAGGAAAAACGAGGTAATGCGCGGCGAAGATATGGTTCTTATCACTCTGTGGGCCTTCGGAGTCAAGGATAAATTCCCAGCCTTCCTCAAGCGCGTTCACTGTAAGAGGGCAGAAGAAATAAATCTCTCCAGAACGGTCTCTTCGCGAGAGGTTCAGTCTCAGGTAGAGACAGAACAGCCTGATATGACTAATTGTGAGCCAGTGAATTTTCCTGCTAACATGTGGTATGTTTTCTTTGGCAGCTGCGGTATTTTCTTGCATAGTCCTGAGATTCTGGTCCACATCAGAGATGTCCTCTGATATAATGGTGACGTTCTCAAATTCGAACCCGCTAGAATAAGTTAGCTAAGAAAGGAGATAGTCAGACCTATGCTTACATGATACTTGAGTTGTCATTGTCTTTGAAAACCTTGAAGTCGGGTTCAAATGCCTGTGGGAATTGGCTCTGGGGTGCAACAACATGGTCGCTTGATGCTAGGCCTGCCTGGCTGCTGTCATGCAAGCTTTCTATGTTCTCGGTTTGTGTCTGTGCGTCTGAAATAAACTTAGATAAGGTTATAATGTCTAGGGAAAGCGTACTAACCGTTCTCCTTGTCTGTTAGCAGGGTTACCAGTAAGTCCTTAATTTCCTGCTCTGGTACGAGATGGTGCTCTTTTAGGCCATTGCAAAAGATTTGGAGATCTGTAGACCCAGTATTGACCAAGTACTCCAGTTGTTTGCTCAGGAGTTTAAGCAGCGTCATCTGCTCGGGGACTGCAAGAATAAGATTAATTGTGCTGTCAAGTTTATCGCAAGGCAATTTAAGGAGGTCCCTGTTTTTTATTAGCAGTCTGATATAATCAGAAAGACCGATTACCTACCAAATTCTTGGACTAAAAAGAATTCCGAGGCCGAGACGCTTAGCAAGTCTGCTACGCAGCTCCCTTCCCCTGTGAAGTTGGAGCCATATACGCTGACGCTGAGCTTTTTGTAACTTGCTTGAGACATTATTCAGGCGTGGACTGCATCGCTCCCAGATGTTATCCAGGACCTTGCCAGCAGCAGTACTAGTTTTGATCGGCTGACGCTTCTTTGTGAGGAAGGACTCTTGCGCTATTGATACCTGCTTATCAAACCAATCCGAAGCCCCAATGTACTCAAGAAGGTTGAAGATCACATATCTATGAGCCTTGAAAAAAGACTTCTCAATAGTATCCCTCCACGATCTGTCATCGGACCATTGAATTTGAAGGTCCTCCTGAACCGATCGTACTATCTCTGCATAAATATGCTGGGGCGTTTCGTAAAGCTCCTGGCTGAACTGATGGATTATATCAATCGCCATTGCTACCGTAATTGGGTGAGCGCAAGAGGTATTCTCATCGTCTGTTGAGGCGTCGTGGGAGGATTCACGAGAGCGTGTTAGTGAGTCGAAAGAAGTTTCGCGAGCAGATTCTTGTGGGGCGACCATTGATTCTCGAGAGACTGCGTGGAAAACAGCTGCTTGCTCGCGAGAAGTCTCGCAGTTGTCTTCTCGGGAGGAGTTCGAGGCCTCCAGAGAGGTTGCATGCGACTGAATTATCACATCGCAAGAGGGTTCACTTGCGGGTTCTTGTGGGTGACTGAATGCGCCATGTGAGGCTGGATGGTTGTTTATTGATGGATGACCGAACGTTTCAGGCGAAGTTCTAGAGGGACCGATTGTCGCATCGGTAGCATGAGAGGTAACATCACAGGATGTTGCAGGGCAGTCAGAGGTTCCGCCAGAGGATTGTGGAAAGGTTACAGGACAGGTACTATCGCCAGAGGTATTATTGCAAAAGTTTGTCGGGTCGCGAGAAGCATCCAACTCAACACGTTGAGCTGCGGGCGCCATGCGTACGCGTTTAAACGATTTTGTAGGCCGGTAAGCAGGATCTTTCTGTTTTCGCTTGCGATTCGCTAACCCGCGTTGGCGAATGTCGTTGCATAGGTTATCTATCTCATTAAGAATGTTAACAACTCTGTTGCTGAGCCTTAGATCTGGATGTTTGGCGAGTAGTTTTGTGCACAGGCGAAGCGCATATATCAAGTGAGCCTCTGGATTAAGCTTTGTAGACTTGTTGAGCTTCATGACTGCACCTGGAAGACAAGAGTGTAAGAAGTAGTGCGCGCTCTGAGTCGATTTCCTTGGACGTGGGTTCAGCACTTAGTCAACGAGTTCTTTAACTTGCTTACTACCAGTCGCGCTGGCTTCCCAGATCTCGATCGCGGCCATCAATAGGCGGTCAACACTCACACGATGGCGACCCCTGCCTGACCGCCTACTGACGCGGCAATTTCCTAGGAAATCCACGCGACCGGAACGGAGTATCGTATTGCCGGCTGTTGGTTGCTCTGCCAGATGACCACTGCTTGTCAACGCTCCAACAGAACTAAATCTGAATATGTACGGAAATTTTTCTAGAACAATCAAATCTCTACTACTACTCTGTGACTGTTCATAAATAACAGTGTCAAGCCAAATGCATCCATCGTATTCACATCTATTTGTCCTTTCTTCAGCAACATCTCTATTAGTTATGAAGCAAGATAATACCCTGTAAGATATCTATCTAGCAACAAGGAGTTAGCGAGAGAATTATAAGCAAAAATATCCGTCTACAGGAATTTCCCGTCAATGTATGATTTTGCCCACTTTTTTGGAAAGAGCGCAAGTAAGGATAAGTTAGAAGAGTCTCTTCTTCAGAAACCCTCTTTTGGCGGATGCTGCAGACCGATGGTGAATATACTGCTCCTTCTGACCAGCAGCACGGACGAGCTCTTCGAACGGCTTAATTCTTTTGATCGCTCGAACAGCAGCCCTCCACAACACCAATGACTCCATTCCGTCCGGCTCGTTACGATATTCCCAGTGAATCTGCACATTGGCGCTGCTACCCGGCCTGGACACTCGCATCAGATTCAAAGTACCGGTGGTGTTCGAATAGTCCAGCCAAAGGTTGTCTGTTGGGCCCCGTATGCCCCATATAGGACTAAAATCCCGACTATAGCGGATCGTGCCAGCAAATATGCCTAAGAAATCCCCTTCCTCAACAGGAATAATGGAACAGATGGAAAGAGCCTCATTCTCCTTGGGCAATATTGTCACGAAGATTGACTTGTTCCGAGTACTTTCAAGGATCGATCGATTGTCAGACAGGTCCCAGAGGTGGTCAGCTAAAGGAGCACCCAAGCTTTGCTTAGTAGTCAAGCTGAAAGCTACTGCTTCATCCCGAGACAACCACTCATTAACAGCGTCATTCCACGATAATTCTGGGACGTCCAGTTGCTTCGCCACAAGAGGCTGTTGAAGCCAAGACCGGCCCATGAAATCGCCCTGACTCCATGACAATGCTTGCTTCTCGAGACGGTCAATATGCGTCTTATAGACCATTTCCCATGACTTGATCAGATCACAGAGAGCTTTCTCTGCGGTTTTCGGATAGACCTTGCAATAGCTGTCGAATTCCTTCGTGCGATATAATAGGATCTTTTCAACTCCGGCTTCGCGCATTTCTGACAGGCTTTTCCACAAGTTGCGATAGAGTCGCTGATTTTCCCGGCTGGTTCCGTATCCTGCTTCCTTCATGAATCTTAGAGTAGCCTCCTTCTGTGTTATGCTAAACCCATCGGATGGCCCCATCGCCGGTCGCATCTTAGTAGGATCAAGAAGTTTAGCACCTTTCTGGATGATTTCCCAGAAGACAGTTTCACTATATCGAGCCTGAATATCACGTCCCGCCAGAAGTGCGTTATCTGTTTTAATTGTGGATACCGCTTTAGGGTATTCAAGATTCCGGATATCATTAGCATATTGCTGGATCCTCTTGATTTCAGTCGAGGCGCCGATTGACTGGGTTTGGCGACCATACTTCCCAACCGTAAGATTGAGCCTTACACAATCCCATAGAATGGATGCCATGACCTTGATTGCTAGGTCGGACGCGAGTAGGTCGGCGGCTAAGAGCGCTTGAGAGTCAGTTAGAACACAGGGCCCGTCCACCGTAAGCTGGTCTGTAGAAGATAAGTTGATATCACCAGCTATTATTGAAGAATCTTGCAATGAAGCATGATCGGTTGATGTAGTTTCGCTGAGAGGGTCGCCTGTATGGCCAAGCGGCTCCGTACTTCCGCCTTCCTGGTTATCTTCTGACAAACAGCATTTACCCGCTAGGTTCCTTTTGCCTCTTTTCTTTCTTCGCTGTGTACCCGCTTTTCCCTTAAAGCAGATTCGACCCTGCTTCTCCGCGTTCCACAACACCCGATATGAGCCTCTCGGCGTAGCAGAACCCACTGGGCGCTGTATTCCAGCCTCGATCCGAGCGTTATGTACTGGAGGTATTATCCCAGTATTAGCTTCATAACACAAGGGTAAGATTATATCCCACCTAGATTTGAAATCCTCGTAATATGCTCTTTCAGCGGGTCATTGATAGCATCATTCACGCCGCAGAGTGTTAATGCCTCACGAATCTTTATAGTTACCAAATCTCAAATTTTTTCTTCCATGCCTTTGGTTACCTGCGGAGAAGAGAAAAAAATGGGGTCATTACTCCTATGTCAAGGTGGGAGAGTCTTTCTTGAGGGCCAGAACAAAAAAAAAAAGACAGGAAAGAAATAATATAGTCAGATGTGTTTAACAATTCCACAAAAGTTTCCTTGAAAAGTGGCCCTCAGTTTCGTGCGCAGCGATGTGGGTCTGGTGGAGTTTTGCCCGGTGTAATTCATGAGTGTTCAACACCTCTTTTTTTGAGGGTTAAAAATGGCCATTTTAGCTGGGACCATGGTTCAGTATGAGAAACCACCTTTTTTGCCTGATGGCTAAAGTTACTTCTTTCAATCCCGGTGGTGACCATTGGCTAGTTAGCCACGCTGAGAAAGAAGGGCTGTTCTGACCCACGCTTGTCAATTCTTCGACCGCACCCACAGGATAAAACTAGTGTACCCTCCGTTGTGCGCTAAGCTGTTTAAGTTTCCATAGAATGTTCTCGACGATCCTGCGTCCTCATGAAGGGCAAGAGTGCCGATCATGAAGAGGAAGAATTATCTGGTTTTTCTAATTTTCAAGGTTCTGCTCCATAGTTAAGTCCAATATCAGCATAGCTAACCAGAAAAACAGACCATTCTTGGGGTGGGTGCGCTTGCTCCGTCCTTGTAAGAGGTGGTACATAGACCGCAAATAGATTTGCTTTCTATTGAATAAACTCTCCTTTATTTTGCTAGGAAACTATCTGGGTTCGCGGTAAGACATGAGACATCCAAGCTGCATACAGACTTGCGTTGTCTCCAGACTTGGGTTGTCTTCAGACATATGTATCTGAACATAATTCTACATAAAAATTACTGGATCAGGAAGTCTAGGCATTGTACAGGAATCTGAATCTGGATATTGGTTATGGGATTTCCAAAAATCCGTAGTGTATATATGGCTCTACGAAGCTAGTATCATGTGTTCTCGTCCTGTGTGATACATACTAAGCCTCCCTCGTCCATGGATCAGGACAAGATATAGTTATCTAGGATTAAATGTGTCCCAGGAACGAGTGTGTCTCAGGAACGAGGCGCCGACGGAGACAACCATGGCAATATCAAGAAAGACAGAGCAACAATGACGGAAAAATCACGCCTAGGATAGTATCTCGACCGCCCCAGGGTGTGCGGCCCAATCGGGCAGAGGCAGATTCTCAGCCTGTTACCATCGTGTTCCGCGTCCGAGAAAAGAACGGACATTTAAAGACGGTGCATGAGGTCCTTGTTGATCGGTCCGACCCATCGCAGGTGGAATGAGTGGCAAGGAAAGAGGCGAGAAACCGGCAGGCCATATTCTATGATAAGAACCTGCGAAAACTTACTCCAGCCCAGTGCTTTGAGGCGGCAATTGAGGATGACACGAACAAAATAATTATGAATTTCGGGGCAGAGCTTGCGATGGACGAAGACACAATAAGGTCGATCGCACGCGAAGTGGAATTATGACGCGAAGGAACTGGAAGACTCAGTAAGATTGGGGTGCTCGGCAGACCAGACAGGTCGCAACCATGTAGGCAGACGACCGTCTGGGTCTTGCACCTGCCGTACACACCAGTTGGCGGTCCTCTGTCTGTGGTGGTCGTACGACCGCGGTCTGACGACCGGCCTGGTCAGGGGCGCAAGGTCTGGCGTTTCTGGTGCTATGTTAATAGGCCTACGCACCAGATCTTACTACCCAAGTCATCAGTGTCTGGACCTACCATCTTACGCCTTTGCTCTGCTCCCTCTGACCTTGTAGGTCTTCAGACCACAAGCCTATGTCTGATCTGGTCTTGGAACCCGGGACAGATCTCCTTTACGGGCTTTAGGCCAGATTGGTCTTGTGCCTTGCAGCGTAGGAGATACCCTATCCTGATCCTGAGATATACTTGTTTCTAGGATGTCCTTGTCCCTAGGATGGACTTGTTCCTGGGATGGACTTGCCTCATTGATCTTATTTTCAACACTTGATTTCTGGCCTTCTGAGGCTGAAGGTCTGTCTGGCAGGGTGCTGAAGCACTGAAATGGGGCGTCAGGTGTCATCCAATAGAGATGCGTAATATGAAACCAGCGCCGCGCTGAAGGCGCTAGTGCTTCAGGGTTCACGCACCCAATGCATTAGTCCTGACGCCCGTCTTTCCTTTGACGCCTGTCATCCCACTGACGCCCGTCTTTCCACTGACGCCCGTCTTTCCTTTGACGCCCGTCTTTCCACTGACGCCTGTCTTTCCTTTGACGCCTGTCATCCCACTGACGCCCGTCTTTCCTTTGACGCCCGTCTTTCCACTGACGCCTGTCTTTCCTTTGACGCCTGTCTTCCCACTGACGACCGTCCTTTCTTTGACGATTCACAAGCTTCTTGAGAAATCAGTTGGTAGCCAGTCGGCCGGCTGGCTCTCGGTCCGCCACGGCTCAATACGCCAGGGGGGACAACGGCCCAGGCGGGGCAACTAGCTGAAGCGTCCCGTGAGCCAGTGATGCCTGGAAACTTTTGGTCTCCAGATTTTCGGCCCACCTGGCGGCAGAGCGAACGCAATCAATCTCTACGGTAACAGCTTCCGATCCACCCATGCCACAGATCCCACGCCTGCGGGCTAAAGAGCCTCCAAAAGAAGTCCTTGTAGGACAAAGTCTACCACTTGTGATCAGACCAGGTTTAAAAGGGTGTTCTTACGTAAAAGGCATACCTTATCATGAACTGTTTCACATTTCGTACCACCTCCTATCTAGCTTCTGCTTTTATGGAGTCCCTCACGTGGCTACTTTCCTCACAAGAAGAACCTCCCAAGATCCTTACTGTCTCGAAAGAGCACTTCTAAGTCGCGCTTTCTAAGTCCGCTCAATTCATAGGATGGTATAACTATGAATATACCTCTGTAAGGACCTGCTTATGAGCCCGTACACGAGATAATCTGCATATTCTGGTTCAACACATAGGAAAACCCTCTCCGGTAGCAAACAGCTCTGAGAAGTCCCCTTCAGGATGATATGGTTCATGTTTCCAACAACGTCTCGAGTTGGGCCACATATTACTAAGTCAGACCTAGTAGAGCGCTCGTTTATTCAGGGAGATATGGCCCATACTCGCAGAACCCTCTTAAAATGAGCCACATGTTCTGATATTAGACATGGACGGAAGTTCATGGTGCCGATCTCATAAAACATAGTAATTAGTCCTCATTTGACGACACCCTCTTCTGATGCCAGGTTAATTCTAAAACAGGAAACTGATCCCTATTATTCGTCCGCCCTCAAAAAAGCGACTCATGGTGGGCAGCTTTGATACTGAAGACCGGTATTAAACAGCAACATTCTGATAAGAGATGATATGGGGTAAGGCAATGGCAGCCGAAGTTTACCCGTTTAAGCGAGTTCTGAACTCGAAGGATTTTTAGAGGGTGAGTGAATCACCCTGCGGATCAGCCGTTAATCGTCAACGGTTCAACCCGCTCACCCTGCTCACCCCAAATAAATTGCAAAAAAGAAAGCTTGGCAGGCTCCCTTACCCAAACAGATCTAGCATCCTCTAGAGAGCTGCTAAAATGCTCTCCTAATCGTCCCTTCACGTTCAATCGCGCGATACTCACCCTTCAAAGGTGAGTCGCTCACCCTCAGAATGTGAACAACTCACCCCCTCAGGGTGAGCGCAGAGAATATATAAAGTCGAGAAATCCCCCAGATTTTGGACTAGACATAGCCTTTGTTTCTATTGAAAAAGTGTACAAAAAGCTGTTATGGCAAAACCAAAGGTAATCCGCCGCCGCACATCGAATAAATCGAAGGCCAAAAGCCAACAACATCGACGACGAGGGGATACTTTGTTCCGGAAGGCCTTTGAATTTAGCCAAGAATGCGAAGCAGATGTCATGTTAGTATTTCGGCTGAGGAAAAATGGACAAGTCTATATCTTTAACTCGAATGACCGATGGTTTCCTTCCCGAGATGACTTGGTGGGTGGGGTGTTATCCCTGGAACTTCTTAGATATGCTAATGGTTTTCAGGCCTTTACCTATCCCACTCCATTGTGGATAACTTCAAGAGAACTGGCGGCGAAGTATGAGGAGAAGGTGGAAGGGATGGGGAAATGATTAATGTATCCCCTAAGCCATTAAAAGACAATCATTTCTACTTCCTCTTGAATATATATTTGTGAAGCTTCATTATCTCTCCCTATTTAGACCGCTTACTTGGACAAGAACATGAGCTATGTACTGGAAGACTCGCAGGAATGGCTCCCTAGATTAGCTGTGGTTGCGAACCATGAGATCAAAGCTAGGAGATGGACACTCATCAGAGAGAAATAAACTACAGTAGTTTACTAATTAACCTTGGGGAATTATAATGGCCTTTACTACACCCTATAATTTGTGGACTGTTGCGCTCCATACAGTACCATAGTGCCTGAAATCTGCTGCTCGTTGAACCATATCGACTTAAGACTCCGTTCAATCATGTGGATCTACTCCTAAGGGACCTGTTTTTTTCGTGCAATCAAGAAAGCCTCCCAGAAAGTGGGCGATGGCTTTGACCCTGACAGACGCGAAACTGTGAGTCACCATTGTGGGGCAGTACTGAAGTGGATCTATTAGCGCTCAGCGTCGTTTCTCATCATGCGAGTGTGTTCAAACATCAATTTGAACAAAGTTGAATAGATCCATTCTGCTGGAACTGTTGAGAAATTTGAACCTGCGAAACAAGCGATTTCTTGTCTCTCGACAAGGTGTTCAGTGGAAATAGACCGCAGCGGCATGCATCGCCGCGGGATCGCCTACATGCACTGCGGCGTTCTACAGAAGAACTCTTGAGATCCATCAAGCATACTGGACATCTGCAAGACCATCTCTTCAACGCTCGAGGTGTTGATGAGAAGACGCTTGCTTGCCTTCATGGTCGTGTTAGTGTCAACCCTGGACGGAAGGACCGTTTGTGTGCGAACCCTGCGCGCGTATGTTTAGCTCCCTGTTCTTGGGCCATGTTTTCTTGATATCCATGGCTACCGCATACGCGCCGTTGGTGCAAAGGCAACCCCGTTCTGCGCGCACTTGATGACCATACCCATAGCCACGGTCTCGGCTAGAAACGTGGTCATCATGTACGCCCGGTCTGCGCGCACACACTATTAGTCTTCACTCCAGCAGATCTAGAGGACCGTGGCTCTGCGTATGCCCGATGCACGCATATGCTCTCCTTCTCTACGCCCAGACTCCACGGTTTCAGTGGAATTATGGCTATGGCATATGCCCTATTAGTGCCTACGCTGCTGCAATAATTCTACGAATTATGGTCATCTCCACGTGTGCCCTTCATGAATCGTTACGAAGCTAGAGAGTCAAGGAAGAATACGTTCATCAGACGCGTGAAAGTCAGCCTTTGGAAACTTACTTTTGAAGAAGGAGTTTTGGGACTCGGGCAGTGATTCAAGCAAACGTCAAAACTCTGGAAATAACTAGTAGAGGGGCTTTCTGACCGGCTTCCATGTAGTATGGAGGAGGTCCAGGACGCTATCGGAGATTTGTTAGCCATTACCCCAAATTGTACCCAGATATCTTCGTGGCTGCAGAGAGCATGAGAGCTCCCTGTGATGTGAGGAGTGATAACCAGTGAGATACCCAATTCATGTCCGGAGCGGACTCCCACCTCGCAATGGGGAGTAACCGGCTTCACACGTGATCCAGTCAAAGAGGACCTAGACTTATGTAGTCAGCTATCAGAAAGCTCAGGCGATAGCCGATTGCCACGTGATATGCCTTGAGATTCCATCCCTTCGCGCAGGGTCACGCTTTTAAGATAGGCCTTATCCGTGACGCCTCTTACTTACCAAATACTTCATTTATCACGAAGCCGCATAAATTGAGCTATGGTCTATTTAATTGACACACAAGGAAGGAGAGATCTTACAAAGCAGGGTACCCGCTAGTTACATTTAATGACAGCCTGCTAAGACTCTATTGGTGGAGCACCGCTCGATTCCCCTCCCGAGGCCTGCGGAGGTCACCCCGAATTATATACATTGCCGTCTGATTGCTGATACTATGTACAGCCTTAGATGCCGACGGACACTATCGTCGAGCAAAGTTCCGCAGCCTATGATTATATTCTCTGAGTCTGACAGCACAGAGTCAGTGCCTCGCGGAGAAGGAGCGTATACACTTGGTGTAGTGCGGTAGAGGAGGCAGCATAAACGGAAAAGGATGCACATGGAGACAGTCCTTGGCGCTGATCGGCAAACCGTGCAGAGGGCCTACTGTAGAAACCAGTGTCCTTAGTCTTATTATTTCAAACCTCAAAAAATAATCTGGGGATCAAAATTGTTCGACGGCAGGCCTTAGATAAGGTTCGGACACAGATCTTTATCCATGGATTGCGATCCAGATTTGTTACTAATCCACAAGTCGTAATCTGGCAGGGATTATTTTTATACGAGGTGTGGGATCCAAGGTTTGCTGTTCAAACTCTACCGAAGTCCATGATACGTAATCATGGATGGGCTGAGGCATTGGCCAAAGCGCTAGGATTCATTTGTCGCAGACCGGTGACCCCGCAGAAGGGCCACGATTATCGGAAACAGTGGCACCTGGAAATTGCGGCTCTACAGTACCTTGAAATAAGTGCCTGTTTGAAGGTTGTTGATCCAGTTCCATGTTCGCCATGAATAGTTTCGATAGCCACTGTCTCAACAGGAAACGAGTCTACTCCACAGAAGGAAGATCAGATTAGCACAGAGCGAGGCTGCCACAGATGACGATTTGCAACTTTCTCTGAACACTATTCCCGCTGTCAAAAGCAAGGTTGCTTAAGCTTGCTTCATTTGAGTTTGCGGAATAGCTTTCTACTAGGGAAGGAGAGGGGAGGAAATTCACAATTAATCTGCAGCGAAGTTAAAACCCTCAATATTCTCAATTCAAGAATATTATCATGGTGATAATATGAGAGCATGCTAAATTTATTATCCTAGTAATATTCAAGGTCGATAATATTAGTATCTTTTAATATAACGAGGGCGATAATATTGATATCATCTACTATTATCGAGACAATAATATTATACCTGCTTCGCTGTTAACACGGACTTTAGAGATATAGCTAAAATGTGCTTAGTAGCAAATTCAGAAAGCGATTTGTTTTGGTCTTTTGCGCCTATGCGTTATTACTTTCGCTTTATACCGTAAATCTCCAGAGCCTCCAGGCAGTCCATCGAAGAATATAGAAAGTTGACTATGCTGCAAGCCAAGTGAACATCCATCAATCACTACGGTAATCGAGAGGCCGACTATGTGTATATTTTCTTGGGAGTGATGCTGATATGGGCGCTTCAAGTCATCTTTCTCGCAGGAACAACTTTTAGGTTAAAAAGGAAATTCTCAGTCCTCCTTAGTTGCGGATAATTTGGCTATCTGACTTCCGCCATAGGAGGTGCGGCGGCGTGGGAGTAGATGCCAACAGAAGCGCTGCACATGCCCATGGCTTGCTTCGAAACTGATCGCTGCCTAAGGCATAAAAGTCCGTGCGTGGTACATTAGTAATCAAACATAAACAAATGCACGGGTGGTGCCGCGTCACCACTCCGGTCATGAGTTGCGTCGCACAGTGTCCCAACAGGGGATTCATAGCCGCTGTTTTCCTGACATCAAATTTACCGCTAGCTATGCAGGACGATATTGCTGAGTTACGACGCCAACTGGAGGAAGCGAGACGCGCACGGGAAGAGGCAGAGCGGCGACAGAAAGAGGCAGAACGGCGACAGAAAGAGGCGGAATGGCGGCGGGAAGAGGAAAGACGCGCTCGGGAAGAGGCAGAACGGCGGCGGGAAGAGGAAAGACGCGCTCGGGAAGAGGCAGAACGGCGACTGCAACCAACCGCTCTGTTTCACCTGCTTGACCGCTGCCATGAATATCTGTCACAGGAGATCCGAGTCGAGACAGATGCGGCCTTGACAACCCAAGGCAACGTGACTGACCCAGTGAATCGACTTTACCCCAAAAAGATTGTACCTTGGACTGATTTCCCTAATCTCCAAGAGCAAATATGGGAGAGACTCGAGCGTGCAGTTGACTTTACCTCGCGCCCACTCTTTCCCTCTGATACCCAGTTAGACTACGTCGCAACGAATATCCGGGACAGGCCGATTTACTCAGAAGCAACTCTACGAAATTTCGAGCGAGACACTGTGGATAACTTTGTTGAAAAGATTATCGAAGCCTTACAAGATGATGAAACTTTGCGACAGGAGTTTGGTATAGAGGGTCGAGTCGCGTTCTACGACCGCGCGAACTCAACCTCGCTGGATGACAGCCTGGAACAGATGCATCTAAATGACGCACCTGACGCGCCCCATCAACCACCAAACACCAATCGCGGCAGAGGCGGAAGAAAAGGAAAGGGGAAACAGGTGGCACAAAGTCAGAAGATGGCACATTCAGGATGGCGACGCAATCGCCGGGCCGATCAGTTCTGTGTTCACCTCGTGGCTGACGAGCGCCAGATACCAGTTTATGCAGTGGAGTTCAAAGCACCTCATAAAATAAAGGTCGCTGAACTAGTTGCGGGCTTCCATGAGATGGACCTGGAACGCGAAGTTATCAATCAGGAAGGAGAAACATTCGAGTTTTAAGCTACAACTCTTGCTGCTGCTGTGTCTGCTCAGATATTATCATACATGCAAGGCCTGGGGAGACAACTCGGATGTATTCGGACGGGGGAGGCAATTGTCTTTCTACGTATTCCGACGGATCCTACCGTACTTCAATACCACTTGTGCATCCCAAACCAAGACGTACAGGCAGGCGAAGAAAACCGTCTTCACCGGACCGCTGTGGGTCAGATGCTTGCATTCACCCTCCAAGCACTGGCTGCCGAAGATCCATCTCAAGAGTGGCATGATGCAGCATATAAAAACCTTTCAACTTGGGAAGTTGAATACTTGAATGTCCTGCGTGATATCCCTGAAACGATACGCAAGGAGCCGCCTTCCTCGAATTATCGGCCTTCACATTGGAAACCAATCCCAAAGATGCACAATACGCGATCCCGCGCTCGCTGTAATCCAGGCATATCTACCCCGCAAGGCTATCCAAGTGAAGATAGCGACAGTGATGACGAGGTGCCTTCGCCGTCTACCGCACCAGCCACGCGCGCATCGAGCCGCAGAAAAGGGAGTGAACGTCAATTAGCTAACGGACGAGAGGAGGCACCGCGTGACCGGAGAAAGAAGGAGCCACCCTCTAAAAACAACATACAGAGACCATACTGCACTATGGCTTGCATTCGCGGTATGGCCAACCGAGGTCGCCTCGACGCCAAGTGCCCCAACCGGAAACTCCACGGTGGTCAGTGGCATCCCATGGATGCGCGTGGGTTCACGCGCAACCTGCATCGTCAACTTGTCCGGAACCGAAATGAGGGTTTTGAGCCTCTACACATTCGTGGTCGGACTGGGTATCTCCTAAAAGCAACTCTATTGTCTCACGGGTATACCGTGATTATCAAAGCCACAACGGAGAAGGAAAATGCCCTTATAGCAGAAACAGATAACTATCGCCGCCTCCGTACCTTGCAAGGGCATCAAATCCCGGTCTGTCTAGGCAGCTTTGTGCCAAACATCGACTATTGGTACCATGGTGAAATAATGACGCATATGATGATCCTAAGTTGGTCTGGAACTCGTCTTCAGCGAATAATCAACAACGAAAATTCAGCCTTCTTCCACGAAGAGCGCAATCGTTGCCTGTCCATCCTCCAGTCACACGGAGTCGACCACAAAGACAAAGAGTGGCGTAATATGCTATGGGACGAATCCACCCAGCGGTTGGTTATCATTGATTTGGAGGACGTGGAGTGGCTCAAGCAGCCTAAGCGGCCTCGGGCTCTTCAACCAACATCGGGCAATTTATGTCATCATGCCGCGAGGGCGCCGAGAAATAAACGAAGGCGCCTTCCCAGTCTGCCTGCTGCCTGCAACTCGTGATGGCTCGCTTAGAGTAGCTGGCTCCTTATTCGAAAACGATTCCTCTCTCTTGGCAATCGAAAACCAAGCACTAAATCTCCTTTGTCTCTTTCATGCTATCCAAGAGCGCGCGGGCATGGAATTGCTAGCCGAGGATTGCGGTGAGGGTCACAGTTCAGCAGCGCCTGCGCCAAGGTACTAGATAATCAGGAGGTTTTTTGATTGACAAATCGTCCTCATCCACATTTCCGTTCCAGAGCTCAGCAGCCTAAGCCTCACGGGCCCTGGACGGGTTGCTTGGATAACTGGTCTTGATTCCAAGATTCACCTGAACGGTGGAGACTAAGCTAGGTGCTAAGAGCCAGTCGTTCACAGTGCGCAGTTCTAGTCCTATCTAGTTTGAAGTAGCGGGTGGCATCTAAGGCGCCGATGCAACGCTATGGCTATCTTCGTCGCCTCCTGATGGTAGCTCCTGACTACTATCAACGCCAAGGATCGCGGAAAAGGTCAATATTTTGGGCAGTTTGGATAAGGATAAGCCCTTTCAGGGGGCCAGCGGCACTCCGTCAAAGAGAGTACAATCCAATGCAACCTTGTCAAGCAAACACGATAATTTCCCTCAGCGATGAGCCCGCACAGGAGCCCTAATCCGTGCTCGACTGTGCTCCAACCATTTCGTTGGCCAATTGAGTATGAATCGAGTCGGGTCTGCCTTGGACTAGGGAACGACGAAGCAAGGATAGCCAACCAAGCACTTTCCGTGAAAGGAATAGTCACTCTGGTCAGTCAGACACCCTGCTGGCCACCTCCGACTGGCTTGCTCTCCACCATCCTAGGATGCTGGAACGCCCAGCTAACATAGTAGAATGTCCAGAGAGACGGCTATAAGAATCACCACACACCCCCTTTCTTTTGCTCAAGTCTCGTTCACCTACAGTAATAACCGATTTTCCATTCAAGCTCACTCTCAACCATGTTGTCAAACAATGTTGATTCGTCCGATCCAATACCAGAAATCAGGGATGAGCTCATCGCGCTCCTGGAGCGTTTTGTTCATCTTATTGCTTCCCACGCAACCATTGATCTTCAAGAGACGCCCAAGGTACGCTGATTCACTGAAAATCAGGAACATACTAAGTGCGACATAAGTTTAAAAGAATACTTCACGAACTTTGCGAGGCAGCCCCAGATGTCGCACGAGCCATTGCAGGCACTATCCAAGGAAACAAGACGGTCCCATCCGAACAGCAGGTCAACGCGAACACTGCCCTCTTAAAACGAAAGTGGAAGCCAGACCAAGATCCCCCATATCGTCCATCAAAGTCTACCAGGATTAGTGGATCTTCCGCATACCTTGCGAAATCCATTCCCACTGCTGACTGTCGCGGTCTGGAAACGGAAAGGCCGATCATGGACGATGACGAAGCTCGTCCAATAGTCACCACGGCAAGCGAGGACATGCTACTGATGGAGACTCCAGCATCACGTGGACCCGAAAACGCCGTACCAGATGCTGAATCAATGCCTCCTGCCGGAAAGACCCCAGATGCAGGACAGATTGAGAAAAAGTCCTCAACTCAACCTAAGGTCTACCAAGAAAAAGTACTAGTGTCAGCTGAGAGCTCTAGTTCATCTCGCCAATCTCCGGCAGATTCCTCTATCATGGAGGCATCGCCTATCCAGGAGTTGATTGTCGACGCTGCTCGGACCCTCTACCAACTTAGCCAACACCAGGATGGCATCCCAAAGGCTATACACAGACGAATTCTACGGTCATTGCAAGGCAGCCAGCCGGAGGCACTTGCCGCATCTACGAGTAATACATGGTCCGATGGTTCGATATGGGTACAACTACTCGAGATGGGATCCTCTCGGCAACGTCATGTTACGATTCTTAACATGCTGGAGTACATGGGGGCCTGGGAATGGTATGATGGCCAAGTACGACTGGCGCAAAGGACAATCTCCACCAAGAAGGGTCAGCCGGTGGATCGTCGAGGAGCTGCGATCCATGTGCTGAACGAGATGCAGACCACTCGAGGGAGTGTGGAAGGTCGGGGAAGGTGGATGAGCGGGGTTGGAATGGTTGCGTTGAACCAAAGTGAACCTAGCCACGAGCTTCCAAGCAGTCCGGTCAGCCTTGCTGAGAGTGACCAGCGCCAGCGGAGGAAACTTATCAGCATGCAACTTAGCAGAGGCCAGAAGCTAAGCACGAAGCTGGTTAAAAACCTAGGATTTGGGATACTGTTCAGCAAAAAGATTTGGTAAGGCCGGCATTACTTTGATACTTCTCAATCCGCTAATAAAAGCTAGGGATTATACTAAGATGAGCATGAAGCGCCTGGACGACCTTATACATTCGATCCAGGCAGATCCCCAACATACGAGGCTCCTTCAGATCCTTGGCCTCCAACTAGAGCGCCTTGTGAGCCACGGTTGGCCCGATTTTCGTGATTTTATTACCCGTCTAACAAGCGGGGGGCTGATTTCAGAAGACGAGGCTCAGGAATTGCGGATTACTTTCCCGTTAGAGGACGTAAGTAACCTGAATCATCACTATCAGCACAGCTCAATTAATAAAACTACCAAAGGAAGCTCTTCCCGCTGGCAAACTGGATACTGCCATTGACCAGTTGTTTGAAGGAGTCAAAGCCAGAGTGTTAGGCCAGACCATACTTAGTCCCAACGACACCTTGGCCGTGAATGGAAGTATGGAGCTGGAATGTACAATACTTCAGCACCTCCGTCCAGGGGTACGGCTCGATGCATGGACAATCCTGGCGGCTATGCAGATATCCGACCGGCCGGCATTTGTTCGACACGACAAAAGCATTCCTCTCGATGAGATTATTGCGATTCAGCCAGTAAAGCGAATCCGACCGTTCAAACGGCCACTAGCATCGTGGGCCAAGAAGATTTCAAAGTACCGACGACAAGCTAAAGAAACCTTCGGAGAGGTTATTCCATTAGTCTTCTTCTGTCCTATTAATCACACAGACAGCCACTACACGTTACTTGAAATAAATGAACGGGAGCGAGTGATTCGTCATTATGATTCGCTAGCTGATCGAGGCGCTGTTGGCCAGACCCGGATGTCGAGATTGGTCCAGGAAGAATTTGGGGCCCTGAAGTTCTCCTATCAAGAAGCTGTAAGTGAATTGCACCCGTTCTTTGTCTACGATGAATAACATCAAGCTAGCCCACTCCGCAACAGAATGATGCTTGGAGTTGTGGTATTAGAGTTGTCTGGACTTTTCAACGCTTGTCAAATGGCCTTCCGATCGGTGGGTGGGACAAGGTACTGAACCCGGAACCCATGATACTGGAGATAATAAATGGGCTGGTCACTTGTGTTGAGGAAAATGCCATGGAAAGATATCAACGTTGATAGGTCAGCTAAGTCTAATTGAGGATGCTGCATTCTTGCTGGGAACGCTTCATAAATAGAGCTCAACTACTAAGCCACGGCGATGGCTGTGCATGGCTGTGTCACCCTGTCTTAATCAACTGTAGCGATGCTACCCGGTTTCAGTTATCACTCTCATTTTCTGGCGATAAGATGTTCCATGCCGGTCGCGTTGATTTCCTAGGAAATTGCCGCGACTTCAGCGGGCGGTCAAGGATCCCGACATTGGCTGGAGACCTCCCGCACATAGCTTGAAGACGGAACGTAGGTTCCTTTTCCTTGATCGATCCACGGCATACACAGAGGCCCTGCATCTCGAAACGACGCAGGGATAAGTGAGATATAGGCATGCTAATTCTGTTCGCGTGCACCGTCAATAGTAAACTTTTTAAATGTCATTTTAGTGTAGAAGTCAACCATAAGCGCGATAAACCTGGGGATTCTCTGCGCCAGGGTAAACTAATATCCCACCATGGTCACAACATAGAACGCTTGAACTACCTATAGATAAGTGCACCAAAAGTCATCGCGGGCCACACTTTTGATTTCGTGTTTTCAGCCAGTAACTGTCACGGATTGTTAAGGGTGTCAATAGGTAGCTGCAGTGTCTATTGAGGTATCTTTTATGTGTTCCCCTTCCGGCGCTGGCTTTCCTCTATGGGCGAGAATCTGTTGGAGGGCCGCGCCATGGCTGCTTTCAGACAGTTGGAGCTTTCAGGTAACTTTGTCAGTAGCAAATCACCTCTACATGTCTTGTAGAATCACATGCTGTCGCCACTATTCTCTCTGGACATGCTCTGTGGAAGTACCTTTTACGTCTGTAGGCCGTAACTGTCGATTTCTTCAACGGGGGTTTTTTCTGGATGCCAACCGAAAGAAGGCCTGGCAATAAGTATCCTTGTCACGAGTTTATTCCATGCTAACCTACGAAAGTTTCTGCAGGGCGAGCACCCCTGCCCCAGGGAAGCAGTCGCTGCAGCCCTCATCAGGACCGATTTTGAGTTCGTTCTCAGGAGTTCAGCCAGGTCATCCAGGTCAGCGAGCAAAAGTTGTGGTCTTAATTCCAATATGTCCCCGGCCATCTTCAGTAATGAGGAGCGCATAATACAGGAAATTACCCAGGGGATCCAAGAAGAGACAGAGAAGAGGTTTGAGTAGGATTGGTATTCATTCCACTGATATCTATATCGATCTCGGTAACCATAAGAAATCCAATTATTCAGCGTAAGTGCACGGATCTCCATAGGTGTGTACATGGATCTTCCCATGAGCCCACTCCGGCAGCTTCACCCCGTCCTCGGCCCTGATGCAGACAACTTGGACTTGGTTCAGGTGCAGTCGAATCTCTCCGTTTAGGTACTCAACGACAGAACTTAGATCCTCGCACGCGTAACATCGGATAAAAATTTTCCGAAGTGATGGAGGCAAAGTAGGCCTTCCTGATAAAACTTCACTATCAATGTTAAGGTGGGCTAGATTGCTAAGGCTTTTCGCGGATTCCCATTGCATACAAGCGAAGTCTGGCAGGTATATCGAAAGTTCCTGAATGCTCTGTGCGTGCGGCAGAAGTTCTTCATAGAGGTCCAGGGACGTGAAGCTGTTGCAGTGTCTTGCTTTGCAGCAGTTGACGGGATGGTAATAATCGAATAGCTCCAGGTTATGACACCCCTGCAGCAATAGGTGTAAACTGTGTTTATCCAGGCATCCACAGAGATTAAGCTGTAGAACAGGTAGAGAGGCCAGCGTAGCCGCTTTGTCGTGTAAGGAAGAGCTCCCAAGCGTCTCAATGTTCAGGCAGGTAAGTTGTGGGAGGCGTTGAATACATGAGTAGAGTGTACTCAATTTTTCACGGGGGAACCTTGCCGGGTCTTTCCAGTATAACCAATCATTATGGCGTATATCAAGGCCTTGAAGATAATCCAGAGATATTAAGCCTTTTTCTAGCTTATCCTCGATTTTTGAAAGAATTTTCCCGTCGGTTGGGATGTCGAGATCTTGCAGTTTTGGCATGAGAGGCAGCGTTGTGAGAAGGTCTTCTAGGATATTGGGCTGCCGATCGAGAGCGCGACTCAGAATCGTGATGGACCGGACAGCTTCACCAAGCGTACAATTTTTTCTTATTGTGTCCAGAAATCGCTTTATATTATCTTCTGGCTTGAAGGACTGGAAAATCATACGTTGGCTAGCATGGCGCCAGGCCGGACAAACAACGGCTGCGACGAGAAGGGCTTCACGGGGCAATAATAGGAAAATTTCACAAAGAATCTCGGTAGGAAGGGAGTCAGCCATGGTTGGCAGCGCAGAAGTAGATGAATAGCAAGGATTTATTAAAAGAGAAAAGAAACAGAGATGTCGACGCAAAGCAGGATATGTGGGTGCGAGTAGCTTTAAGTAGTGCCTATTAGGAAGGAGAACTGATCAACAACTGGCTGTGGCCACTCCTACGTCACAAGCCCTATCCAGGACTGGAAGGAGAGGAGGACTGGAAGCACGGCAGCTAGAGCTATGGTGAGACTGAAGTGGAAGGAAGCCCCGTCGGTGTGATGACTTCTGCGAAATTCCGTATCTAGAATTGGCTTTTTTCTCTTTCATTCGGTACGCCGACTGCTCTGGATCTGCATGGCAGGAGCGGATTCGGCCAGATGCGGCAACTCGCAAGTGGGCAGCCTTTCGTGTTCCTTCGTAGTCTGGCCAAGCCCGTGGGGCATTCCTTCCTGCTTGACCGGAAGTATCCTTGCTCGAATGTGCTGCCTAAGGAGCAGGGCTGTGTCTAATGCTTGTGCTATGGGGCCCAATCAAGTGGCCAGCGTACGCAGTCGGTGAGGACCTCGCTTGTGTGCAGCAACCTGCAGGGAAAAATATCTAGTACCCCCTTTTCGCGGCATAGGAGATATATGATAGTCGCTTTCTCTCACTTCCGTTTCTTTTGATTGGCGCTGGAGCCGTCTTTATTAATGAGGATATCAAGGAACAGAGCCATCTATCTAGATATCAAGCGAACAACTGGCGGAGGAGAGTGGGAAGAATAGAAGAACACGGTCTATGTCTTATGCTGTGACTCAACTAAGCGACTACCTCAATTAAATTGGGTGGCTGAGCACTACCAGCTGCATGTAGCTGGGTCCGGATAGCCAATGAGTTACTTCCCTTTTGGCGCCCCATTGGTGGCACACGATTCGATGGGCGTACTTTCGATCCATCCTTCCTTTGCGTGCTACCTCAGAGATTCAAATACCATTCAAAATCCTTGCTCTGTGCTCCATTGCCTTGTCTCCCTTAACTTTATATCATGAATCTGATTGAAATCTCCCGGCGGGAAGTGCGTGGTTTGCACCAGGACCTTCTTGTCGCTATTATGCTGTCTGCACAGGGCGCCAGACTCATTAACCACATTCCATTCACTTCCTGGGAGGAGTCAAGAAGATTGGCTCACGAACCCGGTCCCGCTGAAGCTCTTAGCCGAGGCCTTCTTTTGATACTGGACAATTTCCGAAACTTTAACAGAGAGCGAGCCTGGCGTGTTTTAGGGGTAAGAAAGTCTTTATATTTAGAATCACTACTAACTTGAAGAAGTTTTTGCTAAGCAGGAACTCCTGTATCAGCGAAGCAGCTACCACAGTCCTTTTGGGAACCACCTTCGATTCAAGTTGTTTTGATTTCATAACCAACCCACTCGATTCTGCTTTGAAGCAACCTTCCCCCGAACGTGAATACGTTCTTCGGACCCTCGCAGACAAATATCAGCATTGGCTTAGACCATCACCACCACCAGCTTCCTCCATCGATACCGGCTTTTTTACCAGAATCTATTGGGGAGCTGTCGGGGACATGACTACAGAGACCCAGAACTTATTTAAATACGCACCAATGTCTTTCTTGGTGCATAAGTGGCAACTCTTGAGAGACACGTGCCAGTATGCATGCGACCACGCGCAGGTTGCCATGCTACTACACGTTTTGGTACCAGGCCTTCTTCCAGGCAAGTCTCGTCGCCAACATTTATTAGGATGCCAACTCTTCTCCCTTCGTGGTTACTTGCCTGATTGATGGTATGGTTCAGGCTGGGGTTGAGGTACCCGACAAGTACAGTCGGTTCATAGGTCTCCGGAAAACCCTCGAGCACAGAGCTGATTCCATGCCCATGAACGAGGATCGTCCCTTCGGAAAAAGTGCTATTGTCACCATGGAAAGAATAGTGATCATTAACGACCAACCTGACTATGCCGGGGTATTCAATGACCGTGGAGAGTTCGAGTACGGAGGCTTTGGGGATGAAGAATCTGATGACATAGAGTCTGTAAATGGCACGGGGTATGACGCGGATTCTGAAGACTACGCAGAGTTTGATGATAGCGATTGGTGAGGTGTTATCCAGAGGATTTCATACTATTTCAGTATAACAAAAGCTTAATCTAGAAACACATCTCGAAGAAGGAAGACAAAAGACAAAGTTCGAGCCAATAGTTTAGAATCATCCTGTCCGCCAAATACCTGTTTTCTCTCAAGGCTTGCTCCAGTACTTATAGCCGCGTCTCATCACATAATCATGATCGACGAACACCCAGAGTCTCCCACCAAAATCCAGAAGGACTGCAATACTGTTATCCCCCTCGACTTTGGCCTCAACGCCCTTGATTTCACAGTCGTCAAGACATACAGAGATCATCTCGCGCCCACCACCACGTGTCTTCAGATAGACGTCTGTCATCAAAAGACCTTTATCAGAGGTGTATGAAATACCACAAGGAAGTTCCAATTCCTCATCCAGGTTTTCTTCTGGGACAGGTACCCAGATTCTCCAGGCCCTGAATTTGAAGACCACAGTGATGAAACCATTCTCAGCCCAGGCACCACCGATAAAGGAAAAATCATGTAGATGAACAGTAACATTTGACTCAGCGTTCGTGGGCTCACCCGCATAGGTGCATGGCAGAGTAAAGACGGCATTGTGACCCGACTGGTATGTAGCGAAGATGTCATTCGGGAAGGCAGGGTAAACGTCGGTGCCAGCAGTGAGCTGGAGTTTTTGTAGCTCCGGTGCGAACAAGGCAGAATTGCCGTATCTTGGGTCAATCGGCTCCATCTGTCGGTATAAGTATTCCGATAGAACTCTGAACGCGGAAGACTATGCTCACTTCAAAAATAAGGGAGAAAGATTCTCCTCCAGCCTCACTGCTGTTTCTGTTGTCTACTATCGTCTTCCCCTTCTGTTTCGCTTTCTTTGAGCCTTGTTCCTCCTGTATCGTTTCTTTTTGATCTTGATTGACTTTTTCGCGCGGCGCTTTGTTCTGGTAGTTCGTCGGCACGGTTTTGATTGATTGGGGCCGCGGCGAAAATTGGAGCAGAGGGCGAGGATAACAAACAGGTAGTACGCAATATAGGGATAAAGGACGACGTGAATATCCTCGTCGAGTTCAATTCCAAACGGCATGCCAGCTGGTTGTACAATGAGTACGTAGGACCCTTATATACCACAAGTTTTAGAAAGCCTCAATCCTTTACACCGGCGACACAAAAGTAAAAGATTAGTAGCCCACGCTAAGAATCCAAGAGCTTGAGGTATTTACTATATCCGTGCGAATAACATAATTCAATATAATTAATCCGTCCTACTATGTTGAACGCCTCTGGCGTCTGCGGCTGCAAAGGGTCATCTGAAGCTGTGGCCACTCGCAAGTCGCGAGGCCGAGCCGGATCCTTCAAATGATAGTGGGATGAATGAGAAGCAAGTTCAAGGCATTACGGCTAGACATCCGTAATAAACAAAGAAAATAAAACAATTTTTTTTTTTTTTTTTAGAATTATAATCTGTTATGAGCCTAGCGCGCAGTCCTACCGAAGATCTCTCTTGCCACGCAGATTCAGGGCGCAAAGGATTCGATGGCGCGTAGAGCGGTCCCTGATAGTTCTTAGCCACCGGTGGAAGGACAAAAAAAGCCACCTTCCAGATTTAGATATTACGCCTGGCCATGCATCAGAGACTGTGGAGTGAATGGACAAGGAGTCTCAACGCCGGAAGCGGGGAATGTTCAAGTTATATACCTTTTTGTCCCTTGAACAAATTATTTGCTTCGGGAAAGTGAGCATATCTCTTCCATGTACGCTTTTTCGGCTGCGCATCTTGTGTGAATCATGGTCAGTGAATCATTCGCGTATCCTTCCTGCCACTAACAATTACGACAGATCTCCGTGCCTAGATTTATTCTGCGAAATCCGGCCAAGTCAACTCTCAAGGTCTTCCTTGGGCGGTCTCTTGGCTCCGTTATCACTCCAGCTCACCTGCTGCTTGATACATTTGCCGAATCTATGCTACCCAACCTTAGTGACCAAGCACTCCTCATGCTTGCTCTCGTTACCTGGCACTTCGATGCGACATCTGACATACGTCAACTCCTCAGCCAACTGCGTCACATACCGGACCAAGTGCTTTCGGATGCCCCTCGAATTCTCTCCTCAGAACATCACCACCTTCTTGTTCGGTCGCTGGAATGTTCGGATGAATTTCATGCAATGTGCGGAGTACTGTCTGAAAGGTATAACGAGTTGGTTGACATACAGGTTACAAGGGGTGTATTTGCAAACGAACTTCAGCGGTTGTTGCGGGATTCCAACTGGTTATTCCTCTACTGCGTTGAGATGTATTACTTGATGGACTAAGCCAGGCATAGGTCAAGGGGGCTCAAGGTGTATATATAATATTATGCTAGAGCACCTTCTCATTCACGCAAATTCTCGTCTACTTCCAATTGTTGACCTGTACACATTGCCTACTACTAGGAAACTCTCCCTCGATAAAAGCAGGTGAGTTGATCTAGATAAAAGGCGAAGTGGCTCAAAATCTCAAGTCACTAACAAGCCGCTCAAGGTGATTGATTAGTGCTAGTTCCCAATGAGTAGGGCAGACATGGAGCTTCATAAATTTTATCTCAGCGAGGTGGCTAAAGATGCTGGTGAATGAACAGATCATGATACCCATTCAAGGAACTATAGTATTTCTTAGAGGCGCCTTGACACATTCTAGTCTTCTTCTTTTCTAATACACTTTAATAGCTGCGCCTCCAAGAGATCCAGTTCAAGCGTCTTATCAGGAGTATACCCTCTGGACTCCAGCAGTCCAAGGATCTTTGCCCTGAGAAGGGACTCCACCTTTTTAAGCTTCTTCAATATCACTTCCCTACTCTTTTCCTGGTACTCACATCTCAGTGGACTCATTTCCTTGCCAAAATTGCCGCCATATTTGAGATAATTGACCGTCCGAAGTTCCAGGAGGTCAAGAAGCTCGGATTTTCCTCGCTCGGGTTCTTCTCGCTCGCGGTATCGCCTGCGAGCTTGTGCGTTGCGATCTCGTTTCTGTCTGGCCTCTTTTAAGGCTGATTTGAAGTCGATGTCCCTGGGCATGAAATCAGCACAGAGAAAGACCTAGTATCTGCTGACTCACATTTCCTAGAGGTATTTGCTTGTGGAAATCTTAGGACGTTAAGAGGCGTGGGTGTTCTTGTTCTGCTTTCTTCTAGCCTTGTTTCTTCTGGCCTTTTTTGATTGAATTCTCTTCGACCTTTTCAGCGCGCGGTGGTTCTTTTGGTGATGTCTCGATAGATATTGGTCGCGCTAGTGATAAGAGCATAGGGAGAGAATAACGAATAAAGACCAAACAACATAGGGATAAAGAATAGTATATATATCTTCATCAAGCTTGATTGCGATCATTGTGCCACGCAAGCCCGGACGCAAAGGATTTAGTAGCGCAAACAGCGGTATTGATTATGGATGCCCATAAGTTGATTCCTCGCGCATTTTTTTTTTCTTGGGCTGCAGGAGCTCTAACTAAGTATACTAGTTACTATGATCCCTGCCTTAACAGGCATTCCGCGCAGCTCATGTGCGAACAGATACCGCAGTATAGCTCCTTAACCGCCACTTCTTCATCACAGCAGCAACAGAATCGCCTGAAACGTACACGGGGTGCGTGTTGTTCCCAGCCATGTTTCCGTGCGTCTCCTGCTCTCCTCCATGGTCCCACATCACAAGGGCTGCCTTCCTGTGTCCGTTAGTATGCGGATGTCCAGCTAGCTTCTGATACATACTGTCCTCTGTTCTCCATTGTCCAAAACTTCCTTCTTCTTTCTTGGAGTACAAAGCTCCCTCTCTGTAACGGTGTTATGCCTCTTTCGAGTTGCTAAGTATCCAGGTGCTAAAGGTATCCTAATGTATCCATGCGAATAAACGGAGCTAACTTGTATTACTAGCATACTTCGACAACCTGACAAAGAATTACGAACATAGCATAACAAAAACGTATTATCAAGATGAGTTCTGATATGGGGATGGCGCTTGTGCCCAGGCAGCAAAGGCGTTCCAGTTGGCGCAGCTGATCAAATTGTCGGATTGCGTAGTGCTTGATGCTTCTCTGGATGTGGGGGTCGTAGGTGGAGTGAGTGGTAGGGGTAAAAGTCCCGTGCTGCATGGTAGCGGACACTGGTTTCCAAAACTGTGATCCGTAGGTGACTCCTTAATCGGTGCCTCAACTTGAGAGGTGCCACAGTGGCGTGATTGACATTGTCGCTGCTCGGCATACCATGAAGGAATGAATATAGAAACCAGAGAGCCCTCGTAGAGGAAAATGCCCTCCACAAAACCAGACTTCTTGTCCGAACCTGGAATGACATCCACCAGCTCGAGAGAATCAGGACAAACATCCTTGGTCCACAAGAAGATGGCCATCAGCTTCCCAGATGGCTCGACCGGTAAAGCGTTCGTACTACCACAGAACTGAAGGTCCTCATGATGATCAGGCTTGGAAATATCAATGCNGAAGCAAGGATAGCCAACCAAGCACTTTCCGTGAAAGGAATAGTCACTCTGGTCAGTCAGACACCCTGCTGGCCACCTCCGACTGGCTTGCTATCCACCATCCTAGGATGCTGGAACGCCCAGCTAACATAGTAGAATGTCCAGAGAGACGGCTATAAGAATCACCACACACCCCCTTTCTTTTGCTCAAGTCTCGTTCACCTACAGTAATAACCGATTTTCCATTCAAGCTCACTCTCAACCATGTTGTCAAACAATGTTGATTCGTCCGATCCAATACCAGAAATCAGGGATGAGCTCATCGCGCTCCTGGAGCGTTTTGTTCATCTTATTGCTTCCCACGCAACCATTGATCTTCAAGAGACGCCCAAGGTACGCTGATTCACTGAAAATCAGGAACATACTAAGTGCGACATAAGTTTAAAAGAATACTTCACGAACTTTGCGAGGCAGCCCCAGATGTCGCACGAGCCATTGCAGGCACTATCCAAGGAAACAAGACGGTCCCATCCGAACAGCAGGTCAACGCGAACACTGCCCTCTTAAAACGAAAGTGGAAGCCAGACCAAGATCCCCCATATCGTCCATAAAAGTCTACCAGGATTAGAGGATCTTCCGCATACCTTGCGAAATCCATTCCCACTGCTGACTGTCGCGGTCTGGAAACGGAAAGGCCGATCATGGACAATGACGAAGCTCGTCCAAAAGTAACCACGGCAAGCGAGGACATGCTACTGATGGAGACTCCAGCATCACGTGGACCCGAAAACGCCGTACCAGATGCTGAATCAATGCCTCCTGCCGGAAAAACCCCAGATGCAGGACAGATTGAGAAAAAGTCCTCAACTCAACCTAAGGTCTACCAAGAAAAAGTACTAGTGTCAGCTGAGAGCTCTAGTTCATCTCGCCAATCTCCGGCAGATTCCTCTATCATGGAGGCATCGCCTATCCAGGAGTTGATTGTCGACGCTGCTCGGACCCTCTACCAACTTAGCCAACACCAGGATGGCATCCCAAAGGCTATACACAGACGAATTCTACGGTCATTGCAAGGCAGCCAGCCGGAGGCACTTGCCGCATCTACGAGTAATACATGGTCCGATGGTTCGATATGGGTACAACTACTCGAGATGGGATCCTCTCGGCAACGTCATGTTACGATTCTTAACATGCTGGAGTACATGGGGGCCTGGGAATGGTATGATGGCCAAGTACGACTGGCGCAAAGGACAATCTCCACCAAGAAGGGTCAGCCGGTGGATCGTCGAGGAGCTGCAATCCATGTGCTGAACGAGATGCAGACCACTCGAGGGAGTGTGGAAGGTCGGGGAAGGTGGATGAGCGGGGTTGGAATGGTTGCGTTGAACCAAAGTGAACCAAGCCACGAGCTTCCAAGCAGTCCGGTCAGCCTTGCTGAGAGTGACCAGCGCCAGCGGAGGAAACTTATCAGCATGCAACTTAGCAGAGGCCAGAAGCTAAGCACGAAGCTGGTTAAAAACCTAGGATTTGGGATACTGTTCAGCAAAAAGATTTGGTAAGGCCGGCATTACTTTGATACTTCTCAATCCGCTAATAAAAGCTAGGGATTATACTAAGATGAGCATGAAGCGCCTGGACGACCTTATACATTCGATCCAGGCAGATCCCCAACATACGAGGCTCCTTCAGATCCTTGGCCTCCAACTAGAGCGCCTTGTGAGCCACGGTTGGCCCGAATTTCGTGATTTTATTACCCGTCTAACAAGCGGGGGGCTGATTTCAGAAGACGAGGCTCAGGAATTGCGGATTACATTCCCGTTAGAGGACGTAAGTAACCTGAATCATCACTATCAGCACAGCTCAATTAATAAAACTACAAAAGGAAGCTCTTCCCGCTGGCAAACTGGATACTGCCATTGACCAGTTGATTGAAGGAGTCAAAGCCAGAGTGTTAGGCCAGACCATACTTAGTCCCAACGACACCTTAGCCGTGAATGGAAGTATGGAGCTGGAATGTACAATACTTCAGCACCTCCGTACAGGGGTACGGCTCGATGCATGGACAATCCTGGCGGCTATGCAGATATCCGACCGGCCGGCATTTGTTCGACACGACAAAAGCATTCCTCTCGATGAGATTATTGCGATTCAGCCAATAAAGCGAATCCGACCGTTCAAACGGCCACTAGCAACGTGGGCCAAGAAGATTTCAAAGTACCGACGACAAGCTAAAGAAACCTTCGGAGAGGTTATTCAATTAGTCTTCTTCTGTCCTATTAATCACACAGACAGCAACTACACGTTACTTGAAATAAATGAACGGGAGCGAGTGATTCGTCATTAAGATTCGCTAGCTGATCGAGGCGCTGTTGGCCAGACCCGGATGTCGAGATTGGTCCAGGAAGAATTTGGGGCCCTGAAGTTCTCCTATCAAGAAGCTGTAAGTGAATTGCACCCGTTCTTTGTCTACGATGAATAACATCAAGCTAGCCCACTCCGCAACAGAATGATGCTTGGAGTTGTGGTATTAGAGTTGTCTGGACTTTTCAACGCTTGTCAAATGGCCTTCCGATCGGTGGGTGGGACAAGGTACTGAACCCGGAACCCATGATACTGGAGATAATAAATGGGCTGGTCACTTGTGTTGAGGAAAATGCCATGGAAAGATATCAACGTTGATAGGTCAGCTAAGTCTAATTAAGGATGCTGCATTCTTGCTGGGAACGCTTCATAAATAGAGCACAACTACTAAGCCACGGCGATGGCTGTGCATGGCTGTGTCACCCTGTCTTAATCAACTGTAGCGATGCTACCCGGTTTCAGTTATCACTCTCATTTTCTGGCGATAAGATGTTCCATGCCGGTCGCGTTGATTTCCTAGGAAATTGCCGCGACTTCAGCGGGCGGTCAAGGATCCCAACATTGGCTGGAGACCTCCCGCACATAGCTTGAAGACGGAACGTAGGTTCCTTTTCCTTGATCGATCCACGGCATACACAGAGGCCCTGCATCTCGAAACGACGCAGGGATAAGTGAGATATAGGCATGCTAATTCTGTTCGCGTGCAACGTCAATAGTAAACTTTTTAAATGTCATTTTAGTGTAGAAGTCAACCATAAGCGCGATAAACCTGGGGATTCTCTGCGCCAGGGTAAACTAATATCCANCAGGCTTGACTTCTTCCAAATAAGGGGGCATCTCGCCAACGAAATCAGTTAGTTCGCCCGAGCCCCGATTCGTGTTGCTTCCGTACTGTGCTGCTAATAACTTGCGGCCTCCATGTTTCCTGGAGCCCCAGCACGGGAAAATGTTGTCCAGCCAACGCATGGTCGAAGGAAGTGTGCAGGAGACGATCTGAGAAGGATGAATCAGGCTGGTCTGTGCCAAAATGCGGTGTGCGTCAAGGGACAAGGCTGGCATTTTTATAGACGTGGTGGTTATTTGGCGAGTTTCCAACTACTCAATTGGGCAATGGCAACAGAACCTACTACGGTCTGGACCTATGACCTGGGCACAGCGCGGAAGCACGCGGAATTCCGCGGAATTCCGCGAGAAGCCGTTTTTAAATATCCGTTTACTTTGATATCTATTTTGGAAAACTTTGCTAGACTTTTGTGAAAACCACGGATTTCTGCGTATTTCCGCGGACAATGCTAAAGCCTAAGTGACCGCTCTCGCAGATCCAAGATAGCTTAGTTCTAGATTTTCAGCCACAAGCTTTCCCCGACTTTAGCCTCAGTTGCATATAAAACCCGGTGTTGAACAATGTTGGTTCTCCCGGAACACCCGGATCTTTTTGGAGTGTTTGAGCTGTTCCTATACTATTTCCTCAAGTTTCGTTGCAGTGTACAATCAAATGCGTCGAATCAATCTAGCTGGCTCTTTGTTTACAAACCGCACTCAACTCAGAGATTCCCAGCCCGGGTTGGCCTCTCCAGCTCTTTGGGGGTGACGGGTTTACCCTTATTTCTACCTGTTCACAGCGTTAGCAGCAAGCTCGCAGCTTTCAACTTCTCCGCAGTTGTGCCTCTTTTCGCTGAGCTTCATCCCGCAATGACTTTTTACGCAATCTTTGGGAAAAAGCCGAATCCTACAACGACTTATCCGCCGCCCTTGCTTGCAACCTGGATCTTGTTACGATGGAGATCGTGTGTTTTTGTGTACACGTGATCACCGGGCGTCACATCATGTGATTCAGACCTGCCCCTCACCAAAATCTGCCCCTCACCTAAATCTGCCCCTCAAATTCCGAAACTCTTCGCCCGAGTGCATCAGAAGAATTTGAGTACTACAACTGTTTAAAAGGGCCTTTGAATGCATACCTTCAGCAATATTGCACTATCTAAGTTTTACTGCTCAAATTTTTCGAGGAGAGGATAGCATCATAGAAATCCAGTTTGTGAGCCCCTCAGTCGAAGAGTGCTTAATTTATCTAACCGACGCTTGTGCTCTAGGTCAACAGTTCCCAGCTCGATTTCGCACTGTCATCTGCATTCTTCGTGCGTACCATCCCGGTATTTAATGGTCGAGGTTTCGGGACGTACAGGCGAGGGACCACCCTCAGAAGATGTTACGGATATCGCGGACAACGAGGATAAACTGAAAGAGAAGTATCGTGAAGTGGTTAGTTCTGCTTCAAGTATTCTATAGGCTAAGCGCGCTGACGCGTATTAGACAGGAAACAATGGTCAAATTGGAGAGATCGTGGGTAGACCGGTGGCTGTTCGAGGACCATTTGACTATACTACAGCAATCGTTATCTGGTTGAGAAGTGAACCTGGGACAGTCAAACTATTCCTGGAAGACACAAATATCCAAACTTGGCAGACTTCTCCGGATTCTCCTCACATGGTTTTTATGACCTTCCTCCCCTCTGGATACTACTGTTGGTGGATGAACGGGGCAAAAGTCAAATATATCACAAGGAGTGCCTCATCCTGATCACATTTCTTCAGCTGTATGATTTCGCATAATATTGGCGCATATTTGGTGCGGGATTATCATGAATGGTAGACTCTCATGTATTGCTGGCAGTGTTATCTTCAAAGCGTTCCTGTCTTCCTTCGTCACGTCTAGGATAACTTTAGCCCCTGCCTCATCTAGAGGGAGCAAAGTGAAATTTCCCGCTGGTAGCAACTGGCCATTCTCGGATCTGTCACGGACGGAAATTGTGTCGCTTATGGCTTCAGATTGACTCGTCCCCGGGCCTACCTCTGCTTAGCCTAGTCTAGTCAAAAGAGAATGCTGCGTACCTTGCTGCCAGGTTCGTTTCCGGCGTGAGTGTGCCAAATGTGACAGTTCGGTACCTATCAATTGTCAAACACGAAAGAAGGGATCGATTATAGGGCAACCTACTATCAGCGTGTGGTATCTTGAATTCCCCCACAATTTCAACCAATTCACTGAGGTTGAGCTCCGTCGGCCCACGGGACAATAATTCGACTCGTTCATCTTCATTCAAGTTGCTCAATTTATGCTTTCCGAGGCTCGCTACCGTCACGAAAAAGAATTCACTCCCATGGAGACGAAGAATATCAAATAAGAATTTTTGATACACTTGCAGCTTGTTGGTAGTCTGTGTCGTCAATAGTGCGTGGATGGCAATTTGAATATTCTCGGTAGCTTGAGCATTTAGTCTTCCGACTAATGCCTGCGCCTTCAGCTTCTGCATACGCTGAAAGCATTGGTCAACCTTCATTGTTTTCACAAAACCTTTGCGTCGTGCAATTTCCGCTTCAAGAAGGGCCACTGAATCGCGACATTGTTGCAAAAGGCACTCGAGGTGGGGATTTTCAATTTCACTGTAGTTGCCATCCCAATCAACGGATACTCCTTCGTCGATGATGAGTGTAACATGAGGGTAAGACATTATAGAAGAAAGTTGGGTGTACGCGGGATTACGCGGATTTCCGGCTTGCTTATATATTTAGCTCTTCCCCGCCCGCTAAACTGCAAATGGATTGGGCACAAACCTTCATGACAAAAGGCAGATGCATCTCAGTTTGCCAATGGCAGAACCGGCGGCCTTTTCCCCGTTGGGATATTGCGGAGTCTAGGTACAGCCCCCATTCCGGCTGGTATCAAAGAACGTCAGTCCTAAGGCAGAATCAGACCGGCCCCACCGTTGGTGGAAGCCGCTGAACCTTCTTGCGTTATCCAGGCACGAGCCAGTCGGTTTGACCTGGATTCAGAGTGGAGTAGCTCTGGTGCCAATAATACTGTAATACCAGCTGGTGTGGAGACCTACTGATTCTGTTCATTGGCCGTTCCGGCAACTTCGAGCTCAGCTGTGTTTCTGTCTTGCCGATAAGCTAATCTTGGACGATTCTCAAACTCAAATCTTAAGAAGCCAGAGACTCATCGAAGAAAACCAGTGGTGTGACAGACTCAAAATCATGCATTAGCGCAAGCTATAAACCACAAGCTTGCTAGCCGTGCGCGCGGAATCCGGGCAATTTGGAGCCGTCGGAACCAGTCAGATAGAGGAAGAATTGCGAAGATGAAACTCATTCCTACAAAGCACAGGCAGTAATAGCTCGCCTCGCCAAAGCCACCCTGCTGGCGGTATCCGAGTCATACTACTCCTAAGCACCAACAAGCTCTGTGGGTGGCATCGATAGGATCGATAGGATTGTTCCTAGTTTTCCTAGTCCTCACGATTCTTGCATGTGCGAAACCGTGCCTGTGGACCCAGCTGACCGCGGTATGCATCTTCACAATTTCCGCATCACTCATCGCTCACCTTCCATAGTTCCAAGTCGCTATGATAAGTCTTCGGAGGGTTGCTGTTTCCGCTTACCTTCTTCGAGCCCCTGGATGCAGCACCGTGACCGCAGAGGTGTGATTGTTTCTGGTGGAGATGAGAGGATACCCGTGGGAGGAATATGGACGCTCAGAGTTTTCTGAGCCTCCGAAACACAAGCTTCATCCTCAAAGACCAAGGAAAACTGTCTCGCCATTAACATTGTGCGGGCCACTGTGCACGTTTGAATCTGCGCGACGGAGTTGGAGTATGAGTTATCCCGTGACCGAGGGGGACTCTCTTTGAATTTATCTAAGAAATTCCTTCTTGGTGACTTGTTGAGAGTTTGAAGAATATCAGATGAGTATTGAGGTGAGGCGAAATGAAACAAGGTTGAAGTCAGTCCTGTAATTGGGAAGATAGATAATCCTTATCCAGGTTCCAAGCAATCTCTCGTCTCCGCCTGCGGAATATGATTGACTTCTTTTCCATTTGATGGATGAAGTAGTTTCTCAATAGTGCATGTCAGACACTTCACTAACTAACAGCATTCAAAGGAGAAGCTCGGCCAAATTATCGCTCAATGCCCCAGCCTGAGATGAAAGAAAGTTCGGGTGCTTGCAGGAGGGTCCAAAGAAGCTCGAGGAAGGGTATGTCATGGTCTGGGAAGAGAAGGACCTCCAAGTGAAGCTGAGAAAGGACGAGGATCGACCTAGGTCCCAGGTCGCAGATTTATTCTCGCGGCAGTAACCGGGAGACGTCAAGGCACAATGCAGGTATTTTGGGGTACGAAGCTCAACAAAAGAGCAGCTGAGCACTTCTCGGAAAAGTGATTTATGCGGATCCTCTTTAAAATGGAAAAGGAGTCATTGTACGGCAAGCAATCATCTTCTCCTTTCTAATCCCAAATGAACTCACGCCCACTGGTATGTTCACGGGCCGATTTCTCGTGTTTTCGAGTTCTGTACCAGTTCATTATCTGTCCCCATCACCCATTTCCCATGCTCTGCTCAGATACAGAAACTGCCCCATCTGTTTCAGTGGGCTCGCCTCTCTTGCCTTCCTGTGTGGCCGCGCCCGCAACCGAATAAGCAAGCAATTCCCAAACGAGCAAGATATCGACTCCTTCAACTCAGTGCCAATTTTGTCTTCCACCAGGTCAGATCTTTTCCAGAGAGGCGTACTACATCATCCAAGCCCTGGAGTACCGCCCTTTTTTGAGTGGATGATAGGACAATGGGTCCTCTAGAACTGAGATCATCCGCCAATGACCTAGCATCTGTTGCGTCACGTAATTTCTTTGCGGGAGTGGGCCTTAAACCACAGCTGTTTATCTTGAAAACCAGAAGATCAATTTCTGAAATATACGGAAGAGACCCTGGCCGGACAGTGGAAATAGACACGGCTGCAGACGGAAGATACGGAGACTATAATTTGTTACTTTCCGACCGGATACAGATGCGTCGCGTTTCGCTTACCTGCCAATCCGGCGTGATATCGATCTGAATATGCTTGCCGTTCGGGCTTTTGTAAAAAAAAAGCTGCGCCTGCTGATGGAAGGGACCAGAGGGCATAGCAAGTAGCTTGTCTTTGACTACACTCGGCGCTCCTTGAACTGTAATAAGGAAGTCGACATCCTAGCGGTAATGGTTATTTCAAATTTCCTGGTGTCAAACCCGGGGTGCTAGTAAAACAAACTAACCTCCGTTGTACGGTAACCCCGGAGATATTTCCAAAGACCTAATCCTCCAATAACTGCAATCTTAGCGTTCGAGAATTCCGGCATTGTCTGTAGGATGCCAATAACAGAGCTGGCAGCAGCCTCGAGCTCTGCAAACGATGGGGCAGACATAATTGGAACAAGGACAGGTCTATGACGAAAGGTAGTAAAGCTAGAACCTGAGATGTAAAGCAGATATGGATTGAAATAGGACGCTTCATGGGGAGCTGATTATATATGTGATGTTCCGAGGTCCTGGGCTTGAAGCGCCGGTTCTAGTTGGAAAGCTCCAATGCCTCAGGCAAGGCAGGTCATCTGATCCACCTTGCTGGCCAAGCACCAGTCACATCTATATATTTGGCGCCGCACCCTCACATTTTCTCATCTGAATCAAGTCGCGTTACATGTTGCCGCCCATGGCAAATATACAACTTCAAGTCCTATCGGATCTCCACCTGGAGTCTCCAGCTGCCTATGATATTTTTAGTATCGAACCCAAGGCCCCGTTTTTGGCATTGCTAGGCGACATTGGATATGTCAAGGATGAGGGGTTTTTCCCGTTTCTCCGCAGACAGCTGTCCATCTTCCGGGTTGTCTTTATGGTTCTGGGGAATCATGAAGCCTACCATAGCAGTTGGACAGAGACAAAGTCTAACCTGGAACGTTTCAAAGAGGAACTAGATGAGGCTTCTCGGAGAGGTGAGGCGCTTGGGAAACTTGTTCTGCTCGACCAAACGCGGTACGATATCTCACCAACACTCACCATTCTCGGCTGCACATTGTTCTCTTATATCACCGAAGAACAAATGGAAAGTGTCAGCTTTGGTCTGAACGATTTTTACCACATTCGCGATTGGTCGGTCGAAGACCACCGAGAAGCGCATGCTGCAGATCTTTCCTGGTTGAATGCTGAAATTGACTCGATTTCGCGCTTGGACCCTGGCCGAAAAGTCATCATCTTGACACATTATTGTCCATCAACGCATGAAGAAGTCGTCGATCCTAGACATAACAACAGCAAACTTTCCTCTGGGTTCATGACAGACCTTTTAAATGAGCAGTGCTGGCAAAGTGAAATTGTCACACTCTGGGCCTTCGGACACACCCATTTCAACTGTGATTTCCGAGACGTAACGACAGGCAAAAGAGTGATGACAAACCAGAGAGGCTATTACTTCTCACAGTCTACGGGATTCAATGCGGAAAAGGTGGTGGAACTGAAAGATACCTAAAGGCGACTCTTCAGTCCTTAGGCAAGGTCAACCTGACGGTAGATTGGAGGGAAAGCGAACCACTGAATTAGACAACATGAGTCGTATCGGTCAACCTTGTTTGACATGGAGGAGCCGTCCCTTTAAAATCACGGCGGAGGTCTTCCAGAATTGAATACATCGTCGGATCACCCAGCTTTAAGGCATGGTAAAACTGTTTATACCCGTCTCGCAGATTTTCTTCGTCGAGAATATCTGTCCCATCAACGTACTCTAGCATATACGTCAAGATCGCCATCCAGTAAGTCTCGCAGGCAGTTCCGTAATCCCGACAGAGCAACAGAATAAGAGCCTCACAATATCTCGAGGCGCTCGGGATTCGGACGAAACTAAAGTGTGGAAATCGCCCTCGACCGCGCCCTAGGGTAGCTGGAGGAAGCCTTGCGTCAGACGCGCACATAATATTCAAATTGGTGTGGTCCAGAGCAGCCTCGAATTCTGGAAACTCCCAGAGCACATCAGATTTCCGGTACAACGATATCGCAAGCTCGTCATCGATATGAAGGTGTTTATAGGGCGGCTGGCGCGAATTCAAATGTGGGCAGGCGAAAGGTCGAGAGCAGGGCTGAAAGCCAGCTTCAGCGAGGGTGGAGAGGGATATTTCGATAAGCGCATCTGGTACGACGAAGGACACACCCTGTCAGTGTGAGCGGTATTCGAAGACCAGTCATACCAGGATAGCATACTCACATCAACAACTGTTGGAACTCCGTATACGGTTAATAAATAATTGCCCCAAAGCAGATTCGGGACATTGACATCGTCAAGAAGGGAAGAAATTGATGTCACTAGGTCACAATCTAGCTGTTGGCCACTGAAGTGAAACGTAGTCATTTTGGTTGGAACTTGGAGCGATGGCAGATGGACACTGAAGCGGAGTCCAGGTACGGTCAGCTTTATAAAGTGTCCAACGTTTGCAGAACATTCAACAGTGGGAGGGTGTCGTTCGAACGTGATCATGCCCTTTGTGGCTTAGCTCCATCAATTAGTCATCTCTAGGTCGAGGCGGGATCCGGCCCTGCTGGAGAGGTCGGTCCACTGTTGTGAATCTGGCCAAGGTCTCCCTCAGAAAGGAGGGTTTGTCGTACCAAATTTCTGAAAGGATCCGGAACGAGCTTTATGAATCATAACTTGACTGATGATGCTTGAGCCTTGGCTTCACGAAGGTTGCGGGGTCAGTGCGAATACTGATGGAAATGGAAGTTTTCATCGGCCGCCTCCGAAGCAGACAATTGACTGGCACTCGAACTAACGTAGTTGCAAGTCATCAGTGGGAGGTATGCGTTTTCTTCCTTGGCGGCTACTTTATTCCACCTCAAAATAACAAAAAAAAAGGAAAAGCAGCTCAGGTTTTCTTGGAACGCTGACTTCCCAGGCAACCGCGGAACAAAGATGGGCGAAGTTATTCTGCCACACCAACTCACCTACTTCCAATCCGTCAAGCGGTTCACATCGAAGCTTTGGGCATTAGCTACCTATTCACTCCTAGCGTTGTCACCTGGTCATATAGACCAAGAATTCATTTTTCTTTCATGGCTTGGATGACTTTATTGTACCCAGTTACTGGCAAGAAAAGCACCCCTGCACGAGACTGTTGAGCTCTCCAGAATCTATCCGGTGGGGCGATGGCATGTAGACGAATGAACGGAAGGGATCCATATCAACCCCAACTACAACTCATGAGTGGACAGTCGACATTGAACTAGTTACCTTAGCGTACGATCCCCTACCAATTATTACTTCAGAAACATTTTAGTCGCATATAAACCAACCATTAGATTCCCCAAGCTCATTTCCTGCTTCCTTTGAACAGAACAGAGCACAGCCTTGAGCTGCTCACAATTCTTATGTGAGGTCGACTAGAACGCAGTCACTGACTCCCTAAGTTCAAACCTAAAGCAGATGGGGACCGCTCAACTACACCTTGATTTCTTAGCCGATATACCCGGTGTTTCGTTTCCAGCTCGATTGCTCCTCACGTCTTTCCGTCAGCACGTTGGGTTCACGTACTACGAATATCGCCTTCAGCTTTGGATATCCACTGATGTAACGACGGAGAAACTTGAAAATGCAAAGCAGCAATGCGCTCGGGCTGCACAAGAAACGTATAACAGGGATCTCAGAGCTGTTATTAGGCACGATTTCGTCTTCAAAAAAGAGGAGTATGCCTCATTCCTCTCCCTTCTTCGCTTCATGCTAACAAGTGATTAGCGTTGAGGTCTTTCTCTGGCCACAGCCTACCAAAAATACCTTTGCACGTGTGCTCCCTACGATCAGCGAAGGGTGCTATCATCCAATACCCGCAAGATCCATTGATCACTTGCCGCAAGCGAACACTGGGCAGGATGTCTCTTACGCTCAGCAGCAGGACGATTATGGGATATTAAAAGCGTCTTATGTCAACGCGCAGTTGGCCAAAAACCTGGCATCCGAGCAAATTCCGCGGGAAGTCTCAGTAAACACCCTAGGGGTGGACCGATGGGATCCTTTCGAGCTTCAAAGACACCATCTGAAAAAGGCCATACTAAGCAGTGACAAGCTTCATAATATCCGGAACCTGATCAGCATGTTTATCTTGAGATTACCTACAGCGGTTGAGTGGGAAAAATTCGCCTACGACAATGAGCTGAAGTCTGAGAATATTCGGGAATTGCTTCTGGAAGCGTTATGTTCCGACGTCGCCACAGTTCCTAGTCCCTTCGAATCGACACTCGCCGAGTTTGGGTGTGCGCTTCTAGAAAGATCACGATGCCTTTTGGCAAAAAATATGCGAGCCGCTAAACTGGCTAAGCTGTTTGGCTGCGCTATTATGTGTATCGTTGAACACCTTGACGGAGGCCTGAAACAGAGCGCTGGAGATGTAAGTTCATCGAAAACCATTTGCTCTGATGAAAGTGACCTGAACGCAGAAGCTTAATAGGAAAATGGCAAGTGCCATTAATGAAGTGCCTGCTATCCAAAAAAGATCCCGAAACTTCGTACGATACTTCTACTGGATGACTTCTCAGGTTACGGGTTGGGACGGCAGAAGCATTGGCTTGTACTTTTTCCTTGGTGAGTATTAAGTACCATGCACGAAAGAGGATGCTGACAACCAGAAGATAGCTTGGGACGCGAGATTTTGTCTCAAATTTTCAGCATAACGAATCCTGCTGCTGCTGCCGAAATTTCTTGCGTATTGAGCATGGACAAGTATAGGATGATTCTGCCTGCCGCAAAGAGCTCGCTAGACGTTCTTGCAGTCATTAAACTCCTACTGAGGGGCACTATCGAGTAAGTGAAGGCAAGCCAAAGTTACGAGCGAGTCTAACAATTTTCCTAAGAGATCGGGTTATTTGCTATGCACTCGGATACTCTGACCAGTCTCTGACTAGTTGCCTGCCACCATCTAGAGATCCCTCTCGGAACTGGCTTATTGAGGCGCTCGAGCGAACGACAGACCAACAGCCAGCATCTACAATATCACCTGAAGAACAGTTAGGTGTGACTAGCTCAGCCACCTCAATGTTTGAAGATCCAGATGCAACAAGAATCACTATCTCTCCTGAGGACCCCGGTCGGAGTCAGGATTATGAGGAGAACGAATTTACAGACATAATGGTCGAAGACAAGAGCCAACAAACCGATACTGGGCTTAGATTCGAGTACACGTGGGACCCCGGCCCAATCGACCTTCTGCCTTATAGTTTTGAAGAATGGACGTATGATTCCGACAGGGGTCCATACAATCCAAGGACATTCAATTTGGATGAGCTGGACAAGGAGTTTGAGACTTTTACAGCAGGACAGTCCCTGTAGAGTCTTAGGCCCTTGTCTTCCAGTATACTGCCATTATACAGATACCACCCCCATTCTGTGGATAGCGAATCACCAAGTTTCCATCGATAATCAACGCTTGGCCAGGTGATAAACGAATGTCAATTTCCGACCGCATCCCCACGACATCCCCCTTCAGCTCATGGGATCCAGGCACCAGTCTAAGCATGCCATTTTCTGGACCGATCTCATCTGCCAATGCGAGGTATATGAATATTCGATCGAATCCAGCACGAAGCTTGGGTAACTGTGTTCGGTTTCGCATCCAGCATATCGCCCCTCTCATGTACACATTGACTTCTGGGTTGTCGCCGATTCTACTCGTGACGAAAGGATGCCTAAAGATCTTCGATTGTCAGCACTTCGCGCCATCGAACAAACAACAAAAATCTCACCGCTCTATAGCTTTCAAAAACCTCGGCACATCTGGGGCCCCAACCAAGTATGCCATACCCATGGTCCTCCGACGTTACATCTTGCAATCTTGATACTCGACCTTCGACTTCTGCTTTGGCGGCTTTGATGAGTTCACTGGATATTCTTGGGCCATCAACGACAATGTACCCTATGGAGCCTGCCTCAGAGGCCATATGAAGTCGAAAGTGCAGGCTGATTTCTCAAATTCGTGCGCCCTCCGGTTGGAACGTCTCCGGTAATGCACTTGAGTTTTAGTGCTGAGTCAGCGTCACCTGATCACCTACGCACAACTCAACTCACAGGAAATGTTCCCTCAATCAAGACTTTGACTTTGACGGGAGACCCATGAAGTGGCTGTGAAAAGGCCAGAAGCTACAAACAGTGTCTAATCTCAATGGTCGGACACATGTAGCTGATTTGTGGATTCGGCGCTTCCTCAGGTAATCGTATTGGTGGCATTTTGTGACTTGGACGTCACGAACGGCAATTCACCCCGCCATCACACGTGTCACAAGGCCTCTGGATTTGCGCCTTTTTAATTGCAAGACCGACACAAAGCGTCCTTCTCTCCTACAGTTCACAGTAGTAGCTACCAAAATGAGCAAGGACACAGAATATGGCATCATTGTGCTTCATGAGCCGCAGAACACATTGGCCAGCACGGAGAAACCCCAGGTAAATAACATCGTCTTCGAGTGAGTTTCCTCAATAATATGCTGCAGCATCAATCTGCGAAGTGAGCGTCTGCTCAACAACGTCACAGTCTGGTCGCAATCCATGGCCTAAATGGGGACCCCATCGATACATGGACACACACGGAGACTGCAGTAATGTGGTTAAGAGATCTTCTACCTGCGGCCATTCCAGACATCCGTATCATGACTTTTGGATACAATGCTCGTTTCAAGAATTTTACGGCCCAGCAAGATCTACGTAGCATATCATCGAAGCTACTCGCTGAGCTAGTAGATCTACGAACAACCGAAGATGTCAGTGACTGGCCTTTTCATAAGCGATACTTCGCTAATTTGACATCAGGAGAAAAGACGGCCTCTAGTGTTTGTTTGCCACAGCCTGGGTGGCATCGTAGCGAAAAAGGTGATTGCTCTACCTCAACTTGTGTCAAACTTGTACTTAACCACCAGACAGGCGCTGTTGATCGGTTGTTCCGCGGAGCAGGAGCGAGTACAACAGTCTGTATATGGAATTCTATTTCTTGGTAAGATGGTCTCTAGGATCTCGATTTGTAGCTTTCGTTCTCAACTACTTGCCAGGTACCCCTCACAACGGAAGCAGCCTTGCAGTCATGGGAAAGCTCCTAGCAAATATCGTCTCCACGTTCTCGCCAATGCGAGCACCTCGCGCCCTCATAGGGATGCTCCAGAAGGACTCGGAGGTACTGCTAGAAATTACTGAAGATTTTCTCAAGAGAAGGGGAAAAATACGCCTTATATCATTCTACGAGCTGGAGTTCACCTCTATTGGTCCTTTTCTTAAAAAGATGGTAAGTCCACTTCAACCAGTCCTTGTTTTGACTTGGCTAATCCTGTGATCAGATCGTCGAACAACGCTCTGCAGTTTTAAATGTGCCCCACGAGATTACCATTCCGCAGTTTGCTGACCACAGAAATATTGTTAGATTTAGATCTTCCCAGGATCGGTCGTTTCGTCCTCTGCTGTCTCGGCTAAAAGAATTCGCTCAGACCCTACGCAGTTGCTCATCGGATGGGACACAGTCATACGCAGGGAGAAATAATGGTGATGCTTTCGAGACTTTTTCATCAAGATGCTAACATCCAAACAGAGAAATCTATCCCGTTTGACCTGAACACGCAACCATGCTCGTTCTTTCGCGGAAGAGATGACATACTTCGTATTCTGAGGACGTACTTCGATGAACATGCGGATCAACTACACAGGCGACGTACATTCGCAATATGTGGTCTAGGTCAGGTGCTGCATCCTTAGGAGATTGGTCATGACTAATTATATATAGGAGGGGCCGGAAAGACACAGACAGCTTTGCACTATGTCATACAAAACTTGTCTAAATATCCGTCGGGCGTCGCCTTCATCAGTGCGGCATCGCTGGCGTCGCTCTCAGCCGACTTTGACCGATTACATGACCTTCTTAGGTTGGGTGACTCTAAAAACAAGATCGGTGCCGTTCGGACTTGGCTATCTCGGCCTGAAAATAGACAATGGCTCTTGGTATTTGACAACGCCGATGATCTGAATGCTGTGCCCGTTCACAAATATTTCCCAGCAGTGAATTGGGGCCACATAATCATCACCAGTCGGGACCAGGCGGTAATCGGCAGTATAGCCGACAGCGGCCATATTCTGAGTCCGCTAGTGGAAAAAGAGGCAGTAGAACTGCTGCTTGAGAAGTCTGGGATACAGTGCCCTTCGGAAAGCGATATTAAAGACGCAAAGACGGTCACAGGACTTCTTGGTTCTCTTCCTCTCGCTTTAGTGCAAGCCGGGGCATTTATTCGCTCAAGACACCGAAGCCTTCGAGAATATTGTAGGTTATATATGACTCGACGAGATGATTTGCTTAGCTACGCCTCACGTCTTGGGGAGTCTGAAAAGGCCGTCCTAACAACATGGGAAATCAATTTTAAGCAAGTCGAAAAGGAGTCCTCGGGGGCCATCTGTTTGCTTCTCCTCTTCTCTTTTTTGGAGCCATCCTCGATTCCAGAAATGCTCTTACACCGAGGCACCACTCCTCAGAAACGTTGGAGTGAGGCTGGAGGTATGGTTGAGGTAACGGCCGAGATTGAAGGGGTGGAAAAGGACTTGGTCCAAGTCATACAAGGCGATTTTGACTTTGATACGGCTGTGGAGAAATTACTCTCATTCTCGCTGATTTCCTGCAACAAAGAATCAGAGGGGCTTAGAAGCTTTTCCATTCACCCTCTTGTCCAGTACTGTGCTGCGAAACGGTTATCGTCAGCAGATGTGAGAAAATGGCGCTGGCAGGCTCTTTTGCTAGTCTGTCACGCATTTCCAAGAAATCGCTTCCTTGAGCCCTTGTAGGTCACTCAAGTTTTCGCCTAGAATCAGGAGCTAATGCACGCCACAGAAACGGGGAGATCGGTAGAACTCTATTGCCCCATCTGAGCCGAGTTCTTTCTGAGTATGATGCCATGTGCCTTGAGGACGGAGATCATGTCTCCTTTCGGCACGAACTCGCATCCACTCTCCTCGCCGCATCACGGTTTTCGAATGCAAAATGGAAGGTCGAAGCAATTGACCGTACGAAGAAGCTCCTTGAAAACGACGATGATCTTTACCTCAATGCATGGCTAGCATATAGGGAAAGCTCAGTTATGAGAATGTCGGGAAAGGGAAAAGAGTCGGAGAGCGCGCTGTACAGGTTTCTTCGCGATTCGGCGGCGCCTAGAGAGGGAGAGTTGGAGCTAAGTAAGAGATATAACGCTCAACGCGGAGAGCTTATCATCTCATACGCGGAGAATCTAATTCGTGAAGGGAAGCTCGATGAGGCGAAGGCAGAATTGACGGAGTGGAGCCCGATAGATACGGTTCCCTCTCCTCTTGAAAAGATAACATCAAGAGCACGAGACATAACCCTAGGGAAGATCCTTCGATTCCAGGGCCTCTTTCGGGAAGCCTTAACTCAGCTTGATGCTATCTTTCGAGACTGCCTTCTTGACGACTACTTCGAGGGCACTGGCTGGTATCGAGTGCTTCTTTCGGAAGTAGCAGATCTACATTGCGAAGCAAGCCAGCCAGCCGAGGCTGAAAAGCTCCTAGTCCATGAGCTGACCCCTATGAAAGAGAAGGGGACCCAGGATATCGCCACGGGCCGAAGGCTACGAATGTCGCTCGCAGAGACCTACCTGCAACGTAACATGTTTGCGCAAGCTGAGGACCTTCTGCTTGAGCTTCAGCGAGCATTTTCAGCGTCTGGTGAACCAGATTATAATGCTCAATACAACAATTTTCGAATTTGGATTTCACTCGCAAGAAAATCTCATAGGCAGTTTGAGTGGGAGGAAGCCCTCTTGCGCTGGAGACACGCTTTATCGGCTTTGGAGCGCCTCAAGATGGATAGTGGCTTCAACGCAGGTCTTGTGCGTTGCTCTATCGCTCATGTGCTTTTTATGACCGGTCATAAGACGGAGAGCTTGCATGTACTGCACGAGGCGAGGCAAAACATGGCATCGGAGGCTCAAGTATATTGGGTTCCTATGTTTAATTCCCAATGGCATGCGTACATTACCAAGACCATGCAAGATCTCTACCAGGGAGGAGAACTGGGTTTGTGAATCTTCTTCAGGGGGGAATACATGAGGTTAGATATCAGAGCAAATTTTCTTTCAAAACAAATCTATTGAAGGCACCTTTCAAGTAGCGATGACGTAAAAGAGCTTGAACGGATCTTGGCGTGTTGCGGGGTAACGAATCAAGACCGTCACGTGTCAGCTAAAGTGGCTGCTGATGCAGACAGGTGAGTCAAGAGGCAAGTGGTGATCTGTTATAACAACCCGTCCCAAGTCCACGATGAAGCGCACCTACGAGGTATTGCCCTTATAATCTGTGCTGCGCTAAGGCTGACAATAAGAAGAATGCTCTTAGACTCCTTGAATCGAGAAGACGGACAGCCCGACCGAAAAGTCCTGGTCCCCAGGACACAGCACAGAGCCGGAATTCTCTCAAAGGCGTCCCAAGCTTAGTTGGAATGAAGGATTGGCTGCAGGCTTTAGGACACTTGGTACCAGAAGCTTGTTTATCGGCGGTGCACTGTTCGGTCTGACACGTTCTAGGATAACGAGATCGACAACTTAAACATAATCCATGTCAGTGGCACGAAAGGAAAGGGTAGCACCTGCGCTTTCACACGCAGCTTTCTTCGCGCACATAGCGTGAGAACAGGATACCCCAAGCGCACTGGACTTTATACGGGTCCACATTTGCAGAGTATTCGTGAAAGAATACAAATTGACGACCATCCTGTACCTGAAGATATGTTTACTCGGTACTTCTTCGAGGTATGGGATCGCATTATGACCCAGAATATTGAGCAGGATCTGGGTATCACAAGGAAGCCTCGTTATTTACAGTTGCTCGCCCTATTGGCTTTTCACACTTTCATCAAAGAGGAGGTTGATGCGGCAATATTCGAGGTTCATCATGGGGGCGAGTATGATGCCACCAACGTGATACAGAAACCTGTTGCGACCGGCATCACGTCTCTGGGAATGGACCACGTCGCACAGCTAGGGCCCACTATTGAGACTATTGCCTGGCACAAAGCAGGAATATTCAAATCTGGTGCACCGGCTTTTTCAGTAGTGCAGGAACCAGGCTGCACTGAAGTTATGCGAAATCGTGCCCTTGATAAAGGCACTACTTTGACGTTTGTGTCATCTAATGACTGCCTTCCTACTGACGGTAGATTTCTCAGTGTTCCAGTACAGAGATTGAACTGCTCCCTCGCACTTGAGCTTACTAAAGCATTTCTGCGAGCCAAAGCACCAGACCACACCCTTAGCGATGGAGACATTTATAATGGTATTGAGCGTTTCTTGTTGACTGGGAGATTCGAGATAATAGAAGAAGGGAAGATACGATGGTTCGTAGACGGGGCGCACAACATTCTGAGTTTAGCACAAGTTGCAGAATGGTTTGGGACGAATGGCAATAATGCACAAAAGTGAGTGAACATCTGTCGCCTCTGAGTTTGGAAAGCTTCCAGCTAATTCTGAAAGATGTCGCGTTCTTATTTTCAGTCATTTGTCAGAAGAGCGAGATGGAGTGTCACTCGTACGATCTCTGGCACATGCACTTGTTACGAACAATGCCAGACCTGACCATGTCGTATTCACCTCTTATGAAGAGAAAGATAATACCTCTACTAGTAAGTAGCGAACGAGAAGCTTTTTGCGAGACTTGAACTTACGCTTAATAGGTCGAATGAAAGTCCCCCATTCACCATTCCATGATCTATGCGCTTCGTACTCCAGGGTGTGGAAGGATATCGATCCCCATGCTACAATTGTGGTGGCACCAACTATTGAAAAAGCGGTACATCTTGTAAGAGAAATTGGGATCCAGGAGAATAACGTGGATGTACTTGTTACGGGCAGCCTTTACATGGTCGGTGGAGCACTCAGATTTTTGAGGCCACCGTTGTATGATGATATGATCTTGTAAATGGAAAGCCGATGTTTTTGTTTTTGTTTTGATATTAATCAGATACCAATCAACTCCAAGCGCTACGATGATCCAACAGTAGTCGTTAAGACGACACAGGTCATGGAAGAGTCTACCCTGGTAGGGAGATAAAAATGACGCAATTCTTGACCGCCTGCAGATGTCGCGGCAATTTCCTAGGAAATCGACACGACTGAAGCAGAATAATCATCGCTCGAATTGATGATAACCCTAGAAACGATCATGGCAAGCGGAAACAGCAACCTTCCGACAACTTGGAACTATGCAGCGCTGCAGCTTGGCTCGAGTCTCTTGGATGCGTCCATGGTGATATCCAGCCGCCGAACCTGCTTCTTGACACCGAAGATCATCTAAAACTTACGGATTTTGATGGTGTGGCCAATATTGGCGAGCCATATGCTGGTGCTGCACCTCCATGGGCGCGTCTCTTGGGACCTGGAGCAGGAAGTGAAGACGGCACATTTGGGATGCGACGCTAGAACCGAGCCGTATGAGAATTTGACGGAAAATGGCACCGAGGTTGACCGCCTTCAAAGGATGGAGTGGTTCCTGAATTAGGCGGAGCGGAACTGGATCAAATAACTGAGTCGTGTTGGAAGGGCGGGTTTGCTACCATGAGCGACCTCTTGAAGGAAGCGGAGCTCTCTATTGGTGTAATGCAATTAGCACGCGCAACAAGCCTAGGAAGGGAGGATTACGATAGAATTCGAAAGGAGTGTCTGCTTCTCATGCAAGACGGATTGCTTGCGTAAGACCATCGGGAGACCTTTGCGGAGATCAATTATAGAGGAAAATCGCATAGTCTCCAGGTTTTCTCAGGTATTAAATTTGACACCTCTCGAATTTAGAGCTCGAGGTGTGTTTGGTGATGTTTCCCACGACTCCTTGTTAATTGACCTGCCAGGCCTAGGAATAGGCCGCAACGGTCACGAGCTATCCGTCACAACATTATCTGAAATCTGATTTAAGCTTAACTGGCTGCGGAATACTTCCCCGCCAACCGGCTGTCAGAAATATTCCCATTGAGAACGGTGTCTTTGCGGTGTCTCTTCTAATGAGAGGCGGAAATGCTAAGTGATGATCACATAGTGATGAGAATTTCTGCAAGTTGTATCACATCCCAGCGCTTACCCCAGAGTTTGCCTTCGAGGCTGAGTTTGTTGGTTTTCATTGGGTGATTCTGCTCAGAAGCAGGCCCTACCATTGTCCCTCTCCCTCAGTCTATGCTCGAGGTGGGTACATTCAGAAACATAGAGTTTCTCTTCCCGTCTCGCGTAACTAACGCTTGGTTATCTGGCAGCGCTGGAGACACATGTGGGTAAGCGAGAGGGTTCTAATAGCATCTCCAACTCGTGCAATTTCGGAATAACCCCAGCACAGTCTCGTAGCAAACTCGGCCCTTCTCGTCTTGATGTTGACCATCATCTCCGCGCAGAGGGGTGATCCGAGAGATCTAACCTGGGTACGTGCCTCGGCGAGGGGCGGGAAGGGCGTTTTCTGGGACTCGGCGTCTCTTCAGATCGCCGCACGTGCCTGTGGCTTAGGTGCCCGCCCAAGAGGCTGGTGCCAGGATTCCGCTGCTGTCGCGTCGATTCCTAGGAAATTGCCGCGAAATCAGCAGGCGGTCAAGGATTGAGCCATTGTTGCTAGTTGACGTACATGAAGGCGGAGATGCGGCTGAGCATGAGCGTGTAGATGAGCTCGTAGTCGCGCCTGAAGGAGGTCATGACGTGGTTCATGGGCACCGGCTCCATCTTGGTCTCGCACATCCAGCACCTCACGGCGTTCGACCGGGAAAAGACATCCTCACCAAACACACTGGCGTACACAGAGCGATAAGCTCGGCCATCACACAGATGCGCACAGGCAAGATTGGCCTCCGCGCCTATCTCCACTCCATTAACAAGGCCGACGCCTGTCAATGCGGCTACGGGGAGCCATGTATTTATAGTTGTACGCTGCATAGGTGCCACTAGGGAGAAATCTTCTTGAACGAATCAGAATGGGAGCGAGTAGCCGACAGTGATTTCTACGGGGCGTGCCTGGATTCAATCAGAACCATGGGTCAGAGTGAGGATACCGGATGGACCTCGCTTGCCAGCACCATGGCCTGCGTGCGAAGCACGCGAAGGGTAGTTTGTACGCTCACCAGCACGCCAGCGAAATGACTAAGTGGTGGTTTAAAACATCGAGGGATACTGTAAGATGAAAAGGATGCTTCCCGCATGTCCCTAGTTGGTACATAATCAGGAGATAACTAAATAAACGATTGTTTTTGAAAAGCCTCAACTCGCTTTCTTGCTGAGAGTCGTACACCAGTAAACCTGTATCGCGCCCTGACTTCTCCCTGGATACTGCTTCGAGAATACCCTCGTCACGTCTGACCATGATCGACCTTCGTCCTTCCTCAGCCTTACCAGGAGGTCCACCTCTTCCGTGGACCATGGCATACCCTTTCTTGAGTTCTTTCGGACACTCTTGCGAACACTCCGACTTTGGTTGATCTCAGGCCGGGGCCTTGAGCGACAGCTTTCCCGTGCCTTCAATTCTCCACATGCTGTTTGTGAGGTGTCAGACATGCAGTGAGATAGTGCACCTTCAAATAGCCAGGATAGAAATTGCAAACGGTCATTTAGTGGTAGAGACGTGAACTGAGACCGAAGGGCAGCGAAGGAATCTTCCCTGGGTACTGACGTGGAGCGAATTCGAGGCGACTTGCGAATTCCGCCGTCTGACGTTCGTGCTTTTCGCTTAATCTGGTGCGTTCCATGGCTATCAGGGGAAGGCTGGTCTGGTCCGGCGCCGGGCGAGGGAGGGTGCATTCGTTGGCAGTCATAACGACTTCCCTGAATACCGCCATTATCACTACCATCCCTCTCGCCAGGCACTTCAAAACGGCTAGCTGCACTGCTGAGAATGGCTGGAGGTTCAGGATACAGGCAGGTTGTCTCCGGATTAGGGATGCCGTCTGCTGGGGGCGCATGTAGCTGGAGGTCGTCCCTCTCCCAAGGCCCGAGATTGGCAAGAATCACCGGATCAATGGGGATGTTGTCTTGGGGCGAGTCTGGTACCCTGAAGAAGTCCTCTAGACTATCGGTCGAGCTAGATGTACTCGGAGACGTGGCATTACGCGCTGCGTCATCTTCCTGGAATCCAGGCGGCTCGGTAGGGGTTCTAGTCTTGTCCTGAGGATAGCAGGGGCGGATCAGATCCGGAGCAGGAACATGGGGCACAGAACTCCGTTGAGACGCGGCTCTACGCCCGAATGTCTCCGACTCCGGCTGGGTGTTGGCACTGACTTGCACGCAGACTTCGGCCGGTGGTCGCGCCGGAAGGTGATGTTTGGGAGGCGGCAAAGTGCCTGGAAGTAGAACATGACAGGGCTCAGGATTAGGGGTATATGAAGTTTGTGGGGAGCACGCATTAAGTGTTCTGTGTGGTGGACACGGTTTCGCGGGAAGGGGGGTCCATGGCTTGAAATTATTTATCTGAAATGCAGGAAGCATATTGTGGGAATCGGGGTAGTTTTGGAGGTATAACACCGCGGCAAAGATGCGATTTGAAGGATGAGAGAAAGAACGGAATTGGAGGAGGGAAGGGCAGGCTGTGGAAGAATCAACGTGAGATGCCCGAAAGTCTCGTGGGCCCTAATCATCCCCTTATACCTCGCTCCTGGGGTCCGTTACTGTCCAGCATCGGCAGAAGCGGCGAGGCAAAATCCCTTTGCCCGCAAGATCATGACCGGTCTGCTGACGTGCCCACGCTCACCTGCGTACGCTGGGCTGAAACCAAGATCTGTTGCCCGGCCCCAATCGCATCTCTTCACTGCAATTCCAAGCGTTGCATGCCCAAGACACGGAAATTGAAACGGATGCGGCAATTTTACCATTGGCTGGTGGAACAAGGCAAGGATATGTGACCAAATCCCAGTGGGGTCCGGAAGATGGCCGTGGAGGGGAGAGATGCAACCCTGTTCACCCGAGCGGCACCGGCAGGCTGCGGGACAGGGGTGGTAGCTGGACCATCAAGAAACTGCCCTCCCCATGTCGGATCTCGGAAGCCCATGGCAAGCAGTGAGCCAGATTCCTCATATTGAAGACTGCATCGAGATAGAAGGAAGGGAATTCCAAAACGGCGCGAGGAAAAGATAAAAACGGGCTGACAGGCAGTGTTGGCCAGAAGCACTCCAAGGTTGCTGAACGCCGCGCGAAAGGCCCCCAAATCACAAGAGTCAGTGACTGGCAGAGTCACAAAGAAGGTGGATGGACTCATCAACCAATCGAAGTAATGGTCACAAGGACTTCACGTCTCAATCGTCCAAATAACCCGTCCTCGACGCTGTAGCTGAAGGGGGCGAAGCGAGGAAGGTGGAGATGGCGCCGTGCTGGAAAAGGAGCATGTCCGGATAACGCGGCATCTTGAGAAAAAGAAAAAAAAAAAGGGGGGGGAGGCAGTGCACTGGGCGCCGTGGGACGGGAAGAGGGAGAAAGTGGAAGAGAAGAGTGCGTGGTCGTTCGAGGGAGGGATGCCAGGCTTATATAGATGCAACGGCAGCGTTAGGGCGGCAGGGGCAGGCACGTAAAAGCGGCAAGAGTCCACGCTATCCTCGAAACGGCGGGCGCCATACCGCAAAGGGCAATGGGATGCCCGTCGACGGCAGGCGGTGGCGGGCGGCAGGCGGACGGTGCAATGGCGGCCGTTTCCGGCGCCCCGCTAACCGTGTCATCGTATACTATAGGACTAATTTATATATATATTCTCTAGGCTAGAGAAGCTTGCCTAGAAGAACTTAGGAACGTTTATTAAGCTATAATAAAATACTAGTAATCTATAGGAACTACTTTAATATCTTAAAAGTATCTATAGAGACCTAAATATTAAGGCACGTATAGTATAATAGCTATACTAGATCTAATAGCTAGAGGATATAATATTTTTAAAGTTTCTTCCTTACCTTAAGAAGGAGTTCATAGATATAGATACTCTAGAATAGTATAATAAAGCTAAGAGGTAGATCCTACTAGGCATAATTAATAAAATAATATTAAGCTCTCTTATAAATCATGGTATTCTTATTACCTTTTTAAATCTAATCTCTTAGCTCTATAAGATTAGTATAGATATAGACGCTCTTAATATTAATAAGGTAGAATAGACACGGCACCCATATTCTTAATCTAATAAAATAGACTAGACCCCTACTATTAGAATAAATCATGCCAAGCCATGTATAAAACCCTAATAACTAGAGGCTAACCCTTAGAAGCAAGCGTGATGGGTTAGCTAGGATAAACTTAATAGATAATAGGCTAAAGGAATATACCTATAATATAGAAAATTAGGACATTTTATTACAAGCTATACCCTATCACTAGTATAGCTACTAAGTTATACACGCGTGGCAATAAGCTCTAGTAGGATAAAATATAAGCATATAATATATATAAAGAAGGCGAAACCTATAAGTAATAATAAACTACTAATAGAAACTACTAATAACAAAGAAATAACTTTAAATAATAATTTAGGAAAAGAGTAGCTCCTATTCTAAGCTATAAGTAGGAGTAAAAGGGTGTTAAGAAGCTACTAAAATATAAGACTTTACTATTTATAGTTAATATAAGAGTAAATAAGATCTAATTTATAAAAGTCCTTATTAATAGCGGCTATTACTACTATATAACTATAAATAAGTCTCTAGTTTAGGCACTTAACCTCCTATGTATTAAGATACGCCTATAAGTCCTTAATAGAGTGGTGCTAAACTAGTACTAAATCACTCATGCTATGCATTTTGACCTTAACATACATGGCTACTAGCAAGGCCATGTAGTTATATATTATTAGACTATAGGAAGATAGCATGATTCTTAGAGATCCCTAGCTATATAATGTACGCGGATGGTACTTAGCTAGGAAGAGGTATCTAGATATCTTTACTAAGGGAGGTGAATGAATAAGATATTAGAATCACGCGAATTATATAATTAGGCCTATAAATATAAAAACGCTATATATAGCGTAGGCTATAGCTTATTTAATCTACTATTTAATATAGAGCTTAATAGTACTAAATTAGCTACGCATTAGTAGGGTTTTACTAGATAATATTAAAAAAGCACTCTAACTAAAGAAGTATANAGCTTAATAGTACTAAATTAGCTACGCATTAGTAGGGTTTTACTAGATAATATTAAAAAAGCACTCTAACTAAAGAAGTATATTAACCTAAAGGACAAGCTACTAAAGTACTATTAGTAATAGGTGGATGTCTTTAGCTAATAACTAGTAAATAAGCTACCTTCACACTAGCTAGAAATTAACCATAAAACACTACTAAAATAGGACTAGAATAGTATTAAAGAGTCACCACTATATAGCCCCCTCTATGGGATGAATAAGAAGGAGCTACTCTACCTATAAAAGATACTTATAGACCTTCTTAGAAAGAACTTTATATAAGTAAGCTAATCACCTATAGCTATACTAATCCTACTAGTATAGAAGCTAGGTAGAGGCGTATAATTCTATATTAATTACTATAGGTTAAATAAATATATAGTTAAGGATTACTATTCTTTACCCCTAATACAAGAGATACTATATAATATAGGCCATGCCTACTAGTTTATAAAGCTAGATATTATTACTACTTTTTATAAGATCCACATTTAACCTAGAGAAGAATAGAAGACGGCCTTCTATATATAATATAGACTTTATAAATAGAATATTACCCTATTTAGGCTAACAGGCGCGCTAGTAACCTTCTAAAGATTTATTAATTAGACCCTATAAGAGTATCTAGACAACTTTATATCTATGTATATTAATAATATAATCATCTACTTAAGTAGAACACTAGTGGATTACTAATAAAAGGTTAGTAAAGTACTATAGAAGCTTAAGAACATAGGACTATAGTATAATATTATAAAATTAGAGTTTAAATAGCACTCTATAAAGTACCTTAGCTTTATTATCTAAGCTAAAAAGGGGGTCTATGTTAATCTAAAGAAAGTAGAAGCTATTAGGGCATGGGAGATACTAAAGTCTATATAAGACATGCAAAGTTTTATTAGGTTTATAAACTTCTATAGACTATTTATATTATAATTTATAGATATTTTAGCACTACTAACTAGACTAATAAAGAAGGATGCTATTTTTAAATAGGATAATAGCTACTAGTAGATATTTATAGAATTAAAGGACCTCTTTATTAATACCCTAATCCTCGCGCACTTTAAAGAGGGACAAAAAATAGTTATAGAAGTAGATACTTCTAGCTAGGTAATAGGTATAGTCTTATCCTAGTATAGACCTAATAGGGAGCTATAACTATATACCTATTTATCTTAGAGGCTATCTCTAGCTAAGTTAAACTATAAGATTTATAATAAAGAGCTACTAGTAATTATATAAGCCCTATAGGAATAGAGACTAGAGCTAAAGATAGTACTCTAATTTACTATTATAATAGACTATAAGAACCTATAATACTTTAGTAAAGCACAACACCTTAATAAATAATAAATATATTAGGTAGACCTTCTAATAGAGTTTAACTTTAACCTTTACTACTATCCTAGTAAGCTAGTAGTAAGACTAGATATATTATTATAATAAAGCTAAGATATGCCTAGTAATATTATAGATAAAAGGCTTATAAATCACTTTTAGGTACTACTTAAGAGGGTATAGATTAAGACTAGATAAGTAAACCTATAGCTAGTAAAGATAGATATTAACTTTAAAAAGAATATTCTATTATTTAAAGAACTAGACCTATAAATAGAATAGAGAAAAGCAAGGGCCTCTAATATAGTATACTAATAAATCTCCTATACTTTACTAGAGGGAGAATATTAAATCCCTAAGCTAGATATTAAGACAAGCCTATTAGAGTGTTATATTAATAATTATAAATTACTTTATTTTAGATAATAAGTATAGATTCTAGAGAATAAAGTCCTATATATATAGATTATATAGAAGATTCATGATTCGCATGTAATAGTATATTCTAGGTAAGACGCTACCTATTTAATACTATCTTAATAGTTTTTCTAGCCTAGAGTAGTAAAAGATATATAACATTTCCTCTAGAATTACATAGTCTATGAATAGAGCTTAGTATAGCATGATACTAAGCATGGACTATTAAAACTACTACTAATTCTCTAATAAATCTAGGCTAAGATATTAGTAGACTTTATTATAGGACTACCACCTACTAGACCCACGAAAGTAATGAATTATATAGTAATAATAAACTAGCTAATAAAGAGTATTATCCTAATTAGAATAAAGAATATAACTATAGAGGATATAGTAGAGATATTCCTTATATATTTTTATATACACCATGGAGTTCTACTAGCTATTATAAGTAATCATGGACTCTAGTTTATAAGTATATTCTAGGGTAGGGTCTATAAAAGACTATTAATTTAATACTAGTTATTAACTACTTTCTACCCCTAGATAGATAGCGCAACAGAACATGCTAACTAAGAGATTAAATAAATCCTATATATATTCACTACGTACGCGTAAGATGACTAGAAAGACCTACTACTAATAGTTACTATTACTATTAATAATTATAATACTACCTTAATAGGAATCTTACCCTTCTTCTTTATATATAGATACCATGTTAACCTAATTAGCTTAGATAAAGCAAGCTAGCTATAGGACGTCCTAATACTACTAAGAATAGCAGGCGAAACGTTTATAAATTACCTATAAGAAGCTACTAACTAGGCCTAAGCTACTATTACCTCCACGCAGGCTTAATAAGAGGAGTAAATAAACTAATAATAATAGGCCACCCCTATGTATAAGAAAGATAATTAGGTTTAGTTAAACCTCTAAAACATATACACGTAATAACTATTAAAGAAACTAGACTAGCTATATACATGCTATTAGGTAGTAGATATCCTATCTCTATATACTATTTAGCTTAATATACCTACTAGTATATACCTAGTCTTTTATATTAAACTAGTCTACCTAGCTACTATAGACCTATTTCTATCCTAAATTATAGATAATACGTAGCCACCCCTACTACTTATTAATAGAGAAGAGGAATATAAAGTTAAACACATCCTAGCTATATAACGCAGGAAGATAGGATAAGGATACTATAATAAAGCACTAGTAAAATAGATAGGGTAGGCACGCGAGATATAAATAAAACTAGATTTTATCTAGGACTACATAGTACTAGATATCTTTAAGAAGTAACATGGCCCTATTTAAGAGGTAATTTAGCGCTAACTTAATAATAATAACCATGTTATCGTACCCCTTATAAGGTTTAGACTAGGAGGGGGGTATTATCATGGGCTAGTGCCTAATACTAGGCACGGGCTAGCGCCTGCACACGTGACCATGGCATGTTGATGGGAAGAATGCAACTAGAGAACTTCTCTTTCTTCAAGCTTTTCATACACAGTTCGTGGCCTAGCTAGATTGAATATAAGTCCGGCTTCAGCCCTTCACAGTTCAAGCAATTTCTAGCCGGAATTTAGACAGTCCTGCATGTGTTAGCGTAGGTCTAACCTGATTATAAATCATCTTATGGGCTCTCCGTTATGGATTTGTTGAAGTTTCAATATCAAATTAAGGAGCCTCAGGCACCCTATCAATAAGCTATGTTACCCTAGATAAGCTACTTGCTGGAATTACTATTACTCTACTATCAGGTTAAGCATGTTATGACTATGTTATATCCATGCATATCTACACTATGTATATAGAGAGCTTGGCAATTACTACCTAATAGAAGCCCTAAGTTTCAGTCTTAATCTTCTTAAAGAGGGGTCTCTAGAATTCAGAAATCTTCAAGATGAATATCCTTGAGACTAGTTTCCTTATCTTTGCGCTCCTCGATATTGAGATCACGGTCAGTAGCGTTGATCTCGAGACGGAGGAAGCTGTCCCGCCGGAAAGCAGGGTCTTCCGTCGCTGCTGGACGGCTAGATTTGAATTTGCTCTGCAGGGCGTGCAGGGAGGTCTTGGACGGAGTGTAGTTATGTAAAACGTAGGTACTTTCACCGACGATGCGGTGCCAGGTGTACACGTGGTGGAGGAGACGAGCCTTCTGGGAGATCTTGCGCTTGACGAAGCCGCGGAGGCGGACGAGGCGTTCTGTGTCTAATGAGAGGCACCGTTCGTGGTCGGGCTGACCGGACATGATCTGCCGCTGTTAGTTATCAAGAACAGGAAATGGGCATGTGCAATGTGTAGGGTACCATACTGTAAACTCAGCCAAGGCGCAAAGAGCCATCATCTGGTCTTTATACTTTGTATTGGTGGGCGGCCCGAGTTCATTCTTTAGCGAGAGCTGGACTTGCTCCTTCGCTTGATCAAAGGCCTGGCTAGTAACTCGCTTCCAGTGCTCCAGCGGTCGGTCTGTATTGTTGGATGGTTGTAGTGTAAGATGTAGCGCTAAGAACGCGAGGATGCTAACAGGTTTGCGAGCCGCGCGTGGCGGATATTCTGGGCACTTAGGAATGTCATGACCCCGAGTGTGACGACGGCTGCGGGCATGTTGAGCATTGTCCAGGGAGACTTTCGTCCGAGGGGTATGGCCACCATTAGGGGGCTGCGTTCTTCTGGAGGTGCTTGAGCAGAAATGGGGCATCGGCTAAGATGTCTGATGCTGCTTGAGATGAGTTGTCAGCATTTAGCTGTGAACTAGGGGTCCAGGATAGATGTCCCTGGCTGGCGGGAGTCGGTTCGCTTGGAAGAGAATGTGGTATGGTAATGGAAGGTGCGCCGTCAGGTTCAGCCAACGGCAGGTTGAATAGTAATGGTGTTGAGTTCATCGTGTCTAGTGTCGACGAGGCCGGCCATGTGAAAATATCTTCAGGGTTGAATTCGAGGTCCAGAATATCGATCCAGTGCAGGAAGTCATCCATGCCTCTCAAGGGATCTGTCAATGGGGTAACAGAGCCGAAATTCTGCATCTCAGCTGGTGCGATTGGCCCAGGCAAGAATGTATTGGTAGATTTACCCGCGTTCTCTACAACCTTACCAGCTAGAAGCGGCTGATCCTGACTCTGACTCCGGCTCGTCTCTGATTCAGATCCAGGCCTGAATGTCAGCACGGAGAATGGACCCATGACCACGTTGTTAGACTCTGCCTGTTCTAGGCCCTGCGACTCCCGATCAATCTCAGCCAAGGTAGCATCTATCGAACCTGATATCAAGGTATCACATAGCGTGAGACTCATAGAAAGCCGAGTTTTTTCTACACTTCAGTCAATGAGCAGCCCTAGATGCAGTAGGAGTAAAGTATACCCGAGTATGTACGCCGGCGCATCCCCTGGCGCTGCCCATCAGTCACGTCACTATCCTGCTCATTGTACGGCACCCAGCACATGTCGTCGGAAGCCTCTTCGCAGGCTACCCCCAGGGCCCGGCATTTGGAGCATGATGGGCGTTCCCGGTCACAGCGGACGTGGCGGCGTCTACAGGTGTGGCCGCTCCGCTCTACAACTTGGCCAGCTCTCCATCAGGACGCAAAGCCGACAGATAGCTCTTCTGGATTTCAGAAATTGTTCGACATCTACAGATCATTAGTTCGAGCGCCACCCTACACCAATAACAGAAACTTACCCAGCTAACGCCATCGTTGCCTTGAGCTCCATTTGCAAGATTTCAATTGCCAACTCAACACCCTGCTGCCATCGTACTGCAGCAATCGTCAGTTACAGATACAACAGTTCAAGGAGAAACACCTACAGCAGGTCCCCACACTGGGACTTTCCCAAGCAAACAGTAGTCCGCCCCAAGAGCCGGTGCCTTGAAGATATCAGATCCGCGTCGAATGCGGCCATCAATGGCAATTAGTGTCTTGCCCTTGGCTGCAGGAACACAGGCTCTTAGCGTATCGAGGGCGGAGGGAACACCATCAAGCTGGTGGCCTCCATGGTTTGAGACAATGATACCATCAGCCCCGTGCCGGATGGCGAGATCCACATCTTCTGGGGACATCACTGCCATCCATTAAATTAAATCAATCGAAATGTCTGTTGGAAAAGATTCTTACCTCCTTTCATCCAAATCTTCATAGAGGTATATTCTCGGAGCAATGGGAGGGAGACTCCCAGCCAAGGTAGGCTCTGCCACTCAGTCAGTCTTCATATTATAGGGCTTTTCCAACAGAACGAACCGTAGTCGGTCCGAGACGATCTGTCGGCCCCGTTGCTCAGAATGTTGGGGTATGACATGGCAGGTGGGATGCGGAAGTCATTCCGATATTCGTTCAACCTGTGGCCCAGAACAGGCAAATCTACAGACAGAAACAATGCCTTATACCCCGCCCTGAACAAATGAGCACTGGATAGCTATAAGCAAGTATTGAAAGAACATACTCTCAGCCCGCTCTACTAGTTGCAGACTGGTCCCGCAAGACGCACATCTGAATTGCATTTGGGATTCCTTGACCTTCAAGAATTACATCCTCTAGAGAAGTGGTCGAGTAGGGTGATAGACACATACAGATCCCAAACTTTGCGGCCGCTCGTGATGTAGCTAGTTCTCCATCTGGGTGGCGAGCTTGTGCGAGGCTGCTGGGCTAAAGTCAAAGGGAAGGGATACCTTGGTGTCGAGGATTTCAGTCTCGGTTGAGTTCTCTCCAACATTGACCAGAATCCGAGGTCGAATTTGGTAGCGGCCAATGGCGGCTTCATTATCGCGCAATCTAGAAGATGTTAGTCGCCGCTTGATGCCATGAAGAGTAAACACATACGAGATTCAAGTCCATAGCACCTACATTATAGTAGTCTAGTGTAGGTCAGATAAGGGTAACAGTGGAATGTCTTGATTGGGTACATACCGCGATTCATGGGTGTCATCCGCTCACTACCCAATCGCTTCAGATCATCAATACAGCAGACATCTTTGCCAAGGGCATCTCCGCGGTGAGCCATGACTTTGTAGGCAGCAAGTTTATGTGAATCTCAGCCCCACGATTGAGGGGAATCGATTGGTTAGTATTCATAACAGCCATCACTGAAGACTGTGGAGTGGTGTGAGGATCAGATCCGTCCTCCCCTGCCTCTGTTGTACTCATACTTGATACTTTCTCCTCTTGAGCGAGACTATTTGGAGCTGGTATGCCATATCGAAGGGAGTCAGCATTGACTTCATTCATGCAATCATATAGTGTAATCCGGCTGGGGTCAAAGTGTGTTCTTGATAGTGTTAGAGAGGGAAAGAAGCTCCGCTTTCTATGTTAGAGCTAGGATTCTGAATCCCTTCCCCTTCAGCATTCAGCACTTGCCGAGGAAAAACAATACAGAGATAAGACAAGACCACAAGATTACGATGATACGTAGTTGATCAGCCACCAATACATTGTGAGAATGGTGAAGATGTGTACTGTTAGAGGGTTCTGTAGGCGAGCGACACGTGACCATCCGACCGTGACACCTGAGGCAGCAAGGCTGTCGCTGTGAATGCCAAGACTGAGCACAGACCATCCGGTTTTTTCTCCAGCATTGATCCGCCGAAAGGTGCAGCGGAGTCGCGCAAGGCCCTCTCATCTCAACCGACACTATCTCTCCTCGACCTTCAATTGCAATCGGTAGACAGAGGCGCTATATAGCTACACAGCTGTAGCAAACACTCCGCGAGAACAATCTTCTTTGACACTGCCCTTCGACTCGGACTCCGATTTCTGCCTCGGTGTTGAAGGCGCGCAGCTGTCGCAATGTATAACCCTTACCAACGTACGTCTTCTGCTCGGAGTAACAGTGGCCACTCCGTCTTACAACTTTGTTTATGAATCTGAACTGACGTTTGTAGCTCCCGGCATGTATGGCCGCCCTCCAGACTATGGTGCTTACGGAGCGCCCCCTGGCATGGGTAAGTCTGGGATCTCCCATCACATTGACTAATTGATCAAAAAACGAGCTGAACCTAACAAATCTAGGACCTCCACCAGGAATGGCCGCCCCCGGTACAGCTCCCCCAGGGATGCAGCAAGCAAACGCACAACAGCCCGGTCGACCAGGAGGTTTCCCGCCGAACTTCCAACCCCCTCCGAACATGCCCAACATCAACTTCTCCGCTCCTGTTATTCGACTCGGTACCTCGGGACCAGCAAAGTCTTCTACACCAGATATAAGCAAAGACCGCGGCGATGGACCTGGCAGACGCCCCGGGTTGGGCTCGAGCTTGGAATCTCAGCGTCAAAATGTGCGGGATGCGATGATGCAGCTGCAGCCGCCTACGAGGGAAGAGATCGTGCGGACCATCTTCGTTGGCGGTATCACAGAAGGTGTTGGTGGTGATGAAGGGGTGGAGAGAATCCTGCGCTCCGCGGGCAATCTCAGGCGCTGGATCCGCGCCACGGATGCCGATGATAAACCGTGCAAGTTCGGTTTCGCAGAGTACGATGACCCTGAGAGTCTAGGTACAGCTGTGGAAGTGCTAAAGGACGTCCAAGTTCCTGTGAAGAGACAGACGCCGTCCGACACAGAGGACAAAGAAGAACGTGAAGTGGAGAAGAGCACTCTTCTGGTATGTCTTACCTTGGGAAAATAATATGGAATGGTTCTAATCTGCGTATAGGTTGTCGTCGATGAAAGTTCGCTAAGCTACCTGGAACAATACGAATCCACCCGAGGCGAGCAGGACCCTGCCGAGCGCCAGGCCCAATTAGACAATGCAAAAAAGGCTCTTGCGGCCGTCTTGAACGACCTGTGCCACCCAGCATCGCCTACACAGAAAGAAGATGCCTCCGGGATTGATCGCGAGGGAGACACTGCAATGAAGGATCTGGAGGGTCAAAACGACGGTACGTCCGCCGAGGTTGTCACCATCCCCATAACAGTCGAGGACGAATTATCCGATATCCCTCCCGATATGAGGGAAACTGTGGCCAAGGAAATTGCAGCCTTCCGTGACCGAAGCAACCGCCGTGATATTGAACGACTCAGGAGGGAAGAAGAGATTGAAACCCTGGAACGAAATCGGAACTCTGGTCCACGTATCAATCGGTTGGCATCCCCTCCTCCTTCAGCGCCGAGCGGACCTGCGGCTGGTGCGAACGGGGTTCCTTTAGGAGCACGAGAGCGTGGCATGCCCAACGCACCGTCTGGACCGAAAGGATTTGGCGTACAGATCCCGAAAGACTACCAAAAAGGCGTGGCGTTTGTCAACGGTGGTTCGGTCAGCGGTGCTACTACAGTCTACATTGACCGTGAGGACGAAGACTCGGATGCCGATGACGAGGAATTGGAACGTCGACGCCTAGCAAAAAAAGAAGCGGACCTTGAGAAACATTTCTTGGACCAGGAGCGACGCTGGCTCAACCGTGAGAGGAGTAGGACTGCCGCGTTGGAGCGTGAGAAGAAGCGGGACATGGAAGAAGAGGCTAAAGTGCAGGAAGTCCGTGATGAGGCCGATAAGCGACTAAGCGAGTGGAATGACGACGCCGAAGCTAGTCGGAAAGCTAGCGAGTACTACGCAGACCGAGGAGCTTGGCTACGAAGCCGCGCTGCTTTCAGAGCCCGTGAAGCTAGCATGGACGAGGCGGACCGTGCGGCAGAAGAGCGGGAGCGAGCTCGATCCGTCCAGCAACGGGAACAGGCACGTGGAATGGCGGACGACTTCCTTGCCCGCCAGGCGCAGGAGCTCGAGACCCGGCTGGAAGCGCCGCGCGAGCCACAGCGCTTCAAGCTGTCTCTCGGCGCAGCAGCCCAGAAGGCCCAGGCCGCCACCAGCCGTCGTACTGTTGCCGAAGTCGAGGGATTATTGGAGGACGAAGAAGAGCCTCAAGCTACAGCCAGACGGCCTCTTATCCCGATCAAGTTCGACAGCGCGGCCGAAGCTGCTGGACTTACCGAGGAGGAGCGGGCGCAGGCTGCGCGACAGCTGGCACAAGAAATCCCGACAGACAAGGACGGACTATGGAAGTGGGAAGTCAAGTGGGAGTTCGTGGACGAATCTGTGGTCAGCGAGCAGCTCAAGCCTTTCGTGGAGAAGAAGATTGTGGAGTATCTGGGAGTCCAAGAGCAAATGCTGGTGGACGTGGTGGAAGAGCATGTCCGCAAGCATGGTCATCCTCAGGAACTTGTGGAGCAACTGGAAGAGGTGAGTTCTTTTAATTCCTTGGTGGCTGTGATAATGCTAACGTTATGCTATCTAGGCGCTCGACGAGGAGGCGGAAGTTTTGGTCAGGAAACTGTGGCGAATGATCATCTTCTTCTCAGAAAGCGAAAAGAGAGGCCTGTCGGGCTAAACACCGATATCGTCGTGGAATTCTTCTTTCATATCGGCACAACAGCGAACATTGGCACAGGCAGAGGCTATACTCATGTACAATTTCAACAACTCATTGAATTTAGGCTGGATATGAAGGCTGCCATGCATTTTCTGTAAATACTCGGAGCGGATCCGATGACCTGGAACCCATCGCGGAGATATTTCTCAGTGGCGGATTCTATTCTTCCACCAATAGCTGTGTTTATTCCCACCCCCACGCCCCGGATAATACCTGCCAGTCGTAGTTTTGCATCGGCTTATTGCTTGCTTGACAGGCCGGACTATACTTGTGACCAAATCTGGATCGCCTCGATCAATGAGGGGAGCCCATAATTAATCCGCGGGGTTTTCTGCCCTTTAGCCTGCCGTCATGAGGGGGAGGGGCAGCAATTTTGTTCTTATACAGGCGCAATTCCCCCGGGCTATTTCTTCTGTTTTAATTTATGATCTCACGCTTGTCAATGCTTGGTTGTTAACCGCGATTTCTTGACTTAACCCAGTGAGTATGCTACGGCTCGAGAGTGTCCACGCTGCTCCTAACTTTCTGACCCCAACACAGATTCTTCAGTCCAAAAAAGCATACACAATGGTGAAAATCACAGGCTTCATCACGCGGGACGTGAGGTTTCCGGTAAGAGACGCTGTTCAACTCGCTGCAAATGTTCCAGTTTGACACAAGGCCAACAGACCTCCCTCGATAAAACCGGATCCGATGCCATGAACGCGGCCGGCGACTACTCTTCAGCGTACTGCATCCTCTACACAGACTCTCCCTACTCCGGACATGGAATGGTGCGCGATCCCACCTACTCCACAACTAGAATGAAATCTGACAACCATCTAGACATTCACCATCGGCCGCGGCAACGAAATTGTCTGCTCCGCCATCGAACTCCTCGCCCCTCTCATCGTCGGCAAGGACCTCGAGGAACTAACATCAAACTGGGGCAAGACATGGCGCTACCTCGTCTCCGACAGCCAACTGCGCTGGATCGGCCCCGAGAAGGGCGTCATCCACCTCGCTCTCGGAGCCGTCGTCAACGCCCTCTGGGATCTTTGGGCCAAGGTCCTCGATAAGCCTGTCTGGCGCATCGTCGCGGACATGACCCCCGAGGAGTATGTCAGCTGCATTGATTTCCGCTACATCACTGATGCCATTACCCCGGAGGAGGCGATTGCGCTCCTCAAGGAGGTCGAGGGCGGCAAGGCGGATCGCATTCGGGATGCGGAGCAGAGCCGTGCTGTGCCGGCGTACACAACTAGTGCCGGATGGTTGGGGTACAGTGAGGAGAAGTTGAAGGCCCTCCTGAAGCAGAGTGTCGAGCAGGGCTATAAGCATTTCAAGTTGAAAGTTGGCGCGAATCTTGAGGATGATAAGCGGCGCTTGGCTATTGCCCGTGATGCAATTGGCTATGACAAGGGCAATATCCTGATGGTTGATGCGAACCAGGTATGTTCTCGCACTACTCACCACATACGCAAGATTCGTCTAACAAAGATAGGTCTGGTCCGTCCCCGAGGCTATCGAATGGATGCAGCACCTCGCCGAATACAAGCCCTGGTTCATCGAAGAGCCCACCTCCCCCGACGACATCCTCGGCCACGCGGCCATCAAGAAGGCCCTCGAATCCACCCCATACGGCCCCATCGGCGTCGCCACGGGCGAGATGTGCCAGAACCGCGTCATCTTCAAGCAGCTCCTGCAGGCAGGCGCCCTCACAGTTCTGCAGGCGGACGCCTGCCGCGTCGGTGGTGTCAACGAGGTCATGGCCATTCTCTTACTTGCGCGCAAGTTCGGCGTCCCCATTGTGCCGCACTCTGGTGGTGTCGGCCTACCCGAGTACACGCAGCACCTGAGCACTATTGATTATGTTGTTGTTAGTGGGAAGAGAAGTGTGTTGGAATACGTTGACCATCTGCATGAGCACTTCTTGCACCCGTCTAGTGTCAAGGATGGGTACTATGTTACGCCTATGGAGGCGGGGTACAGTGTGGAGATGAAGCCCGAGAGTATGGACAAGTTTTCGTTCCCCGGTGAGGAGGGCAAGAGTTGGTGGAAGTCGGAGGAGGCCAAGGTTATCTTGGAGGGGCCTCGGATATAATTATGAAACGTGTTAGATGAGGCTGGGTTTTATTGCATTTAGGTTTGTGTATAGGCATAGAAATTTACGTTTGATTGGGCTTATCTCCTAAAGATGGTTATCTTACGGACGGCTAAACAGCTACACGATTCCGAGAGCGCATATATGACCCAATTCGGAAAGCTGCGTGTTGGTATAATACAGTCACACGAGGGTGAGATAACCTTGAATGCGGGTTGATTCGCACACTACTTCCACCGGATACCGAAGATCTTCACCTCCCTGTCGACCTTGGGATCATGGCGCTCCTCGAGGACAAGACGCGGATAGCCTGTCCATACGTTAGTCTTCCGAGCACATAGATAGCCGGGAAGATAACAAACCTTTCACATCCAGCGCAAGAAGCCTATACTCCCACTCATTCTTATCTGCCGCCTTAACCATGTGTACGAACACCACACCCGAGTTTCGCGGCCCCGAAACGTGGAAATTCATCTTCAGGTGCTCGCGACCATGTTGATCCTTCTCAATCGTCGTCGCAATAGGCCTATTTCTCGCCCAGCGACTCCAGGTGTTCTCTCCATACGCCTGGATCTCCCGCTTATCACCTAGAAGATTCGTACACCTCGTATCGTTCTTGATCCGCTCGACGGCCTTTTCGAACTGCCACGTTTTGCTGTTTGGTGAGAAGACCTCTTTATATAATAATGTGAAGACACCGCCCTATCGGGTTCAATATATTAACCGTGCGTTTCGAACTTCAACATCCAAGGTTCTCCCCCGACTTCGAGGGCCGACAGGGATCAAATGCATTTCTGCACTCACCGTAAGCACAGCACCAGCAAGAACAATCATGAAGTTAAATGACTGCTGCGTCGCCCGCGCAACCTTCTCCCGCCCACTCAACTCGCCCCATGTATATCTGCCATCGTCCGATAATACTGTGACATTCCTTCGTCGCGGTGATGACCCCCCGGTCTGTGTAGCGTAGGTATTTTGGGGTGTGCGCAAAAGGAGAGGGCTGGAGAGGATGAGGCTCCGGCGGAGAGGAGCGGAGGATCGAAGGTGTACGAGGCTCATTGTGCTTGTGAAGGACGGATGGTGGTATCTATATGCGCTGGTTGTTTGCGGGTGTCACTCTGTGCTCATTGAGCGTGGTGTATTTGATCGCGCAATGTCAGGGAGCGTAGTATACTCGGACTCCGCGCGTCAATGGCGAGTCTTCTTCAATTGCAGTGTTTTGTAGATATGTCGTTTACTGGTTTCTTTTCTTCTTCTCGAAGTCGATGTGGGGATAGAGGTGGGTCACGTGGTGTCGCGGCTCCGCTGCGAGTATTTGCATTACACAAACTGTATATTTTATCCTTGAAGCGAGCTCTGCTGGCCTCAATGGTCGAACATGTCTAACGCAGTATGCCAGTAGATATTCGTGGTCTGTGTATAACTACTAGATCTTGAAAGCAAGCTATCCAGTTGAAGTCTATTGAGTCCTTAGCACATGCTTATTGAGGTGGCGTCAGTCACAAGCGTAGAGTGAAAAAAACGTTAGGCCGAAAGACCCTTTCCGACCACGTTCTAAACTTGGCTCCGGTTGCGTTTGGGGATCCCTTCAAGTCTCCCTCCCGACTCTCTCAAGGCCACTTTGTCACACAACCTTCCTACACTGCCTGACTAGGAATTTCTGTTATATCGCCGCCATGAGTGCCACCAAGGCGCAATCTCAAAAGATCTTTGAGAAGCTCAAAACAAAGCCCGCAAACAAAGTGCGTTCATACCCCTCCACCGCCATGCCAAACACCAAATCCTGGGCTAACTGTCTTGCTTTTCTAGATATGCTTTGACTGCGGCTCGAAGAATCCTACCTGGTCATCTGTGCCATTTGGAATCTACCTATGTCTCGACTGCTCAGCGAACCACCGTAACCTCGGTGTCCATATCTCCTTTGTTCGTTCCACAAATCTCGACCGTACGCAGCCCCTATACCCTCCGCATGACGTCCGCAACGCTAACGTTTACACTTGCAGAATGGCAATGGGAGCAGCTCCGGGTTATGAAAGTTGGAGGAAATGAGTCCGCTACGAAATACTTCCAATCGAACGGTGGCTCTGCCGCCCTGAACAGCAAGGACGTCAAGGTCAAATACACATCCAATGCCGCTGTGAAATACAAGGAGGAATTGAAGAGACGGGCTGCTTTGGATGCACAACAGTGAGTTGCCGCAAGGGGAGTTTCTCCGGCATCGGTCTAACTTTGGTTCGCACCTTAGATACCCCGACGAGGTCGAGATTACAGATGTCCCTGCCGGTACACCGTCAAACGGCTCTAGCACGCCCGCCGGTGAGGACGATGACTTTTTCTCCTCCTGGGATAAGCCGGCTATCAAACGACCGAGCAACCCCCCGTCTCGCACTGGTACCCCGCCTGTGGTCAGCCGTACCTCGTCTCCGTTCCTGAATGCCGGTGCCAATGGAAACGGCGCGCGCTCAAAGTCCCCCCTGTCCGGTTCCGATAAAGAATCATCCTCTCCGGCCCCTGCCCCGGCTGCGATCAGAGCTAGCGCCGCTGTACGAAAGACCTCCGGTGCTACCACTGCCAAGAAGGGCAGCCTTCTCGGTGCCAAAAAGGCCCCTAAGCTCGGCGCGAAGAAGATCGGTGGTGCGGAGCTAATTGATTTCGACGAGGCGGAGAGGAAGGCCAAGGAGGAGGCAGAGCGTATTGAGAAACTGGGCTACGACCCCGAGGCTGAGGAGAAGGAAGCCAAGGGCAAGGCACCCAGCACCGGAGCCACGGCTATCGCCTCGCCAACCCCGATCAGCCCTAGCAGAGGAAGCTTTGGTGCTACACGGTCCTCCCAAGAACGGAATTCCAGCGACGTTGAGCGCCTTGGAATGGGTGTCGGACGACTTGGCTTTGGCCAGACCGTCGGCGCGAAGCCCACTGCTCCTGCACCAAAGAAGCTTGGATTCGGCTCTGTTGGTGCTAAGCCTTCTGCTGAGGATGGTGCGTTCAAATATCCACCCGCACTCTGTGGAAAAAAGCTAACCCGTACTTTAGAGGAAGAACTCCGACAAGCCAAGTCTCGATTCGGTGGCCAGAAGGGTATCTCGTCCGACGAGTTCTTCGGACGCGAGCGATTCGACCCGGCTGCACAGTCAGAGGCAAAAGAGCGCCTCCGTCAATTCGACGGTGCTACCTCCATCTCTAGCAACTCTTACTTTGGCCGCCCTGAGGACGACTACCCTGCCGTTGATGACACATACGGCGATCTTGAAACAGCCGCCAAGGACTTTGTGCGCCGATTCGGTATCACTGCTGGTGACGACCTCGAGAACTTGACTCAACTCATGGGAGACGGCGCCACTAAACTTCAAGGTGCTATACGCAGCTATCTCAACAGCTAAATGAGCCCCTGTGTGTTTACGATCATATCCAGCATGACCACGTGTTAGCCAGCCTGTTTCGCAATGGCGTTGTCTTATTCCCTGATTGCTTTATATTAAGTTGATTTGGTATTGTGTGCGGTTGAACAAAGTCCAGGTACCTGCGACTTCGCATCATTACACCTTTCTAGGGTTCGGATAATCTTGAATTCTTCATGTCTTTTACCGTTCTGTTTGCCAGGTAGTTCTACACAACCAACTTTTCAAGTTCTGATTCTCCAGTTCCTGTACATTTGTTGAAGATAACAGCTTTAGTTCTTAGTTTTCTATACAAAATGCTAGATCATTATATCCATCTTTTACCATCACTCAACACCCCGGTATATGGCATCAGCGACTCTCGCAACCTGCCACATCTCCTTGACATCATGCACCCTCACAATATCCGCACCCCCAGCAACGCTCGCCGTCACTGTCGCCGCAGTCCCCCACCCACGGTCACTCGCCTTCTCCACCCCCGTCAACCTCCCAACAAATCTCTTCCGACTCGGCCCCATCAGCCAGGGGAAATACTCCAACCCTTCCATCCCCGTCCTGAATCTCTCAAGCTCTCGTAGAATTGTCAAATCCTCAGTCTGATTCTTCGCAAAGCCCAGCCCCGGATCCAGAATCATCCGCCACCGCCGGATGCCCGCCGTCTCGGCGGCTGCAATCCGCTCACGCAGCTCAGTGCTCACATCCTCGATGACTCCGTTCGGATAATCCGTTAGCTTCGTCATTGTTGATGGCGAGCCGCGCATGTGCATCAGTATCACGGACTTGCCGGTCCGCGCGACGGTGCTCAGCATCTCGGGATCGAGAGTCCCCGCCGAGACGTCGTTGATGATATCTGCGCCTGCGGCGCACGCTTCCTCCGCAACACGCGCACGATACGTATCGATGCTAATGGCAATATTAGCGGCCTCCGGTATCGACGTGCGGATATGTCGAATAGCCGGGATGACGCGGGCGAGTTCCTCCTCTTCGCCGACGGGAACGGATCCCGGACGTGTGCTCTCGCCGCCGATGTCGATGATTGTCGCGCCGGAGGCGATGAAATGACGGATTGTTTCTGTTAGTGCGGGGAGGTTTGTGGGGGTGTGAGTTCCGCCGTCGGAGAAGGAGTCCGGCGTTAGGTTTAGGATTGCCATTATGTGGGTGCGGCGGGTTGGGGATGTTGGGTGGAGGGATGGGAAAGTTGGTGAGATGTAGGTTGTCGCCAGCGGGGTTGGGGAGGGTGGGGGAAGGGAGTGCAGGTGGGTTTGGTAGGTTGTTTTGTGGTTGGGGTATGGGGGGATTTCGTGGGGGATTAGTCTGACTATAGATTAGATGTGGTTGCTACAAGGGGTTCTGGTTGAGAAGGAGGCGTACTGGCTTAGAGGGCGGAGGACAAAGTCTCGTTCGAGCATGAGCTTATGGGGGATGTCGAGACGCTCATTTGAGAAGACTTGCTTGTCGTATAGAAGGATGTCGAGGTCGATTGAGCGAGGACCCTTGTCAATGAGCTTCTTTCGTCCCAGGCTGATTTCAATAGACTGTAGAGCGTCGAGTAGCTCCATGGGTTGCAGGGTCGTTTCCACCTAGGCAGGATTAGCAACTATTCATGCCTTAAGGGGTACCTGGACTTACCTCGCAAACACCATTCATGAATGGCTCCTGGTCAAGATAGTACATAGGAGCAGTCTCAAACAGAGAACTGGTCCTTAAGACTTTAATATTGGCTCTGTCCATTTCCAGACAAGCTTTTTCAATCATTTCAACCCGCTCCCCAACGTTGCTCCCGAGAGCAATGAATGCTCTGTGGGAGCGCTTTAGAGGGTTCATTGTGTTGAGCGACACCCACGGACTACTAGTAAATCGTCGGACAGGGAGTACTGAGCTCAGAGATCCATGGCAACTGCTCGCATTTAGACTAGAAAGACGCCGTTGGTCATTTGCATTTTTCAAGAGCCCTGCGCGTGTCAGCCTCTGTGGGACTTGGTCCGGAAGCGAGAACGTGAAAATTAATTCAGCACCCAGGAACTCTTCATACCAGATGTGGACGGACTTCTAGCAGAATTAGAGATGAATTGGACATACAATGGCTGGTTAGATTCTACCTCTCAGATAATGTACCGAATCGCCTATAGGATCCCTCTGCACGAGGTAATCGTGAGAAAGACGAACAAGTGCCTCGAACGGCGGAGTCCCGAGCGGCAGCACAGCATTGCCAGCTTCCCGCTGACACGGCCCTCATTCTTCTTTAGCTGGAGCAAGTCGGAAAAGCAACTCTCACCAAAAGTAAGGATAAGCTTATCTCAGAAGACGTCATGCCAAAGAATCACTCCTGACAAGGGGTCAGCTGACCTCATTCTCGGCAATGGCAAAGGGAGACATAGTGATGCCTCAGGCAGCAGGATCAGCCAATGCCGACCCCGCCCACTGAGTAAGCCGCTTCGGCATTCCGCGTGACACTTTGACAAAGTCTGGGGTAACACGCAGCACGTTCAGCGTGGCTGGACCGAGGCTTTTCCCTCAGCTGCTCCTCTCAGCTGGTTCTCCCTCGGCTGCCCGAGTGGCCTGCTTTTTATAATTATTCTCCCCAGATCTCACTCTCTCACCTCTTTGTCTCTTGCTTTAGATCATCGCCTCTTTTCTCACTTCTCAGATACCCCAAATTCTTTTTCACAAGCTGCAATCATGGCCTCTCCTCGTAAGTCCCGCCTCCCTTGTTTCATTCACATGATGATCAGTATACCGTCGAGGTATCAACTTGAGCTGACCATGTCGACTACTTCAATCTAGAGAAGATCCGCACCACCCTCACGGATCTGCTCAAGATCAACCACCCCGTCCTGCTGGCAGGAATGAACGTGGCTGCCGGGCCCAAGCTGGCCGCAGCCGTCACAAACGCCGGTGGTCTTGGTGTCATTGGCGGTGTCGGCTACACCCCTGAGATGCTCCGCGAGCAGGTGGCAGAGCTCAAGAGCTACCTGAACGACAAGAACGCTCCATTCGGTGTCGATCTGCTACTTCCCCAGGTCGGTGGAAGCGCGCGCAAGACCAAGTAAGGATTCCGGAGGTGTCGGAGGTCGCCGAATGCATGGTACGTCTGCTGACAACCCGCGCTTCATAGCTACGACTACACAAAGGGAAAGCTCAACGAACTCGTCGATATCATCATCGAGAGCGGCGCTAAGCTCTTCGTCTCCGCCGTCGGTGTTCCCCCCAAGGCCGTTGTTGATAGGCTCCACCAGCATGGCATCTTGTACATGAACATGATTGGTCACCCCAAACACGCGCAAAAGGCTATCGACATCGGTGCGGATATCATTTGCGCTCAGGGTGGCGAGGGCGGTGGTCACACTGGTGACGTTCCCACGACCGTCCTCATCCCCACCGTTGCCAAGATCTGCGAGGGCAAGATCAGCCCTTTCACCAAGCTTCCCGTGCAGGTTGTCGCTGCTGGTGGTCTCTTCAACGGTAACTCGCTTGCTGCTGCTCTCATGCTGGGCGCCTCTGGTGTCTGGATTGGTACCCGTTTCATTCTCTCCGACGAGGCCGGTGCCCCCAAGGCTCACCAGGAGGCTGTCCGCACCGCTACCCACGAGGACAACATCCGCACAATCATCTTCACTGTAAGTGGCTCAACGTCTTCAAGTTGGTTAGTCTAACAACAATAGGGCCGTCCCATGCGCGTACGCAAGAACGCCTACATCCTCAACTGGGAGGAGAACCGCGCCGAAGAGATTAAGCAGCTTACTGCCAAGGGTGTTATCCCCGTCGAACACGATATGGAGAACCTGCCCGATGACATTGACGACGACTACCTCGAGAACGCCCGCCCCTATCTGATGGGCAAGGTCGCCGCCGTCGTAAACGAGAAGAAGCCGGCCAAGGCGATCGTCGACGAGCTTGTTGATGATGCCGCGGCTCTGATTGTCAAGGGCAACAAGATGCTTGCTAAGCTGTAGATTTTTGTCAAGACTTTCGGCGAAGATACACCTGTGGCTGCCATGTGTGTGACATTTGGTGCTTTCAATAACTGTATATAGCATTATGACCAATTTAAGATCTCATTTGGACAGCACTTTGTTCCATTGTTTGTATAGCTGTCGTTCCTTTTTGTTGTCCAGCAATGTCGAGGGAAAGAGGTCAAATTCGCTCAGTCCAGGCAAGAAGAAGGCTGTGTACCGTATTCGGTCGGATTTTACCTTGACTCCGACAAAGCATGCGACTTCAGCAATACTTTCGTCGGCGTCCCTAGTTACTCTTTTTTTCTTCATCTCTGAGACCGTTTCCTTTGATCTACTGTTTTGTCGCTTACTGTCGTAATCAAGAAGCTCTATAGTGATCCAAGTACGAGCTAATCATTCGCAACACTCGCAATGACCCAAATCCCGCTACAGAAACACGAGGACTCGAGCAATGACCTCGAGCAAGATAGATAAAGTGGAATCTGAGGTGCCCTGGAGCCAAACGACTATGGACGACGGTTGCTACGTTGCGCCGCAAGTGCTCTTCAGCCAGTCCGCGGGTAACACCAATCGACCACAGGAGCAGCCACCAAACGTGACAAACACTGCTCTCCGAGACCACTTTATGCGTCTAATACAGGCCGATAGAGAGGACAAGGAAAAGCTCCTGGCAGCACGTCGAGAATGGGAATCTAGAAACGCCGCTGCCGAAGCGAATACCGATGATATAGGTGATGACAAACCTGAAGACGATGCGGAATGGGACTCCGCGCTGTGGAACCAGAACCTGCATTGATTCAAGGATAGCAACGAAGTGTTTCTCGAGCCACAAGTTTGGCAGCGTCAGGAGGATGCTTCTGCGGAGGGGCGGTATACTCTGCAGTTTTTGAATAAGGGAGCGCAAACGCACGATTTCTTGGAAAACAATGACATTTCATGGCTCGTTTTCAAGACGTATACAACTGACCTACTGGGTAGGGCTCGGACGGAAAATGCGCGTACGGCCGACGCCAGATCGCTGCTTTCTCCGGCGTCTGAATCGCTGTTCTTTGTCTCGGAGGATATGATCGAAGCAATCCAGGAATATTTGTCTGCGCAGCCGGATTTTGAAAAGCTCTTTCCAAATTTCGATGCTAGGCAGGAAATCTCTGCCCTTTATTTGTTCTGGTTTACGTTTCGATCCGGCTTTTCGTCTGCTTTGAGGAGCCTCTCTCCCCGGCATCGGGCACTCATCAAAATTCTTGGGAAATGGATTTCGGACTAGTATGGCGAGATATATGCGCACGTCAATGATCAGCTGCTTCGAGGCGTGATATCAGCCGAGACTATGAAGTATCTCGTGAAGCCGGGCGATGTCCTTGTTTCTGAAGAAGACGGAGTCATTCAGGCGTATTTGGCGGCGTCCTGGGCCAAAGAAGTGGCACCTGATAGCTCACATGCCCACCATAAAAGTGGCCCTCGGAGATGGGAGATACCTGCCTGGTCCTACGGGGTTGACGGGACGTTTTATATCAAAGATTCAACGCTGGAGATGGAACTCGATGTCCGGGGCCCTAAGGACAAGGTAAACTTGCGGCAGCTAAACATGATGCCTATCCAATACACTGCCCTGGAAACATCCCTGGCCCTTCAGGAACGTGGTAAGAATTACTGGCGGTGTCGCGAGAAGAGACTTGTGTCGTATTATGGTGATTCTGGGACAGAGTATATTGAGAAAGTAGGTATCGGCGGCTATTGTGGCTGGAGATCGGCAGTTGACTCTTATGACTGGGAGAGGGATTCATGGTTTATCTCGAAACTTACAGATTGCTTTACGTGTCAGAACAGAATCTGAGTAAAAACAACCCAAAGAGGAAGAATATGTCTCCTATGTTGATGTTGTTGTTGTTCGATGATCCCCCATCAGCGCCATATCTCTTCCACTTCCCCCCAACAATTCCCGGATACAGCCTCAGCAGTAAGAAACGGGGTATGATTCCCGTCATTCTACTAATTTATAAGCTAACTTATATAGTAAACCTGGAAATCGATAGAATCCAGGCCATCCAGTGGAATAAACGAGCATTCGAAAACCTCGAGATCGGCTTTCAAGATAAGAGGCTGCTAGAAGCAGCGGTTACAACTCGACTCAATTCCAGAAGCGGAATCGACATAATCGAAGGCAAGGATGACAGTCTAAAAATTCTCTTGCACGGATCTTCTAGAACTGGCAATGACTTATACTGCAGCGAGCCTCGCTGAACTCGTGGAAAGCCCCTCTATCGGATAACATGCGCAGACCTCGGTACAGAGCCAAAGGAAACAGAACGGTGCATGAAGACTGCTCTATTTCTTAGGAAGCGCTAGGACTACATCATACTCCCGGATGATATTGGTATCTTCTTGAAAGAGGATACTTTGCGTGATGTCAGGCATAATGCACTTTTGGCCGTTCTCTTCCATCCTTTAGAGTTGTACAGCGGCATGGCCATCCTTACAGCTCGGTGTATCGGAACGGTGAACGAAGCATTCAGATCCCGAGTCCGGTTCTGCTTCCATTACCAATACCCGACCCGTGATCAGCGTCGGAGGGTCTGGCAAAACTTCATAGGCCGCGTCAAAGCAGTCGATCAGCTCAAGATCGATCAGGAGTATCTCGAAAATCGTTTCGATGAGCTGACGGAGATAATGATGAATGGGCGCCAGATCCGGGATACAATCACGACGGCTCGCCAATTTGCGAAACACAAGGGCTGGAAGATGGAATATGGAGAGTTAAAACATGTCATCGAGCTTGCCGGGGATCGTGGCGGCGGTTTCTAGTGGCTTACAGACAACGATTGTATAAGCTCTTGGTTGATGCGTCAATAACCGAGCACACGCCTTTATACTTCCTCTACTTAGCAGTATCTAAGCAAGGTAGTACGCAATATTTGAGAATGAACCTTTCTTTTCTTTCAGAACAAGAACCGCATGCCTGTGTTTGCAGCAGTGACTCAGCCCTTACACCATCGATGTCACCAAAAGCAGCGGGCCCAGGCCCAGTATCGGCAGATTGACCGCACTTTCCTTGCGGAAGGATATAGCGTGCCCCATCCCTACCAGGAAGGGGCGAGCAGATGGGACTATAAACAAGAGGAAGGGGCGATGGGGATATGGTAAAATAGGCAGGAGCGACTAAGCTCAGACCTCAATGGTCCGCCGCACCTGCCTTGTCAAGTTGAGGAATATGGTTTCCTCTAGAGGCGCGAGCGCAACGACGGACAACGGCTGGTCATAAGGAAGGAACAATCCCGGGCCGTCCTATTTATCACTGTGACTGTTCCCGCGCGAGCACCTCAGCAATCGACCTCGCCACATAATCCACGTTCTTGGTGTTCAGGCCCGCGATGGATACTCGTGAGTTCCCAGCCATGTAGATGTGATACTCCTCTAATCAAGTGTTAGATCTATCCGGCTTATAGGGGATGCGAATCGCAAACCTTTCAAGATCCGAATCACGTTCCGCGATAGACCCAGAAACCCAAACATACCCGATTGCCGAATGAGATGGTCCCAATTCCCAGACGCTGGATTCGTTAGCCATGCTCCATCCCCACATTCTGGCTGATATCAAAGGGTAGGCAGCACATACAATACCGAGTAAGTCTCTCATACAGCACCCTCCTCATCTCTTGTATCCGCCCACTCATCGTCTTCAGATCCTCAAACCAGATGCTGCGCAGATTGTCATTGGACAAGACCGTCTCTGCGATTCGTGCGCCGAAAGCAGGCGGGTTCGAAATCACGGAGCGCTGCAGCGACTCGAGGACGGATTGTGTATTCGTCGCTGACTTTCCATCTGGGGTGGCTAGGATGAGTACGCCGACTCGTTCGCCTTTCTCGTCTATCAGCCCTAACTCAGGGCCAGGATACCGAACAAAGCCAACAGGTGATCGGGACTTACCGTATAGTCCCATATTCTTCGCAAAACTCAAACAAACAGCCGCCTCAAGCCCTAACTTCAAAACAAAGTACCTAACCGCCCACGCATCTTGGTCATAGTCCCCAGAGTTGAACCCGAGATACGCGGCGTCGAAGAGCGGGAATAATCTGCGCTCCTTCACAATGCTTCCAATCTCCTTCCACTGCTCGATACTCGGGTCAAGGCCTGTGGGGTTATGTGCGCAGGCGTGGAGGATAATGACTGATCCCGGTTCTGCGCTGCGAAGAGCAGAGAGGTATGAGGTTATATCGAGGGATTTTGTGCTCGCGTCGTAGTACTTGAACGTGCAACTTTTGAAACCGAGGGACGAGAAGAGGAGGTGGTGGTTTGACCATGTCGGTTCGGGGATGTAGACTGTCGGTAGTGGAGACGATTGTTGCGTGTAGAGGTGCTTCAGAGCCTGGCCAGCAAGATGAAGGGAGCCCGTTCCAGAAATCGTCTGGGATGTCGCAAGCTTCATTCTCACAAGTCATTAGCCCTCTTATCCTCAACAAACCACCCATTCCCAGAAACCCAGCATCGCATCACATACCTTGTCCTTAACGCCCGCAAATCTCTCCCCAAAAACCAGCTCGGCCGTCTTCGCTCTAAGCCCCGGTAGCCCTAAGATAGGAAGATACTCATGCTGCAACCCCTTCTCTTCTAGTAGGATGCGTCGAGCCTCGCGCACGGCGGGAAGAACCCACGGCTGCCCGTTATCGTCGCGGTATGTGCCCTGTCCGAGATTTACCTTTTGCGGCGACGGGTCAGCGACGTACTCGGCTGTCAGCGCGAAGATGGCGTCGGCGGGGATGTGTGGGGCGAAGGTAAAGATGGACATTTCTGAAGCTGTTGATTAGTATGTGGTTGCGGCTATAGCTTTGAAATGAGGGGTAGATTGGTAGAGTTAATTGAAGTACGATATGAGTGTTCAGTTATACTAGTAGAGTTGGAGAAACCGGGCATTGAATCCGAAGGTCGGGGCTGTTGCCCGAGTTGATGGGGGTCCTTTTCCTCGGGGAACGTTATGTAAAGATAAGATTTGGAGACGCATGGAGGCTTGGAGAGGGGAATACATGGCCGCTACTATATAGATAGCTAAACCGGGAGTGGGAAAGCGCTGCTACTAGCCAATTGAGTATAAAGTCTGAGAACCCCTCTTCGCCTTCCCTGACAAGATGCCAGGTTGCCCCTTAGACCTCTCACTATAAATGACTATCCTGCTACACACACTCCTTTTGGCTATCAGCCTGAGACCTGAGACTCTTTGCCGCCACTCGCTTTTAATCCTCTGCTCACTGTCGAATCCTCTTCAGACCAAGGTCCCAACCCAGAGAACTCTGCACCACCGACTTGTCATCGCACTTCTTAGACCCATACTCAACAGTGATACTGAGCTGACTATGTAGACAATATCATATTGAACCATCAAGCACGTATATTGCATCGCTCGTCTTAACGGTAATATGCGAGGACTCGGGATGCTTGCCGATCCAGGTTAAAAAGCCAGGCCGGATGAGGGGCCGATGAGAATGCCCCGCACTGATAGTAACGTAAGATCAAGCAGGGCTGGTAGTAGTACTATGCACAATACTTGGTCTATAATGGACACATCACTAACGTAATATGCCATGTTTATGCAGCGTGATAACGTTCTGAGCATTAGTGCGAGGCTCGAGTTGCGTCGGCCGCAAGTGATCTATGGCACTCTTTAGGGCTTGTCTATGCAGACAACAGAGTGGCGATAAATGGATCATATAATAAGAGCCCATAGGGTCATCGGTGGGGCATGTGCGGGCGTATCCGTATCTCTAGTTGTGGGCAGTGAGAAAGACGTAGTACCCAGCAGCGGACGGGCTATAGTGGTAGAATCTGCATGTCGTCTGGATCCTGAGAAAAGCCCAAAGGGGTAGATGCGAGACGGCTTTTGAGAACCCATTAATCGCAGGACACTTAACCATGCGTTTGACTGAAGGCCTAACTCCTTGCGTTGCGGCGGGTTCTTAGGGCTAGTCTGGATATCTGCCGGCGGCCGCAAGCTTCATCCACAGACACGCAGACACAAGGAGTAATGGTATGGATCTACACTGGTTATAACAATAGCAGAACATGTTCATTCAATGTTACTCAACATCTGACAAGACTACTAAGGGGGAGCGGAGACTGTTGTTCAATTTTCCACCTCCGCCGCACATGCTGGGAACATCCTATTTATGCTCCTTGATATACTCAGCGATCTTCGGGCGGGCCTCGAACGCCTTTTCAAACTTGACAAGCGACTCAGGAAGCGACTCCTAGACAGAATGTCAGCCGATCGTTTTCCCATCAGGTAAAAATTAGTACAGTACTCACAGGCAAAGTCCCAGTCCTCCGATCATTATCAATAGACTGGAAGACCGCGAAATCAACATAGGTCACCTTGTCACCGAGCAGATACGGGCCCTCGCGCTCAGAATAGTACTGGCCGACGAGGTTGTAGTAGTCGGGGACGACCTTGTTCTTGTACTCGGCGTTTCCGCCTTTCAGGTTGGCGACCCATTGAGCCTGTATGCGTTAGTCTGATACCGATATATTGTAAAATAATTGACAACGTACCCTCCAATCGATATAGATATCGGCGACAGCATCGACAATGTACTTTTCCCAGTTCGTCTCGCCGTCATACCCGCCGATCTCGCGGGCGAAGTAGCGGAGGATGGGGAGGTGCTGCATGCAGTCAGACCAAATACTCCCACCGGGAAAAAAAAAATTGCAACTAAAGTGGACTAACCTGCGTAAGCTTCTCGCCCTTGTGCTCAATAACAGGAAGCAGCCCCGTTCTTGTGAGGCCCTCCTGCTTCAGCTTCTTGCTGGTTTCGGGCCAGGTATCATCGTAGGCATAGCGGACGTCGTCGAATTCGAAGCCTGCGTCTTTTAAAAAGAGGCTTTGCAATTGATTAGCTTCAAGGAAATATACTGGAGGGGTAAAGGACCTTGGGGACAGTGTATGTATGAACTTACTTGACGACTTCTCCGCGGCCGAGGCGGCCGAGGGTGAGGTAGTGGTAGACGAGTTGGTCGGCCATTGTGAGTTCGATTTCAATTGGGAGCCAAGATGATGTCTGAACAATGTCAAAAAATAAAGAACAGCTCACACACCGTTTATATATAATTTCTAGCCCCTCCCTCGGCGCATCTCGTGTTGTCATCGCCAGTGCGGGGCCGCTGCATATCCCAATGTGGGATGGCGGGCTGACAAATAATCAGGCATCCCACCTGCATAGCTTGTCACAAAAGGATCGGGTATTTGTATAAGATCTGGCCTATCAGCGAGGACCTGAAGATCCCGGACCAAATACCGCTCGAGCCAAACCCCGAGGAGCGCGGAGAATGCAAACAACCTTGAAGCTAGGTGGGATGCCGCTTGTCCCAATAGGCTATTGAGCGCAAGGCTATCAACGTTTGTGGCTTGACTGAGGACAATTACAAGCTTTGTAAGGAGGCTGGATCTGGCGGTCTTGTCATCCCTTGCAGGATCCGCCAATTAGGGTCTTAGCAAGGAGGATTCAGATGCTCTGACGAGCCGCAACAATCTCCGGTGCATGTAGATCGCCGAACCCCGGTGGGATTCCGGAGTGATAAATGGTGGGATTTGCTGGGAATCAGTACCGCGATGATATTCTAAGGCGCCCGATTATTGAATTCGCCATTATCCTTGACTGTTGGCAAACCAGTTATGGTTGATGCTGGTTTCGTCCGTCCGCCGCTTTGTCCGCCGATATACTTCCGGCCTGCTTCCGGTCATTATCTAGCTTCAGTCTCCGAGGTTGAGCACATTAAATTAGTTCCCCTATCAATGGAGAGATCAGATACACATACACGGTTCTCACATACTGTAGATTGACTCTGAGATGTCGAGCCACTCGAGCCCTATCCGTAAAGACAGCAGTTGCCTTACCCGCATAGGTTCGTCATTGGGTTATGAGCCATTCGTAGATCAAATGGCGCTGGCTGGGTGCACTGCAAGGCCCTCAACTCTATTGCGTCTTGTACCCAGACCCTGTATCTTCCACTTATCGACCGGTGACCGATAGTCTACTCTCAAGAATTTGAACCACCCTGGAGAGAAGCCATCGGCCATTGCAGAGACCCTGTATTTCTTTCAATTCTATCCATGACACTCAAAAGACGGTTCAAGATAAGATATTAGGGCAGCTCCCACCCTTATGTCTAGAAAGCCGCACGCTTAAACATGAGCATTTGCATGCAAGGCGAATATAGATTGTATAAAATAAACCAGGCTCTTTATATTCTTTCAGCATCTAAGCTAAACATCAACATGCACCTCCGTAGTTCTCCTCACAGACTCCCTACCCAGTATCCTTCTCGTATATCCCGCATAATCAGGATATACCATCCCCTTACCCCCCCTCCCCCCCCCCCAAAAATCAATCTCCAATCTCCGCGCCCAACAGTACAGAAGCGCCAAGAACGTATCAACAACCGTAAAACCTCCACCAACCGCAAACCCCGTGCCGGGCTCCGCCACCTTCTCATTGATAATCTTATAGCACTCGCGAATCGTCTCGAGGCCCTTTTCGCGAATGGCAGCGCGGCAGCGTAGATCTACTGATCGTTGCTATACCGCTCCATACGCCAGATAGTCCCCAGCGCCTGTCCGTGCGCGACAGTCGAGTGCCCGTTCAGCCATTGGTAGACGCGGATTGTTTCGAGGGCGGTGCGGCCCATCAGGTTGGTTTCTGGCGAGAGGGATGAGATGGCAGTTAGGACGATAGACATTCAGTTATTATCTCGGTGTCGTTGATCACTAGGACCGGCACACGGCGCTTGGGGTTTATGCTGATGAAGTCGGGGGTCATGTGGCCGGCGCGGGCGACGATGAGGTCGACGTTTAGATTTGCTTCGAGGAAGGCGACGTGTGGAACGAAGGAGCAGGTGCTGGGGGAATAGAAGAGTTTCAAGTGGGGTTAGGATGAAGGTAGTTTGCTAGGTTGGTTTGGAGTGGGTTGGATGAGGGTGCGCTTGATGGCGTGATCTTCATGGGGTCGAAGGGGCTGGCTGTAGTATTTATCTCTTTGTACATTGCTGGATTGGAGATCAAGGTCCAGTAGTCTAAATTAGAAACTGGCTATAGCAGCGACAGTAAAGCAAATTGAATAACCTGTTGGTACTCCAAGCCCTAACAGCCGCCGTCTTGTCGAATAATCGAATCAGGGCAGCAATTCCACGCTTCATGCTTCAAATCATGGTATAATAGATACAATGAGAGAATTGAGTGTATTCCAAGACTGTAATATTTCGACGGTATCCCACAGAAAATGTCAATAGCACTCCCTTCCGTCAAATTCGCCAGCCTCGCTTAACTCTAACTATGCATCATCACATTCAATCCTACACTCACGCTACGTAACCCAGTTTCAAATCCTTGCAGTAGTCCACTTCCAATCAAGGGATTATAGAGCACGTCGTTATTACTTTCTCCCACGACAAAGATACTTGGACAAGCGTGCTGGCACCAAGTCACAATATATAAAACTCGCCTCTTGGACGCATACTCGGTCACATACTATAGTTAGGGCTAAGATTACGGACAAAATGAGTGACCCCAAATCTGAACTTGAGAATGACTTCCCAAGCCTCGAGTCCGTGATTCGATACCGACCCGATTGCTTCAGAAGGACCTTTCACGAAGTATTCCTTTATCATCTTGGTAACCCTAGCCATGGCCACAGACAGCCTCATCACCGGCACCATGATCATAGTTAATTCTTCCACTGGGCGAGATCTGAACATGGCACAAGCCCAGGTTACCTGGATCAGTGCGGCAACTACGTGAATTCAATCACATTTCCCTCACTATACAGAAATATACTTGTCGTACATAAGGAACCCTAAATTGGCTAATCAGCACCCTTGTACCTAATAAAACTAGTATACCATGTACATCCTGATAATTCTCCACAAACAGCCAACAGTGAAACAAGTGTAGACATGATCTATGAAGCTGGCGAGGCAGGGCTTGGCAGAACATGAAGTATAGAAACATGACATTACATGATACGCCATAGATGCTACATTCCTAGCAACCTACAACGTAATCTCTAAAAATATATCATTGTCATGATCATAAGAAGCATCCATAGGCAAGAGAAGCTCCTTTCAGAATGAGCAATCATCGGGATTTGGCCAAGCTGCAATCTCACGTAAGCGTGCAGCGTAGGGCAGCGCTTGCTGGATTTGTCAGAATTGCTCGTGGCCAAATGGAAGTCCAGCCCAACCTTAATTGTACCAAGGGACCTTTTTAATGCCGCTTTAACGGTGGGATTGATAATGCTGCATTTCAGCTGCACAGCGGAATGAGTCTGCCACGGAGTCATCAAATATACAGCTAAAACTAGAGGATATCAGCCTCGAAATAAAACCACTGAAATAAAACCCCACTCGCAAGATATAAATCCAGAACAAGACAATCATCATCAACACCACCCCCGCATTTCTACTACACTACAAAAAAGCCTACAACATGGCAACCCTCGCCCCACCTCCAACATCAGCATCCCCACCAACCCCAGGCCCAGGCCTAAACGGCTGGCACCCCGGCGAAACAGCGCTCCACGCCAAACTCTCCTTCCCAGCTGCCCTCGCCACACGCTACACCGCAATCGAGAACCAGCTCCGCGAGCAGCACCGCATCTTCCACACTTCGAATCTCCCATTCATCCCACTGACGGTCATTGATGAGCTGGGGAGACCCTGGGCGGGGATCGCGGCGGGGAGGGATGGGGAGATTGGGTTTGTTACTGCGCCGAGCTTGAAGAGGCTGGTTGTTAAAGGTTGTGCGTGGGTGGGGGATCCGCTTTTTGAGGCTTTGAATGGAAAGAAGGGCTTAGAGGGGGTGAATGAGAGGGCGCTGACGGCGGGGTTGGGGATTGAGTTCACTACGAGGAGGAGGAATAAGTTTGCTGGGTTCATGAGGGATGTTCGGACTTTTCCTGAGTTGGAGGGCAAGAGCGAGTATGAGATTGGGATTGAGGTCAACGAGGCTGTTGGGTGAGCCGCACTTTTATACCAGTAGAGCATTGCTAACGACCACAGCAACTGCCCCAAATACATCAACACGCGCACTCTGGACGCCTACCCTAACACATCCCCGGAGATCATCTATGACGTCCCTCACATGCCATTCAACACCCGCCTCCCGGACCGGGCCATCAACATGATCAAAGCAGCAGACACAGTTTTCATCGCAACCCTCTACACATCGACTCCAAACACCACATCGATATTCCCCTCGCACGCGGGCATGAACGCGCGCGGCGGTCTACCAGGCTTCATCCGAGTTAGCCCCAGCACCGGCCGAACAGTCGTGCTCCCGGACTACTCTGGGAACCGATTCATGTCGAGTCTGGGCAACATAGAGGCCAATGGCGTAGCAGGGTTCACGATTGTGGATTTCGAATCGGGGGATGTCCTCTATCTTACGGGGACAGCGAGGAATCTTATTGGGGATGACGCGCGAGAGGTCATGAGTCGGCATGCAAGTGTAACTGTTCTTGAGACGACGGGGTACACACTCGTCAGCGGGGCTTTGCCTGTTAGGCAGCGTCCGGGGTCGAAGGTCGGGAGGAGCCCGTATAGTCCCAAGGTTCGGTATCTGGTTGAAGAGGCCGAGAGTGAAATGGGCGGATCGATAGCGCATACAGCACGGCTCGAAAACGCGACGAACCTCTCCGAGGACCTCGCCGTATTCCGCTTCAGGGTCTTCTCGAAACCCGGTGCAGCAGCACTACGCATCCGACCCGGCCAAGCGATCGTCCTCGACTTCATGGACTGGCTCGGTCCACCGCAGTATCAACACATGGCTGATTCGGCACCGGGTTCGATAAACGATGATCGGGTTCGCACCTGGACTGTTTCGAGTTCGCATGAGAAGGGGGATATCTCGTGGTTTGAGTTGACGATGCGCGAGATGAAAGGGGGTGCAGTTACGGGGGCTTTGTTTGATATCTTGCGGAAGCAGGCTGTTGGCAAAATTGGAAGCCGTGTTCCCATTGATATTGCACGCCCAGTTGTCGTGGATATTGTTGGGGTCTCGGGGGATTTTACTACTGGTCAGACTCAGATCGATGCGCTCTGGGTCGCGGGGGGTATCGGAATCACGCCCTTTCTGGCTATGCTGGATGCGTTGGCTAAACGTAATGAGGTGACAGGGGATATAAAGCTTGCAATTTCCACCAGAGAGCCGGATATCATGTTTGGTCTGGTGAGGGATTCTTTTGAGAGCTTGCCGGAGACCGTTAGGGTTACGATTGACCTCTTCACGCGCAGTCCGGTCAATGCCAGCCTTGCAGAGTTGCAAGGTCCCAACCGACAAATAGGTCTACACAACGGCCGGATTGGGCCAGAGTATTGGTTGACTATCTCGAAAGACAAGGACGTCTTGATATGTGGCCCGAACGAGTTTGGGGACGCAGCTGTGGAAGGGCTGCAAGCGGTTGGGATACCCAATGAGAAGATCCAGAGGGAGGGATTCTATTAGTATATTGATAATTCAAATTTCTTTGTTAATGCTTTTCGATAACCTGCTTTTGAATCATAGTTATTATGAAACCCCATGATCAATTCGCGAGACCCCGTCCAACACCCCTTCAGCATAATCAAGTGAGAACCTTGGCCCAGTGATAGGATCCGCCAGCGCCCGATCCATGTCGAAGAGATCCAACTCAACCTCGTTGCTGCTCGTCCCACTGGACCAGTATGCTACGCCAAGGGGGCAGTGCCTTGCGATCTCCTCGCCATCTTCACTCGGCTCCGGGCCAGCATAGTAGGCAATATATCCCCTCCCGCTTGGTTGAGGGAAGAGAGCAGATATCACTCGCTGGCATGTACGAGGGTACTGTTGCGTATAGTCTGAGCCCGTGGTTACGGCGACGGACTTCTCGGGTGTGAATATAACATCGAGATTCGTGGCGAATGCGTTGCTATCAAAGAGTCCGTGGGGGCTTATTTGTGTGAGCGTGCGGATTATCCAGTGGGACCGTCTTGCATTTGGGCCGCTGTGGCTAGCAACGTAGAGCAAGAGCATCGGGGCATAACTCATTATGGCAGGTACAACCCGCGCGGGCCCTGGTCGCACCTTCCCTCCCATGGACTATACTAGGCTGAACCCTGGGAAAGGAGCGTCTCGGTGCTCCATTGCACCTTCTTTTGTAATCTGGGCATCATGCAAGGAAGGCGGACCAGGGGGGTCTTGCCTGATTCAGGATAGGAAGGAACGTCCACGGGGTTCCAGGTAGCTCCTTCCGATTGGGATCTACACTAGGCCCAGCCTCGACTTTGGTTTTAGCCAGGGCGTGCGGCGAAGCGAGCTGAAGGCTGGTATCTCAGGCTCATATAGGCGGTTAGTACTAGTCGAGTATTACATTGTTGCTGTGCTGTAGTAGTTCGGGTTACTCCCTCGTATCATTTACATGCCTCACGCCATCCATCCTCCTCGCCAGGGTAACCGCCTCCCTCAACGCCCTCCCAACATGCCCCCTCACCCCATTCTCCTCCATAACCATCAGGCCGCCAATCGTGCACCCCTCCGGGCTCGTCCCCTGATCCTTCAGCAGCGCCGGATGGACCCCACTCTGCAGCATACTCGCGGTCCCCTGCATGGACTGGAATATCATAGTATGCGCCATGTTTCTCGGGACCCCGACTGCAACAGCGGCGTCGATCATCGCATCGACGATCACGGCGAACATTGCTGGGGTTGAACCCGCTACTGCGGTCGTGGCGTCGATGAGGGAGGGCGGGATGTGGATGGTTTTCCCGACGCGGGAGAAGATGGCGTCTGTTAGGGTGAGGTGGTGCGGGGGGATTTGGCGGGATGGTTCGATTTCAATGGCGGTTAGGGATTGTGAGACGAGGGCGGCGATGTTGGGGAGGGTGCGGATTATGAATGCGCGGGTTTCGTTTTCACTGGGGGATGGGGTGGTGGTGCCGTAGATTGTTTCTTCGAGTTTCTGGCGCGTCCAACCTGCTGCGACGCTGATGAGGAGTTTGGCTGAGAGGGCTTCTCGCAGACCTGGCTGTTTGAGGCCCGTTTCGATTATGCTCGGGTCGAGGGCGAGGATTGTGACGGAAGATTGTTGGACGGCGGAAACGTTGTCACCGGTGGAGATGGTCAAGCTGCTGGAGTCCGGGAACTGACTTGTTAGACGCTGTTTTGAGGACTCGCTCTGAACACAGGCGATGTAAAGGGAGAAGAGTTGCTCTTCGCTGGCGAGCAGGCTTTTGAGGATTGCGGTGCCCAGGTTTCCTGCTCTGGGTGTTAGTAAAAGTCCCTCTTCAAGGGTTATGGAGACAAACCGCAGCCTAAAATGCAGAGTGTGTTATTGCCAGACATAATTGAAGTACGAGCCGTTTTTCCAATTGATTCCCGGTTTGTGAAAGAAGACAAGAGAAGAATTGGAAACCCCTCATCTTAATCGAGCAGTGGAGGCGGAACCACTTCCGACAACGGGCTCCACTCCGATCTACTTCAAGATATACATCTCCATCTGCGAAGGGCATCAGATATTAGATAGACAAGATCAACCGAGTCCATAAAATCAAGATAATCTTACATACGAGCATGCGTATCAATCCGCTGTTCCAGCCAATAACCCCTCAGTTCCGCTCTGAAGATAGACAGACCCCTCGGCCGGTGTGCCGAGTGTAAAACCAAGAGTCCACGAGATGCCCCTACGTACCCTAATGTGCTCTGTAAGGTTTTTGTAGAAAGTATTATCTGCGGCCGTAACTTAGCATACATCCACCAAGTCGATACCATGGAGCCTAGTATTACCCCATTCGAAATACCCAGCGAGCGAGCAAATCCCCCCTCCGCCGTAAAGGAGCTCGCCGTTGGTGCGGCAGGGGGTATAACGCAAGTCCTCATTGGTATGTATCTGTCTCAGAGATTAATAGGTCACACTAAAAAACCAGGACAACCCTTCGACATTGTCAAGGTTCGCATGCAGACACAGGCGAACCAGAATGCCATCCAGGTTGCTCAAAATATCCTGAGACGTGAAGGGGCGTTGGCTTTTTACAAGGTACTACACTTCCAATCCATGACCTCTCTTCATCAGTTCTGACCGTATGTTACAGGGAACGCTCCCACCCCTCATCGCCGTCGGAGCTTGCGTCCGCCCCCCTCCCCTTTCCAACCGCAATTACAACCCAAACTCACAAGAAACCAACAGATAAGCACCGTCTATACAACCTTCCACACCCTCTCCGAGACCTTAAAATCCCATACAAACTCTCCCACCCTCACAGCACCCCAAACATACCTCATCGGCGGCCTCGCCGGCCTCGCAACCAGCCTCATCTCCGGTCCAACTGAGCACATCCGGATCCGCTTACAGACACTCCCACAGACTCCGAGCCAGGAACAGACGCCGAAGCAGAAGCAGAGACCAGGCGTCGTCGCCTGCATCCGCATGATAACGGGTAATGGAGGTGTCCGGGCTCTCTACCGCGGCCAGGCGCCGACTATGTTGAGGGAGTTTGGGAGTTATGGCGTTTGGTTTTCGGTTTATGAGGCGCTGCTTTCGAGGATTGCAAGGCCAGACACCCGGACCGGCGCCGAGGCGAACAAAAAGGGACAGATCCCGACGTACAAGATTGCGACCTGCGGTGTTCTCACGGGTCTGGTCCTCTGGACCGTGAATTACCCGTTCGATGTGGTGAAGAGTAAGATGCAGGCGGATGGATTCGGGCAGCACCAGAAATATCCACGGATGAGGAATGTTGTCGGGGAGACATGGAGGGAGAGTGGGTGGAGGGGATTCTGGAGAGGATTGGGGCCGACACTTACGCGTGCTGTGCCCGTTTCGGCGGGGACGTTTGTTGTGTAGGTTCTTGCTTTCTCTTTTTTTTTTTCTCTCTTTGTATAGTGGAATGGGTACTGACTGGCTATTTAGAGTTGAGATGGCTAGGGGATTATATAGCGTTTAGACTTCATTGTTTGATAAATGTGAGAGAGTCTAAGCCTCGTGGTGTCAGAAATTATATGCCTTACTGAACTTGTTGTTCCTTGTAGCCAAGCAGTTATATTGATAAGAAGAGCATCCAAGTTGTACTATGCTAATTTATCACTACATAGAACCCAGGTTCATCCCAACAAATCCAACCATCCAAGTCAAGTCAATCATGCTCTCAGAGACACATCATACCGAATTCGAATTATCCCGACAAGACCAAGCCCCCGACCCCCCCTCAGCCCGGTAACTATCCACAATCCCAACAACAGACCCATACGTCCCCGCAACCATACAGAAGGTACCAATGACAATCACAAACGCACACCAGGAGACCATGAACATCCAGCGCGGCCTCTTGTCCACTTTTCCGCTGCTCCAGTTATCGTACAGCCACATGCAGGCCATTGGTTGGAAGGACATGAGGGTTCCGAGGAGGGCGCCGACGAGGGAAACAAGGCCGTCGAACACGGGAATAGCGCTGGCGATTATATAGGCAATTACGGTTATTCCGAAGGTGCAGGAGAGCCATGTTGCCCAGTGGATTGGGGAGTTGGAGGTTAGGTGCGGTGAGCCACGGAGGAGGCGGATGAAGATGTATTTCGCGGGGAGCTGCAAAACTTTAGCACTCTGCGTGGTGGTCAACTTAAGAATGAGGAGAGTTATACGTGGATAACGAGCATGGTTGTGACAATCAGGCCGGGCAAGGCAAACCCATACGCAACCTTTTTCATAACCACCCCGGCTGATCCCAGAGCCGGTGAAGCGACGTACGATCCACAAAAGTAATATACGACCGTTCCAATAGTGATGTATATTGCTGTCACGCCAGACTGACAGATTAGCAACGAGCGAGTGTAGTATCGTGGATCCCTCATCTCAGAGACGATCGAGAAGAATGATGGTGTTCCCGCGTAGGCGAAAATGAGCGAGGATACGGCGGTGATGGCTTCGGTGAAGGACGGGTTGCTGGTGATCTTGTAATCAGAAGACCAAATTCCCTCTTGTGGTGCTGATGCTGGTCGATCCTGGATGCCGACAGCGATGGTCACGGCGAGAACTAGAGTGTCAGATACTTGTCCTCCTTAGAGGCTGGGCTCAACTCACTAGCAGTAAGGATACAAATCAGCCCAACCCACGCGAGAATGGTGAACTTCCCAAGTGTTCGAATACTCCCGAATCCAAATCCAATGATAGCGGCGACTGCGACGAAGACTGCGGTGCATGTAGCGTGTGTTGAGACGGCATTGAGTCCAATCGAGATACTAAGCATTCCAGAGCCAGCAACGAATATCCAGTCTTCATGGTCAGCAGGCATCTCTTGTTTGAGTGATCTCCACAGAACATACAGAGACAAAATGCGGCTCCAAAGAGCCCACGGCCAAGACCGCCAAACATGATACCTCCCACATCAGCAATCGAGTAGACCTCACGATGGTTCAGCTTGAAGACACCGACGATGTAGTCGGACCAGGTCGTAATGGTGGCGATGGTAAGCAGACAGACGAGACCGGGGATTAGCCCCAATGTATTAAAGGCAGATGGGATTGACAAGACTCCGAGGCCGATTTGGCTCTTCATCATCAAGGCCACAGTTCCGAGCCATCCTACCTACAAGACAGACAACATTAGCCAGCATCTTCGTCTCTTCAAGGAGACAACGTACATCACGGTAGTTGGGACCGCCCTCTGAGATCTCGCCAAAGACATCATCATGGGCAACGGCCGGATGATTGCAGATCTCGCCAACCATCGAAGGGGTTTGATCTAAGTCTTCGCCGACTTTCATTTTGGGATCTTCAAACATGGTGTTGAGTGTGGTGATGAACGCTGAAGGTGCGGTGAAGCAAGCAAGGGATGGTGACCCTTTTAAGGCAAGTGCAATCAAAGTAGGGCTATAGACTGTTGCACAACCAGACCCGCTTTTCTCCAGATCAAGACAACGGGCGTAATCCAGAATTTATATGCTTCCTCGTGTCTCAACAAGGATCCTTCGGGAACTGGGGATACGTAAGAGCCGTAAGACTGACTATTCAGTAACAAAACGGGTTGATGCAGCGGTCAAGAGCATCAGACGGTCTCTTAGACTACGTGGTAACATCACCCCATAATCGGCCTAGTAGCTCTGGGGCCTAGTCTGGGCTGCGTGAAACAAAACGAGGCTTGAGGTCATAACAGCGCCGATCCCTTATCACCGGGAAGGCTGCCGTGCGCCATTTTCAAAGATCGGGAGGCCAAGCGATGCGGGGAAGGTGTGTCCTACCCAGTCTATCCTTCTATATGCAGTGGCTCCACTATCCTCCCGAGACCTTCCTGATATCATTCCACGTGTATTCCTGGCATACCACGCAAAGTTACCCCTGACGGCTCATGCCATTCCAGAAGGGTAGCCACACATTGACCCGCAGTGTGCCGTATATCGAGCTGCTATCCAAGCATTCCCCGGCGTAATCTCGGGAAGCGCTCATGTTTTTATGCGCAATTTCCAGGCCCAGCAGGCTAACGTTGAAATCTGGCGCAAGTGATAACGTATGTTCCGCGTCCTTGATAGCCAGTGACACCCCGAAGCCGGGTCTGGTATCTAACGGGGGGTGGGGTGGATTCCGCTTGTCAACCTAAATAAACTTAGATATGTTTCTGCATATCGGACGATAGAGGCGACATACCGCTTCGAATAGCCACCGGCTACTCCACCGAACGACTCGGTTATCAGCTCCTCTATAGCGGTAGTTCCCAGCCCCGTGTGCTCCGCAAACACCTGCGCCTCTCCGACTGCCTCCATCAAATTTAGGGTGATAATGTTCCTGACATGATCAGCGCGTCGCATTTACAGCCGCCACGCTGAAGTTGCAACTCACTCTCCAATCTTCAACAATGACGCAATCTTCGGTTCCTCACCACATCCTATAATCTTCCTCCCATCACATCTTGGATGTATCACCGGATACCCGCGGCCGCCGGTCCAGGCCCACCTATAGCGAAGACAAGTTGACCTGTTGCTGCAATCGCGGGCCCACCGAACACTGGGGCCGATAAGAAGACTGCCCCGAGACCGGAGATCGTGCGAGATACGCTCTCTGTTGTATCTGGATGGACGGTCGAGCAGTCGACAAATATCTTGCTCGTAATGGAGATAAATGAATCGGCGATGGACTGGACCGTTTCTGTGAGAACACGATCGTTCGCGAGCTACGTGAGGCTCTGTCAGTCTGGCTGTCCTAGCTAACGTACTCCGGGGTAGTCAAAGTATCCGCACCATGGTAAAGATCACATCGCATTTGTCCACAAGTTCAAGCAGATTTATCGCGGGGCTGGCGCCCAGGTCTTGGAGAGGTTTTCCGGAGGCAATTGTGCGATTATAGTATGTCAGGTTGGTTTGCGCGGTTCTCGAAAGGTGTCGCTGTAGGTTCATGGCTATTGGAAGGCCCATTGACCCAAGTCCATACTTTCGAGCCGCTTGAGATTCCTTAGGAGCACTACTTACCCAGCCAATGCGAGGATCCGTTATCGCCATAACGGGGGACTGTTGACAGTTGAATATGCGCGATTGCAAACCGTCGCTGGTCGAAAACGCGCGAGCAATGCCATTTTGTATGTTTCTCAGTTGACCCAATATCTGGAAGAAGATAGAGACTGTGTCGTTCAATCGGGAGGTTGGCCGGTCGTGTCTCGATAGGCAAACTGCGAGTACCCCGCATCACCGTAGCTTCGGCCGTCCTCCCGATAAAACGCGGTATAATAACTTGCGTTCGCTAGAAGAAACAATTTACATCTAACAAGTATCGACCAAGCACTGGGTTCAAACAAGCAAAAATGACCTCCCTTCCTCACGTTCCCCCAGCCGGCATCTGGGTCCCCGTCGTCACACCCTTCAACCACGAGAACGACACTATCGATGTGGAGAGCTACAAAAAGTACTGCGCCTATCTCGCTCAACAACTCACCGGTCTCGTTATCCTTGGTACCAATGCAGAGGCATTCCTTCTCACGCGCGATGAGCGCACCCAGGCCATCCGCACCGCTCGAGAAGCCGTCGGTCCAAACTACCCCATCATGGCCGGTGTCGGCGCACACTCCACAAAGCAAGTTCTCGAACTGGCCAACGACGCTGCAGAGGCAGGAGCAAACTATCTCCTTGTTTTACCCCCAGCCTACTTTGGAAAAGCCACAACGCCCTCGGTAGTTAAGCGGTTCTTCGCCGATATCACAGCCAAAGCGCCCTTGCCCGTCGTCGTGTACAATTTCCCTGGTGTGACAAATGGAGTGGATATCGACTCGGACACTATCGCTGAGATAGTACGGGCGTCTGCAGCTGCATCTCCAAATGGAAAGAGTAACGTCGTGGGCGTGAAACTCACATGCGCTCAGGTCGGGAAGATAACCCGTTTGACGGCAGCGTTCGGGCCCGATGAGTTTGCGGTGTATGGAGGACAATCCGACTTCCTTATTGGTGGATTGTCTGTTGGATCTGCGGGCTGCATTGCTGCTTTTGCAAACGTTGTGCCCAAGACGATCATGCGAATCTATCAGCTGTACAAGGGAGGAAAGGTGGAGGAAGCCCTCGCCTTGCACCGGAAAGCAGCCTTGGCAGAATCACCATGCAAGAGCGGAATTGCATCGACCAAATTTGCCGCAGCAATTGTGTCGGCCTCTAGAGCTGGTGTCGAGAACGCAGAGGAAAAGTTCAAGCCGAGGACTCCATACGAAGAGGCCGGGGAAGCAGCCAAGGCCAATGTGAGGGAGGTCATGGCTGAAATCATAGCTATCGAAGACACCCTATAGATCAATCAATCTAACATATGATCGTCTGTTAAGTAACCAGATATGGATGATCATAGTGCTCCATGAGTCACCATATTTCATTCTCGGTAACTGCATGCGCAACCCAGTCAACATCCCCCGTGTCGATCGACTCAGCTACGGCCATGATTTCCGCAGTTGTCAGCCCGCCGCTCAGGCCAGGAAGTTCAGGATAGGGCGGGGGTAACGGAGACGACTCGAACCCGAGGAGATCTGTTTTCCTCGTTGAATCGACAATCTGGAGCTGTCGATCTGGTACGAGCTGGCTCAGTAGGCTATCCAACTGCTCGAGCTCGGCTTTTCGAAATCGTGCGATAAGGTTCCCGCGGGTAATCATATCATCCAGTATCAAACAGCTCTTCTGTAACCATGGTGTCCGGTTGTCCAAGAGATTGGAATCGATCGCTGGGGCCATCAATAGGACCACGCTAGAGACAAAAGTAGACTCAAGGTCAAATGGAAGGAAACTGTCTGTTACTTGTTAGCGTATTATATAACAATTTCAAAGCGGCTTACCGAGAAGGCTCTGTTCAAATAAGCAGCCAAGGATGCTCAGCTGTTGTTGAGCCGAGTCAACGCAAACTTGGAGCAGCCGAAGAATGTTGGCAGAAGAGTTGAGGGTCTCGAGGCAGAGATCAGCAGATTGGAACCGCATCTTCAGGAAACAGAGTAGTAAAGGCCGTGTTGCCAAAACGATGCACTATTTGAGTAAGTATTTTTATTCAGCAGTAATTGGAAGACCAACCTGGTGGTAAAGTAGGTGAAGATGAGCTGATAGTCTGGAAACTCCACTGATAGTGGACTTGTCCAGCTGCAAATCAAACGATCCTTGTAGATCATTGGCAAGATCTGTTGTGCTAGCTAGTGCGGCCTTGGTCCTCAATAGGAATTTTCGATTGAGTCTTCCATCCGGGGCATACACGGCTAAATCGGTCAGCAGGTACCAGCAGTAACTCGAAGAAGTACCTACTAGAGTTGATCTCAGCGATGATTTGGCACATTCGAATCTGCATAGTCAAGGCGACCACTTTCTGAGGCGATCCAGGATAAGAAGGAAGTTGGTGGTGAATCTGACTGTCATGAATGGGTTGAGGTAATCCCATCAATGAAGTCATTTGCCGGTCTAATACATAGATTGTCCACCATATCTTGCGGCATCTCTGAACCACAACCTCCCCAAGTTGTTGCACTGGCATGTTTGTGTGCATACCTTGGGCTAAAGCGATGCGCAAAGCTTGGCCAATCTAACCTCTTAGCTATCACACAAAGTTTGGATGGCGTGAACTTACGTAATTGTGTGCTGAGCTGCGGTAGTCCAGCGCTTGAAGGTACAATGCAAGACAACACAGGATCTCTGCTCCAATCATGGGTTCCCTACAAAGGTGCGTAGAATCAGGGAGCAATTGAAGGGCTTTTGTAAAGAATTCGCAACCAGGTGGTCTTGTAGACTGGTTTCTGTGGGCGACAAGTGCTTTTCCAAACGCAATCACAACCAGATAATGGATGTACCATAAGCTTGGAGGATCAACATGTGCCTGGGGATCGTCATAGAAGGCGTACAACCCTCCCATGAACGTGCCTTCGTCGAACAGATGGAACAGCTGCCCTGCGTGGAATTTTACGGCATTTATGAGGTAAATGGAGTAGTCCAGCGTTGGCACAATCGGCGGTTCTTGGTAAACGGAGGTTCTCGAGCCGTCCCATCCCAAATCATAAGTTGAGCCTTCGAACAGCAAACTGTCTGTTGGAAGGGGAGCATTGTAAAGGTGTTCATGGGTCATGCTCAGTATCCTTCGAGCAAAAGACCAGTTTGACGAGGTTCCCAAGTAAACTGCCAACGCAATTAGGCACGTATCGCAAGTAAGAAGAGAGAGAACTTACAGGTTCTCCCAGTCGCGGCAGTCGTGAAGGTCGAGGGACCAGTCGATAATGGATTTGTCAAGTCCGCACCTTCTAGGTTTGAGCCGAGCCGTGCGTCAACCATACTAGGAAGATTATCTCCACCTGGCAGGGTCAGATGTGTATCAAAATCGAGAGCGAGAGACATACCAGCATCAGGCCTTGCCCTTTCCTGCTCCACGTAACTTTGCAGGCTGGATAAATCCTCTGAGTTATCTTGCTCCAGTAGCGCAACCTTTCGCTGAAGGTCTTCGATGAAACTAGCCAGCGGCGTTAGACTTAAACTTATTCGGCGGAGAGAAAGGCTCTACATACCCTCGAGTCACGAGGACTTTCTGGTCTCGATCATCGAAAACACACGTCAATTTCCGCTTGTGACATGTGTTGCAGGGCTGAAGTCCGGAACACTTGATCTTTTGCTTGCGGCATCGTTGGCACCTGCGAATGAGCCCCATGTCAGCAACAAGACTCATGATACTAGGTAAGATGTGGGTTCACAAACGCATTCGTTGACCGCTTCCTGATGCCGTTCTCTCTATGTGGTGCGTCCATATTCAATGTCCGTGTGTCTGATATGAGGTGGGTGGTATGTGCAGACGCTCGGAGGGGCATCCATGGCATTCGAATTTCGAATCTTCGATGATTGTGGACGACGGAGTGTTTCCGAAATGCGGGGAAGAGATAAGAACTGCAGTGGAGACTGACGACAGGTGGCTATCTCAGCAGAGGAAAAGTTGCCTAGATCAGGAAATCAGAGGAGATCCTGCAGTGATAGCCGCTCCGCTATGTCGTCGGTGTCTTCGATAACACTGATCGGGTTCCCTCCCGGTCTCACTCAGGCAACCGGCTACCCTCCCGGTTTGGATGTCGATCTTTCTTCCCCGGATTAAGTTCGAACGTGACCAATTTCTGTCTTCGAATCTGGTCCAGTTCTCCGCACTTTGCACAGAGTAGCTCGTAACAGTTTTCCCGTTCCCCGCATACGTTGGACGCTGTAGGCTCAGGGTACGTACGGGGTCGATGACTAGAACAGAAGGCGTGGGCACTGGGTGACGCTAATGCTGATCCGATCAGGTTACCAAATACTTGACGAGCTGGAGAGGCACAGAAGACAAGTTGAGAAATCAAGGATGAATCTGAAATCAACTCGCTCGTTCAACCCAATCAATGTTTGGAATCATGGCAAACGGATGTGTACCTAGAAGACTGGTCGGTGGAAGCATTTCCGTCTCACTGTGATTCCGACGTCCCAGAGCGACTATACCTAATTTGGTATAGTCATTTTGTATACCCCCAGGCCATGACGAAGAAATCAGTTTTACCGCATCAAAGAGTCTTTCGAATTCTTGACTTCTAGAGTACAAGTTACTAGAGTGTGATCAAAATTAGTTGCAATACTCTGATACCCCAACACAAAGAAAAAATGAAAGATTCGCTGTCGTCGGACCAGCCGGAAAAGGAAACAAGGGGCCTGCTAATCTACTGGCGCGAGGAGGAATTGTGCCCGTTTGGCTCATTCTCATCTTGCCTAGAGGGAGCTTGAGCCAAAGACTATTCTCCATTGTCAGTGCTCTAAGCTCTCCGTCATGCCAATGGTGAACTCACGTTGGTAGCGCCTCTGCCCATATAACCTTCAGAGAGCCAACATGCCAGTGCCATCGAGTGGAAACGGCGGCGCTGTGATAAGGTCAACTCAGATCCTTGATTAAGAGAGAAAATTTCACATATGAAGGAATATATGCTTACCCTCTCGGTCTCAACAGCAGCCTTGCTGCAGTTGTCCGTTAGTTTTGATTCCCTGGAAGACTAAGGTAAGGTATTCTCCTCACCGCAGCTCGATTGTAGTGGCGGGCATATGGACACACAGTCACGACGTGTCCAGGTCGACGACAAAAAGCACAGTGCAGAGGCTGTAGGGAGAGGTCAGAGAAGCGACTCGGCTACTTGTGGACCTGGGGTGAATTACCCTTCCATTCTCCGTGACCAAGGTGTTTGGGCTCTCCGCAGGGGGCTTTTTGTGGTCGTCGCCGTTCTCTCTGTCCTCGTCCCCATCTCCGTACATTGGAATGCCCATCTTGGGTGATTAGAGCTTGTTGTGACGGATAGGACTGTGTCGAGTGTGTCGTGGTGGTGAGTTGGATGTTGAAAGAAAGAAAGGACGACTTGAAGAAGAACGCCAGAAGAGAAGCGAAATGACAGCCTTTTGGCCATTCCTGCGTTGTGTCTTCGAAATTTGCTCATATCCTGCCCATGCCCTAGCAAGCGAGGTGTGAAGCTCCCATGAGATTGCGCTGATTATGACGCGCAGGAAACAAACAGTGAGGAGCTTTCCATTTACCCACAAAAACCACACAACAGAATGCAGAGACCAGCCACATGCTCACAATGTAGTCAAGAACTTCAGGGGGAAGTTTTGTAAGATGACAGAGTTTTGTGCGTCAAAGACTCCCCCAGCGGCTGGTTCAAGAATACTGGCTATGAAGCTCAAAGGCGCGGCTTCTCTCCGTTTGATCTTCCCAACTCTGACGGCCCACAACTCGTCTCGTGATTACTAGGTATAAGGGCTGAGATCCGTGGGAGAAAGGCGCCATTTCAGATAGATGAAGATGGACGGAGTCAGGACTGTCTAGCGAACAGCAAGACACTGGTAGGTATAAAGGATCCAGCACGTGGCTGAAAACCTAAGCCAGTAAGCAAAGGATCAGGATGCTGATAGCAACAACCATCTCTGGCCTTTCACGGTTCTGAGAAATGTTTCCAAATTGAGTGGATGAGGGGGCAGTCCAGTGAGGTCGTAAACGAGTCAAACAGAACGAGGTATCTGGCCGACCCCGAGGGAGGGAGACTCATTATATAATTAAAGTTGGACAGGTCATAGATAGTCACTAATATACACTTACTAAATGCTTGGCTCAGCATTCAGCTAGTTGTGAATGCAACAAGCCCCTCTAAGGGACAGAGGTGAATAATCCCTTTAACCCCTATCGCTTCACCTTAGAACCAAGGAAGAGTCCTGGTTGCTCTCCTGTATCTCAGGGCGATCGTCTTGCTGCACCACTTCAACATCCTCGAACCACTTATGCTCTAATGCCTGACGAGCCGTAATCCGCTTGCTGGGATCAAAGTTCGTCATGGCAAGAATGAGGCTCCTGAAATCCTCATGCACATTGTCCCATTTCGAAAATGGCTTGCGGGGATTTCCCTCGTGGAAGCCGTCCCAAGTCAGCTCAATCATTGGACTAAGAGGGTGTTCTTTCCCAAGATACTTCATAAACCCTTCAAGCCCCTTCCTATCAGCGAAATAGGATATTTGGCGCTCCAGTATAGAGATCTGGATGTCTGACTTCTCATGATTCTTGACCAGTATGTCGTTGAAAACGACGCGTCTGTATACAGCGAAGATGCACTTTAGGTATCGAGTCAGCCATTGCCCAGGAATGTGTTTCGAATTATAACAGGCTGTCTTACAAGAAGAGCAAAAGAGAAAATATCCGAGGCTTTGTTCACAGGTCCCAAGATGGTTGCTTCGGGGCTTCTCCATCTCCGGGGCCCGACCTGTCTACCGACAATATTTGATCCGCGGGGCACATAGGCTGTATTGATTGAATGCGCAAGCTGGACTTTGTTGAGGGTGAGCTGACCCTGGTCCTCGGTCAGGTCGATAAGTATATCCTCCAGGCCGAAAACTATTGAAACAGGTAAGTCATGATCCACGCTTAGAAAAAGAGGGGTGCACCGAAATACCTCCGTAAACAACGTCCCGATCGTGTAACTCAGCAAGAAGATTGAGCAAACTCTTTAGTATCTTTTTAACCATACTAAGCGGTAGTCTATTTCGTCGCCTTATAGTACGGTAAAAGCTGGTACAGTAGTGCTCGTAAACAATCATGGACTCGCTAGGGATGACATCTTTAAGCAAGCGGAAATGGCTGGCGCTATCCTTAAGGCGATCATTGACGATCTGATACCTCTTGAAATCCTCGGGTCGTAGACGCTTCAGGAAAAATTTCTGCCCGTCGTCGGATCTAAAAAGGCGTAAGCGTCTCTTAAAGGTAGAATAGCACATTTTCGAGTTCAACGCACGCAGCAAGGAAATTTTGATCTAGAGGGGAATATCTGATAGTCCGATGCACTGCATAAATGCGGCCGGTCTCTCCAACATACTCAGCTTGCCGTTGCTGAAATGTGTTTGTCACTGTTGGTCTTGTGCTGAGTTTCCGACGAAAGATTGGCTGTGGTATCGGTATCGAATAGTGTGCTTTCAATACAGAGTAGTGAGCGCCCCATGTCCTCAGAAATTGAGAGAAAGGTCTTTGTGATGGCATAAACTTCATCTTCCCTCCAAACTACAAGGGATTGCGATGTAATGTTCTCGTGTCGTTTAAAATTATGGAAATGCCAAGACAAGGGGCGGATGCCCGTCAATTCGCAAAAAAATTGCAAGCGACGAGGATAATGGGGCTCTCCTGTTTGCTTAGACTGTAAGGCCAAGAATCAGAAAATGTATGAGGTAGCAAAGAAGGTATGGATATATTTCGCTAAAAGGCTTGAAAAGAATGAAACATGTACGAATGATTCCGAGTCCATCATCATCTCGCCCCACGACTCCTGGACAGTCAGGTGATTTTTCATTGCAAGGATTTGGAGATTTCCCTTATCTCCTGGCATTTTTATTGGCTTGCGCCCAGTCTTCCTGCATTTCCCATTGCCCTAAATATGGTATTACTTAACATTTTGATGGATGCGAACCTCGAGCCTCACAGTTGATATGTCGACTCTTGGGGGATGTAATCATCTTATAACACATATTACCCTACTATGAGTGACAAACTCAACTATATGCAAAGTCATAGCACAAAAGTATCCAGAGTCGTGTACCTACAACAACTCCAAGACGACCTTCTTCCATACATTCATTCCAGTAACCCAATATAACCGAAGCATCGGCTTCCAAATTTACCAAAGAATCCAACCTTGACCAACATCATGGGCCGGCTCTTCCTCAGAGGACGACTCCGTCACCACCTCATCCTCCTCCTCGTCATTGCCTTCATCGTCGTTCTCCTCGTTCGTCTCCTCAAAAGATTTAAATGACTCCACTAAGCTTTCACTCGAACTATCATCTCCAATATCCTTCTCAACCAAGTCGATGACACCGCTAGCAGCGAGTACCCGATTCAGCGTCCACTGCAAATGCAGCAGATCCCAAGAGGGAAGCGGGTCGATCATCGGATTATCGGTTTTGAATACCACCACCTCTCCAGATTTGATGCCAAACTGACGTCCAAGCCTATAACACTCTATATCGCCGGCTAAACTAGGCCTGGTCATCAGAGGAACGCTTGGGTTGTATTCTGCCTTCGGCAGCCAGAAGAAGCGAGCTTCGAGATGCTTTCCGCCGTGAGTGAGCTTCAGAGGCTCGAGTCCGAACCTTCCCTCAAACTAGAGTTTGTCAAAGTCGGACGAAATTGTGACCATTCCAGCACTCCCTTGCTGTCCCTGGGAAACATACAGGGCTGCAGTCCATGGGATTAGAGTTTCTTTGTGCCAACATGTCCTCATGATATTCCATAAGTCTAGCTGTCCCTTGAGAAAGTCCGCCCCCGGTTTCTGCTTGAGAAGCTTCAGGTAGATTGAGGCGGCGACAGGATTTAAGAGGCCTTCGGTCTTCAATGGTTCGTTCGTAAGGTCGCTCATGTTGACCACTATCGACAGATAAGAGAGGTTAGCACGATACGGATGGCAGTGAGACAGAACTGGCAGCGACAAGATGTACTGACGGCTCTTCAAGGCTCTGGGCACACTCTCAGTATAGAGCGCCTCGTAAAGGCATTCTCCTCGTCCAGATGTCAATTTGTAGACCAGTTCCTTTAGCTTGACCACATCGGCGAACCATAGACAAGCCCAGGTGGCGGAATTGACGTGGGTTAATGCCTTGTTTTGGCTGATGAAAGCGATGAGCTTCTCCCGCTCATCCATTTTGGGATCATCGCTTGGACTCAATTTGCTCGTAGCAATGGCTGTGGTATGATGGAGAAGCGAACCGTGAGAGGCGAAGGTTGGGAGCACGAGCTCGAAGGCGATGAGCGGAGCTGTTTGGTTAGCAGGAAGGTATTTTACAGCAGGAGACGACAATGAGGAGAAGTGGTATTTGTAGGGAGAGTTGCTGAGGAAGAGGAATGGAAGATAGAGATGGTAGGGAATGGTCGAGAGAAAGTGAGAAGATGTGGATGGAGGTGGGAAGAGGGTCTAGGAGAACAGCTCAGTAGAAGAATTCAAAAAATTGAAAACCGGACACTGTGAGAAACACTCGACCGATTGCGCCTAGCAGCAGAAGAGCCTCGAGACTAAAAGCCACCAGCTCACTTCGACAGAGAGGAAAGATACTGAATCGAAGCTACATCAGCTCAAGAAGGCCAATTCACTCCATGCGAACCGAGCCCGAGTGCCTCTGCAAAGATATTAGCAATCAATGGCAAATCTTGCAGGAAATTCTTGTCGATCTTTCGGCCAAACTCTTCCTCGACTTATGTCTCAAAGCTCTTCTACTAGTAAAAGGCCATGCTATTCTATCTACCTTCCATCATTCAGGCCACGCCACTCAGAACCTCCTAGTACTCCCTAATATACTCAAGATGGCCTCGGAGTATAATTACACAGTAGGTTTCCAGGTTTTCTCAAGGTACAGAAGCCATAAATTAGAGTGTCACTCCGTATACCTCAACTTTTCCATGATTGGCGTGTCCGTGGTGGCGGCACCGTGGCTATCCGAGATCGTCTTCTCATCAAACGACAACGCATACTCGAACAGAAACCGCGTCATCCAGCGATCAAGTCGATGCATGTGTTCATGCGCGAAGAGAAGACAGGTATTCTGGAAGCTGATGAGGCGGTTGATCTGAATTAGGGGAGAAACGTCAGTGCTGGTTGAATAATGGAATGAGAAACCGAGACGAAGGAAACAAAATGGTCGGTGGAAAGATACCATTGACCGGACACCGGGCCAGTATTGCTCTAGCTCTAAAAGAGCCTCAAATTTCGCGTGCAGGCAGCGGCGTGACTGCGCGAGTTCATCTTCGGTGCCGAAGAGAAGGGTGTGGAGGAGTACGGAGGAGGAGACGGTTGTCATGTGGCCTACTGTTGGGTACACGGTCTCGCAACCAGACTGTTGTCGACAAGAGACAGCAGTTTGCTGTATTGCAACGCATGGTACTTGCAAGATTCGGCAAAGCGCTCTGTTCGTGATGTCGAGGGCAATTGGGTGTCAAGGTATTGGTAATACAAAAGGGTCGCATAGTGGTGGAAGCCCAAGTGGAGAGCGAAGAAAGCGCCTCCATTCCCACGGTGCGTATGCTCGATGATGTTCGACTCCGTGAGAATCATATCGCTAGGAAGTGCGGCCTGCCAGCTGTCAATTTTGCAGGAGAGATGCTCTGTGGCGTCTGCTATTTTATCGTTTGTCAACTCCCCACCATTGACGACACTCCGGTTGAGATCCTGAATTTGAACAAAAAGTTCGACGAGTGTGATCATATGCGCCCATAAACCAGGAGCTCGGTATGAGTGTGGCGACAGGGACGGCTGATCGGGCTTCAAGGAGTAAAAAAGACCGCTCTTCCAAGGGAAAGGAGGTCGACGAAACTCCTTCACCTGGCGAGGTAGACCAAGACTCGAGGAGCACCAGTTGTCGGCCATGAACAGCGCCCACCAGACGCGAATCTTAATTTCGGCCGTTATTACATCGTCCTTTGCATTCGGAGCGGGAATGTCAATCAGCTGCACCATGGCAACTGCCATCTCTACAACCGGTCAGCATGGATGACACTGTATCTCTTCACAGGTACATACGAAAGAGGAGAAACTCCGACGACGGATTGGCATGTGCGGCACAGAGATTTGCAACAAGTATACACGTCTGAATGTTATCCAGACAAATTTGCTCCATATCATTCCGGAGGAGACGCTTGCATTCGGCCGTCAAGAAAGGAATGAGCAATCTCACCGTCGGCTGGTTGGACAAGTGAGCTCGCGTGGCACAGATGGCCAGTAGCAACGCCTTGGAAACAGACTTCTGACGAATCCTGCTCCATAAAGTGGGTGCGTGGAAGATACTATGTGGACGGTCGTGGATTTTCGTCAAATAGTTGCTGGCCAGCTCCACAACCGCCTCTTGATTAGCGAGGAAGTCATCGACGGCTTTCCGTGGCAGATTTGAGATTGGTTGGCTTGCGCTTGGAGATAGTGAGTCGGAGAATATAGCGCGCGGTGCAAGCTGGTGCTTGCGCTTAGATGATGGAGGTTGAGCGCTTGAGCAGGCTAGATGATGGCGTAAACATCGTCCGCAGGGTGCGAACAGGTCTGTTTCGCTGCGTATACACTTGCGTTTGGCCTGGCGACATTGCTTGCAGAATCTCATTCGGATTGCTACTAAGCAGAATACTATCGAGCAAGCTTCGTCCCGAGTGTGAGCTTGAAAGGGGATTCGGGTCTCCAGGTAAGTAAGATGCATCCTGGGCCCCAGATGTCGGTAAAATGCGGGATGGAATAACTCCTATTGGGTCAAAGTCCGCAAGCCCCGCACATGTCAATTGCCTGCCCCAAGCAGGACTGTGTGTATTTGGACGGACATGAAGGTATCTGATAGGAGAAGCTTCCACTGGCCCCCAGGCCGCTTTCATACAACTTACTCGCTGTTCGTGGAGTTCCCCGGACCCCGCAGTATGTTGTCCATTCGCAGAATTCCCTCTTCGAGATTGGACGATCTCTGCATCTGTATTTACCCGAGACTCGAGGTCTATAAAGGTGTCTCAGATCATGGAAAATCCAACCGTCAGAAATAAAGCCTTACTTCATGCCCGGCAAGATGCATTCAAAAATCGTCTTCACAGCAGCCTGTCTGCTCACCTTGTCCGATGCCATATCAGGCTTTCCCGAGCACGACTCACGCGATGCATCATTCACAGACTTCACCAACAACATTGTCTTCACCCCAGGCGCTAACTACACAAGCTGGGGTGCCATCTACGCCCGCTCCCTTCAACTCCCAGACTCGAGCCTCATAATGACCTGGGAAAACTACCCACCGGAGCCGCCTCATATGACGCTTCCAGTATATAGATCTACCGATAACGGCGTCTCCTGGGCTCCTTACTCGCAGATCCACGACACCGTCAACGGCTGGGGCCTGAGGTGCCAGCCGATGCTTTGCGCCCTACCGCAAGACTTCGGCGGGTATGCCGCAGGCACAATTCTCGCCTCGGGTGTATCCTCGCCTCAAAGCCTCAGTGAAGCTTTCATAGACCTCTATGCAAGCACTGACAACGGGTTGACTTGGGCTTTCGTCAGCCATATCTCCTATGGCGCGGGGCCAGAAACAGTCACGAATGGCAACGACGCAATCTGGGAGCCGTTCTTCCTGATGTATGAGGGCAAACTCGTGTGCCACTACTCCGACCAGCGAGACTCGAGCCACGTGCAGAAGCTCGTCCACGTTGTAACCGATGATTGATCACCTGGTCCCAGCCCGTAGACGACGTTGCAGATCTGCGGTACGAGGCAAGACCCGGGATGACCGTCGTGGCGCATATCGAGTCAACAGACCGCTATATCATGACGTACGAGGTTTGCGGCACAGACAACTGCGATGCCTTTTATAGAGTTGCCTCGTCGCCATTGGAGTTTGCGGCTGTCGAGGGGCGCCGTGTTCAAACGAATGATTCTGCGGGTCATACACCTGGGCCCTCGCCTTATGTAATTTGGATTCCGCATCCTCAAAGAAAGGATGGGTCGGGGCTTATTCTGATGAATGGTGCGCATAGCGATTATGTGTATATCAATGAGGATTCTGCGGATGTAGACGGGTGGAAGTGGGTTGACGTTGGTCAGATTGGAGGACATTCGCGACAGCTATCGATTGTTGATATTGAGGGGAAGGAGAAGTTGATGCTGAGTTCGGGAGGATTGATGGGCGTTAGCGAGGGTACCGTTGTCTCTTGCGGAATCGTAGAGATTCCAACCTAAAGGCTCTGGGTTCGGAAGCGTGCTCACAAATAGAGCCTCGAAAAACTGAAGGGTTTCTTGGTCAAGGTGTTTGAAGCTTTGGGAAGCAGCATGAATAAATCCTGAATTATGTCAAGATTCCCAGGAGTTGATACCTGTCGTTGACGTACAAACCTACTACAAGAATTCAAAGTATTGGTATAGACTTCTCTCATGCTTCAACAGCATTCCCCAGTAATGCACATTTGTAGCAGAAAAAGTACATTGCCCCGATTCCGCCGACTTAGCCCCAATTGACGGCGTCAATCCAGGTCGTTGTAATGAGTCAGACAATACTAGAGTGATCAAAGGACAAAAAGGCCGGCCACAAGTGCCCCAGCAAGCGCTGATGCTCCTTGCAAGACAGCCAACTTTTCACCAGCGTCAGTAGGAGTTGGGCTTGACGTGTCAATGCTCGGGGTTGTCGCAGAGGGCGTTGTAGTTTCGGTGCTTGCTTCGGTTTCGGATTCAGTGTCAGATTCCGAGTCCGAGTCGGAGCTGGAGCTGGAGCTGGAGCTGGGCTCTGGAGTAGATTGCGCGCTCGAAGAGGTTTCCCAAGGCGTTACAGGCGTTGAATCCTAAAGCCATTAGCCGAACATTCCCTCAAGAATGAGATACATACCACAATATCACAGCAGTCCTCTTCAAAACACACGTGGCCGTCTTCGCAGCATATCTGGTCTGTTGAGTTCATGCACAGCCCACCTGAGAGGTTGCCAGGGCACCAATGGATGTTCTCGCCGCCGGCTACGCAGCACTCCTCGTCTGTCATGGTGATATCACAGAGCCAGGAAGTGCTCGACTCTTCGTCTTCATCATCGTCTTCGAGAGAGTCGTAGTCAATTGCCCCGTCCTCCCCTGGTGTACCCGGTCCCTTTATCCGCGGTCAACACTACTGTAGCTTGAAGGCTCAAACATAGGCATCAAAGACTCACATCGGGACAGCAAGAGCTGTTCCTCCCAACACACGCGCCTATAGCAAGCCACCATGTTTAGCTGAATAAATTAGGAAAAGGGTAGTAGCAAGCATACCTCCGCCTTTACAGCATTGCTCGCCATCATCCGGGTTAAAACAGCCAGCGTCGTCGCATAGTACATAGCCAGTGCCGAAACATTCACCACAGGTATCATAAATAGAACAGTCGGAGCCATCTCCAATTGACTGCCTAGGAACAAGGCCACCGAAATCCCGAGTCTGGAATCCTGGCAGCTGTCGAAAAGTTTGTGCACCAGTCAAGCTTGCTGATAGCAACAAAGTGGCAAGCCGCATCATCATCGTCAGTCGAGGCATTCGAATCAATTCTTTCACAGATTAGAATCACCCCACGCCAGAATAAATTTTCTTGTCCCTTGGCTTGGGGGGAGGAGCAGCTTAAATGAGCCGCACCAACGCCATGGCTCAGGCCCCGTTGAGATTTGCCAAAGCCATTGTCTCCATCAGGCATGCGGCTGATGGGAATACGATGCGATACCGCTTCATCAATAAACAATACTCCAATGAGTGCGCAAATCCCAATGTGCGGTCCGCCTGTTGCTCCTCAATTATTGCTCAAAAGGGGGTGTTCTGGGAGCAGTCCCTGTGGGTGTTTGATTAGACCTCGTATTCGCGGAGTGGATGGCCAATTGTCTCTCAAGGACAATTTGAGAGGGGCATGCTAATGCAGAGCACTAGTCATGCGGAGAAAGATAGCCAGAAAGAAGAATGGATTATGGATTCAAAGGTTGAAATAAGTTGAAAGTTGAGACCCAAGGACAGGATCAGGGTTGTCAGTTAATGAGACGGGCGCAAGCGACGACATATTGTAAACCTCACCCAATACCTCGAGTACTCCCTGTCGACCCCAAAAAGGTCAGGGTTCGCTGTGCAGTTCAAAGGAAACGACATGAAAAAAATACATGACTAGGACAATGCATGTTTGAGGGAGTGAACTAGCATTCACATGCTTCTATAGTGAATCAATGCCTCAGGCAGAATTGTGAGGTGGCGATCCCGTGATCGCAACTTCCTTATCTGGAGTTTCGCTGGACCAGCTTCTTCTTCGCAAGCAACCTCCTCACCCCATTTTCCTATCGCCTCGTTTAAAAATGGGTGGTGATCTGAACCTGAAGAAGTAAGCATCTCCAATCATCGCACCCCGACTCTTAATGTGAGCTAACACTACCGAAACAGATCATGGCACCCATCGCTCCTCCGCAATCAGGAGCGTGTGTGGTCGGAGGAGAAACGGGCTCTCGAGGAGCGCAAACGAATCGATCAACTACGTCGCGAACGTGATGAAGAGCGCCAGATTCAGGAATTACAACGTCTCCAGGAAAGTGCAGGTGGAACGCGACAACTTCAGCGGGTCGACTGGATGTATCAGGAGCCATCGAGCGCAACGGGTCATTACGCCGAGGAAATGGAGGGGTACTTGCTGGGAAAGCGTCGTATTGATGGGATACTCTTGAAGAACGATGACAGCAAGAAACTCGAGAAAGGCGCTGCGGTTGGTGCTGGCGGCGGTGCTCCGCTTCCGCCTGTGATTCATAATACCCGTGACACGATGGTGAAAGTCATGTCGGATCCACTGTTGGAAATCAAGAAGCGGGAACAGGCGGCTTATGAGACTATGGTTAAGGAATCGGTTCGACGGCGGGAGCGGGAGGCAGGGAGAGATCGCGAACGCGAGCGTGACAGGCCTAGGGACCGTGATCGTGAGAGAAGTCATAGGCACAGACGGTATAGCGATGAGGACTCCCGTCGGGAGAGCCATCGTCGTTCTTCACGTCGTCACCACTCTCGCTCGCGGTCTCCAACTTCGCCAGAAATGTCGCACCGAAGTCGGAGGGACGACCGTGATAGTAGACGTCACAGAGACCACGATCACAGGAGTCATCGAGACCGCGACGGAGGACGAGAGGAGCGCGGTGAAAAGGTCTATCACTCGAGCAGCAAGTACCGCGAGCGCGATGAGAAGTACGAGCGATCCTCCCGTCGTTCCGCATCACCTCGATCCGACCGCCACAATACAGACCGTCACCGCACAGATGATAGGAGGGAAGACCGTCGGGATGGTGATCGTCGAAGAGATGATTATGACCGCAATCATGATCGAAGAGAGAACCATGGGCAAAGGAAGACAGACTCATTTGGACGAATCCGCGATCGGACATCATACAACCCACGGAACGGCCAGGGTGCAGAAGCCAAGCAGCATGCAGAGGACCTAGAGGAACAGCGCAAGCGAAGACTCGCTGAGATGCAGTCAAATGCGCAAGAAATGGAAGTCACCCGCCGCGAGCGGGTTGCCGATGTGACTGCTCAAGAGGAGAAGAAGCGTGAAGAGGAGGACAAACGTCGCTCGGATCGCGGTCAGTTCATGTCTGGCCTTCATCGGCAGCTTCAGGAAGATAGTCTCGATGAACGCATTCGGCGTAGCCGTGGTGGCTTGTCGAAGCTTGAGGAGGATTAATTTGCATAGAGCGCATTATCTCGTTTCTCGTTCTTTATCATCCTTGTGCTCACGAGTTCAGATTGAGAGCCTCAATGGCGCCATTGTCATTATTTATAGGCTTTTGCAATTATACTTGCCTCTTTAGATATCTTAGTTTACAGATCCTCATCGATCTCAGATAATGACAACAGCAAGAGACAGTCAGCTTCTGACGGTGCCATGCTACGAAAGGAAAATCAAGCTACACAGTCCGCCGAAAACAACATCGCTAGAAGAAAGACGTAACAAGGACTTTACGAGTACAAATATAGACAAGACCTTTCACCCAAAGATTACAATAGTAAAAGCTCCCCCGTTGCCGCACCACCAGCCAACTGAGGCTGATACGCCTGCTGCTGGTTCTGGTTGACGACATACTGCAGTGGCGGCGCGCCACCACCACCAAGACCACCGTCTTCACGACCACCAAGGTCCAGAGCGGCCATCTGCTGCGTCCCCGCGGCCACACTGCTAAAGTAGTTGTCCGCCGCGTTCACAGCATCATTCGTGCTACCACCCGGTGTGGTCGCTGATCCATTTGCAGCTGCGTTGGGCGAGGTAACGGGGTTCGGGGCCGCGACTGGAGCCGCATACTGCCAGGTCGTCGATGTGAGATCCTCCTGTGTCTTCTGCAGCGCCGGGCTATACTGCAGGCGTCTAGTGCGCGCGGAGCGAAAGACCTGCTGCACGGGCTTGAGGTATACTGTAGCCAAAGTGCCGACGTTCAGGCAGAGCTCTTCGAGAGTGCGGGAATCGAGCTTCTCGCTTTCGGCGGAGATGGGCGGTTTCTGACCCATGACGACTTGGCGGGCGGTGGTTGGGTCTGTAGAGAGGAGGCGCCAGTACATGTATCCTCTGTCGCGGAGGTCGGGGTCGTCTGTTTCCTCTGTGCACCACTTGAGGACTTGCGGGACGAGCTGTTGGCCCTTTGTTGGGCGTTGGATGAAGAGCTTGACTGTTGCGGTCAGGAGGGCCAGTTGCACTTCTATTGTCTCGTCGTGGAAGGTGGCGAGATAGTCCTGGAGAAGGCCGTCGGAGTTTTCAATGCGGTCTGCGTATTGTCCAATGATCCAGATGATGGCTGCCTTGGCTTCCGGTTCGTCAAGCTCGTCGATGTTCTGGATAACCTGACCGATAATGCTTTCGTACTGATTAGGGTATTTGCGGAAGATGTTGCGGATGACCACTGTTGCTTCTTGGACAATGTAAGGAATCTTGGCGTTCACCAAATCGAGAAGCGTATCAATGCATTGCTTAGCAGCAGACTCGATCTTGATCGCTAACTTTCCAATGGCACGGACGGCCTTGCGCACAAAGTGAACATCAATCTCGGTCGCATACCTAGAAAGGAAGTTAGTGCTGTCGTGACATGAGACTAGGGACCTAACTTACTCTCTCAGTTCTGCCAGCACAACAGAGATGTTTTCCTTAGTAGTTAACATGAATATCAACTCGAGCTTCGTCACTTTGACGTAGATGGGGTCATTGTAGTTGCAGAAGAAGACTCGGATATCATTCCGAAGTACTTCTGGCCGCTTTTGTAGGATAAGTATGGCATTACGGAGCGCAAGATACTGCACCTCCGGGGGTTTTGATAGGAGAGTCACCAGAGGCGGTGATAGTTTCTTCGAGAGAGAAGTAACGTGTCGTTCGTCCGCAATATAGTTCATGAGGTAAAGAATGACGCGGATCGATGTGAGGACTACCGCAGAGTTGGAGTGAGAGAGTCGGGGCGCAATGCGTTCTGCTAATAGCAGGGCCTCTGCGGAATCTTGCGGGACATATGACATGAGAGCCTCCAGAATATAAGTTTGACCCCATCTGTCTATAGTCAGTAAATCGTAAGATATAAAGAGGAGCCAGGCGATCGCACTCTGAACAGTCTGGCAAGATAGACACTAGCTTCGATGCACTCGAGTAATCGATTGTCAGGGATATGGTTTCACTCCGCCCCCAAATGTCCACCAAGGAGGCCAAGACACTCGATACAACCGTTGGGTTTTCGTCCTTCAACATCTCGTTCAGGCGAGCGATTAGGTCAGATGTCTCAACCATCTTCCTATCGTGCTCATACAGCTTGGCAACGCAGAAAGCAGCGGTCTTCCGAACATACGGGTCCATATCGCCCATTAAGCCCTTGAGCGGCTGCACGGTGGCTTCGACAAACTCCCGTACATGTACATATGCGATTGTTCGCAGCGCCAGAGCGCGTACAAGTGGGTTCGTTGCTTCCATGTCCTGCATACCGGTCAGATGTCTCCAGCTGCATTGAACGGAGTCACCTTACATTAACCAATATAGGAAGAGCCTTGAGGGCGATCTCAGGCTTCATTCTCGAGTAGTTGACAAGAAACAGGAAGCACCTAGGAACCATATTAGGGCCGCCTCCCTCTCAGCGCGAAGCGATGCAACTTCAAAACGTACATCTTCTTGATCTCCAGACTCGGTAGGTTCATGCAGTCGATTATGTCCGGAAACAGAGCAATCATGTCGTTATTGCTCATAGTCATATTGGCAACTATCTTCTTGAGAGCGATCTTTTTGGCCGAGTAGTTCTTGTCTTTCTTGCCGCCGCTGTTTAGTTCTTGCCGGAGCTCGGCGACTTTGCCCTGCGGAGACCGAACCCATAGTGGTGAGCTAGTTTGCACGAAAGGGGCGATAAACATAAGGAGACTATACTGGGTAGGCGCAGATTATGGTCGGGATGGATATGAGGGAGAGAATATCAGCGCGCATAGGGAGAACGGAGAATTAAATAAACAAAGAGGGGTATCGAGACCAAGACAGAGACGCAGGCTAGTTCGCAAAATAAATTCTTGAGGGGAGGCGCCGTGAGGGGAAGCTGGCGGATAAGCCAAGTCCTCGAGCGCCATCTGATAGTGCGACAAGGAGTATAACAGCAGTTGACCACGTACCCTAGCGAACAGCTTCGCATCACCGCCCCCGGAACTCATGGTGGCTCTGTAGCTTTATGGGGCAAATAGTGGCAGATTGTCTTTGGAGTTGGCGTATGTGGAACTTTGAAATGTAGATGGCGTTTCTCCTTGCGTCGTCAAATCATGCAATCGCGGATAAGGGCGTGGAACGGCGTTCAGGACAGCCCGGATGGCTTCGAGGGCGACTCCTTAGCTAGCACAGTGCTGCCAGACTTCCATGCCTTTAGGGTGTCGGATTCGGACCTGATGGCCGGCGCACCGGAAAGGTCAGCGTGGCACAAGCGACTCCAAGCACAAAGGACCAACCTACCTTGATCGAATTGTCGTCGAAGAACAAATCTGGTCTCCAATTGCGCAGCGTAAGATTATCTCACAAGAAAGGAGTTCGAGGGCTGAGAATCAGGAGTGGACCGGGGGCCGCCAACTCCGCGCGGTTGCAGTTGTGGAGAATTCCATTTCTTCCTGATTTTCCAGGCGTTGAACCCTGCTCCCGACTTCTTCGATCGTCGCACCCGCACGAAGCTCACTCCGAGCTCTCTTCTTCTCCCCGCATCTCCTCTGGGCGACATCTATCTCATCATGGCTACCTCGCAAGCCCTACCGCCTCTTCCTGCGCCGACTTGGGTCGTCGAGCTCAACTCCCCGTTGCCACGTCCGTCATCATCGACATCCAGCATTCCCGATCCTCCCGGCTTCTCTCGCAAGTCTAGCGGTAAAAGTGTACGTTGCTCTCTAGATTCTGTACTAAAATGCATTACCTGACCTTTTCGTCAGCGCGCAGAGAAATCAGCAGCTCCGGCTGCGGCCAAACCGGGCGAAACCGACACGCTGAAGCTCAAAAAGGCCTGGGAAATCGCCCTCGCCCCGTCGAAACAAATCCCCATGAACGCAATAATGATGTACATGTCCGGAAACAGTCTACAAATCTTCAGTATTATGATGGTCTTCATGCTGTTCAAGGGTCCGATTCAGGGTCTTATCAATACCAACAACGTGTTCGCTAAATTCGACTCGGAGACACTGCGGGGCAAGCTGCTGGGCGTAAAGGCTGTGTATGTGCTGATGCAGTTTGTGCTTTTGGCTTTGGGTGTGTGGAAGGTTAATGCTATGGGGCTTTTGCCGTACGTATATGTGGCTATACTCTGTGCTTGCTTACGATGGATACTAATATGGTTGTACAGGACTACAAGGTCGGATTGGCTCGCTTGGGAATCGGAACGACAACCGTTGGAAACTGCTTACTTTGCCTTTGGTTGAATCGTGGGTGTTCATATTTGAGACTGAGGCAGCATCGACGAACGGATATCTTTTTACCAGGAGCTTTGTTCACACATGCCTCCTCTATCGCAATTTTTGACACTATATGAATGGAATGTATAATAATACACCAGCGAATGCTCTCAAGCGCTCCTGGCTTCACTCCTGGACTGCCTTTTTGCAAGCCTCCAGGAAGATCTGACAGAAATGCCACATCTCCTCGTACGTGTTATACAAGGGCGCCGGCGCAACCCTGATGACATCTGGCTTCCTTTCATCAATTACTACAGCATGCTCCTCCAATTCCTCCAAAACCTTGTCCAAAAGACCTGGCGCCAGGCGCAGGCTGAGCTGAGCACCACGCTCTGAGGGATTTGACGGTGTGATAATGCTGAAGGGCTTTTCGGACAGTCCGTCAAAAGGATACTTCAAAAGAAGGTGTTCGAGGTAGCCCGTGATCTTGAGGGACTTTTGGCGAATCTCGGCCATAGAAGTCCGGTTAAATAACTCAAGAGATGCTGCAACCGCGTTCAGATCAAGGACGGACGGATTGGACACCTGATATCCTGCAGCACCAGGTTGAGGAACAAAATCTAGTACAGTCATGTTAGAGCTCCAAAGTGGGATCGGTGAGGGCTATGAGTGCATACGGTTCTCCATCAAGAATCGAGTAGCCTTGTCTCCTCCCCACCAGCCAGAGAGGCGGGGATGGAATGATTGGAGATCTCCATCGCCCTTGCTCGTTTTCACTTCACCATGCCTCTCGTGCACGAATATCCCTGCCATTCCGCCTGGACCACTGTTGAGATATTTGTAGTTACACCACGCAGCAAAGTCAACATTCCAGTCGTGCAACTTTAGGTCAACATTTCCCGCTGCATGGGCGCAATCCCAGCCTACGACAATGCCTTTAGAGTGGGCATGCGCAGTGATTTTCTCGACATCAAAATATTGCCCAGTGTAAAACTGAACAGCAGAAAGAAGGAGAAGAGCTGTGCTCGAGGCATGCTCATCAATCACCCGAAGTATATGGTCTGTTTCGAGGATTGGCTGGTCAGGATTTTGTGGCTCAATGAGAACCAGGGCATCCTCTGAACGAAGATTGTGATTGTGGATCTGAGACTCGACAGCATACTAAAGATGTGCAAAGTCAACCTCTGCTCTACGAATGTGAGATTGCGAAACTTACGTGGTCACTAGGGAACGCTTTTCCCTCGATGATTACCTTGTATCGCTCTGCGGTTGGTCGGTAGAAGCTGGCCATCAGTAGATGAAGGTTTGCTGTGAGACTGCCCATGACCGCAACTTCGCTCTCCAGGGCTCCAACTATGGGAGCCATGAGCTCTGCGCCTGCCGAGTCGACATCGACAAACGGGGGAAGAAGCTCATCTTCATGGTGGGTAAAGTGGCCTGTTACGCCTTTGACGGCCCAAGTCCGTAGGTAGTAGTCAATGTATTTTCGCGTGTTACGAGGCTGGAGACCCAGAGAGTTTCCACAGAGATAGATGCTTCGAGGCTCCGATGAGTCTTCAGAAACTGTAGCGCATTGTTAGCATAAGTCCTCCTTGAACCCAGCAAGGCAACTCACCGTTGGACGGGTCGAGTGTTTTTCTCTTGAGGTCTTTTACAGAGGGTATTATAAACTCATCGCGGAAATGACGCAGCGGATCTTCCGCATCCAAAGATGCAGCATATTCCCTCGTGAATGCCCTGCTATCGTCTTGATATGGGAGCGGGGCCTCATTCTTAATCTGTTGAACGCGAAGGCGAGAGCCCATTGTGGAGGCTGTTTCAGTGCGCAGCTAAATGCTTTGCGCAATACAGACAAGTTCACCTGAAATCGCAATGTTGTAACTGTTCCTCGTTCGAGGAAGGGGAGAGAAAACCATTGGAGGCCCCGCCGCCGTAGACATGTTCGCTGCGGAGCCCCTCCCCACCTGTCAGTCATTGCCATTGCCAGTACGCGCTCAACTGTCGATCTCCCACAATGTAGAGAGTCTCGTTACTTATTCAGCAAGGTTGCTAGTAGTAGAATGATAGGCAGTGATATGAAACTTTACACGTACTAGACTTTGAGATATATATTTTGCGCAAGGTTGGGCAAGGCGTGCCAACCACCATGCTGGTACTTGGCTACTTCGATATTAAAATCCTACAAAAAGCACATTCACTCGTTCCAAACCGACTACGGGCCAGCACCATAAATGAGAACAGTATACATATCCCATCTACACCTTATTGTGATGCTTGAAAGATATGCATGGCACAACATCAAATGTTATGAGTGCATTAGTCATCAGTCCACGATGACCTCATCCCGCGGGAAGATTATTCTGCCGCGCTTTTCCGATTATTCTTCATCCAATAGCATCACCCGGATTGCTTCTACTCATCAGATTATAAACCACCTCCAAGGTGGTTATTGCCCACGGCTGAAGAAACATACTCTTAACACCATACTGTCCAGATTGCATCACGACATGTCACATCCAGTTCTGTACTCTGCCGTCCGGTTATCGAGGCCTCGGGCCGCGCGCGCATCGGTCCCTGCAGCCTCATCTCCGGCTTTGGCATTTAACTTCTCCGCGCCGTTTTCCCACACTTCATATCGAACAGCGATCACTCACGCAACCTCGAAGCGCAGCACCGAAATACGACCGAGCAAATTGTCAAGAGTTCCGAGGTTACGTTCGACTTTCATTCAACCGCGCTCCCCCTTCTCCTCCGCCTCAAGTCCCGCCGCCCAAGTGACGCAGAACCCGAGAACAGATGATGATGGGAATACATTGATGATTGGGATCTCCGAGCGAGCTGCAAATGTACGTTCCGTGTTGAATTCATGATTGCATTGTTCCCTCAATGTTTGTGGCTGGATTGTCAGTATCGGGGGGGTTGGCGCATACTCAACAACGGCGTGGCAATGGTACGGCTGGCTGGATACGACAGTGAACGATCCGCGAGAGGCCATGAGAACTGCTCGCGGGATAAGAAGTGTGCTGGGGAGGAAATAAGCACATACGACCACAGGGTGTGGAGAACAGGGCTTCCCGTCCGCTCAGCCGTACTTAAGCCACACGCCGGTAGGTTAGTAGTATGGTGGGTGACCACATGCGAATCCCTACTGTTGTATGTTTTTGCTTTTTTGTGTTATCTTTTTTTTTTTTCTTGCCTCGGTCCTTCATCCGTGTCTCTTTTTTTCGGTTCTGTCCTTTCTGTTTCAGAAACCATCTAACTAACAACACAAGCGCCTCCGCCAAATCACCGACCCATCAACATCACCCTCCGCAACAAAAGACGAAAACCCGTACCACCACCTCCGAATCACAGTAACCAGCGGAGGCTGCCATGGCTTCCAGTACCTGATGTCTCTCGAAGCCGCGTCCAAGATTCACGCGGAAGAAGACACCATTTTCGAAGCCGAAGCAGATTCATCCGCAGAGGGCTCCTCTGGCGGGAATGCAAAGGTCGTCATGGACGAACCATCGCTTGAGCTCCTTTCCGGTAGCACAGTTGATTATACAACAGAGCTTATTGGCAGCCAGTTCAAGATCGTCGATAACCCACGGGCTACAAGTAGCTGTGGTTGTGGGACGAGCTTCGATGTCGTTGATTAACGGTCTTTCTTTGTCACATCTTGCGGAGAAAGGAGACGGTTGTGTATACTTCACTGTTTTGATAGAGCGGTTATATCATCCTCACTCTTGTATATCATGCTTATTACGTCGAGAATATAGAGAAGCGCATGCTACATTACCAATTGTACTTTCTTGTCTATAAGACTGCAAATCAAGTGATTGTTTTAAATTTTTGTCATATTCTTGTACCAACATCATCTCCTCAACTAACCAGAGTCCTTTTTTGTACCATGCAGGATCGGAGTGCATAGCCGGAGACATATCACATATCGAACAATAAATAAAGAAAAAAGAGCAAAATCAAATACATGACAGATGAAGTCCTCGCAATCCCTTTTGTATGACTTCAACCAACAATCCTAAAACCCCAGGTCAGGGCCGCAATAGACCCTTGAATTAAAACCTAAGCGTGGACAATGCAATCAGAGAGAAGAAAAAAGTCATGATGCTAGCAAGGGACAAATAAAGGGAGACATGGTAAGTCGTTTATAAAACATCATCATCTGTCTCTTCTCTTCCCCTTCCGCTTCCACATCTCGAGGAACCCGCATGACCTCATCCATGAATACACCAACCACCACAGCCCTTGTTCAGCAAATTACCCTCTCATTGCTATATGAAGTACCTATCTTTTGGTCTCCAGATGGGGGTATGCCAAGGCGCATCTCATTTTGTTTTGCAGAATTCAACACGTGTCAAGCAGCGCATAGATGGCAATTTAGTAGACACGGGCGAGGTTCCTCAGGTACCAGTCCACAAGGCGTCGTCCGGCCTTGGTCTCGCTGACGTGGATGAGATCTTTCTCGAGAGCATAGTCGAGGTCGTTGGCGCTGACGGACTCGCCATCGAGCAGTCCGCCCTCAACCCAGCGGACCTGGCGGCTGCGCTGCTTGTTGATGAGCAGCCACGAGCGTAGCTTCTCGGGCTCGACCTCGAGGAAGCCGGCGAGCTTCTTCAGATCCATCGTTGTGTAGAGTTTGAGGTAAGACCGGATCGTGGGGTTGTACAAGGTGTTCTTGACCTCATCCATGAAGATGGCGGTGTGGTGGTCGACGGGGTCGACGTTCAGGGCTGGGTTGTCAAAGTCAGGAGGGGTGGGGCTGATGAACTTGGGGCAGGCTGAGCGGAAAAGCTCCTCGAAGAGGGGAAGAGCTTCGGGTCCGCCGTGCTGGAGGCGGATGAGCTGCTCGCCGTACTTCTCACGGAGGGCAGAGTGGATGGTGTCGTCGAGGCGTGTGGGGTGGAGAGCAACACAGATGGCGATCAGAGCGTACATCTGGTCGTTCTTCTTGGCAATGGCGTCGTAGCTGTTGCCGCCCTTTTGGAAGTTCTTGGTCCGGGAGACGTAGACCAGGATGTGGCTGAACATGCGGATGGCGTCTCCGTAGCGGCGCATCATCATGTAGGAGAAACCGACATAGTAGTATGTGGTGAAGTGGGCGGCCATGACACGGGCAAACATGGCCTTTTTGTTCATCTCGATGTCGTCGAGGGTCTTGAGGGCGAGGCTGAAATCACCCAACAAGCAGTGGACGCGAAGCAATCCAATGATGGAGAAGTATCCCAGCATCTTGTAGAGTGGGCGGGAACCGTATTCTCCAGCAAAGGCGGCGGCATCCTCACCACGCTTCATAGCGGCCAGCTGCTCGTTGATCTGCGACTTTTGGATGAGGGAGTAGAGGACGTTAAGAACGGAGTAGCAGCCCCAGGTGTTGGGGTTCTCGCGGAGAAGCTGAGCTTCCTCCTCGTTGGAGCCGCTGCGGGCAACGCGGTTACGGTAGCGGCAGAAGGATTCGAACTGGTAGATGAACTCATCGATCACATCCCAGGCCCAGTAGTACTATTGGTAAGCAAGCGCACCGTTAGCATTTCTGAAGCAAAACATTCACCCGTTCCGTACAAGGCACACAGAGAACTGAACGAGAAGGCAGGTATAATGAATCTCAAAACTCGACTACCGGGAATGCAATAGATAACAAGGGCCAACATACAGAAGGAACCTCCAATTCCACCGGACCATCGGAGTTGAGGATGTAATGGAACAGACTGCAGTAGTTGTCGTAGCTGGCAAACTTTGTCTCTAGTGTGGCCTGGTATTCCAAAGGAGTGGCGGCAGCGGCGAGCTGTGCCTGCAGGTCCTGCGTCTGAGAAGCAGCTCCGAGTGATGTAGTCCGATCCAACTCGCTCATTCCATCGTCGAAGTTTACCTGTTCGCGGTAGTCGTTGACCAGAGCTTCTTCCTCGACATCAGATTCGTCGCCCAGGTTGGGGCGCGCATTCACGCGCTCGTCGTAGGACATGGTGGGCGAAAAACGGATACTGCCGGCTTTCAAAAAAATCGTCCGACTAATTGTTGACAAGAGGAGGGGAGGCGCGCGGGGAGGTCGTCAGGCGTGGACTCGGCGTTTCGGGTGTGGGATTTCGACGGTTTCTGCCGCATCGAATTTTGAGGGTTTTCGCTTGGGCGATTTGTGCTTATCTTATCTATGCATACTGGGTTGCTTAGTCATCTATGCTCAGCCAATCCACAAACCGACCTTGTATAGAACGCAGAGACGCAAATGCAAATGCTTAGATAGTTCTGCTTCATAGTAGACACAATCAATAGCAGTGTGTTAATCACAACATGAGTGAAATACTGTGTATTTGCTACAAACTCGTTTGAGTTGAAAAGGATATTCTGATCCTATGGTGTCTAAATTGTCTTGATGTGATATGCACACAAATCCTAGTCCGGTTTTCTGTAACGGTATTCCAGTTGTGAAAGAATTGCATGCCCTTCCGAGTACCCCGGGGTCCACGACCATACCATTCAAAAGCTCTCTTCGTAGTCAACTAATAGTTGTCGGTGATCCTTATATGAACAGCGCATCATTTGCCAACACACTATCCTCACGAGGCACAATTGCGAACTACTAGAAGAAAAGGTCGTAATAAAGGGCCCGCTCGTCCAAGTCTAAGACTAATCCGCCGGCTCTCAGGGACGCCGTCACGAGATAGTGTGGAGGTACCATGGCATGAAATAGCTCAGCCGACCTGTAAGAAGGCTGGGATGATTTATCCGTAGATCAACCAATTCGAGAGCAAGGAAACCGTTTCCATGCTCATTCATCCGAAAACAAATCTACGGCGCTCCGTAGTGGCGTTCAGACACTTGCGGAAAATAGTTCGTTGCCGTCTTCGTCAGTTAGCTCTCAGCATGCAAGCCTCTTTCCGTCAAAGGACGTGGTGATGAGGCAGAGAGCTCCCTGACGGCTTCAGACTGTTCTCCCTGCTCCCTCGTGGAATAGAGGAGTAATCCTCACCGCGAACTCACCATGAAAGGATGGGGTGTCGGCCAGCCTGCTCAATCATCATACCTTTGTTGACCCCTTAACGCTTCCAGGGCCGCTAATATCGCTGATGAATAGACCCATTCTCGATGCAAGACCTCTTTTATTCCTCCAAGTATCACCACCGACCAGCCTTCAGGCATTCACCCCTCGGTTGTCCCTTCCATTTCCGCGCGTACGAAATCCTCCAGCATTACTGGTAGGCGCACGAATCTGAGTATGCCGCTATCCATCTTCCAAGTCCTCATTTCGCACGTTAACTTCGCGCCTCCGGATTCTATTCCATCAGCATCCTGGCATTATGAGCATTCTGAGTCTCGGCGTTGGACTGAAGCGACAACTTCTTCCGGCAACGGATTTGGCGAATTATCGAGTACGGAATAGATTTCAAACAAGGCATCTTTCGCGGCGGGGAATTTTCTGCTGAATGAATCGAGAAACTTCCATAACACAGAGAACGCTGCGCTGACTGATTCGTCATTCAGAAACGGGAGTAACGTGAGCGCGCCGCTCTTCGCAGGGCCGAAAATCAGACTGGGCGTATGTGGCAATCCATAGTGTCGACAATACAAATCGAGGTAGTCGGCAATCTGTCTTGCGGCATTGATCTGTCTGGTTTGAACCCATTCGATCGTGCTCGGATCTAGTGACGTTTCCGTATTTCGCTGCTCGAGAAGAAGACCCAGAAGCAAGATGATGACTTGGTGGCACTTTATACTGCAACAAGGGATTAGACTTGATCGTGAGTATCGATCCGTTTTCGGTCCTTACTGCAGAAATAACATTTGTGGAATAGGTTCCCCATCAATAATCTCCGTGTCAGGGAGACTTTGAAGAAAATCTTCAAGGCGACTATACAATGAGTCTACCTCTTTCCACACCTTGTCGATGCCCATATTGAAAGCCCTGTCAAAGAAAAGGCTTTGTATATCCAAGACGGTCTCGGTCAAGTCCACCATTTTCCTCAAGACATACGGAAGATTTGCCAATCTTTCTGGGTAATATTCGCGGTCTCGAACAGGGTAGGGAACCCACATGGTGTCGCTTTGTGGACCGTCCATCTCACTGAGTGTCAATCTGGGTATTTCGAGATTTGATATTCTGCGAGATTCCATGGACATGTGTCTGCAAAAATGAGTCAACAAAGGTACATACTTTCCGAACCGTGGCTGGTCTTACGAGTTCATTATAAAGACACCCCAAGCGGTTCGGGCGCTAGAATGCTTGAGTTCGTCCGGCATCCGGTCCCATTCGCTGGGTCTTGAGCTTGACGATCTGAAAATGCCAAGGTCTTGCCCAAGTTGTACAGCTTGACGAAGATAGAGCCAGCTAGCATTGTCCTTTCCTTGAAGCTTCAAACTGTAAACAGTCAGTTCTGATGTTCCAAAAGGCTAAGCACACAAGGCACTGCGAGAGCTCCCACAGATCTACTCACTTGTGGCTCATCAAAGCCAGAGCCTGAATATTGGTCAGTGAAGGTCGACCCTCTTGGGCCTTCCACTGTTTCTCTGCTTCCTCGAAGAAATGCTGACCTCGAGAATATATGTCTCCCGGGGCGCCATATACCTCAGGATAATGCGAATATATCTGATGACAGTCAGCACAGCACAATTTTTCGGCCACGACTGGAACTGGGATTGACTCACGCTCGCCAATGCTAGAATGCTGTTCACGAGCATAGGGCTACAGAACTTTGACCTTGTGTCACCCAGCTTCATGTGCTCCAGGAACAGATTTTGATCAACCACCTGCATTAGTGGGTGATCCCACGTGAAATATACTGATATCAGATGAGAGACAAGGTGATCATCCTGCGTGACAGCCGTCCATGCACGACATTCAACCCGCAGAAGGGGAGTATCACAGAGCTCTCTGATGGAAATCCTGGAATGATTGACCATTGCGCTGCTATCCTGGCTTCCGACGCTTTGCAGGTCCTCAGGACTTCTTAGGTCCTCGGAGCTAGTGTCGCTCGCATCAGCTGGCGATCCCTCGGGAAAAGCTGTTTCGAATGCATGGGGAAATCTCTGAAGAATGTTCGTGGCGACTTCATCCAGGTCACCGCGACCTTGGCGCACAACTGTCAAGAGATCCTCAAGCTTTTCGCCTGTTGACGTGCGCAGCTGCCCTACGAGGATTCTTAGAACACGCCGATAGTATTCGAGATCCTCTGACGTCTTTGCTAGATCTTTGCTGGTTTGTTTCGCAGCGAGCTTGCGCCTAAGATCTTTCGACTCGTCGAAAACGCATTCACTTTTGTTATTCTCACAAGCCTTACATGGGGCCGGTCGTCCAGTACACTGTTGCGAATAAAAGAACTGTTAGCTCCAACCACGTCGGACAAAGCACACGGGTTAGGGAATTGCGTGGCTGCCAGAAACGTACCTTTCTCTTTGCTTGCTTACATGGCAAACATGCACTCGAGCTCTTCTTGTTCTTTGTCAAGGGCTTGTATTCTCGCAATGGCCCGGGGCCTGGAGCGATTGTGAGAAGATGTTTATCCTTGCTGGAAGCCATTTTCGACGGGTAAGATTTGGGTAAAGCAGGGAGTTGAATGATCAAAAAGGCCAGAGATGCCCTCGGAGTTGAAGTATTATCCTGACAAATCTCCCAGAGGGCACGAAGGCGATGCTATCTCGAGGCAGAGCTCTGGAGAGGCATTGAGCTTTTTTTTGCCACTGTTGGTTTAGGTCGCGTCGAATGGACTCATGTGCAGCAGCTATGACTCGGTCTACTTGCAGAAACTGGGCACAGTGCGGGCTAGTATCACTGGGCGCACGCCTCAATCGAAGAGTGTCTGGGGAAGGGGGGCGACAAGTGGGAAGTGATGTGATGTGGAATGGGAAATGTGAGTCGGCGGTAAGACGAAACGGTATGTTCAATTATGGGGGTATGTCGGCAATAATGGGTTCGTGGCGGTCGAAGGAGGACAGCGAAGCCTGAAAAAGAAAACTGACTGTTAGACAAGGTCCAGATTCAAGGGAAAAAAATCCCAAAGGGCAGAAACAGGGCCCCAGCGGGATAAGCCAGCAAGGATGGGAATCCATCGATCGATTGTGACAAGCCCAAAGAACATGGAAAATGAATCCAGACAAGCAAACAAGCATGGATGGGAGGGGCCAGACGCATGGATGGGTGATGCTACCGAGTGGAGCAAGTCGAGGAGAGCAACGAGTGGATGAAACAGCGCCGCGTTGGACATGGCTTGAAGGGAACCTGATGGCCTGTTCCTTGACCAGACATCCCTAAAGGAAGGCGGGAGCTGTTATTCGATGGTGGAGGTCTCCCGACTAGCCACAGCAAGCCTGCTACCTTGAGGGCCCAAAGGACCCTGGGTCCGCTGATTTCATCCTGATGCTGGGGAATTGGCAGGTTGGGGAAGAATGGTCATGCTCATGGAGTGAGACTGAGCTCGCGTTGGCCTGCCTACCTTTGGGTCCAAGGCTCTAGCTTCGGGAGCCACCAGTGGCAGGCAGTGTGGGAGTGCGGGTGCTCTCGATACGGAAAGGATCCTGCCAGTACTTTGCACTCTGCGCACATTATTTCATATTTATCGCATCCGCAATGCTCGCACCCCCTCCGATCCGCGCAGCCTTTCCCGACCCTTGTCCAAAGTTGGCAAACAGACAGGGGAGGCGACGAGAAAACTGGAATCGCGAGGATGAAAACAGGAAAAAAAGTCACTTGTGACAGATGATCCAAGGAAATCAGGATTAACCCAGAGTGACGAATACGATTTGGGAACGGTAACAAAACATATCAATTACAGATAATGGAGGGGAACCACCAGTAGCAATGATGAGTTGGTTGAATTGGACCCCGTCTACGTAAGGGTCTTGCAAGCACAGCTTTGCAGAGTGCCACTGTGAATGCTCAACATATCAATCAATAGGCGGATAATATAACCGGCCACTCAGCGCCTATCACAGCCAAGGACCGGCTGTGTCGCCCGCCAGTCCCGTGAGCTGCTTGTGAGGTAACCACTTTCCACCGGTGCATGGACGGGAGTACTATATACGCGTAGAAAGCTAGCCACGGCCTTCAGTACCGAGCGAGTCGCCTCGGGTGCTGACCGTGCTGAGGTCATTTCGCACTTATTTGCATTTGGGCTGCCCGTGCCGGAGCCGACTTCCAGCACCCATCGCCTATTGGGTGGATTTTTCATGCGACAGAATGATGGTCTTCCGATGAGAGGCCTGATGACCGACAATCAGGGACCGCTGCAGGGGCCGATAGGCTTCGATAGATACTTCCAGCGAATCGTCTTGAGCCCGTGGCTTGACATTCGGAAGGTGGCCCTTTCACCCCACACCCAGCAGATCAAAGATGGAGAAATCAGCGTCCACTAGTTCGCGCGTTGTGCCATTTAGCTAGACGCTTTCCGTTTGTCATAGGCTGGATATAACTTCCTTGGATATAGCTTCCCATGCATGTTTACGGTCGCCTTACGGTCGCCACACCTTCGGCTGAAAGTGAAACCACGGATACGCGTCTCCTCGTGCTCTCTTCGGTTCCCTCCGCCGACCACATTCTAATCCTTGCGGCTGATGAAACAAATCTTGGTCCACTTTCACTATTTATTCTTACTTGCAGAACCTTATAAATCGACGGGAACGGAAGCCCTCTCGTTTCTCGAAGCCTACTCGATCGGGAGCCTAGGTTTCCAGGCCGCTCACGCTGACTCGTCGCACCGAAGGCAGAATAAAGTGCTGACAACAGTGATGTCTCCCATCTCTCCCCTCAAATCGCTGTATCTTCGCTCCTTGTTGATTACTTCAATGCGATTGTTCCTGGCTTGATCTCGGTTAGCATCGGCCAGACGAGGGGCAAAATGCGAGCGGTGGGGTTTTATGGTAGAAAAAATTGAGAGCGCAGCGCCTTCTTTGTACTCCCATGTCGGCGAAATATCTCTGGAAAAATCCTACAACATTGCTCTTGACATATCTACATCCCGTCTACACGATAGAAGCCGACGAAAACGATCCTAGTTGACGCTGAGTCCCTTGGAGCTCTTATCGTGACTCATCGCGCAGCCATCTATAACTGACTCACATCCCTTACAATCCTTTCCCTCATTATTCCAACCACAGTCACAACAAAATGGGCTCAATTGCACCTGCACGCGCTGAACTCGACGCCTCCGTCGTCAAGATCACCCGATCCAACAACATCCGCGATGTGCCTCTCCCCGGTTCCCTTGAGGAGCTCAGTCACTCCTACTGCACCGACCACATGGTCACCGTGCGATGGACCGACGAGAATGGCTGGGAAACTCCCGAAGTCAAGCCGTACCAGAACCTAAGCCTCCCTCCCACCGCATCATGCTTGCACTACGCTACCGAATGCTTCGAGGGCATGAAGGTCTATCGCGGCTTCGACGGCAAACTTCGTCTTTTCCGACCCGACCTCAACGGCGAGCGTCTGTCTAACAGCGCCGTTAGAGCTTCCCTACCCAGCTTCCGGTTCCAAGAGCTCAAGACACTCATTGCCAAGCTGATGCAGGTTGACGGTCTCCGTACGTCGCGCCTCATTCTCACCATTTACCCCGCAACCCTCGAGATAAACCCGCTAACGCGAACCTTTATATAGGCTGGCTCCCCAAGGACCAACCCGGCCGATTCCTTTACCTCCGCCCCACCCTCATCGGCAGTGGCATGCAGCTCGGCGTCCAAGCCCCCAAGGAAGCCCTCCTCTTCATCATCGCCGTCCCCTGGCCCGACCCAGCCACCCGCATCAAGTCCGTCCCCGGCGAACCCTCCGGCCTGAAATTACTCGCCTCCCACCCAGATACCATCCGCGCCTGGCCCGGCGGTTTCGGATACGCCAAACTCGGTGCCAATTATGGCCCCTCGCTCGCGGCGCATGGCAAAGCGCAAGCCCAGGGCTTCGATCAGGTCCTCTGGCTCTTCGGCGCCGATCGTCAGGTTACCGAGGCGGGAGCTAGCAACTTCTTTATTGTTTGGGAGAACGCGCAGACGGGAAAGCGCGAGCTGGTGACAGCGCCGTTGGAGAACCAGTTGATCTTGCCCGGTGTCACGCGGCGCTCTGTTTTGCAGCTGGCTAGGGAGCGGTTGCGCCAGGGTAACGGTGATTTGGGTGCTGTGGAGGTTGTTGAGAAGACGTTCACTATTGGTGATGTCGAGACAGCGTGGAAGGAGGGACGCATTGTGGAGGCTTTTGTTTGTGGTACTGCCGTATGTTTCCCTTTTACCCTGTGACTCTGTAGCCGGACAGTGAGCTAACAAGTGTAGTTCTTCATCACACCCGTTAAGCTCATCCGAGACGGCGAGGTCGACATTCCTCTGCTCAAGACCGGCTCTGATCGTGCGGAATACGCCGCGCAGATCAAGTCCTGGCTCGAGGCGATCATGTACGGCAAGGATGGCCAGGAGAACCACGAGTGGGCGTACCTCATTGAGAACGAGAGCGAGAAATAGACCTGTCGTATACTCATATTGTGAGATGTTGACCATTCATTAGATTATAGACAGGCTTTGGGGTGGCAAACCTTGGTTATTTAGACATGAATATAATTTACAGATTCAAAGTTTTTGGGTTCCAAAAGTATTGTTGCATGTTGTAGATTGTCACCGCAGTGCCTCTGGCACGGTGTCCAAATCGACAATCACCGGCGCGTAGTCGTCTTCCTCGTCCTCAATCATTTCCATTTCTACCTCCTCTCCGTCCTCCAACTGGAGCGTGCCCTTTCGAAGCACAGCATCACGGTTCAGCTCCCAATCATACTCGTTCTTCACCCAAGATTCGAGGCGCTCAAATTCGGCTTGCACAGGAGATCCTTCCACGTCTTCGAGGGTTTCGTACAGCGCCGTCCGAAAAGCTTTGAGTAGCTTTCGTAGAAATTCAGCTCCTTCGCCTAACTGATCGAAAAGTCCTCCCTCGATGTCGTCGCACCGCTTGAGTTGAGATAACAATAAGCGCAATACTTCGGCCATGAGAGACGCCCTCTCCACGATTGCCCGGCGGCATGTTAATATCAGTCGCAGTAACCGCTTCCATTGTTGGAGACACGAGTAGTTCATCAAGGTCAAACCCATGAGGAACGTGAATTGTAGCTCCCCGAGCACCTGCGTTTCGCCTTCGCTTTCATCATCAGGACGCGACGAAACGCTCTGAATGATCTCGCCCAACGCCCAGGACCGATCCCGCGCTGCCTCTGTTCGCTCGCGACCTATCGCGCCGTCCCTCCACGTCATCTTCAGATCGACAGGGAGGAACGAGAAGTCCCTCTCCTTCGCCCCGGCATTTCCAGACTGGGCCACGCGCTCTAAACTCGACCCCTCAAGCCCAGGGATATCATCATTATCCCGCTTCGCCGTACCTCCAGACGTAACTACCCACCGCACCCTCCCATCCCAGTCCATATCCACATCAACCACCCCCTCTCCCCGGTCCGCGCCCGTAATCCTACTCAACAACCTCGCAGACAACCGATCCGTCAACGCCCTCCACTCTCTCCTCCCTTCCTCCTCTGCCGCCTCATCTTCCGACTGCTGCGACCTGTGCACAGAAACCCGACTCCGATACCCGAACAACCCACCACCCCTCCACAGCGCCCCCAAATTCGCCCGGTACCGCATTGCCTCCTGATGTCCTTCCTCTGTACCCTTAATCTGCTCCAGCGCCTCTGTATCCCCATCCCACCGCCAGATGAGTACCTGCGGTTCCGCGCCAATACTATCTCCTTTTGTCGCATCGTCATCGATGAAGAACCAAGCACCGCATCGCAGTGATAACCCTTCTGTTGTCCCGGTGTACAGAAAGTGCCAACCGCCAGGGATGTCGCGAATACCATGGAAGTTCGGTGTTGATGTAAATGTGATTAGGTCGATGCCAACAAGGGTTTTCGGGGGGAGGTGCGGGGTTAGGAGGGTCGGTGTTGGGATGGGGGAGGATTCCTTGTTTGCGCTGGCTCGGCGTTTGACCAGATCCGTCATTTTGCCAGCTGTATAGGTATAGAAGCCGATTCTAGAAGTATATGATTGGTTTCAAGGCGACCATAAGAATGCTTTCATGTTGATTTGGATGTAAAAAATGTGCTTGCAAGACGTTGGTGCGGCGAGAAAAGAAATCGAGGTGCTTGAGAAATTTAGGTGCTTTGGTTGCGGGTCTGACGTCAACCATCTACTCCATTCTATTGCTCATACTTAGATATAGCGGAGTCGAGTGACTCGTTGTAAGATGTCAATATCAGCACGAATCGAAATCTAAAAGCATTGATCGATATGTCGCCCAGCAGAGGGACTAGCGGGCATGCACCAAGTGATCGTCGTTATTTGCGCAGCCTTGAGGCTATCTTTGTCACTTATGACCGTGCGAAGGGTTTTAGGACGGCCAAGTCTCATACGCTCGACTACGACTCGAAGAAAGAAAATTCCAGCGAACTGAACTTTTGTATTTTGGACATGAAATGATGAAGACCAGGCAATCACTGCCGTTCTTCGCGTTTATTCCATCCACATTCAGCAGGTAAGAGGCCTAGCTAGCAAATGTATGCTCCGCAAACCCGACCACGCAAGACCAGAAAACCCCGCACAAGCCGAGACCAAAAAGCGAACATACAGATGCGCAGCGCAGAGCAATCGCACGGCAGGCTCGCACATACCTACAGACGACGACCACGGCGACCACCCTTGCGACGAGTAGAGTCGGAAGGAGTAGGGGTGACGTCCTCAATGCGGCCGATGCGCATGCCAGAGCGGGCAAGGGCACGGAGAGCGGACTGAGCACCGGGACCGGGGGTCTTGGTACCGTTACCTATAGCCAGTATATCAGTATCCATCTTTTGAGGAGAATCCCGCTTCGGGGGATACGCACCACCGGTAGCACGGATCTTGATGTGAAGGGCGTTGATGCCGAGCTCCTTGCAGCGGGTAGCGACGTCCTGGGCAGCCAACATGGCAGCGTAGGGGGAGGACTCGTCACGGTCAGCCTTGACCTTCATACCACCGGTGACACGGCAGATGGTTTCGCGACCGCTGGAAGCTCGTTAGTTGCAAATTCCAATGCATATTGACGAATGCGACAGAGGCGGAACGTACGAGAGATCGGTAACGTGAACGAAGGTATCGTTGAAAGAGGCGAAGATGCGGGCAACACCGAAAACGAGCTTGCCTAGAGACGGACAAATCGATTAGACTCCGTTTTTTCACGAATTTGCTTTGCAAAAAGGGTGCGCATACCATCTCCGGCCAGAGGGCCGAGAGTGACGTTCTCCTTGGTGGCAGTGGCGGCTTTCTTGGGGGCCATTGTGTCGACTTGCTGATGTGGGATGGAATATGAGGAGAAAGAAAGAAGTCGTCGCGGTGTCCGGCTGGAGATACAGAAAGGAAAATCTGGTGGTGGATCCGTGTGCCCTACTGTGGCTATGCGGGCTCTGATTGGTTTCTGAAGAACACAAGCGAAAAAAGCAGCCAGTGGGCTCTCGGTGGGCGAGTCGGACCGCAAGGCGGTCTGCACTGTTGCTCTGCCATTATTTAAAAAAATCTTCCATGCGTCAACATTGTGACTTTTGTTAAACCTGTCAGACTTTCAACAGCAACTTCTGAGAAGACTACGGACATTCTCTGGTGTATTCCAGAGGGTCTATTATAGAGTCAACAACGACACTGTCTGATTTGGGAATTCATATACTCTTCAAGATGGGGTTCACAAAGGAAACCGCCTCCATCGGCATTATTGGCATGGGAGATATGGGCAAAATGTATGCCCAGAGGTTGAGCAATGCAGGATGGAGGTAATCACGACCTTGTTTTCGGTTCTGTCCAGTTGTCAAATCAACAGCCTTATCGCATTCGGTAAGCAAGCCCCCTTTTCATCCCCATCTTTTGCATGATGACTTGAGTGCATTTGGCTCGAGCATGGTCTGCTAGCTCGCTGTTAACGCCATTTTGGCTGATGGTGAGCTGGTTTTCCGTCGATGATGTAACATACTCGCTACCTTACTATCATTTGTCTGATATTTGCATTACTCTCTGTTACTTGAAACTCGCATTGTTTTGTCCGGGTCTCATGCTAACTGAATCACTAGGATCTTCGCATATCACTTTGTCCTTGTGGACTGACATGGCCGTACTAACTCTCTTAAGGATTAATGCATGTGACAAACCCGATAGCTTTAATAAATTGCAGAAAGAATTCGAGTCTCAAGTACGTCCGACTCGCAGCTCGCGCTGTCTGTCCCGAAACTCATTATTGTATATAGAGTGGCGTAACAATATACCCGAATGGTCACCTTGTCTCAAGGATTAGCGATTTCATATTGTACAGTGTAGAGGCCGGCGTCATTGACAAGGTAGTCTCAGAGTATGGCCCATGTATGTTGCTCCTATATTGCTCTTCGCACTATGGAGCACATCTCTAACCCTTGAACAGCCACCAAGGTGGGCGCTATCGTTGGCGGCCAAACATCTTGCAAGGCACCGGAACTAGCTGCATTCGACAAGCATCTCCCCCAGGATGTAGAAATTGTCTCATGCCACTCCCTGCATGGTCCGCAGGTGAACCCCAAGGGCCAGCCATTGGTAGGTATCGATAAATGTTTGTTGACGGACCCTGAGTAACCCTACCTAGGTCCTGATTCAACACCGTGCCAAAGACGAGAGTCTCCGATTCGTCGAGGAAGTCCTGTCGTGCTTCAACTCCAAGTATGTCTACCTCAGTGGTGAAATGCACGACCGTATCACAGCAGACACCCAAGCCGTCACACACGCAGCCTTTCTAAGTATGGGAACGGCATGGCACGCGAACCAGCAATTTCCCTGGGAGATATCCCGCTGGGTTGGCGGGATTGAGAACGTCAAGATCAATATCACTTTGCGCATCTACTCGAACAAGTGGCACGTCTATGCTGGCCTCGCAATCCTCAACCCAGCCGCAAAGAAGCAGATCCGGCAGTATGCAGAGTCGGTGACAGAGTTGTACAAGCTCATGATCGAGGGACGACGGGACGAGCTCAAGCGCCGAGTAAGGGCAGCTGGAGCGGCAGTCTTCAAAGAAGGCACGGAGAAGCAAGACCTCTTGTTGAGTGATGAGGTTCTCGACCGCTTCTCGTTGTCAAAGGGAACTCGCGAGACATCGCCGCCCAACAATCATCTGAGTCTGCTGGCCATCGTTGATTGCTGGTCGAAACTTGGCATCGTGCCGTACGACCATATGATCTGCTCGACGCCCGTGAGTGGCCCTTTTGAGACCCCTTTTGAGCCCCGTGCAGGTGCTAACTAGAACAGCTTTTCCGCCTGTGGCTTGGAGTGACAGAGTACCTATTTCGCAACCCAGACCTTCTTGATGAAGCACTAGACACAGCCATAGACGACAAGACATTTCGATCTGATGATCTTGAATTCACGTTTGCGGCCCGGGTAAGTTCGACTCTTCATTTGGAGCTGCCTGAGACGGTGTCATACTGATGTCATTTCCTCCTTTTGTTCTAGGCATGGTCAGACTGTGTTTCCTTTGGGGATTTCGAGTCGTACCGCGATCGATTCGAGAGGATCCAACAGTACTTTGCTCCACGATTTGCCGATGCGGTCAGTCTTGGAAATGAGATGATGAAGACAATCCTAGAGAAGACGAGCAACGAAACTTCGTAATGATAATGAGCGTATGGGATACGATGAATGCGGTGCTAGAAAAAGCTGGGCAACCTAGCCGAGATCCTGAGATCTAACTCAGTTCAATAATACATTTTCAATGAGAAGTCGTGGACCACCGGACCATCGTACTTGTATTGTGTAGGTGTGTGGATTGTTGTCGCGACTCCGTAGCAGTATAATTAGGTAAATGCTCGGTTCTTCATGCTTTCTTGGGTGTTCCTTGAAATATAGATTGTTGATGTTGAAATCCAATGGTTCAATCTTAGGTAGCAAACCACAACCAGTCAAACGTGTTGATTAAGTTAATGAAGAACCCGAAAACCAAGGCTTGCCACAGATACTTGATACTCTTTCACAGAGTTAATAATGCATTAGAATATGACATGAACCTTAAAAAGAGTTGTATGGACAGGTTGCAACCTCAGGCCACCACGATCTGTTAGTCAGCCAGCAAGCCAAGCCACTGTGAACCTCTCAGTATGGCTGAGCCGGCTTGAATGAAAGAGCAATCGGGGGCATGCAGCGAGCTGATAATGCCTATTTAGTCGAGACCAATAATGGATGACTGACCTTTGTCCGATCGCTTCGTGATTCAAACAAATCTCCGCTCTTTGTGTTACATGAGACTATTCAGCTGCCCCATCCCGGATTCCCCTCCCTCGCTGTTCCCCAGACCCAACTGCCTCCGCGCTCGCGACGTCCTGCACCCCTCCCCTCAAACCAACAGCGACAACAACAACAACAACAGCTCGAAACTCCGGGTCCCTATTCTCGCGCCGTTCCATTTTAGCCCGGTCCTGCTCCCGTGGTTTTCGTCGTAAACCAAATGCAGCCATCTATCACGCATCTCATTCGCGCCAGGTGATAGAGACGCCTCACTTGCGGCTAGATGGAGACCCATGGCGTCCGGATACAACTCAACTTTCTCCGCGACATCGGTCCAGCACCGCGCTGCAGGAGATGGGAGATCACTGTCTAGTCAGGATGACGGCTTCGTGGACGGCAGCTGGCCTGGGCCTCCTGCTTCAAGAACGGGGAGAAATGGCCGATCTGGGTCGGGAGGAAGTACAACCATCGGCCCGCGGGGAGGGTCCTTGGCTCCTTCCTCAGGAGGACCGGGTAGCTTCAGCGCCGAACTGAAAAGTATGAAGTCATCGCGAAGTACCACTCCGCGGGCTGACACACGACCCGACGCCCCATATGCGCGGAGACCTAGCAGCATCGACTATAACGACCTACCGAGCACAGAGGAGCGCCAGGCCGTGATTCGTGATAAGATCGCCAAAGAGATGAAGATCAAAACAGGGACAGAGAATATGCTAGAGGCACTGTTAACGAAGAGTTCAAAGCAAACAAAGGACCAGAGGTTGAGGGTGGAATCGGAGCTTAGCTCGTCAAACCGCAAGCTTGCCGAGCTACACAATGAACTAGAGGAGGAGCTTCTACGTGCGCAGGCGCCATCAACTCCTCCTCGAAGCCGGCTATCGAGTTTATTTCAAGGAAGCTCGATGCGATCACCCTCTCGTGCCGCCAATGTGTCCGACACTGAGCCACTGGAAGATGTCGAAGGGGAAATGGAGTCGCCGACATATGTTCTTGCCGAGACTCTTCAAGCTCTGGAAATAGAAGGGATGTCGCCGGATTATTACGTTGAGCGTGCAAACAGTCTCGTCGAACTCTTCAAACGACACCCTACCTTGAAGTATGACCTTGCGTGGTCTGTTTTTGGTCTGCGAGTTCAAGTCATGCTTTTGAGTGACAGCAAAGAGGTAGTGGCAGCTGGTTACCGGTTAACTCGCTATGCCATTGCAGACCGAAAATCCCTCCAGGTCATCCGATCACTTCATACAGATGAACTCGTTATCCTATCCTTGGTCAAGGAGAGCAAAGCGAGCATTGAACGAGAGCAGGCACTAAAGTTTGTGCGTGCATTCTTAGATGTCAAGGATGGTGTAAAGGAGATTTCACGTCCTGTTGTACGGACGATCGTGTCCGTCGCTGAGCACCACGAGGACCGTCTTCGAAATATTTCACTCATGACGCTCGCGGAGATACTAGTCAAAGACCCTCAATTAATAGCCTACGCAGGAGGGTTTTCCCCATTACACGATGCCCTTTCAGAGGGAACATTTGGTGCCTCAGAAAGTTTGATCTCAAGCTTCTTGCATGTCCTCGACACACCTCGCAGCAGGACGCATCTTAGGGGAGGGTGCGAATTAGAAGCGGTTCTCGCACCATTCACTGACTCTCTGTCCGACAGTGTTCGCAGTGGACGCTTACAATCATCAGCAAAGGCCATCTCTGCGATGTTAAAGACATGGCCGGGCTTGGTTATTCTCGGAAGGAACGGAGCAAAGCCGCTAAAGTCGCTTTTAGAATCGTTGCACTACCCTGACCCTCAGGCGAGGGATTTGATCATGGAGCTTCTATTTGACGCCTTGAGGATAAAGCCGCCCTCTTGGTCGTCGTCATTTCTCGCCGGACGAAGGCTTACGACCTATGGCAGAGTCGCGAATTTAAGATCAGAGTCGGACACGAAACATCTCCGGGGCGTTTTCGGCGGTGGCGATAATAAATTCGATCTTACAGCACACTTTTCGACACTTATTCTCGCTACCTTGGTCGATGCTGGCCTGTCAAAGGTAAGGAAGGGGCTTGCTCCTTTACGTCCTTTGGTTGTTTTGTTGTTTGCTAATAGTTGCAAAGGCTCTCTGTGACCTGATTGAAGAAGAAGAGGATCTATCGCTTCGGCGAAAGGCAACGTTGCTTCTGACAGAGGTTTTGAAGCTAGCCCACCATTCTCTACCCCAGAATGTCAGTGCGAAGCTTCAAGTTCTTCCACATTTGATTTCGCCTGCCATTACATTTGACGTTGAGAATCACGACGTTTCAACTTCCACTATATACCAAATAGAAAGCATCAACAGGACCCTGGCCCGCTCGTTAGCCGGTGTTCCCAATGGAGCTGGAAGATATAGCGTTGATGTTGATATTTCGGCCACCCTATTATCCCCAGATCAGAACAAAGACAAGCTGAGCCCTGCCATGGATGAGACGCAGTTTCGCAACGCGATCCTGGAGACACATGTCCTAAATACCGTCAACTATATCAAGTGGAAATGGGACCTGATTCATAAAATCGTCGAAGGCCCTCTCACAAATCCAAAGAGGCTTGATGAAGCGATAAAAGGGTCCAAGTTTATGAAACGCCTGATGGGATTCTATCGCCCGTTCAAGTACAGATTTTCGATGCTACCAAACACGAAACCGAATCAGCGCTATGTTCGCACAGGCTGCGCATTGATGCGCACACTGGTGCAAACCACCGAGGGAACCAAATACCTGGCGGAGAACAAGTTCCTTCGGCAGGTCGCTGAATGTCTTGCTCAAGTGGACCATATGAGTGGTCTGACGTCGTCTTCACCATTATTCTCCAAGGACCAAATGTCCTCAACATTGAGCGGAGGGTACTTTGCCATGCTTGGAACATTAAGTGCTGATGCAAACGGCCTTGCGATGATGGAAAGGTGGCACATGCTCAACATGTTCTATCATATCATTGAACTTCGGGATCGGGACGATCTAGTGCAGACGCTTTTGGGCAATATGGATTACACTCAGGGCAGTCATCTCAGAGTGATGCTGTCCAAGGCGCTCACCACAGGCTCGAAAGATATTCGCATCTTCGGAACCAGACTGCTTCGAAAGTATACGATGGGAAATGTCTCACTTCCTTCACTCATGGATGTGGATAATGCCGACTGGGTTATCAAGCTCCTCGTAACCCAGCTATATGATCCCGATGTTTCCGTTTGCCAAGTGGCCGTCAAGATTCTCGAGGAGGCGTGCAATCAGCGTGACTATCTTGAGTTTGTGGTCAAGTGCCGACCATCTTTAGATCACCTCGGCGAAATCGGCGCGCCCTTACTCTTGCGATTTCTATCGACATCAGTAGGGTATCATTATCTCGATGGACTCGACTACATTACGCAAGAAATGGACGACTGGTTCCTCGGCAGAAATGATGCATATGTGGGCCTCGTCGAGGCTGCTTTATCCCGAGCTTACGTCGACCAACCTCGAAGAAGCAGTCTGGTTCCTGAAGATCTTGTGGACCTTCAGGATATCGGCCTGGTACCACCGCACTTCTATAGGGAACTGGCTCGCACTGCCGAAGGGTGCAGACTTCTCGAGGAGTCAGGCCACTTCAATGAGTTTTCTGGGACGATTCAGGATTTCACATTGAACGAGGAAGACAACGAGGCCCTCCTCAAAGTCAAGGGCTGCCTCTGGGCTGTGGGAAATGTCGGGTCTATGGAGTTGGGCGCTCCATTCCTCGGTTTAGACCTTGTGCGGCATATTGCGAAGATAGCCGAATGCGCAGAGGTCCTGACAATGAGGGGGACTGCGTTCTTTGTCCTGGGCCTGATCTCGCGCAGTCAACACGGGCTTGGAGTCTTGAGAAAATGTGGTTGGGACTCGGCGGTTGATCAGAAGGGAAATTCACTTGGGCTATGTCTCCCAACGGACTTTAGCAAGCTCTTCTTGGTATGCTCCCCAACGCCCCCAGACGTTCACCTGACTGACTGATCGTTTCAACTTAGGTTGATTTCCCTTTTTATTCCAGATCTTCAGACGCGAAGCGCACATCCCAGGAAAAACTCAAAGCAGCTACCTTGGATTCTGATGCTGGTAACCAAAAGATCCTCAAGCTGATCGCTGACATGGGCAACACTGTTTTGTCCAAGCGGGCAGCAGCAGATCTTCACAGGTAAGCATACTCAGCTCCAGAATCAATACTTCTATGGCTCACAAGACTGTGAATTTGCAGCCTCAAATCCAAACAACCTGAAAAGTTCCACCAGCCTCACCTTTTCCGCAAGGCACTGAGTATTCTCGAAAGTCACCACTTTAGATTGCCTGCTCGACGCTTCGCACTCGATCTTTTCGACAAGAGCGTGATGCGGCGTATAGTCATAGACGAGGAGTCTGATACCGATTCGGACGAGAGTTCCTCGCAAGAATCGTCCTAACCCTTTCTTCTCCAATTTAGGCTTTACTAGCCTAACTTCAATCCAAACCTCGTGCCGCTCCAGGCATGAACGACAAACAAACATTTTCTTACGTGGTTCTCGGCCTATAGTTTGCTGGCCTTGCGGTTGATCCGATGTTTTCTGGATTTGGCGAGAAGTGGTGGCTGTTATATATGGTTGTGGGAGTTTCGGTTTGGATTCTTGGTTGATTCTCTTACTCTTGGCTTCATTTGAGAAGTCAATGTCCTGCTTCTTTAGCGGCAGATGTATACTGTACATACACACGAAACGATCACGAAGGTTGAGTATCATCACTTAAGTATATAATTGGTATCGTCACTCGTAGGTAGCTGTAGAAATATGCTAAATTTGGAGAGTAATGCATTACATAAGGCGTTCATAAAGCGGCAGCATCCGCAGCGTAACATGGATCGGAGTATTTAGCCTAGGCTATCCGACTGAGGTCAACCTCACCCCACGACCAAGATGACGGGCCCGATGAATTCGGCAGTTCTCTCATCATCCCATACTTGACATTATTCCGCACTCTCGCATTCTCAACCGTCAGTCCTCCTAAGTCACCCAACACCATTCCCATGGAGCCTGAAGATGTGACGTCCTCTCCGCACTCTCCGCCACACGGAAACGAGGATGCTTACTCCATCTCCTACTCCACATTGAGCTCGCGCTCACGTTCCCCGACGCCATCATCACCAGTCGATATAACGCCTCCCCTTCCTCTTCCTCATGAAGTTATCCGATTGATTCAATGCGCGCAATGCTCGCACCCGTTCCGGACGCCGTTGCGCCTTCCATGCGGGAATACCGTGTGTCGATCGTGTCTTCCGCCCGTGCGGCCGCGCACGGGGGTATCGTATCCGGCGAGCGAGGAACGAAGGCAAGGATTCACGTGCCAATGGGGGAGGGAACACTGTGGTGCAGATCATTGTCTTGGGGACTGTGGGGTGGATGTAACGCTGACACGATTGGTTGATATCTTTCAAGCGGTCCTGGGCTCGAGGTTAGATGCGGTCGGGGAGAATGCTGGGATTAATATTGAGTGGAAGCGGTCGTCGGAGACGGATGCGGAGGTAAAGAACGCGAATATTGGGACGGATCTACTCAGAGGTGTTTATGATTTGGTCGGATCAGGACGGCTTGGGTACGATGCTTCTGGTGTGCAGTACGATCCCCCGGTACAAGCAAACCTCGGCCAATATGGTAGGTCATTCGAAGCGCTTAGATCTGCTGTGCGCAACGAGTTGGATTGCCAAGTGTGTTACTCACTAATACTTGACCCATTGACAACCCCCTGCGGTCACACCTTCTGTCGCAGCTGCGTGGCCATGGCCTTGAGCCATAGCAATCTCTGCCCGGTTTGCCGGCGAAAGTTGAACATGACTACGTCTGTTCAGTCAGAACGAATTAACAAACGGCTGTCAGACCTCATTCAACTCTTCCTCCCCGATGCGGTGGCTTCGCGGCGAGCGGACCTGGGTTCAGATATTGACGCGGGCACCGAGGGAAAGATTCCGTTGTTCGTAACCTCACTCTCCTTTCCTACGATGCCCATGGCGCTACACATATTTGAACCTCGATATCGCCTTATGATACAAAGGGTCATGGAGAGCAGAAGCCGAAAGTTTGGCATGGTCATGCCGAACCGACGAGGTCGGCTCCAGCAGGGATTGGGAAGAGCCCCTTTTTTGCGCTACGGCACAGTGTTGGTGGTTGACCGCTACGAGCTGCTGCCTGATGGAAGAAGTCTCGTCATCGCCACCGGAATGTCGCGCTTCAGAGTGGTTAGCTGGGAGCTGGTGGATGGCTACCACGTGGGTAAGATCCAGCGGGTGGATGATGTTTCAATATCGGAAGAGGAGGCTCAAGAATCAAGAGAGACGTCCGCCGTGCTCGATGTCTCGGCGTCAATTAGCAATGCCACAGAGAGATCATTGGAGTCCATGTCAACGCAGCAGCTATTCCAGTTCGCCCTCGACTTTGTGCTGAAGGAGCGTAGACAGGGAGCTCCCTGGCTGCACCCTCGTGTCCTTTTAGCGTACGGGGCATTGCCCACCGACCCTGCTATATTCCCCTGGTGGCTCGCCACGATCCTACCCATCTGGGATGAAGAGAAATACGCCTTATTATCATCAACGACGGTTAGACAAAGGTTAAAGGTCACTGCGAGATGGATAAAGAGACTGGAGTCTCGACCTTGGTATGTACAATCAAATCTCCGAGTCGAGAGCAAACAACTCGGCTGGTGTTTTGGCCGCTCATCATCTCATGTTATCCCAGGTTCTCTCGCTCCCGTCCGCCTTTATCCGCTGTCTTATGACTAGCCGTCCCTCTCTTCATCTTTTCCGCCATATCACTACTTATTGGGTCGGGAATGGACTTCTCACCATCCTCCGGTGTGGTAACATCCTTTAGTCCATTTTCAATGTCCGTATCGGTATCATTTGGACCCGGTGGGGCGATCACTCACTTTGAGGAGCCTGGATTAGCGGCACCTCAAGGCGCCGAAACGTACCTATCGCAGACCCTGGTGCTTGGACTCTTCCTAGCCATACTTGCAACACAGGTGGCTGTCAATGCTGTGCAGGCAGTGCGAACAAGGAGGAGAGCACGAGTAGAAGGCGCCCGAGCCGTCCAGACAGCTCGGGAGCAGAATGGCATCCCAGCACCGGCTCCAGCGCCAGCGCCGACGCCGACGACTACAGCAACTGAGGTGCAAGATGAAGTTGAGGGAAATGATGCGAGTCCTGCCAGGGACGTCAGCTCTGACGGCGCTACTAGATGACTCACCTTGAGTCTAGACACCATGCAAAGGTAAACCCAAACTGGCAACCATGGTCCAGTCAGCACCAGCGCAATCTGCTGGCCGAACACTCGCTGGCGAGTGAGGATTAACTCGCTTTTCATTAAAAGTCGAGACCCTAAGACGGCCATCCGCCTTTGGATTGTTCAGGACCCACGCAGGATACGTCGTTCAAAGCAGGCAATGGCGTGCGTGTACCAATCGTTATAGGGACCTAGGAGGTCCATTCACCCTTGTGCCCATTCAATCCAGTTGGGTGGCCAAGCTTGTTTATCCTTGGAGCTCCAGCGGGCGGAGGGTGGAGTGAGCCTCAATGAATGCTCGAGAACTAGGCTGATTGGCCGGCCGAGGGCTCTCAAAAGATGTACCTTAAGGTATGGCGGGCGTTAGTTTGATTACATACCTAAGCATAACACGAACACTCATCGCCGATCCGCTCAAGGTTGGCGCTAGCATGTAGTCACTCGACACCTTACCTCGTTAGCAGCTGTCCCTGATGCGATGGATGAGCGAATCGCTAGGAAGAGCCGACACGACATCTCAGCCTTGTGTTGGTCGCTCTGGCTTGTGACGCCACAACGGCAGTTATGAAGTGATTATCCATTGCTGGTCACACCATTACCCTGGCAGCTGATGGTCGAAGCGCAAACAGCGGGCCCATGGGTCCTCTCACGTAGAAATTGCGGAGAGGAGGAACAGGAGGGGTTTGCGCCTTCGCCATGCGCTCAAGACGTGATTTAAGCTGAACTCGGTAGGCATTCACTGCGGTTGATCACTTCTCATGTGCATTGAATATAAGACACAAATCGGGGCGCAGGGACAGGATGCAAGTGAAGATTGGGTGATGGACAGTAGTAAAGCTGGAGGAGGAGGAAAGAGGCGACGAGCAGAAAAAGCAAAGCTCAGACTCTCTGCCCTTGGGCTGTCGATCGCAGTTGGAGCGCCAATTTTCCAAACGTGGGGTGCCGTTCGAGTCCTTCTTCCTTTACTTACTTCTGCTTCCTCTACAACTCCTTCAATTCGTCACACCAGGTTGTTTGTCCATCGGCGCTCGTCGTAGTGATCGATCCGTTGACTATAGTAAGTTTCTCTCAGTGCTGTTTCAGTCAAGCCTCACTCTCACCTTCCCTGCTGCCCCCTATCTCTTCTTTATTCCGTGCGTTGATAACCGCGTAGATCATCCGAACTTTGCTAACCAAAGCTCCCCGACAGATGGCCACTATGTCATCATTTGTTAGACCCGAGAATCATTCTCTGGAGTCGTTATTTCAGAGGTAATGGCTTTCCCCGTCTGTGCTATTTTCGTCCCTGTTTTGGTGTTGCTCTTGGTCTTCAAGGTTCGAGCTATCCCGGCGTCGATCATCGATCACTTCTCTATCCTGAGCTTGCCCTGATCACCACTATCTCCGAAATGGACCGCAACTTACGGTTTCGTTTAAGCAGGCCAAGTGCTGTGAGTAGTAGCATATCGACACGCCAAGCCGCAATGTTCTACTTACCTGCCATGTCAGAATAAGCTTTCGACCTCGAACACTGTTACTATATCCACCGCAGAGTATCGCCGTCTCGTGAGTCCTCACATGAATATATGCGGCATCAGGCATTGTTTTGTACTGACCTCAAAGTTACCAGGTCGATACTGCTTCTCATTTCGGTATGTAGCCAACTCAAGCAGTCGTCTGCTCTTCGGACCGGCCACTGATGGGACACAACAGCAAAGCTGAAGGAATCACTTTTGAGCGGAGGGCTATCTCAACAGACACTCGATGTATGTACATGCTTGCCTGAAACTCGATTCCCTCTCGCTAAGCTTTCTAGTTGATCATTCACGGAGAACCACAGCCCTCCCCCGATGTTCGTCAGAATGGCAAGGAACACCCAACTAGGAACCAAGTCTCTCCCGCGCACAGTTATCCAGACGCACCCACTGGGAAAACTCAGCCTGGCAACACCGTTCTCTCAAGCGAACTTGACGAGGATGAAGACACCCTGACAGAATCCCGGAGCGACGACAGGGATGATGACTACGGCGAGTCCTCGAGGAGCACCGAATCATCTTCACCCCGGGCAGAGCAGCGCACCGTACTTATTCGCGGCTTACCGGACCGGACTACTCATGGGGACATTGTGGATTCCGTCAAGGGAGGCGCCATCCTGCATATCTACCTATGGGCTAGGGATCACACGGCAAGCGTTTCGTTTGTCGAAGAAGCGGGCGCTCAAAACTTCCTTGACCACACGCGAGCATACGGCTTCTACGTGGCCGAGAAGAGAGTTGGTGCAGTCCTTTCCAACAGCTATACTAGGCCATTGCTCACATGTTCCCAACAGGTAGAAGTTCTATGGAATGATCGCCAATTCTATCTTCCACCCTTCGTTCGAGCCAAGATCATCAATGGAGCTACTCGGAATCTAGTCATCTACAACGCGGACCCGAATATCACTGAAGGGCTTATCAGAAGAGATCTCGATCATATCCACAACCTGATCGTAATTTCCGTGAAGTCCAAGAATGGCAATGTCTACATACAGACCAATTCCATCCACAATGCTTTGTTCGCACGCTCTTGCATGATGTCGCGCCTCACCTACAAAGGAATGAAGATTGCATTCTCTCACGACGAATGCGCAGAGCCACTGGCAAAGATCCCTACTCGTCCAAAGAGAGACACTTCAGCAGCGCCTGTCAAAAAGTCCGTCCCGCTACCGAATAGATTCCATCTTCTTTCTATTGAAGGATCAGAGGATGAAGAGCGCGAAGACCTTCGTGGGTGGTAAACTAAGCTCTGGTTTCAAGGGCGGTGTCTGCTGGACAGACAACCATGTGTCTGCTTAAAGCTCCATTCGCTGACTTTCACATACCAACTCCTTACGGCCATTGCTCGTTACATCGTTTCAATCCGTTTTTTTCTTCGCTGTTGCGGCCATCTTATCAGCATTTCAGCGACTGCTCGAGTGATCTTTTCATTGATCCGTTTTATGACAATATCTACAGTTTCATAAGGTTTAGGGGGCGACTATGGCAGGTGTTTTAGGAATTCAAGGCCTGGAACTGATATCTGAAGGACTTTTATACTTTAATTGGACCACGCTACTATGTACATCAACATTGTACTTTATTGAGCTTAGTGTATGAGACGTGTCCACCATCAAGCCCCATGCGTAAGCAATGTAGAAAGGCCAGCGTGCTAGTAGAAAGTATCTTGTTTGGGCATGGACCTCATTCGTTCAGATAGCCTCTATCAAGGGACCTCAAAATTCCTAGGCAGGGTCGAAAAGAGGTGAAGAAAAACGGAAATGGGGTGATATTTCATATTCCTGGCCTATACTAAATCCAGTCGAGACAGAGCCAGTATTGCACCATTATTCCACCCCCACTGCAACAACCAGAGGTCGTACATGAAAACCCCCTCTAATTGCCCAGCGGGCCCTCACGTCCCAGGGAAACCCGGAACACCAGTCTCCTTCCTTCCATTTTCCTCTCTTTATTTTTCGTTTGAGCATGCCCATACATAAGACAAGGTCGTATCATGAAAGATGATATTCTTTTATAAAAGAGAAGAAAAAACGAAAAAAAGAAAAGACACCAGAAACCAAGCCGATCCGAACCGCCAAATGTATCTTTCTTTTGTCGAAAGCGTACATTTAACGGTAAGACTTCTGGTACCTGGCGCGGGCACCGCGACCACCGAACTTCTTGGGCTCCGCACGGCGGTTGTCGGCAACGAGGAGTGTGCGGTCGTACTGAACGAAAGCCTGCTTCAGCTGGTTCTTGGAGTGCTCGTCGACGTACTTCTGGTAGTAGGCAACGAGGGACTTGGCGATGGCCTGACGGATGGCGTAGACCTGGGAGGTGTGACCACCACCGGAGACGCGGACGCGGATATCGACGCCGGCGAATTTGTCGGCTCCGACGATGAGAACGGGCTCGTAGACCTTTTTATCATACCGAGTTAATGGGATGGGTTCTTTTGAGTGATGACTGTTGTGGTGTAGTCGGTGCGGCATACCTTGAAGCGGAGGATCTCAGGCTGGACGAGGGAGAGGGGCTGGCCGTTGACCTTGATGAGACCCTTGCCTTGCTGTTGTTCTGGTTAGCGGTGTTCCGTCTCAAGATTCGTGTACATGTGCAGTAGGATTGGTGTCGGAGTCAGGATCCAGGTCGTGTGCGAGTTGTTGCGTGCGGTTCTGCGGGCGCGCGATGAGGCGTCGTGTAGGACGGTTTCTTCTCCTCCTCCCTCCATCATTTCACTGTCCGTCTCTTCCTCGCAGTATCTTCGTTTAAAGTTCCAACTCCACATGCCCATCCGCAGCCATAGTGAACCCACAGACTCTGCGCAAAACCGGATCCCGGGAAGAAAAATCGAGAGCGTTGACATCGAATCGGAGCAGATAAAATTCTTCTCATACCTTGCAGTGGGCGACAGCAGTAGCTAAACAAGCCCAATGCGATCAGCACTCAAGTCCACAAAGAAGCCCTATCTCCAACCGGGCATCTCAAAAAAAGTCCAGTCCTCCCTAGAAAAGATCGAACTCACCCGTCTTCTTCTTGCCGAAGCATTGCACACTCGGGACGGAAGCCATGATGAATGTGTGGCCCTTGTCGGTGTCGAAAGGGAGTGTGCCGGGGGTGGTGGATTTGGTGGGATGAAGTTGTCGTCGACGTCTTGCACACTTCGTTCGCTTCCTTCGAGATTGATCGATGGAGACTCAATAATCCGTGCGGGTGACTTCGCTTAGTCTGCGCGCTAGGCTCTTTTGAGGCTTGGCTGGTAGGGCTTTCCATTTCTTGTGGTCGGGAGTCACGTGCGTTCCTAGCTGGCAGTTTCGGCGCCGGGGTTCATCCGGAGAGGAGGACGGAGAACTTCGGTTTAGGCTGCGCAGGTTGAGTCGCAGGTTTATTGCTGTTGATACGGATCTTGTCTTCTTGCGACGACGCTCAAGATGTCTGGGACCGTCGGAAAGGTAGGTCTCAGTCTAACAGGCTTAACCATTGGCTCTATTTATTCCATTGAGTCCCGTGGAAAAAAAAGGACACTGCTAACAGCAATATCAGACCCGTCTCGCCTACTCGCGAACATGGCACCACGTCGACGTTGGCACCGACGGCCGCACCCTTGGTCGTCTCGCCTCCTCAATTGCCCTCATCCTCATGGGCAAGAACAAGCCGATCTATGACCCCTCCACAGACTGCGGCGACTACGTCGTCGCCGTCGGCTGCCACGACCTCCGCACGTCCGGCAAGAAGCGCTTCCAGAAGAAGTACTACACCCACAACACGCGGCCCGGAAGTCTGCGCTCGATGACTATGGACAAGATGTTTGAGAAATGGGGCGGCGGCGAGGTCCTCCGACGTGCTGTGCGCGGCATGCTGCCCAAGAACCGGTTGAGGGACAAGCGGTTGGCGAGGCTGAAGAGTTTGTGCTCCATTATGAGAAGAAATGTACCATGGAATACGTGCTGACATCTAACTTTAGCATTTGAGGGCCTTGATCACCCGTACAAGGAGAATATCGTCCGCATCGGAGCTCCCGAGGCCGAAGCCGAGGCCAACCCATCGAGTATCCTTGACCGACCAGAGGTCAAGGAGGCTTTTGAGAAGGTCAAGGTTCACCCTTGAATGAGTGGGTAGATTTGTGGTCTACTTGTTTTGGTTTGATTGCTCGACTAGATACCAGCGGCATTATACTGTATTTCTATGTGTATTACTCTCTGATAACTTTCTAGCGCATGGGTGGGAGTTCTGTCTTCTTTTTGTTCGAAAAGCTGGGATTGGGTTTTCAAGACCCTTGACGCGGTTGCCTTCTACATTGTGCTAGTTGTGCTATGCTACTGGGGGCTGCTGTATGATAGAATCAATGATATTCCTTGTCCCGCTATATACAAAGATCGCCTGCCAACTCCGTGTAGTTTAGTATAGTAATCAAATGGTATCTCTATGTCTATAGCTTGGCCTTGCCCTTCCACAGACCGTCTTTCCGGGCAACAGTGCACTTGATCAGACCGTTGGGGCCGGACTGAGGAACATACACCTCGGCGTCCTTGCCGGTGTTCTTGATGCCTTTGTGCCAGCTGAGATCTACAGAATCAGTAGGTCAGTCACAGTCCCAACCTGAAATAGGGTAATTGCAAAACATACCAAGCTCAAAGTAGTGCTTGTTTGGCAGCGAGTACTCCACATTCTCAACCAGCGGCTGGTGCGCCAGAATCTGCTCCGCCATCTTGTACATAGTGGCCTGGACACTGGCGCTGTTGTCCTCGGCAAAGGTCTTTAGGGTAATGTTCCTCGCAGCCTCCCAGGTATCATCGAACTTTGGTACAACAGCACGAACATCCTCGAGCCCAGCGAACCGCTTCCATTGCCAATGCGCCTCGACATCCGTGCTCATAATCCGGTCCCACACTTCAGGAAGAGTAGTGTACTCGTCGCGGACAAAGCCCCAGAACTGGGAACCGGTGCTCTTGAGTACGGTGAGTTTGTTGATGGTCGACTTGATGTCGATGCCTGTGCCCTCGGTGACGTCGACTTGGACGTTGCGGGTCTCCTCGCTGTCGCGGATGAACGAGTGCGGGTGCGGCTTGCCGTCGACCTCGAGGCGGGTCCAGCGGTGCATGATGATGTTGGTGTGCGCGACGTGGATGTGAGGGTACTTGTTGATGAAGTGTGTGCCGATGATGGAGCCGAAGAGCTCGGGAGGTATGACGGGATTCTGCTTGGCGAGGATGAAGACGGTGTTCTTGATTGAGTCGGTTGCGACAATGACGCTGTTATCAGCCTTGGTGTAGCTGCGATAACGCTTGTTAGCTTGAGTACTTTGACTCTGTAATTTGTGAAGCTTACGAGGTGTCAATCTCGCCCTCGAGAAGGACGCAGACGGTCATTTCTACAACAGTCTGGATCCCGGTCTTCTCGTCCCGGTGGACTTTGTAGACCCGGACATTGTCCTTACCATAGCGGGCGGCAGCAACAGTAGACATGATTGCGGAGGATGTCGCAAAGAGTGTGCGGAGTAAGAGGAGAGGAAAATGTAGGAATGCTTGGTCAAAACCAAGGCTCCGAGCAGATCTGCGTCTTTAAGAATCCACGGATAGGAAACCCGCGAGGATGGTCTGATGAAGGTGTATCGGCGGGCTCCGAAGCCCGCAACGCTCTTCCGGCCGCAGCCTCCCAGCTTTATCTTATCAGCCCTCCACACCAACTCGGCTCTCGCCTTCTGTTCTTTAAAAACGTCTCTATATTCTCCATTGCAAATCCCGGGTTCATGCGTCGTTATTATTGATCATTCACCTAGTGAGACGACTACACCCCCGCGATTCCTATCCCAACCTGCCGTCTCGCTCTTAGGTACGACACCTATCTACATACCCCCGCACTGATTGTCCAGGGCTTCAGAGATACTCCCGCATGGTCTAGGCTCTTTGTAACATTCCAACCCCGATCGCGCATTCGGTTTGCATGAATGGACCGGGAACGAATCAGAGTTTAAGCCTGCGCCTCCGAGCGACATGGAGGACCAGCATCACGCAAATTCTCCAAATTGGAAAGTCGCAGCGCTCATCGGAGTCCTCAAAAAGAACAAAAGAAGATGGCCTCCTTACTTCCGGCTCATGCCCGCGTTGAAATGCAAGGTACTCAGGGGCTTGTCGAAAGACGTTCCAGTACACCTAAGAACTTCTAGGCCCTGCAACGACGGGCCACTCTGTTTCATCCTACTTGGATAGGTACTGCGAGGCGCATTACAACAGGCAAAAGAGTTATTGACTCCATTACATGGGCAACCCCTGTTTTGGGAATATAAGCCTCGCAACCGTACTGCCCTCGGTTTAGCTCCAGATGTTGTGTCACCCTTGATGTTCGTCGGAGGCGATTTACTCCGTTCAGGAGGTCATGTTAAGCTTCGGTATCAGCAGGCCAGCTCGAGCACGCTTTATAGAAGCATAGAATTGAGAAGACTGTGCCATAGAGCTCTATACAGTCATAAGATAGTTATATATATACATATATTCATCATTGTCTCGTCTCCATTATCCTTTTCTTCGGATTCCCCTTGATCTGGTCCTGCCTCTGCTGTTCCTCATCACTAATATCATCCAGATTCGTCTCGACATGCTTCAATGCCTCCTTAACCTCCTCCTCTGAATTCTCATGCCCTGCCGTCGCAACACTTAGAATCTCTCTCTCCATCCCTTGCACAACACCCCATTCAATTCCCGCCTCGGTCAACATTCTACACCCCTCCGATTCCCCCACAAACGTCTGAGGCTCCTTCACCCCAAAGTACACCTTCTGAATACCCCTTCGCCCACCATCTCGCGTTTGAATGATCCGTTGCACACAGGGTAGGTTCCCAGAGAGCCGTTTCCCGCACGGCTCCATGGTCACGTAGAGAATCAGCTTGCGGCCCGGCGTATCAGGGAGCGCGGAAGCTATTTGGTCGTCTGGAACGGAGTGTGCAGAGGCATAGTTTGAGAGACAGCATTGCTCGGCGTGTGTGTTGCCGGCTAGTTCCATTGTGTAGCCTGTGGACAGAACCTCATCATGTTCGAAATAGAGATCGCCTTCTTGTCGCGAGAGGAGGATAGCGCCAACGCGGAAGTTTGTGGGGCGTGGAGGGGATTTCTCGGCGAGGGAAAGGCATTGTTGGAGGTATTTGAGGTGAGGAGATGGCATTGTGGTTTTCTGCGAGAATATGGGCAGGATACTGAGAGTCGAGAAGAAAATGGCGTGTTTATAAGAAAGTGCGGGGGGTTGAAGTCAAGAAATAAGCTGGGAATATTATCGGCTCGGAGACGATCGCCAACGTCATATTTCGTGCAGGGGAAAAATGTATCCACATTAGATGCTTGACAACTGCGCTAGACTGGAGAATGTACACGCCTTGTCTGAAAACCCTGGCTTCATAATTTTCCCGACGGACTCGCTCATTATCCTTTTTTTTTTTTGACTCCGAACTGTAAATCGGGGACATTAGTGTACAATGCAGTCAATACTTAGGGACCGCCCTCCGTGGCTACTTCGATACCGCTCTTCGACTGTCTTCATTGTAGCGACAGTCTGGATATCTTCCTTTACAGTAAGTGCTTGTACAAATTGAGCATTACTGCATGCTGTTCTAACAGATTTGCCTCAGGATTACTTTCTCTATGCAATGGTAAGAGTGCCATTCATGAACAAGAGACCTCGACTGATCAACAGGTCGTCCCCATTCTACCGACAGCGCTAGTTGAGCGCGCAGATGTACCTTACACAGACCGTAGGTCTCGACCCTAATATCACCGTGACCAAAGCTAAAGGAAGGCAGGCGAGTACTGGGTCAGCGTCCTCCTCATGTGCGAAGCGGTCACCGCATTCATCTGCTGCCCGGTATTCGGGTACATCGTGGACGTCGCCCCCACACGCCGTCTGCCCTATGTCCTGGGCCTGATCTTCTTAGGCGCCTCAATGGGTCTCCTATGGGCCGCCAGATCAACAGCAATGTTCGTCATTGCACGTCTCCTGCAAGGCGGTGCAACGGCCATGGTAGCTGTCGCGGGTCTAGCTCTTCTCACGGACTCTGTCCCACTCGACAATCTAGGTCAAACGATCGGGTACCAAGGGTCAGCTATTGCGATGGGGTTCCTACTTGGTCCGCTACTAGGTGGGATCATCTATGACAAGGTGGGGTACAATGCTGTCTTTGGGATGTCTTTTGCCCTTGTTGGCCTTGACTTGATTATGCGTGTTCTGGTTGTTGAGAAGAAGGTTGCTGGGAAGTGGATTGAGGATCCAGTGACGGAACGGTCGTCATCGACCTCGTCTGCCACTATTCGGCCGGCGAAGAATGACGCGGGGAGGTCGATTTGGTCTCCAACGACAGTACCGTCGTCTTCCGCCTCGTCAACGACTATTCGCGCGATTGGGTATCAGACCTTTGCGAATACACCAACCACAGGTAGCGATGCCGACTCTGATACGGAGGCCACAAATGAGTGTGAGCATGGGAATGCACATGTACACAGTGACGGACCGGTACACGCACCGCCAACTCTTCTCGAAATCGCAAAGCAGCCCCGAGTCGTCGTCTCCTCATTCGGACTCCTCGTTCAAGGCCTCCTCTTCTCCGCATTCGACGCCGTACGTCTCCTGTATCATAGCAAGAATGCTATATCACTAACCGTACTCCCAGACTATTCCCATCTTCGTCGAAACCCACTTCAACTGGACCCCGCTAGGCGCAGGTCTCGCCTTCCTTCCATCTGCCCTAACAGCCCTCTTCGAGCCTTTCTTCGGTAACCCTCCCTCTTCCCCAGCCTCTTATCTCCCCATCTTCCCAAATACAAGAGAAGCACCCAATTTTAATCGTTTCGAAGGCTACATATCCGACAAACACGGCACGCGCCCCGTGACATTTATCTCCTTCATCCTGCTTCCCCTCCCACTCGCCTCTCTCGCCATCGTCTCCGCCAACAAACCAACCCACATCGCCCTCCTCCTCACCCTACTAACCGTAATCGGCCTGCTAATCAACCTCGCCACGCCAGCCCTCTACGTCGAGACGCAAGATGTGCTCGAGGCAATGCAGCCGCAGCAACCTCCCCATTCCCAGCATCAGGACGAAGCCCAGAACGAGCATCCGCAATCCAACACCAGCACGAAGAGAACCCGGTGCAGGACTTGCAGTATAGCTAGAACCGGAGCCGGGGGCGGTATTGCCCAGGCCTTTGGCATCCAAACTATGGCGCAGTTCCTGGGGATGTTTCTCGGTTCGCTGTGGGGTGGGTTTGTGGAGTGGAGGTTCGGGTGGCGGGTTATGGCTGTTTCGTTAGGGGTTTTGAGCTTTGTGACCGCGTGGGGGATGCTGTTTCTTGGTGAAGGGTCTCTTCGCAGCTCTTTGGTTTGGTGGAGGAAGGATAGTAGCGAGGGTGGTGCGAGGGTTTCAGGTGAAGAAGGGAGTGGAAGGGAGAGGGAGAGGCTTTTGGGTGCTTCAGATGAGGGCGCTGTATAATTGGAGCTATTTCTCTCTTTTCGATACATAGATCTAGGTCCCTATACATTTTTGAATTTGGCGTATATCCATCTATACTTGAATTTGTACGGAGTGAAGACACAAGCAATGACACAAGCATAACTATGTGACTCGAAAGTCAAGCGTTTTGTAACCTGAGTTCTCATATACACTGCACTGTATGTTCTTTTTGTTTGCTTCCCAAACCAGAAGCCCTGAATGGAAAAAAAAAAAAAAAAAAGGCAATCGGTCCAGGAACATATGGAGACACAGATGATGGAAAAGAAACTGCCAGAGTATTTATATATACTCCGATCGCTTTCAATATAGGTAACCGAGTACCAACCAAACAATAACCCCAACGCCGCCAAAGATGCCCAGCGAAAACGCCCAATTCGAGTTTAAGAGTAGTTGAATTTTAGGGGTCATTTCATGAGAAAGGAAACAACTCGAGAGAAGATATCCGGGAAAGTCGAAGAGACGCAGCAGATGAGCGAATACATATCACAGACTCAGCTGGTCAATGCTCCCTACCCTGCCACTCCCTCCCAGTCGACCACCACCCTTGGTCACCATACCGAGACGGTAAAACCTCTCCTCACCAGCTGCCGTCCGGCCGCCGATATACCACTTCTCCGGACCCAGGGCATCTCGGAACCCGCCTGAGCCGCTAGAGCTATCACTGCCGCGGCGCTGGCGGTCCGGTCGGCTATTGGCTATCGGGATCGGCGTTGACGAGGACGTCGGTGGCGGGGAGGACTCTGGTGCTGCAGAGTGCTGGGGTTGGCTTAGCGGGGAGCGAGTGTGTGAGTGTGGTCTTGGGGCCTGGTGGTGGTGATGGTGATGGTGGTAGTGGTGTGTTGACGATTCGGCCGACGACTGTGCGTTTGTAGAGGTGGAGGTGGAGGAAGGGGATGGCGATGACTGTGATGATGACGATGCTGCCGAGGCGGCTTTTGTCGCTATTGCCCGGGCACCCTGGGAAATCTGGGATGAGGAGAGCGAAGATGAGCCCGTGGCAGATTGCGAGCCGGCGGTTGATGCTTTGTAGGTTGACTGGGCGCGGAAGGCGGCTAAAAAGTTCGCCAGGAAGGGGCGGTTCGTGGACATGACGAGCAGATGTTGTTGCTACTCTATCTTTTTGAAGTGAGAGGAGAGGCTCTTGGTTTGGGTAGTAGGATGGTGTTTGAAGCCGAGTGGGTGAGTTGATGGTCGATCAGAGGGTCTCGCTCGCTCGGTGAGGACCCGGAGTACTGTAGGGTACCGCCGGGGTTCGCGGTGGGGCGATATTGCCGAGTGCTATATGGGGCAACTGCCAAGCGCAAGCTGGGGAGATTGGAAATACACAAGAGGATAGAGGGAGTATAGAGCAGACCCGCGGTGACTCCAGAAGTTGGATTGTGAAGTTGTAAAACTTATCCTGAATTCTCCGAGTCGACCCGTGGCCAACAGCCAATCAGGACATGCTGATATCGTTATGCTGGTGGTGACGTCTGAGGACCGGGACCCCTCACGCTGACTTCAGCCCACAATGCGAGGTTCACAGTGGCTGCGAGTGAGGGGAAGAGCCAATTCTGCTATTTATTCCTTCACCTTTTCCATGGATTCTCTAGAGATTCTTCCGAAAAGGACTCATCAAGAGGGGTTGTTGCAGTGAGGGAGCCGGCTGGAAGTGGGAATTATCGGGTCCCGGGCAAAAGGCTGTTCTCCAACATTAAGAGATGCTACTATAGTTGATGTGAGGATCGTATGACAAGATCTCTATAATGTATATTTGTTGTTCTCTTAATTTCTGTCTATAATATTCTAGCTTTTCGCACTCCAGGCTTTTTTTTCCCACCCGAGTCCTGTCGGTAAACCCGTACAAACTACAGGACCGGAAAATGAAACGAACACAGCGCATAGACAATATCAAACAACCGACGCACGAGACCTCTCAAGCCGACAAGGGGAGCCTTAACGGCAAAAGCAAACAGTTGCCTCTGCAGAAACCTCTCTGTCAGAAAGTCAAAAGGGCAAACAGCCGGCATGTCCCCCCGGTCGCAACGTCTTGAGAATCTCGCTGCTGAAGAGTATGTCGCCCTTTCAAAAGCAGATGGATAGACAGGAAACCGTATGATAAAGGTACAGGAACACCACGCATGTAACAAACAACACAAGCAATATTGTATAGAATGACAAACATCACCACGCACAGATTTCACAAGCGCCGTGGCCCAACAGAGCATACAGACCTACTTACATCGTTTTGCTGAGAAAGGAGATTCGGATGGGGACGGCCGTCACGGTATGCAAACGCATTTTGAATAGGCTCAAGTAGTCGCGCGCCCTGGGTTTTCGACCGTGGTTGTAGAAGAGAGGACACGTGAATCAGAGTCGGCAAATGAGATCTTTGGCCCACGTTGGAAGGAAGAAAACGAATGAAACCATAACCGCAAACACAAGAACATGCCCGAGTCTATTGTTGGACGCCGGATAAAAAAACACACCCCATGCCATCGGCCACTCATAAATACCGCACTTTGCCGATGGATAATGCTGAAATTTTTAATGACAAAATGGAAGGAAACGAATTTGACCAGATAACCGGTAGATAGAGAAATCGTTTTCGTAACTGAATCGCCATGTATCGAAGAGTATCGTTGAAAGTATGCTGTGTATCACCCCGTGGGATCGATTTCATCCTTTCATGATTCGAGCTGCAAGGTTCGGGAGAAATCGTGAGGCCGGAGGCTATTGTTCGGATAATGCAGCCAACCAGGATGGATGTGATAACGTAGCAACTTTCATACATCAACTTCCGACCCACATCTATTGCCTGGCGGGTTGAACGGTGCCTGTAACCAAGATTGTTAGTAACTTTTGGACCGTATATACAAGACGAAAAAAAGGCGGCAGTCGTTACTACTTACCGTCACCACTCATGGTGGAAGCCAAGTACAAACCGTTCATTCCACCTTCTTGGGCGCCGGCGGTTGTGGTTGGGTAAAACTTGCGCTCGGCTTCGATGTGAGCGTGGATGGGCTCCTGGCCACCGGGCATGGACTGAGGGAACACGGGATACATATTTTGCTCGTGGGTTCCGGGCTGGAACATTGTGGTCCAGTCAAGCTCGCCGTGGTGGCCGGGGTGGCCGGCCTGTCCAGGCATCACGGGGCGTTTGGCGTCTTGAATAACCGGTTGTTTTACCTGCTCAATGGAATTACGGTCAACATTCAGGTGCTGATTAGAGGGGTCAGCGCCCGGCTGCACGAGATACGGGCTCTGCTTAGGAGCTGCTGGCCATGGGGCTCCCTGATGTTGCCGACCAGCGGAGTAACCGTCGTCAGGCTGACCACGGCCCATACCGTTGACGGACGACATCGGGAAGCCCAGAGTCTGGTGATCCGGGTACCCTGGCCGGGCCGGATGAGCCAGTCCATTGCCGTTGACGGCTCCCTCGCCGTAGGTCGTGCCCGGGATACCATTGGGAGGCGGGGCGGTACTACTGACTTCATCCTGAACAGGCTTCGCAGGATTTGCCGCAGCTTGTTGTTGTTGAGACTTTCTGACATGCGCGTTGGGGTGCGACAAGTGAGTCGCTCCGGTCGGGTTCCCGCGCCTGATTGAACATTTCTGGAAGTGGCGCTTCAAGATGTCACTGCGCGAAAAGGTGTCTTTGCAGAGAACACACATGTACGGGCGGTCACCAGTGTCTAGAACGTTTGTTAGTAAGATACCAGACTCGTGACCAAAGGATACTCACGGCGTAGCAGATGGCGCTTAAGATGTTTGGCGTGGAGATAGGTCTTGTTACAATGCGGGCAGGGGAATTTTCCATCTGCATCCTTGGCTGGGATGGTGGTGTTTTTCGCGGTGCCATTGACGCCGTTTGTGACAGGGGTTGCGCGTCCTGGCACGCTCGGCAATATACCGCGTCGGCCCTGAGATCCAACAACTTGAGTCCTAGGGGCGTCCTTTGCGGCATACGCAGCAGCACCGTTGGCACCAGCAGCCGGATCGCCATTCATCCAGGGCTGAGGCTTGCCATCTGAGAAGCTGAATGCGCCAGACGGGAGGCCGTTAAATTGACGATCCCGCGGAGGGGCCGGCGCAATCGGCTGTGGGTATGTTTGAGCGCTGGAAGCAGGTGGGAGCACGTTGTGAGGAGGAGGATAGTGCGGCGACTGCTGGGGTTGCCCCTGGGAGTTGGGATGCGAGAGGAAGGACGACGGTGGCAAGCTGCCCACTGTAGTGTGAGGCATGATCGGCGCAGCCGAGGACGCGTAAACTTCGTGCGTCGATGGAGGGTACCGATTCAATTCCGGCCGGTACGGCGCCTGTCCCATGTAGGAGTGGGGAGCAGGGGACTGGCTATGATGAGGCTGGAGGGGAGGAAGAGTATGCGGCTGAGAAACCGGGTATTGAGGCTGCATCGTGTACTGAGGCATCGGCATGCTCGAGATGGGCGCGGATGGAAGAGGCGTGGAGCCCTGGGGTAAGCTGGTGGATGGGGGTCGGGAAGGGTGGTTTCTCGGGTCCATCTTTGAGGCGGAGAAGGTGTTGTTGTAGGAAAGAGCGATGAAGAGACGACAGGGACTTGGGGCACGCGAACAGGAAGAGATTTCACGGTATCTCAATCATTGATCGCAAATTGGGAAAAATCTCTCAGTGTGTATGCCTTTCGACGCAGTTGCTCAAAGCGCGGAAAATAGGTTGCCAACTCAATGCCTTGTGACTGATCGCGTCCTCGAAGAATTTTTCCTCGATTCTACCCTCGTGGCTTGGTGGACTCCTTTTTGTCACAATTTTTTCCCCTTCTTCACTGGTTCTTGCCTTTGGATACGACTGCTGCTCTCGGATCAAGCAGAACAAGGGCGAAAACGACAGGCTGGGTGAAACACTGTAATGACTGCAATGCACCTGAAGCAGCAGGGTTGGCACTCGAGGATGCTTGTTCAGAAGCGACGATATGGTTGTACAGGATCAAAGGCGACTCCACTGGAAGAAGAAAGTCAGGACAGGTTGAGATGCTTAATCTGAGGTCCCCACGGTCACCCACCAGGAAAATCGCAGCGTGTGGGAACTTCTTTTTATCCGCACGTTGTCAAAACAGAAAGACGGTTCTGATCCACCAGAAAAAGCCGGCGGCGTGTAAGTGGGTCTCGCACACACCAACAGTCAAGGAAGATTGCTAGCCAATTTCTGCTTCGCGTCAACAAATGCGCGCGATTGACGAGGATAATTTGTTTGATGGTGCGAATCTAGCCAGGGACAGGCGCGTATAGGTGCGGAGGGCAAGAAGAGGAAGAGGAAACGGGGGGGAAGGGAAAAAGAAATGAGAGTGTCGTCTCAAAAGAGATTAAAAAAAAAAAAAAAGATCGAAAACTTAAAAAGGCAATTAAAACAAATTTTGGCAGGGAGAGGCTACTAACCCAAGGAAAACTGGCTGGACACCCACGGGAATGGAGGGAGGGGAGGCGAAGACACGGAGGGCGGCGGAGCAGCAAGATTCGGTAGGGAACGGGCAGAGAACCAGAGAAGAAAAGTACAGAGGGAAGATGAGAAGAGGAGAGGGGAGAGGAGAGGGAAAAGAACGGACGAGAGATAAAACCCGAATTACTGGAAGATCGAGCGGTGACGATCGCAACTCGGAGAGGCAAAAAAGACATGAATTTTATTTATTATTATTCTTATTCCCAAATCTCTTCGAGGTCAGGTATGATGATGATGGAAACTGATGGGTGATTTGATTATTCACTCAACGTTTGGGACGGTCGACTTGGTTGCCGTTGACCTGATTCGTGCCTCACCCGGATCCCGATTGCCAGGCCAAAGCCGAAGCAGATCCAATTGAACTCTGCTCGCGTTCTTTGTTGCGCTGCTGATTTTTCAGATAATTACTGCTGGTAGTATCTTGTGAGCATGTGCTCTATCGACGTTATTCCATCCGAAATGCCATTTCATTTGATCCATCTGGTGAGGTTCTCGAGGGCGTCAGTAGTCGTGAAGAATACGATACTAGGTAACTTACGATGCAAACCGAAGAATCCTCGCTGCAAACTAAACCAGAAAATGGCGAAGCCGGCGCAAAGCCAACACGCTGGAACGAGCCAATTCCGAATATTGCCCGGGAAAAGGAATTTGGTTGGCAGCAGCGGCAAACGGGGGAAAATACATATGTCAACGACTCCAAGCGGTCGACTACTACTCCAACTAGGCTCCTACTATCTTCTTGGTAGGCCAATTTTATTTGGCTTCATGAATCTCTCTCGAGTCTCCGACCTTGAAGGAAGCACTGCTCTGGAGTTGGAGTGAGCACCTCACCTGGTGCTTTGCCCAGTGAGAACTCACGATGATTCGGAGTGGCTGGAGAATGTCGGACGTGTGCCGAAGACGGTCACAATAGTGACGATACTTTGGCGTTGCCTCCCGCATTGAGCAAGAGCAAAAAGTCAATCGAGAGCCTTTCTGGCCCGTGATTCGCACTCCTTTCTATGCATCCAGGAAAATTGGAGCAATCGTGTTTCCCCTCAGACGGAGGCGTCGAATTTCGATTCCCGTCGTCATCACCATACGATGTATGCCAGGCGTAACAGAATCGCGAAGGATGAGAACGAAAACCCTCATTGGCCCTTCACATCCATGCAATAACAGAACGGGATGACATGGGCACCAGGGTGCGCGGCAGCAGTCGAGCTTCCGAGTGGCCTTTCATCCTTGGGTTGAACGCTCAATTCAGGCCAGCCGGGAGACTTTTTTCTTTCTGCTGCTCAAGACTAAAGTACTCCGTTATTGCGTTGTCCTCCTCTCCATGTTCCAGCCGCCGCCGCCACCACCAGCCAGTCTTTGATTCAAGACGCCAGTGCATCGTACTGCAGAATCCTTCAACCCCATCCGCCATGCCGTAAGGCTACGGATTCATGCACCATTTCTCCGCAGTCAACAGTCCCCGCTGACCGAATATTGGTCCATAGCGCCTCATGGCACATCCACATTTCCACATATTTAGGTAGGGGTTGACAACCTTATCAGAGGTACTATCATCGTGGGGAGTGGAGAGATCCTGAAGGTGAGGAACTGAAGCATTGTACGTATTGACATGCCCACTTGACTCCACGGCAGGATCAATCTGGAGATCCAGGTACCAGGATGCACGACTCAAATGGACGCTGTGGATACATCCTCAATAAGCTTAATTCTGCTGTGGATGAAATCTCCAATTCCGGATCCCGTCACAGCATATGTCGAGTATTCAGATTCTATCACTCGCCAGCCATGAAACATTATACTGGCGAGGAAGTTCGAAGACACTGACTGACGCGTCCTACAAATTGATTTTCTGTATCCGCTCGTCGTCATACCAGCATAACAGGCTCGCCTGCTTGATAGATCCATACGACTATCTCTTTCGTGCGGAATATATATCACTGTCCTCCATGCCTTGACGGCAGGCGATACTGGCATGATTGAGCTTGGAGACCCGCAAACGGAAGGGATTTCCTCGCATTCCACGCACACACCCTTCATTTCGATCGCTAATGGCGCCAGACTTGGAACCGCCCAACCATTTGCCGTCAAGATCCTGGTTTTCACCAGCCAGCTGCTTGATGTCTGTGTTTGATGACGGGTTGTGGCAGAATCCAGTCTACTTGGCAATGGCAATGCTGCCACGCACTTTTATTATCTGCGACATCCACCGATTGAATTGACCTCCAAGTCTGTATCTACTTGTCAATTTTCCCTTGTTTTGCATGTCCAATCTCTGATGCATTTGGGACCCAAAGACGCGCCGTGGCGCTGTCTGGACGACCGAGTGAAAACAGAGTTGGCAGCTATGCTCCACAGGAGATTTTCCCAAGTTCGCTGAGCTTCTCCCGTTGCGATAGTGGACCTTGACCACGGCTCGGCGGGTGCAGTGGGCTCAATTGCAGGTGATCTGCTCTGGCAAGCTGATATTACACATTAAGACCACGGCACGTAATCACGGCATCGACTGAGCAGGTTCGAGGTGATTCAGGAGTCGCAGAGACCAATTGATAATTGAGTTGACAAGCAGGTCGCAAGAGAAACAGAAACTGACTGCGACCTTGCGGCAGACAGCGGATAGCATTGTCCTGAAAGGGAAGGTTTCCCCAGCGCGAGACCTCGGGTTGTCACGGCCTGCGGTCATACGGAGAATCCGTGCCTTACTGCCCACCCACCGCCTTCGTCTTATGGGTGCGCCACGCATTTACCGTAGTCACGCATTTACCGTAGTTTTTCGATATTTGAAGTTATTCAACAACCACAACACTAATTATCAATAAAAAAGTCCTCTCCCGCTTCTCTACTACGTAGCTCGTTCTCAATTGCCTGCTTTATTCGTTCCTCTGACCGTGGGTTGGGTCGAAATCCATAGACTTTCTCGAACTGCTTCGCCAGCCGCTTTTGGTCCCTCGCAGTCTCCTTCCTCTTTCGGTCCTGAATTGATCGAATTGCATCGCTAGTCTTTAGGACCCCGTTGCTACTAAGTGGTTTTACCTGACGCTTAGTAGGAAGCCGGTGTTGAGGCTCTTGCGCGGTCCTAATCCTGCAAATTGCTTCCTGGGTCATTTGGAGCTCCTCTAGCTTCTGCATCTGGTGTTGAAAGACCTTTGCTAGGTTCCGCTTCGTCTTCTCTGAAATATCAGTGATATCCTTCATAATCTTCGCCTGATTCCTTGTAAGCGCCTCGATTGTTGCTGGAGGACTGTTTTCAACGCTAGAGGAGAGTAATAGAGGTGGTGTAGGGCTTCCGCGGAGTTCTGGCACTGATATATCTGGGATCACCAGCTGGTTGGTAAGTTGCTGGACGATTTGTCTTCCATCAACTGGCCAGATACCGCGATCTTTGAAGGATTCTCGAATAATTCGCTTTGTCAAGGCCTTCTCGCGGATTGGTTGAATAATCTGCAAGAACTCTGCCTTCCCATATGGCTTACCACCCCAGAAAGACAAATCATTATTTATAAGCCTGAATTGCTGCTTATAATTAAGAAAAGGTTTTCCATCAAGAGGTTGGCAGAGATGTGTTGAATGAGGCAAGAAACCAAAGGGAATAATATTATTTTGCTCGCAGTATTGTAGGAATTCAAGCGTAAGGTGTGAGCCGTGGCCGTCGAATATTAGATATCGCTTCTCGCCTTGCTTTGTACGATCCTTTGTAGCTGTATTAAACTCTGCTAGCCAGGCGAGCGATAGTTCATCTGATATCCAACCATTTGGTGAGACCGCGGTCATTGTATCGCTTGGTAGGACCTCGCTGCCGTGATACCAGGCCTCCATATGATTACTACCGCTTGCTTTGAATATAAAGAACGGGGCCATTAGCCAACCATCCGCGCTAATACATTCAACAGCAGTAATATTTTCACCTCGCTCGCCCTCTGCAAGATTAGGGCAAGACTTTGACCCAAGGACCTTGCGAGCTCGCCCCTGACCAGGTTGAAATCCACATTCATCGAAGTTGTATACAAGGCGCGGAGGAACCCCATCAAGAAGGTCTTTTAGCTGGTCGTACCAGTGTTGGAGAAGTCCTGCATCCTCTGCTTGTATCCGCCTTAGTTCCTTGGTCTTTTGCTTCACTGGCGCGAGTCCTAGGTGTACTGGTACACGTGATTCGAATCGGTATGGCCACATCTTGCTTGCGCGCTTCTCCGAGCCCGCGCGGGCAAGCGCCTGATTTGCCCACGCCTGTATAATCGAAGCAGTCGGGGGGAGGTTCCAATTCCGCATTTGTATAATCCAACTAATCAAGGCCTTCTCCTGATACGGCTGTAGGAGGTTCTTCTTCGACGGTGTTGGTGTAGCTAGTGTTCTTGGTTTTTTCAAGCGGTCTCGGAGGGTGGTGTAGGACACGTTGAATTCACGCGCAATTCTCGCGATATTCGGTTTTTTCTGGGTTGTAGCAATAGCGACGGCTTCATTTAATCGAGATTCATTAAATTCAGGAGATTTCGTCATGTTGTGTGGCTTCAAGAAGTAAAAATATTGACGATATAAAAAACTACGGTAAATGCGTGACTACGGTAAATGCGTGGCGCACCCATAAGACGAAGGCGGTGGGTGGGCAGTAAGGCACGGAAACTTTGCTGATGGAATTCCATTTCCAATCTCATCCTTTGAGGATTTATCTCCGTTCATTCACAATTCGGTGTCTAGTTCTGCAGAATCTCGCCCTACTTGCCACTTACGCGACTAGTCCCAAGGAACCGCCCCTCTGAGCTCTCGTGGTCTTCATGTTGGAGTCACCCAAAGAACTAGTGGCATTTTAGTCCGAACTCTCAAATTCGACTAGCAAGCTGGCCTCTCATGAGGTCGCAACCCCCCTGCAACTCGCCCAATGTGGCGGTCCGATCACGGCAGCTGCCCCCACTGCAGAAGCCGAAGGCCCGCCCATGGAAAATTCCACAAAGACTTCCACCCTGGCACTGTTATTCTGTCAGCGCGCGTCGTCCGTTGTGCTCCTGTTGCTGCGCGCTTAACAACGGATCATCGCTTCTTCAAGACAGGAATAAAAATACGGGTCCAGGGGTGAGCTCTCAGGTTCCCACTCTGCAGTGTGCAGAATTATCCGTGTGGATACGACACGATTAGAATTGTCTTGAAGCTTGGCCCCGGCTCTCTGTAGCACACTGCACAGTACAACGTATATGACTTTTGCCTGCTAGAGAGACATGGGCGTATTATCGACATCATGCGTCATCAAATCGTCTTTCGGCACGCGACGTAAGTGACTTGGTCGCTGGCCATCAGAGTTGCCAATAGCAGGCTCCATCGAGTCTCATACGTGGCAGAGAATAAGAAAGACAGTGGCTGGCAAGGTCGTCGATATCGGAGGGTTTCCTTCCTTCCTCTTTGCCGCGACAACGTACTACGGAGGACTCCTACTACTCTCACAGTTGACAACGACCCGACACATCCGCCCTCCGCCTACCAACTACGGCATGAGCTAGCCTGGTACCTTCGACTACTGCAAGACCTGCCTCAAGCTTGCAGATCGCCTTCTCTCCCGCCAAACCTGGTCCAGCGAATCACTGTGCGGAGGCGTCAGGATTGAATCCTTGCCTCGGCACTTTTGCCCAAGTTGCCCTACCTGGGACGTTTTTCCGGGCTTGGCCGGACAAAGCCCGAAGCCAAGTCTGGTTCGCTCGGTTTCAGGAGAACCGGAAGCCAATCAGTTGTTTGCCTCCAACGCCACACACCTCATCTTCATGCGTTGAGGCGCGAGCGTGGTCTGAGCCAGAATTTGATGAATCGGCCGCTTCGTCGCTTTCACGCTTTCAACTTTCGCCTGGGGAAACGCATAACTCTCATATTGATGATTACTATTTGTGTGACCGAGATGTCACGGCCTCCCAGTGTCAATGCACGGCGCACGCAAAGTCGTACGGGAAATTGAACAAGGCTCTCAAGGTTTTTATCGATTGCTCGAATCTCGCATAATGGGGCCTTTCCCACCAGCAGGCTGATATGATCCGCGAGATTTGATTTGCTGACCAGGTTGGTGAAACCTTCGTCTCTCCATTAATCATTCGTGGAGTCTAGATCCTGAGCCCTTCCCTATCATGATCCTACAACTATAAGACCATCGATATAAAAATAACTACGCTTCTCATATTGTCACGCGCATGAGTCGACACAACTCAATGCAGTCTCCATCAGAATCAGATAACTGACCGGAGCTCCGTTCGCCGTCACAGGGTCTCCAGTTCATCGTCTATGCCTTGAGGATAGGATTTCCCCTGATTACTACGAAGCAGGTAGTGGTGTTTGTTTCTCGCGCTTGCCGACATGAGTCTTTGAGCGTCCGATCATCGACGATTGTTTTCGTTTCGGTCACCTGCCGGTCGTGGCTCAGCATGGAGTACGCGGCTTCTTCGCAGTGATCTCGACGCCCCTATTTATGGCCTTCTCTTGAGTCCAAACGGTCAGACCGGACCGGCACCCAAGATACTAACCCTCAAGCACGCTGCACACCGTAACTTCCAAGAAGGATCAGGGGTTGGCGGCGGATCAGGGGACAAGACCAACCCCGGGTACGTAACTCAACCAAACCCCTGGTTAAGGGGCAGTAGTAGACATAACAAACGAGCGGTAGCATGATGCTTTGGGTCTTGTCCCCGAACTTCCCCAACCGGACATTAAGCTTCCTGAAGCTGAAGCTGAAGCTACCCCTCGGCCCCCATTCTCCAAGTCATCAGCGTCACATAAGGCCCCTAAAAGAGTAATCACTCCAGCGTTGCGGCTATGCACCATTTTGCGCCCGTAAATGCAATGCTTGGCCTTGTCCCTGCATCAGACTGGGAGTGGAACGCCTGACTGCGCAGCGCAGTGCATGGTGAAGCGCGAAGCTGGTACGGAGTACTGATTGTATACTATTGCAAGACTCGCTCCTTTCGTTAATCCCTAAATCCCCGCCCATCGAACGAGGCTATCCCAGGCCCATAGTGCTAACTCAGATAGTCCGCTCTGATCATTCAAACCAGCTCCCAGAATAATGGATCTCCCCCACATGGACGGCCGTTTCATAGACTCGGAAGAAGCCGCCTCGCACCGCCGGATCTAACAATAGTAGTCTAGCCTTGCCGCTATTGCTGGGTGAAACGGGGGCTGGGTCCTACTACTGCTCCCCGCCTCGTTTTAGGACGGAGGCTCGGGGTGAAAGATAGAAGAAGGTAGTGTGGTAAGGGGCATCGTCGCTCGTGCGGACTCGGATTTCGGGATAAGGGTTCGCACTGTCCTGGTTTATTATTCACAGCTAACGGCGCCAATTTGAGCAATTGTGTAGATTCGCTCGGCGAGAGCAGCCCTCTGGTGTCTTGGGAAATAGTCTATGGATGTAGATGCCTCTTCTCTTTCGCACATGCGCCCAACCCATGATTTGAGTTCCCCTGGAATTGGAACTTTTGCAGAATTACCAAAGTTGGCTGTTTGGTTCGACCCCAAAATTAGGACTCTGAAAGCGAGAAAAGCAAATAACGGGCCTCTGTACCTGAAGACTCTATATATAGACTTGAGAGTCTGCAGGCGAGGAGTCTCTAGATCAGTGACAAACTCGCGCATCGGATACTCCGACGTATTGACGTATTCGAGCGCATGCGGTTTCACCGCTCAATTGAGACATGGTTTTCTAGATGTGGCGCGCTGTGATGTGTTCTCGACGTTTTGCTACGGCATGCGTATTGACGGACAAATATCCTTTTTGCTGTGCCGAGTTCGTCGACAAGGGTAAATCTTGTCCTGACCCAGGTAGCCGGAACGTTCCTGGATGTTGGGAAGGTTTAGTGGCAGGAATAGATAGTAGGATGCTTCCGCAGAGAAAAAGCATATATATACAATAACCAAGGAGTATTCCGGGGTTATAGACATGGTTAGAGTTTATAATACCGCCGCTCGCAGCCCGGGGCATCATCATCCGCAGCGTCGCACTGGGGCTGCTGTGAGGTGAGATTGAATTGGGCTATGTCAGTGGAGAGGTCCGGACGCAATGCAACAACAGTGCATGTGAGGTGTATGATTCGACTACTGTACGATATACCCTTATGGACCTTTTTTCGCTGATCTTCTTTGTGATCTGAGAGGTCGGTGTTCTGGCACGGTGGGTTGGCTTGCTTTGCCCTGTACTGTGTGCATTTCTAGTTGGAGGTTGTTGGTGTCAAGGATGTTGGATGGATTTGCTACTGGCGCAGTAGGCGTGCTTTGGACGAGCTGGTCTTTATGAGGGAACTGGTGCTTTGAGCATGGGAAATGCGCGATTGACAAGGCCGTCCGGGAGATTTATAGATCTCGTTCGAGAGACTGTTCCAATCTCAGGTCTATACAGTCCGCTTGAATCCTGAGCGCATCCAAGGCATCCTGTGGCTAATTTCGGTGTTAGGTCCAATAACAGCCATCTGTAAACCAGCAAAGTTTATTTTGGTTGATTCGATTCTTGAAATGGACGTATTCGGAGGCACTGTTGTACAGAGGCGATTGTAAGGCTTATAAAAACCACTGCCACCATTCTTTCACCTTTGGGCCTGAAGCACGCTTGAAATCATCAAAGAAGAGCTTGGCTGCAATATAGTTTTCATTAGACGTCCAGCCCTCCTTGGTTAAGATTCCTGATCCGTCGTTCCATAAGCGCATCTTCTCTTCCCGTTCCTTGACAAGCTTAGCCAAATCCTTCTCACGGCGGTATGTGAAGGGACGGTCAGCTTTGCGAAACAATTCTCTCCAATGACTATGATGTGTATATATATATATTAGATTCGAGCTTGAATTACAATGTGGGCAAGTTTCACTCACTTTTGTACAGACACAAAGGACAATAGGAGATCCAAGATATCCCCTTTCCAGAGATTGCCTACATGGCAGAACGGTAATCTTCTCGTGTCCCTATTCGGGTGAATCGCCATCCTTGCGAGTAAGGGGCTCCTTTCCTTTGTAAATTTGTCAAACGCATGTAATAACAGAGCGTTAGTGCGCTTATCTAGAGGAGCTGATGTCGCATCCACATTGAGACTCTTGAGCTCCTCAGCCGACATCAGGGTATAGTCGGGCTCATCTGAAGGGTGAATAAAATGCGGCGCGATATTGTTCTCAAAATACAGAGGACGCGTATATGTGTTCGGCCAGTCAATGATATCCGTAACGTGGCCCTGGTCGTCGACGAAAATATTTGAAAGATAAAAGTCCCTGTGCCATAGGTACGACGCCAAAAAACTTTCATCCTTCGGTAGAAGAAAAGGCGTAAGCTGTAGGTAACGCCTAAGGGTTTCAATAAGATCTTCGTGAGAAAATGGATGGTGCAAGAGCAGAGTCGGATGATCACGGGGATAGTATTTGGCATAGTTTGCGAACCAGGCTAGTTCTCGATGAGCAGGAGCCTGTATATATTTCAAAGGATGTGGCCCTGTATCATAGTCAGCATAACGCAGAGAATTTGGAGGAAAGAAGCATACATGGACCGCGATCAATGTCTAACTTGGCCCGCTCTCCACGCCAGTACTCTGGTGTTACCATTGGCCCTATTGAGAATCGCTTCGCGACTCTGTGGCTTGTTTCGCTTGACAAGCTGGATCCGGTGATCGCGACTGGACGAGAGCCCGGTGGCGCATCTTTTGCGAAGAAAAGGCACCCGTATCTGATTGATTAGATGAGGCCAATGTGAATTATACCAACTGTCCACGTACCCGAGGAATTTTATTGAAAGAAGCTTTCGTTGGATCTCAACGACATCCTTGACCGTTTGCTTCTTGACTTCAAGAGATGTCTTAGTCCAAACGTCCGCGAGATTGTCGCCCGATGGAAGCTCCATGATAACATACTCGGCACCAACAGGGTTGGTAAAGTCAGCTGCCGCGTTCCAAGCCAGGACTCTGGGCACTGGAAGGCGAAGGACTGTCCTCAGCTAGAGCAATGGTATGAGTTGTCTATGTTTGTGTGTGCTTGACAGTTCTCACTCACGAATTCCAGAGTCGCCACCTTTGATGCTGTTGCGAGGGAAGGTGCCCCAAAGTTTCGATAGGGAATCCGTGCAATCAATGTTTTGCCGTCAGCCATGGTGAGCTTGAAAGTTTTGTCGTACAATTCTTCGCGCATCTTCTCCAACTTGATACAGGGCCCCGATGAGGCCGCCTCGGACGCGACATTTTGTAGCTCACGAATATTGAAAACACGATACCTCTCCTGGAACCGCTCCTCTTCGTCCCAGAGCCATCGTCCGCTTGTATACCTGAAGAGGTCACGCGGTTGCCCCTCGACGGTTTCTAGCCAAGCATTAGGCTGTGAGGTGGAATATGTTCGGCATAAAGAGAGAAACTTGGCTTCTCTCGCTAATCTGGGTAGTGCAGCTCGGGTTCCGAGCGGACGGCACCAAAGCAGAAGCATGAGTGTTGCCGTCGACAAAGTGTCCACTGGAAGGCCACATTGGGGCCCCTGAGGAAGTGATGATAAGGGGAGGCTTGGCGCGGTGTGTTTGTGCAGCTTCAAGGCTCACCTGACACTCCGCAGCAACGCACTCTCAAGCTGCTCCTCATCAAAGCGTCAAATGCCGTTGCATATCTCGAGATTACAACATGGAATGCGTTATGATCCACTTGTCCCGAATTCCGTGACTGAGGATTTCTCTTATCTCTGCTTATCATCGCGAACTCGCCTCTAGATAGACCGTCGAAGCTTTCCCCGAGCACGTCCCCAAGCTTCCGCCTGAACCTGCCTACTTGGGGAAAGTGAGCTGCAGGCATTGTTGCGACCTTGACGGGCGGGGTTGCTAGTCGCCATATCACCCAGGTGCCCTTGCAGCCAGATATCTGGATCCTGGGTTATCACTGAGATGATCATGGACTCTCTTGTCCTATCGGCGTCTCCGCCATCGACAGTAACGGTGCGCGGTCCCGTGCTGACTGCATATATAACATGTAGCCAGTGCGACCCCAAGCTCTTGACCTCAGCCAGCTTTGCCATCCCTTGTCAGATCGGGTCGTCACTCAAGGTCACGGCTAGAGCTGTCTGAAGCTTCGCTCTTAGTGCTACCTCGAGTGAATGACGATCGCGACTACCCTAACAACCATGTCGCTCTTAGGAAAGGCAACTGCCACTTCCACCCCGCCAGTCTACGACGATGCCAATCATGACCCTGTTACCTCTGTTCTGCCTAACGGAGATATCCCTCATTTCGATGATTCCATGGACGCTGATGAGCGTGTTATAACAGCCTTAGGGTACAAGCAGGAGTTTAAGCGCGAGTTCTCACTATGGACTACCTTCTGTGTCAGCTTTGCTGTTCTCGGCCTCCTTCCATCATTCGCAAGCACAATCTATTACGGTTCGTCTTCTTGACATAGTCGAGCACCTTCAAGATGAGAGCTGACACATAGCTTGCTTAGGAATGGGATACGCGGGGACTGCTGGTATGGTCTGGGGTTGGATTATCGCCATGATCTTCATCCAGTGCGTTGCCATGGCCATGGCCGAGCTGTGCTCTGCAATGCCCACGAGGTAGGGTTCAAACATGCCACCATGTGCTTCAACCTCGGGCTGACTCATGTACTAGTGGAGGGTTGTACTATGCCGCTGCCGTGCTTGCGCCCCCAGGATACGGTCCGTATGCGGCGTGGATTACTGGATGGTCCAACTGGATTGGTCAGATCACTGCAGCTCCGTCAGTCGACTATGCCCTTGCCGCCATGATTCTCGCTGCTGGATCCATCCAGAATCCGGGCTATGTCCCCACGCAATGGCAAACCTTTCTACTGACCACGCTCATCATGATCCTTCACGCTGGCATTAGCAGCATGCCGACCAAATGGGTCGCCCATTTCAACTCGTGGGGATCGACCTTCAACATGTTTGCACTAGTTGCAGTCATAATTGCTATCCCTGCTGGCACTACAAACTCGCCCAAGTTCACGCCGTCCACAGAAGTATGGGGAACAATTACCAACATGACTGACTACCCTGATGGAGTTGCTGTACTCATGACCTTTGTGGGTGTTATCTGGACCATGTCTGGGTATGACTCTCCTTTCCACCTCAGCGAGGAATGCTCCAACGCAAACATTGCCTCACCGCGTGCGATTGTCATGACATCCGGAGTTGGAGGTCTCATGGGCTGGTTCCTGCAGCTTGTCGTCGCCTACACTGTAGTAGATATCGATGCCGTTCTGAACTCGGACCTGGGTCAGCCATGGGCGTCATATCTCTTTCAAGTCATGTCTCGCAGGGCAGCACTGGCCATTCTCTCACTGACCATCATCTGCGGCTTTTCCATGGGCCAGGGCTGCATGGTGGCGGCATCCCGAGTCACATATGCCTACGCCCGCGATGACTGCTTTCCGCTCTCAAAATACTGGAAACGCGTTAATAGTACCACGAAAACGCCAGTAAACGCCGTCATCCTCAACGCTGTCCTCGGTATTCTCATGTGCCTACTATTGTTTGCCGGTGATGTTGCCATTGGTGCCCTTTTCTCCATCGGTGCTATTGCTCAGTTCGTTGCATTCGCTATTCCAATCGCTATCCGCGTGTTCTTCGTCGGCAATCGCTTCCGCAAGGGGCCATGGCACCTGGGCCCTTTTGGTCCGTGGATTGGTGGACTGGGTGTAGCATTTGTTCTCTTGATGGTGCCGATCCTGTGTTTGCCTGCCGATACAGGCTCGAATTTGACGCCAGATTTGATGAATTGGACTTGCCTGGTTTGGGGAGGGCCAATGCTCGCAGTCAGCATCTGGTGGGTTGTTGATGCACACAAGTGGTTCAAGGGCCCAAAGGTCAACGTTGAGCATGCTATTCACGGGAATGTCATTGTCGGCATCGGCGAGGAGCAGATTGCGGCTCACCCAGGGGATGGTTCACCACATACCTCAAGGAGCTCATCGCCCAAGCGTTGATAGTCGGTTCCTGTGGGATATACGTTGCTGTTGTGTTGTATCTTTATGAATTACTTTATCATTTAGCCAATTTGGCAATAATGTCACTTACGTTTACCTGTTACTCAGCCCCAAACTCCTCACATTAGGTTGCGGCCCACAGGCCTTCCTCAAACGAAATTGATCTGCTCAGTAGGTGCAAGAGACATATACTCCTCTCCGACATGCTAATCATCAGAATATAATGACGAGCTTATCTCTCGCGATAACAGGACAGGATGGCCTTCGCCCATTATCCTCTGTTCGACTCTGCAACCTTCATGACGCTATCAGTGACTGTAGCATCATCGTACTTGTCCAAGAGCAGAGGTAGAATATGGTGCCCATACAATCGGTTGGTAGCGGCCGCTTCGTCCACGCTTTCTGAGATGACATGTGTATCACGACGATCAAGCAGGAGCTGGACTACAGTTGTCCCTTTGTTCGTACTTCCTGACGCGGCCGCAAAAACTCCTTCCGTTATAGTGGGCGCAGCAGGTAGGTCAGCAAGGCGCTTCGTAATCACTGGCCGGCCCCGTGCTGCTGTATTCTTGAAAATAGCTTCATCAAGTGTGAGGCAGCTCTGCCAGCGATCTAGCAACACATTGAAGATAAGACTACACTGGTGTCGAATCGAGAGGAGCAGAAAGTCATCGACAATCTTGCTCTCAGGTTCGACGACCAGGTCACCAGGTCATCGCGGGCTAGTAACGAGGCTACTATCTTCACCCCATCGTCATAGTTCGCGGCATCATCCCGCCTACTAGTCGATCATGACCTCCAGTCCTGCCTGTGAAAGAACGGTCCGGTTGTGGATGTACTGCATATTGACGTTGACTCGAGGATCCGGAAGCAGAAGATCCACGACAGCCGCAGATCCGGTACAGACGGCAGAGAATGGCTGCTTCGCGTGTTGACGTCGACCTTACTTGTTTTGCAATAAGAAGCCGACGATTGGTGCGTTTTCCTGCGAGGCTGCTATGAACAGAGAAGTCTGACCGTTTGCGTCTCGACACTTTGAGTCTGCCTCTGCGTTGAGCAACGCCTTTACCATTAGTACAGCGCCGTAGCGTGCAAGAGGCCATAGCGACTCTGATAGCTCGTCGGATGTTGTTTGGCGCGAAACTGAAGTCAGGTGGGCGACAATGAGGCTGACCACATTCTCTACGCCAGCAGCAGCAGCAGCTAAGTATAGCAGGGCGACTTGCTTCAAGTTGTCCTTTGTATGCAGATTTGCGCCTGCTTCGAGCAACTGCTGGACAATCTGCTCTTTCCTGGAATGGGAAGCCCATGAGAGCGACGTCCATCCACCCTCGTCCCCCAACTCGATATTTGACCATGGCTGAGAAGTATATCCACCACCGCATCCTGGTCACTTGACGCAGCCCACGGCAATGGTGTCCGCTTGTTTCTCACGAAACTGTCACATTTAACGTCGCCTTTCGCAAGTAGTAACCGCACAATATCTGCTGGACTCTTTCGTACGGTAGGCCAGAGCACCTCTGCCATCTCGCTAGATGTACTACGCAGATGATGCCTCACATCTGGCTCACGTATTAGCATCCTGGCCACTTCCTCCGGCCAACGTGTCCTTCGACTCTTTGTAAAAGCTGAAGACAAAACGTATAGCCGGCTGCCCCCAACAGTGTCAGGCGTTGATCATTGTCCGCAAAATTCAAATCGACTTGCCCTGTATCCAGCAAACAGACGTACCATTCTCGGTTGAGCCACGTGCGCAGCCCACCACAACGGCGTAGCAGTCTCACCTGCATCAGGGTCAACATCGCCCCTTGCTAGTAGAAACTCAACCACATCTTCGTATCCCGCTTCCACCACCCACTCGAGCAGTAACCATGTGCGCCAGGTCGGCCTGCTCAGCTGCTCATGGTAGACCACCGAGTTTGGCGTCACATCCAGCTGGTCTAGGAGTATCTCCGGCAAATCCAGTGATATGTCCCGCGCAGCGAGAAAAGCCGCAGTGTACCCTTCCGAGTCGGTTGCGTGGATAGCTGCGCCATGCAGCAAGCAGACATCTCTGGCAGCCCATGGGAGCGCAGAAAGCCCATGTCTGCGTGAGATTGTGCGGTAGAGATGGGGTGTTGGGAGCTTTGAAAGGAGACGGGATGTTTGTCGCCAGGCGTTGATGTCGCATTGGGATTCGGTGGGCTCGACGATTTGTTGCAAAGTCTCATTGAAAAAGGTCCAGGAGCTTTACTGGTCTATGGTCATTGTAGAGTTAATGTATGTAGGGAAAGTTATGAAGTATGGAGGTAATACGTCTGGTGGGATGAAGCGGGGTGCTGCCACAACTGTTGATACGAGACTTGAAGAGACTCGGAAAGTATTGGCCGAAATTGGCCGAAATCCTCTTGCGACAAAGAAGGGCTCTCTGGTGAATTCAAGGTAGATATATAAAGGACTGAGAATGTTTATCGGGGGCGGGTAGTATGTCCATAGATGGACACATCCCAAACAACGCTCAAGATCAAGAAATATTACTAAATAGCAAAGCTCAACCGACATCAATGGAGTTGATTCATCATCGCCACTTGAGTACTATTGCTAGTTGTTTTATATACCAATCAGTCCCAAACTAACCCAAGCCCATAGGTGTAAATACTATAAAGACGCCTCCAGCGCACGTCCATTGGCAGCCAACTCGACAACAACCACACCACACGCTGTCACCAGCCCCTTCACCCAGTGTCGAGACCGCCACAATTCGCGCGTAACATACGTGCGCGGCAAGCCATTACCCCAGACGACAATCCACGTATGCGCCCCTCCCGTATGGCTCATGATCAGGTCGTAGAAGACGCCCATAGAGATCGGCTCTAACTCTTCCTTCATTCCTTCCTCCCGTCTTTCAATCTCAAAAGCGTTACCAGATTCATACCCAGTCTTCTCAAACATCCACTCCCACTTCCTCCCATCTTGCGCAACCCTCCACCCCTTGATCTCCGGAAACGGTGCCCACATAACCGTATCAACCACAAGCCCGACACCTAGAACAGGTGGCTGTGTGAGGAGCATCCGTCTCCATGATGCATCTTGGCGCTCAATAGGTTGATGTACGTCCCCGTTCCAGTCCCTTTCAAGCCTGCGTAGTAACTCGGGCTCAAGGTTGCTAGTGCGGTATCCGCGCTCATCGGTTAGTGTTGATGCACTCGGGAACCACGATGGGAATATCACGGTGAGGAATGGGTTTAGCTTTGCCGCATGGATGGTTCGTTCGGGTTGTGCTCTTGCTGAGATTTCAGGGCGGAAGAAGAGGAGGCGTTGGATCGATGGCGTTTGGGTGATCATCGTGTGCCAGAGGTGGCAGACACGTTGGGTAGATGTTAGGAGGCTGGCGGTGTCGATGAGGAGGAAGATTTGTTCGAGAAGTTCGGGAGTTGAGAGAGCTGGATGCATTTTTATATAGTTTGTGTTAATTTGACGCGGCGCTCTATAAATATGTCTTGAATGGGTAAGATAGCTATTTCAATAATTAGGAGGAAAGAAAGAGAAATGGGGTTATTCTCGTATTCTGGAAGCTTTCGTATACTAGTACTAGTATATATACTTCGTATTGTTGCTTGGGACCTTTCTTGGGCCGGAAGGCAGCCAAATTACACTTTTTTGCTTGGGAACTTCAATACCTTCCTATCCAAGGGCAGTATGAGCATACAACTATGCATGTTTTGTTGAGTAAAGAGATAGGCTTAGATGTGCTCGTGATACGTACTGCTCGAATATCAGGTGTGGTTTGCCATTCTAGATCAAAACCAAGGTAAAAATATCGGAAACCAAGTAGGGCGAAAGTCTATGTGCCAACAAATCTCATTGCTATTCTACAATACAGCACAAAGGTCTCCTCACCGTCTATCTATCCATGCCGCATCCACATAATAAAGTGCTCGAAACGCGAAAGATAGTCCAGAAAGGCAAACCCGTTTAGAAAGGCTGTATACCCGTTAGCAACATGTCTTTCCTTGGGCGGTCCCCGCCAGAGAAGAAACGAAAGAAAACATACGTTGTCCTCAGGAGGAACGGTGCGGTCAAGGTAGGTGTCGAAGAAGGGGAGCTTCTGGAGGATATCCTTGCGGACACGGGGGACCTCGCCGAAGAAGAAGAGCGCGGACACACCGGCGCTGACGCCAAAGGTAGCGGCGATGGAACCGCTTTAATCGGAAGTATATGTTAGCTGCCCGGTTCGAAACGAGCCATTGACTTGTCGGCGAACTGCCCACTGCGGACAGCTTCAGATGTAAGTGAGACTCACGCCTTAACAACGGTGCTGGCAGTTATACCATCGAAGTGGGGAGGGACGGAGTATCTGTTAGAGCGTGGCCGGGTTAGCTTGTTTTCCTTGCTTGGTCTGCGGTAGTTGTCATGGGTTCGGGTTGCGGGTTGCGGTTTTGGCGTTGACATTGCTGATCAAAAATTGGGTATAGGGGTAGCTGATAGTCGGAATTGTGCTGCCCAGTACGAAACTCCACGTAGGGGAATAGGTGTTCGGGGAGTCTCACCTTCCGACAAGAGGAGAGCGGGCAGACTGAGCTGCGGCGCGGCGGAGGGTCTGGGAGAACTGTTTGATTGACGCAAAAGTTAGCAATTGCCAGAATTGCACCACGGAGGAGCAGATGTACGTACCATTTTGTGTGGTTTCTGGGAGAATGAACTTGCCAACAGAGGACGTCAGACAATCGAGGTTGAGGTCCGCGACACTCGACGAAAACCGGGAGACTCTGCCGCCCGAGCGCCAATCAGCGGCGGCTAGATTATAAGCACGTGATTTAGTAAACCCGTCGAACTATAAGATGTTCTCCCTCCAATTGAAGCAGTTATCATGATTTAGAGATTGTAGGATGAAGAGGAAATGGTGTATTATGTTTATTTGTATCGCTATCAATCAAAAAAAAAGACCTTAATCCTATGAATGTGATGAGTAGAAGCGGACAGAGAATATAGGAAGCCTAAATAACTGAAATCAATTAACGTAAATGTACAGTTCTGACGTTCCACATTAGTCCACCTTTCCGGTTGAGCCTCCGTTCAGAAGCCCTTCCTTGCCGTCGAGATGGAGGAAGCCGGGAGCATTGCCAGCAATGCCGAGGATCCCGCCACGGACTCCTCGTTTGAGAGCTCTCCCTCGGGCAACATATGTCGCACCCAGAATCGACAGGACGAGGAAGATAATGAAGACGATCGGGTGACCCGTGATAAACGAGTGGGAGACAAAGAAGATCGACTCAAAAGTGCCAATGGTAGACTTCGGGGTCAGCTTCGGTGGGTTGGCGATAACAAGAGGAATGGTTTCAAGAATGGAGGTGCGAGAAGCCATGATGGAGGCACCGCTGGAAGAGGTGTCCCAATAACGCCGGTTGTCCTGATCATTGATAATGACACGCTCTCCATTACCAACATCGATCCCATAAGTAGTCCTCAGCCAGCGTTCCCAAAAGTCACCGTCCACCCAAGCAAATCTGACTTGCTTCTTGTCGTCCTCACGTATAGAGACGTGCATATTCTTCGCTGCACGCAGCGCACGCTGGTCATTGCGGTCTTCGGCTTCTTCGATTCGCAACTGCTTTGAGTCTCGCAGTTCTTGCCTCTCCAACTGGAAGAGTTGCACTTGCTTGTCCATCCACTCAAGGGCGGCGTTCTTTAGCTCCCGCTTCGATTCAACAAACTCGTTGGCGCGGCTGCGGCTCAAAATACCTAGTACCACGAACTTGCCGTCCATGAGATCGCGAGCATTTGAGGCAGTGAGCTCGGGAACAATGGGCAGCCAGACAGTGTACATCCAATTGAGGATTTGCCGGAGGTCCCTCATGTCTCTCGGGGCAATGGGGTTATAGTAATTGGCCCGGCCGCTCCGAGACACGAGAAGACGCGGCCAGGTTGAGATTCTGAACCTTTCCGCTAGGGCAGCGCTGTCGGTTTTCACCAGTCTGGCATGGCCGATCAACGGAAGTGTGAGACGTTCCAAGGCGGCGAAATCTTCCGACGTCGTTGCATCATCGTAAAAGTATAGAAAGATGACTTCTTCCTTTTCCTCCAGAGCCTTGAAAGCCTCGGCATCGACATGCTGAACGCCGGACCCGATATCGACCGCCTTCTTTGCGTAGCTGACAAGATCACCGAGGCCACGGAGACCGTCGTACTCGACTTTCTCAGTACCGCGGAAGAAATACATGGTGGGGAAAGCGTTGACTCGCGCATCCTTGCATAGCCTACGCTCAACCTCACAGTTTACCTCGCCAATATTGAGAACGTGCTGCATTTCCTTCCCAAGCTGTGCCCAGTTAGGAGCAAGCGCCTGGCAGTGATGGCACCAGGGCGCATAGAATTTGATAAACCATGGTTCGTCGGATGCCGTAACAAGTTTTTGGAAACTCTCCGCGGTAAGGGGAACAGAAATTCCTTGAGGGTTGATGGGGGCCTTTGCCTTGGGCTTCTTCGGTTTCGGCGTAGAATCCCGATCGGTTGGTGGATTTTCGGTGGCCAATTGCGCAGCCTGCTCGTTGTGCTTCTCACCGGCCTTGGTGCCAGCTTCGGGGTCTTTGTCTTTTGCAGCAGGAGTCTCCGGTTCGGCCCTAGTATCAACACTCTTGGCGCCTGGTTTCGGAAGAACAACGCCCTTTGCCGGCCGAGATCCGGGACGTATAGCTTCTAATTTCTCTTCGATGAATTCGCTGAAGCCTTCCATGTCCTTCTTTCCTTCATACTGCTCGATCTGCTCTCCGTTGTGGAAGTACGAAAATGACGGGAAGTAGGCGACATTTAGTCTCTTGCACAAATCGCCGTAGGCTAGACAGTTCATGGATGCAAAGTGGAAGTTGTAGAAGCTCTCAAACGAGTTTAGAGATTGGGTGCTGGACGACTGAGTGGAGGCTGAGGACAACGGATCCGAGGTCTGCCGCACATCAGCTAATCAAGGTCCTTGACATAGCAAATAGGTACTTACATAGTAATACTCGTACAAAGTCTGCCACGTGGGAGCGACGGCCTTACAGTGAGGGCAAACTGGGGAGTACTGCTTGATGAACCTATTGCCGTGTTAGGGGGGACACATGAAATGCAACTGCGCGCATATCCAGAGTGCGGCGTACCAGTGACCATCTTTGATGGTTTCCTCGAAATTGTCAGGTGTTAGCTCCGTGATGACTGGCACTTCAATGCCATTGAAAATTGTCGGCGCCGCGGTCGTCGTGTCGTCGGCGTTGGCTCTTTTCACGAGACGCTTCGTCGAGAAAGCTGGATCAGAGGGAGTGGCAAAAGTGGAAAGAGAGAAAAGCGAGAGTAATGACCATCTCAGCAAAGACGAACGCATCTTGACTGTACGTCAAGGCACGAAGCCTCGATAAAGTATCCGAATAAAGAGAGAGTGAGGAGGATAATCACAGATGGCACATTGAGGGACTAGGGTCTCAGCGAAGGCGATTGATGGTGTATGCGCGGAATTCACTGTACTTGAAGAGTGTACGTGTCGAGTAGAGAGCCGATAATCTCGAGTAATATGCGGAGTCACCCGCACGCCCTCAGACGAAAGACAAAAGGAATGTCAGCGATAGGAAGAGGGTGAGGCTGTTTCTCCTTTGATCGACGCAGAAAGAAGTGGCCGTGGCTTGCCTCAGGCGCTGGAGCCTTAGTTTCTCCGCGTCCCGATGGAACCTCAACTCTGTGCCGATTTCCTGTATCCCAAAGAAAGCGACATCCCCTCAGTCCGCGTTTGGGCCAATCTTTTCTTTTCTCTTGTTTACACACCTCTCGATAAATATGAGGGCTACACTCCGACTGTTGGCGAGCGTCAAGCCCTCCCGGTATCTGGAGCCTTTCGCTCCGACCGGTTTGACCGGCCTGACCACTCACCCAAGCCCTCGTCCCACCCTGATCTATATCTACAGAGCTACGCTTGAGAAATTGAAGGCCTTCCCCGAATCCTCCGTCTACCGTCAATCCACCGAGGCATTGACCCGTCACCGCTTACAGATCATCGAGTCCACAAAGCCTCCCGGATTCGAAGCTTGGTTTGAGCGTGTGAAGAAGACTGTGGGAGCTGAGCCTCATCGATTCGCTTCTCTCCGCCTGGACGATGGAAGCTATGTTGGAGCCCAGCGTGACGATGGGAGCGACAACCCACGCGGAGAGGAGTGGGACGGAGAGAAACTGGAAGCGACCACAGAGGGGCCTCATCGCACACCGGAACAGCAGGCTCGGTGGGAACAAGCCATTGATGAATCCGTTTCTTCTGGCGCTATCGAGTCGGACTTTGAGACCCTAGAAATGAAGTGGGAAAACGAACCCGCCCTCGAGGCTGAGCAGTATGCCGAAATAACCCAACCACAGTCGATGGCAATGATAGGCTGACGAAGATTACCGCAGAGTCTCTGAGATTGAAAAACAAATTGGCGCCGGTCTTCTCGAGGAGGTCATCCAAGTGGCCGAGGGCGAACTGAAGCTGGTCAACGAGCTGTACAAGTCAAAGGCGTAAGTGGCTGATAACACCCCAATTGAATGCAATGCGGCTTGCTGACAACTCTGCAGCTGGGAAGAGCTTGAAGAGAAGCCGAGGCCCGGACAGTGGACTTATTTTGAACGCAAGACATCGTAAAGCTACGCTTTTGTGTGTGGAAGACTGATAGAACCCCGGAATACTTGTACTTATTAGCCGAAATTGTCCACTGACCTGGACGTACTTGTGACAATTACAGATATTATGATTGTTTAGATGCCTTGCTCCTATCACAATCTGTTTCTTAGGGTTCTCTTGGGCAATTGTACTGCTGGTGTATATCATTCTACATACGACTAAGAGACAGCATGATTGGCTCCATCCAGCTGCAGAGATGTGAAGCGGCCGGATGTTAGAGAATTAGCACAGACAAAATGATTCTTGAGCAATTGTCATACCACCTCCTATGTATATCTTGTCGATCTGGTGACGATGGGGATCCTAGCACGTAGGCGGTGAGGCAGTATCGCTAGTGCCTTTAGATAGTGTCGGGATTATTGCCGTCCCCTTGTGGACACATCGCGGGAGTCTTCTGTTCATCTGCACGGCCATTCCCCTCGGAGGTTTTCTTCTTTTGTTTATAACTGCTACTCAAGCTCGACTTCTACAGAAAATCTCACTGAAATTCCGGGCTGGGCTGGTTGAACGGCTCGTGCCTGGTTCCCCTCCTCTCGATCATCCCCGACGCCACACATAGTCGCGATTCTCCTTTTCCCCACGCAACATGAGGTTGGATATCAAGGTATGGTTGAAACTTTGGGCAGCGGAGGAGATATGAAGCCGCATATAACTGCATACATGATTCATGATTGAACTTGTGGCTGACCGAGTGATTAAATACAGAGGCAACTCTTCGCCCGCTCCGAGCGAGTGAAGGGCATTGACTTTCACCCTACAGAGCCATGGGTAGGTAATTCCTTGACAGCGAAGGGCTTCGTACTCTACTAACGTCTGATAGATCTTGACAACATTATACAGCGGTTTGTAGAAAATTGGCAAACCGTCGGCTGGTGCGATGCACTAATTCGATGTCTAGGTCACGTATACATCTGGTCGTATGAAACTCAGGTAAGTGCCTGGCCAAGAGTATCGCTTCCACCGACCGCTAACTGGTCACTCTCAATTAGTCAATTATCAAAACTTTCGAATTGACCGATGTCCCCGTTCGGGCTGGGCGATTCATCGCCCGCAAAAACTGGATTGTTTGCGGTTCAGACGACTTTCAGCTCCGTGTCTACAATTACAACACCTCCGAGAAGATTGCCTCCTTCGAGGCGCACCCAGACTATATCCGCTCTATCGCTGTTCATCCTACTCAGCCATTCGTTCTTACAGCTTCCGATGACATGACGATTAAACTGTGGGATTGGGAGAAGGGATGGAAGTGCGTACAAGTCTACGAGGGTCATAGCCACTACGTGATGGGGCTCGCTATAAATCCCAAGGACACAAACACTTTTGCTTCCGCCTGTCTGGATCGGACCGTCAAGATATGGAGCTTGGGTTCACCGCACGCCAACGTCACGCTCGAGGCTCACGAAACAAAAGGTGTCAACTATGTCGATTACTACCCTCAGGCCGACAAACCGTATCTCCTCACCACTTCAGATGATAAGACCGTAAAGGTCTGGGATTACACCACAAAGGCACTCATTGCGACTCTAGAAGGACACACCAGCAATGTATCTTTCGCCTGCTACCACCCGGAATTGCCCGTCATCATTTCCGGTTCTGAAGATGGTACCATCAAGATATGGCACGCAAACACATACCGACTGGAACAGTCTCTAAGCTACGGCCTGGAAAGAGCTTGGTGTGTTTCTTACCAACGTGGAAAGCAAGGCGTTGCACTGGGTTTCGACGATGGTGCTGTGGTTGTGAAGATGGGCAGAGAAGAGCCAGCTGTTTCTATGGACGGATCGGGCAAGATAGTTTGGGCACGACACAATGAGGTTGTGTCCACAGTCATCAAGGGTGGTGACGCGAGCATCAAGGACGGGGCCCCAATCTCTTTGCCCACCAAGGACCTCGGCTCATGCGAAGTGTATCCCCAGACATTGTCCCACTCGCCCAACGGCCGCTTCGTTTCCGTGTGTGGGGACGGCGAATATATCATTTACACCGCTCTTGCCTGGCGAAACAAGGCCTTTGGGCAGGCTCTGGATTTCGCTTGGGGCTCAAAGGACAATAGCAATGATTATGCTATCCGGGAATCGCCCACGAGCGTCAAGATTTTCAAGAACTTCAAGGAGGTGAGCGGCGGGCTCGACGTAGGCTTTCAGGCGGAGGGGCTTACTGGCGGCGTCCTCCTGGGTGTTAAAGGACAAGGGGGTATTGGTATGTTCGATTGGGAATCTGGAAACTTGGTCCGACGGATTGAGGTTGAACCTAGATCTGTAAGTACGCTCGAGAGCTGAAGAAAATGGTTATCTAACTTGATAGGTCTACTGGTCTGAGTCCGGAGAGCTGGTCACTCTCGCCTGTGATGATTCATTCTACGTTCTTAGATTCTCTCGCGAGAATTACGTTAATGGTCTGAATGCAGGCGAAGCGGACGAGGATGGTGTCGAGTCCGCATTTGAAGTCGTCACCGATGTCAATGAGTCTGTCAGGACAGGTCAATGGGTCGGAGACTGCTTCATCTACACAAACTCCACAAACCGCCTGAACTATCTTGTCGGTGACCAGACGTATACCGTGTCACACTTTGACCAGCCAATGTATGTCCTCGGATATCTTCCACGCGACGGCCGAGTCTACATTGCCGACAAGGATGTCAATGTCGTGTCGTTTGCCCTGTCTCTCAGCATGGTCGAGTACCAGACAGTCGTTCTGCGCGGTGACATGGATCTTGCCGCAGAATTGCTCCAGGAAATCCCACAAGATCAGATGAACAAGGTGGCTCGATTCCTCGAAGGCCAGGGATACAAAGAGATGGCCTTGGAAGTCGCAACAGACCAAGAACACCGCTTCGATCTCGCACTCGCTCTTAACAACCTCGAAATCGCCCTTGACATTGCCCGCGAGGCCAACGTGGAACACAAGTGGAAGATTGTCGGTGACGCCGCTCTGTCAGGCTGGAACTTGTCTCTGGCCCAAGAATGCTTCATCAACGCCAAGGATATCGGCTCTCTCCTCCTGCTGCACACTGCTAGCGGTAACAAGGAAGGTCTGCAAACGCTGGCCGAGCAAGCCTCTGGTGCCGGTCTTCACAACGTAGCATTCTCCACACTGTGGTCTCTTGGAGATGTCGACGGCTGCATTGACCTCCTCGTCCGCACTAATCGCCTCGCCGAGTCCGTTCTTCTTGCTCAAACATACAAGCCATCCCGAGCACCGGAGCTTGTGGTCAAGTGGAAGGAATCCCTGGAGCAGACTGGAAAGTCCAAGATCTCCCGGCTCATTGGTGTTCCTCCTGGTGCCCCTGACGTTGTGGCAGATGATGATTTGTTCCCTGAATGGGAGGAATACATCCGTCTCGAGAAAGAGGGCATTGTTGCTGAGCCAGCATCATCCGGTTCTCTGATTGACGTTGAAGCAGAGGAGATTGAGCCCGAGACGAATGGTGCACAAGAGGTGGAAGCGGAGGCTTGAGTACCCTGTCGGATCGAATTTGGGTAAGTGTTAATGCCGGCATGAATGTTTGCGCAATAATGTGGGTGCCCTCCTGGGAAGTGATAGGATTCCGAGGAGACACGAATCTCAATCAACAGTGTTTGATACGTTGATACGCAGCTATAAAATTCTGCTTCGGGGGCGCGTATTCTCTATTTCTGTATCTGGGTTTTCAGCTTCGTCTCCCTTTACTTCTATATCTATTTGTTTCTTCAATCTAGAAATATTATTAGAAATGTTCGATCAACTCAGATCTGCTCTTGATGAGCTGGAATAAGAGACCTCGCAAGATAGAAACGGCAGTACGTCGATCCGCGGCGCTAGAGTCTCAGAAGAAGTATGCAAGGCCCCTTGAGCTGTCAAAGTAAGGCTGCTTGGGCAGCCCTTCCGCTATTGTAATTGTGGATTTCCGGTCCCGGGGTGCCCATAGAGCTACAGCAAGTTCGATCTAAAGTCACCCTTGATGAACTAGAGACTGTGTTCGGCCGTACCGTTGCGAATCTCGAGCCACTTCTGTAGCTCAGTGGTGTCGAGGATCCAGCTGCATGTTTTCAGTGCGAGTTCTCCTTTGCGACGCTTGAGTGCGTTCTTGTCGTCTTCCCTGTCCAGGATGACACCTCGACGACGATGGTGTAGCGAAATGGCGAAAGAAGAGGTCTCGTCTCAGATTCCAATTTCATTTCGACACAGGATGGGCGGGCGCACGCAAGACTGAAATGCGGTTGTTCCAGGCTAAAGCCAAGGCTTAATCGAACAAAGGCATTTTTAGCCACGATGTAATCACTCATAGTGGACTTTGGACAATAGTGGCCTGGTCTGATAGCGGACTTGAGCTGTCTTCTGGGAGGTGCCTTGACCGGGCAACCGCCCGGATTCTGACCATGAATTTAAGTATCCTCTGGCCGCCCCTTCTAGTAAACTAATTTTGATCAGGACATATAGTAATCAGCTCTACATGGGCATATTGACGGATGAACTGAGAATTCATTGTTGGTTTATGAACTGGCCATTGAATCAACATCCATGCTTTCCTTACAAATTGCTTGAACCCTCCAACTGTGCAGAAACCCGCCTGGGGAAATCAAAAGAACCCGACATATGTAAGGAGGGCAAAGAAACCGCATCAAATGACAATCGAAAGTGTGAGTTCAGCAATGACACTCTAGATGGGGATCTGTAAATCAGCCCAAATGTACTACTCCCCTAAGGCAAATTTGTGGTTTGCTAGAGAAGTCGATTGGATCAGTCCAGCAGGTTGGGAAGGAAGAAGCAGAGCTAATCCGGTAGGCAGAAACGAAGAGGACTGTCCCATTTCATCCCAAGAACACGGAGACACTCGCAAAGCCCCAAAGATAGATACGTGAAAGCACGATATGGTCAGAAAAAAAAGAGACAAGTCGTTTGCAACACGGTAAATTGAGAAATGAACGCGTAGGGTCCTGCCTGGTTGTATCTTTGATGCAAGGATGAACAAATAGAGAAAGGACACAATTCGCTCAAACCGAGAGATCACTGCCACATACTAATCCAATCAAAAAATTGCGGGGGGATTTGAGTCCCCGAAACCGGGAACAGAAGGAAGAACGAGGCGTCTGGCGCAAGTGGCAGTATATGCATAGGCAGCAGTGAAATATAACTGCGAAACCGGATGAACTGTTCCCACCGTGGAACGGGAAACTGCAGGTGTTTGGCTAACGCAGGCCCGTCTCTCCACCCCGGGAAACAGCTTAATGCTCGGGAATGCTTGCAAAGGATGGATCCTTGACACTGCCGCCGGCGTCTCCGAGGCCAGCAACGGGCCGGTTGTACGACCATCCCTCAAATTGCTGCTGCTGAGTCGAGGACAACATGGACCCTTCCACAACCGAATCTTTGGGTAGTTCGCGGGTGAAATCTTCATCAAAGTTCTTGGTGTCGCGAGCATCAGCCTAGACACGATCAGTTATTGAGCGCCTCTCAAAAAATGGAGAAGGTGACACATACCACGTTGGGTCGGAAGCTCGGCTCATACTTCCTTTGGAGCAGCTTACGCCAGTCAATGTTTGCGAAGAAATGGTGGGATTTGATTTCTGCAGCACCATTGGCACCAAGTCGGCGATGAGGGTCACGGTCGAGGAGTCGAGTAAGGAGGTCACGGGCAGCTGGTGGAACAATATCGCTGCTTGGGAAGGTCAATGGTTCCTGCAGAATCTTCCGGTACATGTCGTTTGTGTTCTCGTCGTAGAACGGTGGAAGACCTGTCAGCATCTCGTAGAGGAGCACACCAAGTGTCCACCAGTCGACGGTCTTGGTATATCCTTGACCAAGCAGAAGCTCTGGAGCAAGATACTCTGGTGTACCGCAAAAGGCTGCAACACAATGTTAGCAAACTAACCGCATTTTATCAGGCGTTATCTCACTGTTGGTTCGATCTTCATCCTTCATATCCAACTTGCACAACCCAAAGTCGCAAAGAGCAATGTGACCGGTGTAATCGATCAGAATGTTTTCAGGCTTCAGATCACGATAGATAACCTTGAAGCCGTGCAAGCACTCCAGAGCGCAAAGCAGTTCGGCTGTGTAGAAGCGCGCTCGGTTGACATCAAATCGTTGCTCCCGCTGGAGGTGATGGAAGAGCTCTCCGCCATTCACAAAGGCCAGTACCAAGTACAACTTCTCAGGCGACTGGAAAGAGAACTTGAGGGGCACGATGAATGGATTATTGATCTGCGCAAGCACGGATCTTTCGGCGAGAGTGTGGGTAACTTCGGACCGTGAGATGATATGTGCTTTGCGAATGGTTTTGAGGGCATAAATTCGACCGGTATCCTTTTTCCTTTAAGGTATTAGTTTAGCCGGCGTTGATTTGGAACCAGGTGTAACTCACAGGACCTGCATGACCTTTCCGAAACTGCCCTTACCCACGACCTTGAGCAGTTCGAAATCCTCCAACTTCATACTACGTTGTCTATTCTCAACAAACGAAACGCCAATCTTGATCGACCCGGAACCAAACTGTAGTTCTAGCCACTCAGCCCCCAACTGTCCCAAGTTGCGTTCCTGCGCAGCATGAGCAGCAGCAGCCTTCTGGTTCTCCTTTTTTCCCAACTTGGGATCGTCAATGTATGGTTGAGATTGCTCCTCAAAGCGAGGATGCACCTTGACAGCACCTAAGAAAATGTCGTCATTGCGGCCGGCACCTTGGCGAGCGGTAGGGTTGCGGAGATATAGTTGAACGTTCAGATCAGTCTTACGGGAAACGTCGAATTTGAACGCGGTGTTATCGCCTGCCCATAGTGGATTTTCTGGAGTTCCCGAAACGGCATCGACAAAAACTTGGTTCTTCTCGAAATCTAAAAGGGCGTAAGGGAGATATTTGGTCGAGTAACGCCCGTGGATGGTCGGAGCAGCATTGATGCCTCCGCTTGTTGACTGAGGTCGGTTACTCTGTACGTAGGAATTCGCCTGACCATGTGTGGAGTGTGATGAGGAAGAGCTGGGGCGCATTCCGTAGCCATTGTGAGTCTGAAGGTGGGAGTTGAAAACCTGCTGATAATGTGCCGGAAGTTGAAAACTGCGACCTTCGTGGAGGGTGACTATCAAGATGCCAGGCTGAACAGCGGCCACGGGGGGGGAGACGAGGGATTCCGAGGCGGCTTTGATGACAGATTAGTTGAGGCCAGGTAGATTCGAGGTAACACTCGAGACATACCGATTCCGTTCGATGCGCTTGTGGAGATACTCGGCGTCGGAGTCTGCGAGACGACCGGAGTTTCCTCCCCTGAGTCGCCCTTGATGGTAGATGTTGAAGAAGACCGTGTGAAGGTCTGTGTTAAAGGCGCAAGATGCGTTTCCTTTAATTCTGACGTTACAAAGGCACCAAGCGTCAGTTGCCCGAGTTAAGTAAAGGGGAGGGTATCTTTTAGGGGAAATGGGAGACCAACTGAACATACTTTTGGTAATTTTCCAGGACATTGTGAAGGGCGGTCTGGTATCTCGAGGGAGGGGATCCTGGATAGAAACGATTTGATGAGGACCCGAGCAATTCAGTCACAGGCCTCGGGAGAGAGGAAAAGGAGAGAAAGAGTGGAGAGAGAAGACTGAGAGGATGGAGAGTTCGAGAAAATGAGAGGAATTGAAAGGGGACACTCCTTCAATCGCTGACAGTTGACGAAGAAATGAGATGCAAGACCGCCACAGCCACAGCAGTCAGCAGCAGCAACACAGGGACGATCAGGAACTGGTACAGGCGAGTGAAACCCGCCGACAGGAGAGAGGGAAGGGTGGGACCGAAAGACTGGACAGAAGCAACGACTTGTATGATGAAGGAAGGATCTAGGGAAGCATCTCTAGAACCAGCGATCGTAGAAAATTCAAGGCACGAAACACAGATGCCAGACAGTCACAGGAGAGTTGATGGAGGCTGAAGAGGGGAAATGAACGGCGACAAAAGGGAGGGGGGAAGCGGATGAGGAAACTCAATGATTGGGCCCGCGGATTATGTTGCCTGGGTGCCTCAGCGCCCGGAGGCGAATTTGCCATGTTTCTGAGGCAGCAAGAGCCACAGGGGCTGTGCAGCACCTGCCAAGATCAATAGGATGAAGCACAGCCACCGCCAATGGGACGTCGCCCGGCACACTGGGGGAGGTTCAACGAGACTCTTGAGAAGCGAGCACAAATCGCCGACATCATTATTATTGAACGCCACTAGCAGCGCGACAATTCAATCTACCCGTTCCTCGGCCAGTGTTCTCATATCGACGATCCGTTCCAGCCCTACGGACTCCCACTACACCTCCACTTAGTCAGCTGCGGAGACATCAAGCATCCCTTCGTGCACACCCTCCCAGCTTATACGCCTGTCAGATACACTATACGCTGCCCTCTGACGCTACTGGAGGGCGCGTACGTTTCATCGAAACGGATCAGGGTATCGTGGAGGATGAAAAGACCCCGGCACCGATGGGTGTAATACGAAAGAAGACCGCAACGCGCGGTACAGAAGCCGGCACCAAGTATCATTGCGATGTCTGCTCTGTGGACGTGACTTCAACTGTGAGATGCCCTTCATCCTATACACGAGGCGACTCATGATATCGTGTTGTCGCGACTTGCCTACAAGGGGCTAATCTCAAGTCACATGCCAGGTTCGCATATCATGCGCTCACCCCTCCTGCCCCGAATACGATCTATGTGTACCTTGTTTCGCTGCCGGAGAGAAGTCCAAGAACCATGATCCGTCGACACATCCATTCCAGGTGATCGAGCAGAACTCGGTACCGATATTCCAGGAAGACTGGGGAGCCGACGAGGAGCTCCTGTTGCTGGAAGGTGCGGAGATATACGGTCTGGGCTCCTGGGCTGATATAGCAGACCACATTGGCGGCTATCGGACAAAGGAGGAGGTGCGAGACCACTATATTAGCACATATGTCGACAGTCCCAATTTCCCTCTGCCGGAGCGCGCCGATCCGGACGATACGCGTCTCCAAGACTCTATATCCAAGGAGGAGTTTCAGTCTCGGAAGAAGCGGCGCATTGAAGAGCGCAAAGATGCAGCAAAGGCAGCTCCGCCGACTACTCCGAAACAGAAACCCACCGCCAGTGTACCTGCGTGTCACGAGGTTCAAGGCTACATGCCGGGTCGACTAGAATTCGAGACGGAGTTTATGAATGATGCGGAAGAAGCTGTACAGCACATGACCTTTGAACCGGGTGCCGGAGAAACACCTAATGGTGAAACCGATGCCGAGATGGAGCTAAAGATGACGGTTGTTGATATTTACAACACCCGCCTCACAGCGCGGACAGAGCGCAAGAAGATTCTATTTGAACACAACCTCCTTGAGTATCGCAAAAACACCGCATTGGAAAAGAAGCGCACCAAAGAGGAGCGGGACCTGCTTAACAAGGCCAAACCTTTTGCGCGAATGATGAACCACGACGACTTTGAAGAATTCAACAAGGGCTTAGAGTACGAACACAACCTTCGACTAGCCATTGCACAGCTACAAGAATGGCGTCAAATGGGGATTGGTGACTTGAAGGGCGGCGAAAAGTACGAGCAAGAAAAACAGCAGCGCCAACAGCGTCTCATGCCTCAGGGGTCGTTTGAACGATTCGCCAGCACACGTCCAAAGCAGACCCAACAGCCGGAACAGCCTACAGCAGCAAGCCAACTAACCACACCGGAGCTCCCACTGCGACTGCAAAAAGCTGCAGGCACTCCCACCAAAGCCCCCGAGCCCAACGTTGTGATGAATGATTTCGACCGCGCCTTTGCAGCGAACGGAGACGGAGCGGCAACTCCTCAGCCAACAAAGACCAAGTTTGTCATCCAGCCGTTGACTGGTGTTCTCCCCTGGAAGTTGGAGAATGATGGCGCCCCGGACCTTCATCTGCTCACCAAAGAGGAGGTAGAGCTGTGCAACGTCCTTCACATCCAGCCGAAGCCCTATCTTGTCATCAAGGAGACACTGCTGAAGGAGTCGATGAAGTCGGGCGGAAGCCTCAAGAAGAAAGACGCGCGGACTATCTGCAAGGTATGTCTGGTTTCGTTCAGTTTTTGTTGTCAATGCGCTAACACTGTCAATGCAGATTGATAGTACAAAGACCAGCCGGATATATGACTTCATGGTGCACAGTGGGTGGATCAACAAGGGATAAGCCTTGGTATGGTATTTTTGCTTGAGTACGGAGTAGTCTAGATGCTCTCGTTTGGGTCTATTGTACATATCACACTGTGCGCGGCGGACCGGGGAGTTGCAGGCGCTGAGGCAATGAAATGCTATGAAGTGCCGAGTATGGCAATCAGCTTAATTATAAGACTCTTAATGCCATTGATACTCTGGTCGTCGTATCTCTACGTTGGAGTATGTGCTAGTACTCTGCTCCGGAGTAAGCCGGCTAGAGTGGAACCCGGCATCTTCTCCACAACTCATACTGTAGATAACCCCAAAAACTGAGCCTCGGCAATGGCCGACAGCTTCTCCAACTCGGCGAAGTACCCTAGCGACCGAGGTCAGATCCCAACATCACCAAAGTTGAGCTTTTAAACATCGCAGTACAATCAATATATTACAGGAGCCACAGATCTCTAAGAAGCACATAACCGAAAAATGACGTTCAAAATCCCACCCCCGCAACCCCAGTACTCCAAACTATCTTTCCCGGCCCCTCACATCCTCCTCGTCACGCTCTCCCGCCCGAAAGACCTCAACTGCATCAACTCCACAGGCAACACTGAACTCCACGCAATTTGGGAATGGCTCGATGATGAGCCCTCGCTGCGCGTGGGGATTATCACGGGCGAGGGGAGAGCCTTTTGTGCGGGGGCTGATTTGAAAGGTAAACAAAAACTGATGCCCAGTCCTGCCTATTTATCTATACCTACCTGTACATGCACTTCCTTGACCTACCGCTACCTAACCTACTAGCTGCTTCTTACCCAGACTTACTACAAATCAACCATGAGAGCCGATAGACTAACAAACCTCTAGAATGGAATAATTCAACCCAATCAAACGCCAAACGCAACCCTATGCCCCCTTCCGGCTTTGGCGGCCTCTCCCGCCGCACGGGCAAGAAGCCCATCATCGCCGCCGTGAACGGATTCGCTCTCGGCGGTGGCTGCGAAATGATCACAAACACCGACATCGTTATCGCCTCGGAAAGGGCCTTTTTCGGGTTCCCTGAGGTAGCACGCGGCGTTGTTGCGTGGGCGGGGGCCCTTCCCCGGATTGTAAGGACGGTGGGGAAACAGAGGGCTATGGAGATGGTGCTTACGGGGAGAAAGGTGTCGGCGAAGGAGGCGGAAAAGTGGGGGTTTGTGAATGAAGTTGTTGCTGGGGAGGGAAAGGAGGTTGTTGAGAGGGCGGTTGCGGTTGCGCAGTTGATTGCGGCGAATAGTCCTGATTCAGTCATTGTAAGTCGAGAGGGGGTGAAGTTGGGATGGGAGGGTATTGGGGCTGAGGAGGGTACGAGGTTGTTGCTCGAGACTTGGGAGAAGAAGCTTAATGCTGGGGAAAATATCAAGGAGGGGTTGAAAGCCTTCGTGGAAAAAAGGGCCCCCCAGTGGAAGGAGAGTAAGCTATAGTTAGACAGCGGTTGTGTTTACTACGCTTCCGGTAGTCCTATCTACAAGGCTACACCTATCTTCAAACACGATGATTCAGGATCATTTCATTGAATTAGCTTAGCTGCCCTGCATCTAAGCGCTTTCAAACTGCAATTCATAACGCTAAACCGAAATCCCGTAGGTTCATAAATCCATGTCGACCATATTCGCCGTATCCCATGCACATTCAAGTTCCGTCCAGCGGTCAGATCTGCTCAACTTCAAAGGAAGAAGAAACCGTCCGAAAGACCCTCATATCCGAGACCGATTTCGCTCCCTTCGTGGTAAACGTAAGTTTGTGTGTTTGAATGGAGTAAAGGGGATATTTGGGTCTTGTCGCAACTCATCGTTACAACATTGCCGGGGTGCTGCGCCTACTTGGAGTCATTCTGAACGGTCTGGACGCGTTCAAGTACGTGGGGGTACAATGGGTGGCTTTCCTCCAAGCCGGTGATGTGGCTGGTGGCTTCCTTGGCAGACTGCTCTTTGAGAATCTTGGCAAGCTCTGCGCTCTCCTCATCGCCAGGGACGTTTTGGAAGCGAAGAGCCTGTTCAACGGCACCGAGAAGGGCATCGAACTTTAGGCCGCGCTCAGCGAGCTGCGAGGCGGGCCCGATGAAGCGTTCGTCGCGGGAGAGCTTTCGCAGTGGAGCCCGGCCCACACGCTCAATGTTGTCTTCCAGATACGGGTTTGAGATACGGCCGATGATCTTGTCGACATACTCCTTCTGTTCCTGCTCAGGGATACCGTGCTTGTTGATGATCAAAGAAGCGGTTTCATCGAGGACCTTGTGCACGGTCTCACGAATATGCGAGTCCTGGAGGGCATCGGCGATGGTCTTCTTGCCGCTGAGGTGGCCGTAGTAGGCGGTAGTGGCGTGTCCGGTGTTGACGGTGAACAGCTTGCGCTCAATGTAGGGGCCGAGAGTGTCCACCCAGTGGATGGCAGGGACGTTAGGGTGCTCAACACCGTGCTTCTTGAAGGGTGTCCGTTCGACAACCCACTCGTAGTACTTTTCGATGCGGACGTTCAGACCGTTGTTGGGGGGCTGGTTGGGGACGATGCGGTCGATGGCACAGTTGGCGAATACGGCGCGGCTAGAAAGGGTCTCGGGGTTGGCCTTCTTTTCGATGTGGCCGCGAAGGGCATCAGTGGCATTGATGGCGTTCTCGCAAGCGATGACGGCCAGAGGGATGTCAAGAGAACGAGACTCGATACCCTTGGCAATGACAGGGGCGATGAACTGGAGAATCCTGGGGCCAACGGCGCATGTCACAATGTCGGCAGTTGCGATCTCCTGGACAACGTCGGCTTCCTGTGTCTTGGAGTTGAGCGCGCGGTAGTTGGTAATTGTCTTGGTCTTCTCGCCCTCCTCGCTGATTTCGGTGATGTCGTACGAGGGAGTCTTTTGGATGGAGGCAATGAGATCGTCGACAACATCGACAAAGACGACTTCATAGCCAGCCTCGTGGAGGAATTCTCCAACGAAGCCACGGCCAATGTTTCCGCCACCAAAGTGAATAGCTTTGCCCATTGTCAGAGAAATTGTACTTTTTATGGGTATAATAGTAGACAGGAGGAAAGGATGAGGAGTAGTAGTAGTAGTAGTAGTAAGGAAAAGGGTGGGAAGAGAGGTGTTGTGTTGTTGTGTTATGAAAATGGAAAGAGAAGATGAGGGGAGCAAACAGCGAGGGCGGGGGAGGGGTTATATAATAAAGTCAGAACTCGGGAGCAGGAAGGCAGGCAAACAAGGCAGGAACGCGGAAGGATAGAGAAACAGGCTCGGTGAATCAAAAGAGAAGTGAGGCCAATGAGTGTTGCAGGCTGAGCCCTTTGCAACTGCACGGAGAGTCTAAGAACACTCGGACGGGGCCATAGCCATCATCATGGGTACTGCCTCTGGCTCGTGAAGTGGGGAGGCAGCCAGACGTATTGCATCAATTCCGCGAAACCACCAGCCATTCCGGCGCGCTCTGATTTGCTGATACAAGAGTAGATCTGGGGTCCGGGAAAAACAGGGTTGCTCCTTGCTTCACGGCGATGATATCTACTTCGAACTATTGATTTACTTTGGCTGAAAATAAGTTGTTGTCTTATGCGCTTGAGTCGGGGACCGAATCATCGTCCGTGCTCTTCCGCCCCTTGTACAACGTTGCCCATGCAAACTGAGTCGGAAATTGCTGCCGTCAAGCCGGAAGCAAAGACTTACTATGGGCGGATCCGAGGCGGTTCGCAGCCACTTTCCAGACTTTACTGGGAGTAGCATCAAACTACAGTCAGATCATGACGTTGGTTCCTGGCTATCGATTTGACTTTTCGCTATACGGCCCACCGCTCTTCCACGGCGTACCTGTTTCGGTTCGGCGAATGTGAGCTTTTCATCGTCGAGATAGGTCATTGGAACTAGAACCGACAATGCCGAGTCGTCATGAAGTTTGCTTGTGGTCTATTGAACCAACGTCATCGGTGGTTCCACTTGTGACGTTACTGATGCCTAAGGCAGCATGTTGATATCACAACTACATACAAGCTCACTTCTTCAATTCAGGTATGATTCATGGAAGTTGACGGCTTGCCTGTTCTTGCTATGCGTATCGCAGAATCGAAAAGCAAGTAATACCACTTCGAATTCTTGCAACACCCCTCCACATCGGCAGACTACTAGTCGTCAAGCACGCTCTGTTTGACATGCATTGGGCCGATGTCCATTCCGGGGTCTTCTGTGGGCTGTGGGTCTCGGGCTGTTCAGAATTGCAACCAATCCTAGAACAGTCGCATGTCTTCAGGCCACCACGCACGGATCACTTTACAATGTGGTTTTGACTTCTTCTTGCTTCCTTTGCCTTCGCCGCGCTTCGTTTATGCCCCTTTGCCATTGTCCTCCTTTCTCTCGAGTTATCTCGACTCTTCCTTCTCACAGATCTCCAGTCTTTCACTCCGCTTCTCTTCTAACCTCAGAACCGCAATTTACGCGACCCGTTGGAGCGGCTGTCGCCGGCCAATCCTATCGTGGGACGGAGTGTTTTCCCGAAACCTCCCGCCGCCATTGATTGACTCAGCCATGCTTGGTCGTGGCTTTAAAAAGGCTTTAGTCAGTTTCTAGTCACGGCTGACTCCGCTCCGTCCGAGTCAACCCATGAACGAATTGGAGCGCGCTTTTGCACCCGATATTCCTCCGCCAGAGACCACTAGCCACAATTGAAATGAAGCAAGCGTCCATCTTAGGCCTAGTATGGGCGAGAAGCGCGAAATTCTGGCTGCGTGCAAGGATCCAACGATCCATAAGGCACAGACGCCTTTTGTCTTCAAAAGGCGCCTCTTGAGTTGCATCGGAGCAGTAAAGGCCGTTCCAATAATCGCGCACATGAAAGGGTGCGCGATTTCGAGCAGGGAAAAGATTTGGTTTTCGTTTGCGGACCTGTGATGAATGTCTCCGTGCCGAAACTATAGAGGAAACAGAGTGTATCGCAGACTTTGAGCCAGCAGCCGCACCAGAGAGGGCATCCTCATCGCCTGGTTTCACTCGTCGCGCTAGCTTCGGGCTTCTCAACTTCCAGCTGCCGGAAAAACTCCAGTCCTAATCCTCCTGGACCATTATTCATGCAGGTGCCCCGTTAGGTACCAGGCAGCCGCTAGGATGAGCCTGATCTATGCTGTTGTATCCACCAGCAAAGATTAGATATCATGTCGTTGATACGTATAGGATGTGCAATCTCGTCGTGCACAAATGATGAGCGGGAAAAGCTCATTTGATGTGCCGCTTGTGGCGATAATGGGAGTGTTGATCACCCAAAGTCCCCGTTCTCATTCTGGTATCCATTTGTCTTCCATAAGACCTCGGCCCTTGCTGCTGCGATGCTTTGTTGCTAGGTGGAGTTTTGAACAGCGTCGAAAGGCCAACATCTTGATGAGCGCTATCTGTACTAACAGTTACAGGGTACAAGCTTGTAGCGTTGTCCACATCTAAATACTATGCCTGCATGTCTTGGACATTATAGATCTATTGTTCAACTTAAGAGATGGGTGACTACGACTAAGCCGGATATATATACCATTCAATTACGGCACGCCTAGCTTTGAAAAACATGGTCTGCACTACACTTCATATGTGTTGTTTAGAGCATGCTGCTGTGGGAACCCAGAGCTGTACTGTTATCCTGATCATGTGGCATCCATATGCTAATAGACAAATCTAGGGAGCATATTTCGATTTACTGGGGATCTGTAGGGCCGGACTATACTGAAGCTTAGCATTGTAGCGGTCTTTGGCGTCTATTGACGTATGAGGCTGATGCACCATCGCCAGCCATGCCCCAGTGGCCCACAGAGGCTCAACTAGAGAGATCACGCGCTGGGTTAGAGCTTGATGAATTAAAAAAGCCATGTACATAGTGATTTTACGAGCTTGCTGCTTGAAAACAATCTATCATTGAATCGCTAGATACTTTTGCGCTCAGGCGCCATTTTCCAACAGCGTTTTGACAGTGTCAACCACCGATTCCTTCAGCGAGTGATACTTTATACCCAGGACCTGCGTTGATTTGGAGTTGTCATAGCTGTAGACGTCGTCGGGCACGTCTCTTGCGTCAGTCTTTGGTGGCAGCCTGTCCTCCAGCTCAGGATAGGCGTCTCGAACAATGTCCACAATATCCTTGTTGGCGTAAAGACCGGCGGTTACGAAGAACCGCTGTCCACCAGCTTCGGGGACCTCAATCGCTCTCACATGAGCTAGAGCAACATCGCGGACATCGACCCAAAGGTAAGTGACTGTGGGGGGAGTTGACTCCTTTTCGAGTCCCCGCACTATACGGCTGATCCGCGCATTGGAAGTATTGATCGCGTCAAGAGAGCTCAGGTAATGCACGACGGGACCAAGAACCAAGGGAGGATTGATTGTCACAAGGTCGAAGCTTACTTCCTTTTGAACGAACTCCCAGGCGGCCTTTTCCGCGAACGTCTTTCAAGTCGTCAAATGTCAGTTGACAATCTCACGGTGTTGGGAATCGTGCTCACCTTGCTTGCTCTATATGTCTGGGAGGGGTCCAAGCCCTCTTCCCATGTCACAGGGTTCCAATTCTTCTCGCTATACACCTTCTCATGCGCCTTGACATTGACAATCGATGCAAAGGAGGATGTGACCACCACCCTTTTCACAGACGGTGCGTGGGCCTTGATAGCTTTGAGGATACCGGTAGTTCCCTTGATAGCCGGGTCCAAAAAGTCCTTGACCGGATCCTGGACCGCATGGTGAAAAGGCGAGGCGGTGTGGATAACCGAGTCAAAGGGAGGGTCAGACTTGATAGCCTAATCACAAGAACTATTAGTGTTATGCGCCGAAAGGTGGTTGCGATCCGAGCAGATGGAGCGGGAAGCGGCATGAGAAAGCCAGACACTACAGTAAAATAAAAACATACCTCGTCAAAAGCGCCATCCTCCGCAATGTCCTTTACGATGACATATGAAAGTTTTTCCTTTGGCACGTTTGGATGAGCAGCCAAGATTCTGTCGCCCTTTTCTTTGGACCTGACCGTGGTGACGACATCGAAACTAAGAAGGCCTCATTTAGCTACCCTGCTTTCGAAATCCAGCTCTCCAGAAGTTAGGAATAGCACTAACCCACGCTCAAGCAAGATATTAAGGGTATGAGCAGCAATGAAGCCGCTGCCTCCTAGAAATTGGAGATTGTTTAGCTTCCCCAGGCTCGCTCTCGGCTTGACGCCATTGCGAAGAGAATCACGTACCTGTCAAGAGCACTTTGACCATCTTTAATTGCTTCCAAAACTACTGAGAATCGAGTATCTACCGAGCAGTCGCGATTGAAAATACCAGTAGTAGAACTTTGCGCCCTCAAGGTCTCTCTCAAACCCAAGGGTCCTTCTAGTCCCCTTTATACCTCGCAATCGCAACGCAGGCTACCCCTCCTCATCCGCCCATCTCTCCACATTGGTCCACCATTGCGATTATCAATCCACTGTGATAGGGTGTCGGTCGATATCGCGTTGTACAAACCATTGTTTGCGTCAGTCGTCTAGCAGAACTTGAGAAGTATACTCTCTTAGCTCCGAATACGTATACGGCCGATATCTATCTCCGAATATATAAACCCCGCCGATGAGGGGTTCTGGGTGTAAGCAACGCCGTCATTGGCCGCTTCGCTTGTCACCACTCATATATCAAGTGGCATACTCTTCTTTCCATATGGTCCAGATGTGTAAATGGCGCTTTCTATGAGTCACGAGCAGCCTCATGTCCGTTGCTGATAAATCTGCACACATCCAAGCGTACTTGCTGACGATGTTCTCCAGGCTTCAAAGACGCTGTCAGGGCTAATGGCTGTTTGTAGCTTAGATTCTGCTCATCAGTTTATGCTAGATCCCCCGGTAAATTTCTTTGGGGTCGCATTAGTGAGAGGAAGAATGTGGACACAAAAATCTAGATGTATCTGATGGATACACGGATACAATTAATAGACTAATTGACCGATGATATACCTTGGCTTGTTAGATTAGTGAATAGTAGGTACATAGGTATTACTAGGCGCATAGCTGTGTACTATATGTCTTGATGCACATGACTTCTGCCCTTTTACTGTGGTTGCTGTTGTGGTGTCTGACAAAATTGCGCTCTGTGCTTCTGCGGCTGGCCGTAGAGATTGACTCGCCGAAAATCAACTTTTCTTCCGTATCTCGGAGACACTGTGCAATTGTCTATCCTCGATAAGCATGGCGACAGCCAACATATCCCCGGCGGCGAATCTGCTGCGGAGATCTCGCCTATTTGCCCTTCCGCAAGCTATACAAGTCCAACCTGAAAACCTCTCCTTACGACCTCACGGATCCGAAACCGCAACGCTTCCCCATCCCGTCAGGGCATCTATCATCACGCCACGGTCGTCGTTGGCAAAGGGAGACTGGGGTCTGAAGAGGCCGCTTCCTGCACTTTCGACCTCAAAAAAGTCGAGGAAACCAGTCGTCAGGGTCAATGCGCTTGACACCTTTGAACATGTCACAGACTTTGAATCCGCACAGGACCACACCGTTACCCTGAGGAAGTTCCAAGAACTCCATCTGCCAGTATCCCTTCCCTCAAGAGGGTCTTACTCTTCGTCTCTTATTCCAAGACACGAAAGCCCCTTTGAAGCACACCTAGACAACACAGAGACAAGCGAAGGCATCAACACGCCTGGTGTGTTGAAATACAGGCATACCGGACCCTTCCTTTCGGGGTTGTCGGAGGCTGAATTCATTGCCTACCTTAAGAAAGTGCAAAGAGAGAAGCCGGAACTACTACGCAAACTCCGAGAGCGATTCACCGCGCAGCTAAATGCCGAGAAGAGGAAGCAGGCCCAGGACAATGGCGAAGACTTGGAGGCGCTGGCCCCCGTACAGGTTACCGATGAAGACTTTCACAAGTATCTCAGGGTGTTGCGAGCGAACCCAAGTGCCCTTGGTCTTGCTGTGTTTAGTCTGTTGGACCTTCCATCTTTCCCGTCGGTGCCGACTGAGCGCATGGGCAGAACCTACTTCGAATCTCCTGGAACCGCACTGTCTTCGTCCGATTACGTCTTTCGGGGACCGCCCTCGACTCATCCCTCGGCTGGTCTGTCTTATACACGATCTCATGCGTTGGTTTACAATCACCCTGAACACGGTCCTCAGGCCAACCCGCGGCCTGTAGAGGCACGTGTCCTGAGGCGTAAGGGCCGGTACAAGGGCCAAAGCTTCCGGGCCATCGTGGGTGTCGGTGGTGTTGCCTTGGATGACCCAGATATTAAGGCATTCAACGAGAGCACACCCCCGCCCGGTCTGTCGCATTTCGAGGCGGACATCCCTGGTGGTGCCAAATACTATGTCACTCCTGTCCGGGCTGCGGTGGAGTCGAACGGGCGGATCAGGCTTCAAGCCTCGCGCTCGGACCCAACCACCAAGCTGGCTTATGGTGTCAAGGACTACGAGAAGCCTGTTGAGGCGAGCCGTCCTGCACCACAGCGCCAGCGGCAAGGGAACGTCCCACGACTAGACCGTCCTTCGTTCCCTCAGTCAGACCCCTTGCCGCCACCAGAACAAAAGACCGAAGATGTTGCGAGAACCCTTATGCGCACCCTTGTCCAGAGGTAAGATGTTTTTCGCATGTTGTCAGTGACGAGACGAATCTTTGTCCAGAGATAAGACGTTCTCACTCGTTGTCGGGGGATGAGGGCTCATCCGGGGGAGAGTGAACAAACTGTATGATTAGATTGGGGATTTCGATTCCAAACACTATGTATTTGTGATATCTAGATATCTGTGAGTAAAGCACGCTATTTATTTTTCATTTTGTTGAAACAATAATTTATTTTTGTTGAAATCATGGGCACCTATTCATCCTATCCAAGTATGTATGAGGACTGCAGAAGTAGAAACAAATCACGTGAAGCACAGTTGCCCTTAGTCATGTGGGCGGTGACTTAGGGCAAGCGGAGAGCCATTCCAACTTACTCGACACAGATCTCAAAATCCCGAATTCTTCCCAGCTTGCAAACCGTCAATCAACCAGCCAGCCAACAACCGCCAAAATGGGTCGCGTCAGGACTAAGGTGAGTTTCTGAGTGATACAAGCAAGAGGAAATATGATTCAGAGACAAAAAAAACTAACCAGCGATTTTTCTGGGTTTATATAGACCGTTAAGAGATCCGCCAAGGTCATCATTGAGCGCTACTACCCCAAGCTCACCCTCGACTTCGAGACCAACAAGCGTGTCTGCGATGAGATCGCTATCATCCCCTCCAAGCGTCTTCGCAACAAGGTTGGTTCGGCGGAATCTGAATATCCATGGGTAAAATAGCTAACTTGAGGGCTATTATAGATCGCTGGTTACACCACTCACCTCATGAAGCGTATCCAGCGTGGCCCTGTCCGCGGTATCTCCTTCAAGCTCCAGGAGGAGGAGCGTGAGCGCAAGGATCAGTACGTTCCCGAGATCTCCGCTCTCGACGTCTCCCAGACCGAGTCCGGCCAGCTCGACGTCGACAACGACACCAAGGATCTCCTCAAGAGCCTCGGCGTAAGTTTAATAGTTTCTCTTGTCTCTACAAAACTGAGAACTAACAATAATCGTTGAACAGTTCGACAGCCTCAAGGTCAACGTTGTCGCTGTCACCCAGCAGCAGCCCGAGCGTCCCCGCCGCTTCCGCGCTTAGACGATACCACAAAAAAAGTTAATGATCTTCTTCGGCTGATCTGTGGTCTTGTCCGACCGTGTTTTTATTATCCTTTTGGCTGGCGTGCCGGACACATGGCGGTTTAGTAACAGCATATGAGAAATGAAAACATGATTGCTGCTGAGAAAGGTGTCGCCGATTCCTGTATGGGATGACGCTTGATTGCCAAAATTTCTCCTTGTGCGCTGCACGACTCTTCTGCGGAAGATGCGTAGGGGTTGGTTCTGCGAACAAGGTTTATGGCGCACAGAATCAGCCATGGCACTGTCTACATGGTCATGACCAAGGTGAGTGTGTAACTATGCAATGCCTGAATAACATCTGGGTATCCCCTCCGTAGAACGCCTCGAGTAGAAAAGTATAACATCACGAATCTTCTGGAACATAACCTTCAATGGAGCCACCCTTCTCATCGCCAGGTCGCAACTGTGGCGCCGTGACTGTCCTCCCAGAGCTGGACTTCTCTTGAATCTGTACATCCACCCTGCCACTCTGGAAAGCTGGATTTCGATCACCGCGTTCCATTGCCAGCTCCCGCGAGTGAGCATCATCATCGTCTTGAACGGTGAGCCGCGAAATGTCGTCTGCGACTGCGCTCGGTTCAGGGGTAGTGTCCATATGCAGATTATCCAATTGACCAAGAACCTCCTTGACTGAAGCTGGGTCTCTGACCGCACTCTTACCCTTTCCGGAGGACCTACCCTCTTCAAGTAGAAGAAGCTCTTTGCCTCGTAGATCATCACTCCGTCTCTCCCACACGGGCTCTGCCGCTAATTGAACACGGATATACATGGCTCTCTCAGCGCAAGCATCCGCGCACCACATCTCATATTGCTCCCGCGGGACAATGTTCATCTCCCTTCCACGGCCACCGGGACCGCTGCCCCTCGCGCCCCAGGTTATCCGAAAGGTACCCCTAGAGTCCTCCTTTCGGTGTTCGCGAGGACACAGACCATAGCCACATAGGCCTTCGATATTCCTCTCTTGTATAAGATTATCGTAATCGGCGGGCTGAAAAGGTACGAGCGCGGATTTGAACTTGTATGTGTCCTCGGCGGACGGAGAGGCAGGGTCCGCAGACGGGGAGGTCGGAAGGGCGACGAGTTCAAGGATACGATCTAGGATTAGATCCTGGGCGTCTTTCTGTGCTTGAATACGATGCGCATGGTGTAGGGCTATTGCAAGATGACGAGGGTCCGTCTCTGGTTTGTTGGAGGGCTTTTGCTTCGGTTTGGCCTTTAGTGGCGAGCGACGGGAATCTCCAGGCCGTGGCTTGGGTGGGCTTCTATTAGATTGTCGCGACGAAGCGGCGTGGATTGATGGCAAGGAAGTCTTTAAAACTGGCGCGTCCGAAGACATTTTTCAGTATTCGATGGTGGTCGTTGGATGACGGGATGAAAGGATCGAAACGTTGGTAGTGGGGAAAGTTCAAGTCACAGGAACGAGGAAAGAAGAATCGGGTCGGCAGGAAGCTGAGGCGAATCGAAACCCCGGACTCAAGCTGTCGAAGCTCAATCCATGACGAAGAAGAGACAAGGTTTCAAGACTGCACGACGAAACAGCCACTAGAGCAAAAGACTGGACCAGCTCGTTACACGCTTTCTCACCACCCTCCAAACGTGGCAGTGTGGTCTGCTTCATTTCTGCCTGTTCAGACTCCGTCATTCTTAGCCGCCGATCGTCCCGTTGGTGGAGCAGAGCAGGCGGTCTTTCCTCCCTCTGTCTCGAGCTGCGCTCTCACTCTCTCTCCTGCCACTTCTCTTTATTGTTCATAATTATTATCGTCTGCTCTCTTCCCTTGGCGTCTGCCCTTGAAACCGATCGTGCGGCATTGCTCACTTATCCCCTGGTTTTTCGGTAAGTAGGACATATTTCCCTTTATTGATTGCTGCTGCCCTCACCGTCACATTTCCCGCCTCTCACATCCACACACCAACCCCACGACGCAGCCATACCCGATATACGTCAACCCTGGCTGACGTACTGATTGATCCTCCTGTCTTTTTTGTTTTGATCGTCAATGAAGCATATCCTCCTGCATATGGTCGCATCTATCCGATTATCTTGAATTGACAAGCCGCTAAATGCTCGTGTCGCAGCCGTTTGCTGATTACGTCCTCGTGGAAGCCACCCCCTCCACCTTGCTCCATTGCGGACCGTACCTCCTCTCAACCAACTTCCTTCGTGTGAGGGCCGGCTTCCCCAATGTCTAGCGCGCCGTTTACGGTCAAGGCGGTCTTCGAGTATTCTTCGAGCCACGAGGACGATCTTAATTTTGCCATCGGCCAGATCATAACGGTCACTGCGGTGGAGGACGATGAGTGGTACTTCGGTGAATATGCCGATGCCTCGGGAAGCAAAGTAGAGGGTATTTTCCCGAAGAATTTCGTGGAGAAATATGAACCTCCTGCCCCTCCGCGGCCCTCACGCCCGAGTAGGCCGAAGAAGGAACCGGAGGTGGTCGCCCAACCCGAACAACCCGCTGCTATCGAATCGCCCCCTCCCGCAGCAGAGACTCCTCTATCCGAGCCCGAGGAAGAAGGAGCTCCCGCACTAGAGACAAGAGCTGTACCTCTCCCGCCTCAATCACCTCCTGCTGCGGTTGAACCAACACCTGTTGTCGAAACCAAGCCTGCACCTGCACCTGCACCAATCCCAGCGGCTCAGCAGCCCGTCTCAAATGAACCAGAACCCGGCCCCAAGACAGCGGCAAAGCCGCATCCACCCGCTGTCGCAGAGAAACCTTCCGGTTCCTCTTTCAGAGATCGTATTGCCGCTTTTAATAAGCCTGCAGCCGCCCCAGTTACGCCGTTCAAACCAGGAGGCTACTCCTCATCCTCATTCATCAAGAAGCCATTTGTCGCGCCACCTCCCAGCAAAAATGCATATGTCCCGCCTCCTCGAGAAGCGCCCGCTGTTGCTTACAGGCGAGAAGAGGATCCTGAGATTCGCGATCGACCAGCACCCGAGCCTCCGGTTTCTGAGACTCGCCCCGGGCCGATTGAGACTACTACCGAGGAGGGCGGAGAAGACCAGCCGAAACCGACAAGCTTGAAGGAAAGAATTGCACTTTTGCAGAAGCAGCAGATGGAACAAGCTGCTCGTCATGCCGAAGCAGCGCAAAAGAAAGAAAAGGCCAAGAGACCTCCCAAGAAGCGCGCGGATTCTCACGAAGATGATATCCCTACCGCAGAAACCGCACTCGAGGGCGACGAGTCACCAGAGGCTGCTCGGGATCACAGTGTAGAAACTCTAAAAGGTTCAAGTCATCCTACAACGCAACATCCCAGCATCCAGGATTTGGCCAGTGATACAAATGATGCGGACGATTCAGCTGCGGCCGATACAGAAGATGCTGAGGAGACTTCAACCGGGAGAGAAGATTTGGATGAGCGCCCTCGTGCCCCTGTTCGACGTGAACCTCCGGCCCCAAAGCGAACAGAAGAGTACGAACCTAGCGACAATGAAAAGGAGAAAGAGGCGGACAAGGAAGAGGAAGAGGAAGAGGAGGAGGAAGAAGAAGAAGAAGACATTGACCCGGAAGTGAAGCGAAAGATGGAACTCCGCGCGAGAATGGCGAAAATGAGTGGCGGCATGGGTATGATGGGCTTTTTTGGCCCTCCCGGTGGAATGCCTGTCCCCGGAGCTGGTCCCCGTAAACCCAAAGCACCTGTGGAAGCCGAGAAGCACGCTGTCGAGCCTGAGCCAGTCACGGCTCCGAGCGCGCCGCCAGTTCCACTTCCTGGGATGAACGCGATCAGGTCCCCGCTCGCCTCTCCTACTCTGGAAAAGAACTTGGATGAGCCTCGATCGATTGCGTCGGCGGAACATCACACTCCATCTGCAGCTGAAGCCTCTGGTGAGGAATCCGAGGATGAGCTTCCTCCTCGTCGCTCCGTTGACAAATCACTTCCTACTCAAGGTACGCAGAAGTCGTTTCCCTTGTCTCGATATTCACTAAAACCTACATCAGAGCGCCCGGTGCCTCCTCCACTCCCGCCTGTGGACACACGCCCTACTCCACCTGCTCCTCACGATTTACCTTCTTCACCACCTCCAGTACCTGGCAGTGAGTATCTTACACACCCGTCCCTAATTCTAGACGCTAAAGCTCAGAAACCAGGTCGGCCAGCTCCTCCTCCTCCGCCAGTACGAAGCCCTACGTCTGGTGGCGAAGAGTCTGATGATGAGCTTTCTATCCACGCAAAGAGCCTATCTTTGAATGCTACGGTGGCAGATCAACTTTCAGAGGCTGCACCTCCTGTCCCGCTACACATTGACTCTCGCCGCTCTTCCACCTTCGATGTCACTTCACCAAAATCTCCAACCCATCCTTCGGAGAAGAGGCTAAGCCGGGCTCCTCCACCAATCCCAAGCAATCCACCCGTGCCTGCTCAAGCCCGTGCCCCTCCACCCCCGCCTCTTGGAATTAGTCGCAGGTCAACTACCGATAGTCGAACAAGTGCCGTTGTTCAACCCCGCCAAGCTGGAGAGGATGCCGAAGGCGAAGTGACAGAATATGACGGAGATTATGACACCGACATTGCGTCTGGCGCGAAATTCAAAGACGCATTAAAGGCGCATGGGCGAGATTCCAGCCTCGATGAGGGTACTGCTACCGATGATCAGTCTCTCCAGTCACCGCGAAGCCCTCCAGAGACCCGTCTACCCCCGCCGCTTCCTCCCTCTGTGCCAAGAGGAGTCCCACCCCCCCCTCCATCTCAACCCCCAAAGAGCGCCGGCAGAGCCTCGATAGATGCCCCTAGGGCTCCTCCTCCGCCCCCGCCCCAGAGGGAACCATCATACGGTGGCGATGATGAGTATGACCCCTACCGCTACACGGCCCCTCAACATGGATTGCCCGCTTCAAAGATGCCGCCTGTGCCAACGGCGCGGCCAGACGTTGCCCCTCCGCCCCCGCCGCCTCCTCCTGTTGAGGAGAAAGAAGAAGATTCGGACGGCCTGTATGACGCATCTCCTACTCAGGCGGCCCCAGAAGCCCCAGCGCCTTTCTCTCTCCCAACAAGCCAACCGCCAACTGCACTTCCACCTCCGACGCCGCTGAGCAACCGTGCTTCATTGGATGTGCCGAGGGCTCAACCCGCGATACGAAGATCTATGGATGTCGGCCGTCCATCTGTTGATCAGGGTCATATCGCCATGGACCTTGACTTGGCCGAGGGTACGCTGTGGTGGGCCCAGCCAGATACCCCACCCCCTGTCCTTCAGAACCGCCAAGATATTCTTCTCGAGATTGAGGAGTCCACCTCGTCAAAGCGGGGAGGCAAATCTACAGTCACAAAGGACGTGTACGTTTTGTTCCGTGATTACTCGCAGACCGTGATTACAGTAAACTATGACGCTCGCAACCCTGCCGATGCTGTCCTGGAACAACGGCATGAGCAGCCCCCTCCTCTCCCTCGCCAGGACCAACTCGAAAGTGCACATCTCCAAATCGGTACTCGTGTTACGGAGGGCGTCAATGCTATTCAGAATACGACAGTCCCTGATGGCACGCCGTTTGGATTGGTCAAGCACTTGTTGAACCCTTTGACGGATGCACTTCGCCCTGTTGGCAATCGCGCGTATGGCGCTCTGGTCTATTCCAACATGGCCAACGCCTCTGTCCAGCAAACTGATGAAATCCGCCCTGGTGACATTGTAAGCTTCCGCAATGCTCGATTCCAGGGCCACCGTGGCACAATGCATCAGAAATACTCGGCGGAGGTCGGCAAACCTGACCATGTCGGTATCGTGGTGGACTGGGACGGCACGAAGAAGAAGATTCGCGCATGGGAACAGGGCCGAGAGAGCAAGAAGGTCAAGGTGGAAAGCTTCAAACTGAATGATCTGCGCAGCGGAGAATGCAAAGTCTGGCGAGTGATGCCGCGCAGCTGGGTTGGTTGGGACAGTTGAACAACACACCTACCGAACCCAGTACAATAATGCGTGATGAGCTGATATTTTTCCGAACCCGCGATGAAATGACCAACTGACGATGCCTTCCTTACCTTACCTTGCCACTCCACCCCGTGCTACTCTCCCACACTCAAACCCACGTTTCAGCTGAACATGGCCGCTCAAGATAACGAATGGAAGATGGATAGATGATGTGTTTCTGGTACATCTTAATCCCGCATGGTACATGACCTAACAACCTGCATGTCTGTTTTCAACCCACACTACTCTGTGATCCATTAATCTTCTCTCAGATATAGCATTTTCTTGTTCCCATGTACTTATTGATCTGTCCTTGCTTTCGCTTTTGTTGTTTTATTCAAGTAGCCTTGTTCAATCAACGCTTGTTTCTTATTCGAGCTTTCAGTCGGAGTTAGCAGTATATGGTAGCCTCTCAAGTAGTTTGATGCCTTTGAGATCGCTATATCAGCTGCTCTGTTTTCGATACTCCGTCTCTGTATCCTTCTGGCTTCGGGCCCTCTACCACTTAATGTCATGCTTTACATCAACAGCCAGGTGTCCTTTGATGCTCCGCTGGATTTGCACTGTCCTTGCTATGAATATGGAGGAATAATTACGTGCTTATAAAATAGAGGTTGATAGGGAGTTTTGAAGTTTTCGTCTGTATTTCAGGATAAATACATTATGGATCTCTCACATGGCATAACATGTACAGGGCGAACGGTAACGGCCGGCAAGGGTTCCCATCCGATGATTGGCATAAGTCTGAGAATCTAAGCTCTTGAGAGAGAGTTTTGACTATAAGGATTATTGCGAACTGGAGGAGTGGAAGGACACCTCGGTTGGAGAAGCAGCGTCCAGCGAATCTTCGCTCTGTTGTCTAGCGAGGCAAGCTTCTAAGAATATCCTGTAAAGCTTCGCTCTGCGGAGTTTTAAGCACCTATAGCATGCGCAGGAGAGCCATTGGACTGTTTCGGTGCTCTTGGGCACCAGAAGAGCAATCGCAGGTTATCAATCAACTGGGTAAGGGCAGGCACCGGCAGTGTATCCGGCAGATCTTTGCTCTTCTGCTTTTCTTATAAGCGGAGAAGCCATCACAACGGACTTGTGAGGCTAAAGGAAGAGCCCACCTAGTATCCAGCAGGTCTTTGCTCTTCCGCTCTTTGAGGAAGAGATGTCATCGCAACAGATCTGTGGTCGATATCAAGACGCTCGGCACCGCCGAGTGGTTGGACGGAATGGGGGGCGGACGCAGCCTAGTATCCAGCAGATCATTGCTCTTCTGCTTCCGGGGGAAGGAGAGGTCATCGCAATAGACCTGTGGCTGCCTGGACAGCGGCAGTAACCTCCTCAATGCCTCCCCCATGTAGTGGGGAGATATTAATTCCCCAACAGAGGACGCGCCATATTCTTCTCGCCGATGCTATCCTATGACAGGTTGGAATATTAGTATTCGACAAGGCTAGGGCTCATCAAATGAGTCAGAGTCAGCTTGCGTACCGGCATACCACATGCCAGGACGACGGTCACTGCATGATATGACCCTGCACCTCCGAATGCCAGAGCCACACAGAAGCGTTGTTTGGCTGAGATCTCTGGAGGGTTGCCCGAATTTGCCACCAAAAGGTAAAACTGCCTACGCTGACATAGGGTTGAACCGGCTACTGACTGGCATCTTATGCTCCAGGATAGTCTTAGGATGCTGTGAGTCCAGGACCTCTCCTGGAGGAGAAATTGCTCGAGAGCCAGACACGGTCAATTGATGGTAGTGATGGCGGTGGTACTGTAAAAAGCCGTTAGTAAAGAAAAGACTACACAAAGTAGAGACGTACAAAATGACAGTGGATGGGGCTCAAGGACTGAAAATATTGGAGCCAAGAGGTGAAGGCTCGAGGCTTACGACGACAGCGAGGTGAGAAAATCAAATGACAGGCCAGAGGAGCAGATGACCTGCGAAAGATGGAACACAACAAATGGGAGGCGGCTGAAAAAGTAACTCTTAAAGAGGGAAGGAAGGACAGGGCAACACATGGTCCACCACAGCATGGTTTAACGCCTGAGGCACCAAGGTCAATATGCCCCAGGCAGGTCTGGCCCGTGCGCGGGCGAACCACGAGCGGAACTCGACCCAGGCCCAACCCGCCGCCTCCTGCTCTCCCTCCTCACACCTCTACAACTCAAAGCTCCTCCTCCTCTTGCTCATGCCCCCACTGGTGCCATTTTGACTGACTGCCCGAGAGGCCGCCGTCAAATGTCCACCCTAGGGTGCGTTCTCAAGAATGGCGCAAGCAGGTCCGATCACGGACGTCACTCAGAGGCTCTTTCTTGAGTTGAAGTCGAAGAACGAGGATACGCGGGTCAGAGCTGCTTACGAGCTTTACGAAAACGTCCTTGCTATCTCTAGAGGTTTGCGGATAATTCTTGTCAGCTCGGATCATTCCTCCGCTAACTTGTGGACTGGGATATAGACTGGCCCCCCGAGAAGTTTATCGAATTCTACAATGCCGTCAGTCAACGTATCGCCCAGCTCGTCGTCACCGGCAGCGATGCGCACGAACGAATCGGAGGACTACTCGCTCTCGATCGTTTAATAGATTTTGAGGGAGTGGATAATGCCCAAAAGACAACTCGATTCGCTAGTTACCTGCGCAGCGCTCTCCGCAGCAGTGACAATGCGGTTTTGGTCTACGCCGCGCGGGCACTTGGTCGGCTAGCCAAGCCTGGTGGTGCTCTTACGGCAGAACTCGTCGAGAGTGAAATACAGTCGGCGCTGGAATGGCTTCAGTCAGAACGGCAGGAAGGCCGGCGGTTCGCTGCCGTTTTGGTCATCCGGGAGCTAGCCAAGGGCTCACCTACGCTCCTCTATGGGTTTGTGTCTCAGATATTCGAACTTATCTGGGTTGCTCTCAGGGATCCAAAGGTACTTATTCGGGAGACCGCCGCCGAAGCTGTGAGCGAATGTTTCGAAATTATCGCCGCAAGAGACATGCAGGTCCGGCAGTTGTGGTTCGCGAGGATATACGAGGAGGCCCTTTTGGGGTTAAAGTCTAACAACAACGTCGACTGGATACATGGATCACTGTTGGTTCTCAAGGAACTCCTGTTGAAGGGTGCCATGTTTATGAACGAGCATTACCGGAATGCATGTGAAATTGTCCTTCGCCTCAAGGACCACCGAGACCCCAAGATCCGGACACAGGTCGTGCTGACGATTCCAATTCTCGCCTCTTATGCTCCCGTCGATTTTACAGAAATCTACCTTCATAGATTCATGGTTTATCTACAAGCCCAACTAAAACGAGACAAGGAGCGAAACGCTGCTTTTATCGCTATTGGGAAGATCGCAAATGCCGTTGGTGTTGCCATTGCACAGTACTTGGATGGAATCATTGTTTATATCCGAGAAGGTTTGGCTCTGAAAGCGTAAGATTGTCTATCCTAGCTTGATTCGCACAGCTAAACACTTACCAGACGGAACCGAGCCCTGATCAACGAAGCGCCCATGTTCGAATGTATCAGTATGCTGTCATTAGCAGTGGGGCAGGCCTTGAGCAAGTACATGGAGTCACTGCTTGATCCCATATTTGCTTGTGGGCTGAGCGAGTCCTTGACCCAGGCTCTTGTTGACATGGCTCATTACATACCACCAATCAAGCCTACGATTCAAGTGAAGCTGCTGGACATGCTTAGTCTGATTCTTGATGGAACTCCTTTCCGACCTCTTGGCTGCCCTGAAAGCAGACTTCCTCCAATGCCGTCATTTGCAAAGGATTTCACCTTGCAGGAACTACATGCTGACACTGAAATCGCGTTGGCTCTACACACGCTGGGAAGCTTCGATTTCTCAGGTCATATACTCAACGAGTTTGTGCGCGATGTTGCCATCAACTACGTTGAGAATGACAACCCTGAAATCAGAAAGGCGGCCGCCCTTACTTGCTGCCAGCTGTTTGTTCATGACCCAATCATCAACCAGACCAGTAGCCACTCAATACAGGTCGTGAGTGAAGTTATCGATAAGCTTTTAACAGTTGGCGTTGGTGACCCAGATCCCGAAATCCGGCGTACTGTCTTGTGGTCTTTGGACCGCAAATTTGACCGACACCTTGCCCGGCCAGAGAATATTCGTTGCTTGTTCTTGGCGGTGAATGATGAAGTCTTCTCCGTCAGAGAGGCCTCGATCTGCATCATCGGTCGGCTCTCAAGCGTCAACCCAGCTTATGTGTTCCCACCGCTGCGAAAGCTCCTAGTCAATCTGCTCACGGGGCTTGGCTTTGCCAGCACTGCCCGACAAAAGGAGGAAAGTGCGCAACTCATCAGTCTGTTCGTATCGAATGCGACGAAGCTTATACGGTCTTATGTTGATCCCATGGTGACCACGCTACTTCCAAAGGCAACTGACGCCAACCCTGGCGTGGCTTCCACGACGCTTAAAGCTGTGGGAGAACTTGCAAGTGTTGGAGGTGGTGACATGAAGGCATACCTGCCCAAGCTTATGCCGATCATTCTAGACTCGTTGCAGGATCTTTCTTCACATGCCAAGAGAGAAGCAGCTTTGCGAACATTGGGTCAGATAGCCAGTAACTCTGGCTATGTTATTGATCCATATACCGAGTACCCCCATCTTCTCGTGGTTCTCATCAACATCATCAAGACGGAGCAGACAGGATCCCTGCGAAAGGAGACCATCAAAGTTCTGGGGATTCTTGGCGCCTTGGATCCCTACAAATACCAGCAAATCAGCGAGACCGCCCCGGATGTTCATCACATCAATGAGGTACAGACAGTGTCAGATGTTAGCCTCATCATGCAAGGGCTTGCCCCTTCCAATGAAGAGTACTACCCAACTGTCGTGATCCACACCCTCATGCAGAATATACTCCGCGAAAACTCACTTGCACAGTATCATTCTGCCGTTATTGATGCCATCGTCACAATCTTCAAGACCCTGGGCCTCAAGTGCGTGCCATTCCTTGGCCAAATTATTCCTGGTTTCATATCCGTCATTCGCGGTTCGCCTTCTAGCCGCCTCGAGTCTTACTTTAACCAAATGGCCATTCTCGTCAACATCGTGAGGCAGCACATTAGGGCTTTCCTTCCCGAGGTCATCGAGGTTATTCGAGAATTCTGGGATGCCTCTTACCAAGTACAGGCTACCATCCTCTCACTCGTGGAGGCCGTTGCCAAGTCTCTTGAGGGCGAATTCAAAAAGTACCTCGCTAATTTGATTCCTCCAATGTTGGATACCCTTGACAAGGACATCACACCGCGCCGGCAACCTTCGGAGAGGATTTTGCACACGTTCCTGATCTTTGGACCCAGCGGTGAAGAGTACATGCATCTGATGGTCCCGTCGATTGTACGGCTATTTGACAATGCCCAAAATCCACAGAGTATAAGAAAGTCGGCCATTGATAGTCTGACTAAACTCTCACGACAAGTAAACGTTTCTGATTTTGCATCATTGATTGTCCATTCTCTGTCACGAGTCGTTGCTGGCAGTGACCGTATGCTCAGGCAAGCTGCTATGGACTGCATCTGTGCGCTCATCTTCCAGCTTGGGCAAGATTTTAACCACTATATCCACCTGCTGAATAAGGTCTTGAAGCTTCACCAAGTCACCCATGTCAACTATCAGATCTTAGTGACGAAGCTTCAAAAGGGTGATCCGCTTCCGCAAGACCTCAATCCCGACGAGAGCTACGCAACACTAGCTGACGACGCCAATTATGCCGAGATTGGCCAAAAGAAAATGGTGGTCAACCAACAGCATCTAAAGAATGCCTGGGATGCGTCGCAAAAATCAACTCGCGAGGATTGGCAGGAGTGGATCCGCCGTTTCAGCGTCGAGCTTTTGAAAGAGTCACCTTCACCGGCACTGCGTGCCTGCGCCAGTCTGGCAGGTATCTACCAGCCGCTCGCGAGAGACTTGTTCAACGCCGCATTTGTTTCATGCTGGACAGAGCTGTATGATCAATACCAAGAAGAGTTGGTGCGGTCGATAGAAAAGGCTCTCACTTCACCCAATATCCCTCCAGAGATTCTGCAGATCCTTCTCAACCTCGCTGAATTCATGGAGCACGATGATAAAGCGCTACCAATTGATATCCGCACACTAGGAAAATATGCAGCCAAGTGCCACGCTTTTGCCAAAGCTCTACATTACAAGGAACTGGAGTTTGAGCAAGATCAAAACTCAGGAGCGGTAGAAGCCTTGATCACGATCAACAATCAGCTTCAGCAATCCGATGCTGCTATCGGTATTCTTCGAAAAGCCCAGGCGTATCGGGACGTCGAACTAAAGGAGACTTGGTTTGAGAAGCTTCAACGTTGGGAGGAAGCCCTTGCTGCCTACAAACGTCGCGAGAAGATCGACCCAGACTCCTTCGGCATTACAATGGGAAAGATGCGATGTCTACACGCTCTGGGAGAGTGGAAAGTGTTGTCCGATCTAGCACAAGAAAAGTGGAACCAGGCATCGCTGGAGCATCGAAAGTCTATTGCTCCGCTAGCCGCCGCGGCCGCTTGGGGTCGAGGCCAGTGGGAGCTTATGGATTCCTACCTTGGTGTCATGAAGGAGCATTCACCCGATCGATCTTTCTTCGGCGCTATTCTGTCAATTCATCGCAACCAGTTCGACGAGGCTGCTTTGTATATTGAAAAGGCACGTAATGGTCTTGATACCGAACTTTCAGCGCTTCTCGGAGAGTCATATAACCGGGCATACAACGTTGTTGTTCGCGTGCAAATGCTCGCTGAACTCGAAGAGATTATTACGTACAAGCAAAACGTCGGTGATCCAGAAAAGCAAGAAGCCATGCGCCAGACCTGGAACAGGCGACTCCTTGGGTGCCAGCAGAATGTCGAGGTATGGCAACGTATGCTCAAAGTCAGAGCACTCGTCACCGAGCCGCGCGAAAATCTTGACATGTGGATCAAGTTCGCTAATCTCTGTCGCAAATCCAATCGCATGGGTCTCGCCGAACGCTCTCTTGCATCGCTAGAAACAGTACTCTCGGATGGTAACGGCGGCACCAGGACCATCTCGCCTCCAGAGGTCACGTATGCCCGTCTCAAGTTCAGCTGGGCAACTGGCCGTCAACGGGAGGCACTTCAGATGCTCAAGGAGTTTACGGGTAGTCTTACAGAAGACTTTACGCGGTTCAATGCTCTAGTAGCCTCACAATCTGACCACAATGGCATAAACGGCGGCGTCAACGGCATCACTGAGGGCAACCATACAGATATCAAGGGTCTGAGAGAGCGCGTTGGCGATGTCAACAAGTTCCGTAAGTTGCTTGCCAAGAGTTATCTCAGACTTGGAGAATGGCAGACGACCCTGCAACGCGGTGACTGGCGGCCAGAACATGTCCGCGAGGTGCTCAATGCGTACTCGGCGGCGACCAGGTACAACCGCGAGTCTTACAAAGCCTGGCATTCTTGGGCCTTGGCAAACTTTGAAGTCGTCACGACCATCGCTAGCCAGGCGAACAGAGAGGGCGGGAACCTGGCCATGGTACCTGGTCATATTGTGACGGAACATGTGATCCCCGCTATTCGTGGTTTCCTCCGGTCTATTGCATTGTCATCAACATCTTCCCTGCAAGACATTTTGCGGTTGCTGACGCTCTGGTTCAATCATGGCGGTGACCAGGAGGTCAACACGGTTGTTACCGAGGGCTTCACAGCAGTAAACATCGACACATGGCTTGCAGTCACCCCTCAGCTTATCGCGCGGATAAACCAACCCAACTTTAGGGTTAGAAACTCTGTTCATCGTCTGCTGGCAGAAGTTGGCAAGACGCATCCGCAAGCACTTGTGTATCCGCTGACAGTGGCAATGAAATCAAACGTCGCCCGTCGGTCACAGTCCGCAAGCAACATCATGGACAGCATGCGACAACATAGTGCCAAGTTGGTTGAGCAAGCCGACCTTGTCAGTCACGAACTGATTCGAGTCGCCGTCCTTTGGCACGAGCTTTGGCATGAAGGTTTGGAAGAAGCCTCACGACTCTACTTTGGCGATCACAATGTGGAAGGGATGTTTTCCACCTTGGCACCGCTTCATGAGATGCTTGACAAGGGGGCCGAGACACTGCGCGAGGTGTCGTTTGCTCAAGCCTTTGGACGTGATCTCGCCGAGGCGAAGCACTACTGCATGCTCTTCCGCGAGACGGAAGAGATTGGCGACCTAAATCAAGCTTGGGATCTCTACTACACAGTCTTCCGCAAGATCAGCCGACAACTACCGCAACTGTCCACGCTTGATCTGAAATATGTCTCGCCCAAGCTAAAGGACTGCATGGACCTTGATCTGGCTGTGCCTGGCACTTACCAGCCTGGTAGACCCATTATCCGAATCATCAGCTTCGATCCTATTCTACATGTCCTTCAAACCAAGAAACGGCCACGAAGGATGACATTAAAGGGAAGCGACGGCAATTCCTACATGTATGTAGTAAAGGGCCACGAAGATATCAGACAGGACGAGCGGGTTATGCAGTTGTTCGGCCTAGTCAACACTCTTCTCGACAACGACAGCGAGAGTTTCAAGCGGCACTTGACAGTACTGCGGTTCCCCGCCATTCCACTCTCGCAGAATTCTGGTCTCATCGGATGGGTCACCAACAGCGACACGCTGCATGCCTTAATCAAAGAATACCGCGAGACGCGCCGTATCCTCCTCAACATCGAGCATAGGATCATGTTGCAAATGGCACCGGACTATGATAATCTAACGCTCATGCAAAAGGTAGAAGTCTTTGGTTACGCCATGGACAATACGACTGGCAAGGATTTGTACCGCGTTCTGTGGCTAAAGAGTAAGAGCTCCGAGGCCTGGTTGGAGCGGCGAACCAACTACACTCGGTCACTCGGTGTCATGTCTATGGTTGGCTACATCTTGGGGCTGGGCGATCGTCATCCTTCCAATCTCCTACTCGACAGAGTCACTGGTAAAGTGGTTCATATTGATTTTGGCGACTGTTTCGAGGTTGCCATGCATCGGGAGAAGTATCCGGAGCGAGTGCCTTTCCGTCTGACCCGTATGTTGACATTTGCGATGGAGGTCAGCAACATTGAGGGAAGCTACCGTATTACTTGCGAAGCCGTAATGCGAGTGATACGCGACAACAAGGACTCGTTGATGGCTGTTCTGGAGGCCGTAAGTACTTTTTTCGAGATATCCTTTCACTACCCATAGCTAATTGGGACAGTTCATTCATGACCCCTTGATCAACTGGCGTCTCGGGATCCGCGAGTCGCCCGATCGAATGCCATTCAACGCAGAGCGACGCCAATCCATCGTCTCTAATGTCAATCTTGAACATGGCGTTCAGCCTAGCAACTTCTCCCGCCATCGTAGGCCCTCGATTCTCGAGGGTGGCATTTTGGACGCTCAAGAAGGCGTTCCCAACGAAGCTCGCGAGGCACAGAACGCGAGAGCAGTGCAGGTTCTGGGACGAGTGCGCGAGAAACTGACTGGGCGAGACTTTAAGCCCAACGAAGAGCTCAATGTGAGCGACCAGGTCGACAAGCTGCTTGCGCAGGCGACCAGTGTCGAGAACATTTGCCAACATTGGATTGGATGGTGCAGCTTCTGGTGATTGTTCTCTTGTTCTTTTGTGGATATTTTTGTATTCAGGGTTTATGATGGCGCGGTCTATGACGACGGATTTTGCATTGCATGTGTTTCGGCTGTAGCATGATGTTTCTTCTGCTTCTGCCGCTTGTTCTGAAATCGGGGTGGTTACAGCTGTAATCTTGCTTAGACATTGATAATTCTACCCACGATTGACCCACGATCCTATATTGAACTCCGATAGTATAGTACGCTTCGCTACGTCACAATCTTGTGTCAGGCGCGAGCCACTTAGCCGAGGTCACGGGCAGCTCAGCTTCAACTCCTCGCCGGCTCTTTGTCCACTCTCTTTTCTCTCCCTCAAACCCCCTCTATCAGGTTGCCCCTTTTTCTCATCGCTGCTTGTCCATAGCGGGACAGAGGAGCATCATGCCGCCTCCGCTGCCCGACCCTGGAGTGAATCCAGTTCTCCGCAACGCCCTCCGCGTCTCCTTAAGCGCCAAAGAATACAAGGCGCTGCACGACTACGCCATCGAGCGCATTTCCCCATCTGTCCAGGGCAAAATACCATCCCCGGCTAAATTCGAAGCCATCACCCGCTCAAAGAACAAATACAATGAAGCTGCAGTGCGGGCGTCGTTGCGTGTGTTCCTCGGCTCGGGCGCTTTGCTAAAGCTTGTGGACTTTATTATCGGTCGCATACAAAAGGATCCGTCAAAGTAAGGCAGCTCAACTGTGATTTTAGGTACTGGGCCTTGGGGAGAGAAAGTTAAATCATTATTCGCATAGGAAACAATCGCATACTTCTCTCGCTCGATCTCCTAATTTCCGCCTTTCCCTTGCGCTTTCGCTCATGGTCCTATTGCACCGACTCTTGCATCGCTTCTTCGTTCGCTTGCGCTCGAATCTACGGACTGACGAAGCCCAGCTCTTCCGCGAGCGTAACCCTAGAATCTCAAAAGCGCTGACGTCGCGATATGCGCCCGCGGTCGGTGCTAGCTTGGCAGGTCTCGCGCTGGGAATCTGCACACAGCACCAGCTCCGGATGACGGTCGCCATTTATGCGGGTACACGAGGCCTGGAATCAGTTTACAATGTGATGGACGAAAAGGGCTGGCTTAAAAACAAGCCGTGGTGGTTTGGAAGCTGGCTGCTGATGCCAATGTCGTTGGCGCAGCTGTTCCACGCCTTTGTGTTTGATCGCGAGGCTACACCTAATGTTTGTGACCAATCCCCTTGATGTCGATGATACTGGCTGACTGGAGAAGTGGTTGGGAAATGTGATTCTCAAATATTCTCCGAGTTATATTCACGAGCGTCCGGATACACTACCGGCGCAGTTCCCCTGGCCGGAAAAGGACGAGATTGTTGACTCGGTCGCGACAATCGCAAACCTTCGCTGGCCGACGTTTGTGTCGCCTATCCTGCACCCTCAGACCCCTAATGTCTTGCCCTCCGGGCTCAAATCCATTTCGCCCATAACAGGGCCTGCGCACCCGTCAATCTCTGACCTGTCGTGTGCGCTGCTCCATCCCAGTAGCCCAAGCTGCGGTACGGCCTTTACTCACCAGCTGCTTCTCTCCGTATCTGCTCTTGCGCGACTCTTGACGCTCGTCACGCTGGCACGGTCGACATTGAATTTTAAAGCATGGCTAACGCAGCCAATCTCGACCGTGAACGGTCTCTCAAAATCAGTAATAACACAGACGGCTGTCCTCTCGGCGGCGATTTCCTCGGCTTGGGGAAGCGTGTGCTTGTGGAACTCGATTCTTCCTCGGGCAGCATTGCCGACGCAGCGTTTCTACCTCAGCGGAGCACTTGCCGGAGTGCCATTTGCGTTCCTGGGCAGCAACAGCCGTGGCGTGTTTCTGTACTTTTTCCGAGCGGCGGTGGATTCGGCGTGGAAGGCGGGGGTGAAGCGGGGAGTGTGGAAGGGGTGGAGTGGTGGAGAGGTCTGGCTGTTTGTCGTCGCCTGGGCCGTGCTCGCGAGTACCCTCGAAGGCCGACCGACGGCGGTACAGGGACCTTCACTGAGGAAGCTGCTGGCCTGGATGAGGGGAGAGGGGCTCACAGATCCGATTGAGAAGCGAAGGCGACGCGCATCATCTTCTGCATGAGCTTGGACAGCGTTGTATTTTAATCACAGAGTAAATTTACTTATAGGAAAGGCAATATTCCCCGCATTAAAGGTCGGAATCCATTTCTCCTCTGGAAGCCCTTTTCCGGCGATCTCCACCATTTGCTCGCGATTGGGTTCGGAGTTGCTCCAGCTCAAAGAACAACGAGGACCTGCTGCTCTGGAAATCAGACCGACATTTCCTGTTTGCTTTTGCCCATAAATTTGGTCTCTCGCTGTTCTCGAGCAGCTCCCATCCCCCGTTCTGTTCCCGATTTCCCCCACACTCTCTCCTATTCAATATACAACCCCCCCAAAATGACCGCCCAGAGACTTAAGATCGGCTGCGCAGGCCTGGGCCGCATGGGCAAGCGCCACGCCCTGAACTTCCTGCAGCGCACTCCCCGCGCCGAGCTTGTCGCCGCTAGCACCCCCGACGACACCGAGATCGAATGGGCCAAGGAGCATCTTGCGCCCTATGGAGTCACCATCTATAAGAACTACGATGACATGCTGAAGCACGAGGGGCTGGAAGCTGTTGTCGTCGCTTCTGCTACAGCTGTCCACGCCGAACAGGCCATCAAGGCCATCAATGCGGAGAAGCATGTTCTCTGCGAGAAACCTTTATCCACTAGTGTTGAGATTGTATGTGCCTCAATTCCTTCTTTCCTTGAAAGCTGTCCTTCATCCCCTCCTTTTCTCCGTCATCATTCAAGATTTCTTACTAACAAAAAAACAGTCCCAAACCGTTCTCGATGCCGCAAACTCCAAACCACATCTCAAAGTAATGTGCGGCTTCAGCCGCCGCTTCGACGCCTCCTACCGCGACGCACACCAAAAGATCTCCTCGGGAACCCTCGGCGTCCCCAGCGTGATTCGCTCACAGACATGCGACAAGCTCGACCCCACAGGCTTCTTCGTCGCATACGCTGAGTTCTCCGGCGGGATCTTCGTCGACTGCTCCATCCACGACATCGACCTGACCCTCTGGTTCTTCGGGCAAGACTCCAAGGTTCGTTCCGTCTCTGCAGTGGGTATTACGGCTGTTGAGCCCGACTTGCGGAAACACAATGATCGCGATAATGCGGTGGGTCTGGTTGAGTTCTTTGATGGGAAGATGGCGTATTTCTATGCCAGCCGCATGATGGCCGCGGGGCAGGAGGATAGCACAGAGGTTATTGGGACGAAGGGCAAGGTTGCGGTGAACACGCAGCCGCAGTTGAACCTTGTGCAGACGTTTGATGCTAGAGGTATCCGCAAGGAGATCCCGCAGCACTATTATGATCGGTTCGAGTACGCGTTTGTGACTGAGGCTAATGAGTTTACGGCTTCGTGTTTGGAGAACACGGCTGTGCCGCTGAAGCTTGAGGGGGCTGTCCAGGCGGTGCGCATTGGGGCTGCCTTGCAAGAGGCCCTTATTACGGGGGAGAAGATCTTCTTTGATGAGAACGGAAACCGCGTGCAAAAAGGGCGGTTGTAATTGCTTTGAGGGAAATGGGTATATAGATCGGTTAGAGATATCGGGACATGACGCGAACATAGAATGATAACATGACCATTTCATATAAGCGAGAACCAACTTGATGCAACAGCAACCTTAATCAGAACAATTCCGACCTCTGGCAGGACCATGCCAGCCCCATCTTTAGGACGGAACCCTCTCCAGTACACTCATCGTCCCCAGACTGCATCTCAATGTCATCTGCTACAACACTATTACTCGGAGGCTCAACACTGGTATCATCTCATCGGCGGTGGTGTCTTCATTGGTAGTATCAACTGTGTCATCGGAGCCAACATCCCTAGGCTCCTCGTCTCGAATCTCAATTTCGTCGCAGTAGTCATCGCCAAAGGCATTCGGAGACATTTGACATAGATTGTAGAGTGTTTCGTTACAAGGGACATCATTCAGATAGGCGATGCCGACAGTGCCCAAGGTTGCGAAGTCGAGATTGGGGAGGTAGATGCTGGTGTCACTGTCAGACCACAAGGGACAGAGGACTGCTTAAACGCCTCGCGAGTATTTAGATGCAGGAACTGCGCCCCAGGGACAAGACAAGACGATCACGAAGTGCAGGCTAAGCCCAGCGGACAGCTCTGGCAGCGTATTCTGGGGCCATGGCCGCTGCCCTCGTGGCCCGCATGCCTCGTCCCGATAGGTCTCCCCTGGCGCCGAGCTGGGCACTTTTGGGTTGCAGTTCGTTTCTGCTCCAGATTGTGACTTTTTCGACCCTAGCGTTTGATTTCATCTCACATTTGCACTGGGACATTGGTCACGGGCCTTGATACTGGAGGATCAGCCTTGGGTCAAGGAAACCCTTGACAGTGTTATAGGAAGATGAAGTTTGCGGGATGAAGCAGGTTTCCCAGCGCTGGATCTGGGTTGGAGGAAGCTTACCGGAGGAAGTTGAGACGGATGAGTCTATAAATTACTTTCAGTTGCTAAATAAAGTCATTGGGCCTGTCCAACAACAGTATGTCTTCTTTCATATCTGAAGGAGCATTCTGGGCCCCGGGCATGGTTTCACCTCTACTATAAACAACCACTGTGAGTTCTACATAATAGTACTGGTATCACGCATCCAAGTCCAGCACTATCTCAGCAAGAGAATCTATTGTCTGGGGATGCAATTGTAATCACTTAACTAAAGTCCTACAAAGTCCTAGTGGATCTCTTTCGAGATCTATTTATGTTTTTCCTTCCATGCAAACACTTTCACTAAACGCTCTAAAGAGTGGATTCCGCAGAATAACACTTAATCGCAGTCTGGTCTCGCCAACATATCACCAATAGTCTAGTACCCAGGATCATTTCCCTTGGATACATTTATAACGCTTCTTCATCTGTTTCCTCGATTTTTACCATCCACGCTTCCCATCTTTCCTTCCAGAACCCTTCCCCATATAGCCTACCTATACCGAAGTGGCCATCGCGGGTCTTCATTCTCAGTTCTCCTATCGAAATCAAGAATGGAAGCCTCTGAAGACCCTCAACCATGGAGGGATTATATCTCTTCAGATCCGCTTTACCAGGAGCTAGCTAGACTCAAAGAGGAGGTAAGAAACTTTTCCTTCCTCTTCACGGCTTCTGAAGCAATTTCTGAGATACCCAGGGCTGGTCAAACCCGGCAGGGGAAAAATCCTTCAAGAAACGGAGGGAGTGCGTCGTCAAAGCCAACCACCGAGCTAGATTGGGGCTCTACAGAATGACACAGGAAGGTGGTGACGGTCTCGCCTCAGCGACTGGGCTCCTAGATCTTCGCGGAATCTCCTCCCCATGCATCCTTGACCTATGTATGCATGGCCCCCGGCGGCTTCAGTATGACGAGCAAAAAACGACTACCGCGTTCGATAATCGATGCCATTACTCTTCCCACCGAGCTCGGCGGATACCTGGTCATGCCTCCTGGGATTTTCAACGAGATCATATACGCTGATATCACAATGTTTGCTCAAAAGATGGTCTCCGGCGAATCAGAAAGATACCTCAGCGGACACCTCGACTCGACGAAATTCCACACAGCCCGTTCATATCTCGAGACCAAATATGACGTCGCTTTCTGCGGATGAGCCGTATGCAGAGACCACCCCAGGAAAGGATACCGGAGCGTCGACTGTGAAGCTCCGCGGTTATGGGCCTCTCAGCTGGTTTTTGCCCTAAACCGTCTCAAGCCCGGTGGATCACTCGTCCTTCTCCTTCATCGTGTCCAGTCTTGGACCACTGTCTGTTTGATTAATGCGTTTAGTCAGTTCTCTGATATCCAGCTATTCAAGCACCCAAAGTTTCCCTCTATCAAGTCGTCCTTTTACCTTGTGGCGAGGAATATCGACTTGGAGCACGAGACTGCGAAGAGTTTCACTGCGTTATTGGAAGTCTCTGTGGAAGTATCTGACCTTTGGACAGATTTCAAGTGACATTCTACCGCCTTCTTCAAGGCTATATGACCCTGAGAGTGAGTTTGCTTGTCAGCTACGAGATGAGTTTGGTCCTCGATTTCTAGAGCTTGCACGTCCGTTGTGGGAGATTCAGAAAAGCGCTCTCCGTGCGAGTGGTTTTATGAAACCTGCGTGGGAGGGGATAATGGTTCAGGGCTCGGCACCGTGGCCAATACTTGATACAGCCGGTGGTACTATATCGAGCATGCTTGTATTTAAGCTACTATATCATGTCTTCGGTATACTTGGACTCTAATGAAGAATAAGGAATCAATGTAACATGTGAGAAGACAATGGCATTCAAGGTACATATTTAATTCGTGACTCGTAAAACAATGCATAGCCCTAAGAGCGTCTACCACTTGATCACCCTGTTGGGGAAGAACTCGTCGATCAACTCGAGGTAGTATGGCTATTATCATTAGCTTCAATTCAACATCAAAAGGGATAATTAAGGGCCGTACCTTGAGCTCCTCGACACTGGGCACATCATCACTCTTGCTGTAGAGATCGTACGGGTTGAACGCCTTGACAGCCTTGAGCATAGCCTCATCCTTTTCGTTCATCAGGTGGCGGTACGCCCCAGCATTGTGCCAGGGGTAGAACGAGTGGTACCGGATCATAGCCAGGGCCTCGGCAGGTAGAGTCGACTGCTCCTTGACAACGTGATAGAGATACTCATCATGCCCCCAAGAAAGCATGACATTGTCAAGCCCACACCCAGGCGTGTAAATTCCATTCGGCGTCGAGTAGATCTCGTGTCCGTAATCCTCGTTATCCTTGAAACTCTCCTTTCCATAGATAATCCGCTCATCAAATTCGCAACCGACAGGGAACGTATCCCCAACAACATCCCACTGCCCGCGCGCATCGAAGAAGAACAGCAACTTGCCCAAATCATGAATCAGCCCCGTAAGCTGCATCCAGCGGGGCTTGCCGTCGCGCCGAATGGCCTCGGCGGACTGCAGCAGGTGCTCGATCTGCGAGAGCGACGTGTCCGGGTCCGACTCGTCGATCAGCGTGTTGAGCTTGATCATGGCGTCCCAGACGCTCATCTCTGCGCGAGTCTTGGAGTGGAAATCATTGCGGGCCTTGAGGTTGTAGGCGACTGTTTGCTTGGTGTGCTGTTCCTTGTAGAAGTTCTTAACGCGGTCGCAGGCGTCTTCGTACTGGCGAAACTGCGTCTTGTCTTTTTCCTTGTCGAATTCGGAAGCTTCGTAGAGGTCTTTTTCTTCTTGTTGTTGCTTCTTGAGGTTTTGCTTGAGGACGTTGACGTTATCGATTGCGTCGGAAAGTTCCTCGAGGGCAGCACCCGATGTGTTGGCGTGGGGACTCATTCTGTGTGTGACTTTTTAAGGTTTCGAAAATGTACCTTGTATGTGTAGTTTTCACGAGACTTCGTTATAGAAGAAACCTAGAGGTCGATGATGGAGATGATGATGACAGTCAAAGTCAAAGACGAGCAGATATATAAGTCCCATTGTGGCAAGCGACCAGGCAATAGCAGCGCCCCGATTTCCGATGATGTATGCCAAATCTGCCTTTGCGAGGGGTCTCAAAGTGTGTCGCGGATACTGGAATCCGCAGGCCATCCTGGATTCCAGTTTCCGAACGTTGTGCAGGGTACACATAAGTTGTGCCCTGAAAATCTATATGATGAGGTAATTATGTCTTGCATAATTACGCAACATCTCTCGGAATCGCTCCGGTTGATGGAATAATGGCCGGGGTAATTCTCCCCGATGCGCGCTCTTGGCCTTATACTGCCGGGACAATTGACCCGGGGTATATTTGGCCGTTCCCCTCGTTTGATTTCAGGGTCTCTCTTTTTGTTTTTCTTCTTCTTTTCTGCTCAGAAGTTGGTTCCTCGTATTTCGTTCAATCCGTCAAAATGTCCATCTCAAAGACTGTTTTCAAGCTCAACACCGGCGCTGAGATCCCCGCGCTTGGTCTCGGTATGTATCCCCTCACCAACCCCACCATTACCCCTCCATTTCTTCAATTCCTTCATTTTCTTTACATCGTTTAAGGTGGTGAACAGAAAAGTCTAACAAGACCAGGAACATGGCAATCCGGCCCCGGCGAAGTGACCCGGGCAGTCTACCACGCCCTCAAAGTCGGCTACCGCCACATCGACGCAGCACAATGCTACGGCAACGAAGCCGAAGTCGGCGAAGGGATCAAGCGCGCCCTCTCCGAGAACCTTGTCAAGCGATCCGAGATCTTCGTCACCACAAAGCTCTGGTGCACATACCACACGCGCGTCGAGGAAGCCCTGAACACATCGCTTTCCAAGCTCGGCCTCGACTACATCGACCTGTACCTCATGCACTGGCCGCTCGCCATGAACCCGGAGGGGAACCACGACCTCTTCCCCAAGCTGGCTGACGGGAGTCGCGATATCGTGCATAGCCATAGCCACGTAACGACGTGGAAGAACCTCGAGGATGTTGCTGCGCGGTTCCCTGAAAAGGTCAAGGCGATTGGTGTGAGTAACTACTCGAAGCGGTATCTGGAGGAGTTGCTCCCGCAGGCCAAGGTTGTGCCTGCAGTGAACCAGATTGAGAACCACCCTGCCCTGCCGCAGCAGGAGATTGTAGATCTGTGCAAGGAAAAGGGCATTCTGATCACGGCGTACTCGCCGCTGGGCAGCACTGGGTCACCGCTTTTCACGGCGGAGCCCATTGTCGAGGTTGCGAAGAGGAAGGGTGTGCCTCCAGCTATTGTGCTTTTGAGCTGGCATTGTATGTTTTCGCCCTTTTCTTTCTTCTTTCAAAGAGCGTGGCTAACCTGTGTAGTGGCTCGCGGATCGTCGGTGCTTGCCAAGTCGGTGACGCCCTCGCGCATCGAGGAGAACATGAACCTCGTCAAGCTGGATCAAGAAGACCTTGACCTCATCGCGAAGTACTCGGACGATCTCGTTGCCAACAAGAAGTGGCAGCGCTACGTGTATCCTCCGTTCGGCGTTGATTTTGGGTTCCCAGACAAGTCGTGACTGGCTGTGAGTAGATTATAGGATAGTTTGATAGACGTGTACATAAAACAACTGGCATTGATTGTCAAAATAGTGATACTCTACACATGTATTCAAGATCCTAACATACTGCTCCGAGTAGATGGCTTTACAGCAAGTGAAAGATCTAGAACTTGGGCTAATGTTCGATCCCGACCCATTCGCGCTGAAGAACAATCTCCACCTCGAGTTCATTCTGTCCAGCAGCTCCAGGGCCTGCTTTGGGTTTGGTACCAAAGAACTCTCGGTAGCACAGCTCTCTCACTTCATCTGGCATATGAGCCACGCTGATATTAACATCCACATTCTCCTTCTCCACGTCCACATTCTCCTTCTCCTTGTCCTTCTTTGCCTTGTTGCCCTTTTTCTTCGAGCCAACACTGGCGTCAGCACCAACATCCGTACCAGTGGCTGCGTCAGCATGAGGGCTCGCGTTTGCGCTCACACTCGACCTGTTTGCAATCACCATCTCAGTGTAGCGTTTCAACGCGGCATGACGTCTCGCCTCGCGTTCCAGGATGATAGACTGGGCAATCGACGGAGTCAAGACGTTGCGCTCCGAAAGCATGCGAAAAGTGAGTTGAAGGTGGTGATAACCAACAGATAGAAGAACGGCAGAGGTCATGGTAATCTCGAGGCCTGGGACGGCGGTACTGTTCTTTGTCTCTGCAGTACCGGCTTCTTGTTCTTCCTGGAGTTTCTTTTTCTCTTTTTCCTTTCCTTTCTTTTTCTGTGACTTGGATTTGGGCTTGGGCTGCTCATCGCCGTTGCTCTCCCCTTCACTGTTGGAGAAAAAGCCAAATTTCACCTCTGCAAGGCGCGGATTGTTTGCAATTGCAAAAGAGAGCGTCGCTCCAGCTGGGGGCGTGTTTGGTGGAGAGTTATCTTCCTGGATTTCGGCGGCTACCTCGGCTGGATTTTTGGGAACGCCGGGAGGAGCACGCAGGTAGCCTGGGACACGGTTAGGGACGATATCCGACTTGGCGGCGCAGTATATCTCAAAGCCGGGCTTGACGTGATCGAGAAGAAAGTTTAGTGCTGCGGTGATGATCCGGTGAGACCAGTCGCCCTCGAGGAGGTAGATTGGGTAAGGAGGCAGCTGAGAAGGGTCTACACCCATGTCGACCCCGAGAGGGAAGAACGGTATAGGCGTAGCAGTGGCTCCAACAGTGTTAGTCAAGGCCTCGGGTGTCTTGTGTATTTTCTGTCCCGGAGTGTCGGTCTCGGGAACCTCTGCAGTATGAGCATGGCGAACATCCTGACGAGGATCGTGAGGATGAGGGTTAGACCAAGGACGCGTGGGAAGAATGACCGCAAACTTGTGCGTGCACAGTCCAAAGTACAACAAGTGCTCGACAGTCTCCCAGCTGATCAGGTCGAGAGCCAGGCCAAAGCCTGTGTCCACGATGGTTGGCAGATAGAAGAACGCCCCGCAGACCGCATATCCCAGCGCCATGTCCATCATCGCCGCCGGCACGGAGAACGGATACTCGGGCTCGCAACCGCGCTCGGGAAATGGGTCGTACCCCAGGCCGTCCAAGGTAGCGGGCTTCAGAGTCTCCTGGGTGAGCATAGGCCGTCCATAGAGGTAGTGGACGACTTGCTCCCAGGGCTTGACCATGGTAAAGTGCTCGCAGGCAAGAGCCACGAGCTCATGGCTATAGTATGGATCATGAACAAGTGTTGAGACGAGCGGACTGCGTGCTAGAATACATCTATGCGCGGTCAAGTGGATAGGGAGGAATTGGTCCGTCATCGAGCGCAGCGTCAGACGATAGTCGCTCACATGGCCGATGTCCAACATTTCGAGAAGGGCCTTGGACAGTTCCAGGCTTGCCTGCGCAGCCATGATCCCCGCGTCTTCAGCGCCTCCCATGATGGCAGGCTCGGCGCATTTCATGGGACTGGGTGAGGCCGGTGTTACCATGAGCTTGACGCCGGCGGGGTTGGGAGGAGTCGATGCAGAGGCAGTAGTCGAGACGGTGGCAGGGTCGGCAGCGTCTGCTACAGCAGGATTGGAATCCGGCGTATCTGGAGCACCAGCGGAGAGGGTCTTGGAGGTATTGTCGTCAGCTTCGGGCGTAACGGGATCATCCCTGCGGCAGGTGCAACAATCGCCCGCATGGTGCATGCAGCAGCACGAGTGTCGAGGAGGGCAGCCGCAGCCATCCTGCATGGGCCGATGCACGCAGCACGCGGCGTTGAACTGGCACAGCAGGCGCCCGTGGACACGACACACAGCGCTGTCGTTGTCTTTGTCTTCCTCTGGCAACTCTGCCTGAGGTTCGTCCTCTTGCTGAGCTTGGACTCCGACATCTCGGTCCTCGCCAACATCTTCAATCATCTCAACAGACGCCTTCTCTTCATCCTCCTCCTTCCTCTGACCTTGCCCATCCCCATACGCAACAATCACCTCTTTGACTTCTGTATACTCCTCACTACAGACACCCTTCCCCTGTACATGCTCATCCACAACTCCGTTCCACTCCTCATTCTTCTCTTGCTCTTCATTTTCACCACCCTCGGTCTTTTCCTTCTTTGTAGCCTTCTTCTTCTTTCTTTTCAACTTCTTCTTCTCAGCCGGCCCGTCAATCTGCACCTCCGCAAGTCCACCGTCAGGCCCATGTCCCTGTTTTTCTTCCTGGGCAACTCCAGCCTGGAAGGTCTCCGCCTGCGCCTTTATCTGCATCTGCGTCGCAACATGCGCCTCAACAAACTCATCCAGCCCGCTCGCCATGGCGACACTCTCCTCAAAGTTTGGCTTCCCGTCCGTGCCGCCTAGAGAGCACGATCTGGTTCTCTTGCCTGTCCAGAGGAATGCCTCCTGGCTTGGGTGAGGGCGGTCGATGGAGAAGTACTCGTCGAAGCTTTGTGCTGTGGAGGGGAGCTCAGAGGGGCAGAATGTGTTGCGCCTTATCATGTTTTTTTCTGGAATTCTTGAGGTTTTCTTGGTGATGTGTTATTGGTTTGAAAGGTTCGTTGGGTTGCTCTGGTGTGTATGTGTGTGTGTGTGTGTGTGTATGCGAGGTTGTATGAGATGAAGAGATGAGATGGACAGAGAGACCTCGTGGGGGAGTTCGAGGCTCTAGGTGTTGTGTTATCCAACAAGGAAAGAGGTAAGAGAGAAGCAGAAGCGAGGGACAAAAGGCTGCAGGATTTTCGTTTTCTTTCTTGTTGCTGTTAATGATGTCGCCGTGGCGATGAAGGAGGGTGGGCTGTTATTCTTCTTCTACTGGGAAAGCCTTTGACCTGCTAGTTAGTTAAAGTAGAAAGAGAACTACCCTGCATAGAGCTTAATAAGTAATGGTTAAAATTCCTTAGGTATAATAAGCTTTAAGATATACTCGTTCTTTGAAGCTGTTTGGCAGGTCTTTGTATAGGGCTTTGGTCACGCGTGACTTGGTGCAGGAAGTTCACGCAACACTTTTCACCACATATAAGGACTAAAGTATCATAAATAAAGAGAAAACTACTGGTATAAACAAGCTGTAAAGAATATTCTTACTTACAAAACCCCGTTAAGAGGCTACTTTGCTCACACCGAGGACTACCTATTGATGCTCGAAATCGGCGTCCACATAGCTCGCTGCCCAGTGGGCACAAGGCGCTCCGTGATTGTTCCATGAATTTAGTACTTTGAAGTGTAAGCTTACGTTCGTCCTTTGGAGGTATTACTGGTACTACTACATATTACAGAATGAGAGATACAGTTGATAGGATTTCTAGTCATATTCAACAGACAAAAGGGTGATAAATCCACCGCTCAAAACACAATGGTATCTATCATCAAGAGGTACAGATCAGGTATCTTACACAAACAAAAAAAAGAAAAAGGGCTAAATAAGAACCGATCGACCGAATGAAGTCGAAATCAAAAAGGGGGCTTAATCAAAACATGCCCCCATCCATTGGGATGCGAGGAGGAAAAGTCGGAGGCGGTGGCGACGCACTCGCAGACATAGTCTGTCGAACCTTAGCCGCGTTCAGTTCCCCGCCCTCGCTTGAGATCTTGCGCAGCCGGTTCCGCGGCCGTGGAATCCGCTTCTCGCCATCGTCGGAAAACGTGCTGTGCTCGGGACCTGGATCCCGATCGGCGTGCGGGACGGGCATAGGGTGTGGTACGTCGTGTCTGGTGTCGCCCTTGAAGGCGCCGAGGATTGTTTGTGTGGTTGTTTGGCGCCGGCGGCGCGGGTTCATGGGTGGTAGGGGTGGTGTTTCCATGCCGTTGCTTAGGCTGGCGCCTGGTGGGAGGCCGACGGTGGGCACGTTGGATGTGCAGGAGATGAAGGTTGGTTCGGAGATTTTGGATTTGTCCACCGCGCGTTTTTGGAGGGTTTGACTTCCTGGAGTGCGCTGGGGTATGCCCTGCCCGTGCTGAGGAAGGGTAGCTTGGGCTAGAGGTGCGGAAGCATTTCCGTTGAGATCGTTTAGGGGAGGCGTTGCGTTAGCCGAGAATGGAGGAGCGGCAGGCGACGGGCGAGGGGACACTCCAATTAGCGGGGAGTTGGCCATGGGCGCGTGGAAAGGTCGGTCGTGCATACTTGGCGTTGCAGACCGGCTTTCCGGGCGGTATCTGCCAGAGGCAGCAGACGAGCTGCGGTCGTATGTTGGACGCTCGTGAGCTTCAACAGAGGGACGCGCAGATGATGCGGTAGACACTACGCCATGACGTCCGTTACGGGATGTAAAGCTGTTGTCGGAGCCGGTATCGTCCTCTTCTAGAGTCTCGAGGTCGTCACGCTCGCGACGGGAGCGGCTCTTGGAGCGGCCGGACGCATCTGAGCTCGATCGATCTCTACGAGACCGGAAGCTTGAATGGGGCGAGGCTCCGCGGCTACGGCTCGACTCGCGGGAGTCGTCCGTGCTGCGGCGTCCAAAGCTTGCGATTCTAGACCGCATGGAGCGCTCTGCGATATGAGGAGAGCTCGAGTTGCCGTGCCTTCCAATGCTGGGAAGGGGTAGGTCCTCACCCCAAGGGTCATCGGAAACCAAGGTTGGTGTCGACGCATTAGCACCGAGCCCTAGACCCTTAATACCACGAGGCTCGCCGCGGTTGAAGATATTGTGCTTTCCAGGCTTGTTCTTGAGAAGCGCAAAGGCATTACCTGGCCTTGGCTGGCCACCAAAGTCGGGTGTCTGTCGGCCAGAAACAGGGCTTGCGGCGCGGCTTTCACTCTCGGCAAAATCTCTAAGCTTCTCCTGCACCCTCCGCCGCCGTTCCGCCAACTCATTGGCGAACTCTTCGCGTTCTCTTTGTGTCTCTGTACTTCCATTACGTTGGTGCCGGACGATATCCTCTTGCCAGGCGGGAACGGGGGGCGGTTTCACATTAGGGGGGTGAGAAGCTAGATTATCGAGTTGGTGATTGGCGGGTGGTACCTCTGTGGTGTCGCGCTCGGTAGACTCGGGGAATCTAGGAGAGGGAGGTGGCATGATGGAGGATCGATCACTATCTTGGCGAAGATGTGTACGGACAAGACCGCTAAGCCCCAGACCGGATGGAATAGTTGGTGAATCAGGCTTTTCAGGAAGATTGCTCGCCTGCTCAGGAGCCTGTTCGCTATGCTCCGCAATGGGCTTCAGATCGCCCAGGTCGGAGTACCGGACTTCGGGAAGAGGCGGGCTGTTATCTTCGCCTGTCGGGGTAGACGGCTTGGATGGTGTCCTAGAACGGAACGCGGGGTGATCGCCGTGGAAATTGTAATCATTGTCCCGCTGTCCATACCCCTCGTCTTCGGTCTCACTAGGACTGGAATTGTCAAAGAAGGTACCAACATGTCCAGGTCTAGCGGGAGAGGCAGTGACACTAGCAGCCGTAGACCGGCTACTACCCGGACGATGCGCCTCGCTGTAGTGGGAGGAAGCAGCGGATCCTGAACGCGATCTATGGCTGGCATTGGAGACACCCCGCGCGCGCGGCCTGGGTTCCTGAGGAAGTGGGCGCGCTGGCGGGGACTGCTGCCGAAGAGGAGGCGTATTCCTCCCCTGGAACATCTGCAATTGACGGCGAGAAAACTGGCTCTCATCATAGGCGGTTCGAGGCTTGTTGAAGAGGCCCATGGCAGTGGCCTTCCCGCGGTCTCCGGGCTGCAAGGCAGCCATTAAAGTGGTACTCTCTTCATTTTCACTGACCGGAGGGCTGAGCGGGGGCTGCTGTCCGAAAGCTGGTGGGGGTTTCAGCTCCGACTCGATCGGTGGCCGAGTCGGCGAGGTAGCAGACGATGGCGGGCTAGTCGGTCGTGATGCAGCGGGTGATGGCTCAGCAATGGCCAGTTTCTGAAGTCTATCGCGGAGGTTGGTGGCGCTGCGGGAATAAGCCCGATTGAGGGGAGGCAGCTCTGGGGGGGTTCCGGCGCGCTGGCGGCTTAGACTCTCAAGTCGGTGAAGAGCCGAGGCCTGTTGGGTGTGGACTGACTGTTCGAGGGCTTGTCCGTACAGACGACGCGTACGGACCGAGCCACGCTCCGCAGCCATCCTGGTGGGGCCTGCTGACTTGGGAGTAGCATATTCCGTCGGACTGTTATTGGAAAATGCCTGGCCCGGTGATGTCGCCAACGGCTGCTCATCAATAGAAGTCGCAGCAGTCGATATGCGCGCATTTGCCGTGGGTCCTGATGCGGTCGAGGAGTAGGTCGTTCGCGTGTTGGAAGACACGTTGGACAATGCATCCATAGATTCGTGTGGGGAGAAGACTAAAAGATCTTCTCTCTCCTCGCCCCCCTCCTTGGCCTTTTCACGTCGAAATAGTGAATGATTCACATCGTGTTCGTAGACAGGACGGCCTCCGCTACTCGTTCCTGAGGGGGCGATTTTATACACTTTTTGTCTCCCTCCAAACAAGTTGTTCCCTTCGGTGCGACGGCCCCTATTCATGATTCCCGCTGGGTGTGAATCGTCATCGCCGGCATAGCTATCGCTCCCAGAGGCGTAGGAGCCGCGCCCAACGCTAAATGATGGCCGGCCAGGGTCGGAGGCTTCATCGATATCCGAAAGGAGACTCGGGTTGTGTCCGAAGAGGTTCAGGCGCGACGCTCGTCGAGGAAATAGAACGCTATCGTCGCTGGCTTTTCCGATGAGGGATTCGGGGTCGTCCTGCTCTCGGAGCATGCTGAAGCGGGCAGACAGTTTTGGCATCAACAAACTCGTACGGAAATCATCTGTTGAGGGGAGGGCGCTGGCAAGGTCGAGCTGGGGCTCCTTCTCAGGTTCCTTTTTCCCCTTTTTAAGCATTGAGCCGAATGAAGAAGTCGACGCGCTACTTTCTGTGACCACGACGTCTTCCTTGACCTTTTCCTTCTTCGTTCTCCTAAACCGATTCATGGTGACAAGGCGAGAACTTCCGCCAGGGACAGTTCACAAGCAGAGAGGGTATAAAAAAGGTTGAGATATCGCTCAAACCAGTCTTACGAGTCAGTGTCAATCGCTCAGGCGACAATGCGCTGTTGTCGCGACATAGGGGATGGTGACCTACTGAGCGAAAAAAAAAAAAGGCCGGAGAGCGGGTGCACCCAAGTACGAGCCACAAGCGGCTGTAAAAGGCTGACAATTGCGAGCTGAATATAGCAGCGGACAGAGGAAAAGGAGTTGCTCAGTGGACAATGGATATGACCATCAAATCATCCCCTGTGGCAAGAAGTCCGGAACCAGTCCGTGGCCGATCTGTCGTGCAGTGGACGAGACTTGTAGGACAGGCAAAAAGCACGGGAAGGCGATAGGTATAGCAAACAATCCTTGCCGGAGTAAAAAGTCGAGCTCAGCAGGATTTATTGGATGATAAATTCGCCAGGGCCGGGCGAATTGGTGAGGGGGGTTGGCGGGCGAGAGGAGCAGGAATGTGGCTGCAGCGGAGGCGACGATAGAATCTATGGGGAATGACACTACTGGCCAGAGAGTGCAGCGTCGAAATATGGGGGACGAAAGGAGAGTCGGAGGTCAAGTTGAGACGTGAAGGAGAGGAAAAGAACGACTGGGCGAGAGCAGAGAAGAGGGAGAGACGAAAGAGAAACGATGCAAAAGAGTGACTGCGAGGAGTGTATGCCTGACTGGAGGGAAGAAGAGAAGGATCTCGATCGTCGATTTAATTTTTATTTGGTATCCAGAATCACAGTGATTCCCACCGAAGTCCAGACTCTCCAGCTTCCGAATGGTTTTTTGGGTCGCGGAGTCGATCGACACGCACACATTATTATTTACTCCGTCGCGGTCGACGCCTCGACGGTATCATCCTGCACTCGCCGTTTCAATGCTGATGGAAACGCTGCGCTCTAATCAAACTCTCTCTGCTTTATCCAGTCTACTTCTACTGTTTCTTATACCACCTCCAGGAGATTACCACTCTCATGTTTTGTTCTCCTTCTCGACGTTTGAGGTGGTGCTGTGTGTAAATAAAGTGACACGGAACCATGGGAAAAAACTCCCATACGGTACAGTACCATGGGCCATCCATGACAGGGGGCCGTGACCCCTTGCAGCCCCCACTGTAAGCCGCCAATAAGCTGCATCAAATTGCCGGAGTCATTTCGGTTATTAAAGTCGAAACTGGCCAAACGGAACAAGAGTTCTCTTGGAGTGATCAAGGCTGAGTCGGAGGAAAATCGAAAGTCGAGATTGAGAACTTGGAAGGGGACACGAAAAGAGCATCAACTCGAACAGCAACGGAGGCCCGATTGTGGTGATATCATCAAGACATCAGTAATTGCACTCTGTGATCTTGTTTTTCATGCCCAAGTGGGACTCTGCAATAATCCCAGTCTCGATAGTTCTGTCTCTTCTCAATAGTCTTCACACACTACTGTATGCAGTGTCCTTTGGCTGAGAGAGCATCAGCTGAGCCTCGTATGTGACCTATCCCGTTCGCATTTCCAGTGTTTCACCATCATCCCCTCACACATCCAGAATAGTTGAGCAATCGATTTGCTCTGCCTCCTCGTCACGTCTACATACAGCTCCCAATCTTCAGTACTGCAGCAGCAACACTGCATGCAAAGTCGAGCGGAGCACAAGCGCGTGGTGATGCATCTCGCGGAATTTCCGGGTCGGAGCGAGGACCCGATCCAGCAGGACCTGGATTCAGGAACAGGATATCTGGTTGTCGTCAGAGTTTTTGCCGTGTTGGCCTCGGCTTTGCTCTAAGCCAACCCTAAATTACTATCAACCAGGATTCCGGGAAGATTCTGATTTCTAAGACTTGTTAGTTTTGTTGACAGCCGTTGGGCTGGAGCCTTTTGCCGCGGCGTGGCGTAATGTGGGTAACTTTTGTATTACTGATACACCGTGCCCCTGACTAGCACGCTCTGGGAATAGCCATGGCCGACCAAAGGGAACGAGATGCGATACACTCAACAAGTTTTCTGTGATCAATGATGAGCACCAGCACCTTAAAGAAGCTGACTCAAGGCTGACGAGACCCAGTCAACAACTCCTGCCCAGTGCCTGCAATCTCACCATGCAAGCCTCGATCTAAATCTCACCTAAATCGGAACTAATCCCTGGGAGTGGGGAGAGCACGCTCCTGGTCATCAGAGCTCGTATTTCCGCAGGCCCAAACAACGGTTCTCTCCCCGGGTTTAGACTCCCACTCGAAGACAATCGGCGTTTCATCGCAACACTGCCCACAACCAACCAACTCCGCCCTGACGAGGCTATGAGGCTGCTGTCCTCTCCAGATTCGAATAACTTCTGATGCCTGAATCGATGATGGCTTCATGTTGTTCTAGAGGGGCGCTAGAAGCCTGAAGAACCGCCGATGTGTCAGGCACCAGTTCCCACCGTTTATTGGCTTCGAGCTTCCCCTCTCCCGGCTTCGTCGAGGTCGAGCTTTCATGCTCTTTGCTTTTTGTTGGTAAAGTCGAAGATGAGACGAATTGACGAACTCATGACGATCCTCATCGGTGATCGATGACGTTGTTTGTATTAATAATCTGCCTGAACACCCCGCACAGAATCACGCAAGGACTGCTGCATTCAAGAACCTCACTAACCAAAGTAGAAGCTAACATCCTCATCTACTCTCAGAACCTACAGAACTAACCTCAGCAATATCACCGCCATGCAAGTTTTACTCCTCGGCGGCCATGGCAAAGTTGCCCTCCACCTTACCCCTCTCCTCCTCGCCCGCGCCTGGGACGTCACCAGCGTCATCCGCAACCCAGACCATGAACCCGAGATTCTCGCCCTCGCCAAAGGCGCAAGCGCGAAGGGCAAACTTGACGTCCTGATATCCAGCCTCGACGACGTCAAAACCGAGGCTGACGCCGCAAAGATACTCGCCGACACAGACCCAGACTATGTCGTCTGGTCAGCCGGTTCGTTCCCCTCCCCCCTTCACAACGTATCACCCTTTCGAAACATACTCTTCAACTAGAACGAATACACAATAAGAGACCAAAAAGCTAAGCTCAATTCTTCCTCAGGCGCCGGCGGAAAAGGCGGCCCCAGCCGCACAATCGCAATCGACGAAATCGCTGCGAAACACTTCATCTCTGCCGCCTACGCACACCCGCGCGTAACAAAATTCCTCCTCGTCTCTTGGCTCGGCTCCCGGCGCAACCGACCCTCTTGGTTCTCCGACGAAGACTGGGCGGCATCGCGAAACGTCTTCACAAACGTCCTCCCCACGTACGCGAAAGCCAAACTCGAGGCAGACGAGTTCCTCACGGCGCATGCGGTCGTGCGCGCGCAGAAGTTAGCGGCCGGCGCGAAGCTGTTGCCGCTGCAGGCGGTTTGTCTACGGCCCGGGATGTTGACGGATGATCCGGGTACGGGGAAGGTTAGTTTGGGCAAGACGAGGGGACAGGGGAATGTGCCTAGGGAGGATGTGGCGAGGGTTGCGGATGCGTTGTTGGCTAGAGACGATACGCATGGATGGTATGATCTGTTGAGTGGGGAGGAGGATATAGAAAAGGCTGTGGAGAGGGTTGCAAAGGAAGGCTTCGATGCCGTTGTAGGGGAGGATGTGGAAGCTATGGTGAAGAGGTTTGGGTTGGATTCCTGAAGAAAAGGCAGGTGGTTATTGAGCTATGAATAGTGTGTTTGACGATATTTTACCAACATTTCGGGTTGCGAATTTACGATTTATTGAGTCAGCTCAATCATATATCTTACGAGACAATCGATGCGATACATTTCCTATGTACGTGATTAAGATTCGTAATGTCGACAGATCCGCCAACTATAAACATGAGATAGTTCATATACATTGCTAGATTCCAATGACTACAGCTTGGCCTTGGGCGCTGCGGCCTCTTCCTGTGCTTGTTTCTTGAGCATTCTCCGTAGAATCTTACCTGACGCACTCTTTGGAATCTCATCAACAAACCGTACTCCACCCCGCAACCGCTTGTGGTGCGCGACCTTTGTCTCTAGCCACTTGATGATGTTCGCCGCCTCCTCTTCCGCAGAGACGCCTGAAGATTTGCTCTTTGCGCTCCGAACAACATATGCGACTGGAACCTCGGTGCCGTGAGCAGCACTCTCAATGCCAATGACAGCGACGTCATCAATGGCACTGTTGTCAACGAGGATACCCTCCAGCTCGGCAGGAGCTACTTGGAAACCTTTGTACTTGATGAGTTCCTTTACGCGATCAGTGATGTAAAAGTTGCCTTTGGCATCTTGGTAGCCGACGTCGCCGGTGCGGAACCAGCCCTCGGGAGAGATCGAGTCCGCTGTGGCAGCCGGGTTGTTATGGTAGCCCAGGAAGACGTTGGGGCCCCGCACATAGAGCTCGCCGACCTCACCGGTGGGGACTTCGCGAGGCTCCGACCCATCCTCGGGCATGTCCATGTACCTGGCCTCCATGTTAGGGAGAAGCTTTCCGACGGAGCCCACACTCTCGCGCCATTCACTCCAGGGTTGGGTGTGCGTCGTAGGACTGGTCTCACTAAGCCCATATCCCTGCTTGATGCCGATGCGAAGACGGTTATAGACTGCCTCGACAAGTTCTTGCGTGAGCGGCGCAGCGCCCGAATTCATCATCCGCATACTGGAGAGGTCGTACTTTTCGACGATGGGGTGCTTTCCGAGGAGAAGTACGACTGGAGGGACCACATAGCTGAATGTGATGCGATAATTCTGAACGTGCTGACACCACTTTTCAAGGTCAAACTTGGCCATGACGTAGAGCTCGTATCCTTGATAAATGGTCTGGTGAACGAGACATGTCAGGCCTATCATTTTTATTAGTACTCTGGAGTTCAATGCTTCAAGGAGGGGGCGGGGGAGTACCGTAGATGTGGAAAAAAGGAAGGAATGCGAGTATACGATCCCCCTTGCCATCCGCGCCACCATTCCACTTGAGTTCACCATCGTCGCCTGCAGCCAACTGAAGGCTGTTGGCGACGATATTGCGGTGGCTCAGCATAACACCCTTGGGAACACCGGTGGTGCCGGACGAGTAGACAAGGAATGAAAGGTCCTTTTCCGGGTTGACCTTAGAGCGGCGAAAGCGGGTGGCTCCAGAGATGTTACGAATAGAGGTAAAGTGCTTGGCCCTGGCCTTGGGGTCGCGCTGGTCTCCAATTAAGATGATGTGATCGTCCGGAATGCCGACCTTTTTCGCAGCGGCTCGCGCGACGTCCAGAACCGGCAGTTGTGTGACAACCGCCTTTGCGCCTGAGTCCCTCAGTTGAAACGCAAGCTCCTCGACGGTGTATGCTGGGTTGGATGGCGACACAACACCCCCTGCCCACAGTGTGCCGTACATGACGGCTGGGGTGTCGATGCTGTTGGGAGTGTAGAGAGCGAGAACATCGCCTTTGCGCCAGTCAAAGACCGACTTTAATCCTTGTCCGAAAGTGATGGCGGCTTGCTTGACATCCTGGAACGTATAGGCGCGCTGGGTATCCGCATCGGTGTAAATAACTGATTAGAGATTAGCACTTGTTACTGTTGCGGAGAATGCGGGGAACGTACCTTTGTCATCTGGGAAAGGTTTGTCCCTGCGCTCGAAGAGGAACGTCCAAAGGTCAATATTGGGGATGTCGATCGGAGGGTATTGCGAAGAAACCGGCATTGTGAAAGAGTCAAGAGGAAGCGCGGAGCCTAGGGAGAGAGAGGACGGGGATGGAGAGTGCGGGGGAGGGAAGAGCACGAGGACAGGGACAAGGACGGGGGAGAGGACAAGGGTGAGATAGTAAAAGGGTCAGAGGAGAGGCTGAGGATACGAGGGAACCAGCGCGTTGAAGAAAGAGAAGGCACTTTATATTTCGGGTATCTCCTCGTCCACTGTCATGGCCACTCTTGTCGGCCCTCGGCACTTTCTCACCTGACCCAGTCGACCCCAGATTACCCCTTGCGGAAGGTGCCAATGCTCGCCTGGTTTCTGGCACTAACTCCGACTGCATCGGAGTCGACGCCGATCTTCGTTCTCTCCTCACTCTCGGCAAACCGTCCATTTATTCTGGCGACATCTATACTTTGTTGGAGTTTTCTTCTCAGCGAAAATAGATACAAAGATACATCGGCACTTGAGAGAACCCCCCGGCGCGCCCGTTGACCGACCCTTCCGACGACTGGAGTCACTGGAGACGGGAACATTATTGGTGCCAGTGGACCAAGCCAAACCAAGCATTTCGCTCTTAGTAATGGCCGCAACAATAACTAATTGGAGTTAACGGACCCACTGTGCAAGGAAAATGCGACATAATATACACAATTCCGCTTATCTATCTCTAATCTACATCAAACTCGTTCTTCCCCCAATCTCCCTCCCGCCTTCACCGTTGGGCATCTCGCCATCCCGACCCTCGACAAACTCCCGGTAGATTGCGTTTAGTCGCCTTCGTTCAGCTTCGCTGAGCGAGCTGCGCGTTGTGGTCAAGGACCGCTCCATGTGTTCCCACCGCACCATAATCTCCTCGCGTCCCTCATCTGCGGCTGTCTCGTGCGAGTTGGCCGCCGTGTTGGTGGGAGCTGCACCGAAATTGCCCTGCTCGAGCTGCCGTTGGCGGCGTCGCGCATTCTTCAAAGCGTCCAGCTTAGATGCCACCACCGCGGGTGCCGGCATCGCCACTGTGCCAGCCCGCTGCTCTAGGTCCGAGTAGAGGAACTGTATGAACGAGCGGCTGCTCGTACTTGTGGTGGTAGACTTGCCAGCCTTTGCTTGCGGCTTGTCGCTTCCCGTACGATCTCCCAACGCATCATGGACCGCCTCCAGATGCGCGTTGTAGACTACCGCCTGTAGATCTGCGCCAGAGAAGCCTGCTGTGCGCGCGGCCACTTCGTCCAACCGTGCCACTACCTCTTCACTCATGAGGAGCTTCCCACTAACCGCTCGAATGATATCAGCCCGGTCAGCATGGTTTGGCATATCGCAGAGGAGCGACTTGTCCAGACGTCCAGGACGGAGTAGCGCAGGATCAATGAGATCCGGTCGGGATGTGGCCGCTAAAACGTACACACCCGAGAGTCCTTCGGCTCCGTCCATTTGAGTGAGAAGCTGGTTGACCACTCGATCCGTAACGCCGGTGGAGTCGTGCCCACGCTTAGGCGCGATACTGTCAAATTCATCAAAGAAGAGAATGCAAGGCCGGGCAGCCTGCGCTCGTTCGAATAAATCACGAACACTCTTCTCACTTGCACCAATGTACTTGTTCAGAATCTCTGGACCCTTTACACTGATAAAGTTGAGACCACACTCGCCAGCCACGGCACTGGCCAGTAACGTCTTACCGCAGCCTGGAAATCCGTAGAGCAACAGACCAGATCGTAGTCGCAGTGGGCACTGCGCGAAGATAGGAGCATATTTCGTTGGGTACTGTAGTGTCTCCAGAAGCATCTTTCGTGTCTCCTGCAACCCACCAATGGCCGAGAAAGTTGTGGTGGAAGAAGTCAGTGTCACATTCCGGAGGGAAGCCGGGGTGAAGCCCTTGATAGCGTTGTCAAAATCCGTTGATCCAAGGTTGACTGCTTTCGATTCATCAGATGACTCGGTGACAGATCGGATAAGGGCTTCGTTGCGCGCGCGAGCAACCAGCAAAACCAGATCCCCAGGCATGAACCCATCAGTCTTGCCGGCCAAGTCGAGAAAGTCAACATCACGCCCAAGGATGAATCCATCGCCTCCCGATGAGCTCGGACGACTGCCTGGATTCGAAGGGTCCAGCCACGAATCATTAGTCGATGTACTGACCGTCCGCGCGTGGCCATTGGCAATCGCCGACGAACCACCTTCTGCCGTGGCGCTGGAGGCTGCGCGGTCTTGGCTGGTAAGGTACTCGAGGACTTTGCGGCGCCCCTCTTTATCGGGAGCCCTCAGGTGAATGACCTCTCGGACCACATGGCCGCCCACAATGACGTTATTCAACGAGTCCTTGGATTGCGCTGTCGCTAGGAGGACAACCCCAGAGTTCATTGAGCAATATTCGCGAACCATTGAGCAAATTACTTCACTATTCTGTCGGCTGCGGCCATTGTCCCCTCCTACCTGGAGTTCAGTTTCAACCGGACACAGCTTGTCAAGATCGTCGAGAATCACGGCTGATTGTCCACCTAGGCGAGCACACCAGGCTGCAGACATGAAGAGACGATTCAGCGTTTCTTTGATGTTCGAAATCCGAGTCTCATCAGTCACTAGCTTCCGGCAAGAAAAGTACTTAACATGGAAAAGATATTCTTTTCGCAGGCGATGAGCAAGGAGTTGACCCAACGCAGTCTTGCCGGATCCAAGACCACCAGTGACCAAGACAGAGCATGATTTATTGAGATTGTCCAAGGACTGTGAGATGACTTGGTCTATCCCAACCATAGGAGGAACCGTCGCGGGTATTGGGTCCTCTAATGGCAGGATCAATGCACCCTGTTCCGCTGGTTTTGGTATCTCTGTTTGGATTTCAAGGGGCAGCTTCACATCGGATCCTAGAAGCCAGCTGAATACTGTTTTGGAAGCATCCGAACTGCTTTTCAGAGGCGGATCAAACCGGATTATAGCACCGTCAAACGAGGACACTGTCTCCTGATTCTCAGATTTGGGAAGCACCATCCCATCTGTCAAGGGTCCTGTGAGCAATCCTTTGCCGGAACCAGGAGTGCCATACAGCACTTTGATACGCTCAGCCAGTGCGTCCTTTGCCGCAAGCGTGTCGGCACCAAATTTCAATCCGTCCTTTCGCTTGGTCGCATCTGTCAAGAAAGGATAGACCTTGAGCGACTTGGTAGCGGACCGCTGCAATGGAGGAGGGGCTGCTTCGACTCGAACAATGCCACCTACCATACTTTCCGCTCCAATCGCAGAGCAGAGTACAGAAGATAAGGCGACATGCTGGATGTCTGGCGCATCTACCCAGGGAAGCAGCTTAGCGACGAGTTTTGTCGTGGGCGTACCAGCATCACTAGCTTTTTGTTCCGCCTGGCTGATTTGCTGTTGAGGATCTGGAGGCGGTTTCAGACCCGAAGGTTGGACGAGCGTGACGCAGACCCAACTGGCGCCCCGGAGCTCATTCGTGCCAAGCACGTCGGGATCGACCCAGACTCGGAAGCCTTCATTGTTATCCTCTTCCGCCTCCGCATCAAAGTATTGATCCGACCATTGTCGATCAACTCCTCTAAAATAAAGAGCACCTCGGCTGGTTTCGGATTTGCTGTTCTTACCACGCGCTGTGCTTCCGCCACTGCTTCTTCCCCCAGCGCTTCGTTTACTGCTACCAGTCACGCTCCGATTCTCACCACGAGACACTCGAGTGTTGGCCTTTGGGCGAGTCTTTGGGGCGACAATAACTTCGGCATCGGGTGCGATTTTAGCGAATGGAGAGGTGTTGGATGGAGCAGGAGTCAACGAGGTGATGACGATATTTGCAGTTGATGTTGGAGAGAGATGTAATGCTAGCGGGTGCATATGATCGGCTTGCGGGGATGTATAGGTAGGATTGGGTAGGGCACGGATTTGCGATAAAAGGTTAAGCTCCAGGAAAGTGGCATGAAGCTCAATGACTGTAGATAGCGTTAACAGTTGAAGGCGCCGGTTGGGTGGGGAAAAGCCACATACTTTCCCAGTCTTCGGGCGTTAATGGCTCAATATTAATTGTATGGGCCACAGGAGGGTCGATGTGAATGAAAACACCGACCTAGATCTTGGTTAGAAACTGAAGCAACGCATTCTAGTCATGATACTTACTCTCTGTCCCTCACTCAAACCAAGAACCCTCCCAAACGTGGTATCGAGCTCAACCGTGGAGGCATCCTGTTCTCTTGTAGAAGATGAACTATTGATTCCGTCCCTTCCAACGACGGGAGCAAGTCTCTTCTTGCTCGGCATTCCTGTCCATCCAAAGTAGCAGGACCGCGGGGTAGTGCTGCCATTGCCGGCTCGTCCGACGGTCGGGCGGTATTGTAACTCCACAATCACATTCTGTGCAGTCTGAATGGTGTCAGCGACTTATTCAATAAGCTCACATAGCGGACATCAAGGATGAGCCGCCGAGCAACTTACCGTGTTGGCATTGACCAGCAGTGAAACCAGCGACGGCGGCAAGTTCACTAGGCAGTTCTTGAGAGGGACCAAGGCGACTTCTGCGGTAGTGGACGGCTTTCTGGGCGCCATTCTCAGGCGCACACCAGCAGTACCTTGCTGGTTCAAGGGCGCACGGTAGTTATTGGGAGGCTGCAAAGATGAGTGAGACTTGAGCTGAGAGCATGAAGAGGAAGAGCAGATGGGCGAGCGAGCACCGGCACAACCCCGGACTTGACCGTCTCCGCAAATCAAGTGCTCGCCGAGCCGAGTTACATCTCAAAGGCCGCCGGACCGAGACTTGTTCCGCTCCGGTCCACGTGCGCTTTATCTAAGGCTTTAAGGCATCCAGGCACACAGGCACAAACTCTGGAAACTCTGGAATGGGAGAACGCGTCTTGTTCGCGACGCGACGTGTTTTGCGCCTGAGGCTGGGAAGCCTCCCGTGCTGCTGAAAACTGCCTGGCGCCAGTCTCTGCCCATCCCAACTTCCGCAACACCAAAGGCCCTTCCATCCTTTGTCGAGCTTCCGCACTCCCAATTGAACCAGCCGTTCTTTTCGCGGTCGCATCACCATGGCTTTGAATCAATACCCTGCGCCCGTCGATTACGCGGGGCAACTTGACGCCTTTAAGGACTTTTTGAAGCATTTCAAGAGCTCCGAGTCGGCCTCCGCATCGGCTGCGACGGAAGCAATTGAAGACCTGCACATTGACGAGGATGGCACTAGCGATGAATACGATTTTATGGATGATGTGAACGAGGGCGGCGCGCAGAGCAGAGGCGGTCGTCGCCGAAACAGGGAGCAGAAGCTCAAGTACATGCAGATGCTACAGGACGTAGCTGACCGCGAACGGGCCGACGTCCTCATTGAGCTCGATGATTTGGTTGCTGTAAGCGCTGCACTTAGGATATAATACGAAAGCGATGTCTAACCATCTCCGTGAACTTTAGTACGAACGAACACTACCGGAAGACGTCGATCTGAAGCTTGTCGATTCGGTCGAGAAAAATACCAAGCGCTATATCGAGGTTGTCTCTCAGGCGGTGGATGCTATCATGCCCAAGGAGACTAGAGAAATCACGTAAGTAGGCACGTCCGCGTCTCAACCGAGCTATCGCTGATTTTGCGAACAGGTTCAAAGACGATGTTCTTGATGTGATCATGTCCCAGCGTGAAAAGCGCAACGAAGCCATGGCGATGGCTGCTGAAGCCGACATTGACGCCGCGATCGCCCCGTCAATGTTCCCTCCTGAGCTCACTCGTCGATACGTCCTCAATTTTAAGCCATTGACGCCTTCTGGGTCCAGTAACGAGCGTGCTTCCAAGGCACTGGCTGTTCGAAATGTCCGCTCAGAGCACCTCGGTAGCCTTATTACAGTCCGCGGCATCACGACTCGGGTGTCGGATGTCAAACCCGCTGTCCAGATTAATGCTTACACCTGTGACCGTTGCGGAAATGAAGTCTTCCAGCCTGTTACAACAAAGCAATTCCTTCCAATGACCGAGTGTCCGTCGGACGAATGCAAGGGCAACAACACCAAGGGCCAGCTTTTCCTATCCACGAGAGCGTCAAAATTCATTCCCTTTCAAGAGGTCAAGATCCAAGAGATGGCGGATCAAGTGCCTGTCGGCCACATCCCCCGTCAAATGACAGTTCACTGCAATGGAAACCTTACCCGCCAGCTCAACCCCGGTGATGTGGTAGACATTGCCGGAATTTTCCTTCCCACACCTTACACCGGCTTCAGGGCGATCCGCGCCGGTCTCCTCACCGACACCTACCTCGAAGCCCAATACATTACCCAGCACAAGAAATCTTATAATGACATCGCAATGGACAGCCGAACTCTACGAAAGATTGACCAGCACAACAAATCGGGCAACATGTACGAATACCTGGCACGATCCATTGCCCCTGAAATTTACGGCCACCTGGACGTTAAGAAGGCACTGCTTCTGCTGCTGATTGGCGGTGTCACAAAAGAAATGGGCGATGGAATGCACATTCGTGGCGACATCAACATCTGTCTGATGGGTGACCCTGGTGTTGCCAAGTCCCAGCTGCTCAAGTATATTACCAAGGTCGCGCCCCGTGGTGTATACACGACTGGTCGTGGTAGCAGTGGTGTCGGTCTTACCGCGGCAGTTATGCGAGATCCTGTCACAGATGAGATGGTTTTAGAGGGAGGAGCCCTTGTTCTTGCAGACAACGGTATCTGCTGTATCGATGAATTTGACAAGATGGACGATGGCGACCGGACTGCCATTCACGAAGTGATGGAACAACAGACCATCTCCATCTCCAAAGCCGGCATCACCACAACACTCAACGCTCGTACCTCGATCCTCGCCGCCGCTAACCCTCTGTATGGTCGCTACAACCCACGAATCTCCCCCGTCGAGAACATCAACTTGCCAGCGGCTCTACTTTCTCGTTTCGATGTCATGTTCCTCATTCTTGATACTCCTTCCCGTGATGCTGATGAGGAGCTGGCCAGCCACGTCGCCTACGTCCACATGCACAACAAGCACCCTGAGAATGAAGATGCGGGTATCATGTTCACCCCTCACGAAGTTCGTCAATACATTGCCAAGGCGCGATCCTACCGACCTGTGGTCCCATCAAGGGTCTCGGATTACATGGTTGGCGCCTATGTGCAGATGAGGAAGCGCCAGAAGCGCGACGAGGCCAACAAGAAGCAGTTCTCTCACATCACCCCGCGTACCCTGCTTGGTGTCGTCCGTCTCTCTCAAGCTCTCGCACGTCTGCGATTCAGCGAGGAAGTTGTCACCGAAGACGTCGACGAGGCACTTCGCCTCATGGAGGTCAGCAGGGCATCTCTGTCCAGCGACGGCCAGTCCCACCTAGACCAGAGCCCTACATCCAAGATCTACAATCTCATCCGTGGCATGCTCGAAAGCGGCGCGGCTGCCGTTGGAGACGGAGAAGATGGCGAGCTCAGCATGAGAAGAATCCGCGAGCGAGTCCTGGCCAAGGGCTTCACTGAGGATCAGCTCACAATGACCGTTGACGAGTACGAGAACTCTCACGTAAGTCCCACTTTAGCCTATTACTACCCTGCACAACGTGCTAACATCCGCCCCCACAGGTCTGGCAAGTCATCGCCAACGGAACACGCCTTGTCTTCCTTGACAACGCAGACGACATGGATATGTAGCTGTCCCGAACCCGAGGTCAGCTTTTGAATGTTTATTTCCCTGCGAAATGTTATATCTCGTTTTCCGTTGTTGCTCGCTTGGTTATTTCTGTTGATTTGAGAGTACGTAGTGCATGAGGCATGTCGGCTGGGGACCGGTGTTTATGGTGTATACTTGGTAATATTTGCCTTTCCAATGGGTTTGGGATATATTTGTTCTACATTTGATGGTCAATTCTAAGTGCGGAAGCGTGAAGTCTGTTAGTCACGTATCTATAGACTTGTGAGAATGTGATCTGGATCAGTCGTCGTTCTCTGCGGCTGTCTGAGTAGAATAGGTTAAGCTATGCTACATATATTTGACCTCAAGAATATATTCGATGCATCTAGATAAATTCAAAATGCACGATTAAAAAGCAGCATAATCACATTTAATTAAGGATAGTAGTAGTATATAGATAGTCGGCAACAGTCGCAACTTCAGATATCAATCGACTTCCCAGCTGCATTCCCTCACAAAATTATATATATACCAGCCAAACAGCCACAACCCGTCCAGTTCCCCTCTCTCCAACACCCTCATCATCAATCCCTCCCTCAAACAGCACACTTATCATAAACCGGCACCTCCTTGCAAAGCTGCCCACTAGCGCCATACGGGTTATCGCAAAGCGTGTTGCACTCGGTATACTCCGGCGTGAAGACTAGGAACTCATAGTTGGGCATACGCAGCCGGAACTGCTTGGTAATGTCATTGTTCCTCTTCGACGCTTTGTACCCGGCGCGGCAGGCGCAGTGGAACCGGGTACCCGTGTTGATGCACGAGGTGGTGATGTCGCACCCGTTGACCCCGGAGAGAGGGTTGCAGGTTCCGCATTTCGGAGGTGGGGTGGGTTTTGCGAGGGCAAGGGAGGTGGTTGTTAGGAGGAGGGTTGTGAGGAGAGTGAGCTTCATTGTGAAGGGGTTTTAGTGAGGTGGTTTTGTGGAGTGGTAGTGGTTTGAGACTGGGAAGATGGGAGGCTTGCAATGCTTTGCTTTGCTTGGTGATTAGGATATGGACATAAGAAGTGGCATTCTATGCCCTCTTTATATATCTCAATCTGGGCTATTTCCAGCAACGTGACCGAGCCTGATGCTCCCCGGGTCTTCCTCGACGGGTTGAATATGATAGGCCTGCAAGCCAATCATCAGCCCCCCACCCAATCCAAGCAGTCCTAGCCCTAGTTAAGACATCGGCAAACTCAAGTATGCTCTCGACCCATCAGATCGGATTTCTGTATCACCAGCTGCAAGGACAACAACAAAGAAGGCTGAGACATGTTTCTCTAGCCCAGGATGTGCTGGCACAGTGCTTGCTGACTGCGTCTGTCATGACTCCACGGTTGTATGGTAAAGCAGCTGAATGAAAACCCACTCTCTGCCACAGCTCAGCGGAATTGGCTCGAATACGAGGACCGCAACTGCGGAGGTTGAGATAGCCGAGTTGCGTTGTCTATCTCTTTGCTGGTTCCCTAAGTTCTAAACATGGAAGCCCCGACCTCTAGCAGGTATCTCGTCTGATTTGATTCAGAACGCACGAAGTACTGAGGTGATGCATTCTGGAGAGAGTTGCTGCTTCCCCGCTTCTCGAATGACCAACCGTCAGCAGGGGTGGTCCGATTCTCAACAAACGAAGTACTTACTACCAATGTTTTTTTGCTTTTCGGAACATGGACAATCAATGGGCTCGAACCAGAAAAGAAGAAAAGTGAGACATTTTAGCCTTATGACGGGGATTGATGCAGTCGAGGCTAAGAGTTGGGGATATGCAGGAGCGTGGGCGAGGGGAAGGTTTGGAACCTGGCAAATGGCGTCGCACGAGAAACGAGATAACCCAGTCAAGGATCCCGCGGCTCTGGAAGTGGCAGGTGGGGGAATGGGGATATGACACATTGGTTCGCATAGAAGACATTGATCGACTACATCGAAGTGGGCAGGTTTTCTGGGGTAGGAGACTAGTAGTATGTAGTAGGGGCTAGAATCAAAAAAATCAAAAATCGAAAATGGGAAACTGGGGGGGTTTGAAGCTCAATGCAGGACCTGATCTGCAAAGCCGAGAAAGGCTCAAAAAGCCAAAAGCAGGTTATTTTGAAGATGGGAATTAATATTTGTCAGATTATAGCACAGCCATTTCTTTCATTCAAGCAAGTCGGCCGCCGCTATGCTCTAAAGATGCAACTTTGATTCCTCGGGCTCTCCAATGAGCTCCAGGAAACTTCCGTGAACTTCATCGGTCAGATCGCTCGCTTGCATGCTCCTCCCCTTTGCCTTGTACGCCCGGCGAGAGCATTCCCTCGTAATTGCGCTGCCCGTCCATGCGACGAGAAGCAACGTTGTAGCTGGAGACATTCGCTTGTCTGATTCTAGTTCCGCCTGCACGTCGGCCTTGGACTGCGCCTCCTTCGAATTCTCCTCCTCACCAGAGTCCCAGAGTTTGTCGTGGTAGGCTGCTCGCCAGCCCATCAGGGTCCCCAGGGATCCGGTCAAAGTATCGCCCTGGCCACCGCTGCGCTTCATTCCTCCCTGAATATCCGAGACAATGCTCGTAACGCCATTCGAGATGACATCGTGTGGACCCTTTTGGATGATTGTGACACCTCCGAGGGCATTGGACAGCTTCTCGCATGCTTCTGCTTCTTGACTCGTCTTGTCGTCGCCCACTGAGGAGGTAATCTGTGCTAAACTGGGAACATCAATCCCTAGCGCCTTTGCAAGGCGACTAAACTCGTTCACGTTGGGCGTCAGGATACACTCCTTGTATCCCTTCACGAGATCCGGATTCTCCGTAGCCAACAGAAGCCCGTCTGCATCCAAGACAAACGGGATGGAGCGGGACCGTGCCTCCTTCATGACTTCCAAGACGACCTTGAGTGTAACGCCATCTCGACCCAACCCTGGACCAATCACAAGAGCGTGAAGGCGCGAGAGCATCGAGATAATGGGGCTAGCGAGTTCCGGGGCATTAATTGAGTTTGGGTCTTTGACTGAGTTGCTGCTCGGCAATATAGGGTGAACCATGAGGTTGGGGGAGTATGCTTTAATGACCTATAGATAGATCAGTGGGGATGCCAAGGGCTTTCTTATCCTAGAAGGCTTACCGTAGCAGCAGAGCTCTCGCAAATGACATGGCTCTACGTTGAAGCATTAGTATTGCCCGGAAACCTGACATTGTGGTCATACCAGATCACATCCTAGAGCATTGTTAGCGGGCACATAACTGAGGTCCAGATAAGCTCACCTAGTCTAGCTGACGCCATGGCAGAGAAGTATGGTGCACCTGTGTAGCTTGTTGGGCCTCAGCTCGATTCATTTGCTTGCGCATGGGAACGACAATCCATACTCTAAAGATCCCCCAATGACCGCAATACGTCCCTGTTGCCCTATATTCCTTCATCATTAGTGAGAGCTCAAGATAACTTCCTGGACGGACGATCGCTTACCCTTGTGGAATTTCTCCAACATTGGAGGGACAATCTTGCGGGCCTTTTTGAGGAGTACCTTTGAAGGCACCGAGATGTGTTGTACTTTATCCATGGTCGCTGAGGTTAAGGTATACGAATCGCCGTATTGTACAGAATAGAAACGAAAATGTGAGGTTGTGGAAAAATTGTTGTAGAGCAGCAGGTTGAAGAGTGATTGAAGCTGATGAGCCAGTGATGTCACCGCCTGGTGGGGCTGATGCAATCCACCTCCGCTCCTCTTATGAAGTACTACAGCATTCCAGTTTGTAGTACTGACATAATGGAATGGGTTACTTGAAATATCGAGTGTGGAGATATCTACATGTTAAATCTACCTTTCAAAAAAGGAAATAGCGCCTGCATAAAACCACAATGTCTCACAATGTAAAAAAGAATGGTGATCGCAAGCAATAACGGACTGTTGCTATCTATGGCACCTTGACGCTCGCTGATGCTTTGAACGAGATGAAAGAACTAAAGAAGAATATCGAGATGATCAGTTTCCGAGAGAGTCAAGAGGAATACCAGAATAAGCCAACCACCCCCCATTCTGCAATGCACCCACGGGTATTCCACGCTGATGCTCCGTTTCCGAATGAAGAGCCGATGAACAAAAGACATGAAAATGTATGTTTGAGGTGGAAATAGTGGTAACAGGTGTGATACATGTTAGTGCCTCTTGGAGGCTAACATTGCGAGTTTCTTGCGGCGTTCGAGCTTTTCCTGCTTGGCAGCAGCCTCTGCACGCATGTCTTCGATATCTTCGCGCCGAGCAGCTGCTAGTGCTGCGGCTTCTTCTTCATCCACATCACCGAAGCCGGCCTCCATATCCGACGACTCTGAGTAATAGTCGTCGTATTCATTTGCGTATTCACCCTCGTCTTCTTCATCTGTTCCAAGATACTCATCCATTCTTGACCGTTTGTTGGATCTGTGGTGTCCCCTTCGGTCGCCATTACGGCTGGGTAGGCCGGCTGTGCCACGGTACTCTGGTTGAGGAGGTGGGGGTCTTGCTGTGCCCTTGTATGTAGGTTCTTCGCGTTCTCGTTTGGGAGCGACCTTGGTATTTCCTAGCTTGCCGGTTGCAGCTGCGCTGGGAACAGCACCTGGTTTCTTCGCCTGCTTCGGATCCTTCTCTTTTGCCTGTGCCTCCATCATACGTTTCTTGCGTTCTATCTTGCTTAATTTCTCCTTGGGAACCGATTGGTGTTTGAACATTCCCACCTGCGTAGGGGCTGTCTGCTGCAAAGCTTTTGCCTTGGCCATGATTTCCGCAAATGAGCCTTTCGGTGGCGGCTTCGATGATACCGGCGTAGACTTCTGGGGTGCAGGTGCGGTGCTGCTCGTTGGGGGTTTTATGGATTTGAGAGGCGCGATGGGGCGTGCGCTGCTGGCTGTTGGTGTGTTACTATTAACCCGCTTCACCGGTGCTGGCTTGGTAGGGCCTTGAGATGGGGCAGGCTTCTGCACCCTAGCCAGGGGCTCCTCTGCTTTCCTCTTCGTTCCTGCGGGGACAACTCCATTCTTTCGTTCAGCAGCGACGGGAGTGACAGGACGGGCCGCTGAGGTTGGCTTGCGAGCCTCTAGTTTGGTAGTCGATGACGGGATAGTGGGAGAAGGAGCGGGGGAGGTGGTGGGAATCGGCGACGGCTTGCCCGTCTCAATGGACGTGAGGACAGAATCGAGAAACTAAAGCATGTGTGAGTGGCAACTTTGGAGAAACAGGGATGGGGTTTCTTACACTCATGTTGATGATGAGTTCTTGATCAAGTCGACCGGAAAATCTTGATTGAAAGAATGATGCAAACAGGTTCACCGTCGGTGGTTTGTACAAACGAGCAACTTCATGACTCCGTCAGTGGGCACCACCGGCAGACCAGTAGCCCGACGGATGATAAGTCTTTTCACGCCCTGGCCGTGGCGAAAATGCGAGGCACTTAACGGGCGATGGATATGCTTAGTTATTCAGCCGTAAGATAGTGAATCCCAGACATTCAAATGAGGCTTTCTCGGCCTGGGCGAAAGGAATAGGATGAGACTGTGGCAAGCTTGCTGTCTTCTAGAAGTTCCTGTCACGTGGATCGAAGCACGAGCCACTCTTGCGAAAGCCCCTCTCAAGCCTCGCTTAGTCACCAGCCGCAACGCACTTTCGCGAATTTGGAGACAACTTTTCTCGCTTCTTTCTTTTCTATCCACGACATCGCAATTCACCCTGAACTCGACGTCTCAGTCTCCGCCCAACTTGCGGTTAAATCGATTGATTCTCTTGTTCACATAACACATCAAACTCAGTATGTGACTCCCACGGCATTGTCATTGCCTGGAAATTGCAGTGTGCTGACCGACATTCTCACTGTGCAGTTCAAAATGAAGCACCTCGCAGCCTACCTCCTCCTCGCCCTTGCTGGCAACGAGAGCCCCTCTGCCTCCGACATCAAGGAGGTCCTCTCCTCCGTCGGTATCGACGCTGAGGATGCTCGCCTCGAGAAGCTCCTCTCTGAGCTTGAGGGCAAGAACATCCAGGAGGTACGTCTAAGCGCATCAAACACCTAAACCGCACGAACAGATTTGACTAACGCATTTTGCGTAACAGCTGATCTCCGAGGGTGCCGCTAAGCTCGCCTCCGTTCCCTCCGGCGGTGCTGGTGGTGCTGCCGCCCCTGCTGCTGCCGGTGGCGCTGCTGCCGCTGAGGCCCCCGCTGAGGAGAAGGAGGAGGAGAAGGAGGAGTCCGATGAGGACATGGGCTTCGGTCTCTTCGACTAAGCGCTTTTAACCCATCCGGACAAAGAGCAAAATCAATTCGTGGAGGACAGGGATCTGGCTGTTGAATTCGACATTGGGAGGGGAACTACCAATTGGACTAGCAAGCCTGCGTCTTAGGCTTGTCTAATGCTGTTACGAATGATGCATACGTGCGCTTGAAAGAGCATCTAGCCAATACAGATTATCTGACCTCCTCGAAATGTCTTGAGTACCATATTCGTAGACTGCGCTCGAAAACGGCAATCCTCGGCATAAACTCTGTTCTGCAATAATCTTCAAAAAAGGTCCACTAAGCAGTCCAGGCTGGACCTCATACATCGTATGTATCATGGATCTCCTTATGACACAATTGGCCCTTGTTGAATGTTCGGATTTTGGGTATTGTGGGCCGAGGCAGCGCGAAGCGAGTAATGCCTAAGTTCCAAGGCATAACTGTCGCTGGCTCTTCGCTGATGTTTGCCTGATTACTAAGGCATCAAGTGTCGTATAGTTATGTTACTTACAATCTTCTGCAACGGACGACGAGAACCTGCAACAACCACAATGAATTTTGTATAGTTCTTTCAAATGTGGGGTTTTCCTGCTTTGGGCGCTCTGCCCAGAATCCCTGTCTGCGCCCCATATCCTCCTCGAACAGCCCCTGTATTCAGCGGTGGTTCGTTTCGTGCATGACATCTACGGATCTTACACACGGAGCATTGTCGCCTGGCCGTACACAGTCCTGAATACAAGCTTGAGCCCTAACTCAGACCTCGCTGAGATTCCTGGCTTCGAAAACCTTCCCGTGCTAGTGGAACTGCTCTTATCCACTTCTGAGGCAACGGAAGTACTAGGCGAAGTTGCTACTTCACGCTCACACCCACTGAGATGGTGAAGGGTGGTGTATCGCACCATTTACGACGACGACACGACCTGGGAGAAGTTCAGACAAGCCGTAGTGTACCAAGCCGAGAACGTATCGCCGAATTAGACGCGTCGCAACTTATGGAGTACTTGGATTTGGTGATTTTGGATGACCTGAGAGCGCACTTCAAGGCCTGACGGGAGGATATCTCGATGTATGGACTTCAACCTTGGCCACCGTATCTGTCCCCTGAGAAACACTCGGACATTCTTCGCACGTTGTTTTCGCTGTTTATTCAGGTGGATGAGGACTCGCTGCAGAGCATCAAAGAAGTGTTTAAGGGCTTGCCTCTCTTGAAGGACACCGGGCATGTCAAGTTTGTACATTTATGGCTGCACAGAGTGTAGACTAGATGAAGATGTCTTTCTCGAGCCTGTCGTCCACTTGTTACCTCTATATCGATCCATCGGAAGGCCGAAATGCGACTATTTGCGCCCTCCAGCCAAATTCTGCTCAAACTCGAAGAGAGAAATAAATGCGATCCGCAGCATATCCCCAGACTTGATGGTCTCCCTAAGCGTTTATAGGCTTGGCGGCGGGAACTAGAGACTGGCGGAGTATACCATTCCCAAAGAAATATAGCCTTTTATGCATTTCTTGGCAAACCGTGGTCTGAAAGAGAGGTCCACAAACGGTTAGTGCCATAGGGTTTGACCCTGTCGCTGTCGCTTAGACGCTGCCGCCCACCTCAATCCGCAGGAGCCCGGCAGATTGCGAGTGCCCGCCGAACGTTCATCGACACGCCAAAACGACAACCATCTTCCCTTCGCTTTTCGAGATCCATTCGAGAAGCGACCCGAGAGGACCAACCCGCCAAAATGTCTGACGTCGAATACGTGAGTGCTCTTCAACCTTGGGAAATCGATATACCAGACTGGGGGCAATGTGCTAATGATCTTTTTCTTTAGAACGCCGAGGAGGCTGCCGGTATGTGCAAATCTTGAATCAACCCTTTCCTTCCCTACACTTCAACCTTCATCAACTGCGCCGTGAAGAGTCATGTTATTTCAGATGGAATTGGTGGCGGTACTGGGACATGTCGAGTGGACGGAAAAGATGGACGAGGAAGAGATGGGAGAGGATTGGAGGAAGGATTCGACACAAAATCGACAGGCGCATACACACAATCTTGTCTCACCAAACCTGATCAAACCACACCACACCACTCGAAACAGAACACAACTGACAGATATTCCCCCCGCCTACAGAGATCAAGAAGAGAAGACAGTTCCGCAAGTTTACCTACCGCGGCATCGACCTCGACCAGCTCCTCGACCTCTCTTCCGAACAGCTCCGTGATGTCGTTCACGCCCGTGCCCGCCGCCGGTTCAACCGCGGTCTGAAGCGCAAGCCCATGGGCCTCATCAAGAAGCTCCGCAAGGCCAAGCAGGAGGCCAAGCCCAACGAGAAGCCCGACCTCGTCAAGACTCACCTCCGTGACATGATTGTCGTCCCCGAGATGATCGGCTCGGTCATTGGTATCTACTCCGGAAAGGAGTTCAACCAGATTGAGGTCAAGCCCGAGATGGTTGGCCACTACCTGGGTGAATTCTCTATCTCTTAGTATGTCCCACTTTCCCAACTTCTGCTGTTCTGCAAAGATAATTTCGAAATGAAGTGGCTCTAACAACCATACAGCAAGCCCGTCAAGCACGGTCGTCCCGGTATCGGTGCCACCCACTCTTCTCGTTTCATTCCCCTCAAATAAAGAAGAGATGCTTTTATGGGGTGTTGCGTGGAGGATTTGGGCGTACGGGAGAACAAAAATACAAATACGAGAGGATCGGATGGATACCATTTGCGTTTGAATTGGGTTCATCTGCTTGTATGTCAAGTGCGGGTCAGCTTTTGCATCTCAATACAATGGTCTTGTCGGCATGAAAATTCAACGAGTCCGCACCCAACGGGCTCTACTCCTGTCTCGAGGACTGGGCCAGGGGTAGCAGTCACATCTTCTCTTTCTAGTGTAGAAAGGGTATAATCTAACGAAATTTATCTTCTTCACGCCTTGTACATTTGCCTAGCTAAACTATCTGTAGTGTCCGTGACTAGTGATAAAAGTGCAGGTTGTTACCATACATCTAAATCCGAAAGGTCGCTGTCAGCCGTGGGAAGGAGAGGCGCGTTGATTGGAGTCATAGTGCGGTCCCCGACTATAGACTTCGCCGCCCTCTCAACCTTTTCCCATTCAATCCGAACCCGGTCGTTCATCTCCCGCATGTCTGTGCCTTGCTCGAGGAACTCGTCATGTACTTGCGTATGTGTTCTCCTTATGATGTCTTTGAGTCCAGGAACCACACAGCTTCCGTGTCCCTCAAAAACCAGGCTGTTCAGTACAGACCAAGCAATCATCCCCGGGTTCACCACTATCTTCTCTCCCTGATGCACAACACCATCCGCTGTTGTATACCCGTACACTTTAAGCACGGCCATGACGCTTGTGTGTTCTATGTGGATGGCGATCTTCGCCAGCGCCCATGCGTGCACGACGCGAAGAGAGTGCGCTTCGGAATATATGTCGGGATCAATGTATTTGTACCGCAGCGCGGCGGCGGACATTGCACTTTCCATCTCACCCTCAGAGATCAGGGTTGCAATATACTCGTCCACCAAGGCGACGAGCGGCTGGTCGGAGAGCGACCATGTATTATCGGTCAGGTTAGTTATGATGCCGAGTAGCTTGTCACCTTCGTAGGTCGCAGAGTTAGACTCTAGAAGAGCATATGCATCCGCCACAGCATCAGACATCGCCAAAGGTTCATCCTCGTCAACCAAGCATTTATCGCAGCGACAGGTGAAGTAGTATCTTTCGAGTAGCTCCTTCTTGCGTATGGAATAGCGGTGCGTAGCGTCGACATAAGATATTACTATCTGCTCGCCGTCCTTAATCGGCCGAATGGCTTTGACGTACATTTGAGGTCCGTCGAACCCAACGATTGCATTGTAGTGGCAGTCGTGATTCATGATAGCTGCGTACGGGTGCATGTACATCCCAATCCGGTCATAGGTGGCCGTTGTCAGGCTAAAGGAATTGACCTCGAGCTGAAAGAGTAAGAACCACTTCGCTCCACACAGAAGCAATGCGACTCACCTTGGCACTAAGCTCGAGTATCTCCTCAAGCTCCATATCCGTTCCAGAGTAATGCTTGACAGCCATGGCGGAGAGGGTTGTACGTTCCCATGACGCGGTATTCTTATCGCGGATCTCGTCGATATGTGACTCGAGCTGATCAAGTAATGACAGCTCCTTTGGACTGTATGCGCTTCTGGCAGGGGCAGCAAGTCGCAGGATTATGCGCAAGACTGCCCGAGCATTGGTGGGAAGGACTCTGGGTTTCAGCGCCTTGAAGATAGAGCATTCGAATCTATGGCCGAGATGCCAGTCCTGACTTGACATGTCTATATATAGCATCATATTAGACGTAACTCCAATCGCGGGGAATCCTGCACAAACCCTGTCGCAATACTTGGGAACCTGGCAGCCCGAGCAATACCTCAGTTGGATCTCTTGGCTGGTTTTCTCAAATTGCGTCTTTCCAAAACACCCTGCGCACGTATCACCTAGCCGCTCGGTGTTGAGGACAGCAAGAAACGGGGTCTGAATATGTAGGATATCGTCGCCGGTGTCAAAGTCCGCGACAGCGAAAAGACCTCTTCCAATGCGAGGTACGATACCAGGCGCCGTCATCGAGTCAGAAAAGCGCTCTAACATGGTGGTAGTAATCATAACTGTGATATGATGATATTATTGATGGTTTGTATATAGTTTTCCCCCCCTTTTGCCTGGGATGGGCTGTTAGCTTGTGATCTGGAGTGGCTTTGAAGGCATACCAACTCAAATAATTGCGATTTGCGGAGGGAAGAAAAACCGCTGCGTTGCTCATCATTTACGTAGCCATATGTGACTGTTTTTGGTGGAAGGCGCGACGGTTATTCTTGTTCGCATAGATGGACGGGGTCAAGTGCGAGCGAGGTTTCCCCTCCTGCCTTGAAAATTTATCCAGTCCTCCTCCATTGAGGGATGGCAAAAAAGCCCGCAATTCAACAACGATCTGCAAATTGAAGTCGAGATTGGATATAATTGATATACTACAAATAAATACACAGCCAATGTTGCCAATAAAATCAAATCGTTCGTAAATATCCAGTTCAATGTCTTTCTCGCTCAAGTACACAGTCTGCCTCCAACCGCAGCGCTGTCGTTTCAAAAGGCGAGACGCTGGCAAACCATATGCCAGGTAAGCAACAAAGTCTATCGAGATGGTCTCATCCGCTACGCCAAACAAGACGGCGCTTCTGCCTGAAAGCGAAAAAAAGAGAACAGAACAGAGCATGACACCGGGTGATTATAGTATCCAGAAAACTTTTAGCCGTTTTTGTAATTTACAGAAGCTTGCCGCCGACAAAGTCAGACCAGGTCCGGACTTCGGCAGGGATGCCCTCGGCGCGGGGAAGCTTCTGGTTCATGGCCTGAGCGAAGAGAGTAGCAGTCTAGATCATACATTAGCTCGAGTCTCACAATAACTCATGTTGGAAGATATCTTACCTTGGTCTCCATGAAGAGAGGAACGCCAAAGTCAACGGCGTTTCGTCGCATAACGTAATCCTCGTCGAGGAGGGTCTTGCCCCGGGTCTTGGCCAGGTTGAAGCATCCGCGGATGTCATACTTCTGGAAGACCTCACGAAGAGCACGCTTGTCCTTCTTGGGGAACTCAATCACCTGGACGGGAACATTGTCCTTGGAAGCAGTCTCGATGTGATCCTTCACTTCAGGGCTGGCAGCAAAGAACTTGAAGCCCAGAGGCTGGAGGTAGTCGACGATCTGAGCGAGAGCGGGGTTGGTAATATCTCCGCCCAGGAGGATACCCTCACCAGGCTCGGGAACACGGAAGTTCATGGTGGACTGGAGAGAGGCCCAGTAGGCCTCGACAACGTCCTTACCAAAGCAAGCAATCTCACCAGTACTGGCCATCTCGACGCCAAGGAATGGATCAGCACCAGCAAGACGGGTCCAGGAGAACTGGGGAACCTTGGTGGCGAGGTAGTCACGCTTGACTTCCATGAGGTCGACAGGCTCGGGAACGTCACGGCCAACAAGGGCCTTGGTAGCAACGTCAATGAAGTTAGTTCCGAGAACCTTGCTGACAAAGGGGAAGGAACGGGAAGCACGGAGGTTGCACTCAATGACCTTGAGCTGAGGCTCAGCACCCTCCTGGTCGGCCTTGATGATCTGCATGTTGAAGGGACCAGTGATGTTCCAGGCCTTGGCGACCTTCTCAGCGATCTCCTTGACTCGGCTCATCACGGGCTTCTCGAGAGAAGCGGGAGGGAGGACAAGAGTGGCATCGCCAGAGTGGACACCGGCGGGCTCGACGTGTTCACTGATGGCGTGCAGCAGAAGCTTTCCGTTTGAGGCGACAGCATCAACATCGATTTCTTGAGCACCTTCAATGAATTTCGTAATAACGACGGGATGGTCAGGGGAAACAGCACTGGCGTTGAGAAGCTTCTCCTTGAGCTCATCCTGGCTGTGGATAACACTCATGGCGGCACCAGAAAGAACGTAACTGGGGCGGACGAGGACGGGGTAGCCAACCTTGTCAGCGAAGCGCTCAGCTTCGGCAACAGAGGTGAGCTCCTTCCAGGCAGGCTGGTCAACGCCAATGCTGTCCAAAATCTGAGAGAACTTGTGACGGTCTTCCGCGTTGTCAATGTCCTTGGGGTCAGTACCAAGGACGTGAGCACCACCAGTTTCCTGCAGGCGGAGAGCAATGTTCTGAGGAAGCTGGCCACCGACGGAAACAACGACGCCGCTGGCGGCCTCGAGCTCGTAGATATCCATGACTCGCTCATAGCTGAGTTCCTCAAAGTAGAGCTTATCAGCAGTATCAAAGTCGGTGGAGTAGGTTTCGGGGTTATAGTTGATCATGACTGTCTTCTTGCCCATGTTTCGGAGGGAAAGCGTGGCGTTGACAGCACACCAATCGAACTCGACGGAGCTACCAATACGGTAGACACCGCTTCCAAGAATGATGGTGCCGTGATCATCAAAGGTCACATCGTGAGATGTGGCGTTGTAGGTGGTGTAAAGGTAGTTGGTGTCAGCAGGGAACTCGGCAGCAAGGGTATCAATCTTCTTGACCCAGGGTCTAATGCCGAATCCCTTCCTGCGGGCACGGACATCATCCTCAGTCGCGCCGACCAGGAGAGCAATCTGCTTGTCAGAGAAACCGAGCTTCTTCGACTTGAGCATTGTCTCCTTGTTAACGCCGAAGAGACTACCGATCTCCTTGAGTTCGTTCTGGCAGTCGACAATGTTCTGGAGCTTGTACAGGAACCACTTGTCAATCTTGGTCAGCTCGTGGACCTTGTCAACAGAGTAGTTCTCGTGCAGCATAGCTTGACCAACAGCCAACCAGCGGCGGTCGGTGGGGTTCTTGAGGACTTCATCAAGGTTCTCAAACTTGTCGCCCTGGAATCCAACGAAGCGGGGGTCGACCTGACGGATCGCCTTCTGGAAGGATTCCTCAAAGGTACGACCAATGGCCATGACTTCACCAACAGACTTCATAGCACTGCCAATGTCGCGATTGACGTGCTGGAACTTGCTCAAATCCCAGCGGGGAATCTTGGTAACGATATAATCCAGGCTAGGTTCAAAGTTGGCAGTTGTAGTCTTGGTAACGGCATTGGGCAGCTCGGGGAGAGTGTGGCCGAGACCAATCTTGGCCGCAGTGTAAGCCAGAGGGTATCCAGTAGCCTTGGAGGCCAGAGCCGAGGAACGCGAAAGACGAGCGTTGACCTCAATCACACGGTAGTCGAGACCATCGGGCTGAAGAGCATACTGCACGTTACATTCACCAACAACACCAAGGTGGCGGACAATCTTGATGGCAGCGGTACGGAGCATGTGGTACTCCTCATCAGAAAGGGTCTGACTGGGAGCAACAACGATACTGTCACCAGTGTGAATACCAAGGGGATCAAAGTTCTCCATGTTGCAAACAGTGATGCAGTTGTTGGAAGCATCGCGAACGACTTCGTACTCGACCTCCTTCCAGCCACGGAGCGACTTTTCGACCAAGATCTGGGGAGAGAGGGTCAAAGAGCGAGAGGCCAAGTTCTTGAGCTCCTCGGGGTTGTTTGCAAAGCCGGAACCAAGACCTCCCAGAGCGTAGGCGGAGCGAACAATGATAGGGTAGCCGACTTCCTCAGCGGCCTTTAATGCTTCGTCGACGGTGCCGACAGCGATGGACTCGGCAATAGGAATGTTAATCTCGTTGAGGGCCTTGGCGAAAAGGTCACGGTCTTCACTGGTCTCCAGCGTCTTGATGCTGGTTCCGAGCACCTTGACACCATAGCGCTCAAAGGTTCCCATGCGGTTCATCTGCACACCGAGGTTCAGGGCGGTCTGGCCACCAAAGGACAGGAAGATACCGTCAGGGCGCTCGCGTTCGATGACATAGGTCACGTACTCGGGAGTAACGGGAAGGTAGTAAACCTCATCGGCGAGTTTGTGGTCAGTCTGAATCGTGGCGATGTTCGGGTTGATTAGGACCGACTGAACGCCGGCTTCCTTGAGAGCCTTGAGGGCCTGAGAACCTGTAATCGGAGAATTGAGGTTAGCAGCCCGCTCAACAGACGTTCCAGCAGGCATTTTTCGATCTAAATGTTCGCTTGCCTACACCTTGCCCATTGAAGTGAACCACGAATTGGGAAACCTACCAGAGTAGTCAAACTCTCCGGCCTGTCCAATACTCAAGCCACCGCTACCAATGACCAGGACCTTCTTGACATCGACGAGGTTGGCACCCGGCCTGACAATGCCGCTAGCAAACAGGCTGTCGCCCGTGCTGGACTCTGAGGCCAGGCGGCGGAGCGCGCTGGAAAAGGTGCGCAGCTGCTGTGGCCGCCATGGTGAAGGCGTCTTTTGCTGCAATCGGAGTGTGGAAGCCGTTGAGCGAGTAGATGTCTGGGAAGAGAAAGAGCGCAAAGCCAGCGCAGATCGACGGGATTCAGCGAGGCATCGTTGACGCAAAAGGGCGGACGTAGCCTGCCCACATCGAGCGGCGAGGACCATTGCGCACAGCGCTGCTCAAGAAGAGGCGAAAGTCAGGTAAATCAGAGAGATAGCAGGTCAATTGAGCCAAATCTACGCTCTACTGCTTCCTATTGTGCTTGCGGAGAGACTCGGAGATGGGGTATGTGGACGTTGGCACCACTGAAGCTTCGAGGACTGTTGTTCCTTCACTCTCGGTCTAGACAAATCCCTACCGTCGTCCCGCCTTCTGCCGCGCGCCCAGAACTGAAGGGGATTCGAGGGTAAAGAGAATTGAGAGGTTGACCTTGAGTGGTGAGTTGAGGAGAGAAAAGAAGACGGTGAGAGCGGGCGGAGGGCGGAGGGACAAAAAAATTTATGAGGTAAAGGCGGGCGATGACTCAGTGCAGGGGAACGGGGACAAGCAGAGAGAAACTGGTATAGCGCGAACAGAACTGAAGAGCACCCGCAAAGAAGACTGAAGGTCCTTGAAATCAGGGCCGATAAGAACTCCGGTGTGTGGAGAGCCAGAAAAAAAAGGACTCCCTAAGTCGGACTCAACAATCCCAGCAAAAGCCCTCATGCCCACCGCCTTGCTCTCTGAACGAATTAGATGCCCTGCACTTCAGCAACTGGCCTGGTTAGCCGCGTCTGCAATCTCGTCCCAGCACTGCCATTCGCCGGGCCAGAGATCCTGAGAAATTTCCTTTCCAGACATAGCGCCCTCTTATCGGCTCGAGAGCAGATCAGTTACCTGAAAATATTCGAAATATCGGCCAATTTGACCCAGAAAACACGGGAACAACTACGCGAATGCTTTTAAACAGGCCTGTCGCCCATGGAACGTCTAAATCTCAAACTCTGGAAGCGTGAGGGCGAGGCCAATGTGACTCAGGCACACTGGATGTATCTACCGGGGAAGCGGACGCCTGGGGCAGGTTCTTGTGCGACGAAGAGTCCCAGCACTTGCAGAAGAAACACGCTGCATTTCAGATTGCTAAGCAATGGATATCATTACTATTCTCACATTTCCTTGAACTCGCCATAGCCAAACCCGGAGCAAAGACATCTGAACAGACCGAACCTGCTATTTTTTGCCTTGCCCAGATAACAACGTCAAACATTTGAAAATCGAACTCACCCAGCAGCATATCGCGAAATTCTACGAAGCTTCGCGCCGAAAAACCAGAATGCAAATGGTGCTGGTATACCGATCACAATGCTCAGGCAACCAAGGACGCTGTTTCCCCAGCCATAACCCAACGACTGGTACATGTATGGGGCGAACAGGGGAAAGGCGAAGCCTGCCAAACTGCGCAGCACCACCACAGAAGCCAGTCCGCTCGCAGCAAATCGAGTATAGCTGTCGATGATATAAGTCTGCATGCACTGCAGGCACATGATGGCGCCGAACCCAAAGATGACCATGCCGATGTTGGGCATCATCCACTGGACCCGCGCCTGCACACTCCAGCCATACCAGAAGAGTCCGATCGGGATAAACATGGAGCCGACAAACATGGCGGGCATGCGAAACTCAGGTACCCCTTCGTTGTTCCATGCTGATTTCAACCGGCGGTAGATTTTGTCGCTCGTGTGAGTGTTTACCTGTGCGCCCAGGACATATCCGACGCCAAGAGATAGATAGTTCAAGCCTCCGATGCCAGTGCTCTCCCCATATACGCCTTCCCAGACGCCCGGAAATGTCGACAAAAGGAGGTAGAACATGCCAAACAGGTAAGCCATGTATAGGGCAATCACTTGGACGATAGGCTGGGTGGCGAGCAGCTTGAATGGGCGAACGAGGGCGGTTTTCATAGCCGAGACAAGATTGACCGAATCTTGCTCAGTATGATAGAGCGAGTCTCCTTCCTTTTCCCGCAACGACTTTGCTCGACGCTTCAGCAATGTGGGGCCATAGGTCTCGGGTAGGAACAAAAGACCGAATACTTGGATTATGACACCGGCGATGCTCGTTGACCAGAATACCCAACGCCATGTGGCATATTCCGATATGATGGCTCCGGTGATCGGGCCGATGACTGGGCCAAGCAAAGGCGCCAAAGTATATATACCAACCGCTTGCCCCCGTTGATCTGCATTCCAACAATCACTGTACGATAGCGCACGAATCAGCCTGGGTCACATCCATGGACAAGGTAAAATACTAACCTCAAGACACCCCCTCCCACAGCCAGCGGAGCGCTGCCAGCGATACCACTCATGAACCGGAAGCCAAACAACTGGCCTTTGGTTTGGGCAAATCCGCACGCTAGGTTCCAGACGATGTACAGCAGATTCGTACTCTGCAAAACATAGGTTCTGCCGAATGTTTCTGAGATTGGACCGAAGCAAAGCGGACCGACGGCATAGGCCAGGACGAAGATTGAAACCGGCATTTGAGTTTCCATGTCGGATTCCATTTTCAACTCGGAAGCTATCTCCTTTAGTGCCGGGGCGACCATGGAGGATGCGACAGGTGATATGAATGTGAACAACGAGACCGCGGCCGTGGCCGCCCATTTTCGGGCGAGGGACCAGTTTTTCGGGTTGCCCGGATCACTCGATGAGGACCAGGAGACCTAGTTGCATATTAGTCTCTCTCGATTATATCAGGGTCGACCGGGTGGGTGATGGTCGTACCAGATGCGGGTCTCGCTCTGCTATGTTGGCATCGACCCCACCGCCTCTGCGTGACGGTAGGGACTCTGGAAGAGGGACAAGGTTTAGCATTTGCGAAACGAATGAGAAAAATCTGCAAGCTTGGTGCTGCATGGGATAGGTGCTTGCCTGTGTCTGTTGGTGCCATGCGGAAGACTCGAACGGCTGCTTCTTGCCTAAACCAGAAACTACCTGCCAGAACCTTGATAGAGAGGGTACGAAGGCAGACTAACAGAAAGACGAAGAGATGTGCTGTTGATGATTTGGTTTTGAGTAACAGAAAGAGAATGAGAAGAAAATTTTGGGACCCGAAAGCTTCTCGCTGACTCGGGTCCCTTCTCTTATATTTTCTCGCCATCTCGGGATAAAAGCCCGGTTCTCTTTAAACCCCGGAACGCGCAGCGGCCGCCAGGCATCAAACTTCGTCTTACCAACACACTCGAGGGCCTGTAGGGCGTCTGCGGCATTGCTAGAAACACGATAGCACAATGTGATAGCATGGGATGATCATTCTGATACCTATTTCCTAATCTAGCCAGAAACCTATTACTAAGCCTATCAACAGTACTGCTCCAGCCATCCCATCATGTCTCCAATCGTCGGACACTCTAGGAAAAGCGAGCTCTTGATTTCCAGCCCAAGCTCTGCTCGGAACTTCTCTGAAAGCACCAGTGACATCAGCGAGTCGACACCCAGCTGCACAAAGGTAGCATCCGGTGTTAGTTCACCAATACGAAGGCCCGTCTCACTAGCTATCAACTGCAGACACTGGCCTGGAACACCGGTGACCTCCGGAGCGGAAGATGTTCCATTGGTCTCGCCCGTATCGGCCTTAGTTGTCTTCTTTTGCTCTGCTGGTTCCTTGACGCCATTGGTTGCCTGGGTAGCACTGGGTATTGTGTTGCTGCTGTGAGACTCGCCGTTGGTGATAGAACCACTCACCGGCTTAGTTGACGGCTGCGGTGGTGGAGCAGGCTTCGCAACCGGTGCTGAAGAAGAAACTGCTGCGTGGATCGCTTTCAATTGAGCCTTTGCAGCTCCCGGGGAGAAGAATCGATCCATTAGCAGGCGAGGTACTCGACGGAACTTCAGTTGATCGACCACGCCAATGATTTGACCATCCTGGAAAATATAGACATCTCCAGCGTACATGTTAGCCTCTGTCGGCAGTGGGAACATCCGCACATAATTTCGATACTGGGCACCAGGTTCCAATTTCTTCAGCAAACGGAGACTCTCGCAACCGGGAGTGACGAAGAAATAATCTCGAGTATTGGAAGCATCACTTCCGTTCATAACGAGACCGGCGAGATGGGATACGCTGTCGATCCAGTGTGGTGGCGTATGCCAGATTCCAAGGCGCTCTGGAATAAGCGTGATGTCTGCAAACGCCTCGTATTCGTGAATGACCACCCGGTCCATACCACGGTATCGGTCCGCATAGTCAACAACATTCTTGAATAACGCATATGCTAGCGGCTTCGACAGCTGGCTCGCCTGTCCCTCAGCTGCCATACGTTCGAGCGCCTCGACCCGGCCGAGAACTAGGTGCGCCATGCGGCCCCATTCGGTACGCCATTTCTCTGGGTCTGTCTCATACCGCACCGAGCCTGTTGCATAAGACTCGGGCGCTCTTTGGCCAGTTTCCGGGTCGATGTTGAACCAAGCGAGCGACATGCGGCGCGTGGGGAGATCCAAATGAGCCTCCAGAGCGAGAGGCTGAGTGCAGTTCTTCTCGGAACTGGCTACTTGCGCGTGCAAAACTTCGAGCTCACCAAAGTTCAGATACACATCACCCTTTGGTACGAGTCTACGATAAAGGTACTCGCCAACGGTGAATGCCATATCCGACCAAATAGACTGTTCCTATTTGTTAGTGTACGTCTCTCCTCAGATCGGAGTACGACTCACCGAGGTAGCTACACCGCAATTATTCATTCGATGCCCATGAACAGCCTCGAGAAAGTCAGGGTGCTGCAAGTCCGACACAATCTTGACCGAGGCCGTCTTCTCCTCAACAGTCTCTTCCGTGATCTGATGGATCAAAGATGTCCGCAAGCCCGAGGGGGCTGGCTTGATGATATCTCGAGGTCGGTTTGGTAGGCCGTCCTTCAGGAGGGCTTTATCCAACGTCCAGGTTCCGATATACTGAATCCAGTAGTTGACTTCATTCCACGCGTACTTTGGCAAAGGGAGTAGCGAATATGCATGCTCATTGGGCCGGAAGTACTCAGCCCAGCAAGGTGTTCGACCAGCCAGATAAAGGGTAACCAAGCCCTTTGAGAATGTGGCGAAATTGTCCTCGTTCCGCCGGCAAGTTGAAGCCACACGAGCCTTGGGGATGAGACTGCGGATGAATCCAGCGCAAATAGGATGAGGCCCGACGTCTACCCACAAGGTATTATCGTTCACTATGCCAAGTTCTTGTGCAGCCTCCACAGCGCCAGCGAAATCAACCGGCTCGCGCGTTGCCCGTCGCACATAATCCGAATTGATAGTTTTACCGTCGAATACCGTGTTCTTTAGCAAGGGCGACAGAACGGGGATACTGGGCGCTTTGAAGACTAGCGAATCCGCAATCTGACCTAGCCCGTCTAGAACAGGGTCCATCTGCGCTGTATGGAAGGCATAGGGTACATCCACCATTGCACATTTAATACTGCTGGATTCAAGCTTGTTCCGGGCAGCATCAATGTCGGTCTTTGGCCCGCCAATAACCGTGTCATTGAGCGTATTCTTACATGAGATCTCATACTTGCCATCGCCTAATAGCTGTTTGACCTCGGCTGGTGATGCGCGCACTGATAGCATTGCGTGGCTACTGGGGACGCAACATTCTTCAACCAATTGGGCACGCCGACCGACTAAGAAGAGAGCGTCTGCAGTAGACAACACGCCAGCAATCACGAGTGCAGCATACTCGCCGAGGCTATGACCTATGACAGCACTAGGCTGGATGCCCAACAGCAGGATCCAGAGACGTGCTAAGGCAATCTCGATCACGACGATACTCAATTGCGACACTATGGCCGATGGGCTTTCGTCGATGCTGCCGTCTATAACTGGCAGAATCTTGGGTAGCCCAAGCCGCTTAGCAACATGGTCAAGCTGCAGAACCTCGCCCCGGAAATATGGAATCGCATCAAATAGTTCCCGAGCGATACCTTGATAGTATGCGCCCTGCCCTGTAAAGGTGAAACAAACTGGTGGAGCGTCGCTCGGGACCGGTCGGACCTCAGCAAGGGTATCTTTCTCGCCAGCACCACGCAGGAACTGCTGTAGTCCATCAAGGCTTGAGACGGCAGTTGCGACACGCAAGGCGTGTTGCATGCGGCGTGCACAGGTCGTATACGACAGATCGGCGAGCTTAGTGTCTGGGTTTTTCTCCAAGTAGAGAGAGAGATTCGCGATATTGGCTTGGAGGGACTTTTTGGATTTGGCGGAGATTACAACGACGTGCATTGAGCGGTCCTCTTGATTCTCCGGCCTAATCTTTTCGGGACCATCCTCTAACAACATGGTGGTGTTGCCACCATGTGCTCCAAAAGAGTTGACCATTGCTATTCGTTTCTTGCCTGGTGGACGTGGCCATGGGGTAGTGACCTGAGTCAGTCGAACCCGCCGTTGCTCGAGGTCCTTCGGGATGATCGGGTTCATAACTGTATGGATGCCAATGTGAGCGGGGATAACGCTCTTTTGGTACATCAACAACACCTTTAGAAGTGAGGCAATTCCAGCCGCTGCCTCCCCATGGCCTATATTACTCTTCACCGCACCCAATTGCAATAGCTGGTCTGGGCGACGAGACGGTGAACGGGGTGCGAATACATCCAGCACGGATTGAGACTCGACTGCGTCTCCTGCCTGGGTTCCGGTGCCATGGAGCTCGACGAAGCTAACGTCCAAGGGGTTGATGGCGGCCCGATGGAGTACCTGGCGGTAATTATCCATTTGCGCTCCAGCGTGAGGATGGGTTATTGAAATGGCTTCGGCCGAGTGATTTGTTGCAGCGGCCAGGACAACGGCGATAATGTTGTCATTGTCGGCCTCGGCATCCTCCAAACGCTTAACTACAACAGAGCCAATGCCGTCAGCGCGACAGTAGCCGTCCGCGGACTCGTCCCAAACCTTGCACTGCCCTGTCTTGGAAAGGAAATGGCCGTTTCCTAGACCAGCGTAGTTGTCTGGATCAGTGATGATGTTTATTCCGCCAGCAACAACAGTGTCTGCCTCGCCGGCCCAAAGAGCTGAACATGCCACCTGGACAGCAGCCAAGCCACTGGAGCAGGCAGTGTCGACATTAAGGGACGGGCCTGAAAACTTGAAGAAGTAGTTGATGCGGCCATTGCCAAAGGCGCGCACGCCACCCGGCACTGCGTATGTGCCAATGTTCTGTGAAGCATTCAATTCGCGCCAGTCATCGCTAGCCTGGCCGTAAATGGCGCCAATGCGCTTAGGGTTAGATGAGGCGGTTCTACCGGGGACTAGGCCTGCCATTTCCATCGCCTCGTATGCGGTGACGATGGCAAGTCGTTGCATAGGGTCTGTTTGCTCCGCCTGTGATTGTTAACTCGTTATTTCTCGGTGCATGACAAGAAAACATACCTCTCTCGGCGACATGTTGAAGAAACCAGCATCAAACAATCCCGGGTTCTCGACAAAGTTTCCATATGGGGTCTGCGTGGAATTGCCAATCTTGCCAGTTGGATCATAATGCGTTGCGAGGTCGAAGCGATCCGGCGGCACGGTAGTATGGACATCACGTCCTTGTTCCAATAGTTCCCAGAAAAGTTCAGTATCGTTGGCACCACCAGGCATACGACAGGCCATGCCAACAATAGCGAGCTTTGAATCGGCAAATGAACGGGGCAGGCGAGGCTCAAGGTCTTTCATTGACCAGGGTATGAGGTCGACCAATTTGATTTCCAAGTCGGGATAGTCAGCCTTGAGGGAGCTTAAAATACCCCTGAATACGATTGAGGTGCGAAAGGTCTCGATATGACACCGTTTAAATTTGCTACCGCCGACCCGATCGAGAATTCCCGCGGTAATACGGTCAAGGTAGATGGTACAGGTGAGCAGCTCCGTACCAATGGCCGCGAACAGTTCACCGGCGTTGGTAGCTACAAAGGGCTGCCCAGTATTGGACGAAAGAAGGGCGAACCGCACCGGGCGATTCGCTGGGATAATGGACTCTGCACTGTTGATGACGGTGTTGATCGAATCCTGGCTGTACAGGTGCGTTGCATGGCACAGGCCATCATAGACTGGGAGTGGAAGCGATTTGGAGTAGCGTAGGAGATGCGAGGCTCCGTAAGCCGCCTTGATCCGCGATGGCGGTCCACTGATGCTAACAGAAGTCTTGTCGGCAGCACTAATAAAGACTTTGAGGAGCTCCGGCGTTCCCAGCTCCGAATTACATTGGCTCAGCTCGTCTTGAATGGCGGGTTGCGTCTGTCCAGTGATGACATGGGCCCAGCTTAGCAGCGTGCCATCGGCTTGAGGAGCTTCTAGCTTGCGGGAAACGTCGTTGACATAGACACCCAGGCGGAACGAAACACGGACGCACTCGGCTCCGTTTTGCGCAATCTCTGCTAGGTTGGAAGACAAAGCCACGCCAGCACCAGCTAGCAGACCGATACTCAGTCCGGCGAGCGTGGTCGTGTGCTCTGAAAGACCCCATTCGCCTCCCTCCACCTCATAATGCCTAGATATCTTATCAGCTGACAGCTTTCTACAAGGTCAAAGTGGAAAGCTTTCTTACCCAATGAACATACCCAGTTCCAGCACAGTGAGGAGTGCGCTCTCCATAGCGGCCCCCAAGGGACCTTGGCGAAAGTCATCGACCTCGACCAACGGTAGCAGCGAATGGAAATGCGGCACCAGAACTTTCAGTGACTGCGGGAGAGCTGCCACTTCTCGCTTGAGGACCAAAGTGGACTCGTCCAGGAAGTTGGCTAGGTGGCGGAACCTACGGTCCTTTGCGGCTCGCAGCAGGTTACGAAAAAGGCCTTTGAGATCATCGTTGGGGAACTCGTTCCCAAAAAAGACCAGTTGGGTGCCTTGTCTATCGTCCTTCATTATGTCGGTCAGTATGCCTCAGACAATCATGTCGTCCAGGGCTCGCTAAACTGTGCAGCAAGCTGAACTGGCTCATCCTGGGCTTTTGATGTCATTGTTCGCGAGCAGCAAAATTCCCGTACGGGAACTTTTGCGGAGTGAAAATATAATTTTCACCCTGTGAATCAAGATTTTTCGCGATGCGATACGGGGACTTTCGGATACTGTGATTGAACAGGTCCTGGCACGAAATGACTCCAACCCAGTTGCTCGGGTCTTAATTTCCAAGCATTGATGCACGAAAATATTCCCGATTAAAAGCCGGAAAAGTATAGAGGGATTGAATAGAGGGGAGGAAGAACCTCATCTCCAATTATGATAACGAAGCATTCCACTTTTTGTTTGCGGTCACCATGGCCTTTAGAATCCCTTTCGCGCAGGCTTCCTGGGAGGAGTACCTCTCCGGCCAGGAGGCCCAACTTCCCTCGCTCCCCGCCGTTGAGGATGTCTCTGATCGGGTTATCCGCGTTCTAGGCGGGAACCCAGGCAGCATGCAGCTGCAGGGGACGAACACGTATCTCGTGGGAACGGGCAGCTCCCGCATCTTGATTGACACCGGCCAGGTATGTTTCCTTTTTTTGTGTCTTTGTGTTGACTTTTCTTGAGCTAAGGATACTCATAACAACCCCACCAATATAGGGCAAGCCGATCTGGATACGTCGACTCATCAAAGTCCTAGAGGGCAGAAATATAGACATAGCCTACGTCCTCCTAACTCACTGGCACGGAGACCACACCGGTGGTGTCCCCAGCCTCGTGGCATACGACAAGTCGCTGTCAACGCGCGTATACAAGAACCGACCCGACAAAGGCAGCGGCCAGAAGAATATCCTCGACGGGCAGACCTTCCGTGTCGAGGGAGCCACCATCCGCGCTGTCTTCACACCCGGCCACGCAGTCGACCACATGTGCTTCCTGTTAGAAGAAGAAAATGCCCTCTTCACCGGCGATAATGTTCTCGGCCACGGATACTCGGTCGTCGAAGATCTGGGCGCATACATAGACAGTCTGACACGCATGGCCAATCTACGGTGCCCGCTGGGCTACCCGGCGCACGGCGAGAAGATTGTCGATTTACCGAGCAGAATGAAAGAGTACATCCAGCATAAAGAATTTCGCATCCGGCAGGTCTTTTCGACGCTGGAGAGAAGCCAGATGAGCGGCGAAAGGCAGGGACGCGGTCGAGGCGGCATGACCATACGCGAGCTAGTGGAAGCCATGTATGGCAACGTTCCAGAGAGCGTTGAGAAGGCCCTTGTTCCATTCCTCAGTCAGGCTCTGGGGAAACTAGCAGAGGATCGCAAGGTTGGGTTTGAAGCCGGTGAGCCGACAAACCGGCGGTGGTTTGTTAGCCTTAAGAAGGGCTGACCGAGAATGCCAAGCAGGAGCCTTTTGTGGATTGGATAGAATGGCGAAGTATTGATTTTTTGTTCATTTTTCTCATCATTTTCTTTCAACAAGCTGCGTGGCCAGAGGATAATGCTAGTACTGGTAGTTAATCGGAGCGCTGTACCTAGTCCTTACCCACCAAGCTTGCCCTAGCTTACATAGAAGCCCTAGAAACATCAATTCATCATCCGACGTGTTACATCTTTACTTCGCTACGATTGTAGATGTACAATAGGATACACCTGCTTCTACCATGGCAGATCGACAACAGCCTCCAGGAATGTGTCTCTTTGGGTATCTATCTAGACTTGCCCATGCAGGAAATATTCACGACATCCCTGGCCATCCTCGGACAATTCCACCACACACACAGTCTCTCTCTCTTAAAATCCGATATCCAAACCAAACCTGCCGCCCGGATTATAACCAGGCGCTGTTAATTTCAGAGAGTTCGACGGCATGATAAACGAGCTCTGATCTTCCCTCTCACGGCGCGTAAACCTATACCCACAACTGAGGCCCGAAGTCAGCCCTGTCCTTGCCCAACCAACCGACCGAACCGGATTGAACCGCCATGGCCGGCTCGCCGTCGAAAGACAACTCATCCCTTCCGATCCTCATAATCGGCGCGGGCCTTTCAGGCCTGACCATTGCGCGTCTCCTCACAAATGCCGGAATCCCCAACATTATATTCGAAGCGTCCCCACCGTCCCGAAACCAGGGGTACGCCATCTCCATCCGCGACTGGGGCTACACATCGCTCCTCTCTGCCCTCGGTGGGATCCCGCTGTCAAGTTTGACGAAGGGTGTCGCGCCGGACCGCCACATCGACGGGTCTGGATGGATCGATCAGGCGCTGAAAGATAACCATACGGGCGCTTGTCTTGTGAAGCCGCCGCCAGAGGCAAAACAGAGCATTGTAAGGGCGAATCGCAATGCGCTGCGCGGGTGGATTGCGGACTGCGGGGAGGAGGAGATTGATATCCGCTTTGGGCATCGACTTTGTGGGATTAAGCACGAGCTTGAAAGTAACAACCACGGAGAGGATGGACATGCGAAGGGAGGTATCGGACAGGTAGTCATTGCGGAATTTGAGAACAGTGCTCGGTACAAGGGTAGTATGATCGTCGCCGCAGATGGTGTCCACTCCGCCGTTCGAAGTCTGGTACTCCCTGAGGTGATTCCCGAAGTCGTACCTGTCGTCGTGTTTCATGGAGAACTGCGTCTTCCCCGCGAGGAATTTGACAGAATCGTCCGTCCTCATTGTGGGGAGAGCAACATCCTTGCGGGCGTCGGAGACGGATTCAACACTCCGCTGACAATATGCAACATCACAAACACGGAAGTACATATGGACTGGTCATATTCAAGACCCAACACTGGCGCAGACGATCCGTTGTACAAGCCTGATATATCAGCCGAAGAGGCCAAGATTATCCCACCCGCTCTGTTAGAGGAGATCGCAACACGGGACCTGGCGAAGCCGTGGTCGGTGTTCTTGAACAGGGAGGCGATGAAGAGTCATCGGGTGTTCAACTGGGTTAGCCGATGTGTGTTTGTGACGAGAGATGATGTGGACTGGTGTGCGAAGAAGGGAGTGGTTTTTCTTGGTGACTCGTGGCACGCGATGCCGATTTTCGGCGGGGAGGGGGGCAATCATGCGATTGTTGACGGAGTGGAGTTGGCAAAGGCCTTGGAAAATGCAAAAAGAGAAAACGGGGAGTTGGGAAAGGCCATCAAGATATATTATGATGGAGCGTGGAGAAGGTGTCAGGACGCGGTGAAGCGGTCGAGGCAAAGATTCTATACACTGCATCGCCCGATGAGTGAGTGGAGGGAGATTGCGGAGAAGCGGAGCCTGGTTCAAAAATGATCGCCATGAACTAGTCCTTTCCTTAGCACTGCCATAACAAGCCTACTCCGTAGTCAGCAGGTACCACAATTAACTACTGCACGTTACCTAGATCAATGATCAATCCTCTTCTTCCTGACAGTTACCTCTTCTCTTCCTTGCGCTACTTATCAATTGTGAGCTCATCAATCCTTTATATAGAGACGCAAAGTGAATTAAAACGACGCTCAAGTCGAAACATGGAAGAAGCAGATAGGCACCGACAGGGAAATGATCCGCGGGAGCGAAAGGCTGCGCAGCCTGCGCCCAGTCTCGTATGTACGTATGTAACCTGACGCACGTACTCCGTACTGGCTTCTTGTGCCTATGAATAATATTTTCTGTGGGTGTCTCTTTCCCTCAATCTTGCTGCGACGACGTGTTTGAGTACCTCACAACTCAAATGAACTTCGACAATGGAGCTGGCGGATCAGGGACAGCCGCAGTCTGGCACTGCCTCCCATTCTCGGTATGTGGTTGCCTATCTTCTTCCTTACGAAGGGCCACTGATAGCATGAGTAGTCAGAGAACTTCGGTAGCAGAGTCCGACGCAAGATATCGCCAATTCCTCCTCGACGCCGACGAGTTCGTGAAAAGACATGAACTGGACAAGATCCGTGGCGAGATTCGGGCCGGGGCTGTGCTGTCTTGATGAATATAGCGAAGATAACTCGTTCCAGTAGGAGAATGATTTGGAGGATAAAGATGGGATCATTATAGGTGTGAGGTATATTGAGAATGTGAGTTGTCCACTGTCTTGTTGTGCGCTATGAAGGTGAAGGTGGTATGTTAAGATGGTCGCTAACTCGACACCGCGTTGTAGGTCCTTTCGAAGCTCGAAGAGCTGTTTGTGTAGACTCCGTCTGTGAATGCTAAATTCGTATATGTATATACCGGGTATCACTATCAATAAATGCTGCATAGACACTCAGTGTCACTAGTCATCCACACAAACTTTACCATTTAATCGAGACCAAGGCCCCTTTGAGCGCTGATTCGACCGCGCCAGCCTTGTGCCAGACCTCGTAGACTGAGCTTCCGAAGCCCAGATATCACTGCTCGCCTGGCCCGCCTGGTCATCCTCAAGGGCCTCCTCGAGGCTTTGATTCAGCAAATCATACACTCTCTGCAGCTCCTGCTGTGCGACTTGAGCCCGCTCGCTCCCATCGCCCACCTTTTGCTCCACGTATTCTTTCACATTTGACCCAGCCGCTGCGGATGCAAACGCCCATGCCTCGGCCATATTGATGATTTCGTCCTGTTTGGCCGGATCTGGTTGGCTTGCGGCTTGCCGGGAACCAAGTGCTGCAGTGGCATGGTTAAATCGAGGCTGGCGAGCGAGGATCGGGTACTCGGGGAGGAGATGGCTCTCGTCGCTCAGACGGTTGAGGATGCGAAGCGTCGTGGCCTTTTCCTTAGCGAGTAGGCCAGATAGGTAGAACTTCTGCAGCGCCAGAGACCGTTGGTTCTTGGATAGCGGGTGGAGAATACTGCTTGCAAATGACAAGACCTCAAGCGGTTCTATTGGGAGGGATTCTTCGACGGACATGCCTCGGAGGTCTGGAGGCTGGGATGGAGGTTTCGTGGACGCCGTTAAGACAGGCTGGCAAGCTCGAGCTGCGGCCTCGAGCAAGCGCTTGCGGGTATCCGTGTATGCCGCATACTGTTCCCGAATCCGGACCCGCTGTTCCTCGAGGATCCGAGCGGACTCTTCGATTTCTTCGGCGGGCAGCTCCGCCACGGGGGCTTCTCCGTTGTTTCCACTGCCTACCAACTTCGCTTCTACCCAGTGTACCAGTTCATCACGCGTCCGCTGAAGCGCGGCAACTTTGGCTGAGGGGTCAGCGGCATCCTTGCTGAAACCAATCGATTCGTTCCGCGCCTTCAGGTCTTCGTATAGCTTCTTTTCCCTGTCAAGCTGTGATTTCGCACAAATAACCGCCCGTTCCAGCTTTTGAACTAGCCTTTCGATATCAGTATCTCTCGCGCCACTGCCGTTGTGGTCTTCCTGCACAAGATTCTCGTGGAGGGCGAGCTGGTTCCGATCCCGTTTCTCGAAATCCTCCACAGTAGCGGTATCTCGCCCCCGCAATTCCTGCAGATAATGCCCGAAAACCTGCAGCTTCGCATGCCGACGCCGGTCCTGAACAAGCTTCAAATACGACGACAACTCCAGCGAGCTATCGTGTGAAGGGGTAGCCCCCGGCTCAACCCGCGCAGCAGCCGCCAATTTCTCGGAAACAAGCTGGTGCTGTTTCCTTGAAGCGACATTCGCTTGTAAAGCTTGTAGATATTCCCTCCTGAGCCCCGTAACCTCCGTGGGAATGCGCTTCACCCCCTTTACCGCATTATCGGGCACGCAGAGTGAAAAGTGCGATTGGGCGAGGCGAGTCTGGTGCTCGGGATCGTTGTCATCGTAGGTGATTAGGGATTGGAGGTAGGCTGTCAGAATTTGTCGGATACGCAGGGTTTCCTGGCGGGTTTTGATGTAAGGAGCGAGAGGCTTAGCAAAGGGAGGAATGTTGGTTGTCGTCGGGGGCTCGTTCGGACGGGCCATTGCGGGGGGCTTGCTGTCGCGCCCTAGTTAGTTTAGGGGTTCAGGAAGAATTGCGTAGGTCGGTCTCGAGCTCTGACGCAATGCTTATCAAACCGAAATCCAAATATGCTGCCGCTCATCGCTCAGAATCCCTTTTTCTGACTACTGTTGTTTGTTTTGCTGGAAATCTTGATTACCTAAGCGGAGGAAAGCTGCACGTGATATGTCAATTTCGTTCTTGTCTCTCCTTTTTCTCCTGCAGTGATGATGAACAGTGGCATTTGACTTACATTATTATTGACTTGTTGTTGCCTATACTCGGACTGACATATCAGTACTGCGCTATTCATGCGGAGTTGTTGATCAATTGCTCCGAAACCGGTTTTGAACGTATTGATTCCACCCGGGGTCGCTCAAACGGCGGGCCATATCTGCAGATGTCAAGAGCTCGGCAATGCGAGCTTGAGGACCTAAGGAATGCTAAAAGGGCTGCCTCGGTCTATGCTTCTTCAGAGCTGTGCGCATTGTCGATAAGACCTTGGCACAATTCGTTTGATAGCAGGTTTGACCCTTCGTGAGCGAAGGAGGCAGGTGTCGCAAGTAGCCTGCATGATTACTAGCTGCAGCTGCAACTGCAACAGGGTATTCTGCATGGTCTGCGTGGAGATAGGTAACAATGGGCATGTTCTTGCGTTGGCTACTTGACCGAGTCTCGGAGCCTCGACGATATCTTTAGTAAGGGTTGAAAGGACGCTGACACAGGCAGTCGATGATATTGGAACCATTCCTGTACCCTCTGCAAATCCAACATCAATAAAAAATTGCTTCTATTCCATGGCAACGCCGAGCATGAACCATGAGTTTAATATGGAAACTGGAACAAAGACGCCCGGAGAAGGTTGCTGACATGTCTCATGCATTCTCTTTGTTCATCTCGCTAAGGCGCATCCCTCCCTCTCGTTCTCCCTCAGGGCCATCAACAAGGGGTGACGTGCAGAGAGCTCCCTGTCCGACTCACTATGATTTCTTTTCTTTCTCATCGAGCCCCTTGAAAAGTAGATTAACCTGCCTGTGGCCTCGTCATCTTTCGTTTCCTTCTTTCTCCCTTGTATCCGAGATCCATTTGCACAATGTCCCCAGAACTCGCCCAAGTCCCCTTTTCATACTCAAGATCCCGACCCCGCGCGGCGACAGAAAGGGCGCAGGCATTGGGTCCTCCGACAATCTCGAAGTGTCAAAGCCCCGATGTAGCAGGCCAATCCGGGGAGCATGGACGTGCCAGAGCAGCATCCGGTAAGTCTACAGCACAAAACATACGGTTATTCGTCTAATCATGGCCGGTTTCAGGGTCACTGCGACAGCCGAAACCCCTCTCTCCCTCTGATATTCATTCCATTCTTGAGCAGGAACAGGAAGCGATGGTGGGTCACTCGAAAGTCCCCCTTCAAGGGAGGTCAATCTCACCCAGCCCGTCTAGGTCAACCGTCTGTCAAGAGAACTCACCCTCCTCCGCAACCAAACAGCCTCTGTCGCATCGACAACATCATCTACCTCAACCTCATTCAACGACTCTCACGAGACACTTTACGGGTCCACATACATCTCCGGCCCTGTATACCCCACAGCATCGCGACGACACAGATCCTCCTCGAGCTTGAGCGCCTCATACTTTCCAGTCATCCAGGGATCAAGAGCAAGCGGTCGAAGCCGACGACCGTCCCTTGTATCGCCGCAGCGATCTCAAAGCCTTATCTCCGTCACATCGCAGCCCCACGAGCGAAGGCACGATCCGTCCTCTCATGTCGCACACAGCGCGCGCTTTCGCCGCAGCTCCCTCTCGCAACAGCGTGCACTCTCAGGCCCAGCGGTCCTTCGTGCGGATGAGATAGCTTCGCGCGTGGAAATGGAGTCGCTCAAGAATGAGAATGAGATATTGCGGCGGCGCATACGGGATCTCGAGCTCGAGCTCAATGTGCAGAACAATTCGAGCGCATAATCGAGTCCAATTCCGCCGCATGTTATCACACGAGACGATACTCATAGAGCCATTGTCTCCAATCAATCTTCCCTATTTAATTTCGTTAATTCCTGAGCCACATTTTTCGACGGTCGATGCATGTTCATCGCAACAGGGAATCGTTTGGTGACACGGAGTTTATGTTTCTCGCATATTCGTTTCGCTTCGCTCGTTTCTTTTTCTTTACAATTCTGGCGCCAGCTATTTTTATCATAATGCTACTGCCTTGGTCTATACTTATCTATATAGCTAAATACCTGGGAGTTGTTTGCGAGAGGTGATCAAAGCGTGGCCCACTGTGGCTGTGCGCAGCTAGTGAGATACGTCATAGAGTGTGGCGGTAATCGTCATCCATGCAATAAATACCCCGCGAGCTGTTCCCTTTTCCTGTTCCTGTTACCAGTCAACCTTTCCATCTCTCTACAAAAACCTATATCATCAGCTCTCTCTCTCTAGTCAATACCATCATCACAATGTCCGACCACACTACCGTTCACGTCTCGGGCATCTCCCCCTCCACTACCGAGAAGGAGGTCCAGGACTTCTTCAGCTTCTGGTATGCGCCCACCTTTGCAGCTGCTTTGATTTCATTCCTAACTAATTTTTACAGCGGCAAGATTGTCAGTATCTCAGTCACACCCACCTCCAGCGAACCCGACGCCTCCAAGTCCGCAACAGTGACATTCGAAAAGGATGCGTAAGTCCGACCCCGCATCGTCACCCCCTCATCACCTATAACACATCAACTAACCAACACAGCGCCGCCAAAACCGCCCTCCTCCTTGACCAAACCAAGCTAGGCAGCTCAATCGTCCACGTCGAAGCTGCTCAAAGCATCGACGACCTCGCAGGCTCGCACAGCGCCACGGCCTCCGAAGCCAAAGACGAGCACAACCACGACCTCGAGCAAGAGGACAAGCCGCGCTCGCGCATCATCGCCGAGTACCTCGCACACGGCTACACCATTAGCGACCAGGCCATCCAAAAGGCCATCTCGCTCGACCAGAAGCACGGTTTCTCCGCGCGCTTCACAAACGCCCTGAGCAACTTTGACAAGAAGACCGGTGCGACGGATCGCGCAAAGGGGCTTGACGAGAGCTACAAGATCTCCGATAAGGCGTCGAGTGGCTGGCGCGGACTACACAGTTATTTTGAAAAGGCCCTGGGCACGCCCTCGGGTCAGAAGCTGCGCGAATTCTACGCCCAGACCGATAAGCAGGTGCGCGACATTCACAGTGAGGCGAGGAGGCTCGCGGACTTGAAGAGTGGTAAGGCGGAGAAGTCGGAGACTGAAAAGACAGAGACGGAGAAGCCCACTGAGGGCGACACTTCTACCTCTGCCGCTGCCGCTGCTGCACCGGCTGGTGCTGTCCCCCCTGGGGCTGAGACTGCTCCTGGTTCTGCTACCTTTGCCGAGAAGGCGAAGTTTGATTCCTGAAGCTCTTGTTGCCCTAGTGCTTCTTTGATGATTGTAACTTGATGACCACCTATGTGACGTTGTTTATGACCTCCACAATTTCCGCAGTTGTGTTCTAGCATGATGTCATTCTTATTCTTCTCTGTGCATTCCTTGCCTGTCTGCGACAGTACAAATTGAATTGATCCAGATTCTTCTTCCAGCTTACCAGAGATGTAACAATCGTAGCACTCAAGACCATGTGGGATGAATTGAAAGCTATGTAAATCACTTACCCTTAAGTCCACTGCTATGAGAGTCCAACGAGCCAGACCAGATTGCAGGCTCAGCTGCATCCACTCTACTCTGTACACGACTTCTACACCTTTTGTAACTTCTCAAACGCCAAACCTGAAAATGCCAGAATATAGAATATAATGGATTCTTTCATAATTCCCTCATAATAACCTCATAATATACAAAGCAAATTTCAATTCAATAAAATCCCTAGTTCCCAGTCCCCTAGTTACAAGTCCCCTTCTTATACTTCGCCGCCTCAATCTCCTCAAGCGGATGAACCGGGTTACTCGTCAGCCCAGCCGTCCCGCTCATCCGCTCGTCGTCATCTTTACCCTTGTGGGCCTCCGCCGCCTTGGGCGCGTACTCTGGTGGCGGGGCGAACTTGGCGTCTGTGCGGCCGGAGCCGGGAGGGGAGTTCTCTTGAGCGCCCGTTTGGGCCTCGGGGGGTGGGGATTGGCGGCCGGAGAGACGGGCAGACATTTTGAGGGATGTGCTTTGGGTGGGTTGGTTCGGTGGTGGTCGTTTGGTTGTTGAGGTTCCTCGGCGTGGGTTAGTTGGGCTGAGAGGCTGAGGTGAGCGGAGGTATGTACCTTGTGGATTGCGTTTGGTTAATGGTAATCAACTGTGGTATGTTGTATGAGTTGAAGCAAGGAGGTTATTGTAGGGTTTAAATATATCAAGTCAATGCTTACGAGGTACGTCTTCAGTAACATCATGATGACGTTGTGGGTCTAGAGCAGCGAGGTGCGAACTCGGTGAAGACCAAGAGGTCACCCTGCGGAATGGCCCCACGAGCTGCACTCTTGCATAATAGCACAGTCGATTCTTTGGTTACGGAGTTGTTTGATCGACAAAAAGGAGTAGCCTGACGTGACTGCGCAAGGTTGTCTGGAAGAAGTGTGGTCTCGATTATATAATCACGTGATGGTAACTATCTGACATCAAGTCCCAGTTATGTCCAGGCATTCATGGCGTTTTCCGCGTAAGGTTTTCTGCTTCTTTCTGTTCTTGTCCGTGGAAAATCAAGTGTGTATTATATTCTCATGCTCATGCCGTGGAAAGGAAGGAAATGGGGGAGAAGCTGGTCAACTGGGGGAATCAGGGCGAAAGGACGGATAGGGCAAGGGAGGGGCGAATGATGAGGATGGGACTTTTGACAGGACTCGCAACAGGATAAGAATAGGCGAAGGGGGTTCAGGACTGTCATTAGATGGAACAAAATAAATGATCTCGCGACAGAACGTTCTAAACAGGGAGGAAAGTAAAACAATAAGCATAGGTCACGTTATGACGTATCCTGTGGCTGCGTGACGATATACTCGGCACGAACAATAAGTGTCCAAAACGGAGGCCACAAATCAACATGGCTTCGTTCATATCGTAGATATGCGTATTTCACCTGGAGTCGACAGGTTTCCAATCGACTGCCCGGTTGCTTTTTTTTTTAACACCAGTGTCAAAATCTATTGGTTTCCGTTGGCTTGAGCGGCAGCTTTGGCAGCCTCGTCATTGGCCGCGGCGAGAGCCTTTGCATCCGCTTCGTGGAAAACAGACTCGATGACCTGCTTCTCTTCCGCGCTTAGAATATTCGTCAAGTTGTCATAAAGTTGCGGTTGTTCTTGTTGGAGACCTGCACCAAGTTAGCTGAAATACCAACACGGAACGAGCGTGAACATACCCAAAAACACTTGTTTGAAGAATCCATAAGGCTCGACCTTGTCCAAAGGAGTTTCGAGTAAGCTCTCCTCGTCAAGCTCATCATCCTCTTCATCGCCAGCGAAAGAGCCAAACTTTTGCGCCTAAAGAGAGTTAGTTGTTGAAGAATGATAGAGTGGATATAACTTACCTCTTTGTTCAAAAAGTCAAGGTAAGCGGCACTCTCGTCGGGAATATCACCCTCAGGCCCAGCCTCGGCCTCATCCTGCTCGGTCCACTCAACCTCTCCGTCCCAGTCGTTGCCCTCGTCCTCATCCTCGTCATCATCATATACAAAGTCCGACTCCTTGGTTGCCTCTTCGCGGTCTAGAGAAACTTAGCGCCAACTCATTAGATTAATCGAGGATACATACTCTTGATAGCGGCAGGCAGTGTCTGGAACAGCCTGGTGACACCTTGGAGCAACCTGGGCCAGCCCTGCTGTACGCTGGCCGGGACATTGTCGGCCTTGAGTGTAAGCAGCGAGCTGATAGCGACGATCGAAAGGGTCTTGTCGTGGACACGTCGGAAGTTGTCAATGTTGGAGAACCAAGTGCTGAAGAATTTGTTGGTCCAGCCCTTGGCTTCGAGGACCTGCAGACTGAGAACAGGGTTGTAGTAGATGGCGTTGATGATCATCTCCATTAGGTGGAGACGGTACGATTTTGTCCGCGCCTCGCCCGCATCGATGACGTTCATGGCGAGTTCGATAAAGACAGGAATGTACTGGTCAATGTAGCCACGCAGGTTCAGCATAACAGTCTCGGCAAGCTTGCACCCGCAGATTCTGTCAACACCACCCACTTTCTCGTCACGGAAAATGTCCTCGACCATGCTGACAACAGCGGCAAGGTAGTTGGGGTTTTGAACCATCATTTGAGAACCGTAGGCGACGTAGTTGTCCAGCGCGGGTAGCATGTCTTCCAGATACAGCTCGGCTCCAGCCTTGAAAGTCTTGTGGATGAGCTCAAAGGCCTGCCACATGGTGGGGGAGATGGACTTGGAAGCGAATGTGCAGCTGTCGATAATTTCGAAAACTTCGTTGTACAGATCGTAGAGCTTGTTCTCGAGGGTGATGCTAATGACAGGCATGAGAATAGTTTCGAGATGAAGGAGCACGTCGGGTGTGCTCTCCAGAGTAAGAATAAGGGTGCCGATTGTCTGCAAAACACCGAGAGCAGTAATGCTCTTGTCGTCCAAGAAGTCACCATAGGTGTCTTCCTCGCCCTTGGCGGCATTCCGCTCCAGTAGCTCGCCGACAATGCGCATATAGGTATCGCGCAGCTGTTCGCTGAGGGCCACGGCGAAAGGAGTAAGCTCTGCAGAAAAGACTTCGACAAAGTCTTCCATCACATTAGCCAGAGCATCAACGTCAACTTCATTGGCGAGCTTGAGAAGTTGCTGCATAATCTGGGGAATGTTCTGCTGCATGGAGGTACGGATGACATCGTGTCGGATGAGAGGCTGGAGAGCGAGGGCGGCCTCCACTCTGACGGGCAGTTCAGTGTCCGTCATGGACTCGAGGATGTTTCGGTAAATGATCATCAGGTTATTGGGGTCCTTGAAGTCAAGCTGTTCGAATTTCTCCAAAGTGTCGCAGGCACGCGCACGGAGGAATCCGTGAGGGCTGCGGAATTCGGGGAAAACGTGTCGAACGAAAAAATATTCGACCTGGTCCGCAATCGGACTCTTCTTTCCAAGAATGACAGATGCGAGAGAACCAATCATTCGGAGAGCACCCTCCTTTTCCCGCGGCTGCTTCTGGTCATCGGGAGCAGCCTCATACTTGCTAACGACACCGTTGACAAATGTGAGGATCGAAAACGTCTGCTTCTTGCGGTTCTTGGTCAAGGTGACCAAGAAATTCGTAGCCGCGACATCAGGAGCCGAGACCTCCTCGTAGTAGTTTAGCTTTCGGTGAAGGTACTCGGACGGGTCGGTCTGGAACAGCTCAATGTCATCGTCTGTTTGGCAAAGAATAGGGAAGACAAAGTGGGCAATCAAGTTATCCATGTGCGCCTTGAGGTGATCCCACATGGACTTGGGCTTGACGCATTCCTCGAAGAAGATCAGAGTATAAGAAAGAGCAGGATTGCTGAGCCACTGCCCCTTGGAGACATATTTGTCAATCTCTTGCAGATAGCCCTTGAGAATCTCCGGCGCAAAAGTTGAGATGAAAGCCTTGGCAAACTGGGAGTAGTCTGGGGTGCTAGATTTCGTGATGGTGGTGGGGTTTCCATATCTAAAAGGTGTTAGAGGAGAAGAACTCGACTTATAATTCACATACCTGATGAATAGACGGTTCAGGTTGGCGTAGGCCCATTTCTTGCACTTCCACCAGTGGTTGAGCTCGCGCTCCTCCTTTGATTCCATCATCGAGTTTGCAGGGGGGTTCTTGGCGATAATGCGCAGGAACAAAGTGCACCAGTCGACTGTCGCCTGATGCGACTGCAGGTGCGGTGAAAGCTCAAACTATTCAAATCAGTCCCGATCTCGTTGCTCTCTTGCACAGCACTCACGTAAATAGCATGCTTGTATGACTTCACCACAATCCGGAGCATCTCCGCCGCCTCCAAACTCTCCTCATCGACCAGTTTCGATCCGATGCTCAGCAGCTGAGGGAACGAATGTTCAATGATCTTGTCAAACTCATCCCGCTTGTCGCCCGCCTTGAACCGATACACGCGGCAGATAGCCAACAGACACTGTAGACCCGCGTAGACCGAGCTCGCATCGTTTGTACCCAGTAATTGCATGGTGATATCCAGGAACCCGGGCCATTGTTCGGGGAAGTCATGCTGCAGGATCTTCTGGAGGAGAGGGACTAGCTGGGCGCGAACGTTGGGAGGCGTAGATACCAAGGCCGGGATCAGCCTCTCTCGGAAGCCCGGCTTCTCTTCATCGGGGATCGGTGCGCGCAGCGGGCTCTCTTCGTGCGGGGACCATCCTCGGTTGATTCGATTCTTCAGATACACACCCGCTTTCCTTACCGTTAGTAAGTTCGGTTCTCGAGAAAGCAACCTCGTTCAAGCAAAACCCACGCCGGATGGCAGATTTTCAGACATACCCGATAGTTGGACGGCATTGACCTGCTCCCCCTGCAGGATATCCAACAAGGCGTTTATAAAACCCGGTTGCGTCTCGGCCTTGAGATTAGACAGCAGTTGTCAGCAACGAGCAACCCCTCGAATTCCATCTTCGCGGCTCAGCACATACATATTTCAAATCAATCTCCGCTTGTCGACGATTGTCCGCATTGGCGTCAAGTGTAGCCTGGATGCGGTTCCGCAGTGCTGCAACATCCATATCGCACCAAAACAACGACCCCCTGGTTGCACAATAGTTGACCTCGAGAAGAAAAGATCCCCGCAAAAGAGTGGTGGAATCAAAGAAGCGCGGCGGGGGGGTACGAGGAGGGGAAAGATAAGAAGAGGGAGGATCAATAAGGAGAGAGCAGATTTGGGTTTGTTGGGTTTGGTTTTCTTCTCGTGGATTTTCAGGCGGTGTTGGCCCCGCGCCTAGGGCAGCGAATCAAACCGCCTACGGCCCCGCGCGGTAAGAGAATTTTCATCCAGGATTGTGGTTCACAGAAGAGTTGGAGGGGCATTATTATTATGAAATGAGAATATTGAGCTGCCAAGGTATATTAGGACTTAGAGACTTCGACTCTAGGCCCTTTGTGGATAGCGAGTGTGGTTGTGCCCAGCCAGCGCCCCTTCTGTACTCTTACAGATTTTTCTGGCAGAAAAAAAAAATAAAGCCCAAGTTTGCCCACGTGGGAACGGTACGGAGAGCCGAGACAACGAACCACAAGGAGGGAGATACTGGGTATCTTATCGCCTCATCATCCGTTTCTATCTATATTGACACAACCTTTCACATGTACAGGGATGCCGCGAAAATCACATCCCTCTTGATCTTCTCCTGCGCCTCCTGCATTTTCGCATACAGAGTCGGGTCTCCAACCAGCTTCGCCGCATTCTTTACCTCGCGACAAGTCTCGTCAAGCCGAGTAATCGTCCGAACAATGGTCCCCTCCATCACATCCGTGAGGTCTGTGATCCGGTTGAACGACATTCCCTTGGCCCATTCGTAGACGACCTCTGCCAATCCAAACCGCGGTTGGCTGGCAAAGTCGTTTTGGTCCTCGCTCGATTGGATGACCTGATGCAAGATTTGCACGTCGTTGACCTTTTCTGATATCCGTACAATGGCCTCCTTGCCCTTCTCCAGGCGTGGCGTCAAGGTGGGTACATTCTCCGTCTTTTCCTGGAATACAAAGGCGGATAGAAGAGCCACGATTTCCTCGGGTTCATATTCAGCAAGAACATTCTCCAGGATAAGCTCCGTCAAAACGAGTTCATCGGCAGAGTGTATCTATAGATCTTAGCAATCATCAAGAAGCCCACTGTGTCAAACTTACCTCGCAGGCGACTTTTCCTTTTAGTTGCACGCGAGACTGCTCGTCCACGAAGCCGAGGTCCTTGAGCACCTGAATACGCTGTTCGTAGTCAGGAAGGAGCTGCAGGTTCTGGTCCGACATGAGCTGCTTCAGCGCAGAAATGTTCTCTTTGATTTGCCATTCGTCGCGTTGCATTTCGAACTAGGGCACTGTTAGCACAGGCATGACGTTCGATGGATTGTGAAGACGTACGTGTTTGACGAATTGAGGACACTTGAGACTCTCGCATGACTGAGCAATAGCCGCCTGTTCGCGCCTCTTATCCAGGATATCCCGCAGCTGTAGTTCCTTGATCCTAGCCCAGTCTAGTTCGTCCCAAACCGGCGTGGTCCAAGAAGAGCATAGCTTGGACAGTTCCTTGTCCGCAAACTTGATTGCCTCTGCGGGATGGTCAGATCTGCTGTTATAATGGATAGACTTGTGGTAACGGAGTTTGTCCGTTTGATCGACAACCCACCTTTCTTAATATTCAGGTACCACGGTGGACCACTGACTTTGACCATGGTGTTCGTGACACACTCAATATCAGTAATTGGAATCTTGAAAACTTTGAGTGTCATGTCAAGGGCACGAGTAGGCAGGGGGTTAAAGAACTGTCTGAATGCCGGGAGGAAGGGCAAAATCTCGCTCGGGTGGCGCTTGTTGGCCAATTTTCCTATCTCGAGGATTTGTATAACAGGATTGGCGCCTCCGCCGACTTCTCGGACTATGACACCTGCTGTTCGGAATCCGTCCTGTAATGGTCAGCATCATACCAAAATGTGGGGTGCGGGTACGGATATTACCTTTCTATACACTACCAGACGCTTGGGTATGAGCAGCCGTTTTCCTACAGGGGACGAAAGTAACATCAAATGCAACTCGCTCGTCAATTTGCTGTACTCAATCGCTGCGTCATGGCACGCTGCGAGATCAACATCACAAATCTCGCAAGGCTCACGTTTGATCTTTTCCAAACTAGCTTCTGAGATTTGTACCTGCTTCTCGTGTTCCGGCAGCAAGGCTTGTGTGGCGTTTTCGCTGAAACTCCTCTTGATCATTTCTTCAATCTTGAGAGCCTCCACACGTAGTAGGTTGAGAATCATGTTGTAAGTAAGTCGGAATTGTGATCGAAGTTTCGTTGGGTCACCCAGGATCATCTTTCTCAGTGCGCCAGCAGGAGGCGCCTCATCCTTGCCGGAATTGACGATAATCACGTAGCCAACTGTGTCGAGACCTCGTCTGCCAGCACGCCCCGCCATTTGAGTATACTCGCCGGGGAGTAGGTCTCTGAATCCCTTGCCATCATGCTTGCGGAATCCTGAAAACACCACTGTACGGGTGGGCAGGTTCAGCCCCATGGCAAACGTTTCGGTGGCGAAGAGAACCTTGACCAAGGTTTTTGCAAATAGAATCTCCACGATTTCCTTCATGATAGGCAAGAGTCCACCGTGGTGGACGGCAATACCTCGGCTTAGTAGATCGCGAAGTCGAAGAACCTGCGGCAACACTCGGTCTTCTGCTTTGAGGCGAGTGAGGGATTTCTCGATCGTCATGTGAATTAGACTTTTCTCAGAAGCTGTACAAAAGTCCTGGTTTGATAGCGAGTCGGCGTTTTGCTCGCATCGTTTCTTGGAGAAGACGAAGATACACGCCGGAAGTAGGTTCTCCTTTCGCAGATGCTGAACAACTTGCACCCAAACGGTCTTGTCCTGCGCAGCAGTTGTTCGTCCTCCACCGCGGCCTGTACGAGCAATGTTACCGGTGCCTCTATTGGACGGCGCACCTCTTCCTCTTTGTGGCCCTCCACGTTGGCCGCCTCCTCCTCCTCCTCGAGGGGCACCTCTTCCTCCAGGCGCCTGACCACGCCCTCGTCCCTGCTGGCCACCACCCCTGCTTGCCTGAGACTGGGCCTGGGCCTCGGCGGCCTTTTGCGCCTTAATTTTATCCTTTCCAGAGGCGATGTCATCGGCTTCCTTCCAGCCATTCTCAAGGAAGCGTTTGTTCGAGTCGACAATCTTGAATTTGCCCTTTCCAGCCCAGAGATAGTGTTCGAGAGGGACAGGTCGTTTGGCCGTTGAGATAACATAAATATCCTTCTTCTTTGTACGGCCCACCCACGAGGCAAATTCGTAGGTATTGGGCACCGTAGCAGACAGAAGAATTAGAGTGACATGCTCAGGCAGCATGATAATGACTTCTTCCCAGACAACTCCTCTTTCGAGGTCATTCACGTAGTGCACCTCGTCAAAGATGACAAACTCCACGTCTCTGATCAGATCTGCTCCGCGGTAAAGCATACTCCGCAGAATCTCGGTAGTCATGATCAAGCAGCTGGCTTCGGGATTAATCTGCACATCTCCTGTCAGAATACCAACGTCGTCAAAGGTATTCTTGAAATCGCGAAACTTTTGGTTACTGAGAGCTTTAATCGGGGAGGTGTAGATGGCTTTCGTCATGTGTTTGGCAGCGAGAGCAATCGCATACTCCGCGACGACCGTTTTACCTGCCGACGTGTGTGCCGCCACAAAGACAGAGTCTCCGTTTTCGAGATGATAGACGGCTTCCTTTTGGAACGTATCCAGCTCAAATGGCCACTCACGAGCCATGTCAGGCACCAAATCGTGAAAGTTGGAGATTTCCTTGTTGACATCCACGACGTGTGCCCATTCCCTGCCGCCCTTCTTTTGTACGGCGGAAAGAAGTGCGTTGCGTGGCTCGAGAGACGGAAACTCGATGGGTAATAAGGAGTCGATATCCTCTTCCTCCTCATCCTCGCTGCTCTCTTCGTCGTCGATTTTCACTCCTCCCTCCACATCGGACATGGTCTCGTCCTTGTCAAGATTGATATCAGCGTCCTCTTCCTGGAGGGTGTTTTCAACTCCTTCATCCTCCTCTGCGGCCTCTTTAGACTTTGCCTCTTCGAATTTTAGCCCACGCGAAAACCCCGGGGCGATTTCCAACAAGCCACCCTCGGAGCCGAAATTGATAATCCGGTCCAGCCCAGTTTGCTTCCCACCGGATCTGGAGATTTCTGCATTTTGAACCTCGGTCTCCATCTCCGCGATCGCCTCAACGCCCTCTAGACCGCCAGGGGCAAACGGGAAAAACCCAGCCGCACCACGGACAAAATCAGCACGACCAGCAGGCCGACGGAGCAAGGACGTCGAATTCTTTGCATTTGCGCTGTTTGCGGGGACGGTAACTTCATGGTACCCAGTAACTCGTCCCTCTAGACCCTCGCGGTCAAAGCGAACAATTGTCCGCGTTTGTGTACCAGCGACCTCGAAGAGGTCAGAGTAATCCGTTGGTACATCCCATCTCCTGGTCAATGCATCAGCCACATTGTCGATCGCATGTCAAGGGGACGACACTTGGACATACCTCTGGAGACGATTCAGCCACTCCGGACTGAATCTAGGCGAAGGAGTCAAAAACTCGTTCTCCAATTCCCGTTTCAGCTCCGCGGCACTTGGTCGTGTTCTGCGTCGAGGCGCGCGGTTTCCATAGGCGCCATTCTCTTCCTCGGCAATGCGTGCGTCAAAGGCCCTTCCACCGAGACCCTGGGAATCTAAATCAAGCCCAGCCAAGGTCGATGCGAGTGTCTCCATTGTTGCCCGGGGGGTTCAGATGAGTAACCCCAGAGATGATAGAACATAAAAGGACGACGTGTCCAGTAGCGGTTGTTCTAAGCTCTTGACGAAACTCTGGAGAGCGGTGCAAAAAGAACCCCGCGTCTTCGGCGGAAGATTCAAAAAATTGAACGAAACGAACAAGAATCTATATGATCAGTTTGATTGGTTAATCAAATGCAGAGATCCTTTGTAAGTCTCCAAGTACAGAGTAAATGCATAGTTTGCTGTCAGAAGGTCGGACGTTTTAGTGGGGGAAGCACACCAGAGCTTTCCGCTGACGTTCACTGTGACGGGTGGAGACAACAGTGACTACAGCTCCGTCTGGGAAGGCACATTATTCACCTTCACAAACGCTTCTCTTTAACCATGTATTGAAAACGTATTGCGGGGCTTAACATTAAGCTATTTCATAGATTGAATATTAGGATAGAGTATTGACTAGAATACTATGGAGTAAACTAAACGCCGAGCTGGAGCACTGCAAACCAGCAATATACAATGATGGATACCCCTGCCGCGCCATTGAATTAACAATCAGCAATCCGAAGACACAAGTTCAACAGTCACAAAAGCCGCTTTTATGACGCCAGAATATGTAAAAAAGCGCCCTGTGAGGAAGAATCGTCATCGATATGTAATCACAGGAAAGGTTTTCCGGTCCATGACGTTGATTTGATATTCAAAGATACCAGACACGGTTGCAATGTACCTAGAAAAGTCAATAATTAGCTTTCAGGGGAACAGTATAGACAGGTTTTACTTACAATGTTCTTCCATTGGCACCCCAGCCAAGTCCAGCCGAGCTGCTTGGATCCAGATCCCGCCGCCCAAAGGCCATGCTACTACGCTCTGGCATGTCGTTCATCACACTTCGAATCCACCGAGGCGAGCGCAAATGATCAAGGCCAGTCGGCGGCGCCGGCTGTTGCAGGTACCGGTAATCTCGCGGGTGATTTCGGCTCTGAGTCTCTACCTCATTCATAAGCTGTCGCTGCCGGCGTAAACGCTCCACGGCCACAATGTTTGCTCTCAGGCTAGGGGGGATATCCAGATTACTCTCGAGTCTTTCAGGTCGCCTGTGGGCAGACCGAGACCGCTGGTGATTTCGGGGCCGTGGTAGCAAACTCGGCGTGGTACTGGAGTAGTCGAAATTCGCCGTTGGTCTAGTTACTGTTCCACGAGGTCGACTAGCAGTCCCACTTTCATTGCTTGAACTCCCCTGGTCACTAGAACTTGTTGATTCCACGGTATGGGCCGAATTATCCAACGTGGCAGACTGCAGCTCGGCCGGCGAAGCAGTCCAGCTTATTGTAAGGCTCGGTTGTGGATCGGGTGTTGAGCTTCCCGCGTTTGCAATTTGATTTCCTGCCTCGTAATTGCTCTGTGAGAGTATGACAGGTCGAGGTGAGGTAGGACGAGGTGATCGATTAGCTCCACTTGTGGGACCTGACGGTCTGGCTCGAGATCCGGAATGTGGATGCGAATTTGTATTGGCCCTGGCCGTCAGGCCATCTTCTAACCTTGATGTCCAGCGCGCTGTATTCAAAAACTCCACTATCAGCCTTTCCCTTTCAGTCAGGTCCTGTATTAAACTCTCCCGCAAAGGCGAGGTGTCGGAGCTTTCACCCAATCGACCGCCTGCAAGGCCTTCAACTGAATCAAGCAGTGCCCGCGCATCAAGATCATGCCGCGAATCTTGAAGAGAATTGCTATCCAAATCGAGTCCTAATCCCGCAGAATTGGCAATCATCGGCTCCGTGTGAACTTGCTCTAATCCAGGCTCATTCATATCTAATTGAAGAATCTGTCGGCGAATAAACGCCTGGCGGACATCCGCAATACCGGCACGTCCTTTATCCTCGAGCCACACAAGAAGGTCCCAGGGTTCTGGCGAGAAGCTCATGCAGCGGACAGCTCCCCCAGCACAGCAATCTCTCGATGAGTTGAAATGGCAAATGATTGTGTTTTTCTCGGAAGGTGTGTCGCCGAGATTCTGAATGGTCCTGACGTCAAAGATGGTAATCACTCCGGATTGTGATCCAATGGCGCAGAGTCGATTAGACTGTGAGAACGCGATGGTAAAGCAGCATTTATCGTCGATTCTGGTGCCAATGTCCATTTCAGTACAGAGAAGCTGTGCCAGTTTCCAGCCACTAAGCTTCTCCCCAGCGTCGGTCGAACTAATATTACTGACATCACGAGTGACTCGATAGAAATAAGCCTTATTTTCATCACCAACAGCTGCCAGAATGGTCGAGTCGGGAGAAATGACGGCATAGTTCATGCACGCCGAGTGGCCGAGTTTCGTCAGGACCTTTGACCGGGTGAGCGAATAAATGGTGACTGTTTTGTCATTGTTACTGTGAGAGAATGATTAGCGGCAAACATGATTATATCAAGGCAATATGGTACCTCAGAACTGCAACATCTTCGTCCAAGAAGCCCGTTTCGTCGCCAGCAAGACGGTGAATTGTCACAGAGTTGACAATGCTGCCACCAAATTTGTGTAGCTGAACTTCTGGCAGCTGACTCGGACTTGATCCTGATGCCGTCTGTTCTGCTCCAGCCAGTATCCGAGGCGAGGTTCTCAGGGGAGATGCGAGATCAAATGGTAGAGCGCTATCGACGTCCGCCGATTGAGCAGCAGCCAACGTATCCTGGGAGACACGGGCATTCCGATCGGAAAGCTTTACAAAAGCACACTCGCCGTTGACGGTTCCTCCAACGCCAATCCAGCCATAGCCCGCCGCAAGACACTTTGGCTCAAACGGAATAACAGCGATTGTCTCTCGTTTTCGCGTCGAGATATGAATTGCATAAACCACCCGGTCGACGACAACGTATATCCTATCGGAATCGGTGGTGCTAATGTAGTGTCGAAGTTGTTGGTGGCTACAGGGCGTTAGCCTGCAACTCAAGCCGGTTGCATTATTGATAAAAGAAGGGGTGCGACAGACTAATTTGGTATTCTGAAAGGGAAGAAACGGCGTTTCGTTGGAAGGACAAGCGACTCTGTTGGGTGATACCTAAGAACAGGTGATGTGAGTTAGCAAGTTGGGGGAACACCCCGAGGGCATTGGGACTTTTGAGACTAACAACAGTGTTGGATCTGTAGTCATGGTGAGGAGACGGTCAAGATCACGGTGACATTGTTAAAGGGTGCAGCTGGAGGTAGACGCCGCTATTGCCAAAGCGAACAACAACGATTCAGACAGGCGATCACGATGACACAGCGACTTTGGGGCTTGAGGCGGCAATGATCGTGCTGTTCTAGAAGGTAACTTGCGTTTGGTGGAGCTTCGAGTTGTTACCCAAACGTCAGGGAAAGCTCAGCTACCTGAGACGTTGGAACGAGCCAGCTCAGTCCAACCCGGTTTGAGTCAAGGTCGCCGACTGGAGTGAGGTTGCAGCTATTCCTCTCTTTTCTTTTCCGGACTGTCTGCGACTGATCATGGGGGAAAAGAAATAAGATGCGAAAGAGCTTCCCCAGTCGTCGGGCCAGTATTATTGATGTTACGAGTTTGGAGTCAACGCCTGATGGATGTCGGACGGATGACGTAAGACTTGTTGCTCGATCCGGGGAACTTGCCAGAGGCGACTGCGGTCGAGTACTCCGTACAAGTCTCTTTCGAAATCCCACCAGTGGTGTGATCTTGGTTGGTTATAATCTGCTGCTGCGTATGACACGCTTGCAATGGCTCTGCTTGTTGGATCGCTTATACATCGCTGAAACAGTGGTTTTGCTCGCCAAATTGGGAACTTTGGCTCGCGCACAGGGTGCTCAAAGCAAATCCCGCGATGTAAGTGATCTTTCTTGCAGGACTATATATTTCCTAACCTAACACTGGAGTTGCATTACCAAGGATTGAGTTTATGATAGGAGTTATTCGAGAAGTGGAAGTAATGATCGAGAAACTCAATAATGTCAACTCGACGCGTTCAAATATATATTCCAAGGGGCGTTCTGACCGGAGCTTACAAGAGGTCAGCCAGCAAATCCATGTAAAAATCTCCGATACCTGAAGCACTAGTGGAATTGTTTAAATATGCAATCTCTGTTCCTACGAGACACGAATAAAAATAGAGACACCGGCCTTTTCGGCGTGGCGACTGCTTTCTGAAGTATACAAAATCCTGTCGGAGAAGAGAGAGAGTTCTGTAGAACACGCGGCAAAGCCTCGGTCGGATATGCGGATGAGCTTCAGGTCACGTGCGTATATGCGTGGCGTTGTTCGAGATTGAGAAGATACTGAGGAGGAAACTCAAGTCAAGTAAAGCTTCTAAGTCTTCAGCACCGTATCAGGAAGTGCTAGTACACCCGTTGAGAAGGGGTTATTTCGAATGTGCTGGTAGATACGACGTGAAAAGAACGTGGACATGAATCGAGCTGCCAGCCAGATCGGCATCCCAGGCGGTGCGGACAGAGAGCTTCCAGTATCAAGCTATGATTGGCCAACCCGGGTGATTCAGCGATTCTATTAAGTTCGACAGTCGACGACGGGCCGAAGCTCTCCGCGCAATTTCCACTAGTCCTCTTTGCCGTCTCCCTTTCCTTCGTCTTCCAAAAGGACGCCAAAAATTTTCTTGCTTCCTCAACTATTCCCCTTCACCTCTCGATCTCTTCGTCTTATACCCGCATCTCCATCCATTCTCTCCTATCGATTGAATCGACTGGAGCTCCTCCTATAGCCTTTTTAATTCCTGTATTATTTTATTTGCCTTTTCCTCCTAATCCCATCACAATGTTGTCATCTCGTCTCTCCCGCGCGGTAAGTCACCCCTGCATGCAGAGTCATCACTCAAGACATGAAAATCTGACTTTTCCCTCTTTCAATCAGCTTCCGCGCACTGCTCCTTTCGCTCGTGCTCCCGCATTCAGACTCCCTGGCGCCGCTGCCCGGAGATGGAACTCGACAGAGGAGAAGGTGAAGGGCCAGGTCATTGGTATTGACTTGGGTAAGTAACTGAGCTTAATTTTGATCGCAACGCGCCTCTAACGCGATTATCCAGGTACCACAAACTCCGCTGTTGCCGTCATGGAGGGCAAGACCCCTAAGATCATCGAAAACGTTGAAGGTACGTTGAGCTTGATGGCCGAGCTGCGCCGGAATGCCGGGCAGAAATTTCTTTTCGAACTTCGCTAACTTGACCTCAATAAAAGGTGCCCGCACAACACCCTCTGTCGTCGCTTTCGCCCAGGATGGCGAGCGTCTTGTCGGTATTGCTGCCAAGCGCCAGGCTGTTGTCAACCCCGAAAACACGCTTTTTGCCACCAAGCGTCTCATCGGTCGCAAGTTCACCGATGCCGAGGTTCAGCGCGATATCAAGGAGGTCCCCTACAAGATCATCCAGCACACCAACGGCGACGCCTGGGTTGAGGCTCGTGGCGAAAAGTACTCTCCCGCCCAGATTGGTGGTTTCGTTCTCAACAAGATGAAGGAGACTGCTGAAAACTACCTGGGCAAGCCCGTCAAGAACGCCGTTGTCACTGTTCCCGCCTACTTCAACGACTCCCAGCGTCAGGCTACCAAGGACGCTGGTCAGATCGCTGGTCTCAACGTTCTTCGTGTTGTCAACGAACCTACCGCTGCCGCTCTTGCCTATGGTCTTGAGAAGGAGGCTGACCGTGTTGTCGCTGTCTACGACCTTGGTGGTGGTACTTTTGATATCTCTGTCCTGGAGATCCAAAAGGGCGTCTTCGAGGTCAAGTCGACCAACGGTGACACCCACCTTGGTGGTGAGGACTTTGACATTAGCCTCGTCCGCCACATTGTCCAGCAGTTCAAGAAGGAGTCTGGGCTTGACCTCTCTGGTGACCGCATGGCTATCCAGCGTATCCGTGAGGCCGCTGAAAAGGCCAAGATTGAACTGTCTTCCTCTCTCCAGACCGAGATCAACCTTCCTTTCATCACTGCTGATGCCAGCGGTGCCAAGCACATCAACCTGAAGATGACCCGCGCTCAGCTCGAGTCTCTGGTTGACCCTCTCATCAACCGCACCATTGAGCCCGTCCGCAAGGCCCTCAAGGATGCCAACCTCCAGTCCAGCGAGATCCAGGACATTATCCTCGTCGGTGGTATGACCCGTATGCCCAAGGTTACTGAGTCCGTCAAGTCCATGTTTGGCCGCGAGCCCGCCAAGTCGGTCAACCCAGATGAGGCTGTCGCCATCGGTGCTGCCATCCAGGGTGCCGTCCTTGCTGGTGAGGTCACTGACGTTCTGCTCCTTGACGTCACCCCTCTGTCTCTCGGTATCGAGACTCTCGGTGGTGTCTTTACTCGCCTGATCAACCGCAACACCACCATCCCCACCAAAAAGTCCCAGACCTTCTCTACTGCTGCCGACTTCCAGACTGCTGTCGAGATCAAGGTCTTCCAGGGTGAGCGTGAGCTCGTCAAGGACAACAAGCTGCTCGGAAACTTCCAGCTTGTTGGTATCCCCCCGGCCCACCGTGGTGTCCCCCAGATTGAGGTCACCTTTGACATTGATGCCGACTCCATCGTCCACGTCCACGCCAAGGACAAGTCCACCAACAAGGACCAGTCCATCACCATTGCCTCTGGCTCTGGTCTCTCCGACTCTGAGATCCAATCCATGGTCGAAGATGCTGAGAAATACGGTGCTCAGGACAAGGAGCGTAAGGCCGCTATCGAGGCTGCCAACCGCGCCGACAGCGTCCTGAACGACACTGAAAAGGCCCTCAAGGAGTTCGAGGACCGCCTCGACAAGGCCGAGGCCGAGCAGATCCGTGAAAAGATCAACACCCTGCGCGAGTTTGTCGCTAAGAACCAGTCTGGCGAGCTTGCTGCCACCGCCGAGGAGCTCAAGCAAAAGACTGATGAGCTCCAGACTGCCAGCTTGACCCTCTTCGACAAGATGCACAAGGCCCAGTCTGAGCAGCAGCAGCAGCAGCCTCCCCAGGGCGAGTCCGGCCAGGGTGAGAACAAGCAATAAATGTACCACCACCATCAATAACCGCCACATTTAACCGCAAGGTTAATAATGGCGATCTTTTGTATTTTTTACCATCTCCTTTTTTTGCGATTTTCTAGATATCTCTTTCCCCTTCTCTGACTGTTTTAACCTGCATTCTATGTATACATACTTTATGACCTGCTTCATGGGTCGTTTGTCTCGGTGTACGGGTGTTTTATTTTACTGTTTTTCTTTTTTCTTTTTCTCTTTTATCCCCGCATGGCTTCATACCCTTTGATCGGGCAAGCATACTGATTTCTCCGGGGAGCAACCATTGGATGGGATGCCTACAATTTGTAACTTAATGACATTACGGCTTGGGACCACAAAAGCGAATCGGACGTGGTGGACTTGGAGCATGTGTGATAATAGAACAGGAAATTCTCCTCTCGATTCAACAAAGTTTTTAATTTCAGTTTGTAACTTGATTTGATTTCGAAGGTTTATGATAGCACTCGGAAGGCTCCGTTCAGATGCCTGAGCCTCGATGCTCTGACACAGATTTGATGTTAGCAGCCTTCGTGTCTCAAACCAACTGGGGAACTACCATTAGGACGATGCCTTTTCGATGCCTTTTTGGTGTCGTGTTGGCCTTGCCAGCTGTTCAGTGCCAAAGCGAGTCTAGTCCACATTCAGATTCTTCTACTTCAGAGCGCTTCTGAAGCATTCCTGTTGGATTGTTTCAAGGGGGTCAAGTCTCGAGTGGGGAGCCGTCCATATGCAGGAGCGTATACATTTTGGACTTGTCGCCCTCTGCGCTCGTCTACCCAACCTAATCGATTGAGTTTTGGCCCTCTGAACAGCCACATTGCACCAGGCTAGAACACCCGGAAATGTGCGAGCAGCCTTTACGAATGCTGCGACACTCGCCAACACGAACAGATCCAACAAGATGGGCCAAGAAACATTCTGATTGTGCACGGAGCATTGCCGTTGAAGACAATGTAGATTAGGTACTTGTGCTCTTATCGGCAGCGCACCATCAGGGTGGCTCTTCTCCACTGGGAGACTTGCAGCAACAGTGCAGCTGAGGAGCAAATCATTGCTGTACACAAATGCAAAGAGTCCCAAACTCCAAAACTCACGAGACGAGATTGGGAAGAATCAGCACACCTCCTCAGCACATCATCGTCCTCGGCTGTGAGGATGATTGCAATTATCGAGTCCTCTTTGCTATTCGCTTGAGAATGAATTGATTATTGCTCTTGAGCAAAGCCAGCCCTGTGAGTCTGTGGGAATTAATTTGGTTGATCATTTAATAATAAACCGCGGAAATCCACTGGCTGGCAACTGGATTTTTGTGGTATTCTCCACTTGGGATATTACACAATTTCCAGTAAACATCTTTCTCTTGAAACATTCCGTTGCTTTCTGAGGACTTCCTGGAGAGAACCTTGGAACACTTGGTTTCTTGAAGATTCAACTGAGTAGTCATGCACTCCACACCTGCAGCACTCCGTTGTCGTCAAGGGAGGCTTCCACTGACCTCCGTCTCCTCTCATTTAAAGTGTTACATATTGTGTAGTAGATCATCGACCTCCCATTGGCTCCCAGCGACTAAAAATAAATAAAACACTGTAACAAAATTGTTGAGCCGGAACCTGGTCAAATTATTTACCTTTTGCTCGCCTGGCTTTGGTTGGCTTGTTTGCTGCCGCCTCATTCTTGGAGTCTGTCGATGTACCTATCAAAGTACTCTCCAGGTACCGTGGCTTGCCTGTGACAAGATGCGCGATATTAATTGCTCCATTCAGGCGGTTCTGTTGAGTTGACTTGTGTGTTTGTCACTAGTGCGACAGTGGTGGGTTCCTCGAGAAACCCCCTATTGAGCCTTTGAAACTCGGTTCACACCAGCAGCGCACATCCAGCATCCGGGTTGTCTCGCTGAGTAGGATGCTGGTGACGGGTGGGATGCTGAGATGGTCGGCCTGCAGAAGCATTGCTGTAAGACGACTTGCAGTGCTTGGCTTGGACTTGTGGGAGGGAGTGTGTTGAGAGTAATATTGACAATTATTACTACATCTGATACTGGGGCTCACTAGTGCAGATTCTATCCAGTTTATTTCATGGGCTTGTTTGACCGCAGACTCCTACTGGCCTGAGGGGCCAGACTAGTGGTGTTTAGCCCATGCCTTAGTCTGCAACTGTTGTTCCAATCGATCGCCCGTGAGACTTGTTTTCGCTCTCTTGTTGTCTCGATTTCTCGACTCTCTTGGCACAGGGTCTTTTTTTCCTTGGGTCTTTTTTCCCTCTTTCCCTCTTCTCTTGCTCTTCAGTCCTCGATCCAGACGCCCAAGCCGGCCAGTAAGAACTCCCTTGCAGTGTTTATCTGCCACTCGCAATCCTTCGATTGATCTGCTGGTCACACACCTACGCGACAGAGGAGACACGGGAAATTCTCCTACTAGTCTTCTCGCAAGAGAGAACAAGAAAAACGGGCAAGGTGCAGCGCGCTAGCACTTTGTTTTTCTCTCTTACAGCGGCAGTGACATCCAGAGTACCTCGTCCTCGCTCTATGTAAGTACCATTGAGCTCCTCGGCCTGTCGCCCTCGAAGCCTCCCCGCTCTCTCCTGCATATCGCCATATGTAGCTACATTCACGTCTCTGCTTTGATTCCTCCGGACTGCTAGTCTCCGCCAGCTCTTGCTTCTTGCCTCTTGTTTGCTTCTTGCTCGCTCCCTCTTCTTTCTATACAAATCCCCCTCAACTCCTCTGTTTGCCACCTCTATCTTTCCCCGGATTGATCATCATCACCTGCCTTGTGCTGCTGCAGGTCAACAGCTGAAACGCAGTACCACTAACTCTTTTAGCCCTCTCTCTCTCTCTCTCTCTCTCTCTCATTCTCTTACCATGACAGTTGCTGCACCTCCTCCTGTGCCCCCTGTGCACGAAAATGGAATGAATGGCAGCATCCCCGGGCACCATGTCAACCTCAGTCTCCCTCGATTTCACCCCATTGCCATGAACCCCGGCCAGCCAGTACCCCCCGAGTCCATGATGCACGGCCACCAGCACTATCGACCCTACCCTCCACCTCCTCCAATGTCAGAGCAAGGTCCGCCGGTCCCTCCAGGCCCACCGACACCGCACGCACCCCCGGGTATAGATCACATTGAGGCCCGTCTGAGACAACTGGAACATGAAGAAGCTGCTCGTATGGCGGCTCGTAGCCACCTGCTTGCTATCCGGAAGCGAGAGGATGAGGAATTCCGTAGGATGACCGAAAACGCCGAGGCAGAAGAAGAGGTAATGCATCTTGCTATATTATCTAACCTTTGTCTGACATATTTCTCGTCCAATTAGGAGCTGCGTAGGCAACGGAAACGATTGAAGCGGGAATCAATGGGCCTCTATAATCCGAGTTTGGAATCCCCGCCTCTTCGTCCTACGCCGCCGCGCCGTTTGTCCGAGACAAATGCAGCCACCACCCTCGCCTATTTCAAGCAACAAACACCCCCGGAACCTCGTACCATTGCTCATCCGCCCCCGCCGCAAGCACAGATCCCTCCTCCACACCCTCAACAACAACAACAACAACAACAACAACAACAACAACAACAACAACAACCTCAACACATGCATCATGATCCTACTGGCGCCGGCTCGATTCGACGGAAACAAAAATATACAATCAAAAACGTAGAAGCGTGGGGAGAGCGCCACGGCAGACCAGCTGCGCACGACCCGTCAGGAAGGGCTCTCTGGAAGCGCCCCTCGGACGGTAGTCTAGTCTACCTGACCTGCCCCGTATCGGGCTGCGGCAAGGCCGACTTTGTGACGCTCCACGGATTCATGTGCCACCTCACAAAGAAGCACAAGGACCGCAGCCTAGGCAGCCAATCCCGCGCCCTCGAGGTCTGTGGCGTCGTCTACGACCCCAGCACACCTTTACCTCCCGTCCCCAACGGAAACCGCGCCTCGACAGAAGAGTCACGCCTCGACTCAGCCGCCGACCAAGAAGGGTACCCGCAGGACATGGAATACTCCTCTGCATCGGACAACGAGAGCACCGGGCACTCCATCCCCGTCGTCAAGACCGAGGCAACCGATAAACCGCTTCCCCCTCCTGCCCTCCTAACTCCCTCCGAGGAATACCCTCCCCCGGCGCCCAAGATAAACGGCTCCACCAAGCACTCCATCTCCTCACTCATCGACCGCGACCCTGAACATGAGCCTCGAGACCGCACAGTCTCCCCTCTCCCTCCTCTCTATAGCGCCGCCGCGAATCCCGAGCCGGTGCCGGTGCCGACTCCCCAGGCTGGAGCTGGTCTCTCTGGGCCGCAGGAGTCCGACAAGGAGGCTGTTGAAAGAGAGGAGGGCAAATAAAAGTTTAAAAGCCCTAATACGAAAGAAAAATAACTACATACGATGCCACGGGGATAGTGGAGCAGATTCTGCAGCGCCTTCCTCCAAGTTGCATCTCGAAATCTTGCATATGTCCGAGAATCAGCATGTTGAGCTTCTAGGTCAATACCCTACTGTTACGGTATACTAGGTGGGAACTCTGTACTTCTCACCTCTAATATATAATGTTTGACATACGGCTATTCCTCTCACTACCTGCACCTACCACCTGCCATCTACTGAAATATGGACCATGTATCCATAGCCATTGCCATAAACTATAACCTTATCATCTATGTCTATCTAATCGATCTAATTCTACCTTATCATTGAAGCCCAAAATATCCGATATATACCATGCTCTAGTCCTTCAATAGCAACGCATGAACCAAATACCCACTCCCACTCCCCAACTTCCCACCAAGCACACCCGAACCGACCCTCCAAACCCGAAACACGCGCATTGTCTCCCGTAGCCAGGCCTCAAAGACATCAGGAGACCGCTGCTGCTGTGCGATGATGCATATCGTCGGCTTCCTAGTCTTTCTTGAAATGGTTCTGCGCAGAGCTGAGATCTCAGCGCATGTCCGCACAAAGGGGGCGATGAGAGCTTCGTTGTAGATGCAGTCGCAGGAGATGAGGAGGTCGAACCCTGTATCCGTGTTTGAGGTTTCGTCATAATCTTCATCCTCGAGGGTGGGAATCTCCTGCCGTAATCGAGCCGGGTCATCAAGTTCCCAGTCCAACGAAGTAAATGTGATATTCGGATGCAGCACAGCAGAGCCAGAGCTGTCCGTCTTGGACTTACCCTTCTGCTGCTGCTGCTGTTTCCGCCCCTTCCCCTTCGAACCCGGCCCGGGCTTCTGACTCTGCTGCAGCGGCGGATTACTCTCCAGATTCTGCCGAAACAGCCGAGCCACGTATTCCTGGTCCGTGGCCAAGTAGTGCCCAACCAGCGGGGCGAGGGCAAGCGCCGTGAGGCCTGAGATTCCGCAACCCAGTTCCACGACGGCGGAGTTGCGGTTGAGATGTGCGGATGTCCAGAGTGGGTTTGTGGACATGTTGGAGAGCCATTCTGCGAAGAGGGGGGTGATTTTCCAGAGGACTGTGGTCTTGTTAGCTTTGATTGCTGTAGCCTTGGGTATGCGATGTAATGGGATGCCGGTGAATATACAAGAGTGGCTGCGTACATACCTGCGCCTGTTGTACCTCCGGCCCTAGACGACGAGAGAAGAGTGGGAGATTGATGGATCGTGTAGTCCTGATCGTGGATTGTGATGTCGACCGTCGTGGCCTTTGAATCGACGAAGCCTAGATTGGAGGAGGGAATATCCTGCGAGAAGAGCAGAAAGGATTCTGTATACTAGGTATCAACACAGATCCACATGAGCCTATCGCAGAATATGTATTCAGCGATGGATGGACATACCCTCGTCAGCATCTTCCACCTCTTGGCCGATTGAGGAGAGAAATGTCAATAGGTCTTCCATGTCGTCACTCGAGATGCAATAAGGTTTATTCAGAAGAGATGATCCCGTATTCTGGAAAGAAATGCCGACATCTTGTCTGAGCTCTGCGATGAGGCTTTTCGTCGAGTGAGAGATCAGAGGCTACGATTGGCCGGCAGGCGTGGGGTACGTTAGTAATACGAGCTCTGAGCCTCTGAGGGAGCCGCTGGTCACATGACAGGCTATTCCTGGAGCACTGCAGAAAGAACAAATAACAAAGCTCCAGGCATGGAATACTTGTCTCAATTTCCTGTTGTCGTTCCAAGAACCGCAATATATTGAGCATCATTTACTGCGGATCATGCGGCCGAATATCGAGGCTCCGACTGGCTCCTTTATGTGGTGCAGATCTAGCACAGTTCGAGCCGGCGTTGGGGCTAAAATTCCCAACAGAAGCTCTCTCGCGAATGAGATGCAGTCGGGGGGAGAGATGACTTCCGAGCGCCATGTTCCCTGGAGGAATAAACGAAGAATCAGAAGCTCACGACCAGGGATGTTCTCGCGCGGAACCGCGGTAACCTGGTGGGTTGAAAGGGAAAGTTTTTGGGGGTGTTTCTGGGCATCTGGGCGCAGCAGCCGAAGGATTATCTGGGGTTTTACAACCGGACAAAGCAGGACAACGTCTTGCGAGATCTACAAACATGAGAGAAACTCCGTAGCTGTTCATAAAATTAGATGGATACGGAGTAAGTACACAATGACGGAAGCTCCTGGACCAGAGAGGAAGCTCCCTGAACCTGAAACTACGGGGACAGGGAAAGAGCTCAGGCCGCTGCCCAGCCACCAAGGAGGAGCACGGCCAGTGACTTCATCCCACGGCAGAACCTCGTCTCGCTCGGAGTCTGGCACCGCAACCCAGTCCGGCCAGTCCAGACACTTTCTCCCTCTCACACACGAGACACAGCTTCATCAAGCCTCGTTCCTAGCTAGCTCCTTAGCCTTTTGCCCCCCTCTCCCACGGTTCTCGAGCAGTGTCAACAACCCCTTTTTTAAACCACCACCTGCCCCCGCATTTTCTGATCCTCCCTTCCGTCATCTCCAACTTCCAAGCTTGCCGCTCTCCAACCATTTTCCTTCCGCAGCACCACCCCTTCACTGAGCATTCAGCAACTGGCGATAGGTCAAGCTGCTGCCTGTACGTTTACCTGTGCCAGTCGTCTCTTTAGTCTATTTCTGACAGTTTCTCCTGACTTAGATTGGCCTTTACTTCTTGTTTCCCCTGGTGTAACCGCTCCGCGAAGCCTCCGCAAAAATGTCGCCAAAGGACACCGTCGTCTACCCGCGCATGACGAAAAAGCCTCCCTTTACCGTCGAGGTTCCTGGCGTCGAACCTGTCCCTGGAGAGACCATCCCCCGTCGCCATCCCGCCGCCAGGGATGGCCTCATTACGCGACCAGCCGATGACCTCACAACCATCTACGACGCCTTTCGTCGCTCGGCGCGCGTCTACGGCAATGCCAAGGCAGTGGGCAGCCGTCGCCTCATCAAGACGCACGTCGAGACTAAAAAGGTGAAGAAGATTGTTGACGGAGTCGAGCAAGAGGTGGACAAGCAGTGGACGTACTTTGAGAAGAGCGCCTACTCCTACAAGAGCTTCGTAGAGTATGAGAAGCAGGCGCTGGAGCTTGGCAGTGGTCTGCGGAAGCTCGGACTTACGAAAGTCGATAAGCTTCACCTCTACGGTTCAACTAGGTGTGTTGATCTCCGAAACTATTAGTTAATGCAAGCGCTGACAGTAATTGACAGCGAAAACTGGCTGGCCATGTCGCACGGTTCGTTACCCACCTTTGACCTCAAGTCTTTATGCTAACCACTGCCTGCGATAGCGGCCGCCTCTCAGTCCCTGACCATCGTTACCGCGTATGATACCCTCGGCGAGGAAGGACTGTCGCACTCTCTGGTGCAGACCGAGAGTAGCGCCATCTTCCTGGATCCCGCCCTTATCAACTCGTTGACCAATGTTCTGGGCAAGGCGAAATCCATCAAGCATGTCATCTACAACTCCGCCGAAGACCTCAAGCAGGAAGACTTGGACCGGTTGAAAAAGGAGCACGAGCATGTCAACATTATAAGCTTTGAAGATCTGCGCAAGTCGGGCGAGGAAAACCCCGCGGAGCCCGTTCCCCCGTCTCCAGAGGACGTGTGCTGCATCATGTACACATCCGGCTCTACGGGCCCGCCAAAGGGTGTACCTCTTACTCACGCCAATGTCGTTGCCGCAAGTATGTTCTCTCAAATCGATCTGCCTATATTCAAGCTAACTGTATAGTGGCGGGAATCAACGTGATCATCGGTCCGTATATCACACCGTCAGACGCCTTGCTCACGTACCTCCCCCAGTCACATATCCTCGAATACATCTTTGAGAATCTGTGTCTCTTCTGGGGTGGCACCATGGGTTACGGTAACCCCAAAACTCTTTCGGATACCTCCATGAAGAACTGCAAGGGCGACATTCGCGAATTCAAGCCCACTATCCTTGTCGGTGTTCCAGCAGTCTGGGAGTCGGTGAAGAAGGGTGTTCTCAACAACTTGAACAAAAACAGCGCTCTCGTCAAGAGTCTGTTCTGGGGCGCCATGTCGATGAAGAACTTTTTGATGTCTACAGGCTTACCAGGTGCTTGGTTCCTCGACAACGTTATCTTCAAGAAGCTTAAGGAGGCTACGGGTGGCCGCCTGCGGATCATGATGAACGGAGGTGGTCCTGTTTCCAGGGATACCCAGAAGTTCCTGTCCATGGCTATTGCTCCCATGGTTGGCGGCTACGGATTGACTGAGACAGCCGCCATGGGCGCTCTAAACGACCCAGGGGCCTGGAACCCCAACGTTCTGGGTGAGCCCCCAGCCTGCATTGAAGTCAAGCTTGTCGACTTTGCAGACGCCGGCTATTTCACCAAGAACACCCCGCCGCAGGGAGAGGTCTGGATCCGCGGAGGCAGTGTGACAACCCACTACTTTAAGAACGAAGAGGAGACCAAAAACGCGTACACTGCCGACGGATGGTTCATGACTGGCGATATTGGCGAGTTTGACAAGAACGGCCACCTCCGCGTCATCGACCGCAAGAAGAACCTTGTCAAGACCCTCAACGGCGAGTACATTGCCCTCGAGAAGCTCGAGTCTGTGTACCGCTCTTCACCCGTCGTCGGTAACATTTGCGTCTACGCTGCTGAAGACCAGGACAAGCCGGTTGCCATTATCGTCCCCGTGGAAATTGCGCTCAAGAAGCTCGCCAGTGAAAACGGCATCGAGGGCGACTCGGTCGAGACCCTCGTCCACAACGAGAAGCTCAAGTCTATTGTCCTCAAGCAGCTCCAGACTCTTGGCCGAAACAGCGGCCTCAGGGGCATTGAGATCATCAACGGAGTTGTCCTGTCAGAAGAAGAGTGGACTCCTCAAAATGTATGTCCTCCTCATTCTATTCTGTACGCAACACGCTAACCAAAATTTAGGGCTTCACAACCGCCGCCCAAAAGCTGCAACGCAAGAAGATCGTCGCCAAGTTCCAGAAAGACATCGACCGCGCCTACGGAAAGAACTAAACCATCACGGAACAAGTTATGCACGTCTCTTTTCCGGGTTTCGGCTCCTCCTTCTGTCTCGAATATACCACACACACACTCATAACGCTGGTCCGATTGATTGAAATGATGCCCTAAGCCACGAAATGATCCCTCCAGCTCTCTGAACACCCACAATATACCTTTTTGCTTTTGTCTCATGTCTTTGCTGTTCTCTTGTGCGATTAGTACTTTACTTCTTTACGTTACTTTACGTACTTTACTTCTACTCATCAGTTGAACAATCCAATGTATGTTACTTACTTGCATCTCGCCCATGTCTATTATCGACAAAGTATATGCCTTAATTATTATATTATTCTATCCTGTCTCCTCTCTTGGGGTAGATTGATCACTGCCTCATTGGTGATTTGTATACAAAGCACTGAAATAGAAGGCGGAAAGTTCTGGCAATACTCAAAAAGAAGGAGCGACGAAGAGCCCCCAAGCGGGAGGCAGGTCCGCTTTTTTCCCTCTATGAAGCACGGTGATAACAACTCTCTTCAGGAGGAACGAGCGACTGTCTACCTAGCTACACGGCACCTGCTTAGACCAAATCTCGGAGAAGGAACTATACGCCTAAGCGCGCGAGAGCGAGAGTCGAAATTGAAATTGAGACCATTGCGAGACGACCGAAGCACACCATGTCTCTCTGGAGGTTCGTTTCCCCATCTCAAGGAAACGCAATGCTTCTTTCCCTCCGATTTTATCCTACAGCAGCACAAGCACTAATTACTCAAGTCAAGCAAAGTCACTAACTCGAATCTTCTCTCCAGCTCCTACAAATCCCTCACCCCCAAAACGCGCGCGCTATTCGGGGTCGGCGTGATCGCCTGGGCATCGATCGGTCTCTGGACGTCGTCCCAGGTTGAGGAGGCGATGGGAATGGTTCCGACGGCGGCGGAGCAGGCGGAGCTGGATCGGAAGTTGGCGATTCGGGTTTCGAGGGTGGATAAGGAGTGAGTGAGGAGGGAGGGTTGAAACTGTGAACTTGACTTGATGGGGATAATGGTAAATGCTCAATTGTCTACGATTGAAGGGGAATTGCAAATCGGCTACAAATGACCGGAAAATGGGGAAGGGTAATGGGATTGAGGCAGCTTGAGGCAGCCCTTTCTTTGCCGCTGGTATTTGGATCGTCTCGGTGCAGGCTCAGAGCGTTGCGCCGCGGACTCCGGAGAGAGGCATGACGATCAGGCTCCGGCGCTAGGGTAAAAGAGCTAAGGGTCTGCGCGAGCGCCAGTTGTCTCGGACTTGTTGAAGGCAAAGGGCGGGACTAGCCCTCTCGTCCCTTTGTCTCCGGTCCTGCGGACAGAGGTGCCGCGTGTCGTGCCTGGCTGGTCGGAGGTTTGTTGGCGCAACACAGCGTCCGGGAATAGCCGTTCGTGGAACAGAAGACCGATGCATGAATTGTCTGACATGAATAGAGTCTAACTCTGGCGGAGAGTTTGCGGGAGGGCATTCGCCTCGTTTCTCGGAGTATTTTTGTGTTAGAACCTCAGAAACGAGGCTTGTCTCTGAAAACCCAATCCAAGAAAGTCAAAAAAAAGTCCGTGGCGGGGTCGTCGAGGATCAATCAGTCCGGATTGCAATTGGCCTCCTTACTGGGCTTTTTCAGCAGTCGGTAACGAAAGTAAGGCCCTTTCGTACAGTAAATACACATACAGCTGCCTTTCGCCTACGCCCATCGGCTCTCGTAATCCAAGACGGACAGAGTCCAGGGTCATCACATCGAAATCCGAGTCTCCCGAGACCGGGATCGACGGGTTGACAGATATCATGTACTCCGTACAAGGGTCTGCTCGGGTCCAATTTCCCATCCAGAGGCTCAAGCCCCCAATCGTCTCGAAGATCGCAGTGGGGGCTGGAGTCTGGGATAGTCAGGGTACGTCAGAAAGAAGCAAGAGCAAGGACGTAAACAAGTTATCTGGGTGGGCTCCGACGAGCAGTGACTGGATGCAACGGTTACACGGCAGGATTTATGATTCCTGGGGTTGCCTTTCTCAACGGCAAGCGGGAGCGTTGTCGCTGGCCACAATAGGCAAGCAATCTTCTGTTGACAGCCGGCGGGCCTGCACGTCGCGCGCCTGATTCATTCACTTGGGACCGGGTCCATGACAACCCTCCCCAACCACCACCCACCCACCACACCCCTTGTACGACGTGCATAGAGTGGACCATCTCCGGAAGGGTAGCTGCATCACGAGTCTCTCTCTCCACTCTCCTGCCTCCAACACTGACACTAACACCAGATTGCCGCTGAATGGAGCGAAGCCGACGTGTTGGGTTTAGCATCGCCAAGTCGCGCTGAGCTGAGCTGCAAAAGGCCTTACTCATAGGCATGGATGAACCCTCTGGCGCGCGACAGCAGACTCCACACCCAGATCGCCAAATGGGCGGCAGCCGACGAATTCGCCCAGGCGCAGGATTGATTATTCGCAGTCCGTCTGTCTGTCTGCTGGGCTGGGCAGCCCCTGCCTGTGAAGGAAGGCTGGAGGCTGAGAGCCTCTCTCTCTCTCTCTCTCTCTCTCTCTCCCTCTCGCTGTCGCTGTCGCTGTCGCTGAGCAAGCCAAGCGCCGCCCCTCGGCCCCTGAGCGGAAATGTGTGTGAAGTCTGTCCGAAAAGGGATCAGATCAGATCGGGCTAACGGCCTAGGAGCGGGGCGAGGTGGCGTCTAGGGAGCGAGTCGAGTGAGTTGAGCGGACGGGCGATGGTCAGGAAATAACAAAGACAAAGAAAGGCGAGGAGCAGAAACTGTGGGGGCCGCTATTAAACGCGGCAGAGAAACGTACTCATCGGTAACGGTGAAACCGTAGCTAGCATTGGACAGGATAGCTCACAATCTTGGAATTGGTATTGAGGCTTGAGCACCGAAAAGTGACAACAGACGGAACGTGCCGAAGAAAAGCAGTGGGACCCATCGAGGGATTGAGGAACGGACCAGGCCAACTAGTGCCGAGTGTCAGCAGGCAGGAAGGCTGCCCATAGGCCGAGTGGACGAACAGTCTCCAGGCTCTGGGCTGACTATCGCGAGGATCACTGTACGCCTGGTCGATCCCCGACCAGAGCATTGGTGGTCGCTGCAGATCTGCCACGCTAGGCGGATTCCGAGATGTCTCAGAGGCTAGAGGCTGGCAAGTGAAGATTGTGATGGGCGTGGCGTCGCTGGAAAAGAGAAAAGAAGCAGTGAGTCAGTGTCGGTGTTAGTGACAGGGGTGGGGGGGAAATGAAGATGGGAGCAGATGAGGAAAGAACGAGCGGAGGGCGAAATGAGGGACGAGCAGCAGCGACGAGGAAAGGGCCCAAGCCTGAAGCAAATCTCCAGCTCGCTGCAAAATGGGCTCGAAAGGGACGGATTTTATTCCATTGGGACGATTTGCGACCAGGCCAGCCTCTGGATTCTGAAAATAGTGAGTGAGTATTATTATTATTATTCTCTCCCTCATTTGCACGTGCTCCTCAGAGTCTCAACCCAGAAAAAAAGAAATCAAATCCAGCATACCAACAATGCCCCCAGCTTGTCTATCGGTAGCTAATTCATTTTTGTCGCTGCTGCTGCTGCTGCTGTTGTCCTGGTATTATTCCACCTCATCACTCGCATGCTCCTATCCTCTCTCAGGAGTGGGGAAGAAGATTCAATAAGATTCGACCGTAAGAAGAAAGTAAAAAAAGTCCAAAGAAGCGAAAGCAAATAAGAAGAAGCTAGAAAAGTCAAAGAACCCAGGTCTTGGCCTCAAAGGAGCGAAACTACTGAGCTTAGCAATCTCACTGTGTGGGGATGGGATTGGATCATGGCCGTCAGTTGGAAAAGGAGCTCGAGCCGGGCATTCTATTTGTCACTTCGAGAAAGACGGTGAAGGCTGTGCCAAGCCGAAAATAATAATAAAAAAAAAATGAAGAGAAGAAAAAGAAATGAAAAAGCGAAAGCAAGATACAAAAGTTACAATCGTCAGTCTCATTTTTCATCCGTTCAAGTAGTTACCTGGTTGTTGGAACAATACAGCGACGAGAGGTAAGGGGGTGTCCAACACACAGTCAGACACACCCACACCCACATCCACATCCACACCCACACACAAACACCACACGCAGACGAGGAGGGCAAGGAGAGAGGAAATCATCAAGTGCAGAGGCTGTGAGTGTTGGGAAGCCGGCCGTAGGGACTGTTCCCATTCGCCGACCGTGCAGAGTAGACAGCGTCATACGCCCCCGGACTGGCATGGTAGCCCTGTGATGCCACACGCGGCGGGTGTTTGAGGAAATGAGGCTCTCCCGAGTCGCTCGAGACCATCGACGCAAGTGAATCGTAAGCCTCGGAAAAGCTTGTTCCAGAACTCTCGCTCGCTCTCGATACCGGGTCGTATTCAAAGGGCGGGAGGTGCGTACGAAAATGATTGTCCTTTCGTCCATCCATCATTCCATAGCCCGAGTCTTGGTAAGAATCCATGTTCGGCGTGGTTTTGATGTCCATGGGGTCCAACGAGTCATTCATCATACCAATGTCAAATGTGGAGGACGACGACGAGGATATATGTGGACTCGCGCTGAGTGGTGAATGATCGGCCGTCATTTGGTGGTGGTAGTCTGTCCTGTACCCGCCGCCGCGTTGACCCGAGTCATACGGCATGAGGGCAAGGTGTTGAGACCGTGAACCGTGCCCCCCAAGGCTGCCTGGTAAGACAGCCCCGCCGCTGCCATCCCCGGCACCGCCGCTCCCTGGGTCGGGCCCCATGCTTGTGGAACTATCTCGCCGACCATCTTTATAGTGTCCAGGAGAGCGGCCCCGAACCACCATTGGGAATGACAGTTTCCGGGCAATCTTGACCCACTCACTACCTCCAAGAGAACCCGTAATTTCAGCATACAGGTCAACAACCAGATTGTAATATTGTTGCTGGGCGCGCCGTTTCCCGTTGTTAGCGGTCGCTTTCTGAAACTGTATGCGTTCAAAAGTGTGCTGTGTAGGAGGCTGCGATTGCTGCGCGTACGCTGCGTTGTACTCCATAGACATCCCGGTTGGCTGAGACAGTAACTGGAAGCCATGCTGACCCGTGGTTGAGCTTGATCCGAGACTCGGAACCATGCCTGTTGGTGGTGAGGGCTGTAGTACGACTCGTTGAGGCGGCCTTTCTGACTGTTTGTCGCGTTTTGGGGTATGTTGCACTAGCTCCCGGACTTCATTATGCTGCGCGTTCACTATCGCTGATATCGACATGGAAAACTGGTGAATCTTCTCCGATCTTCCCTCATATTTGAGGTAAAAGTTGCCATGTGCTGGAGGGTTGAACGAGAACGAACAAGAGATTGAAAAATAGTTTCGCCGATAGCAGGTCCATTTGTCGTCAACTTGGAAAAACCCTTTGTGGATCTTTGCTCCGATCTCTGGCCGAACGATTTGATTTCCTGAGATGACCGAGACCAGGCTGTTGGTATCATGGAAAGGCGGCGCATCTGGAATGGGCGGCGCCACGCGCTGTGTATGTTCCATGTATAGATGTGGAGGGAACATGAGATTTGCGCGATCCATGGAGCACTCGAGCGCACGAGGAGTCGTATATGGCCCGGGCCTAGAAATATCACTGATACTGCTAATGGGCGGAAATTGGGCCCTGGGGATTGTGTATACCCCGGGGTAGCTGTCGTTTCTTCCTAATAAAGATGGATTTCCCGGCGATGGAACAGTGGACGACATTCCAGTTGGTGGTGGTTGCCTTGATGAGATTCTGTTAATCGGTTGCTGCACGAAATGGGGTTGACTAGACATGAGGGGCTTACAGTGCACGATGAGATCTAAAATCTGGCATTCTCTCGTATATGCCAGATGAATGTGAGTAGAGGGACCCTGATGCTGGCGAAAAAGAGTCTGTAAGAGGAAATGAATACGGCGAGCGAATTAGCGAAAATGCACAACTCTTTCGAACCCTAGGTCGTGAGAGGGAAGCGACGAACCGGAACAAGAATCGGAGGGGCTCATGAGCAGTGTGGGAGAAGTTCCATATCTAAGAAGAGCATCCGCGTCAGAAAACAACCACTTCACCAGAAACCTTTGCGCAAGTAGATGCTGGAAGAATTTGACCGACACATCACGAGTATGCAGCATAAGCGTCAGAGTCGAAGGGAAGCCGCAGATATAATTGCACGTGCATACTGGACGATCGAGCAGTTTAAGCAGGAAGCGGACGTGGTTGAAAGTTTGCGATCGAGGGAATGAATAGACAGGCAGGTGGAGCAGCAGCAGCAGCAAGAACAAGTCAAGTACAAAGGAGAAGCAAGCCGATGAGGCGAGGCAGCAGAGAGCAGCTATCCAGGCGGTTCCAAAGTGGAAGAGAGGCTTGTGACTAGTGGCTGCAAGCTGGCGAGGTGGAGCACGAGGGTGGTCCAAATCAAAAGACACAACTTACGGTAAATCCTGCATCGCAGACTGCTGTGTGTTGTATCTCAAGCCGTTGGTGGCCGGTATGGGGACGTTGCCGACAACACCACTTCGTCGATGGGTGTTGTCTTCGTCGTCCATGGAAAACCCCGAGGGACCGGAGAAGTGTCGCTGGGAGGCAGCAGAGTAGTCGGCGTCGGTGGTGATCGGACCATCCAAGAAGGAACTCTGCAGCAGCGTCGCTGGGATGAAGAATTGTGATCAGACCAAGTCAAAGGAAATATAACGTCAAACAAATAGGAAAAAGCAAAGTAAGAAACAGTATTACAGGAAAAACAAATACCACAAAATCAATAATCGGAAAGCAGAGGGAAAAAAAGAAAAACAGGCGCGAGGCTATCGCTCCTTCGCTGGCCGAAACTGAAATAGGGTCCCATCCTTGTCAGGCAAGGATGATACATACATACATGCGCGAAATCTCGATATTAACCAGGACAATGAGATGGAAAAATTGGGGCAAAGGACAAAAAAAACGAGATATTGTGTAACCGGAGAGCAAGCTCATGGAATGCCAGAGGTCCAGCACAACCAACGTCACCCGGGATGTAGATCGCATGTCATCAGCCTTGCTGCTCGAGGTGCAGGGGCGAATGACAGCAAGAAAAGTCTCAAGTGACCGGAGTAGCGACGGGCAGATGGAAGGATGGAAGAGGAAAGAGAAAAGAGAAGCACCAGAAAGACAGGGGATTTCCTTACTATGATTCATCTGGGGCCACGACGAATTCAACCTGTTGTTGTCGCGGGTTCTAGGGCTGGTGGTGAGAGGCTGACTAGAGGACGGCGACTGAGAGGGCTAGACTTCTGACAGCGCCAACTAATAGATTTTGTGAAGAATCAACCTTGCGACGAATCCCAGGCCAGGCTGCTTATCTTGCCGAGTGCGCACTTGTGGCTCGCTGGCGTATTTGCGTCTCAACACCCCAGATCAACGCTCGTGGTTTCGGATTGCTGTCGTGGACCGAGACGATGGCTGCTGCAAGTCGATCGGCACTTGGAACTCCGCAGTATCCGAAGGAAGGAAATCAAAAGGTAATCCGAAGCCGGCGGACTGTTCTGTATGCAAGTACTCTGGACATGTTAGAACACAGGTTCAACCAAAAGTAAGCCTCAGCAGGACCAGAGGACAATAAGCAGTGATGGTGGGGTTGGTGAAGAAACAGCGGAGAAGGAATTGCAGAAGAAGAAAACATGACATGTCCCGCGACTCAATTGCGGCTCCCGGAGTTATTGCACTTTCGATCTGATAGAGCGAGTCTGACAACATCATTGGCAAGAAGAAAGACGCATGGCATGGATCGAGGTTAAAGTGTGCGATGGCGGGAGGAGTAACACTGCAAAGGACGACAGACCTGGCACCGAAACCAGAAGACCGGCGCAGCAAAGAGTGTAGAGGATACTCCAAGAGCATGGGCGGCGCTGGAAATGAGAAGAGAGGGCCAGACGGATCAGACGAATAACACAATGTCACTCACCAAACAGCAAGAGATCGACTTGGTGGAGGTGGGCAATATCTCGCATTGATCGGCTGCAGAAACCGGTTCTCGAGTTACCACTCGCGGGCTTTGTTGAGAGGTCCAAGGTTTGCTAGTCGCGTGTCAACTAGTAGTAGCAATTCCGATGGTTTGCAGCGAGGGTGAATGGGAGCTGAGGCGCTGGGAGGAGGCTGTGAGGTTGATATTTGTGTGTGTGCAGGACAAGACGAGACAAGATGGAATCATGGCAATTGCTCCTCCCCTAACCCGCAGCATGTCCACTCCTCCGCTGCTTCGCCTGGCCCCTTAACACCGCCCAATGAAGAACCCTGACAAGCATGCGGCAGAGGATGCGCTCTGCAGAGACCTGGAGCTTCGATTTACCAAATTAGGCTTGGGGACAATACCACTCTCGCCACGAGTTTGCTGCTGCTGAGTTCGGACCATGCCAGGGCCGTTGGAACTTTCGGGAGACGAAAGGATGGGGATCTCGATCATGTCCCTTTTCTTGTCTCGCGGGACGTCCTTGATCTTTCCAGCACTACAAAGTCTAGATGGGGACTGCACGCTCTACCAAGTACCTCTTTCTTCCTTCTATGCCCACCCCGGCGATGTCTGCCACAACGGTTATCCTCCAAGGTCTACCTCGTATGGAGACAAAATCCAAAGAGCAAGCTCTCCAACAAAAGGGAAAATCTGTGGCATCACGAAAAATGATGCTTAAACGTCTTGGACCCTGTCAGAAATGCTGGAGAAGCACAGCATTGGCCAAAGCCCACCCCTCATGTTACATCCTATGGCCTAACTCAGAGCTGCAGATGTCTGAATGGTCCTAAATGAAACGAACTCTAAAGGCGACATAGCCCGGAAAGTGCCAGGCTGGGTAGATTCTGCTGTATAGAACATCGTCGGCCAAGTCAGCTGTCCGAGCATGAGGCAGCGGCAAACGGCTCATTGCAGCATGAGACAAATTAAGATGGTGCTAGAGAAGATTAGTGGCGGCGATCGTCACCCCAGCAATCCCGTGCAGACCCCAGTCGCCTGACAGAGGGGCTGTGGAAACTTCTGAGCTTGGGCGATACAGACAGCCAATGGATTGCTAGTTTGTGCGGCGAACGGCCTTTGTCGAGCACCCGACAGGGGGGTTGTGGATCCGTGAAAAGAAGAGCGTCGTTCTAGACGTACCGAGCAGCGCCCCTTGGGGGGATCTGCCTCCAAACAGCCAGCCCTTTCTTCTCATCGATTCTTGATCCAACCCACTGCCAATTCGGGCGTTTGAGGCACGAGCAGAAACCGTTCTTGCATAGACGGAGAAAGATCAGGCGATCGACGGGTTGATTTGTTTCAACGATGAACGATGGAGAAATTCCTTTTTTTGTTCTCTCTATTATTTCCCCCACCGACCTGGAGAACCGTCGTCAGTTGCGTAATGATGCAGGCTGGCCAAAGCACTGCGGGTTGATGCTATTTTGGAAGACGGGCACATCTCTCTGAGCGAAATTAGGGTGACGTGTGTGAACGTATTTACGGCACTCCAGTAGGTGCGTCGGAAGGGGGAAGGATACAACGACTGGAGTACACAACAGAGCTTCCAGAATAATTGGCTCGCCCTATCGGTGGAATCGGTGAGACACGATAAAGCAGTCAACGATGGAGAGCAGGCATCTGGAGCAGCGCAAGTCGTTACTGGCTCCTGGAGTTCTGAGAGAGTTTCATCTTCCTCCGATGGCGACCACCAATGGGAATGCCCCCCTAAAATGGCTTCTTTATCTCGATCATTTTTGATTCCCTGCGACCCTTGGAGGGGGGAATCTAGTGTGGCTGAGACGATCACCCAGACCTGCAGGAAGCTAGTTGGTCCAAATGTGATGTGCGCATAACGGAGAAGAAAGAAGCCGAATCCAACGATTGGTAGACGGCCAAGCACCCAGTTCATTCGGAAATGCGAGAGTGGGCACCGGGAGAGGAGATGATATCCTTAGTGGAGGGTAATGTCGTGCAGGATGTTTCCACGGCCTGCCGCGCGAATCCATTCGTCACCTTGAACAAGGGGGTGAGTGGAGATGGAGGAGGAGGTTGCATTTTGCTGCCAGGGGGAGAATTTGGCCCTTTTTTGATGAGACCAGTCGAGCCACATGTGATGTGGATAATCAACTGATGAATCGGAGATGGTGTTGTCGAAACAGAGCGAGTTGAAGTCTGTTTGTGGTCGAGTTCGGAGTTGTTCTCAGAGTGGGTGCCCCAGGCTAGAGCAGACTGCGCTAGAGCGGAACAAGACTAGGCACAAAGGGAAGGCACGTGCGCAGGTCTCACCACGAAGGCGAAGTGCCGCCCTGGTTAGCCCGCCCACTGCAATTGCGAGCCGTGGCTGCCAGAAGATGTCCAATGTTGAAGAGACTTGGATCCAGGAACTCATTCTCGGACCAAATTGCTGCGCAATGTTGAATCAGCCTCTGGAAGCTGGAGGGACGGTACCTGCTTCGCTGTCGGATGCCCCTCTTCGCAAAAACCTTATTGTAGATCCATTTTTGACAGGTCCGCACTTCACCAAGCTGCGACCAGGTCTGACATTGGCTATTTTTGTTTTAAAGTTTGCAATTTTTCAGTTGATCTCATTTGTCCCTCTGCCATTTCTCCCCGTCTCACCATCCTTGAGGCTTAGAATTCTGCCTTTTCTCTGCTAACGTCTTTTCGTCCCGAGGCTGGCTCAAGCCCCATTTACCCGTGTCGACAGGACTGGGTACATCGGTTGGATCGGTTGGCCCTCCCCAGGTGCACTAGTCTCGTGTCAATTAGGCTTGTTTTGAGCTCACACTTCCAACGGCCTTCCACTGTGTTTCTCCGTCCGCACGGCTGGATAAAATGACCGTTATAGGCAATCTACGCTCAAGATACCTCACCGACAGTGAATCAAGCTGCAGCTCGCCGTCATAACTACTTTTTCCATCAGAAATCGCCCGAGACTCTCTTGAATTCCCGTGGACTGAAGTTGGCAGATAAGCGCGATCTTCCAGAGTCCAGAACATTCGACCGTTACTTCCGGGATCCCCTGAGCTTGCCGCATTTGACGATCTTGGGGCTCGGTACAATACTTCTTTACTGTGAACTGAGATCTCCAGCAAGATGGACTCTGTCGCTTCAGACTGAGAGATACCGCGAAGAGCCCATCACAGGACTCTGCCATTATCCGCCTTTTTGAGTCTTTGGGAAGCCGAGCAGTTCTCACCGGAAATTGGCTACCGAAGGCTTTCATCTAGTCTACTGATGGAGAAACCAAAGCTTTCTGGAGCGCGGTTTTACTACTATATGCGGCGCGAAGTATAAAAACCGGGGAATTTTGACTGCGCACATGCATAGAGTTTCCGCGCTCCACCACGGACCGTGGGAATCGTATACAGCCGGCGCTGGGGAGTGGTAGTGCGTACCTAATAGCATGTCTCGGATAACAGCCCGGCCGGTGTAAAATGCCCAATCCCGGTACGTATTCAAAAGTCCCCAGGTGCTTCGCATGGGTCCCGTCTTCGTCCCATGTGCGCCGCTAACCTGCGCAGTTATCGTGCGCACCACCTGAGTAGCCGAGACTGACTCATTCCTCGTGGCTATGCCTTGACACGGTCCACAGCATCATTTCCTGGTTAGGGATAGCTGTACTACTCGCACCCGTGGCCAATCGCTGCTTGAGCCTCTCGTGCTGCCCTCTGCCTATATACCTCATTGAAACATGGAGACTGACCGACTCTCGAACAGCTGGGACTCCGGACAAGCCCATATTGGCACAAGATCCGCTTCTGAATGTGGTACCAGGACAAGGCTACGACCCTATTCTGAGATCTAGTGAGCTGCGGTATTTTGTTCATGAGACTAGTTATCGTCGACTCAAAATCGGGACACGATCTGACAAGAAGAGACTTATGATATGAGGACTGATACCGGAAGAAACAGGGCAACGTGGTGCCATAGAAGGAGCAGAACGCTGACCAAATTGACGAGACAAGGTTCCGGGTTTAGATCCGAGAGTGCTTTAGACGTCAACAGAGCGCTCTTCTCAGCCCGCCGTCTCGCAGCCCGCCGCTTACAACGACTGCTTCATTACTTACCAGAGCTGCAGAAAACCTTCAACCCTCCTCCGAACCGGCCGATACGCCGCCCCATCGAGTGCGGCCAGAAACATTGTTCTCCAGCACGTCAGGTCCTGCCTATGGAAGGAATCGATGGAGTAACACAGAGGGAAGAAAATGGAGGAAGTTGACGCGCAACCACCCCCCAAATGCCGGGCCTTTCTCAGTTTTCCGTTTCAGATCCCGGAGGGATTGGCCACTCAGCCTGGAATATGAGCTGCCCCCAAGATTTTTGTCGCTGTCCGTTGAGCAAGAGAGGAATAACAGCCCATCGCTGCAATGTAACCGGAGCTACTAGATGCCGACAGCGCCCTCCGGGGCGTCCATCACTCCACAGACCCATAACCGGCTGGCAGATGCCGCGGGGAAGGGAAAAAGAGACGAAAAAGGAAAAGGGCCAGCGTCACGAAGCTAGTCGAATGTCCATTCACGGCAGACCGGATGCTTTCGTGTTACCCACGAATGAAACTATGATGCTACATCATGCGACTTGTGGGTTTCCCAGTGGACGAGAGCAATTTTCAGTCGGAGGACCAACTGGAGACCGATATTTGCATACCATCTGGTCCGTGACAACGGCCAGTCCTGGAGGAAATGAAGCGGGCAGCGTCGAGGAGAATAGCACTCAAGGTCTGAAGGAATGAATGTAAACGGAAGATGAAGAAATGGGAGGGTGGAGAGAAGAAGCAGGCTGGCTGGCAAATGGATGCCCCCCACAGCCAAAAGATTTGACCAAAAATGGTTGACCTAGACCAAAAGGGAGTGGCGAGGAAGGCTGGAGGGTCCCTCCGGTTGTCTGCTCTGCCCGCATACAGAGAGAAAGACATTGCTTCTAACCAGTACACCAACGTCCGCGCTGGCCGACGACCGGACGAAGTGCAGATGCAGCTGCAAGTGATTCGAATCACGACCGACGCACGTCTCATATTCTTGAGTAGCATACCTGCCTTTGCTGCTCTATAGGTTTTTCGACAACCTGAGAACCCAGAGACAGGTACAGTCCTCGTCCTGCTTAGCTGAAGCTGGTATAGCTGGTGATGTTTGCGGATGACCATCGCCTTCTTGTCGTTATTCAGCTGCCCTTTCAACCCCGGCGAGACAGAACTGGACGAGCAGTCAACGACACGATACGTACCTGTCGTAGCAAGTGAAGCCTGTCCCATGAGCTCCCCCTGTTGGATCTACAGCCCCTCTGCTCCCGAGATGGGCAATGGACTACGGCAGTGGCTGACTGATGCTAACCGACTAGATCGCAGCCGTGCACAACACCGCGCCATGTAACTCGACTGCCAGCCACAACCTTACCGACAACGTCTCTTTGGCAACGAGACACAAACGACAAGAGCCATAGCTTTAATTGCCTCCAACAGGCGAGATGGATGGATCCTTGCTCCATCTCACATCTGCGCGTACTCGTGCTCGTGCTCATGCTCGTGCCCGTGTGCCTGCGCAGTCTATTAAACGCACTGGTGCCCCTGCGTCTGTACTCGCTATAATAGCTGTCCATGGCGAGCAACACCACCTTTCAGCAAGAACAAGAACAGGAACAGGAAGAAAAACAGATACGTGAGAAGAAACCCATAAATTATCAATTTTATCAATTATCCATCATATCATCATCATCATCATCATCACCAAACGAGTCATGACACTTTTCACTTTTATTTTGGAGGTAGTATTTATCTTCAGTTAAGCCTAATCCCGGCACAAAGACAGACGAGTCATCACACCAAACAAGTGTCGTAAAACCCCGTTGAAGCGAAAAAGTAGGAACCCAAAGATGATATTCGGAAGAAAATGGTATGGAGGACGGATGAAGATGAGGATGGAAGGTGGAGAAACAGATAGAGGGGAAGAAGCCTATGTAGCCCTCTTGGCGAACTCGACGCGGAGGATGAGGTGGCGGTATCCGACTAGATGAAATTAGTACAGTGTCTGATAGCTGAGTTTGCGGTATAATGGATGGAGAGAGAAAGTGAAAGTGAAAGGGAAGGAAAGCAGCGAGGAGAGGAAAATGCAACATACACCCGTCCATCTTGTCGCAGGCACGTGCAGCGTCGCTGCGGTCCGCAAAGCTGATAAAGGCAAAGCCCTTGGCTCTCTGGGTCTCTCTGTCCCTGGCGAGGAAGACTCTGGTGACACGACCGAAACGCTCGAACAGATCCCGGAGCTCCTGCTCCTCTGCTAACTCGGAAACCTGTCTCAACGTTAGCTTACCGACATTTCGCCAAATATCTGCGAGAGAAAGGGGATCGAAGGAGAGGGAAAAAAGGTAGGTGAAAAAAAAGTAGGAAGGAGAAAAAGAGCAGGAGAGAGACAAACATTCGTAACCCGCAGCGTCGCCAAATCATCCTTCTCATACTTGCCCGCCATCCGCTCACCACCAGCCGCAGCGCCCTTGCGCATATGAGGCGGCACATAACTACCACCGCCAGCACCAAGCCCACCGGCGGCATCCTCACCACCAGCACCACCAGCGCCCTCACCACCCTCACCACCCTCATCAACAGGCGCCATGGTATCCTTGAACGGACACCTAGCCGTGAAATGCTCGCCCGAACAAATTCTGCACTTCACCTTCTTATCCTTCAGCTGATCCTTGATGCTTCCCTTCTCCCCTCCATTCTTCTCCGCCTCAGCCGCCTGCGCCTTCCAGTTGACCGAGGGGCGGAAGATGATATTCTCGCCGACCGAGGTCGTGTCGAACGAGGGGCCCGCGGCGTGGCCCTTTTCGAGACCGAACTTGGCCCAGGTTCTCCGCTCCGCGACTTGCGGGTTGACGTGCTCACGGACGACGGTCGTCTTGACCCGTCGGGTGACCTTTACTTTTTTGCCGTCGTCGTTGAACCGGTAGCTGGTTACGGTCTTGGTGCCGTCTTTGTTCGTTGTGATTTGCTGCGCGGGGAGTGCGGAGGGGTCGTCGAATTCTTCGTCGTCCGCCCAGTCGGCGCGGCTGTAATTTTGAAGAAATTTGTTAGCTTCGAAGAAATCTTTCGAGAGAAGGGAGTTTTTTTTTTTTCGGGGTGACGGTGAGTAACGCACTTTCCTAGTCGAGACATTGTGCTGGTTGTGTTTGTGAGTTGTTGGAATTCGGGTTGAAGATTCTGGATTTCGAGATTCTGTCCGTTGTGGATTTGTGAGCGCGTGGCGCTGTGGCGGTGCGGTCACGTGAGCCCTCTTTGTATACCACCACACATTCAACGACTCTCCTCCCAGGGAGGAATATTTAGCTCTTGGGTTGTTATACTCGTAATGCAATATCTGCTTAGTGACAGCTTCAGACTCTGGACTCTGTCAACCCTCTGTGTCGAGTATTAAGGCAGTTCCACGGCCAGGTCAAGGGAAAATTTGGCAGTGGGACGGGGGCACTGAGAAAGAACATTATCGACTAGATTACGAGCCATGACTATATACACAGGATCGACTTCTGCCAACCACCTGATAAATAGGCGGGTCACCTCCCAAAATTCCTCAACTCCACTGGCCTCATGATTAAATAACTAACCGCCGAAAACGCAAACGCAAGCTCAAACCCAACATCCCCACCACTCGCATGATGAGCAATCGGCCCAACAAACCAGCTCTGGCTCATCCCCGTAATCATCCCGGCAACTCCAAAGCCAAACGCCAGCGCCGCCGAGATCCCCACGGGCAGTTTGCCGGGCTTGTCGTAGTTCTCCACAGTGTACCCGCCGAACCCGCGCTTGAAGACGAAGTGGTCTGTCAGCGAGATCCCAGAGTAGATGGCGAGCCAGTACGCGATGAAGTTCATAAAGTTTTCGAGAACGGTTTCAAAGTGCGAGTACCCCGGGATGGCGATTGCGATGGAGACGCACGAGCCGAGGACTGTCCAGAGGAAGCGTGGGATGCGCTGTGCGTACCGGCTGAGGACTTGGACTGTGAGGGCGACGGAGTAGATGTTGGGGCAGTTGTTTGCGACGATGGAGAGGGCGAGGATGACGAGGCAGAATTTGCCAAAGCCGCCGAGGGGTTCAAGGACTGCGCCAATGAGTCCACCGTTTCCGGCTGCCTCGTAGCCCGTCTGGTACTTGTTTACGCCGTCGTTGAGGGTTGTCGCGGTCATGAGGGCGACGCCGAGCATCTCGACGAAGAGGAGGGGGATGATGAGCCCGATCCAGGTCGCGAAGAAGATGCGGATGCGGCTGCGGTTTGCTGGTTGATACACCGTGTAATCAGCTGCGTAGCTGGTCCAGCCCGTTGCGAAGCCGTAGACGGCCGAGCCAAAGGAGAGGACGGAGCCCATTTCAGAGGTGCCGGCTTTCATGGGGATGTTTTGAAAGTCGCCGGAGTGGGCGAATGTTCCGAGCACGATGAGGAAGACGATAAAAGTCGGAATCCAGCTCCAGTACTCGTACAGGTGGACCACTTTGTAGCCGGCCATGGTGACGAGGAGGGTGCAAAATGCGATGATCAGGATTGCGGCCCAGCCGGGGACGTTGTTGTTTACAGCGTGGATCATTTGGCCACCGACGATGGCGTTTGCGGCCGACCAGCCCATGCAGGCCAGGACGTTGAGGATGGCAACTGCACAGATGAGTTTGGCACCATCTCAGAGGCATGAGATGCACTTACAGAACTTTGTCACATACCACCCGAACCAGAATCGTGAAAAGACCATCTGGCGCAACCCGAATGGCCCAAAACACGAAAAGAAGCAAACCGTCATAATACCAAGCAGGTTGAAGAAGAGGAGCGTCAAGATCGCGTCCACAAACCCGAGGTTGTAGATCGGATGCGCCAGAGCACCAATGGCGAATGAACTGACGACCATGTTGGCCGCCAGCCACATACTCCCAATGTTGGTATATGAGGTATCCGTCTGCTCCGCGGCGGGGACGCGTTCGATACCGCGCTGCTCAATCTTGAGCTTTCCTGCCAGCCGCTGGATCTTGGCGTACAGCGAGTCGCCGTACGCGAAGCTTTCCCCGGGCACGGCGCCGTCGCTGGAGTTGTCCATGACGGTCTGCGCCGCTGGGGGGTTCTTCTCCAGGTCAAAATTGAGTCCGGCCATTGTGATGAATGTTGGATGTGAAGAGGTGTGTTCAGCTGGAACAGCTCAAGTCACATTCGAGGTGAATAGGTTGGAGGCTTTTTGGAGTAAGGGATGCAACACCCCTCTGGCGCGATGAGCTTCACATTTTTTTTTCTCTCTCTCAACCAAGGGGGCGAAGGTCTGGATATTTATGTGGACCGGAGACGATAAAGTGTTCAGAGACGCGCACAATGATTTATTATTATCAAAGTGGCCCACTGGAAACCCACGGCGAAGTGGACGGATGGCGATAGCAGGGATACTGGGAACGGGGGCGATCGCGTGGGAATTGCTGGGATTTCTGGTCTCGAAACACGCGACGGCCAAGCGAGGCAAGCTTGTCTTTGCCCTGCGCCAATTGCTGCCCCTGAGGTGGGCCCAAAGCGATAAGAATCTCACTGGTGATAGGGCACGCGACGACAGAAACACGAGCCGTCATCAGGTTTGTCTAGATCATTTCTCAGCATGAATGAAGATAAAGGCCTGCTATCGTGTCTAACGGCCAAGTCCGTCGGAGACTGGAGTTTTTTGTGTAGTACGAGTACGAGTGACTGATCTTGAAGTCCCCGGATCTCTCGGCTTGGCTTTGTCTCCACCTGAGGATCTTGTCTGGCTTCTGGAATCATTCTCGATCGATTAGCTCCGACGTCTCTCACCTTCTACTGAGAAGGAGGACAAAATAAAGAATGCATGGACTCGAGTTTCTATGGAAGCCAAGATGAGAACAAACAGAAGTAGAGAGGTGGGAATGAGAGAGTGAGAGAGTTCAGTGAGGCCTTTTCTGGGCAGGCTTCAGCGAGAGTAACACCTGCCATCTTTGTCTCAACATGGCAACAGCTTCCTTCTCCCAAACCAGTGCTGCATGTTGTGGCACACCCTCCTGATCGGCTTCATTCCACCTCATCGTCTACCGCTTTCACATTGAACGCACCCCTGACACGTATTTCATCAGACGCGTATCTCATCAGTCCCGCAAGGTGAGCTTGGGTCTTCATTTCAAGCAAAAACTCGCTTGTATGGAGTGAGCAATCGTTAACACTACCTCCAGCCTAGTCATTCCAGACCGCACCTCCCTTAACCACTCGTCATGTCATCATCCAGAGCGTCTCACGATAAGCGGTCTCGGGTTGTCAAATTGCGAAACTACAATGGATCGTACAAGGTCGATCTGGATTCGTGGAGGAGTAATTCTATGGACACCCTCTTCGACGACGTGTATGCTCAGCAGGAGGCTTACAAGGATGAACTAGACTGGCTCGAGGAGGACGTTGAGGCGGCCAAAAAGCGTAGATCGAAACTTGAAACCGAATACAAGTCCCGGATCGTAGACTTGGAGGCCAAGTTGGCCAAGCAGGAAACAAAGGCCAAGACATCAAGCACTCGCGTCCTCGAGTTGGAAGCCAAGCTGGCAGCACAAGAACAACAACTGAACACATCGGAGTCTCGCGTTTCTGAGCTGGAGACTACGCTACGGAAGCACGAGATCAAACTACACGCGGCGAAAGCACAGATTTCAGAGGTAGAGGCAAGGGCAATGTCGCACCAATGCTCGAACAGCCAAAACGATACCAGCACAGTCAAGGTGGACGGGAAGCATCGGTCAACTCCCGCAAGCGGCAGCACTTTCACCGTACCGGACCCTCCAAGGCTGGGGGACAAGGCGCAACTAAGGTTTTTGAACTGGAAGTACCTATTGCAGCGGAAACTCGCTGCCTGTGAGGGAACCCCCGATGCCACGACTTCTAGTCTCGATTATGTTATCAGTCAGACATCCGGTGAGGATCAAGAACAACTTGTTGCTCGCCTCCGAAGTGTTGTCCTAAAACCTATTACAAACGCCAATGAAGCCATCAAATTCCTAGACCTGTTATACAACGACCCGGAGCTGGAGACCAGAAACCCCCTCGACTTCAAGCCACCCGATCAACCTCGTGACGCCTACTGGGCGGCGTTCAGTGACTTTGGGTGGAATGCAGTGAAGTACAAGATTCCAGAGGACGAGTGGGGCAGCAAGCTGCATGAGTATATGCAGGTGCAATTCGGCGACGACATCATTGGCGACTTTGGTACCTATTCTGCCGGCCCCCTGAAGGAGGTAGCCAAGGAGATCTACTTGAACGTACTCCGGCGGACCGAATAGAAGGAACACTCTAGCTTCTGGAAGCGGATGGCTTGTCGGCGATTGAACCATCACCGATGACGCTCTATTGATGGGTCTCTGGGTTTGAAGTCCGTATGATGCGGCGATACAAGTATTTGGGGCGAAAGTCGACGAGGTGGAACATACGGGGGAACGGTTGATGCGGATGCTAGTGACGGTGGATATGTACGTGTATGCCCTGCCCCTGTGCGGTGGGAGCGAGTATGGTTAGTTTTAGTCGCTTATGAAGCTTTTCTACTCGTGTGAATAATTCAAATGCACAATACCTGTTGACCTGTTTTAGACCAATGCTGAAAGTCGTTCTCATACCTTAAGCAATAGACTTTAGACGGACCTAATTCTCTGCATTTGCAGAACCACTAATCGTGCAGCAAGGCCTGCCATAATTTGACGCACTACAGCGCTATCCGTACTCTTATACGCAGAGGTGCTCCCATACTGAAATCCCCCTACATCAATGACGGACCGGGCATTACCCCTTTACGTCAAAGACCACTCTATATTCCAGGGAAGGACTTTCAGTAGAACTCCATTCACCCTACCTAGAGTGGCGGATGAAAGCAAAAGAAAAGCGAAGAGGTTCGTAGCTTAAGTAGGGGGTTGAAATCGATCGTCAGATGGGGACGATCGTCAGGTGATCACCCACGGTATTACGTACGCCACACGGTCCGACACATCTCCATTCCAACCACCCTCAGCTCAGATCGAGTTTTTGGATTTCTCTCCAAATCGCGACATAATCGACCTGAAACCGGGTTCAATCTATCAGCCAAGCTTCTGGCTATCGCCCAACAATCGACTGCAAGCGGTGGATAGAGGGCAGCAGAACCAGGTGCCATGGAACATAGTACAGCAGTACATGGCCTCGACCGTTGCGCTCATTGGCAAGGTCCTGAGACAGCCTGCGATTCGGCGATATCCTCCAGCACGTCCAAGACGCGGCCAAGTGCACACAGAACATCCAGAAGGACATTACGATCATCAAGAACTCTGTCGGACTGAGCACGACTCCGCTAAATGCGGCCAATTGCAGTGGTGGACGAGCTGCTACTGCGACCTCGGCGCAGATTGCGGCTCAGGCCAAAGGCGCGCCAGCACCTCCTCCGCCAGTCCTCAGCGATTCCGAACACGACCCGCCATCTGGATCAGATAAAAAGTAGAGGTCTCAATACACGGCAATATGGCTACTAAACTGGTCAAAAGTCGTTGCGGCACATCGGCTTAAAATGGTGACATCAAGTATTCACGAGCACAACTGCCGAGGCTACACCGGTCAAACAGAACAGGGGTTGTATCAAAGGCCTTGGGGAACACGCAGAGCTCGCCTGTGCCAACCTAGGCGTCATTGTCCATGGCATACTCACCAAATCCTGTCAACATCAAGGACCAGAAAGCAACCATCCAACGGATAATCACAGACAACTATACAGTAATACCAAATGCAGAGGTCTCACACATAAGATGGCTGACCAAGGAAGCCGCTCTCAAACGGACATCCTCGATCGCTGTCGAGTTCACAGACCCGGAGATAGCCAATGCCATAATCTATGCCGCGCTGGCATGGGAGGGTCGGATACATCAATGCCAACTCTATGACCGCGCATGCAGAGTGAAGCAATACATCCGTTGCTACAACTATGGCCACATCGGCACTCTGAGGTTTTTTTTACCACACTTTTCTATGATATGATATACGCCCGGAAAGCTACGTTAAAGCTTCCAACCCCCAGGAACCAGTCTCTGAAACACGCCGTTGGGGTCGTACGTCTTACTCGCCGCCCGGAGCCGAGCGTGCGAGCCCTCACCGTACCCAACAAACGGGTTCTGGCTTGCATAAGAGTTGGTTGGGAATTTGTACCGGTTGTATAGCCCTCGCGCCCTTGTCATTTGCTCAATGCGCTCGATCGCTTCCGTGATGATGCGGCGCGCGGTTGCGTCGTCGGAGGCGCGGGACCAGTTCAGGTTGACGGTGAGCCCTGTCTCTGTTAGAAGGATGGAAAATGGGCAATTGGATGTGAAACGGAAGGGAGAGGAGAGGGTCAAACAAACAGAGTTGCGCAGCCGAGGTGACGTTCATTGGGTCTTCCCGTATGGATCTAGAGGCCTCGACCATGGATTGAGAGATAGGCTGGGGCATTAACCAGAAGGAACCGCCCTCAATCCGAGAAATGGCATCGCTGTACTCGCTGACAATATCCAGGATATCAACGTGCGTTTGCGAATCGAGAAGAACCGTCGTCGTCGCATCTATCCATCTGCAGCAATCACCTTAGCGTCACCAAGATTAAACCCCCACCCAAAGACAGAAGCAACAAACCTTGGAGCCCCTGGCACGTCGTAAGCCGCAAGCCCTGCAAAGCTTGCATAAACCCTCGTATCGTTTTCTACGGGCGGAATATCAAAAAATGCCCTAAGCGCCTCCGGCCTCTCGGTCCCGCCCATATGCGCCACTATACAGGAAATCACCCCCGCATTAAGCCCCATAGAAGGCAGAATCGCCGACTTGACATCGTCCACCTGGCCTGTGGCCTGATACTCGGCTACCGCAGCCATGAACTCTCTAGAATAGTTCGTGGAATAGGTAATTGTCCCGCCCCAGACCGGGCCTGCGGGGACAGTCCGCATGGTAATGTGCGTGATGACGCCGAAATTGTTGCCCCCGGCTTTTACGGCGAAGTACAGGTCCGGATGCGAGGTTGCGCTGGCGTCGACGATGGTCCCGTTCGCAAGGACAAGCGTGTACGAGAGCACATTCTGCGACGGCCAGCCGTACTCGTTGCTGGAGTGCGATAGCCCGCCACCGGTGGTCAGCGCCATCCCGACTGTGCCCTGGCGGCCGCCGATGACGAGGCGGTTGTGCGGCGCGAGGTAGTCGTAGACGTCTTGCCATCTGTTTCCGAATCCCACGCGGAGTGTCTGGGTGGGCTCGTCGTAGTCGAGGTTCTTGATTCCGGAGAGGGATATGAGGAGCTGGCTGTCGATGTTTGCCCAGCCTGTTTGGAAGCTGTGGCCGCCGGATCGGATGGCGAACGGGGTCGAAGAGAAGACTGCGGTTCGGATGGCGACGGCGACGGCTTCCGGTGTCGGTGGGGTGTAGATGCAGGCGGGATCGCGATAGGCTGTTGCGGAGAAGTGGGCGTGCGCTTGGCTGAGATAGGAGGGGTCCAATTGGGTGATGAGGTACTGGCTGCTGGTTGTGTTTGTCGAGGGACAATTGGTAGATGAGCTGGGAGAATGCGTGCTGTCGTGACTTTGGTCCGAGGGGCAGATGCTGTGGTGGTGAGCGAGGACAGAGCAGGTGAATGCGATTCCGCCGGCGGTCTTGTCCGCGGAGGTGATTAGGGAGGGGTTGACATCTACGGATCGTAGGAAATGGTCAACAGAAGACACCGTTGGGCCGGTTTGCCTCGCGTATGCGCTGGTGGCAATCAGCGCTGGAAGGAGCAAGAGACGCATTCTGAATGACTTCCTCTGCTTGCACGCTTGAGTTGATGCTCACTTGCATACATGAGTTTATACTTTTTCTCCTGGTAAATTACTATCTGGGATATGGAATGCTGAAAGAAATTGGTTGTCAACTCTGGTCCGGTGTTGGGGTCAGAGTTGAAACGATGCGACTAGATAATCTTACGCGGGTCCCGGGGCTCGGTCATTGTCTGATGATTATATGTTGGATCGACGCAACGTCCACCTTGCCGCAGCTGGAGATATTTGGGTCAGTTGTACGTGTACGGGGGACTTACATCCATGTATATTGCGAGAGAAGGGCCGCACATTGCATTATTCTCCTGGGCCGAATGTTCCAACAGGCTAAATGCAAAGCTCTCTGATAGTTGTATTCCAGTTTCAAATATAAACTTGAATAGCTTGAAGACCTAATCAAAGTGGAAAGCAACCACTATACAGGGCGCTATTGGTGCCGACTGCCCACATGCTCCTCAGTAACAACCTAAGTCCTGCCCTATCGAATGTGTTTGTTTCGCTCGATTCACTCTCATCGTCCCAATCGTCTTCCACCTACATCTGTCCATCTACGCCGACCTCCACGTGGGCATGTCACCGTTGGTTTCGTCATCGCGAAAGGAACGTTCATATTGTCGAGCTCAACGATGGATAGGATACTTGGATCACGACCGCGAATTCGAATACCGTGCATTGCGTGACAGGATATGTGTTGTCATGCCATCAAGCCAAACCCCCGTAAATTGAAGCTGCTGTCTCACCAAGACGAACTGTGGTGTGCTGGCGTGACGACGCTGAGGCACAGAACTAGCTGCGTGGCTATCATCAAGGACCAAATATACCCAGGGGAGAGTCGGCACATGGACCGTAAGGTAACGCACTATGCTGCATATGCCAGTCAGCTTACAACCACTACCTGACTTCCAAGCGCCATGCTTTGCAATACTGCATATAATAAGGGGAAGACCAGACAAAAGTGCCCAAACTGCGGGGCTGGACGCCAGACTGGCCTTTCCCACTCACCCGAAGTGGGAACTTGAGTTTCTATTATAACCTAGCGAGGCTCAAGCCGCTACTGCAATACGGTCCTAGAGTATCTCTCTGGTGCGCCGCTTCCAACCTGCGGGGGATATTCCAGCATGCACGAGATTTCTACTGGCGCTACTTCCGACCATCCCAGGAAACCATTCTCATCAACGGCGTGCCGTTTTCCGTGACGAGGAACCTGCGCGACTTCGAAACCTTGGTGAAGAAGGAGAAAGGTTTGCGACAGTCAATAAGGTCGGCTGTTTGTACGGGCAACCTGGATTCGCGTACTTCGAGGGTGGAATTTTATTCCAGCTAGTCTACCACCCTACCCCTTTCTCCACGAGATGGACCTGTTTAGAGCGTTAGCCTCGCAGAATGTGCCAACAGAGCGCGCGGCTTTCCTATTTGCCGTGATACTTTGGTTATCGTCGAGGTTTCAGTCCACCCTGCCTCGCAACAAAGTGTACGGACTTCTTGGCCTTGTCCCGGGAGTACAGAATCATCTGGCACCAAGCTATGGGCCCGGACAGCGACGTGTTTCAGGAGCTTACAGTTTTTCTTACGCCATGGACCAGCAGTATTGGCACCGTCTTCTTGTTGTGGAAGCCAGAGAGCGAAAGACTGCGTGGTGTGCCTTCGTGGGCCATCCATCCTGTCCTGATACCGATGAAGAGCGGTGGTAGACAAGAGGCTGTACCTCTCGACCCAAACCAATGGAAGGCGGACGGAGGGTTCTGGACATGGTTGCGTTTGACGCCCATCGACGTGGTCAAGGGGTGAGTGCTGATAACAATTCTTTCCTCTATCCAAAAAAGAAAAAGATACCATTAACACGTAGTGTGAGAGCTGTTGACACCTGTTGTTAGATATAACCCCCCGTCAACCACGAGTGTAATGAGCGCTTCTTCCGATTCTCTCTGGCAGTCCACCTTTCGCTTCGTCAAAGACCGCTTGCCTGCCCTTCGCTCCTGCAAGTACGGCATAATCCCGGAGTGCTCGCCCGACCTGAACACTCTGCGGCTGCATGGACTTGTCTTCGACACTGTCATGGCCACCAGTCCCTCCCCTCCCAGGAGCCACGTCCTCGATATTTTCCGTATGTCTCAGCCAACGCCAAGCGGTTTCCTGGCGATCCTCTGGACCACGGCGCTAGAATACTACCGGGCGAGACAATGGCTATTAAGATGGCAGGGTTTTCTCGAGGCTAATATCAACCGGGCGAACTTGAAGATAGGACTGGCAGGCCCAGACCCTTATGTTGCTACACAGCGCAAAGCGGGCATCCGAGCAGCATTCTGGAGAGCCATCATAACCGACCGAATCCGGGGAGTTGACGGCACGCTAGAGGCGCCGGACGACGCTTTTATCGATCGTATTCTGCCGCAGTTCACGGGAGAGGCGAACCCGATGTCGTGAGGCTATTGGATGCCTGGTATAACTCGAACAAAGGAAGCAAGGACAGTGGCCCGTGGGCCTTACTGCGCCCAATTGTTTCGTGTGGCGGCCGGACGGTCCCTGATTCTTAGTCGCAACGGGTATCTGGGCCTGGGACCGCTTGAGACTTAGGTGGGGTGATGCTGTGTGTATTGTTCGGGGCTGCAACACACCTGCAGAGCTTCGACTGGTTGCTGGAAAAGAGAGCGCCTATCGTCTTGTGGGCAATTGCTATGTTCATGCGATCATGGATGGGAGTTTCGCCCAAAGTGCATCACGACGGAATGTTGAGAAGCTTGAGATTGAGGGAAGGAAATTGCCAGTCCTAGAACCAGGAAATGCGAATAATTTATCTACGAAACTCAATCTCCTGGTCGTCGAGCTATCTTATTACCATCATCAGTCGCCATCCTCGAAGAACAGGTTTCCAGGCAACCAGTCTCCGCTGCATGATTTAAACCGCGTCATGCAACCATCCAACAGGTCCATCTCATCTCTACTCAACTCCCATCCATCTAGCTGGAAATTGTCCTTGATTCGAGCTGCATTCACAGATTTGGGTATCACGCTAGTGCCGCGCTGAATACCCCACATAAGCCTAAAAGAGTTCGTCAGATTCGTGAGACGGGCATGGACGTAGAAGAGAGGGAGAGAGAGAGAAAGCGCATATAGAACCTAACGTGGTGATTATTTCCTTGTGAGTAATATATTAAGCAGCAACTATTCAGACACTAGCAGAGAATTTGCAGACCCCAAGGGTGAATACGCAGTGTAGTGAATACCATGGTTACTATAGTAGCTAAGAAGTCTTCTAGAGGGCTAGTATAGATAGAGCTAAATAAGTTAAAGCAAGTTAGGAAGAAGAAGTTAAATTAAACCTTATAAGTAGAGATAATAAGCAAGGTGAAGGGCGATGACCTACTTTAACCTAGTTCACATAGGGGATTACCTTGCATGAAGGATTACTTATTAGGTGCTATAGGTTCGTGATAGAGAAGTTTAAAACCCTAAGGTTACGTGCTTTCTTTATAGAGATCTACTATATTTCTTGCCTAAGGTTATTAGTTAAATCGCTAAAGGAACAGATTATCTAGTATTCACTATACCACGTATCTATATAGTCCTAACTAGAGAGCGTGGAATTAGGGTCACTATAATTAATAGAGACAGGCTAGTGCTTGTAAGTTAGTAATTTAGACCACACAATAACTAGGAAATCCGTGAGATACGACATGCTTACCATGAGATATAGATCTACATAGTCCATACCTAGAGCGGATAGAGACACGTCTATAGACTCATAAACACGAGTGTGCCATGTATTATCTAGTTTCAAAGTAATCTAAATTTTATTCTATGGGACACCTAAGTCCTTAATAGCTCGAGTAATCTCGTGCTCACTCTTAGAAGACTAGGACGTGTTAATATGGTGGTAGCTAGCTAATAGTGCTACCTAGATAATATTATAGACTTCCCCTACACGCCTGGCTCCGCGAGTGCCTAGACGAATAGCAGGAATCAGGGCTCCTATAGGTAGAAAAATCTCTTCCGAGTCTGGGGAGGAGATGTAGTGGAGAAACTAGTGATAGGCTATTAGCTTATAGATATCCTGGGTGTAATATAGCTAGCTAGAGGAGGTCTGCTTGAAGAATGTAGTAGAGGATGCTGTACCTGGTGAGTCACAAGTGACTTCTTTATTACTTTAATAATAGAAACCGTATACGCCACGTTTACTAATAAGGTAGAGAAGTCAGGTTTCTATCTACTAACCTAGTCACCAAATTCTTGGGCCATGGAATGAATGACTTGTTTATTCGTAGGTTGGTGCTTGACGTTCAATGTCTCACGGCCTTGCGTGTCGTACTGTGTGATTTCATGCCCGTCAAGTGTGAGCGTCCCATCGGTCCCGGAAACGGAGATGTACTGAGATGATCGATGAGCGACTCGCGACAGACGTACATGGCCTATACAGTTTGTACACCAGTCTATCAATGTATCGCAGACATCGTCTCCGCTGTATCTTTGCCAAGGGCGCACAGATGAGACTTGGTGCGCCATAACCGAAGTCGGCAGCCCAAATAACCACACGAGGATGTCGAGCATGTGGCATCCGAGGTCCCCCTACATATAATCCAATCATTGTCAGCTCCCTGCCAGACTAGCACAGAGTATATTGACGGGCTTGACGTACCGTAACCCCAACCCCAGAGCGCTCTCCATGTCTCTTCGAGATTTGTAATATTCAATGCAAGGCTCGCTTCAACGGCGGCAACGCGCCCGACAAGCGGGAACAGACTTCGGAAATGTAGAAAGTGCGGCTCAAAGCGCTTCTGAAAAGCGATTCCAATCGGCACCAGGAAATTCAACATCCAATCGTACTCCTCCATGGCAACGGGCTTCTCTTTCAACACAGCGACGCCTTTAGCCGCTAGGGCCGTTATGCATTCCATGTGCGCACCATGTGGCACGGATACGATGGCGAAATCTGGCGTGTGGTGCTACAGGAGCTGCGGGAGAGAGGTGTAGGTTGGGATACCGCCGTGGCTAAGGGAGAAAGATTCTAGTGCTGCGAGGTTCGTGTCGCACACAGCTGCTACGGCGATTGATGGGCCGTTAGAGAGACTGAGAAAGTGGCTCCTATAGCCCCGGTATCCAAGGCCGACTAGTGCGATGCTGTACCCTCATGTGAATACCTAGATATGCTGAAAGTGCTGCGATCTAATTCAAGGGAAGCATGACAAAGGCTTTGTTCTAGACATCACAAGCAAGGGTCGGATCTCCCGATATAGTGGTCGCCGCGCTAGCATGGCAACTTATCATTGGCTGTCTCTCAAGTATTGTATGCTCAGGGTGGAAAGCTCGTAAGAATTTGGCCTCAAGGCAGACTCGTTGGACGCTGCACTGCACAGATAGTGCGTGTGGCGGATCGTCTTATGAGAGCTGGAGCAGCAGAGCCGCGCTGGCCACACCTCTGCACTTGACAAAGCAAACATGAATGCTGTGGAGTTGCCTTGGGACGTCGGAGCAGGTCGCAGAAGCGTGACGGGAACCCGTGTGTCGGTCAGCCAACCATACTAGATCATTCTGGTTGTCTTGTCACCTCATGCGCTAGAATGGGGTTCTTATTGAGGCGGGCAGATCGCTTGCATGAGAAGTCGACTTGGATGATATCTATAGCAACTGGTATTGGATACAAGCACTGTTGCACACAGTCTCACCACTATGTAGGATTCCCAATCTGGTTGCTGCCACATATCTAAGGTGTGCCTTAGAGCTTACGCTGGCCTCCAGACTGTCCGTTTCTCAAGATGTGATGCTAGTTCCATCGGTTGGGATCGGACCGGACATTAACTGCTTCTCATGACATCGAGTTCAGTTTCCCGGTACGCGAATTCGGGTCGCTCGATCAGCCATTAATGCGCTACAAAGTCCTAACTCGAGGCTCTTCTTAACATAAATCCAGTTCTCCTGCAAAGGTTTGCCTGGTATATTAGAATTGCTTTTCGTTCAACGTCGAAAGACAGCCTTGCGTGGCAGGATGCAGCTAGCCCAAGCCTGCCCGATATCAGCACAGCCCCTCTTTTCTCTTCACCCCGCTCTTACGGTATACATCCTCTTATCACTTCTAATCTACTTAGATATCATGTTTTATCCATGGGAAGCGCTTTCAACATGGGCTCCGTTCAAGATTGATGCCCTCGGGTTACTCACACTACTTGGAGCGAACGAGGTGGACATTTTAGTTAGTCACCTGGCCCCAAGCTACTAGCTCGAGTACATGCCCCTACTCGCCAGGTTTGTCTTTGCTGGCGATTGATTCCGCACTAAACAGCCAACATTCACGCTGTATAATGTCTCCAGCGGCATAATAACTAGTAACCTATCAGCATGGTTCACCAGGTGGATGTAAATGCAGGAATTCCATGTCTCGCGCAGCCTAGTCTACTAGGAAATAAAGCGGAATCCATAATCACAATAGCCATACTTTGCCGTTTCAGCTATAATCACAATTACATTAACAGGCTTTCTGTTCGTAATGACGATCCTAGCGGGCGACTGGTATGGCTTTGCTAACACGATTATAATCATTCTCCTTATCCTTGTCCGCGTATACATGATCCAAGCGAACCGCAACTTAATTAACCACACTGTGGCTGTTGTAAGACTGTTTCTAATAACTTTTATAGGTGCCCTTGACACCTGGAATAAGAAGCGCAAAATAGACCCTAACGCGCCCCAACCGTCGCCAGACGCCTAGCATTAGCGACCTGAGGTTATCAAGATCCTTGTTATCATGCCTGATTCACGCGCGGTCACCATTTTCATCCCCGAGCATCTCTTGCGCGGGGTGTTTATCACAGAGAGCCCTGGCCACTTGCCCGGTCTATACCGCCTGGCACAGTGGATTGGTTCGGTTGCGTTCATAGTCCATGTTGTTACACTTAGAATGGCGTAGCTCGCGACACAACTATACGTAATTGCTCTAATGGTCATCCTAACAGTCCTAATCTGCTACGGCTTTGGCTGCGACGACTCGCGGCGATAGAAGGGCTGGTGCTATATCCGCGGAAAAGACGCGGGGCCCTATATCTACCACGTTGGCCTGCAACTGCAGGCCACTGTCTTCAAGTGGCCTGAGGACGTCAAGTTCGTCAAGGATGACAAGGGCGCGCTCCGTCAACGCGATCTATCCCCCCTGTCCACAGAGCAACGCTCCACTGCCCGCATGGATCTCTACGCGTGGCTGAACCTCAGTGAGGAAGAGGAGAGAAGTATGTGGGATTGGCATTTACTTCCGCACAAGCGCGGCCATGAATGATTCGTGGTGGGATACATTTAGAGAGAAACAGAGGCTCATTAAGGAGCAGCCGCCAGATATCCTTGCCGCTAAGCAGCGGATACAGCGTGGGCTGAACGCGAAGAGAGGGGTTGGTGGGGCGTTGAGGTCGTTGAGGGGGCGCCGTACGCTGATTGGAGATGTTGGAAGGGGATCGAGTTGGCTTCATGAACCCGTGGTTGTCTGGATCGGTGATTCCGTATGGTTTATATGTTGCAAATAGTGCTATCTGGCCGGATCTCCGATACGTAAGTCGCAGTACTGTATATTTCTTTCCGTAAAAAAATTAGCGACAGGAGGAAAAAGGACCGCATAGACCTGATCTAACAAGGTAAAAATTATAAAAAAACTGATGGAGATTATTGCGGCCTAATGGACGAAATCCGAATGTTTCAAGAGTAATGCTTGTAGATAACTGTTTCTTTACGCCTTTGATATCTTACTTTTTTGTACTATTTAGTAAAGAACAGTCAATAGCCCTCGGTCTTTCCGTCGAGACCAAACAGTGCTTCAGGATAGGCCGAGGCATGCCATGGAGGCGATTATTGATTCCTGCATGAGGAATGGATAGTAGCCCAGGGGTTCCGGGACGAGGTTCTTCTACTGAACCATGGGACAGGAAACTAGCCATAGGGCTGTCCGTCTGCGGCTAAACAACACCATGTCTACCTTCCTATTTGGAACCGTAGAAAGTTACGTTACGTCTTTCGAAATTGCAAGGCGAGCTGTGCGGACACTTGGTTGACGCTCCGTGGTTTCCATCTAAGCCCGACTCCGGAGGCCCTCCCATACTAGGCGGAAATTGGATACTTAGGCTGCTGATCCATATGCAGGTGTGTGACACAGCTAATACACTGGCCTACAACCTACGAGGCAAGCTATTTCTTGGCAAGTTTGCGCCCAAATGCTAGGCCCCAGGAGACGAGGACCGTATGCTCGTCCGCCCAGGCTGACGTGAGATTTGGCGCTTAGCTACGGTAAGAGGTACGCTGGAGCTTGGTTCTGGGTGGAAGAGTCGACTTGTGAGGGACCCTCTCGAGGATCTGGGGGTACTTACAGCCGACTGGGCACCACAGATATTGGCCCGTTGTCCGGTGTCGGGTGTTGGAGTTTTTCGCTTCGCTGGTGGTCTAACTGCTAATGGGTGATTGGGTCGCAGTACATGCATGATGCTTAAACATGGTGTGATGTGGTTTTAAGGTGCAGAAGTCCATAACTACTTTCTCTGGCCTGCAGTTGATTGACGTTACACAGCTGATAAATTACTCACGTGGAGGGTTATTCCACCAAGAATTTGACTGTACCAGGAGGTCAGAAAGAAGGATGCTAGCTGGCAGCTGGTCAAGCCAGAGATTACATCACAGGCTCTTGCTACTTACAACCATCGTGATATCAATGCCTCATTTTTCAAGAAGACACATGGCAGCCAGGGCGCGATATACAGAGGCAGGTCAAACAACAGACACTGGGCCGACGACGAGCGCCCCACTGGACGGTCCTCTAGTATCCATTCGAAGAAGCCACACCTTGACTTTGTCTTGCACCAATACCACCCAAGAGAGACGAACAGGAGATACCTGGCCTCAGCCCCAGCACGCCGCCACCACCATGCCAGAGTCAATCCTCCAGAAAAGCGTACGTGAAAGCGTACATGGCACCTGCTATACGTACCGGGGTTAATTAGCTTAGGTTCATCCCAGTACTCGGAGGCAGATCCTAGTCCTTGATCAGCCACTCATGGTGTAGCACTATGGTACTTGCTCTACCGTGAACCCCATGAATATGTGCTATAATGGCTAGGGGATTTTGGATTAGGTATTCTAGACTAGTGCGCCTAGGAAACTAAGGTCATCTATAACTTATTTATGGCTAATAGAGGGCCGTTCACCTTCTAGTTGAGATATAAGAGAGACATGCAATAATGTCCGAGATGAGACGAATCATTTGTATTAGTTACAGTCAGCTAAGCCTGGGCGATGAGGTCCAACAGCACGACGCCCAGGCATAGGTAGCTTTGCGTTGTTAAATAAAGAATAACATCGCAGGAAGGAACTAGAGCTTTTCCCAACCTCGCCAGGTATAGACCAATGTGACCCATTCTAATTCTTCACCCCGGCCCACACCTTCTGATACCACTTCTTCTCCCCCTCGCTCTCACGCCCGACCTCCGCACCCCTCCCAACCTGCGCCTCCTCAACAACAACGCCCCCGTTCGACGTCCCATCAACAACATTCTGCGCCTTGCCAAGATAATAATTCGGCATCATCAACCCCGCAAACAGCGGAATGACCGCTAGACACAATCCAGTGAGGAACATGGGGCGCACCGTATTTGTGAACGCGCGAATGCCCTGCTCGCGCTCCGAGCTTCCCCATCCGAATGTATTGCGTGCGGTGGTGGAGCTCCCGTAGAAGATTGCCGTGTCTTCGGCGGACAGGCCCTGGTTCAGCAGGTTGGTTCTGTATGTGCTCGTGTACATGCTCGATGCAATGGCGGAGCCGACCGATGAACCGAGTTTCGTCCAGAGGGAGAGCTGCGCGATGATGGCTGCGAGGTCCTGGTGCGGGACAGAGGCCTGAGATGCGACGCGGGTTCCGACGACGGAGCACGCGCCGCCAGCCGAGTTGAGGATCTGCGTGAAGATCAGGGCGGTGGTTGTGGCGTTGGGGCCGACGGCCCAGTATGTCAGTCCCAGGGCGAGGATACGCAGGCTCAGGCCAAAGATCTGGAGACTCTTGTAGCGGTGGAAGTAGCGGTGGTAGAGACCAGCCAGCAGCCCGAACCCGGTAAGACAGACGGTCGAGATGTTTGTGAAATTCCCCCATTTGTATGTGCTCCAGTCCTTGATGACGAGGACCCAGGTACTGTAGTAAATCGAGCGGACGTTGCCGGAGACCATGTAGAAGATGTCGATGATGACTGCGCAGATGAAGGTCTTGTTGTGCCACACGCGGCGGTTGAGGATCGGGTACTGCGAGAAGAAGATTTCCCAGGAGAGGAACATGATAAGCACGACGAAGCCGACTGTGATCATGGCGATCATGGAGGGGTTTGACCAGCCGCCGTCGGCGTCGCGGGCGAGGGAGAAGGGGAGGAGGATGAGGGCGAACCCCAGGGCGAGGAGGAGGAGGCCGATGATGTCGATTTCGGTAAGGAGGTCGCCGAAAGTGGTGAAGCGTTTGCCGAGGGATGCTCGTTGGATGTTCATCGTGTTGTTCTCGGTCGCTTCACGGACTTCGAGGCGGCTGGCGGCAAAGGAGAGCTCGCCGGCCTGCTTGGCTTTGTAGTCTGCGTAGTAGAGGGTGGCGATGATGGGGCTGACGAGGACGGGCGCGATGATGCAGAACATGCCAAATCCCCAGCGCCAGCAGGTGTCGGTGTCGTCGGAGCAGAGGCTGGACTGGATCTTGGAGCCGACAAAGGGGAGGAAGAGGTAGGGGAAGGAGGTCATTGCGCTGGCGAACCCACGCCACTCCAGGGGGGTGAGATCACCGACGATGATATCGGTTGTTAGATCCAATCCGGCTTGACCGGTGGCGGCGATGACTCGTCCGACACAGAGAGCAGGTGCCGTGGGCGCGGACGCCACGATGATGTAGCCGAGGACGTAGGAGGTCAGAATGAAAATGTACGCAGTCTGTCGAGAGAAGACATCGCACAGCTTTGCGATAAAGGGCTTGGAGACTGCAACAATAATTCCCTCGGCGATGTCAATGGTTCCAATGTACGACTGTCGGTTGAACGCTGCAGTGGCATAGACATCGTACGCAGAGGTCGTGGACTGGTCCAGACAGAAGGAGACGGAGACGGCGAGAATGCAAACATACATGGTAATCGCCACAGGGTGACTGCGGTGGAAGAGGCGCGAAAACGCCTCGACGCGACTCACACCTTTCTGCTGCAGATTGTGCGCCTTTTCCGGATCGACGCTGCGAAAGTCGACATTGCTCTGCGGTGCTGGGGCAGGAGTAATGTCATCCTCGGCGGAGGTCGTCCGAGGACCAGGCTTCTCGTGCGTAGCCATGGCGAACTGGAAGGTAAGGCTGAGACAGAAAGAGCAGTCGATCTGATCAGATAAGACAAGAGATGGCTGTTGGAATCTGCTGTCTTATAAGTTGCGATCGGCACTCTTCTCCGATGCATAACGCCATACGAAAACTCTGCACCTGCTAGGGAGACCCTAGTCTTAGATTCAGCCTGTCAATTGGAGTAACAGGTCTTGCTGGCGGGGATCAACACCTCCCAGTGCCCAGAACAGGGAAGCCTGCCAAGCAACAGGTGGGGGCTCGATATAGGGCTCTGAATCCCGGCGAATGAGATGCTTGGTCTAGATCAGATTGTTCTAGCTCGGATTATCTGATAATCTGATAATCTTCCTGAACCCAATCAAATAGGTAATGGAGGGTGGTTCTTGCTTGAAGGTTACGTGATCTCTCGAATTTGGAGATGGCATGATGTCCTGAAGTATTTAGTTGCGCTCGATACTAAGCCTTTTCTCGTTCCTTGTGAGTCTTAGCGCGCTCGCCAAGAATATATGCCCAGAAGCCCAGATTGATTGATCCTGCGGAGGAAGGAGCAGGGCTCCGAAACACGTCTTCTAAGCATATTGCGGATATCAGTGGTTTACGGGCCAGAAGGAAAGCACGGCGGTTCTGCACACCGTAGATTAGAAGTAAAATTCCTCCTCAGCCTCGATACCCAACGATCTAAATCCACACGCCTCTATCAGTTCACCAAAATCCTCTATATTGCCCCTAAGAACATTGGAATACTGTGTGTCTCTCAGACCACCAATAATTAAGACACAAGACGGTGCGGCCGAAGCTACGACGAAACGACGGTGGGCCGGCGGCAAAACCCCGAGTATGCGCGCGCGACTTGGTCGTCCATTGAAATCAATACGCCTGTGGCAGATAGAACCTACCCAGGCAGTCTTTCAATGATGCTTCGCCAAGGTTAAGCTATGTATCTAAGCGTATGAAGAGTAATGGGTGAACTCGGTTGCAGTCCCCCAAACACGTTTACCCCAGGAAGTACCTGACAGGAACCTTGATATGCGTTGCCACCTTTTCCTCAAGCCGAGAGATTATACACGATATTTGCGTCCATTCCATTCTCAACTTGCCTAGAAACTCGGACCGCACGAATTATCCCTTGAATCATGCCCCATGGCCTAGACGAATGGCATGAGTTAAGGGATAATTCGTGCGGTCGCAGTCCGATAAGTCGAGTACGTGGTGGATACTAAGAGGACTTCCCAAGATTCCAAAAGAGATAGTGGCGTGGTCGCTATTAAGAAAGGCGGCCCTAAGGTTCCAGTGTAGCTTTGCCCAATGGCCACAGATATATCTAGCCCAGGCCGCCGGGAAAGGTAAGATGGTGACACACCTGATGAAGCCATTTGAGCAGATTTCTGGGAACGACCTCTTGATCTGCTCTTGTAAGAGAGCAATACTTAGTCCAATGTAGCAGCCTGAATTAATTTACCAATGTCTCACTTGGCCCGACATCGCTCAAAGGGTGGGCTCTCCAACCGGAGGAGGTCCTGCCTGGCTGTGCATTTAGCAACTCGTTCCGCGAATCCACTTGCGTAGATGCGCCCGGTTTCTTCCTGGAAATTTCTTACCTTCTCAGCTTCCTTGAAAACGGTGGTGATAAACTTCCTGAAAGCCCTACTGTATCGGAAGCGTGGAAGGGATACCAGCCCATACCTACAGTTCCAGTCTTCTTACTCCCAGTCGCAGCCAAGGTCGCCACTCGTCAGCAGCGCCTAAAAGGCAGAATTAACTGACATTAAAACGTTGGTTAAGTTCGAGGGTGGGTTTATGTGCATTTGCTTGGGCAATACTATGGTTCCGTATGGGTCACCAAGAATAGACCCGTCTTGGAGAAATCGGCTCAAAGGAGCACTGAACGTCAACCTGGACGCGATGGGAATTGGTATGGCCAAGTAATGTATAGGAGCATTATTTGAATTGCTACGCTAGTTATCACGATGGTTGATCAGAGTGACACCAGACAGCGATCTTGAGTATAACTGCGCAACTACATATAAATCGCAACTCAGAAATACTAGTCCGTCGTTTGCTACAGTATATTTTCCCAACATGCACGAGGCTGAATGCATGACAAGGCTACTTTGAGCGAGCGGGAACGCTACAAGACTAGCATTCTCATCGCCATGGATCATATTACGCATCAATTTAAGCGCTGCTCGGGGTATAGTTCCAATCTTGTACATGCCTAAAGCTTAGCGTCGACAGTCCCCTGCTTGAATACGGCATTGGATATCGAGCTCCCCTTTGCATCAAGTCTCGTCTGCGTCGTCTGGAAGAGCCTTGGCAGCCCGGTCTCCTGGAAGTTCCACCCCTGCATGACCATCTTCGCAATCCCCTCCGCCGCAAGGAAAACCTGCGGCATCCCATGCCCCGTGAACCCTCCAATAATCCACTGATCCTCCTCTCCAGGAACGAGGCCAACATGCGGAAGGCCATCAGACGAGTATCCCATGACTGTATCCAAGTGTCAGCATCAGCCCCCAGATCTCAAGTGAAATAGGTGGAATGGTGTAATGAAGACATACTCCCCGTCCAAACCCGATCCGTATACGCACAGCTCCCCTCCCAACCCTTGAAATACCTCTGCATGTATCCATCGAAATACCGGACCGCATCCTCTAGCACCCGGCTATCGTCGCTAACGTTATACCAGCTATCCGGATTATCGATGAACGCCGGTCTTGCCCCACCGACAACGATACTACCGTCATCGCGAGGAATCAAGTAATCGTAGTTCCAGGCATTATGCCGGATCGTGTACGTCCGCGTTAGTTTTGGCATTGTTCCAATCGGAGGGGCAACAATGCGACTACATGTCCCGCGCACCGGCACGATTTTGCCGCGGTATTGTGGGAGGATGGCGGACGTGTAGCCGTTGGTTGCGACGATGAGTTTTTTGGCCAGGATTGGGCCGCGTGTGGTGTGTATTTTCCAGCCGTGGGTTGAGACTTGGCTGGTGGTTTTCTCGATCGATGTGACGGGCGTGTGTGTCTGCAAATTTACGCCGCGCTCGATGGCTTTTTGCAGGAGGTGCATGATAAGCTTGTACGGCCAGAGATGCCCGGCTGCGTAGGAGAAGCAGGCCACTGCGCCTTTGACGCCGGAGAACTTTCATACCACCATTAGCCTCATCCCTCTCATAGCGAATGGCGGGAAAAGAGTATACCTCTTCCGCTTCCCTGGGCCCAGTATATCTCGTCCGAACCGTCGGCCCACACCCCGCCGCAACGAGCCGATCATAGCCATCCTTCAACTTCCGCGCATGAGTCTCGCTAAACTGCACATCGACGGCCTCCGTCACCCCGAGGTCGCAGTCGATACCTTCCTTCTCCACGAGATCTCGAATCGCATTGACATGCCGCGCCTCGAACTCGGCCACCTCGGTCGCGGCTTCAATTCCGTATTCTTCTGCCAGGGTTGCGATGCGGTTGTAGGAGTCTGGCTTTAGGTGGCCGCCTGCCATTCGATCTTGTGAGAACCTGAGATGGAGGGATTGGGATGAACATGAACATGAAGGGGATGTAGCGCACCATTCCGCCCCGTCGCCCCCGAACACGCCTCTCGACCCTCGAGGATGACAATCGACGGTGTATTTGCAGCTTCCGTCTGTTCAAGGATATGGTGTGTAACAGACGCGCCCGCGTATCCGGCACCGATCACAACAATATCTGCTTCAGTGGGCAGGGTCTCGGTTGACCGATGACTATCCAGCGCATGCGGTTGCGTCCGCCAGAAAGAGGTAATTGAATTCGGCGCGAGGGTCGGCTTCGACATTATGGCTTGCCCGTATGGTATCTAATATTTTTGTTCGATGGCTTCAGCCGGGGGTTGTTTATTTGTTTTGCCATGGGCGAGGGGGTGATCCGTTCGAAACCAGATAGAGTGCTGGTCGACTCCCGGCGGCATTGATAAGTGAGCTGCGATCCCGCCGGATGGGCCGCCGGGGTGCGTATCAGAAGATATGTGATTGGGTTATCGCCGGTGGCGTGGTATCAGGTGGTTGTGTGGGAGTTGGAGTAGAGTTGGAGTAGGACGGGTGAGGGGGTGGGCGTGGCTTATCTCGAGTCCTCGGCCCAGGATACGGCAAGGGTCTTATTGCATTGTTGCACTTGATGTGATGAAATAGAGAGCACGATACTGTGATATAGAGGGATGTTGGACTGTGTGCTTATGTAGAAGTGTGTAGTTTTGGGCACATTACATCGGGGCCAACATCTTGAACGAACAAAGTAACATTATGACTATCTACCAAGTGAATTACTCATGCGAGGCCTGGTGCGCAATAATCTTGTCCGCCATGCCCGGCAACGTGTCGTCAATGACATCCATCTCGCCAAACAGCTCCGTCAACGGTTCCTTCTCCCAAATCGCCGTATACGCGCCTCGGAATCTACATCCAGTCAGCACCTCTGTCACTCCCATCGCCGCTTCAAGGAAATAGTCGAGGAAACTCACCCAGCCCTCCTCGCCGCCGAAACATCCCACATGTGCCCAGCTGCAAACCACGGTGTCTTGCCCCCATTCTCACTAACCAACTTCTCCAGAAGCGGCTTATACGCCTCGGGATCCGGCTTGCCAATTCCCCGGTCATCACAGCTCAACAAGTTCTCCTTGGGCATCTCAACCCCCTCGCGCGCGAAATACCCACCAACCCTCTCCAAATCCCCCGCGGTAAAGCACCACACCGTAAACCCCGCATTGCGGAGTTTGGCTAGACACTCCGCGGCGCCGGGACGTAACTTCAGGCCAGCATACTCGGTCATAATGAACTCGAGATCGGCCTCTGATGCAAAGTCTCGCGGCTCTTTGATCCCGGCCATCCAGAGCATGCGGTGGAAGAGGGCGCGGAAGACCGTTGCAAAGGGCTTGTAGGCGCCGGACATGCTGAGGTAGGTGTATTCGCGCTCGGCGACCTCGATCCAGGTGTAGCCGAGCAATGAGGGTTTTATGCCCTCTGCGCGCAGCCGGTCACCGAGGCGTGTATCGATTGCGGTGAAGAGCGCGTCGTAGCCGATGAGGGTGCCGACGACGTCGAAGACGACGTTTTTGGAGGTGGCCATTTTCTTGCTTTTGATGAGATGGAACAACGATGGACGGGTGTAAGAAGGTAAAAAGGAGACAGAGGTGTTGGTCTTTTTACTTGGAGCAAGGATATCGTCATTCTGAAGGCATGATTCCCCCTCTTATCGAAGCCGGCGGCATTGCCGCAGATCCCCCACTTCAGTCCCGCCGGGAGCCCTAACGCGGCTTAGCCCAAGATAACAGTTGGAGTAGGACTGATACAAGACACCTTGGCAGATTCTTAGATACGAGTGGTAAAGGGGATATGAAGGGCTTTGTCTCTCCCTCGGATATTGCTGTATACACTTGACACGCAACGATGGCCGAGCATTCTGCTAAATCAGTTGATCCTGGCGTGGAGTCCAAGGGGGCTTTCAATGCACAACCTGATATTGAACGTGTCGCTACGACCTCGACTGAACTCCATGGCTCCACGACGGCCGTTCACCCTGACAATGTCGGGTATCACCGTTCCCTCACCAGGCGGAAAGTCATGATGATGACTTTTGGTGCTGGGATTGGAACGGGATTGTGGGTTGGCACTGGTCAGGCGTTGCATTATGGTGAGCCCGCCCTGAGCTATTCATGTCACCTACCCCTATACTAACTGTCTGTAGCTGGTCCGGCAGGCCTTGCCCTTACCTATACTCTCACAGCGTAAGACCCCGGATGACTATCAACTATGCTAAACTAACCGACTAGAATCATCGTCTACGCCCAATACTCGTCCGTCGGCGAAATGACCACATACATGCCTGTCCACGGCGGGTTCATCCGTCAGTGCTCGGAATTCGTCGACCCAGCGTTTGGTTTTGCCATTGGCATCAATTTCTGGTTTGCCGTACGTCCCCCTTCATTGTCACCCGTTCTTGATCCCATCACTAACAGCATCGGCAGTGGGTAATGATAATCCCCGCCGAAATAACCGCCGCCGTAAGCGTCCTCAAATTCTGGCCGCAAACCGATGCCCTCCCACTCGCAGCCTACATCACAATCTTCATCGTCGTCCTCGCCGTGGCAAACATGTTTCACGTGAAGGTGTACGGGTATATCGAGTACTACATGTCGTTCATCAAGTGCCTCGCCGTCATGCTGATGATCTGCTTCATGTTCATCATGACCTCTGGTGGGATCAAGGCGACGGGTGGACCGATTATCTTCAGTTATTGGAAGAACCCCGGCGCGTTCAATAATGGGATCAAGGGGATTGCGAAGAGCTTTGTGCAAGCGGCGTTTAGTTTTGGGGGTGGTATGTCCTCTCCCTTGTTCCACACATACTTACCCTTTCCCTGCTCTACCACTACCCCGTTTTGCTCATTACGAGCAATACTAATAGAGTACAGGCGAACACATCGCCGTAATAGCCGGCGAAGTCGCAGACCCACGCCACACAATCAAAAAAACCGTCCGCCCCGTCTTCTGGCGCATGTTCACCTTCTTCGTCGCGAACATCTGGCTCGTCGGAATGTGCGTACCCTCCAACGACCCAGACCTAATCAACGGGGCCGGAACACTGGGTTCCCCCTTCGTCATTGCCCTGAAACGTGCAGACGTGTGGGGTCTCGCGCACGCAATCAACGGGTTTATTTTTCTGAGTGTGATCTCGTGCGGCGTGACGAGTGTGTATGTTGCTAGTCGGAGTCTGACGGCGCTGGCGGATCTGGGGATTGTGCATGGGTTCTTCGGACGGAAGGATAGCGCGGGGAGGCCCTATGTTGCGATTGCGATTTGTTTGGGCCTCGGGGGTGGGTTGTGCTATTTGAATGTGGATAGTACGGGGACGGTCGTTTATGGGTGGTTTTCCTCGTTGGTAGGCATCACCCCTCTGTGCTTCCCTGCCTCCTTTACCTTCTCAGGTTCTGCCTTTCATATCGCCCACTCGGCTATGCTAACCAAGGCTACTGTGCAGGTCGCAATAGCAACCCTCTTCCAATGGGCCTCAATCTACATCGCGCATCTCCGCTTCCGAACCGGTCTCCGCGCACAGGGAAAAGACCTATCCACGCTCCCCTTCAAAGGTATGCTCACGCCCTACGCGCAGTACTTTAGTCTGGTGATTGTCCTCTTCATCTTCGGGTGCGAGTTCTACCTCGCGTGTTTCCCGTTCGGTGAAAAGGGGTCGGCGAAGAGTTTCTTCTCGACGTATCTGGCTGCGCCGTTGTTTGTTTTTGATTATTTTGTTTACAAGGTATGTCGCCCCTCTAACTTGTTCCTAAGGAGAAGGAGGGGTTGCTAATAGGATGAACTGCAGTCGTGGTTCAAGACGAAGATTGTCAACCCGAGCGAGATGGACTTTTCGCCCGCGATTGTGTTTGATGAGGAGGATCGGGCCAGAGAGGAGAGGGTTGAGGAAAAGGGAGAGAAGAAACCGTGGTTGAAGAGGATGCAGTATGTGGTATTTGGCTAGAGGGCATGGGAGCGAAATGTACCCTTGATCCAGAAACATTGTGGTATCTGCAGTACAGGAATAGTAATCGAATTATTCAGTCTGAAACGGAGCAAAGCCATCGGCATCAGGGCCCAGCGGAAAGTCACCACTTAGCCAGTCAGTATCCACCAGGTCTGCCACCTCGTTTATCCGCGGATGTCCAAAGGTTCCCGGTTCCGAGTTGAGAAACGAGAGGGGACTAAACGAGGATAATTCACTCGGGTTCCCCGAGCCGGTCTCGCTCTTCATCGCTTGTGTCCAATGTTTGAACTGCGCGTAGGCAGAGGGTCGCTGTCCCGACTGAGGTACATTGTTACTGGCGAGTGAAGCCTGGCGTATAGCAGCATCGAGCGATTGAAGATAGGAGATCTCCGACTCGGACGAACTCCCCCCCGTCATGCGACGGATTAGGGCCATTCCGCGCGCCAGCTCCTCCTCAAATAGATGCGCCGTGCGCGAGTTTAGTCGCTCCGCAAGAATGACGAGAAGCGCAGCGCGACAGGAACTAAACTCTGTATACGAGGCACGACAGAGGCCCGTCTGGCTTGCCAGTGTCTGTAGCGTCTCGATGATTTGGAGGGCGCTCTGCACACAGTTTTGCACCAGGATAGCTCTGGGCTCGTTATTGTCGCTTCGTGAGTCCTTCCAGTCGTCCGTGAACATAAATGGTCGGCCCATATAGATGTATATTAGGAGATATGCGAGCTTCAGGTGTGAATTCTGGCGGAAGAGCGGGTTTTCGGGTGTCGTGTCCTGGCAGGATAGTGAGTTCCACCACTCCTCGACGTGCGTGCGTATCTGCATTAGGCGCTCGAGGTACTCCTGTATGAATCGCTTTCGGCAATTGCGGAGGAGGATTCTTGCCATGTCAGATGGTCAATATGGCGGAGAACGGATGGCCTGCTTACAGTGTTTCTGACACTTCTCCCAGCCATGAACTTAGCTTAATAAATGCAATCATGTTTGCATAAGCTGGGGATGAGAATGATGGGTCGTCCGCCGGCAGGTCGGTGCTGATATCTGACTTGGAGATAGATGCTGGGCGACCGTGAAATATGCCAATCCTCCTAATCATTGTTAGATCTCATGGTGAAGAGGGCCGAACAACCTACCTGTCTAGACTGTACGCAGACCAAAATACCCGGTTTCTCGTCTCGATAATTCCCGCTCCACATTCCTCTCCAACGTACTTGCGGTGCATTCCATTTTGAATAGCCATCTTCACCGCAATGCCGAGGTAAGAGTAAGATAGGCCTCCGGTCGACAGCGGGAGGGCATATAAAGCGAGAAGCAGGAACGCCTGTACACTCTCATGCGAGGCCACAAGGATAACATCCGGTACCAGCCTGCATGCAATATGATAGAGCGAAAGACCCACTGAGTCTTCTGAGCAGAGATTCAGATCTTCGGTTGCGGACTGGTCCTCCATATGTGCGACCTGGGTGCCAATCGCCAACACTGCGAAGACCGAGCACACCCAGGGAATATCACTCAAGCTGTACTCTGCCGACTGAATGTAACAGCGATCGAGCTTCTCTTCGAGCCATGATTGTTCCATGTAGAAGACATTTCCTTCAGAGTATTTGAAGAACATGCTGACCAAGAACGTTGCGATTGGTCGTGGGGGTAAATGGCTCATTACTTGAGAGACCATATGCGTCGAGGATTGCAGCTGTGTCGGACGCCAATACTCTTTTACCTGGTGTAATCAGAAATGTATCAAGACACGATTGCCGATGCAACATACCTCAAAGCGCTCAATGGGCGAGTTGATCTTTCGTCGCAGTTTTTGCGAGAAGTTCCAGTGAGAGAACTCGCCCGAATAGTCTAAGCAGCATTAGTACCGCAGCATTCTTAGGGCACGTTGACTAACGAGCGATATTCTTCGAAACAAATTGCACATCAAACGGCTCGTCAACGTTCGGCGCCTCCCCTTGTGGTGTGCTTCCCAATCGCGCAACAATACGGCTGACATTGTCTTCGTCCAACGGGACATCCCCAAGAAAATGACGGACGATATGTTCCAGTCCTTCCACCCGTGATCGACTTGCTGGCGGTCGGTCTAGCATACTCTCAGTCTGACTGTGTAGGACACGACCACGCACAGTACACGGTCGGCCGAGCCTCTGACATCGCCAGCACGGAGGACCTCCTTCACACTTCTCCTTTTGGCGTCGGCACGTGTCGCATCTGAGTAGGTCAGCTTGACTCTTTGATAATACAAAGATCACTTACGCAAGAGAAGCTCGCCGCCTTATCGGCCGTGTAGCATGGTATGCCTGTCCAATGCCATACGTCTCCATTGCTCCTCGTGTCAGGTATGATTATATGTTGTGCTGGTGCGGATATTTGTTGGAGACGTTGCTATCTGCAGCTAGGTGCTCGGAGCCTGGGGATGATACGTTATCTCTGGTATCGGTGAGGGGTACGCTAGCCAGCTACTCCAACATGATGGGCGAGTCAGATGGCTTGTCAGCGATAACCTCGGGCAAGGATAGACAAGTGCTCCCATGTGTGGAGATCGAGTGCCTCAAGCTCCATGAGTGTGATCAGGTCTATGTGTGCTTTCGGGGTGAAGTTGCTCGTCGTTGAGATATATTTTTGCCAGAACCCCACCTCACTACAGCAGGATGGTGCACAATGTGCAATAGATCAGACATGATCAAAATCTAATGATCTCTCCAATTAGGTTCTCCTGCATAAAGGTTGTTGGGCTGTTGACCAGGCGAGGAAGGGGACCTGAGAATCGGTATGTTTTGGTGGAAAGGAACACGCCAGGAAGTGGGCACGTGATTAACTCGCTGCCTGAGTCACCATGCAACCCATCAGACAGGCGGAACTTCTTGGCGCGCACCCGCGCCTTCCTTCGCGAAGACGGACTCGATAACACCCACCTCAGAGTTCCGTTTCTCCGTCATCACTCTCTCCGAATCATCAACGAGTACAGGTGGCTTTTGAGTCCTATAAGATTACGTTTTAGCGGCCGTTTGCGTGAAAATATGCGACCTTTTGCTGATACCACCCCGTGAAGTAGCCGCCAAGGCAAGGCTGTGTGAGAGGTATGGCCGAATCCCACATCGCTCCAATGCATCTCGTGCCGTCGCCCACTTTCTCTTCAGTAGCTTGTCAATAGATAGGCATCTCGTACTAGGGTGTCTCACTCCTTGCACATGTGCCTCGAGTATCACGAACCCTTTCACCCGCCAGGAAACCCCTGCGCATACGCACGATTTCTCCGAACTCCTCGGTGGCGCGGAAAGTGTGGCTGACCCCTAGGCGACCTTGTGGGTGTTTCAGAAGAGCGCCCAATGCTGAGCCACGTCCCAAAGAGGAATGGTTGACTGACAGGGATTATACCGCCTCCTCCCATATAAAGCAGCTGTCGGTCGCATCCCAGCTCAGCGCAGCCGCGTACGTCGCCTACGTGTTTCACACAATGCCTGCGAGAACTGATACACCAACTCGAGCGGATTTCCGAATCGCCATCATCTGCCCCCTGCCCCTCGAAGCGAAAGTTGCTAAACCGCTATTGAACCCCGTCTACGATCAAATCGCGCATCCTGAGCTTGCACAAAAGGCTGACGATCCAAACTCATACACCCTGGGGAAAATTGGCCCATACTATGCGGTCCTTGTGCATATGCCTACTGCTGGCAAAGCAGCCGCTTCCGGTGCAGCAACGAATGTGCGGGCGAGTTATCCAGAGATCGAATTGGCCTTCCTGGTCGGCGTGTGTGGGGGTGTTCCGGTCATCGAACAATCGCATGTCACCACGGGCAGGACCGACGTATACCTTGGTGATGTGATCGTCAGTACTGGGGTTGTGCAGTATGATCTGGGGAAGCGCCTCCCAAGTGGCTTCGTCCGCAAAGATACTTTGGAAGCAAACTTGGGAAGGCCGAATCAGCAAATACGCTCCTTTATTTCAAAGATGATGGCAGGGGATGATCACTTGACGAGGCGACAAGGGGAATATCTCGCAGTCATCCAAGGCGCGGTGGACGCGATGAGCCCAGACATCCAGGATGATGTTCTATTCCGCCAGGACTACAACCATAGAAAGAGAGGGTGCCAATGTGACAAAAGACCTCCGTCAGACGAAACTGCACTTGCTCGGCAAAGAAAGCCAGATATATTACCCTATATACACTTCGGAAGGCTCGCTTCAGGAGACACTGTTATGATGACTGCAAAGGCACGAGATGCCATCGCGAAGAAAGAACAAGTTATTGGCTTTGAGATGGAAGGAGCAGGGGTATGGGAAACCCTTCCCTGCATCCTTGTCAAGGGCGTCAGCGACTACGCCGACAGTCATAAGAGCAAGGACTGGCAGCTTTTCGCAGCTGCAAGTGCAGCAGCCTGCTTGCGCGCCCTCCTGGATGAGCGCCCAATATCTGTCTTTCAGCCATCGACAGGGACGGGACAGGGTATGTAGAGATTTCAATTGTAAGACAAGAATAACTTCCTCGATTGTTTCAGCTGCTGAGAGACACGGGGTCCACTATAGTCAACTCCATACCCCTTCGAGGAACGGCGCGGAAGCGGCCATCGGATAAAGCTACGCAGGAGACCAACGAGACCTATGTTGAGCTTCTCACATTTACCCGGGCGGACTTTCGGCGCAACAAAGTTCTAGATGCCCACGAAAAGACGTGCAAGTGGGTGTTGGTGCGGCCAGAATTCAAAGAGTGGATCCATGCAGATGCTGAGGCAGCCCAGCGACGATTCTTCTGGATCAAGGGAAAGCCTGGAGCTGGGAAGTCTACGCTAATGAAGTTTCTCCTTCACACTGCGACTTCGGACAAGAACAATGATATAGTTCTATCGTTCTTTTTCTACGCTCAGGGGACAGAGCTCGAGAGGTCCATTATTGGAATGTACCGGTCTTTACTACACCAACTGCTGTGCTCTCCGGCGGTTTCATCGCAGAAAAAACAACTTTTTTTTGACTTTGCCGCTGAGATGCAAGTTGAGAACGGATCGGTGAAGTGGACGAGGGACGACCTGGAGAGCCTTTTGTTGTCCATAGTTTCATCCCTTGTGAGTTGCCGTATAATCATCCTCATCGATGCCCTCGATGAAGGTGAGGAAAAGGACATTCGGCAAATGATTGAATTCCTTCAGCAACAACTCATCTCTTGCGCCGTATCACGTGGAGTTCAATTGAGGATTTGCCTTGCTAGTCGACACTATCCAAGCCTTGTGATTGTCAACGCTATTCAGCTCGTGCTTGAGGATCAGTTGGAGCACGAGTCCGACATAAGAGAGTATGTCGAAGCCAGGTTTAACGGAGGGAGATCCCAGGAAGCCCAGGAAATACGGGCTGAAATTTGCGAAAAGGCATCGGGGGTATTTCTTTGGGTATACCTTGTTGTCCGCTCCTTAAATGAGGTCTTTGAGGTTGGCAAGCTCCACATGGTCCGTGAACGCCTCGATGTGATACCTGATGACCTCGACGCCCTCTTCATTAGTATCCTCACCCGGGACCAGAAGAGTCTAGGCGACATGCTCTTCTGCCTAGAACTTGTCCTGTTCTCTCCTCGTCTAGTGTCCAGCGAGGAGGCTTACTTTGCAATGATGTTTCATAAGCACGGATTAGCCCGAAGGGACATCCAGCTGCACACTGACTCAATGCTCGCCAATTACATTGTGAATGTCTCCAAAGGGATTGTCGAGGTCTCGCGGTCCAAGGCGCATGCTGTTCACTTTATCCACGAGTCCGTGCGAGATTTCCTTCTCCAACGAAATGGTTTCGAAAGGCTACAGTCCGAGCATAGTACTAACTACCGCGGTCTGTCCCACGAGCGCCTCGCACGAGTGTGCCTCCAGTATATATGCAAGGTTAGCGGCGATAAGGCTTTTGGAGACGTGTTTCGGAAATTACCCGGTCTTCCTCGCGACAAGCAACGCGAAGGCATGAAACAACATGTCCCTTTCTTCGGTTATGCGCGTTCCAGCGTCCTCTTCCATTCCAATGCAGCTCAGGCCACAGGTGTTTCACAGTCAGACTTTCTACGCCAGTTGCTCGATAACCTTTCTGCGTTCAAGTCTGTCTACAACGCCGTCGAGTGTCCCAAGATCTCTCGTTATGATCACAAGGTGACTCTCTCATATATCCTGGCTGATCAAAAGATGGCTCATCTTGTGGGCCTGGAGGTCTCGCGCCGTGGATATGATTGGTCAAGGGGTGGCCGATACGAGTCTCCAATGGGAACAGCCATCGATTCAGGTGATATGCCTACGATCAGGGCCCTACTTGGCTGCCACACTGACGCCGAAATTATCGACAACACTGATTCACTAGGCACTGCGACCATTTCCGCTATGAAAGATCATCTAGTTGAAAGTGAGAGGAGAAGCTGCCGGCCGGTCAAGATACCGTATAAAACCTTTCTGGTTAACACTGCTATTCGAGGGGGCCATCCTAGCGTCCTGATGTTTCTTGTCCAGACAGGTGAATTCAACCCGCTGTCCGCAGTCCGCGGAACCTCCAACCGTGGCCAAGCACATCTCCTCAAAATACTCCTGGATTGTTGGCGATCCAACCCTGAAACTGTTGGGAAGGATTATCCAAAAGCCTTTCCACCACCCTTGGGGAGTCGCACGGTGCATATCGATGTGATCAATGTCCTATTGGATTATGGCTGTTTAGATGTCGATTATGTGTTTCCAGAATCCGAGCAGGAGTGCGGTGTGCTTCATTGGGTGGCGAGACATGGGGACGCAGCTACGGTGAAACGACTTGTCAATACTGGCTGTGATGCAACCTTTCGTGACAATCGCGGAGAAGATCCGCTATGTTGCGCTGCAGGAATGGGCAGGGTAGAGGTGGTGCGTATTCTAACCAAGGTTGAAGGTGTTGATATTGACGCAAAGGCTGGTGATGGTCGGACGCCGCTATCGTTTGCCGCAGGTTCGCCCTACATCGGGAGTTCTGAGACTGTCTCTGCCCTGCTTGAGACGGGGCTGGTCGATATAAACTCCGAAGACAAACTTGGACGAACACCCCTCTTCTGGGCTATCGTCTCTGGGAACGGAGCAACTGTAGGCACCCTTCTCCGTGTTCCGCAGATCAACATTGATTTTATGATGGGTTCTGGCCATACTCCGCTTTTGTTTGCGGCCACGTGGCGCACTCGGGAGATTATCGAGCTGCTGTTAACCACCGGACGGGTTGACGTCAACGCCAGGGATTCGCATGGCCGAACGCCGCTATCGTGGGCTGTAGGCCCTTGCTTTTCCTACAAAGGTAGTAAGTGGCACTTTGGCTGCGAGCCAGATCGATTAGATAGGGTTAAGGCGCTCCTAAGCTGCCCTGAGATTCACCCAACTACCCCGGATGCCTTCGGCTATTCGCCCCTTGACTGGGCTCGAATGTACCACTGCGTAACGAGTCCTTATTATGCACACTACCGGGTGGATGAGAGAGACAGATTGGCGCGAGAACATGAAGCAATTGTCGAAGTTCTTGCCCAACATGGTGTTGTGGAGAATGTGCCCGATGCAAGTCTTGATCCCCGAGATTACGAGTCCTCCTATAGCTACGGCCTGGAAGAGCTCTTCCCGTTTCGTGGCGCCTGGCTTCGTGCAGTAAGCCTTGAGGATCTGCTCAAATCAGGCCAGGTAGGACGTACAACTGGCAGGCGTGGTCAGGGCTACGCGCGGGGAGCCCTTAATGAGAGCCGGTGATGTTGACTCCAGGGACGGAAATGTTACAGGTGGCTTGGTCTTTAGATCTAGTTCATTGTTAGAAGACGAATTCGATTCTCACAGCCGCTTACTTAATCCATGATGCTGCTCGGGGCACCTGTACTGCTTTATTTCATGAAGACTCGAGGTCTCGTCGGCGGCAGCTCAAGCGGGAAGAAAACTGACAACAGCCAATCCCACTATACCCTCCATCTCAGCGCGCCGCTTGAGCCACTGGTATTATCTCCCTCTTTCATGCCAGAAATGTGATTCTTGCCTTGAAGTATCAGAGTTTCCTCGTCTATATATTATCAAGCTCCCGATAAACGGGCCTTGGACCAAGAACCATATGGTGAAGAGCCAGCACCCGACGCATATCTATTTCTGGGGCTCTGGTATTTGCTAACCCTAACTTTTTCCGGCGCCACTGCTTATGGCTTCCCAACGAGGTCATGTTCGAGTGGGGTGGCTGTTAAGGCTTGGGAGATATAAGACGAATTTATCTATCTCATGAGACTTAATACTTTTCTAGCTGGTTAGTTTGCCGGTCCGTATTGTGAATATTGACTTTTGGCTGCTGGTCTCTCGGCGTGGGCCGGGGCCGAGCCCGGCCGGCGCAGGGACCATGCCCATACGGTTAGACTCTGTATAGTTACGAGTCAGGTGATAACTCACTCACCTCCATTTTTCTTACAGTCAGGGGGCGCTTGGGCAAGCTTCAACTGGCCCACTCAGGGGTGCTGAGCCGCCTCGATTCCTCACAACCAGGAGACCGAAAGAGCCCGCATGGAGATCTCGGCGGAACGGTTGAGGCTCAGGACGAAAACCGGTTGTTTGACCTGCAGAAGTAAGAATCCCATCCCCGGAAAGGCCCAGCCGCAAGAAGTGCTTCGCGCTAAAAAGTGGCATAGAAAGACGAGTAAAATGCGATGAAACCAAGCCGCATTGCACTAGATGCACATCGACGGGTCGCAAATGCGATGGATATCCTTCGTCCTCTCCACCTCGCCATGATGGGCTGGTCCGATGGTCTCTACCTTTGATTGTCGCCCCACCGTCGGGAAACGGTAATGCACGAGAAACCCGGGCATTCCAATTCTTCTACGAGCGGACTGTCCCGTCATTATCAGGGTACTGCGGTTCCGAGTTCTGGAACAGACTCGTACTGCAGGTCAGTCAGCATGAGAAGTCCGTTTGGCATGCATTGATCGCGTTGGGCTCGCTACACGAGAACTTTGAGAATGACCAGCGGATTCCTGGGCTGTGGTTCTCGCGGAGGGGATATGATGACTTTGCAGTCCGAGAGTATCTCCTAGCGATTAGGGCTCTTATAGGGCCCAGGAGGACTCTGGATCACGGGACGAGCGGGTCGTCGCCGGCCGAGCCTCTGACAGTAGATGTGTACTTGATATCATGCATTCTGTTTGCCTGTTTCGAGGTGCGTTGAGTACACACATTCTGACTTTCAGACGTAAGCGAAGAGACAAGAAGGCTGACTATACGCAGGTCCTGTCAAGCCACTACGACTCCGCCATCAGCCACATCCGTGCCGGGATTAAGATCATGAGCGAGACAAACTATGACCGCGCGTCGGGCACGTTTTGCCATCCGTATCTGCGACCATCTACAGTCACTGGCCTGGAGATTGGCACGCTGCGGAAGATGCTTATCCAACTTCAAGATCAAGTTTTTACACTGGTACGAACCTCGTTGCTGCTGTATTTACTATGATCGTCTCGTTTCTATCCCATGTACACGAAGCCCCGCAGTGATACTGACTTTGCACTCAAACTTCCAGACACGCGAGGGTATAGACGACGACTAGTTCTTTCTACCAGATCTGAAAGCACCCTCCAAAACGACATGACAATCCCAGACGAGTTCCACTCTGTAGCCGAAGCCCGAGACGTCTTCGAATACTACAGGAGCAAAGCAGCTCAACAACTTCGCGGTGACCCGCATACCCCGGGCACGGCGGACATCCAGGAATACACTTCCATAATCCAGCAGTTCGAACCCATCGTGGGACGGATGCTTGGCGCTTTAGACCGACTCGAGCAGCGAACCAGTGCAACACCTAATGCACGCGAACAACTCGGAGTGAAGATTCTCAAGATCCACACATACATGCACCGCATTCGACTGGAGTACGCCAAGCTCGGCGTTTCGGACCAGACGTCGTGGGATAGATACAACCACCTCTTTGATCAAATGGTCTCGCTAGCGGCATCCGTCGTTGATCAGACCAACGGGGTGGAATGTCTTTCCCTATCCCCATCGCAACTCGACGCGCTGTCTAGGGACGGGTATCTCAGGCCATCCTTCACCATGGACTTGGGGATCAACGGCCCGATTTTCAATGTTGCGACTATGTGTCGAGACCCGATCATCCGTCGTAAGGCCGTCCGCGTGCTGAAGGCCGCTTCGCGCCAGGAGGGGTGCTATAACAGTCACATCTGTGCTGTTGTCGCGGAGTACGCCATCGCAGCTGAAGAAGATCCATCGACCGATCTGCTCGCACCATATGGCAATTATGATACCGGTCCTTCATCACGACAATTACCTGGGACACGCGTTTCCACGAACCAGGGGCTGGGATTGATAACTCACAGCTATCAAATTCCCGAGGAAGCCCGACTTACATATGTTTACCCTAGAGTGGACGCCGCGCGGAAGAAGGTGTATATACGGCTCTGCAAGGGAGGGGTTGATATTGATGTTGATATCGGACTGTCTGCTACGAGTGCTGGTACATATATGATGTTATAGAGACATTGCTTTGGACGGTGGCGCAGGGCATCTAGGCCCCCGTGGGCTTGTCTGAATTTAAAACCTTGTTGTCAGCCTTGTTGCCTCCATGCCGGGCTTTACCCGGGGAGTCGTGGTATATCCCGATTCCCCGCCATGTGCAGTCCCTACCATTCGACTACTTGTAGGACATGGCTAGAAATAGGAACAAAAGTAGTGCGGAGTATGTAGTTAGAACGTCAAGGAGGAAGTGGAGGAGCAGGAAGATCTCTGACGATTTTAGTAAACGCGCCGATCAACCTTAGGCATGCACACTCGATGATCTGTGACTGTGATGGACGATTAGAAAGACAAATATGTGGCAAATGGATTGGTTTCAGCGTACAGCCACTCGGGCCAGCGATGGAGAGCTCCGCAATGAATGGGTATGGACAGGAAGAATTGGCAAAATGCCTCTGACTCTCCATGACCGACCGAAACCAAGAAGAGAACCTGTTATCAACGAGGCTCTCTATCGAGACGGTCGTTGCAATGTCTCGAGTAGGGGGGGTATTGTGCATTCGCAGTATATCTACTCAACAGTGAGAAATCCAGGGCCCACGGCAGGTTTACCTAGGAGCCAAAAACCCCTGAATTCGGCGTTAGAGTTTAAGGTGGTGCGATATATGGTTGGGAGACCACGGGTTGTGGTCCAGCCCCCGGGCGTCGAAGCCATGCGGCGTTGATTGCAGGGGCTATTATTGCCACCACGGGTGCACTGTTCCACGCCCCAAAACTCAAATCCATGCGGTGGATTTCGACTTCAACAGAGAGCTCGTGGAAGATACCTGCTCATTTGAGTATTCATAACGGAGGAAATATCCCCCATCGGGCAATTATCTATGCGATCCTTGCCCAGAAGGCTGGAGCCACGACGTCACCACAGCATGCGGCAGCGACGACGCCCCATGAATTGGGGATGACGATCCAGTCCGGGGTGAGATTTGTACACTCGGGGCGGGGATAAGGATCCACTTTCATCTTCCGAGGAACTTGAATGTGGGGGCCAACGTGCCCAGAGGCTTGGATTCGCAAGTGCGAACGGTTCCGGTTGGGGGTCCGCCGGGACCTGATCACGTGCCCCCGGCATCGCCCTTCGACTTCTTATCATCAACTGCGCATTTCAGGGTCTTGCAGGAAACGAGTCTGCCCAAAACGTACACACCGGGAGATGGAACAATCACAGTGTCCTCTGAACGAAGCGAATGGAGAGGATGGACGTGCGCTGGATCCCCCACAAACCCGCAGGTTGGTTGCCGGCTCCCCGCAGCGCACTCTTAGCCGGGTGCGACCCCGGTCTTGCTTCCGTGGAGGATGTTAAGAGCCTTTACAGAAAAGTCCGTGCTGCCAGAGCCTGTACGGTAGGTATTCTCCGAGACGACGGCAGTTGACATACAGCTAATCTCGATAGGCTTGTCATCAACGCAAGGTACGTACGATCGCTGGGCATCTGAACAAGGTAATTGTCTAACATACCTACCAAGATCCGTTGTGACATTACAACCCGCGGCCTGCCTTGTACAAACTGCACCGACTACTCGACCGAGTGCAAGTCTCACGTGCCGAGGGCCCGGGTCTGGGTCAACCGAAGGCGAAGACGGTTAGTCTGGACAGTGCAGGCGTGTCTCGAACTGGAGCTAATCTGGCCCTCTACCCAGCCAATCCTCTGATGCTTCTAAATCCGAAGTAGAGTTGGCAAACAAGGAGGACTCCTCCTGTAGCCCATCGGAGAGGGTAACTGGCGCAGCCTCCACCACAATCTCCGCCACAGATGAATCTCGGTCCCCGAGAGAGCGCAGTCCGCCTCGCAACCTGTGGAGCTCCATGCTCCCGCCTGAGATTCAACATTCACTTCCGCAGTCTGAATATCTTGGTGAATCGCTTGGTCTGTTTATGCTCCAGCCTGATCGTCGGGGTATGGACATATATCACCCGCTGTCTTGGGGGTCCATATCAACTCCATCCGGGCTAGATCCACTCCAGTTTGCAATGTTGAATCAGCAGGGAGCTTTTATGCTTCCATATCAAGAGTTATGTGACGAATTGATCGAGGATTTCTTCGAGCGGGTCGCCCCAGTAGTCCCCGTCGTGAGCAGAACAGTATTCATGGCTCAGTATAAAGGCATGGATGAAACGAATCCCCCATCCCTGCTTCTACTTCAATCGATGCTCCTTGCTGCATCCAAGATATCGAGATCTAGTCGCCTGCCGCAGGCCATTGGTTCGAATGCGGCTGCCTCAGCGCTTTTCTACAAACGCGCAAAATCTTTATACGACGCTGGTTTTGAAACCGATCGTATTGCCATTTTACAATCCGTCATTCTCATGGGCTGGTACTGTGAGGATCCACGAGGTAGGCCCGAGTCCACCGTACCTGCCAGTGTATGCTCATGTCCAAGGTGTCGGTACAACCTTTTACTGGAGTAGAATCGCCATCGCTCTTGCTCAAAGCATCGGAATACACCGAAGGTAGGGCCTTTTATTCCTCCATCAAACAACGACTGACCTGCCCGCAGTGTCACCAGCTCTGTCCTCTCTCTTCCCGAGAAACGACTTTACAAACGAATATGGTGGGCCCTCTTCACGAGAGACCGTCTGCTATCCGTGTGTCTGGGACGGCCAATGGCAATCAATCTTGCAGACTGTGACGTGGAGCTTTTACAAGACAAAGACTTTGACGAGGTCGAAGATGGAGGCTCCCCTGGGCCTTACCCTTCGAACCCCGTCCACACATCATATTTCACCCAATACGTGAAACTGTGCAAAATCATGGGCGAGATATTCGCCACCTACTACTCTACTACGTCAAAGGTTGCCAACAAGGATGCGTCAGAGACTCACCTGCAGTACGACCAGCGCTTGACGGAATGGCTCCAGCAACGCCCGCCGGAGATGATCTGGGGAAAAGGGCCCCATGAATTCTGGGCAGCAATCCTCCATCTCCACTACTGGTGAGTGCCTTCCACTTCAGTGTACTACGGGCAACTCTCTTTGGACTCACTAGTCATAGTACTGCGATATGCCTTCTTCATCGGGCTCACATGCCAGCGGGCGCAGCAAAGTCTTCGTCATCTTCCGATAGCTCATCCAGTAATATACACCTCTCTCGTGAGGCAGCATATGACGCGGCGAGCTGCATCACTGATATTGTAGAGACGCTCATGTCATCTACCAAGCTGAACTTTGCTCCACCTTTTGTGTTCGTATTGCCATCGCATTACCTACGCTGCACTCTCTTTCCTCCAACACCCAACTTACCCAAGACCACATCACAGCGTATACACCCTCTACTCTGCTCTCCTCGTGCACGTCCACCGGGTCCACGAAACCAGAAACTCCAACCTCTTCCTCGCAGCGCCCCGTGCCGGCGTCTGCCTCCGTGCCCTCCTTGAGCTGTCGACTACATGGACAGTCGCGACCCTCATGTACACCATGTTCTCCCACCTGCTTACGTCTGACCTAAAGAGACGGGGGACCACCACCAACGGTGGTCAGAATGACCCGTTGCCGGGCCAGCCTCACTTTACGGAGATCATGCCACATATGCGTCCGGGTGACGATGTTTCGTTTTCGAATGTTGATCCAAGTCTGGTGGCGACTGGGAACTTTGATCTGCAGATGATGGGCCTTTTGCCGTCGGAGGGTGGGGGTTTTACCTTGTAGCACGGATTGGGTAGGGAGGATGTACATATGTCAGGCTAGGAAACATACCCTATTCTACATCAAGTGTACACTTTATACGGATCTAGATGACCCCTGAACGGGAAATGTGGAGATATATGCGGGCTGGGATAGATCTACCCCGTGCCATGACGTTCGGGCAAGTCGCTGCACTAGTACCAGTGGCCTAAGCGCAATTGTATGCTCCACTGATATTGCCCATCTACACTGATCACCATTGCTCCCGCGCTTGCCTTGCTTACGGTCATCGGTTATCCCGGGAATGGCGGGGCGCGGGACGAATGGGACGGGTGTACGTGACAAGGCGAGGTGTTGAAGCACACCTAGACTCGAACTGGGGATGCCCAATGTGTCAATTTATTATCGGAGAGCGAGACACTGGTGGGAATAGATCCTTGATACGTGATTTCCGGCAGTGACTCCTGTGTTTTCCCCTTATTAGGGCTTTAATAGGATTCACCGGGGCAGGAGATAACATAAAGGGTGCGTTGAAAGATCTTGTCTGCGCGGCCAGATGGAGCAGTAAATTGCTTTCCTTTAGTTTGCCCTTCTCTTTCCTTCGCCTCATATCCGTGTACTGGCGGGTTTAATAGCTCCACCTTGTTAAGTCCAGCAATAACTATACCTTGTCTTCTATTATCCGTGATTCTTGGTGTAGTGCCATTTGGTAGAAATAAGAATTTACACATCCTGGCCTATATCAACCTCTGTCACCAGGGGCATTCTCGGAAACTGGATGCCTGATTTTGGATGGAATTTCGCTGGTCCTCAATTGCGCTCTATCGCCCAACACACCACCCACCGGGAAACACCGGTATTATTACGCCAGCCAGGATTTGTGGAGCTTGATCCAGTCTATACTATTAGCATGGGCCAAGTGCCAGGCCAACTCATTGGCCAGAGCTTTGGTGGTTCTTGATTCTTCCTGTGTTTGCTGTCTATACAGTAAACACGCTCGCGGTTGGACCATTTATCGACCCCATTCCGGAAGCCAGTGATGGTCATTAAAATACAGCAAGATCCAAGATCGAGCTCAGGGTCAACGTCTGAAAGCTTGGCCTTCCTTCATCCTCGCGCTAGACCCCTAATAGTGACTGTCTGTGTCCTCGCTAACAAGGATCGGGTGATCAGCAAGCCTCGTGCGGTAATATCCTCATTTTATAGTAAATTGCAAACCCTGACTGAGATCAAATGGGACGAAATATATTATCAGATCAGGATGACTCCAAATCTTGATAGATGAGCGGGTAACAATGCAATGGCCAAGTGGGTAGAACAATGAAGTTTGGCTGCCTAGTCTGGATGAAAGGATCACACCCAGGAGCCTCTTAGGAGTTTACTCTACCCTCGCAGGAATACCCTAAGCCAGTTTATCCTGTACTAAGCACCATGCTGGCGGACGGCCGAACTCATCAGGATATACACGAAGAACCCGGAAAAAATAAAAGTCAGATGGCCAAAATCGAGGAAACGGCAAAGGCAGCCTAGCCACGGAATGCCCTTTTGGCCGCGGACGGAGAGGCAATTTGATCCCCCGCATCTCCCGATCTCCGCCAATGCCGTGGTGCGGGGTAAATATATGGCATGGGACAGACCTATGATCAAATAGGCTCTTCTCTTAACTATCTTCTGCCAGTAGCTGAATCTAGACCTGCGCAGCACATTTAGGCTAAAACCAGCCTAGCAAAGTCCTGGATATTTCGAGCTGCAAGCGTACCAGCGACCAATCGTCTATTATTGCCCTCAGGAACGGCCATGAGTGCCGCTTCGAGCATTGCAAAAAGTGGTGCCGACCAAGACTTGATGATTTCGAAACTCAGCAAGCAAATCCGGTTGGCCCACTCAGAATGAGCCAGGGAGGTGAGTCAATCAAAGTGCATGCCAGCTGCCCAGGTGCTACATTCAGGCTTTCTCACTCGTGATATCTCTCCTGCCTTAATGGAGCCGATGATTCGGTGGTGAAGCCCAGAACAATCAGGCCTGTGTAATTGCATTTCTTTTCTTCTCCCAATCACCAACCTTCCCGAGATTGCCCGCTGCCAGCTATCGTCTCCCCGTGTCTCGCTGCGTTAGCCTCAGTAGCCCTACTATCGAGCGGCACCGGATCCTCTTCTTGACAAATCATGTCCAGGCTTGGCGATCTGGGGTAGTCTCAATTACCCGTGAAGAACTGCGGAGCATATATCCAGGCCGGCTATTCGGGAATCGCCTCCTAAGCTGCCAGATCCATGCAGCTCCTGAGGTAGAATCTTCCTCAGTGGTGGGCCGCCTATAAAAAGTGCGCTCTTCTGCCATTTGCAATCCTCATCCGTCTCCCCAAGGTAGAGTGACGTGACAGAACTCTTCCAAATAAGCAATGGTCCAATTTGGCGCCCATACTGTCGCCCTTGCGGCAGCTCTGCTTCCGAATATGTTCGTTTTTCTTTCCCTGTCCAGCGAGTTTAGAAGCTAAATCTAGGACCGTTACTACAGTGTCTCGGCCCTTGGTCTCCACGAGGCTGCCCTTGCCGCCGGCCTCGAATACTTTGGCTCGGCGACAGACAATGGAGAGCTGTCCGACATCCCATACCTGACTCAGCTCAGTAACACGGAGGACTTTGGTCAGATTACCCCCGGTAATTCGCAAAAGGTACGTTTCTCTTCCTGCGGTCTCCACCTGACAGTCTAATCGCCTCAAATCTTGACTGACTGCATTGTACAGTGGGATAGCACCGAACCCTCCCAGGGGACATTTAGTTTTACTCGCGGGGATGTGATCGCCGATCTGGCCGAGGATAATGGTCAGCTGCTGCGTTGCCATACACTTGTCTGGCATCAGCAGCTTCCTAGCTGGGGTACGTCGGGACTTGCCACCTGGGCCGGATGGACTATTCACAATGAAAGGGCTACTGTAACTTGCTGACTGCACGAAACAGTGACCAGTGGCAGCTGGACAAATGCGACTCTGACCGCGGCCCTGCGCAACCACATCACCAATGTCGTCACCCATTATCGGGGAAGATGTGTCCACTGGGATGTTGTGAATGAGGGTCTGTCTGTCTTTTGCCCCTTGCATTTGTTTTATCCAGGCCTCTCCCTCCTCTACCATGGTGCACACAATTCTGACGCTGGTCCAGCCCTCAATGAAGATGGCACCTACCGCACAAATATCTTCTACACAACCATTGGCGAAGCCTACCTCCCCATCGCCTTCGCCGCCGCAGCCGCCGCAGATCCCTCCGTAAAGCTCTACTACAACGACTACAACCTCGAATACGGCGGCAACAAAGCGGCCGGTGCCCGGCGCATCGTCCAGCTAATCCAGAACGCAGGCGTCAAAATCGACGGCGTCGGCCTCCAAGCGCACTTTGGGGTTGGAACGCTCCCGAGCAGAAGCTCGCTTGTTAGTGTTCTGAACTCGTTTATTGCGCTCGGTGTCGAGGTCGCCTACACAGAGGCCGACGTGCGGATCCAGCTCCCGACAACAGCGACTACTCTCGCGCAGCAGGCGACCGATTTCCGGAACCTGGTCGGGTCCTGCGTGGATACGGTCCCCGGGTGCGTCGGGTTTACCATTTGGGACTGGACGGATAAGTATAGTTGGGTTCCGAGTGTCTTTGACGGGTACGGGGCTGCGCTGCCGTGGGATGAGAATTTCGTCAAGAAGCCTGCGTATGATGGACTGTTGGCTGGGTTGGGCGTTACTGTTACCACTACTACTACGAGTACTACTACCGCGACGAGCACGACGTCCAGTGCCACGACTACGAGTACGGGGACTGCGCAGCGGTGGGAGCAGTGTGGTGGGAATAACTGGAATGGACCGACTGTGTGTGCGAGTCCGTGGACTTGTACTTTTGTTAATGCTTGGTACTCGCAGTGTTTGTGAGCGGAGTTATTAGTGGATGGGATTGAGTGGTCGGATCTTGGAGTGAAGATAGGAGTATACCACCATGAGTACATGTCAATGTATATCGGGTCAGCAGGGGACGTGTCAATTGTAAATAATAGCCTCCAGGCTGTCCTCTGATAGTAATCGAATACTGACAGAGCGCGCTACGGCTCCAGGAGAGAACTCAGCCATGATCAACGATGCATTTAAAATGTCTCTAGAGATCTGTAAGAATTATGGCGCTACTAGTTAGGGAATTACTAGATATAGCTACATGACATGAAAGAAGACATGTGACATGTGTGCTAGAACCGTCGGTGGAAGAAAAAGAGCGATAATCGGGGCTTCCAACAAATACATCCGTAGCTCACGTCTGCTCCAGCACAAGACCCCGTCGCCGACTTCTCCTCTTCAGCCGGACACGGATATCCTCGGCTGCTCGTTCCATCTGGCGAACGGTATCAACCCTCTTCGCATCGTCGCTAAAGTCGACCTCATCCAATCCGTGGAACAGAACCGCCAGGATAGAAGACTTCCACAAGTGAAGTCGCTGCAGTCTATTGGCGAGAATGGTCAGGGGCAGAAAGCACACGCTAAGCAGTACCAGCGCCGTCGGGAGTAAGATCCAGATCCAGTTCACGGAGACATAAGTCTCCCCTTGGAAGACGGTACCGTAGACCGATTGATTACTAGATAGAAGTGCCGCCCGGTTTAGGGAGGCTGCGATATTGCTCATAGATTTCTCAAGGCCATCGCGTAATACCTTTGCAGCTGTCGAGTCGTGATACTCGGTCTGGTTCACCCACTGGGATTTGTTCTGCATTTTCCATCCCCAATACTCACTCCCGTCCGTGAACAGGGTTAAGCGCCAATAATCGTCAATGCCACAAAAGGCAAGCTCGGACGTGTTCACCCAAGTCCCAGACCCGGCCAGTTGGGTAAGGCTAGCCGGGGGGCCCCCGGTCCCGGCCTTCCAGCATGGCCGTACCCATTCTGCGATGCGCTCCCGTTCCTCAAGACCTAGCTCGGCGGCTGAAATACCATGCAGCACTTCCCCGGTGGACCCGTTGACGTAGAAAGTCTCGCCGTAGTCTGGCGCGGACTTTACGACAGAGGGGATTCCATTCGTGACCGACACTTGATTTGTTCTGCTGCACAGTGCAAAGGCACATTGGTCCACTTTTCCAATGGTCAAAATAGGTCCCATGTTCTCGAACGGCGATATTCCCGTCAGGTTAGCATCGTCAGCTAGGACAAGCTCAATGTGGATGACCACATATTGCGGGTTACGTAGACCAGCGAAGGTAACTTCTGACCAATTGGTCGAAGCATAATCCACACCGTACCGCGTCAGGAGAAAATGTTTCCTTATTTCTATATCGATCAGATCGTCCCGGTACAAATCGTCCAAGGTTGAAGCGCCGGAATAACCTAACGGCTCCCCGGACAGAGAATCGAGTATCTCACATAGAAACTCTTGTTCCCGAGGCCTGTTATCACTGGTATTAAACACGGATCGAGGACACTTTAACGAAAATGCTGCCGTGGCATCGTCGCATTGGTGGCAGATTTCCACGGATTGAAATTCCGGCCACATGCAATTTCCCGACGGACAAGTCGCCGTGAAATCCACATTGTCGGCCCATTGACCAGGGTAGACGATGCTCTCCAACTCATCGTCACTAAAGAATTCCAGCACAAGGCTCGTGGCCCGCTTGACTACCGCCTCGCTCGAGTTTGTCGCCACCACAGTGTTCCTGATGGGATAGGAAATGATCTGTTGCATGAACGGGTCAAAGGCAAAGGCGAGCACTGTGATGACCGCGCCAAGCGATACTAATGACCGGCCGCGGTGCCGCCATATCACCGATATGGATCCCATCGGGCCGCGACTGGCATCGTCGAATAGCTGCATCTCATCGAGCGTCTTCTTCTCGCCCGGCTGGTAGAACCAAAGCCATTTGAGCTGACCGATGCACTCGGCGATTACGAAAATCAAAGATGATTTCGAGGCCGCTGCGAGGAGCGAGATGATGGCGTTTAGCGTGAGCCCGTACGAGAACCCTGGCGCCGGTTTATCGTCGTAGACCATGAGAGCAGCTATAATTCCACTAAAGCACATGAGGCTGAAGATCATCGCGATCACCTCATAGAACCATGTGTCGACGATCCTGGAAAAGATAAGCTCATTGGGCGCTTATATTCTCTGCACACGACGGTACGCACCTGGGTCTAGGAATTATCGCATTGCGTGGGGCTGAGCCACGGGTTGGACAACAGTTGGATTGAGCGGACATGATGAACGTTGACTCGAAAGAATAGACAGTTTGCAGGCCAATTGCTTCACGGTTGACCATCCGAAAGAGAGTAGCCTGCTCTTGAATGATTTTGGCGGAGGCCAGGAGGGATCAATCAGTTCAGCCTTGAGGTCGTACAAGCCTTGTCTGTCTGGCCATAGCCCTCTTGGTAGTCAGATTGACGCTGATTTGTAGCCAGCTCATCGTGCATTACTCCTCTTGGATCTCGTAAGTATGGACGAGGCCCAGATGCCTATGTTGGGAATTATGCCTCGAATAAGCTTAAAATTCATCTGGTCTCGTCGCAAGCACTACCGAGGGACTGGTAGTCTCTGTCTATTTATAACCGTTTAGCCACACCCAAGCTGCGCACAACATTCATGCATGCAGCACGATCCGCATGGACTCGAGGCGAGGAGCCAGTGAAGCCTTTGCCTGAATCCCGACGTTGCACAGGTGGGCAAGCCACGTTCCAGAACGAACAAAGGCTGATTCTACCCCGCCAGCCGTAATCTTCTTACCTCATCTGTGGTTGCTGAAGCCGCCCCTTCTATACCATTTCTTTCTCCATTGACTTTTGCACCCCCGCTCTCTCACTTGTACCCATCCGGGAAGTCCTGGTACGTCAAGGTAATCATGGTGTAAACAGTTCGCCAATGCTCTTTGTAAATAAAGGTATGAACTCTTCGCGAATGGCGCTACAATATGGCAATTAGGAGTCCACGTTTGATGATATTGTCGGCTCCTCATTGATGGTTCTTCCAGCGTGAGAAGCCATAAGGCTGAAGCAGCCATAGTGGACCAGCACACCGGCCGCCCAACAATAATACTCGCCCTGTGTCACCTATACACTATTCCGATGATGTATAGCAAATTGAGATGGTTTCATCCTCGTTTCACTGGCGGATATATCCTCGCGGGAAGTGACGTTACTTCGCCGAGGGTGCGCGTTTGCCCCAATAAAAGGCAACGATTATCACCACGGATAGTCTGACAACCAAAAAGTATCCGGGTACTATCACTTGAGTAGCGTAAGATATCTCTCTAAAAACAAGCTATGAGAGTGCTTTCCCACGGTACTTCTATCAGGTTAAAGTACGGTTATCTCACATTCTGGCGCGGCTAACGGGGCCGTCGCGTCCCCACAGGCAGACCCATGGTTCTGCGACCCCCTCCTACAAGACATGGAAAATGTTCGTCACATGCTAAACCAATCGGTGGAATCAACGCTCTTGACATCATACATTGGGTCTTTTAATGGTTACAGGCCTGCTGACCAGTGCAGTGCATCCACGCCACACGGCGGTTTATTAACGACCCAGTCGCACCAACGCAGGTATTCGCTGGCTCTATCCTGGCAAGGACAATTTCCTCCTGAGAACAAACATATCCATCATGTCCGACCGCAAACAATCATCTGCTTCCGAGAAGCTCGATGCGTGAGTATCCACTGCGCAACCCGACAACATCTAGCGACCCAGCTAAGCGTCCTTAGCACCTTCGACAACCCCGCAATTCTAGACGAAGGCAAGGGAGCCACTGCACAGTCGATGCTCGAACCAGACGACGGAGGTGGGCATCAGGTCCTTCGTGGCGACGATTATTCTACGCCGCGCATGCAGCCCCAGCCCGTGCACGCGATGAAGGGTAGAAGGGTCTCGCATATTCTACATGAGATGGCGGCGAAGACGCCAGACGAGTTGCTGCTTCTTTGAATCTACACTTCTTTGAGTCTGCCGGTGTCATGGAGCTTTGAGTGGGGGAGTGAAAAGCTGTTGCTCGCCTCTAATAATAGTCTATCCATCGTTTCTATCATTTGATATTGTTCATCGAGCGGCGTGGTTTTGATATCTTCATACGTCGTTACGTAGACTAGGTCGATATTGGAAATAGCAAATGGCGTGATTCTGATTCCTTTTCCACGCGTACGCTTCAAAATGGCAATTCAGGGCCATCTGTTTGAATAGAGAGTCTCGACTCAATTAGTACGACCGCAAACGGTAATCTCACCCCTTCTGCAAGACCGTTGAGCACGCCAGTGTATAGACTTCGTCACCCCCACGCGAACCATCACACGTGGCTTCCATGAGATCACAAATTCCGAAGGAGCTTTGATATCGCGCCGTCGCCCAACGCCGACCGGAGCCGACGGGTTACTGTGGGGGCAACTGTCAGAAAGACGGGGAGTGGCCTGACACCGACAGACCCCAACGCCACCCGAACCTTAAATGGACTGTGGGGTTTCTGTCCCGCATTTATAGCTGGAAAGAACCGTCGAGAAAGTTACGGCCGCTCGGATTCTAGACCCAAGCCTTGCATTACTCAACCTGGGGGGGACAGACTTCGCTCTAATGCCGGTTCCAGTCATCGTGATCTTTCTGTGTTTCTGTTTCTTATATATTATAGCCATGACATGGTTAGCGAAGCCCTTCTTGCCCGGTGCCAATACCCAACACTCACTTTGATTCAGGCTCCTATATTCGGACCCTGGGCCCCAAACGTCGCTAGACTCGACGCCCCAAGGCCGCTCCGTAGAGTCTCTAACACAGGCCGAGGTAGAGGCTAGAATCGCACGGCTAAACAGAGAAACATTACGAATCCGCCTGCGAGACTGTCCCGGTCTGAAACCCACCGAGACGACGCAATTGAAGGATCCCGTCCAGCCATCGGCGGTGATTTGGTAAGTATTGCACTTGCTTGTACTTCCACAACACAATGATAAGCCAGCCTAACCACCTGCCGTTGGCAGTCCGATATGCCTTGACCAAATCCGCCCAAACGACCTGGTCTATTCCTTGTCGTGCCGCCATGTCTTCCACGAGGGCTGTTTGCAGTACTGGTACCTGTACGAGAATAACCGGTGCCCGCTGTGTCAACGGGCGATCATTCCGTCCGGAGAATCACCGGCGGGGGCTCAATCGGTTGTTTCGGTATGATCAACCACTTGACCAGGTGGGTTGTTTGTATCGTGCTTGCTTGGGGTTACGTGGGGCGCTAGGTAGGTTAGGTCGGTGATAAGGACTGTGGTCTGTGATGCCCTTGGGACCCTCTGTGAGGTTTGCTGTGGAGAGGCCGAGAATACCATTCATCGTCTGTTGCGTTTATTTTCGCTAGTCGTTGCTCCGGGTGTAGCTATGGCCGCACTAGTAGAGTTTGATGGTCGCAAGAGCCCGCGGCAGGGAGATGAGCACTAGAATAGCTAATCCAGCGCTCTAGCGGAAATCCATGCTTTAAATGTGCCTTAGATTGTAAATAATGTCCAAAATAAGAGCCTTTCTTGAAAAGGACGGATGGGATCCAGGTAAACAAGCATTATATATTTTCTCCTCTCGATGACTATCAGCTAAGCCCAGGCTTATATTCACCTCGATATAATCCCCAGTGACGTCCTATGTAAACTATGAAGGCATTATACGTCGTGCCTATAGTATCTAGGACGCCCGGAACCACATACTATGCAGTGGAGAATTTTGTTGATGGAGCGAGCGACGTCGTCCTCGTACACGTACCAGCGCCCCCGGTAATGCACACGTGACTTTGATCGCCATGTTGATGAAACCCGAATACTACCTAAGATTCCACCTGAGATACGATATACAATCCCAAGCTTATAATGAGTCCGTAATGTACTGCATGAGTTTCCGGTGCGTTGTCGCAGATCGGCAACACGTTCCGCAACGCAAGGAGGCAGCACTTCACAGAGAATATACAAGACCCGAGTCCAAACCGTATGATATCCAAAGGAAGCCCTATACTTGCAATACAATCCTCTAGCGAACCAAGATCTAAACAAAAGAAATCTCTACAGCTCCTCTCCCATCACACCCCCTTGATCCGGCCAGCACTACCACGGACTCTTCTGCCCCCCCGCAACCCCGGGCTCCCGATCCACAAGCTCAACCGCGTCATCCGAGTGGCCCGCCCGGGGCATATATGTGACCTTGTGCGTGACGGTTTTCTGGATGGCGCTCCCCGAAAAGGGCGTGCTGTCGTAGCGGAGCGACCGGTTCTGGCTGTCGAAGACGGTGGGGAAGGCGCGGCGGAGGGTCGAGAGGATTGCGGGCATGCAGCAGCAGACGATGGAGATGTTGCATTCGATTACGCTGTATGTGGCGACCATCACGTTGTTGTCTGTGTGAGAGATGGGTGGGGTTAGTGGGTTCTTGGAGGGTTTGGGGTTGAAGGGGAGGGAGGGAGGGAGTGGCGCACATGTTATATTTGAGGAGGTGGAGTATTTCAGCAGGCCGGAGAAGCGGACGATGCTGATCACGGTGATGCTAAATGTTTCAAGAGGCAATGTTAGAGGTGGAATCGTAAGCTAGCTCTGGAGGGTAGGGCACGTACACAATTCCAACGCTGAACATGAGAACCAAGTAGATCTTCTTCTTCAGCTTGAGCTGTAGCTTCAGGAGCATGGGGATTGGCATGCCGATAATCCACAGGTCGGTCGCAATGTTGATTGCCTGGCGTAGAGTCAGCAATACGCTTCCTGTGGTGCATAGCTCTACCGAACGTACCGAGTGAGCCCACCAAAACGCGTTGTTATCATAGCAAATGCCCTCTTGCACGCCCATCCAGTTCGTCCACAGCTTCTCGACAGGCACACAAGACAGTATGGTTGTAATGGTTGTAGAGACCATGAACATGAAACACCATATGATTGTCCCATAGCATAGGAGACGGAACTTGGGTCCGGGGAAGACTTGCATGAAGAAGCAGACGATGGCGACCTTGGTTAGGCAGATGGCCGGAATGTAAGTAACTTGGGTTACCCAGGTGTACTGAGCGCTGTTAGGATACAGATCGGATTGAAGGGAGGGGTTAGAACTTGCCTTGGCCGCGTTGGTGATCTGGGTTGGCGTCAAGGTCCAGACGTCCTTGCCCATTCCGGCGCTTTTCACTATACGTCCTGTGAGTACACATGTACATGGTGCCCAGTGGCTGGTGAGAAAGGCATACTGTAAAACTCAAACACGTCCATTGGGATTGACCAGGCCTGCCGTCGGTCAGTTTGGGTTCCAAGTTCATACTGCTGGGGACATACCAATGCCACGACAGCGCACAAATCCGCCCACTTGTACTCCTTGCGAGCAAAACAGTCGAATACCCGGATGAGAACACATATAATGGCGAGAGAGCCCGTTACTATCGTCGCGGTCGGGGCAACCCAACTTTTGTCGCGGATGGGTTGCTTGCACATTGTCGCTGTGGCATTCTGGGCAGCTATCAACGGCGTCGAGGTTAGCTGGTTTCGATAACCAAAGTCAAACAGTAGTTAGAGTGGTCTTTGAACGTACAGAGTCCTTCGACGACCGTGCAGCTCCCCAGTACGCAGGTCTGCACGCTTGCCATTAACATTTGGTCGGCGCAAATGCAGTCCGCGTCCGTGGCGCTGCATGTTGAATCCTCGAGACTTGTCGCGAGGCAGTCGCTCTATCGGTGATGGTCAGTGGTGGCACGAAATAGAGTTTGAATACAGTTCTTACCGCACACTTTGGCATCGTCTGGGCCAAAGCTGCTGTGGCCAGGGCGGCGAACCCTAAAGCCCATGTTGAGAGCCGCATGCTCGCTCCTCGACCCCCCTTCGTCTGTTTTGCGCCTCGATACCGTAAAGGCGAGTCTCCCTTCGCAAGAACACAAGAAAGCGAAAAAAAAAACAGCAGGAACAGCGAGTCGAAGAACCGTGGGTCAAAACAGGCGCCCCGGAACCAGCCCGATCGATATATGTACGGAGTACGGAGTACTGTGCAATCTACGGGTCGTGGCAAAACATGGTAATGCAGAGGACCTAGCCAAATCCCGACACACAGCCTGTGAAGATCTTGTCGAGATTGAGTCTCTGGCCCCCTATTCGACGCTGCAGACGGTTGATGGATCAAATTCTGGGTTGGGAATATGACAGATAACGGCCCCAGGTCTTAGGCCCACTGGCACGGACGGACCGTAACTCGAAAAGGCCAATGGACTGTGGTCTGTGGAGGAGACAGGCACCTGTGAGGCGACGACCGATTCGCCTGGGCTTGCAAGACTTGGAAGAGTATAAAGCCCATCGTGCATATTCGGAACACGCCGTGCTTTTCGTGTGGCAGATAATGTCGTGCATCCTTCTCTGCAGAACCACTGTATCTAACTGCCGCAGGGTATATTTGTCAGGTCCCAGGAAAGCGCGACCCCCTGTCATGGCTGGAGCTTGGCTAGACGTGTTTCATTTCGTCGGGCTTTGGCGTGGGGCTCATTTGCCTGCGCGAAGGATGCAAGGCGAACACGTCCACCCACAATGAGCAGCGTCAAGTATCCGAGTCAGAAAGAGGCCAGAGTCGTAGAGCACACCTCTTCCAGGCTCTAGCGGACATGTATCATTAAAAAAAGCAAGTATGCAATAGCAGTGGCCAGTGAGTGGTTAGTATGCTCGCTGGTCGGGGCAGAGATCAAAAGTACGATATCCACGCATGCCCATCACTGCCTAGAACAGCATGTACGGAACCGCTGACACCGACCGGCCCGATGGGGCCCTCCACTCACCCAACCAATCGCAACGTTGATGTATCTTTGCCAAAAGCGGGTTGTGGCGCTATGGGGGCGGCCAAGGCTCGAACTTACTCCAACATGATATTAAACCAGCAGCGCATTTTCCTCTTCAAAACTTGACACAACGTAGCATTGCAGGATTTGGCAGCCAGTCATTGCGTCCACTTTCGGCCGTTTCTGTAGCTGTACGACCAGTAACTTCTGGCAAGTGACCTGAGGAGCTCCCCAGTCCGATGTCGGCCAATATCCGCCTTGTCTCCCCTGGTACGGCAACCGCCACCCGAGCCTCCTCCGTAGAAGCGGCGCGGCTCGTTCCCCCCCACTAAGAAAAGAACGAGGCTGTCCGGTAGTTTCGCAGGTGCAGGACGCTAGGAGCTGCCTTCCGATGAAAAAGGAGCCCCCGAGAGAATCCCAATGAGCCGTCACGGATTCCTGATTTCCCCGCCTCTGCAGCCATTGGTCAATTGCGCGGTGTTCGCGCTTGGGCCGTTGGAGTCACAATGGCACCACATGGCACACACACACTGGGGCCTGCATTTAAAACGACGAGACCTGGTCCGTTGGTGCCCTCGCGGGTTGCGCGCGTCTTCTTTTCATCCCCCAGAAAATGATCGCGGACGTCAAGACCCTCCTCCTGGCAGCGCTTTGCGCGGTCGCAATCACCTGGCTGCTCCGATCACTGTTCAAGCGCCCGTCGCTGCCCCTCCCTCCAGGTCCCAAGCCGGCCCCGTTGATCGGAAACATCCACCAGCTTCCCAAAAGCCTCCAATGGCTGCACCTCTACCACCTCAGCAAGCAATATGGGCCCGTCATGCACTTTAGCATGGCCGGCCAGCCCCTCATCATCCTTTCCACCCATCAAGCCGCACACGACCTCCTGAACCGCCGAAGCAGCCGTTACTCTGATCGTCCGCGCATGGTCATGGCCGGCGAGCTGGTGACCAAGGGCATGCACATGCTCATTCGCCCATACGATGAGCGGTACAAGCTCCACCAGCGCATGGAAGCGCCCCTGCTCACCCTCCGCGCCGCGAGCAACTATCGCCCACTGCAAGACCTCGAGTCCCAGCAACTCCTGTTCGACGTGCTGGGCGAGTGGGACAAGTTTGGCGAAAAGGGCGTCGACTTTCATCACCACTTTGAGCGCGCGATGGCGAGCACGATCTACTGTCTGAACTATGGATATCGCCTGCAGACGGGGTACGAGAAGGAGCTGATGGATGGGAAGAAGGTGCAGGCCGAATTCGCGCGCACGGGCCAGGTTGGCGCTTATATCGTCGATTCGTTCCCGTCCCTGAATTATCTGCCCAAGTTCCTGGCCCCGTGGAAGAAGGAGGGCGAGGAGTTGTATGAGCTTGAGAGGCAGTTGCATGTTGGGAACCTCAGGAAGGGGTTGAGTAACCGCAGTTGGAACTTTGCCAAGTACATGAAGGATTCGCCCGAGGCTGTTACTATGCCCGAGGAGGAGCTCGCATTTGACCTGGGGATTCTCGCTGATGCGGGGTTGGATACTTCGACTGTTGCGCTGGACTGGTTTATGGTTGCGTGGCTCACCTCTGGCGCGACTTGGGCCAAGAAGGCGCAGAAGCTGCTTGATGAGGTTGTTGGAAGAGATCGCATGCCTACCTTTGAAGACCGTCCCAAGCTGGCATATATCGATGCCATCGGTATGTACCCCTTGATATCTCAATGAACAAAGAACCTCTTACTAACATCATAAAGCAAGCGAAACCCTCCGCTGGCGCCCCGTCGTCGTCTCGGGCGTCCCCCACTTCACCAAAGTCCAAGACGAATACATGGGCTACCACATCCCCGCAAATTCTACCGTCCTCCCCAACGCGTTCGCCATCACGCGCGACGAATCCGTCTTTGGCGAAAACGTCGACTCCTTCATCCCGGAGCGCTGGCTCGTCGACGAACCCCCCGCCGAACCCCAAATCGACACCTGCGGATTCAACGTCTCCGCCCTCAAAGACCTTCCACACACGGGCTTCGGTTTCGGTCGCCGGGTCTGTACCGGACGCCTCATTGCCCGGAACCAACTCTTTATACAGATGGCGCGGATGCTCTGGGCGTTTGATGTTGACGCGGGTGTTGTGGATGAGGAGACGGGGAGGAGACACAAGGTGGATGATATGGATTGTACGGAAGGGTTTGTTACGCTGCCGAAGCCGTTTAGGGCCGTGATGAGGCCGCGCGGGGAGTGGGTGCGTGAGAGGATTTTGGAGAGGGGGAGCACGCATGGCTTGGATCATGCGCAAATACTGGACAAGGCGAGGCTGGATCGGTCGTAGACGGCAGTTTTGCTGTATCGTTCGGATGAGGTGTTGGGAGAATGTTCAATATGTAAAATGTGGCTACAATTACTTGCTCAATTGGCTTCCTCTCCTATGGTACCTGAAACCAACACGAAGCTCATGACTGTCTTTTCCATCTCACTCCACGGTTGGGAGAATACCCTACTGGAACTGGGAAAATGGTAGTTTTTGGACGTATTTGGATATCATGCGAGCCACTGATCCCGATCTTGACGTTCCAACCCGCTCCCCACGCCCTGAAATCTGGGTGATCCGAAAAGGACACTCCAGACCAAACAGAACGTAAAAAAAAAAAACATTCAAAAAATACGAGGACAGTCATGCAATGCGGAATAACGCAATGACTCTGAGCCATCTGCGATGCCATATCGTAATCACGGCGAGCATAACGTTATGCTACTGGTATATCAACCAACACGCGCAACACCAACTGCACAACACCAATTTATTCTCAAGTTCTCAACAGCGTACACCTGAAACCCACAAGCCACATAATCCGTGATTCTATCGCTTCACAACCCAAAACTACACAACTTCCCAAAATGCAGTCCCTCCTCGCCCTCTCCCGCATAGCCGTCGGCCTCGGCTTCCTCACAATCCCCGGCCCCATGGCAGCCCTCTCCCGCATGCCCTTCAGCCCCGAAGCCGCGATCGGCTGCCGCATGGCCGGGGCGCGCGATATAGTCATTGGCGCGTTGCTATACACAAGCCTGAGCCGGTCCTCGAATCCGACGACGACCGCCGCGGACGCCCGCGATGCAAAACCCTCCTCGGCGCGCCAGGGGCCCCGGAATCGGGTCTGGAGCGCCACGCAGGGCGCGCTCGTTGCGGGCATGGCTGTTGATGCCATGGATGTTCTTGCTTGTCTGTGGGGGTATCTTGATGGGTCGCTGCCGCTGACGCCGGCGTTGTTGCTTGGTGGGGGTGCGGCGGTTTTGTTGGATTTGGGGGTTTACTGTTGGTATTTCTGACTGGTTTGGATTTGTTCTGGTCTATTGTGGATGGCGTGAATGGATTGGCCGCGCTCAAGGGGATTCTCAAGGCGACTGAGGATGTATCTGTTGTATATCGGATGGTTCTAATCTATGTACTCTTAGTATTTGGCTGGTTGTTGGCCGTATCTCGTCTTCTCGTATATTAACAACAATCCTTACTATACAATAAGGTCCTTGTTGCTTACTATGATCCATGGCCGACTAGCAAAATGACTTGCCTTATGCGTGGAGGGAGCTAAGGACGCGTCACCTTGGTTAGCCAGCCCTGGGGAACTAGGCAGATCCCCTGGCCGGAGTATGGCGTAGGGTTTCTTAGGGATTGTAGATGCTATTATCAGGGTATAGGCTTGTGACTACTTAGTAGAGTCCTCCGTGATCTCGTACCCCCAAACAATGGAATTCACGGAGTCAAGCACTTAATTCGATTCGGCGCATTTCGTCTCGGGAGCGGGAGGGTGTCGGGCCTCAGCTGATGTTCTGCCCAAGGGGTCAGGTTCGAGTCTGTCGGATTGCACTTTTATTGCTCACGACTCGAAACTGGGTAGCCGTGCCCTCGTTACTCTATACTTGTCTGAGTAGGGATTCTCACCTCGAGCTGTGGGGAGTCTAGCTAGTATTAACCTACGCATATTCTTTATTAACTCGCCCCACGGTAGATAATGTCACTAGGGTTATAAATACACTACTATAGTATATATGGAATCCTATAGGCTCCCCATTATAGGTTTACACTAAATATGGGACTAACTAGCGTGCTCCGGCCCAAGGCACATGGGAGGATTAATCTTGTATCAATGCTTTCTACTGCCTGTTTTCTTGGCAGGTCCAGCCGAAGAGCAAGGAGGGGATGGGTATGGCGAAACCCAAGTTGTATTCTCTAGTATCCTGGTTTCTAGTGCAACCATGCTCAAGCAGAAAATCCCGGCTCGTTTTGCCGCTTGCCCCACGTCGCCGCACTTCTTCTTCTTCTTCCTAGTTGGACCTGCCGTCAATCCATTCTTTGGCTCATATTGCGCCAGGACCACTGTGGGTAGCTCCCAGGGCGATCCGCAGCAAACTAGATCTTGCGCCCGGTACCATCCTTAGTTTGCGATGAGCTCTCGCTCAATTTCAGCAAGAGTGCCGTTGACGATTGCCGCGCCGTGATGGCGAGCAACAAGGCCGTAAGCAAAGAGGTACCTGTCAATGACACAGTCAGTTCCTGCGCAGTCTCACACAAAGGCAAACCAAAAGACGCCGACAACATACCTGTCAATAGTAGGCAGCAGCTCCGCCAACCCCGGGACATGCCTCCAATCACGGAACAAATCACACAAGATCGCCCACCACCCCATAAGCGTAACGCCCGCCCTCTCCATGCGCCGATTCGCATCCTCTGCAAGCCGCGGATCAAATGTGCCGGACCCCTCCGTATTCGCATAAACCTCATACCCCTCATCCACCAGCGAGAGCGCCAAAAACGTCGTGCAGACTTCCGTCACGATCCCGCCGATGATCATTTGCTTCTTACCCGTGGCTGCGACGGCCGCGCGGAAGTCAGGGTGGTCCCATGCGTTGACTTCGCCCTGTCGACGGATCAGAGTCGTGTTGGGGTACATGTCCAGGATCTCCTTGAGCATCTGGCCGTTCGGGCCTTCGTCGGAGGATGTGGTCATGACAACGGGGAGATTGAAGGTTGTGCCTAGGGCGGCGTGCGCCAGCATGTTGTTGCGGAAGTCATTGGTTCCGTAGTCGCGGACGAGCTGGGCGAGGCCGACTTGGTAGTCGACGATTAGGAGGGCCTGGGATGTGTGTTAGTGGTGTATGCGGCAGTGGATAAGTGTGGGCGTACGGCATTGTCTTTGTCGAGTCTGTTCCAAGCGTTGACCGAGGTGGACACGACCAGAAGAAGCCCGGCCTGGAGGGCGTAGATGAAGCGCATCTTGCAGGTCTTGGGATGAATGATCAGGTAGAGGAAGTAGATGATCAAGGTCGAGATGCCTGATGATTGCGCTGATGGGTTACAGACAGAATAGGTGGTTCTTGCCGGGCTTTTTATCCTGCTCCTTTTCAACTATAGACGTAGTTAGCTCCCTCATTCCCAATAGTTGACTGATCCTGACCAAGACCCGGTAACTTCATCACGGACAGAGAGATAAGCGTCAGATGAGACCACCCACGCTCGTCCGCCGCCAAGTCACTTAGGGCTGCCTCCGGCGGTCTTGGCATCCGGACCCCGGACAGATTGGCTCGGTCGGATCTCCCCAGCGGGATCTCAGGGCATTATCGGCCTTGCTCCTTTGCTGGTTGGATTCTGATATGACTACTTGTAACAGGGAAACGCAGCGGTCCTAGGCAATATTCCTCCTATATTCAATCTACACCCAGGGAGTGCGCAGCAATTAGTCCGGCCGAAAGTCTGCCCGCAGCATTCCTCAGACCCTGTAAGCTTACCCAACACTTTACTCCATCTTACTCGCAAGGCACGCAGACATGATAAAAGCCATGTAACTGCAGGTCACTAGTTACTCACAGCTCTGTGGACTACACTGCCCGGCACCTAAAACCTGACACCTGCCAGATCCCAAATAGCCTAGTGCTGCTCGGCCGGGAGCTTCCGCTGCCATGACAGTCCTTGCAGAACAGCCGTGACTCCCGCTGACAAGGACAAGCGCCTCACTGCTTTAAGAAATGACGAACAAAAGACATTAGCGCTGTCGGTGAGCGTGACTCTGAAGGTTAATTTGACTCGTGGATGAATCGGTTGTCCTTTGTCTTAAAGCGGAGTGCTGCGGCGCTGATACTACCTTGCAGTCTGCAGGGGTACGAAGAGACACCAGTAATACCAGGGTAAAGCGACAGTGGCGATGGTTGCACTCACGTAGAATGTCAACCCTGCATATCATCAGAAGATGGTGGATTTTGCGTTTCGTTCCGCTGTTTGAATTTTCCGTCTTGCTCTAGAGAACAACCCCATAGGCTCCGTTCCCCGCACCGACTCTAGTTAGCTACGGTTCATCTTTCCAGCTGTCTTTACACGCATCTGGTCCAATTTGATTGGAGTATAACAGGTTTCCTTATTTCGCAGGTATTTGGGTGGCAGGCCTATGTTTAAAAAGGATTGTTCGCTATATGGTCATTAGTGGTAGACTATATATGGACAACTCTGTTATAGTATTACAATATCATCTCTTGATGGGTATTGGTTACGTTGAGATATGGAATATAGTGTAGGATTAGAAGTTTAGCCCTATGGGAAATTTCTCCCCTACCTCTATTTAGTTTAATTTATATTAACTCCACGACGATTAGACTTGGAATTAATATATGTTATATATAGCGGAGTTGGTGCGCGGATAAAACCCTGATGTTATGATTTCCGCGCACTTGACTTGGAAGCGTGGTGGAGAACATGGATCAGGGCGAAAATAGTAATTCTGATATGTGAACTTTAGCTAGAGTGGGTCTACCATTTTATCTTTGCTTGGACTACTTCGTGCATGCACTGCGTGAGGGCTTGCTGGGTCCTGGGAGGGTGTCATGTCTTTGGAGAAAAGGGCGTCCTGACGGCTGAGATTTGCTGACTGCCTGATGGAATAGAAAACAGGTCATAGATAGAAGAGGAGTTGTACAGAAGGAGCGACTCAGGTTGTAAAGTAGATGACAGAATGCAACGCCTTGGCAAGCCTCGTCTAGTCTGGCCACTAGGGGTTGCACCCATGCGGATCCCCCTTCTCCAGACCAACCACGTTGAAGTTGAAATTACACTCGCTGGAGTCAGTCACATCAGGCGAGCTATGAGCTCTTAGGAGAACCTTGCCATGATGGTCCGAACGCTCCACCTTCTAAGCGCTGACCCGCATGCCCGGGACAGCAATATAATTAAGACCAGGCATTGCCTTAATAGTAGCCAGCACTTGGCCGCTACTAGACACGCGGATTTCCACCCCTTGGTATATTAAGGGAGAATAATAACATAGTAGATAGAATTAATTACTAAGCTGTATTAATTCGCATGTCCTTTTAACTTTATGCACGTCTTTAGCACGCCTTGGTACTAGAGGGCGCTGACGGGTTAACTACTAGAGATTAGTCGCATCTTATGGGCTAGGATACCCGCCTTATAGACATTAATAAAGCATGCCACGAGGGACTACCAGGCGTAGTGAGGCTATTTTCATTCTCCTATACTGTACTAGAGACGCATTATTCTAGAGGGCTGAGAGCTTTCCTAAGAAGAGAGTCATGTAGAAGTAGTGTGTGTATTGATTCCGCTACCGAGCACCGAAATCGAACAAGGCCGTGGACCTCAAGCTCCAGCAACCCCTTATGTCCCCAGAGCCGCGGTCATATGTACATGGCCCCCTACAGACAAACAAACCTGCAACCAGAGTGTGGCTCTTTCGACCATCATTCATCGCCGTCTGGGACCAGACCAGCGCTACTGAGAAAGCGACGCATCCACCATGACTCGGAGCCCCTGCTCAATGGCATCTTCGTTCCTCCACTCCGACCACGTGTGGTCGAGGATTCCTAACGAGCAAAGCATCAGTATTTAGGGTTGGTGGGCGCAAGCCCTCCTGGGAAAGAGACGGAAAGAGGATGGACATACCCCAAGTATCATCAAAATCCTGCCCCCCAGACCGAATATAGTAACTCCCACTAATCGTCCACACCATCCACCCCGCCTGCTGCTCAGGGATCCACTCTCGGAGACACGACGCATACACGCTCTGCCAAGTGGTATCATCCTGCGCGAAGCCAAACTCGGTCAAGACGACGGGCATGACGTTCACAATATCCTCATTGTCGGTATCGAGGGCGTTGAACCCGCCGTTCCAAAGCGCTCCCGAAAGGTCGCCGCAGTTCGTCGCGCCGGTGTTGTAGTTGTGTAATTCCAGGACGAGGCGATCGGCGTAGCTGAAATCCGAGAGGTTGAACGTCCGACCGTCGCCGAGATCGGCACCGGTTGGGATGGGAGCGAGGGTTGTGTCGTAATTAAGACCGGATAGGAAGATCAGCGCGTCCGGATTCGCGGCGTGCACGACGTCGGCTGCGTCCACCACCTCATCATACCATGTTGCCCAGTTATAGGGGTACTCCGCGTTCTCGGTGTCGGGGGTCCGGAGCTCATTGCGCAAACCGATCGAGGTGAATGCGTCCCACGACGCAGCATGCGCCGCCATATACGCAAGACCACGCTTCCAGTTGGCGACGTCAAAATATTCATCGCCGAACCAGGCGTTGCCATCTGTGCCCGAGCAGCACCACATTGCCTTGGAGATGTGGTTGTCGAGGTGCACGTAGATGCCCTGGCGGGCGCATTCGGCGGCGACGAGGTCGAAAACCTCCAGTCTTGTGGTTGTATTCGTGATATCCGGGTTATTGGTACTGATCTGTTCAAAGACAGCTGTACCATTAGTGTCTCCTAGTGCGTTAATGAGCGAGTCGAGGACGGTTGTGTCGTGGCCTTTGTCATATATATCGTCGACAATTTCGATGGGGAACGTGAGTCTAATGACGTTCATGCCAATCGATTTTATCTTCGAGAGAGTGGACTGAATCGAGGCATATTGCAGGCCTTCGGGGATCATCGTTTCGCCAGCGCCGGGCCAGTTCACCCCGGCAAAGGTCACAGGGGAGTCGGTTGAGTCGAGGATCCATCGTCCAGAAACCGTGAAGGGTGTGTTTAGCTGGGCTGTGACTGGGAGGAGAAGCCCTAACAGAGGCGCGATCAACTGAGGCTTCATGGTTGGTATAGTTAGCGAGGTATCTAGGTAGGACGTGTTCACCTATGAATTCTGGAAAGAGCAGAGCAGTAGTGCATATTTATATCTTCACCAAAGGTCGCCATTGTCTCGGGGAACAATGGGGTCGTCACCGACTGACGTAGACAGTAGAGCGCTATGCGGGCTGGGAATGAGCAGGGTGTGTCCATTGGCTCTGGGCTTTAGTAGTGGCTTCTGCATCTCATGATGTTTTCTTCCATCCGATATCCCCGAGCAACAAGTTGGAAAGGCGGGGGAGACGGGCTTGGATGTGGGGGAGAGTGGAGATCCGGAGAATCGACACGGTTAAATTGTCCGGAGAGGAGACAACACATGATCGAGGTGGCAATGCAAACAGATGGATGATCCCGAATGGAACCCTATTCTCCTTTTGGACTCCATCTGCACTAAAGACCAGTATCTGTCTACTCCGTTGTTGATACACGCCGGCGCAAGTCCGGGGTAGATTGCGCCGCCCTCCCGAGTTCCCCGCATAATCCAAGTGATCGACATGGGCATCGGGCAAAGTGCGGAGTAAAGAGATATTGCACGGAGGTTGGTCTGAATCTGTCTGGTATGTCCAATACCGTGCAAAGGGAAGCTGGTCCACAGGCTTCTTGTGGAATGCCGAACGACACCCACATATTTTTCAGCAACCCGCCAGACCCCGCGCGTATGCCAAGTAGACTTTCAAAGGGTACCTTGGCCAGTCTACTATTACTCTACAGTCTTTGGGCGCCAAAGGCTGTTGGAAGCCCCGCTTATCGCTCCTTTGTCTTCCACGGAAGGTTCTAGCACACATATCTTCTTTCAGGTTATTTAGCTATATCTATCGATTCCCTAGCTAGATAGCTTCATCGTTCCTACATACATGCATGCACCATCATTGACTATCCCTGAGTTCTCTCCTGGAGCCATAGCGTGCTCTGTCCAAGGCCAGTTCGGTCGACAACTCGGAGCGTTGAACACTTCGCAAGGCTCACTCCTCACTCTCGCTCTTTAGCGACAGATACCAACCGGATTTACCGATGCCGAGTGTGCGGCAAAGCGAAAGTGGAGCCTAAGAACAGGGTCGCTGGAGGTGGCATGGGCAATCTCCAATGCGGATGATTTTAGGATCTTACGTGACGAGTCGACCAGGGTCACCAGAATTGTACCATTCCCCCGTTTTGCATTGACACTGCTGCCTTCTTTCGACTGGACACTATGGGATTGCCATGGTTGGAAGTCCGCACAATTAGCTCTATGGAACGATAACTATCATTAAAGGGTGAAATCTGCCGGTCGAGTCTCGCCCATGGGGTTCCCGATCATAAATAGCTCCACTCGTTCAGGTCCTGGTGCCATTGCGGGGCCCCAATAGCTAAGGTTCACATGACAAGTGACTCGATACAGGAGAACTTGACCTCACAAATCCAAACCATGATCAGTGTTCCACCCCCGAATGCGATATAGCTCCCCCAGACCTGACCCCCGTTTCCGCGAACACCCATAGAAGATCTCGTCGCAGGAACCACCAACGCGATCCACCTAACCCAAAATACCTACATCCACAACCTGGTCAGTCCACGCAACCCCGTTGGCCAACAAACGCCAGACATAACATACCTCGAAGCAAAATCAATCTAACAAACCTCACAGCTCGGCGTTGGGTCATTAGGTCGCCAAACACACCGACACCTTCCACACGAAGCGGCAACTTCCCAGTACCTTCCGTTGCAGACCATAACGAAGCCGCCCCACGAGGTCACATTACAATCATACCCGGCCCCGGAGCAGGGGGTCTCAGGCCTTTGGGCGGTCGCTAGCGGAAGCGCGAGCAAGAGGAGGGAAAGTGTTTGAAGGATGCGCATGATGGTGAAAGTTCCTAGGTTTTAGGAGGTGAATTGGGACGGAGGCTTGGAACAATGAGTTGTGGAATGTCAGAGGTCTGGTTTATTGCCAATCCAAGTGCGTGAGTGACTCGGTTAAATGCTCGAGGAAGGAAGGAATAGCTAAACTGAAAGAGGAGGTAGAGGTCCATGACCGGCAACTGCATATCACTGTAGTACAGCAGGCCGTCACTGTAGGACTGCAGCAGCTTTATGGGACGGCCTCTAGGCTACCAACCAGTCGCTTGGCGGAGGCATACATACATATTGCGAATCGTCCAATCCGAGTAAGGCGACTCCAGCAGTTTGACAGATATCGAGCACATCAGACGGCTACGGGCACTGGGGCAATGCAAGGGGTTGGATGCGTTAGGCTTGGGACCGGCGGGTGGAGCGGCTGTCCGCTGCTCTCACGCCTGCGCCTCCCGACGGAATCTTGCAGAGTGAGCGGAGTAGCCGCGGTCAGATTACTTTTTCGGGAGCAATTGCATACTACATGTTTCTACGTTTGAGTTTGCTTAGACGAGCTACAGGGGTAGTTCCAGCCCATGGGAGCATCCCCTGAACAGGCCGCGCTCAGCACTCACACTCCTATGGGTTGGACAGCTAGCTGGCTGAACCCTGAGTTGAACCCACTGGCAGCTCAAGAGCATGCTGAGAAGCCTCCGCGGCAGACCATGATCATTCAACACGTCAGGACCTTCTGTAACCATTAGCATGATTAGAGCGGGGAGATCGCCCCTGCTTGACGTAGCTCCCCCCATGTGGAGGTTGGAGCCAAACCTGGATCTTCTGACTTGGATGGACCATGGTAAGCAAACACCCAGGATGACGGTAACACGCTCGAGCTATTGCCGCACAAATCATGATGCAGCGCAGGACAGTTCAAACCCCAGACTGGATCAACACGCCTAGAGCACATGGACGGTCCGAAGGCAATGCCTAGAAAAGTTTCCGCGCAACCGCCAACCACTGCCACGGGCAGGCTCCGGTAGTATTCTTCCTTGCCCGTGCTAGCCTATCAAGTAGATATTTGCCGTCTTTAGGTCATGCAGCGTGGTATAGCCTGAATAGTAAAAATCAGCGTGTGAGCGAGACTCCTTGCGTCATGACCCCAAAAGCTGATAGCCATGTTATGAGTGGATTTAAGCTCTATCTCAGGGACTGTACCCACAGCTTGAAGCAGGAAACACCTTTTTCCCTCCCAGAACCGATACAGCATAATAGCTGTTATGCCGAATATCACACAAGGAACAGTAACAGCCATCACGATACTTCGCCTTTCTATGCATTCACTCAGGCCGTGCACTCTAGCGACCTCGATCCAGATAGTAAATAATCCTTCCCGCCACTTTCCCCCCATGATTGGAAGGGGATTAGCATTGTAATCAGTCAAGGATGTCGCCTAATTAGTGGCTAAAAGCCATACAGTTTTCCAGCGATCCTCGATTTTAAAACGTAGGCTGCTCAGTCCATTTATTATCCAATGGCTGAATGTGGGATGACGAATAAAATCTGTACTTTCAATTAATATAACAGGCGTCTCTTGCAGCATGTATGATCATCACGCTGCTTCCTAACCATGTATCATCATCTACTCTGTCCAATGTGTAGCGAACCGGGCCACCATATCCGGGGACAGGCAGAACTATATCACGGCTGTGCCTAATCTTTACGGTTCCACAACAGACTAGCTGTCACCGTAGCGAGAGTTAGTGGGCAGGGTGCGGCGCCCAGGGCCAGCTACTCCAAGGGTACATATTCCGAGTCCGTGCCAGCTATAGGCTAGGGCCTATAGACCTGATGTGACGAACAAGCGGGGATTTCGGGATTCTCCCATTATGACGGGTCGCCCGACGGGTCTCTGAATGAAGGCTGGGTTTGTTGCGCGCGCTTAATTAGGTTCACGATATGATTACACGCCTCCTATCCATGTTCCAACTGCACAGCAACAAATTCATGGTACACTCTACTACCTATTGGTAAGCAGTTATACCATGTAGTGGTTATAGTCAACATGGGGCTCCCGCTGAGACATTTCTTCAAGTACTCAAGGTCCCTAGGTCCTACTAACTTTCAAATCATGTAGTTGGGCTGAGAGGGATGGCCAGTACTGTAGTAGTTGGTCAGGGTGATACCTTTGCTGGCGAGCCACTTTTGGTTAGGATCCCTAGTAGTGTTGTGATAGTCCGGCATGGTAAGGTATGTAATTTAGTCCCGTGCTACGATGAAAAGTGGCACATCAAATACCTACAACATTCTCCAGCCACATCTGGTAGAAGCGATCGAAGGCCTTGCCTTTAACGTTGGAAGTCCAAGTTCCAGCCACAGCAGTCGCCTGTGCCTGCTGGATCTGAGAGAGCGAAGGCTCAGTCGTCGTGATTGCAGCACTGGCGGCGAGGCCTGCCAAGGCAAGAAAAGCAGCACCCAAAGGCATCAGGTTTCCCGTTCAATTAGGAGAAACAAAAGCATGCCAAAGAAAGCAGCCTGGGATCCTCTAATCCCGCGGTAGAGTAGTTTTCCGCTTTGAAATACCATCGCGTGTCTGGCTCAGGCATCCGCAATACCGTAAATGGAGAGGCTCTCTTTCCATGTGTCTTCCAAAACCTTGAAAGCCAAAGCCAATCAACGACGTTTCCAACGATAGTCGGGCGCACAAGTAATGGCGGGGCGCTGGTGGAGACCCAAAGGCTTGTGTATTGCCAAGCATTGCTTCGCGTGCACCGAGCTGAGACTAAGTTGAGCCAAAGTAGTCATGACATCAACAACAGCGTTATTTTTAGCACCTCGGTAGTCTATATCTTGTCGAAAATAGCAAATCCTATTTAATGTCAGGATACTTTTCGTGAGCCCACCTTTCATTCAACTAAGATATCTTTTGCATTTCTTATTCTTACTCGATTCTCTTCTTTTAACCCAGATATTATCATGTATCCTATACATATTGTCGCGCTGTTAGAATTGGCATTGGCTAGCCTCAGCCTCTCGCAGGCAGCGACCAAGTGCAGTCCGCTAAAAGGTAAGCATGCTTTAAAGGGTACAATTGCAAGTAACTAACATGGCATGCAGAGCGTTGTCCTCCAGACGTGGGCTTGAACCGCGAAAGCTTCACTTCAGATTTTACGTGGGGTAGATCTTCATTGGCTGGTTGGGCTAACATCAGTGGTAACATTAGCTGTGGTTCTGATGGTGCCGAGTTCACTATTGCAAAGAAGGGAGATTCGCCTACCATTGAGACGGACTTTTACGTCTTCTTTGGCAAGGCTGAGGTTTTGTTAAGAGCTGCAGCCGGTATTGGAATTGTGAGTAGCATTGTTCTGCAGTCGGATGTTCTTGATGAAGTTGACTGGGTAAGTTGTTTGTTTACTTTCTGGTATTATTCTTCGCATACTTGTGTCTACAGCTGAAGTGAAACTCACCAAATTTCTATTTTTCAGGAAGCGCTTGGAGGTGACACAAGTCAAATCCAGACCAACTACTTCGGCAAAGGAGATAATTCGAGCTATAACCATGGTGCCGACGAGGCTGTCGCTACGCCCCAGGAGGTCTTCCATACCTATACTATTGACTGGTCACCCAAGGCTATCAACTGGTCCATTGATGGCGTTGTTCATCGCACTCTGGCTTATGCCGAGGCTAATAGTGGGAGCCGCTTTCCCCAGACACCCATGCGCTTGAGACTTGGAATATGGGCAGGTGGTGACTCTGACAATGCTCCTGGAACTATCTCATGGGCTGGTGGACGCACTGATTATGCTGCTGGTCCATTTACCATGCATGTTAAGTCTGCTTATATTGAGAATACCTATCCTAGTTCTAGGTACACCTACGGAGACAACTCAGGCTATTGGGGTAGCATCAAGACCGATGCTTCCAGACCTCCAGCTTGAGAGCACTACACTACCATTATTTACGGGCTAGGCCTACGCATCTGATTTCCAAATACAAGGCCATGACTTTGGGAGGAGAGTTTTCTTTCCCTCTCTTATCAAGTCAATTTGTTCGAACCTCAAAGCATGGGGTGGAGTACACTTGCGATAGCGGCGTATGGGCGTTGATGTTGTCAAGTTTCCTACATACTAGGGCCGTTTTCATCTAAATGATGATCAATGGAGGAGTTGCTAGCGAGTGTCTAGCTTCAGATACCAACAGAATGCCAGCTCTTCCAGGAAGCATGTGCTAGGGCCATTTGTCTTTGTTGCATGTCCCATACCGATAGGACTTTATGTAATCGTCCAGAAGATCTTAAATGTCAGTAGAGCGCAAAGAAGGACCTATCCAGAGTATATGGATTCCTATGAAACGAGCCTGAATAAAGCCAGATTAATAAGGCCTAGAAGAAATATGCTGAATCACTAGCATCAGGTGGAGTTATTAATGCTTTAATTAAAGTAAACTCCTTGGTCAGTTACCTAGGTTGTCTTGTACAAATAAAAATAGAACATATATTTACATCCTCCTCATTCAAGAACTATATCTTGTTGTGTACAGGGCCTGGTCTGCTTATGTTGCTTTGGTGAGTTTAAGGCCAGGATATGGAACCTTCCACCACTGATGTTTAGAGACCATTATCAACATATAATTCAGAACATATAAAACACTCACAAGCACTATCACTCCCGCACTGAACCATATAAATGGTTTATCACTAAGCCAGATGAATATCCTTGCATCTGAATGATGCCAGGTTGCGCTTTCAAGATCGGTAATATATTGTCCCAGTTCGGTTGTATCGATAACCCATATTGTTGGCGATGGGAGTGAGGGCTGCTTAAGTAAGTAATCCTTCACCACTAATGTCAAAAACAAGGGTCCCGTAGATATCATAACAGCGCAGTAAGGTTGCAGTCGAGCCCAAAACTTGGTCATGGCATGAAAGGCTGGCAGTTTGGCAATTGCCGCTGCATATACTGGATGTTTCGCAGTCGCCATCATAAAAGCATTGGTTATGCCAGTGGGTAATGTTGGTTTGAAAAGGGCATGGTGTATCACTGGCCCTGACTTAAGTGCGTGAATAGGGATGGTCTTATTGCACCACGTGTCCATGTCGAGGTAAATGCCGCCATAGTGGTACAAAACAAAATATCGAATAGCGTCTGCACGTTGAATTGGAAAAGCATAACTATCCCAGATATCCACAAACCAAGGATATTCAACCGCGAGAAAGTTGCGCGCTGAATCATCAGTCCATAGCTAAAAATACGAGTTAGCAGTTTTTGATATTAGCTGCTTCATAGTGAAGCATTGCTGAAACAGTTAAATGAAATTTATGGATGGAAAGAGTCTTACTTTGTACTCAAAATCTAAATACGCGTTCTTGCAACTCCTTTGTGGCTCAACCCAATGATCTGGAATCACCTCCGTAGCTGTTGTTTGGTGAAGTATTCGTGGTATCTTGTTTGATTGATTTACCTGGCCCCAGGTATCCGAGGTGTTAAGGCCAGACAGGCCAGTTTGAGGAGTGAAGAGTTCTTTGTTGTGGTACATTAGGCTGATGAGGGGTTTAATGGTCTGGAGCAGTAGCCCGATAACCATCAGGTCTCCACAAAGCAACAGCATGACGGTCTTTCTTGTCCTGGAACGTAATAGAAATGTCCGTCGCCGGCTGTGCCACAAGCTAGACTTCCAATCAAGACCCTCTTCATCATATGTTCTGCCACCTCTTGTGCTGATGCCTCCTAAGCCAGGCAAGGTAAGGTATGCGCGGAAATTTCTCATCGCAGCGTTGCAGGCCTCAGCGTTGGTGGGAATATTCAGCAGATGCCAGATACGCTATGGTCCACGACGAAGGAGTAAAGGTAATTAATAACCAGAGTTGCAATTCGGAGGTTAAAACACCCGATAGCATTTTATTATCAACTCCGACATTGGACATATGGGCAGAAAAAAATTACTTAAATACCTCTGCAAGTACCCATAGGCATCAATGTTTATTTAAGTTTACCAATGGAAATAAGCCTCCACAGGATTTAAGGACGTGATCACGCATTGGCTCTACGTGGTGCCACCTGGCCGCTGTTTCTCCATGGTTGGCAATTTCCGGATCTGGTATGTGGTTACGCGGCCCATAGTTCGCCACTGCCTGAAGGTTTCCCTCTCACTTGAGGAAGGAAAAAAAGGTTTACTTACGTCATACGACTAGAAGACATTCACTACCACAAAGGTTAAGTATATATAACATGGGTGACCAGTAGCCTCTGTTATTAATAAATACACTGCCTTCTTTACAGCTGTTTATCAATTCCTTCCCGTTGCAGGAATAGTATTAACTTTCCCATTCGAGCTTGCCTGTGAGGAGGGAAGGTCGTTACCGGAGAAAAACCCTTTGGAAGTACTCACGGAAGAACAAGCACCGAATGATCCTGCCAGGGCCTTATTACTACAATTCGAGGAGGTAGAATATTTGCCCCGCAGAATAATGCGCAGACTGTAACTATTACGGAGGTGTTTAATGTCAACAACAAGGACCTTCTAGGAGTGCTTTCATGATGCGTGCAATAAAAATCCTTGGTCATGGCAGGTAACCATGTGCACAACAATCAAGCAACCCTTGCGGTATCTAATATGGGTATAGTAAGAAAGACGAGTCCTTCAAAAACTGGGGCAAGGGAATGGATAATGTTTTTATAGGAGATTTTTTCAAATGCTTTCACTAATTTTAAGAAGCCTGATCGACCTCTTTGGCGACGACATTAATGCTCGTCTGGATGATTGGGTCTTCTCTGGAAGAGAAGCGCCACCGTCCTCTTACTGGGTCACCCACCATGCCATCCCTGTTTGGTGTCACTCTCATAACAATTACACGCGTGCTGCCCCGTTCCACTCTGCTATCAAAGTAGGCAGTGTTAGTGTCGGGGCGGATATCTGGCTTTCAGAGGACGATCTTCTCGTCCGACACAATCGGTTCACGCTACACCCTGCTGTCACTTTGAGGAGTCTGTACCTGGACCTGCTATTGGATATACTTGAAAAACATAACCCTCGTTCGAGTAATTTGCAGCTGGTGCAATTGGATGGCCGGGAACTTGCTGGTGTGTTTGCGAACAATCCGCTATGGAGCCCTGTGACTGTTGTTGGGTCGAGGGTTGCGCCATTCCAAGATATTATACCAAACAGCACGGTGACAGATATCTTCCTCGATGCACCATTGGCCAAACTAGTGTAGACGGCTCGCCTGGAGCGACGATGCAGGACTGGAGAAAACAACGAAGTTAGTTCATGTAATGTTGAAGCTATACAATTGATGTACAATCCTTCTGAGCCTCCATAATCGTGACCACAGCGTTTCCCAAGATCCCTTTAAAAGGGATTGACCCTGAAATTACTGCATAATGTTCAGGATCGAAATTGGCGACCTTGAGCTCATTCCCCTGCTGGCTGTAAGGGGCGTTCCAGTATATAGACGCAATAAGGGCCTTCCCCTCGTGATAGATGTCCAATGTGCCTTCAACCCCAATCCCATGTACAGCACTTCCACAAAATGAGACATCCACATGTTCGTGTGGGAGAATCACTAGCTTCTTCACCTCTTCAGCAGAGATAAGGCATGGCGTGTCCCCCTTTTTATATGGTTCACCCCTTGTTGAATAGAAGTTAGCTAGGATAAACTTTTTGATAATGTATAGGAGAAGTAGACATACCAATGCAGAGCCAAGTTTTGAATCCGAAGTCTGCCGTCACTGAGTGTGTTCTCTATGCGTAGAGAGACACGCTGTGTAATATTACAACACATGTTTTTAATTCTTGGAACAGGGGAATGTGAATCCGCCTGGACTTTTGCATGTATAAACTTATGGGCAATCAAATGTGGATTATCTTGGCGAGGAGATAATAACTTATGAAAGAGTCAATGTGGCATACAGAAAGGTCGAGTATCCTTTTAATATTCTTACGGACGCGTCATTTTTCGTGGCTTGCCGAGATCCAGATAAAAGAGCGTAGGCAAACACATTAAGATAGTTTCTGATAGGTGGTAGGGTAGCGGCAAAAGGATACCCAGTCTTTAACAAAGCTTAACTAAATGCCAAGTTAATTTATAGGATATAAAAATTGACAAACCCAAATAACCAGACCCCTCGAGATCCATGGTACACATGAAGCCAGTCTTTGGCCCGTGGCAGTCAACAACCATGGCACACAGTTCTGTGTTATGAACCTACTCAAGGCAGTGCATAATGACTGAACTGCGTCGGGGCGGAGAAACTCTGCCCCAGTAAGAAGAGTATCTTGCCCCAAGGCAACGAGGGGGATGCCCTAAGGCAAGACGGAGCGACCTCAGGCTGGGGCCGATGGGAGAATACCAATGAAGCTTTTGTACTCTGTGGTGCAAAAGGCTCTCTGGGAAGCGCAGAAAGACCTCAAGGGCCAACTCATGGTCTAGTGCCTTCGCTGATCAGCTGGCGTTGAAAGGTGACTTTTGCAATCCACCAAAAGTTGATTACACCTGTTTTTAGGTCTACCACACCGCCGCTCTACATAAAGCAGGATAGGACAGGAGGAAAAAGCCCCGCACCAGTAGACTAGAGAGCATATTGCATCAGAAAACTATGGCACAATTCAAATACTCACCCTCACCATTCAACAAGTCCAAGGTCTACCAGAATCTGTGCATAAAGCTTAGCCACCATTATCTTGTCGGTTCCATTATCTACTAGTACCGATTTGTCCGCGTCCTTAACCCTCTGGATATCACTGTCGCTGATAGTGTCAAGGAAGAGATTCCCGCGAAACTTCCGGACCTCTCGGGCCCAGTATTCACCATATTGCGTTCAAAGTATGGATGCTGGCCAACAAGTTCAAAGATAATACTAAGAGTATTACTTTCCAACTGCAGCGCCTAATGCTTGTAGTCGCCGTAACAAGGCCGATAGAAGACGACGGCTTCCATCCTTTCCGTCTCCAAAGCCTGCACTTCGAAAGCTAACATGATTTTCCGAAAGCCTGCCCCCTGTATCACCATCTGTAATTGATAGTTACTGTGCTTCTGGGTTATGGGCCAGCAAGTCGGTCGTCGAATACGACTTCGAGGAGCGGCCAATATACTACTTTCCAGAGCTTCCCGCATCACATACGATAACCCTGCTGACCCATTCGGAACGAAGGACCTCGTCTGCAGAGAGTCGACGTGATGGTTCAGGGTGCAGCATCGCGTAGATCACGTAGGAGCTTTGTACCTTAGCGTGAACATTTAGTCCCAAATAATTGCTGGTGAAATGGAAGTGGGAGTACACTCACTTTAGATAACCTTTGAATTGGAGGATACCCATTCTCATCTATGCGCGTGGAGAGATACTTTTTATATTCTGTATCCTGCTCATTGGCTCTGTTCCAAAGCAAGTGGCCAGTTTTCATGGTCATGTAAATCAGCGCTGCCGCCCAGATATCTGCAGCGCGCGGATCAGAGGACTGCGCAGATATCGCTTCTAGGGGCATGTATGGAAGCGAGTGAGGAGATGCTAGTGGGTAGCCTCTTCCTCTCTGCATACTTTCTTGAGCCCACGTAAAATGAGTAACTTTAACCGCCCCGTGGACAGTAAGAAGGACGTCTTTAGGACTCAGGTTTTGGTGGGTGATACCGTTGTCATGTATATAGGAGATTGCCCGCATAAGTTGTTTGAAAAAGCAATTGGCTTCAATATCAACGAGCTTTCCTGATGTGACAATCATCGAGTGAAGGTCGCCTGCACCACAGTATTCCATTACTATGCAGAACTCTCCTCTGTCGTCATCAAGAAGTTCCAGCACCTGAACGATATTTGGATGGTCAAGGCAGGATACTGTGCGCAGAGCTGATCGGAGCGCATCACTAATTGTCCATTCTGAGTAGTGATGGAAAACTTTGACCGCGTAGAGTTGTTTCGCCTGGGTATACGTCTTTTTCCGACAATGGAGTCTCACAGAGGTAGAAGATCCATAGTGGATGATATCTTCACAGGCCCCATACTTTTCCCTGAAGCAATTGGTTGCACTAGATTCGTTCGCGACTCCAGACGGCACTGATCGCCACTTGAAGATTCGAAGTCCGAGTATATACTGTTGCAAGCCGACAAATAGTCGATCAAGTCTTCCTACCTGCTCAGTCTCAAGCAAATGGACATGTGTACCATCGCTAAGTCTCTGGATATGCCCGGGAGCCTTCTTCGCATATTTTCTGTCCATTAATACTCCAGGTAGTTTCGCTTATTGTCGGTGCGCTGAGAAGTTGGATAAGAACAGACCACGCTGATTATTACTGGTGGTAAGTTGATTAGGGGCGACCTCAGTTAAAAGAATGGCTGCGTCGCAAATGAGCCCTTTGTTCTAGAACGAGTAATGATTGATCTGGTGACTGATGACTTGTAGCGGCACATGCTACGTTATGGTGACGTTTATATTGGAGGTGGGCAAGGGGATTCTTCCCGTGGTTTACCAATAGTTAGGCAAGTCACGGGACCCCAACAGTAGGGATTCGCCTGTAGCCACCCAATATACTACTACCCTTACCGGCCTGCGGCCTTTCCAAGGCTAATAGTCGGCTTGTCACCCACGTGAGAAATGTGTGAGCGCCACTTTAGCGAGGCGCGACAGGGGTGAGAAGGGTGAGGAAATAGACAAGGTGAGAATCACCTGTGGGCGCATGGCTATCGCACAGACCCTCTCGGCTCAGCCCAGGAACAGCACGATTAATTCCCTTCGACCTTGTTGAAACAGGAACCTGCAAATGGTATCGAATTTCGGCCCAAGAATAACCACATGAGCGGCGAGGCTGACTTCAAATGTTGGCCGGTCTTGGGTCACGTGCTTTATGTACCGTAGAACCAACAGTTGTGTAGCCTCTAAACTCTCTGCTTATGACGGTGGAATACAAGGCCCCTCATAAAGTGAGCGTTGAGAATCTGCGTCTTCACCCAACGATGGATTTCTGAAATGAGTGGTGCAACGCAAAGAGATACCAACCGATGCAGCTGAGAAGTTGAAATACCATTCAGAGCAGATTGTTGGGTCAGTTCTAACCCAGGAATATCACGCTATGCTCTGGGAAGGCCTCGTAGTCTCTTATGTGACCATGGTCTTGCACTGGTCCGTCTTTGAATATCCGAGGATGACCCAGCCATGCTACTTTTCTTCCTTTGCGAGCCCAATATGGAAATTGATGGGAATGACGATGACAGCTATCGATAACCAAGAACAGCTATTGCTCGGTTGCTTTGTCTTTCTCTGATGAGTTCTCTTGTCTCCATCCGCGATCATGCTGGGGCACTAGTGCAATGGACCAGCTGTATACTTGGGAGACCAGCCTGGACCTTGTACGGTCCCGAATACCTGATGACGAGCTGCAGCAAGTCCCACCCGGCTCGGAATATGCGGGATCTCCTCATACTAGTAGCGAAGGCACTGGTTCTGAATGGCTACCTTCGTCACCCATACCATCCCCCACACCCCAACACTGTGCACAGCTTCGATCTCGTTGCGCACCCTCGCAAACGTTTCCTCTTCCAGTTCAGTCTTCCGACGATTCCGATTCAAATTAAACGGCGCCTGAGGCTGGACGGAAGCGGACACTCAGCAAAGTCACATCTTCCCCTCCTAATCAACCAACACGGCCACGAGGCTTTGGCAATGATCGAAGTGGCGCTCGTTGACAACACACTACACGGTTTTGTACCCAAAGATACTTACTTGGGCTTCAACAGGACGGCTTGCTTGATGACAAATCCCAAATGTGGACTTGCATAGAAAGCGTCCAGATGATGAACGGCATCCCATTACGACAGAGGGCTTGGTCCCGCAGCTCAATCAGCAATTGAATCAAGACCTCGATCATTATTGCACACCTTTTGGTGATTGTGGGCCATGGACGTCTGGGGCACCATTCAATATTGTTTGTGCACGATATGGCTACACAGTTGTTGGAAAGGGGACCACCGACCGACTTTGGAAAGAGGTGACCAATGAAGCAATGATATACCGGATCCTCCGAACAGCGCAAGGATCCGCCGTACCAGTTTTCCTGGGCGCAATCGGCCTGGCCATGACTTATTTCCTGCACGGGGCGGGTGAGATTCGACATATGCTGCTTATGGGTTGGGGCGGCGAGACAATAAGGGGATTGAAGTTTCCCGTGAATCTTCATCATGAGCTTCGACGATCTATGATAGAGATCCACTCCCTCGGGGTGCTCCACGGCGACCTTAATGACGGGAATCTGCTATGGAATTCAGAGTTGAAGCGGATTCTTATTATTGACTTCCATGATATGGCGCTGGATCCTGCTTTGAAGAAGAGGCAGTTGAGGGTTAATAGGAAGTTGGTCAGACCGTAGTATCAGGAGTGAAAACGCCTTCGAATGGCTCTGATATAGACAGTGATGTAATCCATTAGGTCGCAGTTGAAGTTATATCACGGCCAAGCTCTTGGCTATTCGATTGATACTCTTGGTGATGAACATATGCATCTTGCATTAAAAACATAAAACTGCTAGTCCTACACCTATTAAACGTTAATTAACATTATGATTCTTAGTTCTGGTAAGAGGCTTGCTAGCTAATAGACTGATTGACCCTAAGATGACTTTTATCAAGAATCCCAAAGCCTCATCTTGGTAATCTGATTTGCCACATCCGTAGTCGCTAGATCGAAAAAGTCATTCAGAATCACCAGCAGGTGATCGTCCCCGAATTTCGCCTTTGCATGCGCATACAACCAGTCCAGCGTCACCTGGTCCGTATTCGCCTTTTGCGCAAGCAGGATGCTATTGTGGAACATGACCACTGCCGTAAGTGGCAGGCTGCTATTCGTCAGCGTCGTCTGGCACTGCAGATACGTCATGGCCGTCCCCGGTTGCTGGTCGGCCCTCATGCTGGCGAATTCAGCCTTGATCGCAGACCTGTCTGCGATCGCGTGCCGCTTTGAGTCGTACTCGTCGTACGGCTGCGTTGTGGGATTGGGATTCGTCGTTAACCCTTCGTACTTGAATGACATGATGAACCACTTGTTCTGCTGCCGTAGCGTGTCAATGGAGAGAGCCATGTCGGCGAACGTGCCCCGTTCCAGCGTCACGCCTTTGCCCGCCGCGCGCTTGAAACACTCCGGTAACATCCCTAGTAGTCTCCGGCTCTGGGTGCTCGCTACTCCAGTTATTCCACATGAACTAGACCATGAGGATCTCGTCGCGCTGCTTGCAGAGGAAGTCCACCACATCCTTAAAGAAACTCCGGATGGTAATACCTGGTAAAATCGCATGATGGAAATAGATCTCATCTGCCATGCCCCCTGAATGCGCGTGGAGTTTTGGATCAACCCGCGACGCGCGCACCTTAAAGTAGCGCGCCCCCATGGCTAACTGGTCGCTAACGCTATCCTTCTGGTTCCGCGACGTCGCCTCCATAACGCCCAGTGCCTTTGCGGCGCCGATGCCCACAAGGTTCCCCACGAACCTAAGCGGGCCGAGCCAGGGGCCCAAGATCTTCGTGATGATCGCCGCGGGCGTCAGGTTCGCTGTTAGCTGCCGGCAGCTGGCCATGCTGTTTAACCCAAAGTTGTGGCCTCCTGGTAGCACGAAGCGAGTAAAGGGCTTCTTTGCTTCCGGGGACGCGGGCGGCACGAGCGAGGTCATCCAGGCAGAGCGGTCGGGGGCTACGGTCACGTAGCACTGGTGTGCAGCGGGAAGGTTAGTAGTCGGGTACTGGCCGGCGTCGTAGAAGGTATACTGGATGAAAAGACCATCGACAATAGTAATCTTCTGGTTATCAAGGCTCAGGCCCATGTCCCCCTTGCCGAGGTTCCCCGTGAAGGCGTTGATATCCTGCCATTGGGAGACGAGCGTCTTCCCGTTGCGCACGACGCGGAAGGAGAACTTCTCCGCCTAGCCGCCGCGCACTGTCATATTGGTGCTGGCCCAGGGGTACCTGGTTGTGACTGTTGGATCCGTTGAGTCTTGCCCCCTGAAGAGGTCTATGCCGTATTTCCAGTCGTTCCATTTGTCGGCCATGTGGAAACGGCGTGTGTCGCCTGAAGTCTTGAAGATGACGTCGACTTCGGGTTGGTTGATCCAGACGATGTAGTTGATGTGTTTTTCGTTCCAAGAGGCCATGTTCGCAAGGAAGCTCAGTAACTATTTGTGGGTTGCAAGGGGGAATAGATATGGTCAAATCGATGCAGCGAGAGGACTTCACGAACAGAGTGTGGTGTGTTATTCAACGTTGCTGATAGATCCTGTGGCCCAATTTATACCTCTAAATGCTCTTCTCACCACGCCGCGGAGAGCGGAAAGTTTTTGCGTGAAGGATACACAGGAAATACGAGCTGGCTGGATTTGAGCTAATGGGAGCCCACCTCAAAACCCTAAAGCGGCACTTTTAAACCCAAGGCAACTGCTCGATGCTTGTCAGCCAGTTAGCCTGAGCTTGAGAGCAGGATATTCTTGGCTGGCTGAAGACAAGTCCCTTGGCTTTGTGGAATCATCAGAGAGTCCGGGGTCCTTCACCCTCCCCCTTCTACTTTCAGCTGGCACGGCTTGGAGAACGAACCATACGTACGTGCTCCCCCATCTGCGAGTGTGGCTTGAATAGATTCAGGCGACGATCGAGTGGCCACGATGATCTCAAGTGCCAAACAAGCAACTTTTGCTTGATGCAGTTCAGCTAGCCACAATGTCTTTCTATGCGCCATTCTTCGATTGCTCAGTGCCCTTCGGCCAACATGTACACCAGGAATAAGCGTTCCAGAGTCATGAGGATGCTTGATTCAATACGCTGACCGTGCGTCCGCACTCATTGGTTTGGTCAGAATCAACCAGCGCTAAAAATGATCAAAAAGGGCAGTAGCGGTGCTTTGATAGATCTGAAGAGGTGGAGGAAAAGTGTATGCCGCGCAGCAGGGGGATTTTCAGCTGCCGAACAGGCTTTGTGTCTGAACTGGATCAATTGGCGCTGATAAGTCTCGCCTTCCCTTGCCTTGGTCCATACGAAGCTGACCGCAGTAACTTTACCGCCTGTGCCATTTTTACTCGTTCACTGGGATCCTTCAGGACATACATTCGAGCCGAAGGCGCAAATAATCCGCTCTGGTCTAACGATGCATCGCTCTTTGCAAGAGTAATAAGCCACTGAGACTTCTCCTCGTTTCGCAGGGCTACCAGAATCCCCACCCCTAATCTAGAACATACTTTGGAAGGTGCAGTCTTTCGTCCACCGGCGGCTGTGGTTCCGAACTGATTTCCTCCCCTTCCCCTAGAGTCCAGGCGAGTCTAGCAAGGCTATTTGACTGCCAGGGCAGCGATGTCAAATATATCCAAAATCTCGAGGCCAGGTGCTAACGGCATAGCGTCTGTTAGGGTTCTCCACGAAGCAGAAGTTAGAACCAACGACCACCACCTCACTCCACTAATGCTGGTCCCACTCACATTATCTGGCAGCCGCCAGGTAAGACATCACACTAGCACTAGAAATGCTCCCAGCCACCACGGTGGAGAAAGGAGCTGGAAACATTAATTCTCTCCCGTCTGCGCGGGGACGGTTGCAGGGGGCCTAGAACGTGGCCAGCCTCCAAACTACTAAGGAGAACCAGTTTGTTCCATCTCTTGCTTGGGGAACCCTTCACGCGCGGGCTAGAAGCTTCATCCTTGCTAATAGCTAAGTTTCTCTTAAGTTACCTAATGGATCCCTAGGAGCTCGTTAAGGGATATTAGTATAAATCATAGGTGGGCGAGTCGCTTGTATAAAGGGCATTTTCGTGAATGAGGTATTCATCTCCCAAGCCAATATTTGGTTATCTAGCTGTCAACTACGATACCAGAAGTACGTTGCTGCGAGACTTCTGGACTGGTCGATTGGCCAAGGGTGTTGTGTATAGAGAGAGGTACTACTACCTACTCCCGTCGTCAGATTATGCTGTCTACGAAAGCTGACTAACGTTGTTAAACTCGAGCTGGGTCAACTTCAACACACGTAAGCATTGTATCCTTGCTGTCTTATCCTGGTAGGTTTATGATATACGAAGCGACTAACCTTAAAAGGCAGCCTCGCGACCAGAAACGCTGCACCGTCCTGCACCGCCGACATAGAGGGGATTATGCGAGGCAGTTGCCAGGAACATTACGTGGTCCAAGCCAAACAGCCTGGGTCATGCGTAAAGTGTCCGAGAATGGCAAACTGATAACGTTTTAAATAGCGCCTGGGGACTATGGCAGATTCTTGGGAACATTCAGCGGATTGGTAAAGTGAGCAAGGAAGCTGAAATGTGGCTCGCCATAAGCAAAGAAAAAAAAAAAGCAAACAGGGCGCTTCCACCACCCACCACGACCACGACCCGAGATGTTGGGAGCGCGAAGTCAACAGCCACCCAGTCATTGACGCCTGCAAGATCTGGACAGAAAACGTATTAAAAGAAGCGCCCACCCTCTGGAACGGGACCCCGAAAGTCGACATTGCCCTCAGTGTCGGAACGGGATCGGCGGAAAACTGAGTGGCAGAAAAGAATCAGGTCTCATACTATGTAGTGTATGGCTAGTTTAAGTAGTGCATTAATCTGTTTGAAAGCAATCTTAATATAGAGTGGTTATGGAGGAAATACCATAACACCCTCAATAAGGAGGCACAGCGCCGCCATCACCAACTGAACGTGAAGCTCACTGGTACTCTGCCCTTCATGGCGGATACAGGGCACTTTGCAGGAAGATTCAACAGAAAACTTATTCTATAATGTTGGATCATGCTGTATACTAAGTTAACCTTAGTCTACGATGACACGGTTAGTGTCACAGCGGGCAAGCTATATAGGTGCGATCCAGGCAGATCAGACTATAGAGTCTGATCACAGTGACCTTTTGGTCCAGTTGGGAACATGCTTGCCTGGACACGTGCTCTTACAATTAGATCGCTTTTAATATCTTAATTTCACTATAATTATCTGACTGTATAACAGGATTATTAATGGCTTTTCAAAGTGAGGCAGATGTGACCACACTGCAGCGCCCCTGGTAAGATATTCCTTAGCCTCTTAGTATCCACCACTCAGCTGTAACAGTTTGTCGCCGTGGCAATGTAGCCGGTCCGACAGGGAAAGCCAACATTCGCACCTAAGCGCCGTGGCTGGCTGGCCCATCTTCTGCCCCCCAGTCAAACTTCAATTGCCCCAGCCAGGCCTGAAATAACCACCGACCTCGGAGTCAATTCTTCCTCAAATCTTTCTTTAATTGAGCGGAAAGTACCTGCATATGCGGGAAAAGCCGTTTTGATAAAATGCAAGCAGCCCTGACACCGGCGCGGTACGACGCACGTGGTTCAGATCCGAATCAATGCTTGTGTCTGGCTCATGCGGTCGCTGATTGGTGTGGTGTTTCAGTTTGGTTCAATAATAGCTTTATGTTGACCAGCGTGCTTGTTGCAAATGTACCTATTCGAGAGCCCGTGGTGATGATGAGATATCGTGATACCACAGCAAGCACTGTATATCCCTACATATCTCGAAATGGCGTTACCATACCTGGCTTTATTTCTTGCTCTGTCCGTAAGGATTAGGACGTGGGAGTGGACATGTGAATTCATAATCTACTGGAAAACCACTTGGATTAGGAAAACTATCTATTATTCTAATTTACAAATAAGTCCGAGTCTTCGGCGAGTGAAGGGCCGTTGAGAAGAGTCAACAGATCGTCCACAGTCACTTCAGTATTCAGTACACCGTGCCACATCTCCTCCGGTGAACTGGCCCACATAAGAGCCTCCAGCTCCTTTTCACCCACTTTCGCACCCATTCTCAACAAACGTGATACAACCCCTGCAATTTCGAGCCTTTCTCTCTCTCCTAGCTTGGGCCATAACTTGAGTAGTGATGTCAGCGCATACGCCAGTACTCTTTTTCCTTCGCGATCCTCAACATCCACGTTCGCCTTGTAATCGAGGAGCAAGTTCAACGTGTCCCAGCGCTCCAATTTTGCGACATAAATGATGATCGGGTCACCCTCGAGGGATTTCTCGGGATCGAGGCTGGCGCCATGTTCCGCGAGCAGCATGACCGTGGGCCAAGCATGATTGGCAGCAGCGACACAGATAGCAGGTTCATTTGTCGCCGACTTCCTATCAGGATCGATACCCATTATTACTAGCTTCTCAACAATATTCCACCTATGCTGCGTGACTGCCAGCGAGAACGCTAGTCCTGTCTCAGGATTATGGACATCGAGATTGCGCTTGCTCTCCAGAAGCTCCAGTACCTGGTCCCAGCTGCTCTGCCCCGCTGCTGCAAGGAGAGCCGCGCGGACCGTAGAATCCTTTTCATTGGCTTCATCTTCTTCTGTGGCGTTAGCATGAGCTCTTATCTGCCCCTGAATGGAAGGCGGGGGTAATTCAGAAACCGAGGATAGATTTACCATGTGGGTCATCGTCTGTTTTGGAGTCATTGTGGAGTGTACTCGCGACTTGGGAAATGATCCGATCCTCATCCTGATCAAGGCTCTTGGGCAATACCCCTTTCTGCTCGAGCTGATGGCGGGCCTCAAGCCAACGGGCCTTCTTTCCCGCTTGGTGCGGATCAGGTGCGTGGACGGTTGCAGACGATGCGGGTTGTGTCGTGGACAATTTGCTAATGAGTATTTCCGTTAGAAGATCGAGCTTTTCGTCGAATCTCGCACTGGAAGCGCTGCTTGATGTTAGCTACCGCGTCCTGAAACCCCCTTCATGCGCATACTCCTTTCTTTCCGTCAACAACTCACCTGTTATTCATCGAGAAGATGGTTAGGATATTGATCCTCTCGACCTGGATTGCCTCTTTCCATTCCGCCAACTTTCCGTTCGAGAAGCGATACATTGCTTGCAACTTGGGTGGTGTGTTCTTCTTGAGGCTTTTCCCTTGCTGCAGATACTTCCTCAAGCTTGCCAGCGTCGCGTTGCATCTGTCTAGCATCGTGTCCACATTTTGTTTCTGGGCTGGGCTGAGTGACCGAGCAGCACAATCTTCTTCCGCTGCCTCGAGGTTCATCTTCAAAGTCTCGCACTGCGAGTTCAAGTCCGCAAAATTGAGCCTCGCATGATCAGGACCTTCAATCAGGCCTTTCAAGAGCACGACTATGATTGCAACGGCACTGATACCAGCCGAGAATTCCACCATTGCTGCGCGATAAACCCCGCCTTGTTTGCTGCTCGGGTCTGGCTGATCGGTCCACCTGCTATCGTCGGGAGTTGGGAGCAATTTATTGTTTTCGAATGGGTGAGGCACACTGCAACAGCTGATGGCCTGAATATATCCCTGCTGGTTGGAGTGGCAATTGCCCTTTGGCGCATGCGCTGCGCTGCGCCACCACGGATGTATTGTCCAGTAGTTCTTTCAGGCCACACACCATGTTAGCTGCGACTATATCCTCTTTCCCATCAATTGGCCTGGCGCTTGAGGCGGTGAAAAAAAGAAAAGTAAAAATAGAAAGTGATGCCCAAATCTCACCTCCGCGTACGCCACAAATTCTACTCCGCAAAACATCTCGTGCCATCGTGGGGGGAACTTCGTACAGATCCCCAACACAGCCGCAATCGTTGCCCAGATCATAAAATGTCAAGCGTCGATGACGTCATGAAACCAACAGCAAATGCTGACGAATGGGTAACGCCATCTCGATGAGCGGAAGGCTCGGATGGAGTTCCCAAGCCCTTTTTTTCTTGCGCCCCAAAAAATCTCTGGCTATCTTGCGACCCAACCCCTGGGAATTCTCGGAGCCCCTCGTGGCCAAATGTGCATGCACGATCCTGGTCTGCCGGGCTTGGACGGATGAAGTGTGTAAGGCCTTAGAGGATCCCACGTGGTGGTTGATCTCAGGCTTACAAGGTCCTAGTGCGCTACTTAATGGGTTCCAGGGGGAATCGCGAGGTATCTCGCGATTCATGTTGGTCTTTTGGTAAGACTTTGGAAGGACACGTGACCTGGCACAGAACCTGTACAAGAAGCTATAACTTGTTATCCTGAGCATGCTCGTTTTCCATCCTTCATGACGACCATATGAAGCTACAAACTCTCGGGCGCATCATGCCGCAGCCAGCATTCTGCGTCATGGTCAGACGTACACTTTCATTCGTTGAGACCCAAACTCGAAATAAGACGACCACAATGTGATGTTCACGATACCCCCGACCCGATTCTGTTTCGAATGTCTGGGTTGGATGACGATTACAATGCCGAGCCTCCCCACGCCAAATTTCCCCGCCTACCCCGGGTTCTACAGGGCATGCAACCATTTCAAACTAGGGTCTAGTGGCCAACAATTTGTAGAAAAACACCCAAGAGAATGATTCGGTCGTTACCCGAAACCCAGGGCTTACCTAGATGAAGATACACATGCATGAGCAGGATAGCTGGTCTGAATAAGGTAACTACGCCAAGTGCGACCTGATAAGTCAAAACGAACAAAAGGCAAAAAACATACAACAGTAGGGATTCGCATGTGGTCATCCACCATACTACTAACCTACCGGCGTGTGGCTTAAGTACGGCTGAGCGGACGGGAAGCCCTGTTCTCCACACCCTGTGGTCGTATGTATCAAACGCTGTTCAGCATTTGTTTGGCATGCTTGTCGCCAGACCTGTCAGGCGAGGGGACAGCCTCTGGTGGAGGGAAGTCGCAACCGGAGCCCCGTTCAGACTAAGAGAGCTCAACGAGGCCGTCATATACTCCACTCCACTCACAAGCAGGAGCTTCCTCAACATCCATGGCAGAGCTACACCCGCCACTTCTAAGTCTGCAAGAGCCATTGTTGATGGCAAGACAAAATCTGGAGACTTTACTGCACTCACGCATTCAAGAAGCTATACAACTGAACTGATGGATGGAAGAGGTAGACTCACTATGGCGTCAGTTACTGACCTCCCCTAGTAGTTAGATTATCTCGAATGGACTTTGGGATATTGCTGCTTTATCTTGGAATGGGTCCCTGGACACCAATCAGCTGTGGGGACGTCGCTCAAACTCGCAGGCTCAACAGATCTAGATATCCGCTTTAACGTGAGCGAATGCATTTGTAAATGATACGAATTCCCCGCTAGTCTCCTGCCATATCCACTAATTGAGGTTAGAACACCAGACTGTCTTATCTTTCCCAGGCTAGGTTTAGCACTGAAAACGGCTGAAACCTGGAGATAGAACTGGGGTGTTGTACTCAATGAGTCATCATCGTCGTTTTCATACATTCGGGAAACCAATGTCCGGTTCAATCCATATTGTAGGCAATAACCTGGTGGTTTGATACCATAACTGTGACCTTCCACCATGGTACAGAGAGATGATGATCTTTGGCTGGCAACTAATATTGCATCTACTTTGTCTGAATCTCGGTTGGTGGCAGGCGAAGGTTTGACACCGCCCGCGCTTTCGTATCTACACATCTTAATCTACACATCTTAACATCGTACTCCGGGTAAGTTTGCGCCTGATTATTATTAGGCATTGTTTATTGGCGAGCCAGGAAGCAAACCCTGGATACTCAACAAGGTGATAAGAGTGAAGGTTATCTCCCACCTCCTTAAATATTCAAGCGTCTAAGGTTGCAGAAAGTGCAGAAAGTCCAATTCCAAAATCTCCAGCTACGTACCTCGACCAAGACTTTGCTTGTACAATGGATATTCAGCTCAGGCCCAAGGGGGTTCTCACGCTGGGGATGCCAATGGGCCCCTGGCGCTTGTTTTCGTTCATGGGTTTAACTCATCACCATCTGTTTGGAACCAGATGACTACACAGCTAACAAATGACCCCAACCAATCCGTGCCAATTGAATGCCTTCGGTTCGAATATGCCACTTCCCTCTTCCCACCATTTTCCCCTCTCCGCCGACTCCCGACCATAGACATAGCTGCTCAAAGTCTCCGCGGGTACTTGGATACGGAGGCTAGGCGATTCCATAAGGTGGTATTGATCTGCCACAGCCAGGGGGGCTTGATTGTACAAAAGTTTCTGGCCGATATGGTCTCAGGGGGAGACGGGGAACAACTTGCTCGAATCAAACGAGTGGTTCTATTCGCATGTCCGAATAACGGTGCGGAATTCGCCTTGTCCCTGCGCCGTTGCATACTGCGAGGCCATCCGCAAGAGGGCCAGCTCCGCCCTCTTAACGATTATATCAACAGCACTCAGCGAAGGGTCATGAGACAGATTGTCAATGCCGACGGCATTTCTCCGCATGCATGTACCGTTCATGGTATTTGCAGGAGAATCGGACAACCTCGTGGTTCCGGCGGCTGCTCAAGCTGTCTTTCCATCATTTGGGACTCTTCCGGGTGATCACTTCTCTATAGTACGCCCGCACTCACTACGGCACCGCTCTTATACAGCGCTCAAGCATGAAATCTACCTAGCTTACCATAGTCCCCCGGTGCCTCCTGTGCCCTCGCCAATTCCCCCTGCCCCACCACCTCCGCCCGTCATTCTCTCCATTGGCGATGATGGCTATTTCATCGGTGGGGATCATAAAGTCGCCACCGACGCTGTTTTCGCCCTTCTTGATACCGATGCTGCCCAGCGTCGGGTTGAGATCCAAACACCTGGGCTCGACGAGAACTATATGTACACAAACCCGGACCAGTACAGGGCATTGATGAATGGCATCCGACTATACGAACGTGCGATTCTCTTACTATTGGGCGATGGCATTCGTTACAGTGTCAAGTGGAACCTTGAGCAAATAATTCCGAGCGTGCTCGAGCTGCGAAATTACGCGCTTCCAGGCATTATTGGGTACGAATACAAGACATGGTACGTCTGGTCACCCAGTGATCGCAATACCGTCGTGAGCGTCCGAATCCCAACGGATATGGAGAGCACCATAAGAACAGGCTATTACCTCGATGACTGGTCGAAGCAGGGAGGCAGGGAAGAAGGTCTGCCTACAAATGCCCCGATCTGGCTCAGGCATATCTTCTCCAGGTTTGTATGGGAGCAGGTGGCGCCTGCTGTGGTATTCCGTGCCGCCGAGGGCGTGTTACATCCCCCCGTCAATCTGGATAAATGGGTTATCTCTGATCGAGAACCGAGTCAGTTGGAATTCGATCAGCCAGCCGCCAAGTGGGATTGATTCTGAACATATCTAAATGTGCTAGATTTCCGAGGCGGCTTTAGGTTAGTAACATAATCGCCTGCGGCCCAGTCCTATGGCGTGAGACCTATAAAACCTACGCTGTTGTTTATATCCTTCCGCTTATCCTCCCAGAAGGGCTTGTGAATATATCTATTGCCTACTTGAGTTTGTGGTTGTTATTAATATGCAATAGCGTGTAGGGCTCTGGAAATTATCCATTAGCATGGTGCAGCTTCATGGGCTAGCTGGTGCTGGAAACGAGGCAGAAGACAAAGATGAAATTACCACAATGCTCGGTACGCTAGAGACCTTTGCTAATGACATGTGTAAAGCATACATAGTGAGGCTCATCATCTTCCTCATTGTATTCCAGATAGCTTGGTAGCTAACTACTGCCCTCGGACCATAGCCGTATGGAAGAGGAGGGAACTACCGGCGGGGCACAACGAAAAAAGGGCAAGCTATGTTTATTAGGCTTGTGGCTGGTATACGATGTACCAATTCCGCTTTATTTAAATGTATCTAGAAGACTTAATTCGCTGTGGTTGTGTTGTAATTGGATTTCGAACTTGGTGGTCAAAACTATATATTTCAAGGTGTCCAAACTAGTGGACTTAGAGTGTAGATTAGGCACGGGGCAGGATGGAGGAGATGGCGTAAGTAATACAAGCTAGATTCAGAAGAGAGTCCATCAACAGTGTGATTTTAATTCCCGCACTCTGTCCGCGGAGCGCAAGGAAGTTATCATACAAGGACAATGCTGGTGTCACCCTCCTGCTGGTCACGGGTCCCTGAATTCCTGAAATCTCAAGGAGCAGATTTGGCCCCTCGATCTTCATTGCTAGCGCACAGGCTAAGCATGGCTGAGCCCCTTAGCGCCTCAGCCAGAACCATGCAACGAACCACATTCTCATTCCAGATCCACCAGTACAGTAATTCTTATCGATAATGGCGGTGCCTGGATTCTAAAAATTCCATCACGCCTCGGTCCCCACTCTTTCTGATCCAGGCTGCCTGCCAGCTTACTCCCCGCGCCCCTGTCTCAGTGTCTCTGTGCCTGAACCTCGACAGGCAGGCACCGACAATGATGGCCAAAACTCTCAAGGAGAGCATCATCGAGCTACGCGAAATTCACAACCCCGCAAACGATGATGTAGACGACGACAATCACAAGCGAGAATCTCGGACGCCTTGGGGTCACAGTCGCACAGGCACTCGCTGCCGCAGGCGCCGCGGGGGCGGATGGAAGCGCACACTGTACTTTGGCGCAATCTGGGCGTCCATGATCCTAATCCTCAATCTCGTCCTGGTAATCTGGGCCTCGACGCGGCGGTCACCGGAGGGCGCGTCCGTACTATATGCGGGCGATTGCGCGCGCACGAAGCAGATTAGCTCGTGGGTGCATGTTCTCATTAACATGCTGAGTACGGGGATGTTGGGTGCGAGTCATTTTGCGATGGTATGCCCCTCCATGAACCCTCTTTTAGTGGTGTGCTGATCTGTGTTATAGCAATGTCTAAGTGCGCCGGCGCGCGAGGACGTCGATCGCGCTCATGCCGAGGGGAGATGGCTTGACATCGGGGTTCCGAGTATGCGGAATCTGTTGAGTATACCGAGGCTGCGGCGGTGGTTGTGGGTCGGCCTGGTTGCGTCTTCTGTGCCGCTGCATTTATTGTACGCCTCCTGCAACCATATCTGCTGCTATGTATTTTTCACTCACAACGTGCCAGCTACAACTCCACAGTCTACTCGACGATTTCCGTAAACAGCTACGACGTCTTCGTCGCAAACTCCAGCTTCCCCACGCTGAAACGCGCCGACGTGATAAGCGCTTACATAGGAACCTACAATGAAACCTACGACCACCTCTCCTCGACCAGCTGGGCGGCTAACAGCCCAATCCGCTCGTCGGAACGGATGCTTGCCTCGGCGCATGCTAACAACCTGACACGCCTCACGCCAGAGGAATGTATCACGGCGTACGCGACGGACTGGCAATCAAAGTACGGCGGCGTGGTCCTGATAAGCAGTGCATTCAACGGCTCGGAATACGCCATCGACTTCGTCATGCAGCAACTGGCTCCGCGGCCCGCAGACAGCCAGCAGGATCCGTTTGGGTGGGTATGCATGGAGGGCAGCGAGGTATCAGACTCAGCGCGCCAGTGCCAGTCGGAGCTGGCGAGCGTGAAGCGAGATGCGAACTCGACGCGGGGCTGGGTGGTGGATGGGTACAAGGTCGATTATTGCCTCGTCGAGGAGACGCCGCAAAAGTGTACGCTGGAATATAGTCTGACGCTGTCGATTGTGGTTCTTGTTACGAATGGAGTCAAGATTGCGGTGATTTTGGGGACGATTTTGAGTCTGCGTGCGAATCCGCTTTTGACCCTGGGGGATGCGGTTGCGTCGTTTTTGAGCGTGCCGGATGAGAGATCGAGGGGGTTGGGTCTGATCACGAAACAGTTGGTTACGGCGAAGACACAGCCGCCTGGCAAGCAGGATCATAGTGACCTCCCTGAGTATAACCCACACCCAAAGCGCCGATGGAGGTCCGTATCTATAGAGCGATGGGCAGTCACTTCGTTCATGTACGTCTTGAACCCCCGGGCTCAAACCATGCCATGGAACCTCCAACTAACACATGCTTTAATAGGTATATGTCCTCCGTAATCCTCGCCTCCGTCCTCCTAATCTGCGGCCTGGCGGTAATGGCCGCATCCAAGTCCGGCCTATGGACATCCGGATTCGCCACCATCGACACGAGAACCATGGTCAGCACGTACTACTGGTCCGACACGCTCATCTCCAACTCGCTCGTCGCAAATATCCCACACCTCCTCTTCTCATCCCTGTACTTCCTCATTAATGGTGTTATGACCACCATGGCGCTTTCGACTGAATGGTCTGCTTTTGGTGTATCCAGGAAAGGTCTTCGTGTCTCGACGCCGGCAAGGGGATCACAGCGCCGAGCGCGGTTCCTCTCGTTACCGAGGCGATATAGCCTTCCGCTTCTCGGTATCTCGGGGCTCTTGCACTGGCTCATGTCGCAGAGTATTTTCCTTGTAAGGGTTCTAGCCCGCGACGCGTACCAGAGACGGGATACCACGAGGGATACGACGACGGTTGGCTGGTCGCCGCCGGCTATCCTGACGGGGCTGTGTGTGGGAATGCTTTTGCCGGCGGGGGTTGTCTGGCTTGCGGTTCGGTTCTTCAAGTCCGGGATGCCTGTTGCGGGGAGTTGTAGTCTTGCGATCGTGGCGGCTTGTCATCCCGCTGGTGGGAAGAACATGGAGATTGGTACGGGGGAGGACGAGATTGAGAAGCAGAAGGAGGGGGTGGAGTGTAAGGAGGTGCAATGGGGCGTTGAGTCGTATGGTCTTGATTCCGCTGTTGGGGCTGGGGGCGTGGGAGGCGGAGGGGTCGGACATTGCGCGTTTTCGGAAGGGTTCGTCGCTGCGCCGATAGCGGGGTGTGCTTATCGATGACATTTATAATGTAGACATGGACAAATTATCCGAGATATTATGTATTGATCATACGTGATACACTAATATGATACGCCAACATTGCTGCCTGGGTCTCGTGCACCGCTGCTGGATTGTGTCTCATTGCCAGAACCTCCAGTAAGCTTAAGACTAGAATATTGACTATGCGAAATGGCTTCTCGAGGAATCGTTTCTTCATTACTGCCCTGGCCCATAATGCTGTCACTCCTCCTCCTGGCCTTGAGCAAAGCAAAATTCACCTGTGGAGGCAGCCAGTGCCCTGAATGCTACTCTCCCGGCCAACGAAGCCCTCCGGGTCAAGGAGCCTCGAGTTAATACGGCGCGGGGAACTTTCCTAACGCTCGTTTAGGCGGGGGAATAGCCCTGACCACGGAACACGCATGAGACCCTGCCTTGTCTGCCAAATTTGTTTCACTAGCTGACCTCACATCCTCAAAAATGGCACCACCAAGGATCTTGCCAAGGTTTATGGGTCCTCAGACTATCGCGCAGATATGCGCAAGGTCACCAATAACGCACCAAATATCCGCAGAGGTATTGATTCCTCGCTCTAAGACTATCCGTGGAGTGCTCCATTGGTACTCAAGATAATAATTCTAAAAGGAATCGAATGTACTGCTAGAACCCTACCTGGTGGAATCCATACCAGATCAGCAAGTACTGGAAGCGGCCTTGGGCCTGATAGTATAATATACCACTTTAAAAACGCCGACTACTCGACTTCTCTACTTCTGTGGTCAGCCCCCACCCCCCATGCACTTATCCGACGACTGGATTCAGGAGATATCCACCATGTTATCCAGCATCAAATCCACCGCACAAGACTCGCTTGACCCACCGCTCGGTTTTAATGATGTCCACTTGACCTGGCTGGACTCCCTGTACAACACGCCTTACATGCACGAGGAGAGATTCCATCTTGCGTGCTACCTAGCAGGTCTTAAATCCATGAAATACGCGAGGAATATTGTATCACAGGCCGCACTTGAACTTGACGGCGTTAACCTTTACCTGGACGAGTTTAACCCTGCTGCCCTAACCACTATCTTAGCTGTCAGCTATAATGCAGCAAGCCTTGGAGTCACACTATATACTACAGACAAATATGGCTTCCCGGAGGCTATGAAAACCGCGAAAAGGCCAGAGTATGGCCCGGAGCGTGCACAAGATACTGACTAGGAGTGGAGTCGTTGATGATGTCCTTACTCGGCTCGCACGCGCGCGATCTGGAGCTCTTGAATACACTGGAGGAAATGGTCCCACATGATCTACTAAGGGATCCTGGCCTTCAAAATAATAGGGAAAGGCTCATGCTCCTTGGTGCAAGAGCCGCGGCTGCCTCTGCCCGTGTGGGCCTGGAAACCAACTTCGAGCATTGCTGGCAGCCTACGTGCTGTATACCCGACGAGGAGGCGCCTCTGAGGCATGCTAAATCGGAGCTCTGAATGAGATGCTTCTAGCATATCTGGCATTACCCTAAGTGACCTGCATTGCGGTCCGATGTAGCTTAGGGAGGGCACTGCCCGCGCACGCTCCAAGACTGCATCAAGAAGATCAATGCGACGTACAGCACATAATCTCCCCGAAAATGAATAGAAGCATTCAGATGGGTAGCCTAGACATATCCATGTACATGCTCTGCCTGTGGCCACGGCAACACGCACACCATCGGAGACTTAACAAGACCAAATATTTACTGGACACCTTAATACACCAGGGTCGACTTAGTGTACAGCATGATCCAGCATCACGGAATGAGCTTTCCGTCAACCTTCCTGCAGAATGGTGACTGACGATGGTCTAGAGCGAACGCGCGGTCCTCGGCCCATATCGACCATTCGCCAACGCCGGGAAGAAGCGGGGCAATCATGAAAAGTACAATCGTGCGGGAGAGCGCCTTCGCGAGTATGTATGTTCGGCGGCCGAAATCGAGGATCTCGAGTTGAGGCGCTTTACTGCGCGATTGGTGAGAACTCCACATATCCTCCTGGGCCCCGCGATCGGACAAGACGATTCAAAAGAATCCAGCACAGCCATGCATCTTTGGCAAAGCTGCAGCAGCTGTCAAAAGTACCACACTAGCTCTCGCTCTCTCGGCCCGCGCTCTGCTCATTGGACGATCCGGACAGGGGATGTGAGCCTTCGGCTGCCGAATGAGCCTGTGCGGACACGCCTACTTCGCTGGTTGGTGAACAGCTCGTCTAGCGCTATCTTCGATGCACCAAAGAGTTAGGCTAGGGTTTGGCATGGGTGAAATGAAGAAATCGTAGCGGGGAAACGGCGCCAGGCGAAGAGTATTTACATGCAGACCGTGCGCACGGTCGAGACTCCCTCCGTCGCTTTTTCAAATAACCAGGGCCTCCCAGTGGTCGTCCAACGAATGCCAATTTGACAACTATCCAAGGTGAAAGAAAGAAAAGGGACTCGGCTCAATAGCAATGGAGCAGGACACAGCTGACCTGGTGATAATTGGCGCTGGTAAACACATGACCCTTTCACTCATCCCAAATGTCGTTACGAGCCATGGAGCACATGAAATAATGACGACTCTGACTTGTTCCCACAGGCTGGCACGGCCTCGCCGCCGCCAAAACCGCGCTCGCACTCAACCCCACCCTTAACTTGGTCGTGCTCGACTCCGCCTCCTCGGTCGGGGGCGTGTGGGCGGAGGAGCGGCTGTATGCAGGACTCCGGACGAACAACCGACTGGGATCGTACGAGTATAGCGATTTTCCCATGCAGGCTACCGTGCCTGATTTGGTGAAGCCTGATGAGCATATCTCGGGACGAGCGGTGCACGAGTATTTGAAAGCGTACACTACACACTTTGGCATCCGCGACAGGATCAGGTTGAATTGCAAGGTGGATAGTGTGGAATATGCAGAGGCTGATGGGGAGGGGAAGGTTTGGATGATCCGATGCACAGCGGCAGCGGCAGCAGATGCCCCAGGGCACGCCGAGGGGACCTTTATTCGGACGCGGAAACTCATCCTCGCCACGGGGATGACGTCGCAGCCGCGTATTCCGACATTCGTCGGTCAGGAATCGTTTGAAGCGCCGCTATTCCACGTGAAAGAGTTCGCGCATCACCAAGAGGCTCTTTTAAGCAAGCCCATCGGCAACACAGGAGACCAACATGAACACGTCCATGACGACAGCGCCCCAATCGCTGTCCTCGGCGGCAGCAAATCCGCCTGGGACGCCGTGTACGCATGCGCATCAAATGGCCACCGCGTAAACTGGATCATCCGAGCGTCCGGGACGGGCCCATCCTGGATGACTCCAGCTGCGGTCTTCTCACCCCTGAACCTGCTCCTCGAAAGCCTTCCTCTTGTCCGCGCACTAGGCGTATTCAGCCCCTGCATCTGGGTAAGCAACCCGATACGCAGGTTCTTACACGCCACGTGGCTCGGCCGTATTATTATTGCCCTGTTCTGGGCTTCGCTCGAGTGGGATATGCTTCGGGTCAATCAGTATGGGGATCATAAGGAGACGGCTAGATTAAGACCCTCGGTCAAGCCAATCTGGGCGGGGACCGCCGTGGGAATTCTTAATTTCCCGGATGATTTCTTTGCCTTAATTCAGAAGGGGTTGGTCACGCTGCATATTGCCGATGTGGAGCGCCTTCAGCTGAAAACAGTCGTACTATCTAATGGGGAGAGACTAGAGGTGAGAGGGCTTATCCTATGCACGGGGTGGAAGGCATCCCCGGGCATTAAGTTCCTACCAGGCGGAATTGAACAGGAGCTCGGCTTCCCATGGGCCGCAGACCCGCTGGATAAGACCCTCGTCACGCAAGCCCGCAGGGATATTTACACCCGCCTACCGATGCTGCGCACCGCGCCAGACAAGAGGACGTACAGCGCAAAAGATATAGATGGGGAACACATCAACGAACCAGTCTTACACCCCTTCCGTCTCGCGCGCTTCATTGTTCCCCCAAAATTATGGGACGACCACAGCATCGCTATGCTAGGAACCGTGACAACATTCAACACATCGCTCGTGACTGAGGTACAGGCACTGTGGGCGCTCATCTACCTGAATCACGGCAGTGATTTTGCCTACCATCATCAGGACAAAGAATTGATACTCCGCGAGACAGCACTGCACACTGAATTCTGTGCGCTGCGCTCCCCGGCTGACCATGGGGCGCGGAATGCGGACTTTGTCTTTGAGGTCCTGCCGTACTTGGATCTATTACTTGGGGATTTGGGTCTAAGAACGATGAGGAAGGGGTCATGGTGGAGGAATCTATTCGTTCCGCATCAGCCGAGGGATTATGCGGGGTTGGTGGAGGAGTGGAAAGCACGAGTATCTAGCTCCCAGCAGGGAGGGAAGATGAAAGCTGCTTAAGGATGGACATATGACTTTGTACGAGGTGGATCCTCGCACAGTGTTGATATGGTAAATAGCCCAATGGATTTCATTTAGAGTTGTTACCACAAGGGTCGGTGTTTAAATGACCTAATACCGCTCATAGAGCAAGTTGCTGGCAGACAAACTCGGATACAAACTCCACTCCATGATGAAGACGAAAAGGCCCACAAGGTAGGACTATGAGAGGGAAAATTTGCGGTCGCCCGGCTGGTGGGCTACTCTCCACCGTGCTTCATGAAGAGTATCGACAACGTGACCACCGAAAACTCAGCCGTATCATTTATTCGGTCCTGCTGTATGTCTTCTGAATTCTCTGCATCGACCTGCGTTAATACTGCAGTGTCAGCAGGATCTCCTGTGGGACTTAATATCAAGTGATTCTGGGACTGACCATTACCATTCTCCAGTAAATACGTCTGAGGAGCTTATCGACAACAATGACGCTTTGACCCTCCCGTTGCTGCTGTTGAATTCTCCTACATAGGAATGGCGTGAGTGGAACATAGACCGTAAATTGGTCACCTTGTTCCTCCCGCCAACCTGTTTCGCCGTCCTGCGTGGCCGCCTGACCGAGGTTGAAGACACTAGTGAGAAAGTGCTCGGGCCGGAAATCTCGGTCTGTTTGATCTTCAGGGAGGAGATAAATTTCGAGACTAAAGGGGTGGCCGCATAGTGCGAATCTGATGATTTTAGCCGCATACTCAAAGTAAACACAGGTAACATACTTGGAATATTTGGCGGCAATGGCATAGTTGCTCAGCGTCATTCCGTCCACATTGGGTTCTATATCACCCTCGTACCGCTTTGCGACCTTTGCCGCCTGCGGCGTTATTGTTCTTGTGGCGTCGTAAACATTTGCAATGTTGTGAAGGAGTACAGCCTTGCTGTTTATCCGAGGCATTTGGAACCGTAGCTCAGGATAGGTATATCCTAGCTCCAACCAATTACGAGCGTCGTCAGGCCTCCAGACCGTACCATCTTCATCTTTGTGAAAAGGTCGCAGTGGGGTTTTGTTTGTGATAATTTTACCCATGCCAATTGTCTCTTGGGCGGCTGGTCGTGTTGCGTCCGCTTTGAACCATTTATTTGGGTTGAGTGTCTGCCAAATTGCGAATATTCGGTCGAGATTACTATCAACTGGTAAGAAAGCCGTACACAGATAATCTCCATATGTACCTACCAAAGGTGAAGCCAGAATATAGGATCGAATGCTGAAACTAGGGGGGACTCCCGCCATTGGATGCTCTTATGTATAAGCTCGATACTTAGATTGTTGCCTACGTTGGTTGCGAAGCTAACAAAGTCCATGGGGCTGGTCAGTAGCCGGCGAACCATTTCCAAAGACTCGATGCCGTTCCAGGACTCGTGTGCTTTGGCCTGCTCTGTGATACCACTGTCACCGCCGCCCGGTGCGTTACTGGTAATGATGTATTGGTTATCTGTTGGGCGTTGGCTTGTTGCGGGCCACGTTGCGTACTGTAGACGGCCTTCTGTTAGTGGCTTTCACAGAAGTATTTAGAGATCGCGAATACGTACAGGAAGATACTCCGGAAACGATTCTAATTGCCCTGGCATCTCCACTCCATAGTCACTCACTTTCTGACCATTTGGCATCCTGAATTTGAAAAGAGGGTTAGGTTTCTTGATAGTTTTCCCTAATACCTTCATGTTAAGGTTCTCCAGCGCACACACTTTGGGAATTCTTGGACTTCTCGCCCAGTCCCAGTATGGGAGGCGCCAGGTATTCGCAGCTTTGAGCAACTCTTCCTTTTTCGTCTGGTTTCCCTGCATCTTCGGAATGATTTCACCAACCATGATTTCATAGATCCGTTGCTGTTAGGGACGAATCAGTTGAAGTAGCTAATCCCAGCGGCAAGAGAGATATCATGTGTATACCTCAAAAAGTAGGAGATAGGGCCGAATCCAGAGCGGGAATAAACAGTTGCCATGCACAGAGTAGCCCTTTCCACGAACCTCTTCGACAGTAGCTCCGGGTTCGTCCCAGGATACATATGGCATGCCATAGATACCTGCGATTTGAAAATATGAGGCTTTTGAGCTCGAATCAATTGCCTGGAAATGCTCAAGAGCCAGCACGAAAAGAACCACTTGGTCACGGTCCGATTGGGCTTTACTATCGCACCACTCATTGAATTCTCGTCGAAGCGGGGGTTGGTTATCTAGATTTAAGCCGTCTTTGATTCCTCGGATGGGATAATACTTGTAAGAGGAAGATTGCGTCACAGGATCTACCTCGCTGTTTTCCACATGGCCATCCCTAGCCAACCCCGAAGGTCTACCGAGTATGTTGTCCCAACTGATTGGCTCTGAATCTGGCACAGGCCCCATTGAGTGGAGTCCATCATCAAAGTCAGTATCACCGTCGCCCTGTGATGGCAAGCTGCCATCTACGTCAGATAAATCGTCTTCGACCTTTCTTGTTCCCAAGCTGACCGAGGATATTTGGTCGTCGGTTTCGGATGAATCACTCTGGCTCCTTGTGGAATCTCTTGTGTCCTCTAACGCGATTAAGCGTAACGTAAGAAGCATGACAGTCTGGAGATGAGCAGCCACATGGCCTCCTATGGTCTCATTCCCAAGCGCTCTCTTGGGTATTGACCCATCTCGCATATTTGACCCTATCGCCGAAGTGATGTCGTCTCCGACGTAAGGCTCTCTGTTGTTTTCCGGTTGGTTGTGGCCCATTTCCGTTTTGGCTCTTTTGGATTGAAAGCCGTCGGGCGTGGGCATGTGGTGTTTTGCTTGCTGATTGCTCCTAATATTACCTGCTCGGTGAGATTGAGGAACGGGCTTTTGCCCGATTTGAAAACAGCAGAGGGGACATGTATCTCGTGGGCGGGGTATCCGGTAGATACTTTGTCGAACAATGGCCATCAATTGTTGCTCGTCGAAAAGGCCACTGTGGCAATTGTCAAAGTGCGCAGAAAGCCCATCAGGGCCCTGGGGTGACGAGCCCGACTCGTTGCATAGGGGAGAGATCCATGACGATGGCGCATGTATCTCCCGGTGCCAACTTGTGCCGTGAGTGGCGTCCATGTGCTGGAGCCATTGGCGCGAGGACGGAAATCTAGGCATGGAGGCAGAGCATTTCTCAGATAGGCAGATATAAGGCTTGAAGTCCTCATTTATATGCTCTCTACGTCGCTAATGTAAGTCGACGTGCAGATTAAGAAGAGGAGGGTGATGAGCGTACCGCCACTTGGAGCTCTCTACATGCCACTCCGCCATAAGACGGCTAAAACACCAGTTACAGGGACCAGTGCCATCCTTGTCGGCTGGTCCGGGATATGTCGCCTGATTTACCAGAATAGAGTCTGGTTTAGCCTTCGCAGTGGGATTCATCAGACTTCGAGCCCGATCTCGGAATTCCTTGCTATCCACAGATGTGGGCTCTGACTGGGGCACCCTATACCCAGGTGGAGGTACAGAAGCTCGGGATATGCATTGGGTCGGTCCGTCGACAACACGGGGAGCCTCATCCGAATCAATATCCATGGCTTCCTGGCCGTCTGAGATATCAACAGGCTCTTCTGGGATTGATGTTAGGCGTTTTTGCTGCCGCGAAGCCTGTCGAGGGACTTGCAGGCGCTCATAACGACTTTTGCGATGAAGGAAGAGGGCATATGACTCTCCCATAGACTGCGTGACTAGCTCAATAAGGCTGTCGCTCGCGTCGGGGTAAAGGGCTTGAAGACATATATGCGCCGCTTGCTCAAATGTTGTCAAGTCAGAATTTGCTAACAACTGTCTTGCCTTGGAAGTCTGGCTAATCGCCGATGCACGTCGAATGGCAGTCCCAACCTGGTTCAATCGTTCTAAAACTCCCGTTATGGCATCCAGGCATTTAATATTCAGAGTAAGGTCCCGTCGTCGGAGGACATTCTTGAAAGGCTCGATGCTGCCGCGCTTTGGCGAGTCGCCGTCCTCGAATACTGTTTATCAACATCATCAACTTCGGGGCTTTGTGAGGAAATAAACGATTTGTAACAAAGAACTTTACACACCGTAGCTTAGATTCATCTGCATAAGATCGAGCAAGCGAAGAACCTGGTCTTGGATCTCGACGTGACGTCGGAGCCTTCGGTCCAGGCACACATTCGCCTCAGCGAAAACGCCCAGGAACGCGGCCCAAGTGGAAAACCTTTTATAGAGGTCAGAGAGCAGCTCTGTAGCATTCTGGTCCTTGTCACTGCTGAGCTTTGAGATTTGTGCTGTATAAAGGCGCTCACACTCTGTGGCGAGCTCAAAGATCGGCTCCTGCTGCTCAACGTCGTCCATAGCGCGGAATTCTGTCGCAACCCACGTCAAGAGCTGATGTGGATGCCCAAAGTTCACTTCAGGGTGCGCACTTTACACCATTACCATAGAGCGCGTAGTAGATGGCAATATGATGCTTTCCATTCACCCGAGGCGGCTCAATCCACAGTACTAGTTACCTTCTCGACACAAGAGATAGGTGTGGCCACGTCACGGGCTGATGCTTGCTTTTTCCTTACCCCGCTTATGCCCGACATGTCAGCTGTCGAGACGCAAGAATCATCTGTGCTAGCCCCCCCGTTCGTGAAACTCCACCGCCAGGCCATCTACACGATGTCTCGAACCGTTAAAAGGGGCTGGGATGGTTTTCGATCATACTTTGGTCAGCTCGTTGGTGTTGGGAACGACAATGCCGCCAGCAACGATTCCTCGCACAAAGGGGGCTGGGCAAGCCTTCAGGCTCTCCGATCCCACTTGGCTGGTAAACTGGTGGGATTCAAGAGAAACGACAGTTCTATTAGTCGCGGCCTCTCGCCACTGGTGCAGAACGATGCCACCTTCTTTGAAACTGACCTCCGGTACATCTTCACGATCATCCCCACAGCGGTGGGTATTTCAGACAAGGACTACGAGGTGCTGGATCAAGCGTCTCATGATTTTCTTTCTTTGCTGGACCGAATGGTCAATGAGTGCTTCATCATTCGTTCTAAACCGCTGTGGACCCATGAAGCCAAACGGGAATCACGGAATACAACCCTCGGGAAATGCTATCCGCGATTACGCGCCGTAGTCTCACATGTAGAGGCTTCTGACAACCAGTTCAACTTGATAACCGGCGAGGGCCCGTCGCTCTTCGTGCTTCCCGAAGGCCTGGCCCGGAATATTGCCTTGGAATATCTTGCCCATGTGAAGAACACCTTGGACTTGTCTGTGAACGGGGCGTGGAAGGAGGAAACTCTCCAGTCAAGCCAACTACCGCCAACAGACCTCTCCACACAGGATGTTTTATCGGGTCGGCATCGGGCACCACCGAAGCATGCGAGTATCATTGTTAACACTCTCTTCAGAGACATCCAACAACGCAATTGCGGGAGCGCTCATGAAGTCAGGTTGAAGGTGCCAAAGGATTGGCGACTTGGGCCAGCGACTACGTTGAATATGCTCCTCTCATGTTGCGTAGATCAATATTGTTGGCATCGAACTGAGTGCGTGACTTCAAGGTTAGTTTACTGGCTTGTTGCATAGTCTAGTGTAACTATTCTAATGCTGGATTGACCAGAGCCAGGATCAGCGAGCGGCGAATGGACGGTGTTTGCGCAGCTATCCAAAGGGCTAAAGAGCGGAAGCGAAACATCTACCTGTTGCTTGACAGGGAAGGGTTATCCGATATTTCTGATGAGATGCCGGAAATAGCTTCAGCCACGCACCTGTTAACTGCAGAGACACTCGGGGAACTGCTAAATCAGAAGGCCCTCACTCCACTCACCTCTGCTGACTATGGAGCAAGGACAGTGGTTAAGAAGCTAAGTTCCCATGACAAAGCAGTCCTGGCTTTGAGCCTTGCGAAATGCCTGCTGGAATTTTTCAACGACGACATGGAGGTCGCTTCTCGCAGCTGGAATCCTGACAAAATATACTTTGTCAAGTCCACCAAATCTCGAAGGGAGGATCGCACCGCATACATCTCACTAGAGCCAAGCTTCCAACACGTTGGGCTGCCCCAGGATACAATCGAACTTGGCAACCCAATTATTCTCTCATTCGCCAAACTCCTGCTTGAGATTAAATTCGGCGAACGGATCACAGCGCGGATTGATTTTGAAAGTACTGAAAACCTGCTCACATGGGCTGAGATGTGCAAGTTACTTGACAGAATGGAGAAGACTGAGGGAAGCAACTATCTTCGTGCTGTAAAGGGATGTTTGTACCTGCACTCGCACTGCAACGTTGCTATGCGCCAAGTACAGGATCCGGCAGACGAGATGATCCTTGGCGATGTTATTAGGAACACGATTCAGGAACAGATCGTGCGCGAGCTCGAGCTTATGGTACACCCTGAGAGCTCCAAGCGGAAGAGGCGGGACTCTGTCTCTGAGCTTCCGTTGTCAAAGAAGCTTTTCATCAGCACGCCAGCGCCATGCAACGCCCAGCGAATCGAGGTGCCTCCGCGGAATGATACACCGTTTGCTGAGCCAGGTAGTCGAACCGATTTCGATATTGCAATCATATGCGCCATACCCTTAGAGTTCGATGCTATCGCTGCTGCTGTCGATGAGTTCTGGGACAGGGATTATGGAAAGGCTGTTGGAGACACTAATATCTACACCAATGCACGCATTGGGAAGTACAACGTCGCTATTCTTGTTCTCTCTGAGATAGGGAAAGTTAGTGCCGCTACCGCATGCACCCACATCCAGCAGAGCTATCCAGCAGTAGACCTTGTCCTGGTTAGTGGTATCTGCGGTGGGGTACCTTTCCCTGGGAATTCCAAGGAAGTCCTGCTAGGCGATGTTATTATTAGCAGGCACGTTGTGCAATACGACCTTGGTCGGCTCTATGCGAATGGGTTTAAGATGAGAGATACAGTGCAGGATACCTTTGGAAGGCCGAGTGAGAACGTGCGCAATCTCCTTTCGCTATTTGACACCAATAGAGGACTTCGGCGGCTGGAAAACTTAGCAAGCAGCCATCTCCAAGAGCTCCAGGCACGAGCTATTCAGGGTAGCCAGCAGGGCGGATACGAGTATCCAGGTGCCTCGCAAGATCAACTCTATCAACCTCGCTACGAACACCTGTGCCATGGACCTTCTCCTACAAGGCCCCTGGAAGCGCCTAAGGCATCAGCATGCACACACAGCAAGTCTCGCAGAACATTGTGTGATGATGCTGGCTGTGATAGTGCGCAGCTCGTACCCCGAGACCGTCTACAATTGAAAAAAAAGCAAGAGGAAGCTGGACTAGTGAAGGAAGCCCAGGCTCCGTCTATATTTGTTGGCACAGTTGGGTCGGGTGACACCGTCATGAAGTCAGGCGAGAAACGTGATGATATTGCTAGTACTCATGGACTCCTTGCATTCGAAATGGAAGGTGCTGGGGTGTGGGGCAAGATGCCCTGCCTGATTATCAAAGGCATCTGCGACTATGCAGATAGCCACAAGAACAAGGACTGGCAGAACTTTTCAGCTGCAACAGCGGCGTCTGTTACCAAGGCACTTTTAAGTTTGTATACACAGCCAGATAAACAGGCTGCAGCATAGCGTCTCACATTATAATATATTTTTATGTCCTTAGTACTCCCGGAGAACTTTCAAGGAGATGGCATGAGACAGAGGGTCCCTAGCGGACAGCCCTGGTGATGCTATGGCCTTGATGCAGAATTTAGGGATTTTGGGGTGTGGGACGAGATAAGCAGAACTTCATAGAAACATGGTAGAACCAATTTGAGCTTAAAGAGTTCGGATCAGTCCGGGCATTAAGTACAGGGCTCCTAGTACGCATGGCTATGTGTGAGCAGTAGCTATAAGCCTTATCAGGCGAGGCGAGACCTCGGGATAGGCAGCTGGTCAGAAGCTACACAAGTAATAGAATCTTTGTGGAGCTGGTCACTTCAAAGTTTGACAAACAATCCAGCCGCTTGTAGCGTTGGTCCCCAGGTAAAACCACCTGGTGATCACATTAGTGGCCGTAGAAGCCATTTATTTGCAATTGCATCTACCTAGAAGATGCACGAACTCTCTATCCACTATGTCGTTTAAGCCACTGTCAAAATATATACTCGCCGCCACAAAAGCACCGCCTAAATCAATTGGCAGGTTTTCCTCCACCGCGAGCTAGAATCTCAACATATTGTAGATGGCCACTTGTATTTTACCTTGCTTGGCCTCTTCCATGTAAACGCCTCCTACAAGGGTGTGCACCTAAATATCTCTATTACTTCCTAGGTCGCGTATTAGGCTAAGCACGTGTGAGGATATTTCCTTTAACCTGGCCGCGTGGCTGCTCCCCGTTATAATGTTGAGACCTTTACCTTTTGTTGTATGTAAGTAAAAGGGCTGCGAATATGTACGTATACCATGCTAGCTCTTGAAGGCGGATATTGATGCGCAGAGGAAGGAGGGAAGGGAAGGGTGTTAATCAGCTAATCACCCTTTGATCTCCTCGTATTGAGCACAGACACTCAATCCAAGGTAGTCACCATGGCGCTCACACCCTCAACGCCGACCGAGCTTCCCTTGCAACCTGGTCCACGGGTTCTTTCAATTCCACCTTCACTCACCGGGCTTCCCTCGGGATAGTAGCAAATTTACCATGGAACCAGCTGGGCTTGCCGCCGGGACCGTCAATCTTGCAGGTCTGGTCACCACCTGTCTTCAATTATACGATCATCGACGCGGGCAAGAAATTTGGAGTCGATTACGAGGTTGTCAAGGCGAAATTGGGCCGAGAACGGATTCAGCTGCTGCACTGGGGTGAGAAGGTCGGTCTGGTTGCCGACAGCACGAGCGGAAACAATGCCACGCAACTGGATTCCCGACTCGGCCATGCCCGAATATCAATCGCCGTTTGGGAAATCCTAGGCTGTATTAAGATGTTGTTTGAGGATACAGACACCCTCCGCAAAAATTATGGTCTGAAGGTATCTAAATCTTCCACCTGCCCGGCCAGTGCAACAGCCGACACCAACACTCTCTGGGTTGCGCTCACAGAGTCGTACAAGAAACTAGCCAAAGTACCCTGCTGGCAGAGTGAAGTTATCAAGTTTTTGGGATAACTTATCCACAGAGATGCGAGAGGGCGGCTTGTTGGAAACAAGGAATAGATGAATGGTCTTGATGAGTGTAATGGTACTGCTGGTGATAGAATGTTTTGGCTGTGTTGACGAAGATGTAGCCCAAAGTCGCTTCCTCCTATGGAATCTTATACCAGGGAAAGGCGCAACCTGAGACCCGATAAAGAATCTGCGAACACAACACTATAGGGAGTAATAAATTGATAACCTCTTGCATTGTCTTGTTCACTCCCGCCACGCGACGTTTCCCAATTCATCCAAACCAGATTCGGAAGCCAAAAGTCAAAGTCTACCTACTACACAACAACTCGATAACTGTCCAAGGCGGTATCCTTCGAGACGTCATCTTTGCACACTCCAAGCCTTCCAACAACATACCGAGGTCCGCCTGTCCATAAAAGAGATCCCATTGGTCATCCGTATTGAGCTTACTCCAACCACCCCCGACCATTGTCCGAGGTTGTGTGTTATTTGCCCAGGAAGACCCAACACTTTCAAGATCTCCTATAGATTTCTTGAATATCATGGTTTGTCTGCTTTATGGCCGCCTATGCTGATGACCTGTTCGAAGCGTGTAGGAAGCCCTACTCATCTCGAGCACGTGAAGGCTCTCGACGGCCCACGTGCGCCTTGTTTCGAATATTGTCTACCGAAGACACCGTGATGGGCCTTCTCGGTGTATACTTGTACCTATATAAGCTGACCTCCGAAGAGTTATCCAAGAATCCGGTCAAGTAGCCCGACTAAATGGTAGAATCAAGAGGGTTTTTATTCGGATAACTCCCTTATGCATTCTGGATTGCTACTGACTTGGGTATACGCCTGTCTTTATGCCTGCTGAGAGACACAGGTTCCCTTTGTGGGTGGCTATACCACTCCAAGTAGCAATAGCGCCAATATTTATCCGAGGCCTTGTGGTGGTGTGGATTCGACTATACAACTCACTTATCTGTTGTGGGTAATATATATCTCACCCCGGGGCCCTTTGCTCCGACTATGAGGGGGCTGAATACCTTGGATTGAAAACGAACAGTAAACACAACAGCAAACTTCGAATGGAGGTAAAAATAAGATTAATATATCGAGAGAGATAGTAAGGGAACTTTGAAATTCTCTCAAAACGAATCGTGCGCGAAACGTGCAGCAGAGCCGACCACGGATACCATCGTTCTTGAGTACGACTCGGGGTTCTGCCACCTCTTGGCAAGGGGAAAGCTACGCATCTAGTGGGCTCTATCCGAAGCATGCAAGAAGCAAAGATATCTAATCGTGTCATTCGAGTAACAATAAATGCAAACTAATATATCTGCACGAAATATGCAAAACACCAAGTATATGCAAATCATAGGTATCCTTTCGCCGAAAAGCAGGACACAAAAGGAAACTCTAGAGAAGTACTGCGTGGAGGTGCGCCAGGAAATGAGAAGGGATACCCGGGGGAAAAAAAGTGAAACACTCAGGAAGGGACAACAGGCCGTCGCTTCTCCTTCTTACAGTCCATGTATCGGGTGCATCTCATGCGGGCTTCCAACACCACTAGCACCATGACCACCTCCACTGGTATTTGCACCGCCAGTTGAACGTCCACCTAACTGGATACTATCCACCCTGGAGAAATGCCCATCTCGGTCAGTGTGTACACTCTTAAAATGAGGCAAATGCCAGCCAATATTCGCGGGGAACTTTGTTCTCGAAAAGCGGTTGTACATGAGTATTGAGCGCTGTCTTGGTTCCAGGGCGCTGTTTGGTGGTAGGTGTGTGTTGACACTCAGCCGGCGAACCTCGGCCGGGCCGAGCGGGTCGATTTCGGGTGGGACATTGAGCAATTGGTAGATTATGCTGAGGATAGGGATGGACAGCCCGTGGACTAAGATTGAGAAGATGACGAGGAAGTAGATGGCTGTAATGTCGCAAATGTTAGCCCAAGCCCGAGAACACAACGGAAAAGGGGCGTCCTACTGGGTTTGAGATCGCGCATGAGGACTGTTTCCATCTCACTACCTTCGCCAACTGCGGGAAAGAGATGGGCAGCATGCTCCGCGTAGAAGACGGCCCCGATCCCTGGATGTAGTTAATGTGGCTGCCTGGGCGCAATTGAGGTCGGGGTAAATGAAGCTTACCAATAGGACCAAAGTACCCCATGAACAAAGCCTCCCTCCAGTTCTTGCAACACTTCGGTATGAACTTGTAAAGCGCCAGGGTACTAGGTATGCGGCGGAAGAGAAGTACCAAAACACCAAGGAGCAGCAACCGGGGCCATGTAATGCCGCTTGTGTCTGGCTGGTGGAAGTCGTCCCAGGGGATCACGGCGCCGATGTACATGAAACCGCCGAAGTTGAGAAGCACGTCTATGCATGGGTTGACTTCGTCGTGGCGGGCTTCGGTCTCAGCGAGAAAGCCTCCGTCCCAGTTCAGGGCGACTCCGGCGGAAAAGCAAGCGAGGAGGTCATTCGTGCCGATGCAGCCGCAAGTGCCGATAATGAATAGCTGGAAGAGTAAGTGATGAGCGAGAAGAGAAGGGTGAAGGGGTAAAATATACTCCCAACGCGGTGGGGAAGAGCAGATATGACTCTGTGTCTATCCACTTCCTGGCAATAGTTAGCATCTCAATTCCTATAAACAGGTTGGCGTGATGCTTACTTTCGCAGCGTGTATCGCAGTGCCATCATTGACGTGTATCCAAGAACAGCACCGTACACGGCCCCCATAATGACGTAGTAGAGCAATGTCTCAACAAACCACAACTCCATTGCCTTGCCCAGCCCACCATGTTGGTGGCCAACATCACCGGCCCTTATGTGTAAGTCTCGATGTGCGTGTGCAGTATTTTGATCTGGGTCCCCTTGTGTATAGCGTATGAGATATGTCGCTAGCATTAGGAAGGGGAATCCGAAACCGTCATTAGCGCCAGCTTCTGATGATATCAGTTCGCGTAGGTCACGGGCAACGTATCGGTCGGCAAAGGGACCCTTGGCGATGGCCTGGGAGAGGATCGGATCTGTTGAAGTCACGCAGGCTCCTATGACTAGGGAACTGAGCTTTGCAGGCGTCAGCAGCCACACCCCGGTAACATCTTAGCAAGGAAAACTAACCAAAGGCAGCTCAGGAACCACCAAGAAAACACAGGCCGATGTGCAGAGCCACATGAGCGTCATGTTCGGAATAAGACAAACGAACATCTCTTTCCACCGATGAAGCTGATATTTAGCGGGCAATTGAAATCCCACTATGAGTAGCTGCACCCCAATCACGACCCGACACATACCCTGCGCATGTTAAATCTGATGTTGAGTCTGCATGCGCTGTGCCTACCAGCGTGATTGCATCCTGCTGGCCTCGGATGGCCGAACCCCATTCTGTCGCATCGAGAAACCGCGCAGCGTACGGGCCGAAGATAATACCCACCACGACAGCCGGTACTGTGTAACTTAGGGTTAGCCTAAAGGCCACCTAGGCCGCGGAAAAGGACTTTTAGAAAAAGCTCACAGGCTTCACCCAGGTACCACTTGTTCTTGATCTTCACCGAGAAAAACGCATATAAAGTGATAAATGCACCTGCTCATGTTAGCTGGTCAAAAAAACCTCGAGAGGGCAAGTACCCAAAACCGCAATGACCACATTCAGCCCACTCACATTCAGAGTCGGCATAGTGGGAGAGACTTGAGAGTCAGGGACTTGCCCGACTGGTGCGAGAAAATCGCGCATATAAGTGTTTCGGAGCAAGTGAGGTGACCGCCCGAAAACAGGACCAGTTCTCTCCGGCAAAAGGGGCGGGATCGCTTGGCGAGCCTCGGCGTGCCAAGAGGTTCCTCCAGCCCTGCCAAGATCCAATGACTTATCGCTGAAATGGAGGTGGTATGACGATCTCAATGACGTGGGCAGGCAGTGTAGTTGTTGTATCCTGATTCTCCGAAGGTGTCAGGGGGTCGAGGCTGTAACGATAATCACCCGATGCGGGCGTTGCGGATGATGGGGATCTACCCGCTTTCGAGGAGGAAGAATGTTCATTCGTAGACGAAATCAAGAGCTCGTGCGTTTGTTTACGTTGTATGAACCCGCCAAGTACAATCATTGCTTCACTCGACCGAAGCTCGACAAGATCGCAGCTCCCAAGAAGCTCTGAGTTGATTCCTGAATTGCGATAGGTGCCCTGAGCAACATGATTGGTTTTGAAGCTGCATGAACTTCCGACAGGGCAGAACAGGCGACGATGTGGCGTGCTGCTGGACCCATTCCAAGCGCTTGGCGGCGTCTGCGAGAAAAACAGTTGCCTATTCATGATCCTAGACGCCGAGCCCTACCAGCTTGGCGCCATGCCCTAACTTGCTATCCGACCGCTCACCCAGCCCCACAACGGCGTAGTGAACGATGAAATATATCTTCTGAACGGCAATTGGCGGCTCTTCCTCTGCGGACTGACGTGAAGACGCGAGCCCTGAATCTTGCACGTTCGCTGGGAGGCATAGCGTCCCAACCTGAACATCCTCGGTCGAATTTCTCGAAAGGACAACCCTTTCACAGTCGCAGTCGGCCATATGATCATGCTCATCGGCAGGCTTGAAGGTGACGACGCCGTGGTAGGTATCGCCTTCCCACTCGCAACGCACGACACAAGGCACGTCAAGATGTGGACCACATTGAGACCGACGGAAAAAGACGAGGTTAACGTGCCTACCGCTAAGGCTTGCCGATTTGGCCAACCCGCAGCTTTCTTCGGAACTGGAATTGCGAGAGCAATGTAGCTCTGTCTCGATGAAAATATCGATTCGACCCACCTTGATCTGACCGCCGCACCCCTCGATTCTTGATGGGGGAATGAAGGGGAATAGGTTTCTGGAAAAGGAAAGATTGAAGTGCCTCCTATCATGGGATGGACAGCTATGTTTCGAATGTCGGCCGCGGTCCCGAGGTTCGTGCTTGTGAGGTTGGCGGCGATAAGGTTTCTCTCTTACCGCCGGCTGCGGTGCGAAACATTCATACCATGCATCGGAGAGATCTTCCTTGGCGTCAAGATACATCAGGCCCTGATCTGGAAGGCAACGCTGCGCACTTTCCGTAGCGGCCCGTCGTAGGGCCTCCCCGCCCTCCCGGGCTGTGTAATCAATGTGCAGGACGGCATCACTCAGAGTGCGCAGATCGAACTGGTTGCTCTCTGGAGGCAGCTCGATGCTCCAGGTTGAGTCCGTAACGCCGCAGAATTCAAAAGGCAGGTACCGCTCGTCGTTTCGTACATTCGCTTCAAACAGGCCGTCGTCCCCTTGGCCGGATGAAGTGGCGATTTCCATCCCACCTTGCTCGTCTGGGCGTAGGTTGTGATGGTACCTTCGAATGACCCGCGGGTCTTCTGCATCTACAATTGAATAACAATTGCGGGCGGGCGTCGAGGGGTTTCGCGTAGTACGTTTTGTACAGCACAACTTAGCCGGAGCATGCAACGAGGGATCGATACGGGTGCTGCTCTCGAGCAGGCGGAGACGGCAATGAACACCAGTGTATGGGCCAGTCACACACGGAATCGTGATACTGACGTTCTTGATGCGTCGCATATAATGCCCCGGGTAGTCAAGGTCAAATAGCCACTCGGGAATTGTAATCACAGTCCGACCGGTGACTTTGAGTTGAAGAAAGCTCAGCGGGAAAAGGAGCCGAAGAGATATATGTCGAGTCAGCTCGTATTCGCGGGCATTCCGCTGGATATACTTTCGATCCAGCGTCCGAAGGGCCAGCTCCAGCCGCTCTCCCACCATGAGTCCCTCGCGAAGAGAGTCAAAATTTCCACCACTCAATGCCGTGGAAATAATGGGGCTGATGAGGTTATTCGTCCAAGGCGAAGAATGTCCATAGTCGCCGCGCTCGTAGATGAAGGCGTATAGCGCATCCTCGACTGCGCTGACGGCCAGTTCATGGGCCTGATTATAGAGGCGTGACGTTTGTGCTTGAAGGAACAAGTAAAGGTCTTGCTTTGTAAACTTATCGCGGACAAAATCTGCCACCTCCTGGGATTGCTCAATCTGTCGCTGGTGGTTGTTGAGTTCCCTCAAGTTCACACCGCAACGACGTCTCGCGCCAAGTATCTGTCTCTTGATCTGCTCGATCTCAATACCCGTCGTATCCACAGTGTGCCGCCACTCCTCCTCGCGGCGATCCCAGCCTGCTTCAGTGAGGGCCAATCCTGCTCGCCCATTGCCAAGATCAGCCATGGTGTTGAGTATGCGAGCGGCCGTGCTAAAGTTCGTCGCCAACTTATTGCCAACAGGGATCTGCTGGAAGCTCAGGGGCGTTCCAGCCACACCGGCCACACCAAACCACATGTCTGGAACTAAAGAATTGAATTGAGCAATAAGGTCCGAGGCAGTGGACGAGAGTCGGGAGGTGTTTGCAAGAATTGTGTTCCTCTGATATCTCTCTTCTTTGGGATTCAGTCCGTTTGCGATGAGGTTCTTGAAATAGCGGAGACGTGTTTGCGCGTGGTCCATTTGTTTCTCGAGTGATTGGAGTTGCCAGTCCGATTCCCGCCATGTATTCTGTTTGATATCAAGACTGAGAGCCTGGATCTGATTTTCATGTGTTATACGCAGCGATGATAGATACTCAGCATCCCCTTTCTCAAAGGCTGAGAGTAAATTGTTGCCAAGGCCACGAAGAAATTCGACAGCTTCAAGCGCTTTCGGGAGAAGGTAGGCAAAGCGGTAATGCGTTGCATTCTCAGCACACTGGGAAAGAGCCAAACTTGGGCATGAACCTGAGACCTCACCCGCATGTGCTTGTAGTCCCAGTCCCAGAGATCCGTCCGACCGGGCAACAGTAAGCTTGGAGGACTTGGCGATAAGACTTTGAAGGTGCGACTTTCTATCCTTGGCGCTGTCGTACAGTTCCAGTAATCGGGCGTTCAATGGAGCGGGAGACGCTACGAATGAAAGAATATTTGCCGGCGAACGGGCGTAATCTGACGCTTGTATCGTTTGTGGCGATTGTCCGAGGATCTTTTCCATGCAGTTGAGGATAACCAGTGCCTGCTGGAAGCCTTCCTTGCTAGACTGGGTCACCTTGGAGTCGCAATATTGCAGCAGTATGTCTAGGTACAGGAGGGTGACAGCCCTCTGCCGGATAATCATTGAGTCCTGGGTGAACTGTGAGCAACATGTCTTATCGCGCCTGAATGACACGATCGGAGACGCCAAGAGCTGAGGGTTTGATGGGCTGTCGGTAGACCCGCATATCTCCCACTTGTTCATGCCATTGAGCGGATTATGTAGCCTCTCACACCACTTGAGGGCTTCTTCGAAGGAGCATCGCGTGCGGAGGGTTTCAGCAATGAACAGTACAGTTGCGTCCTCATATGTTGGAATGCTCGGCGCCCCAGGTGAGAAGTAAATGAAGAAAGGGAATGCGGCCAGGGGAGCTGGGTAGCTGAGGGATCCACTATCTTCGGTGTCCCCGTCATTGGATTCTGGCTGAAGTTCAGGAATAACGATTGCCTGGTCGGGGACGATGTCGTACCGAAATCCGACATGGTATCCCTCCTGACCATCTGGGTACCCCGGTCGGGACACAGCACCATTTATCTCAAAGAAGAGGGAGTCATCGCTTCGCTTACTGAAGCGCAGTCGGGTGATAGTACTGGATTGAACGCTGACCTCCACTCCTTCCTGAGAGCAGCGCGGAGGCTCATATTGCTCGGCTCGGAATCTTGTCCAGTACAAGTAGACCGTGGGGTGGTCAGGCCACTGCAGCAACTTAGGTAATTCGGTCGGCTTATCCCAGTCAGACTGCGTATCCAATGGGCCGCTTGAACCAATGTCGGCACTCTGTCTTTCACGGATATCCTTGAAGTGATGGCCGTCGGCGACCCAGAACCAGTATTCATCAATGAGGGGGTAGTCATCTTGCTGGATGCAGCAGCATGAGGTTTCCGCGTTTTTGGACCAGGGGGCGGAGATGGGGAGACCTGACGGGAAGCCAGCGGCAGGCACTCGAATGAACTGTGTCCCCATGCGGATGGCAGCGCGCAGCCACAGTGGGATTTCTCCAGATGGTGCAAGACCGGTCGCGTCAGAGTTTGCGTCAAGAGGCAATTCACTTGCTAGAGAGCCTGCTTCAACTGTAGATATGCTTGATTCAGCTGTGAGCGGAAGTCCATCTCCACCCGTCGTGGATGCCCTCGCATATTCAACCTGTCGGATCGGCGCGACCCACGAGGGCCGACCAGCGAACCCGGGAGTCCCCATCAATCTCAACCCCTCATCAGGAAGGGTTCGAACAGGTTGCATGGCAAAGCGCTCTCTGCTTTGGATTGCAGTTAAGGAAGAATTTTGAGCATATTCGTCGGGCAGGCCTTGGAAATAAGTCGATTCTGCAGGCAGAACAAGGTTGTGCGCGGTCCTTGCGAGTTCCTGGTTGAGGAACCGGATCCCTTCCGACTTCTTCGCCCGAGATAGGTCTTTCCACTGGATCCAGTTCTCAGGATACAGTTGTTGCTTTTTGCATGATCTCCAAAGCTTGTATGTTGCGAATTGCTTCTTCCAGGTTAAAAAAAAGTTCTGGGGGAGAGTTAAATGTCGCTCGAGTCCGAGAATTGCTCGCTGGATCAGGGACTGCACAGCGACAATAATGTTCTCAACCCTGGTGACCCTTTCGTTGATCAAACAGTCCACGTCAACGAGGAGAAGGCCACTCAGGTCAGTTGCGTTCGTCGCGTACTCGCCGGTGGAGAAGACATCCAAAGGAACACGCCGGCGACGAGTAAGGTAGTCGACCAAGGCAGAACGAGCGCGGAGCCGTAGCCCGTTGTTCAGCGCGGAGAGGTCTCCGAAACCATTGGACACGTCGATCTTCCCGCGCGACCCGTAAAGTGACGATGAAACAAATGAAACGAGGTTGAAGTTTCCAGACGTCGTGGCTCCGGCAACGGGTGTGCCTGGATTATTGGAAGCCCACTGGTACGGTAAGGCAGTTTCGATGAGGGAGGTGTAGAAACTCTTCTTGATATGCCGCAGCCAAGTCCCCGCTTGCCACACCCGGAACGCCCAGCGCTCGTCCACAAGATTGCTTGCCTGAAGGACCTTGCTGCCATTAGACTCAGTGTAGTACGTGAGGACAAGGTTCGCAGCGGAAACATCCACTCCAAGGTGAAGCAGAAGTTGGTTCGGAATTGTTGTGATATAGCTATCGGCCTCCAGGAACAACTGCCATAGGGCCTTGGTTCGACCTAGCCGGCGGTGCTCTTCGCGCATAGCGGTATATTGACTCAGCCGCTCCAACCAGTCGAAGAGGGCTGCTTGGTGCTGTGGGCTGGGATACGCGCGGACATCCTGATCTGTAGGGTTCGAAAGGTCGGGGGAGTGGTAGGGATCAAGGACAGGGATCAAATTGAAGTCGAAACCAGCACGATGGGTTATATATGGGCCAGACGCATCCGGTCGGTAGTAGGAGAACCCGCTGAAATTATAGGGATGGGAAAGAAGGAATCCAATCTCGCTATGATCATGGTGACCAGGCGGCGGAACAGCCGAAAGGTCATGACGTTCGGAGAGTAAAAGGGCCTTGAACGCGCGCTGGTAGGTGCGTCGTATATCCCTCAATGTACTGTAATACCGCCCAGAGAGGTATTGAGCAGCAGCAACCTCCTCCTTACCAGGGAAGATTACCCCGTCCCGGAGGCGGCCTGTCTTGAAGACACAAAAGAGTTTCTCTCGCGGGATGGTGATGAATTCTTCATCTGTGTCGGGGCCGTTGTACTGAATTTTAATGCCAGTATGTACCGGCTCAGGGTGCTCGTCCTCAAATACTGGCTTCAGTTGCTCGAAGGACACAGTTATCTGGTAGGTCCCCTTTCGGAGCCAGATCTTCTCACATGGTAGATGCACTGCATGGCCATCCGGGTCGCAACGTTGTTGACAGACGGTCCACTCTCTCTGTCCCCTCTCGAGCGTGACACAATACTCGTTGTGAGGATCGGTATTATGCTGTTCGTCATCTATGCAAAAGCGCGCCGGCAGCCCTCGGAAGATATAGTGGCCCGATCGCTCGATAAGCAACGACCCTCGACTGGCAAGCGCAAAGCGCGTCGGGCCGCCCAATACGACATCGTCGATATCTCTGATCGCTAGACCGTTTCGAACAGTGATGGTCATATTATCCTGCAGCGAAGGCGGCACCTGGAATGATGGAAGAATTGTCGGTACAGGCCAGTTGTACTCATTGCGGGCGGTAGCACCGAAGAAATCCAAAGACGAGCGCAAATTGCGCCAAACCAACTGGGACTCGACATCATATTCTTCGATGAGTCCTGTACCAAGCAGGCCGAGTATAGCAGCGAATGACGTCCCGGAAACCTTTGGTTGCCAGAGGAACTCCTCGGAGGACGTACTGGGGGCCTCGGTTTCCTCCCAGCTGGTAGCCGGATTGGCGAACTTGTTTTCATCAGCCATGATGTTCCGCAGTATCTCCAGTGCGAGAGCTTCATCTTTCTCCCCGGCTGGCTTGTGGTGTATGGTAGACGAAACATGGTCTGCTAGGTGATGCACGATAATTTGGCAGCGTGCGTAGAATCTGGCGACTTGCGCTTGGAAAAAGTGCCATCGGTCGCGGTCCGAGTCACAACGAATTAAATGCTTGACAGCTTGATCGAAATCCTCGAACAGGAATGCCAGTGGAGAAAGCAGTGTTTGTGGGAGGAAATACAAGTTTTGGACGGCTTGTTGCTCATGGGGCGTCAATGGTCTCATGTGCCGTACTTGGTCGATCAGCTCGGCGTCTCGCAGGGGAAGGGAAAGATATAGAAATCCGTCAAGATACGTTAAAGGTCCACAACGAAGTGACTCCCATGCCCTAGGATCAATCCCTGCGAGAGGAACACGGAAGGGACCAGGCGGCCTGACCACTGAGCAGTCATGGGTAGGGAGAATGATAGGGAAGAAATGCTCCGCGAGACCTTGAAGCTGTTGACGACCGTCGATACCAAGGCGACCTAGACTTGCGATAATTCGATGCCATGTCCAGTCACATATCGCTTCCTCTGTAAGCTCCACATGCAAAAGCTGTTTGCGGAGCTCCCAGAGACTGAATTGAGTATCACCTGCCAACCCCAGTGGATCGTCGGCGGCCTCTTGTTGGTCTTGCATCGGAAAGGGATCGTCGCCCTGCAAATGCGGGGTTGGGGTAAACAGATAACTAATCTCGCCTACGCTAAACTCGGACCTATAGATATGTGCAAGGACCTCAAGGAATCGAATAGTGTTGGTCGGGCAGTCGAACCAATTTGTTGGGTGAAAGAAGCCTGCCAACCTACTAAGGGTCTCAAGGTTAGAGACCAAAACCTTCTTGAACTCGGGACCACGTCGTTTACAATAGCTTTCAACGACCAATGTCTCTTGCAAGGCATCAAGTAGCTCGTCAAGGGCGTGCGCTATGGGCGCACCCTCCGCGCTGTAGAGTTGAAGCAACGTCTGCAATGGTATGCCAAAACAACAGTGAGACATGATCAGCGACGCTAGCTGGCGGATGAAGTCGGGGGAAGGTGCACCAGTGGAATCCTTAAAAAGATTTAAAATACGGGAAATCTCCGCAAGTTCACTAATGGACAACAAGCCAGGGAAAGCAACCCTCAAGCTCCGCCATAGCCTGACGAAAACGACGAGCTTGCGTAGTTCGGGGACGACATCTTTTGTACTAAACTGCAACTCGAGGCCTTTGAGACAGCAGGGCTCACAGTCAGGATATGTCGCACGTGGCACTTCACCAGTGGTCAAAGGTATGCGAGCAATTCGGCTTTTCACAACCTCGAGAAACGCGCAGTATGTCAATCCGGTCTGCGATAGGAATTTGTCGAGTCGAGTCACTACAGAAGTCCACTGCGGACAACTATCGTCCAGCGCAGCTTGTGTAAAGCTGCCAGCGTGCGCTATGAGCGATAGGGTGAGCACAGAACCCTGAGCAGGCCCTTGAAGGACCCATAAGGCAGGAGTGTTCTCAGGAGTCCAGTTGGGCGCGTCAGATGCGTGTGCCTGTTGGCACTTATAAAGACGGCCATTATAGCGGACGATACTTCCGACAGCATACTCAGTCTGAACGTGCCATTCAGTGATTCCGCAAGGCAGTGGTGTTACCCACAATGCGGGGACCCGATTGGGGATCCAGTCTGGCAATGAAGTGTGTGCTTGCCGGCATTTGTAAAGCCTTCCTCCGAACCGGACCAAGCCGCCGAGCGCGTAGCCCTGATTCGCCGCCCATTCCGGGGCAGGTGTTTTGAGAGGAGTACAACCAAAAGGCTCGTTGTCAGGTTCGGGTGGCGTTTCAACAGGAGGTTCCTCTACCGGCGGCTCTTCAACAGGAGGTTCTTCAACAGGAGGTTCTTCAACAGGAGGTTCTTCAACAGGAGGTTCTTCAACAGGGGGTTCTTCAACAGGAGGTTCTTCAACAGGAGGTTCTTCAACAGGGGGTTCTTCGACTGGGGGTTCTTCGACTGGGGGTTCTTCGACTGGGGGTTCTTCGACTGGGGGTTCTTCAACCGGAGGCTCCTCGATAGGGGGCTCTTCAACGGGTGGTTCTTCAACCGGGGGTTCCTCAACTGGTGGCTCCTCTTCAGACGAGCCATCGCTGGGAGGCCGGCTGGGCACTCGACACTCATACCCAAGAACTGTCTGCAGTTTCTCGATAGAGAGTGCATCTCCGCTATACAGCAGATCATACTCTTCTTGAGATATCCCCAAGTACTCCAGAGCAACCTTGAAATTGACTGGTAGACGCCAGCGCTGCTTCTCAAAGTCTACTGGTCGCTTATCTTCCGGAACCGCAATAGGGAACTCTGTGGTGTGCTCACGAAAGATGCGCATAACTTCGGAGCGCGAAGTGCCAATCGTCTTCAGGTATGACCGGGATGCATCGAGGGCCTGGGAGTAGGGTAGGCTGGGGGACTCAAAGGATTCGCGGAGCGATTCGTAGGCATCCGGCGAGCGGATCTCAAGCGCGGGTGATGAGTGCTCTGGGAGATCCGTCAAGGGGGTTGACGGACTACCTGTGTTGAGGATTCGCCCTATCGGTGCAGACGGGTGGCTCGCAATGGCTTCAAGGTTTTCATTTACGATATCGATAAGCGGCACCTCTTCGTTCAGGTTCGACTCCGACGCGAGGAGGTCTTCAAGATCCCCGCGGCGGGATGCAATGGCCTGCGAGATAGTTCCGTAGACAGTCGGAAGGGTCAGGATCTCGTGAAGATACGCTATGTGGCCCAGGGGTGACAAATGTTCAGGTGGGATGCAGTTGACAAGGTCACCGTCGGGGTTTATAGAGGTGAAAGTATTGTGCCGCGGCTCAGAGTGGTTAGGCACGTCGGTTATGTTCCGAGCTGTTGTCCGGATCCTTGATGCGCTCGCATATGCGGGAGTTCCAATCAGGGCGCGTCGGAAGGCGTCTAGAGAAAGTCGCGCGATAGATTCTGCAGATACGAATCCCCTAGAGTAGAGACTTTCCATCAAAGCAAATCTAATGTCGCCGGTGCCTTCTGTGACTCGTGTCAGGTCATTGATGATCTCAATAGCACTGCGGAGGCGCGATTGTGCCGCTTTATTGGCAGGGAACAGCTCGCTCGTCGCAGCATTAACTCGGTCGTCATCCAGGACAGCACCGAAGGTAAAAGTCCCGAAGTCACTCTCGTAGATAGTGATAAATCTGGAGACGATATCCGCACCGATTATCTCGAACACCGGCGCGGGCTTGGGAGGGACAGTTGGCCCTGCGGTCACCGGCTCTGGCGCGAGGTAGAAAAAGTTTTGGATACGACGAATGATAGCTGTTGTTCGTTCTTCAACGGTACCTGGAAGTGTGAAACTGGGAAGAAGCTCAGGGTGGGATTTTAGGACTGATGGGTCTGCGGGAGCCGCCCCGAAGAACTGACGCCATTCAGTGTGTGTGACATTTCGTAATTGGGTGATGTTGTTGGCACTGAGACCCTCAGGCCTGTTGGCGATAATTGCCTCAATCAGAGGCTTGGTTCCTCCTGTTATGTGGCAAAGGACAAGAACCACATAGGCAACGGGGTGATCCACATTGGCACCCGACAACCCCTCCCAGAAATCTAGCAGTAGGCCATTCGTAGGCTGAGAAAACCTCAACCAATCATCCAAGAGTGCTCTAGTGGACGACGAAAAACTGTCGGCCGAACTGATAGGCAGCCCTGGGAGTGACTCTTGGAAACCACCTAGGGCAACCAGACGCCGGGCCGCTTGGTGAATGTTAACCGCAGGCGGGGAGGGTACAGTCGATAGTCCAGGATTTTCAGGTATTATACCAGACTCAATCGCCGATTGAAACACAATAATGTTTTGTTCTTCGTTCGTGGATACGGCAGTGGAATATCTATGTTCGGGGAGTATCTCAGCAGGCACACTGGAACCCAGTGCGTAAAAGTAGGCTGCTGGGACGACAAATCCGGCCGAGGCATTAGGCCAAGATAGCCCGACACGATAGGAAACTGCACTGGGTGGGCTATCTGTCGGGCCGGATGTCCCTCGAAAAGCGAAATTGAGCCCAATCTGCGTTGCGGATCGCGTGGTGCGTTCCGCGAATATAGCGGCCGAGGCTGCGAAGACAAAATTCGCTACGCGGTCAACCTCGCTGTTTTGAGTCGCGGTGTATGCAGCAACTTCGCCTTCGAATTGTTTTCGTCCCGGTTCATCGCTCGGAACAGAGGTCGGGTTGGCCTTGGTGTACCATTCGTATAGTTTTCCAATGGCAGGGAATTGTGGCGGTGGAAATATAATGCGGTTCCAGATTATTTCCGCCGCGATATGCTTGCTTTCGGCAATCGTCAGCGGGTGTTGCCGATTCTCTAGCTTGAGGTCGTCTATGTTGTCGCCAATGCGTCTGTCCTGGGTAAGCACTGCATTTGTGGCATTCACAACCGTTGTAAAATTCCACACTCGCCCGGAGCCCGTGAGATCCGGAATTGCTGTGTCGGGGTCGAGGTGAGAGAGGCCAACGGCTGGAACAGATATATAAGCAGCAGCAGCAAGCTGAAAGGCATCCAATTGGCGCCCCACCAGAGGGGGATCTAATCTGATGGTGGCCACTGGCTCTGCGTTGTACTCGATTTTGGACGATAGAGCAAGGTTATTATTTCTCGTTATCTTCAGATTGAGATCGAAAGAGCCGTACTCGAGCCTTGTTGGTCGGTTCAACAGGACAACTGCGGAGGCGACTGAGAACCAAGTCACATTATTCGCATCAATCGGTAGGCTAGGATGTTGGAGAGGGTTTGGTTCCCAGTGCTGCCATATTCCCTTCTTCAATCGACGGATATTTGGAGGATCATTGATGATTTCTGCTTCCATTGCAGCGATTGGAAGCAAACCTTCAGCAATGCCAATAAGAATTCCAGTTTGACTGTCATCGAGAGATAGATCATACACCTCAACCTTGAGGGTTGCAAGCACGGTTTGAAAGGTCTGAGCATCAACAGGAGCCGAAGGAATGATTCGGATAATGATCGCATCGGTCGCCATATTGAGTACTTGCTATACGACAACCCCTTGCAACGTTGTGGAATGTGGTGCGAAAGTCTGAAGCTCTAGAACAAGGGAGGCGATCGATGATGATGACGGCTTCCGCAGTCAATGACATTTTCGGAGGGTATCTGTCTGAAGGGCGCGGGGGAGCTCGTTGGCAGCACTTGAAGGGAGCTTCCGGGAGACCCTGCAGAGAGCTGAATCCTTCGGACCAAGCTGACCAGCAGCTCCTGGCAAGCCGCGAACTTTACCACGAGACATTTGCACAACCAGGAGGGATTGAGTCTGATGTTTCATTGTGGTCTTCCAATCCGACACAGCCGGCGAATTTGTTTGGCCTGTGAACGGCATGGCTGATCCCAACACGAGAAAGCGAGAGTCTAGATCGAGTGTGGTGGTGGGGTGGGATTTGCTCCTGCTGGTCGGGGAGCTGCCAGCCGAAGCTGAGTCACGTGGCGGCCCGCCGATTCGGTCGATGATCGCCAAAAAAGATCAACAACGCGCTGACACCGAAGATCAAGAATTTCTTGCATCTCACCATTGGACTACTTCATCGGCAAAATCATCCCGCTCACTCTTAAGGTTTAGGTTGCTTTTTCAGTGTTTCTCAGCCGCCATTAGGCCTCCACCGAGGGCACATCACGCCCCCACGCCGTCCACTGAAAGCGAATCATGCGCCTGCAAGCATTTTCTTCAGGCCTGGGCCAGCTTCCCCGCAGTTGGCTTATCATGGGTTCAGCTCACGAAACGCAGCATCGGCGCATCAACGGAAGCTCGATGTTTCGTCAAAATAAGCGGAGGTTAATGAGGGGGGAGGGGGAACCACGGCCCAACCCTTTGGAGAAGGAACATTCTCGAGTTGATGATTTTCAACCACCATGACAACACCTCATGAGGGCAGCTCCTGGCGCTGAACCGTCAGTATTGCCGAAAGTGCTCTCCATCAGATATGGATCAGCGGCAGCAGGCGAAACCTGCGGTCCCTACGGGGTCAGGACAGACGACGGGTCTTCCCACCGGAGAGAAACCCAGTGATTCGGCCCAGTCACCCAATACTGCCGCGAAGTCCTCGACTACTCCATGGCCAGCGCTATCCCTTCCGCAGGGTGGAGGCTCTGCCAAAGGAATGGGCGAGAAATTGAAGGTGAACCCCTCTACGGGAACAGTGTCGCTCTCTGTCCCAATAAACACCACCGACGGTCGTGGAGGGATGGATCCGTCACTATCCTTGTCGTACGATTCAGGAAGCGGCAATGGCCTGTTTGGACTAGGGTGGAGTCTGTCGCCAGCAAGCATCTCGAGGAAAACGGACCGTGGACTGCCACTTTACCGTGATTTTGAGGATTCGGACGTCTTCATCCTCTCTGGCAGTGAAGACTTGGTTCCTGTTCGGAACGAAAGCAAGGATGAGGCACCGGATTTGTCAAACTCCCTAGTCGAGGAACATAAAGACGGATACACCATTCGAAGATACATGCCGCGCGTCGAAAGCGCATTTTTACGCATAGAACGTTGGACTCACAGGGACGGTGCCACCCACTGGCGAACAATCACTCCGGACAATGTGACCTCCATCTTTGGACGCTCTTCAGATTCTTGGATCTCTGACCCCGAGCACCCTAAGCATGTGTTCTCGTGGCTGATATCCGAAACGTACGACACAAGAGGAAATGCAATCCTCTATCGCTACAAGCGCGAGAACTCCGACGGTGTAGATGTGAACGCGACCTATGAGGTGTCACGACCCAGCCTTCATAGAACAGCAAACTCGTACATCAAAGAGATAAAGTATGGAAATCGAACTCCGAATCGCGATCTCCAGTCTTGGGAGGCACATTCTGCTTCAGCACTTGCTGGAAGTGACTGGATGTTTTCTGTCGTTTTCGACTACGGAGAACATGACGACCAAAATCCGTCACCTACAGAGAGCCACGAATGGGCATGCCGTCCCGATGCCTTTTCACACCGACGTGCTGGGTTCGAAACTCGCACGTACCGACTCTGCAAGCGTGTGCTCATGTTCCACCATTTCCCCAAAGAGCTGGGCCGCCCAGACTATCTCGTCGGTGCAACCGAGTTGAGGTATGAGGAAAGCTTCTCAATGACATTTTTGAACAGTGTGCAGTACTTCGGGTATGTCATGGATGCAGAATCCGGGAAGTACAGAAGGGCGTCTCTCCCTCCTCTCGAGTTCGACTACACGGAGTCACCGATAACTGGTGGTATGAGCAGCCTGCGAAGCATTCCTGTTCCCGTTGAGTCCATCCGAAATCTTCCTGAAGGCGTTGATGGCTCCACGTATCGGTGGATCGACCTCAATGGGGAGGGCCTGCCCGGTGTGCTCACCAGAGAAGCTGAAGGCTGGTACTATATGCGAAACCGGAGTGCCAATAACGAGGGGTCTGCATCCACACCTTCGATACACATGGAGTCAAATGTCATACCGAAGTTTGATGCAGCAGAGCTGATTCGTCGTTACCCGGCGATCGGTGGCAACCACGAAGGCGTCTTCTTTAGCGATGTCCAGGGGGACGGGTTTCTGGATCTCGTGAAAACGGACGATGTCTCCTGGAGCTTCAGCAAACGCTGGGCCGCGGTTGGAGACAACCCAGAGTGGTCATCTTTTCGCTCGTTTATCTCGTTCCCAAATATTAATATCGATGACCCATACACGAGGTTCATTGATCTGACGGGGGACGGCCTAGCTGATATCCTCATCACAGGTGATCAGGCTTTCACGTGGTACCAGTCCGAAGGCGAGAAGGGATATTCTGACAGCCAGCGGGTTGCCCGAGCGATCAATGAGACCCAAGGCCCGCATATCATTTTTGCAGACGTCGAACAGTCCGTTTACCTAGCTGATATGACTGGCGATGGCCTGAATGACATTGTACGGATCCGCCAGAGCCAGGTCTGCTATTGGCCAAACCTTGGCTACGGTCGGTTTGGGCGACAGGTCTGCATGGGCAATTCGCCGAGATTCGATTGCCGGGATAAATTCAATCAGGATCAGGTCCGGCTTGCGGATGTCGACGGGTCGGGCTACACCGACATCTTATACCTCCGGCCTGATGGCATCGATCTTTACCGCAACCTTGCTGGAAACCGCTTAGACTCTCCAATCAATCTGGTTGCATCTCTTCCCACCGACCATCTGGCGACCATTGACGCGGTGGATTTGTTAGGAAACGGCACTATCTGCTTGGTGTGGTCATCCTCACTACCCGACAGGCGGAGAGGTCCAATGAAGTATATCGATCTCACCAAGGGCGTCAAGCCACACCTGCTGCAGTCCGTAACAAATAACCTGGGAGCGGAGACTGAGTTCGAGTACGCCCCTTCCACCAAGTTCTATCTCGACGATCTCGAGAAGGGGAACCCTTGGCTCACTCGACTACCATTTCCTGTTCAGTGCGTGCACAAAATGATCACAATCGATCGGATCAGCGGCAACCTCTTTACGACCCACTATGCATATCATCATGGGTACTACGACGGCATTGATCGGGAATTTCGAGGCTTCGGAATGGTTGAGGAGTGGGACACTGACGCGTACTCCATGCCCCGTGATGGCGCCTGTGAAGACGATCAGCTGTGGTCTACCCATCCCATCCACACAAAAACTTGGTTTCACTTGGGGTTCTTGCCGGAGTACGAGGACTTTAGCGAACTTGTAGCCTCTGAGTTTTTTGACGTTTCCCGGGTTCCTGGGTGTCGCGCAGCAGGGACGCCATTCCGCCCCAACAATCTACTCGAGAGGACTGTTATGCCCGCCGACTTGACCAAACCACAGGTCCGAGAGGCTTACCGGGCGCTGAAAGGCCAGGTTCTCAGAACCGAAATATATGCCGACGACGATAGCGATCAGGCCAACGTACCCTACACGATCACAGAGACCAAATACACAGTGTCTACTTTGCAGAAGGAGGGTGACACGCATGGTCACAGTGTCTGTACTGTGTTTCCTACAGAGGACGTTTCGCTCAATGCAGAACGGGAACTGGGCGACAATCGTATCCATCACCACTTAGTATTGGAAAGGGATCGATGGGGGAACGTGCTCAAGGAAGTGAAGATTGCTTACGGGAGGCTCTCTGGCTCCCCGGATCTGTCTGCGCGAGACCAAGCTATCCAGCAACAGACACTCATCACATATCATGAGAATACCTTCACAAGCGCAATACTAGATTGCCAGGATGACTATCTGCTACCACGGACCAGTGGAAATCGCCTATACGAGCTTCACGGACTGCACCGGCCATTAGACAGTTTGTTTTCATTCACGCATTTCTCCCAGGAGAAACATTATTCTCTGTTGAATGTGCCCTGCGAATGTCGGACAAACCACCCCTCTCCGTCTCGACGTTTGCTGGCGGAAAGTATCGTGCTCTACCGCAGCGATGACTTGACAACGATACTCCCCAAGGGTCAAATCGGGGTGCTGGGTTTGGCAGGCGAGGGTTACCAACTGGCATTAACCCAGGGAATCCTGGACACTGCCTTTGCCAGGGATCCAGGCACCGGACATACCGAGCATCTACTTCCTTCTCCTTTATCACAACTCGAAGGCACTGGGCCAAGTTCAGGTGGCTACGTTGATTTACACAACGATGGACGATGGTGGATACCGACGACTCGGTCATATTTCCATCCGTCTCCCGATTCCTCTCCAGCTGAAGAACTGGAGCTCGCGAGGCACCACTTCTTCTTCGTGCGCCGCCAAACCGATCCATTCGGTCAGCACTCTATAGCGTACTTCGACCCATACGACCTCATCATCACCAAGGCTGTCGATGCGGTTGGCACAGTGATTGAATCTAGAATCGATTACAGACTCCTACGCGCGTATGAGATTATCAATCCCAACAAAAATCGTACACAGTGCGCCTTCGACGAACTCGGCTTTGTGGTCGGCACTGCCATGAAGGGTAAAGAAGGTGAGCTAGTCGGGGATTCACTTGCGGGCTTCCAGCCGTACCTGAATCAGGAAGAGCTAGATAGGTTCTTTGCGGACCCCACTGGCCCGTTTGCTGCGAAGCTGTTGGGATCTGCATCCACACGAACGATCTACGATCCGAACCGCTACCTCAACGGGTTACAGTATTCACGCAACGATCCGGTTTACGAGGCTACGATCTCACGCGAGGAGCACGCGAACGGCTCGTCAGACCCAGCCACCAAGCGACAGGTCCGGATCAACTACTACGATGGGTTCGATCGCGATATTCAGTCCAAGTTCCAGGCCGAGCCTGACCGCAAGAAGAAACTACCTCGCTGGGTAGGAAGTGGATGGAGTGTGTACAACAACAAGGGAGACCCCATCAGGAAGTACGAGCCATTCTTTGCCTCTACCCACGATTTTGAGCAAAACCACAAGCAAGGTGTCAGCCCGACCATCTTTTACGATCCGCTGAGTAGGGTTGTTGCCGTTCTAAACCCGAACCACACATTCACGAAGTCAATCTACAAGCCGTGGGAACATATCAGCTATGACGTCAACGACACTGTTCTGCAGCGGCCGGACTGTGACTCTGACGTTGGAAAATACTATGAACGAGTTCCTGAATCGGCGTATCTTCCGACATGGTATGAAAGTCGCATCGATGGCTCACTGGGGCGGGAAGAGAAAGCAGCCGCGCAGAAGGCAGCAGCACACGCCTCCACGCCATGCATCACCCACATGGATCCTTTGGGTAGATCATTCGTAACGGTCTCAGATAATGGAGTCTTTGGCAAATATTCCGCTAGTGTGCTGTTCGATATCCAAGGGAACCAGATCCAGGTCACCGATGCTCTTGGGCGCACTGTTCTCCGTTCGCACCATGATATGCTGGGCAACCAGCTTCACAACGCGAGTATCGATTCCGGCGAGCGGTGGACATTGAAGGACATCACTGGCAGACCGATCCATATTTGGGATAGCAGAGGTGGACATCTGACCACTGCCTACGACATTCTACGGCGGCCCATCAGCTCCACCTTGTGGCCTGGGACTGACAGGGATAAGCTGGTCGAGAAGATTGAGTACGGAGATTCACTGGCGGATCCTGAGGCACGTAATTGCCGCGATCGAATAGTCCGAGTATTCGACCAGTCCGGTGTTAACACCAGCGACCAGTACGACTTCAAAGGGAATCCTCTCAGCAGCTCGCGGCAGCTAGCTGTAAACTACAAGGACACGTTAGACTGGTCTAGTCATGTTCCACTTGAGGATGAAGTACACACCAACAGGACCTGGTATGATGCGCTTGATCGTCAGGTTCAAGTGCAGACTCCGGATGGGTCGCGCGTGCGGTACAGCTACAACGAGGCAGGATTCCTCGAGACGGTCACAGGGAGACTCTCAGACGAAACAACGGACAGTGCGTTCCTTAAGTCGATTGACTACAATGCCAAAGGGCAGCGCGAACAGATAGTCTACGGTAACTCGACCACAACCAGATATTCATATGACTCCGCAACGTTCAGTCTGAGGACTGTGGTGACCACTCGAACAAGCGAGAACAAGATGGAGCGTAGTCGCTCTAGCAATACTGTGGTACAGCATCTGGAATACACCTACGATGCCATCGGCAACATCACGACAATTCGGGACAAGGCCCAGCAGCGCGTCTTCTTCCGCAACCAGGTTGTTGACCCGAGCGCCGAGTATACATATGACCCCATCTATCGTCTGATTTCTGCCACTGGGAGAGAACATGTCGGCCAAACGCACCATCCAGTTCAGAACAGAAATGCGCAAGACTACTGTACGCGACATTACCTGCCAGGGGATGGAAATGCCATGCAGCGATACACTGAGAAGTTTTGCTATGACAGCGTCGGGAATTTCCTCGAAGTCAAACATCAGAGCAGCGACTCGCATGCTTCATGGACGAGGAAGTATCAGTACACTGAGCCAAGTCAGCTGGATCCCCGCCGAGTCGGAAATCGCCTAAGCTGTACGACAATCGGATCGATCACTGAACATTACAGGTACGACGGCGATGCGGGTAGACACGGAAACATGACCTCGATGCCGCAGTTGCAGCTTATGGAATGGAACTACAAAGACCAGCTCCAGGCTACTTCACGCCAGCGGTGCAATGATGGGTCTCGCGAACTCACGTACTACACATATGACGCCAAGGGTGGCCGCGTGAGGAAGGTCACCGAGAACTCTGATGCAAGGAAGACGAAGGAGCGAATATACCTCGGAGAGCTTGAGGTCTTGCGAGAGTATTCCCTGTCCAGCACGGCGGGTGATCCAGTCAAGAAAGAGCAACAGACCATTCATATCATGGACGACACCACCAGAGTTGCGATCGTCGAGACAACCACCAAAGGCAAAATACCGAAAGGAGCGCCTCGGAGGCAACACCGATATCAATTCTCAAATCATATCAGCTCGGTCGCCCTAGAGCTAGATGGAGACGCTCATCTTCTCTCCTACGAGGAATTCACCCCCTACGGCCTGAGTTCTTTCGCCGCACACTCTCCACAGCTCGAAACACCCAAGCGGTACCGCTACAACGGCAAGGAGCGAGATGAGGAAAGCGGGCTGTACTACTACGGTGCCCGCTACTACGCACCATGGATATCCCGTTGGATCAACGCCGACCCTGGTGGAATAACCGACGGCCTCAACGTATTCGTCTACGTACGCTGCAACCCTGTCATACTGAGCGACCCGAATGGTGCCGAGTCAAAATGGCTCAATCGCGGTATTGGAGCCCTGCAGTTGATAGGGGGTGCCCTCGAAGTAACCGCCGGCGCGGCCGGTATGGCGGCTCCCACGGGCGTTACTCAAGTACTCGGCGCCGTGGCCATTGTTCACGGAGGCGACACGGTCCTCACGGGGTTGGAGACACTATGGACTGGTGAGATACAGAAGACAGCCACGGAGATGATCGCGACAGAGGGAGCGAAGGCGATGGGAGCGAGCGACCAGACTGCCGAACGTATTGGCGCGGTCACCGATTTTGTGGCCGGTGTTGGACCGAGCGTTGCCATCTCCTTGACGAAAAAAGCAACCACGACGGCTCTGATTGAGGGAACCACTGAGATAGCCGAGCACAGTGCACCGGATGTGGTCACCGAGGTTGCGTCTCATGCGGCTCCAGCGGCTGCGGAAGAGGCGACCACGCACGCGGTGCCAAAGGTGATGGCAGAAGCCACAACGTCCGAGCTAGCAACACACGCCGCTCCGGAAGCCGTTGAGAAAGCTGTCGTCGAAGCGGCACCCGAAGCCGTAGCAGAGACCGCAGCGCACGCCGCTCCGCAGGTCGCAACAAAAGTCGCAACCGAAACAGCTACAGAGGTCGCCACCAAAACCACGACAAAGGCCGCTGCCAAAAAGGGCGCTACAGGAGCCGCGAAGAAATCCACCACGGGCGCCGCCAAAAAGACGACGACAAAAGCGAAGTCCTCCGCGAAACCCAAGAAACCAAAACAAACCGCAAAAGCCGCCAAAGCCGCTCGACCATCAAAGACCGACTGGCACCACGTCTTCGCGAAAGAGGCCGAGCTCGCCGCGTTCTTCAAGCGGATGGGAATCAACATCCACAAGGTCGGCAAGTATGTCCCCGACAAGGTGCACGATGTTATCCATCATCCGCTTGCGGGGAAGTGGGAGCGCGGGTGGAATGATGAATGGAAGTATTGGATCGCCGAGCAGACGAGAAATGGGAACTTGGAGAACTTGACGCAGCGCGGAGTAATGCGGAAGATGCACCAGATGATGGAGCAGTATGGGATCTCGCAGTATATGTGGTCGGGGAGGGATTGGTATAGAGGGGTGAGCACCTTTCTGGACCCGTAGGGTGTAATTTTTTTTGCCTACCCAGGCTTGGAGTGGGAGTCGTCGGATCCGTCCGTTGTCTGTGCTCGCGACAATTGTCAGTCTGTATTCAACATACAGACTTTGCTTGATGATTTCATAACTAAACCAAATCACAACTGTTTGCTTCTTGGATAGAGTACTCAACTCTTCTTTCTTATTTGCTGGGACTGTGTACTCCTAGATTGTGGCAGATGCTCTGCGAAACTATATATGTAGCAGCCCACATAGACTCATTTGAATTTTCACATCATTTACCCGTCAAGATGAACAATAAACCTCGCAGTTCTTTATTGTAGCACTCCAATTAGCAGATGACCCGCCGCGGCAAGCCTTTATCACAGGATGGCCTTACCAAGAGTACCCTCAGCATCTCGAGGATTCCCGAGTTCTATCGCAAGACCCCCATCACGTGCCTAGCGATGCCACCTCGAATTCAACCCTAATATCCAGTCTCCAGCTTCCACCAACAACGGTTCGTCCAGCAACGAAAGCGACAATCTTAGATTCGCAAATTCGCTAGTAAGAGTATGGGGTCAGAAAAGCCGCCCGCTGTCCATATTACTCAATGAGAAATGTCACATGAGTAGCTCGGCTCTTATGTCACGTGACGAAGCCTCGGTCTTTCATGGGACCTTGTATATTCGGCATATGAAGGAGTTTTCCACCACTAGAGTCGGCGACAGGGTGGAATTGGATGATGCTCTAGTCATGATACATAGATGGGTGAGTATAAAGGGATGAAGAACTGGGTAAAGGACGATAAGGGAGAGGTGAAGTGTACGCACGGATTGTTAATATTTGTGCAATGCGCGTCTTCGACAGGGACAAGGAAAGAACGGGAAATGGCTGTGCAAGCAGTATGGGTTCTGTAGAAAAGAACTTTTGGGAAAGAAAAACTCATCGGTAGAAGAGGAGTGAGACTCGTAGGAGGTCCAAGAACATGCAGCTTAAAAGTCATGCATTGACTTGGAGGCATGCTTTACTTGGGCACGGTCAGACCAGTAACAACCAATCATAGTCTACTGTGCAACGGTGCAGGCCAGTAAGAAGGTGGTCACAGGCTAGCCCTCCAAGGGTAGGGGTTATGCTGCACGCTCCCATAGGGCGCCAACACCAAGAGTGATGCAACCAATAGTGGCTGCTCTCTGGTAATGAACTTTCAGAGACGAGTCTGCTGGCAGATGGTTTGTCATGCAAGCCCTCAACAAGACGACCATCAACTTGAGTTTTTGGACTCTAAGCAGCTTATTCGACGGCCACTTTCCAAGGGCATGTAGTGAGGGGAAAATGCGGGGGATCGCGCAATTCCAACCATGAATTAAGATAATAATTGGTGCAAAGTATCCATAAAGAACAACTATACTCAAGTTCCCATCGCGAGGACGTTAGATAGTACTGACCTACGCTGCTTCATCCCTTCTGCTGTTTGAATACCCCCAGGTTTTCAAATATAGATGCACCATTTCATGCCCTTCGATGAAGCATGTCTCTATAGACCAATGTTGCGCCTATTCCTATCTACGTAGGAAAACATGATAGCCCGTGTTGTGGAGAGCAACCGGAATTATGTCTGTCATCCAGTATATTATAGTCCACATAAGTATAATGATCCGGAATCTGCTTGAAAGTGCAAGGCGTGCTATCTCGCACTGACTCCATACTAACGTACATAACCTTGAACTTTCCACTAGAATTATCCACCATCTTTACCACAAAGTAGCAGCAGAACCGCCAGACAAGCCCTAGATTACCCAAGGTTCGCACCAAACGCGGTCGGAAAACAAAGAAGAAAGGAGAAGGCTGGGTGGAATCTATACGATCCTCGGCACATCCGGTCGTTTCAATGTCAAATATCACGTCTAATATCAAGTTTGACTGCCAGAGGTGTGGTCCTTATCCCCTCAGCATAGAGAGCACGTTGTATGGAGCGAGTCCTGTTTGCGAGATACCTCCCAGGCGAGCGTCGTCTGGCGAGCCTAGTGTTAGGCAGTAAACTTCCAACAGCAAGAAAAGAAAGAGAAAGGTAGTATCTATAGAGATGATAACCTCGCGTCCACATACCATTTCAATATTATGCTCATTCCCATGGTCCGCGCGAGCCCTCTTCCAGTGCACCGAACGCCCACTCTCGTCTTCCAGAGTTGCGAGGTCTATTCCAGGTGCGGCAAATGCAAGGGTGCGTGAACTGCCCGTAGACGCCTGGACACATATCCTAATCCCTGTAATTGTGACCAGCGGATAACCGGAATACCAACCGGGAAGCGGCTTATCCACCGTCTTCGTCCAGACCGTGACTTCTCTCACGCACTCACCCGGCTCGATATCCACCGCCGTATGCGGGTGCGGCACAAACCACTGTCCCACAACGACACTGGGCGTATCATCATAGTACTCAAACATCAACCCCGATATATCTCTCTCGGACCGCGAACGGCCCCGGATGCCGGCACTCGCAGTGATTCTGCGGATATTGGTGAGAGGGGCCCAGGTGTGAAAGGTATAATCGGTTACTCCGCTGATCGGTGTTCGCTGTCCAAGATGGGACGTGCGTCGGGCGGCTTCCTCTGCGGGGACTGGAATGGGTCTGTACAGTGTGGTAGTAGGGGAAGGCAGTGGCTGGTGTGGTTGCTGGGTCTGAAGCCCAATGTAGGCGTATCCTGGTGGGTTTAGTCCGCCCTCCTATATGAAGTTTAGCAACTGAACCACAATCACATGTAGTCCAGAAAAAATGCCATGCATCCCAGATAGGACGTAAGGGATGGAGACGACAGAATAACCCACCGGCCAGGAAGCAATAAAACCTGTGATCACCTCGCCGACAGGAATATTGGGCACGGTGGTATTCTCAGAGGGGCCGAGATCCTGGATCGTTGCGAAGGACATGGTGCGTCCGTGGTTGGTTGAGAGCTGTTCATGGCGGGATTAATATAACATAGAGTGACAAGGAGACCAGTGGAAGTGGCGCACCTGATACTCTGAACGCCGCAAATCCTCTCCCTGTATATTGGACAGTGCACTATCAATAGCGATGGTGAGATTGTCACCGCACGGCGCAAGTTGAAGCCTGTGCATATGGAGAAGACGGTTTTTGGGTACGGGGATGGGCCTACTTTGGAGAATGCTGCTGATACCACAGTGGGCAGGGTTGGGGTGCTTTCTTGTGAGTATAACCGTCCATTGTGATCTGTCGTCGTATCTCACGAGGGGGGCTGTGGCTGTCTAGGACCACTATAACCCCCTCCTTGCTTTCAACACATACTCGCAGGGAGAACAGATCCATGTTTCTGCTTGGCTGCCCGTGGTGCTGTTCCTTGGTGGCGATGGACATACACCATACTCGTTGTCTAGGGCAGGTAAGCTAAGCTTCGAATGGGTTACTACTGCGGGCACATTTATTCTCAGCTTATCAATCCATCACTAGGCTTTAAAATCAGCCATCCCCTCAATATCCAGCGTCTACAGCATGCAAGCCCAAGACTTCACCCTGCACAGCAAAGCCATAATTTCCGTAGCCGGCGTCAAAGAATTCTGTCTCGAAAACACACCACTGTTCAAAACGCCGCGCGGCGGGAATGCGCGGATCTATGCGCCTGATGGTCGATTGCTCACTACTGATCTGTCTTCAACAGAAGAGGGTATGGTACTTGCGGACCTTGATCTCGATCAGGTTGTTCGCGAAAGGCCGCTCTTGGGTAATGCGGGGCATTCGTGAGGCTGGAGGTTCTTTGGTTGGGGAGGGATACTGGGGTAAAGGGACCTATTAAGGAGAAGAGGGAGTGAGGCTACGTCTCTACGTGTCGTTGGTGGTCAGCTTAGATATCTGTAACTGCTCTGTCGAGTGTCCCATTTGTAGCCCCAACTGCGAGGTCTAGATTGATAATCCTGCTATACTGCGAGTGTAATGGTAAGAACTAGAGAACTTGCTGCGCTTATTTATGTTGTCCATCCTACAAATTTATGCTAATTCGGGCATTGAAGAGAGCTTAAGTCAATTGTTTACTGTTTATTGTGCTGTCCCTGTATGCTTGGACTGGGACCAAAAAGCCGATTTATCCAAGGATATAAACTTAGTACGAACCGTGCTGGATTTCTCCCTCAGTCTATATTCCAAGCAAATGAACTCTCAAGGGACGATAGAACACCCGCTGTCTAATAAATTATGTAGAGTTAGGCTTTCATAATTAATGATACCTTTTATTCTGGTCATCTTTCTAATCTTAGTGATAGCACACCCTTTCTAACTAGTTAAGATATATCTTCATTTGCTTAACGTAAGATAGAGTTCCTGGTCTCTACATTGCTGGATACGCTGGGATGCAGAGGCCCCAATAACTGGCTATTGCTACGTATCTGACCGAACTTCAAAGCTGTTTGTTTCTTTATTAATTGTGGTTACCAGCTTAAGCCTGTATCCAACGTGTCTAGACTATTATATCCCACTCTGAGTATTCATTCCATTATATTGCTAGCGGTGCATTCAAATTGGGAGACGGTTGTATGTAATAGTTGCGCTTTTAGTCCATCGACGTCTTGTGGCTGTCGGCAAGGGGCCTAAGTTCTCGGGCCTGGTCGAGATTAGTACCAATCTGATTCACGCTGAGACATGGTCCGGTTCCATACATCAGGAGGAGATGGTAGCATCGGTATGGTAGGTCAGATATTCAAATATCCATTCATCCAATAGATGCAGGCCACTTATAACAGACTAACTATACCGAAACTATCGAAGCAGGGCAGATATACGAAAACTACCATACCGCAAACTCCCATTTTCCCCGCCATAGTTCAACCATATCTATGAAACGAGGTATACCGATCCTTTGTCTTCCACAGAAGGTTCTAACACACATGTCTTCTTTCATGTCATTTAGCTCTATGTAGTGATTCCCCAGCTAGATAGCTTCATTGTTCTGATAGATATCCCCATACATCGAAATGCATGCATCTTCTTTAGTCACGGCTGAGTTCTCTCCTGGAACCGTAGCGCCCTATGTCAAATGTTTCCTCTGTACTATCGATGTCCAGCCCACGGCCGCCGTAGAGTGTGATTTGGCCGCCGTCGGCATCGCTCTCGACGTCAATATTGCATTGCGGTTGTCAGTACGACACTCAAAAATGTAATGCCCCTACAAGAGGAGCATAGGAAACAAAAGCACTTACTGACCTGCCGGCTGGCCAGTCGCGCGTAGTGGCCATCTGGTTGAGCGGGGATGCCCTGAGCTGCCAGTATGGCTCTTGCATGCGCCAGGAGGGGGAGCGTGAGAAGAGAGCGGATATGCATTCTTGCCTAGCCTGGTCTCGAAGGAAACGGAATTAGTCGCGGCACGGCAGTTCAGCGGATGCTCATTGTCATGGTAAAGTAGACGTGGTATTTATACCACTACCTCGCGGTTTGGGTTGGGGTAGTATACCTCGACTCGAGGGACAATAGAATCCGGTGCGACATCTCGTGCAGAGGGCGCAGGGTCCCCGCGCGATGAGGCACGTACTGATGCGCTGTCCCTTGAAATGAGGGCATCGTCTATGCATGCAAGTTCCATCGTGAAGATGGTTGCGGCCAGAGTACGTGTCCAGAAGTGACAAGTTCCACAGGGTCCGCGGAGTATCGCGAAGGAAATATCGAACTTGCAACTACACTAAAAGAGATCTTGATGTACTTCGGTACGCCGCTAGATAAGGTTAGAGAATGTAGGAAAGGTGGCGGAGAGTGACAGTCACTAGAGAGAGTTGCGGGACTCACAGCCCAGCTGACCACAACATACAACGGAGCACACACACCGTTCTAACGTAAACTGATGTGAAAACCCCACGGTAAACTATCCGATGACTTCTGGGCCAAAAACTCTGCTGATCTTAGGCTGACTTCCTCTACCCTTGACGACCTTGATAAACAAATTGAAAGTCGAGCAACGCCCGTCACCAGAGGGCGTGCGCCCATTTCTCAATTGCCCGAGTCAACGGAGATGAACCGGGAGGATTTACCCCACGCAAAAACGTCTATGATGGGCGTGGCACGACATTGCGACATTGCGAGTCCGAACGTCGTTCGTGTTGATTGTGTGGCGCTCATGCCTTAACAGCAAAGCCGACAATCCGCGGGCGAGAAAGCCAATCATATAGGTGAGGGGAAAATGAAGGAATAAAGCAAGACATGCTAAATGCGCCCTGTGGCTTGCTACCGAAACCCCGCAATTGACTAATGCACTGCGTACGTATGCAATATGCATCTGCTGACCCCGGCCCTAGTATAGTGCCCTTGATTCCTGGCCATGAGCATGGGTCTGTGCCGGTTTTTTCACCGAGTATTGGGTCTCCACAACGGTCGGGGGGTTCTTCCGGGTAGGATATAGGTTCGTTTACGTAGCTTGTTGGCACCGGTGGGGAAGGGGGAATATTTGGGTTATGTATCCGGGTGCGCAGCAATAATTGAGCTGACTTTGAATGTAAGCCGGTTCGCCGTTATGTGAGGGTACCTTCGGTGAACCAAGGCGGATTGGATGCTCAGTGACTGGGCAGGAATACCCTATACTGCAGTGGGTAGATATTAGGGGTGAAGGTGAATGTGTGGTGACTCTAAGCCATGGGAACTGTTCTCCCTTCTAGGATAGCCGATACTAAGATTCCAATATCCTACGACTTGGAGCTCATGGGTGGATACAGAGGCACCAATCGATTGTAAGGAGCGTATAGTTCCTGGCTTGACAATCAACAAAGAAGAAAACTAACACAGCCAGTATCAAGATCATGAAATGCACTGTGCAAATCCATATCCCTAATGGGTTTGAAGTTGCCATCACCCGACAGGGTCTCCCTGAGCCCTGTAGCTCTTCCCGCCAGGCTAGAACCTAGTGAGGCACCACGGGGTACTGCAGATTGCTGCACCCACCCTCGCACTTGCGGTACAGGCCAATAAACCCATACCCACCGCAGTTTTGGAGACTGTCGCCGGCACAGGGACGCAGACAATTCCCCATAGGCGTAACCATAGGCATCTTATCCTCAGCGACACCATTCCCACAATAGCACTCGTGCGAGTTCTCCACGCCCGCAAAGGTATACCCATCAGCAACGCACTTCTCAACACACTTCGCAGGCGTCATATCGCTAATCCCGCCCGAAGAGCCAGTCAGAACCCGCTGTCCACCAACATTATCCTGCGTGCACCCCACCCACTCAAAGTCGTGGCTGCCCGTGAGATCGGTGTAGTAGTGCACGGGCTCGCCCAGCTTCGGTGCGTCGCAGGTTGTAACGGGTTTGGCATCCTCGGGCCCCGCCTGGAGCGGGTTGCATCCCGGCAGCTCATCGAGCCACCCCTCAATCTGCTCGTCGATTGAACGCTCGAGGATGCACCCGTCTGTCACATAGTCAGGCTGCATGGTGATGGGCTCGCACTTGCGGATGTCGCCGCCGCCGTCGTGGCATGTGTTGATTGCGTGTTGGAGGACGTCGATGTCCCAGCCGTTAAGCTAAATGGGTCCAGCGTTAGCGATGAATGCTCGGCGGAGGCCAAGGGGAGGGGTACTCACGAAATCAGCATGCAGCCCATAGCCCGTGGGATCCCCGAATGAAAAAACAAACGGCTGCTTATCTCCATACCACATATCCGCAAACTGCTCGGTATGCCAAGTGACCTCGAGGAAAATTGAAATAATCCTGACTGGATGACTAGCCGGGCATGGCCCGTTATCGTACGTCTGGGTGGGGTACGCCATGTGGGAGCGGTGGTCGGGACTATCCAGATTCACGCCGTCCCAGCACGAAGGGAAGTAGACCTGTGCGCGCAGCCCGTTGGGGCAGTTGGTTGTAGGGAAGGCGTTGGTCTGGGGTGTGGCGGGGCCGTTGTAGTTTAGGCACGCAAAGGTCCGCGCGGAGGCTTCGATGGTGCCCTTGTAGCTGCGGTCAAAAGGGCTACCTGCGACCATGCGGAAGCCTGCGGGGGGTGCGACGATGGTACCGTCGCCGGCTGGGTCGGGGCGCTGTCTGGAAGGGATGTTAGATATGATGCTGAACCATAGAACTGGCACATTTCGGCATACTCATAGTAGATCAACGCACCACCATTCTGCGGCACTTGAGTAAAGCTTCCATTCTCCGCATGGTAATACAGCGAAGCGACCCAGTAGTTGGACTTGTCCTCCACCGCGGAGCACGAGTTGCACCGCGAGCTCTGAGTCATATTGTAGTCCATGGTGAAGCCGAAGCCGGACCCGCCCATGATTGTGTGAACATGGCCAGAGGCAATTCCCGGCTGGACGATGGGGTCTGCGCGTTGAATGACCAGCGGCGTGCTGCAGGGAACCTTGAAGAAGGCGAGGGAGGGGTTAACAAAGGCAAGAAAGAGCCATGCTGCAGAGACCTGCATCGTGAAGAACGACATCTTGGACAGTAGACGCAGAGCGCGGGATAGGCCCAGGGCGCGGGAGATGGTGGGTGAAAAGCCCTGTCTTCTGTGGGCGATTGCCTTGTTTTTCAAGTGAAGTTCACAATATCTATTTATGCGGATGGACCGCAATCTGTTGGACGGAGTTTTCTGCCTGCTTCCTCTTTGGGTTCGGGGTCAGTTGTACAATATCCGCATAGCAGTATGGAGTTTACCGTCATACTATGCGAGGGAGCATGCGCACGAGTCATCAAGAAGAACCCACAAAGTGATCTTCACAGGAATCCCTCCCCACAATGGCGTCCAGCTTGGCGCAACCTCTGGTGCAGTCCGAGACTCCGCGGCTATACACCCCTTGCAATTAATGGAGGGGCCCCGCATGTCTCATCTGATGAGCAGGCGCCGGTGAAGAACCTGCATGTCTTGGAGAATTAGCGGGGTGGTGGTGGCGGACATGCTCCAGGAGGCGTATGGGGTGCATCCTTAATAGAATTAAACCGCCACCGGCTTTTAGAGCGCGGGGTGATAGTAATCCTTCCCTAGCATACGTACAGAATAATATCACTGTTGACCGAAGGCGTTTCATCTACTCTCGGTAGTCGGTGTCCCCATTTGTTTCTCTTCGCGGGTTGCCGTGGCCGATACTCCGCTGGACAACACCAGCCTTCCGCCTTGATGATGAGGAATTTCGGCAGTATCCGTAGGACTGTAGGGGATTGATTGCTCCTAAGATGCAAGGCGCTGGTAATGTACTGTTAGCTGATCCTTGATGACAACATAGTATAGTCGCCAGGCTCACTCCCATAGCCAATGTATATAAGCGCAATGCTAGCAGCTCATACAACAACGTAACCCGCAACATCAGGTTTCTCATAACCAAATCATTTCAATATCTCCTTCCCAAGAGTATAACGTTTTCATCACCATGGCCTCCAAGACCACCACGGCCTTTGCCCTCCTCTCCCTCGGGCCAGCCCTTGCCCTGGCCCAGGGAAAGCGCGGCCTCGCCTACAACGACGCCGCCCTCGCAAACCTCTTCAATGGCCACGACCAAGTCACCTGGGGCTACAATTGGGCCATCCATCGCAACGGGCTCGACAACTCCCACGAGTTCTCGCCTATGCTCTGGGGCCTCCCTTCCTCGCTAAGCCCCGAATGGACCGCGGCCGTCCAGACCGCCGGCGTCGAAAACATCCTCTCCTTCAACGAGCCCGACCTCGGCTCCCAGGCCAACATCTCCCCCTCGGATGCTGCGGCCGGCCACCTGGCGTACCTTGAGCCGTTCGCTGGCCAGGTGCGCATCTCGACCCCCGCCGTGACCAACGGCCCGCCCCCCAACATGGGCACCGGCTGGATGGACCAATTCTTCCAGCACTGCAACACCTGTACTATCGATTTTGTAGCAATCCATTGGTACGCGAACAACGATCCCGAGGGATTCAAATCGCACGTGCAGCAGTTTTACGACAAGTACCACCGTCCGATCTGGATCACCGAGTTCGCGGCGAGTGGGTCCGAGGAGGAGCAGATTTCGTTCCTGCAGGATGTTCTGCCGTGGCTTGATGCGCAGGATTATGTGGAGCGATATGCGTACTTTGGTGTGTTTCCTGGGTTCCTCATCAATGAGGCTGGGAATGGGCTTTCGGCGCTCGGGGAGGTCTATGCTACGTATAGTGGATAGGTTGTGTCCCAGCTCTATCAGATTATCTTTCTTAGCACGGGCCCTGTGCGTGTGGTAAAGGTAGAGCAGGTGTCAATGTCAGGTTAGTTTAGTCTTGTCGAAGAGAAAGCGAAGGGCTGTTAGTGACCTACTCCATGTTGTCCCAAACTTGTGTTTCAAGCTTCAGCATCCTTCTTATCCTCGAGGGTATGACTATGGGGTAGCTTTATAACATGCGGTTTATTGCAATCCCTGCATCTGATACTTTACCTGTGGTGAGCGTTCATAGGATCAAGAAGGATCTTGTATAAGCTGTTTGACTCAACCTCTTCTCTTGACCTTCACGAACTACCCGTTAAGCGCTTCTCCACCTGTGGCAGGGGAGAAGGGGTTTTGCGTGTAACCTCATCCTTGCTTTGGCCGTTACAATATAAACCGAAACACGTTTCTAACTCCACAGCCTGGATAATGTGAGGGCTCCGTGTTAAGGACGGATTAAAGGGCTGCCATTGACCTCCACAAGAACCTTATCTTACTCCAACCTTCTCCATCCTGCTCCAACATCCATCCGACCCTCGATTGTATAACTACGAGGTAGCTTCATCGAATGTTATTTTCCACGCCCTTTGAATATGACCTTACGTTGTCGATTACGTAAACAAATTATCCCTCTCTAACTATTATACTTTGTTCCCCGTATTCGGTACCTCGTATCAAGGCTACGCCTGGCGAAAGCTCCATTCGAGTGGGCCGGGGCCGGTTCCTCTTCACGTCGGGACAGCTGTCTCGGTCTTCGGTCCTGCAATCTCGACGCCGTCCACAGCACCCAACTGTCGGCACTCTCTTCCGGAGGATGCGACCTGAGAGCTCACGGGCTTCGCGCTTTGACATTTTGTGGAGTCGGGCCGGCGATGGAGCGATATGTAGTAAAGATCGACGGTTAATAACATGAAGAAACAGCCAGAGGTCAAGGCATACCCCGAGAAGTACGTGGTTACACCGCCGTCGTTGAAAACACTGACTGAATACGCCTTGACGAATCAGAAGACCGTGTGGCAACGAATCGCTGTTTCAGCAGTCAAAGTAAATCACCCCGCCCGGGCCTCTATTGGTTGGATCGGCTCGGATACCGGATCGACTCTGTGTCTCAATCATGCCAAGTACCCTGGAATCTGGAACGTGGGGTATAGTGGACCACAACATGGCTTCCTGCGCACATGTCAGTCTCACATAGCCGACACGAGGACCCCCCTCGGCTTCTGGAATGCCAAGGTGCCCCTCCCACTCGGCTAGTCCTCCATTTTGTTTAGTCTCGGAACCTTGGCCAGTAAACCTGTCCGATCGGGCTGCGCCAGCTCATGAAACGCCGAAGATGGGGCCCGACCCTGTCGGTGTGCTGGAGTCTCGGTGGCTGTCTCAACCCCTGACATTAGTCCTGCTGCTAAGAACCAAGATCCGTCACTCCGCGATGTTTGGGAGCGTTCGCCTCACGCTTGGATTCAGGACCCTTGCTCCTCGACCATTTTACCCCGCGGGACGCCTGCCTTAGGGTTCTGGCTCATGCCACTTGAATGGTGTATGCCCGCGGTATGCATTGTGAAGTTTATCATGGTTGTATCAAGCGAGATAATCAGGTGGTCCTTTCATCAATTGCCTGGCAGCCTTCCCCTCAAACTAACATGGTGGCTGAACCTAAACCATTCATTACTCACGACCCATTACCCCCTCCAACCAGACATTTCAGATCCTCGCTGATGGCCACTCCGCCCATTCCTGCTACATCTACCACTGCACATCCATTGATCATCGACCCGGGGTAATGCATCCGCAGGGCGCCAACTGACCCTGCGTTGGTGCCGCACGCAGCTGCAATCATGGAGTCGTCCGACGGCCGAATCGAACGCCCCACAGACCCCGATGGACTGGTCCTCGAGGCCTGGGGCCAGGGACTCATGGTCGGCTCCCTGGTCGTCATGACTGCAGTCATTGTCGCCAACATGAAGCGGCACATTCTCCTGCACAAGCTCATTCTGATCGAAGTAAGTGATCCTATACCAGCCGTCTGTTAAGCGATCATTGATCCACTGACGGGACATGCTTGGAATGCAGCTCCTCCTCGCCATCCCACACGGCGCCTTCATCTTCAACAAACCACCAGTTTACGGATGGTACCTCTCTGTCAGCGCGATCGGGCTCAACGTCTCCTGGAGCCTGCACAATGTAATCGCCTGGATGAAAATCAAGCCCTTTTACTCCCGCCGGGTCTCACAAGCCTACATCGCCACCGTGATCCTCGTCCAGCCATACTGGGTGCTGGAGATCTACGCCAACTTCACGTACTTTAACAATATCAATCGCATCTTCGTGGTCACGAGGCCGCTTGAGCCGCTTTTTCGGTAGGAACCCTATCCTCATATCATACCGTACCCTCCCTACCCCCCTTGGCCGACCAGACCTAAATCCCAGAGAACAAGAAACACACCTTGAAGCTAACAGTTCGACTCAGCGACCCCTGGTGGATCTGCACAACCCTCTCGCTCTTCTACACGATCAAACGCGGCTACAATTTTGGCCTCGTCGAGCTCGCAACCGCCAGCCCGCGCTTCGGTATCATGCTCGCCTCAATGTGTCTCTCGATCGTCTTCATAATTGTCGATACATGTAGCGTCCTCGGGGCGTTTGATAGCGCCTCGCTGCCTATTGGTGTGCAGCCCTTTTGGAAGGTATGTATGCTCACTTGACCATCCCAAGAAAGGCAAGTCTAAATATATCGCCAGCTCTCATTCATCTTCAAATGCCTGTGCAACGCCGTGATCCTGGACGACTTCAAAGTCGCCCTGGACCGGATCCGCGCATATCGGCTGCGCGCGTCGGTGTCTGATACGAGACCTGGTCCACATCATCCGGATGTTGGCGCGCGCCGTTCGGTATCAGTGCCGAGGCGTGCTACTGGAGTGAGCTCGTCGGAGGGTGCGCTTGTCGTCGACGTGGAGGATCCACAACGGATGTATTCGTAATACCATACCTAAGAATATGTATACCGGGCCGGGCGTAAATAACTCTGGTGCACCTGCCGGTATTTGGAGTACTATTTAGAATCAAGTTGCCGGCTGGTAGCGCCAGTCAGTTCAAAAGTCCCCATTCTGAACATGGCCGGGTGTCCTTGTTGGTAGGGGGCTAGCAGCCCAGTATATATGATTACACCACGTGTATCTACTTTGTCACGACCACTCGTATATATTTTTCCAAGGGAACGAGAGGCTTGCTTAAAATATTCAATGTCATGTGAAAAGACGTTCGAAACCTGGAGAATATTATAACAACGTGTGGCCCTACGACCTGCGCGGATACTCATGTTAAGCCAGCATCTTGAATACACAACAGATGGATTTGGGCGCAAAGCGAGCAACCCGCTCGTGTAGGATATTTACTACACCATAGTGTCTATATCTGGATATGGAGTTGAGTCATAGGACGTACCAGTAAATCTCAACCCAACTTCAGTATGCTACCTTACCTTTTTAGTTACTCCCCTCGTGTATTTCAAACCTTACTACTGCTTTTTTGACGATGGGGTATATTTATATTACAGATCAATGCGAAAGACACTAAGAGGTAGAGCAAGACAGCAAGAAGAACCCACCCTCTTCGCACAGGCATCATCGAGTCACTCATTATCATCCAATCATCACCTAACACCCCAGCAGTCCCTCTTCATCCTCGTCCATCCCGAACCCCTCCCCTTCGCATTCCCCAACAAGCTCTCTGAGCACAACCCACCACCCCCTCGCATCCCGCGCCTCCTCCCTCCAATACTCCAACATCTCCAACGCCCCCCTGACAGCCGCCTTCCACCCGCTCGGCAAAAACGTAACCCCCCCAAACCCCNCACACCTCCCCGCCGCAACAAGCAACAACGCACTCCGCGTGCACGACCTCAACATCAACCAAACCCCATGATGCCGATGCTTGAACCCCTTGCGGTTCTTATGGATGCGGTCCACGGCCATGGCGAGTCCGCGGATGACGAATTCGTCGGTACTCGGGTCCCGTGTCCCGTGCGCAATGGCTTCGAGCATGTACGGGAAGTAGATCCATTCGTAGCAGTCGAGGAGGTGACCGCGGAGCACGAACTTGAGCACGTCGTCGGCCATTTCGGGGGTCGAGAGGGTGAGGATTGGTGGGAGGGATGTGGTCCTGTTTTCCATCTACTTATCAGTCACGGACCACGTAGATAGTGCGGGAAGGGGAGAAGGAGAAGGGGCGGAGCGGAGGGTGTATACCATTCCTCGGCCTGCCTCTCGAAATCCAACGAGGCTTCGCGCATCAGATGCGCGTCGGGAAATCGACCATGTACCTGGTTCCGGAAGAACAGCCGGATGACGCGCATCGTGAGGCGGCGGACGGCGGTCTCGGCGAGGTAGAAGTACCATACGCGCGACTCGTCGCGGTTCAGCTGTTCCAGGGGCAGGGAGGGGAAGAAGGTTGGGTATGTGAAGCCGAGCGGGTCCGGTTGGTTTAGGCCGAGTTCGAGGCGGAGTTCACTATATTACAGCAAAGGGGTTCGGTGAGTCACCAAGGTCTTAAACGGCGAGAATATACATTCACGGGGACGGGGCTTGGGCAGCTTACAGTTCAGACTTCAAACACGCCCAGTGCGTCGTCTCGAGACACCGCAGATCACTTGAGCTCTGCGACTCGGCGCTCCGACCCCGCTCTACTCCCCTGCTTACAAAGACCATTGTCTCTGCCATGGCGGCAGTCTGCACGAAGCATCGCCAGGCGCGAACAGGCTGGAATATAGCCATCAGGTATACCCCCGAGTAGAAGAAGCACTGCGTCTCGATGATCCCGTGCGTGCGCAAGACAGCGCCAAGCCGCATTTGCGCGGCCTCAAAGTACCGTTGGCCGAGGTGGAAGGACGGTGAGCGGCGGGCAGTCATTGAGCTGGATTCGTGGTGCTCGTTGAAGTTTTCGGATATCGCGCCGAGGGCGCAGATGAGGAGCTGTTGTCATTGAACAATGAAATTAGCGAAATGGCATGGGGGAGGATAAGGGTGGGAGGAGGAAATGGTAGACGGGGGCAAGGTCTCACCACAAGGCATGAGGGCGCGTCCCAGCCTATCCCGTGGACGCACGCTTGATACAGGTAATCGGTAACTAAGGGGACATCGAGGATTGGATTTGCTATGTGCACCTCCTCGAGGAACGTATGTAGGAGTCGGGTGCAGGTTCGCAGGTCGAGGTCGAGTCGTTCGTGGCGGGGATCTGTATTGGTGAGGAATGGCTCCGGAGACAAGGTCGTCGGCGATGAGACTAGACCTCCCAAGCTCGTGCTCGAGTCGTATCTCCCCTCGAAGACGCTCCAGGAGAGGATTGTCTCGATGGTAAGCCGACTAACCTCGGAGTCGGCGACCTGGTAACGTGGGCTGCCATGGAGGGTGGACGAATCGCTGGCTGTGACTGCCGAGTTGAGGGTGATGTTTGCCAGATCATCGATGCGGCTAATGGCGGATCCTGCGGCCTTGATTTGATTTTGCTGCTGCTGCTGCTGCTGTTGGAGAAGCAACTCAATCTGATCCAGCCGTTGGATGATAACTACGCTAGCCGGATCGAATCTTAAGCGATAGTCCAGTCAGCGCACTTGGATCGAGAGCGAAAAGGGTTCACCGGCACCTACACGGACAGATCCGAAGGATCATTGACAACGCACTTGGCGCCGATTTTCTCGCAAAACGAACACGCGGGCTTCTTGTTGTCGCACTTGGTCCGACGAGACCGACAGACCTGACAGGCTCGCACGGCCCTACGCCGAGGATACGCCCCGGGGCCGCGACTCGGCTGCCTTGGGGGCAGTTGGGGATCGGGGTGAGACATGAGCAGCGGCGGGAGGACAATGCGGGAACGCGGAGGCGGAGGGCTGAAGCGACATTCCGCGTGCGAGGGCAGCGTTAAGAAGTCCAGGGGGTCGGAACTCGGCAGAGACATGGGACCGACTGTGCGCACAAGCGGAGTCTCGCGTTGGAGTCTGGAACCCGGATTGCGGGGTGGGAGATGGGGAAACGAGGTCTTAAATCAATCACAGGGCCGAGGGTGGGGTCGCCTGCAGAGCAACCCCGTAATCAATTTGGCTTTGACGTGCCGCTAGACCAGCTCAAAGCGGCCATTCTGACGGCCAGTACCGGCTCTTGTTTGAAGAGACAATGAGGGGAAAGGGGGTGGCGGTCACCGGGAGGGTTCCCTGCCTGCACTCTGCTTCCTTTCGCGCGACCTTCCGCTGTTCTTTCTATTGGTTCTTTTGTCGTTGGTGATGGTGTGTGATATCGCCTTGCTCTAGCTGTATACTGGTATTGAAGGCGACGGTGCAAGATATATAATTCAAACTACCCATGGTGTTGTCGATCCCCCTCCACCTCGCTTGTTCCGCTCAATCCTACAACACCACCAACTGCACAGCAATGGCCACCGAAAAGTCCGTTGGGGTTGAGCACTCCAACCTCGAAACCGTCCACCCTCCCGATGCCAACGCCACGGCCAAGTCTGCCGTGATCAACGACAACATCTATGAACACCAGCAGACTGTCCTGCAGGTCATCCGCAGTCATCCAGCCCTAATCTGGTGGGCCTTTTTCTTCAGCGTCAGCGCGATCGGATGGTCAGTTTCCTAGTATCACTATTCACCATTTCCCGGGTAATAAATCAAATTCTGACACGCATTTTCCTTCCACAGGGGATATGACGCCCAGGTCAACGGCGCCGTGCTCGGAATCCCTTCGTTCCGACGGGACTTTGGCGAAGAGTACGAGGAAGGCTTTGTCGTTCCTGCGCCCTGGCTCAGCGCCTTCAACTCGATTTCGTCCGTCGGCATGTTCTTTGGCGGTTTTCTTTGCAGTATCTTCGCCGACCGGTTTGGTAGGAGATTGGCCCTGGCGGTTGGTGTCGTCATCTCGTGTGCAGGCATCTTTGGAGAGCTCTTCTCGACTGCCCGCGTTGCCTTTCTCATCAGCAAGTTGATTCTGGGTGTCGGGTTGGGCTTCTACCTGACTATTGGGCCCTTGTACTCTTCCGAGGTGGGTTCTAGTCTTACCGGTGATTCACATGTACGTGCTGACGACCCGTAGGTCTCTCCAGTGGTTCTGCGCGGTATCACAACAGCCGGTGTCAATCTTGGAATCGTGATCGGGCAGCTGCTCTCCAACGCCGCCATCAAAGGGTTCGGTGATCGAGGCGACCGCTGGGCCTACCGAGGCCCCTTTGCCCTACAATTCTTCTTCGTCGGTATGTTCACGTCTCCCTGACACTCGAGCTGCATCGCTAACTGCGAACAGCCTTCCTGGCGGTTGGCCTCCCCTTCTCCGTCGAATCCCCCTGGTACCTCGTCCGCACCGACCGAATCGACGCCGCGCGCGACGCCCTCCAGCGCCTCTACGGCCCCAACACAGACATCGAGACAAAGCTCACCGCGATCCAAATGACCATCGCCCAAGATCTCGCACTCAAGGAATCCAAATGGTCCGACGCCATCCGCGGTCCCAACCGCCTCCGCACCGCCATCTCCTGCGGTGTCTTTGTCTGCCAGCACCTGGTCGGCATCATCTTCGTCCTGGGTTTCTCGACATATTTCTTCCAGCTCGCGGGCTTACCAACTGAACGCTCCTTTGACCTCGGCGTGGGCGTGACGGCCTGCGGTGTCGTGGGGACAATCATCTCCTGGACGATCGTCAACCGCCTAGGCCGCAGACTCATCTTCAACTCTGGCATGGCCATCCTCAGCACGATCAACCTCCTCATCGGCATCCTCGACGTCGTCCCCACCAGCGGCGCAAGCTGGACGCAGGCTGCACTCACCGTCGTCTGGGCGTTCTTCTACCAGGTCAGCATCGGTGCCGTCGCATTCGTCCTCCTCGGCGAGACCTCGTCGCCCTCTCTGCGTGCCAAGACGACGGCCATGGCGACAGCGACGCAGTCTGTCTTTGGAATCGTCATGAACATCGTCGTGCCCTACATGGTGAACCCCGACGAGGGCGATATGAAGGGCAAGGTTGGATTTGTGTTTGGTGGGCTTGGTGTGGTCGCGACGTTCCTTTGTTACTTGTATATTCCCGATCTGAAGGACCGGACTTTTGAGGAGATTGATGTCATGTTTGCGAATCGCGTGCCGCCAAGGAAGATGGGTAGTTATGTGATGGAAGATTAGGTCGAGATGCGGCATGGGGACGGATCCGCTGTCGGCTGCCATACAATTATTGTACGGACCTGGATCTGGTGGTCATCACCATTACATTCCTTGCCCATTACCTAAGGCCACAGGATACATCGTTTTTAGTGGATATAGTATAGGAAGCACATAGGATACACAAATCTGAGCTCTACCTTTGTCCAACTCATTTACATTGTATTTTCATGCATATGCAAGTACCTCGTCCTCCAAATGTGTAGGAATGGCCCTGTCACTGTAGCCCGCTATATACCACAGACAGTATAGTGCAAATCTCCGTATCCCCAAACCAGAAGACCTGATGCATCATTCAACACGATGGGTGCAGGTGACACAGCCACGCAGCCAATCACACCAAAACGCGACATTCCGCGGCCTCGAGGTGGACTAGACGAGATCTGCTCTAGCGCCACCCGCACCACCTCGTCCTCGCATCCTCAACTGTCTCTTGATGGCCTACTGAAACCGTTACATGATCTCTTCATCCAGAGTCCCGGGGTTTCGCCGACAACTGTTGGGTTGTTCAATAGAGACCATTGGCTCTGGATGAATCTCACACGCTCCTGTCGGCTAAATGCCGTGCTGGTGGACAAGATGCCCCCAGTATGGTGTGCATCGCGGTTCACCACCGGTGCAATTCTCGGGGAAACACCGCCATGTTTACGCCTCTTTGCCCTCGTGCCTTTTGTCCGCCGAGGGATGGGCATCTTCCTCCTTCTCCGGCTGGATTTTCTGCAATGCCGTCTATATAAAGGCCCCGATGGACCACCCAGCTGCGGAACTGGACGGACAGACAGCTTCTTTTCTCGCAACTCACTCTCTCGATTCATCGTTTTTAGACCTGACCCGACCCGACCTGAAACAGACAATAGAACACGCTGGAAGAAGAAACATCATGGCAGACATGGACATTGACCGCATCATCGCCGAGCTCTCTCTCTCCGAGAAGGTCTCCTTACTCTCAGGTATCCTCTCCATCCGTCCGGGCGCCTTATTAGAATCAACCTAACCAGCTTCTCATTCAGGAACCGACGCCTGGCACACAACCCCCATCCCGCGCCTTCAAATCCCCTCAATCCGCACAACCGACGGCCCCAACGGCGCCCGCGGCACGCGCTACTTCAACGGCGTCCCCTCCGCCTGCCTCCCCTGCGGGACCGCCCTAGGCGCAACCTTCGACAGCGACCTCCTCCGCTCACTCGGCCGCCTCCTCGCCGACGAATGCCGCGCCAAGGGCGCACACGTCCTCCTCGGCCCGACAATCAACATCCAGCGGAGCCCCCTGGGCGGCCGCGGGTTCGAGTCGTTCTCCGAGGACCCCGTCCTCTCTGGCTTGCTAGCAGCGAGTTATTGCACGGGTGTCCAGGATGGAGGTGTGGTTCCCACGCTGAAGCATCTGGTCTGCAATGACCAGGAGCACGAGCGCGTCGCGGTTAGTGCACTGGTTACGGACCGCGCGCTGAGGGAGATCTACCTCCTCCCCTTCCAGTTGGCTATCAAGGGTGCGAGTCCGGGGGCCGTCATGACCTCGTACAACAAGGTGAATGGGATTCATGCGAGCGAGAGCCCGGAGCTGTTGAGTGGGATCGTCCGTGGGGAGTGGGGGTTCGAGGGGGCGATTATCAGCGACTGGTTTGTTTTCCGCCGCCTATGCTTTGCTTCTCCTCAACGATCTGTATGCACGGGAGGCTAATATGTAGTGCGGAGCAGGTTCGGCACCTACAGCGTCGCAGACGCCGTCAACGCAGGCCTCGACCTCGAAATGCCGGGCCCGACGCGCTTCCGCGGGCCCGCGCTCATGCACGCGCTAACATCCAACAAAGTGACAGAGCGGACGCTCGACGCGCGCGTGCGCAAGGTGCTCGAACTCGTGCAGCTCGCATCCAAGGCCAACATCCCCGAATACGCAGCGGAGCGCGAGCTAGACCGCCCCGAGGACCGCGCGCTCCTGCGCCGCGCGGCAGCCGAGTCGATCGTACTTTTGAAGAATGAAGATGCGGTTTTACCGCTGGACCGGGCGAAGAAGACGCTTGTTGTTGGACCGAATGCGGATATCGCGGCTTATTGCGGTGGAGGGTCCGCGGCGCTCGCGGCGTATTACACGGTGTCGCCGAGGGAGGGGATCGCGGGGAAGTGTGCGGACATGGCATTCTCGCAGGGCTGCTATGGACATAAGGAACTCCCCCTGCTCGGTGAGCATTTAAAGACAGAACGTGGAGAGCGCGGATACATGTTCCGCGTGTATACCGAGCCGCCGCCCTCGTGCTGCGGGACCCGGGAACCCGTCGACGAGTTGCACATGACGAACAGCTGCGCGTTCCTGATGGACTATACGCACCCGGAGATCAAAGGGGATACGTACTACGCTACGCTCGAGGGCACGTTTGAGCCGCCTGAGAGCGGCGTGTATGAGTTTGGGCTTACGGTTGCGGGGACTGGGTTGCTGTATATCGACGATGAGCTGGTTATTGATAACAAGACTACTCAGCGCGCTGGCACGTCATTTTTTGGGATTGGGACGGTTGAGGAACGGGGCGAGGTGTATCTCGAGGCTGGGAGGAAACATCGGGTGTATGTCGAGTTCAGCACGGCGCCGACGTCCAACCTGAAACATCACGGTGTCGTCTCATTTGGTCCCGGCGGCGTACGCCTTGGTGGGTGCCGAAAACTAGATGCCGACCTCGCTATCGAGGAAGCGGTGCGCCTAGCAGCAGAGACGGAGCAGGTCGTTATCTGCGTTGGGCTCAGCGGCGACTGGGAAAGCGAGGGGTTTGATCGCCCAAGTATGGACCTTCCGGGCCGTACCGACGAGCTCGTCAAGGCTGTGTTAGCAGTTCAACCTAATGCAGTCATCGTCGTGCAGAGCGGGACACCAGTGACGATGCCCTGGGCGGATGACGCAAAGGCCCTCCTACAGGCGTGGTACGGAGGCAGTGAAGGTGGGAATGGAATTGCAGATGTTTTGTTTGGGGATGTGAATCCGGTACGTTCCGTAGCATTTGAGGTCCCTCATCGCTGTTTACGGGATACTAACAGATCTCTAGTCCGCCAAGCTCCCCCTAACCTTCCCTCGACACATCTCGCACAACCCTGCATATCTAAGCTACCGCTCCGAACGCGGCCGCGTGCTATACAGCGAAGACGTCTACGTGGGATACAGACACTACGACACGGTGGGGCAGAAGCCACTCTTCCGCTTCGGGCATGGGCTGTCCTATACGACGTTCCGCCTCTCTGCTGTGAACCTACAAGAGATTTCCCCAAACGCAGCTAACATCAAAGAGGAGGCTATTCGCGTCTCTGTCTCTGTCTCAAACACTGGTCCGCGCAGCGGTGCAGAGGTCGTGCAGGTTTACGTGTGCCCACCGGAAACGAGCACCGTGGGCCGTCCCGTGCACGAGCTGAAGGGCTTTACTAAAGTCCTGCTGCAGCCTGGGGAGACGAAGCAGGTGGAAGTTGTGGTCCCCAAGGGTCTTGCGACTAGCTTCTGGGATGAGGCGCGGTCTGCATGGTTCAGTGAAGCGGGCACGTACACTGTTGAGGTCGTCGGGACCGGAGAGGGGAATGTTCTGACTGTGCCGTTTGCCGTCCGTGTTTCGAGGTTCTGGAATGGGCTATAGTGATTTCTGTCAGATGTGGATTCGTACCGAGCACATTTGCAGTTGCTGCTTTACATGTAGAAATCGGACTGCTGCCACCTGCAAACCGCCCGACTTTGTGGATTAGAGCGTGGGGATTGTGGTGCTGTCCAACAGGATCACTGCTGAGGTAGAATATATCAAAACTGGTTGGACGAGCATATAATCTAGTGTCGTACCTCGATCGCCTGACGTTCAGTTCCTGCCTCCTGTGCTGCGGCATTCCTGGCAAAATGTCAAGAGCCGTCATCCTAAGGCTTGTCCCCCGCATCCGGTGCGTATAGTCCGATGTCATGTTGTAAATAATAAAAAGAAATCCAGGTTATCTGGCCGCTATATATCGTGATCCTATCAAGGAATAAAAGACTACTCAACCACATTCCTCTGCGGACCGGGGATCGCCGTCGGTGGCCACTCCCCCTCGGCCTTCCAGCGTGTGTTGAAAGCACACTCGCCACTGCCAACGACCTCATCAACGCCATGAGACGAACCCTAGCTCGCCCATTGGCCGGAACACACACCCTCGTCCTCATTTTGTTATCACCATCAACAGCCCACTCAACCTCATACATCCCAATCGGTGAATCAAACCTCGTCTTCGCACTGCGCACCGTCCCGCCAGGCCGCGGTGCTACATTCGCAATGCTCCATCCGGGCTCCGCGGGGTTGTGAGGCTAGGGCAGGCATCCTCACTCTTCCTAATACTATCTCTATTTATCTATATATATTAATATTTATATTTTTTACATGGACCTAGTTAGATCACCATTCAATATTAAACGGTGTACGTTAGCCTATCCTGATAAGTACTTTTGATAGTAAGGAGAAGAATGTAGTTAAGAAAAGCCGATGCTAGTCGATCAATAAAAGGGTCTGCCTTGTGGTTCAGAGCGCGTGGTGGAAAATTCTATTCAGAGAGCCTCGTCAGGCTGGGAACGGACCGAAGCAAAAGACGCAGTCCACTATAGCCAGGTAATCCTGACTCAGTCACCGGCTCCCTTGACGCTGCAGAACATCACACGAATGCCCCTAAAGGGATCATGAACACTCGCCGGACCGGTCTTGGCGCATGCTCTGGCGACACCTAGGAATCACTACAATTTGCTGGTCGTACGTCCCAGCAACACGAACACTCTGGCAGCAACACTGGGGCGGTGGCAGTGATGGGACTTTAGTAGCGTAGGTATCAACGAGATGCTGACGAAGAGGGGACCCTAGGATCAGCTCGAACTGGCGAGGCGTGGACATGTCACCTGTTGATTGGGGTGGTTTCGGGGGCGAGATGAGGCAGCTGCAAGATCTGACCTAAGCTGCATCGCTCCTTCCTGCAGTGTCATCGATACCTATTCAGGGCTCTTGAGGAAGGTGCGATGCCGCAACCCGGAACGGCGGAACCCGCGAGACACGCCTACGTAGGGTAGGTACTACTACCTACTACTAGTACCCAATCAAGTGCTCTGGCTTGTAAAGCGGGGCGGTAGATCGTTCAACTTGAAGGATACAAATGCAATTCTGAGTATCTATCGAAACACCGAATCATCTGTTTGAAGCCGTGGGGCAATGCAGAAGACGGCCATTACAAACTTGAAACCCATGTTTTCCTCAAGGCTAGCTTCCTGTATTCCCTGGTAGCTAAGGTATCCTGCGCTAAACATTCTCCCTCCCGTCCGGTCTCGCAACTCGATAGCCGAAGCAGTTTTTGACATAAGCACTTGTGGCGACCCACACTTCTTCACGTCCTTGAACTGGATGAAGTAGTGCTCATCCTGATCCTCCAGAGAGATGTACCATTTCTCACTTAATTGTTGCCCCTCAGGTCCAGGGCCGCACGCGTCTTCCATCTTCGACGTGGGAGGACTGTTGATAGCCAACATAAATAGGTTTAATGGTTTGGTACAATCGGTGATCTGTTTCCCGCGAAGCCAAAAAACCATCAAGTTCAGACAGGCTAAGCTGATCACAAAGGGAAGAGCAAGATATTGTCAGGCCTCAGCAATGTGAGCAATCTCCTGCTTCTCGGTACCCTCAGTAGCTGATAAATACTATTAGGACCGTCCATCTCAAAATCTCATATATGACGCCAACCGCTTCTTATTGCACCACTATCACACGATTTTATCATGGCCTCTACAGATATATAGCTCGGGAATTGCTTTCAGCCCCGATGCAAGCGTGGCTGGAGCCAGTAACAACGTCCAAAAAGTTCCCAAATGGTTCAAAGAACTGCCGTGTTCCCCTCATTATTGGGATCCCCTCATCCAGACACTGCAAGGCCATTCAGGCTCCATCACTGCAGTGGTATTTTCTCCAAATGGCAAGCAGATGCCTCAAAAGACCGTACATGTCGGTTATGGAATGCAACAACCGGTGATGAACAGAGAAAGCTAAGGGGCCACAAAGCCTCATTGACCGGCTTACTATTCTCTTGTGACTCTGAGAGGGTTATTACAAGCTCCAAAGATCACACAGTTCGGGTTTGGGATGTTTTGACTGGATGTAATCTGAAAACTCTTGATTGTGATTCACAATCGGTGATTGCGCTAGCATTGTCTCCAGACTCCAAGAAAGTCGTGGTAGCATTTGACGACAATACTGTGCATCTATGGAACTTGATAACAGAGAATCGTGAAAAATCTCCGTATAGCCACTCAAGTCCGGTCATTGCTGTGGCATTCTCCGCAGACGATAGTCAGATTGCAATGGTGTCTAATGATTCAAGACTGTGGTGGTGGAATATGAAGACCAAACTGACCTATAATCAAATCAGCGTATTGCCTGAGCCAGATCCAGTCGTCTCGTTCTCAGGAGATGGTTGACTGGTCTCATTAACAGAGCCTAGAGGTCGTATATCCGTCTGGAGCACCGAATCAAGAAAGCTCATAAGGACTCTTGGTTACCAGTCTGGAAGTACAGCCGAAGATCATGGCTCAATTAGCCTCCTGGCATTTTCACGTGAGGCGAAGCTTCTCGCTGCATTATCTAAAAGGGGGGGCATCCGCCTGTGGAATATAAAGCCTTACCAAGAGCATCCGCTCATCAGGGGTTACCCGGGCGTTGTTACGGCTCTTGCGCTTTCCCCAGATGGCAGACACATTGTATATGGCTCCGCGGATCACACTGTCCGGAGATGGAATATCCAGGCAGGCAATGATTATATAAAGCCTAAACATGGCTTCTGGCCAGCGGTCGGTTTGGTGTTTTCCCCAGATGCATCACTGGTTGCATCAGTACACCAAACCTGGAAGATCTATATCTGGGATGCAGCCATACGTCTGCAAAAGAAGTTGCACGGCAAAATGCCAATGATGCTTTCATTTGTGTGGCATTCTCTCTCGACGGCAAGCAAATCGCAGCCGGTTCTGGATATCTGCGGATTTGGCTTCGCACCGAATCCAACGGTTGGGTGGAGGAGCATACGGGTCTGCCTAGGGTAACGCGCAAAGTATCTCCGTCAATTCAAATTTGGGACACGACAACAGGCGCCTGGCAGAAAACCCTAGATTGCCAATACGAGTCCCCCATTGTGCTGGCGTTCTCCCCTAATGGCGAAAAGCTCGCAGCTGGCCTTGCCGAGGGAAACATCCAGGTATGGGATACGACAAATTACAGATCACCTCGAACACTATATGGGCACTCAGGCGCGGTGACTGCCATACTGTTCTCCAGTGACGGTCAGATCATGGCCTCGGCGTCCGTTGATTTGACCGTCCGAACATGGATCGTTGGCTCGCTCTGGCATTCCATACCGTTTGTTGGAAACACCATTGATGGTATCCTTTCATCACATACGTCGAAGTTGACAATTGAACCTTCATGGCTCCATTGGGACTGGAGGTTTTTATCAAACAGCACCGTATTTCAAATGACGGGAGTCAACTCAAGACCTGGCGCATTTCATGACTCTCAATCACGCCTAACTCTAGCAAATCCAGGTCAGCTATTCAAGAGGGATAATTGGATATATTATAAATCTCTCAGGATATTGCGGCTTCCACCTGGCTATCTGGCGACCTCTACTAGTGTGTTAAGAAATCGCATGGTAGCTAGTTTCACAAACGGCCAGCTCTTGACCTTTGAGTTTGATCTCAGTTTACTGCCACCCAGCGACGAAAATATAAACCAATTTCATCGCTGCCGTCTATATGGCTGAGGAGGCGAGAGGTATGTGCAGCCTTTCAGTGCCAAGGATCTGCCATTTCGAATGTAATTTTCTAACGAACATCAGTCAGGAACCATATCAATTTTCATCACGCCTATGACTATAGCAGGAATTAGAGGCATGGCATGTCATAGAATTATCTTGTTACTCTGTTACCCCTCTTGCAATAGGTAAAGAACAGAGCAAGCAATAATACCCTTAGGATCGATTATCGATCCCAGAAACAGAGTTCGATCCCAGGGCCCCGTGAAGTCTTAATCAGCCTTTACGTGTGTTAGTACTATTGGCTTGCAGACGTCTCTCGAGCTCTCGTTGGGCGTATACAACAGACGTCACAGCACGGCTGCAGAATCAGCGGTGTAAGCATAGGCTCTAAGATGTAATGTGCAAGGAATATATTATTAGCTAGCTCTGTCGATCCTTCTTATAGAGAGGGCGAGCATAACCCCCCCTCAGCACTTAGTAACGACATCCACGTACCCGGGATGATCTTATCCCTGCCCTCTTTCACCTGTATCCCACAGAAGGATCAGACAGAAGCCTTCATGGCATTTCATGCAAGTGTTAGATTAGTTTGCATGAACGCTTCCAGAAAGATCCATTGCTCTGACCCTTGCTACATTTGTACTAGTCGACTTCGACTTGCGTGTAAACAAAGGTTGGGAGTTTCCCAATCAACAGGCTAGTTCAACCGCCGGGTGTATGACTGGAAACAGAGGTAGAAATGGTGCGCAGTTCGTTTTTAATGGCTGCGTTGCTGGGAAACAGAAGAAATGAGACCGTGTACTCATTCATAAAAAGCACAAAGTCCACGTAACATTTGCTAAGGGACAGGAAGAGGACGCTGAAAATAGCCCAAATAATAGTTCTTGACAGTCGGGCACAGGAACAATGAGAATTCGTTTGGAGCTCAGATCGAGTTCAAGAATTGCCCTACTATCAAAGTACCTCAAATACACACTGGAACCTCAGGCTGTAACGGAGCATCGACAGGCGTGAGGAGATTTGGTGGAGGTTATGAACTCAATAACCCTCCACTCACAGCAGGCACTGGGCAGGCGACTTCTTACGCACACCGTGGCCCAGCCCAAAGACCAAATCTCCCTCGCCTAGGCCGGCACTGCATCTTCCACACTGCTCAGAGCTGACTCCCCCGCCACCGCGGATCTAGGCTCCCATTGGGAATAGTTTATGTCTAAAGCTATTATAAATTCGAGTAAAAAGCGTAAAGCATAGCCCATAGCACTATAATAGCTTTAATATATACTTGTAGACTGACTGTTCAGTAGTTGTTTCCTGAACGAAGAATGTGCTGTGGTGCATGAGGGCATTCTATATGTATAGGAAAAGGGTCATGATGATTGTCAGTGGTTATTCTTTTTCCACTCAAGTCTTATCTGAGACCTCCCTCTATTCCCCGACTCCCCGTGTATCACAAGGTCTCCTTCCTACCGTGTAAAACTAAAAATAGGAAACGGAGACGAGAACGGCCAGGCCTCAACCCGCTGAAGAGCCCACCGCGTCATAACCAGGCCAGTCTTTCAATTATATAACCTCGCAACATCTTATCCACGAAAAGCATAGCCCCAATAATATGTACAGGATGTACTGTCACAACCTCCCCCTCGAAACCCAACTCAAAATCCTCCCCGCATTATACGCACCAAGCAAGACAAGGGCAACGACCACAACTGTGAGGGGCACAGCAGCCTGCCAGAAGAGGCCCTGGTCCCTCTCCATATCTCTAATATCGACTGTGTTCATGCCGAGGTAGCTCGAGACGAAGGATAGCGGAAGGAATATGGTTGACACGATGGTGAAGATGAGGATGGCCTTGCCGTGGTCTTCTTGGATTATGTCGACGCGTTGGACGATCTATTCAATTGTTATGATTATGATAAGTTATTTAGTTTGTTGGGTTCGGGTATTTGGAGTGTTGGCTGGGTAGGAATAGGGGGAAGAAGTCATACCTGACGCTCTAAAGTATCAGCTCGCTTGCTCAGCTCCGTAAAGACGTCTTTCCGCTCCTGGAGATCTGCGTGTATTTCCTGCAGGACAGCCCGCGCGGACGCGTCGCTCAAAACGCCATCCTCAAATACGGGAGAGTAGAGCAGATCGAAGTTAATATTCTCTGTTTCGTCCATATATAGGTCCTCGTCATCCTCGTCTGGTCGAAAACCTGCAGTGTCGGTGCGAAAATCCGTGATGAGTTTGAGCTGCTGGTCGATGTTTGTCATGATCGTCTCGAGCTCTTCGCGGAGGAGATTAATGTCTAGAAGGAGGTTCTTGCTTGGTCGGTTTCGGGCTTCGAGTTGCTATGCTATTCTTTAGTTGTTTGCTTTGTAAAACAATCCAATAATCTCGGGGCAGGGTAATTGGGGCTAGACGGAGTAGAGTAGGGAACGAACCAGAGAAGTCGTATACGTCGCGTAAATCTCACTAATGTCCAGCGCAGGCATCTCTCTGCATTTCGAATGGCCGCGTAAAACTGACTCGAGAGCAAGTGCGATAATCGTGCCAAGGCCCGGAGCGCTTACTCGTTCGTCGTCGGAGCGAAATGTCGCGCAGCATTCGTCTTGTGCGTCTGCGAGTTGCCGAAAGAACTGATCTATTGCGAAGTCTGTGCGGTAGGGGAGTGTAGTGATATTAATGTCGCCTCTGCCTTTGCGATCTTCGGTATCGGAATCGTTATCCGAATCATCATCGGAGTCACTATCTGAATCGGCATCGGAGTCTGTCTCATCGGGATCGGTTTTGTCTGGCTTGCTTGGAGCGTCGGGTTCTTTTCGGGGACTATTTGGGTCAACTGCAGGATCCTGCGTCGGCTCCTGTGGCGATAGTGAAGAGTTCATGGCTTCAGTTTTCAACTGTTGCTCAATACTGGCGACGAGTCGGGAAGCCTCGGCAGCCAAATCCACCAAAAGCACAACAAGCTGAACAAATGCATCGACTAACGAGCGCGGAATCGAGGGATTGTCCACCCCAGCGAGGCCTTCGCGTATACTCCGAATTTGGCGTAGAGCTGGCTCTAAAGGAATAGCTAGAACGTCTGTTTGGAACGTCACTAGCGTGTCGACGAGTCCATATTGGAAGGTCTGTGCTGTCTGTTAGCAGTTGTAATATAGTCAACTGGAGAGAACGGACTACCTCGACGATTGCGTGGACGGCTGCCCACACCTTTCCCTTGATGATGCACTCGTAGCCTCTGTCGATGAACTCGTCCAGGATTTCGCTGATATAGCGAACGAAATCTAGTACAGGGTCCAAGATGTAAGCGCTCACTTTGTGCTTGGTTCGAAGAGCGTCAATTAGCTTCAGCACACTGGGCTTTGTCTCCAGCCGGAGTTCATTATATAACCTTGTTATACGTTGGCCCGAGAGAAACAGTATATCGCGGTGTGTATGGGCTACCAAGGACTTCATTCTCTGCGTGGGAGTAGGGTCGTCTAACTCCTTGTCACGAAAGGGTTTTCCAACGGTCCATTTGAAGAAGGGCTGCTGCTTTTTCTGTGCTCCTTCGTCTTCCTTCGTCTGAGATTGAGACTGAGCAGATGGCGTCTGCGACTGGCCCTGCTCTTGCTCTCTCTTGTATTGAGCTGCCGCAGCCTTGAGAACAGACTCTGGCGGCCAGTAAAATGGGTCGATATACTGGTACGGGTGGTCGGTAGACTCGCGGCGCATAAAGCCATCGTTGGCCCGCAGAGCGGCCATTCGTCGCTGATGGTGCGCACGCACCTTTTCGTCCAGCTTTTTGAGGATCTCAGATACTTCTGCGGGATACCTCATCTCAGGCACAAACTCATCCGCTTGTGCAGGTTCCGAGTTAGGCTCTCGAGGAGCAGCGAGGATGGGCAGCGGTTTACTATCAGGATGTTGCTGCAAAAGCAATCGCCAGCAGCGGGCATCGACAGGGCTGCCATCTGTTTCAAGCTTGTAGACCCAGTTCCTTGTGTCGATGCAGGCCTCTCGCACAGCACTCATGACGGATTGTACTCTGTATAAGAATTCCTGTACTGGTTAGTGTTGCAACTGCAAGGGAAAATGTCACCTACAAACCACACGCCGCACTTTCCTCGCTCGAGACAAAAGACAAAGCCTGAGGCCGTAGTGACCCGTATCGTCGGAGGAAACGGGTCTCGCCCGACAGTGCGTGTGATTATGGACGATGCCTGACTGTCGTAAAGTGGCGTTGGGGACCGGGTCGCAAGGAACTTATCCCCGATATTGAGAAGCCAAAGCTGAGGAACATGAATGACTTCTTTGACATGGCTGTATAACCGCCGCACCGCCTGCTGGTTCTCTCGGGCCATGGAGGAATCCAGGTGATAGGCAGACTGCACTAGCGGTTGAACCCAGTGTACTTTCGTACGGGATGTCGTGCGTTTCGGCGGACTCTGCGCCTCCTGCAACAGGAAGTATGGGACGGCGATGAAATTCACCATGACGTTCTCCTCGCTCCCCGGAAGTTTGATCTTGGTGGAGGCAGGGACTGGTCTGAATCGGCCACCACGAAACGCCAATTGCTCACAGAGGGCGGCAAATCGGTCAAAGAACTTGGATATGGTCGTTTGTGTCTGCTGGTCGATTCCGTATGCTTCAAAGGCGCGTTTCAAAAATAACCCGAATTCCATCCCGTTGTTCGACAGGTGCATCCATCGCAATTGCTTTGGAGGATCAACTCTCGCTGTCGCATCTAGAGGCTTTATTCCAAGAAGGCGCAGCTCGTCTTCGGAATAGTCCTCGGCCGTGGCTTCGACAGAGAAAAGAGTCTCCTTTGGTGCTCCTGGCGGATCGTCTGCAGGCACGACCAATTGGATTTTTGAGTCATCATTTCGATGCAAAAATCGTGGAATCAAGCTTTCTGTCGGCATCCTGCGTCTACTAGACGCATGCCTCGTCCTCCGGAAATTATGCAGAGAAGGAGAACTGCACGCACTGCACTGTTGTTGAGAAGACAGACGGTGTGCGGCTGAGAAAGCGGGGTCATTCTCTTACTGCCACGCCTTTCCTGTTCCTGCTACCGGCACCTCCCAGATAGACAGGGGTCAACAACTTCTATGTACATTCATTCTCAGATTCTTGCTAACATATCACCTATATACCCAGTCCTTCCCATTTCGAATCCTCTTTGCGGCAAGTGGCCGCTTGAATCTGTCATGGACCTTCAGCTCCGCAACCGCCGCCAGCTTCGGCTCAATGGCACCATGCGTGGCCCTCAATTGTCCTCCGCTGGCCTGCTGCGACTGCCTCGTATGCGCAAATAGCTCCTCTTGAAATTCCAGGCTAATCCACTTCTTGATGAGCACGTAGTTTTCGTCGATCTATGTATTGTCCATCCGTCAGGTCACCGAGTCAATCACAGCACAAGTCCTCAAGTGCCTTCCTGAACTTAGTATAGGTAAACTAACCGGGTCATACTCCCACGGGAGATGATACGCGTCCAATGTCGTTGGCGACATGTGTTTCGTGTGGACTTTGATCCATGTGGGCCTGCGATATTGGTCGACCTTAGCCTTGTCGCCGTCCTCGTCTTCGCTATGTCGGAGGGCTTCTTGTTGCGCGAGAACAGCTTGGATGTCCTCGTCGGTGTATCCGGCTTCCATAAACTCCTTTATGATGATGTCGCGTAGAGGGTCTGTTTGTGTGGTCATGTTTGGATTCGTGGATAAGCTGGGATCGATGGTTTGTGTTTGATGTGGGGATGTGTTGGAGCTGAAGAGTGCGTGTCACAAAGTGATAAAAGGGCTATGATAGGAATGACGATTCATTGATTTCTCTATCGAATGAGTGGTGAAGAAGGAAGAAATAACTAAAGAACCTCTTTCCTATATAGGAAAGGATCGCACGTGAAGGCGCTAAACCCCTTTTGGAAGACAAAGGACTGGTCTTCCAACACAAAGTGAGGGGTCGTGTGTGATCCTATTGCACTGAAATCGATTGGGGGCTGGGATAGGTGGATTGCGGCTGCTTTTCTGGCCCATTTAAGATGCCAAAAAAAAAAAAAAAAAAAAAAAAGAAGAAGGCGTAGTTCAGATATATATCACCCTTACCGTAAATAGGAGACCAGTTTTTGGTATATTATAAAACTCTTGTCGGTAGTAGGCTCTTATATAAATTGCCGTTGAGAGGTGCTTTCTCTGCTATATATATTCTAGTAGTTGAGCTTTCAATCCTGCAAAATCCGTAACTGTATTCCAGAACTCCACGTAAGCCGTCACTACCCTCCCACCATCCCTGATGGACGCTCCATCTTCCCACTGTCGTCAAGGAGCATCGCCGTGTTTCAAATTTGTCAACAGCAAACAGTTTATCATCTAAACAAGAGGCTTAGCTTAGCTTAACAACAAATAATATACTATCTATGGGATTATCTACGCCAATCTACCAACTCTAAAGCGGGTGATTCCACTGCATAGCCTGACTATTAGTTAGTACTTGACCCACTGCTATAATAGCAACCGCAAGGTCAATGCAGCTTTATAACTGATGTTCTTGTTAAGGAGCCACATGTTACACGGAGAATTAAGTTAAGGGTTAATCTTGGAATAGGTCCTTGGCAATGCTACTATGACTAATGGAGCATTTTGTCTGCCTTTTCTAACTTGCGATACTTTAGATACAATTTAAGGGTTGATGTGCGATGTGGACCTAGTTGGCTTGTGTGTCTGAATGAAGGTCTAGTGGAGAAGCCACTGGGGATCGCGGCGCGGTACGGACACACGGAGCTCGTCGAGGTTCTCCTTGACGATCCGCGGACGCAAATCGAGCCGCGGCGAGGCGGGTTCGTGACGCCGTTCGTGTGGGCTGTTGTCAACGGACACGCGGAGATTATCCGGCTGTTGCTTGCGACGGGGAAGCTGAATGTTAATGTGCGTTTTATGGGCACGCAGACGCTGCTGTGTTATACGGCGCGGCGTGGGGACGAGGCGCGGGTGCGCATCTTGGTGGGGGTTCTCGGGGTGGATGCGCTGGGGCGCGTGGCGAAGAGCGGGTATGAAGGGATTGCGGGGGCTTTGATGGGGGTTGAGGGGGTTGATTTGGAGATGAGAGATGTGCGTGGGCTGATGGCGTTGGCGCATACCATCCATTCTAAGGTAAGCGTCTCGTTCGGCTCTCGTTTTTTTTTTTTTTGGCTCTTGGTCGGGCAGTAGATTATTGACGCAGTTAAGCCGAGCTTACAAACCAAGAGACAATTTCATATTTTACTTTTCTCAAACGCTATCCAGAAACCTATCACAAGTCATACCCACACAACCTAACACCCGTGGGAAAGTCCCTAAAAGGCCCGCAACGCCTCCATAACAACAGCTCGCGGGATAACCGCGCCGTACCTATACCCGTCAGCTTCTTGCTCACCAACACCAACTCCAACCAATCACGAAAATAAAACGAACTCACCCATAACACTTGATATGATCCAACAACCTCTCCGCAACAGCCATGATCCTTTCCGGCTGCGCCTCCACAACCGTCGCATTCTGGCGGAGACAAGCCCACACCTCGATTGGGGTCAGCTCGTCGCCCGTGGGGAGCTGCGCCGAGAGCTCGAGGAGTCGGTCGAGGGTCTTTCGGGAGATGCTCAATTGCTGGTCCTCCTCGTGCGAGTGGCCAGCATCGGGGTAGAGTCGGAAGACGGAGGCTGTTAGCGTCAGGGCGTGGCCGTGGCCTGTGTGTGGTTCAGGGGATTTTAGTGCAGAGCGGACGTGGTCGAGGCAGGGCCCTTCGAGGCTGTGGCTTGTTAGTATGCGAGAATTCGAGGATCATAATGGGGCACGAGGAAGGGGAGACCAAAGAATAAAATTCATCGCAACAACGACATCGCCAGGATTCCGAAATGGTGACGGTGTGCGCTCGGGGCCGGATTCCAACAGCGATGGCGATGTTCCAGACGTACTCGAGCCCGGAGCCCCTACGATGAGTCGGCGGTTGTTGAGATGGTCGCGGTCGACGCCAACTGTAGCTGTTGTAGAAGCAGGCGACGAGTGTCGAGAATCGAGCGCGAGGATCTCGGGTGGAACAGGCGGGAGCGTGATGTGGTTCGCATCAATGATATGGCGTAGCCAGTTGATCTCGGCGCTCAGTCGGCGGGTCTCGCCCTGCAGGTCAGTCCGGGTCGTCCGGAGGTTGACGACTTCGGTTTCGAGGGATTTGATGTATCCCTCTTTGCGCTGGCGGTAGTTTCTAGATCATGTTAGCTCAAAACTGGGTTGTACTTAGAGAAAAGTGGGAAAGAAATTACTGCTGCGCTCTCCTCAGCTGCTCCTTCCGCCTGACGTTCTGCGAGACGGATCCCTCGCTATCATCATCTATCGACACACTCTCAGTATCGGACATGGTAGACAATCGGCAGAAGAAAAGAGATCTCACCTTTCAACGACCACCGATTTGTAAACCCTTTAAGTTTGTTCATTTCAGCTTGTCCGAGAGTGTGGTCGCGACAGAGGTGGCTGCAGAGGTAAGACGACCGCCGCTCAGCTGAAAGTCGGAATCCTTTGCAGAATCAGGCGACTTAAGCGATGCATAATCACGGCTTTTCCGCTTCCAGGCATCGCGCGCTTATTTAGCCTTTGTATTGACCTTCATCGGGAAAATAAGTGATAGAGTTATCCTGGGGTATTTTGGGCAGAGATGGAAGATTTGGGCTGGATTGGAATAGGGTAATTTTCGATGAGCGCTTGGCAGTTAATACCTTGTTGGTAGCAGCAGCGATCTAATTCCCTGTCAAGTAAAACAAATCAATTCCTTGTTTATGAGCCGCTTTAGCTATTCTTGCTTGAATACACTACGCAGTTGACTAATTGCTACTGTATTGCTTACGGCGGCACACTGCCGCGCAACGACTGCTCAACGTTGACAAGTGCATCCCAACGCTCATAGCAAGAAAAGTAGCAATATGGCCTTAGAAGTCATTGAGATTTCCAGCTGGCTTGTGGCAAGTTTGAAGTACTGCTGGTATCTTATGGCTTGCAGGTATTTCCAATCACGCCCGTAAATAGTGCTTCTATAACGGAATTTATAGGTATACGCCCCGTTCATGGTATTAGGTTGGACGCATGGGAATGAATAGTATCTTGTCTTTTGCTTCGCATCAACCCACTGTACCATAGCTTGCTGATTCTGCCAGCAACGTCTGACTGACAAAGTAACTCTTTTCCCTGATGCGCACAGGCTTAGGATGAGAGTAGAGTCATGGACAATCTGAGACCTTTCGGGACAGCTCTATGGGGTTAAGTTCTTCCTCGGAGGATATTGAAATCCAGCCTATACGATATGACACAAGCTACGCAATAGATACTAAAGTACTATTTGAGGAGCAGCAATTTGAACCCTGAGCGTTACCTAGAGCGATCCGACTCACCAAGCAGCTCTCCCCTCCTGGAGTGAGAGGGCATTGCTGGTTGGTATAGCGCCGTCGCTTGGCTGTTTTTCTAGATGGAGGGAAGGAACTGTTGAACGATGGAGCAATGTTTCCTGCGGTGACCCGTGTCAACCCCACCTGCGCGAGATCTGCCTTGGCTGACTCCGCAGATGTGCAAATGCTGCAGAAGCTGGTCTCTTGGCAGTATGTAGATATCTCGAGCCAGATTGAATTCTCTTACAGCGAAGAGCGTAAATGCCTTCCGACTACGGTGATAGTGAATGCTTCCCAACAAGGCAAAGGTGAAGCTGATGCGTGTCTATCCCCTATATAATCTGCTGTTTTCCTGCTCTCTTCCTCTTCTCTCCTTTTCCTATCCACACCATTTGGTTGTTTCGATTGCTAGTACCGTACTCGTCTACGCTGCGCTATATCGTACCCCATTGGTGTTTATCTTCTGCTTCTTTCTTCCGTACCCTCTATCTTCTTTTTTGACCAGAATCGCGATGCTTCCACCAGCTCCCCTTTCTTGGGTGCGCCCTCCAGTGGATCCGAATTCGATCCTCGCCCGGGTTCAGGCACGGCTAGTCTCGCGCTTGACCTTGCAGCCTCGTGCCTCGACCCCCGCCAACCTCGATCCTCCTGTCCGCTCTTTCTTGCCATCCCTGCCCCGCCGGGAGCGCGTCCGCTACCTTCACACTCGTTCCACCGCGCCAACTTCTCTTCTTTCCTTCAATCGCACCCCCGCTCCAACTGCTCGGCCCTCCTTCACTCGCAATGCCGTTCCCACTTACCGTCCTTCTTTCCTTCGCGACGCCATCGTCGAACAGCGACGCCTTGCCTCCAACAAGCCTGCTGCTCCAACTGGTGTCGTTCGCAAGAACAAGCCAGGGAAGAGCGTTCGCTTTGCGGAGGAAGTCACCGTCCGCCCCGTCACCCGTTGGATCAACGAACCGGTCAAGCACGTTCATTTTGCCCCCACGGTGGAAGTTATCCCTGTCAGTCGTTGGATCAATGCCCCCACCAAGAGCGTCTCCTTCAGCTCTCTCAAGACCGTGATCCCCGTCACTCGTTGGATTGATCGCCGAGAGCACGTCTCTCGAATCCCCGTTCTCCGCACCAGGTTTCGAGCCACACATGCGTTGTCGAACGCACAAATCGACACAACTCGCAAGGTCTCTGATAGCAGGGCCAAGCCTGTTAAACACGTTCATTTCGGCGAGACCACCACTCACACTGTCACTCGTTGGATCGAACCTGCCGTACACGTTTCATGTCTACCCCTCCGCAGCAGGAACTATCGCCTTACAGGCTGGTCAGTCATTCCCTTCTCCAAGCCCGACAAGTCCGGCGAAGAGGCCCGATACGTTGCCTCTTGGAGCTTCCGCTCCTACGCAACGTTGCCCAAACACGCCTCTAAGCCCGGAAACCATGGCCATGCCCCGGCTCATTCAGTGTCTCGGCTGGTATCTCGGCCAGACATCTTGAATGAGATCCCAACATGGTCTTCCAGCTCTGGCTTCACACGCAGGAGGCAATTCGCCAGCGGGGATACTCCATGCTACAATCATGGACTCCCAACTGCTTATTCTTTCGTTAAAGCCCTCCCATGACCCTCGTTTTCGTTCGACCAGCCGATCCGCCCTTTTCTTTCTTTTCTTTCCTGCCACAACCGGACTGTATCAATACCACCCTTCGCCTATCAACAATTAGGTTGGTGTTCGTCCTGCTGAGTATTGGTGGTGCATTTCTGCCACGAAACAGATGAGCTACTCACACTTTGGCTCTAGAATGCGACTGACCTTTGCAAACCGGAGGAGGGTGAGTCTTCTTTCCGTGTATCCTGTTGGGCATTAAGCATACTGACACTTCATCAGATGGTTGGTGGGAAACATCGCCCCACGACACTGATACAACCGGCCGAACCGACCGACGACACCGCCGCCGAATGCCCGACACCACTCGCATTGGCTGGGGGGCGATGGATGTAAGTTTTGATTCTCTACTGTCGGGTTACGAATAGATCTCGCTGACAATTTGCAGCTGGTTGGTGGGGACGTCGCCCAGTCCCATCGGGGATATGTTGGCTTGGTATACCTATTGAAGGTAAGTGATCTGGCGTATTTTCCTGTTGAAGCTGCGGCTAAACGAGCCTAGCAATGGACTGGGGATGATTAGGAGAGGCATGGGAGATGCGGGTGGAATGGGATTGGGGATACACGTGGCGGTGGATGTGGATAAGGGGAGGATTGTATTTAGTTCTTGGTTAGCCTGTATATAACTTGGCCATTTCATTCCCTGCCTGGGTATCTTCATCACGTTCAGCGCTATATCTAGAGACAGACGTTTACTTTTTATCAGGCCACCGCCGAGCTAATTGGGATTTTTTTTTTCCCGGTCACAATCTCTCAACCCTCCCGGATTGTTTTTCAGGCTGGTCGATTGCAAGTATAGGTAGCAAGTATAGGTAGGATTAGAGAGGAGGTCCAGGAATGTTTGCAAAATCCTACATTCGGCAAATCGACCCATGGGTCAACGGGTAGAGCTTCCACTCACCAACCTTGGCTGTCTGGGGAACGCGCTCGTGCACTGACATCAGTCTTGAATCACGCGTCACACCACCCGTCTGCCCACTGGATGACCCGCACTATATAACCTCTCCTGTCCAGCACATTATGTTTGGCATTCTTTAATAGTTCAACATAGGCCGATTATCGCTATCTTATCATCGGAAACCCTAAACAATCCCTCTTCGCAAAACCCAAATCCCAAACAAAACAGCAAAAATGTCCAACCCGCAATCAACCAAAAAAACAGACCCCTACTCGCCCAGCCTGCAACCCATCGGCGAACCCCCGCGGCACTCGTACCAATACCCGTCTGGCGACGTGACCACTGAAACACAAGACCAACCACACTTCCTGAACCTGACAGAGCCGCACGTCGGACAGAGCAACGAGTTTACACATTACGGGCAGGGCCAGGCAAGGTTCGAGAATATGGGCACCCAGGCGGATTATGCGTGTGGGTTCTCGACTGGGAGCTGGTATAAAGAGGGGGTTGGAATGGAGAGCGGGGCTATTCGGGGGCAGAAGCCTGGGGAGAAGACGGGGGAGGACACTGGGGAAAGGAGCGAGGGAGTGACTGATGACTTTTGAGATTTGGGGCCGGAGAAATTTACTTGAATACCTGCTTTTGGTCTGGTTTTTGGAGCATAACGTGGATATGCACGAGTTATTTTTGCATGTTTTTTACCGTGTTGCGTGAGAGACGAGAGCGTATAGCTAATCCTTGATCCTCGCTGAGAAGGTCGCAGCGAAGGTTCTTGTCAGAGGCTGTGGAATCCCTTTGAGAATCGTTATCAGGTCTTCTTTACTGTACGGATATGTCATCTTACTCTTCATTTACTTTCTCTACTCGATGATTATCACCTGTCGATGGTACTGGGATTAATGCAGCGAGTTCTGAGCCTTGACCGAAGAATCACTTTGGCCACAGCTCAGCTTGTTTCGATTCCTGATGTTAAAGTTTTCTAACTGATGTTTCCATCCTATGCCCTCACAATATCCCAACTTCTGGTTGGAGGGATGCCAGACTACACGCAGAGCTTGGACGTCAGAATAAGCTCGCTGATCTTAACGTTGATAAACATGCCAACCAACCTTATCCAAGTTTATGCCTCAGCCCCGCAGTCGAGGCGCAGGCATCACATCACGGCCTGTGCCACCTCATTTGAAGGTTCAATACCCCTCCTCCTGTCACTTTCTGCCTGAATACCCTCGTTCAGTAGTGTGATAGGGGATACAATAAGACTAGACTCCTTGGCAATGAACAAAATTATCCTTAGAATAATAATTAAAGGTTCTTATGCGGGTTGTTGGAGTCTCGATCCTTCTCTCCTTTCCTACCAGTAGGCAGTGGATGCTCGTTGTTTTTGCCTGACTACAAGCAGGCCGTGCATGTCGGAACCGACTCCACTGATCAAAGCTGCTGACGCCTAACGCTCTCAAGACGTTCCAACGCAGATATCCCTTGTTTTGTTGCTCCTCGCCCAAGACCTACTCGCCAAGCCGGCCATGGATTTCCAGTCGCTTTGTTCAGAGATCTTCTTCAATATTGCAAATATCCTAGTCTCGGAGCACATGCCTAGTCTGCATGCCTTCACCCTTGCAAGCCGATTTTGCTGCGAGATTGCCAACCCGCATCTCTTCCGCGGCATACACTTCCACGTTCATTTCGTCGACAAGTCGGTTCAAGACATTGCACATTGGGAGCATGTTCTCACCCGGCATAATGCGTTTCGCGCGGTTCGGCGCGTAGGCTCTGATACAGACCCTGGTTTCGACGGCGATGGCCTTGTGGGACAAGACCTCGGCTCAGACACTTACCCCTGTCTGAGCGGATCCTGCTTTCACAGAGAGGACGAATGGACAGACATGCAGGGGATATGGGGTTTCGTTTACGATAGACCTGCTGACTACGACGCAAAGGACAGAGCGTGGGAGCCAATGGCGCGGTTTCTTAGACAGCCTACGGAAGTATATGGGTGAAGGATTCGCGCGAGTCGATGTACCGATGGCCTGTGCTAGATCGGAGCTCTGAGGACATGGGTACTGTCCCCGCCGAGTCTGCTTGATACTATTCCGAGTCGATGACGGCGCACATTCTTACATATGGGATGCAGGTAGCCAAGACCCAAAACGTATCCATAATTGTTCCTTACTTCCAAGACACCTTGAGAAACTTTTAGCCGGCCAACCTCCCATATCACTTGAGCCCCCATCCTCAAGCCATTCACTCCGGGCTTGTCGTATGCAAGAGCTCCTGTTCAACCTCCTCCTGAGTCCTGGAATCTCGGTTAAATCCAACATCGCCGACATCATAGGGGTCAACGGCCGTGTCTCCCTGCATGTCCTGATGCAGTTTACGCGGTCTATCCCGCGGGTTCATCGTCTGCTTCGTGTCAGTTTGCTTATTCAGGCACAGTTCGCGAAAAGCTTGCGCCACCCTCTGTGATACTCGCAAGCGAACTCACCTGCGAAGTCTCATTCCCCAACCCACTAAGCGACTGGAACTGATCACGGGTAAGATGTTGCTGCGGCGGACCAGACGACACATTAAACGGCTCCTCAACCTGATCCCACGACCCCCGCTCCTGCTGCCCCTCATTCTGACCCTGACTCAGACCCTGGTCGCCGAAATCCTGGCCCAGGTCTTCTCCATACTGATCCGCCGCAAGCCCTCGATCCGCGCGGTTCGAGCGATTGAAACCCCACATTTGGTCTAGTAACCCCTGCTTGTCTTGGTTTTGGCGGCGGGACATTTTCGGAATGGATTTGTTTGTGTTTCGAATTGGAAGACTTGACGATGAGGGCACTGGGTATCTAGCTGGAAGTCAGTCTTCGTTGGGGTGGTTCTGATTATTCTTATAGCTTTCTGTTTCTTCCTTTGCCATCACTCTACTTGTCACATGTTACGTATTGTGGCGGTGATCCAAGGCTGATGTCAGGGCGCGTGGTTGGTCGGGAGTAAGTGGGTGGGAAGCTTCGACCCGGGGCTGCTCGATCCTTGGGTCGGATCTTGGTACAGCATATAGCCCGCTTGCTTAACGCGACCGACAAATTCATAGAGCTATAGATGAAGACTCTTTGAGATCCCACCTTGTTTAGTAATTCCGATCTACTTCCAACAGCATTATTTGCGGCGCTTTTTTTCCCCGCCAGTCACAAGTCCACGCACCCCCAGAGCAAATGGACGGAGAAGTAGCCGGAGAGAAAACCTCCCATGCCAGCAGATCTCTTCCTCGTGGTATAAATTTCGTAACCTCAGTAACCTTAGCTGAACCTCAAATTCCGCCACGTTTCTCAGGGTTAAATAAAGAAAACATGTATTGAGACTGTGTACTTTGACTCACACGGGACATTCGCAGCCCCAAGTCTGACAAGAGCCGAACATGGCCACTACTACACCCAGAAGCTGACAGGCCCCTGCTCCAGTCGATCAAATATTGCGGCTTACAATGATAGCATATGCTCCAATAACCAGAGCCCAACAGTCTTAAAAGAACAGTCAAAAATATCCATCTAAAAGATAACCCTCTCAAACGCCTCCCCCAACCCCTTCCCCTTCAGCCACGCCTCAAGCGCCTGCATATCGCCCCGATTCGCCCTCTGCCCACCGCGTTCCCCCAGCGAGTCCGTAATCTCCTCCATCCCGCCAAACACCCTGCTCACCCTTTCCGTCTCACGATACCGCTCGCTAACCTTCTTCTGGTGGCTCGGTATATCGCCCCACGAGTGCGTCTTGATAAAACTCATGTACGCGTCGATATTCCGCGACGTCCCCTCGAGACAGAGCACGCCCGGTTTCCCGGCGAGGACGAAGCCGGTTAGGGAGTAGTCCGGTGCGTGCGTTACCATGTCTGTGCGTTTTTCGCGGGTGGACAGGGAGGGGAAGTAGAACCACACGCGGACTAGGGGGTCGGTGCTGGTGGATCTGGGGTTGGAGGAGGATGTGTGTTGTTGTTGTGCTTCCTGCTGCTGTTTCTGGTCTTGGAGGAATCGCGCCCCCGCTTCGCGGATGTACTCGAGTGCTTCGAATACGTCGTCTGTTGGCATCGAGGCCGATAGCTTCGAGACTTCGGCTTTGGACATCCAGGATGGTTGGCGGAGGGTGTAGCTGAGTGGTGGTGGACTGTCTATTGTCTGTGTGTCTGTGTCTGGCTCTGTCTCTGGCTCTGAAGCCGGGCAGTAGAGCGGGATGTAAACGTTGACTTGGATCGTCTTCTCGCCCTCCACGATCGGAACGTGTACAGCGAGATCTATACTCGATGGAATCCCAGATGGGACAGCGCTTTCAAACCCTGTATCTGGACTTTCGCACCACTCGCGGAGTTTCTCGATGCATTCTTGACTGGAAGTGGAGATGTCGAGTTCGCCTGGCGCGGGGAACATTGCTGTCAACAGGTCGATTGTGGACAGTTGGGACACCATGAGGTCTGGAGGTAGTAGTTGTTTTTGTGACATTTTTTTGGCGGTGCTTATGTACAGCGTAATTTTTTATATGGCTTGAGGAGTTGAGATGAATGTCAATCTCGATTCTTGGTGATTGTTGGTTGTGGGGAAAAACTCCGCTATCGGAGCCTCGGAAAAGCAAATCATCCTGTCGCTTGGATGGGAAGGGCTCTACACTTTTCCAAGATACATTAATGTGACCCTTTTATAGGATAAAGGGCCTGAGGGCAAAGAGAAAACTACGAAATAAGGGAAATGGGGCACTGGTACTAATCTGAGGCCTCGTGGTTGGTCCGATCTTCCCAGCCCTAACTCGCAATATATATTGACACCCACCTAACCAACTCGGTCGCGAGCCTCAGAAACGCATGCAAACAAAACATTAAACATGCTCCATCTCCTGTCCCATCTTCAACATCTCGTCAATATTCACAAACTTCAGACCTGAAAAATACTTCTCCCGCTGCCTCAGTGTCTTCGCCCGCGGGCAAGCCGTCGCCCCGCTAACCTCCCACTGCTCGATCTGAGCGAGTTCCAGCGGGTCGGTCGAGGGGTCTTTCTCGCCCGCGGCCACGGCGGCGTTGATTTCTTCGATGGACCGGTGGGTTCGCGTAAAGGTGCGACCTGGTAGTTTTTAGTGGGTGTTTGATGTATGAAGGGAAAGGCGCGGGGGAGGGAAAGGGGAAGGGGATGTACCGTAAAACTTTTCTAGTTTCTCGGCGGCTTCGTTCATTGTGTACCATTCGCTGGATACGTACGTTACGGGTTTCTAGACAGAGTCAACGATGGTCCTGAGCAGGCGACAAGAAGAAAACACAGTAGAGAAGAAAAGCACGGAACCCACCCACTCCTCAACCCCCAAGAGCACCGCAACAGCCCTGCCCACATCCCTCCCAAACGTACAACTCTGCACCACATCCCCCCCGCCCCGAACGGTAAATGTCCACTTCTCCAAATCAAACGGAAACTCTCCCGGAAGCAGCTTCATGTACGATTTCCCCGCGGGGATGAAATACTCCATGAACCAGCCGAGGTTGAAAAGCGTCCACTGGAGGTCCCTTTTTGGGATGGATCGCAGGTACTCGCGGAGCGGGCCACGGGTTTCGGCGTAGAAGCGCGGGATCGTCGGGAAGGACTCGATGTCGCCGGCCCATTCGGAGGGGATGAAGCGTTTGCAGGTTTCTGAGGCGAGGCAGGCGTTGACGAGGGCTTTGTGCGGTTCGAGGAAGTCTGGGTGGTCGCAGCGGATTGTGGAGACTAGGGCTGTTGCGTGGGTGGTGTTTAGGATTTTGAGGATGGAGGGGAGGGTGTAGTCTGTTGTGTGCACTCTAGTGTGGGGGAGGGTTGGAGGTGGTGGGGAGGTCTGTGTTGGATCGTTCGTTAGTAGGAAGTTGAGCTTATAGTTGGGACAAACAACAGACATTGCGGGTCAGTAGTGCAACGCTGTAGCAAGGGTCTTTGACGAGTTCCTCGTGGATGTAGCGACCTAGATCGCCGGTTCCGCCAGCCAAGGCGATGACTTGTCGTTGGGCCATCGTAGAAGCTAGATAGTAGTGCAAAGGGGAGCAGTGTGTGGGAGTGGATGACAAGAGCCTGACCAACGGCGGCATATATGTCCGATTCATTGAATTGAGAACAAGGCGAAGTTGCCGACAACCACCATATTGGACACCTAGAAGAGACCCCGGCGCTCGGAACATGGCATCCATAGTGGGAACTCATCATCTGTGCTCTGGGCCCGGAGGTAGGTCTGGCAGGTGTCTCAGCGCAATCCAATCTGGGGTTTCCTACCACAATAGGGCGAGAGCACTACACAATTTCGGTTGAGATGATTGGCCGCTTCATGTTTGTCTTGACGACAACACTGAACCAAAGCCCATCTTGTACCTGGGAGACTGTGCATGAAAAGGTTCATGTGCCATATTATTGAGAATACAGCCGTATCTGTAGGCAGTAAGCTAGACAGAACGTAAATCCATTGAGAAGTGACAACAGGAATATGACGTACAAGTATTCCCGCAGTCATTCTGCAGGCTTCCGACAACCCCGGTTGGAGCCACGTAACGGAGGATATCTCAATGGTTGTACCACACAAGGTCAGTTCTGTACTACACTTCAGCTCCCCAGGAACCACACTTGCTTTTTCCTGCAGTCACGAATAGCGGGGATAAAGTTACTTAGGTTTAACCATGAGCTAGAATTGCCCGGTTTGAGTGAGCACGACCAGCAACACAACTTGCTAGTTGAATCTTTTGTACTGTTTCCCACGTTTAGAAGTACCAAGAGTAGTCCCTCGAGAGTTAATAGGCTTGACCTGGTTATAAACTGTATAGAAATCCGGGATCATTGAGCTTCTTGTAGCGTCTACTCTACAACCTACGCTAAAATGAATCAGAGCCACAATGAGAGAGTCTGGAACAATGTACTCCCACTGCAAGCAGGCCAGGGCCAACTTGGCCTACCGCTATCTCGCGAGATGGACATTCCCGGGTCCCCGGGTATCGCACACTCACTACCGTACCCAAGTTGTGAACCCGGCGGGCAGGAAATGCTCGAACTGGCTCGGGCGTTGCTTACCGTAACTGGGACACTTAGAATGCTGGCCTGGCCATATTTGCCAGCTTTGAGAAATGTCAAGCATAGATCTAGAATTTGAGTTTTGACTAACGCTGCGTGGACCTCTCTCGACCGTAGCCCGGAGTATACGTGTGTTATCTCCGAAGATCGGGTTCTACGTCGAGGCACGGCATCTCCCATATGAATGGTATGGTATATGCATTATTCGCACTGTACCAGTCATTGGCAACCAGTTGTTCACACGAGTGTTGTTGTCGAACGCTGGAGCCTATGGTCATCAGGAACAGCCGGGCATTAGCGGAGGCAGGTCAGGCAATTTGAGACTGGATATTAGGGATGACAATCCAGCTTTTCAAAGACCGGTATGAGAACTGGGATCTGCTCCAATCTACCCCATGCCGAGACATGGCAAACAAGGATCTTTCGGTTGAAGAGGGACAAATCTTAATGCGTGTTCATTTAGCTCAATCGGCTGTTGGTCCCAAGATGGGAGACGCCTAGGAAAGATCAATCGGGCTCATTGACTTTGCCTGCGAAGAACGAAGAACAGTCATGAATACGTGCGCTTTTTGCTCGAAACAAAGCAATGGAGCTGTGGCCGAGAGGTCTCTATAATATGATGATATCGGTCGCACCCCTGTGCTCGTCAAGGTACGATCTCGATCGGAGGCCATAGCACTCTGGTGTAGCTCGACTATTGGCTGGTCCCTCCGTGCTACGCTGCTGAGCTGCGCTTTCGAGGTCATGTGGGGGAGTGCGTAATCTGAACACACCAACATGTTGCCCCAGATAGGAAGGACTAGGTGTAACTTGTACAGGGGGACCATGGTTTTGTCATGGCTTATATATCTGTCCGTCTCGTCTGGCCAAGTTCTAGTGCACACCAGCTGGCTTGACTCTCTTACGTTGCAGCAACTGTTACCCGTTACCCTGCTCGCCGTGAGAGCTACTGTACCTTGGGCACAATGGGTCATTCACAAATCAATCTTCTCGAGTATCTTCGTACGAAGACACAGGTTGACCTGGATACCTTTGACATCACCCGTACGAGCATTACTCACCCATCTATTCGCAGCTAGTATTTCGCCTGACCATTAGTACAGTATCCAAGGAATTCGGCAAATGTGTCGACTGCACATCTAACCAGGTATAATCCCACCCCATTTTATGTACCTAGCTATATTAACAAGTCCCCAGTATGAATACTACACCGAGCTCGCAAAACCCACCCGGAAGGACATAGTCCTCAAGGCCATAGAGACTGCGAAAAAGCTGCGGGACCAATTCCCCGAAGTCACCTTTGAGGAGTTGGCCGTAGAGATAGGGGTATGATGAGTCTCATCTTCTATTACCCACGGAGCCCTAATGCAGGTCGGAGCTTAGGCAGTCTACCTTGCTCTAGCAATGCTTCCCGATATCTCCGGAAACCTCCATATAATGGCGAATCCGAACTTCTCCTACTCGACGAAAAAGATCGTCGATACGGGGAAAAGTACTCACATGTCCCTCATGATATTGTCTATGATTCCTCAGGTTGACTACTAGCAAATAGGGCTTCATAGACTGTCGAAAATCGCGGACCCATCCTTTGACGGTTCCCGCCTGGTGATGAAGGTGGCAGCGACATGGGAGGGACTCCAAGGATGCCGCGAGCTCCGCAACCTGGGCATCAAGACACTAGGAACCACCCTCTTTTCGATGGAGCAGGTCGTTTTGGCTGGCGAGGCCGGCTGCGTATCCATATCCCCGTTTGTGCGCGAGCTTAAGGAGCTGGTTGATCCGAGGTGAGAATCATCAATACTTACACACCCCCGCCTTCTGACTGCGTATTGATGCGATATCCGCTAACGCCGACGGTCTTTACAGCTTCGTGGACCCCAACCCACAACTCGACCTGAGCGCCCAAGCACAGAGATGGTACGAGGCAGAAGGGGTTCCGACAAAGGTCAAGGCGTGTGCTACACGGGGCCTCGACGAGCTTTTGATCTTGGCGGGGGTTGATGCGCAGACTCTGATTCCGGATGACCTGCGAGGTCTTCAGTCGACGACTCGGTCAATGGCTGAGGTGGCTGCCATGTCGCTTTTCAAGGCCACGGCTGATACCAGGATGGCGAAGATGTCGTATCCTTCGTATATTGATAATGAGGAGAAGTATAGAATGGACTTTGGGTATGCGGATGAGGGGAATGCGCAGAGGAAGCTCGCACAGGTAAGAAAACTACTTTCCCGAAGAGAGGATGATTCTCGGGAATCCAGGTCTCGCAGCTGACAGGCGCATGAGCACAGGCCATCAACATTTTCAGCGACTTTCAGGCCAAAGCGGAGGAGGTGGTCCGGAATGCAAGGGCGGAGCAGGAGCGCGCGCAGGGCTAAAGGTTTTCTGCATGCTCCATCTTTGGCCATTTCTCCTTTTGTTCGTCGGTGTTCTTTCGCCCAGAGCCTGTCAAATCACATCGTTTCCATCCCTGCGCCGGCTAGGAACCTAACTGGTGGACCAAGGGTCGTAGTGGTTATACAAGGCTTGCTTATTTGCATTGCTGGTGCCGTAGGATTCGCTTCACAGTTCCCGGTCTGGACAAGAGCGTTGCACAGCGTACCTAGTAGATCTCAGCTGCCCAGTGACCGGGAATTGCCTGCGCCAGCCGGACTCGAAGTTACTCCCATGGCGCTCATCGTGGCTATATACATGGGGGGTGGGGGTCAGCCTGGGATCAGTCAGATGTAGTATCACACACACTACGCTCATTCCTTCCTTCCACACAGACCAGAGTGCGTCACGATGAAGCCGCAATACATCCTAACCGCCCTAGGGTCCAGTCCCCAACTCGGACATCCTGACCGACCGGCTCGATCGCTCTTCACATTGTATGACTGTGCCCTGTATCCTTTTGCCTCTGACCGTCACGTTGGGAACTAATAATGCGTACGATAGCGGCGACTCGTACACGACAACGGGATTTAATGTCACTTCAACCCAGCCATCACTAGATAATCCCATGGGCAATCCCCCTCTCGGTATGTCGCCCCGTACAATTTGAACTCGACCTCGTCTTCCGGTCCAACGCACGGATCCTAACACCGCACCGCAAATACAGGACAGGGCACCGCGTCAGACTCGATCAACTGGGTCGGATACGCAGCCACGGCATTTAACCACACTCCCCTGCTGAGCTACAATTTCGCCGTCTGGGATGCCACCGTCAACAACTCCCTCGCCCCAGGTGCCCACGAGGATCTTGTCGCCCAGGTTTCTGCCGGTTTCGAACCACTCTACTGCCTCTCGAGTTCGGTCCATCCGGCGTCTGATCCGGTCTGGGAATCGGATTTGGCGGTGTTTGTGCTGTGGTTTGGGATTAATGAGTAAGATCCATTGTCTTTTCCCTTGAATGTCCCACACATCTATACTCTCCTGGTCTGTCTCTTGGCTTTTAATATCCCAACTAACGAAACCAACTCACTCAAAGCGTGCTCCAGCTCTACCAAGACCCGGACTTCCTGCACAAAATCAGGCTCGTCATCGACAGCTACTTGGACCAACTCACCAAGCTCGAGGCCTGCGGCGCCCGGTTCATCTTCCTCATCAACGCCCCACCGACGCATCGCACCCCAAAGTTCCTCGCGGGCGAGAAGAGGAAAAGAGAGGAATATAGACAGGGTCTCACCGAATTTAACCTCCAATTGGAGACCGCGGCCTCGCGGTGGGCGAGTGAGCATGTTGAGGTATGTTGAGTCGAGTGCCCAGGAGATGCTGGGTTGGTTGGGTTGCATTGATGAAGCACACAGAAACAGTCTTCAAAACATGCTGACATGGGTTGAATCATGATAGTCTACCCTTGCCCTCTACGATTCGTGGACGTTTATGACAGGGGTCCTGGACCACCCCGCAGAGTACGAGTTTCCGGATATTACCTGTATCGGGGAAGGCTGTATCTGGTGGGATGATTTCCATCCACGCTCTGCGTTCCATAGGATCTTGGCTCAGGATATCGCGGACCGTGTTCATATTGCTTTTGCCGGGGGAGTTTAGTTGTGTTTTGGCCGGGGTATAGGGCGGCTGCTGAAAAGGCCGCCGGCGGGTGGTTTCTCGGACGTGTAGTGTTGCTCTCACTTTCTACGTCTATGGTATAACTGCCCGCAATCCAATGACGAATGATGGAATTGGTGCATCCCGCCGTGATTAGGTGTCCACGACACCGTCAAGGATTCGTCAAGGCAGCATACCTAGGCAGATCGGGGATCGGCCCGCTCCAGGCCTTGGAAATGGTGCGTAGATGCTCCACTTGCCGTCTCCAACATGAACTGGAGTGACCGTTCAAACACGGTGCCATGCCGCGCGGGACTCCTTGGTAAGATCATGAAACCAAATTTCCAAATCAAGGCAACAACTGTATCGTCCAACAGAGGCAAAGGTTGAGTGAGCAGGATTTTCTTATTTACAGACATTAGACTCGTGTAGGTGTTTGTTTGGACAGAAGGGTTGCCTGGTCACTTTGAGTCCCAGTACACGCTGCTGTCACGTTGAATCATTTTTCCAAAAGGTGGTACAGCAACAAATCGAGCGATGGATTGTGTGATGGCTGCCAGTAGGCATAGTCCAGATCAAAAACAAAACAAGGGAAGATATAGACCTGGGCCAAACTTTTCTGCTCAAGGCTATCAAATTGCATGGTGGCCAAGGTGATGATGATACCTAGACTTTAATTCATCCTTCTAAGGCGTCTAGCCTCCAAGACCAAGCATGCGGCAGCTATGAAGCAATCGCCTTACTGTCCCCCTTATACTTGGCCTTCAAATGACAGATAGCAAGCTGCGCCAACCCCCTGATAGTCCCCGCCTTGTTAATCTCCCCCATGGTAATATCCACCCCCAGACAGCGCCGGATCGCATTTCTAATCTCAATGGCCATCAGCGAATCAATCTTCATGTTGGCAACCTGCTCCTCGTTCATGTCCGCCGCCGACGGCATGTACTCGGTCATCATCCCGCCCAGTTCGAGCGTCAGCTCGCGGCCCAGCTCGGGCTCGTCAAGGAGACTGGGCTCGGCCTCGATTCGGCCCATGAGCACTTTTACCCGGTCCCTGTATATAAAGGCCTTTGTTTCCCCGAGCCCCTGCGTTTCCATCCCGTAGTATATCCCGAACCGCGCATCCCCTTGCCAGATCGGGACAACGCCCGGGTCCGTCGTTGGTTTGCTCGTGCCTAGTCCGATGATGGACGAGTACGCCTCCTGGTGGGTACTGTTACTACTCTGACGAACAGGAGATTGGACGATTGCCAAGGCCAGCGCGTCCATGACCTCCTTCTCGTCGACCAGCCGGATAGCTAGCTCGCGAGCACGTTGCAGGATCCTGGGATTCTCGCTGACCATGCCGATATCCTCTACGGGGCCCAGATGGACGACGGAACAGGGAACCCCCTGCTGCCGGCGGTATCCGGCGAAGGCGTCCAGAAACGAGTTTGCGGCGGCGTAGTTGGCTTGCCCAAAGTTTCCCGTGACAGAAGTAGCTGAGCCGAAGAGGACGAAGAAGTCGAGATCGCGGCCTTGCAACGCCTGGTGTAAGTTCCAGGTCCCCTGGACCTTGGGCGCGAGTGCTGCGGTCCAGTCGGAGAAAAGCATGTCGCGGAACGTTTTGTCCTTGATGACCATTGTTAGCATTGCCCTACATAGGGTCTTGATAGCATGCACTCACCCGCAGCACCATGGACAGCTGGAGGACGCCAGCCAGGTGCCGCCCCGCGCACTGCGACAAGGCTCGCTGGACGTCGATCATGTCCGCAACATCCCCGGCTACAGCAGATGCAGTGCATCCAAGATCCTGCAGCTCACCCAGGAATTTTTGATTCTCCACTGAGTCTCCAGCCGACCGCGAAAGAAATATGAAATGCCGCGCCCCTCGCTCCCACATCCAAGTGGCAATTGCACGTCCCAGGCCTCCCAGACCCCCGACCAAGAGGTAGACTGCGTCGTTCTGCAAGTCCACCTGGATGTGTTTTGCCTTGCAGTGCCATTCGGCCGCGGGGTCGGGCATTTTCAAAAGGATCTTGCCAATGTGGGTGCCGGTTTGTATGTAGCGGAATGCTTCCACGACATCGCGGGCGTCAAAGACTCGCCTTGGCTCGAGGGGTGCGATTTTTCCTTCTCTGGTCCACTTTTCAAATTCCCGAAGCAGCCTGTGTAGAGTAAGCTAGATTAGTCGATCATCCGCTTGGAAGGGGCGACTTACTCCTGCCAGTTTGCGTCCGCAAGGTGCTCAAGGTCCACACCGTGGAAAGCGCGATTCTGCAGGAACGGGGACATGTCCAGAGATCCGTGAGTGAAGAAATCGCGCTTTCCGATCTCAAAGAATTGTCTGCACAACACGTTTCTGTTAATGGGGCCATCCGTTTTCAATTTGGGGCAGGAATGCAGCCTGGACCTGGACCTGGACCTGGACAGACCTACCCATATGGCGCCACACACTCCCAGGACGCATGCAGGAGATTCCCGGCAAGGGAATTCAACACCACGTCCACGCCCCGGTTCTTGGTTTGGCGCATGATATCGGGGAGAAAGCTCGCGTCGCGCGAGTTGAAGATGCAGTCCCGCGGGATCCCCATCCGGTCAACGAGATACTGAGCCTTTTCCTCGTTGCCGACCGTTGCGAAAATCTACAGCGCTTGCGTGTCAGCCAAAAGAAGATCCAACTGTGGAGGATTGCCTGGTACCTTTGCTCCCAACTGCTGGCAGACGCGGATCGAGGCGAGCCCAACGCCGCCGCAACCCGAGTGGATGAGGACCGTCTGTTTGAATGCGTCAACAAGATAGCAGTCCGTGGATCTACGGCGACGTACCTGGCCCTTGCAAAGTCTTGCCAGGTGCACAAAGACCCACAGCGCTGTTGCGAACACGGTGGGCATTGTCGCCGCCCCTTCCAGGTCAAGATGGGAATCCTCCTGATCCAGCCGCCCGCAGCGTTTCTGGTCAACCACCACCCGATTCCGCATCACCCCGCCTGTCACAACGACTACCTCATTGCCAGGCTCGAGGTTCGTGACATGCTCTCCAACGCGCCGGACTCTCCCGGTCCCCTCGAGCCCGAACTCGGTTGCGTCTCCAACCAGGCCCATGGCAACCATAAGGTCCTATACCTGTCAGCGCGAACATGTCTTGCACAGCAAGAGCGTCAGGGGAATCATGTAGCTCACGCGAAAGTTCAAGCCAATATAGTGCATCTCGATCTCCACATCATCCCTTCCCACGGGCTGCTCCTGCGCCTGGACCCATTGAAGCGTATCCAACACGCCAGGGACTTGCACATCCAGCTTATAGACCGCATCTGCGCGTTCCTCATCGGGCACCAAGTCCATGATCGGAACCCAGTGGCACCGACTGACGTGAACGGTTCCCTGCACGACAGCGAACTCGTATTCCCGGTCCAGATCTGGCCGCTGGAGGTCGCGGGCCAGCACCTTGTCAACGATTCGGAGTAGAGCGTCCGCAGCGGCGCCGTGGAATCGGTCGATCTGAATGTTTATAAAGCGGCGGTCCATTTCCAATCGTAGGGCGGCCGCGAACCCAAAGGCCAGGGCGTACCGAGGGTCTATCTCGCAAGTCTGCGCGCCGCCTTGTCTGAGCAGCGTGTTGCGTGTAACCCAGAACAGCTGTTGCGTGTCGATTCGGACTATGAAGTCTTGCAGTGTCTGATATCGTCTCTCATCCAGTTCATAGAGGAAACGACCGTCGAGCTCGACTAGGGCAATGATACACTGGTCTTTTGCGGGGGTATCATCCCACTGAACAAACTGGACGAGGTAGCCCCCGGAGCGCAGACGCTCAGCGAGGTCCAGCGCCCACGCGTCCGGCTCGCCATTTGTCAAGAGGGCTATATCTCTGCTGCGTGATGTATGAGACCCGGGACTGCATAGCGACACGGCACTTTGATCGACATCGGCGCCGACGCATTCGTCCACCGGGGTTGGGTCCAGTGCTATGCGTGTCAGCATCGTGAACGAGCTGCGCAACGACTCGTCGCTGTCGAATGCTATGGACTCGTTGCCGGTAAATCCTGCACCCCTGAGCTCCCTGTCCCACCGCTCTGGCCCAACGTAGGGGTGGTCAGGTCGATCATCGTCTTCTCCTATCCACCAGCCGGCGATAGTCCCCTAATTATTGTCCACCACGGTCAGCAACAGGAAAACAATGATGTTGCCCAACTCACCATGATGTAATCCGTCATAAGCAGTCCTGGTGATTTCCGTATCTTAGTTACCCTATCCCGCTACTGTGTGGTCACGGAAGGCCAGTCCGACTTACCTGGCGTAGTGAGCTCCTGCAGAAGAAGCCAGCCTCCTGGTGCCAGCAGCTTCCGGACATGTCGCAGGGTATCACCGAGCTTGGGCGTGGCATGAAGCACATTACCGGCAATCACGAGATCATACGCATGCGGCCTGAAGCCCTGTTCCTCTGGGTCTTTTGTGATGTCAAGGACGCTAAAGTCAATTCCAGGATGCTGAAACTCCTCGCGGGCGGCGGTGATGAGCCCCGGGGAGATGTCGGTAAAGGCATATTGAGAGTATAAGCGTGCCCCCTCGGGCGTCCGCAACGACTCCAGAACCGCCGCAGTCGCGGACCCCGTACCGGCCCCGATCTCGAGGACCCGCAGCCGGGGGTTGCCATGGCCGATGGCTGGCAGAAACTGGGTCCAGTCGAACCTGGCCTGCACTGCTCGGTAGTAGTCCTTCAAATGGTTCCCAGCCAGGAGTAGGTCGATCGCCGTTGTTTCCCCTTTGGCGAGGGCGACGCAGTTGTCATATACGGCCTGGATGGTGTGCGAACACCCTTTCCACTGGTCGTCGCTGGAGTACCGTTCCGTCATGCTCTGGACCTCCGCCTCTTGCTGCTCATGTGGCTTTGCCCGGAATGCCCGCATCTCCTCGACAAACATGGCCTCCCCGCGGCGAATCCGTGCCGCCTGCTCCCCGACCCAGGCCTTCCACTTGACCATGTGCGGTGCAGCCGGCGAGACGTCTCGCAGCCGCTCCTCCGTCAGCCATATGGCCAGCTGCGAGGCCAGGATGCAGTCGTGGAATGCCTTTTGCGTCTTGGCATCCATATCCGTCATCCGCGTCAATGATGAAGCGGGGAGCAGGTCGATATCCGGGGCCCAGCGTATCTCCGACGCCAGTGGGATCAACGGGGTCGCACCCAGCGCCAATTGATTATCGACGGAGAAGAAGACGGCGTCGCCGATGGAGAGCAGAACCTCTCCCTCGGAGGATAGCAGCGTCGCTTGTCCGAGCTGCTTGTTGTGTCCCGCCTGCGCCACCTGCACGTCAACGGTCATTGTCTCTCTGGCCGCATGCACGTACAGCTTCTCAATCGCCAAGGGGATCCCCATGCCCACAAGGCGCCGGCCGATTCCGTTCGCCCAGGCGACGCTCATGGCCTGGAGACACTGGTCGATCACCACCGGATGCAGCGAGTGTCCGCTCTCTGGCGTCGGTATGGTGTCGGTCACCCCCGCAATGCAGGTGCGTTGAATCGGATCCGCGGTGACATCTTTGAGGCCCCGAAAACGCGCCCCATATTCGAGCCCGCGGTTCCGCAGGACCTGGTACCAGCGCGCAGCATCCACCCGGCGGCGGAGGGAGCGCTTGATATTCCCCGTACGCGCCTTTGGAGGGAAATCAAACCCCGGCCGAACCTCTCCGTGGCAATGCGTTGTCCAGGCGGTCCCACCGTGTGCAGAGATGGTGAAGGCGTACCAGTCCGAGGTCACCAAATCATTCAGCCGCACCGGCTTGAGGGCCGTGATCATTTCAACCTGGTTGAACTCCGTGAGTATCAGCGCGGCCTTGAAGACCACTTTCCTGATTGAATACCCCTGACCCTCCGGATGGAGTTGCTGCACAGCCTCCCCGGCCATGGCGATATACCCGGCGGCCGGGAACAGGACTTGCCCTGCCAGGACATGCTCCTCGAGCCACTCCACCTCCTGCAGGAAGAACAAATTCCGCCAGAGCGGTTCCGCATCCGAAGAATCCGTGACCCGCCTTCCAAGCAGCTCATGACGCGGCGCGCTGCCCATCCGCCAGTCCGTAACCATCCGGTTTGCAAGCCAGTACCTCGTCCCGTGGTCCCATGGGTACCGGGGCAGATCCGTAAGGGCCAGGCCGGGCCCCGTGGCGCGGCGGAGGTCTATCGTGGGCAGAACACCATTGCAGTGTGCCGTGGCAACCGCCTCGAGGATCTGCGTGTGTGCATTGGTTGCATTGGCGGTGGTGACCTCGTTGCGCCTGACAGTCGGGATGTAAACGAGGGTTGGCGGCTCCTTCGCCGTGCCGGTACCTTTTGCGATCTGCTGGCACGGCCCTGCGAGCAGAGGGTGTGGGCCGATTTCAACGAATATGTGCTTTTTGGATCCGCTTGCAGTGAGAAGATCATGGACAGCGCCTTGGAATAGGACTGGTGACTCGAGGTTTTCGCGCCAGTAGTGCGCGTTCAGGTGAGCTGGGTCGCGGATACTTCCTGGCTGGACGCTGGAGAACATCGGCAGCATAGTGCTACCTGGTTGGTATTCCATGTGGGGTTCGATGATGGACTCAAAGTGCGGCCCAACCTGTTTCATGGTTGCTGTAGCCGGTCAGCACGCTCTAGTAAGCGACATACACAGCCTTGGAGGACGGGGTCCTCACGAGAATGATACGGAATCGAAACACGCAGCCTCCGACAAAGCACCTCCGGATGATCCTCGTGGATCCGACTCATCACTTCGCTAACTACAGCATCATCACCCGCTAGCGTCACGTTTTTCGGGCTATTTTCACACGCGAGGACCACAGATGTCGTTGTGAGATAGGGGGTGACGAGGCTCCGCGGTAGCGCAATCGCTGCCATCGCACCTGTTCCCTCCAAAGAAGCGACAGCTTTGCCTTTTAGGTACGCAATCAGTATCGCCGCTCTCATTGTAATTGCACCTGCCGCATACGCAGCTGCGGTCTCGCCGCTGGAGTGGCCGACGACGGCGGATGGGGTGATACCAAACCGCTTGGCGAGGAGGTTAAAGAGCGCGATCTGCAGCGCTGTAACGAGAGGTTGTGTGAGCTCCGCTTGGGCCGGGGGAGAATCGGGATCTAGTCGCGATAGTTCATCTTGTATCATGCGTCAGCAGGTTCCTGCGTATCAATAGACGCCGTCGGCACTCTCGCCCAGACTCACCGGCCAGAGACCACGGCCGCCCAGGGCCACCAATACTGTCTATGATTTTATCCATCTCGAGGATATCTCGATGGAACTCCGGAAACGCGCTCATCAGGCCGTGGCCCATCCCAGCCCACTGCGCTCCCTGTCCCGTGAACACGAACGTCAGATGGGGATCTCTCATGGCGCGGAATGCGCGGAAGATCGAGGGATCAATCGGCGAAGATGGCTGGACAACTGCATAGGCCCGATGGGACAATTGCGTCAACAGCGCCAACGTGTATGCCAAGTCCTGCAGGGTGCCACCGTGTTTCTCCTTGTTGTTCGCGTAGTCGGCCACCTGCGTGATCCGCCTCTGTAGGCTTTCCTCTCCCGGTGCGGACACAAAGAGCAGTTTGGGTTGCTCCTCCTCTATCCCTGTCCCATCTATGGGCTCGGTTCTTCGTTGAGACGGCACAAGCTCAGCCGCCGAGTCCACAACGACGTGGACGTTTGAGCCCCCGATGCCAAACGAGTTGACGCTGGCCCTCTGCCGCCGCCCGTCCGGCCAGGGGGTCGCCTCCAATGGCACCATGAGCTTCCCTTGTTCAAACGGGATATCGGGATTCGGTGACTCGAAATGGATATTGGGCGGGATGATCCTATTCTCGAGCGCGAGGACGGTTTTGATCAGGCTCGTCAGCCCGGATGCTCCTTCGGAATGTCCCACGTTGGGTTTAACCTGCATCAAACAGTCAGAGAAAAAGGTCCATGGCAGGTATAGATGGGGAAGTCAATATACGGCTCCAATCCACACTCCATGCCCACCAAACACCCGCGCAGCAACCGACGCCTCAACCGTGTCCCCCGCCACAGTCGCCGTCCCATGACACTCAAACAGCGCCGTTTCCTCAATCGCTGCTATCCTCGCACGCGCATACGTACTCCGGATAAGCGCCTCCTGGGCGTCTGGGCACGGACTCGTAATATTCGGCGTGCGCCCGTCAAAGTTCGACCCCGTCGCCCTGATAACAGCTCGAATGGGGTTCCCATCCCGAATAGCCGCAGCCAGTGGTTTGATATACACTGCGTTGATGGCCTCGCCGCGGCCGTACCCGTTGGCGCTTGCATCAAAGGTGCGACAGATCCCGTCGGGAGAGAGCACGCCGTTCTGGGTCATTGTGATTGTCATGCTGGGGGAATGGATCAGGTTTGTCCCGCAGACAAGCGCGGTGGTGCAGGTGCCTGTTTGCAAGCCGAGGCAGGCTTCATGGAGGCTGGAGAGCGAGGCGGAGCAGCCGGTTTCGATTGTCATGCTGGTGAGAGGTTTGTCAATCTTGATACTGGGTTCAGAGCACACAAGAAAAGGAAAGAAAACGAGAGCCAAGCGTGGTCAACCTACCTTGGTCCGCGCAGATCAAACTCATAAGAGATCCTGTTCGACAGCGCAAAGTCTCCAATGCCTATGGCCCGATACCGATCGATCGCCTCTGTATCCTTGCACGCCAGCTCTAGCCAGTCACCCCCAAAGACGCCAACATAGCAGCCAATCCGCTTGCCACGCCAGTCGCGCTCCCCGGAGCTCTCCAGGCACTCCCACGCAACCTCCAAAAGCAAGCGCTGCTGGGGATCCATGCGCTCCGCCTCCAGGGCCGTAATAGAGAAGAACCCCGCGTCGAACAGCGCCGGGTCCTCCTTCAAATAGTACCCGTGCCTCGTCCTGATGGAGCGAGCCTCGGTGGAGTGGTGGAAGCCCTCGATGTTGTACCTGCTCCCCGGAACCTCGCACCTTCCGTCCTCCTTGTTCATTAGCATTGACCAGAAGTCGCTTGGCGAGCAGACACCGCCTGGGAGGCGTAGCGCCATTCCAACAATCGCGATGGGCTTGAATTCAATGGTCTCTTCATCTGGTGTAAGTTGATGGGGCCGTCGGCGCCTGGTGTCTGCGTCCACGCGGCCCATGGTCGGCCGCGCGGGGATCTGGCGGTCCTCGCCGTGTTCAGCAGATCCGGCCATGTTATTTAAAGATAACTCTGCCCGGTCGCATGAGCTTAAAGTTGTGGACTGCTGCTGTGGCGATACAGGTCAAGGGAAGGAGGATGTTGGAGGTGAAAGAGATGTTTAGAGCGAGATGGGAGGTTTTTGTAGAGGTCGCCTGTGGCCCTTTGCCCCTTCCTCAACAGCACCTGCCCTAGACCACTGCAGGTGCACAGTCGCCCCCCTTTCCCGAGCCCAATCCGTTCCATCAATGGGCCCGATGCGTCACCGAGTGGCGTGATGCATTCATTGCCGGATGCTGTTCTCTCTTTCCAAGTTCGCCCTCGTGCAACGTTGCATAGCCGGCAGCTGATCCGTGTGTCGGGGTAGACAAACGTCACTCCGGGCAGCTCTGATTATTACTTAGGTTTTGTTCTACAGTACACGTCAATGGCGCGTGTCACTTTAGTGAAGATGACACGGAACCTGGCATAGTCTCGCGACGTCGCTCGCGCTCGTACAGTCTTGCCGCTTCCGCTCCGCCTCTATGTAGGACGGGGAGGACAGGACTGGGGGTCATGGGATCGTTGTTGCGAACCGGTAGCGTGCGTGTGGTTGAAGCGTCGAAAATCAGTGCCCAGAAAGGAGATGATGCTGCGGACGCAAATCGAGGTCTCATTGCATTGCACCCAGTGTGAAAATACGTTTTCTGGTTTGGCTTGGACTAGATTTCTCGGAAGCTGTGGTGTTCTTCTAGTATATCACCACGTGATTATATATATCACCTCGCGTCCGGTGAGGAGGTGTATATATATCCAGCCCAGCAGCCATGTGTCTCTGGGAGAACGATAAAGCAGCACGGATGCATTGGATGATAGCGACGACGTCCGAGGCTCGAAGCAGGACTGAAAGGGAGGGACTGGTAGGAGGAAAACGCGACTAGGCATACGCATGGAAAAGCGCAATTGCAGTCCCTTCGGGTCGTTCCGTTCCTTGAAGTCTTCCATACCATACGTACAAACGCATTGACTGCCAAGCTTTGCACGGCCCAGGGATGCGTTGCCCCTGATTCGCACCACTGGGGAGCGCCAGCTAAGCCGCTTTTAGGACAAGCTTCCCCGCTGCTCATTGGGCACGTTCGTCTCACGCCCAGCGCCTCCTCCCTGTGGCGCCCTCTGGTCACCCTTACACAAGCAATCTGACCGGGATAGAGCGCAGGATCCGAGCTTATTTAAAAGGCACGAGTTCCCCAGCAGCAAAGTGTCTAGAATTCTAGTTCCTTTTGCGCATTGAATACTCCTCGCTCGCTATGCCCCCTTGATACCTCACCGGAGTGAGCGCTCTGCTGACTCAATTCGCGCTACGCATGGCCGAGTATTACCAACCATGACACAGAGGTAGGCTTGCGCCCTGCTGGACTTTTCTGCTGCGACCAGAATGCTAACCCCATCAGGTTGTAACCCCAAAGGGCTGGATGCCGTTAAGCGCTGGGTCACGTGCTTCTTCCACTTGAGGTCGATTGCTCCCCATGAGGCATCCGATCCGCGATGAACAGTCCTTGCGAGACTGTCGTTGGTGGATCTCGCCGCCAAGCTGCTCGATCTGGCCCACTGTGCGTAGCGGGAGAGCATGATAGGCTTCGCTCTTCGCACAGTGCTTGATATGAACAAATCATGACCGGTCCTTTGGGCGATGTGGATAACGGCTCCACTGTTTTCCCATCGAATCACGCACATGCACACACCAGAATCACCACCGCGGCACTTGCGGATCTTGACGGTGATGCACGGCGGGGTGAAAAGAGAGCCGACAGTCGACAAAAGGTCTGCATTGCCCGCTTGCATATCATGAGCAACGAGAGCACTGCCTACAGCATGACCAGCGACATTTGAGTGGTAGATTTCTTCCAATGACCAGCCACGGCGCCGATTGCGCTCCGGCAGATTTTCTCTTCGTCGACTACCAGGACGACAACCCGCAGAACCGGTCGATTGACAAGGAGAAGCGCGTGTTTGCGCAAAAGACGCACCAGCGCAAGAAGAGGCTTGCGGCAGTCCAGAGGCTCAAGACGTCGACCCATGTCTTTCGGCAGCGGCTTCCCTTTGCCTACAAGCCTGTCGCTGATACTGCCAGTGGAGAGAGCAGTGAGGCGAACCATAGCAGTGATGATGGTTCCGAGCAAGGATCCGCTGCGGACGCTGTAGTTTCTAGGAATCTGGAGGCGCTCAAATGGGCCCGAATCAAGAAACTCATGTCGCCCAAGTCACAGCTCGGCCAGGGGTTCATCGACCCCTTTTCCACGACCGCGGTGCCAATGAGCGACTTTATGAATTCGTTTTTCCAGCACCGTACGTAAGCTCCTACTCGTCTCCCAACTATACAAGGTCTATCTAACCCACGGTAGTCCGGAATTTCACCATCCACCGCGCCTATCCCCTTGATACCCCGCGCATGACCGTCTGGTGGTGGCAAAAGGCGCTCTCTCAGCCGGCCATCCAGCTGGCGTTGCTGGTCTCAGCGGCGAGCCACCAGACGGCCATGAACACGATCCACAATGCACCCTCGAAGCACCTGCAGCGGTCCATCGGCGAAATGCTACGCTTACGCGGAGATACGATCACGACTGTGAATAACCTGCTCCAGATGCCGGGCGCCGTGACCGAGTCTACGATCTTGATTGTGGCGGCACTTAGAGCAATAGAGGTATGACTTGATTTGCCTGCATTTGGTTCCAGGATCACACCTCTAACTGCTCTCAGGCAATCGGCGGCAATCTCGAAGGCGCCACGGCACACACAAAGGGTCTCGATGCGCTCGTCCAGCTCTACGGTGGACTCGACGCTCTAGACCACATGACCCTATCCAAAGTTTACCAGTACGCCCGTATCCAGTCTAGCTATATTGAGCATCGACCACAACTGACTTGTGAAGCGCGGACATCATGTACGCAGCCCTAACAGACACCATCCCAAGCATCCCCCTCACGCCAACATGGCGGAGCGAGATCATCCAAGAGGCCAAAGTCCTCCACTCGAGCTTCGACCTCCTGTCGCATCTCCACGATAAACCCGACATCGCCGCGCAGCTATCGATCCTGGGCACATCGTTCTTCCAAGCGCCCTGGTATCCGGGGCTGGAGGAGAGCATGAAGACGTACCTGCACGCATCCCAGCGGTCAATCCGGTACTATGAAGTCGCGACCCGGCGCTGGTCCATTGTCATGCCGACGGATAACGACCTCTTCGTCCTCCTCGAGCACCAGCTCGCGTCCACTCGATATCCCGCAGTCCACAGCGACGCACCACCGCACCCCGGGGAACCCGCATCCGCCTCATATCTCCTCAACGAACCCCTCCGCATCGCGCTCTTCGCCTACCTAAACACGCGCATCTGGCACTTCCAGGCTTTCCCCATCACGCAATATATCGTCAACGCCTTACAGCGGAGTCTGCGCTGTAGGCCCACGCCAACGAGTCCAGCCGCCCCCGCGTCGACCGTCCTCGACCACATAAAAACAATAGCCCCCGACCTGCTCTTCTGGATCCTGTTTATCGGCGGCATGGCGGCCGAAGGACATGATGGGTATTCCTGGTTCGTCGATCGAGTCGCGGAGCTCGCGCGGTATCTGGGGCTGCGGGATTGGGTCGATGCGCGCGAGGTTCTGTGCGGGTTCTTCTATGCGGATCAGCCGGGGGAGCCTGCGGGTGAGGAGCTGTGGAGGTTGGTTTTGACACAGGGGCACACGGGGGGTGAGAGTGGGGTGTCTGCGGTTGTTACGAGGATGTCTGGCGAGGGTGTGGGTGAGTGTGAGGGTGAGGGTGACGGTGAGGTTGCGTCGGGGACGCAGGCACAGCAGACTAGATTTCTCTACAAGTACTGAAACCGAGAGCTCATGATACCAACGTATTACTGCTAGTACTACTGTAGACCTGAGGAGCAATCAATTTCCGGTCTGGATATCGACCCCGACCTGAAAAACTTTCATCCCCATATTCCCCTCCAGACGAACCCCGAGGTCCATCCACGCCTACGGCCGCGAAGGCCACCCCCGAACCCCCAACCCCCAATACCTCTTAAGCCTCGCATCACTCCTCAAATCCTCCGAAACAGTCGCGCCCCTCTCCACCAGGAAAACCGCAACGCCCGCCTTCCCAAGCACAAGCGCCAGATCCACCGCCGTCCGCCCCCCGTCGTCGAGCGCATGGAGATCAACCCCCGCGTCGATCAGCGCGACCAGCAGATCCCGATCCGGATCCGACTTGTCAGTCTCGCCTTGGACCGCGACGTGCAGGGGGGTCATGCGGTGGTCGCGACGCAACGCAACATCCGCGCCGTGCTCCAGGAGGAGGCGGACCGCGGGTGCATGTCCGAAATGGCTCGCAATATGCAGCGCCGTAAACCCTTTCCGCATGGCCTTGTTGACCATCCCCCGGAGGTCCGCGAACCCTAAAAGCAGGCTAAGAATCTCAACGTCCCCGCCCTTTGCTGCGCCGTGTAGCGCCGTCGCACCAACATTATCGACGCGGGCTACGTTACGTAAAGCAACGTCGCTGCTGGCTGTTAGGAGGAAACGCACGAGATCAGGCCATGCGTTTCGCGACGCGTGGTGGAGGAGCGTCCGCCCGTGCTCGTCGGGGGACCACGGGTTCGCGCGCGCGTTTAGGAGGGCTGTTACGATATTTAGATGGGCGTTTGCTGCGGCGCGGTAGAGCGGGGATGTTTTCGTTGGTTTCTTCTTCTTCCCCTCGGGATTGGATCCTGCGTCCTTCGGAGGTGTAGTGTGCGCGAGATCGCGAGATGCAGGCGGAGCATGGTTCTCGATCTTTGCACCTAGTTTGATGAGTGTATTCAGTACGGCGAGGTGCCCGAATTCCGCGGCGATCTGGAGCGCCGTGAGTCCCGACTGCGACAGCGAGTCGGGATCCGCACGGCCCAGTTTCACGAGGTGCTCGACGGCCAGGGCGTTGTTATACCCCGCTGCGAGATGGATCGGCGCATACCCCTTTGCATTGGCCAGCGTCGCGTCCGCGCCGTGGGTAAGCAAGAGGCGGAAGATCTCGCCCGTAACGCTGGAGTCGGGGACTGCGACGGCCAGGTGGAGTGGACGGGATAGGGTCTCGTCGTCGAGGATCAGGTTTGCGTCTATGCCGCGATTGAGGTGGGAGTGCAGCTGTTTTACGTCGGATTCTTCGATGGCTTGTCGGAAGAGTTGGGCGGTGGGTGAGAGGGATCCTTTGTGCTTGCTCTGGGGCTGGACTGGGGTATTTCTGGTTGACGGCGCTGATGGGATCCGTTGTGGTTGGGGTTGGGGTTGTCTGGCGGTTGGTGGGGGATGTGAGGGCTGGATGTCGACTGTGCGGTAGGTGGGCGCCGGTGAAGGGGGTCTGTAGACGGGCGGTGGCTCGTCGAACCCATCGTCTCTTATTGATGCCATGGTTGCGATGTCGAGTCTCGTCGAGATGGTCGGGCAGAGGTTGGAGTAGGCGCCGCGGGGAGTTATATCGCCTGGACCTCTGGTGGCGGAGTCGACGCTAGTTCTCTTGGCTGCACCAGTCGGATAGGGCTGGATCGCGCCCCAGTGGCTTGGTTGAATCACGAGTCTGCCCTGCCCAGGCGCTTGCCAACTACGCAGTATGCAAAAGCCCTCCTAGGTCACTTTGGAGTGACACATGATAAGCCCATATCCGATTCTCTCACAGACTACTGATCCAGCCGTCCAAGGTAAACAGCATCAATACAATTAGCCATCGCCCCTCCTAAGCTCACACTACCCAGTGGGCCTAGTGAACGGGCCTCCATTGATACAATATAGCCCGTCATGGGTTGCAGGTGCCTCTCCAGAGCATCCTACTCATTTCCACCAGGGACATCCCACCTCTTATCCACCCCCTGGCCCTCCAGCAACGGCACACAAGCCTCATACAACGCCCGCAACTCTCCACCTCCCAACCCCACAACCCTCGCAAACAGATCCTTGTCAAACCGCTCAATGAACGCCAGATGGCACGCAACCAAGATATCCGCAAACCCCAGCGTCTCCCCCTCCAAGAACACCCCCTGCTTCCCCTCGCGCCCTCTCAACATTCCACTCAGCACCAGCGCCTCCCGCTCGATAATCGCCCACAGCTGATTGCTCCTCGCAGTATCCTCCGGCCCAGGACGGACCTGGGCAAGCGGCTTCCCAAGCGCCGCGGACCGCGTCTCCTCGAAATACACCCGCCCCCTGGGATCCAGATTCTCCGCGACGCGGGGGACAATGAACGGTCTATACCCGCTCTCAAACCCCGCCATGATCCTCTCGACAGCTAGATAAAGCGCATAGCTTGCACGTCCCGAGGGGAAAAGAGGCGGGTACGGGAAGACTGCGTCAAGATGCAATGCGATGGGGAGCGAATCGGCCAATGCGCCATTTGCATTCGAGGCGATCGAGTCCTTGTGGATTATCGCGGGCAGTGTATATGGTGTTCCGGCTTTATGCGGTGGGACGTCGAGGCTTTTCAGGAGGGGAGCGATGTCCGGGTAGGGGATGAAGGATTGGCTGTAGGGGATTTTCTTGTAGTTGAGGATGCAGCGGATTTTCAGGATGTGCACCGACCAGGAGTTTTTCGGGGGTGAGAGGGTCGAGAGGATGTCGAAGAGGTGGACTTCGCTATTGTTTGTAGGGGGCATTGTTGCGGTGAGGCGTTGGGCCGTTCGATTGGAGAGGTGCTGATGGCGGGGAGAAAGCTTGATTTTCTGGGCGGAGTCAAGGTATATCAAGACCTGGAAAGAGTCCGCGTGGTCTGACCTGATGGTGATTTCTAAGCCTTGAAAGAATCTGAGCGGGATTGGTGCAAAGCAAAGCAGGGATCTGATCCTTGATAGAGGGGTCGAAGGATTCGATATGTCGTCATTCTCGGTGAGCCGTTTGGGGGCGCTTCCATATGTGCTCTTATTATTGGAGTTGCTTCTCGAATGCTTTCCCACAAAGACGCCGTTGAAGAACCTGACCAAGCTGTAACCTCGAGGAGGCACTCCACCACGGGAATAGCTAGAACGCAGGGGGCTATCTGCGAGCATACTCTACGACTACTGGTTTGAACCAATTGAGATGCCTTACACCACCCTCGTAACCAAACCGAGCACTCTCCGAGGCTGCCACCTCCAAAGCACAACCCACCCGCCCAGAAGGGACGAAACCCCCGTAAACACAATCAACCCGCCATATTCAGTCCCAAACCCATACCTCCTCGCCGCGCTCACCGCGCCCAGCCGCAACAGCTCAACCCCCGCAAACCCCCCACTCGCATACCCAACCCCGCGCACCCCATTCAGCACCCCATACAGCATCCCCGGATCGACGGCCTCGTTCCGCTCTGCCGACTCGCGCTCCATCTGTTTCAGCATCCCGCCCCAGGTTGCGCTGTATCCGCCGGAGAAGAAGCCGAAGGTTATTGAGAAGAGTATGAGGAGGGATATGTTTCCCTGGGTGGTGAGGCCCCAGAGGAGGAATGTGGCTAGGGCGCAGATTAGTGGTGGGATTGATGAGATAGTTTGCGAGGACAAATTGATGTGGTGGGTGTCGCTGAGCCAGCCGAAGAACAGCGAGGCGATTATCCCAGGGACGTTGAAGAGGGCGAGCATGAGCGTTCCCGAGGTTTGGGAGAGGAGCAGGATGTCTTTTGCGTAGGTGCTCAGGTACGTCTGTGGGATTCCATACCCGGAGCTCTGGAAGATGATTGCGAGGCTGTAAAAGTAGATTGACCTGTGGCGGAGGAATTTCCAGGGTATGGTTCGCGACCGAGTCTGGTGGATTTCGAGGCGCGAGGGGTGCGTTGGGATAAAGAGGATTGCGAGGAGGCTCGTTCCGCCCACGATCGCTGTCCAGACCCTCAATGTCGTCCGGAAGCCGTACGCGTCGATCAGGCCGCGGATCAGGAACGGGCATGTCGTTCCGACGATGTTCTTACACGACAGGACGATCCCGTATGCCACCGCCCGGTTACTCGTGCTGTACCACTCGCCGAGAGAGAGGGTTGTCGGACTATAGATGAGTGCGCATCCTAGCGCCGACGTGATGCCCTGAGAGGCGACGAGGTGTCCGACCGTCGAACTATACGACGAGAGGAAGAAGCTCACACAGGCGATGGCCGTTCCTACGAGAGCAGCGAGTTGGCGCCGGTGCGCCCACCGCCGAGTGAACATGGCGAAGAGGAATGGCATTGACAGGTACATGACCCCGTTGGCGGTCGTTCCGATCAGACCGGTCACGCTGCGGTCGCCTTCCAGCGTCCAGTTGTTCACGTAGTATTCTTGGAAGACGCCGTAGCTCATTGCGAAGCCTGGGCTTGTGAGTAAGATTGGAAAGGGGGGACTGGTTGGCCATCCGTACCCCATATTGGCAGTTGAAGGATTCCTGATCCAAGGAGGACGAGTTTTGTTCTTTTCGATTCAATCTGCCTGGCCTCGGGCGGTCCTGCATCTTCGACATTGTCTTGGACCTCGAATGCGGGTGGCTGGCTGGGAGCTGATGGTTCGGACCGGGTCGGAGATGGCATCTTTACTGAAGATGATTGAATATGTGTCGGATAAGATACAAGAGAATGATCAAGGGGAACTGCGAGTATCCCAATGAGGGGAAACAGTGAGTCACGCGCGGCTTAGCCTATTTTGAACATCCTGGATACTACATAATCTAGGTCAGTCGTCATTACCCCGCTTACAGCATTCTGATAAGCTTTCATTGGAGGTCTACCAAGCTTTTGGAGTAGGATTGCGCCAACAGGCGGAATTCGCCGACGTACGGAAGCCCTACTTGTTAGCAAATTAGCCATGAAATTGCAGATGCGGCTTGGTACCACCTTACAATGGAGTATGGACACAGTGGGAAAGGATGATATTCATGCATGCTGAGCTTGTTCCTTTGTTCTATGACCCACGTTGTTTCTTCACCCCCATAAGGATATAGCCTCGTTGCTCCAAGTCATACCCTTCCTTCTCACACTTGCAGAATGCGACATCCATAATTGACCCAGTGACCATATCCATCCCCATTATCGCCTGTCCTTTTGTCCGTTCCAGCGCCTCAAACAGAGTGAACATGACCAAAACCCCGCTAATATCCATCGTGCCTCGGGAAACACCATTATCCAAACCGAGCACTGACCCGTTGCCTCCCTGATAAGACGGGTGCCTGTTTTTCCTATCAACTGTTACATAGCCACGTCAGTAATTAGGCCTGTCGATGAGTTCTCTCATCTATGGAAGTACATACCGTGCCGTCCATAATTGATATTGTCTCCGCTTTGTGGTATGCCTGGAGGATATCTATTCTGATAGAATTCATGTAGAATATCATTCCTTACTGCCCTGAATTCCAAGGCATAATTTGAAACTGTTCGTGGTGGGACGATCGCGGCATGGGCTTCGTCAATTGTTCGAATTCTGCCCTACAAGCGCGGCGTTGACGCGGCCTCGGGCCTCAAAGTTCCCACGTTTTCGCGATACGAACCACCTTATGTTCACTGCCAGTCCTCCAAGACTTGGCACGCGCCAACTAGGCTACAAGGCGCAGAGGTCGGTCCAGCTCAGCCTCAAAGCATCAACTAGTTCCATCCCAGTCGCATTCTTAAAGACATGATATGCTCCTGCTGCCCTCACCCGTCGCCAGTCCGCTATCTTTCAGTTCAGCATGACTATCAAGGCGACGGGCCTCCAGGACTTACCCCCTGAAATCCTCCGCCTCATCATCGAATACCTGGAAACACAGCATGAATGCGCTCGCACAAACAAACCACTACCTACATAGTATATCGAGTCCCCACCTACACACAAAACGCACGCACAGCACTCCCCCAGCATCGCCCTGGATCTAGGCCATACCCACCAGCAACATCCCCACAACGCGCCTCGCCCTCGCGCACGGCGCAAACCCTAGCACGCAGGATCAAAAGACAGGTAGGTGACACCACCGTACCCATCGCCGCGCGCGCCGCAAATGCCAGCTTCACCTCGTGCTCCTGCTCATCTCTAAAACTTAACCTTTTTCTGCAATCGACGACGACGACGCCGGCGACAAGGATTCTGGTTCGGTTCGGGTCGAGTGGTCCCCTTCGTGAATGCCCTGTCGGCCGAGCATATGTATATCGCGGATGCCAGTCGCTGGTGCTTTTCGTTGCGGGGAGGGGGGATGAGGGTGTTGTTAGGATGGCACTTGATCTGCGTGCGGAGGGGGCAGGGGGTGATCTGAACATGAGAGATTGCGATGGGAAGACGCCGTTGGCGTGGGCGGCGGAAAATGGCCATGGGTGGTGAGGATGTTGCTGGCGACGGGGAAGGTGGATGTGGCCTTGGAGGATGGGGATGGGGATTGGGTGACTCCGGTGAGGAGAGCTGTCATGCATGGGCGTGGCGGCGTGGTGAAACTCCTGGAGCGGTTGACAGATGCTGTTGAGACAGAATCTAGCCAATTGCGCATCACCCAGAGATGGTTATATCCTTTTTGACCTGTATTGGAGACGGCAACCGGGTTGATAACGATCTGCAGTCTGGCAGCCATTTCATAGCCTGAACTGGCAAGGGCCGCAGCGATCATGGATCTACCAGCGTGTGGGGAAATTATGCTGTTCATAACTCGTCTGTGACACTGTACGGAGTACGTTGTACAGCCGATCTACAGGTACCGGCGGCCCACGCGACATCATGCGCTTTGAAACAGCCCCCGCGGACACTTTATACTTGTGCTTCACTGTCCTTAAACTGTCCCTGTTGAGGTAGGTACGTACCTCATGGCAGGAAATTCGATAATGCGCGTGGCTCGGGACCACCGGAACCAAACCGTCGGCTCCCGCGAACGATGATCGCCGCGCTGATTAACCCGTTGAAGGAAAAGCAGGCGGGGACTCAGTCCGGTGGAATTGGAATTTCAATAATACTCCGGGGTCTCGGCTTCGGAGTCTGGCGCGACGTATAAAGCTGATCCGCGCCCTTGAATTTATCGTTAAGGATCTGAGCTGCGCGCAGTCTCATCCCTTGACGATGCTTCACATGTTGGAGAGTCTGTCGCCCACGAGCACAGGGCTCATTATCGCATTCGCGATCGCGGTGCTGGGGTATTTGGTCTTCTTCCGCGAGTCGCATTCCCTGCCCCTTGTCAACGGCAAGCAGCCGTTCGAAATCCGCTTGATCCACGCGAAGCGGCGGTTTCTCTTCGGTGCACGCAGTCTCATTCGCGCAGGGCTCGACAAGGTACTTTTTCCCCATATCACAGCGTAGCACAACGCACGTGCCTCAGCAACTCACCATCCCATCCTCCCATAGTGGCCGGCCTTTGAAATCGCAACCGAAAACGGGTACAGAGTCATCCTAGGCCCGCAATACGCAAACGAAGTCCGGAGCCACGAAGCGCTGAGCTTCGGGCGCGCCGTCGCGCATGATTTCCACGCGCAGATCCCGGGCTTCGAGCCGTTCAAGGAGGGGACCGGGGCAGAGCGGGTTTTGCAGGATGTTGTGCGGATGAGGTTGACGCAGAGTCTTGGTCAGTATTTTGTTCCAGATACAGTCAGAGAAGTGCGAGTTTGACCTTGTATAGGGGCCGTGACGAAGCCGCTATCCGATGAAACGGCGCACGCGCTGCAGACGAACTGGGGAGATAGTCCCGAATGGCAAACCATCCCCCTCAAAACCACCGTCCTCTCCATCGTCTCGCAACTCTCCTCCAAAGTCTTCCTGGGCGACCAAATCTGCCGGAACCCTGACTGGTTACGCATTACAGTTGCATACGCCGTCGATTCCTTCTTTGCAGCAGAGGCACTGCGTCTCTGGCCGTCATTCCTGCGATCCCTTGTCGCCCCCTTCCTCCCAACCGTCCGCAAAATCCAGTCTGAGCTCGAGGAGGCGCGCCAGATCATCGCGCCAGTCCTCGAGCGGCGCAAGGCCGAAAAGCAAGCAGCGACCGAGCGAGGGCGAGAGCCAGAGGCGTATCACGATGCAATGGAGTGGATGGAGCAGTGCGCCAAGGGGCGCGAGTACGATGCGGCGGTTGCGCAGTTGTCACTGTCGCTTGCGGCGATTCATACGACGTCGGATATGCTTACACAAGTGCTGTATGATATCTGTGCGTGCGATGGACTGGTCGAGGAGATGCGGAAGGAGATTGTAGATGTGATCCGGGCGGAGGGGTGGACGAAGATGACCCTGAATCAGCTGAAACTGATGGATAGTGTGCTCAAGGAGAGTCAGAGGTTCAAGCCGACTACTATTGGTACGTTCGTTCCCGCGCGGTCTATGCTATGCTATCCGAATGCTAGGGGACAAAGATTGACTGTAGTGCAGCAACAATGCGCCGCATGACCATAAAGCCCCTGCGCCTCTCCGACGGAACCACCATCCCCAAGAACCGCATCCTCTTCGTCTCCTGCGAGCGCATGTGGGATCCGTCCGTATATCCCTCGCCTGAAAGATTCGACCCGCATCGCTTCCTCAAGCTCCGCCAAGTCTCCGGCCACGAAACCTCCGCACAACTCGTCGCGCCGTCGCCCGAGCACATGGGCTTCGGGCTGGGCAAGCACGCGTGTCCAGGGAGGTTCTTCGCAGCGAATGAGCTCAAGATTGCACTCTGTCATATTTTGATCAAGTATGATTTGCGGTTTTCGGACGAGTGGCACAACCCGAAGCCGTTTGGGATGGGACTGGCGTTTTCGGCGGAGCCCAGGGCGACGGTGCAGATTCGGAGGAGACGCGAGGAGATTGAGCTGTAAGACGAGTCAGTAGAATGGCAATGAAAGATTTTCGAAAAAGTGGAAATAAAACAAGACTTTTATGATAACAGGATTGAACTGTGGCCTGTGGTAACTGGTGGTGTGGACCGGCTTGATAGATGGTCTCAACAATCATATCCACATGGTGCCTCTATGGATAAATCGACGATCAACCCGCTGTTCTAAACTTGTATACGTCTGGTCCTGATGGAAGCTTTTGATGGGTAGTCCAGACTCAACCACGACACCAAAGTCGGAGTATATTGCTTTGTCCCTCAATAAATGCATAGATCTGTTGAGATCACATCTCTTAGACACCTAATTCTCTCTTCTTCTTCTTCTTCTTCTTCTTCTTCTTCTTCTTCTTCTTCTTCTTCTTCTTCTTCTTCTTCTTCTTCTTCTTCTTCCTCAGCACACCGTAACAATGTCGTCTTCATCTCCAAGCCCCGAAGTCCTCGACCTCATCGCGGGGCACCTCGCCTCCCTCCACACAACCACTCCCCGAAAGGACCCTTACGGCATATGTCCAACCCAGAACCTCGCGCGGCACGCAACAATCACCCGAAACTGCAACCCAGCGTCGAGCGGTACACATTCGCCGCCATCCGCTCAAACACCCCCGACCTCCCAAACCTGCGACGCCTCATCGGCGCATGCCCCGGCCGCCGAAACATTCTTAGGCAACTGACCTTCAACTTCGACCTCCCTATCTACCCCGAAGACTGCATGCGCTTCTTCCAGCGGGACGAAGACGAGTACAATAGCCTCCTCGCCATCCGGCACGGGATAAAAGCCCTCGTCGACGAACTCGCCTCGTGGTCCGACGACGCCGGTTCACTCGGTATCCATTTACTCCTCAGCGCCGAGTCCCCCATAGGTCGCGACGCCGGAGGAACCAAGCCATCGCCGTTGGAGGGTTTCGCGGTCGCTGGGCGTATCCGGCGCATATCCTCTCGCTCCCTCCCCAATCGAGCGTCCGGACCCTCGCCGAGCGGATTACCTCCCTCTATCCGGAAGTTGACGCTCACCCACGCGGACGTTTACGGATCCTCGCCGCGCAATTCCCGGGGTCTCAGGGGCCTCGATGTAAGGTTCCACGGTATGCATCGACGCCTGAGCTGAGGCAGGCTTTGCTGCGGCACCCGCGGTGCGCTTCCGCAGGCAGGACGCTGTATAATCCGACTCTGGACAACCTCTGCCACGCTGCGTATCGAGCTGCATGACCATGCGCCCGCCGGATCACGGATTTGACGAGGTCAGGGAGAAGGATGACGACTAGCCCGGGGGCGATTTGGTGCATCGTGCGGTGTGCAGGCTTGCACGCCACGGATTGGCTGCGGGAACGCCGTCTCGAGGGAGCGTGGCAGGTCTCCCCGCGCTTTTTGGGGCGTGTGGGGTCGGAAGTGAAACAGCCTCGTTCCTGGGTCTCAAGGGCTTGGAAGTCTCTTTCCCCATTGTCGCCTACGACGGCCGCTGGCTGTTCGGCGGCAACCCGGGGGACGTCAGGAAGTACGAAGATGATGACGTTCCGCCCGTGTCTCGATCCGCCAATAAGCTACGACGGTGACATGGACTTCGAGCTACCCTCGTACTACGAGGACGAGCTCGAGTACTATGGCGCGGACCTCGAGAATAGGGATAACCCGCAGCATAAGTAGAAGGAGAGGCCGGATCCCACGGTATTCCATCCGATCGTGGAATCATTGGTACAAGCGAGCCTGGGAATGCCGCAGCTCGAGCATTTGAAAGTTCAGTCTGCTGAGCGGGCCGTCGAGGGGAATGAGATTGCGTTTGAGTCTGTACCTCCTGGGCCCCCATCAAACGCGATTCTGAAGATTTAGCTGTCTACGAACTGCTCATACAGAGGAAAGAGACTGTATTCGTACAACACACAGTTTATCCCCAAACAAGAGACCTGGATCCTGCCCAAGCCATGAAGTCCCCACTATGAATAGGGCATTACAAGGAATCTCTAACAACTTTCCATTCTCGGAACCAGTTCTTGATTCCCCTTCCCAGGCAGGCCCTTTTGCAGGCGTACCCCGCACTTCAAACACTGCCATCCTCAAATGGCAATACCTACCTCCATCACACGAGAGCAGCAGGGAAGCCAGTATTCGATCAACAAGTGGTGGCCCACTTACCCAAAGCACCAACGCTGTAAGGGAGCTGCTGTGCGACAATGAGGTATCTCATGCATGTCTCAGTTCCAAGTGGACTCTTATACCTGCGCAAGTAGCCTTCTTATAGGGTAGCGAGGATTTGAGAAATACCTGGCACCGGCGAATAGAAATGCTATACGGGTAGACCCAGAGCTGATGGGCGGGGGTTTGAATAACCCAGAGTAACGCCCTGTCTTACTATGGGCCCGTGCGGGACACGAGCGTAGCCTCGATCAGGGAGCTAGCTAAATGACGCACCTTAGCGGAGCGTATGCTAGTTTAGCCTCATGACATAGTGAGAGTGAGAGCTGGGGTTGTTGTCCGCCTCAAATTGCTGCAACGAAAAGCCTGGAGCGGCTGGGTATACCTGCATCGATTGAATACGTCATGTGGTTGGCTGCGGTTTGTATGCAGCAGCAGCAGCATCAGCCCAACAGGTACCTGTGTAGCGCCGCACTGTGCTCCGTGTCAGAATATGATGCGTACCCAGTCTTTCGCGTACAGAAGGCCATAGCATACTTTGACGGCTTTTATCACGATTCATTCGCTGGGTCAGTGCATGGTCATGGTAAGCACCAGCGGGGATCGTCCCAGTAATTCCCCCACGGGCTAGCCTTGAGGAGGTCGACTGGCAGGATGATCAACGTAAGCTGGCTGAAAGGAAGGCATGAGAGTGGTTAAAAGGTTCCCGGGGCGCAACCAGATAGATAGTCGTGATGCTCCTCTACGGACTTGCGGTGGGTAGAGGTGTGAATGTACATCGTGCTGGTTATCTCTCGATGCCCGTACTTATTACCAGCATGTTTTCTAAAAGGACAAGATTCCTACGAGTCGAGTGAAAACACAGTCCCAGCCATATGACCGGAAACCTAATCCGGTACTCGTTCACCTACTGCAGGCCTTGCTTTGTGGAGGTCAAAACGAGGTGGTCTTACTGTGGAGGCCAGCAGCAATGTACGGCTCACAGCGCCAACGCAGGTATGGGGCCCGGGGGTCTGCCTCATGTGGTCCTTTCAGTTCGTAAATAGCTCAATAGTCCGATTTCCATAGTACCAGCCTTGCATTAGTCATAGTCCTTGTGTCTCCGACTTGTCTAGCATATTACTACAAAGGCTTGTGGCACTCTCGCGCGAGGTCAGGACAGAGGGAACCATGTCTAGGCTGGTGTGGTCTCATGAACAGGTGTCACTGCAACTCTGACTGGTAAGGAGGTAAGCCTGCATCATGCAGGGTGGCGCGCAACACGGTTACCGAGTACAGCCTCGAACCCCAACATGTGCGGGGATTGGGCGGGGATACAAAGTCAGATCAACATTTGTAAGGATTAGGGGTCTATATCAATCACGCTCAACGAATGTCTTGGAAGATCAACTGGTCAGAATTCGACGATCAACGGTGGTTACGAACGGCTCTTGGTACTGGACCAGCTGGAGGCGAACCCAGCGCTCGATTGCGTCCCAAGTAGTTATATAAATAGTTGATCATTCCTGTTTATCCTGCAGGTTGTCAGTTTATTATAATCAATTTCTCAGTCCATATTCAGAGTTCTGTAACATCATTCCTTCTGCCCTATTCACAATTTGAAGACCACCACGACCATGCATCTGGCAATTCCATTCCTCACCATCTTCCTAGCAACAGCCTCCGCCCTCGATTGTCAATCCCCTCCAAGCCCCAGCACCATAAACCTCTGCAACGACTGGACCGTCCGCTGGGACTACGTCAAGTAAGCTGAACCTCTCCCACCAAAAAAATAAAGTAGCCTAACATGCATCCCATTTCCAGCACCGACCCCACGGAATTCTGCATCTACCTAAGCAACTACGAGCTCGGCTACCCACCCCACGCAATCCAAGTCGCCGGTCCTGTGAACAGGAACAACCGGCGTGCCACTGTTCCGGGGCAATGTCGCCCGGAGCTTGGGACTAGGTGCAGTCGCCCATAACAGGGTCGATGTGGGAGATGCATGCTAACTCACCGAGTGTGATAGTCAACACCGCGTCTGGCTTAGCGCGTGCAATGCGCCGCTCACTATCTACGATCAGTGCGATCCGATCACGATTCAGCAGCCTTGCTGTCGCGTTAGTCGAGTCAATGCTCGTTCACGGGAGTTCGAGGTCGACGAGTGAAGGTATTACGTGAAGTCAGCGTGTGTTGCGTTGCGGGTTGCGTTGTTGGAGCATAACATCCTGCGATGGGTCTCGGTATGGGTTTTTGCCCCTAGAGATAGGTTTTCCCTATACACATAGTGCAAATGCAGAGGCCGTGTTGTTGTGGATTATGCTTAGCGCAAAATCTGTGTTTCTCTCGCAATGTCGGGTACTTGAAAGTAGATAGGGTACTCTTCTACTCCGTTCTGATATTTTTCGGCGGAGGTGTGTCGTAGCCGGATCGGAGAACACTGAACACTCACCGAGTCAGACAAGATATCCAACAACACCTGAAAGTTTCTGGATATCTATGGTTCTATAATCGAAGATGCTACACCATCAGCGTTTCTGGAACTGTTGGCCACTGAGACGTACCTGGCGATAGGTGATGTAGCGTAGCTGCGGTGCCCAGCTACCTCGAAGGACTGTTGTTGGTCGACACAGGTGTTATTGAATCTCTGCCTCTGTTCAATAGATATACTAGATCAGAACTTACGGAGTAGACTATCATCGCGGAGGGCCACGTGGAAATCTTGGCATTCGTACGTAAAAACATGCGCAACCTTGTCGCAAAGCGGGCTCTTTTATTCCCCTACACATTGTAGGCCGAGCACTACTTCGAGGCCCAGGTGTTGAGCGGTCTGCCCGTTTTAGAAACAATACCACTAAAAGTCCCTGAGAAAATCCGCGGAATCCTTCAAGGTTCCAGCTCGCCGCTAGCGCGCCAGGGTTACATGGCGGCATACAGACCTGACATTCATCCCACACAAAGCCAGGCAAGAGTCAGACAAAGTCCAGATACTCAGTAAATTCCCATATTGACTACAGATACTTGAAGAATTGCTATCCAGATCTGTGTAGCGCTCGCCCTCTCAGGCCCTGTTTTCACCGAAAATCGGCGTGAAAACTCTTCCGACTCCTTATCTCGATCCAGGCCAAGGCTCTTGACTCCAAGTGGGCCCCACATTAGATTATCTGATGATCTGATAAAAGCCAACCACACCCACTGGTCTCACAAGCCCCCGCTCAGACACCTTCGGAACCTCGCCGAGGCCGTGTATCGGGATGGACAGTGTCCCACGTGGCGTCATAGTGCTGCTACGATAGTTGGGAGGTTAAATAGCGGCTTGTTTCCTCCCGCTCGAGCCTTTTTTTTTCGAGATCTCGAACATATCGTATCTCACCTCACGCACCGTTACCCGGTCACGATGGGCGCCAGCGAGGTTACCGCGAAAACAGCGGCGGATGTCGTGGCGGATGCTCTTCCAGAAGAAGCCACATCCTTGGCCGCCTCTGATGCCCATGGAACCGATACCGGCAAGAAGCCAGCACCGTTGCTTGCGAAACTGTTTACAGTCTTCCTCATCTCATGCATCAGTTTCGGATCGCATTGGAGTACGGGCGTTACGGGGGCGATGAAGAGTACGATTAAGAAGGTATGCTATTATTGTCGACGGTTGGAGACGGGATGATTATTCTAACCAGGCTAGGAAATGAACATCAACAACACGCAATTCTCCCTCCTCGAAGCAAGCGAGGATTTCATGGCGACCGTGTTGATGCTCCTGAGTGGAATTATCACGGATCGCGTTGGTGGTGCTGGTACATTCCGCTCCCCTTTTCTCTCCACCACCCAGCTAACTCGCAATTGAACAGGAATGATGGTCTTTGGCAACATAATCTACACAATCGGCTCAATCCTCGTGGCCGCCGCAACAACCGTGCGCTCCTTCAACTTCATGATTGGCGGCCGCGTGATTCTCGCGCTGGGCGATATCGCCACGCAGATTGCGCAGTACAAGATGTTCTCCTCGTGGTTTGCGCCGAGTAATGGGTTTGCGAGTACCCTGGGTTTCGAACTTGCCATCGGCAAGGTATGTGCACATTGCAAGATGAGTTTGTCAAGTGGTTTGCTGAGCTGGGTATGTAGATTGGCGGGTTCGTGGGCAAGTCGACGGCGAATGTTATTGCCAAGGTAATCGCGCTCTTTCTCCTGCTATCTCGGCTCTAGCAACAACCCAACTCTATACTAATCCCCGGATAGAATACCGGCAACTTCGCCTGGGTCTTCTGGACCTCCGTCTTCATGAACCTCTTCACAAACTTCACCACAATCCTCTTTTGGTTCTTCACTCGGTACTGCAACGCGCACTACACCTCCCCGCGTGATCGCGCCACGAAAGAAGAACTCACCGACAAGAACAAGCGCTTCGAGTGGAAGAAGATGCTGCAGCTCCCCTGGACATTCTGGTGCATCCTCGCGTTTTCGCTGTTCCAGACGAGTGCGGCGCTGGTGTTTAGTCAAAATGCGACCGAGCTCGCCGAGCAGAGGTTCGAGGTTGATGCGGTCAAGGCCGGGTGGTATAGCGCTCTGTCGCAGTATGCGGGTATGTCTGATGCAGATGGGGTGGTGCTCGATGGAGATGAGAGATGCTGACGAGATGGGGTTATAGGCTTCTTCCTCGTCCCCTGCCTCGGCGTCTTCATCGATGTCCTGGGCAACCGCGCGTCGATCAGTATGCGCCCCCCCCCCCCACCATCCCAATCCCAGTCACAAGAAACAACCACCTAACTGAAGTAGTCTCCCTCTGCGGGCTCGGCACCTTCCTAGCAATGGTCCTCGTAAACTTCGCTCCCTCAAAGGGCGGCACCGCCGCCTCCTTCGGCGTCTTCGCAATCGCCTCGTCGCTGGGCCCGACGTCCATCATCGACAGTATCCGCACCAGTCTCTGGCACCAGTCGGTCTTTGGGTCGGCGTATGCGCTCAAGATTACGATGAATAATGCGTGCGTATCTTCTTCTTTCTTTTCCTAGTCTTTTTATATTGATTGTGAAGACGTTTCGGAATGGTACTAACGAAGGGGGCAGGATGAACATAATAATCCGCATAATAACCGGCGCGCTGCAGGACGCGGATGGCGATTCGTATCGACGAGTCGTTCAGGTATATCTCTTCCAGGGAGCCGCGGGGCTGGCAATTGGATTGGGAATCTTCGTTGGCTCTTTCTTCGCGGCGGAGCTTGATCTATTGCAGTGGACGCGGTGGAAGCGGTTGAGTCAGGGTCCTGAGATCATACAGGGACTCAAGGAGAGGAATCTAGTCCTCAATCCGAGGCGAACAAAGAGGATTGCCATTACAGGCTTTGCGTGTATCATGGCGTTGACGGTTGGTGGGTGGGTTGCGTACATTTGGGGCGCTGTTACAGGTCATAATAAGTAGGTATATATTGATTGCTGGGCGCGGTGGCGCCATTCATGCACTAGATACACTAGATGAACATCCCCTGTCCACCGTGCCATCTCCGACCAGGAGGACTCTGCCCACCCAGCTCACCAGCCATGCCCGCCAAACAGACTATGGCGGCAAGCATGCATCGCAACTATGAGCTTGGAATTGCATTCGTGCCTGTCTCCTGGATGCGAAAAATCACGTCTCAGTACCCCTCGAATGGATCAACGCCTTGTTCGAATTCCAGTATGATGATGCGAGTCGCCTCGTAGGGAAGAACAAGGATCTGATCCGTCACCGCAGATTCTCCATAGGAGCACTCGGCCGGCAGACGTAGCAGTCTCCGACCATTCCAGGTAACCCATTCACCGTTCTTATCTACACCGTAACCTTGCCATTTTGCATCCGTTTTGGAGCCCCGCGGCAGAGACCAGTCCAAAGCGATGCGGGCTTTGTTGGTGATGAGTGTAGAGCCATCGTCCCCAAAGTCTATTTTCCGTGATGCGCCTTTGACAATCTGTTGCAAAATGCCCGTCTGGACATCGCGGATGGCTATTATATCTCCCATACTGCCCATTGCGAGGTATTTCCCGTTTGGAGATATTGCGATATCACCGACATACGACCTTCCCCGCCTGTAGATCTGCTGCACCTCGCCTGTCTCAATGCTCCGTGTTTCGACCTTACCCGAGTAGGCCCATGCGATTAGCTGACCATCTGGACTGAACGAGGTCAAGCTAATTGGCGTCGTTTGGGTGTCTGTGGATTTGAGGCGAACCCCGGTGTCCGCGTCCCATATGCAGATTGTACCATCCTCTGTCGCCGAGAAGACTTTCTTCTCATCGATTGACAATGCGACCCCGACCACTCTAGAGCCGGACTCCAGTACATGTATAGTTGTCCATGTCGCGACCTCCCAAATGCGTATTTGTTCCATCGACCCGGAGAGTAATCGGTCCCCCAATCTTGAAATGACCACAGAGTGGACGTTGTTAATATGGCCCCCTAACATCCGCACCAATGACCCCGTTTTCCTGTCCCAGATCCCAAGAGTTCCATCATTAGTGCCAGTTGCTATCCACTTCTGACAAGGTGATACCTTGACCGTTGTGATCCTAGACTTGAGGTGGGCGAGGGCTGTTACACACGGCTGGACATCGGCATTCCACAGGTAGACCCTCGCTGTGGTGGAAATTGCCACCTTCTGGCCATCGCTAGAGATTGCCATGCTCCACACATAATGATCAAACCGGATGGTCCGCTGTATTGTCCCTGTTGCAGTCTGCCAGAGCTGTATAACGCCATCATAGGGCCCTGCTGCCAAATGTGTGTCCTTTGAGGAAAACGCGAGAAAGGCTCGAAATCCCCCTGCAGAGCGCACAAGCTCTCTGCTGAGCCTTTTGCGTCTGAAATCCCATATCTGGACTCCTCGTTGTGCGCAAATTGTAGCTCTCGCTCCGTCAGCCATAACTGCCACGGAAAATATCATACCAAGCTTCATCTCTAATATGGTCTCGATTGTACCCGTATCTGCGTCCCAAACGCGCAGGTTTCCGTCCAAGCCCCCAAGCAGCAAGTCCCTATTTGCTATAAATGCAAAACTGCGGACATCATCGACAAGGCCAGTCGTGAGAACGCCCTGCGCAGTGCCAGTCTGTACATTCCAAACTCGCACTGTTCCATCGTCGAAACCCGAAGCCACGAGGCTGGAATCACTAGAGAATGCAAGGAGATAGACACGATGGTCAGAAGCCGCAAAGGTCGCGGACAATTCTCCTGTTGAAAGGTTCCACACCTTGACCGTCCCTCTGGATGAGCCCGAGACTAGCTTCGATTGGTCAGCCGATACTGCAATTGCCCGTACGTCGTAATGGCCAGTAAGAACGTTCTCAATCGTTCTAGTCTTTGTGTTCCATATCTCGATTTCGTTCTTGTAGGTGCACGCAGCTGCCAAAAACTGCCCATCGCCAAAGAATGCGATAGAGGGTTTCCAGCTTCCTTCTTCTGTCAGAGCATGTAGATGCAAATTCCAGTTTTCTTCCATTAGTGGCCGCCCTTTTATCCAAGAGGGAACCTGATCCTCAAACAGATGCCTGACTCGACTTGAGGTCGGGCTAAATAACACAGAGGAGCTGTATACCTGCAGTGGCGCGCCCTCAATCATGCGACGATGATATTCGACAAAGTACTTTGCGTCGTGAAGAATCAAGCCAAGCACGCTGGTACATCCTCCTTGCTGCTCTATTCGTGTTAGCTTGACTGGTTTCCATTTCGAGAGACAAGCGTCATACCTCAACGGTCTTGACAAGTTTTGTCACGCTTTCCTCCCCAGCTCGCAAACTATGAAGAAGACTTAGAGCCTCGAGCCAATGAAGAAAATGCTCCCGAATAAACACGTCAATGGCGCCCGAGTTACAGAGTCCAAGCTGCCGTTGGGTCTCCGCGCTGAGCTCAACAAGGTGGTCGATCCAGTAGACACACATGTATGCAACACGACCGAGAGGATCAGAGGTTGGACGCTTAAGTTTATTCAGAGAGCGAGCAGGGGTACTCAAATTGCAGACATTTCTTTGCAATGTACGGGACATACTCTTCAAGCCCCGCGACACGATACCGGAGTGGACACGGGCACGGCCATCTGGAAAGACGCCTTGCTCTCGATCAGCGGAGAGATATTCTTTAGCCGATTGGTGAACAAAATAAACGGTTTGTTGACGAACTGTCAAGAAATTTCCACATAGGTCGACGATTTCTTCCAGGAAGGAAATGTTTTCAGTAAGCTGGGGAGGGAGATTAGCAACAATGCCTAGCTCATCGAGAGTTAGAGGCCGGTAGGCAATTGCAACAGCTGCAATTATCTGCCGACAATAGGTGGATGTGTCGGAGGAATCCATGTCGAGCTGGTTCACTTGCTCGAACATACGTCCGTACAAGCCATCCAAGCCCGCGGGAAATGTCTTCAGCACAGAAGAGGTCTCCCAGCCGCGAGTCCTGCGTAGTTGCTTACAGACCAAGGCCACCCACAGAAAAGTGTCCCCCGCGTGCGATTGTAAATAGTCTCTCACTTCTTCCTGCAGCTCTTCGTTGTAATTCTTGCGCTCTGTAAGGCTTTCGATTTCGTGGTCAATGTAGGCCTCAACAACATCCCTGACATCTGCCAGGGCGCCTCCGTCAAGGTCCAGTTCGTAATAGACGCCACTGCCGGTCAGGCTGTTTCTAATCTCGGATCTGGGACGGCTGGACACAAGGCACCGTAACTTCGAGCAGCAGACACTTTCTGTTAGGAGAGCAAGTAAAGGGTCCAAATCTGCCTCGCACTCGTCCAATGCATCGAGGATAATGTAAACTTTTGGAAGGCCTGGATGTTCGAGCATCTGCAAAAAGATCTTCGAAAGCGCAAAGAACGCATTGGCGTCATCAAATAATGACTGCCCTCGAGTGTCATATGCTTCGCGGATGTAAGATCGAGCCGACTTGGCCTGCACAGCGAGCTGGTAGATCAGGCCGCGCAGAATAGCGGTTCCGTTGTTTAGATTGGGGTCGGCGTTTTGGCAGAAGAAAATCGGCAGAAGTCCGTGTGGAGACCTGTCCAGCATCCTTCTGATGATCCCAATCAGAAGCATCGTCTTGCCTTTTCCAGGCCCGCCCTTGATCCAGTACAGCGAACATGAATCTCCTTCAAGCCAATTGACGAAGTCTGAACGGTCAAAGATCCAATTACATGACCCTTCGAGAAGCCTATCCTTGGTTTGCTCAATGCGGATCATGTCGAGTCGCGGATCGGTCAGGCATAGTTGCCTCAGTAGCTGGTTGTCTGACTCGTCTCGCTTCGTTGAGGCCGCCTGCGCGGCATGATCCAAGGTGGCTTTTTGAATGTTGGCGAGTAGTTGTGCGTGTCGGTTTTGAGCGGCAGTGGCCAGCTCCTCTAGTTCCAGCCTGACTTGCTGCGTGCTGTACTGTGTCATGTCATGTTGAACGAGTTGTTCAGCCTCTCGGATGTCTTTCAGACCACCCTCCCAGTCGTTCAGTTTCAGAGTGTTCTGAAAGTACCTGTAAGCGCGGCTCCGATAGCAAGAGCAGACGCTCTTCATTAGATATGATAGCAGCACCGTGTAAAGATTGAGGATCCGGTCCTTGAATTTCAAGCGCAAGTCGGCAGGTAGCGCTCCGCTATTCGTGTTCTCTCTGAGTAGAAGCTGTGACAGCTCACAGTACCAGTCCATCCGAATAGCGACATAACTGACACCCTCGTAGAGTGCCCTATTCTCTGTGGTGGCATTGACAAGGACCTGAGAGGGTAGAAGATCAGCAGCTTCAATCAGTCCAGGCAATGTCACCCAAAGCGTGGAGATCGCACCTGCAAAGCAAAGGAAACGCCGACCCAGGCAAGCGCCGCCTGCGGAACCGGCTGCAGCGCGGTCCCAATAACACTGCTCACCCCCAACACGCTCTGCACGGCGCGCTCAACCCGGACATTCCGCCCTTGGAGCTTGTTCATCCCAATCTGAACGAGTGCTTCCATCTGTGCCTGCCTTTTGCGGGGATCCTTGGTCTCAATCGCGTCACTTTGGGTACCAGCGACGGCCAGCTCGCGGGAAAGCACTTTCTCGTACGCAGCAACCAGTTCGCTATCCTGCTCTTTCAGCCAGTCATAGGCCTGACTCCATATTCTTTCTCCAGTAGTCCCGTTGTCGTGATCCAAACTCGAGTCTGCGGCAACAGCGACCGTGTTAGCAGCGTTGGCGGGGTTGCTCGCATGGCTGGGCAAATGTGGCTGGTTCTTCGACCGCCGAATCTTGAGTCTGTCGAGGAATGACGGGCTCGACGCCATGATCGCTGGCTCTCGAACTGTCTACACTGTCGAATTCTAACGATCTTGATTGCTCTCTCACTCGAGAGGCTGAGAGTGAGGGGAAGATAGATGCCCATGAGGCAGCGGTGCCAGGCAGCTGAGCCGCAAGCGCCGACCTCGCGCGTGATGCCATTGGGCGGCTGAAGAAAAGCAAAAATAACCCCTCAAGGGTCGCAATGGCTTTGAGCACTGACTCAGGAACGGAACAATGCTCGGTAATAATCAGCGGGGATGACGATGGGGAATCCAGCTGAGTCGTCCATCGCTCCTTCCGCGCCACGATACATCGCCCGGTACTCGCCCAGACCATAAGTGCTCAATGTTGGCTGTCACATCCCAGACCTCTGTTCAGCCAAGTGTCCTGCTCTTGTCACACTTGGCTGGTTACCTAAAGTACAGCATACACCTCTGGTATCTCGTCGTCATTAATTGCTCGGTTCGGGGACATGATGATGCTTCACGTCTAGACCGATCCTGCTACTATACTTGGCAGCTCACCGTGATATATAGTCGTTTCAGCTATTCGGACCGGAAGCCTCGGTGGCCGGTGCGTTCCCCTTGAGCACATAGTTGCTTGCATCGTAGCTATGCTAGGGCTTCTCTCTTCTAGTCAGTTAGGGACACAAAGACTGGAATACCAAGCGGCGGTCATGGACGCTGGTTATGGAGAGTTGAATACAAAGCATACTCATTCCGTACCTGAGTCCCAGAGTGACTCTCGACTCCTACCGCATATGGTAGTACTGGCTGACAGCGCATGTCCCTGGCCAGAAGAAAACACAAAGAAGCGAGTTTGAGGTCTATGGCAGAGATTCCCAAAGCTTACTGTCAGCTGTACCACTCTTCTCGGCCCTTTCCCTAGACAAGAAGCAGATTTAGCATGTTCGCCCCGTTCTCCTTCTTTCATCGCTCTATCTAGTCGGCCCGGGGACCTCCAGGTGTGCCTGCTTTGGGCAAAGTTACTACTGCCAGCCCCTTAAGGTTCTCGGCCCGCTGCTCGCGAGTTCAAGTATTTTCCGCAGTGCCTTAAAATCCCCTCTACTAGAAGGTTCTGGCTTGGTATCACTACGGGCACCTTGAAGCTACTCTTTATTAGGTTTGTTCTTCTTTTTATTCTTCTTCTTATTCTTCTTCTTATTCTTTTTCTTATTCTTCTTCTTATTCTTCTTGTTCTTCTTCTTATTCTTCTTCTTCTTCTTCTTCTTATTCTTCTTCTTCTTGTTCTTCTTCTTCTTGTTCTTATTCTTCTTCTTCTTGTTCTTCTTCTTCTTGTTCTTCTTCTTCTTCTTCTTATTATTACCATATACTTACTGCCTACAGTGTGATTTCAATCACAAACAACACAACAAACACCCTTGGACCACAATGTCTGCAGCACCACCCAACGCAACAAAGGACACCCTACGTGAATGGGTAGTTCCCCAAATACTCGCACCCTACTATACCTTCACAACTGGCCCTTGTACAATACGCCCTGTCACCAAGAGCCTCACTAACGAAGAAACATGCAAGGCCTTCGGCCATCTGCTAGCCGCATGCGAAGCCGGCGACGCCATGAGGGTGCGCACAATCCTCGCTGACGATACCAGGCGACGCAGGATCTGTTTGTTATGGGACAATGCGCGTCAGTTCTACTCGCCATTAGATGCGGCGGGGCCCCATGCTGAGATCCTGCAGATCCTCATCGACAAGAACTTTCACCCGGAACACATTCAAGAGTCTGACGTGGCCGCGCGGCTCCTATGCAACTGCAATCTGACAGCCGCATCGATGGACCTTTTGATCCAGGACCAAAGCTACACTGGGACGCCCCCGGCGGCGGAGTGGTCCTGCATTTCATCAGTCCTTCTTTTTGACGGATTGGAATCGACAGAATCGCTGCTGGACTGGTTCAAGTCAAAGGTTGTTTCAGCCAGCAAAACCGGGGGAGGCCGAAGGTTCCTCGTTTACAGACTAGGAATAGGATTCTTACCCTTCATGTTATTGCTCTACGGGCTGACAAGTCTGTAACCCCCTCCTACCTGCGTAAGGTCTTTTCCATAACGGTCCATCATCGCCCTCCAGTAGTTCTTCTGAGGCGTCTGTTTGAATGGGTGCCCTACCGCGGGGTAGGGTCGATAACCAGAAGGTTTTGTACCCTGTATATATCAGAGTTCTCGTCCTATAAAGACAAGCGGTTGTCAATGAACTACTCGAGACAACACATCCAATAATATTTTCGGGGCTGGAGATCTCAAAGGACTCGCACTCGTGATTGGCATGTCCAAATATATATCTTCAACCAGGCGCAGACAATCGATCACAGTTACCAGTCCAGAGTAGTCTCGATAACGAGACATTATCTAACTACTACGCTAAATAATGTACTAAGCCCATACTGAAACCTCAGATGCCTCGAGATATACATCCAATGCTTCTCACTAATGGTAGCAAAAAGCTATCTGAGTTTTTTTTTTTTTTTTTCAACAAGCCCACAGCATCCTCGGTAGAGATAAGAAGAGTTTCTTTCGCCGCCCTGAGCCGAGGCTTCCAGTCGCCGATACATGAATTCGACAGTGCATCACAGATCTTTCAGTGCTCCCATGCTACATCGGGCCATGCATGTGAGCTCTCCATTGCGGCGAGCCTAGTTTAGATTGTGACGCCATAGTGAGTCTCAACAGCATTCTCGAATCTCCACCAGATGCACCATGTTATCTTGATGGATATTCCAAAGCGCCACACTCCGGATTTGGTTGGAGACTGGCTGCCTGGAGATAAGGTGGGGAGCGCACTGACCATCGACCCAATCACATGTCGTGTTCGGATGCTTGTCCTGCAACACATCACGTGGCCATGACGGTATCTAGCTCAAAACAGCCTAGCGCGTTCCTCCCGCCGCACAATCATGACATCACCGTGATGCATGGAGCAAATGACGTACAGCAACAGTGGCAGTTCCTTGCAACTGAGCTACAGGGACAGGACCCTGACACAGCGATCTGGTTTCATCACCGCCGGTCTCGATCCTTCCATTCGTTACCAAGGTTGATCATACATGACGCAAGGAGTCCGTCATGAACTGAACTTCAACCCGGGTTCAACAGCTTAAATAGCGAGCAATTCCCGCTGCAATCGGTTTCTTCTTCATCAACACAACTCTCTCAAACACACTCTACTCTACAACAACCAAACCAAACCAAACCAAACCACTTTTCCAATCTTCAAACCAACCTTTACAATGGAGACCGTCAAGGTGAGCTTCGCCTTCTCCTTCCTCTCCTTCCCCTTCCCCTCCGCAAACAGCCGTCTCTAACAATACACCCTCTAGAACGCCGCCAACTACGTTACCGAGTCCATCCAGGGCGCCGGTGCCTCCGCCTCCAAGGAGGCCAACAAGAACGTCGCCAAGGACAACGACGCCAGCCTTAGCTCTCGCGCCACTGCCGCCAAGGACGCTGTTGTCGACAAGAAGGACGAGAAGTCTCATGATACCAAGGCCGATGTCCACAAGGGTAAGCAGAGCGATCCCCCTTCGGTCGATGCTGGATAGACTCTAATGGTTATTCTTGCACAGAGGCTGCTAAGCACTAAGCGACATTCCCTTTTTACGCTTCATGCTTCGTTCCCCGCTACTGCGATGAAATGAGATGAACTCTGCGGAGGTTATGATATGGATTCGTTTCGTGACAGCATGTACTTATACCCTACGTTACCATGAAGAAACGATTTGAAACTTGCAATCTCTGGGTCTTTTGTAGTCTTTCGACGTAGACTTGCATCCTCGAGCCTGATTGATCCCGAACCTGTTTTTGTGGAATACACGCTGCTTGCGGAGCTGCTATCTACAACCCCCTCCCTCCTCCATCCGCAGTGTTATAATTAAACTCCCTGTTTTGAAGGTTGGGAGCCCGTGCATAGCAAAACGCCCTCCCTGCGCACATCCGTTCTAGATCCCGGATAGCCACATCCAAACCTTGAAACAATCCACGCTAAGCACTTGGCTAGTAAATCGCCGCAGTAGCTTCGACAAGCCAAGAACGTAGCGATTCCCTATTCGCTATGCACAAGGTCATAGTTTTCAACGAATGCCGAGGTTACATAGCCTGCATGACAAGCTCCTTCGGATCGAGACCCGCGAATGGCATCGATGCATTCTAGATAAAGTATCTTATGACTGTCGGGTGACTTCTCCCAGCACCCTCGGCTACCAAAACAAGGAAGTGTCGCGCCGGACCTTGATTCTGGCACCGTACTGTCGCCCACCAAGCCAGATGAGGATACGTGCATACTGTGAGCTCAGAGCAAGCCACCTTCCAGTCATGGATTGCATTGCGAGTTGATCGGGTGCCGCCATATATTTTCCCTCAGATCTGATCGAATGGAGGTTTGATGCTATTATCTAGCGTAGCCTCTGGGGAGTTGCTGCAGGCGTAAGGGAAAAGACCAAGCATCATATATATAAAAAACGACCATGGTAGGATCTTGCCGAGCTACTCTTTCACCTTGATATTATTACGAGTTGCCTTTGACTATCATGGGGTAGTGGCATACTACCCAGAATTTGCACAACGAAACCTCTTTCATCGATTGGAGTTTGACTGCACGAACTTGATCCCAATTACATCCTAAGGTCACTGATAGTCCTCATAGCTCCAGCATCTACTATACATGTGTGCACAAGCTCCAAAGAAAGATGACATAGGACGGTACCCTGAGTAGAGATTATCTACTTCCGAACTCGCGAAATTTTGAAACCACCCGGAAATCGAGTCTGGAAGAGCCCGTCAGGATCGTATCTCCGTGCCGTCTTCCTCATATGCTTGATATGCCTCCTAGGATAGCTACCCAGAGGATCCTATACGGCATCGGCATAATTGAGGTAAACGAGCGGATGGTCTACGCCTATAGCCACAAAATAGCTTCGGATGTCCCCAGCGAATTGGCGGAACATGGCTGAAGCGACAGCATGGTCACGTTGAGTGGTGGTGACCATCAGCTCAATCGTGCACAGGACAGCATTATGTCCTCCCAACGTATCGGCAAACATATTTCCCCCTTGATCTTCGCTGATATCGGCAAAGAATGACGGCAGTGCCTGGTAGATGAGGTTGCTGGAGAAACTTGCTGGTCCGATGGCCAGCCCAACGTCTGCCACGAGCTGCCTGTTCCTTTCGACGACATAGTTTAGCATCTGCCTACTAGTTTTGAATGCCAATGTCTCAATCAGCGACCTATCTCGCATTAGTAGGTACAACAACAGCGTTCTCCTCTGCCTAGACGTACCAAGAACCTCCAGGCAGAGATGTGACTGCGGCAAGCGCGTAGAGATTGGTGACGACTGGAGTAAATGGAGTCAACTGTGGTATACGTGCAAAGTGGTCAAATCCAGGGCTGTTGAGAACGCCGGCTGTGTTGACTTCAGCTGTCGCCAGGACCTCTACTCCCGGTAAGCTGAAGATGAGTGCGATCAAGGCATCCTTGGGAAATGCCTGCTGTTGAATGTCCGTGTAATCGACCACCGCGTCAACAAACTGGCCCGAGGCATTTCCTGGCATAGTTCGCATACCATAAGAGAGTGGGATATCTGGTATCGCCTCCATGTCAAAGCGTGTAACGATGCCGAAGTTGATACCGCCACCCTTCAATGCCCGCCACAACTCACGGTGCTCGTCCTCGTTGGCGTCGACGATCGACCCGTCAGCCAGCACGACCTCGTAGTTTCTCACAGTGTCGCAGCCAAAGCCGTGTTCACCCATGTAGTAATTCGAGCCGCCTCCCAGTAGGATGCCAGGCACGCCAACGCCCCCGTCACGGCCGCCAGCAACGACCACGCCGTACGTGTGTAGTACTGGGTAGACCTCTCTCCACAGACTGCCGGGCATAACACTGGCAAGGTTTGTCGCGGGATCGTAAGTGGTCTCGTTCAGGTAAAATAGGTCGATGGTCACGCCGTCTTCAATATTGTTTGTGTGTCCCAGCGTATGGCCACCGCCGCGAACTGCGATATGCCAGTCCCCGGCTCCTCTGTGGACATTGTCCGTGCCTTGGAGCAATGCAACCAAGCCCATGGAGACCTCGGTCGCATTATGGGGCATGAACAAGCACCATGGCCGGCGTCGCGTATCAAGAGCCCAGTAGGACTGTATGCGAAGCTCGAATTCGGGGTCGGAGGGGAAACGGACTCGGTCGCCGAGGCCGGCTTCGATGAGCAGGTCGCACTGTACCGCGTGGTTAGACGTGGCCCAACCCGACCAAATCTCTGGCGGAGACTTACAGGAGGAGCTCCCGTTGCGTTCGTGGTGACTGTGATCCCACCCGAGGACAGGAATACAGTGGCCACCGACATCCAACTGATAAAAGCTCGTACCATTTTCATCGTCGAACTCGCTGTGATAGAGCTGGTGAGTGATTGTCCCTGAGATTGGAGGCGAGAGCTGCTCGAGGTTTTCATTCAGTCATGCAGCCCATCGCTCCTTCCCACAACAGCGCCTTCGCTAGAGCCTCACTGGATGCCTCTCGATCCATCCTGGGAATCCTCTGCTGCTACTAGGTACCTGTAGATTGGGATCCTCGCACCAACCTAGTACCTAGTTACCACCTTTGTATTTGCGTTTTCCCTGCTCAAGTCCAGTCCGTAGAGCTGCTCCCCCCAATAACCCCCAAAACTCCTCACCAAGCCCCTTGATCCCCTCCGGAGCCGGCCTTGGGCCAGACACCGCCGCTTGCCAATCCTCGGTCTCGTTTTCTAGCTGCCCATCAACCACAATCCATTCCGCTTCCGTCAGAATACACCACGCAGCCGCACATCCCAAGCCCAGCACCCGCATTCCCAAAACGCATCGATTTGTCCTGCGGCCACCCGGTATATGGCCTTTGTTGCTGAGCCAAAAAATCGGAAGGAGTTGACAAAGCGTCTTCCTGTTGCAGGTGATCGGGCGAGAGTCGTGCATACAGCGAGATTTACGTCGCAGTCGAGACACTCACAGTCACTTCCCCATTCGAGGGCGACGCATGTCGTTCTCACTCACTATGCACCTCTTTTTGGTCGGACGATCACGCAGTTGAGCATTTTTTCCTTCGCTGGGGCTACTAGCCTAGGGTAAAGTTGCTGCTGTCGCTACCTACCCATATGTTTACACCATAACTCCACATTGAGCAAAGCCATCCGGAATACAATCTTTATTTCGTCCTGGCATGGTTCGACTTTAGTTTGTTTATCCTCGCCTAGGGAACTGTACTGTGGGTTCGTTCGAAATTCGCCGGCTAACGTTTGCATCAGTGGTACTCGGCCATGACATGTCGACAAGCATGAAACGACCCAGAACGATTATCTGCGTGCCAAGCACGTAAGTAAAGTGCCGAATTCATCGTACCTGGCATTTCCGGACTTCAACCTAGCAACCTCTGTAGCCTGAGAGATCCGGCTATAGTCACGGGTGGCGCTTCTACCTACCCGAATCTCTAGACCTAGGGCTAGCCTGGTTCTAGATAGCATTGGGGTCTGAAGGACTCCCGGGCAGAGGCATGTCCATGATCCTAGTATTTGAAGTGAACAGGACGTCCAAGCAGCACGTCTAACTTGAAGCCGTTCACTGCTTCCGCCTCCTGAGTGGATGCAGCCCCGAGTCGGACGTCGGAAAACCAAACAAACAGCATCTATGCCAGTGAGATTGGGACATCCAGTCAGCTTTTACGGCTCGGGCCGGAAGTTAGACGGTGTTTTGCAGAATGGCCCAGCAGGTACCTTGGCTGGTATCGCAGAGAGGAGCAAAAGCGGCATGGTAAATAGGAATCCGGTACGAGAAAGCGGCACCAGGTAGATTCGTGGGTTGCTTAACCCTTGATCTATCGCTTTGTTTGGCACTGTAGTTTGCCATGGGACACCATACAAGCTACGCTACGCTACGCTACGTTGCCTCGCCGATCTCAGCAAGTACAGGGCCGCCGACCCTTGGAGACCGGAATCTGACGAAGAATGGCGCCCATGCGAGAGGGAGCTGTAGAATATCTAAGGCTAGCTATGTTTAGTTAGTTAATAGTAGTGTGGAATGCACCAATATTAACTAAGTAAAACAACATCAGGTTGCGACTCTGCGTGCCCAGCCTTCTAACACAAGGTATATCCTGGCCATTTTCCCGGGGACTTTGCTAGTAACCCTTGTAAAGAAGAAGAGGAGACCATGTCTAACGCTCACTAATAACTCTTTAGGTTAAAGCATAATTAAAGCGCGTGAACTGCATACAGTCACTCCAGCCTTCGCCTGATGGCACTGGAGGCTACTTTATCTTTCAATAGCATCTTCCACATGATTCGCGACAATTGTTGAATCGTATATCTACCTTCCTGGATAAATTGATGGAAGGAGCACACTTCTTCCTAAATGCCATAGTGGTCAAAGGAGTGAGCTTGGGATACTGGAGTCCTCGTGCCGTTAATTTTGATGGGCACTTTATAGTCAACGTTTTCTGCGACTATCCACTCCCACTATTAGGCAGCATCATTGGACCCCTACCAGGCAAGGGCCCGGATAGGTGGAAATCCCTGATATGCTTAAATTTTAAAGTGATGATCCCAATCCAGGATCGCCATGCAAGACTCCACCGCGACGCGTGTGATGTCTCGCTGGGAAACTCTATCGCCAGAGTCAATTGATTGAACCGGCCAGCTATTGGAATATGGGTAAACATGGATCGACCCAGGCACACGCGCTGGGGCCCTTCCGTGATATCATGTCCTCACGCGGTGGTCCCTCTTGCCGATATCCGGGTTTTCGAGTAAGCATCCATCACCAGGCAGCAGCCGCCATATCCCGTCCCGGGGGCACTATCCACATCAACATCCGACGTCATCGATCGTGTCCCTGCAGAAGAAGATGATGAAAAAAAGCACCACCACGTCCTCAGCCGTGTGGACCAAGTCCCACCTGTCAGGCGGGTCAATGCCGACATATCCGAACCAGATCTCGCGCGAGTGGCGAAGATCAAGCTCGCCCAGGGTGCCGAGCCAGCCCTTGGCTATAGGGCCGGCCACATAAGATGCTAAAATAGACGCGCTATCCCCGATGGAGACACATTAGATGGCGCATCGATTCGAGAACAAGGGCAGCCACATACCAAGGCTGGGCTGGTCTTCAGTGGGGCGCCCTGCGCCCTGAAGGATCGGCCAGTCGGTGGGGGCTAGGCTGGATTCGGTGCCATATTGGTCTTCTCGGGTTGAACAGATTCTCGCATGGAGCATGCATGGCTTGATCCCTGGCGGTTTGGGCCGGTCCCGAGTTGATTTGGAGTTAGTCGGTGTCTGTGCGGTGTGACTTGTTCGTAGGGCCGGCGACGGGATTTTCTTTGGGCGCTAGGGCTGTTTGGGTTGTGGTGCTGTCGTCTTATTTTCGCTTGGTCACCATTGCAGGCTATAGTTAGTCTACGGTCGAGGCTGGTTCTCGAGAATATAAGAAGGAATGGTCCCCGAGCGACATCATGACGATAATCCTATTCCTCACGCAGAAGCAAAAGGCATTCACTCTACATTTCATCTTCTCACTTACTTTGACTGTTGACAATCACATCACAATGGACGATTACTTTGGCACACAACACTCGACCTCTGTAGGGCTACCGTTCCTCTACATCCCCTCGCACAAAAACAAGATGGCCTCGCAGCTCATGGACACTCTGGTAAGCCTCAGTCTCGAACCGTATCGACGAATTAAGCTCACATCACCTCTTTAGGATGAATCTGGATTATATCCCAACCTCGACATGCACCCCAGCTTCTCAGACATCGCCATCCCCCACTCCGACAGTGGCATCATCATGCCGACGCTCACCTCCATTGAACCTGATCTCTACCACATCACCTCCGCCCCCCGCGACGCATTGCCCCCCTCAGCGCCACCAACAGAGTCCGATTACGACTCTGCAACCGGAGGCCAGACCGTAGACAGCCAGTGTACACATAAACATGTACGGCCCCTTCCCCTTTCAGCACTGCCACATAGTACGAGCCCCAACTAATACAAAAGCCCAGGTCACCCGCCGGCAACAGAACCGCGACGCGCAGCGCCGGTACCGCGAGCGCCAAAGCAAGCAGTGCAAATCCCTCGAGCAGAGCGTCGTGGACCTCGAAGCACAATGCCAATCGCTCTCCAACGGCTTCGACCAGAAATCGCACGAGGTCGTGCAGCTGTTCCGAGATAACAATGTCCTCAAGTCCGAGGTCCAGAGCCTCCGCCAGCGCTGGCAGCTCATCATCCTGCTGCTGCAGCGGCCCAAGGCTCTGCAGAGCCTGTCGGTGCTGCTCGAGGAGGAGGTCAAGTGTCTCGATGGGTTCGCGCCGCCGATCGAGCCCGCGTCGCTGGATGAGTTCCTGCACAGTCTGGACTCTGTGCTTACGGTTGATGGCGAGTTGAATCGGGGGAGCTAGAGATGGATTTGGGGGTTGCGGTTGGGTTTCCCCCCAATGATGAACCTGTGTTGGACTTTCGGTCTTGGATTTAGCCAGTGAACTTTTTTTCTATTCTCATGTTTTCTTTTTCCTTGTTTGTATTTTTTTGGGAGTCATGTCATACCAAGAAGCATCGCGGTCTCGGTCCACTCCTCGTCTACCCTACTAAATAAACATGGAATTTCCAATCCCTATCGCGCAATTCGCGGACCATACCTGTTTGCTCCCCTTTCTCCGCTCAACCAGAGAGAGTCTCAGAGACATACGATACTGATGTGCGGTTCAAGGGGGCAAAAAATAAAAATGAAAAATGAAAAAATAAATAGCTCCTCTCCAACTCTCTCTTGACTATCTAGATGTGCTCTAGGAGGCCCACCACAACGGCCGTGGACGTTAGGCTATACCCAAACTAGAGGTTAGACAGCGCAACATGATTGGTGTCTTCTTGCAGAATGCTCTTATCTGATTAGCGAAGATATGATGGATATCTTACTCAGTTAATAATGGCCGCTGTTAGACGTGAAGAATACTACTACGGGGGAGACTAGGGTAGTAGTTGCGGTGTAGTTGCAGTGTAGCGCTGTCCAAGCATCGGAGAGCTGGAAATTGCTTCCGGAATGCATCTCAGTCTAGATCAGCCATGCAGGCGCCCCTTCCTCTTCCTCACTCATAGCTCGCTCCCTCATTCCCTGACCCCTTCCTGGTTAACTTTACCAAACTTCGGGACCAGCCTACGGTCTATTCTACCAGGGTGGGGTAGGCGTGCTATACCGTAATGGGATTCTGGGCACGGCCGCACGATTGGCCCGTTGCCGCCCTGGTTAATCCTTGGGGCGGATTATCAGAAATGTCCTAATCACTACTCACGGTCCCATGGGTCGGTAATTGCATCTTCTACTTCCTTGTCTCCGCTTCCAACGTGCCTCCAATAATGGCGTGGGTGGGATAGATGGATGCTGAGTTTTATGATACCCACGGGGAACCTGGAGGGACCTTCTCAATGCTCCATCCTAATCTGATCCGGAGGGCCCGTGACGGTGCAGTGGCAGGCCGCAGACCCGTTGGATCTCCAAGGTTGCGCACAGCCCATGCCCGAATCGGCGGGGTGTGGACCAGGCGATGTCATTGCTGCTTGCAAGGGCCATATTCTCCAAATTAGACCTCGGGTGGAGGCCTACGTTTCCCGGCATTTGCGAGCCCTACATCGGAACTCTCAATCTCAAACCGCATCTTCTGCGGAGCCAGCGGTTTGTATCGCGTCTGCCTTCCCCGGGAGCCGCAACCCGCAACTCGCCACAGGTCAATCACAGTCCGCCTGGCCTGATGACTGATGGACGCCTCTATGTTTAGGCACGGATGTTAACCTAGTGGGAGAATCCCTGTCCCGCCCTCTAGTGACATGATCTATTCTGCCTGTAGGCTGGATGGGCGTAGTATAGATGACGAAAGACAGTTACGATAGTTGTGCGCAGCCAGTGTGCATCGTTCGTCCCGATAGTGGACTAATTGCACAGTAGCGAGCGGTGATGATCCTGTTGCCTTGATGACCGCAGCGACTACGCGTGGATATTTCTAGTTCAAGGCGGCTTTTTTGGGGCCAGACCGCGTTGAACTTTTCCCTGCTGGATGCTAAGCAGTCAATAGATAAGCCATACCATTTCTGGACATGTTTTATCCATCGTTCATTCGCCAGGGCTTAGATGAGTGAGCACATCCTCAGCTTAGACGCATTTCTCTGGCATCCAATTCGCCACACAGGCGAGCCAAGTCCGCCCGCAGGGCAATGTCAAGCCTAAACGAGAATGATCCCAGAGGTATTTAAGACCTCTTAAGCCGGCGGCCGGGCTCGCCAGGCTCCCTCCTGAGCTCTCCCAAAAGATGTCTTCCGTTCCTTCTCAGACTCCGACTGTTAGCCAAGGCTGCAGACGCAAACGCAGACGCATCCCACGTGCCCGGTCTCTTTTGGACCGAGTTGGATTAGCCTAGAAAGCCTTGGCTTGCAGAGGCTCGACGGGACAGGTGAGATACTTCTAATAACTGACCAGGCCGGGCGGAACGCGCCGAGATGGTCTAGGGCGAGAAATAATCCAATCAGTCTTGGTGCTGATCTAAGCCTCAAAGCCTCCATCACCGACAGGTCAACCTTTCCAACACGCGACGCAGTTCACCACCACCACCTCGTGACTCAGGCCAATTTACCACTCTCGAGGCCGTCCATCCGCTAAGCAGACGGCTCTGCGTCTCTCGCAGCCACGCTCATTTCCCTCGGACTCGCTGGCCCGAGGGCATGACTCGAGCTGGGATATGGAGCAGCTGATTGGTCCCCCCGCCTGGTGACTCGGCATGTAGTAAGCGCCTCGTCAGCATCCAACCTCGCTCTCTTGGCAACGCCGACAACAACATCGACTCGACGCAAGTGCCGAACCTAATCTCTACACTTCCATATCCCAACGGCCGCCTGTGCTCTCGTGGGCTCACTCGCCCACGGACTCGATCGATCGGTCGATCGGCCGCCTCGCGATCATTGGACCTTCCATCTCCTCTCAGCGCCGCGCCCACGCAACCCATCCATGTTGTAACCGGAGATTCCCCGGCCGGACCAGGCAGCAACGCTGTCCGGCGGGTGCATAATCTAGAGTCCAGCCGGCGTGCGTGCGTGCGTGCGTGGCTGAACTGAAACCGCATGGAGAGAAGCAGTAGCCCAGCCAGCCTATCATGAGAATTCCGCCGACCGACTCGGATCGAGACCTGGAGGCCGCGTCGTTGTTGAACTTCGCTCTAGGATCGATGCGGTAGCTAGTCTGCGGCGTGTCATTCGTTTGGACTGCGTGACGGTGTCGAGACGGCGCCGCGCCGCTCTGTCGCCCTGGCCCTGGCTCGGGCTCGGGCTCTGGCTTTCCGCGCCGCCTGTCTTCTACTGGATCGACCCGACGCTGTTGGTCTACGTACTACCTACGTAGGGTAGGTATCTCACGGGTTCGCTCTTCGCACTCATGATCGCTGCACGCTGCTCACTGGGACATGGCCCCTCGTGCCGGAGGCTCCGAGACCCGGCCGGAACGAATCCCCGTCTGTGTCTTGTGTATCTGCACGGTCGTTGTGAGGTGAGGATGAACGAGTCGAAGCGAGAGTGGCTGACTAGTCAATTGTTGTCCTTTTGACGGGTCGGGCAGTGGTCCAAGATAGCTACGCAAGTAGCTAGATAGGTATGTAGACTAGGTAGACAGGTACCGTGTCCTGACGAGTCGCTATTTCTTCTGTGCCCATAATCCTCAGACCAAGTGTGCCCGGCCAGGCGAGGTGCTATCTACCTACATAGATACGCCGTACTCCATATCTCACCGCACGGCCAGTGAAGCCAAGTGGTTTCGCGCCTGTCAGCTATCCATCAATCTATCCATAGTTCCTCATTCCTGAACGCTGCTCTCTGTTAGCAGCCAGACAGCCAGGCCCCCTATTTTTGCTTCGCTTCGGAAGTATACATGGCCTCCAACTCGGCTCTCGCCAAGTAAGCTTACATCAGCTGAGATTTCTCCTGATTGGGACAAGGCGCGTGGACACAGGTCACGCCACACAAGGCGCAGGGAGGAGACCCTGGACCCGACAGATGTGGTTATAAGCTATTCTAGACATTTTTTTCTCTCTTTTTTTTTTATTTATTGCGTCGCAGGCGCAAGCGGCGTATCAACAATCACTCAGAGAGAGAGAGACATATCGAATCAACATGCTGCGTTTCATCGGCGCTCAAGATGCGCGGGGAATGCGGTTAGGGTTTGCAATGCTGTTGAATAACGCGCAGTGATAGCTGGGTGGGTGTCAACGTGTGGGGCACCGTTTTTAACGGCAGACGGCAAGTGTCAGTCCGCAGGGCTATTGTGGGCTTGTGGGCTTGTGGGCTGCTCGGCACCGCGAGGAGGGTCCGGGGGAGGCTTGACGCTTCGGACTTGTTCTTACGATGGGGTAAGCAGGTCAGAGCCCTAGGCTTGGGTTGAACGGGAGAGAGTATGTGTTTGTGGCTCAGCAGGATGCGAGAAAAAGACCCTGCATGCCATACGGACAACCCTACCAGGTCAGCGCGGGCTGTATCAAAGGATGCGTAGGAAGTGGCGGCAGACCACTCTACTAGAGATGGTGTGCATGTCTGTTCTAGTTATGCGTGCCCACCCGGACTTTTCTGTAAGGAGGCATGGAGTGTGATTATTATACTATAGTTACACGAGATCTGACAAGCAAGCCATATAATAACATGTGTGTGAGGTAGGACTATTATGTAGTACTTGACTAGGATGTTTACAAGAGTACTAGCAAGGCTACTCTGCTTCAGAGACAAGTCTTCTACTAAACCAAAGAGACTTGGACAGAAATTATGATGGAAAGCATGACAATACAAGACATAGTAGTGACGAGACCAGTGCCTTGATGCACTCGTGATGGAGATATTGAAAGAAACGAGCTAACCTACCCTATCTATGAGCGCTATCTCATCCCTAATGTCATTAGCCCGACAGCTGACCAAGGCATTGCCTTTGTTGGGAAATACAAATTCAGCACATGCATGGGAGGTCTGCTGTCTACACCTATTGGGATAGATAGCAACAGAGATGGATCAGGGGATTCTCTTTTTCCTCCTCCTCAGAAGGTGGCTACTAGTCCAACACCGAGGACATACTCTCCCTCGATCACTCTGGCCACCACCTCCGCGGCTGCAGGCAAATGTTGCACTACGTTCAACTAGGACTTGCACCAGCATAACTACGCTCCAGTCGGAGATTACCGTGGCCAAGCTCTGCCCTGCCTTGCCCTGTATCAATATATAGCTGACTAGATGTGTACACCCAGATTCTCGCTCGGGGCAATATAAGCTCGCTAAGCTCACTAGCTTCAATTTCTTTCTCATTGTGATAGACACTGGACAAAAGCAAAATCTGATCCATGGGCAAAGAGTGGGATCAGAGCTCTCCTAGGCTGTACAGCGGTTTGCTAACCATATACATGTCCATATACACGTACTTATATCCAGTTTAATCGCAAGCTCCTGCAGAAGTTTCATACCCCATAGTTTATGTAAATGTTCTCTCGCTGCTAATAGGCCACGCATGAAATAACTCAAACCACGCCATAAGGTGCGAGTTAAAAAGTGCTAAACGAGATCATCGGTAAAATATGAGAATATTGATGAAGCTCGAATCCTGAGAAGCTCGGAGCCAGCTGGAAAGACCACCCACCGGCTAGAAATTAAAATACCGCCAGTAAATCAAAGCACGGTTCCATGAGGCCTTTGATTCGGCGGGGCTATCATCAACAGCATTCTCAGCCGCGTCCATGGAACCGCTCGTAGGAGTAGAAGTGGGAGCTGACGTCGTACCAGACGAAGTAGTCGAGGTAGTCGAGCCACCCGCCGACTCATCCTCATCATCTTCCTCCTCAAGCTCAGCCTCAAAAACAACAACCGTCTCGCCCCCACCACAAACCTCCCTCTCATCCCCGCTGCAAGGCAGATCACAATCCTCCTGGTCGCGCGCCCACTCCCCACCAACAAACGGACTACACCAGCACTCGTCCCCACCCTTGACACCGGCGAACCTGTACGCGCCCCTGTAGCACGCGTCCTGGCACTTGGCGATCGTCAGCGCGTCGTCTGCAGCGCTGACGCGCGTCTCCATGAGCGGGAGATGCGCGGGGTCGTCAAAGTAGCAGCCCAATTCCGTCCATGCTGTCGGCGACGGGCCGAGTGTTGTCGTCGAGGCCGTGGTGCTCGCTGGTTTGCTTGTTGTCGTTGCGCTCGCGCTCGCGGATAAGCTCGAGGCCGTATCATCGAGCCTCTCCTGCGTAACAATACAGTAGGACTGCCACTCATTCCACGGCTCGCAGTCGAGACTCACAGAGGGATTCCATTCGGTGAATTGCTTGGGGGTGATGGTGAAGTAGTCGCGGAGTTCCTTGCAGGTCAGGCCTTCGCTGTTGTCGTACCATTCCACGCATGAGGGGATTGTATCTGGGTCTGCGTATAGGCCGGGGGTTTGGCTGGCCGTGGACAAGTGCAGGGTGGCGAGGGCCGTTAGTGCGAGGAGGGTTGTTCGCATGGTGGTGTACTATGGACCAGGTAGCTCGGTCCGACAGCAAGCGAGTCTCTGTTCGATGGGAAGTGGTTCTCAGGGAAGATCCAATGCTTGAGACGATATATAGCAGAGTCGGCAAAATAAGAGTCATCAAAGAAAATCCTTCCTGGGCGGCTGCTGATCGAGCTTTCCCCTAAACTCAGGGTCAGGGGCTGCTCTTTTCCTCTAAACGCTCTAGTTGACTTGGTCGGGAAATTCCGATAAAGCAAATCTTCGAGTTATCCAATCATGCAATCAGACTCAAGAGTGTTTTGTGGGGCTTTTGTGGGCAACTAAACCGTTTTCTCTCTGGTCTCCATACAATGTTACATTCTAAACAGCCCTAACCGCGCCCAGCCGGGCCTTCAGCCTCTGGGGGGCGAAAGTATCGACCAATCTTGTCTTTTCCTGCTCATGGGATCTCTGCCTCGGCACAGCACGGATCATGCCTGTATGTACAGATTCGGGTCACGCGAGCTTGTAGATTTCACAGCAAAACTGTGCATCTCACCTCTTTCATACCAGCGCCTGTGGCCCTTGACGTCGGCTATCCAATCCAAGGTTTATGGCTATACCAACAGAACATCCCTGTTGAAACCAAGCCGCACAGTCTGAGTGCCATCCCTCACTTTATAATAGCCTCGTTTGAATGGGGATTTGGTGAAATCGTCATCAAACTATAGGTACCCTGTACCGTACACTCAAAGCTTCGATTATCCAGTCTTCATAGTTGCCTTGACGTGCATACAAACATACGCCTCAATCCGCCCCAGGTCCAGTATTGGCATACGGCCCACGCACCCACCCAAAGTAAATCCTCGAATCCGCCAGAATCCCCGTCGGATCGTCCTCCGCATAGCTTCCTTTCATCTGGGCCTCCCGATCAGTGTAAAAGTGGTCCTTGCGGTGCCGATGCATCTTGACGGACGTCAATTCCGGGAATCTCAAACGCTTCCCACCTCCATCTCCAACCGAGTCTGACTCGTCCGACTCCCTCGCCGCCAGCGCCAGGTCCCGGAACTGCGGGATGAGATGGGGCTCGTCCCAGAGGGTCTCGGCTTCGTCGGGCTGGGAGTAATCCTGCATGCTGATCCCGGTGAAGTGGTCCAACTGCTCGGGGAGGACATCGCGAAGCATTAGGTGCGGGTTCTCGCCGGGTTTCCCGAGTAAGGCGTCGATCTGCATGGCGAGGCCACTGAGTTTTGTGAAATGTCTCAGGGACCCAAAGTAGCCGGTCATGTAGCTGAATTCCTGCTCCTCGCGCCAGTCTCGCTCGTGGTTGTTGCTGAAGATGACGGAGAGGTATTCGAGTCTTTCGGCGCATCCTGCGCGCTCGAGAACGCGCTTTACTTTGGTGACGTTGTGGCGCACGGGGGAAAACACGTCGCCGCTCCCGTCTTCGAATTCGAGATGGCGAAGTCGGTCCGTGCTGCTTATGATGGCTTCGAGCATCTCCTCGGGCGGGGCGTAGTTTTCCTGACTCCCCACGTTGGGTCCGGTGGCGAGCACAGAGAACTCGAGGCGCTCGAGGCGTGGAAGACGGAGGAAGAGCGCAAAGTTGGCAAAGGTGTCCGTGCGCACTGTGAGTGTGAGGCTGCTGAGGTTTGCGAGTTGAAAGAGGAGGATCCACGGTCGGGATTTGCGGTTCAATGTTGCCAGCCAGGTCAGATCGTTCTCTTCCAGGGCGCGGGCGTAGGTGCCTGTCGCATCGGCGTGGAACTTGCGGCTCAAATCCTCTGCGGCGACGACGAGGGGCTTTGGTTTCTTTGCCGGTGGCGGGGCTCGCTCTCTTTGGACCTCTGAGTCTGGATCTGAATCGTAATCCGAATCATCATCCTCGTCCTCCTCCTCCTCGGATTCCTCCTCCTCAGACGCACTCTCCTCGCTCTCCTCAAACTCAAACACCTCGACCTTCTTCGCGAGTTCCGGCCGCTGAACCATCATCTCGCAAAGCACCTCAACCGCACGATCCGACGGCTCCTTGATCTCCCTAAACACCATGGGATCGATGACATCTCGCGCAATCTTGGAGACGAGCCGCATCTCAAACACTTTGCGGCGACCAAGGTATCTCGCCCTGTACGCGTTCGAGCTGCGGTCCCACTTGGGTTTACCATCGTCTTCGTAATCGAGCCCATTCCCAAGCAGGGAGTTGAGAACGTCCTTGAAGATTTGGGTTTGGATTTCGACGGGGAGGTGCGGGGGCATGTTGCGTTGTGTGGAGGGGGGAAGTGGACTCAGGTATGATTCGAGACGGGAGGATTATTGCGGTGGGCTTTGGATGGGTCGTGGCGGTCACTTTATACTCTTTCCCCTCGTATACGCGGGCTGCAGATCACGCCCTACTGAACCTGGACTCGTACGTAACGTGGCTCCACTTGTGAGGCTGAATACGAGGCTTTCCGCTATGGTGGGACTTCCTGGACACTACTAGCCACGATACTGGGCGGTAGGGTCTGAGTTTAATCTGTTAAAGACTGAGCGAGTTTGGCAGTTCATTTTTCGTAGAATAATCAGGGATTGGTCTAGCTTCCAGGTTCTATGTAATTACTCAAGGAGTGAATAGGATCAATTCTACTTTCACCATATATGCCCACTCATCCTGACAGCCATTTAGAGAAAGTTGAAAGCAAGGAGTCCCCCTTTTCTCTTTGCCATCGTTTCAGGTAATAAAAACTAGACCTAGAAAATTCTAACCAGCTCTCTTGATAATCCTCTCCAAAAACCGCTCCACCCTCGACGAATCTCCAAGCTCCGCAACAGTGCCAACATATCCATCCGGTCTCACAACAACCATCGCGCCTTTTGTGGGATCAACACCATAGATGCGGTAGACATCTTCAAGCTCGTAACCATTGTAAAACGACATTTCCGCCTGTTCCTTCACGCACGAAGGGATAGTTTCCCATGTTATCTCGCCAGGAAGCCGGGGGTAGATGATGATTTGTTCGATGAGTGACGGTGGAAATTCCTTGATAAGGTCTGTTGCTTTGGTAAGTGCTGTTGCGGAGATGCCAGTTGGGTCGAGGAGGTCCGTTGATAGGAGGGTGACGAGGCGGAAGCGGCCGGTTGATGGGAGGTCTGTGGATGGTGGATTTTGTTAGTTGGTTTCCTTCAATTTTACTCACGTGTGGAAGCATGGGAAAAGGGGTACTGAACCATCCTGAATATCCCGATGCCACCCATCCGCAAAACGCTTCATCTTGACATTCAGCAGGCGCCGTCCTGGCCGTAGGATACCAGACAGAAAGTCATCGCCACTGATGACGGGGCAGCTACCGTCTGCGACGGACCTATCAACCGCCAAATTCTCGACGTACTCTACGCCGCAGCCGCTGGTAAAGCCACACCCGGTGTTGAACAGGTCAACAAACTCTGCGTGCGAGAGTCCAGATTTTGATTCAGCCGTGCCCACCTTGTCCGAGAAGCCGCTCGAGAACTTGCGGTCGAAGTCGATCAGCTGTTGCGCGTTTGCGTGGCGTTCTGTGTGGTACGTGTCGAGGAGTGGGCTTGGGCTGCCTTGAGTGGATGAAAGAGGGGTTATCCCATTTATGTGGTAGGCGAGCTTCCAGGCGAGGTTGTATGAGTCCATCATGGATACATTCATGCCTTGGCCAGCCTGTAAAGCTGCGTCAGTTTTTCAGAATTCAGCAAGAATCTGATTAGGTAGGTCATACCTTTGGACTATGTGTATGGCAGGCTAGATTGTATTAGCTTGAATTCGACAAAATTAAGGCAGGGATACTCACCATCACCGACAACAAATACCCGACCAAGACCGCTAGAGTCCTTCACGATAAACTCAGGACACACTCGCTGTCCAATCTGGTACGCAGCCCACCAATCAATCGCATCATCCCTCTTTGGCCTGATGTAGTATGGCTCAAACACATCCTTGGCCTGCTTCAGGATTCCTTCTAGTGTCACCTTGCTTCGGTTTCCCTTGGCGTCTTTCTTAAGGTCCGCATCTGTGCCAGCACTTCCCGGCTCTACAACTCCAGGCATGTGGACATACAGTCGAGTGATGTGCTCACCAGTATTGATTCGTTCGCGGGGAATGACCATAACTGACCCTGCATGCGAGTGGATGGCGCAGCGCCTGCGAATGTCAGGAAAGTTGGTGTCAACAATGAGATCCACAACCCCCCATATATGATCGAGCGACTGGCCCTCTAATGAAAGGCCGACCGATTTGCGGACCACCGAGTGCGCGCCGTCTGCACCGACCAGGTGCTTTGTGCGAACAACTTGGGGCACCCCGTCGGCTTCAATCTCAGCAATCACAGGAAAGTCCGGATCAGTGCTCTCGTCAATCTGCAGTGACACAAGCCTGGTGTTCCGCAAGACCCCGCGCGGCGAGTATCGGAGGAGATCCGTCTCCATGATCCGCTCCACGCGTCCCTGGTGGATGGTCGCCTCGTACGGGAATCTCGCAGGTGGAATCACCTCTGGCACAACGGATCGTCTCTCAATCACCTTGGCCGGGTCCTCAGAGGCGTTCCAGAATGCGAACTCCCACATCTGGCAGGCCTCGTTCTCGATTTCATCTGATATACCCAATGTCTTGAAGACCTCCAGGGTGCGAGGCTGTATACCGTCTGCCTGGCCGGATTTGAGCGTGCTGGGCTTCGAGTCAATACATAACAAGGACTTGTCTGTCAAGCCGTATCGCGCTAGAAGCAGATGAAGCATGAGGCCTGCAGGTCCGGCCTGCGATGGGTTAACGCAAAGGCAAGTTTTGGGACATGTTCTGTCGACGTACCCCAACAATGACTACTTCGTAACGCTGGACCTCATCTTCTGCAGGCGCGAGCACTGGGGTTAAACGAGGAAGGGCAGGTGCGAAGCATGAAACGGCCCTAAGATCGCGCCAACTCGATGCGTGTTCGGTGAAGAGGGGCATGATGACGGGTTGAGATGCAAGTGGATGGTAAATAGTCGCATCTTCCCATTATGGTCCCCTCACTTATAGGAGAGATTATTTCGGAACCCCCGCGGAGAGCGTTGAACCCCGCTGGGTAGAACCGCGAAGTCGGAGACCAGTTCTGTAAGCATAGCCGAGGAAATGGTCGTGGACCAGCAGCTGATACGTGGGGTTTCAGGCCTCGTGAAGCCATCAATTCTCAGCAACCAGTCACTGTTGCATTATTTCTTGTGTGTCCCAGTCGCAGAGGTACATTGCTAATGGCTGTGGTGGGTTTGGTCCTGGTGCACCCCGCGAGTCACCCCGCCCGATGCCCCACCTTACAGCCCACGACCGCGGGGTGTCGATGGAGAGAGATGGAGTTCGCTGGCTGCGCACTTGACCCAATAAGGAAGGCATAAGATATTGTGCAACAATCGTCCGTGTTGACTCCATGTATTTCACTAAACCAGGTTCCTTAGCGCTGCTCCGTTCTCATGAATCATGGACTCTGCTTATTCTCCAATGCAGCACACAAAACCGAGGTAAACGTTTGTGAAATGCCCCATCGGTTGAACCGGTTCAGGAGATCAATCAAGCGGTGTAAGTGGCTGACGTTGGCGAAAGCAGCGTCGCTCAAATCTTGACCCTGAGGGGTTTGGAGACCTGCAAAACTCCCTACCAGCTGGATCTCGGGCGCATCAAATGCGTTGGTGTCGATCGCATGTCGACCACCTACGCGAGTAAAGCAAAACCACGCCAAAGCTGCGCTGAAAAGAGCACGAGGTATGTGGATTGCCGGCTCTGATGACACGCGCATCCGCTCAAGGTTTTGCTGGATTAGTAGCGCATGTACCAAACACCTACTCGCATCCGGGGAGCTAGCCCATGAACGGATGAGAGAGGCTTTGGAGCTAGCAAACTCCTGGCCATCACGGCCAATGGCTTGCTCCAGCAGGTCTATATCGGCATAGATACTGATGAAAACAGAGTGCCACAGAACCGGTAAACTGAAAGAGTCGGATTCTGTTTCGTGGTGGAAGTGGCTGGTAAATATTCTCCACCATCGCATGAGCATGTTTGACAGTCGTCGAGATTCATGTTCGTCGAAAGTATTCGACCGCCGGGCTTCAATGACATGTGCATTTATACTTTCCAGGGCTCCGTACGCTGAGAACTTGGAGTATGCGACGGCTGTCTGAAGAGGGTCTTCTGGAATCACGAATGATGAGTTCTGCGTCGGCGATTTCTTGTAGAGCTCTGCCCAACGTGACGCGGTGGGTGCGGTAAACAATGCATCAGGGGCTACACGTGGGTATTGACCGAATCGATGTTTACGCAAAGGCTCGTGGTGCAATAGACTTGCGAGCTCCGCGTCGTGGATATCGAAGGCAATTTCCACCCGCCTTCGCTGCTCGTGATCAATCCACCGACTCCATTGCTCATCCAGATCGTTCCTGGTTGGGTCCAAGGTCCGAGGATCAGACGGTACTTGAAGCGCAGTTTTAGCAGACTCTCGGGCCCACGCCATTACTGTACCATGTAGCACATCTGCCAGAACGAGGGATTTAGGACGGCCCGATAGAATCGCAAAAGTCTGACCAAGAACGGCGGCTTGCACCATTGACAAGGCATCAGAGGGGCTATTTGACAAGATGGCCTCCCAGGATGCCAAAATCGCTTTGTTCAATCGCTCAAAGAGACGGATCCCTTGCGCAACAGCAGAGGCGGATCCTACGAACAGGCTGCCAACCGAGCAAATTGAGATGAAAAGTAAAGAGTTTTCCATGGTGGGTCTGAACGATGGTAAATGCACGATAGGCAGGAGCGAGTTGAATCGGCTGAAAAAGAGGTTCGCGAAAAGGTTTAGTTGGTCAGAAGATGGGAGACTCTCATCATGCATGCGAGGCTGGAGCCTCTGTGACAGGCCGGCCCGGTAATTCTCGTCAGCCGCGACGATTCCCTGGCCCATGGAGCTCCCACGGTTGGTGAACGCCGACTGTGCGTTCCACATGCCTTCCTCGACGGTCAGCCGAGTGAACCATTTTTGCCTCACGTGGTCGGCCGGTTGCTGTTGAGGATGTGTCGGCATAGCCCCTGTAAGTATTGGCGTAGACGTATCCAAGGTGCACACATCGCCTGTACGCGCTGAGAAGGGACGCGAAGGTAGCTGTGCCCACTCTGATACAGCCGACGATAATGTAAAGTCCAAGGCATCGACGTCCAGCTCAGTCCCCAGCAACCAAGAGCTTGAATCGATATTGAGGATGGGATCATGAAGTGACTGGGCGTCTATCGACTGAAGCTCATTGGCACCGAGAGAGTGACTAGATATCCCAGACACGTTGGCGGAGTAGTCTGGGATCAACGGGGGATTGTGCGTTTCCTGGGAGAAAGGGGTGAGCATGGTAGTATCCCGATCCGGGTGCTCTGGCGTTGAGACCGAGGCATTGCGGTGGCTCTTCTCATGTCGTCGCAGAACATCACTGGAGAGAATGTGTCAGGCTGAGGAGTTGAGAGAAATGGCAGGCTGTAACACGAACCTGCGAGAATACAACTTGCCGCAGATGGAACACGCGTAGGGGCGTTCTTTGGTATGGCTGCGAAGATGGCGGGTGAGATGCTCCGCCTTGGAAAAGGTCTTGTTACAGGACTGGCAGCTCCGTTTGTGTACAGCACTCATTCTTTCTCGAGTCATTGGGGTATCGCGGAAAACATGGAGGAGTCGAGGCAGAATTGGTCGCAGTGAAGGTGAACCCCCGCATTTGGCACGTGACAGGCACTCCACAGTAACACTGTCCTGGAAACTGGTCGACTGCGGAGAACAGGGACAAGGACAAGGACTGGGTCGATCCTTCGAAGGGGCAGACTGGGAGGTGCCATCACCCCACAGATCATGGCTGCGGGGTAGAACCATCTTTGGGAAACATTTAAGCCGGGGCCATGAACCCCTGCTGCTATGGAGTAACTACGCTCTACTGGCATCATGGTTGGCGGAACTATCATCATCGCCTTGCCCTTGCTCTTTTGCTCCTGGGTGACTTGGAAACTGGCTCGCTTTGCTCTGTCTGCTCGGCGCTCACCTTTTCTTCCTCCTGGTCCACCCACACTACCCTTGCTAGGTGAGCTTGTCCGTCCTGCCTGCAGCGACTCGAGCTAACATACGATCAACAGGCAACTTACACCAACTGCCGACCAGCAAGGCTTTTATTAGGTAGCCTAAAGATGCATTGCTTCATTATGCCAGGTACATGACTGATCATCGCTGCAGATTTCAAGAATGGGCAAAACACTATGGCCCTATAATCTCAGTCAAAACAGGCCCTGGGAGTCTCATCGTCCTGAACTCGGCAAAAGACGTAAAGGAGTAAGCACTCCCAAGCTCCAAGACAATGGACCTCCTTCCAATCCACATTCAATCCTTTACAGACTGTTCGATAAGCGCGGCTCCATCTATTCAAGCCGGCCGCCAAACCACATCGGCAACGAGCTTATCGCGCGCAACGATGTGCACCTACTCCTCATGCCATACGGGCAGGCGTGGCGGAACCAGAGAAAGATATACCAGGCTCTCGTCAGCATCACCGCCGTCCGCTCGCTGCAGCCAATCCAACAGGCAGAGTCCTCCTTGACCATCCACCAACTTGCACAGTCCCCGGCGCGGTACTACGACCACATCCGCCGATACTCAACCGGAGTGATTCTCTCTTCAGTCTTTGGCGTCCGCGGGCCCGAGTTTGGCCATCCGAACATCACGCGCCTCTACCACGTCCAGGACCAATTCACTGCCATCCTCGAAACAGGTGCAACCCCGCCCGTGGATGTCGTTCCGTTCCTCAAGCGGCTGCCGGATTTCGTCTCCCCCTGGCGGCGCTGGGCGCGCCAGATCCGGAAGGAACAGCGAGAGCTCTATTTCGAACTGCTACAAGACGCCAAAGATCGACGGGCTCGAGGCGTGCGACGCAATTGCTTCATGGACCAGCTGCTAGATGAGAGCTTCAGGGCAAAGTACGAGCTGGACGATGAGCATATTGCGTATATTGGTGGGGTCCTGATGGAGGGGGGCTCGGATACAACTGCTTCCACGCTGCTTTCGTTCCTCCTCGCTATGGTCAAGTATCCTAGGGTCTTTCGCAAGGCGCAGGAGCAAGTCGACCAAGTGTGTGGGATCGAACATTCCCCTTCTTTCGAGCATCTCGCACAGTTGCCTTATGTGAAACACTGTGTCTCTGAAGTAAGCACCTTCTCCTCGCTATATTCCGCTGCTATAATAGCTTCAGTCACCAACACTTTACAGGTTCTGCGCTGGAGGCCTGTGGCGGCAGGAGGCATTCCACATGTCTTGGTCCAAGGTACTCCTCTCCCTTTGGCAGAGACAACATAGAATCAAGTATCTAAGCCAGACCGCAGACGATGAATACAAAGGATATCACTTCCCTGCGGGGACGACCTTTCTAGCAAACGCATGATACGGTGGCATACACTCCAAGTTACATCCCATCCCCCTGCAGCCTCGCTAACGCCGGCAGGGCAATCCACAACGATCCAGAACTATACGACCGACCAGACGAGTTCCTCCCAGAGCGCTACGAACAGAGTCCTCTCGGCTTTAAGCCAGATGTCGACGACGCAACAGACGGCATTCGCAAGACGTACGCATTTGGCGCAGGGAGGCGCATCTGCCCCGGGTCGCATCTGGCGGAAAGCTCCCTAGTACGAGTGCCCCTGTTCTCGCTGTTGCTTCTTTTGATTCGGTATGGCAACAGGGGCAGGTAGCTAACAAAGCCGCAGGATATCAACATCGCAAAGATCATTTGGGCATTCGACATTGGGCCCGGGATTGACCAAGCGACTGGACGGCAAATGCGAGTGGAGGATGTCAATGTCGATATCGCGACGCAGTGGACGGACGGGTTCCTCATTGCGCCCAAGCCGTTTCCGATTCGCCTGTCGGTCCGCTCGGAGAAGCATCGAGAGGTGTTGGATCAGGAGCTCAAGGAGGCTCAGACGATCTTTGACTGTTACGAGAACTAGGTTGGGGTTTACTTGGCTGGGTATAGGATCACAGAAGCCTCTCGTTTACATTCACCTTGTGCCGCTAGCTTTACCCTCTACTCTCTTCTTTAGCGACGACAGCATAGGCGTCACTCATAGTATTCTTCAATTGTACATCGCAGGGTACCAGCGCCAATTGACGCAGCTCGCGGGCAACGGGGCCTACCTAGGCAGCTACAAGTACAGGCTGACCTGCCGAGTCTGCTAGCTAATCATATCCGGGCCCAGCTGTTTTGCAGCTATACCCGGCACGTAATCCCAACGGAAGTTGAGGCCCGGGGGATGAAACTGGGGAAACGGGGGCCCCCACATGCCTGACCACCCCGCATGCTCTGCTACTCTAAATTACTATAGAATCAGACCAAGATCAACAACCCCCGCAGCATGCACCTCACACCCACCAACATTGCAAGACATCGTTCACAGCTGATATCTCCCATATAATCATGTCGCCAGGCCAACCGAAATACCAGACCTCCACTGCCGATGTCCAAGGCTACACCCGCACCAAGCACCTCTACATCCCCATGCGCCAATCTATTCCTACCGTTCTCCACATCGAAGGAGGCCAGAAAGTCCCTGTGATTTTCAGTATGGGGCCCTGCGGGAAGGATATCCACACTTCCACGTTTGGTCTGCCGAAGCCCTTCGATCTACGCGGAGAGGTATCAACATATCTCGCCGCTGGGCCCGGATGCTGTGTTTTGAGTTGTGTGAGCCTACTATTTGGGTATATAAAATGACCCTGCCGGAATGCTGTGCTCCAAGGCTCATGTACTGTATGCGAGGTAGTGTCTAGAGTATGGCTTTGCTCTTCTCCGCCTTGACACGCGCGGCATCGGGGGGAGTCAATCCAGTTTCGACCCGTTTGGCTTTGGGCGATCTGTCCTCATTGATGCGGATGCAGAAGCACAAGGTAAGACGCTTCTCGCTTACTCAGTTCAGTACAACTCCTGCCAGGGCTGACCACGTTCGTTCCATCTCGATCAGACCTCTACGACACATGGAGCGTTGGTCGGCTCCTGGGCAGCCATGCAAAACCCCCCACATCTAACCTACGTCCTGTCCTACGAGTCCCAGTGCAACATGTATCACGCGGCGCGGAAGAACGGTGTCTACAGTAACAACTTCCAATCGCACTGGCTCAGCAGTGTTGTTCTTCTGTACCAGGCTGGGACGCAGGCGGGTCGCGGACTGTGGAGGAGCTCGCAGCTAACCGGGTGGATTATCCCGAGTTGCTCGCTACGACTGAGTATCCCGATGAAGGTGTTTGATTGCATCCGCAAGCTAGGAGGATACTGGAGTTCCTATTTACCTAGCGGGAAACTGGACGGATCCTGAGCTGCACCTTGCGGGCAACATTCGCCCCTTTGATGGGATCTCCTCGGAGTATAAGGGGTTGGAGACGCATACAGGGAACCACCTCGGGGCTTTCTATGAGCTAGAGCATATTGAAATGCCGAGGGTGTTCCTCGACTACTTCCTCTTTGATAGAAGGGAAACGGAATGCTTGGTGTCCCCCGTCTTCGTCTCCTACGACACCAGGGGAAGGATACAATCTACTGAGAGACCGAAACCCCGTTCCCTCCGCCAGACGCAGAAGATACTGTCTTTTACTTGATGCCAGACCAGAACCTCTCCGCAACAACCCCAGCGAATACAAGCCGCACCACATTCAAAACAAAAGGCTATGGCCTTGAATTCACAACCCTCCACTTCTCCTCAACACCCCCTTCCCAGAGTCCTTCAAACTCCTCGGCACCCCCTACCCGACCTCGAAGTAAGCACAGCCGCGCAATATCTCGACCTCTTCATCTACCTGCGCGCCATTGATGCTAAATGTAAGCTCATTACTCTTGCGGGCAACCACGGCGAGCCCATGGACAGTTTCGCGCGGGGGTGCTTCCGCCTCTCGCACCGCGACCAAGTTGCGCAGGCTTTCCTGAAGAAAAAGGGGGCCATCGATCAGCCAGATGTTCCGAGGTCGGAAGTGATCCAGGGGAAGGTATATAGGGCGTTAGTCCTCTTATACCCAGCTGCGTTCTTGTTCGACGAGGGGCAGTCGTTGAGTCTTGAGATCGGGCATGTCAATACGCCGAGCACGGTTCTGACAATAAGGCATGAGGGTGGGGATTGGACGGCAGAGAGGTTTGCGGGGGGGGAAGTGTCATTCATTGGCATGGGAGACTTGTCCTACCGCGTGTTCGACGGTGCGTGGAGTGGCGAGGCTGGATGGTTCCTTCGGTTGAACGCATAGTGAAGTGGGAGTATCCTTGAGACATGTGATATTGGGTCCTGCTGGAAACTATCGACTGGTGAACAGGAGTATCATGATCGCAATCAGAATTTGACTAGAGTTCTGTGCATGCGTACATGGTGTACTTCGAAGCAAGGGAAAAGTGGAAGAGACAAGGGTGCCTACGTCGTCATACAGTACTCCAAGGTCCTCAAGGGACGAGAATATTCCGACTGCGGAGCTGGTGTTTATGATGATACTCGCCTTGGTGTGTTCGATGGGATCTGGAACAGCCCTATCGCTGGTGAGTGACTAGTCCCTTGCTCTCTCGTAGGTTTGTACCAACATTCCCGATGCCAGTCAGGAAACAGCAGTCGCCAGGGAAGTTCGGCACGGGAGGCATTCAAGGCTCCGAGAAGCACCATTTGAAAACTGGCGAGTGGCCGAAGGAAGCAAACAGCATTGAACTGATCAAGACTTCGTATGCGGAGGGGGACTTGGACTTGTCTTACATACAAGGGTGGTTCAGCACCACGTGTCAAAACATCCTGCGCCCCGGCGGGGGACTGGGCGACTTGATATTGTTAGTTATTATTACGCCTCTTATTTGACATCCATTTTACAGGTCTCACATACACCCCTCGCTCAAAAGCAAGGACGTCCCAACCCGAAACCATCTTGGCCCTTTTCAGCCGAGATTCTAGGGACATTGAATTATCGGCTACCGGCTACCCTTCTTTCCCATGGCTACTCGGGATATGTGGAGATAATCCCGCCTTTCGGGCGCTCTATGCGTAACTGCAGCGTATATAACCTTGTTGGAGGTCGAGGCTTGGTGGCTCGCTACTTGAGCATTGTGTCGTGAAACATCTGGCCTGGCCCAGGTTGGGGTGGTATCTCCGGTATCGTGTTTAGCTGATATAGCGATTAATCTTCTATCGAATGCGGCGATTTGGGCACGTTGGTCCTGGAAGTTTTTATCTGTAGGCGTTGGAGAGAAGCGTGCACTTGGGGAGTGCACGAAAAGGGAGAACGAGGTTTTAAGGGTAGGCTACGGTGGAAGCGCTCTCCTTTTTCCCTTGCGTGTGTGTCGGAAGATGGCAGGGACAAGTACATTACAAACGTATAGGTGCATTGACTGTCTGGGTGAGATAATGATATGTCGAGGAATAGAAGATGCACGAAATGAGAGATATATTCAAGGAACGCGAACCCTAACCAACTAACCGCCCTCTATAAACAAGCAATAGACCAGATATACCCCTTACTAGCGAACCACAATCAGAACAAGCAATAACTCGAAAAAAAAAAAAAAAAAAAAAAAAAAAAAAAAAAGCTCGGAAAGAAACAGCACACAACCTAACTAGGACTAAGCTCCCCAGCAACCCCTAACCAAGCTCCTCAATTCCTCCTCCTCCTCGGCTTCGCAACAGCCGGTTTCCTCCGATCATACAACTTCCCCTTGAACCCAAAGACCGTCATCCCCCTTGGGATAACCCAGCGGGGCCAATTATCCCTATGACCGCCCTTGAACACTAACTCGCGCTCCGAGCGGCCGCGCACAGCCGCCTGCCCAAAGGGCGTCTCCCACCCACCATAAAACAGCCACCGCGCCGCATCGACCCTATAAGTTACCCCGCGGCGAATCGCGGCACGCTCAAGCTTTGTATGGTGGAGTTCGTGCTCATCTTCGAGACCTGCTTCAGTGGTCGCGCGGTTCGTGTAGTCGTCTAGGACGACGGAGTGGAGGTGTGGGGAGTTTGAGGGGGTGACGAGCTCCGCGAGGGCGCGTTGGTACTCCGGCATGTATTTGTGGAGGAGGCCTGCGCCGAAGGTGTAGAGGCCCAGGGATTCGAGGTTGGGTGGGAGGTGCGCGCAGAGGCTGGTATGGTTCGCAGCGTGCGGGCAGTTGTAGCCCGTGAGCAGGAGGAGGGCGATGGAAAGCTGGCGGAGCTTGGTGAATTCCGGGAGCGGTGGGCAAACGATCACGTCCGGGCGGTCGCCGAACCACTTACGGTAATCGTAGTAGGGCATGCGGCATTGGTGCAGGTCGAGGTATTCGAGTTGATCCTTTAGGGTGGAGAGGGTTTTCCAGAGCTCCGTGTAGAGGGCGGGGCCTTCGTGGTAGGTTGGTCGCGGGGTGTTGGATTTCAAAATGCGCGCGTCGCCTGTGAGGGAGAGGGTAAGGTGGCGGAGGCGAGGGGTTAGAGAGAGGACTTTGGAGAGGTGGAGCTTGTCCATGTTGGGGCCGTTGATCGCAAGTGCAGTAATCTTGGTGGGAGTCTTTGTGTCGAGGATCTGCTTCGTGGTCTCGGTGTGGAGCGCGGTGAACTCGACTAGGTTCGGCAGACGCATGTAGGGTCGGCGCTTGTCAATGACAAAGGGATCGTTGGTCGTTTTGCCGACGAGGGTGCGCTCTGGCTTGGGTGCGATGGCGAGGTACCTAACTTGCTGCAAGGGCCGAGTCACCAGCGGGAGCGACTGACCAGGCCATCTCTTCGTCGCATCGCCGACGATCACATCCAGGAAGGGGTCATCCTTGGACGGCCAGACCTGCATGTTCAACTCATTGAGCTTTGGGCAGTGGGCGAGAATGATCGCGACGAGCGGGCACTGGTATCCAGACTCGGGGTCGCTCTTGAAGAGCAGCCTGTCTGCGCGCTGATCCATACCCTCGCCGAGACGCCCGGCCTGGCTAAATCCGATGTCGTTCATCACCCCGTCAAGCCAGTCTCGGTTCTTCTGGTGGAGAGTGCGGTAGTGGAGAGTGGAAATCTTGGAGCGGACTTCCTGCTTGAGCCTGCCGTCGGGCGCGAGATACGTCTCGTTGAGCTGGCGGCGCACGACGCTAAGGTCGGCTACGTCTGCAATGGGTCTGTTGAACCAGGGATCGACGACATTGCGATATATGTCAAAGAGAACATCTGCGGCATTCGGTGGGTTGAACTCCTCATCCAACTCCATGGCCGTAAAGGTCAGCTGCCTGACGTACGCTGCCTTGTCTGGATCAGTGGCGACCAGGCGCAGTAGCCGCCATAGTGTCGCGATCTTGTTGGGGCTGCCATGGAAGGCATAGCTGCTGTAGAAGAGGGGGGTCAAGTACTTGTTCCAGCTCTTGTTCACCAGGCGCCATCCTTTCAGTTGCTCAGGGTAGAAATATGTCCCCTCGCGAACCTTGCCTCCGACGGCAAACTCGAAGATCACGCGGCAGACTTCTGGGGGAAGCTGCCTGTTGAATGGAAGGGTGGTGCCGGGTGCCATGGTGGTGTATTTTTAACCTGGATAGAGGAGATGAAGGATGAGCTTGGAAAAATCAGGGTGTCCATGGCGCAACATATAGATTGAGCAGCTCTGGTTTCTGCTAATTCTGGCGGGGCATTCATTGTTCGTTTCACCAAAGAAATCCGAAGGTCGCGCGCAGGCTGCTCTGGTCGAAGATGAGGACAAAGAGCGCCAGACACAGCCATCGCGACGCTGGGTTGCTCTTTGTTTGCGGTCCAGATGATCGATGGCTCAGAAGTTGATTTGCAGTTATAGGCCAGTCTGCAGGTTAGAGCGGGGTCTCTCCCACAGCCAAACAAAGGAGCCTGAATATTCTGGAAGACTGCGATTCCCTGACCATGAGCTGGTCTGCGCTGCCCTACGAGCTCCACATGCTCATCTTCTCCCATCTCTCTGTTCCAGCCTGGTCAGCGCCATTCCTCATCCCCGCCAACGCACCCCCAGACATTTGTGCCTGGAAATACCCGACTAAATGGAAACGTGAGATCGCTAGCCTCCACCTTGTCTCAAGTGCATTGCCCTATTCTCCAGATGTTCCCTTTGTTTCCTTCTTAGAGATGCCCCAATTAAAATGTCATATAATCATGGTCCCGCAATATCCGACAGTCCATAATCCTCAACAACCCCATCGAGAGACTCATCTGCAGCGCACCAGAAAACCTCGTCTAGAAAGGTATAACCGTTCTTCTTCAGAGACTTCGATCGCATCGGCCTCCCAAATCAGTTTTCTGTTCCACCTGCAGAGAATCCCTCTCGTTCCTCGATGAATTGCTCATCCGAGCGACCCAGCGCGCGCTGTTGGGTTGTATGGGACTCTTCTTGGATGCCGGCGCGAACGCCTCTCTTCGCACACCTCTGGTCTGCATCGGACTCGTATCTCTTGCGCAGATCGACGAGCAATCGTGGGTTGCGATACGAGAAGATAGAGGCGAAACCAGACACGACAAGAAACTCGCCGTTCTGCGCCTTTTGCTCTCTTACAACGCTGCCACTGAACACACCAGGGTCGTCCAGACCTACGACGAAACGTACAACAATACGCCCCTCGCCTCCGCGAACTGGGTGGGTTGATGGCGCTGAGCTCCTCCTTCAACGCGGCGCAATGTATCCGTCTGAAATTCACAATGAATACGCACCCCTGGAGCCGCTGCGATACTGCGCGTGGAAAGGCCAAGAGGAGATGCTGCGCATGCTATTCCGGAACGAGATCACGATGGATAATTCGCGGTATGACTATTATGGGCCCGAGGAGGGGATTTACTCGCAGGAGGAACATCCGATCGAGTGGGGCGATTTTGAGCGTTGATTTGGGCACTGTGAAGCTTCTGCTGGAAATGGGGCGCGCACAAGAGATATGAAAGCGACCGCGCTGTGGCATACGAAGGATTCGAGCGAGGAAATGAAACGGTTGGGAGGCGGGTATGTCCAGGGTTCCTCTCGTAATAATAGTAGTCAAGGATAGATTCCTTCACACGGGCGCAGGAAGGATCAAAGGCCTTACCAAGACTCGTCTGCAGTTTACTTGCAATGAAAGACATCCCAATGCGTCGATATATCTTTCCCAGAATAGCAGAATAGTCCCTCGCTCTGCCGAACAAAGAAACCAGCCAAACCCGGTTCCTCGGCTCCAGCGGCCCAAATGACGCTCACTGCTCTTGTCGGTACTCGGATCCCTCGCATTGACTTGGACATGATCAGATTTGCCTCTGCGGGGTTCTGCTTGTTCTCCGTCTGATGTATGGGCATGTTTCATGCCGATGATCCAGCTGGATCAGTGCTCGTTCCTGGGCGCGCTTGGCATAAGCGTCCACGAATGTCATCCCTTCAACAGAAGCCGAATGTTTGCGAGACGGTGAGGAAAGTAAGGACTTGACATATGTAATTGTCTCTCGTTTGGTGCGTTGGTTGGCTAACCTCGAAGGAATGGCTCGTATTCTGGGTTTTGTGTCTGGGGTGCAGAACCGGGGTACTCCACGCTCATGAGATGGTGGCGATAGCTCACGTATAAAGTTGTGGGGGTTTCTCACGCTTCTCACGCCATTTCTGCCTCGAATTTGACTATCCGGAAACATATCCGTTTCGCTTACTCTATTTGCCCTTGCACCGAGTCTAAGGTTAACCCTACTTTGACCGCAATGAAGCTCTATGTCGTTCTCGCCACCCTGATGGCTTCCGCCATGGCGTATGAGGCTGTCAGCACACCGCCTTGCGAAAAATATGTGAGCTTTTCTCTTCACAATCGTGTTCCAGGGAATCGATGCTAATCATGGTCTGGGCGATAGGAAGTCTTTCTCGAGTGCGGATCTGCGTGCCACCCTACCTGCGAGACCTTCGGAGAGCCGGTCGAAGTTTGCACAGCGCAGTGTGTTTCAGGATGCTACTGCAAGGAGGGAACCTTGCGAGTTGAGGTAGGCAGTCTCATCCAGCAATAGGACAAGACTAACCCAGTCTACAGAGCGGAGGTTGCGTTCGAGAGAAGAAATGCAAGAAACCCGATGGCTGCCCGGCTCCAAAGTAAATTTGATCTGCAGTTCCTGCTGAGTGTGAAAGTCGCTAGTCAAAAGCTTCTTGTCTGTACATAAGCAAACGTAGTGCAATAGGGCAATGTTGAATGAAGACCGAAAATATGAACTTTGTTCCCCGGGTTTCAAGCAGGAGAGACAAATTTGGTGAGTCTCCTAAATGCATGTATGTAATCTTTCCGAGGTCCGTCGGTATTTTGAGACAGCGCAGCATGCCAAGTTTAGCTCAAAGGTGAGGTCTGGCCCGTCTCCGGCGTGGCTTTCAACAGATAATCCTCTGCATATTAGCTAGTGATGTGCAATGATCAATTGTTGTTGATCCAATGGTGTGATATGCGGCGTATCCTCGAAAGGTTGGCAGTTCTGAGGTGGCTGTGAATATGTGAGCTGCAAGTTTCAAAGGGGTATGAACAGCGCAAAAGCTGTTGTCAGCCCGACTTTCAGCAGAATCAAGTGGGGAGACATGGCCGGATGATATCTGGCACTATAATCAGCACGGTAGGACAATTCAAAGATCTATCATGTCAACCTGCCTCGTCGATCGCGGAAAAGATATCCACGACAGAATGGGATGGCAGAAGTCAAGCACATCAGCCCGTTTCTTGCGACGAGAAAGAGGCAAACGATATACCAGAGTTAGGCTTCGAGCGGAATGCAAGGGGAACAGCATGTCCATATAAGACTTTCAGTAAGGATGGCCTTGCAACGCGATCCAGAACGCCAGCGCATCATATGCATTCTGCAGGGGCTATGCTTAGGTTCCACGACACTTCCATGCTCGATTGTTTGGCGCTGATCATGGTAACTCACTCTCGGATGTTCGACATATCATTCCGTCAGAAGCTCGAAGTAAGGAGTAGCTCAAAATCCCACGCTTCGAGGGATCGAGTGACCATCCGCGAGCGAGTTTCATTTTTTTTGTGATTCTAAAAGTAGAGAAGCCGACTGATCCGACTAGGAGGGTGGTCAAACATCAATTTAGAAAACTTATGATAGCCTCAAAGCGAATAGTTTTCGCACGTGCGCGGGATGCATTCCTGGAAAGTTCAAGATTCACAAGCATAGCTGTATGCTCAATAATGATGGCCATCTCCTCGAATTTGTAATAGACTTGACTTCCTGACCAGGGCGCAAGTTCGAGGCGCGCCGTTTCCCGGATTCGCCGGCGCTGGGCGCTGAATGTGAGCTTTGAAGCAGGCCGATTAGCGCTCTCAAAGCGAGTCAGCCACGGTACCATTGCCGCTTCGAGAGGAAACTGCGCGTTTTCGACCCATGCGGGTCAGATCTGACCACCATCCTGCGTCCGTCGCTAATAATTGTTGCCCGTCGATCAGCTGAATAGGGGCTAGACGGCCAAGCCTGGCTAAGCATTGCGAAGCGTTACGCCGCAAGATTCCAGAGTCAGCGGCGTAAGGCTTATGTGCTTGATACCAGCCGGACTGTTATCACGTTCGCTGAAGCTCCAAATCGACTGGGCACGCAATTGTAGACCCTGCGATAGCTTGGAAGATAGCTCCCCAACACGGTCCCACCGAAAGTGATTATGCTCCACCCTAGCATGCATCAGACGACGGGTGGGACTAGATGGAAGTATATCGCTCGGGCGTACTTGATAATGATTACTATCGATCCAGATTTCAGTTCGTTGTCTCATGTCAGACATCGTGGGGTTTTCACCTCGTCTGAGTCGCCAAAGGAAGCAAGAGAGGTCCGGCGAGATTTTAGAGCGGAATGCGTGCCGAGCGTATTGGTGACAGCGAGCAAGAAATGTTGATTTGGCCTCGTCATCCGATGGAGGCGGTTCATGGTAGCCGTGAATCGGAATGCCACTTCAGTGCGCCCCTCCTATGAACGTAGGGGACAGAGCCACGTGCGGAGACTGGCGTATGTGAGGGATGACATTTGGATCAATTGATGACAGGCCGAGAGCGGGCACACCCGAGGATTCGACACTATCATAGCAGAATGACAAGCCTACGACCGTGGAATCGACTCGGCAATTGCAATGACACAACCTTTATCATCATGCAGCATGAACATGACGATGCGTGGCGCGGATTTGTCTACCACCTTCGTATTGGCGAATCACGGTTAGCGAGTCGGCCATCCCAAAATATACAAGGTAGTACCTAGGTAGTAGGTAGTAGTATACTACCTACTCGAGAGGACGTACCTCAACTCTAAGCCAAGTGATAATCCTGGAGCCTGTCGAGGCCAGCGAACAGCCGGTTTACACGACAGAGACTGTGTTGTGTACCCCCATTCGTAACTCGGCCGCTTAGATCGAAACGAGGAGCCCGGGATGGAAGGAGCGCACTTGACCTCTTTCCCCATCCGCTATTTGACCTGCGTGGGAGGGGCCATTGACACATCGAGTCGCGGAGATGCAGCGCAGTGCGTTACCCCCCAACATTTTCTGACCTCGTGCAGAAGTGCGGGGTGGTGATTGGACAATCCGCAACCGGGGGAATCTGCGTTGGGAAGGCGGTGCAGGCAGATCTGTGCATCGGACCCGAGATTCTGCCTACACGTGCGCGAATGATTGGTCGGGAGGCTCAGGGCGATCTGAGAAAAAAAAAAGGCCCTGTCCCGCTTTCCGCAACTGGCGAACCTGGTTCCGCCGCCAAGCTGAAAATTCCACAGATTTTCGATGGCGATTCCATGTCCATCCGACAAGAGGCGCGTGAGATGAGGCGATTGAAACCTGCTTCGGCTTGCCCAGGAGGGGGCGTCCACTTAGCACCTCTCGGCGATTAGCACTACCCACGTTGTGTTGCTCTGGGCACCAGTCCACCCCCGCCAGTCTGCCAGTCAGAGGAAGGTTCCGTCCTCAACTGCAGTGGAACCTGGTCGCTTGCTGGATCAGCCCAGACATCCACCGACTTATCATACGCCACCGTTCTCGCATGTGCCCGAGTCGCTGAAGGAGTCTGGCTGCCCGCTTCCGCCTTCTTCCAGAGATTTTCCCTCGCTATATAACTCTCACTGTCTTGTCCTACTTGGCTTACATCCTTCGTGACGCCTCGACGCAAATAACTCGTCAGTTCTCTTGTCCAAGACAACACCAAGCCCGTCACAAGCACGGCTCACCCGTCTCTCAACCTCTTAACCACTCGGCCAAGAGTCTCCGGCTTGTGCGCCAGTGCCGTGAAGCTTTGAGAACTGCGGCGAGACGACACGATGGCTGACTTTGGACCACGTGCGCCCCATGGGCCCGATATGACGGGCGACCACGCGCCGCTAGAGGACATGGATATCAATGAGAAGGGAGCTTTCGACGCTCTCATTCGTCCGGATGACAGCTATACCGCGGACGGCACATACTGGGCGGACTTGTCTCTGTTCAAGAAGATCAAGTTCGTTAGCTCGTACGATGCGGGCGAGGCCAAGCGTGAGCTTAGCGACATCTGGGAGATGACCAAGAAGGATCCTCTGTCCCCGGTCTCTTATTATTTCCGGAACATGGTCCTACCTGGTGCTGGTCTTGGTCTGGAAGGGTAAGCTGCGCTCGTCCCCACACGCGAGAGAAAAAGTACTAATTGGTACTTTGTTAGTTACGTCCTGTTCTCGATCGGAAACCTAAAACCCCTCTTCCAAGCTGCCTTCCCCTCCTGTTGGTCCACTCACGAAATTTGCAATGCTCAATGGCTCAATGCGATCGATTATCTCGAGATCTGCGGTATCATTGTTGGCCAGATTCTGGTTGGAATTGTTGGTGACTGGTATGTGAACGGTCGCAATTGTTTAGAGGGACACTTTCTCATAGTTGAATTACAGGCTCGGTCGACGATGGGGTTTAATTCAGGATGCCGCAATCATGTTTGTCGGTCTTTTGATGCTTACCGCGGCCTGGGGAGTCACTCAGAATGGCTGGATTATCTGCTACGCCTGGTCTCTGTTCTTCTATGGCATTGGTGTTGGTGAGTGCCAAAGAACGTCTCGTGTTCATAGTTCGTCTTGCTAATCTCCTGCAGGTGGTGAATATCCCATGACTGCGACCAGTGGTATGGAGAACGCTGTTGGTTCCGGCAAGGTCTCTACGAAAGAGGACCGCCTGCACCGTGGCCGCAAGGTTACCAGCGCTTTCTTGATGCAGGGTTGGGGTCAGTTCTTCAACCAGGTCTTGCTCATTATCCTGCTGCTTTGCTTCCACCATGGCAGCGGCAACCCTTCCTACTCCACCGTCTCTTCTCAGTGGACTTACCGTGTCTCTTTCGCCATCCCCGCTGTCGGTACCCTGTGGCTCGTGTACTACCGTGCGTACCACATGAAGGCTGCTAGCAAGCAGCTCCAGGCGGCCAAGAAGAAGGCTTCGGTTACTGGCTACGATATCAAGTCGCTTCAATTGACCTTCAAGCACTTTGGTTTCCGTCTCGTTGCGACTGCGGGAGCCTGGTTTGCCAACGACGTCTTCTTCTACGGAAACAAACTGTTCCAGTCCGAGTTCATCAAGGTCATCAGTCCTCACACCGAGTCTATCATGCCTGGTTGGCTCTGGAATTTGTGCAACGTCGGAGTCTCCCTCGTGGGTTACTACCTTGCTTCTTTCCTGATCGACAACAAGCTCTATGGGCGCAAATGGATGCAGATCGTCGGTTTCATGATGGACTTTATCCTCTTCATTGTTCCCGCATTCAACTTTGAATACTACACCTCCCCCGAGCACATCAAGGAGTTCCAAGCTATGTACTTCTTGAGCTCCTTCTTCAACCAGTTCGGACCCAACTCGGTCACCTTCTTGGTCGCCGCCGAGGTCTTCCCTACTCCCATCCGCGCTACCGCCCACGGTCTCTCTGCGGCTGCCGGTAAGCTCGGTGCTCTCCTCGCCTCGGTCCTTTACAACTACATCACCACACAACAGAAGTTCTACGTCGTTCCGTGGTTCGGCCTCGCAGGTGTCATTCTAACCTGGCTCTTCCTCCCTGACACCACTGGACTCGACTTGAAGGAGCAAGAGCGCCGCTGGAAGTACCTCCGTGAGGGTCGCGAGGAAGAATACCACGGACCCGCTGTCCACCCCAAGCACCTTTCCATCTGGGAGCGCTTCCGTGGAAAGGGCAAGTACTATGACGCCGAACTCGACTACAAGCAGAAGGTTGAGGAGTTCCGCGCCGAGTGGGAAGCTGCCATGAGCTCAAGGATTACTGAGAAGGACAAGGCTATGGAAGACGAAACCGACGAGGATCTCCTTCAGGGTCACGTCCACTCCTACTTCCACCGCACGAGTCCCATGTTCCGCGGTATGGAGGAGAAGCCCAACAAGGGTGATAACTTTGCTCTTCCCCCAGCCGCGCGAGCAGAAGACGACTCATCGGCGACCTCGGTTGAAAAATAAGCTATTTGAATTGTGCACCTTGTTTATACCCCTTTTCAGCTCTTCGGATTTGCCATCTGTGAACGAGTACACCAGTTCCTATCGTTGTTTCTATTATTCTTTCCTCGAAGCATTATCGAGCAGGCGGATGCGTTTCATACCCCCAGCACATAGACTCAATGCTTACACAATAATCAATTGTTGTAAATACATCAATTTCATCACAAGAAGAAGTACCATGATGTCAGTTCTGCTCATAAGCCTAACGTTCCATTGACGAATCATGACACTGTCATGACTCTATCGCCGATCTGCAAGACTGCAACTTCGTTTTTCTCTACCCCCCGCACGATCGCCACACTAAACCAAATGCGGACACAGATTCTGCCGCTCCTAAAATCTTCACTAAGCCGCGTCAAGTAATCAATAAGCGAGGCGGTCGCATTTTCTCGTACCGCCCAACCAAGCACCCCTCACAAGTCACAAGAAGCATCTGTTTATATATCTTCGCATTCCCTATAGATATACATTCTCAATCAAAAAATCGTTACCTAAATGTTTTCCAACCCCTAGTCAAACCGAAAACAAAAGAGAGGACATAAACCAGAATCATGCCCCGACACCCAATCCTCTACGCATTCGGCTCCAACGGATCGGGCCAACTAGGCATCGGGCACGACGAAGACGTCTCATTTCCGACACGGTGCGTTTTCGAAGATGTCGATACAGATGTCGATGGTGCTACCAGCGGCGACCGCGATACAAGCGTCGCGCGTATCGTCGCGGGCGGAAACCATACGCTTGTCCTTTTGGGTGATCGGCGGGTTTATGCGGCGGGGAGTAATGAGGATGGGAGGTGTGGAGGTGGAGGGCAGCCGAGTTCGGTATCAACGTTGGGTATTGGGGTGCTGAGCGGTTCTGCGGATGATTCAAAATCTCTGTACCGTTTCAGGCGCGTTGTTATCCAGGACGAAGCGACGGAAAAGGTCTACGATGTCTTCAAGGATGTCTCGGCGACGTGGGAGGCGACGTTTCTCATCCCCGCGCGTCCTACAGATGAAGAAGAAGACAGAGATACGGTGTACGTCCTCGGTTCTGGCGCCAAAGGCGAGCTGGGTCTCGGAACAGATACCACGCAAACGAGTACAGCGACGCGGATTCCCAATTTCCCGCCGCGGGGCGCCATGATTACGAGGATTGTGAGCGGGATGGGACATACGGTCGCCGTTCTGTCAAATGGGGATATGTATGGTTGGGGCGGGGCGCGGAAGGGGCAGCTAGGCGAGTCGGCGATTCCGAAGAAGATCGCCTGGTCACCTGTGAAGATCGAGGGTGTGCCGTTCCGCGTCTCAGGTGCTGCGTGTGGTCGGGAGTTTACGGTTTTCTGTGGCGATCGCGAGGCTGGGGAGTTTGTGGTCCTTGGGGCGGCGGGAGATAAGTGGGGGATTCGGGCTGGGATCCCTATATCCGGTTCTGGAACAGGCTCTGGCTCCGAGAGTGTGAAGGGGTATCAGACAATTGGCGCTAGCTGGCATGGTGTCTATGTACATCAGAAGGATCGCTCTATTCTAGCTTGGGGTCGGAATGATCGGGGACAGTTGCCGCCGGATGATCTGCGAGGTGTGAAGCAGGTCGCGGTGGGGAGTGAGCATGTTGTCACTCTGTTGGAGGATCGCGGTGTTGTGGCGTTCGGGTGGGGAGAGCATGGGAACTGTGGGCCGGGTATAGATGCGCAGGGCAACGTCAAGGGCGTGTGTAGCCCGGTACCTCTTCCCGAGAAGGGGTTTGAGGCTGTTGGTGTTGGGGCGGGCTGTGCGACTAGTTGGGTTATCGGGTCGTGAGTTTGGATCGGTTGGTCTAATGCCCGTTGCGCAGGGATCGAGGTGAGTGGGTTGATCGGACTGATCTTCAGTCGAAAAGCCCAAGTCCATGAAGCTACGATTCGTTAGCTCTTGACACAACCGGCGATTATGGGATTAACAGACCTGTGACATTCGCTGCGTCGGCGGGATTCCCATTGCATCCTGATGGCTTACGTCCATCTGGTTCCCGAAGCTGGGTTCGCTGTCCCGCAACCGCGGTCCTAGGCTATCGGGGTTATCCTGGATACTTTGTTAGCAAGCGATACCACCAACAAGGCAGACTGGAAGCCTACTAGATCAGCACTCGCATCCCAGCCGAGCATGTCCTCGGCTTCGGCCTCGGCTTCGTCATCTTCCGCTACATCCCACTGCCTATCGTCATCTGCCGGCACAAACAGGCTATCGAACTTGAGAGACGAAGCCGACGGGGCTGTAGCTTGGGTGCTTGGCTCAGCTGGCTCGACTCGCGATGATGTCCCTGTAAGAGGACGGATGGGTCGGCCACGCGGGGGGGGCATCTGTCTCGAGCTGGTTGAACTGGTCGAGTTTGCCAAGTTGCTTGCTTGACCAACCGGTGCCGGTGCAGGGGTTTGTCGCGCCGACAGCTGCGGTACCGGCCTCGAAGATGTCGGGACGTCCTCCGGCCCCGGGTCGCCTGTCGTCATGAGTGTGAACTCTGTTCTGATGCCCTCAAAGTCGTAAGCAAGCTGCAGCGGTCGGCAGGGACGGGTGTATAGTGCGGTGATCATTATCCTCGCGGTCTCGGCATGCGCGATGACGGCTCTAAAGTCCTTCAAGCTGATGGCGACGTGGACTCCGTCATTAGCCATGAATTGCTCGAAATCTGCCTTGTCGATAGCAACTGAAGTATGGACTGGTTGTTTGAGGACCTCTATATAATCAAGTCAGTACAATCCTCGACGCGGACTCTTTAGAATCATACCCTTTCCATGTGTAATTTTGGCCGTGAAGCTGGTGAAAATAACCTTGGTGTTCTCCGAGTAAATGTCCAGTTGCTCCGCCGAAGGGCTGAAGTGGTCTATTATCTCTTTCAGGAACTTTGGCTCGATGCTCCATTCGTTGATCGCTGTGGATCTGTCGAATATGGCGTGTTGTATGGCCGTAGATTCGTACGTGAGTTTGTACAATCTGATCACGCCTGATCTCATCGTAAGCGACACAAACCCGATGGAAAGAGGGGATGAGCCAACCAAGTCCACATATCATCTTGATAACAAGCCGACATTCCGTCTCGTCCGGATCCTCATGCACCTCGAATTCACAGCGCTCAACTGCCGTATCTTTGTCTCTCCCACCTGTTCTTCCCTTGAAGACAGAAAGTAGTGCCTGCAACGAGAAATCAGAAAAGATCAATAGGTCTCTGAGCATTGAGCGCCACACCTTCAAGTATACTTGACAGCTAAACTTTCCTCCACGAGATCGAGAGCGCCCGGCATTCCTGTCCGCATTAAGGTCATAGTTCTCAAAGAAGGCATATGAGTCAAAGGCGAATGCAGAGTATGCCGTTTTACTCGAGTTGAGCGCGCTCAGGCGAAGCTGGATTTCACGTCAGAGATGTTCCAAAACCTCATGTTGTAGATGAAAGCAGTGTGGAATACGTACAAACTCAGGCTCGGCCTCGATAGACACAGTATCACTGAATTTCGCTAGACATACGAGCACTTCGTGCAGTCGAAGCAGTGACCCAGGCAGGAGAGAGAATGATAAGGCTGTCATTGTTCTTATCGCGCCCGATTTTCCACTAGGAGCTAGAGTCCAAAAAAAAATAAAACAACCCTTTAATGTTGAAATCACTTCGTCTGCCTTGAATTCGATGGGCTTGCCCCTTCTGCTCTATCGTGTCAGGGCGTGTCGAAGCCATCGTCTGGTCCAGGAACAAGAACGCGAGGTTACGTAAGCAGCCGGCTGATGGGAGTGAGCTGCCCAGGAATCCAACGTCACCACAACTCATCAACAACATCAGAATTCATCTAAAATCGGAGTAGATGTTGATCGGGCACGCCGAATAAATCACGCCTGGCTTTAGGGGTGGTTGAAGTTCGAGTCTTGCAAAATGGCTGTCACCCTGCCTAGTGAGATTCTCTTTATGGTCCTCGATAACCTCGGGGAAGAGAGAGATTTCAACAGCTTGTATCAGTGTGCTCTTGCGTCGAGGTATTTTACTGAACATGCGCTGTCTATTCTGTATCGGTAAGTTTAGCACAGTGCTGACGGTAGTGGTGGCTCCCATCAGTCACTCGAGGCTTATGTTTTGCCAGGATCTACGACGCTTCGCCGTTGAGGGGTGGAGGAATTGAAGACGAGCGATTCATAGCTCGAAGGCCGGGCGTGTCTTCGGGAGCTCAGAAGAGTGATTCGAATTCAACGCTGAAGAAATGGGTTACGCTATGGCGGTCTATTGTTCTCTCTACGTTAGACCTTACTTATCTCCCCTACTATAACTATATACGATACCTGGATCTTGATGATCTGGGGAACCTGTTGGGCACGGGATCGACTGTCAAGGAGTAAGTCACCATGCTTGAAGCGTGTATGTCATTCTAAATGGTCTAGCGAGCTTTTTACGCCAGAACTTGCAGAATTCGTGTCGCGCGAATATGTCTCCGAGGGGAACAAGCGGCGTCGTTCACCGAGGAATCTTCCTGATAATGAATGGATCAAGGTGAAACTTGGATCAGGTTAGTAGTGTCTCTCCAATGACGTTCTAGGCTGTTTCATTTTTGTGGGTTGTGAGCTCATTATTCAAAGCCATCGCAAAGAACAACTCCCGGATACGAGGCATATCCTGCGATGGTAGGTCTCACACAGCGATACAAGATTCCCTCTGATGATGATGCCAGTTCCATCAACGACACTGAACGATTGGATTGAGGGGTTGCCCCAGCTACAGAGCCTGAGTGTTTGGACGGGCTCCGCACTATCACAGCAAGTAGGCAAAAAAATCCGCGACCATTGTCCTGATTTCAAACAGCTCAGGATATATATCTGGTATGGCCTATCGAAGTAATCAAAGCCCAAGCTCACGTGATCTTAGGCAGAGTCTCCGGCCAGGTGGGCCGCCGGACAACACAGAGACAGAGGCAGAGGAGCTGTTCAATACCCTCCGACCCAGTTCTCTAGAGCATTTCGAGATACTCAGCTTCTCTCGTCTTGGCCCCCGATCCATCAAAGCTTTAGGGACACAGAAGGACTCGTTGATGGAGCTGAAATTAACCAGTCTTGAAGTCGATACAATTCGAGAACTTTCCTCGCTAGGGGCATTCCCGGCATTAGAGGTTCTCTCACTCTGCGACTCGGTGCGCACTGAGTGGAACAATGAGTTCTATGAGACTGTCAAAAAGGTCGCTGAGTGGATGCGCATGTGCAAGAAGTTGAAGCGCCTAGAGCTAAGGAACTTCATGAAAGATGACGATTTGCTCACGAGAGTCTTGCAGGAGCCCGACATCAGGCTCACAACTCTCTCCTTTGTCGGCTACCTGCTGCTCAGCAGCCGCGACTTTCTCGCCTCCCTTGACCATCAACAGTCCTTGGAGTACCTCTACCTGCGAGGCGAAGGGAGCGAGTTTCCCCTCGACAACGACAACCTCGTCCAAGCCGTAAGCGAGCTCACGAACCTCCGAGAACTCGAACTGAAAGATGTATCTGATTGGTTTACCATGGACCACGTCATGGCTTTGACTCCCTTTCTCCCGAAACTGGAGAGACTCTGGATCAGTGGCGAAGCCTTCAATGACTCTGTATGGGATGCGTTCTCGTGTCTTCCGAGACTCAAGAGTCTGGTGATCTATGCCATGAGCAACTTCACAGCAGATGGGGTTATTGACTTTATCACGCGGCTTGGGCCTGATAACAGAGGTTTCAATCTATCCATACTCAACGCGATCTCGGGTGTGAATTTTCCGGAAGAGACGCAGGCGATGATTCGCGAAATCCTTGCGGAGAAGTTGCAGGGTTCGTTCGATTTTGGTCTTGCTCAAGGTATGTTTCTTCCTCTCTGCTCGGATTCTCAAGCAAGGACTGACAGAATCGCAGAAGAATTTAGCGATGCTGACTCCAATGTCGACTGGTCGGATTAGTGTTATGAAGGGTACTAGAGGGCGAATCGGTTCTGGACAAATTAGCGGCGTTTTGATGCAATATTCTGTTGACTCAGCACTTAAAATCACCGCGATTGGAATCTAAGATAATTCTGGACACCGACTAAATAGCAATTGACCAACACCTGCGAGTGGAGCTGTCGTAGATGCAAAACCAATTAACGGGGATTGGCGGGGAGTGTCGCGTCCACACCGCGTCTCCAAACGCGTCGCCGCACCATTTCCGCGCGACGCTTCGCAGATTACTCCATAGTTACCATTCCTTCCCCAAAACAACGAAGAAACCCCAATGCGCGAATCCACACGGTCGATACCCTCATTTTTCAATTTATGACCCTCACCTTCATGGAATAATTCGCCCAGCACGAAACACGGAATCACAATGGCGTCCGCCCGTGCTAGACTCGCTGAGCTGCGGGCCCTCCGTGCCTCGGGGAAAAAGCGTCTGTCGACGTACGAAATCGAGGAGCAGGGCGATATCTACGAGGAAGTTGACGAGGAGGGATACAAGAAGGTCATCCGGACTAGACTTGACGAGGACGATTTCGTTGTCGACGACAACGGTGAGGGTTACGCGGATGATGGTCGCGAGGTGTGGAATGAGCGGAACGGAGGATACAGTGATGAGGAGAGCGAGGACGACGAACTGCCTGCTCGGAGTAAAGCTGCGAAGCGCAAGCGCGAGGAAGAGAAGCAGCGTAAAGAGAAGATCAACAACGGCATCTCAAAATACTTCAACAGTGGTGCGGCTGCTGCTGCTCCGAAGCCCAAGGTGAGCGGCCAGTTTGGGAATGAAGGATTTGGTGGCGGCGGTTGACTAACTTGTGTTCAAGCCCGTTGCTACAGCAGAAGACGATGCTTTCATGGCAGACCTCCTAGGCGAAGTCGACACGAACGTGGTCTCGAACAAAATCCCTAAGCACAACATCGTCAAGTCGGAAACCCGCCGAAAAGTCCGCATCCTGTCCCCTCCCCTGTCCGAAAAGACACGCACGCCGAAGCCCAAACGAAGAGATGAAAACAGTGACCCTGTCTCGCCCGTTGAAGAACCGACGCTCGACCTGGGTAATGACGATGCACCCCTCTTTCATGCAGACGACGAGGATATTCCCATGAGCGACCCGATCCCTTCGTCACCAGTCACAAAAGCATTGGAGCGAAAAGCGATTGTCCCTATAAAGAAAGAACCCGAAGACGACGATGACGACCTGATGGAAGTTGTACAAGCCACCGGTCATCATGAATCCAAGGCACCAAGTATCAACATCTCTGGCAGCCGACCTCCACCGAAGCTCAAGAAGGAGTTGTACCCGACACCCGCTAGCTCTTCTCCTGTGAAGCCTGGCGCAGAAGTTGACGCCTCTTGGAACGATGTACGCAACAAGCTGAACGTCCTCAGCAGCCCAGCATCGTCTGAGTCGCGTGTCTTCGGAAAGCTTCGGCCTCAGGATGTGGTTGAGGAAGACGGAAGCCTACGCATGTTCTGGCTAGACTACACAGAAATTAATGGTAGCCTGTGCTTATTCGGAAAGGTGAAGAATAAGAAAACGGGCTCCTACGCGAGTGCATTCGTCAAGATCGATCAGATTCTCCGGAAGCTCTACTTCCTTCCCAGAGAATACAGACAGAAGCAGGGCCAAACCACTGACGAGGAGATCGACATGGAAGACGTCTACCATGAAGTCGATCAGATGATGTCGAGGCTGAAAGTGAATATGCACAAGATCAAAGAATGCACTCGCAAGTATGCATTCGAGATGCCCGGCGTGCCGAAAGAGACGCAGTACCTGAAGCTCCTTTACCCATATGACAAGCCCGCACTTCCCATGGAAACCAAGGGAGAGACCTTCTCACATGTTTTCGGAACGAACACTTCCTTGTTCGAGCAATTTGTCCTCTGGAAAAACATCATGGGCCCCTGCTGGCTTCAATTCGACGAACCCGACTTCTCCGCTGTCAATAACGCCTCCTGGTGTAAATTCGAATGTGCGACATCAAAACCAGCACTTATCTCGCCAGTTCCTGACACTGAGAACCTCGACCCACCCACTCTCACGTTGATGAGTCTTGCCTTCCGAACACAGCTTAATGTCAAGGAGAACAAGCAAGAGATCTTGATCGCCAGCGCGCGAGTCTACGAGAATGTCTCGCTGACAGAGACCGCTCCTCCGGAAAAGCTTCCTTGCAAGACTTTCACGGTCATGCGGCCTGCGGGTTCCTCATATCCGGTGAACTTCGAAGCTGATATTCGGAAACAACGAGGAACATATTTGCTGGAGAAGAGCGAACAGTTCTTGCTGAGCAAGTTCTTGGCTTTGTTTGACAAGATGGACCCAGATGTTCTGATGGGTCATCAGCTACAGGAAGTCGACCTCAGCATTCTGCTTAGCAGATTGAAGGAAAAGAAGACGCCTGGCTGGCACCGTCTGGGTCGATTGAAGCGTGGAGAGTGGCCTAAGAACTTCAATCGAGGAGGCGGATTTTTTACTGAAAGGCACCTCGTGGCGGGACGATTAGTCTGTGATGTGGCCAACGACATGGGCAAGGTAAAATTTTCATTCCCTTTTTGAGGACTCCCAAACTAACAGCAATAGTCTCTCATGATGAAATGTCAGTCTTGGAGTTTGACGGAAATGTGCGATCTCTACCTTGGGTCAGGAAACGCAAGGCAAGAAATCGACATCGAAGCAGCGCTCAAGACATGGGCAACTTCAAAGGACGGGCTCGTCAATTTTGTGAACCACTGCGATACTGATACTTACTTCATCGCCGCCCTGGTTCTCCGTCTTCAGATGCTGTCTCTGACCAAAGTGCTCACGAACATTGCTGGCAATTCTTGGGCACGAACGCTGAGTGGTACACGTGCTGAGCGTAACGAATACATTCTGCTTCACGAGTTCCACCGCAACAAGTACATCTGTCCTGACAAGTACTCGTCCAAACTGCAGAAGGCGGAAGAAAAGGCTCAAGAAGACGATGACGAAACTACCGATAAGAAGAAGAAAGACAAATACAAGGGTGGTCTTGTGTTTGAACCTGAGAGAGGTCTTTACGACCGGTTTGTGCTTGTCATGGATTTCAACAGTTTGTACCCCAGCATTATTCAGGAGTACAACATTTGCTTCACTACGGTTGATCGGACGCCCTCGGTACGTCTCCCCACTGCTCTAATTGTACCGTTGCTAACATCTATCAGAGCGAGAATGAAAACGAGGAAAAGGTGCCAGAAGTCCCTGCCTCCGATGCGGAGCAGGGTATCCTCCCGCGCCTCATCGCAACCCTCGTCGGCCGTCGACGAGAAGTGAAGAAGCTGATGAAGGACAAGCGCGCGACTCCTGAACAACTCGCCTTGTGGGACACGAAGCAGTTGGCCTTCAAGCTGACCGCCAACTCCATGTACGGTTGTTTGGGATACACGCAAAGTCGTTTCTACGCCCGTTCTCTGGCCATGCTCACGACGTTCAAGGGTCGTGAGATTCTGCGGAGCACCAAGGAACTGGCAGAGAGCAAACAGCTGAGGGTCATTTACGGTGATACTGATTCCGTGATGATCAACACGAATATGGACACCATCAGCGATGCACTCAAGGTCGGTCAGGAGTTTAAGAACTCCGTCAACGAGCGCTACCGACTGCTGGAGATTGACATTGATAACATCTTCCGTCGTCTCTTGTTGCACGCCAAGAAGAAGTATGCTGCTGTCAATATGACAGAAGTTGATGGCAAATACGTCGATAAGCTTGAGGTCAAGGGTCTCGATATGAAGAGACGTGAGTACTGCGCGCTCTCGAAGGAGGCTTCACAAAGGCTCTTGAACGAGGTCCTTTCTGGCGAGGATCAGGAGGTCGTCCTCAACAGAATCCACGACTACCTGCGGGAACTTGCTGGCAAGATGAGGGAGTACACTGTCCCAGTCCAAAAATACGTCATCTACACAGTAAGCATCGATCAAGCCGCTCTCTCACGCGCACACTGACCTGTCTAGAAACTCTCGAAACGCCCCGAAGAGTACCCTAACAAAGAAACCATGCCTCCCGCCCAAGTCGCCCTCCGCGAGCTCGCCCGCGGCAAGACAATCCGCCCCAACGACGTTATCTCCTACATCGTCACAAACGGCGACTCAGAAACCTCCTCCCTCCCCCCAGCAAAACGCTCCTACACCCTCCAAGACGTCATGAAAGCCGACTCAGGCCTCAAGCCCGACATCGAATTCTACCTCCTTAAACAAATCTTCCCACCCATCGAACGTCTCTGCGCCCCGATCCCCGGTACTGACGCCGTCCGCCTCGCCGAATGCCTCGGCCTCGACACACGCAAGTACCAAATCAACACCACCGCCAACAACACCTCGCAGAACACCGAGATCTTCCCCCTCGAGTCCCAGATCCCGGACAGCGTACGCTTCGAAAACGCAGCGCGGTTGACGCTCACATGCCGACACTGCAAGGAGCGCTCCATCTTCGAGGGCCTCTCCACTTCACTCCACATGTGCACACCCCATGGCATAATCTGCCCCAATGCCGCGTGCGGGAAACCCTTCTCCGTCCTCACAATCGTCGCGCAACTCGAGTCGCAGATCCGTGCCCAGACCTCAAAGTACTACGAGGGCTGGCTCGTCTGCGACGACTCTGCGTGCGGGAACCGCACGCGGCAGATCAGCGTGTACGGACACCGGTGTCTTGGACCCAAGGGGTACGCTGAGGGGTGTCTGGGCCGCATGTCGTACGAGTACACCGAGAAGCAGATGTATAACCAGCTGTTGTATTTTGCGAGTCTGTGGGATGTGGATAAGGCGAAGGCTGCGACGGAGAAGGAGAAGGGGGGGGCGAGTGGTGGTAGTGAGAAGAAGGAGAGTGTTGCTGCACTTGTCGAGTTTAATCGCGTGCGGTTTGGGACTGTGCGCGGGATTGTTGAGGGGTATTTGAGGAAGTGTGGACGGCAGTGGGTGGAGATGGATGGGTTATTTAAGTTTATGTTGGCTTAGAGCTTTCGTGTCGCTGCTTGGTGTTTCGCTGAATATCAACTAGGTAATTGCTTAGCTGCTAGGTTTGTATATAGGGCTTTTGTGTTTTGCTTCGAATTTGCCTTGGTTTGCTCGAGACTACAATTTTGTCTATTGATTGTCAAGGCGTGTCTGTTAACCTGGGATGACGGCATGAAATGAACTGTTTCTACTCAATTGCACTCAATTCGATAATACTCAGATCATCAACGCTCAATAAGAAAGGAATGACAGGCACGGATCTATCTCCGAACAGAAGCGCTGACCGCAACATACCAGCTCACATTGTGTTTTTTTGCTATTTCAGGCCTCTCTTGTAGTCACCTAGGCGAAGTTCCTAGGAATACGCCGTAAAAGAGGACGTTAGCGCGCATGCTCGTCAAATAAACGGATTGTGTGAGGCCAACCTCGAAGGAGTACGATCTGTAAGGCTTGGACATGTTGATGGATTGATAGATGCACACAAATCCTATCTCTGAATTCTCAATATAGCTGTAAAGAGGAATGTCAATAGATACTTTGACCGGCCATGAGGCATGTAGTGTGGTGAAGGGATGATATAGGACGTATTATGACACCCATGAAAACTTGCAGAGACATACTTACTAGTTAGGAGGCCGCCATTGAAAATCAAAGCCAAGCGTGCTTGGTGGTGAGGCTTCTTGACCATCCTTTTGAGTGGGACTCGGCGCAAAGGCCAGGTCCAAAACGCTTCTTAGGGGCGACTTTCCAGATGTGCCCGAATACGACTCGAACCCACTCTGGTGTGTTTTGATTAGCAGGGTTACCTCCGAACATGGGCATAAAAGATTCTTGATACAGTCAGTGTCGATAGCAGAGCAAAGAGCATTGAGACCTACCAGACAGGTCCCCGTTCCCGTCCAGGCGGGCTCGCTGTTGCGGCCGCATACCCACTGTCAGTGTCTCCTCCATCCCTCTCTTCTGCGGCACAAAGACTAGGGCAGGCCGATCGATGTCGGGGGAAACGCTCAGTACCGACGTCTGGGAGGAGGATGCTGTAGGATACTTAGCAAGTATTCCACTCTGCCTTGCGCCCTCGCAAATAGGGCTCAACAACCTGTACTTACTCAGTTTTCCTTTGCTACGTTGGTGTTTGAGCAAGCTCACAGGCTTGATGTATCTTCGGCAAATCTCCGGGCAAGCTTCAAGTGTATTGATTTCAAGCTTGAGTGCTTGTCTGTCGTCGTCAAATGAAGCTGGTTCAGAAACAAGGCGCTCAATCTGTTCCTGCTCCATCCCGCAGACCAGCTTGCTACTGAAAATAGTCTCTAGAGGCAGCAATAGACGATTCTCAATGGCCAGCGTGGCGATGTTCTCTGTAAAGACCATCATCGCAGACTGATGAGTGTTAGTGCACCGAGCCCAAGACCACATACAAGAAGAATACAGGATCAGGTACTTACGTCGTAGTACGCTTGCACTAAATCAATGATCCTTAGAGCGTATTGATTTCTGGGGAACCCTTCAGACAGTCCACATGGGATGAGATGAGCGCCACGAGTTTCAGAACCCTGAGATTGGTGCTTGCGGAGTCGCTGCGATGAATCAAGGAGGGTTTTGCTTGAAATGGACGGATACGCTCGAGTGTGATGCGAGCTCAGTTCAGTCAGTTTTTCAGTTAGATCATATTCGATTCGTTCAAGAGCCTGTGAAATGATCTCTTGATAGATCCCTCGGCCAATGTGGTTAGGGGCAATGTGTTGCAAGAGAAGACTCAAGAATTCAGTTGCAGCTTCGGACGCAGTCCTCAGGTGCTTTCGTGCCAGGCTTAGCCAAGGTTGCACCTGAGCTTGAAACAACGACCTGACCACAGAGTGGTCTCCGAAGCTCATAATCCCGACCTCCTGGATAAGCTGGGCCTCGTCGTTGATCTCTCTTTCGAGCTCAACTTGCCTTATAGGGTTCGGGACCCAGCCCTGGATATCGGTTTGTGGCATTGTCATGATCGCTTGGGATCAACTGAGTGTCATCATAGAGTATCTGGCGAGTCGCACCCCCTATAACCATCGCTTCCGCAAAGTCGTTGTGCAACATTGTCATGATTGCTCTAAGCCGACTGAAATTTGGATCCAACAATGTCCCTGGTTCTCCAAAGAACTCACTGTTGTAAGTTTCCCACAGGGCTTGTCGGACAGTTGATTCAAACTCACACGCAATACGCAGTAGCTCTCCTCTCTGCTGCTCCGCACTTGTAAGACGGACTCCCAGCTTCGTGAGCTTGGCCTGTTGCTCTTTTAACGTTCCTTCGGCTGCAGCAATCAGTTGGGGCAGATTATGTTGAGTTCGCTCCAGGAGTAATTGACTAACGCGTCGTCGAAGGCTTTCAAATCCCACAATCTCTTGGGGGAGCTCAGCCCACTTCCCAACATGGGGCTTATCAGACACCTGGCCACTTGGATCACCGGCTGGATCTTGCTGCGCTACAGTCGATATGGCATGCCACCCAAGTGGCAACTTTGCCCTTCCGTCCCAAAGAAGTTGAAGGCATTTATCCTCATCATCAGAGCTTGGCTCGATCACATCAGGGTGTACAATAATGCCGATTGTTCTTTCGAGATTGGGATCAAACTTCTCTGCGGTTCTGATGGTTTTCGGTCTATTAGATGCATTCGTCACTGCAAGAAGGATGCTATTGGGATTGCCCATATAACGCTCCACGGTTTGCCTGGCAACAGAAAGGTCTTGTTTGGTATCTCCATCGCTAGTTGTCGACAAGTGTAGTGCTGGAAGGTCAACGATCGTCACATTCGGTTTGTCCGGGCCACAAATCTCAACCTTCAAAATATCATCAATCGTAATGGTTCCCGTTGAATTCAGATACTTGAATACTTCTTCGTAGACAAGCCAAAGGTCTCCCTCGGACGTAAACACCCTTAGACTAGACGCTTGCAAGCGGTTTCTGACCTCCACCGTTCGAGAAAGGCTCGGTTCTATCACAGCTCTGAAGCGCGGGTGGGGGTGTCTGCGGAGAGATATTTCTGTAGTGAATGATGCTGGGCCATCTCCCTTGGTCGGAAAAGGAATTCCGGAGAGAATTCCTGGGATTAAGTCCTTCTCTCGCCACTGACGACCCCAAACAACTACCTGGGGTAGCTCAATTTTCTCTCGGACCCCGAGCTCTGCGAGACGGTCGATGGTATTTAGCAGCTCGGCTTGTTCGGACTGAAGCTGCTTTAGTGCGACGTTCTCGGGGGCTTGAGTGGCCATATTATGAGGTGAAGAGTCACTGTCAAGAACAAATAAAGGTCATTCGATGTCAAATCACAATGGTGGTTGTAGGCAGAGGAGACTCGAGGAGGAGCGAGATGCGGTCCACGAAAGTGAGGCAAGCTCTATTTGTGAATGAGTAACACGGGCGCAAGATGAGAGCAAACAGAGAAAGTTAAGAGGAAGCCGGGAGAGAATAAAAGTGGGAATCATCCAGCTTCGAGGTGAAGGAAAGAGCATAAGGTTAAATGAGCATGTTTTGGTCACTCTATCAGGAACACGTTCCTTCCACTATGACTCGAGATTTCTCGCTGCAGAAGTTCTATGTAGAAGAGGACAATTCTATGTATACCTAGCTCTTACACCACAGTTTAATGGCATGATGATTTATTCAAGCATTTTCCTCCTGTCTGGCACAGCGATGTCTTCTATAAAAAGCGGCTAAACCGCTTTGGGATACCCCACTCTCCACCAATCAAGTGACTTTATCTTCAGTGGAAATGAACCGCAATGCCCGCTACCAACTGACGCGAATCAACCTTGGCGCGAGATTTTCAGTGATCTCGGGTCTATATCAAGTGTCCCCCTCAAAATCTGAAGGCCTCCGTCATGGCAGTCAGCCGCGTCCTCGTCATCGCGGGGTCCGACAGCTCAGGCGGCGCGTATGGCACACCCCTCATTTCCCCTCCAGACCCTCTGCTAATGCAATGCCCCCGCATCTAGTGGCCTGGAAGCTGATCAAAGGGTTCTTGCTGCGCATGGGTGCTATGCCCTAACGGCGACCACCGGCCTTACTGCACAGAACACCCTCGGTGTGCAAGACATCTTTGTCGTCCCCGCAGAGTTTGTCAAGAAGCAAATCAACGCCAATCTTGACGATGTCGGTACTGATGTCGTCAAACTGGGTATGGCCTGACAACCTAAACAGCTGTCTGGGACTTATATGAGTGTTCTGATACCGTCTCCAGGAATGCTCTCCTCCGCGGAGACGATTGATGTCATTGCGGACGCCCTCAAGTCGTATCAAATTCCATCTGTTGTCTTGGATCCGGTACCTCCCCCTATGACTCCCAACTCGCGCGTCCGGCTAACTAGTGGGAAGGTGATGGTTTCCACCAGCGGCTCCCAATTACTACCAGAAGCGGCTGTTCAGGGTCTCCGGATCAAGTTACTACCTCTAACGACTGTCCTCACACCCAATATCCCGGAGGCAAAACTTCTTCTAAAAGACTCCGGGCAGGACATCTCTGATCCAGAGGATCTAGAGGGGCTCATCCAGATGACAAAACAGGTTGCTGCATTGGGTCCTAAAGCTGTCTTGCTAAAAGGTGGCCATCTAGCCCTTACAAAAGATCACAAGGCTGCGCAGAATCCGGACGAGGCCTCGAGGGTCGTTGATATCCTTTATGACGGGGAAGGAATCACTCTGTTCGAAACGGACTATCTAGTCTCGAAGAACACTCATGGGACCGGTTGTTCCCTCGCCTCTGCGATAGCTGCCAATCTCGCGCATGGAAAGGACCTGAAAAGAGCTGTGCGCAGTGCCGTCCGCTTCGTTGAAGCCGGAATCAAGACGAGCTCGGAACTCGGAAAGGGGAGTGGGCCAATCAACCATTTCCACTCCATGTACTCGCTACCATTTGCACCGTATGCTCTTATCCGTTTCTTCTCCATACTATACAACGACTAATGCTTTACTTAGAGGTCGCTTCTTAGAGTACGTCTTGGATCGTCCGGACGTACAGTCAATATGGAAGAAGTTCACGGAGCATGAATTTGTCCTGGGACTTGGCAGCGGCTCACTTCCTGTTGAACGATTCAAAGAATACCTGGCGCAAGACTATCTATACCTCGTACGTGCCACCTTCCCAAATTCGATCCCATGCTAAGTAGCTTCAACAGGTCCAATTTGCTCGGAGCAATGCCCTTGCTTCTTACAAGGCGAAAGACATGGAATCCATAGCTGCAGTAAGTTGTCATACACTGAATGAGAAAAATAGTACCGTCGTAACTAACATGGCAATTCAGTCTGCCAGGATCGTTCTACACATCCAGCGAGAGACCGCGCTGCACGTTGATTACTGCGCGTCTTTTGGGTTGTCCAAAGAAGAGATGGAAAAACTACCGGAGAAAATGGGTAAGTGCTCTTATGCCTTCTCGGCTTCAGTCGTTCTCCTATGTTCTAATGATTGTTAGAATGCACCGCGTACAGCAGATACATCCTCGATGTCGGCCAGTCGGAGGACTGGCTTGCACTACAAGTTGCTTTGGCTCCCTGTCTAATCGGATACGGCGCTATAGCGCAGAGATTATATACAGAGGAAAAGACTCTTCGAGATGGCAACCGATACTGGAAGTGGATTGAGAACTATGTTGCGGAAGACTACACTGAGGCTGTTCGATTGGGGTCTGGTAAGTTTTTTTCGGCAAAACGGCTAAACTTCTCCTTGCTGACAGTGTTCCAGAACTTTTAGAAACCCATATGAGAAAGGTTTCGCCTTCTCGGATGGAGGAGTTGATCAAAATCTTCATCAGAGCAACTGAGTTGGAGATTGAGTTCTGGAGCATGGGACTTGGAAGTGGCCGCCAGTAAATACCACATATAGGGCCTTCTGGATATATGTATATATGAAGAAACGTGCTCAATCTGCAGAATTTGCATCCAAAATTTGCCAGAGAAGTCTGTGGAACTTGGATCGATCCGATCAAAAAAAAATATCGCCATCTACTATCACCCAAACTTTAATTCGGCCCGCTCACTAACAAAGCGGTATATCGCAGGCTTCAGCCTGATCTCAGGAACGACGCATTGGCTTGCTTCGAACAATCTTGTTTCAAGGTTAGCAAAGGCTTCTCGACTATCCAACCACAACTTCGGAGAAATCCATTTTTGTCTCGAACAAGAGAAACAACGAAACATCAAAGACGCGCCCGGGTCTTTTCCATTTCTTTGGGCCAAACGCCACCCGCGATCTGCTTACATAAAGCCGGCGGTGTCGAGATTTTCCCCTGCACTAAGCCGGAAAGAGCAAACGTTGCCTCAGCGCCTTCCTTCCACTATTTTTCCTTTTCTCTGCTTCCCGCCCGATTTTTCTTTCTCTCTTATCCTCATCCTCATCTCTCTCTCTTCTCTTGATATCGTTGTGATATCTCTCTTATCTCCCATTTCTCGGAGAATTTCTGTTTTCCTCACTGTCCTTTTCTCCCTCCCTGTTTTCCCCCTGTCCTTCGGTGTTTTTTCCTCTCCCACGTTGAGAAATTCGGTTTCATTTTCCAAAGAACAAGCATCTCACTTAGACTTCACCATGTCTTCATACGGCGGCAGCGGTGGTTACCAGCGCGATTCTTATCGGTAAGTCATATAACTCACGTCCCTGGAAACTGACTCGAAAGCGAAGAGAGATCGTTTGAACTCGTTTCGTGGCACCAGCTGGATAACACTTTGGACTCGACTCTTCCATGCTTCGAAGCGGATGAGAGATTTCAGAGCCCAGCCAGCGTTTCACGAAATCGATCCAGCCGTCATTCTCGCTCGAGTTTCATTATCTCCATTTAGCACACATGCTGAGACGTTTTTCTCCAGCTCTAGACAGAACGGCGCCGGCGGCGGTGGCGGTTACTCCAACGGCTACTCCAACGGTGGTGGCGGCGGCTACGGAGGTGGTGGCTATGGTGGAGGTGGTTACGGTGGTGGTGGTGGTGGTTATGGACGCGGTGGTGGTGCTGCCGGTGGTGCTGGTGGCGACCGTATGTCTAACCTAGGAGCTGGCTTGAAGAAGCAAGATTGGGGTAAGTCGACTGCAAAGCCAAGTTCGATATAGTACGCATACTAACATTCTCTTAGATCTGGACACCCTCCCCAAATTCGAGAAGTCTTTCTACAAGGAGCACCCCGATGTTGCAAACCGTTCTCAGCGCGAGGTCGATGAGTTCCGGAAGAAGTGCGAAATGACTGTGCAGGGAAGAAACGTTCCTCGCCCCGTCGAGACTTTCGACGAGGCCGGTTTCCCCCAGTACGTTCTGAGCGAAGTCAAGGCTCAGGGTTTTGAGAAGCCCACGTCTATCCAGTCCCAGGGTTGGCCTATGGCTCTTTCTGGTCGCGATGTTGTCGGTATTGCCGAGACCGGCTCCGGAAAGACCCTTTCATACTGTCTCCCCGCTATCGTCCACATTAACGCCCAGCCCCTTCTTGCTCCGGGCGACGGTCCTATCGTCCTTGTCCTCGCCCCCACTCGTGAATTGGCTGTCCAAATTCAGACTGAGATCACAAAGTTCGGAAAGTCCTCTCGCATCAGGAACACTTGCGTTTACGGTGGTGTTCCCAAGGGTCCTCAGATCCGTGATCTGTCCCGTGGTGTCGAAGTTTGCATTGCTACTCCCGGTCGTCTGATCGATATGCTTGAGGCTGGCCGTACTAACCTTCGCCGTGTTACTTACCTTGTCCTTGACGAGGCTGATCGCATGCTGGACATGGGTTTCGAGCCCCAGATTCGCAAGATCATTGGCCAGATTCGCCCTGACCGTCAGACTTGCATGTGGTCCGCTACATGGCCCAAGGAAGTCCGCCAGCTCGCCAGCGACTTCCTCAACGACTACATTCAGGTTAACATTGGTTCCATGGATCTGTCTGCTAACCACCGCATCACACAAATCGTTGAAGTTGTTTCAGACTTCGAGAAGCGCGACAAGATGATCAAGCATCTCGAGAAGATCATGGAGAACCGCGGAAACAAGTGCCTTATCTTCACTGGTACTAAGCGTATTGCCGACGAAATTACTCGCTTCCTCCGCCAGGACGGATGGCCAGCCCTTTGTGAGTTTCTCTTCTTTGCATGTTTGACCGTTCAGTAAACTAACATTCCATCAGCCATCCACGGTGACAAGCAACAACAAGAAAGAGATTGGGTCTTGAACGAATTCAAGACGGGCAAGAGCCCCATCATGGTGGCTACTGATGTGGCTTCTCGTGGTATTGGTATGATAAAACTGCGCCTTCTCCCCCTTCCCCCCTTCCTGCTCTCCCCTTGTATTTCTTCGTGAAGCGTCCCAGCCGTATTGACGTCTGTGTGCCATTGGCACGCGGTGCGTGACTCTCTTACATGCCCCTGTTGGCATACTTGACTCGTCCAGGCTTTGTCGGGTCTCCAGAAATGGTTCTCAAGCCAGGAGAACCTTGGACTCACAGTGCAGTTTGACAGACACGTAGGATTCTTCTATTCTTCTGTTCTGACTCTTCCCATCTATGGACCTGGTTGGTCGAGAAGTACGGTGGCTTCTCTTCTGGCCTGTTGAAGCTGCATTCCAAGGTTGCTCTAGGACCACGATATCTGCCAGCATATGGACTTCATTCCGTTACGGATCTTGAGATGATAGACCGTGGAAGAGAGTGATGCATCTCGTCTCACACGGCTGAAAACGGGCTTCTATGCCACGCTGTTATCTTCACTAATGCTCTGGTTTGCTAACATGAGTTTGTCTCAAGATGTTCGCGACATCACCCATGTCCTGAATTATGACTACCCCAACAACTCAGAAGACTACGTTCACCGTATTGGTCGAACCGGTCGTGCTGGTGCCAAGGGAACCGCCATTACCTTCTTCACCACTGACAGTAAGTCACGTTCTGATCGCTACCTTTACTTGTGCTAACGCCGTTTCCCAGACTCTAAGCAGGCTCGTGACTTGGTTACTATCCTCTCTGAGGCCAAGCAGCAGATTGATCCCCGTCTCGCCGAGATGGTCCGCTACAGCGGCGGCGGCGGCCACGGTGGTGGCTATGGCCGTTGGGGTGGTCGTGGTGGCGGCCGCGGTCGTGGTGGTAATAACTTCACTGCTTCCAACGCAGCTCCTATTGGTGGCAACCGTCGCTGGTAGACACATGCCATTGTCCCAGTGCGGTCATGAGCTTGTATTCCGATATTATCCGGTAGACGTTGATTTTCCTTTACACCTGCTTTTGCTTTCAGATATCTTTTTCGTAACTCTATGGGCGGCGTTTGTCAATCTCACGATAGACTCTTTCTGCGGTTTACTCGAGTTTACAGGTTTCCGGTTGGACAACCACAGGATCGTTTCTCTCATGCACTCATATGATATATGTTAATTCTCATTTCTTTTTCTGTCTGAAAAAAAGTCCCTTGCTCTTGGTTTTGACCGGCTCAGATAGTCTGTAGCACCAGTCTAATCATATCTCACGTTTAAGAACAATCTTCGGTATTGCAAGTATGAATCCTTCAAATGTGCTGTCCGAGTACTCACCCCCTCCGGGCTAACGCCCGTCGTCCTCACCGTCCCATAGGCCTCGGATCATCTTTGATTGAGCCACACGACGAACTCAAGGCCGAGTTGGTCACTAACACGCTGTACATGGTTGGAGTGTTCTCGGGCCCTTTGAACGTAAGTGTATGAGTTCCAGGGGCGACACTGGTATATGTTGACGATCGTCTGAAATATATATAGTTGAGAGGAAAGATCAACAATAACACGCCACTTGTCGAGTTTCGTCTAAGCTCGCTATTGAGAATAACGGGTTGTTGAGGAACCCAGGTATCGTCGAGTAGTATTATATATATCCTGATACATACCAGTCCATCGAGAGCCATGTCGTCAGATGAAACTACAGCGACTATAACCGGCATATACTAGGCCCTACTTATGCATAGACGGAAATTTCAACAGCATGCCTCTGGATCCGTCACGGGGAAATAATATCCGTTGCGCACAGAAGGACGGCTACTGACTTTCGGCTCGAAGGCATGACATGATTGACGATCACATACTCTAAAAACGGATGCTGTTTTCATGCACCGGTATCGAAGAGGATGTCGCCACACGTCTCGGGGTTTTGTATATCAGTGCCTTCGGCCATGATAATATGTAGAGCCTCCGGCACCGAGTCCAACTCGATTGTGTTCCGATATCGTTTTGTTTAACGGAGCAGCGAATGACACGCTGGCCATGTTATTACTGATGAGGTCGTCCACCAGAAACATGACTAAGTGCTCTTAGCTTTATTATTTGACTCGGAGGCTGAACATGAAGCGGGGTGTGCCGAATTCTGGCCAGCGCGTTCCTAGCCGAGATCATGTGCTAGCAAAGATGGCCGCCGGGTGTGTGGAGAAGGATAAATTTGGAGCAATTCACCCGTACTTATCCCGACGAGCGACCGAAAACCATGGGTCCTGGGATCGAGACGAGCAGCGCTGTTCGGTGAGAGATCTGTCCGAGCAGGTCCAACCCTTCCTCCACGGAAATGCCCGTGACCTCTCGAGTCTCCTTCCCTCTGAGATCTGGCTGTTATTACTGTGGGCCACGGCTGAAGGAGAGGAGGGGAGTGCTCCATACTAGAGTCCCGAGTTGGCATTGTGCATCTGGGGTCCCATCATGAACGCGCTGCGCAGAGCAGAGGTGAGCACGAATGGTCCTTATCAACTCGGGAAAAGACTGAGAGACTCTCGACTCTCTTGTTGTATTCGGTGCGTATGACAGGAAACGCCTGCTGGTTTCGAGACGGTATGAGGCTATCCTGCAACTGGTTAGCAGTAAAAAAACAAGGATGATGGGCCGTGGCTCGGGTAGGGAGCACGCTAATGACTAGCAAGCCTGGAGGTGCTAGCATCGATGCGTACTAGCCCGCCTATGCCTGCGGGTTAGAGTTTCATAGTCGAGTGCGCGGGACTCGGGATTTCTGCTGATAAAATCACGAGGGGACGAGATTGGACAGGAGGAACCAAATCTGCCAGGTAAGCCCGGAATGGCGTGAACCGGCACCGCCCATGGGTGCGCTCAGCGCTGGGACTCCCATCTAGAGTCGCCGTAGAACATGCATGGAACACACAACCGCCTCGAGAGTTCTGACCGTCCGCCAGGATCATATATCGCGTCGCGCGATTCCCGACAGATGCTTGGTCGTTAATTTTCGTCCTCAGTCGAGGACCGTCGGACTCGATGGCACTTGGATGACTGTCCACTCGCCTGCCTAATCGGGGCAAAAACAGCTTTGCTGTTGAATCATGTTGCTTGGCATGCTCTGTCGTCGGAGAAATGCCGCCCAATGAGCATCGGCTCCCCTGAAACCTTACAAGCGAGGCAGCTGTTGAACGCTCCTCTTGTCGCTTTTCAAATAAGCAGCGAGGTAGCATTCGTGCCTGCACATGCCAGGCTCTTCGTACTCGCTTTTTTTGCACCTTTTTCACCGTCACGTCGGGTACAGTGAGCCGATAACCCAAGGTCCTTTCGAGCTCCGGCTAATATCGTGGAGAGCCTGGGCAACCTCCGTCCAGTGTCTTTCCTTTCCCCGGATCTCAGCGCTTGTACTTTTGCTATCTCGCAGAACAACGAAGCAGTCAGCCATTCCCATAAGCTGACCGCGCGACCTTCTCTTTCGGTGGCTCATAGAAAGCCAAGTGCCTTTTTGAGTGGTTCAGACTACGCGAACTTGCGAAGAGAGTGACATCTGGGAGGTCTTGGCTCCCAGCTTGAGTCGCTCTGAGACCTTCGCCCACGATCACGCCAGGTCTTCTTTGCTTTTGAGTTTGGACTTTAGGGACGGCTGTCGTCCGTGACTCTGTCCGACGCCCGGAGTCGAGCTTCGGAGCTGTCGTCGATTCGTCAGCCACTTTTTCTATCATCGCTTCCGGATCCACGGAGATTGGAGACGCGTTCCACAAGCATAAATACGTTTTACGAGCGCGGCTATCTAGAAAATCATTGACACACATATTGTTTGCCCTTGGCACCTGATTCGCTGCACGTTGATATTCGCAAAATGCACCTGGTCACTTCAACAGCTGCAGGGGATCAGGGGTAACAGCTGAAGTCGAACGCCCTCTTTATTTTATTTTTTATTTTTTTTCTTTGCTCGCTCTCATGCATGTCGCATTGTCGAGTCGCTGAACTCGGTTCTTCAACCAAAAGTCAACCGCTGATTCGTGCAGCAGATCCGAAGCTCGAACTACAAACAAGGTGCGCTCTAGGGATGTTATTAAGCTGGCTAGAGGATACTAAGACGCTCCGGTGCAGCCCTCAGCCAACGATGTAGTCGCCCACGTGGATCAGACTTTGGCACCAAAATAGCTTAGACTTCAACGCGAGCGGCAAACAAGGGATGATCTTGTTGTATACTTCAGGGAGGCTCTTTGCTGAGAGCCGAAGACTCGTTCATGCACCATCGTTGCTACATCGAGGTGCACTCGGAGAAATGTAAGACAGTCTCCAGTATATTTCGCAATACCTTCTGTAGGGAAAGCGGAGCAGATCACCCCGAGACGCGCCTCGTGAAAATCGCCCAAATGACCCTTCCCAAGCAGGGGCTCTTCAATGTTCAATCAACGTCAAATCTCGGATGCTGACCGAGACGACCCTGGAGATGACAATAATCAATATCGCAATCCGATGATAAAAGTGTTACACACATTCTGTCATCACCGTCGCTTGCAACGAACCAGAAACAGATTTAATACGCGGGACCCAATTAAGTTTTGTTTTTTGAAACCACCTTTTCTTTCCTCGAACCTTCGGAATCCTCACCGATGCGCGCAGCACAGAGCACAGCAGAGTGGGTTGTTTTTCTGCGCGAGTTCCGCCGGCGCGGGGTAAGGCCAATCAGCGAACAGACATCACACTCAGCTGAAGGGGACCTTCCGAGGTTGGAGACTTGCATTTCCAGGTTGCGCCCCCATCTCGACCTTGACCTTTAAACCGCGCAGTTGCTTCCATCTCAGAGCCACCCCTTTTCCGCTGTGGAAACTATCACGACAAAATGACAACTCGACAGGTGGGAATGCTCTCCATACAGCAGCCGGAAAGAAGCTCTTGAGAAGAAAATACGCGAGGTGCTGCGTATCTTTGTCACGCTTCTTCGAACTTCAGATGCTACCAAGCCTCCGCTTGCATGGGTGTTCATAAAGGAGCTGCCTCTCGACCTATCAGATGATATCAATCTTATTATGTTCTCGGTTCGGCAGATTCAACGCGATGCCCTTTGTCTTTGAGTTTGCCTCGGACTCGATCCAACCCTCACAGGCACAGCTTCTCTCCGGTGGAGCGGTACTTTCAACAACCCATATGTGTTTGATGAATGGCGACCCTTTTGATCGAACTGACATTCTGACGGGGACAGTCGAGTTGATGCTTTCAAGCTTCAGTGGATCTTGACGGCTCTCCACAGACCCCGATTCTTGTGGCCCATTTTCTCCTCATACCATTCGCAGTTCCGCACAGCTCTGCTCCGGCCGAGTGTCTCCTATCAGGTTCGCTTGAGCTCCCTGTGAACACTACCGACCACGTATACCTTTATACACACATACTGGGCATAGCTCTATGCTACGGACGACGAAAGACCTGCCATCGCCAATATTTGACAGCAAGCTGGAATATCCGAAGCCTGAGAGTGACCGACATGACTAACCAGAACCAGGATAAAGTTAAATTGTCAAATGGCCCCATTTTCTTTGACAGTGATTGGGTCGTAACCTTTGTGTTCCCCACCAATGCGTTCCTGACTTGCGCAAAAGAGCACTAGGCAGGCCTCCGAGGTCGGGAGTCCGCTTTCTCGGGACTTGTCCAGCCGTGCTGGCTCGAAGAAACCCAGCGCTTGAAGAAGTGCAAAGCTGTTGTATCATTCAGACACTGATGATATCGAATTCCTGATTGAAAGGGGCTCAGGTTATCTCACTCCTTCCCTTCCCCACAGCGGTCCCCCCATCGGCGATTCTTCCGTGGGCAACAGGTGACCATTGCAGGACGGTGACCTCCTTTTCCCACCAGTCGCTGGGAACCCCATCCACTCATGACCGGCATTAGCCGCCCCGTTTTTTGCCTATCAGGTCTTTTTTGCCCATAATTTTTCATTCTCACAGAGTGCTTTTGTTGATATCAGTGATATCTATTACGTAGCATCAATCTGTGCCGTCTGTCGATTTGTCCAGCGCAGCCAGAGCGATAATAATAACAATGTTTTGCGAATTCATGAGGCCTTGCCTTCATGTCTGGATATGCTCCGTCAGCCTCCACCACGCGCGCTGCACGCGCTCGTCACTACTTAGTCTAACCCCCGACTTACGCTACAGCCCCTTTTCGACTAGTCCGCTACGGAGAGGTGTACCGTTCCAGCCGTTTCTCGGGCACGCCATCTCATAGTGCCATCTTTCAACCCACGCTGCGAGAAACGGTGTCCAACGATTCTTCGCTGTACCCACGGCCCTCTGCGCTAGGTTCACAACAGACTCGCGACCAACACGCACACCGTCCGGCCCAAATCGCGGGTACACCATCCAAGCTCTAAATCCCTACCACTATCTTTGACTATCAACTTATTCTTAACTTCATACCTGTGCTTCCTTATGCTTGGCACCTGCTATTTCTTCCCACTACATGAGAGAGATACCTTGCGCAGAATCAATGCAGGAATAGGGGGTTGCATCAGACTGCCTCGCTCATGCTCGCCACTTTCCGCGAGTGTGCCGTGCGAGGGGAGGGGATTTGAGAATAAAAAGAAAAGGTAATAATATCAAGGAATAACCAGACAAGGAAAGCTTAGCCGGGTCCGAAAAATTCACAGAGGCTGCGAGAGTGAGGGGAAACTCGAAAGGGGACCACGAGGAGAAAGACAGGATGGATTGATTTGATGCTCAGGATTATTTTCCGCTGGAATAATCTGTCCACAGAGCGAGAGAGTGGGTCAGTCAACGGGCCCGTCACCAGAAAGCGACAGCACTCCGCTCCCACCTGGGCAGAGGGTGCAAAACGAGCAAATGAGATTTCATCCTCCAGGCGGCCCCACACCAAAAACCGTGACCATACCAAAACCAACCCCCCTTTACCACTTTGACTGCGTATTACACTCCCTGTCAGGACCTTCTGTTCTCCCTGATTTTTTTTTTCTTTTAATTTCACCCTCTCCGTTATTGACCACTTTGCCATCTTCGCCTCCAAGGCTCCAGCTTCTCTTTGCGAGAGGAAAGAGGACGAAAATTACGGGCCCACGCGCCGCTCCACCGTATCCTCGGATCCCACGAGGTGCTCGCAGACTCAGGCTGCCCGCTGTGCGGTTTTTTCTCCTCTCAAAAGTGCTCGAATGATCGAAGAACGAGGGCTCCTGAACTCTTTAAGACGCGCCTTTCCTGCTCAGGTCTGGTTCTCCCGGGTCGAGTCAAACCATCTTCTCTCCGTCTCTTTTAGGGCGATTGTGCGACCCGGCTTGCCACTTGGATCGAGGCATCGTCTCCTGCGCTATCACCCTTTTGAGCTGGTGGATTTCACTCTATATCTTAGCTCCCCTCTTGTAAAGTGGTGATTTGACTATTATTTCCACTTTTTTTTTTTTTTCCTTTCGCGCCTGGTTTGGCTTCCTCCACCGGACCGCAGAGCGCAGTCGACCCCCCTTCCTGGAGCTGGCTGCTGTCGTGCCTACCGCCACCTGCAAGAGCCATTCCCCGTCACCCTAAAAGGCGACTAAGTGATTAAGCATCGCGACCCAACGCTGTCTGCACCTTCTCCAGGCTTCCGCGACCAAAATATTCAATTTTCAGGTCCGGTTGTCTATAGTATCGTTACATTTCGCATCGCCAACCCGGTGGTAATTTTTAATCGCTTGAGTTGGAGGGCTCTGGAGCTGTTTTCGCGCCCATAATTTACGCGTCGATCCTTCCTTTATTTTCTTTCCACCTCCTCTCGGCCTCTGCCACTGCTGCACTTCTTATCCATCAGCCAACTCCCGATCCTGAACGTGCCTGTTGTTCCTGAACACCGCACAGTCACACACGGCCCTCTCCCTCCCTCCAACCACACTAAGCCTGTACGTTCCAACAAGAGGGGATCTCCAAGACTCTTCCGCCCACGGCATCAGACTAGGATCTCTTCCCCAAACCAATCCTCTTCCCCATTTCCATATACTACCACCACCTGTCGCTTCGGCACAACCTGCCCGTTTTCTTATTCTTGCGTCCACAAGCTCATTGTGTCGTTGCGACGCGTCTATCAGCAGGCACGCGAGGCTAGCTTGGAGGAACACCAGGGATATCCTTTTCCCGTCCAGTAGCGGCGACTCTTGTGTACCTATTATATGGACAACAGGCCTGCTTCCGAGTACGCGCAGTCAGGTTCGCACACACCATATCCACCACCGTCCACCGCGACACATTCTGAATTCACAGCCGCAGACCAGCCATCTGCTGCTGCCACTGCTCAATACACGCCCCAGCCTGAGTCTCGCCCAGGCCCTCAGTACACTCCGCAACCAGAGGTCCGCCCCGGAACTTCGTCCAACACACCACAGTCGGACTACAGTCTAAACCAGCCGCCTCCCGCCGCGCGCTCTCCTGCCTACCCCGAATACCTGGCCCGCCCCCCTCAGTACCATCACGCGCCGAACTCCCAACCCGGCGGTGCGGCAGGTATGGCTCAAGCAACAAGTCCGTCCATGAACACCCTGAATGATGGGCAGCCAAATGGCCATCGCAATCACTCGAACGTGAAGTCTGACGCGGACGTTCCTATAGATCCCTCGATCGCGGCATCCAGCCCCACCTATCCTCCTCCCTACTCGCCTTATCAGCCTCAGGGCCACGACATGGCTCAGTACCCGGGCCACCCGCCCCCTCCGCCTCCACAGATGTATGCGCGCCCAGATTGGCATGGGTATGGGCAACATCAGCACGGTCTTCCTGGACCATACAATGGCCCTGCCACAACGGTTGGTCCCGCCTCCCCTGCAGCGACCGCAGGGCCGCGCCCTGGCCAGGTATGTTTTTGATGATTTTTGTGGCGTCTATTTCCAAAGGCTGCGCAATTCTTGTCGATTGTTGTCTTGGGACGCCCCCTGATTTGTCGGGGTTGCGGTCGGGCTACCTCCCCGGACGTGGAGATGCGGGCGCATTATCTCATCAAAACATCTTTGATCTGTCCCTTTAGTGCGGATTACTGACAGGTGATCCATAGGTTTACTCGTTTGTTCCAATTCCTGGCGCTCAGCAACACAAGCGACCCCGTCGCCGCTACGAGGAGATTGAACGTATGTACAAGTGCGGATGGAATGGCTGCGAAAAGGCTTACGGCACACTGAACCATCTGAATGCGCACGTTACGATGCAATCGCACGGAGCGAAGCGAACCCCCGAAGGTGAGCATACACTGGTTTTCCCCCCTCATCTGGCATACACATTTGCGCGCCGCTAGCCACAGTTGTGATGGTTGGGCTAGTGCGGGTTGCGGCACGCGCTAGTCGAGTTACACAGCTTTAGCGTTGCGGATCGCAGTAGCGCTAGAACTTACCGAGGATCTCAACCCTAGTATTGAGTGACGAATAATGTTACTGACTTATAACCTCAGAGTTCAAGGAAATCCGAAAGGAATGGAAGGCCCGGAAGAAGGAGGAGGAAGCCCAGCGCAAGGTTGCCGAGGAGCGTGAGCGTGCCGCTGCCGCCCAGGCTGCTCAAGCAAACCAAGTTGACGCTCCCAACCCAGCAGACCCCTCACAGGGTGGCCAGCCTCCTGCTTACCCTGGCGGAGTGCGGCCACAGCTGCCTCCGATCGGGTACCAGCCTGCTGAAGGCCAGGTGCCTGGTCAATACGGCGCTGGCGCTGGTGGAATGGTCTACCAAAACAACGGACAGATGGGATACCCCCCAAACTACCCTCACTCGCCCTACGGGCAGAGCGGCCAAGTGTACCAGCAACGTAAGTAGTCAGCCCTTTTATGTTTGCATTGTTTAGGGCCGGGCCGTCAGAAAAAGAGCAAAACATGTGAGAAACAACGACACACTCTTCAGCAAAAGATTTGAAACTGCATGGTTACAAATAGAAGGTCCTTGGGTCTATTGCTTCAGGGTATGTAGCTGATCGATGTTGGCGTCGCAGAAAACCAATCGACCAGCTACCCGCAATAGATGTCCCTCTTCACCTTTCCCTTTGGGGTTGCATGTTCTAATACCTTCACATCAATACCCCTCCTCTAATCCCACATCGCCGCCTCCGGGTCTAATTTATTGAGATCTTGCGCACATGATACCATTCCGGGCCTCGATTTGCTCCAGTCAAAAAAACGGCCTTGCGACTCATGCTTCTGTCCTCGTCATGTTTGATGTTTTTTTTTTTTTTTTTTTTTCCCAGTTTACCTTTTCGTTTCTCCTTTGTTCCTCGCTGTCGAACTAGATGGTTGCATGAGAAAGAAAAGAATGATTCGACTCTGCAGGTACTTGACTATGGAAATGTGATATGGGAAGTCTGGCGGGGCGATCTGCATTAGCTACGGTGCTTTATCCCACTGTGAATTATGTCGTTTTGTCGACAAACTCTCTTATATGTTGTTTGATCTGTGCTCTCCTTCTCTCTATGACCTGTTTCAATTCATGTGCAATATCCCCCGTGTTTCTTCTTTTCTCTATCTGTGCGCACGGTCTTGTCCTGCGTATGCTCTGAATGGCAGAGCGGCCGATGTTACGAATATGTCCAGTCAAGCTCTTCTCTCACCTCATCATCATACTTTTGGTCTATTACCCAGCAGTTGCAGCTCGCGAGCGGACGCCGACGACGGGCCGCCGCGCTATGCCAATATATATGTTCCACCTCGTCCGTGTTTGCGTCAGAAGCGCCTAGTGTCAAAGCTGAACAGTTCCTGCATTAGCAGCAATAACGGCCGTTAGCAGCAGGATTATCATACTCTAGCCTAGCCGCTGCAACGGCCATTAGTACGCTTGTACTGGAAACCCGTCCGATTCGACCAGAGCCCACATATGCCAAACAATGGGCCAAAATGACAGATCACCAGCATTAGTGGTGTGACTTGAGCAACGCTAGACGTTAGACTCTAGAGGCGAGACTAGAGCCTGTCGCCTGTAGTTTACTAGTTTGAGTAGCCAGTGGTGACACAAGGGCTAAAGCCACTGAGCACAGCCGGTCTTGGTATGTACATGCGTACACCGCGGGCGTTGGAAGAGACGAGACTAGACTGGACTAATGTATGCGCGGGGCGCGGGGCCGGGGCGTTATTGCTGCTGGATGCTGGACTCTGCATTGCACTGTGGCCTGTGGCCTGTGCAGATGGACATGCAGTTCGGTTTAGGTTGGTTCGTATGGGACTAGTCACACCTTGACAGGCTAAGTGGACTTGTATCGCAGACTCAAAGCTAGCTAGTTAAACTAACCCGCGGCCTGCCTTACTAGCGGTTACCTAGACTATGTTTTGAATTTTCCGGGGTGGCCACTATTGCCGACATGCTCTAATACGTACATACAAACTCTAAGAAGGTTGCGTTGCCGGGCCGTAGCCGCAGCCGTCGCCGTGGCATGGGATTGCATTGGCCCTGTCCCTTGCACCGTGCACGACTAGAATCTTACCATAGACTTTTACCTAGGTATGTAGGGGAGTGCACTAGTAAAGTAAACCCTCGGGCGTCGAAACTACTAGTAAAGTAACCATCTTTGGGGCCCGGGGGGGAAATCTTGGTTCGGGTGTCAGGGCCTAGGACTAGGCTTGCCGCTGGCAGCCCGTTTTTAGGGCCCGCTGAGGCGGGGGAATGGGATGGCGTGGCTAAAAGGCTAAATGTTAGATTCTAGACTAATGCTAGTCAAGAGTTACTTGCTCGAGATTCGGGGATATTAAGGTACGGTTGGACTATGGGCTGGAGCTAGAGGCGAAAGGGTAGAGCCGAGACTCGAGAGGTTGATCATACTACGGAGTCATGACAAGTGTACTCCGTATGTGCGTTTCGCCACTGGCCGTTTGGTCATTTTGAAACTGGAACTGAGACTGGAACTGGGTGGTGCTAGGCTCGGTTTCGGAATCGCCGGATCGTCTGGTATTGAGATCAGGGTGGAAGTATGGGACTTCGACTCGGCAGATTCGGATGCGAGGGGACCGAGTGGCTCTGGTTGGGCTAGTGAGTTAGTCGTGGATGGTTTAGTTGACTCTGGGTATATCTGTATGTACTTCTGCAGTGGCAACCTGTTTATCGTCCGCGCAGTGTTTTGTGTTTGCCCGCAAATTGAGGGATCTTTTGGTTTGACTAGAGAAATCGAAAGTCTTGTCTTGCGTAGATGTGCTTTTGTGCTTTGCGCCGTCGGAGTCAAGTACCAAGCAATTGTGTGATGAGATCCGGGCAAAAACACGTTATACCATAAAGAAAGACCATTTCCTGGACATTATACGGAGTATATCGCCTAGTGAAACCTCGATTACTGATTGGCAAAACACTGGGAGTGGATGTTTGTATTGAAGAATCTATGGTCACGTGCTGATACGGTCTGGGCCTGTTATCCTGCGCTAGTGATGATTTTCCAGCATCGCAATCGCCGTGGCCATTTTTCCTCATTGCTAGAATCCAGCAGCATCCAACTTTAACTCTCCTTGTTCATTTATTCCTTTTTTATTTGCTTTCAGCGACCTGCAGAAAATATAATCCGCTAACTGACTACCAACGACCTTCCTTCCGTGTACGATTTTTCAATTCCGCTCGCTCCAGTCGTGAACGTTTCAAACTCCGCGCGCCACGGGACCAGATCGGTTCTGCCAGTATAAAATCGCATCATCGCCGCTTCGACTCTCAGAATAGATGCTTCGCTGCAGCCATGCCACTGCTCTTCGAACGCGGTTTCCCTCTGGTGCGGCCCTAAGGGCGCCTCTAAGCTTGCAATGGGCAAATGCTCCGCGGAGCTGTTCTCCGCTCGCGCCGGCCCTCAAAACCGCGCAGACAGCCGTTACCTCCCTCACGGCACAATCTCAAATACGGCTCTTGAATTATTGGTCTAATCTTGAACGCAGTCTAAGAGTCAAAGAGGAGGATACACTCGGCGAAGAGGATGGACCTAGAGACGAGGATGCAGTCGCAGATGAGGATAAACGCACGCACGGAGGTCTCACAAAGCATGTCGAGGCTCAATCTACGACCTGGTCTAAACCTCGCAGGCCTTTTACCCGCAAGCGACAAGTCGGAAAAGAAGACGCCGAGATTTTTGGGCCGTGGACTCCCCGCAAGATCAGGGAAAACGATCCGTTGTTTCAGATCGCAAGTAATAAGATCCAGAAGATTCCTTCGAAGGCGGCAGAGATGGAGTTGAGATGGATAAGGGATCGGACAATGCTAACGGAGCGGGTAAGGCGGCTACTCTCGCAGGGCGATGTGTTGCTGGCTGCGACGCTTGTGCGTATGGCGCAGCGTGAGAGGTTGGATTGCGTAGTTGCTTGGAATCAGATCCTGGCTCATTGTATGAAGGCGGGGAGTCCGATGGCTGCATGGAAGTTTTGGAATGATGTGGGTTTCTCTTTCCCTCTCCTCGCTCTGTCTGTTTTGTTTACACTTGCTTTTAAAGGGGCGCTTTTACTAACTGGTGGATGATGCAGATGAAAAAGCGCGGTGTTCTACCCAGCGAATTCTCGTATACGATCATGCTGGATGGGTTCAAAAATAGTGAGCCCCAGCCGGGCTTCCACCCAGTGACGCAGGCACTTAGGCTTTTCCAGCAGTTAAGGCTGCCCTCTTCCAAAATCAAGCCGAACATCATCATGGCCAACGCCATGTTAAGCGTTTGTGCGCGCCACAATCATCTGGATACGATTTGGGAAATCGCTGGAGAACTTCCCGAGGAAGGGCCGGGATCCCCGGACGACATTACCTATACCATCATCCTGAACGCCATCCGTGGCTCGCTTCATCAGGATCTTGCCCACTTATGGGCCAATGATGAGCTCAAAGTCCACCGCCGAAGGCTCTTGGCCTTGACAGAGGGTAAGAGAGTATGGACTGATGTTGTATACCGGTGGAAACAGGGGCAGATTGAGATGAAGAATCAGCTTGCTTCTGCCATGGCCAGTCTTCTCCTAGAAGGTCCCATGGATCGCCACATGCACGAAGTGTTCTATCTCTACCACCAGACCACAGGGATTCCTATCCTTTCCGGAAAACCTTCTGATGCCCCGTCGCAGAGATCCAAGGCCTCTAGAAGTAAGGCTGTTCGGAGCCCAGAAGCTGTTCCATTCGTTAATGAATCTGGGGATTACATCTCGCTCGGAAAAGATATAGAGCCCGAGGAACTGGCCGAGGTGGAAGCGGAGGAGCAAAATGGTTTCAAGGATATCTTCAACCCCGTTGTTTCTCCAGATGCTCAGCCATATTCACTGGAGCGCGGCATACCCCCGGACCCCCCATCTACAGGCCCAAACTACATGCCCTTAACCCCTGGGGATCTGTCGCTCATTATGAGGGCGGCGTTGCTGACACAGGAGTGGGGAACTACCGGCAAAGGTTACTGGAATCATCTTACACTGGACGACGTCCCTTACCGTGTCACCCCGGACGAAGAGTGTTACAAAGCGTACCTACGCATTCTCCGCATCAGCCGCTCTAGCCGTATGGCAGTTGATGTGATCCGCTCCCAGATCATCCCATCCGGCGTAGTCGAAGGCGTCTACTTCCACATCGCGATGGGCGTCTGTCGGCGTGACCGCAACAACTACATGGTTTTCAAGCACGCTAGCGAGTTACTGTCCATGATGGATAAGCATCTCATTATCCCCGACACCCGAGCCGTAAACGGATATTTTGACCTCGTCCAGTACCTTGAAGCTACGCCGGAAGCGCTTCTCGATCTGGAGGATCTCGACGCGATCAAACGGGGCCGATCCAAGGGCCTACTTCGCGCCGATATCTCCAACTTCTACTCAAAGCAGGTCCGCGAGCTACAAGTCGCCCTTGAGCTCCTAGCGATCGAAAAGCTTCAACCAATCATCGCCTCGCTCAAGGTCGCCTTGGACGAGGTCATCGACGGGCCACCCGAGCTGTTCCGCCAGCCGGGCGCCGATCAGGGTCCGCCTGTGCGTGATGGTTCAATGGGCCACACTTTAATCACATTATTGACGCGCATGCGACAGCTGATTGACAATGTTCTGAAATATAGTGTACCAGGACAAATTTCTGAGGAGGCTCGCAATGAGCTCAAAAAGCAGTCGTTGGCACTGCGCAAATACTCTAAAATGGAGATCTTTGAGCGGTTTCGCCATAGGATTATTCATCCGACTAAGGAGCAACGTCGCAAATATGCCGCGCACCTCCAAGCAGCGGTAGAGGCTAGAAAGAGGCGAGATTCTAGAGTGGATACTGCAGAGCTAAGCTCTGAGGTGTCATCGTCTCAGTTACCACCTTTCAAGGTTCCGGAGTCTCAGTTGCCCACGTCTCCATCAGAGCATCCTTCATTGCAGGAATCTCAGTTTGAAGCGCCCCAATCGCAAGTCTCCCAACCTCAGGACACCCAGCCACCGGAGACTCAGGCTGAGGAGCCTCAACTCGAGAAATCCCAGTTGGAGGAGGCTAAAGTCGAAAATCTTCAAGAGATTCTATGGGAGCAGATTCTATCTCCGCAGCCTCGAGCCGAGGAGATTGCCCAATCCGAAATGCCTCAGCCCCGAAAGGCTCAGTCTCAGAATCCGTTGCCGCAAGAGGTTCAGGTCGAGGAGCTTGGATCTCGAGAACAACCCCAGGACTCTCTTTCTGAGACAGCACCACCACAGGAGCCTCACGTCGAGGAGGCTCTATCTAGGGCACCTCATTCCCCAGAGCCTCAATCCGATGAGACTCAGGCCAAGGAACTCCGGTCTGATAAATGACAACTATTAGGCAAACTCTCTTCTCTTGTATCTAGTTGATATCGCATCTTGTGGCGTTTGTGTGGTTTTGGAAGCCGGATATATGTATAATAAAGTCTGGCTACGGCCTGTGTACCTCTACCATATTTTCTATACCGGTAGAAGATCTCAGTCATCGATTTTCATCAATTCGAACATTCTACTCTACCTATAGTTAGTAGGAGTGTACGGTCGAATTTTGTCCGCCTCAGGCGTCAGGCAGCAAATTCCAAGGTGCGTACGTAATGGGCGGAAAGCCACTCTAGCCTCTCCGAGGGCCCAAGCCAAACAGCCCAGGAGCTGCACGAGAACCAACTCCGCATCATCTTCTTTATCTTTGTCCGAAGTCGATTTCGAGACATCGCGCCGACTCTTAACGCTGCAAGCTCTCTGGTAGAGCAGATTATGCACCACCTTTTGCGATAGCTTCTGCTGAAACCGAACCAGCCCTTTCATTATACCTGCCTAGCTTACACAAAAGCACCATGGCGAGCTCAACACCGTACTATGCTCACGATGACTTACGCGACGACGAGTCGATATTGGATGACGGGGTTATCGAAGCTGATGATGGTTAGTTACATCTACTCTTTCTTTCAAATGCGTCGGAAGGGCATGCGTCATGTTCTTTCTGCCTGGGCTCCGCATATCCGAGTCGTAATCACTAGCTAACCTCACTTCTCTCACAGCAATCGACGCAGATGACCCCCTCCACGAGACAGATAGAACACCTCTAAGAGGCAACATCCAACCCGACAGCTCCTCCAGCTCCCGCGGCGGCAGCGGCAACAACCTCTCGAGCGGGTACCTCACATCCCGCATCCCCGGCGAAGACCGCCGCGCGCCGCAAAACACCATTGACGAGAGCGTTTGGCAGACGCTCTCCCGCGATCTTCTCGCGGTATGGGAGAAGATGCGCCAGGTGCTCTACCCGAAGTACCTGGTTGGCGGGATCTTGTCGCGCGGCGGAGGTGGAATTGGTGCTGCGGAACGGGGCGAGGCGACGGGCTTTGGAGGCGGCGTGCGGAATGTGCTGGGGAGATGGCCAGATGCCGATGTTGTGTTGCAGGGTGGGATGAGCGAGGGGCTGAGGGATTGGGATCTTTGGTGAGTTTTGGCTTCCTCAGGAGCTGTGTCGGATAGGAGTATTATGCTGACTACGGTATAGGGGCCCGCTTATTTTCTGCCTGCTGCTTAGCATGTTCCTCTCTCTGGCAAAGGGAGATCAGTCGGATGTGGTGTTCTCGGGCGTCTTCTCCCTCGTGTGGATCGGGGAGGCTGTTGTGACATTGCAGATCAAGCTGCTTGGCGGGAATATGTATGCTCCCTTCCTTGTTTCCCTGGGCCTGCATACGAGTCTGAAACTAACGCTGCGTCTAGCTCCTTCTTCCAATCCGTCTGTATCATCGGTTACACGCTCTTCCCGCTGGTTATCGCCGCCTTGCTCAGCGCCCTGGGTCTCCCGACAATCGCCCGGATACCGGTCTACCTAGTTTTGATCGCATGGTCATTGGCTGCCGGTGTAAGTATCCTTGGTGGCTCGGGCGTCCTGCGAAACCGCGTGGGAATCGCGGTATATCCCCTTTTCGTCTTCTACATTGCGATCGGGTGTCTCTGCTTCATCAGCTAGAGGTCTTGAGAGTGACGCGGTGCAACATGTGCTTTGTTCTGAGGAAGCCTCGAAGCCGGATGGGGGAAGTTCAACGAGACCGGCGTCTGGAATATGGTGCTATCATCTCAATGCGATTGCAGCTTCAGTATCCATGCTATTTTCTGTGCTCTGTAGAATAAGATGCTAGAATTCTTCGTCTGTACCACGATATGGGATATCCACCAAGAAATAGTCAGTAACATACTCTAGATATATCCAAGGGAGAGCGCGACAATTTATAGCTATGGCCATCAGAATGGAGCCTTTATCTGCGGGGCGGAGCGAACGCCGGACCGGGTGACGGTGGCTCCGGCGAGCGACAACACAGCACAGCAACCAACGCAACCGTTTGCTTCTTCGTTCGAGGCCACACTCTCGCCCGCTCGCCTCTCCACCTTGTCACCTTCTCCCCTCGATTCCTGCTTTGCCTTCCGCGAAACTCGTGACTTAGCTTTGTCGTCTCTATTTGCATAGAGGGTGGATTCTGCGATCCTTTCCTACGGTTCTTAGACGCTGAGCACTCGTCATCGAGCTTGTTGCCGCTGAGCTCGTGTGATTCATCCCACCACGGCCTACGAAATTCGACGGGTTTCGTCGACGACTGGGCGATTCACATACTCCTCTTCATTTATAGCCACCTAATTTGTTGCTACGGGGTTTTGGGTCTGTTGAGAGAGGATAGTGGTGAGTAAGCACTTTGTTTGCGCCCTCCCACATGTGGACGGGAGCTTCATCCTCGGGTGCTCTATCCAGACGCCGATGAGAGCGCCAATCTTCGACGTCAGCTACGCCGATGTACTGCTTTATCTATAGGACGAACGACGTGGTTCCTTGAAGTCTGAAGCTAATGTTTCAGGTAAAATTCAGTCGAAGTGCATATCAACGACCTCACAATTGCCAAATTTCGTTCTTGAGCCGCTCGGGTTCAGCTTCGCGTGCGATACACAGACAATTTGATTCTGCGCCACTAGATTTCGATCTCTAGAGTGTTAGACCGGGTTTTTCGGTATGGCGTCGGAGATTCGGGATAAGGAGTTGGAGAGTAAGTTAGGCCCGGGTGTCTCCTGTGATATTGTTTCGTTCTCGGACGAACTGTGCTGATGTGTTTGTCTTCCTTTCAGAGGATAATCAGAACGGACCTGTTGATCAAAGTATGTGCCGTGACTCGGAACATGTTCGGTCAACCAAGGTGTGGATCAGAACAGATTGACTGACAGGTGATTAACGTATAGCTACCACCGACGACTCGCAAGCATCCGATAACGACGGCGGCGAGCGCCCCGTTCGGAACAAGTTAAAAGAAACCTCGATCACGGCAGCCCCTAAAACGACGTCCACGACATTCGAGACAGCGCAGGAGGGCGAATCAAGTAGGGAAAGCAGCCGGGGCAGGAAGCGATCATTCGACGACGACGAGATGGAAAATACCGAAGATGAGCCTGGCCATCGGCGGAAGAGATCGCGCGACTCGAGTACAGAGGAACCGACCACAAAGCCTGATGAGGGTCTGGCGCCTGAGTCCGGAAGTACATTGAAGAAGAAACGAAGCAGGGATCAGCTGGATAAGGATGAAAAGACCGAGGAAAAGGGAGAAAAGCCGAATGTTAAGGATAGTACGGAGGGCGGCGCGTCAGCAGGGACACCTGCAGCCGAAGGGCAGCCTGAGAAGAAGCGGCATAGGGACGATTCTCAGGAGCGTGGCTCGGTATGTACCTCTATCAGATACAATTGCGTTTAGCAAGGGAAAAACTGACTTCATGATAGGTACCTCTCCCTAGTGCGTTCGCGAACACGTCCTCCGTGTCTCCGTTTGGTTCAGTTGGCGGCTTAACATCAACTTCGAAACCAGCAGAAGAGGAAAAACCAGCTACATCATCCTCAGCCTTCGCCTCGTCAAGTCTAGCCGCATTCGCCAGCTCAGAACAGTCCCCCTTTGGGTCTTTGGGGGCCTCAACACCTTCTATCTTCAAGTCCTCAGCCGAATCCACGCCGGCAGAAACAACGAAGCCTGCTGCAACCGGTTTTTCAGCAGCTACCAAACCTTCAGGCTTTGCAGCGTTAGGCTCCGGATTCTCAGGGTTCAGTGGTGGCTTTGGAGGAGCAGGCTCAAGTGGTGGCTTGACGAGCTTTGCTTCTGCTACTGCACCCAGCGCTCTGGGAAGTACGAGCTCGAAGCCATTCGGCGCTGAAGCCGATTCAGACGACGAGGATGATAAGGAGGATGACGGAGACAGTGAACCGGCCGAGTTTGCAGAGGATAAGACCGACGAGAGATTTTTTGAAAGGCGCAGTAAGTGGCTCTCCGCACCATCTTTCGCACCAAATTGCTAATATACTTGCACAGTCGAGACTGGTGAAGAGGAGGAAAAGACGTACTTCTCCTGCAAAGCCAAGCTTTTCCACTTCTCAGACAAGGAGTGGAAGGAACGCGGTCTTGGCACGTTCAAGGTCAACGTCAAGGTGACAGATGGCGTCGAGGACAAGAAGTCGGCTCGCATGATTATGCGCGCAGATGGAGTCCACCGTGTGATGCTCAACTCGCCCCTGTTCAGGGGCATGACAATCGGCGATGCCACGGGCAAGGAACCGAAATCCAAACAGATCAGCTTGGCGAGCTTGGAAAATAGCCGCACTGTTCCACTCTTGCTCCGGGTAAGTTAAATCATATCAGCTATGCTCAGACTGTCAGCTAACGCCAATGCAACAGACGGGGAGTGAAGACCAGGCCAAGGAGTTATACCGGGTTCTCCAAGATCTGCTGGAGCACCAATGAGCGGAAAATATAACAAAATAATCGACATATGGTCGATGGTAAATTGGGCTGTTTGACTTCTGCTCGCGCCTTGGGAAGATTGGCTGGCATTGGGGTTGGGTTGGCTTTTTGCATTGGGAACAGGAGTACAGTGTGCCTGTCCTGGGTTGGCGAGAACGAGCGAGCTACTACTTGGCGGTAGATATTACTTCTTCTAATATCTATACGTTTCTTTGTCTATACTTGCATATACTCTTTGTCTTTCTCTTGGTTTTCATTGCATCCGCTTCTTCGTGTAGTAGTTTGTGAGGCTATTCCGTATCTGGCTATATTGGCCTATGGGACACGTGACTTCGCGTCGGCCTCGGGAACGAATTCTTGATCCTTCGTAAAGTTCTCTACTTTACCAATTTATGCACCACACGCGTCAATCATGGGGCGTCCAGATGGCCGGACCAAGGACGAAATCAACTGCCCCAACAGGCGGCTTACTCAGTGGGAGCCAACCCCACGATGAGCCGGCTCAATCTCGTTCAGATCTCACCACCGACGCGTCGACAGCCACCAAAACCCCCGAAGTAACGGACCACGTACCACAGTCGGCTCAGGAACTGAGCACGCAACGGAAGCGCAAAAGAGCAACAACTAATACGAAGGCTACCAAAGCAGACTCCCCTCTCGCAAAGAGTGACAACTGGAACCCTGAGCAACTTTCTCCCTCGACAGATCCATCAGTCGAAGCGCCTCAACCCGGTAAGAAGACGAAGAAGTCAACCTCTACGCCGAAACAAAAGCAACAAAAGAAACAAGAACAACCGAAACGAAAACCCGCTTCATCGTGGCCAGACACGTTCACGAAACTCTCACGCACTCACCGCGCTTTGAACCTGGTGTATACGTTCTGCTGCACGCGGAAGCATTTCGCCACGACTTTCGAGAATATCAAAAACGCTGTCCAGGCGCAGACGGGCGGGGAACCTGTCACCGTGGAGGACATTGCGAGAGTCAAGGTTCTTATACCGCGCGCGATACGACTTGAGTATGTGGATGAGGCGAAGCTGGAGGTTCTGAGTGCCGGGGAAAGAGAGGAGGTCACGGCTTTCGGGAGGGGAAGTGGCGGCATCGACATGGAGGAGGAAGCTGAGTCTATAACACATGCTTTGCTATTTGAGTTTCTCGACGGCGATTTGAAGAGGGAGAAGAAAGACGGAACTTCGGCCCGGAGGGACAAGGATGATGATATGAAGATGCCGGTTTTCAGCCAGAAACAGATGCTGTCGCTGATCGAGAAGCGGGGTCAGAAGTTCTCGGATGCGGTGGATGCGTTCCTTGTTCGATGTGAGGACGAGAGTTTGGATCCCGTCATGTTGCTTGAGAGCGAGAAGGACGCTTACATCCCTAAACCCCCTGTTGCTGATGGTGACGGGCCTGCTCCACGTAATTCGTCGAAGATATTGGGACCGATTCCCAAAGACCGCAAGAGAATGGCTGAAATAATCGAAGAAATACGCGCGCTGGATTGGTATACGGGGCAGATTGTGCCTGAGGGCCACCGAGCGTTTGATGCGCAGCCTGCCATCTACGGGGACTTGAAGTTTGCACTGTCGCAGGATCTTGTGAATGCGCTCTACAACACGAAGGGGATAACGCGGTTCTATTCGCATCAGGCGGAGGCGATCAATCACTTGCACGATGGACAAAACGTTATCGTGTCGACGTCAACGAGCTCTGGAAAGTCGCTCATCTACCAAGTTCCCATGCTCCACGAACTGGAACAAGATCCTAACAGCAGAGGCATGTACATATTTCCGACGAAAGCTCTCGCACAAGACCAGAAACGGAGTATGCAAGAGCTTCTCCAGTATCTTGATGGTTTACAGGGTACGCTCGTTGAAACTTTTGACGGCGACACGCCCATGGGAAATCGCAATGCCATCCGCGAAGACGCACGCATTATCTTCACAAACCCGGATATGCTACACATTACAATTCTCCCGCAGGAAAGCTCGTGGCGATCCTTCCTCCAGAACCTCAAGTTTGTCGTCGTCGACGAACTTCACGTCTATAATGGCCTTTTTGGATCGCATGTGGCCTTCATCATGCGCCGCCTCCGCCGTATCTGTGCTGCTGTTGGGAACCGTCATGTCAGGTTCATATCCTGCTCCGCTACCGTGGCAAACCCGGAAGACCACATGATGGCCATATTCGGCGTCGACGACGTTCGGCTCATTGACTTCGACGGTTCCCCGTGCGGCCGGAAGGAGTTCCTCTGCTGGAATACGCCGTTCAAGGACCCTACCGACCCGACATCCGGACGTGGAGACAGCGTTGCCGAAACCGCGCGGCTGTTCTGCCAGCTTATACTCAGAGGCGCGCGAGTCATTGCCTTCTGTCGGATTCGCAAATTGTGCGAGGTTCTGCTTCAGGCAGTAAGGAACGAATGCAACCGGCTCGAGCGGCCAGAGATTGGGAAACTCATCATGGGGTATCGCGGGGGATACAGTCCTCAAGATAGGAGGAGGATCGAGTCGGAGATGTTCCAGGGCCAATTGCTCGGTATCGTCGCGACCAACGCGCTTGAGCTCGGCGTTGATATTGGCTCCCTTGACGCTGTCATTACGCTCGGATTCCCGTACTCGATCTCCAATCTCCGCCAGCAAAGTGGCCGCGCAGGCCGCAGAAATAAAGACTCGCTCTCCGTCTTAGTAGGCGATCGATATCCAACTGACCAATACTACATGCGCAACCCAGAAGAACTCTTCTCAAAGCCCAATTGCGAGCTTCAAGTCGACCTTTTGAACGAACTAGTCCTAGAGGGACACATCCAATGCGCGGCATTCGAAATGCCGATAAAGCCTGACCTAGACGAGACCTACTTCGGCCCCCAGCTCGCAGAAGTTGCAGCGACCCGACTCAGACGTGACGCCATGGGCTTTTACCACTGCCACGACCGCTTCCGCCCGCAACCCTCACGGTGCGTGCCGATCCGTGATACAGAGGACCAGCACTTTGCCGTCATCGACACCACCAACGCACGCAACGTAGTCCTCGAAGAAGTCGAGGCCTCGCGTGCATTCTTTACCCTCTACGAGGGCGGCATCTTCCTCCACCAGGGCCAGACATTCCTCGTCAAGGAGCTGAACCCAGATCGCTTCTTCGCCCGTGTTGTCCGCGTGCATGTCGACTGGAACACCATGCAGCGCGATTTCACAGACATTGACCCCGTCGAAACAGAGCACATGCGTCCCATAGACCACACCAGCGCTACAAATGCCGACAACAACAATAATAGCCCCGAAGAAACAGACAAAAATAGTCCAGATACAACCTCCCGCGCCTTCTTCGGCACAGTCCGAATTCACGCCATCGTCTACGGCTTCTTCAAGATCGACAAGCGCGGCCGTGTCCTTGACGCCGTGGCCGTCGACAACCCGCCCATCGACCTTTTCACAAAAGGCATGTGGCTTGATGTCCCAAAGCGCGCTCTTGAAATTCTCGAATCCAGACGTCTAAACATTGCAGCTGCCATCCACGCCGCCGAGCACGCCGTCCTGTCGCTCCTGCCTAGTTTCGTGATTTCTTCGCCCGGCGACGTCCGCACTGAATGCAAAGTTGCCAAGAAGGAGCTTGGGAAGGGGTTGAAGCGTGCTCGTGCCCATGGGCGGGGTCGGGATGTGATATCTGATGAAGCTGGTGAGGAGCTTGACAAGAGGATTGAGCAGCTTCGTCCGCCGGCTCGTCAGCGGCCGGCTCGGCTGACGTTCTACGATGCAAAGGGCGGCTCGTGTGGGTCTGGGATTGCGCGCAAGGCGTTTGAGTTTGTGGATTCGCTTCTTCGTCGTGCGGTGGCACGCATTGAGGCTTGTGTTTGCATCTCGCCGAAGGGGTGTTTGGAGTGTGTGTGTGATGAGCGGTGTAAGGAGATGAATTCCGTTATGAGTAAGGCCGGGGCGGCGGTTGTGTTGAGGTGTTTGCTTGGGTGGGAGGTTGATGTTGAGTCCTTGCCCTGGGGAGAGGTGGATGACGACGGGGTGGACGAGTTGGGGGAGTTGGCAGGGGGGTTGGAGACAGTCATTTTGGCCAGCGAAATTCCCTGGAGGAGTTCTGGGCCGGTCTGACCTGTACATCACTAGTGTTGATATATAAATAGATCCTACGGCTTGCAGAGGGAAGCTCAAAGTTGAACACTCAGGGTGCTCATCTATCATTTCCAAAATTGTAGTGTCCATAAATGGCGCAAACGTATGGGGTATAGTGCGTTGATCAACAGGAATATATATAGAATAGGGAGTGAGGAAGGCCAGACTGGAGTGAGCTGGACTGTGTCTGAGGTGACACAGGGTCAGTGTCCAGTGCGTTTCCGCAAGCTAAGTCAAAGGAGACCGAAGGAATCGAGCGTCGAGCGTCGACTGCTATCAAAACGGCATCGCTCGAACACTGCATATTGTCTCAGAGTCAAATGGCGTGAAAATCGCGGCCAGAGACGGGAAAGAAAACTACCACTGGTAGACCGGATCCGGGATGCCTTTCTCTCCAGGGATAACCGAGTGTTTGCGAGGTGATTTATCCAGATGTGGTGGCTGCAGTATTACTTCTTCGGACCTGCAGGTCGCGGCACCTCTGTGTTACCAGCAGGCGGACTAGGCTCGCTTTCAGTGTCATCAAGATTGAGTTTTCCAAAGACGGCCTTCATATCGCGCACGCTTTCTCGGAAGTCATCGCGAGGATTGTTGGTTCGCTCTTCGGTCATCTCGCGGATTTGTCGAATAATTGTTGGATACGCTTCATCGTCTGGGAGCCACCAGTGATTGAGCTCTGGGAGTTGCCAGAGTGCAGCAAGAGCCGCTCGGAACTTTGGCGCAATAACGTACCTAGGAAAGAAAAGGAAGTCAGTTCAGGACTCGTCCGAAGTTTCAGATCTGGACTCACCCGCTTTGTTCCATAAGAGCAAATATCCGCCTGCACCACATGAGATGCCTATTATCCCTAGGAAAGAACATGCTGGCCATTGTGATGCTGTTCTTGAAACCGAAAACATATCCTTTTTCCTTATCTGGCCAGCGTTCAATAGTCTCGATCAACCGGGCTTGCTCAAATGATAGAGACATCAATTCCTCCATCGATCCTTGCTGCGTAGCAGTGAGGAACTGAAACTTGTACATGGCCTTGGTGGAGTAATAATCAATCCAGGCGAAGTTTGCATCCCACAAGGGCCCGTAGTGCAATCCGCCGGGAATATATGGATCAACAATATCGTCTCCCGTCAAGGGCTTCTGATCAGGGTAGGTCTGGATGATGTACTGCGTAGCGAATCGGCTAAGAATGTCTCTAACCCGGTCCAGGTTTTGGCCAAGTTGCTCATTCTGAGCTAAGAAGTCTCCAAAGTCAATCATGCCACGCGACAATTTGGCGTACAAGGATGCCATTTCCAGGCCAAAGCGACGGTTGATTGACGATGTCAACGCTAGTTGTTTCTCAATGTCGTCCGGATGATTAGCTGCCTCCTTGGCGTCGTACTCCTCTCGCATGATGTACCAATCTCGGCCTAGAACCATTTCGTTTCCTGAAACAAGACCAGCGACAATATCGAATCGTGCATACCACTCGAAAAGATGCCTGTGAACATCGTCAAAGCTTGCGGATTCGGGTGTAAGAAGTTCGCGTATCAGAACATGAGCAGCTTGATGGTGATCGATCAGATTGACCCAGTCACCTATGAACTCCTACATAATAATAACAAGGTCCGTAAGCAGCTGGTAATCTGGAAGCGCTACCGAATGCGTAGAATCAAGAACGGTAAGAGATCAACGGTTTCGAAACATACCTCGAAAGTCGTCAACACGAGCACTGTTGCCAAGGTTGCCTCACTATATGGCTCGCCTGAGCCTAATGATTTTCGCAAGAGTGATAACGCCTTGTTGTAATATTTGAGGAATGTGTAGAGCTTTGCACCATTGGTTTGCACACAGTGATGATAGGCCGCGAAGCCCACGATTGCGTAGAGCAAAGGTTCATATTGCAAAGCATATTCAAGGAGGGCATCCCTAACGAAGCTGGCACTGCGGGGATTTAGGAAGTAATGGCGAAAATTGATCGAATCTCGGTGGTAGGAATAATAAAAGCGTATATCCTCAGGAAGATGAGCCGTACTAGGGTCACCTGAAGAGTCAAAAAAGAGAAATCCGACACTGTCCGAGCGAGCGCTCAATGATCCGAATCTCGATGAGCCGCCCTCGGTCGAGGGAGAGCTACTGTTCTCTTTGCGACCGGGCACAGGGTCAGTGGTCGTGATGACTGGCTGTTTCGCCTTACGACGCCGTAGAGATTGAGCACTCTGCTTCCTCGGCAGCGCCGGCTTCGATCCAGCAGAAGCGGCAATCCCAGTGGTTGACGGTGGTGGTGGTGGTGGTGGTGGTGGTGGTGATTGATGAGTACTCGACCCAGGGCTAGCTCCCACTTCCTCTTCCTCGTCGGCGATGGGTTCCAGAATGCCGGCTTCAAGAGGACCAGAAGAATCACTTCCACGGGATTGCGGGCGAGAAGATTTGGCTTTTGTCACGGAACGAGGCGCGGGCTTTGAAGCCGAGCCAGTTGTTGAACTAGGGTAAACGCATTCTCGATTACCCTTTCGGCATCTTTCGCAGGTAGGACGGCTTTCGTCACACTTGATCCGACGGGCTCGGCAAGTAAAGCAGCCGCTCCGGGTACGTTTATGCTTTTTCTGGTCTGGAAGTGGCTGGAGGAGCGATGGTGTCTTGGGAGTGGCTGGTGTGAGAGGTACCGGGGAAATTTGAGGTTGCGTCTGTTGCTGCTGTGCCGAGGAACTGTGCCAGAGCGCAACACCCTCCGAATACTGGTGCTGGCCCAAAATTGAATATGCGGAGAGCGGGGGCGGCTCTTGGATGTAACCTGTCATAGAGCCCTGAGGCGGTTGAAAGGAATGTGCCATGGTGCCAAATGGCAGCTGATTTGCACCCAAAAGATGGAGGAGATGGTGGAAAGAAAGGTCGTCATAAGCTAGAGAAAAGAATGATGTGGGAATAGCTCAAGTCGGGAGGGCGCGAAGATGAGTATGCATCCTTGGTTCCGCGGAGGCAACGCGGTGGCGGGACGGGCAGACACAATGACACGCGGGAGAGGACCAGGAGAGAGGGTGGAAAGTGAGCGGAGGGGGTAAAGAGAAGCGACAGCAGGAGGTCTTGGGAGAGTGCCCGATGGGAATGGCCCGGGGATGTTGAAAGAGGAGGAAGAGAAGAAGTTAGATTCAAGATCAGATTCCTGAAGTTGGGGGGAGATCACCGGAAGGGGCAAGTGCAAAGTCGCAGCATCACCAGTTCAAAAGGCTTGGTCCCAAGCTCCTGTGCCTCGTTCTTATTTCTTAACTGACCCGGATATTATACGACTAATATATTCTGATTTATGATTTGGGTTGCTACTAGGTATTTTTACTTTTTCTCATTTTCTGGGACCGTCTCCGATCAACCCTATGGATCAGCGTGTCATCGAGGACAGCGCCTTACTCACCTCGTAGTCGTACCTAAGTACATTCCTGGGGTAAGCGTAAGACTATCTCGGTCAGCTTTGCGACCTTACCTCGACTATCTGAGTCAGAAGCACCGGACGGGTAGCTATACTCCTTGTAGCTCACCCTGCGCAACGGACAAAAGAACTGAACGAGCTGCGGCGAGCTGCGAGCGGTTCCAGTTGAGTCCGGGGGTGAAAGCTGATAGCCTCCGAAAGGGCCGAGATAGACAGCGATGGAGGGGCAACTAATACTGAAGAAGTATGGTCTCATTCCCTTAGTGGCCCTACCCGGTGGAACTGTTCAAAATGACGGAGGGCAAGTCACATTCTGGGACTCTTTTCCTCCTCGGACTGCTGCTCTGTGATTCGACCATGGAGAATTTATGATGAAACAAAATGCAGGAGCCAAGAGGCCAGCTCCCTGTTCATCTCCGCTCTTATTCTTGACTCGATTGCATTATTCGGTGCATCATATAGGTGCAGTGGGTCATAAATCATCTGCATTGGGTGAACCGCCAGAGCGTCCCTCTTAGGTTTATTATTGCTTGCTTGGAATCGCTGAGGTAAAAAGCAAAAGCCTTGACACCACCTTACTGATTCGAAACACCGAAAAGTGGATAGCGGCAAGATCAGATTAGACAACACTCGACAGCATTAGTCAAAAGGGCATGAAATCTGTAGTGCCGAACGGCAGTAAGATCTAGGCGGGAGTAAGCGCTCTTTCCCAAGTGCTTGGGCGACACAGCTCTCCTGGACCTGAAGATGAATGTACTCCGCGCTGTTGTATGACCTGACTCGTCACTCAGGCTGTCTGGCTGTGATCCTTGTGCAAATCACCACAGAAACCAACGAATCCGCAGCATGGCTTAGCTTGTCAGCATCGGGGGCGCGATTTGGAGGAATCTGACCTCGAGCTGTGCAGCCAGGCTTCATCCTTTTGGCCGGGTATTATCCCATGCAGGTGCCGAACTACTCATCCAGCTTGTGGACCCGGAAAAGAACTGAGCCTCGATTGAATCTCAATTCCGACACACAACAAGAAAACAATAAATCACGAGGGGTACTTCTGGATTCAGGCGGAAAACAGATCTCTCCGCGGGATGTGGGCGGGAATCGGCATTTCTGAAGAAGCTCCTGATCGGCACACGTTTTGACAGCTCTCTCTGGGATGCCAGGAAGATATCTCTGTCCAGATCTTTCGTATAGATAGTGTGGCATTGCGAAAGTCAATCCGGACCATCTTTCTGTTCTTTTTGTTTGGGGTTTTCTGATTTTGCCTCGGAACTGGCGGGTAAATTTCCTGTGTCCCATTCTAACCACGGTTCAACATCCCCCAAATCAAAATAATCAGAGGCAGCACGGACGGAGCGGACGGGGTGGAGGAGCCTCTTTTTCCGAGGAAAATAAGATTCACGTTCATGATCAAGATTCCACATCTGACGGGACCATGACAGTCTTCCAGGATTTCTAGCCCCAGTCTTAGCATGACAGCGGCCAATGGCTGATCAAAGTATAAAAAATACCCTGGTCCCAATACCACCATGCAGCGGCGGCGCATGGCGAAAGGAAAGCAGGATGAGCGCGTTGAGCGCTCTTGTCCCCAGCATGCTGGGCTTCCCCAGCGGCGCAGCGCGAAATACGCTCACGACAACCAAGGCACCAAGACAATGATAAATCAGCCAGTGGACAACAGAAATGCCAGTTCAGCATGATGATCCCTGCCTGTTCCCGGAAGGAAGTCAATCCTTGTCGATGATTGAATTGGCTGCTGGCCGCTGACTATTGATTTCAATAATACTTAACGCCAAAGACCAGTTTAGCGCCGTTTACTGGGATGTGCTGGTTTTTGAGCTTTGACCTTGGGTATGGTGGGTTCTTAAGCTTCCCAGGAGACGAGTCATGAAACAGACTCTTCTTCTTCCGCTTGAAGCTTGAAGATTCCGAGCGGTCCTCTTCAGAGTGAGCTCGACGGTACCAGTTGAGATCTGCTCACTAGTATCTACCCCGAGTACGTTCAGTCGGTGATCCTTGAATCCATAATACGACCGCAGGATCGGTATCCTGGTAGATATCTGGTAGCCATCCAGCTGGCAACTCGGAGCGCCCAAGATGCCGACTGGGATGATGGGAATCCGGACGCAGCACTTGGCCTTTCTTGCTTGGCCCAGACTCCAGTCTCCAGAGTGAGCGATCCACCAGAAACTTAGACATGGCCTAATTTCCATACGTGCATTAGTCGGTGGCAGCACACCATCCTCGCTGTACGTACTTTGTAACGGGTATTTCTCTCCTTGGAACAGGGAACCCTCTCGGGCCATCATCTTCCGTCGGGACACGATCGTTTGACACTCGAAATCACCACTGAAGCAGAAAATACGCATCTGCCTTACGTCGATGGAATGAAACCCGCGAGACTCATGGCCGAAGCGCAGTCGCAAGCTCGTGTGACGAATCTTTTCGAGGTAACGATGGAGAGGTCCGATGAAACAGTGTTCGGCATGTTCTGCGGCTGTCTATCTTCGGTGATGGATCGAAATCAGAGATTGGCTCGAGGATACCGCGAAAAGTTGCACAGGGGACGGGGTTGGCCATACTGCCATCGCAGTATGCATCAGCGATCCTGTGGGGATGGAACATTGGCTTGTCTTGTCGCAGGATCCGATGCACATCCAACAAAAACTCGGGTGTTCGGCACAATATTGCATTGAATGCTGCAGACAATATTGAATGAAAGCAAGGCAGGCTGCGGTCACACTCCAGCGCATTCCAAGTTGTTGACTGCATCTGGTGAGTGCCAGGTGTTGAGGGACGGAAGGTGTTGCTCAAGTGTCACGGGATCTGTATATACTAGACACTTCCGTACTACGAAATCCGCCTCAGCTCAATGCAGTCAGTCCATGTTAATCAATCTGGATTGAGAAATAAAACATTCTATAAAACTTTGATCAGCACGCTATAATACAAACTGGTATCATGACGCTTATTCTCCCTTGCAGACACAACCAAGAGGGGCCATCTGATTGAGGGCTAAGATCTCGTTGCCCGAATTTCATCGATAGTCTTCTGTATCCCCTCAATCACAATTCCCCACTCAATCTCATGCACCTTCTGCTCAAACGCATGAAGATCCTCGTCGGCCCCCTTGACAAAGCGAATCTCCCGAACAAGAATCGGCTTCCCCATATCCACCTCAGAGATCACATTATGGATCATCACCCCCGTCTTCTCGATTTTGCCCTCCAACCAGGCCTGGTGAGCTCGCTCAATGGCATTCTAGATAGATAGAAAGCGTCATTACTTAGCCCACTTCTCCTCACAACCTAGTGAACGCAAAGGAAAACACGGGAAAGGAAAGACAAGCATACCGCTCCGTTAAACTCTCCCGGCAATGCCGGATGCAGGTTTATGATGCGCACGCCCTTCTCCTCCAAGGGCCCCAAAAATCCCTCGGAGAGAACATGCATGAACCCCAGACACGCCACAAGATCCGGCTTGTCTTCCAGCACCAGTCTCGCAAGCTCCGCGTCGTATTCCTCCCGTGCGCGCTGCACGCCCTCCGGCGTCGCAGGCTGCTGTTTCTTATATTTGACGAGATTGTGGTAGTGTGTTGGAATATCGGCGCGCCTTGCGCGTTCCAGGCCAAAGGCGTCTTTGCGGTTTGAGATGACTCGGATGATTTTTGTGGGGAGTGAGGTGTTGTCGATGACGGCTTGCAAGTTTGTTCCGGAGCCGGAAATGAGGACTGTGAGGCGGATGGGATCCATTTCCTTTTGTCTTTCTTCTTTTCTAATTACTATTCTCCCGTCCTAGGTTGTACCTAATTTCTTCAGATTCTCGGTGCGGTGTTCGCAGGAGGGAAGGAGTATTTTCTTCAATTGATCAGTGTCGTGGTGGAGCAGGTTTCGGACGCTAGCCTTGACAGTCAGTATTCGAGTGTAATATCAATAATGATACACATACATCGCTGCACTCCTAAAGAATCAATGGGCTGTTTTGCTGAATTATTGAGACTTTCAAGAATGAGCAGAGCAGCGATTAATTTCGAAGCGGGGCAGCTTGGCTGAGTCATCGTTCCCAAATGCGGGGCGCGGTTTTATGATTCGACTCTAGAGATCTCGGGGTGAGGTCTTTAAGCAATGAACTGGATAGAACGTAGATAGGCAAAGTAATCTGACAGTTAGTGAAAATTGTTGTGATTTCGTGATCAGCTATGCGAAAACGCTCTATGTGACCGGCGGAAAGTGATACAGTATAGCATGTAAAACACCCCATTCCAAAACATTGATACGAAGGAAAAAGAAAACGTTGAGATATCCCATGCCGAAACAAACAAGCCGTGTCTTGGGCAGCGCAGCTGATACAACTCGACGTCTAATCGCATCCGTGAACTGTGACCCGACCGTTATCCGCACCCCGATGACCAAAACCAGAACAAGGCAATGCAGCAATGGATATCTGAGGTGAAAAGAGAAATGAGAAGAAATGATAAGACTGTTGGGAATAAGCGCCATGCTAAATTCGACTGATTCAAGAAGTTCGGGTCTTCGTATGAACAATAAGGGCCGTGAAAGAAGATGTCTTGGTTTAAATAGCTGCTGCGCGAGGTGGAACTGACGGTTCGGCATTGGGCTTTTCAGCAACGCCTTGGCCCCGACATAGCGGGCAAGAATTGCGACCTGTGGTCAACCACTTTCGAGGGAGTCAGTGACCGTGCTTACAAGTAAGGATAATGCTTGAAGTGAACAAACGTACCTGATCGATGCAATCCCGATGATAGAGATGCTGGCATTTGGTTAATTGGCGGAGCTCCTCCGCCGCTTCGTAGTCGCTGAGACAGATCAAACAGCGTTCGCCCTCGGCAATTCGAATAGTGCCAGAACCTTCAACACCTTCTGCGACAAGAGAACCACCGTATTCCACCACTCGGAATAATCCGCCTGCGGATGTTAGGTCCTCGTGAGTCGCCACTGGAGGCTTGACAGGTCCGAGAAGCGAGGAGAGCAAGACCATGTCTTCATAAGTTGGATTCTAGACAAGAGTGTTAGCAGGCGTTTTCTCAGCAGATGGAAGACAAGCAACAGTACTTACGTCGGTGAAAAGGCTTGGCGCAGCAAATGCAGGGTGATTCTCCGAAAGGTTAGTTCCGACAACATAAATCAACCAGCTTCTACCGCTTGGTGGACCGTGGTTATCAGGCTCCACGACTCCATTCCGCCTAGCTGCTCCAGAGCCCAACTGTTCGCGGTGGCGCGCAAACTCCGAGTCGCTCCGGCGTCGCTGACGAGTCGTATTTAGCGGGATGCCGTCCTCGGAGGACTCCAGTGTGGGCTGTATGGACCGATTCTCACTAAGCTGCGGTAGAGTATTCGGAGACATCGCCGAAGTCATCGAGAGTCTCCGGCTTGGAGTCGAAGCGCCTGACGACACAGCTGAAAGTCCCGGTTCCGCGGGAGTAGACGGTGGTGGATGAGGCCCCGGGGGACTGTCCGATATGACGGAAGGAAGTGAGGATGGTGCCCCACGACTTCCTGCATCAGAGAATCTCCTTGTTGAGTTTGATGACACTGGCTGTGGTGGGACATCCTCGTTGGTGGTTGGGACGCCAACGCCTCCAGGTGCAGGGCGGCCCTGTGTAGTCCCTGGGCGCGATCCAAGGCGGGGCGAGAAGCCCCCTGGTGTTAAGAAAGGAAGGCGAAGCAGAGCGTCTATACCGGGAAGCGATGCAGGCTGCTGATCGCCGGCGGGGCCGTTTCCAGACGGAACAGACCTGACTCCAACAACCACAAGCGTAACAGTCCGTCCTTCGGGCCCTTCTGTATGAGTATCAGTCTCCATACCATCGCTATTAGTCGTGGGATTTCCAGAATCTGTTGCAGAGCGGCTGGAATTATCGGACGGGCGAGGGTTGTCTGCATTGGCAAATCGAAACACTCTCATGAAGTTCACTGGGGTAGGTGGCCCTTCGTCTTCTGTTGCATTGGATGTGTCGCTTGAGGCTGGCTGCCCTGATGTGGCACGCTGCAGACTCTGTATGAAACTTTCTAGAGAGCCGTCTAGACCATCATTACCTAGTGCCTGTATATTGGGCAGCGCTGGGCCAGTTCCACCGGAGAGCTGAGCAGCAATGGCGGCAGCGGCGAGTTGGAGGACGCGAGACAGAGGGGTCTGTTCTTCTCGCCGTAAAGCTCTAGATTGTCGTGCCCGCAGCAGGCTAGGAAAGTGCCGCGCGCTGGACTGACTTTGCGTGGATTGGGGGAGTAAGGAAGATGGAGCCTGCGGAGTTCCAATTGCAGGTTCGACGGAATCCAGCTCGTGAGGGCTATCAAAATCCATGCGGGTATCCATAGGTCCCGGATGGGGAATAAAGCCGACGGGATCATTGTCAAGTTGATAGGAGTTTTCGGCCGTCTCATCTTGAGACATGTCGGTATTTGGCTGGCCAAACATCTGTGCGATGGGGCTTGACAGCGAGTTACCGACGCGACGTAACCGAACACTTCGTCGCCACGGTGCCCAGCCTGGTTCAGCGGGGTTCTCTGCGGATGAGCCGGAAGAAGCACCAGAATACCCAGGATGGGAGTTCATCGCTGCATCACTCCGTGGGATGAAATATGGTCCGCGAATCGACCGTCTTCTGGTGGTGCCTCTCGCGGTCAACGAAATGAAAGGGCTGAATCGGCTGCTAGTATGATTGACTTCCGACCTCGGTATAGTCCTGGAGACAATCCCATGTCGATGCGCGTGGCCTTCTGCAGGAGTCTCTTCTTCACTGTTGAGAAGGCCGCGGATAACATTGTTCGGCAGAATTCTAGATCCAAATCTTGACATTGTAGACTGCCTTCTCGTGGGAATTCGAGACATAGTCGCGGATCGGAATTCGCCCCGACTTTCGGTTTCAAAGTGTGATCCAGTCTCTTCCTGAATACTCCCCATATGCCTAGAGTTTCTCGATATGTCGCCGGGTTGGGATATCATTGACTGCCAGGAATCACCGGACGGAGCCGCCTGGCCAGACATCTGCACGTCGCCATCGTCTGATTGCTGTCCTGTCTGAGGACCGAGGTCCCCGGTCTGCTCCGTGCGTTGCCCGTGATTCATGTCTTCATCCCTGTTGCGGCTTGTACTTCTCCGAGGACGTAGGAAGGGTGTGGCGTGGTTGTGCTGGCGTTGTTCTCTTTGCGTGGAGGAAGACTGTCCCATAGTAACATCAACGAGACGTCAGGGCAAGGCGTTGGAAGTTAGAAACCACCTATTTATTGCCATCCGCGGGTAGATGACTAACACCACGTCGAGCATTAGTAATAGTTCGAATGTGACCAGGAAGAAGGGAAACAGAAGAGGATATAGCAATACTGGAAAGGGTAATGAGGACAATCAAGGATGTGCCAGTCCAGCCAACCAAATACTGGAGCCTGAACATCTCACGAGAACACAGTATCATAGCGTGTGGAGGCGACGGCACAGCTGCAGGGTGCACTTACCATTGAACACCTTGAACCAAGCAATACTCCAGACGTCCAAATTGATGAAGTTCACAGAATTATGGGAGATGCTACTCTTTTGTCCACTTGGATTTCCGGGGCTGATAAGTAACGCGGCAGGCCGCGCAGCCTTTCGGGCCTTTCGGTTGTCTGCGCAAGCGGGCGATGTCTGATGCCGCAGCGGCTGCGGTTGAGTTGAAGAAAGTACCGGAAACCCACAGACTGGAAGAATATGAAACAATCAGTTGATCCTAAGGTTTGACGAAGGAGCAGAGGATGAATGATCGGAGGGCAGGCGCCAGCTGTTGACGAGCGCGATTTGGGGTCGGCGGATGATGGGCACAACAACGATGTTTTTCGAAGATCTACGAGGCAAGTAATGAGATGGTGATATAGGATAGAGGCGCAGATCGACTTAGGAAAGGAGAAAGGGGTCTTGGTGGCGATGATCGGGAAGAGGGGTTGGAAGCGGAAGAAGGAATGAGGAGGTGGGAGCTGATGGCAGATGATGTGACGACGTTGATGGTGAAGGCAGGCGAGTGATAACAACTCCTCCTTCCGGTGGGCCGCTGACAAGCAGTGGTACAAGGCCAGCTTACAGTCGTACTAAATTGGTACCGATTACTGGGGCTTGTCTATGATTTTGTTTCAGCAGCGGTCTCGGACCCTCGTGAGTCAACTCCATTGATACCTATGATTCACCCGAGGCATATAAATAGCTTGAAGGGGACCAGAGCCGTGGAAGCGACTGACTGGCAGAGCATCAAAGACGCTGGAATCCGTGGCGGTTTCAACTTGTGGCTCGTCCGATCAGGCTTAGTTTGAATTAGTACTGTACGGTATTACTAATTAGATACCAAGGGGCCCAAGGGGCATGGCAAAAGCAAATGTCCGGAGACGCTAAGGCGTTTTTGACTTGGTTCCTGATGATCATGTGATAGCACTAGGCTGAAGGTATCCAAATTTTAGTCTGGTGATGAAGACGTTGTGGCCTTGGTGCCTTACGTTAAAACATCCTTTGCAGATCCGGTTCCATTATACAAGTCTCCTTTTTCACGACTTCACTTTACTCTCTCACTACCGCTGAAATAGCAAGTCCTTTGAAAGATCATTTGGTATTGGATCAGTTCGAAAGCACCAAATGCGCAGACAATCTTGAAGGGCTATTTGAGTATACAGCCAGATGCGGATTCCTTGATCTGAAAACCCCCGGGGAAGTGTTAATACTCCCCTGAGGTATAACCCGCATGGCATTCGTCCGCTCGAGATCAGTCTCCTCATTGCCGCTTAACCCATGGCAATTCAAAACCCGCCGTCGGGAGGCCAAGTCCGAGTCCAGGAAGCGCAAGAAGGAGTATGAGACAGGGGAGGATGAGGATGATACTCACAACGGCGACGGTGGCTGGACCACAGATGCTGTATCTGACCTAGGGACCGCAGCTCCTTCTGCCATTCTGTCGCCCGAAGAGGCACACCAGTATCGCGTTGCTGGTCTCGGTTTCGGTGAGGAATTACCTGGTGGACATTTCCCACATGGTCCAGCAAAGACGAAGAGTCGAGGTGTCGAAAGCCTTTCACGACATGAACTCATTTCTCAATCTGCAGCGCATCAAGGAAATCTTCGACATCAGCATCTAGCAGTATTAATGAGCTTACTTGATCGATGTCTTGCCAACGGTGACTATATCCGTGCGGGTCGTGCATGGGGATTGATAATCCGCGAACATTTCGGAGGGCGCCCTATAGACATACGAGTTGGCGGTCGATGGGGCATTGGCGCCGAGATTCTTCTACGGCAGGGCCAGCAGAAGTCTACTGAACCACCTGAAAGCGACAGAGGGGCTTTGCTTTCGATTCTTCTACGGCAGGGCCAGGAGAACTCTACTGAGCCACCTGAAAGCGACAAAGAGGCCAGTGGAAGAGCGGAGGAACCCGACGAACTTTTGTTCACCAGGGATGGATTCGAAAACGCCAAATTATATTATGAAACGCTCATCATTCAACATCCGTATCAAAAAACGATGCCCAACGCTACCAGCGCATTACACTTTTACCCAGTCATGTTCAGCCTGTGGATTTATGTCACGCAGGAGGAGAGCGCACATGCGCGAAAAACTCTTGATAAGAGAGATTTAAAATCATCTACAGAGGCTTCAGACGAGGAGGACGACCAATCTGACCCCGAACACCACGCCTATCGATCGGCCAGGCGTCAGAGCATGGTAGCGGGCATTAGGGCAAATGAGCTGGTCGAAGCTCAGAAAATTGCGGCGAGGATAGACGAAATTATCCTATCACCACCCTACTCGGATAGTCCCGAACTGCTTGAGCTACGGAGCATGGTGTCCTTGTGGATTGCCGATTTGTTCGTGTCAAGTTTGCCTTCTGGAGGAAATGATGGTGGCACTCTCGAGGATCAGAACACGAGAGAAGACGATTCCGACGGCGACGATGTTTTTATGTCCACAGAAACCCAGTACGACTCTGTGCAAGCGAGGCGAGACCGGAGGCTGGCTATGGAGAAAAAGCAAATGGAGATGGAGAAATCGCAAGAATTCCTGGAAAGGGCCCAACTGCGGAAACAGGGGGTTGCTTCGAAACTAGAGGATTTTCATATTGACACGGACGATGACGATGACATTTCTCTTCATTCTGTCGAGCCATATTGAATGTGTGGGTGCATACAAAATCCGAGCAGCAGAACTAATGAATATATAAAGTAACACGAGGTTATCCTTCAATTACCACTTCGCCTGCAATATCTGCTGCTCGAAAATTAAATCTTTCCTTGCTCGCATGATGAATCTAAAAACTCAATTAGACAATCTTCAAAGATATAACCTGCCATTGTGCTACAAGGAGCATGTGGTGTAACTTATGCCCAAGGGCATGAGGTAAGCTCGGCGTGCCTGAGGATCGCAAGTTTCCCAACGCGTCGACATGAAATTTAAACACCTCCAGAAACAAACTCTCTCAGCTAGAGTACAACACAATCCACAAAAGACCAATTGGAAACTACGAGATCGGTCCATCAATTCCACGTACCCAATGACTTAATCCCGCATTATTGGCACATTCTTCACCTTTTCTCCCCGCATCCAGCCTAAACTCAATCCAACATGGGTGTGGGGGACTATGTGCACTCCAAGGAAAATCGCCCGCCCCAGCCTCGCGCAAATGAGCCAACGAGTCAATCAAGACAGGCTCTAGCTGAGCAGGCAAGAATTGAGATTCCATCCACAACTTTGGTTGCGCCTGTGCCCATATCAGCCAACCGGCAAGGTCCAGTGGAGCGATATGGCTCGCCGTCCAAGGAACCCCTGCACGGCCAGAATGAGAAACGTGTTCACAGAGATGCGTTTGACACCGACGTCGAGGGGATTGATGAATCAACCATTGCCGCCACTAGTGTAATCGGCATCGATGAAATGCCGTATCGATTTTCGCCTGCACCGAATCTTAATCCAGCTGTCCAGCCGCTGGACGCCCAGCAACGCCAACCACAGACATCTCCATCTCCATCTCCATCCCCGTCTGCACCGCGTCAGTTTCGCAATGCCCGCCGTACTCACGACTCTAAGTGGTACGAGGGTCTGGGCGATAAGGCACTGAAATCCGCTGGTTTTGACTTGGACGATGCGGACAATGCAAGCCAGCTTACTTCTACGGCTGGCGATGACGAGCTGTCGAATGATACAGATGATCAGCGCTACGTACCTAGATACCGTACTACGGATGAGCCTCTCAGCAGACGCCTCCAGAGCTTCTGGGCTGCTAGCCGGAATACATACCAGTCAACTGATACTGGTCCCCAAGGAGAACCTTTGAAAAACCCGTCTTATATTCCCATAGCATCTGCCCCAAAGGCTCTTCCTGCCAGTAGCAGAAAGGTCCTGCTCACACGGAGCATGACCGCAACCCCTAGGACTAGATTCAGTCCTCCAAAGCCCTCTCTCCTCGAACAGCTCGACCTAACTCCCACCCGACGCAGTCCCGGCCTTACAAGAAGCCACTCACGAAAGGAGCGAGAACGCGAAAAGGAGATCAGCAGGGCCATCGACAACCTCCGGGACACAGACGATGGCCTAGGCCTCTTCACAACAGAGGACACACTCCGCCCTGAGAGTATGCAGTCGCTCAACGTCTTTGACATGACAAACTTCGACGACCTCGAAAACGACTCCTCCATGAACGACCCCTTCTCGCGGCGCGCATCCATGAAGCGCGTCGAAATAGACACAAGTACTCCACAGCATACCAAAAAGCGCCAGCTGGAACCCGACTACCCGCCCGAAATCCTCTGCACAAAGTCCTTCGCCGAACTACAGGCGGAACCCTTCGACAAGACACCTACGCCCACTGCCTCCAAACCCGCACCGGCGAAGGAAGCGGACCCTAAGCTCCCGCCTGAGAAGGGCAAGGATGAAGACAAAATCTCGTTCCTCCTGCGTCTCTCCGAAGAAGAGCGGGGGCAGTACTTCTCCAAGCTATCAATGAATGAGTGGGAGGAGTGTGGTGATGTGCTCGTCGAGCAGTTTAGCAAGATGATGACGAACATGAAGGACCTGCGCCATGCGCGGAGGAAGACCGCGGCTGTATTCGAGGCTGAGGTTAGGAGGCGAAATGAGCTTGTTGAGGAGCAGTCTGCTGAGCTTTCTTCGAAGTTTGAGGAGATGAGGGCGGGTGGCGCTGAGGTTTTGCGTGGCCGTTCGCCTTGATTACGGTTGGATCTGGGTTTCTGTTTGTTGTCTTGCGAGCTCGTGCCTGGTCACGATTATTCTTTTCTTAATCATTACATGTTTGTGTGGGCTAAATCTAGAGCCGCTGGGCCATGTGAGACGACCATTCTACCACTGTGAAATGACTATTTCAAGTGTTGATATGATTCATTTATCATTGATTGTTCTAGGTATTAGCGGTGTAATATACCCCTTTGAAGCAGTAAATTTGTTGTAAGGACAATGCTATAACTCCAATCTATGCCAAAATGTCCCTACCTTGTCGATGCTGGAAATGAAACCCGAACCACTGAGACCAGCAGTGTTCATGGAATATTAAAATCATGCTATACAAATCAGGCTTGAGGAGACAGGTGAATGAAATAGGCTGGGAGATGATCAAAGCCTGCACCATTCTGTCTTCAACGGTGGCAGAGAACATTATTTGAAAGTCGAGATCTGTTTCGATAGTGCGGCGGCGATCCGCTTATAATCTTCCAGTAATACGCTGACATCTCCGATAGTAAGATCATTCGCGTTCTGTGTTTGAAGAAAACGCTGGATTGGCGGATCGATCCTGGCTTCGCGGGTTGTCGACGGACCTTTATTTCGGTCTGGAAGAGCTGGAGATGGCAAAGCCGACGATTCTGGAGTGGCACGACCAAAGCCTCTTATCATTCCGGGAATATGGTTGAGTGGATTTAGGGTGTTTCCAAAGTTCCTCATAGATTCTAAAGGCGTCGGAATCGGCAATGAGGAGCTTGAACTAGGTGCTCGGTTTTCGTTTGATAAGCTCGAAGCGGCTAGAGATGCCCGAGAGCCCTGTGTTCTCACACTATCTGCACTTCGGTCACGAGGCGTCCGTTGCCCACTGACTAGCCCGCTGAATGTATCTTCTGCTCTGGAGCCAATGCGTCTCAGGCGAGACTGCTCTATGATTGGCTCTTTCCCACTATCTGCCTCTTTACTTGACTGAGTATTGTCAGTGGATGTGACGAGTTGTCTCGCCTCCGCCAAAGTTTTCGGTAGAACGGAGGCTGTTCCATCTTGAGAAGGAATCTGGTTCGATTGGAGCTCTTTGAGACGGCCAAACAGGAAGTTGAAACTGCTGTCTAGCGTGGCGCTAATATTCTTCAATCCCTGATCGGCAGTGTTACGGACGGCGTCATTAGCAGCCCCAAGTACCTTAGCTGGAGGCTGAAAGAGTGTATTGAGGCGTCCTTGCTGAGTCGGTGCTGGACCTGGTGGGGGTAGCGTACTTGACGGTTCCTTCCCAATCGGCTTTGGAGGATCTGCAGATGCAGTTACAGACGACATAGATGATGTTGGCTCCTCCGTAACCGGCTGACTGGGTTGGACATTTTCAGTAAGTGATGCGGCTTCACTATTGGCAATCTTAGTCTGCCCCTCGACCGCCCCGTCGGCACGAAGTTCGGTGAGATCCACATTCTCGAGGAAGCTGATGGCTGCCTCAAGATTGGTTAAGCAATATGCAGTTTCACCATCGACCTTACTCGCAGCCCTGAAGCGTTGAACAAACGAGAGATTGCTAATGATGTTGATGCCCTCCGGCGGACAGGTGACGAGTGTATAGATCAAAGCTGGTAGAATCTCGTCAGCTGAGGAAGAGGAAGGCAGTAGTTTAGTCAACGCATCCACGATTGCCTTATGGGCAGCAGCAAGATGCCGAAGCTTCCCCAGTGGGTATTTTTCTTCGTTCATCTTCTCAAGACAACCGCGGGCAGTTGAGAAACAGTCATCGGCTTCTTTTTGACTCTTTTCATCAATTGTGGCAATGTCAATATCAACTCCAAGCTCCTCCAGGTTGATGCCAACCAGGAGCAGGGCTGCCGTCTTTGAGCGCAGCTTTTCGTCTCTAACCTCATCCAAGGTGCTCTTATGTCTCCAGATCTTCTCATAAACACTCTCACACGCCCTCCGTTCTACAGCCTCCTCCAGATCAACCCGTTTAGATGCGAGAAGCTTTCGAGCTGTTCGTCTCTCAGTAACTTCCGAGGCAGTTAACATCTGTCGACTCGAGGCGTCGGAGTCTTTACGGTTGGGTGGTAATGGCGAAGGATCGCGGTTGATGCGAGAGGCGAGGGCAGAGATATGCGTGGCTATGTGGGATTCCGCTCGGAGGTAGAAGTCTTGGAATAGGGTTGATATTCGTTCTATTGTGGGTGGGGAGGAGTGTACTCTGGCGCTCAAGGAGTTGACGAATCTACTCATAAGTTAGCGAGTAACGCGATGAAGTCAGGACAGTTATACCGATCGGTGAGGCTGATTAACTCTATCGGTAATTCATCTGGCTGATGCTGTACGTTTCGTGAGAGCACGGAAGTTTCCTCACCGTGCGGACCATCATCCACAGAAGGCCCAGAGGCGCTCGATTTCTCGAATAGATCCGGACTGCTATCCCGGCCATCATCATTTCCAGACAGGCTTAAAGGGAGAGCATCGGAGTCTACGGCCTCTGGGATTGCGACAGACTGCACCGTTCTCGCTCTTGATCGAATGAACGGACTGCTTGTCGTCCCTGAACTGTGCATCCGGGGAAACGAGCGTGTCGTGTGGAGACGAGGTTTCTCAGGGCCATCGCCGGAGGTCCCGGAGGACATGACTTCGGAGCAAGCGGTATGTTGTCTGGAAACCGAAGGTTATTTTGGTAGTAGTCCAGCTCACCAGCAGTCCCCGCAGGAAGATCGGAGCTCCGCTGAAATGCCGAGAAACAGGCTCCAAAACTTGAGACGGCACAGGAGGACTTTTCGCAAAAGATAGGACGTAGATCAGTTATTTATAAGCCATCAACATCATGTAATGGCTGCTGAGCCCTCGCCTGACCAAAGAAGCTGACGCTGAGGACGATGCTGCCTCCAAGCCTCAACGGCCACTTCCTGTCACGCGTTCCTCGGAATGCACGTGATTTCATTGTCTCCGCTCCCGGTGCGTCACTGATAAGTGCAGTCAGCCCCAACCTTCCGGTGCGTGGAGCTCGAGTCGCCCGTGAGCAACCACGCTTCTATCTATTCGTTCTCTTGTTTTCGTATCATTATATCGCTGGTCTATAATCATGGAGCGCTCCCAGCGACGCACGAGGAAGCGACAACTCAAGAACATGAGCCTGTTCAGTCTGCTCATGTCCCTCGCTGTGCTGCCCAGCGCCGTCTCCGCTTATCACCCTCTATACTCCGGGTCGCGACAGTCACCCTTATTCATCCCTCCACAAATCCCGTTGGCCGGCACGCCTCCTCCTCCTCCTCCTCCTCCTCCTCCTGCTGGAGATCATGAGTTTGTATGTCTTGGTTTATGTGTGTTTGTATTGCTCGTAATGTTTGCTAATTCTCGATCCAGACCCTTCGCCACATCGTCCAGCGAGGGGCTTACGAGTATCCCGAACTTCATAGGAGGCTTGACATTCAACCACATACACAACTTCGAGCTGTCTCAGAAGATGGCATTGAAGAATCCGAACCCGCTGTTCTTAACGTCCCATTCATCGCTTCCTCCGAACCGGTTACTATCGAACGTTTAGCTGACCGACGCCTTTCGGTGATCGAGGGACACTTGGCCGCCGCAAGAGACAGTGGATCAGCAGCTACCCTATCATCATCGGAATGGACTATGGACACTATAGCCGGGCCTAATGTTACGGATAGGCAGACGGTCCTAACCTTGGCCAAGATGACAGCAAATGACTACATCGAGGTTCCAGGGACCGAGGACTGGCAGGATATACATGGTAGACTCAATTACTCCACAAGCTTTGGGTGGCAGAACGATGGGCTGCGAGGTCACATATATGCCGATAAGACGAACAGCACGATCGTCATATCGCTCAAGGGAACATCTCCCGCTCTTTTCGATGGGGCGGGGACGACTACGAATGATAAGGTGAACGATAATCTCTTCTTCAGCTGCTGCTGTGGACAGGGCGGTTCCTATCTATGGCGGCAGGTTTGCGATTGCCAGGAGTCCGCCTTCAACGCCAACTTGACCTGCATCGTCGAAGCTATGAATGATGAGAACCGTTACTATCGTGCTTCAATCGACTTGTACACTAACGTCACCGAGCTGTACCCCAACGCGAACGTCTGGCTGACAGGCCATTCATTGGGTGGCGCTATGGCTAGCCTATTGGGATTGACATTTGGCATACCTGTTGTCACTTTTGAGGCCGTTCCTGAAGCTCTGCCTGCCGCCCGTCTAGGTCTCCCGGTCCCTCCAGGGAACGACCCAAGACTGCCGCAGACACGGAAGTTTACCGGTTCATACCACTTTGGACATACTGCAGATCCCGTCTACATGGGAACTTGCAACGGAGTCAGTTCAGTGTGCACCTGGGGCGGCTATGCCATGGAGTCTGCCTGCCATACCGGCCAGATATGTGTTTACGACACAGTCGGAGACAAGGGCTGGCGTGTCGCAATCGGTACTCATCGTATCAAGGCGGTTATCTCAGATGTACTGGAGGTATACGACGATGTTCCACGTTGTACGCCAGAAGAAGAGTGCTACGATTGCGAGCTTTGGAAGTTTTTCAAGAGTAACGGGTCCGAAAGCACTACTACCACAAGCTCTACTACATCAACTACAACCACGTTCACCTCAACCAGGACAACAACCTGCAAAACTCCTGGTTGGTGGGGCTGTCTGGACGAGACTACAACGACCTCCGAAACGACAACTACCACGACGACAACGTCGACGTGCAAAACCCCTGGTTGGTTTGGGTGCAAAGATCCTACATCGGCCACAACGACTACTGAAGCCCCTACAACAACCACGACCTGCAAGGACCCAGGCTGGTTTGGCTGCCGCGACCCCCCGTCAACGACCACTCCTCCAGCCTCCGCACCGCAGACGTCTACATGTGATGATCCGGGGTACTTCTGGGGTTGTTGGGACACCCCAACCGCGGCTAGACACGTCATAACGCCGCCGCCAACCCTTCCTCACTAAACAGCCCGTGTTACCCGCAAACATTCGCTTCTTATGACCATATACGATTCGTTCATCCAGCGCAAATTTGCTTTCAGGTATTTTTCGGACTCGGGCTTGGCGTTTCCTTTGGTGTTGGAGTTGCATCGTTTTGTATTGCCTTTGGGATACACATCACACATTACTGGTGCCTTACTCGAATATCCTAGATGGATCAGAGTAATACCTACTATTGTCCTGGGGGAGTTAAATGCCACTTACTGCCAATCTAGCATACACACCATTAGAATCAAGACTATTGTGACATATTGCAACATTGGTTCATTATACAAAGAACGATTGCCGACCTCTTATGTTTTGTGAAATGATCTACTAGTACGTTTAGACTGTGCGGATAATTGCCCATTCGTATATTGTGCCGATTATTGTCTATATCCTTAGAACGAGTAAGGAGATGCAATAATGAAATGAAATATATGAGAGTAGATTGCACCTGATCCTCAACATAAGTTAAATATTCATAAAATTATTCAGATAGCTCTTTTAACATAGATTACAGACGAGCCCGAGCATCCGTCACCTTCCCCTCTGTAGCCTTCTCGATTCTAGCACCTAGATCCGCGTTCACACGACGGAACATGCCATATGTGGCCTTGCGGACCCTAGGGTGAGCATTACACAAGTGACCGGCAATGTTACCGACAAAGTTCTCCTGCTGACCGGGTTGACGGCCCAGAACCTGCCAGAGACCGTTGGCCTGGACAAAGTCCTCATCTGTGACGGGGAGCTGCTCGGTGACGACGGCGCCGGCCCACTTCTCGTGCTCTTGGGAGGCCTTGACGGGCTTGTACTGCAGGGGACGGAAGGTGGAGGGGTAGTTAGGGTTCGCACCGTGGTTACCGTCGACGCTCATGACGCCATCGCGGTGGAAAGGAGTGAATGAGCGCAAGGGGCAGTTGACGGGGATGGATTGATAGTTTGCCGTGCCGAGACGGTGACGATGGGTATCTGGATAGGAGAAGAGACGGGCTTGGAGGACCGGGTCGGCGGAGGGTTCGACGCCGGGGACCATGTGGGAGGGGGAGAAGGCGGCCTGTTCGACCTCTGCGAAGTAGTTCTCAGGGTTCTTGTTGAGGGTGAAGCGGCCGAAGCGGCGGAGAGGCACTTCGGATTGCGGCCAGACCTTGGTCAGGTCGAAGATGTTCCAGCGGAATTTCTCGGCCTGTCCGGGGCTGAGGACTTGGACGTAGCAGGTCCATGAAGGGTACTCGCCGCGGGCAATAGCGTTGAAGAGGTCCTGGGTGTGCCAGTCTGGGTTTTCGGCAGCGAGGCGGCCAGCTTCGGCGTCTGTGAAGGTCTTGTTGCCCTGGTCTGTCTTGAGGTGGAGTTGAACGTAGTTGAAGGTGCCGTCGGGTTTAATCCATTTGTATGTGTGGCCAGAGTAGCCGTTCATGTGGCGGTAAGAGTAGGGGGTGCCGCGGTCGCTGAAGAGGTGCATGACCTGGTGGACGGCTTCTTGGTGCGTGGAGAGGTAGTCCCAGAACATCGTTGCGTCCTTGAGGTTGGTCTGCGGGTTGCGCTTCTGGGTATGAATGAACATGGGGAACTTGCTAGGGTCGCGGAGGAAGAAGACGGGGGTGTTGTTGAAGACCCAGTCCCAGTTACCCTCCTCCGTGTAGAACTTGCAGGCAAATCCTCGGGGGTCGCGAGCACTGTCAGGAGAGCCCTTTTCACCTCCGACGGTGGAAAAGCGGACGAATGTCTTGGTCTTTTTCCCAACTCCCTTGAGCATGTCGACGATAGTGATATCACTGATATCGTCGGTGACCTCAAACTCGCCGTAGGCGCCTGCACCCTTGGCGTGAACTACTCGCTCTGGGATACGCTCACGGTCGAAGTGGGCGAGGATGTCGATGAGGTTGAAATCTTGCAGAAGTAGAGGCCCGTTGGAGCCAACCCGTTGGGAGGCTTGGGGGTCCATCACCTAGGTCTGTTAGCTTACGCCTATCCCTCCACGAGTGTGCGGCTTACAGGACAGCCGTTGGAAGTGGTGTAGACCGGAGTCTCATTGTAGCGGTAGCTCTCTGAACTGTGTTAGAGCCATATCAAAGGATGTAGTGGAGCACAGCTTACTCTGCTCGTCGTCTTGGCCCATTGTGACGGCTGTGAGGTGGGAAACAGATAGTAGGTGAGATTGAGGAAACTTGGAGGTACTGGGTAGAGGCGGAGGGGATGCGGGGTTTAAATAGAGAGAGCGTGAGGGGAGAGCATCAGTGCCTGGATTTCTGTAGAATATGAAAATCTGTATACAGAGCTCCGGCCAATCGAAGGGCCGGAAAAGGTCAACTTCGAGTCTCCACCGTCAAAGCGGAAGGTCCTTCCGATCTCTCTGGGCAATTTTATTCTCTCTTCTTATGGAGTAATTTCCTAGGCCATCGGCGCGCGTCTTTGCCAGCGATCTCCGTCCTCCCCCGCACCAGATTCGCCGTTGGCACCTCTGCTCGGAAACTGCCATTTGGTTCTCGTTCGGGAATCGGAGCTTTCCGCAGGCAACTTTCGTCACTCGATCTCATCTCGATTGCCACACAAACTGATGGAAATTAATCATCAAGTATTGATATATGCAGAACGGTCTCGCAGTCTCTCAGAGACGAGAATAATATGCTTGTTCTACCCAAAAAGTGGAGGATCGCATCCCCTTCCTCTTTCCATCCAACGAATGCGGCTGCGGAAGCGCTCCCAAGCTCGCGTTTTCCCCAAAAATGGCAATGTTTACCATCGTCCATGGCCCCAACCAGACCGCATTTGTTGGTAATCACAACTCTCCTCACGCTCATCACCTGTTCTAGCCTCCAAGACTCTTTGTCCGGTATGAAATCAAGCATCCGTTGCATTTGTCTGGCCTGTTCCACTGACTAAGGTCCACCTCCGTCTCATGCTCGACAACCTTCTCCGCATCGGGATATCGCAGCATCGCTAAACTCCCCGGTTGACTATACATATATTAACCGTTCTAACCGGAGGTAGTCATTCCCAAGCAGGTATCCGCATGGACGACGGGTCGGTTCCGGCGAGGTCTGTCGATCATCAAAGCAATATGAAAGCACGGGATTCGCTTGGTTCTCTCACGTATTCTGAATCACTAATCGTCATGAAGAGGCCCGATCTCTCTTGGCCCGTCTTCGTGCTGTTCCGCGATGCCTTTGCATCGGCTCCGCATGAGCAGACATAATCCGAATTAGCCGTTTGGAGGAAGCCGATTGCCGCCGGCAAGCTGATGCCTACGTACTGGAAGCTTCTGAGAAGGGAACAGGTGACAGAAGGCTCTTTCGCTGAGCTTTCCGCGCCATTGTCCTGCATAAAAATGCCAATTCGAAGGACGCATCGGCGACATTCATACGCTTGTCGGAGCCAAGAAACGGGATCTATAAGCACTGCCCGGCCTTCGTTTGAAATAGACGTGCTGAGCATAGTGGCTAGCTAGAGCAAAGCTGTTCGTCATTTTCTAGCCCCTGCTCTGGAGAATCAGATCACTACCACGGCGATCTTCTTTCTGTGGCATCGTGTGCTGTACCAACAGCTACCTATCGTCACCTTTTGGCTCATTGACACTAGTCTGATATATAAAACAGGACAACCCACGAGACATAGCATGGACTTGAAACCTGAGTCTGCCAAACCCAATGGCATGACTTGGATGTTAAGACCTATTACTGCATTACAATCAATTGCGCTTGATGCTGTCCTCATGGGCGGCATGTACTACTTACAACCTACTGCGCACGGCCATCCGAGGTTCAAACCCCCACCTCATTCAGGTTCACCGCTCATGGGATTTTCAACTTCAAGTGGAATACAAAGATGAAAATAACTCGTCCTTCATTTAACGGATCACCTGGGTTGAACTGTCCCACGGTTAAGTCACAGATTCTATCTTTCCTACACTGCAGATTGCATATCACAGGGAAGCTTCCATAACGCGCATTTGACACGTATGGAAGATCTGAGGTCTATGTTCTTGGAGAATGCCACAATCCCTTCGTAGAAAAACGTTGAGGATGAACCTATAAAGCTGTGTCACGACAGTAAATCATGAGCACATGTCATCCCTCGAGCGTTCGAGGGTCCAGCCGCTCGAGTCAGTGCGGAGTATATTCTCCGCGAACCTCACGGAGTACACAGTCCAGAGTCGAGCAGTAGTAAATCTCAACCTATCAGCTGGAGCATAAAATGTCATCTGCCACCAAATGGCGGTACTACCGTGACACAACCTTGGAACTCATCAACCCTTCCCAGGAGTCCGGGCCGAGCTTGTATACGCCTCTCCAACCGTAATTTCTCCTTTTTCGAAGTTCTGCGAAATGTTTAGAATCAGCTGGAATTTATGGATTTTTGGGCACCAGGGCGGGAGCCGGAGATTGCCTAAAGCGGTTAAGACGAGGTTTTCTTGTCGTTCCCGGAAACGGACATCGCGCACAAGCCCAGTGCTCCTTCCGACTCTCAGCATTTCTTGTTACCCTCACCTCCATGCTTAGACTCCCGATGGCGGTCCCTTCATCTCTCCTTATTTTCAGAGACGCATGGAAAAGCAAGACAGCATCCAATGGAGGATTCCCTGCTTGATTTTCTGGTGAGCTGACCCAAGAAACTGCAAAACACTAACGGCTTGGCTGCACACCCCTCCACGGCCACTGGCCTGTTCCCCACAAACCCCAGTACTTGAAATGTCACCCTCTGGTGCAATTGTCTATCTTGGTGCTAGCGTCGCATGCACTTCAACTTTTTCTTGGACGCTCAGTCGCTCGTCTTCGGGAGAAATCTTCGCGAGGGTGGATAGATGTGGACCCTTCTCCCCGTCCCCGCCGCGGATATAAATCTCTACCGATCCATCTCCCACACTCGCCAGAGTTAGCCGTCAATCCCAGCTCCTCTCCTCGCACGGATATTTCCCGCTGCATGGTTTCCTCACCATGGAATCGTTTCAGCCCCAGGATGTGATCTCCCCGGTCAAGGGACAAGCGTCAGCACAAGATCGTCAAGACTCACCAACGCCAATGGCCAAGATCATTGAAAATGCAAAGGCGGCTACGGAAAAGGAGCAGAAGATGACTCTGCTGCAGGGCATCAAGCTCTACCCGAAAGCTGTGATATGGAGTGTCGTTATTTCCACATGTATCGCCATGGAAGGTTACGATATATCTCTTGTCAACAACTTTTACGCTTTCGACCAGTTCAACCGCAAGTACGGCGAGATCTCTACGGATGGCAGCTATCAGGTCCCTGCGAGGGTAATTACCCTTTCTAGACATTGACAAGTCTCTAGCTAACATTCATGAATTTTTTTAGTGGCAAGCGGGGTTGAGTAATGGTGCATACGTCGGCGAAATCATCGGTCTCCTCATCAACGGTTGGGCTTCTGAAAAATTCGGATATCGGTATACGGTCATGACATGTCTAATCCTCATAACCGCTTGGACTGCGATCTTCTTCACGGCTCCCAATGTACAAGCACTTCTAGCCGCCGAAATCTTGGCGGGTATACCTTGGGGAGTATTCCAGACGCTTTGCGTTACTTATGCGTCGGAAGTGTGCCCGGTTGCTCTGCGCGGTTACCTTACCACCTACGTCAATTTCTGCTGGGGTCTCGGACAGTTGATTGGAGTCGGAGTCATCCGGGCCATGATTGATCGCCATGACGAATGGGCTTATCGTATTCCTTACGGTCTCCAATGGATGTGGCCGCTGCCACTTTTCATTGGTATCTTCCTCGCCCCAGAGTCACCTTGGTGGCTAGTGCGGAAGGGCCGGAGTCAAGATGCCAAGAAGGCGTTGCTGCGGCTGACGAGTTCAAACGACGAGACCGGCTTCGATGCGGACGAGACCATCTCCATGATGGTTCACACCACGGCCTTGGAACAGAAGATCACGTCAGGTGCTAGCTATTTGGACTGCTTCAAGGGAGTGGATCTTCGTCGCACGGAGATTGTCTGTATGGTGTGGGCTATTCAAAACCTCAGTGGAAACTCCTTCTCCAACTATTCCACCTACTTCCTGCAGCAAGCTGGACTTCCGTCCTCGACAGCCTATTCCTTCGCCATGGGGCAGTATGGTATCAACATGGTCGGTGTCTTTGGTGCATGGTTCCTCATGTCCTGGGGTATCGGGCGTCGCAAGCTCTATCTTTACGGTCTTTGCGGTCTCTGCGTCATGTTGCTTGTCATGGGCTTCCTTGGTTTGGTTCCCGAGGACCATCGGACCCAGTCCTCCCTTGCAACTGGCTCAATGATGATTGTCTGGGCTCTGTTCTATCAGTTGACGGTTGGAACGGTGGCATACTCTCTGGTTGCGGAGATCTCCACACGTCGCCTGCAGATCAAGACCGTCGTTCTTGGTCGTATCTTGTATAACATCGTTGCGATCATTTGTGGTGTTTTGACCCCATACATGTTGAACCCAGGCGAATGGGACTGGGGTAACTTTGCCGGTCTATTCTGGGGAGGAATTTGCTTCCTCTGTATCATCTACACCTACTTCCGTGTCCCAGAACCAAGAGGCCGTACATTTGCCGAGCTAGATGTTCTCTTCGAACGTGGTGTCAGTGCACGCAACTTCGATAGCACGCAGGTCGACGTCTTTGACGAGACGGTTGAGGGCCAAGTAGTCGAAAACTACCAAAGCCAGAGGCTGCGCCCCAATGATCCGGAAAAGCAACCCGTGTTCTGAGCTATAGTCTCGAAGCACGACCACTCCGCTGGACTGCACAGCGTATGCGGACTAATGAATGTACATAATATGTTACGAGGCAACGAATTGTACTTAATAATGCCTTTGGATATAATTAATCATATGGGAATTCACTTGACCATGATCTCACAACCTCCTAGTGCGTCCTACATACTTACTCGTGCGACCACTCGGGCTTCTTCTTCTCGGCAAATGCAGTCATCCCTTTACTCGGTCAGTCTCCAATGCCAGATACCATAGCGAGAGAGCAGAACGTACCAATCTTTTGATCCTTGCTGCCAAACAACCCATGGAATACGCCCCGCTCATACTCAACCCCCTCCCTCAACGCCAACTCCTGACTCTTATTTACAACCGCCTTAGCCGCAACCGTCGCAACCCGACTATACGACGCAATTGTCTCCGCCGTCCTAACAGCCTCGGCCAAAACCTCCTCCTTCCCACCTTCCACAACCTTCGCCGCAACCCCCCACTCACCAGCCTCCTTCCCGCTAAAGTTCTTCCCCGTCAGAATCAGCTCCATCGCCTTACTCTTGCCGATTGCCCGAGTAAGGCGTTGCGAGCCACCTGCTCCGGGGATAGTACCGAGTTTGATCTCGGGCTGCCCGAAGGTTGCGGTGGAGGTGCAGTAGATGATGTCGCACATTAGGGCGAGCTCGCAGCCGCCGCCGAGGGCGTAGCCGGAGACGGCGGCGATGACGGGTGTGCGGATGGAGTTTGCGAGGTGCGACCAGGGAGCTATGAAGTTGTTTGTGTAGGCGGTTGAGAAGGTTAGGGGGGCCATTTCTTTGATGTCGGCCCCGGCTGGTACAGGAAACCCATTAGAAGACTATCGTTTGGTCCGATAGGAAGTATGTAAGGGGAGGGAGAAATACCCGCGAAAGCCTTGTCACTTCCGGTGATGATGATAGCACCGATGTCCTTGCTTTCGTCGTACTTGGAGAGTGCATCGTTGATTTCCTTGAAGAGCGGGCTCGAAAGGGCGTTGAGGGCTTTAGGGCGGTTGAGGGTGACTGTTGTAGGTATGAATTAGTATATACAAGGCTATTTGCGGCCGGGAAGAATCGTTTATTTGGACGTACTCAGGCCGACTCCCGGCTTCGGAGTCGAGGTGAGGATGTGCTCATAGCTCGGAGCCGCGGAAGAGTACAGGCGGATCCGGGCGATGTAGGTGGGACGGGAGGAGGCGAATCGGGGGAATTGGCGGGCGAACATGGTGGATTAAGTATGTGTGATCAAGCAATGAAGGAGACGGCGATTTTTTATAAGAGAAGAGGACAATGGTTGAAGATGGAAAGTCTTGACTTGGCCAAATCCGCGCACGGCGAGCTGCACCAGCGGATTCCCCGCATTGCCGACGCAAACCGTCTGCTTTTCGGATTCCAAGGTCCAGCTGTCCCGAGGTAACTGTATCACGTGAAGAATCCATCCTCAAAGAGTCTAGCGTACCTCTTTATAAGCCTGAGGCATAAATTGGGGCGCAGCGTTGCAGCTGTGGCTGGGCAAGCCCAAAGAGGCGTAGCGCTTGTGGTTGGGACCGTCGGAGTTCGCAATCGCCCGCCGCTGGGAAAGTGGACAACTTTTGCACATCTGTTCTATCACGACTGCCCCGGGGTACGTTTGAACGCTGGATTCCTCGTCTTGAACCTGCGCTCTCTTCCTCTGAACCAACCTATCTCTCTTCTTGTCCTATCAGTCACCGATCGTCTCCTATCGAACCGCCGCAATGGATGTCCCTGAGCCCGAGCAGACGCCATTTACCGCAGTGTCCGCGCAGACGTCGAAGCTTGCTAGGGTAAGTTGATGCCGTGGCCCCTCAACAGCGAAAATCATATTGGAGGAAACGAAACAACAGCGAAGCTAGGCATGAGCTGACCCCCGACACAGCAATACCAAACCTACCTCGACGCCTCCACGCCATTCACGACCTACCGCTGGATAGGCACCGTCGTTCTTCTCCTCGTCTTCTTTCTGAGGATCGTTCTCGCTCAAGGCTGGTACATTGGTATGCCCATCTTCTCCGGTACAATCTCATACCCTTACTAATGGCAAAAAAACAGTCGCATACACCCTCGGAATCTACCTCCTAAACCTCTTCCTCCTCTTCCTCCAACCCAAGTTCGACCCCTCCCTCACACAAGACGAGGGCCTCGAAGACGGCGACGCCGGAGCTCCCAGCCTCCCCACAAAGCAAGACGACGAATTCCGTCCCTTCATCCGCCGGCTCCCCGAGTTCAAGTTCTGGCACTCCGCCACCCGCGCCATCGCCATTGGCTTCCTGTGCAGCTGGTTCTCCATCTTTGATATCCCCGTCTTCTGGCCCGTTTTGGTCGTTTACTGGATCATTCTGTTTGTTCTGACAAGTATGTCGCCTTTTTCCCTCCTCTTGAATCATCATCTCCTGGAAAGAGAAGGTTTGCTGACGTGGTCTTACAATATACAGTGCGACGACAGATTCAGCACATGATCAAGTACCGCTATGTGCCTTTCTCCTTCGGAAAGACCAGATACGGCCGCTCATAGATGAGGATGGGAATGCGATTTCCTTTTTTGCTTTCCATTTCCGCATCTAGTTTTTTCCACCTTTTTCTCGATTGTCTGATGAGATGACGACATCTACATCCTTTACCAGTTTGACAGGATGTACTCGGGTATTTTGACGGTTCTTCTCTTGTAATGGTTCTGCATGACATTGCCCCTTGCTTTTGCCTTGCTTTGATCTGCTGTCGGGCACTTCCGGACGGCGGGGCTGAGCTAGTTTGATTTGATGTGGAGGATGAAGAAGGAAGCGGAGGGATGTAGCGCATAATGCATTTGTGTACCTTCTTCTCCTTGTTTTCTTGATGATGACTTCGTGTTACCCTTATCTCTTTTCTTTTCCTTTCCTCAATCATGCCCCGCTGTACAGAGGGTTCTATGGCACTGATTTCCCGGGTCCTGTTTTTTTGGCCCGCCTTTAATGCTGGGTCGCTGTGCTCTACTATATGCCTATAGGGCTGTGTATCTTTACGTGCATGATGTTGGTAGGCAGGACTAAATAGACAAAAGTCAAGAGGCATAGGACAGATTAGTTGTTGCTCAAAGTATAGGTCGTCATTTTGGCATCAAATCTAGTCATAAATATAGGTAGGTAGTACTAAAACTCGTATGTAGTATGTATGCATCATTGCAGCCAGTCGTCACATATCCACTCCCGCGCATCGCCTCCGACAAACGCAAAGATGGGTATACGTTTCAGATTTCAAATAAAATATCAAATATAGATGGTATAAATAGATCGTGGGTAAGCAATAGTGTAGTGTTGTGTAGGTACGTTTCGCCTGCGAAAAGATGTCCGGGTGAGGGGGGATTGCCTTAGATCTCGAGATATTCCACGCTGTTGGATCGCTTGTCTTGCCTTGGCCGCTCAAGCTCTCGAGTCTTCGTGCAGATCCAGGTCGATGCGTACATGTTTACTCTACTCATTGTCAGTATATCTGCATTCCTCACCGCGCTTACGGTTTTCTGGTCTTGGGTCACGTACCGGTCAATGCAGCTACCTGGGAATCGCGCTCCGACCCGTCGAGCCGTGAAGCCGTTCTCCTCGAAGTTCTTGATATACCACGGCTCAATGCTAGCTGAGCGGAGGAGGATGCGGCCATCCATCTTGAGGGCGTGGTTGAATTTGCGTGCTTGGGCGGCGGCGTCGGTGCCTTCTGGGTCGAACCAGTCCATTGAGTCCATGACCTAGATGGCTGATTAGTGATTGATGCGTGAGAGTACGTATATCACTTACCACTGCGATTGTGAGACTTCGGGGTGTGATGCGTCCAATGACTTCGTTGATCTCGTCTGTGTGGATACGCAGACCGTCAAAGGCGCCTGGGGAAGCGAGTTTCACATGTGCCTGGGGGGAAAGGTAGGCGGGGTGGCATCTATGAGACCAGTTAGTGAATAGCGCGAAGCCATAGGTTTGGAAGCTCACCTTCTTGAGAATTGACCCTGCAAGCACAGGAAGTAGAAGTAGTTGTCGTTGCTGATCATCGTGTCCTGAATCACCGGGTCCAGTGTATCCACGACATACTCCCAGATTGACTTTCCGCTGATGTCCTTCGCATTATTCATCTCTTTCGTCAAGCCATTACGCTTGAAGTAGTCGTCAACAATCATGTTCCGCTGGTTTCGAGGGACTCCAGCGGCCTTCCATGCAAACCACTCGGTGGAAACGACAGCCCAGTGAAGAGGCCTGCTCATCAGAACTGACCGAATCCGCGGCCAGACCTTACGCTGCTCGGCGAGCGTCTGAGCCTCGCAGAGCTTCTTCACTTGGCCCTCAAGACCGAAAACCTTGAAGAGGTAGCGGACCATCTTGATTGCGTGTCGTGACCCTCCAGTCTCGTATAGTCCTCGTCCAGAAGCTGAAGTGAAGACGTGGGTGTGCTCAAGCCAGTACTGGAAAGCCTGGCTGGACAAATGAGGGCTTAGACGGGAAACAAGGAGATTGCGGAAATCCGGGTGCTTTCCTTCACCAAAGATCTTCCAAACATCGCGGTGGCCGAGGGCGATAAAGCTTGCAACCTTGAGCTCAAGGAGATGGTTCTGGTTCGGGTTCAAGTCGACCGCATGCACTCGACGTGGGCTCTTCTGCAAGTAATCCAGAATGTTGTCACCGGCACTCGTAATGGCGAGAATGACGTCGTCACGCTTGATGTTCAATAGGCGGTGATCGACCCGAGGGTCTTCCCAGTTGAAGGCGTAGATGTATTCATTCTGGAATTGTGTGTGTTTTGGGAGGAGGTCGTTGTAGAAGATGCGGTAATGGTGGTTCTGGTAGAATGATGCGGGAAGGGGAAGGTTGGAACTCAAGTTGATGACGGCCGACTCGTAGGCCTTGGAGCGGATCTCTTGTGCGCTCTTTGCAACGGCCTTGTCCATCTCCTTACGATGGTTGGCTGGCGACAAGTAGGGAGATTCAGTGAAGGATGCATCTAGCTTCTCGAGGGCTTCTCGGCTGGCTTTGTCCGAGGAGAGATCCTTGTGGCAGCCGATGAAGATATAGTAAGGAATGCCTCCAAGAAGGTAGTTGCGCTCGCTAGCGGAGATGACGGTTCCGAAGCGATATTCCAAGTAGTCGCGGCGAGCAGCGTCGAGGTTCACACGGTCTGCCTCGAACCAAGCGCGCCAGAATGCACGGCCAAGCCAGTTGACGTGTCGGTTGAAAGCACCACCGATGTAGTTCCTGGAAGAGACATCGACGATACTCTGAACTGTTCAAGGTTAGCCTCTCTCTTTGTTTGATTGTCGGCTTGAGATTTACCATAGAAATCGCAGACTCCTAGGAGACCGGATGGCTTTACCAGTTGCCCAAGAGAGTCCACTACACTGTAATAATCTGCAGATGTGAGTGTTTGTTCGGAGCTCTATTGCAGGGATACTTACCTGGGATCATAGACAAGCTGTAGCTCATTGTAACTACATCGGCACCAGCACTCGAAGTCTTTCCTGGTTCGATGCCGTCCTCTGGCAGGCGGAAGGAACGAGCATCCTGGCATACAACGCTGACGTTTTTCCACCCCAGGCGCTCGAAGCGTTGACGAGCAACTTCGCAAAGGGATGGAGAGAGGTCAACAAGGTAAACGTGGGAAAAGAATTCCGGGACGGAGACAAAAGCGGCCATAGCCTCGATGTTATACCTAGATCTTATTAGGATTGGCTGACAAGTTATGGGTAAGTAATGCTCACCCTGTACCACCGCCAATCTTGAACAGTCGTTAGTCAGATAAAAACAAGCCAGTTCGCAGGAATATCTTACATCAACCCAGACTGCCTTTCCCGCCTGAAGGTCCTTGTTTTCAAGTTTGTATTTGAGTTGAGCCGCAACGAGGCCAAGCATGTCTTCACGGCCGCGGAGGAGGCGTTTGCGAGTAGCATCGTATACGGTAGCCTGTGGGCGGGTCAGTGGTGTACTTCAAGCCACAATCTGATGGGCTCATACCTGTGTCTTGTAGAAGCTCTCTAACGCATCTTGTTGGCCACTTCCGCCTCTGTCATGAGGCTTCAAGAAGTTTGCATAGATGAATTTCAAGTAACTGAAGGCACCTTGGTTTAAGTCAATCTTGCGCTTCCGCGACGCCGTAAAAAGGACAATTGCAACGAGGGCGAAAACAAAGAAGGCAGTGCCCGCAATGGACACATAGAGACGGTCAGGACCGCTCTGGAGGAAGCCAGTAAAGACACTGGTGAGAGAGCTCATGGCGCACAAGAGGCAGAAGATGATTGAGAGGACAGGAGTGATTAGACTGCCCCAGCGGAGGAGAAACGAGTCGGGAGGGGCGCCTTCTTGAATCAATCAACCCCTCCATCATCGGCTGGAGATCGGGGAAGGCGAATTGAGCGCATGCCTGCTAGGCCCCACCAGAACCGCTTTGTTGATAACGCTGGCTTCCAACACCATGAGGCAACTTGCGAATGCAACGAGTCGGTGCCCTATCACGGCAACACATGGGCCTGGGAGATCAAAGGCGCCCTCGCTGGAAGCGGAACTGAATCGACGGCGGCAGAGGTAAATGAGCGGGCGATCCTAGCTCCATCCTCTTTCAATTGGCCCCGTCGCAGACCCGGGGTGGAGGAAGGTTAGAGCCAATGCGGTGCACGAGGTGTGGTTCAGGATCCGCAGGTTTATGGGGACATTCTGCAGCTATTCCGAGGACCTGCAGACCAATGCACGGACTCGGGGTCCAGAGCACAGCTGGCAAGTAGGAAAGGGGCGTGGGGGCATGTGTGGCAATCACTTGAGGAGGTCGAATGGTGAAAACAAACGGCCAAAAGACGTTTGGAGGGAAGCTGCATCATCTCTATATGCGGATCAACCAATCACAACCCGCCTTTTCACCACACTTTGGCTTCTGGATTCCGAACGGCCATCGGTCCTCCATTTGCCATCGCAACGATTTTCGGCGCACTCAACGCCAATTATTAGCTGGCTGACTCATTATCTATTCTTATCTCCACAGAGGCTAAAGTTGTATTGTGCTGAGCGTCTTGGAGCCTGAGGCATGCTTCATGAATCGTCCCTCGCACCACCTGCACCGCCCACTTAGTGTCTTCTCATGGGATATCAACCTAGGCACAGTATCTTTTCAGTATCACGAGGCAGATAGGCATATTCTAATGATTGCATTAGCTATCTGAATCGATGCCAGTTTAGAGTCCTTTTTCATATCTATGTCTTGTTTCTTGCTTGCGACACCAACAGTTAGTGAGATTGAAGTTCTTTCCTTGCTATGGCAGGATACAACTTCAAGGATGCGTATCTAGAGTTAATTTTGGGAAAAGCTTGTTTTTTTTCTCCTCGCTTGTTCAGAGGCTGTGTCTATACCAATCAAACATAACCCGATCTCCTCAGATTCGTTTGAAGCAAGCGCGCGAAGAAGTCCTTGTTTCTCCAGATTCTGACAAAGTGCCCGTTTGGAAGCAAAGCTCCCTTCTAAGAGGGTTTGATCCACCCTATTACCGCTGTTGCTAGTAGCTTGCCCCATAGTTATTACCCCATTGGTGCTCCGGAGTGCAAACATCCACTAGGTCCCAAGGCCACACCATAACCCATGAACTATACGGAGTACGACCTATAGCCATACGCCATTGGACAATCGTAGAAATGGGTTTTGTAGGGCTTCTTACTTCCTCTTTTCCGCTACTCAGTTTGCTACTCCCTGCCGTATCAGTGCTTTCATCCAAGAGTTTTTTGGTATATGCGGCAATTCCGAGACCGTGGCATATTTATTATGCCAGCACTTGCTGATGATGTATCCGATCAATATTGGAATCCTTGTTCTGTAGCAAGTCCACAACTTTAAGCCCATGATCGTAAGGATCATCAGTAAGACATTGGTCTCCATAAGCCTCAAAGCCGTAGTTTTGTGAGGTAGTATAAGGAACCCAGGGCGAACTGCTCTGTTCCGGGGCCTAGGAAGCCAGATGGTCCACTTCTCCCCTCGTCCATATCCGAGTCGTTGCTGTTTAGTATTCTGCCATGTGAGGCCATACAGGCTTCGTAGTTTCTCCAATTTTTGCCGTCCAATCGAAGTCGGATACCTTAGTCAGTTGCGATCCAGCAGAGTAATTTCAGGTCGTAGATCGCAAGGCCCAGTAATTTCAAGAAAGCAACGGCTTGGCGAGATCATTCATCCATGTCTTTTATAAGGGCAAAGGTTCCAGCATCTCTACCTCTGTAACCACCATAGTTTGCTGATCCCGAACATGGTTGTTTTGTATTCTCGAAAAAAGTGAGTTACCTGATGGAAAGTCAGCATACGAAGCTGTTGATTGCTCATAGAGACTTACCTCTCATGTACTCAAGGGAGAGACCATTGTCTGAGAAAAGAAGCACTGAACGATAGAGGGGCAAGGTCGATTCTGTGATAATATTCGTTATATCTCGACCTCTTTACGGAACTGCTATTTCTATTCCCCCGACTTTGGAACCTTTCCCACGATGAGAGGGTGGACCTCGTAGACAAAAGAGATGCCTCCTCCCATCCCACGCACGTTAGGACATTGACGTTGAGTATCCATCACAGGCTTTGATTATTATGTGGTAAGTGACATGCCATGTTTTGCGCACAAGGATGGTGGGGAAAGCATCTTTGACAGGAAAGGAAAGTTTTTGAGGTCAAAAATTCACCCTGCACAACTCAATAAGGCCGGCTGGCCCAATGGCAAGGCGCTTGACTACGAATCAAGAGATTGCAGGTTCGATCCCTGCGTCGGTCATTTTTTATGACTTTCTCGACTACTCTTGCGATGGTAAACGAGGTTTGGGTCTAAAAATTTTTGTGTGATAAGGTGATAGCTTCCATTTTGCTCTTCACCATTCATTTAATTATAGTTCTAGAGGCGACTGTCTGTACATAGTTAGATCAAACAAATCTTGGTTTGTAACTTGTTAGTCGTGTATTGAATTCTTTCGAGCCTTCGGCCTCGCGAAGCATTAACTAAGGCAAAGTGAGTATTGCATTTTCTAGTAGGCTTAGTCTTAGTAAGTTGGAATCCTGTGTTAGTTTGTAATATACTTTGTTCTGGGAGGAGAGCCTAGTTAACTACCCTTTAATATCAGTTGTTGCCTCTGTATGATGCCATCATCAAGTGAAGGGGAAACGTTTGGCTTCTTATACTAAACTAAACTATTATAAGCCAATAAGAAGGCCTACTGGCCCAATGGCAAGGCGCTTGACTACGAATCAAGAGATTGCAGGTTCGATCCCTGCGTAGGTCAATTTTTTGTTTACATTTTTTCTGCTAATACACACTCATTACTGACTGTGGGGTATCATAATATAACCTTGGGCAACGTGTTGTAAACTCTATGGTTAGTTACAGGCCATTACTTTGAAGCGTCTCAAATATGGCCATCGTCTCTCATAAGCACATCAGTCAAAAAGTCCGGCTGAACCATAATGCTATTGATGCTCAGGAAACGAGAACATGGATATACTGTCTCGCCTGCCGTTTAGTAACACTTCCTACACCAAATCCATTCCGAGTCCATTATTACCTCAATCACTTGCCAGAAACACTGATGCATAAGCCATACCAATTAACTGTACAGGCTTCCTTTCTTCTGACTACGAATTGGTCACCTGTTACACAACATTTCATATTCTACCGCGAGAAATACCATTTATTCTAAGGCCAACTAGATACCAGGGCTCGAATTCCAGCATCTGGAGAGGCGGTTGTTTGGCCTGTGGGGATCAACGTGTTCATGGCGAAGGTAGGTACCTCTACCAAAGTTGACTGCACGGTGTGCCCGGGCTTCCACACCCAAGTAGGTACTTGGTTGGGATGGATACTGAATGATTATGTTCGCACTAGTCATAAACTCCGCTGCCACTCCTTGGATGTGCTTAAGCTCTAGGGTGGTACACACGGAGGCATAGACTGGTGCCATGCTTGGTACAATTGAAACTATCGATTTTCTCTTCACAATGTAAAGACACATAGTGTGAAGCCCTGCACTCGTCTTTAGGAGTATATCCAGTTTGGTAAAGAGATACGAGCGCTACATCTGCGGCTTGTTGGGAGTATTTTGCATCATTGGCTTGGCCGGGAGGGGATGGAGAGTCGTACCTGGTTGGATCCGCTGTTTCATTGGTAGGTCAATCTCCAGCACCTACTACAGTACCTTCTCATATGTTCCACTATGGGGTTATGAGCGTATAACCGACACTGGAACATGTCTTGGGTGGGAGTATGTACCCAAGTGGCAGGGCTAGTGCGTTAGCCATCTACCGTTAGTGAGCGTTACAGTCAGCAATTAAAATAAAGCCTCCTTAACAATGTCAACTAAGGGCTAGATGGTTTTGTCATTTGAATATATCATCTCACGCTGTCAATTGCCCGTTCGTAGCAGCCGCTCCTACTCGCCACTGGGATACCCCGTCACCGTCAATGAACAGGTATCTCGTTCTTCTGGGACTGGTACGAAGAGAGTTCTCTAAGGACCCATCAAGGCAGTCTGCCTTTTTAGTGCATGGTGATTGGGCTGCGAAGAGCCATCTGATGGGTGTTGACGGTGGGTATATATTTATAGTAACTACGAATTACATCGATGTAGACTGGAGCCGAGCCAGACAGGGCCACGTATCGTAGATGAAAATCAGAGCCAACTCCGCCCAAGAACACCAATGCGGAAGACACGCGGTGTGATGCAGGCATCTATACCTGAAAAAGTATAGGGGTAGGTAAAATCAGATAAGCCATGCTGATGGCCACATAGGATAGGGTCGGTATAAGACCGCAAATTAGGGTTAGATCAGGTTGGCACTTGTCTTGTCTGGTTGGCTTAGGTTACCCCTTACATAGGTATCAGGGAATTGATCAAGGGGATAAAGTTAGCACAACACTTCCCAACCTTGTGCATGGCCAGGCATTTTAGGTTAATAATAGTGTCCTGCAGTTATCAAAACAACATCTATAAAAATCTTCAGGAGCCAAAAAAAATTGATGACCTACGCAGGGATCGAACCTGCAATCTCTTGATTCGTAGTCAAGCGCCTTGCCATTGGGCCAGCAGGCCTAACATATTATTACTGCGATTTACTTTACCATTATAAGGTATAACTAATGCTCTATGCTAAACCTTACTCTCACCTTTATAGTGCCTAGTGTGGGGCAATGAGGGAGCACTGAGCAAGACAGTGTTGTGAGATCTCCGAGGCGCGAAAGCGGCACAGCGCTGATAACCAGATCTGGAGAAAGATGTAGAGACTTGGGAGATATACACCATCATAAATTGTGATGCGGGTCTACTTCCCCCAGATCGCCAGTCATATACAGGTAAGTCTTATCCACTGGTCATCCCGGAATGGCGTACTGAGTATTCAATAAGAACATTATACAATGCTAAAGACTACTATGATTAACCTGCGTCGCCTGAAAAACGAGGTCTTTACTACCAAGAAATGCCGTGACCAGCCACAAGGGTACTCTGGAGTCAGTTATAGCCTCGGGCCTAAAAGCAATAACCTGAATCAAACCATAATGGATGATGGATCATTAGAATTTTGATAAATATCCATCAAAGGTCTAATTCTAATTTTATTGGATAAGCGTGATCTCTAAGCAGCACAATTGGCCATAAAGTGTAAAGGTGACGCGCCAGGGTCACGTGCATCCCCCAAATCTTCCAAAAAGACCACATGAATCGCGAGATACCTCGCGATTCCCCTGGAACCCATTAAGTAGCGCACAGGGCCTGTAAGCCTGAGGCATCAACACCATGTGATCCTCGAAGGTCTTACATAAAGCCAGCAAATGAGGTTGCAGGTCTGATCATGCAGTAGACTTGGCAGTGGCAACTAGCCGACCCACCAGGGCAGGATATCAAAAAATTTTCAAGACTTCGATTTGCATTACTGCCGCAAGGTCTTCAAAGACAAAAAGATATGACCTACGCAGGGATCGAACCTGCAATCTCTTGATTCGTAGTCAAGCGCCTTGCCATTGGGCCAGCAGGCCAAGTTGTTGAATATCGTATACTAGTATGACATGATAGGCCTATGTTACCTATTCAGAAGATTTGGTATGCCCTAATCAATGCCAACTACTGGATGCCTATCCATTATTAGATGGATGCACCATTTTGGCGAGATATCAATTGTTGTATTCACCTTATTATGTTAGATGGCCTTGAAGTGCATCCTAGTGTATTGGGTTCCACGGTCTTTCTATTCCTTAAAGTGCATTCACTCCCGCAAGCCATCACGTACTCGCTATATATATATATATGGTTTTGCACTCCCGTGGTTAACCACGATCCCCACATGCGAACTTACTTTTCCCTCTGATTCTCGGCCCAAACGCGAGGAGAACCCAAGGAACAAGCGTCAAGGCGAGACCCTATATGCATTGTTAGAGAAAGACTTAAATGCCATGCGGATATTCATGAAGATGGGCTGGTAGAAAGCCACATACAATCCCACCCAAGAGACTCGCTGCGGGCCCATAACCAAGGTTGCTGAACATGGCATTCGTAACAAGTGGGAATATACCACCAAGAAGATTACGACCTTTGTCTTATTATTAGTAGTGTGCGCAAAAATTCCCAGTCAACAAAGCATAATAAGGGAAGTTGTGGGTATGGCCAGGAGGAAGAGAGAGGAGACATACAAAACGACTGTGCCGCAATAGCCGAACTGGCATACTCCTTATACGCATCGGCAAGGTAATTAAATGTAGCCAGGTATATCGAGAAGATCCCGACGATTGCGCACCCGATTCCCAGAGACGGGACTATCCAGTGTATGGTCGGCCGCACAGACCAACCGAACCAGAAGAGGCCAATGGGGAGGAGGAACGCTTCGACGCAGGCAAAGTAGAGGCGGGCTTCCGTGGTATGGGGTAGTATATTATAAGTTATTGCCAGCTTCTCTTGGTAGATGCTTAGGAGGGTTGCAAAAATTGAGGCGATAGCAATCGCTAATGTAATCAAAATTGTTAATTTGTGGATACAAGCAGACATGGATAGAAAGTAGGTGATATAGAAGCAATTTGGGACTATACCAGTAAATACTGCCCCCGTCTGCTCGAGGGTGAAGTTGTATGTAGTCGAAAAGACGAGAGGAATCGAGCCGAAGTTCAGGTACAGCACGGCCCAGCTGAAAGCGACCCAGAGGGAGAAGAAGAAGACGACAGGCTCGGTGAACAGGAAGGCTGGAGCAAGTTAGCTAGTAGACAAAGATTTGAAACGGATAACGATGCATACTGAATGGCCGCGAGCAAGAAATGATCAACCTATCTCTCAAAGCCATCTCCTTTCCTCCAGTATCGACACGGTATCTGACCCGGACCAACCGGCCCCCTCCCTGAGAATCCCCAAGACTGGAATTCACAACGACACCGTAAAATCCCACCTGCTCCATGGCATCAAAGTATGAATTGAAGTCATCCGTCATGCGCGAGAGCAGAACCACCTCACGGGTCTCCGCAAAGAAGAAGTACAATAGCGCCACAACCCCTGCACTGACCATGGCCTGCGAGTAGCATATCCACCGCCATGTTGTCCTTGATGCAATGGTGCTGCTGATTAGCGGTCCAACGCCGGTGCCGAAGAGGGTTGCTCCGGAAAATAGAGCCATGGGGACATTTCGCTCATGGTCCGCATATATATCACTGATCACGCCGCCGACGATTGAGGAGAATGATGCTGTTGCGTGTTAGCCAGTTAAAGACCACATAATTCAAACGCAAAACCTGGAAAGAGAAGGGAAAAGGAGAGGAGAAGAACATACACCCTGAAACTCCCAAGAAGAATCTCCCAACCAACAGCCCAGCCAACGAGTCACTCGCGCCACAGCCCGCAAGACAAGCTATCAGAGCAAAACCATAAACACATTAGCACAATATACCACAGACGCACACTCAAGCTCCCTATGGATCCTTCTTACTCACCAGTAAAAAGCACCCCACTCCCCAAAAAGATCGGCCTCCTCCCCCACCCCTCCGAGAACGGCGCAAGGACCATCGGCGTAACTGCAAAGCCCAGGGTAAACAGGGTTGTCGATAGATTGAAGGGAACCAGATCAACACCCCATGCCTGGTGTAACTGGTTGAATGCGGGTGCCAGCTCGCCCGCTGCGTAGGCGGCCATGGCTGTTACGCCACAGGCGATTATCGTTGTAATGAATTTCTTTTGCCGGGACCATAGCAAGGGGGATTTGTAGGCTTGGCCGTTTGGTGGTGTGGGGATGGTGATGTTTGTGCTTTTGTGTAGATAGTGTGGGAGGTGAACATTGGGATGGGACTTCGGATGGAGGTACTCGATTGTGCTATGGATGTCGCATATGGAGGAAGTATGCGTAGGTCTGGGATCCTTTTCGGGGTCCATAATCGAGGAGCAATCTGCTTGGGTTTGGCAAGGTCGTTCTCAATAGAGCGTTACTGTCTTGGTTCAAGTTGACGCCGGGAGGGAAATGGACGGGAATAGGCGCAAAAGAGACAGCACTTATTGACAAGGGGAAAAGTATCACAATGCCCGGGGGCAACGAATAGTATAAAGCAATCACGGGACATAACGCAGCGGGGAAGCAGTCCGTCCATTAATCGTCCTGATATGAAAGTGTCGGAGAATGGCCCTCTCTCCCCGGGCTTTGGCGTACCCGATCCAATCATACCCCCGGAATCTTGGCCTTTGACTCGGGAGTCATGATTGGCAGTGTCTTGTCGATGGATGATATCCAGGTGGCTTATCGTGGTGGGGGCTTGGAAGGGTATCCGGACACAGTTGAGGCATTTAGCACCAGCGTTTACCGGGTATTCGGATGTCTGGTCACTCTATATTTTGCAGAGCGGGGAGAGACGTGGTGTAGAGTGCCGCTGCTGTATCTGCAAGTATCTTTGACGGATTTTGAGTCAATTGAGTGGATTGCTATGAACGCTTACTATAGGCAACCAGGTAAGTGACTCTCCTGCTATATTCGTATTCAGTATCCACGAGCGGCTGTACCAACTGCCGACGCCAATCTAGATATTCCCTCAAACAGTCTCCTTATGTACAGAGACGTCATCTACGTGAACAACCACCTCTCCGCCCTCTTTCTCAGAGACAACGCTCCCCTTTGGCGTGTCAAAAATCTCTGCGATTGTCTCCAGCGTCTTCCCATACGTCTCTGGAAAGAAAAAGTAGAAAAGCAAGACCTCCACGAGTAACCACGCCACATAAACCAGGTAATACTTCCAACCTAGATCATCCATGCCGATTAGGTTGACAAACTGGTTGAAGAACAGAGCCGCTTTGTTCGTAAAGATCAGCACACTCATACCCGTTGCCCTGAGGTTGAAGGGCAGAATCTCCGACGGATACAGGTATAGTGTCGGGTTGAGGGCGAAGTTAAAGGTAGTGTAGTAGATAAATATGAAGGCGAGAGCGGCCTTGCCAGCGCCGTCGAGGGACAGCTCGTTGTAGACGGCGATGCCAATCGTAAGGGCGCTGAATGTAGTCCACATTCCGATGCCACCCCCGACGAAGAGCCAGCGGCGGCCAAAGTGGGCTGCAGCTATTGCAGCGAAGACTGAGGTGGCGTAGTTGGTACAGGTTATTGCGCCGTTGATTCTCAATTGTTCTTTGGGCTCCATTATTCCGATTGTTTCCAGAATCTTCGTCAGGTAGTAGGATACCCACCCGTTACCAGACCACTGTCCAGCGACGGCGAGAATGAGGATGATCCCGAGACTTTGGCGGTTGCCGGGGGTGGCAAAGAAGAGTTTGACTCCGTTGGCTTCGATTTCTTTTTCTGCACGGAGGACCTCTCGAATTTCGTAGAACTCAGCAGTAACCAACTCGTCGTGGCGGTTGCCGTTTCCATGATACTTGACGAGAATCTCCAAGGCCTCCTCTTCCCGCCCCTTGTACATAAGCCATCGTGGAGACTCGGGAAGAAACCAGATAAAAGCAACCTGGAAGACTGCCGGCAAGCCCTGAAGCAGGGTCGGCGTTCGCCACGACCAAGAGCTGTGCAGATCCAGTGTACCGTAGACAACCCAGGCACAGAGCAAAGAACCAACATAGAAAGTAGTGGCGTAGAGGGCTGTGACGAAAACACGGTGGCTGGGATGGACCAATTCGGAGATGAGAACAGGTCCTGCAGTGAGAGCCAGTGTGATCCCGAAGCCGACAACGATACGCGACACGATGAAGGGAGCTAAGCTATTTGAGGCCGTCTGGATGGCTACTCCGACAATCATGATGATACTTCCAGTCAAGATGGACCAGCGGCGGCCGTAGCGGTCAGAGATGAAAGCGGAGAAGGGAGTAGAAAGGATTGCTCCGAGGGGGTATGATGCCGACATGAAGCCGAGAATCGCGCCTGTTGGGTGGTCGAAGTATTCTTGCCATTTAGGCACTGTTGTCCAGCGTCAGTAACTGGCTGCACTTGTTCGATGATCAGACATCGCTTACCAGACTGTAGACCATTGAGCAGGGAGCTGTCGTATCCATTGGTGACGCATATCATGAGACATGCAGGAACGAGGATGCTGTAGAGGCGGACGAGCGAAGGATGAAGATGCCAGCCCTGATCCTTTTCTGCTTCTAGGATCTGAGCAACAGATCGGTCCGGCCAAGCTTCGACAGTACTCGAAGCCATAGTCGGGCAAGAAGTCCAAGAGAACCGGATGATTAACAACAGAAGGCCTGCTCAAGAGAGAAAGATGAGGGAAGGAGTGATAGTATAGTCCGCCTCCCGTTCATTAGGAACACCATCACGGTATTTATACAGTTAGACGAAAGCATGATACGATAACACGCCACAAGTAGCGTAGTGGCTTTCCCTCAAATGGGAGAGAGATGACGGGGAAATCTGGGGGAGTCGGATGAAGCTGAGGCTAGGGTAGTAAATTCAGCACGCCAATAGCCATGGATTTCCAAACCTTCCCGGCTGTCTGCGGAGAAACCAGGGGCGAAAACCATGCGTCCTGGGTTTTGGAGAGCGAGACCCAGGGCTGTGGGAAACGATAGAGACTTAGCGGCGCGGAGACACGGCCTTGGCTCCGGTCCTCCCCCTCTGCGAGGTCATACCCCAGACGCAGCGGCCAGCGGCCAGCGGCTCGGTCTCCGATCTCCAGTCTCAGTCTCCAACTGTCCATGAGCGTGTATTTAAAGGGGGTCATGGGAGTAATACGGCAATCGGAGTCAAGGCCTTATATTTGCAAAGATACCTCGGCTTTACCCCTCCATTATCCTGTTATCTTCACATTCACAAGAGGAAAACATGGGTGATGCTTCGATTCCAGTGAGCGCCAACATGACAGCGGCAGGGTATGCCGCAAGCATTCTTTCCCAGTTAACTCTGGAGGAAAAGGTAAAGCTCCTGGCTGGTGCTGATATGTGGCGCACCAATGCAATTCCCCGCGTTGGTATACCACAGATGAAGACGTCGGACGGGCCAGTTGGTGTACGTGGTGGGCAGTTCACCGACGGAGTGACTGCAGCATCATTACCATCAGGGTATGTTTTATAATGGAATAAACATCCCTAAATACTGACGTAGTCACAGAGTCTCATTAGCAAGCACATGGGACCCCACGCTAATTGATGAGATGAGCACGATTCTCATTACTGAGTGCCGCAGCAAGAGCATTGACGTCCTGCTTGGACCCACCGGTAAGTTTTGACATTCTGATTGTCATACCTGCCTAGTCGGGAGAGACTTATAATTGTTTTTCTCTCTCACAGTGTGTACTCCGAGAACTCCCCTTGGCGGTCGAAATTTCGAAGCATACAGTGAGGACCCCTTTCTAAGCGGCAAGCTAGCAGCGCGATACATCAAGAAGATTCAAGAAGCGGGGATTGCAACATGCATCAAGCACTTTGCAGCAAACGACCAGGAGCACCGTCGATTCTTCGTTGATGCGACAATCTCCGAGCGCGCGCTTCGCGAAATCCATACTCAGCCTTTTGAGATTGCCGTTCGGGAGAGTAACCCCTGGTCGATGATGACAGCGTATAACAAGGTCAATGGATCGTATGCTTCGGCTAACAAGCATCTTCTGCGCGATATTCTGAGAGAGGAGTGGAGATGGGATGGTGTTGCGATGAGTGACTGGTTTGGAACAAATACTGTTGTTCCTTCGGTAGAATATGGGTAAGGTTGTTGCCAGCTCCATATCGGTATACGAGCGACGGGCTGATTATTGTGCGTGCACCCAGACTAGACCTTGAAATGCCTGGCCCAGTCAAGCGGAGAGGGAAACATCTGATTGAAGCACACAAACAAGGCTTGATCAGTGAGGCCAGGACGAATGCGCAACTAGAATGCTCCAGCTTCTACACAGAGTGGGAAAGAGCACGAAGCCAGATTGGAAGGAACCCGCAGAAGAAGCAGTTGACCTCCCCGAGCATAGAGAAATCATGCGTCGTGCTGGTGCCGAAGGTTTGTTAGCCTCAACGAAGGTTCGCTGTTTAAATGCCTTTAGTGCTAACTTGCACAGGAATTGTTCTCCTCAAGAACGAGCAGAGTATCCTACCCCTCAAGCCCGAAAACGGAATGCGCATCGCTGTTCTCGGACCCAACGCCGGAAGATCAGTACAATCGGGCGGGGGCAGCTCTGACCTCCTCCCACACTACAGGACAGTCCCTTTTAACGCCATCAAGCAGGCAGTCGAGGATAGCGGGGTCGAAGCAGAAGTTTCCTATGCCCCAGGAATGCAGGGCCATCGGTATATTCCCCTAATGGATCCCTCAGTCATGAGGAATCCTGTTACTGGTGAATCGGGATGGGTTCTCTCTTTCTGGGCCAACATGGATCACGCGGGGGAGGTTGGATATGAAGAGCACCGGAAGAGCTCAATTCTCGTGTGCTATGATACCCTCCCGGATACTTTGACGACAGGCGAGAGATACTCGTATAGGGGCCGTACGATCCTGACGCCCAAGACGTCGGGCAACCACTGGTTCTCGCTGTCCTCCTGTGGACCTGGAAGACTTTGGCTCAACGGCAAGGTTATCCTTGATATTCCCAGGCGTTGGTGGTCGTCCAAGTCCCCATTATTCATGAGTTAAGGCTCGCCTGAGGAGCGCATCCAGGTTTATTTAGAAGCTGGGAAAGAGTACGAGCTTATTCTGGACTCAATAAGTAGAGAGCCGGAGCCGTATGAGTTCTCATTCACCGGTGACCTTCTGCGAGAGGAGATTCAGGATGGTGGACGAATCGGCTTCTTAGAAGAAGAAACGAGAGACCTTATGAAAGAGGCCGTCGACTTGGCAGAAAAGAGCGACCTCGTAGTGATGGTGGTTGGGAAGGACCGCGAGTGGGAGTCGGAAACTAGCGATATGGTGTCAATGAACCTGCCGAAAGAGACGGACGAATTGATCGCGAACGTTGCAAAGGTCAACCCTAACATGGTCGTCGTCAACCAGACCGGCTCTCCAATTGCGATGCCGTGGCTAGACCAGGTCCCAGCCATTATACAGGTAAGCCTCCTTTGTCCCAGAATATTGCACGAGCGGTAAATAGACTAAGCCGCATTTCATAGACATGGTACCAAGGGCAAGAGCAAGCAAATGCCCTTACAGACGTCCTCTTCGGCCGAGTCAACCCCTGCGGAAAACTTCCCATTACGTTCCCCCGAGTCTATGAGCAAAACCCTTCCTACCTCGACTATCCCGGACATAACGACCGTGTTGTCTACGGTGAGGGAATCTTCGCCGGTTACCGATGGTGGGATCGGCTCAAGATTGAGCCTCTATTCCCGTTCGGGTTCGGTGGCTCATACAGCACATTCGAGTATTCGAATGCGAGAGTGAGCTCCACAAGTCTCCAGTTCTCAGAGGATGGCACTGGAAGCATTGAGGTACATGTTGATGTAACGAATACCTCTGCTGTCGCTGGCAAGGAAGTCGTGCAGTTTTATGTGTCGCCCAAAACAGCTCCGCGGTTGGCGAGACCACAGCGCGAGTTGAAGGGTTGGGATAAGGTACAGGTGCAGCCCAGTGAGACTGTCACAGCTTCGGCGACTCTGGACTGGGTCAGTGTCGCATACTGGGATGATAAACGACACGAGTGGGCCGTGGATGGGGGTGCTGTGTTTGAGGTCATTGCGGCCAAGCACTCGCGTGATGTTGGTGTGGCGGCCGAGTTCTCAGTTGGCAATCCTTCTGCGGATTTCAAGGCATCTCGCTTCACTGTTGTGGCCATTTAATCGAGACAGCTTGTACTGAAGGTATAGATCGGATGCGAAAGTTAGAAACGAAGAAATGTAACGCGTATAGATCAAAAAAATCCATTGGCCGCAAGAATCAATGACGAGTGTTTGAAGTACGAAAACAGGCGCTCTTCTAAACGGCGCTACTATGAGGCATATGATCGAGCCGGCGTAAAATCTGCATATCTTCGGCAATGGTGGGGCTCAGATGGGCTGCATCAGTCTCGACTCGATCTTGGATATCGTAAATGACTTTCCAATCGGCCGGTAAGAGGGAGTGAAGGTCAGGTCTCTTGTACACCAGTCGTATGACAATAGCCCCTGCAAAGAAACTAGAGATAACAGTCAGTGTCGAAGGATGTGGCAGGATGGACGACAGGAGAACCACCATCTAATCAGGTTGACCGGCATTGGGATTGCCCGGATACTATCTCGCAGAATTCCCTGGCGCAAAACAGCTTGAAGGACAGCTAGCATACAAAGTTGCGCCTTTTCTTGGTCTCTTGCGGGTATACTCTCATGTGGAGGGCTATTAAGGAGAGTATAAAGAAAAGGACGCAAGATAATTGACTTTGCAGCACAATAGCGAGCCCTCAGTGCACCGGTTGCTCGTTCGAACGGCGATGCGGCGCGGCGTCTAGTAAGGTCTTCATGCTGCCATGGGTTCATCTGCGCCAAAGTTGGGAACGCGAGTTCCGTTGGTAGATGTTGTCGCCAAAGCTCTAACTGGTGGTCCAACTCTTCAATTATCGACATTGAGGCAGAGAAGCCAGTTGATAGACTCGAGGACGCGGTAAGGCCCATACTGCTTTGACTGTGTCGGGTACCTATAGGTCCAATGTTAGTAGTGTAGTAGATACGGTAGAATTCTACTCTGTCACTAACCGTGGCAATATATATTGGAATGGATCCGATTTAAGAGTTTACGTAACGCCAGATGAGCCAAAAAGGTCACACGGTGCAGCTCACGAGGCTCTTCGGCCTTACGATATTCACTAAAGGGGAAAGGTATAATGTCTTCATAGCGGCCAATGCCACTGGCTGGGAGCTCGAACTCGGCAAGAAGTTGGCTAGATGTTTACATTAGAAGTGTTAACAATAAGGATAATGGTGATACTACCTTTCGTGGGTATAAGCCACCCAGTATATCTGGATTTCAGTTTGACTTGGTCGTGGATTACTACATAGGTTAAGTCAATTTTAGAGCGAGGAACCCCTCGAGTCAAGACTGCGCTCACCTCCGGAGAAGGATCATGATTGTTGTGCATGCTCGCTGCACTGCCTGGAAATGCTCTAGGACATTTAACCGCTGCGAGTAAAACAGACTAGATCACGTTAAAAACAAGTCAAGCGTAAAGCGAGGAAAATTTTCTTACCCGGTCAGCAGCAGAGCCTGGGCAGACCGCCATGAAATTTCAGCGCTATATCGGATCCTGAGGCTGAGCTGAGAAAGCGCGGTGTTTGCCTCTGTGGGATCTAGAAAGATTTCCAGAGCGCCATGAGGATCATCCGGAAGGGTTGGGCTATCCTGGTCTGCCAGTGCTTTCCCTCCAAGGAACAGAACCAGGAGAGCAATACAGGCTTCAAGCTCAGAAGTGGCTGCACCAGCGAGAACTGGGCCCAGGGTACGACTAGCAAACTCCGATTCAACTAAAAGTGGTGAGTATATTGAGAGGTCATCGAAAAATGCTTTGGTGAGACACTTTATTTGTGACAACGTGAGCCTGCTCAGCAAGCTATCGTATATAGCTAGGTGTTCACTAGGCAGCGGCAAGTTCCTGGCGTCTCGATTATTATGCTCGGCGATTTCTCCGCGCAAGCCATAGACACTGTCCAAATTCGAGAGGCTCGCTTGAAGGCAGGGCCACAGAAGAATATTTTGGGGGGCAGTACTGTGGTGGAGAGGTGTCGATGGTAACGGAGAGCTGGGCGGCTCTGTTATGTTAGTACTTGGGGGAAAGCCGCATCTTGTTCGCGATATGCTGAAGTTGCCGAGAATGTGTTTTCTGGAGAACTGGTCACCAGGTTTCTGTCTCTTTGAAGGAGACTCCTCATTTCCTCCATCTGGGATTCGAGGTTCGCCAGTGACTTTCGAATATGAAACAAAACTGGGTCCTTCCTGCTGACAGTCAGCTGGATGCTTCATTTCTCCTCAAGCACGAGGCGCACTTCATAGAGAGTTCCTTATAATGACATGCCAGGCGAAGGCGAGAGCAGCGACCACATTGAGGCTGTCCTTCATCGCACTTGGCTTTCCGCTGCCGACATGGCTCGCAGGCCTGTTGCGCGGTCACTAGAGATTCAGCGGATTGCCTGTTGGTGTTGAAACTTACATTAAGCGCCAGCCGCCTAGTAACACCAGTAATGCTAGGCTGGGTAAGAGCATTCGCCTCTTCTCCAGCTTCCGTAGCCATTTCGTGACAGACTTCTCGTTTGTTGCAAGAGTGAATTCCCGACAAGTTCATTGAAGGTACATAAATTTCGATGTGATCCTTAGTCATTAATGCAGTTAGCCTTCAATTCAAGATGTGCATAATCTGGGCATTATGGCCATGTTGATCTCCTTAACGTTAACATCCCCCCTTCGGAACCAGATTCATTTGTTCTTCATCAATTCATATAGTTGCCGCTTTGAAGGAACTTGGATATTCAGGCCATCATCAGATATCGCCAACCACTGTACCAGACCCTACGTTCAACTATCTGTTATTGCTACCAGATCATACTGAAGGGCATTTCCGAGCATGATCATCATATCCCGAGGTTTTGTGACCTATCATAGCACTTGCAAAAGAGATACAGACTGGGCTGGCTTTAGGGGGACCCTGGATCGGTCCTTTTGTCTATGCAAGCACTTTTCAACGCCAAAAACAGCGCACTTTATCCCGATTATCCGGACTATCTCTGAATCAATCCCGTTTACTTCCCCTTCTCAGGATTGGACAATCTCTTATATTCATAACTGTGGGGAAGAGGAGAAATGCTTCAATTGCCTTAAGAAATTGCCTCCTCCTGTAGTCGGTCGCCTGAACCGTGATCCTCGTGCAGCAATATTGGTTGTCCCTCCAGAAGGGTGCCTTGGGTCACAATAATTGGGCACAACGCTCACGAGTTCTCGTATCAAAGTACAAACGCTGCAGGACTCATCAGCTTGAGGCTGAGCTGGCCAGCCAGGATGAGGCTCGACCATTCATATAGCAGCGCCGTCTAGCCTCTGATCACCAGCATTTCCTGATCGTGAATCAGACAAGGACGTCCATCAAAAACACGCCGTCGATATCGAATCCTATACAACGCAGGGCCCGGACTCTCAAATATTACCGAGAATCCAGGCAGTGGGTTCGATTCTCCTTCCAATGTCCACCACTGGCCCAGTCCATCTAAACGTCACGCTGGCAAGCGATTCCACCTCTCCAAAGGCATCATCCGTTTTCACACTCATCCCTGCAATTATGGAAGTCGAGAAGTATGGCATACCTCCGGACTTCAAACCTATTCAGCCGTGGGACCTCGAACATCCAATCCCAGTCTACTCAGAAACAAGCAGTAAGAAGCTGCCTTGCTTTCATGATGCTTCGATGCAGGAATACTGGTTCTTCACCCTTGAAGGCGCGGTTCTATTGCACAAAACACCCAAAATTGTCAAAAGAAAAGACATGCGGTCCAGGTACTCGCAGGATTGTCCTCGCCTTTCCGGTACGCCGAGACCGAGATCCTACAGCAGCTTGGCCTTCCCCGTTCACAATCACCCTTGATTGCAAATAGCACGATTCTAGAAAATTCTATACACGATTCGGTTACTGTATTGCGAAACAGCGGGGCCGTCGACATTTTTCGATTACTGGGAGAGCAAGTCAGAGATTGGTTATCTTCACTACACTTTCTAGCTTTCGACCGCCGCCGGAGGGACTTGAGCGACATACATGTGATTTATTATGGAATTGTGAATATTGCCTCCATCTGTCCTTTCTGCGCACTTCAGGATAGAGAGACAAGACGTTAGACCCTTACGAGAAACTGAATATTGCAAAAAGAACAAAACTATAGTTGGGAACAACATAATCTACTGCTCAAAATGTATATCCTACCGCTTCCCGACAGACACAAACATACCCGACACCCTGACCTTCGGCCCTCCAATCCCTATCGGCCGCATCACCGTCTCTCTCAACGTCGCTCGCGCCCTCTTCATCCGCTGCCTCCAACCAAAGCAAAAGCACCTTAGCAACCAGCGATCCTACGACGTCCTGTCCAAGTGTTTTCACAAGCCCACTCTCGACTCCATTTCTATCCAGCAAAGCTACACGATGGCCAACTTACTCCGGGGCAGCCTTTTCGTCCACATTGGGTAGCCTCGGGCGGTCTCTATGGGGCAGGGTCGGCGTGAGAATTGGGTGTAGCATTTTGTGGATGAGTTAGGACCGTAGTTGACTGGCTCGGGGTTGGGAGTTGGGGGTGGGATAGCGGCAGGAGCTGTGATTGTTAGGACTGGGGCTGCGGTTGGATTGATCGTCTCTGAGATATTGTTGGGGGTTTTATTTGGGCGGGGAGTCGAAGTTTAATGCAGTACTACCATTTTTTCTATAAGGCGATGACTTGATGACTTATTGACTTGGTGATTGTTTTTGGTTTGACGCGACTCGGGATTGGGTATCGCTGATTCATTCCTGGATCTTATCAGACTACAATGCTTACTTTAACAAGCTATCTTGGACCGACGAGAAACTTAACTAGTTCAAGTTCAAGTACTTACACGTCCGATGAGTACCTTGTAGAAGCGTGCATTTATAGGGTTTAGAATCAACCAGCCCTATATCAATCAACCTCTCACTCAACAACTCTACTTTTCCCAAGAACCTCACTCCGGAATCCGCATAACAGCTCTTCCATCAATCTCTGACCTCCCCAGTCGCTGAATAACATCATCAATCTGATCAAATTCAAAACATTCAATGTGCGCCTTGACATCCCCCGCAAGCGCCATCTCCATCAACTCATCCATCTCCTGCGCCGTACCGGCGGAGTTTCCGACGATTGTTAGACCTTATACCTCGTCAGCTGAATCCTTTCTCTCTCTATCAGATGACAACTTTGGGAGAGAAGGTAAAAGAGCCAACCTTTAACAATCATATCAAACGGCGTCGCCGGCAATCTGAACGGAACGTTCGGAATCCCAACGCAGACGAGAACGCCTAGGCGGCGAAGAAGCCGCATGCTCTGCTCGTATGCTCCTTCGCCGTTCGCCGTGCAAATCACGGCATGGGCGCCGAGGCCGGATGTTAGCTTTTTGACGGCGCTTTCCACATCGTCGGTCTTGTAGTCAAGGAATGTTGTAGCTCCGAGACTCAGACAGAGCTCGCGTTTCTTGCCGCCGCTGTTCGGATTAGTGAGACTCGGTCAGGGCTTCATGGCTTGGGACTCGGGAGTTGGGGCGTACGTGTCAATGGCGATGACCTTCAGGCCTTTCTTAACTGCAATTTGAACGCCCCTAGACAGTAAGATCAGTCTATCCAAGCTCATGGCTCGCTTAAGAAAGCCGTGAGACGTACATATGCCCTAGCCCTCCTCCTGCACCTGGAAGGACGATCCAGTCTCCTGGCCGTGTCTTTGTTTTCATGATAGATGAGTACATAGCGATTCCGGCTAGACATGATGGTCAGAACATCTACAGAGGGCTTCATGGACTTCACGATCGTGACATACCGCATAGCAGCGGCGCAGCTTCAGCCGGTGACAGCTCCGAGGGGATCTTCGTGACATGCACAGCTGGACTGGTGATGTATTCTGCCAAGCAGGTTAGCATAGAACCATTGATACTATAAAGATCCAGGCTTGATCATACGTTGAAATGTACCCGGCACATTCTGTACGGCGTTTTGGTTAGATTAGCTTCTAAGCATTCTACTACTACCCCACACCGGAGAGAGAAGAGCGTACAGCACCAGAATTCTTCTGGTAAGGACAAGCCGTATTATTCCTCTCGCAGATCTCACACTCTAGACATGAGCTGTAGAGCCATCTGTGGCGTACTCCCTGTTACTATCCGAGCCCAGATATGAATATCTAGGTTAAAACATACCTGATCCCAACCCTCTTTCCCCTCCAAACCTCCCCATCTACACCCTCGCCAACTGACAGCTCAACGTGTTAGTCAAACACCAGCTCAGAGCCTCTACTCAACCCCCCAAGCAAGGGAGGAGGCAGATGGATACCTTTCACAACCGTCCCGACCCCCTCATGGCCCGCAACATCCGTCAACATAGGCGTTTCGCCCCGCACACTATGCACATCCGAGTGACAAACGCCTGAGAATTCGAGCTTAACGAGCAATTCACCTGCTGCGGGGAACGGGACCGGCCGATCATTCTTGATCTCGAGACGCGTGTCGAGGGTTGCACCGGTGGGTGGGACCACGGCTGCGGTTTGGGTTGCTGGTATCTGAGCCATTGTGCTGGACGTCAAGTTCTGGATCTGTGGGCTAACCGATTTCTAGTTTATAGCTGTGTGCGCACTGATTCAACTTTCTCTTGATGTTGGGCTCAGGTGCGGGGTATGGGAAATGCGAGTGAGTCTTGAGATGTTATCAGGTGCGGGGTGTGGCCTGGTTTAAATGTCAGGCGTGGAGTGGAGGTTCCTGATATGGGTCGGGTCTGAGAAGCTAATAGGGATTGATAATGGAAGTCTTCTTTGCATTTAACATGCTGTCGAACTGATAGGGATTGATAAAGTCGGTCTTGTTGAGATAAGGGCTTGGTTGCGCCACGCTATTTCAATTGGCCAAGTTGCTCTAAAAGTCCCTTTGTCACTGAGATCTCTTGGAAATTGTGTAGCGCTTTTGAGCCCAAGAAGTATGAGTTACTGTCAGGAGATCTCGGAGCAGGCTTGGTCAACCGGTGTTGGTGTTGATTCTAATGTAGTGTGATTGAAATTAATTTATACATTTGGCTATATCAATCAGCGCTTTCTAACGCTCCCATAACCGTTCAAACCGCAGCTCCATATCATGCCAAACAGAAAACAAAAAGCCAATCATTCAGTTTCGAACCAGTTAGGATATTATGCTGATTTCAAAACTTCCAACTCAAGAGGTATACGGTATAACGACATATGCTCCTCTGCCGCGAGGCCCAAAGAGACAGACATTAAAACTTCTAGGACATGATAAAGAAGCCTGCGCTTATGAGCTTTCTGCTTGAAGAGTTGACTGCATGCATGTGAGTAACGGTGAATGAACTCGCGTCAGTGTAGGCGAATTACGTACCACCAACCAATCCATACCCTCGTTGAGACCCTTACCGTCGATGGCAGAGCATGCGACGATACTCCAGTTCCTATCCCGCAGCTCGCCAAGCTTCAGTGCCTCTGAAATCTCCCCGGCGCCCTTGGCACCGGGTTGATCTTGTTTGTTCGCGAACACTAAGAGGGCAGCCTCGCGGAGTTCTTCTTCGTTGAGCATGGCGGCGAGTTCATCGGCAGCTGTACCGAGTCGTTCAACGTCTGTGGAGTCGATCACGAAGATGACGGCGGCGGTATTGGCGTAGTAGCATCGCCAGTATGGGCGAATAGACGTTTGGCCTCCGAGATCCTAAACATACCAGTCTATCAGAATATGTTTCCGAGGCGAGAATATCTGACAAGCGTAGCGACACGTACCCAGACATTGAAGTTCAAATTCCCGTACGTCACTGATTCAACGTTGAAGCCAATAGTGGGTATTGTAGTCACAACTTCACCGATCTATACACGGACTACGGTGTTAATATATGATATTTCGGCATATGCAGAAGCTATAGTGGACAAACATACCTTTAATCTGTAAAGAAGAGTGGTCTTGCCGGCGTTGTCCTATGCGGGAGAATGTCCACAATCAGTCCCGCTTCCCAGCATCGTCATTGACACTAAAAGGTACAAACGTACAAGTCCGAGAATAAGGATCCGAACTTCGCTCTTCCCCCATACTAAGGACTTCATAGAAGATAACCACCCACCCATGGCTGTGTTTGTTGGCGAAAGAACGAGCCGGAATACCGAAGCGGAGACTGGGCCGATCGGGGGATGAAGCTCGGGGCGTATTGCGAGCACGTAGCGGAGTTGGGAGTCGGACAGTCGTATCGGAGATTCGAGTTGTGCATACACGCGCGTCGTTCGGGAGGAGTAGTGGCAGTTTTCTTTTGGTTTAAGGAGGGTGATTGAAATACAGCGGCCAGCTTAACCCCAGAACTTCCAGATCAGAGAGGGCTGACTAAATCCAGACGGCTGATCACAACTGGTCCGAGCTTCAAGGGTTCAGTACGATGATTTTGGCTGTGCCTTGATTTTAGAGCAAAAGGTGAGTTAATCAGTGAAATTTAAACCTTCTCACAGGCTCTTTTATCAAGATTAGTCAGGATTCAAGCTTGTGAAAAGCTCAAATGTGCTGTATAGCGTATACTATCATCTGGACGCGCTAGACCGCTTAGAGTAATTTCGCCTTTAGCTGCCAAGTGCCGGAGAGTATGGAGCGACGCCGGAGTTTGTCTTCTGTCTGCAAGCACGTTCTTTCTCAATTCGCGCCGCTTCAAGCTGAAAAGCTTTTTTCCGTCCGCCATCACGAGTTTTCCTCTCCCTCGCTTCCTTCGTCAATGCGCACCTAAGACTCTAACCGCACGCAAACGAACCCCTTGCCAACGCAGACCCAGCGCTGACCAGATATCAGCCGCGATCGAACGAAGACCAAACCTCCTGTTGTAACGTGAACCGCTCGCAATGGTGGGCAAGAAGTCGGGCAAGGCTCTCCTTCGGGATGAGGGTAAGTGCCACTGAGCCAGTCCGTATAGTGCTCTTTGCTACAGGTTCTAACATCCGTCTCACAGGTCTTGAAAGGACCGATAACAATATGGATCTATCGAGCTGGCCTCAGATTCCTGCAATCAACCAAAAAAACTACTACACGTTCGTCACTTATGCTATCCCTGCGATGTAGATTCTTTGCTGGAGATAATTGCTGACGGATCCTTTGCTTCTGTCCAGTGACTACCTTAAACGCGACGACCAGTATCTGGCATTCAGGCTCCAGAATGAGGAGGCTCGAAATCGAATGACGAAGAACGCGAAAGACCGCGATCGCGCTCTTGCGATGGCAAAGGCCAATGACCTAGGAATACCCGAAGCGGATACGGAAATGGACGGGGATGCGACTATGGAGGATGCTGAAGAGGAAGAGGCAATAGGCTCAAAGGTCGTTGTCATCCATGTCGGCAGTCAGAACCTGCGTATTGGTCTGTCTAGCGATGCCCTACCGAAAACCATCCCAATGGTGATCGCGCGCAAGTCAGCTACCAGCGAAGCTGAAGATCACGAAGAACCCTCCCCGAAGCGGCTGAAGCTGGATGATGGCACGGAAATGGAGCCAGAGAAGAAGTTTGGTCCCGAGGTAGGCGAGGTCTTCCTCAGCAATTCGTCAAACGGGTTCTGATGCACTTTCCAATATCTTATAGTTCTCATCGCGATATACTACAATGATGGCCGAGCTCAAAACACATATGCGCCAGAACAAGCGCCGGACACTACCCAACTCAAAGGAAATGGTTATCAACTATAATCGACGAACTGTGCCGGAGACCATTCCCGAACATAACGATCCGATGCGAGTTGAGTGGACGGAGATACCAGAGCCTGCGCCTGAGTATATTGTTGGACAGCCAGCGCTGAGGATACCCGACGACTCAAACCCTCGTTATAAACTATACTGGCCGATGAAGTATGGATGGTGCAACGAGCAGGACTACGACAATAAGAGGCTCCTGTTCCTGGACATCTCTATCATCCTCGAAGACGCGATCAAAACCCAACTTGGGCTTACCAGCAAAAAGGAATGGACCCAATATTCCTGCGTATTTGTGATCCCTGACCTCTTTGATAAGTCGTACGTCACGCAAATCCTGGAAATGCTCATGCGAGAATTCTCGTTTGCCCGGGTTTGCTTTATCCAAGAGAGTCTCGCTGCTACATTTGGCGCCGGATTTACTTCGGCTTGCGTCGTGGACATTGGCGCGCAAAAGACTTCGATCTGCTGTGTGGAGGAAGGTATGTGCATTGAAAACTCCCGGGTGAACTTGAAATACGGCGGCTCGGATGTGACCGAGCTGTTCATCAAAATGATGCTGTACGATCACTTCCCCTATGAGGAGATCAACCTGTGGCGCCGGTATGACTTCCTCTTGGCCGAAGAGTTGAAGAAGAATATTTGTACCATGAACGAAGCCAGTGTCTCAGTACAGGTCTTTGACTTTCACCTTCGGGTTTCTGGTCAAGACACTCGCAAATACACCTTCAAAGCATACGATGAGGTTCATCTCGCACCGATGGGTGTTTTCCAGCCTGCGCTGTTTGATAACCAAAAGAAGCTCGATCGACGAAGAAAGTTGATTGCGCGCTCAGTGGATATATATGATAACCAGCCAAATGACCCGACCTCTGCTGCCCAGTCGGAGATTCTAACCTCCCTTGCTCCGCCAACTTCTAATGGTCAAGCCAACGGCGACTCTCAGACACATTCCCTGGATGTTCAAGCCACCCCTAGTCGCTCACAGCAATTGAATGCCTTGAGCCGCGTGCAAGAACTTGATGCCACCCCACGATCGTCTGTTGCTGGCTCACCTGGGCCAGAAGGAACTCCGCAGGCAGGAGGGGCAACCCCCGCGCCTGGCCAAACTGTATCCAATCCGCGTGCACCTACGATTGAGGAGCGTGATGATATCCTGCCGGCCGTCCCGCTCGACAGCGCCATCCTTACCTCTATCAGGCATGCTGCTCGGTCGGACGAACGCAAAATGCGTGATTTCCTCGGCGGAATCATGGTGGTCGGCGGAGGTAGCTTGGTGAGCGGGTTCCATCTCTTCCTAGAGGAGCGACTTCAACTTCTGCAACCGGGCTTTGCCAAGGAGATCATGATCGGGACACCACCACGAGACCTCGACCCCCAGGTCGTTGTGTGGAAGGGCGCCAGCGTCTTCGGAAAGCTCAGTGGAACGAACGATAGCTGGATTAGTCAGCTAGAGTATGACCGCCTGGGCCATCGGTTGTTGGCGTACAAGTGCATGTGGGCCTATTGATCAAAATCGGCCTTGTTCTCGCTATTCAAGGTTGTTTGACACGGTCGGACCTGGTGCCAGAGAGTGCCGTTTCATGAAGTTATATAGGTTAATCATGTCTTGGATATTTAAAAACTACCCTTAGAATCCAGCAGCAACGTCCTCATTCTCTTATGATAATATGGTCATGTTATTTAATGCAAATTATCAATTTACTTGCTGCTTTGCACTCATACTTCTGCTGGCCGATTACCTAATCAGACCAAGCACAAGCTTTGGATCAATATTGTTCCGTCAAGCCCCATCACAGTATTGAACTAACCTTAAGGCTCAGGCGGTCAAGTAGTGCAGAATGGTTCCTCTCACCCCCAGTAAGTTTGCGCGCGCCGTCCAAGCTCGTTTGCTCCGAACAGCTCTCTGACCCATTCGTCCCTTGATCCAGGTCTTGGACCAGTCGGCTCTAGCACTCGGACTCTGGAAGCGCGTCTTATACCAGAGTCGGATATTCCTCTTATTGCGCTTCCTGCTCAGGGTATGGCCTGGGGTGCTCCTTGGAGTATCCGTTTACCGGCCCTGCTAACATTGCTTCGATAGTCCGCACTCCGCCTTCGTCTCAGACGCCGCCCAGAATTGTCCACGAACCCGAGGAGACCAAAGAGCCTAAAGCCGTCATGTCGAAATCAAAAGATAGCAGCTCCTCCGGGGGCTTTCACCAGGAATACATTGCTTCGCTACGCTATCGAAATGACCTTCCCCCTCCCGACATGCCCCCGAAGTTCCTCGATATTCCTCATGACGGGCTCGAGAGATTCCTCACCCCGGGATTCGCGTCGAATCTTGCGCGCCGTGAAGAACTGAATATTGATGTCGATGCTGAAGGTGGTATGCCAATTGACTTGGTCGGTATCCCAGGTCTGCATCTGGGCGACGAGAGTGGTACGTGGACGATTCGACGAAGATAATGCGAATAAGCAGCTCTAATGTGTTATTATACTTTAGCTATCATGGCGCCCGAAAATCCAGACCCAATTGACCCCGCCGACTTACCACTGCTTTTGACACTCGATCAACTGAAGAACCCGGCGCCCAAGAACGCCAATGTCAGTTTCCTTCGTCGCACACAATACATCTCTGCGGGGATTCGCGCACCTGATGGTCCGAAAGTCACACCTATTCGAACAAAATCACGGGCACTCGACAAGAAGTCTCAAGACCGTCCTACGTATATCAAGAAGTACATTCTTAAGGGGTTCGATATTGCATACCCCCACAGCAAGCATACCGGTGAGGATACAGCAAGTCAGATGAAGGGTCTCGCTCCTACAAAACTCGAAGTGGATGCGTGGGCTACCCCTGTCCATCCAGACAACCCGAAACTGAAACCCGTTGGATTCTTCCCGCTTCTCCCCGACCTGCAGGGCTTCCCAGACCCTGGAGGATTTGTGCAGTTCAAGTTTGACAAGGCTCCGGTCCAGGGCTCTGGAGGCAAGCGAGATGAACGTATGGACGTTGCGATCTTGCTTCCCTCGGCCCCAGAGGAGCGCGTTTCCCAAGAACACGCCACAAAGGCGGCCTTGCACAAATCAAACCCCAATTTGTATCCGGATCCTGGTCCTGTTCCATACGACTATGACCTTTTCCTCCCTGAGAAGAAGGACTCCGTGAAGAGCATCCGAACGACCTTACATCTATCAAACCCTGACCGTGACAACGAAGACCTCTATGCTCACGAGGGTGCGGACAATGCCAAGTTTCACCGTTATGACCGCTCACGTACATACGCAACCAGCTCGCAGACACTCCAAAACGACCAGAAACAAAAGGACATTGCGGTCACGCTCTATGACCCCGCACAAGCGAAAGATAGCGACGCTTCGCAAACACAGAAAGCCGCCTTCTACTACCCGATCATTGGAAAGACGCGCCTCAAGCCAGAACGATCCCGCACAATCGCACAGGCCGGTCTGGCCCCTACGAAGCCGAAATCAAAGGAAGACCAAGTCGATCAAATGCAAGTGATTGTTCGTGACCCGGAAGAGGCAGAGGTCTACAAGCGATCCCTTTACAGAGCGGCGATTGATCCGAAATTCGCAAAGACCATGCCACCTCCGCCTGAGCCAGCTGAAGAGCCGCAGGCACAGGTATCGGAGCAGGGACGTGAAGCAAGCGCCGACCTGCAAGCTAGAGAAGACGATGACGATGACGATGCTGATAGGATGAGTGATGAATGAGTTGTCACCATCAGATGACTCACCATACCCTCTACTGTATCCTTTGGCTTCTACTGCATCTTTTCTGCCACATTACAATCCGACTTACCTCCTTGGGCCCTTCTTGTCTTGCATATTTTCTGATACCTATCATTCAACCCGCAACTACTGGATGACCACCGACCGTGGCTTGCCTCGCTTTGGCTTGGTTGGATCTTGCCCATCTCTTTCATCTGCCCCCTTGGCGTCAGGCGGCAAAAACAGGCGTTCCGTTCCGTTTTGTTCGAGTGGCATATCTGGGGAATTGGAGTTTAGCGATGCGACATATTTCTTTTTCTTCTCATTTATCCTCTACCTGTGCTTTGGTAATCTCGATAAAAAAAGATAGCATTCAGATTCATATATCAAACATAGCTGAAATACATACAAACGTCTACAACTTACCCCAGGACGATATACTGCCCAACTTATAAGTTGACCGCCCGCCCTCCCCCTCCGCCTCCAGGTTCAGAGAGAGGAGAATATCGGAATCCGTTGATGCGCTTCGTTGTATGCGGTGTGGACTCGTGCACCATTGCCTACTTGTTCCATTACATTCTTATTTTCAGCGAGAGATTCTGAGAGACTTGGAAAACCTTGTTGGAGTCATATGACCGCGGTAAGCGCTTTTTTTATGTGCTTCCGGGGATCGAGATTGCGGAGAGATTGGCGCTGTCAATTGGAGTGCGGCGGTCTCAATTCTCGAGAGGGGAGATTGTCTCCTTCATGAAGAAAACAAGATATTAACTCTCGTCACATATATAGGTCTCCAAAGCTGAGTTCGCGTTAAACCCCAAGCGCTCAATGCGTCGATAGAATAGAGAAGACCGAGAAAAAGAGAGTGTGAAAAGAACAGGAACAACATAGAATCATGGCCACAAACTCCGTCCGAAGATTTACGCTCTCGGGCGCCTCCCGACTCCGCGCGTCCCCTGTCCCCAAATGCAGACAGTTCACGAAACCCCACCAGAGTTTCCGCTGCGCATCAGACAGCAGCGCCGCGGCCGCAAGCGAAAGGGCTGCATCCGCAACAGCAGCGGCTGCGGAAACAGCCAAGGAGGCACCGAAGAAAGCCGGACGGGGTCTCCGGCGTACAGTGATAGGAACATCATTGGCCCTGACGCTTTTGGTTGGATATGTGTATTGCACGGACACGCGGGCGAGCATCCATCGGTACGGTGTTGTGCCGCTGATTCGAGCGGTCTATCCTGATGCGGAGGATGCGCATCACTCTGGGGTTGATGCGTTGAAGACTCTGTACAAATACGGGTTGCACCCGCGGGAGCGCGGAGATCAGGATGGGGATGGGGCTTTGGAGATTGAGGTAGGTTGGCGACGCTATGCGCGCGCTTTTCTCGGGTATGAAGGCTTATAGTGTGCGATATAGGTCTTCGGATACACACTCTCCAACCCTATTGGAATTTCGGGTGGTCTTGACAAGCATGCTGAGATCCCTGATCCGTTATTCGCAATCGGTCCTGCTATTGTCGAAGTCGGAGGCACCACTCCTCTGCCGCAGGATGGTAACCCGCGCCCTCGAGTCTTCCGACTGCCGTCCCAGAAGGCTATGATCAACCGGTACGGCCTCAACTCGAAGGGTGCGGATCATATGGCGGCAGTTCTAGGACAGCGGGTTCGTGACTACGCTTATGAGAACGGGTTCGGGCTACATGACCAGGCGGAGCAGTGTGTGCTTGATGGCGAGGCTGGTGTTCCCCCAGGCAGTCTTCAGGCTGGCAAGCTTCTCGCCGTCCAAGTAGCGAAGAACAAGGTTACTCCGGACAACGACATCGAGGCTATTAAGCGGGACTATGTGTACTGCGTGGACCGCGTGGCCAAATATGCCGATATCCTCGTTGTGAACGTCTCGAGCCCCAACACACCTGGTCTTCGCGATCTCCAAGCAACCGCTCCCCTCACAGCTATTCTCAAAGCTGTTGTCGGAGCCGCAAAGAGCGTTGACCGCAAGACCAAGCCATACGTGATGGTCAAGGTGAGCCCAGACGAGGACTCAGACGAGCAAGTCTCCGGTATCTGCGAGGCCGTCCAGGCCGCCGGCGTCGACGGCGTGATTGTCGGAAACACGACGAACCGTCGTCCCGAGCCTCTACCCCAAGGTTACACTCTCCCGCCCACGGAGCAGTCGACATTGAAGGAGACCGGCGGGTACTCTGGCCCACAGCTGTTCGACCGAACGGTCGCTCTCGTCTCTCGCTACCGGGCAATGTTGGACGAGGCACAGAAGTCGCCGGAAAACGCCGGAAGCGCCAAGGAATCAGCAGCAACCGCTACGCATGCCGAGCCTGATTCGGAAAACATTCCTCCTGTGGAAGCGCCAAGTGCTGAGCTTCCGCGCAAGGTCATCTTCGCTTCCGGAGGTATTACCAATGGTAAGCAGGCTCAAGCGGTCTTGAATGCTGGCGCTTCTGTTGCCATGATGTATACCGGTGTCGTATATGGCGGAAGTGGCACAGTCACGAGAGTCAAGCAGGAGCTGCGGGAGGAACGACAGTAGACCGTCAAGGATTAGTTAGAGCTGAAAAGATTTAGTAAAAAGACCCGACCTATAACGGTCACCTAAGATATGATTGGCTGTCTGCATGCTGAATCCGCATTAACACTGCGCCCAATACTGCAGAATGTCAAAAGGGTGTCCGTGGTGTGCCTTCTATAAACATGAATGGATATGCTGCGCCGCATCCAGTCTGTCCAACCGTGGTAAGCCCCATGAGGTCATCATGCATTGGGGCTGCATGGGAGGCTGCATAGTGGCTTGCATGGACCAAAAGCCACACTTGTCAATTCCACCCAAGCTGAGAGGGAATGGAAACATGAAAGAGAACCAGTCATCGCATTAGAAAGGGCTAATCAAATTTGGTGTCCTGTTGCTTCGTATGCTCCAAAATGTATCTCGCCGTTACATGCACCTATATCCTTATGTCCGCGCTGAAAAGCTAGCAATTATGTGAGTATATTGAACGTCTGGGTTGGTTTGTCCTTCAGGAGAGTGTTTCTTCGACTTCGCGGACGACCTTGCGCACACCCTCAATCTCATGCGCAAATCGTCCGAGGAACATGCCATCGACGGCCTTCCCCAAGCCGGCAGAGCCCCATAGGCCAGGACCAGCGCTTCCTCCGTAGAGGATGCGGACGTCCCCAGGTCGCTGTCCGATTAGGGCACGCAGACCATCCACCACAGCTGAAATATGATCCACGCCTGCGGGCTTAGGCTGTCCAATTGCCCAGACTGGCTCATACGCAAAGATCACAGGCGCATCGGCAGGAATAGCATTCAGAACGGCACGTATCTGTACTTCGCACTCGCTCACTGCGAGACCGACAGCCTGGGATACTACAGGGCCCGGAGCGCTAACTTCTCCAATGCATACAAGAGGCACCATGCCCTGTGCGGAGGTTGCAGCAGCCTTGCGGGCGGCCTGTTCGTCTGTCTCACCGAAGATGGAGCGGCGTTCTGCGTGGCCCAACTCGACAATGGAGACACCCATTGAGCGGAGAGCAAGCGGCGACACTTCGCCCGTGTAAGGGCCGAGCGATTCCCAAAAGCAGTCTTGTGCGCCTAGAAGGAACGGGGCGGGAAGTGATGGAGAGTCGTCTTTGGGTAGTGTGGATTCGTATTCCTTGATAATTTCCGCGCATGGGTAAATGGTGAGAAAGTCCGGGATCAAAGCGAGGAGGAGCTTAGACCGATTCTCCGGCCGAACTATGTCGTTCTTGGGGTCCAACAGAGCACGGCAGTAATCCAGTGTTCGCGATGGCTCAAAGTACATCTTCAGTGAGATGAGGAGCAGATTTTTAGGCAAGACCGGGTAGGTCTGGCTTGTGGTTGTAGCCATTTGTGCGCGGTAAATCGTCAATGACTCGCTCGCAATCGATGTCGACTCGCCCTCGCGTTCACCCGCTTGTTGCCGTGCGGGACTTGATAAGGAAGGCTCACTGCACAATTGGGGGCAGTGACGACAGCGCGAGAACAAGGAAATGAATCAAACTCAGAGTTCGGAACCCTCAGAGAGAGGTCTGCCAATCGCTGCAACGCAGTGCGTTAGTAGGTGGTCCATCCCTACGCGACAGAATCTCATTGGAGACTAGCCATCCATGCTCTGAGACGAAGGTATGGAGACGGATTCGGTGGACTTACCCAGCGAGACTCGAGAAAAGACAGGCACAGAGATCGTCCCACGCAGATGTATCCACTCATCCAATGAGGCTGTGTTCACGGTCAGTTGTGCTCCGCCGTGTCATTGACAGTCCGGGGATGGTGGAGGGGTGGCCCAGAAGAAGCGGAGCTGGGGGAAGAGATCGCAGAAAATCTGGAGACGTTCGTTCGATGGGTATCCAAGCGTATTTGAGTGTTGCACAACAGGGCCGAGAAGGTCTACGGAGTATTGCGAGGTCATGAGACTCGGACTTGGTGCGGGCTGACAAGATGAATCTGGTATCCCGATCTTGTGCCTGGAAGTATGGCGTGGGGTCTCGGTCTGAGCTCAAAGGAGCCTCCCGTAGCCCATGGAGAGGCTTTGTATGGCGGGCGAAATATGACCAGTTCTCGCGGGCATTCGGGATAAATTTCAGTTTCGGCCGGTAATTACAGGATCCGCTGTCTTGCTGAAGCCGGACGTCATCCAGCCACGAATGAGAACTGGTGTGGTCCAAGCGGGGCAGTCTGGATACGGCAGGAGGGGAGCTCAAGCGGGTTGCTGTCGGGGTCTGGGGCCAGGATGGAGATTCAAGGCTCCTCATTTCCAAAGCGAGCGCAACCAGAAACTGAAAGAGCTCTAAGTAACTCTGTCGGGAGAGCAATGGAGAAGAGACTTCTCTATCAATACTGCCCTGACAATCGCCAGGGTTGCCAGAATTTTGAAGAATGAGTACCAAGCTGCGGCTTTTACGTCATCGTACAGAGCGCAAAGCCTTGAATACAGGCGCGTTCGGTTCCTTCTGAGTCGATCAAACTTAGAGGAAAAGCCGTAAATTCTCGCGCTACGGAGGACGATGCGAAGAAATCAGAGCTCCTTTGCTACTAGCGTCTTGTCGTTGAGACTTGAATGTCGAAACAAGCTCCACATGTGCCAGGGCCGGCGAAGTATGTGGTGGCGCGATTGAGCTGATTATTCTGACAAGCTGCGCTGATTCCTAAAAGCTCCGAGCTCAGATGTGACCTCAGGGGTGCATCAAGTGATTGTAACCGGCCGAAGGCGAATTTGTACGTCTTCATGAGGGTAGAGATATACGCCGAGAGAATGCCAGGACATTGCCCATCGGTCGAACAATAGCCATCAAATCAGGGGACAATAACAGTAGCGGAAATCAGGGATAGCACATGCAATAACATCGGACCCAGTCTCAGACATGACGCTACAGTGGATACGTTCAAGAATCGTATGCATTGAGAGTCGAGATTCGAGGCCGGGGTTGCAGCGGGGATTCGCGTCGCATTGATTGAAGTCATGGCGTCCGATTCTTGGGTCCAGAGAGGCACGGCACGACCTCCACAGCCTCCCTTTCCGTTGGAGCTGGGGAAAAGAAACAGGTTGGCCCAGCGTTGATGCGGCCAGCATGCATTGACGTGGATGTATAAAAGGCCCTTCGATTCCCGCCATCACCCCGTCTTCTGTTCTCCTCTTTTCTATCCACAAGCTCCTCCACTCCTCCACTCTCAGACCCATTGATCACCCATTGATACTCTACTCTTAACGTTCATCTATCAACATCACCATGTCTCAAAGCCTCCGCATCGTTTTCGCGGCCGATGAGGCTGGCGCTCCCTACAAGGAGACCCTCAAGGCCCTCCTCCAGAAAAACCCCAATGTCAGCGAGGTTCTCGACGTCGGTGTCAACTCCACCGAGGACAAGACTGCCTACCCTCACCCTGCCGTCGAGGGCGCGAAGCTCATCGCCGAGGGCAAGGCTGACCGTGGTCTCTTTATCTGCGGTACCGGTCTCGGTGTTGCCATCTCCGCCAACAAGGTTCCTGGCATCCGTGCCGTTACTGCTCACGATTCCTTCTCCGTCGAGCGTGCCATCCTCAGCAACGACGCCCAGGTCCTGTGCTTCGGCCAGCGCGTTATTGGCCTCGAGCTCGCCAAGCGCCTTGCCAGCGAGTGGGTGACCTACAAGTTCGACCCCAACAGCTCTTCTGCCCCCAAGGTCCAGGCCATCAAAGACTACGAGGCCAAGTTCGCTTCCCAGCAGTAGATGCGAACATGACCAGTCGAGGAAGGCTCTGGTGGGGCCCCACCGAAGCAGCATCTTCTACAACGATCGGATCGGCACCGAGACCGACATGTCCCCGTCTCGCCGATGACCCCGTTTGCAAAAAGTCGACTGTGCTCGTGACACCTTGCAGACCGATCGAGATTCGTCCACGCATGGGAAGATCAGCGAGCCATTCTTGCGACTCCAGACTTCTCAGTCTTTTCCGTCTATTCTTTTGTGTTTTCCAATCGACAATCCGAACGGATTGGGTTTATTTACACGTTAAAACGAGTCACGATACCACCAGTGGGCAAGATGAATTTGGCAGGCCAAATAATTTGTTACCCCTGAATATACTCATATACTGATACACTGTCTGCAAAGATAGAGATAGAATTAAATATACTATTTCGTTTGCTTCTAGTTTGTTACCTCTGTACGCATAAGTTGTATAGTCTTGCTGAGTCAGTGGTAAGTTCTGCGGGGATCGATCGCTTTCGATCGCAGCTGCTCAGCTCTCCTTTAAGGACAAGGCTCCAGCTCGAACCGATGGACGCCAGGACAACTTCTTCCTTTTGCCTCGATTGCTCAGGGGCGGACGCACGTTCCCATCATCCCGTCAAATCCTGGCGACTGCAGCGCTGGCCGACAAAAGTACTCAAACAACAGAGCGCTGTCAGTCAGCCTTGGCTGCGTTTGCTCGTCCCTAAATCGGGCTGCGATTCCACCTGCCGTATCCGGTCTCTCCTCCTAAGCATCTTCTTTTTCGCATTCAAATCAATCGAGCCTCGTGACCCTGCGACGTTCGTTCCAGGCACTTCGACAGTATACTCCCGGCTCCGCATTGTCCGGTGGATCGAGAATCGCTGCCCCACCACTTGACCGAACCTGGCACGAGTTCCTCAGTTCCTGGGACACTCAAAGGAGTAATTCCGGCGTCTCGGGGTCCTCTCTCCTTCTCTCACCGCGCATCCAGGCCGCAATCCACAATGGCATTCGAGCTAAAGGAAAAGGGCAACGCCCTGTACAAGGAGGGAGACTACACCGGTGCGGAGGAGCTATTCTCGCAAGCGTGAGTCTTCGGCACGCCGGAAACAAATCTAAACCCGATTGCTACAGCACAAAAGAAGCTAAGAAGCAAATTCACACACGCAGGATTCTCAAGAACCCCCGCGAACCGACCTTCTTCACGAACCGCGCCCTTACCCGGATTAAGCTCGGGAAGTGGGAAGGCGTCGAGCAGGATGCGCGCATCGCGATCGACCTGTATGGGCAAAAGTCCGCGAGTAGCCTGAAGAGCCGTTGGTACCTTGCGCAGGCGCTTCTGGGCCTGCAACGCCCGCAGGAAGCCTACGATGTTGCGATCGATGCATACAGAGCGAGTCTGGCCGGTAAGAACCCGCAATCGGAGAACCTGTCCAAGGTCATCCTCCGCGCTAAGCAGGCGATCTGGGCCGCGAAGGAATCGGCACGGCTGCACCAGATGAACCACACGCTGGCAAAGGTGGAGTCGCTGATCGAGGCAGACCTTAAGAGTGCATTGGCGGATGTGCAGGGTCAGCTGGACCGGGGCGAGATTGGCGAGACCGGGTTTCATGAGGATCAAAAGGCTCTGCGGGACGAGGCCCAGGAGAATATCAAGAACGTCCGGGAAGCATTCCGCATTTCGACGAACGGGGAGGTTCAAGAACGGGTAAGTCGCACAACCCTACTATGCAACCTGTGACGGATATTGATGGCAGCAGATCGTCCCGGACTACCTCATCGACGGAATCACCTTTGAAATTATGCATGACCCGGTCATCATACCCTCCGGAACGAGTTTCGACCGTATAGGGATTACAAAGTACGTTGAACAATCAGGTGTTGACCCGATCACGCGAACCCCCATGACGGTCAATGACCTACGTCCAAACTATGCCCTGAAAGCGGTATGTGAGGAATTCCTGACCAAGAACGGCTGGGCTGTGGATTGGTAGGCTATCTAGTGCATCTACGATAGATTGCTTTTCTCTTTTGACCTGTATCTCATATCTCATACTATCTACCTATCTTTGTTGGAGTTTTGCATAGCCGGCGTTGGTGGAATACAAGTTGCATGAGTTGTGTCATACCCTGAAGCTCCAGCTTCATCCGCTTTATTTCAGCGAGCACCAGCGATTATATTGGATTACACATGATTAAACTACTATACCAAAAATAAAAAGAACATAAAAGACCCAACCCCTCCCTTCCGTTTGCCTCCGTCATAGCATAGCTCCCCAACGGCCAACCATTTCCCAGGCATCAAAACTTACCCCACCAAAACACTACCCCACCTCACCATTTCTCCTCCCTCCCCTCCAAGCTTCCTCTCTTTTTACTACTCTCCTAACACACAAACCTTGAAACCACACACCATTAAACAAAGGAAACCCGCTCATCAACATGTCCACTAACTCCTTCTTCACCGCGCTCGCCGCCTCCCAATCCAAGGAGAAGTTCACCCCGGCCGTGCAGTCCGCCGCGGCAAAGGTCAACGCCGATGCCCTCAAGGCCGCCGTCGACGCTATCCTCGCTGGTGGCGATGACGCTTCCGTCTCCGATGCCGACCAAGCCGCTGCTCTGAAGGCGGGCTTTGAGTACGCGACGGAGCTCGTTAAGATGCTTGTTAATGAGCCGGGGACTGATGACAAGTTAAAGGTTTGTGGACGCCTTTGGATGTTTTGGAGCTCAGAAAGGATAATTAGAGGACCGGAAGAATGAGAGGGGAAAAGAGGGTTTGTTTTGGATGGCTTTGGCTAATGAGTTTGTCTCCGTTTAGCTGTACGCTTACTTCAAGCGCTCGAGGGATGAGGAGCCTGCCCAGCCTTCGTTTTACCAGTTTGAGGTACGTTCACTCTGCTTTTCTCTGCCGTCTTGCACTTTTCTTCTACTTCGGGACTAGGTTTATTCTTGTCCCTTGGTGGAATTTCGAGCCTTACATGCATGCTGCAGACGCTAACCAAACATCCCCGCGTTAGAGCAAGTTCAAGTACAACGCCTGGAAGGAAATCAGCCATATCAGCCAGCAGCGTGCCCAGGCCCTCTACATCCAGCAGGTCAGCACTGCCATCGACACCATCGGTACCCAGTAGACGCACGATACAATCGGTTACGGGGATTAGACTGGGAAATAGAGACGGGATGTGTTTTGGATACGGTGCTCTTGTGACGTGATAGTGTGATCTACGGATGAGGTAGTAGAGTCGAGTCTTGACGATGGAATGAAGCTATGCTATGCTATGCTATTCTATAAGTTCCGGGTTTCGCGCTGCCGCTATTCCTGCTATTGATATTGTATGGGGAGGACGAGCCTTGCTAGCCCTCCCACGTCTGCCCGAGCCAGTCGGGCTGCGAGTGAGCCATCGTTGCGCACCAGGGGATATCCTGTGCGCTGTACGGAGTCAAGGGTAAATCATACGGCATGCGGAATCCAACATAGAGAGCTGTATCGGCTCCGTCATTGGGCGACGTCCGAGACAGATCAGGTTCATCCTGCTTGAAGCACGGAACCATGACTCCAGACTTCCCTCCTTTCTTCTCCTCCTCTGTAAAAAGCAACTCCGGCCAAACCAACACCCCAACCTCCCAACTGCAAATCCTCACCTCCCCACCCGCATTTACCGCAGCCCCCCACGCCTGCGTCGAGAGGTTCGCCGACGTAACAAGCGCCCACTCAATCTCATCCATACGCCGCGCATCTGCGAACCGTAGATACGTCTTAATATGGGGCGCTGCACGTTTACGACCAGCATCCCGGTTCTCCGGCGGGAGTTGGCCAGCGACGTCCCCTGCCCAGTGGCACAGATACGGTTTCAGATACTGGAGCTGCTTCTGCTGCGCTGCACTCTGTAGTTTCATGTGGATTGACCCGCCGGAGCCATATCCGTTCAGTGAGCGTCGGATTTCTTCGGCGGTCGGGAAGATTATAGAATATCGGGGACGTTGCTTTTGTGGTCGACAGGATGATGGAGCGAGAGCGTCGAAGAAGACGTCTTTTAGCCACTTATCTGTTTGACCGAGAGACGCGATGGAGGACATCTGTTGTGCGATGTTAACATGCGGAGCGTAACTAGACCCCGTCAGAGATCAAACCTGCGCAATAATATGCGGTGTCGCATCACTCTCGCGTAACGGAACATGCTGCAAAGCGTCCCTCAATGCCGGCCACCCCCAGACCGTTCTCCCATGGCCATCACTCGAACTGCTGTTGTCGATCTTCAATTTAGAGGGCACACTCGCAACTAGCGCAGCCCTAACAGCGCCAAAATCATACTTGGCCAGTTGCTCGACCAACGGACCGGTCTTCTTGACACCATACTCTTTCAGGTACGCAAGTAAATCTCGCTTAAATTTAGCCCCCGAGCCCCAGGGCGTTGGCGTAGGCGTAGCATTGCTCCCGCCACGGCTGCTATTCGCAGAAGATAGAGGGAGGAGAGGAGAACGCCAGACGGCCTGCGTCATATTCGCCCAGTCACCTGCGATCATGTTCGCCGTGTGAATGATGACTCTAAATCAATCAGCTCTAATATATGAACAGCCATAAGAGAAGAAGGGGGGAAGGGAGGCAAGCACGCACTGCGCCGTATCATCATGCCTCAACAGGACCATCATCTTCGAATGATGCGTCCCAAAGGGCTCTGGCATATACGCCACAATCGGCTCGACATTGGAGTATCGCGAGCATGCCTCCTATACAGTTTAACACTCGTTAGCCATCAATTCATACCGATCCTCTCTCTCTCTCTCTCCACAACGCCCCTGGAACAACCCGACAAGACATAGCAGCAGCCTCCGGCCTGAGCATGGAATAGGTAAACCCACATCAACCCGAATCCGATTCTCAGACTCCCTCTTCCAAGACCCATGCACAACCTTCACAGTCACCAATTCCTTAACATCGGCATCAAACTGCCTCATAAGAAAGTCCACATCGAAGAGATAATTGAACTGCCAGCATTCGCGGATCATCGGGTCGCCCAGGATCTCCGACAGCCGGATACAGTCGACATTGTTTCCGGAAGAGGCAGAAAAGTCTCGAATGTGCGTTAGGTGGATGGGCGAGGGTAGGGTTTTTGGTTTTATCTCGTTTCGAGGGGATAGGCTTGGGGTCTTGGGGTCGTGCGGGGAAACGGCGGCGGTAGTGGTGATGCTTCGGCGAGTGCGGGATGGCGGGGGAGGGGTTATGGAGCGGTGGAGGGTGGCCAGTTGTGGTCCCTCAGATGCTGGGTTCGAGTTCTGTGATAGTTTGAGGCGTTTTGGGGGACGATCTGGGGTGTCGTCCATCTTCGAGGAGGTTGGTGGTTGAGGACTTGGGGAGAAAAATGTCGGAAGGAGATAAGATAGAGCTTGTGCGGAGAAACTTTATGGAACGAAAATAGTAGTCTAATTAATCCAGCCTCTACAGTGTAAGCTCCTGGTCTCTAATATACAATCTATAAATGTAAATTACTATACAAACAATTACCAGAGGAAGCGCTGAATCTTGCCAGGTTCCTGCGGCCACTCAAAACCTCCATGAAGGAAAAGAGCTCCAGTCAGGACATTGAGAAGCAAAAACCAAGCCGTTTCCAAGAACAACGGAAAGTTAATCGCAAGTCGGGCCTTAAGGTCGTCCTTGTTCTCCACACCCTTGCGATAAACTACCGGCGTAGGAGAGACCGGCAGATGGAGCCTCCACATCACCCAGGGGATGATAAGGTACCGTGGCTCCACCAGAGGCGCTGTGATGAGAGACAGCGTAGTCGCAGCTAGCCAGACAAGAACGAAGCTTACACGAGAAGTCTCGTGCTGCGCTCTTTGCCGTCGCATGATGTGCTCCTGGAGCTCAGCCCAGGCTTCTGGAGAGATAGGGTCGGCGGGTTCCGCTGGGGCGGCCTTCTTGGATACCTTTTGCTTGCGATTCGATTTTTGCTGCTTTTTCTCGGTTGAATCTTGCGATGGCTCTGATGGAGGTTCCGGCTTGACCACTGAAGCGACTTTGGGTGGAGCCGTGAAAGGCGAGTATCCCATGGCGGAAATGACCATCCATGCACCGATGAAGTAGACGCTCGTAGCCGCATACCTTGTATAAGGATGAGAGCGCATAAGGATCCGGAAGACGTAAAAGACGTAATGCCGATTATCAGCCAGGGTAAATGGATGGACAATAGTGTTGAAATGTATCACTGCCAGCATGACAGGCAGGACAATGATAACCGTGAGAATGCTTGGAAGTCGTCTCCTGGAGGCTGGGAAGCCTTGATTGAGGAATTTCGGCAGCATAAACGTCGGGAGGAGAATGTTGGCCAGCGGGGCGAGAAGGAGAGGCCAGGAGAAGAAAAGGAAGTACGGCCATAAGTACAGCATCTGCGCTAGATGCAGACTGGCAGTGTGAAACTCCTTGTGTCCTATGCCACTGTCAGCACGGGTCGATCCATCTGAAGGCGAGTAGAAAATACCTAAGACGACACTGCCATTCCACAGCACAAAGCCGCCAAACGCAGCCAGGATGAGCAGGTACGGCACCAGGCATGAAACCACAGAACCGAAGTTGTTCAGAGCAACAGAGCACAGCGAAACGGTGGTCTTGAAGTAGTCTGTGCGATGTTAGCTTGACAACCAGTCCAGTCCAGGATACAAGGTACTCACCTGCAAGCGAAGCGTCTAAAACTAGGGGATCATAGAGCTCATTCTTCAAGCCAGCCTGAAAAATATCAGCTAGCGCAGCCGAGCTACAGGTTCTCGTAGCCCTCCGCAGCCTCCGAACAACCTGCAACCCGCCAAAGAAGACAGACACCCAGAAGATATTGGTCTGTCTGAAAGCCAGCGCGGCGACTCCAAACCCTACAAACACGAGTGTCTCAAGTACCGACCGACGCGGCCGCAGTGAACGATTCAAATCCCAGTTGTACGCTTCGATTACAACCAGTAGCGCCAGGATATCCGTGTAGTACAATCCCGAGAAGAAGAACAACGGCGGGAAGAGACAGATGTTCAGAACCGTATGGCTCAGCCAAGCGCCCGAGGGACGAGTATTCTTCTGCTTCCGCACGGTGTCCAATACAGTCTGGAGGCGCAATGGGAGGAGAACGGCCGCAGCGACGGCATTGGTTGCGCGGAGTGCTGGAGGGTCAAGCTCAGTGGGGGAGCCTCGGAGAAAGAGGATAAGAGCGCAAACTGTGTAAGAGAAGATGTATAGCCCGGGAGGAGTCGTGATGGCGGGGTCCCATTGTGTCCATTTGTGCGCCCAATATGCTTGCGCTTGGGGGATGTGGAAAGCTTCGTCGAGATATGGTTCGGGGACGACGGAGTTGACTTGGGTCATCCATAGCGGAATCAAAAGGAGGCCGAAGGGCACGACGTAGCGGGCAGCTAGGGCCAAGCCCGAGCGGGGTTGGGCGTTCATGTTGTCGTCAATTGACCATAGAAGGATAGCCTCGAGGATATCAGCAAGAAAGAGAAGGAAGTAGAGCTCAAGCTCGCTCCGGGGGGTCGACAAATAGTTTTGGAAACAACTGCAAACAGAACAAACGCCGACGACTCGTCAAGACACGCACATTTCCTCCTCACTACAACGCCAATCAATTCACAAGCAAGAGTATGGCCGTGGGATACTGATGTGATACCGGCTAAAATCGACGCCCTCTAATCCCAACTCCCCGTTTTCAACCTCAGCCTCGCGACGGGTCCATGGCCTTCCCCCTCCCGCGGGGCATCACGCCCCCGGAGATCTCCTTCCTGGCCGAGATGGAGATGGTCACAATCGTGCCTCGCCAGCGGCTAGAAGGCCTCGAGCTACTAGGCGTAAGCTGGGTAATTCCAGTAACCTCAAAACTCAACTAACCCAACAATTGCAGGGCCCAGTCGACCCCCTCATCCCCCCGCGCCGAACATCCGTCCCCCTCTGGCTCGCCTCGCTCCTCAAGCGCCAGCGCCGCGCAAACATCCTCCCGCCCCCCTGGCTACACCCAGAATCTCTCTCGCTAATCCTCGACATCGAAACTCAACACGCCGACTACCAGCACGCCTTCTCCCCACCCCCTCCACTCCCCGGCCAACCCAAGCTCCGAGACCGCGGGTCTCAAAAACCCACCGCACGACCCCGATACACACCAGAGGGCCAGCGCTACTTTGCGACGCCGCCATTCCTCCCGCAGAATTTAGCACAGGACCAGCAGGCGTTCGACGACGGGGAGCCACCGACGCTGCCGTTTCATTGGCTGGAGGTTGGGACGATGCTGTTGGATGTTGCGAGCGACGATGTGATTGATCCGGATCAGACGAGGAGGTTGTTGAAGGAGTTGAGGGAAGTGAGGTCTGCGAAAATCCGGTCCGGTGTGGAGGTGTTGGATGATGCGGCGGTTGCGGGCGGTGGTGTTGCGCTTACTGGAGTTGGGGCTATGGAGATTGGTGAGGGGAGGGGGTTTATTGGGGGTGTGGTTGACGGGCTTAGGTATGTTCCCCTCGTTGATGTAGATGTATAGGGGGAGGTATGCCAATTGCTAACGCGTCTCAACAGACGGATAGGAGCGTCGAAGGAACAGGCTCGTCGGGAGCAGTTGGCGGAAGCGGCGAATGGTGGATACGACGCCACGCAGGATGATTACGATGAAATGGAGTTTTAAACCGGCCTTTTCCTTTGGCTTTTGGAGTTATGGAAACGGGACGCAGGCGGCTAGATCTTCGCCTACATGATCGATTCGAATGTATATATACCCTATCTTTTCCCATTGTAAACAGATGATTTGATTCAACCTAACACCATGAGCATGCGACGCTTTGTTGTAGAGTTCAGAAGGGAGAGAGAGAAAAAAGTCCAGGATGGGATATACGAGATAAGAATAAACATGCAAAGAATAGAAAGTAGAGAGATGCAAGATGAAGACAGGCCCTTGTTCAGTTAAGTGCACCCAGGCCAAGCTAGGACAGGACTATACCAAGTCGACAACGGTAGCTTTGATAATTGTTTGTTGAACTCGCCGGGAGAAAGCCGCGGGCAACATCAATCCAATTGAATGCATCCATGAGCTGTACGCCGAACCGTTATTAAGCACTTCCCTGCTCTTTCTGCATCATTTTCCGGCGCGCCGCCAGAATCATATCGTCTCTTCGCTTCTGAAGCAGACGCTGGCGCTCCTCCTTGCTCTGCGACCAACCACCGGGCTTAGCGGTGGACTCGGCTTCACTGTTGTCGATAATCTTCGCAGCAAGGTTGTACCTCGATATGAGATCTTGGCTATCGGACTTTGACGCAGGCGCTGGTTGAGCGGGGACACCAGTCGGGGGGATAGCGACCAAAGGCTGGAAAGATGGAGGTGGCTATGATATCACAATCCAGACAGTCAGCGTAAACCATACGCCCAACAAAAGCGCAGCGCAGCAGGAAGCAGGCAGCAGAGCAGCGGTGAGGCAATAAGAGGCCAATCCGCAACGAACCGCAACGCAAATCACTAGATGGACAAAAAGAACATACCGTATCAAGTCCGCGACCAGTGAGAATCCTCTCCGTCGTCGCAGCCACGTTACCGCTATTCCGCTGCAGATCCCACATGATGTCGCGCGTGCTCAGCTGCGGGAACATCTGGGATATTTGCTCGACTTGTGCGGGATCGACGACATTCCCGCGGACGCGACTGCGCGACCCGGGTGTGCCGCTTTCGCCATCGCGCTTGAAGAACCACCGGATGACGAAGAAGGAGACGACGGCGAGGGTGAGGAGGGAGGGGATGTTGAGGGAGGGCTCCTCGTCGGGCATTGTGTCAGGTATTCGGTGAAGCGGTCACCGTTTTGTCGGATTTAGGATTTGAAGGAGTTAGGAATGCGGAGGTTGCTTTGAGTTCTTATCCGAAGTTCTTCCGGTGAGGTACGGAGTCCGAAGGTGTTGTTTCAAGCGTGGGGTTCCGCGGGAGAGTAGAGGCGATGACGCTGTGTTAGATTTCTGGGACGGAGGTCTGCCGCTGTCGCATGCTCTATCGGGGGCGGTGACGTTGAGCGACGGTGATAAGGACGGATGCTGCGAGACAGAGGGTAGAGAGAGGAAAGGAGAGGAATAAGATAGGACTAGGATAAGGCGCGGAATGGAGATTATTGAGAAGGGGAAGAGGAAGAAGGCAAAGTGCCAGAGAGCGGCGGCTCCTGGGTGAGTTGCGTCCCGATGGTTCGGAACGGAACAAAGGGTCTGTATACCACCACTCAACCCCGACAGTAGTCAGCCCACGAGCCATTGAGACTCCATTCACTTAGCTTTCTCGTTATCTACCTCTTCAGGATTTTATCGTACCTTCTTAGCAGTGGCAATAGAAGGTGACGCCTCGGCTGTATAATGTCATGTCACGTGATTGTGCATTACTAACACTATTATTATGCTTATTCCATGCTTATTTTGGAGTTGTGTTCTGTACGCCTCCAACCTCCTGCATCTTATCATCTTGAAGGGCGAAATGCTCAACCAGGCTCCTACAACACAGGCATGCTTCAGTCTCGCCCTGGCAATATAACCCTTCACCCGTCCAAGCCTCGCCTCAAACTTGCAAATCTGCTTCCCCAAGATATATACTCGAATACTCCATCACCCCAAACACAAACGTCGGTGCCCCAAAGATCCCAAAAGGCCATCATATCCAATTCCTCTCAACAAAAGGGGAAATACTATATGTCGTCCCAAACGAGATAATACCCTAAACGCACAAATAATGATCAGATTTGGCCCTCACTCCCCGGGTTAAGGTACTTGATTGCGCTAATGTTGGCCCCAACAAAATAAGAGTTATACGCGGCCAGACCCCAGATATATTTGAACCAGCGATATCTCTCCGGGTGTGCTGCGCCTGCTCGTAAAGGATGATATTGAAGACGCCAATTATGATAGGGATGATGAGAGGGAGGAGGCGAACTTTCAGGCTTGTGCATGGCATTATTGCGGCGTACTTTTGTACTCGGTCAACCAGTCCGAGCCGTGAGAAGGGGCAGGTGATGAGTGCCACAACGATTCGGACACAGTTGACGTAGCTTGCACCTGTGTCGGCCAAATTGTATGGTGGCGCGGTGACGATTAAGCTGTAGGCTGTGCCGATGGCATTGTATACACCCAGAGTAAGTCCATTGAGCAAAAGGGCCCAGGCAAGGTTCAGGAAGAGGGGCAGCATGAACGTTTGCTAGGAGACAAGCAAGACTTGTTAGTTCGCATGCGAGTACCCTTGGTTCAACGAAGCAAGTTAACTCTTCTCTACCCCGCGTACATCATGACTACACTCACTAAATGGGCCACAAAGGCTCTTCGACGGGCCCCTTCCGCTCCCATGTGTTTTCCCACCAGCGACTTCAAAACCGTCCATCCCGCAGCGGTCCTCGACGAAGAACGGTTTGAGCATTTCAAACGGGGACAATGACACCATCAGAGGTCATCAATATGTGACGCTAAAAGTATACACGCGCGATGAAGGCAACCAGGACGAGTTTCAGATTCATAAGCAACTAGATCAAGGGAGTTCATGGCACCTTGGCCATGCTCATATAAGGAAAGCACTGGATCTCTTCACAATTCCCCGTTCTGGTGGTAACCATCCTTGCCTTGTTCAAAAACCAATGTGGGAAAGCTTCAAAGATCTACTATACCGTACCGCCAACCATCGATTTACTGAAGATCTACTCAAAGCTGGTTTTATACAGGTTTTTCTTGCACTTGACTATCTGCACACTGAATGCAAGCTTGTCCACACTGGTAAGGGTGTCAGTATGAATTTGTCAGAAAAATGGCCCTAATCTGGATCCTTATAGATATCAAAAGCGGCGATATCCTTCAAGAAATCGAGGACAAGTCAATCCATAAAAGACTTACCCAGACTGAGCTGAAGAGCCCTTCACCTCGCAAAATTGTCAATGGTTCCCGGCCTATGCTTCCCGACGTTTTGACCTGCCAAAGCTGTTTGGCCGGGTAGTACTAAGTGATTTTGGTTCTGCTGTACAAGGAGATAAGAGGAGGAATCATGATGCACAGCCAAATATTTATAGATCACCAGAAGTAATGCTCAAGACTGATTGGAACTACCCAGCTGATATATGGAACGTCGGTGCTATGGTATGTTCTGCCTTTCGCTCTCGAAATCATGAACTAACCAATTGGGAATCACAGGTGTGGGATTTGTTTGAGGGGAACACCTTTTCCGCGGAAATGACCCTGACGGCAAAGGGTATTCAACCCGGGCGCATCTTGCAGAAGTCATGGGAGTTCTCGGGCCACCGCCTCTGGATATGCTCCAGCGTGGAAAACGAAGCCATGAATTCTTTACTAATGATGGTAAGCACCATCTTCTCTCAGTGTATTTTGAACAGGCTTATGGCGACAAACTCGCAGGAAAATGGAGGCAAGACTTGGAAATTCCAAGAGGAATGAGTTTGGAGTTATCGGAAGAGTTCCTTAAGGGAAGAAATAAGGAAATGTTTCTGGCTTTTATAAGAGGGATGCTTCAGTGGCGGCCTGAAGACCGGAAGACTGCGAGAGATCTGCTCCAGGATCCATGGCTGAATGGTCGGATTGGGTAGATTAGGTGTTTCATTGTGAGGGTTGTGCCCCCCGGTCAAATCTGCGTCTTCGCCAAATGTATTATTGATCCTAGACTACCCATACTCCATTGCTAGATCGACCTGGGGATGGAGCGCAACACGAAGCCCCAGCGCCAGATACTCCTGCCGAGCAATATCTGCAAATTCCTCTACCAAAGCCACATCACGAAGTGCTACAAACCCCAGGGACTCAGGCCAGGGACTTAGAACCTCGCTTGGAACCCAGTCATAATATTCTCGACAAAGTGGTTCCGGTGGTCACTTAAAAGTGTCACTGGGATTCCAAGTCTAGTATGCTCGCGCACGTCCTGCTGCAAAGTGTTGTGCCAGAGTGTAATTATTCGCGTGTCCTCAATTTGGCCCATTAGGTTGAAGCGTGGCAGGAACTTCTTAGAGAGCAGGTCCTCGGTGCTCGAGAGGTTGAAGACGGGCTATATTAGTGCCAATGTGGCGCTGGGTCCTACCATTATCGTTGGGTCCTACCATTATCACTGTCTGGAAGAGTTGACCGACTTTTTCGCCGACGGTCATCCTGGAGGGGAGGTCTGAGATTCGGGAGTCGATGGGGATAGATATGTTCCAGGAGTCGGCATTTCTAGACGCTGTCTTCCATACTTGTAGTCAATGTTGAGGTCAACGTTCTGTGATCTGAAAGAGAAGGTGAATGTAAAGGAGGAAAAAGGACGAGGGAATAGAAGTAGCCAAATGCCTCGAAGTTGAAACGATAATAGCATGCCGCGAGTGCCGTCCTTCAGACGACTGCCAAGGTGATGTGGATAGTAACATCTAGAAACGTAGCTACCATAGATGGCGGCCTTCCTCCAAGCCCATCAACCCTCTTGCCCCCACGTCCGAAAGTCATGGTTGTTCGCCAAGTACATTTCGGCCAAAGATTGCCCCAAGAGGCCAAACTCAATTTGTATCTCGGCCTTACTCCAACATTGCCTGGGTCGGTTCGGTCCGATCCGGTTTCGGCTATGCTGGATCTATAGAGAAGCTGGGAAGCTCTTTTGAGAAGCCAGAATGGCGAGAGAAGCCTCAGATAATATTTTATCGGGTTGTCTAAGACCCTGAGTCAAAGGTGCTTCGATAATTCCCGGGCTGTGGACTAAAACTTGCGAATGTATCGAGCGCCAAGGCAGCAAAGACTATATGCCGTTCTGTCCAAACTACGCCTCATGTCAACATGGCTTCAACAACTTCAGTATCTCATTATCCGTAGATCATAACATCAACAATAAATAAAATCGCAATGCTAATCCAGAGCGTCCATATACAGACTTCCCAAAAAACACCTTCATCTAGCCCAAATGCCACCATGACCTGACTGAGATTCCATGTGCCCAAACCCGAAAGCAAGAAATATCAACAAGAAAAAAGCAGGTTGCTGCAAGTCTAGGTCACTACCTCATGTCGGCGGGCGTGAGAGCTTGTACAACACTTGTACCCTCACTGAATCTTGTCCGGAAGATCCGATTGGCGTTCTGGAACATGCCGTCCTTCAGAGAGACAACGATGAACTGAGATCCCTTGAAGCGGGTCTTGATCAGTCGGCCGATGTTTTGTGTGTGTGACAAGTCCAGCGCAGCGTCAACCTCGTCAAGAATGTACATCGGCGCGGGCTTGAATTGCAGCAGGGCCATAATCAGTGAGAGGGCAATGAGAGACCTGTAGGTCAAATTAGCTTGGTTTTTGATAGACATAATGGTAGAGCTTACCGTTGACCACCACTGAGTTCTGTCAAGCTCTGCTTCCAGACCTTACCCAGAGATACCTTGACCTCGAGACCGTCAGTGATATCCTTGCCCTCGGGAGGATCCAACTTGGCGAAACTGCCGGGCAGAAGCTCGGAAAATATTTGGCCAAAGTCAGCGTTGACCTTTGTCCAGGTCTTATGTAGAGCCTCCTTCTTGTACTCGTTGAGGTTGACGATCGTCTCTTCAATCTTGCTCTTGTCGCGGATGACGGTCCTCATCATGTTCTTCAAGGCGGCCTCCTTCTTCTCCACGCTGTCGATCATGTTCATGACCTTGGGGTTGATCTTCTTCTTCATTCCTTGGAAGCGCTCCGTGACGTTCCGCAGCGTAGACTTACACTCGGCGATGTTCTGGTTTTTGAAATCATACGGCGTGTTAGGACGTCCAAAGTTGTCCTTCTCGTCCTCAATCCACTCATGCTCCCCTTCCAGGTGAGCGACGGCTTGAGCTGCGGCATTTTGTTCTTTCTGTAGCTTTTCTAGCTGGTGCCCGAGTTTCTGCATTTCCAATCCCTCTTCAGTAATCTGGGAGTTCTTAGACTGCATCGTCTTTTCCAAGTCTCGGAGCTCATCGTCAAACCCAGTCAGCTTTGCTCTTTCGTCTTCGAGCTGTGCTTGCGCAATATCATGTGCGTCCTGTATCCAATCGTTAGCATATTTCTACTCCACCTCAGCAATTCATTGAATCACGTACCTTGACTCGGACCTGCTCTCTCTTGAGCGACTCAATCTCTTCCAGCTGGGCCTTCAATGTGTTTTCGCTTTCAGCATGCTGCTCCTCAGCCGCAGACAGATCGCTCCCTACTTGCTCCGATTCCAGCCTTGAAGCCTGGAGCTCTTTGTGCAAGTTCTTGACCGAGTTCGAGTTCTTGGCCAGGCTCTTCTTCAAGGCGTCCAAAGAAGATTGAAGCTCTGCGAGCTTGCTGTCCTTGTTGTTATCGAACTCCTTCATATCCTTCTCGATCCGTTTGATATCCTTGGATGCTTCGCTCTGACGCGCCTTAGCGTCAGTAATGCTTATCTTCAGCTGTTCGATGTTCGCTTTCATCTCTTCAACAGCTTGAATGATCTGGTATTGTTAGCGCGTTCCTTACGCTGTTTCGAGCTAAAGAATTACATACCGATGAAGATGAGTTGTTCCCGATTTGCTCTTCCGTAAGCTTGATTTCGTGGTTCTTCAAGTCCAAATCTTGCTTAATGGAGCGGACAGCGTCCAGCTTCTTCTTCTCCTTTTTCATTGTCTCTTCCAGCTTAGCCAGAACCCGCTCCTTACTCCGAATCTCCCTTGTGATCTCGTTGAGTTTCTGCAGCGTCACAAGCATTCCACTGGAGTTTGGTGCGCTACCACCAGAAAGGGTGCCGGATGGGTCATAGACATCGCCGTCAAGGGTTACGCTCTTGATTCGAACGGAGGGATCAAAGGTAACTCGCTTTGCAGTATCGGCGTCATTGCAGATCAGAGTGTTGCCGAAAACGTAGTTCATGGCCGCAGTGATCTCCTCGTCGTATCCGATGAGTGACAAAGCCAAGTCGACCTTTCCGGGGGCAATGTTTTGGGCGGCGCCAATCTTCTCTGCAGATGCTCTGAAGGACGAGATCTTGTTCAAGGGAATTATAGTCACGCGCTTGCGGAGCTTTCCCTTCTGAAGCAGCTGTGTACCGGTATCAGATGAGTCGACTACAACGTTGTATAGGCGACCACCAGCACAGATTTCCAGTGCTGTGGCGGCTTGTAGCTTCTCCTTGTCGACAGTGAAAAGCTGGGCGACCAGACCCTTGACCTTGGAGCGATCAAAGTTCGGGTAGGGATCGGTGTAGTTGAAGTCAATATTGGCGACTTTCCGTTGAAGACCATCGGCTCTCTGGCGAAGCTCGCGTATCTCTCTCTGGAGGCCGCTTTGTTCTTGATATAGCTGTTCCTCCCGCCCGGGCTCGAATCCGAGTCTCGATAGCTCTGATTCCAACTTCTTGGCCTGAGATTTGAGCCCTTCAAGCTCTTTAAGGAGACCAGAGTTCTGCTCCTTTGCCTTCTTTGCCCGCGGCTCCTCCTCTTTAATTCGCTTCTCCAAGTGTGCAATCTTGAGCTTAGCTTGCTCCTGCTCAGTAGACGCTGTGCTTGCACGGTTCCGAGCATCCTGTAACTGAGCTTGATAACCACTTTCCTGGCCTTCTTTTGATGCAACACCGGTTTGCAATGTCTGGAGCAGTTCCTCCTTTTGGTCGACCTCTGCTGTTTGGGCATCCAGTTCCGCCTTTGCGGCATCGTACTGTGCTTGCAATTTATCGTAGATCTTCTTCTTATCCTTGAGAACCTTTTCGAGGTCGCTCACAGTCTTCTGGAACTCCTTGCGCTTCTGCTTTTCTTCATCGACGCTTGCATTTTTCAAGTCGAAGACTGTCGTTAAGCGAACGAGTTCGTGGGAATGCGCCTTGACCTCATCTTCCAGAGCCTGGAATTTGCCTCCTTTGCGCAGCTCCTTGTCCCGAGCCGCCTTTACCCGCTTAACATCCTCTTCCATGTGGGCAATCTCGCTCCGGAGTTTGTCCGCATTGTCTTCTAACGCCTGGACCTTGCGTTTCTTGTTTTCACATTCCTCGCCGGCGGCCCGGAGGCGGTCGCCGCTCCTTAAATAGTCGTGTGCAACGACCAGGCGCGTCAAACGCTCCAAGTCATTCTGAGTCTGCTGGAAGTCAAGGAACGCTCGCTTTTCAGCTCGGAGTTTTTCGAGCTTGGGCTCGATCTCCTCCTTGAGAAGGCCTTCAATTTCGCGCAATTTCAGTTCCTTCTTGCCCATTGTCTTGACCGCCTTCTCTCTTCGATCCTCGAACATCCGCGTACCGGCCGCTTCCTCGATCATCGACAGAATCTCAACCGCCTTCATATTCAGAACCTTTGTAATCCGACCCTGCATAATCAAAAAGTTCGGGTTGTTGATGTTTAACTGCACACTCTGGAACAAGTTCTGTACCGTTTGTTGTTGCGCGCGGTGGCCATTGATTAGGTATTTGCTCGTCCCGCCGAGCACGATCTGCCGGGTAACCGAAATGGTCGCATATTCTTCGAAGCCGATCGGGGATTTTGAGGTATCTCTGTTATCGAAGACAATTGTCACACTCGCCTTGGTGACACCGGCCTGACCGCGTTTGTAGATGAGATCTTGCAGGTTTTGCGCGCGGACTGTGCTCATATTCGTAATGCCGAGAACGAAACAAATAGCGTCGAGGATGTTGGATTTACCACTTCCGTTAAGGCCAGTGATTGAGTTGAAGGATTCATCCCTAAATGGATTTCGGAAGTCAGTAAATGCGCCAAGTGGTTCACTGGCTACATCTGCAATTCTGCAGCAAGACTCAGGTAGATGTATGCGACACGCACCATCCTGAAATCACCGTACGCACAGCGTACGATTTGAAGCCCTGCGATCGACATTGATTAGCGCTGAACTTCATGTTTTTTTTGCGGCAAATCCGAGCCAAGTACTCACGTCGATAATAATCTCAATAATCCTCATGGTTGCGGAAGCGACCCAAGCCTGTTGACTCGGGAATTCGATGCATAGGAGGAGTTTCGGAGAATCGCTGGACTGTTTTGCGGGCGATGTTTTGGCGGCGGGATCAGGTGTTTATGGTTTCCCGCTTATGGTCTAGCGTTGCTGAGATAACAGGTCGCTGAGGGGTATCACGTGTATGATCACATGATTCTTGCATGTCCTTGTCTCTCAGAGCACTTGACATTAAAAGAACAGACTCCGAGGTGAAAATATCCCGATATAGCCTTTTTTCGACGGTAGGGCACTCGCAATGCTATACCCAGGTATTGCAGCATTATTTGGGGTTGAATTATGCAGTACCTAGTCACCACCGACGGACTTCTGAGGTCTATACTACGAGGATTTGAGCCTGGAATGCAACGGGTGAGACGAAAGGAAACCGACAGTCTCAGAAAGTCATGCCGATAACCAGAAAATAAGGCGTATACGAAATGAACTGGTGGGAATAGGCGAATACGCTCGCAAGGAGGCACTTAAGGCCTCCAGACAACCTAACTTCTGCATAGCACACCCTACCGCATACGATGGGGCTGCAGCCACCTCGGAAGCTCTATAATGCTGTCTATAGTTACTCCGTACGCTTGGCCTACTAAGCGCCCTGCGGGTCCTCGCAACCTCGATAAGTCATTGGGCACCCTTCAGCACTGCCCTAACCGTCAACGATAGTTGCGGAAAGTTATCGGAGACTTTCCATCCCTCCCAGTACCCTGTACTGGGATGAGCCTAATCAGCGTCGGTGGACTGTTTGCACGAGAAAAGATATATAAACGCATTAAAGGACACTCATAGCTCTTGAAAATCAAACCTCTTTCTTCACTTACTTCCTACAAGTCAAGCTTCACGAGCGTCACAAACCCTAGCCAAGACCTCTTGATATATACAGATACCTACAATTCCTACCAACCCGTCTTCACCACGACAATGAGCTCTGACGCCGCAAAAGCAATGGCCAGCGTCTTCAAGACGGCAAGCTTCGTCAAAACCTACAAGCTCGCCGAAAAGGCCACCGGACCATTTGCTGAAGCCCTAATCGACTATACTGAAATCACATCCTACCCAAGTCCTCCAGTCATCCTCGATAATGCTTGCGGCACGGGAATCGTCTCCAGTATCCTCAACTCCAAGGTCAGTGAGCAAGTCCGCCAGGGCTGGGAGCTCACTGCGGGTGACTTCTCCGAGGCGATGGTCGAGTATGCTAGCAACCGGGGCAAGGAGGAAGGATGGCTCAATACCGCAGTGAAGGTTGTGGATGCACAAGATACGAAGTTGTCAACTGGGCAGTATACGCATGTTTTTGCTACTTTCGGTGAGTTTGATAATGTGTACTTGACGGGTTTCCAACTGTAGCGGTGTACTAACCATGTCGGCATTATATAGCTTTCCAAGCGATTCCCAATGCCGAAGCTGCGTTGAGAGGTATGTGTATTCGATGCCCGATGGAAAGTATCGATAACTAATGTCGCCATCACAGAATCTTTCCGCATCCTTAAGCCCGGTGGCATAATCGCCTCAGCTACCTGGAAGCACGGTAAGCTTTTCCCCTAGAGACATCGAAAGACAATGTATACACAGTCCCAAAGGATTAGAGACTCTAACATGAACTTTTAAGTCCCCTGGGTGACAAACGTGAAACGCGGCATCGAAACGATATCCCCGAATCTCCACTGGCCTGACAGCGAAGAATTTGTCAAAACCACAAGCCGAGGCTGGGAATCCGAGACTACCATCGAGTCTCTCCTCACAAAGGAAGGGTTCACGGATGTCCAGGTTACACCTGTGACGAAAACGATCGAGCTGCCTATCGCTGATGTCGTCCAGCTGAGTGTGAGTATTCTTCCCGCTCTACTAGGTAAGTACTGGACACAGCAACAGCGGGACGAGTATGCGGAGCGGGTCCCGGCGGCTGTGCAGCAATATCTTGAGCAGATGTACGGAGTTGGTGCGTTGGTGCCCCTAGAGCCAGTCGGGATTATTGCGATTGCTCGTAAGCCGGAATAGACAAATGAAATAATGACAGGGCTGGGTCGCGATATGAAAGGGGTGGTGACAGATACAAAGAATATATATAGACAATGGGAGGAGTGACGAGTCGGACGGAATGCCTGGTAGCACCTCTCCCTGACGGAAGCAGTGCTACAGGCTATGCAAATCATGAATTTAGTTTCGATAGAAACCCTATTTACCGATGTGCCATATGATAAATTGAGTAGAGAAACGCCTCGTCTCCCAGCAAGCACGGTAACACCCAGATGACCATAAGTAAATGGGAAGTGAACCTAACGCCGTACTGGTCCTATTCCTTATCGTACTCAACAAAATCCTCATGAACCATGATGCGGAAATCCAACTCGCGAAAGGGTACGGTTTGGATCCATCCGGTTGTCTAGATCCTCGTACCGAAGAATAAACTCACGCTGGGCAGAATTATTAGACCAAAGACACAAAACTAGAGCGAAAAAGGAGTGCAACATACCCTAACTTTCTTCCAGCTAGCGGGGTCCCATAACAGATAGACACCCCGCTCGCTCACGCCCCTTTCTACATCCACAGGGCCAGGGTACGCCTCGTCTCGCGTTAACCAACACCTTTCAATCTTGTGATACCTCCATTTCCGGCCCATCAGCTCCTCCGCTGCAACTTCTTGCATGACATCTCGAGGCATGCTGTAGAAGATGTAGAACAGAGTCTCGTCGCTGAAACTGGGAATCCTCGACTGGAGGGGTTGCACATTCGCCACACTATAGCAAGCTGGAAGAGCAAAATCCTGCTCCAGCGGTATCCCTGGTACCGAGGCAACAAAAGGAGAAACAAATGACGAATGTAATGGTCTTGAGCTTGGTATTAGTCGTGTCCTAGAGCCAAGAGTTAGGGGGCAAACATACTCTGGTTGATTCAGATCCAACCCCAGTGTCATCAAATCCTGGCCGACAGCGAGACTGGCAACATCGGCACTATCACTATGGATCATCCGAAGTAGGCCTGCCAGCCCGAATTTATCAAGCTCGCTCATATCAGCTAAAGATTGTTGTTCCGCCCCCGAGTCTTGCGACGGCCGACTTAATGCTTGAGCAGGTACCGGTTGTTGTGGGCCAGGTATCGCAGCAGTACTTAGATCTTCTTTATCATGGCTTGTGACTCCGTTTGTGGGAGGATTAACCGGCGACCGCGATGAACCGATTCCTACAGAACGTAATTAGCATCCAAAAGGCCTATTCCCAATTGTTGCCGCATCATACCCGATGATACCGGTGCTACCGGTGACGTTATCCGTTCCTGGCCAGCAGCTATCGACGCTGACATTATATTGCGACCCTGAGTTGGCTGGCCTTGACTCGCGCCGGAGAACTGCAGGTTGGCATTGAAGCCCCCAAATCCGGCGCCCTGCATAAGAGAGCCCCTCCGATCTTGACCAAGGTCCGCAGCCACGTTCCGGCCGAGGGGAGGAAATTCATCGATATTTCCTGTTTGCGGTTGCGCACCACCACCTAGTTGCCCGCTGATGCCCTGCCCCCCGTTTCTGTAATCGTCTAGGCGACTGGCAAATTGGGACCCGGACGGGAATACATCGTCATGAGAGGCCTGGTTTTGTTGTGACGGAATATGCGTTTGCGTTTGCGGTCCCCGCGAAGGAGGTTGAGAGGTGGGATGTTGCTGTCTCTGAACTGGGGTCTGTTGCACGCCACGCTGGCTAGCATTCGCCCATACCAAATGCGCCTGATTTTGCGCCTGTGATTGCGAAGATGCTCCGGATAATGAGGGGAAATCCCTAGACGCAACAGACAGAAAGAATTTAGTGGTGAACTTCGTGGGTTTCAATAGCCCGTGGAAACCAAATTCCCCGAAGCAATTAAGAGGTCACACTCACGACAGATCGAGAGGAGTAGACGGTTGAGACCCGCTGAGGCTCTGCGCAAAAGTTCCCATTGCTCCGATGTTGCGTTGTTGGTTACCCTGTATCCCTCCCGGTGTGCCACTCACGGGTAGGTTGAAATTCCAGTTCGCTCCGCTACCTGTAGATCCCCCCAGTGTCAATTTCGAAGGTAACCGTAGCAACCAACCAAGCGGGGCATCATACTTAATTTACCGTTGGGTAGTCGTGTGGAGGCTAAAGTCGCATTTCGAGCTTGAGCTTGCTGCTGTGCGGGGAAGCCTGACATGGCTCGTAGAGGCTGTGGGCCTGGTCCTGGTGCGTCAGAAGAACGTCAGCGATATCACTCAATATTTCATATGAGCTTGAGTGGCGGAGCGGCTGTCTCTATCAAGTTGTAGGAGGGCCAGTTCACGAGAGAAGAGGTGCGAAGTGCGTCGGTCGCAGACGGAGGAACCATGTATGTGACGGGTTTGCAATTGAAACTAGCGATATAAGGGAAAAGGCCCTCCTTCACACCGAGCCTCTCGGAGATGATCAGGCAGCTTGTAGATGGTGTTTGCACCAGGAAACCCGGACAACATGAGATCACAGGCGGACTGAGCATCGCCCAGACCACAAAGGAGATGAAGGGAACAAACGAAATTGACGAACCTGGCCTATTCATGACGGGTTATCAGTCGATGAGGGCTGTTGATGTGTGGATATTCTGGAGGATAGAGTGTCGAGACTAGATTTGCCTGTCGAGAGCCTTGAGCATCAAGGAATAGAGTTGTTTCCGGGATGTTACTTTTGCCCACACTTGTTGCGACGGCTCTGGAAAGCAAGTGGAGTGGAAGGCTGCAAACGCGCGCTTGGAACATGTGCACAGACCTTAGCCGCCAACCACCTCTTCTTGCAGCTAAGTGTTACAGCATCCTCTGATTTAGCCATGCCTTGACTATTTACAATGGATCTAATAGACGAGTATAGTGCAACTAACGTATATCTATGGGTGTTACCCAACTACCTTTGTGTCCCCATGCTGATCGCGATGAGACGCGCTAATGATGACCTCAAGTCCTGGTGAGTTGCTCATTCATAGGAGAAAATAGAACCACATAAATTGCTCCAAATGGCTTGAAAAAAAAAATACTATTTAGGATCTATCATTCTCATATACCAAGCAACAACACAATCCCAAGCTCTCACCGGATGTACGATTATCGCGGTTGCTGAGACGCCCGCTGTAATCACGTGATATAGCCGCGGAAAAGTCGGCGTCCGCTAGAACCCCAGAAAAGGATCACAACCTCCGACTGCGTTCGTCCAAACCAATCCGCCATTGTGGCCACCATGCACCGTCAGTCTATTGCGCGGCTGGCTCGCCAGTCCGGGGCGTTCCCGCTGGCGGAATTGCCCCCTCCATACCTTGCGCCCTCGCTCCATTTCCCCCTGAATCGGCTATCTGTCCAGAGCTCGAACTTTTCGTCCACCGCAGCGACCACAAAGAATTACACCAAGGACCGTGATCTGAACAAGTCTCGTGGTGTATCCGCTATCCACCGTACCGGACCCAGGTTCAGACTTGGAGTGTCGAAATACCCATTGCCCACGCCTGTTGCCCCCGAGAAGCTTGAGAAACGCGATGCGACCCCGAACCATGGCCTTTGGGGCTTCTTCCCGCCGGACCACACTGCGCTGAGCACACCGAGCTACGACGTTGCTCACGGTTAGTTCTTAATCTTCTTGATATTCCCATTCGTGCAATCTTGCTTACTCTTAATCAACAGGCCGATCCTGGTCGATCCAAGAACTCCGTGAAAAGTCCTGGGAAGACCTCCACAGCCTTTGGTGGATCTGTCTCAAGGAACGCAATCGCATAGCCACATCCAGCATGGAACGGAAACGCTTGAAGGCCGGTTACGGAAAATGGGAGGCCCAGCAACGAGCGGCAGTAGTAAGTCTTGCACGGCCGCGGCCTTTGGAGATCAAGCGGGACAAGGCTAACGATTATCATAGATCCGTGTTACACAGAAGGGAATCCAGCACGTTCTCAGAGAGAGGTGGTATGCTTGGGAAGATGCCCGGAGGCTCTACAAATCGGGGTACCGACCCCAGGATGCCAACGAGGAGGTAATCGACGAGACTGTTGAGGAGAGCCAAGAGGGGCCAGTTGACAGGGCATGATATGGCCTCGCTCTACAAAACTTCTCTTAGAAGATAACGTATCATATCAACTTTGTACTCTATCCACATGTAGCATTATCGATTTCAATAGTTACTGTTTTTACCGAGCACAGAACATCTGGGTATGACCTAAAGACTTATTATTCAAACTATGGCAAAATAAGCAGGCTAAATATGTATATCAACCATTTAGAGACGAGCGAAAGATCGTCAGATTAAATCATTTTTGATATCCAGCATCTCAAACATAAGCAGTAAAACTCAAATACATACTGAAATGGAGATAGACCAGCCGTCTCTGTTACCGATGCACCTAATTGTTGTCATGGATAATCCGGATGGCCTCATAACAACCCTTGTAATGGGATATACCAGCCCTCGCCATGAACCACTCGAGGCGCTCCAAATTCGGATGATCTGTCTGCTTAGGAAGTATAGTCTTCCAGTCACTCAACGATGGAGTCCGGTCTTCGAAAAGCAGGGCCTCGAGTTCTTTATCCACCTTGGCATTCAATGGAAGGTCCACCAAGAAGCTCATCCAGAGGAATGGCTCGTCCTCCATTGAAAATTGATGGCACTGGAAATGGCCGCATACAGGGACGGGTCGCTTGAAATGTGCAGCCAGTGCTTTGACCAGCTCATCCTGCAGGTGCGAGGTGTACTCGGTTGGATCCCCGTCGTACCGGTAAACGAACTGGCACTTGAAGACCACGGGGTACGTGCCTTCGGGGTAGTAAAGGCACCTTTTGGGGACTCCGTCATCTCGAAGCTGTTGGCGATGTACGGAGCAATGAAGGCACGAGCGTCCGTTGCTTTCGCAGCTCATTGTGGAATGTTGCGCTTGAAACCTATATAGGTATTGTTAAGCTAGAAGAGGGATTAATACTCCCTGTGATCACAAGCCGGGGTTGGAGATTATAAATAGAGTTGGATCTGAACAGGCCCTAGAAAAGAAAGGCCTTTCATTTCATTGTTGCTTATTTGATCCATTGCTGCTGCGTGTATCGCGAAGCTTTGTCTTTTGTTCGGCTCCTCAAACTCAAAGAACGATGACACAGTAGATATCATGTCACTCCTTTCAATTGATAAAACCAAGATCAATGGACCAATTACCTCATTAATGAAAGAATCATAAGCTTCGGACCCCATTGTACCCGCAGAGGGTCTCCTGGATATCGCGAAAAAGGGGCAGGAGAACTCAGGAGGTTGACTTGGATAGGATATTGATCGCATGGGTGTAACGTTATTGGCTAGAGGAAGCCTGAAGCCCTGGACTATTTCTCAGAGACATATAGACAGATACTAGTGGATGTGTGGCGGAGAGCTCCAAGCTCTTGTCGGTGCTATGGTGATGATGATCCGCGGGGTTTCCACCACTCCAGGAGTTGGCCTCGACTGACGGCCTCCTTTCCCACCTCAAAACTCACCGCTAAGCTCCAAGCACCTCTCTCCGCATCCTCTCATTCTTCCCCTCTTCTCTCTAACACCTGCTATTTTTCCCATAATTCCGGGTCCAGTTGTCCCTCCCATCATTACCCTTCACTATGGATGAGATCGCCCCCGAATATGATGTTGTCGTCCTCGGCACTGGTACGTTCCACTCTAGCTACCCCGCTACTTGACGCCAGAAGCTCATGACCACCTCCAGGCTTGACGGAATGTGTGCTGTCCGGGTAGGAGTTTTTCTAGCCATCGTTTATCCACCTTTCATTAATTCCTTTTGAATGCAGTGTGCTCAGTGTCAAGGGCAACAAGGTGCTTCACATCGATCGCAATGATCACTATGGAGGGTGAGTTGGCAACCCCACTCCGGAGCTCTCTGACAACCGACCCGCTAACATTCTGTCCAGCGAAGCTGCCTCGGTCAACATCGAAACCGTAAGTCGGAGCAATTGTATCGTGTATGGTCATCGCTAATGTCTCGTTTCTCCTCCAGCTCTTTAAGAAGTACGGCAACGTCCGCCCCGGCGAGGAGCCCTGGAAGAAGTATGGCCGCGTCAACGACTGGAACATCGACCTGGTGCCCAAGCTGTTGATGGCCAACGGCGAGTTGACGAACATTCTGGTTTCCACCGACGTGACGCGATACCTCGAGTTCAAGCAGATTGCCGGCAGCTATGTTCAGCAAGGAAAGGGCCCTAAGGCTACAGTGGCCAAGGTCCCTTCGGATGCCAACGAAGCTCTGCGCTCGTCTCTCATGGGCTTGTTCGAGAAGCGAAGGGCAAAGAAATTCCTGGAATGGGTTGGTGAGTTCAAGGAGAATGACCCATCTACTCACCAAGGTGTGTATCGCCCCAGATCTGAATGTCCGGCGGCATGCTAAGGTCATCCAGGTTTGAACATTGCTACCTGCACAATGAAAGAAGTCTACGACAAGTTCTCCCTGGAGGAAAACACCCGCGACTTTGTTGGCCACTCAATGGCTCTGTACCAGACCGACGACTACATCAACACCTCCGGAATGGCTACTGACGCTATCAACCGCATCCGTCTGTATGTCAACTCGATGGCTCGGTACGGAAAGTCACCATACATCTACCCCCTTTACGGTCTCGGGGAGCTGCCCCAGGGCTTTGCTCGTCTCTCGGCCATCTACGGAGGTACCTATATGCTTAACACCACCGTCGACGACGTCCTCTACGATGAGAGTGGCAAGGTTTCCGGCATCAAGGCGACCATGAAGGACCGCGATGACAACGGCGAGACGATGAAGTTTGAGACCAAGACAAAGAAGATTATTGCCGACCCATCGTACTTCCCCGGAAAGGCTAGGGTTACCGGCCACCTGCTGAAGGCTATTTGCATTCTTAAGCACCCCATCGACAAGACAGACGGCAGCGACTCCCTGCAGCTGATTATTCCCCAATCGCAGGTTGGCAGGAAGCGCGGTAAGTGCCCATCAAGTAATTATTGGTCTATCGGCTAAGTTGAGTTAGATATCTACATTGCTATGGTTTCATCAGCGCACAATGTCTGCCCCAAGGGCTACTATATCGCTATAGTGTCCACTATCGCCGAGACAGAGGCCAACCACCACTTGGAGCTAGAGCCAGGGTTCGAGCGTCTGGGTGAGATCGAAGAGAAGTTCTTCCCTCCTCCCATCCCGCTCTACGAGCCTCTTGAGGATGGCCGCAACGACAACATCTTTATCTCGAAGAGCTACGACGCCACATCCCACTTTGAGACCACAACCGGTGAGTTGCTTTGATTATGCATGATTTTAGTAAAGTATATTAACTAATCTTGGATAGACGACGTGCGGGACATCTACCGTCGTGCGGCTGGCGAAGAGCTTGTCGTCGAGGGTCTTCGGGAAGGCCAGACCCTTGCGGAAGAGTAGATTACCTCACTGTGGAGGCATTAATATACTGTCGCTTTGGATGCTTTTGAATTGAGCCATAATATCCTCTGTCCTTCTTTTCCACCTGTCGCCTGTATTAAGGTTGGTATCCGCGTACTCTTCTTGGACGACTGCTCACCTGGCCATCGCACTGGTGTATCTCTACTGTAAAAATAACATCAGAGCAGTAGACAGGGCCAAACAAGCAATGAAATTATATCACATTCTCCAACTTAGGGATCATTTCATGATAGTAACCCCAGAGTCTAACTCTATATATACCTAGTAGCTATTCCTCTAAAAGAAAAGCAACCATCCCCAATCATATACAAAATAATCAAACTCACAACTTCCCCCTGTCCCCTTCAAAATCCCCATCCGTATTCGCCTTCTCATGATCCGAAACCATGCAAATACCCCCATCTTCAAGCCTCACAATCTCACTCCGCATAAGCGCTAACCTCCTCCCAACATGCACAACCCTCGACGTCAACCGCACCGTCGTCCCCACCGGGACAGGCCGGATGTACGTGACGTCGAGATGCCGACTCACGCCTCCGTAAGCGAATAGACCCGGTTTTGAGACCCCGATCAGGATCATGGAGGAGAGCACGTCGAAGAGCGTCGCGGCGCATCCACCGTGCAGGTTGCCCAGCATGTTGCAGTGTTTCGGCGCGATGGTGAGCAGGTAGTTGACTTGGGGCGGGGACTGTGTGGCGGATTCGAATGTTAGGCGGAGGGCTTGGGTGTCTATGTCCCAGCCCTTATTTTTTAGAAGATTCAATGTGTTAGTATGGTTGGATGGATATTGTTGTTGTTGTTGGAATGGGGGTAAGCGGGGGTTGGGGTACCTCTGTATCATGTGTCCCCAAGCGCTGCGAAATCTCGTATACTTTCTGCTCGAACTCGTCGAGTGGTCTCGAGGGGGCGAGGACGGCAGGTGGGTTGGATGCCATTTTGGCTTCTACTTCGGGGGTTCGTCTTATTTTCTTACTGAGAAACAGGAAAGTCAGGGATGAGGTTGAGATATGTTCATGTTAGTTCTCGGGGTCGTATTAAATTTGCCGAGGTTGTGACGGCTGTAATCTGGGGTTCAAGGTCCCGGCCGGACTTAGGTCGGGGAGGTCGCTTACCTACTCCGTATAGTCTGTCTAGATAGGTTAATAGTTGTAGTGATGTGCTAGGAAGACACTTCGATTTCCAGTCATGAACTAACTACACGACAAACTATGTACATTTCGAAGGAAAGCGAGGCAGACCCGCCTGCCTAATATTCACACCCAACAACAGTCGTCTCCTAACTCAAGCCTATGCCGTGGCACCAGGAACGATAGCAGTCCCAGTAGCGGTGATTGCAGAAGTAGCCTGCGAAGCCGGAGTCGCACCAGCAATCAGACTAGGTCCAGGGATGGTATACGTCAAGGGATTATAGATATCGACCAGGATACCGGGGTCAGTTGAGGTATACAGCTCGGTGCCGAGAACCCCCTCAGGCTGAGCCGTTCCACTCCCTGTAATTTGCAGATTGATACACTGCATGTAGTTTTGGGCGCCGCCCTCGGTGTGCGCACCATGGAGAGCGATCAGCTCATGGCGGAGGACGTAGTTGCCCGGTGCGATGTTCTCAGGTATCTGGACGAGCCAAGCGCTGTTGTTGTCGATAAGCTCGTCTGTGGCCCAGTATCCGGGAACGGATGAGCCGTCGATAAGCCCGACTTCGGAGATTTTGAAGAACTCCAATGTTGTCTTATCGACCGTCTGGCAGCTCGAGCCGCAGTTCGCAAGGTAGTCGATCACTGCGTTATGACATATCAGCTCGATGCGCTTGCACTTGATGTTGAGCGAGAAGGAAACTCACCTGGCCCATGGTGTGTCTCAGGCCAAACGGTCCACTGGAGGCTGAGGCTATCGCCAGCAGTGACCGGGATAGAGCCCTTGCCATTCACGGCGTCAAGATGACAGATAATGTCAGGGTCGGCGTAGCCGTTCTCAGGGAAGCCTCCTCCAGTGTTAGGCGTGCCCCACGACGCTACCAACGGAGGTTCTCCCATGTAAGGGAAGGAGTTGATGTTCCATCCCTCATAGGACACGCCGTTCACAACGATATTGGTGATATGGCCATGGCCAAGCACACGAGAGGCGAAGATGCCAGCAAAAAGGATGCGCGACATGGCTCAAAGACGAGAAGCAAGCAGCAAAGCTAGGAACAGGCAGGCAGGTAATGGCAAGCCATAGTATTTGGATCAATCATCCGATTTATACCCTGTCTTCTTTATCGCGCTGTAATTCCCTAATTTCCTAATATCCGGGTCTTCTGACACATTATTCACGGATATTTCACCGTCAAGCCAGGGTAAAACATGTAGAGAGGATGTCAATTCCAACTGAGCAACAGCTGACTGGATGGCCGTGCCTTGGCGTACATCGACTTATATAGGATGAAACGGCAAGGTGTAGAACGGCAGAGACTCCGATGCAAAAGGAGTAGGCCCCAGGTCTATCATTTCTTCAGCAGACCCGCCCAGCAGCCCTGCAATCAACTACATGCCATTTGCAATACGTGGAATCACAACACTGCGTGAGTATTGCAAACCGGAGGGATATTGTTTGCACACGACGTTGCGCCTTCGCTCGATGTTCTTAGAGCCATCTCAGAACTGATCGGGAATACGGGAGAAACGCCGACGCTCCAGTCACTCACGAATGATACCATCAGTTGCTCCAATCACCAGATAGAGCCGTTTTCGATAGTTGTCCGTCCGATCGAGAAGCCAATCCCTTGTCTCAGGGTGGCAGAACGAACGCAGACATCCATCGCCGAGAAAGCAAGTATAGAAAGAACATTTTGATAGTGAGCTGTTATGCTATGGTCGATCCCGTTGGACATGCAGACCAGTTATTGCTAGATAGGCAGGCGACTGACATATTCTTCTTGAGGAGGGTTCCGTGTCGAGATGACAACAAGGAATGGGGTTCGACGTTGGAGGTGAAGGAAAGTCGATGCGGCTGGCCGCATACCACGTGACGTGGTCGTTCGTGTCTGAAATGAAGCTCAAGTCCGGCAGCCACATTACTTTTGTCCAACTCGACCTTCCCCGAATTCGTTGCGCACGAGCTCATATTTGAGCCACTCGGAGTGTCAGCGCATCTGCCATTTATCATGGCTACTGATCCTTCTCTCCAGGATCCCCTCCTGGCCCTTCGTCGCTCAATCGCGGCCGGAAGCTTGCCAACCGCGACAACTTCATCCGACCTCTCAGCTGAGAATGCCACCGACGACCTGGCGAAAGCCACCCACCTATACTTTCAACATCCTCTACCGCAGGCCATTGCTCTAAATATGCCGACGCGGTTCATCTCCAGCTCCTCCGAATCCCCTGTCGACCTCCGCGGTATCTTCTTCGCGTATCAGAAAAAGGATGTTGCGATTCCAGAGTACATTACCTCAGTGCAGGAACTGAACGAGGCACTTGCGCAAAAGGAGCGCGGCGAAGGCGTGCCAGAAGAAAAGGCGCAGAACCTGTCGTTCGTCGAGCGCTTGGATCTCATCACTTGGTTGGAGGGCGCCTCGGACGAAAGTGAATATATCAAGCCGTTGGAAGGTGTCACCGGTGTACCTTCGTCGGCGGCTCAGGCTCAGGCATCGGCCAACGTCGCCTCTGGCGCGGCAGGTGTAGCTGCTGCTCCTAGTGGTGCTGCTCCTGCTGCTGGGGCTGCTGCTGGAAAGGGCGGGAAGGTCATTGATCCCAGGCTTCAGGAGATCTATGACGGTGAACGAAAGCTGGGAGACCGCAATAGCGTTCTGCGGGGAATCAAGCACACAGTAAGTCAGATTATCTCTCAGCCGAGAACTGCATGTTCTAACCCGGAACAATTAGGACTTTTCCCACGTTCGCAAGATCGCAGAAACCTTCCTCGGCCGCAATCGCTCACGAACAGGCCAATACCCTCCAGGCACAAAGCCCGGAACAAAGCCACACTCCCTAGTCCCAGCACCATCAGCTGGCCTCTCGCAACCCCGCAAAGGCAGCTCAAAGACCCAAGACCCCATCATCCTCCTCTCCCCCTCCGCCTCCTCCCTCATCCGCATGTCAAACGTCCGCTCATTCCTGGGCGACGGTGTATTCGTGCCCCCCGACCATCCAACCCTAGCCAGCCTCAGCGCCTCAACAAACATCCAATACATCCACCGCCCGCTAACCGGAATTACCGACTCCACATCTTCCTCCCGAGCCGTCAGCTCGCAGTCCAGCTCGCGGAAACCGACGCGCTTCATCCTCGTCGACAGCACTGCAAACTTCAAACCAGACTACTGGCAGCGCCTCGTCGCAGTCTTCACAACCGGCCAGACCTGGCAGTTCAAGTCGTACAAGTGGTCCTCACCCCCGGAACTCTTCAAACACGCCACGGGCGTCTACGTCGGCTGGCGCGGAGAAGATGTCCCTCGTGAAGTCCGCGGTTGGGGTCGTGGCGTGCGCAGCTTCTCCGTTGAACGGTGGGACGACAAGGGCGGCGTGCAGGGTACAGGGCGCTGGCGGGATCGTGAGGTCGTCGAGGGGATCTGGACTGCTATTGAGGAAGGGATGAAGTTGCGTGGGTGGGGGTCTAAGTAAAGCAAATGGCAATGGCAATGACATCTATCGTTTGAGTTGTGCATGGGCGTTGTGGATTGGCGTTTTTGTCTGATCAACTTTAATTTTTCTATTATATTCATTTTTATTGCATCTTTTTGGGGTGAGATGAGATTGGTTGGTAGAAGGTACAGACTCTATACCATCGAAACGAATATAAAATGATTTCTTACTCTCTTGGTTTTCACCTAATATCCGTTGGGATATACTAAACAGGCACAGATAAAATGTCGTCCGAAAGTGAGGAACTCTACAGAAAAGCCAAGAACTGCTTTTGTGGTTCTTTAGTGTCTGCATTCATCATACTATGTGTACAGGCATGACAAGTGAAAATGAATAAGAGGCAAACGAAAACTCGAAGGCCATATAATGGCACTCGCTGAACCCTTGGAAAATGCAATCAGATGCAAGAATCGATGGCGCAATGCAGTAGTGACATATGACGGGGCATTTACATCTCAAATGTTGTCGTCGGAGGACACACAAAGGAAAATAAAGTTATATGAAACGAGAAGAAAAAAGAAACAGTAGAGAAGAGCTGGAAATAAAAGGAGATAGGTCTTTGAACTCATGCATGTATGCGAAGAAATGGAGAGGAAAAAGAGAAAAGAAAACGCCACTCTAATGCTGCGTAACAAATTATATGTTTCAGCCTTTTGGTTTCCCGGATTGTCTGCGTGCAGGTCATGGGGACATGGGAAATATGCGAGGAATTAACAAAGGAAATAACAAGCTTAACAAAAGGTCAAGCTGCAAGAATCTCTATCACATGATCCGTGGATCATAATATCTTCGTATCTCGTGATGGCTTGGGAAAAAGCGGCCGGGGAATCTGCGTGCTGTATCAAGTGCGAAGGGCGTATCGAAATCAATGCGGAAGGCGTTAAGGGCGGACGTGGTGGAACGTAGCCAGAGGTGAGGTTTCGCCAATCGAAAAAGAAAAGCTTAGCCACCACCGTCCGTCAATTTTCCTTGTCATTGACGCGCTGAACGGCTCATCGATCGTTCCGGAAGAGGCGCAGGGGTCGGCGAGTAGGATCTTCCACCACCAATCAAATCATCCACATCGTGTTCTGCAAGAATGGCAGAATATTTTGGATCACGCAAGAACTTGGGGACCGAATCCTGGTACACATTAGCATCGAAAGGCGGGGTTTTATGGTCTCGCCAACACTCACACTTGACATTAATTTGAACACTGATGTTTGCGCCATCTCAAACAGCTGTACAACCTCCTGCAAGCTCTTAAGCATAGACTCATCATCTCCCACAGCCTTCGTCATGCGGCTCGCTAAACTGTTGCGCAGCGCGTGATCAATGTTGAGCTCGCAAGGAGATCCGGGTGCTAAGAACGCATTGTAAAGACCTTGCCGAAGAGGGTTAGACAGATCCTATGACTGAGAAAGAATGGACCGGCTTACCATATGCTGCCGCCAATGTTTCCCGTACTGCATCGGGCTTCTTGAAATGGCCAACCTTCTCGTACTTGTGATACTGAGCGGTGAATTCAGACACATCGATATAGAACGACAAGTTCTCTTCGCAAAGCGAGAAGCGGAGGAATTCTCGGAACAGCAGGCGCAAGGCAGGGTCGTGTAAGATGTGGTTCAGGCGCGCGTTATTTGAATCTTTTGGAATTCCTCGGCTGTCGTAGGTTGTGTTATCGCGAGTCTTATCGCGGGCGATCCATCCACAAACTCGCTGGCCGCGATCAGTGACACCGTAAATAGCGTTCTTGGAAGGCTGAAAGGCAACCAGTGAGTTCTCGGGCTGAGGCATGGCACGGTCCTCTTGTAGCACGGTAATCAAGCCATACTTGACGAAAAGTTCCGCGATCAAGACTGTCTCGCGGCGCTCAATAGTAGTCGAACAGTCCATCAACCAGTCAACGGCAGCCTTGCCGTGGAAGGTGTTAGAAAAGACCTTGTCGCCAACTTTACGCTCCTTGGCCATTTTAACCCCAACCAAGCCATTCGAATAATCACTTAGTGAATCTGAATCCGAACTTGAAACACTGCTCTTCACATTCGGCCCATCTTGTCCTGCAAAGCGGCGGAAAATAACCTCAATAGTGGCGCGGTCGTGGGACAGCTTATCGGTCTCTGTATCTCGTTCCAAATTTACCAGCTGCATTGTATTGCGAGGCGATTCCAAAACGTCAATCACATGGCGCGCGGTGATGCCATTTCTTTGGCAGAATCTTTGGAGAATGTTGATACCCTTGGGAGTAAGCTGGTACAGAGCGCCTTTTAACGGAAACATTTGCGAGTATTTGCCGTCAACTGATTCAATGAAGCGAGCATCGACAAAGCGCTGACATACTGACCGAGCCATTTCCTTGGCCATTGAAAAAGTAGTCGTAGTAGTGGTGGTGACAATACGAGACGGGTCTTTCGGATCTGGCATGCGGTTCGACTGGGAGAACTTGAGAGAGCCCAAGTTGTTGATGGCTTCCTCCGATGTAAATGTGTGGTCATATTTTGTGAATCGTACACGGTGTGAATCCAGTTTCAAGCTGACCATGAGGGTGGAGAACAAGTCCATAAAATCCTATCAAAAGAGACGCTCATCAGTACTTCTCTCTTTTTCAAAGAGACCACGACCATGTCAATGGCGGGGTCAATACCTTTGTGAAGGGACGGTCATCTTCCGTCATACGCAATAGCCTTGAAGATGTTTGATGCATTTTGGCTGGAGATGGGCTACCCGCAGAAGTCGGTCGTTGTTCGACAATGGGGGGAACTAGTTGTATAGTCTGGCGACGCCGTTCGATCGCGGTTTTTGATTGCTCCGTCACTGCTGAGATCGATTCGAACGAAGTAGGGCCCGGTTGCTCGCTGGCGCCGCTACCGTCGAACAATGACAGAGACAGTGGGGTGGCTCCCGGTACTTCGCCGACGCTGAGCTGCGAAGACTTGCGCGAATGCTTTTGGAGACTCCCGGAGGAGGCGGATTGCCGGAGAGGGTAGTTGGCAGTCGAACCGATGGCGGAGAGATTCGCGAGGGCACTAGATGTTTTTTCTCGGGCGAGGGCAGCAAAGGAGCGGCGATTGCGTCGTGAAATCGAACCAATGACTGAGCCTGTAAAGCTGGGTGTGCTCGCGGCGGCAGACGGCGAGACTGTGGGCGGTTCAGATGTAGCGAAATCGGAGGCAACAAAGGACGACGCGGAGGTGAGTGTTGGTAGACCGAAGTCAATCGTTGAAGAGGAAGACGGAACAGCGACAACGACAGCAGAAGAAGACTGGGAGACTGGAGGCTGATATTGCTGTTGGGAGGAGGGAGGGGATCCTTGGTTGAGGGGAGTGGAAGATATGGTTGGCATTGAATAGTGCGAACCAGCAGGGTGGGAAGGAAAAGGGAAAAAATAAAATAAAATAAAATAAAATTTACAAAAAAAAAAAAAAAAACCAGACTAGCACAAGAGGGTAAAAAAAAAAAAAAAAAAAAAAAAAGAATTCGGGGAGGAGAAAAAAGGGAGAAAGTGAGAGAGAGGATCAAAGGGAGGGAAAGGCGAAGGGAGGAGGGTGGAGGGTGGATAAGGGACAATCGTCGCAGTGTAAAATGAAACCAGAAAATAAGATCATACAGACTAATCTTAAGACTTCAGAAGGTGAGAAAGGGGAAACGAGGATTTCACTTAGATAAGTACCTTTCCCCTTAGCCTTTCTCGATGTCGGACAGAAATTGATCTCTTCCTTCACGCGTCTTGCAATCGATTTTCCCTCCAGCAAAGGCAGTCTGACTGTTTCCTTCTCCAGGGGTGTGAAGAATTCGGCCTGTCATTCCTGACCCACTGTGCACGCGGACGGTTTCATGCACCAGACAACGTGGGCCAAGAAGATAAGTGGATGGATCAGCCTTTGGGGCGATCAGAGAACCTGGCCTTCCTGCAGACTCCGGCCAGGGTTGCGATGGCTTAAACAAGCCTGATTGTCAACAACCGGGTAGTTTCAGGGCATCTTTGACAACTTGCTGGTGTCCTGACTGTTCTGAGCTTGGGAATTAAGCGCACTTGAGCGAGTCTTGCCTCAGAAGAGAGATGAAGGAGGTTAAAGTAGACGGTATTAGCGGTACCGTAACTTACACGTTTCACCGGGAACCCTCAGACGATCGGCGGACTTAACTGGAATTGGACCTGAGAAAGTCCCAATGAGAATGTCTTCCTCGACTATTGTCTCGAGAATCAGATTGTCTCCCTTCTCAAAGTCAAATAATCTTCGTAGCTACTCAAGGATTCTCACTCAAGAACTGCATCTGAAGTGGTTCGGAGTAGAACCAGACTCCGGGTCTTCTCAGAAAATCGCATTGCATCAGCACAACGTGGACATCGGGCCCAGGCGGATCTTAGCACCTTCCGTTTTCAGAATTGAATCCTTCTGCCAGGGCGGGCCTATGAGCAAAGGCGGTCTCGCCCTTAGTCGTAATTTTGCCAGCGGTTTGTTCTCCACCACCCCAGGCCAGCTTCGCAGTCCAAGACTCCAAGCAAGCCTTGTGCGAAAGAATTTCCTATTATTTGCTCCCTCTGCGAGTCGCGACTGCATGCTGATTCGACCGGCCAGGCAGAATATGGATCTCTTGAATTTGATGATGTTATACGTACGACTTTATCTTTCCCTTCCTCCGCTGATAGCGCGCTTCCTGCCCACGTGGAATTCCCACGCCAGCGAACCCTTCCATAGGATCCTGCCAGTAGTGTGTCACTGAGGACGGCGCGCAGTCACGTGAGTTAAGCATTTTCCAGATGCAGATCAAGACTGGTTTCACGAGTCATGGCTGCTCAAAAACCAGGCAAGGGTGTTCTCGTTCACCTTGGGCTTGGGGAGCTAGCTGGAGACTTGCATAACTGGAAATTCGGTGACTTTGCCCTTGTTGTTTACCAGCACTATGAATTCCTGCATCTTCTGGTCTGTCGACTCTGTCGTGAAACTGATGATAAGTAACGATTATTCGTCACTTTTGACGCTATCCAGGAGACCGCCCGCATCCCGAGTCCAAGATAGCACTCGATAGCTCAGAGGGCAGCCGCTGGGTGGACACTAGTGTGGCTGAGCAGCTTGAGGGATCGCGCTCCTTTCCAAGTGTTGCCTAGCCGAGATCCATGCGGTTCCACGTGGACACACGTGGAGAGAAGCGACCGTCGCTCAGGCGCCTTGGCTTTGCGTCCGCCCTTTCGCAAGCTCTCATGATTGGCACAAAAAGTTCTCGTTTGATTAATCGCCCTTTTACCCATTTTCCCTTGCTTCCCCAGGATTTGTTGGATTAAGGCTAACGGCCTGGTCGTCAGTCTCGGCAATTGCACATGATGGGTGCCCACTTTTGGCACTCGCGAGTTGCTGCCGCCCGGTTCAGAGCGTTCTTTGTCCTGAAATCGCTAGCACGGCCCATTATTCTTATCTTTCCAAAAACAGACAGGGGGGAAGATTGATCTCAAGTGCCCAGAGTGAGATTACAAGAGCCGGGCGGAGCGCGAGCGCAAGACTTCCTGGAGTCATGGTTAAAGGGCAGGGCCTCAAATATCAGATTCGACGTATCAACAGGCGAACTCCACAGACCTGCCGACGGACTTCCTTTCCACCGCTGGTTATTCATCGTCGCCGAGCAGCACGAAATCGAATTCTCCGCAGACATTTACCAGAACCTCATAGGCTTGTCGCCCCTCGATCATTGAACCTCTGCCCTGAGGCTCCAATAGTCTGGTCAGAGTTCGTGATTAAAGTTCAGCTTCAGATCACTAAGCAGACAGAGCACTAGGAGCATGACAAATACGCGAGTCATGAAATTACTAGCTATCCTGCCTCGGCAGTTCAACCTCCTGATTCCTCAACTCTCACGAAGGGACGAAACAACGAAGCGGTGAGCAAAACGATCCGTGCCACCCCGATCTCCCCACTACTTGTCTCTGGCCTTGACAACGTTGAACGATCGCAAGACTCGAGCCGCGTAGCTGTGCACCGGCTCGTTATCGAATCTCGTTTGCTTTGTTTTCTTGGTAACGTTTGCTCTCGATTTCAACCAGCCATCGCAGGAAAGCATTCGCACAGCAGTCCATGCGAACTCACTTGAGTCGAGCGCTGGGTTAATCGGATTCTCAATCCTTACAGTCGTCACAGTACGGAAACTCAAAGCACGACGATCAGTGATCGACACGCAATACATGGCCAATACCAGGGTCACCCTAACCTCTCCCGGTCCAGAACTCAATATCGAACGGTCCAGCCCTGACAGGACTTGATCGTTATAGATAACGATGAACATTTCAATCCTGTTGTGACTGATAGGCTTCTGCCCAAGGGTAGCCATACAGGGCCATATAGTCTGGACTTTGGATCCTCCACATCCTGCCGGCCTTGAGTGTCAGACTGTCAGTGTACGACGCTCCAATATCTTGCGGCCGAACTGGGCCAGAGTCCTGGATCTTGGTCTTCTTCGCCTATTCGAAACAATATTTGCCTTAATATGCACTGCCTGTCATGCGCAGATTTCCAAAGTGATAACGGTCAAGGTTGGCTGGCAAAAGCGCATCAGCTCTCAGGGAAGCCTCGTCCGGGCTCCTGCCTGGTCAGCCACGGTTGAGATGCAGCAGATAAAAGGATTTGAAGGTGGTCTTTACCACCTCTCGATGCACCGCCCGACAAGAAAAATGTCATTCGATATATACGTTATTTTCCCTTGCACTACACACGAGACAGGATACCTGAAACAAACATCTGGCCACCAAACGAGCTACTCTGTATGAACCTGGTTGACACATGACAGTGAGTCCGACTCAAACGGCAAGCCCTTCCTCCGGAGTACAAGGTGTTCGGCAATACCCGCTGTCATCAAAAGTCCTTGGAAGACCAGACTCGGAGGCCCCGACTCCCGACTCCGCACTCCTCTTCTTTTTCGTCAACTTCCTTTTGGAGGCAACCAGAGTTTATGAGCACAGACAACTAACAACAGGTGTCGAATCGTCGGGACATCATGCCAGATTGGTTGCCATGTGGTTTGTTTGTCGAACGATTTTTAAGAGTCGCCTGTAGAGCCGGGGAGTAAATTCCCTATTCCAGCCAGCTGCATAAGTGGGTCGTATAACGACATCGCAAGGGCCGTCGCGGGCTTGCCTCTCCGTCAATGTCCGAAGTCTGACGCAAAATGACAGTGGGCTTCGCGATAAAATTGTCACAACCTGGAAAATTGTCCATGGCAAATCATTCTCCTTCAACTCCGTGATTCAAAGTATCCTGGTTGTTATCCTGCACTGTGCAACCCGCAAAGTTGGAAAGCTCGAAGCACATGTGGGTCTTGACAACCAAGAACTGAAAACAAGACAAACAGCAGCACTAGTAATCGAGATGCGGCGGGAACACCACGTGGCATTTAGAATGGTTAGCCCAAACCTTATGCTCCATGTGTTTGTCGGAGGTTGCCTCGCCTCTGGAGTCAGTCTGGAGATCGCTACGGAGTATAACAGACGGTATCATATTTGTATCTCCAAGAAGCTCAAAGCCGTCGCGTCTCTATGTATCTCGAATGATCAACAGTCTCCAACAATTTGACTTTGCCAAGCATATGTCAAACGTCAAACAGTGCTCAGGTCAAAAGGGGCCATGGCGGTGACCCAGTGCCCAGACACACGGATGTGCCCTGTCACAACAGCGTTGATTATTCCAACTAACAAAGATACAGAACATCATTCAGCTGAACTCGGGGCGCCATACTCAATATGCCTCGTAATAATCTGAGAAATCCGACAACTCAAAAGGATCAAGGAGTCGGAACACGACAAAGAAGATCCAGAACATGGGCAGATCAAGTTCTGCCGCCTCGGTGGAGATGGAATATTCCTAGCGACAATCAAAAGACAACTCTATGACTGTCTGGCGACCGTTTATTTTTACTCCTTCAAGCATAGAATGTTCCTTCTCCGCTGCTCGAAGGGGTGTCAATCTGCGCCAGCTTCGCCGCTCTCGGAGTCTCGGTCGGCCCTTGGTGATGGCTTACCCTGATTCACAAGCTATAACGCGGATTACCTGTCGCTAACTTCTTTGACATATGTCTTCGAATCGGAACCGGTAAGTTTCTTTAATGAGGGTCGGAGGTGCCCGGTTGTTTCAAGTCTCCCCTTTTTTCCAAATTCTTCGAGAGAAATGTTCTTACCCCTTTTCTCCCTGCCATGTGAAGAATGGGGACAATCGACGAGTCAATTATGCAGGGGCGCAGTCAAAGATATGAGCTCATCTGCACGCAGCACAAAGCACAACGCCCCGTGTTCCACTGTGCAACCATGGTAGTGGAAATGAGAGTTAATCAACCTGTGGACAGGATGATATCAGTCGGCCCGGAGTCATGCACGAAGTTGATGAACCCCTTGCCAGGCACCGTCGCCAAGAAAGCTAGAAAATTCCAGAATGATTCTGGAAGACAACTTGAAATGGCATGTCTCGGTCGACGGTTTGAAACGGGTGCCCTCCCCGTTAGATTGCGCCTAACCGCATTCCGCAAATGCTGGCATTAGTGAATACGATGTGTCTGAGTCTTGGTGGTTGGGTTAAGGCTGAGTTTGAGTTTGGTTGGTCTTATCCCTGCAACATTCGTCCAGCCGTCCATGCCATCGAAGCTCCCAGAGTCATTTCGGGATATTTCTTTCGATCCGCTAGGGGCAGGATCCTCAAAAATTAGAACAGAGTTTCCAGTTCGTTGTGGATGAGATTCGGGCCCAAGACCCGTGAGGATCTTCAGCGAACTTTGGGACAATTGTTACACCGCATATTCTTCTTACTCCGTACATCGTAGTCCCCTTGTATTTTATGTCCGCGCTAGTACGGCTCCGTCTCCCATACGGGCCATTACGACCGAGACTCCGCGAGCCCACGAAAAGCGGCACTGGCCGCCACCTGGCCAACTTTCTTTCCTTCCTTAGGCTTCTGCTCCGGCTCTCATGTCCGAGAACCACGGATGCGTTGCGGCAGCGCGATGGTGGCAAAGGGAGAAAAAGTTAGCGATCGGAGGACCCGAGATTGAGCCAACATCACCCAAGATGCCGTCTCCAGGCCGATTACCAAAGCCGGAGACGACAAAGCCTAGGCTAAATCGAATACGAAGAGGCTGGAAAGTTCAAAGAGGCAGAGACTCAAGTCTCAAAATCAAAGGCAGAGTCGGAGTCAGAGCCCGGAGCGCGACCGCTGCATAATTCCTTCACTGGATGATATCGTGGCGCTAGCGTGGGAATTGGCGCTGATCCTTGTGTCCACGCGAGAAACTGAACTTACTTCATTTGCATTAGCAATTTAGCAGGGGGCTACATTAGCCTAGCCTCGCTTGGCGTCGTCTTTGTGAAATGAGCTGATGATAATAAGCCTGGGAGGCTGGGTGATGTCCAAAACGTCAGCATCGCTCCCCGGACAGATCAAATTGATGTCATGCATTAGTGCAGGCCCGCCAGATTACTTTCCTCAATTGATCTCCCCATATGCAATAACCCAAGACGTCGAGACACCCGGCCCGTCAAGCACCGAGCAGGAGCAGAGCAGGGATACCATGCCATCGCCGAATCTCCAACGGGCACCCCTGCCTTCTCCCCAAATCATATCATCTTCTGCTCCGTGCGCCGTGCTCTCTCCAGAGTCCAGTCGTCGGCGCCCCCGTCACACATCGCACACACGACCGACCTTACCCTCTCACCAGGCCACGACAACCACGAACTCAACGCGTATGTCCGTGTAACCACGCAACATTAACACGAGTGTTATTGGCAGATGCCCGCCTGCCTGCGTGCTAGCCGTGTTTCTGCAGCGCATTTCCGAAGCTTCCGGCTCCTCTTGTTGCTCTTCAGCAGCAGCATGGCTCGGGCACCTTGACTGGGCTGAGCTGCGTTGCATTGCATACCTCGTCTGGTTGGCTGTGCTGTGCTGTGCTGAGCTTTGCTTACTATGAATTGGCTATTCTGCTCTTCTGGGCCTTGAAAGTCACTCCTCTCCTCTGTCCTCTCCGCTCGGTCAGCTCAGCTCAGATTCTTATCTCCGGAGTCTTCCGGGGTAGGTACAGAGATATCTAAGTATATTTAGAGAACCGGAGGCCCAAGGCAGACTCGGCGAATCCGAGCTAACGTTACTTGCAAGATCCGCCTGAGTCTGATTTGATTTTATCTGATCTGACTCCATGCACATACTGATACATACTAAGGAAACATAGCAAACAGGAGGAAAGTACCAAAGTAAATGTACACCTCGACTTCGAAAACCAAACAAGCAAACGACGGAATGGATATCTGCGGGGAGAGTGCCCTTAACTCCGGCTCGTACTCTTCGGCTTCTCCCCTTCTAGCCCTTCTTCCTTGTTAGTAAACTCGGTGACTTAACTATTCGGTCTCACTCTCTGCTGAGTGACTGAGTCTAAAGTAGGTCGAGTTCGTTTGTTTCAGAATCGGAACTACCGAGAATAGTCTATTACGCTGGGCTGAAATGGGCTGAGAAAGTTGGGGGCCGATTAAGATTCGGTGTGGCCGCCCATCGTCCGCTTGACTGCATAGTAGTGTCCACTTCACAGTACTGCTCTATACTTCATACATACACCTATTAGGTACCCAATTAGTACCTCCGGGTCTCTTACAGATATACTCTGGGATTAGCCCTAAACAATCAGTGTATCAATTCGTACTGTAGGCAACCTACACTACTATTCTCCTAGCCGTGCTCATCATACCACTTGTTCAGCTACACCCACCCAGGTAGTCACACAGTACAGATATATATTCTGTAGCGGATAGCACAAAACCACTCTAGACTCGCCCTCGAAAACGTACTGTATGAAGTATGCCAAGGAGCCTGGCACGATTCGGCATCTCCCCTAAGCAATATATCGAATCAACATTCAGCACATAACCTCAACCATCGGCAACCGGCAGCGTCGTGCCATCGTCTGATCGACACGCACATTGATATGATTGTGGAGAGTCGGACGGGAGCTCGGTCGTACGGCACAGAAGGGGCAGGCCGCAGGCAGCGGGAAGGGGGAATCTGAAACGGCGATGCTGCTGCTTGTGGGCACGGGTGGTTTCACCAGTTATGACTATAAATATGATTGATATAGGAGTACACGCATACGTTGTGAGAAGGGCCGCTGGAACGCTTTAGCCTCGATGGAGTATATAGTATGATCTACCTACGTACTATTTAGGTCAAAACGCGGAGGCGAATGGGGACAGGGACGAAGGATCCATCCATCCCAATGCCCGAGACTCCGAGTCGGATCAGCGGATGAGATCAGGAACTCGAATCCTGATCGTATCACGTACCTTCCTGTTTTGGCCAGAGATCGTGGCGTCAGGTTACTAAGGGATTATTCTATCGATGCCGATGACTAGTTGTTGTGAGATTCCAACTAGAGGGCTCCACCCTGGGTTTGCTTGAATTAGGGCACCAATGAGCCAAAGGACCATTGGGAATAGAGGACAGATAGTACTCAACGTAGCAAGGTTACTATGTAGTTGATGTAAACATCCTGAAAGAGGAGAAGTCTAGAGTATAGTATAATAGGCTAAATAAAGCAAGCCAACTCGGAAGAGTATTCATGCATCACGCCACCACCTCCCCAACGAACCCCCAGACCCAGCCATCCCCACCACTTCTTCGAGACTGATCTCAACACGGAACATGCGCCCATCCGCCGTCCCACTCCCGCCACCGACAGGACTAATAAGCCCCCAGCTCACGAGCCGCTCCCAGGCCTCGCGCGCGACGTCCCGCCCCCAGACACGCCCCGGTGTCACAGAGGCGCCGGAGACCGACGCCGAGGTTTTGGCGGACGTCAGGAGCCGCACATACTCGGCGTAGGCGGCCGGGAAGGAGAGCGCTAGCGGGGCGAGGTCCGCCTGCTGCTGTGTCTGGGCGGCGGATTCGAGGCTTGGGTCGTAGAGGGCTGCTAGGCGGGTTGCAGCGAGGAGGAGGGAGAGTGGGAGGGAAGAGGGGCTTGAGGAATTGCTTATTGATGCTGAGAAGGGGAGGGGTGGGGGGTCAGGGCAGGAGAGGAGATTGTCTGAGAATGTGGCCGGGGTGGGGACTGCGACGGCAGTGGTTGGGAATGGAGATGTGGTGTTGGCGATGGTGCTGTGATGGAGATCTGTGATGCCGATGAGTGCGCTCGTGAAGAATTCCTTGATCGATTTCGTCTGGTGGTAGATCCTGCGCAAGTGGGTTTGAAATGCCGGGTCGGCCCATAGTCCCTGTTGTTTTGTCGTGAGTCAAACTAGTTCCTTTCATGAAACGAGAGCTTGCCGTGTCTTACCTGCAGATACACTCTCCACCGTTCCAATGCCGTTCTCCAGGCCTCGGACTTGGCGATCGACAGCTCGTCGGAGTCGAATCCTTCCAAGAACTCCGGGGTTTCATCGTCTGCTAGGTCCAGCCCGGCGAGACAAGCGTCGGAAAATACCTCAAATGTTCTCGGGAGGGGGACATAGACCGATCGGTGGCTGAAACGACTCTTGACTCGCTTTTCCAGCGCCTCCGTCACGTCTACCTTGGTGGTCACTCCTAGCACCGCCAGTGGGGCCTTGCGCGCCTGCGCGATGTCGAACAGGTTGTAGAGGAGCGTTTGGCGCGGGTGCGTGACAAATAGGTCAAATTCATCGAGAACGATGACGATTGACTTGGCTGTCCTCGTCGTCGTGCCATCTTGATCATCTGCGGAGCCCCGAAGCTCCTCGGGGTGTGATAGAAGCGCAAGGAGGGTTGCCATCGTGTCTGCGTAGCTGGTGACCTTGCCGGCCTCCTCTGCAGTATCAGTCTCACGGCCAAGCTGCCGCCATATCTCTCGCAAGGCCAATCGGTCATCTGTATGTAGAAAGCCATTGAGCCGGACAACATGAAAGTCGTTCTTGTGCTCTTTCGCGAGAGAACAGACTATGGTCTCGATGATAGCCGTTTTGCCTGAGCCTCGCGACCCAAGAAGAAGCAATGAATTGCCCTCTCCAACAGTAATAGTCTGCTCGAGTAATTGATGAACCTTGTGATACTCGTTCTCCAATCCCTTGAGCGGAACCAGTCTCTTCCCATTGAGCTTCGAGATGACCGTCTTCGTCAAGAGTCGCACTTCTTTCGCATAGCCGCCCTGAACAAGCTGTTGAAACTGCTCCGCATAGGGAGGCAGCGGCTCCTCCGCCACTATTGCCTCACCTTCTTCAATCCTGTGCGCACCTCCATTTGTGTAGTCCTGGACAAGATCCTGCTGAAGCTGCATACTAACAAGATCATCCAGCCCATCCTGGAAATCATCAGCAGCAGCCGGCGACTGTCCCTCCCCATCTCCATTCACAGCCTTAGAAGCACCACCATCCGTATCCGTAAACCGCACAGAAGCCCTCTTCGGCCTTGCCCTGGTAGCCGCCGCCCTCCTGGCCCTTGGCTTCGGCGACCCGGGTCCAACCTCTGGATCTGAATCCGAGTCAGGCTCCGGCTCTGCCTCTGACGGCTCCTCCTCCTCTTCTTCATCATCTTTGGATTCTTCTCCCTCTTCTACCCCCTTCTCACTCCCCGTCTCCGAAACATGCGACTTCCCGCGCGTAGACCGAGGCGTAGCGCGCGCCGGCGTAGACGTATTCCCGGCCCGCCGCTTCCGCGCTGACTGTGTTTGCACGGGTTCGTCTTCGTACCGCTGCGGCGCCTTTCGTTGTCTTCCACTTGATCGCAGTCCCGTCCTTGAAGGTGTTGGCGTCGTGGCGCGGTTGTTATCATCAACTTCCTTCTGCGGCGTCGTGCCGTCGTCGTGCATCTCGATATCCCCGTCTTCGTCTACGGCGGCAGCATCGGAGACTCGACGGCGCTTTGCGGAGCGCGGGTCTTTCATTGTTGGTGATGTGTTCTGTTGGTGTGGTTGGGATGGATTGGGTTTTTGGTCGAGGTGGTTCCGGAGAACAGGGGTGGTGCGCGGCGCGGTAGGTTGAGCTTTTGAGTCTTTCAATGGGTAACTAAACCTTGAAAGAGTATTTTCAACGGGTGGATTGACTTCAATTGCACGATTTGGCTCCGGGGTTTAGGGAGTTGGAAAGAGCTCGAAGGTGGTCGAAAGCGGTATGCATGCACTTTATTATTGTGTACAGATGCACAGCGCGCATGCGGAATTCTGGGCGATCAGTAAGATCTTGCTAGTTATGAAATATTGTGCAAGCCGTACATACTGATTATCTCGGGCTGGCGCGCGAATGTTGGTTGATGGAAGTTGACCTCGTTTCGCATTGAGGTTGTCCGAGATGGGAGGTCCGCGTGCCTGAGGCAACACGCGTAACGCGAAGTCAGGTGAGCCTCGGAAGATATTAAACTGGGCTTCTACAGACGTTATAGATGTGTTGTAGGCTAATCAGATTTATGTCTAAATTCGGGGAGAATATATGAAGAAGAAGATGAAGTTGCACTTCATGCGGGTATAAGCGTGGCCGACGAATCGACCGCCGAGCACATAATCGAACAGATAAAACTAATAAAGACAAATCATGAAGCAGAAGGCTCCCATAGCCGTCCGTATCTCAAATATTCCGTAACCCATTAGATGTTTCCGCCAACACGCCGAGTACGCCATCCTCAAATCCATCACCGGATATAAAAACACCCAAGCCCACGAGCGAACGCCAGTCCATTCCAATCGTTTTGAAAGAGAATAAAAGAGATAGCGGTAATAAAGACAAGAAGAAAGAACAAAGTGTTCGTCGAATGTATCAATGGCCAGCCGTGTCTTCAGAAAATAATAGGACGAAAATGATTAGGAAGCAGAGGGGAGATGTGTTGGGTGTGTGGAGCCCGATACACCTTTCATCGCAACGTCCACATTGCTCGGGGTTTTTGCTGAAGCTGAAGAGCCGAATTCCGGCTGCGTACCACTTGCCGCGTTTAGACTGTCACGTCTATCTGAAGGTATAGCAGGCGGGGTTGGGGCTGGCATTGCAGTGGCTTGCGCCTGCGTCTTCTCCGTGGTAGGAGTCTTCAAAGAACTTCTTTGCATCAGGTAGTCGCCCAGGCTAAGCTTCTTTTTGACTGGACTAGGTGCAGCCACCCCTGCCCCAGGAGCAGCAGTTGCGGGATGCTGCAAGGACGGATCCAAAGTGGACGGTGATGATAGGGCTGACGACAGCGCAGAATTTGGGCTAGTAGCAGACGGCACGAAGTTGACAGCGCTCGGAGTAATATGTACACCGGTATCCACGCGAGGGCTTGTGGCCTTCCGCGCAGGTAATCGAGCAATATGTGCCGCGCTGGACGGCCAGGGTGGTGGCGGTAACGATTTGCCCGAACCACGCCCATACGTTGGTGAGTTCTCGACGGTCGTATTTCGTGTTTGCGACCGTGCCGACGACGATCCCGTTGGCGACTCTAGATTTCGCATTTCTACGTCTTCCTTTTCACCAGATGCACTAGGAGTGGTGGGCGTAGGGGTAGAGACTCCAGCGCGCGTCGAGGCCATTGTCTTTTCATGTGTGATATTGTTGGAGAGAGGAGACGTGGGTTGCTGCAGACTAAGCTGTTCTAACCGTACTCGATCGGTGTAACATCGCTTCAAAAGACGCTGCGTGAGAGGGGTAAAGCTGGGCCGCCTGGAGGATGGAGGACTTGGTGTCACGCCGTTCACCGCATCCAACTCTGCTTGAACAGCCGAGTCCACATATTGAGAACGGCCCGGCGGAAATCGCGCGGAGGGAGTGCTTGGAAGAGACGATTTACGGGGTGACGCGTGTCGGCCTGTCGATAACGGAGGCGAGTATGACTGACGGTCAAACGTGTTGCTGCCTGTCTGAGTCGACTGTCCACTGACCCGCTTCTTCCGTTTGTGAGTGGCCTGCTGTTGATCCTGCTCTAATTGCTGAAACTTCTTCTCTGCCGCGGCAATTTTACGCCTCTCGCGGGCTGAGAGTTCAGAATCACCGAAAGCATTTTGCACGTCAGTTGGGGTCTGCAAGGTTGGTGTGAGGTCACGACTATTGGTTTGCCAGTGCGTGGAGCCTGATGCAGAATGACTGTCCGCGTGATCGTCTTCTTCAGGGTTCTTGATGGACTCGCTCCCGGCACGGCTATTGTTAGTTGGTGGCGTTGTATTCGACTTGCTTTTCGTCTTTCTCCGCTTCGCATGTGCTTGTTTCAAGCTACCATCCGAGTTCTTGAGATACCGCCGACGATCGAGGCTGGAGAGTAAGCAATTAGGAGACGGAACGCAGGCGCAACCCCCAAAATTAGCCAGAACGTTGCTGATGCAGGTAGCGGCCATTTCCGGCATACTATCGCCGGGCTCCTGCTTGACCAGGCTGTTGGTGGATCCAAACAACTGAGCGTCAAGATACCAGGTCGCGGTAATTTCGGAATCTGCGGCGATGTCTTCCTTAGCGACAAAGCAAAAATGATATTCTACCTCGTTGGTGATATAGGTCTTCATCGTCAAGTTCGGACGGCAGGAGCGCCTAGCATAGCGGAGTATGCTGCCCTCTTGCCGACTGTCAATGTAGATTGGAAGCTGTGGATGAAAGAAGACAAATGGCTCAGGATGCCGTAATTCCTGCCAACGGTTGCTGGGATCAAGAGAGTAATCGCGCAGTAAGCCGATCTTGCCCGTGATTTCTCCAACAATTTCATCCTTACTGACCCGATTTCGTGTTTTGAGAAGTTTCCAGGTCGGATGTGTGCCATCAATTTCAGTATTCGAATCCGTAATCGACTCCAGGGATAGAGATGGCCAATGGGATCGGTCTAGAGCCGCACCGGATCGGGTAAATATATCTTCAGCAGGACGGCCGTTGGCTGCACGCGCGAGCGCTGTCGGGTCCTTAACCCACGACGCGAGATCGGCTGCAAGCGTAAGATTGACAAAGAGATTACCATCGATATCGGCATGGCCATGATCACGGTCATATAGATGAAGAAACTCATTCGAATAGAGGGGAATGGACGGCCCTGGGGGCTTTGTTGGGCTCATGGAGGCTGCGGTGCGCTTGCGCGAATCAGAGGCGAGAGTGGGAATTCCTGAGAGTGAACTGATGGAGCCAGAAGTACGATGGCTTAACTTCGCCTTCTTAGAGGGAGGTAGGTCACGACTGCTTGACTCAGATCGCTGGTGAAAACCATTTACCTGATCCCCGTGTTCCTTTACCTTTTTCTTGTGACTCTTTGCCCCTGACCGTTTGGCCTTGCGGTCACCGCCATCGCTATGTTCTCTGAGGCGTCTCTGTCTCTGTCGTTCAGTGGCGCGCCGCGCATCCAGATGACGGGGCTCACAGTCGACACAGTTGTGGACCTCAGGGACAACTCGACCATGGTAGTAGCAATCGATATGCTGCCAGGTCTCGCAGCGTTCGCAAAAGACCGTGTTCCCATCGTCATCTTCGAATGCACAAATGCATTTTATGGTGTACGGCTCCTCATCTTCGGGCGCAGCCGAGTCCGAGACGGTGCCGTTGACGATGGGCGAGTTCAGAGGGGCGGTGACCGGGTAAGGCTCCGTGGCTGGATGCGTGATGGCGACTGGGGAGGTCTCTGTCATAATCTGACAGAACACCTCCTCAAGCGGATACTGATGGAAAGCGCGCGAAGAATCTGTGTTTTGCAGAAGGACGGCGAATGGAGATCACCTATGTCCCTAAAAACATATCACGAATGCCACACAACGTTTTGCCGGAGAGATGTCTGTCCTAACGCGTAGTATCCGCACAGCGCAGGGCGTCACGATCTGGCACCCTTTGCGAATCGATGAACCAACTGGGAAGCCAGAAGGGTGGGAAGAGCAAAATCGTCCAGCGGCCTCCAGATCAAACGTTGCTTCGATAACTGACAATAATCAAATCAATCGGCACGGCTAGTTGAAAGAATCGGGGTTTTAATAAGGACGTCGTCCACCGTGGTGTCTGCGACCGTGGGATGAGAAAAGCGTGTCGAGGGTCGAGAACCGGAGAAGGCGAGAAGGCGAGCGAGGCATGAATCGCATGGAGGGAAGGGCAGTGAAGGACGAAGACGAGAACGATAACAACGCAAAGCGACGAGAATGATAAACGAAATGGTGACGACTGTAAGGATGGTTAAGATAGGAGAAGAGAAAGGGAGGTTGTAGAGGGCGAAGGTGGACAAGACGGGAATGTGGGAGGAAGGAGCAAAACGATGGAGGGAAGACTCGGATGATGCAGCTGCGGTGGAGGAATGCGAGACAAGCGAGGACAGGTAATCAGTCGAGTCACGTCGAGTCGAGGGAGAGCGAGAGTTTGAAGGGGAGAGGGAAGGGAAGGGAGCGTGAGAAGAGACACAGAGGCTAAAGCCACGGATGGGCCATTCAAGCGGCGCGTCCAAGACCCAAGGTAAAAAAGGAAAAGCGCGGAATAATTTTTCCCACCCGATCTTGATTCTGGGGGAGGTCGTGTTGTGGTAGATCGAGGCCGTTGCAATTTGGATCTTTATTTATTTTTCTGTGCCGCTTAGCAAGCAAAACGTTGCGATCATTAGGACGGGTATAAAGGCAGAAAGAAAAGGGAGTAGTAGAGCCATGATGGAGTGCAAAACGAAGGACGGGAGCAAGAGGAGGGGGAGTCGAGGAGATCCCGTTCAAGGGACGAATTGCGAGCTCGAAGCTGAGAGGTCGAACCTGCGCAGGGAGGGGAGAATGCTGCCTGCGTTCCCAGGCTGCCAACCTGGCTGTTTGCAGCTCGCTGCTGACAAAAAAGCTGAGATTAGTGCCTGAGGAGTCAGTCATCAACGCTAGTCTTGAAGGGGGAAGGCACAATGCCAAGGCCCTGTTTAGGCATAGGCGAAAAGGAGGTCACTGCTGATGGCAAGCGATCGGGAGCCTAATCGTGACAGACAGACGGCAGTCAAAAGGCTGCAAAATGACTGTTAGTGGCAATCTGTAGAGTGAGCAAATATATCAAGATGATATGATTTCAGTGGCCTGATGTGGGGAGAACATCCTCTGGCAGCGGGCTCTTCCCCTCGGCGTTGAAGTATAGTGACACCAGCCACGCGTTTTTGCAGGTAGTACTCCGTGCACGCCTTGGTCGCAGAGGAGCGACAGAACGTTCGCAACATGGCGCCCCGCTTCTAAGAGGTGCTTCAAGGACGAAATTAACAGTGGTGATTGCCAAGTTTGACGACTGGTTGTTGATGCCCGAGGCAAAGTGATTGAGAAGTGAGAAGCGGTTCCTGAGTAAGTGGAAGAGAGAATATATGGGAGGGGCGCAAGAAGAGGAGGAAGATATGAGGATCAACCGGGGGAAGTGGGAAGCGGAACGGAACGCAGGGTTCTTTAGTCTAGAACCTTGGAATGGAAGAGAAAGGCATCAAGAGGCGTGGTCGGAGCGGGCAGCTCTTCTGGGCCATATAACGCATCACAGTACGTAGGCCAATAGCAAGAAATCACTGACATGAGTTTACAAGCAAAGAGTTGTTCGGGAGCAAAAAGCATTTAAAGGGGGAACAAAGTCATAGAGCGAGGCTAGGTAGTAGGGGAAGCAGGAAGGAAGTCATCTGAGTCGAAAAAGATTGGGGAGTAACATGATCTCGTTCGTGAGCGGTGCAAAAGAAGCGAGGAGAAACACAGAGGGGTAAGGGCGGGTGGCCAACGCCTAAGTGCAGGATTTATTGACCATCAGGAACCACTGGGAGTCTCGTTCCTTAAGAGGGCGAGATCCGGAACTTGGAACGACGGCTATCAACCCCATACTTCCGGTGGGACAAGATGAGGGGAGCAATATCGAGGGAATTTGGAGTACTCTGGCTCCAGCAGGATGGGTTTGGAGTACTCCGTAGGGTATGTGAGTTTTTGGCAGCTTTTCTTTGAAGTTACCATCTGGTTAGGGGGAAGAAATCCGTGCGTGGCGAAAAAGAATAAGACAGGGCGGCGGGGAAGAAAAACTAGTAATGCCCTCCGTAATGAGTCGGGGTATCAACTGCCTAAGGCACTCTTGACATCCTCCAATTCTCTCTATTTTCTTTTGCAGAATGCATTTCTCCACGTCCTGGACTTTTGATAAGCCTATTACCTCGAATATATAAAAAAAGGAGTAGAGTCTGGCAAATGAAACCAACTTGAATTAACTGCCTTGTATCATGAATTGATACTTCTCATAATAATATGTAGTACACAAAGACAACACACCATAAAAAGAGAGGAATTATACTAGGTCAATCGTCAACTGCATTAGTTCAGTCTTAGGAGGATTGCGCATTAGGGGCAGCTGAAGCTGATCCCTCGCCTTCGCGCTTGCGCTTCTGCAACTCCATGGCCTGGCCCTGAGATCGCTCTGCCAGTGTTTCGACATCGTCGTCATTGGATGCTTCCATCTGGGAAGTCTTCTTCCGGATTCCGGTTATGAGCCGATGAGAGAGGTACATGGTGCTGAACATCCCGACCGCAACGTGGGCAGGGATCGCGTTGCGGGGGTTGAATTGGTAACGGGGAGCAATGACAATCTGGGAGAGGTTGAGTGTGACCAACAAGACACTGGTGATAAGAGCGAACCACGTTCCAAACGGCTGAACAAAGGATCGATGCACTGGCACGATTTCTGCTCGGCCAACTGCTCGTCGGAAACGGATATAGGTAAGGCATGAACAGATCCAGGAAATGTAACCGGAGGTGGTAATGAAGAACATTAGGTAATTGTGCACAGAGGAGCTTGACATGACCATGCATAGGAACGTCAGCCAGGCGAATCCGGCTGAAATGGCGACGGAGATATAGGGGACATTCCAGCGGTTGCGAACCATGAACATCGCGGGGGCGTGGCCGGCTTCTGCCATGTTCGCTAGCATACGGGAAGACAGGTGGAGGAAAGAACGGCCCGAGGCCACGGAAGAAAGGAGAATCATTCCGACTGCAGCATTATGCAGCGCCCGAACGCCCGAGTCCCTGGTACCCACGGTATAAGGCGAGAGACCTGCGCCGATGCCATCATTGGTGAGCGATTGGTCGGTGTACGGTGCCATTATGGTGGCGGATAGCGCGGTCATGATGTAAAGGACAAACATGACGAGATTGCTGTTGCGAGTGAACCGAAAAATGCTATTCCCTTGCTCCCCATCGTGCTTTTCGGCTCTCTGCACGGTCAATTCTGGAATGAAGACAACCGTGATGGTGCTGCAGAGCAGACAGTATATCATGCCGAGGAAACGGCCAAAGTCCCCGCGTGCCAGAAAATCGTTGAAGGGACCGGGTTGACTCCAGTAGTGAAATCCTTTGACCGGTCTGCTGGGATCGTCTCGAATCGCAATGTAACCCGCCATAGATATGAGTGAGGTGGTCACGACGAACTTCAGTCCCGTGAAAAAGGACTGGGACCTTCTGAAGATCTTGTCGGGTAACACATTAAAGCCGAATATCACACCCATGACGAGGCCCATGCGCAGCGCAATATCAGAACCCGGTGTCCATAACCCAAGATGAACCATTGCAGTCGTGACTTCGAAGGGAACCATCACAGCAAGTGTACACCAGCGTAGATAGGTTATCGCAAACCCCAAGTGGCTTGACGTATAATGATATGTGTGACTGATCAACGCGCCATTTCGGCCGATGGAGTGCGTCGAGACCTCCGCGATGCCGCTTGTCACGCAGTATACCAGTGCCGATATGAATACGTAGGAGAAGATGAGCGACGCAGGCCCGCCTGCCGCGAGGGCCTGGCCTGAGCCTACAAACAGGCCGGTTCCCAAAGTAGGACCGATCGTCATAATTGATAGTAAGAATAGATGATAAAGAATGAGATGTGAAAAGATCGTAGACCCCCGGGGACAGCTGAGGTGCAGGTGAAACGGTGCGAGTGTTGCAGAGAGAGGCTTGCACAGGGCGAGAGGTGTCCCTCTTCCCCGAGTTGCCCCGACGCATGGCTCCTGCTATTTGCAGGAAGCACGGGGCATTCCTGCCACATTGGGGTACCGTATGTGGACAGTTCGCATTGGGCCGGAGGATAGGGAAGGCGCAGATTATCCAATTGTTGAAGCATTACGGGTTGATGAAGCAGCCAAAAGAATAAGCGCAAAGAAGCTCGTGATCGAAAACGCCTGGACGATGGGTATCACTGTCTATAGAACGAAGAAAAATAAAAAAGGCGCAAAAAGCTCATCGCCCCAGATCAGCACTGCGTCCCCCTTCAAGAATTCGCAACGGAGGTTGCCACACTCTTCAGTCCAGGCAGAAATGAGCTAAACGCGCAATGGGCCGACAATGAGAGACTTTACTGGTAACTCATATCTGTCTCCGCGTATTCTAGCCATTCCCCGGACAATGCCTTCTTCCAGAATCTCACAACGCCGTCGTCGCCGGAGGAGATCAGGCAGTCACCTACACGCTTATTAGGTTGCCCGCGCTCTGGTCAATGTTAGGGTGCATATAAGAGACACTCACCTGCATACGAGAACTCGACTTGCCATACGTCTAGATGTTTGCTATCGATGCATGCGACTTCCTTGGAGAAATGCTTGAACTGCGAGTCACCAGTCGTGGAGCGGCTCGTCATAGAAGTGGGTGCACGGTTTGCCAGCGCTGACCCTATCCCTGATTGTACTGTCGTGCGCGATGACTGAGATGCTGAAGATGGGGTGTGGTTGCGGTCAGATTCTCGAGAATTATTGGAGGCAAGAGAGGTATGAACCTCGAACACTCGCACAAAGCCGTCTTTACACCCGCTAGCGATCAAGTCATAGCCTCTGACTGAGCCATTGGCCCAGGATATGTCCCTCACCAATCCCCCATGGCCGGTCAACTCTATTGCATGATAAAAGCGACGGTTGGCGTCAGTCCGGTAAACCTTTATACTGTCCATTGCTGCAACAACGAGGGACAAGCTTTTGCGGTCCCATGATGGAAGAATCGAGTGCGTTATGTCTGTGGGATCGTGGTGGAACTGGACTTTGAAGCTTGTCTCTTCTCCCCGCTGAGGGGCGGTGCACACTCGAAACTCATCGACAGTCTGCCAGTCTGCTAGTGAGTCCGGGCTAACAGGTTCCATGACCCTCAAGAATCCGTCGCGTGTTATCACAGCGAGCCAGGATTCAAGGTCAATGTTACGAAAGTCGATTGAGACGAACGGGTGCCGCTGAGGCGCCGTCATGCGAAAGATAGTTCTGAATCGCCGGCCGGAATTTGGCGGTTGAGTGACATCCTCTTGCCAGATTTTACACTTCATATCTTCGCCTACGCTGCCAATATGCTGACCGGTAAACGGCCCATTCCAGGTCGCCTGCGCGAGGAAGGATTAGCCGCCCATAACAGCAACGAAAATGAACCAGGACTGGTCCGACTTACGTCGCGGATTTCTGCATCATGGGCACGCCATGTGTCTATGAGTTGCCATTCTCCATCTTGCTGGTCCCAGACTTTCATGCGATGGTCTGACGAAGCGGTAACTATGCGATTCCCATAAAAGTTGAACTTGGTCACAGTCACCAAGTCACGATGACCAGTATCAAAGTCGGCGAACGAAGACGACATTTATAGCCGGTTTGGAATTTCTGTCAGGGGATCTGGACCCTGCAAGACATACGCCCGGACGCGTAACAGTCGGTTCCAGAACTCAATTGGTGGAGGATTGTGTTCTTTGAATGCGTCAGCTTCGGTCATCTCTTTCTCTTGTATGCAAGAGATACCTAGGGTACACTGACTTAGATATATACCTTATCAGTCTAGTCCCTACTAGACGTAATGCAGTAGCGCCCGGCAAGTAATAGTAGTTCTACTACGAGTGTAAGGTATGGATTGGATGTTTGCGTGGATCATGTGAGAGAGACGGGGAGCTCTCTCACCGCCTTCGGGGCGCCGAGAATCCGCGGGGCAGAACGAACGGCCACGCGGCCACCACATTTAGCCTCCGTATACTCCGCCGTATTTATTGATGATCTGTCTTGAACGGGCCAGATTGTGGTGTTTCTATTTTCCACCACTTTGTCTCGCCCAGTGCAAAGGGAATGGAATGGGACTATAGTTGAGCTCTTCATTCATAATGGCCAACCCAAAATCGAGCTCCCTCTCCCGTCGAGAGACGTGGAGTCTCATCATTCTTGCAGGCGCCTGTCTTGGCGTGCTGGCTAATACTTTCGAGGGGGAGGGCGCACCGTTGGTGGCTTCTCTTGCATTCAGCGGAATTGCATTTGCTGTCACCTTTAGCATGATAAGATGGCTTGGACCTGTTTTCATCAAAGCAGGCTTAAGCGGGAAGGATATGGCCAAACCAAATCGGCCTGTCATGTGAGTCTCTACAATTGGTCTACACGCTCTATTACTGATGATCAAATCTAGACCGGAAACTATGGGCGCCGTCTGTGCGGTTGTATACCTTCTCGTACTCATCTTCTTCATTCCCTTTGCGTTCTACAAGGACATCGTGGCCGCCACTTCTGGCGGTGGTAATCGCGATGTTGTTATTGAAGTGCATCATGTAGAGACAGGTCGGACACTGCACAGGTTTCCCCATGAAAGGGTTCGTACTTGATTTCATGATATTCAATTTGCTGGTAATACTAACAGATGAGTTTTCAGCTTGCTTCATATCTCTCCGGTCTTTTATCGCTTCAGTGCATTGTCATCCTTGGGATTGGAGACGACCTGCTCGACATTCGGTGGAGGCACAAAGTGCTGATTCCTGCCTTTGGATCAATTCCCATGCTTATGATCTACTTTGTAGACTTTGGCGTCACGCATGTTGTTGTCCCAGTGCCCCTGCAGCCCTACCTTGGTACCTTTCTCGATCTTGGCTTCTTGTACTACGTCTACATGGCTGCGGTGGCTATATTCTGCCCCAACTCAATCAATATGCTGGCGGGCATCAACGGAGTTGAAGTGGCTCAGTCGCTCGTGATTGCTGTCTTGCTGATGGCTAACGATGCACTATACCTGATCACCCCCTTCCGCCACCCTGCCACCGACTCGCATCTTTTCTCGCTATACTTTTTGCTACCCTTTGTTGGAGTCTCGCTCGCCCTTCTCTCCCAGAATTGGTATCCATCGAAAGTGTTTGTCGGGGACACCTACTGCTACTTTGCCGGCATGGTTTTCGTTGTCGTTGGAATCCTCGGACATTTCAGCAAGACCATGATGCTCTTGTTTATTCCGCAGATCTTCAACTTTCTCTACTCGACTCCCCAGGTCTTCAAACTGATTCCTTGTCCTCGACACAGACTCCCCAAATTTAGTGTGGAGACCGGACTTTTGGACGCCTCAGTGACTGAATGGACAGTGCCTCCCTCGCCGTTGATCGCGACCGCTCTGGAACTCTTGCACTGGCTTCGCCTCGCGCGTATCCAGAAAAACGAGCAGGGCGAGATCGTCGAGTCAAGTAACTTGACTATTCTCAACCTGTGGCTAATCTGGATGGGCCCGATGAGAGAGGATCGACTAGCATTGAGTATGGTCGGCGTCCAAATCGTATGTGGGTTTTTTGGTCTTTTTGTGAGACATTGCCTGGCATTGTTGGTATTTACCACGGACAACAGAGCGCTCGGGATGATGATCTTATAGACATAGAGTGATCCAACCTTTGATGTACTATATCCTGTTCTAGTATTCTCAAGCGAATAGCCATAGCTTTACAAGCGGAAATCAGCCTATAAGCACTCTATCGCCCCTTAGATCTACACGGAAACACGGTTTCCGATTTGTGATCCTCGATTGATGCAGGGTGCTGACCACCCGCCGCAATCTCCATACTTTCGGGGATCGGTGCCGCCGCTAACTCCGCGCTTGGCTTGGGCTGACCATACAAAGTCAGCATGTCCGGGTGGCTTGCGGGTTTATTCACAGGATCGCATGGACCATGACATCAAGACAATTTCACGATACTATGGATATCCCTGGGATGACCGGAGATAGGATAGGAATATTCTCTTGGCATACTCGCAGGATGTCTGGTTGTCGTTGTTCGTTGTATAAATACCTGGAACTGCCCTGACGAGGGAAAGCAACAAGGCAAGCCTCTCTATCAGTCTATATCAATTAGCAATACGCTCTACACTCAATACCCCCTAAATCAACTTAATCAAGCATCAAACCATCGAAATGGTCGACTTCATGACACCCGCCCCCGAGCCAGCCACCGAGCTGGGCCGGTACCGCATCCTCTCCTCGAGCGCTGGAATCCGGGTATCGCCACTGCAACTAGGCGCAATGTCAATTGGAGACGCCTGGTCCGGCTTCATGGGCTCAATGGACAAAGAATCCTCTTTCAAGCTGCTTGACGCCTTCGTCGAAGCAGGCGGCAACTTCATCGACACAGCCAACAACTACCAATCTGAGCAGTCAGAAACTTGGCTGGGTGAATGGATGGCAGCGCGGGGAAACCGCGATCGTATGGTCATCGCGACCAAGTATACCACAGACTATAAGAGCTATGAGTTGGGGAAGGGGAACGCGCCGAACCACTGTGGGAATCATAAGCGGTCGTTGCATATGAGTCTTCGGGATTCGCTGAAGAAGTTGCAGACGGAGTGGATTGATATTCTCTATGTGCATTGGTGGGACTATACAACTTCAATTGAGGAGTTGATGGATAGTCTGCATACTATGGTTGAGCAGGGGAAGGTGTTGTACTTGGGTATCTCGGATACGCCTGCGTGGGTTGTTAGCGCGGCTAATATATATGCTCGCGCGCATGGAAAGACGCCATTTAGTGTCTATCAGGGCCGATGGAACGTGATGCTAAGGGATTTCGAGCGCGATATTATCCCAATGGCCATTCATTTCGGCATGGCCCTCGCGCCCTGGGACGTGCTTGGAAGCGGCAAGTTCCAGTCTGCAAAGGCCATGGAGGAGCGCCGCAAGAAGGGCGAGGGATTGCGGGCCATGCTGGGTGCAGGCGAGCAGACCCCCGACGAAGTCAAGATGAGCGAAGCACTCACCAAGGTTGCCGCGGAGCATGGAATCGAGTCGGTCACAGCTATCGCCCTTGCTTATGTGCTGCAAAAAGTTCCCAACGTGTTCCCCATCGTTGGTGGGCGAAAGGTAGAACATCTGCACGATAACATCCAGGCGCTCAAGATAAAGCTCACCCCGGAGCAAATTCAATACCTTGAAAGTGTCAAGCCCTTCGACGTCGGTTTCCCGCAGAATATGATCGGAAATGATCCTAGGATCACCGGTGCCGTCAGTCCGTGGATAAGCTTTGGTGCCCAGTATGCGGTTCCGCCAGCCCTCAAGGCAATCACGCCAAAGTGATAGATGGAGTTGGCAACGCCATTCTGGCTGAGTTGTGTGTTGAGCAGTGTTGCGGAGGGTTTTGCGAACTACAAGTCCTGTCTGTATTTATTTATCAGTGATTCAGTATCGGAGCGTAATGAAATTTTGGTTTTCTCTGCTCGGCCAGCCTCATGCATGATTCTGAAAGCATATACCCGTGAGCTTAGGTTGTAAAACGGTTCGTCGCAAGTAGTATTCAATTCCAGCATCAACTGAAGAACGACGGAGTCCGTATCCCGACTGCGGCGACATTACCCCACGCCTATCTGCCCGTGGGGCTCCTGTGGCCGCAGCTACTCCAACTTGGCACTTGAAAGACGTAGCATTACAGCTTAGGCTCAGGCCTCTTCAAGAGCCACCATCCATGCAATTCACGGAGAGATGCATAAATGGCGAGGTTTATCGAACCAAACAGAAGCGCTCGATTAGACCGTCAACTGGTCTGACTGGACGACCTCCGGGACTAAGCGCCGCGTGCCGAGTCCCAGGCCGCCATCGGAGCAGGTGGGTCTGTGATCTACCAATCGGTGCGGGCGCAATTGTCTCTTACCACCCGAAATCGGGGCTGTTCCAGAGCCCCTCGATTGCTGTGGCCAGCGACATCGCGATGGAGAAAGATTCTTTAAAGAACCCCGGACGCTTCGTGCCTGCTGTGAAACTCCATACATTTGATTATCAATTCCTCCGGAGTGGCCGTTCTCCCCTCCTCTGACCGAGAAATACCCCTTCTCGCTACTCCTAATACTCGATACTCGTTGACTCTATCACTCTATCTTTGCCCCTCATGCCTGGCGCTGACAGGAAGCCCAAGACCTTGTACGACAAGGTTTTGGATGCTCACATTGTGAACGAGCAGGAAGATGGCACTCTCCTGATCTATATCGGTATGATGCCCAAGCGTTGAATCTCGATTCGCGACAGTACGCTAACTTTTACTAGACAGACATCTGGTCCACGAAGTCACCTCTCCAGTACGTCTGAGCGATTCGCCTCGCGTCAGGTAGTTTTGTTTCGCCGCTAACAAGTTAAATAGCAAGCCTTTGAAGGCCTCAAGAACGCAAGCCGCAAAGTCCGCCGGCCGGACTGCACCCTTGTCACTGTCGACCATGTAAGCTTTTCTGTGTGACGCCATATCTTGGTGAACAAAGACTGACAGTCTTCTTGCTAGAACATCCCCACCACATCGCGAAAAAACTTCAAGAACGTCGAAGAATTCATTGAAGAGAACGACTCCCGCCTGCAATGCTCGACCCTCGAGGAGAACGTCAAGGACTTTGGTCTTACATACTTTGGAATGGGTGACAAGCGCCAGGGTATCGTGCACGTTATTGGTCCCGAGCAGGGTTTCACTCTCCCCGGCACAACTGTCGTCTGCGGTGACAGCCACACTTCCACACACGGTGCCTTCGGCTCCCTTGCCTTCGGTATCGGTACCAGTGAAGTCGAGCACGTCCTCGCTACTCAGACCCTCATCACCCGCCGCAGTAAGAACATGAAGATCCAGGTTGACGGCGAGCTCCCAGCTGGCGTTACATCGAAGGATGTCGTTCTGCACGTTATCGGATTGATTGGAACCGCTGGTGGTACAGGGTGCGTTATCGAGTTCTGCGGCTCCGTCATTCGTGGGCTGAGCATGGAGGCTCGCATGTCCGTGTGCAACATGTCCATTGAGGGTGGTGCGCGTGCTGGCATGGTCGCACCCGACGAGATCACGTTTGAGTACCTCAAGGGCCGCCCTCTGGCGCCCAAGTACGACAGCGCCGAGTGGAAGAAGGCCGTCAGCTACTGGTCTAGCTTGGCTTCCGACGAGGATGCTGTCTACGACAAGACCCTCCTGGTCGATGCCAAGGACATCGTCCCCACGATCTCATGGGGTACCTCTCCCCAGGATGTTGTTCCTATCACCGGAGTTGTCCCTGGGCCCGACGACTTCGAGGACGAGGCACGCAAGCTCGCCTGCACACGGGCTCTCGAATACATGGGCTTGACTGCTGGAACCCCCATGAAGGACGTCACCGTCGACAAGGTCTTCATTGGATCTTGCACAAACTCGCGTATCGAGGACTTGCGCGCCGCCGCGAAGGTCGTGCGCGGCAAGCAGATTGCCGCCAACATTAAGCGTGCCATGGTCGTCCCCGGATCCGGTCTGGTCAAGCAACAAGCCGAAGCCGAGGGTCTTGACAAGATCTTCGTCGACGCAGGCTTCGAGTGGCGCGAGGCTGGCTGCTCCATGTGCCTAGGAATGAACCCCGACATCCTCTCCCCGCAGGAGCGCTGCGCTTCCACCTCCAACCGCAACTTCGAAGGCCGCCAGGGCGCCGGTGGCCGCACCCACCTCATGTCCCCCGCCATGGCTGCCACAGCCGCCATTGTCGGTAAGCTCGCCGACGTCCGTGAACACCTTGTCGCCAGCCCACGTCTCGGCAAGGTCCAACCAAAGGTCGACGTTCAGCCTGAAGCCGAAGAGGTCGACACAGAGGAAGAATTCGACCGCATCCTCGACCAGCCCGCCGACAACGAACCCCACACCAACACCTCCGCCTCCTCCGGCGCCGCTGGCGCCTCCGCCGGCCTCCCCAAATTCACAAACCTCAAGGGCATCGCTGCCCCCATGGACCGCAGCAACGTCGACACAGACGCAATCATCCCCAAACAGTTCCTCAAGACCATCAAACGCACCGGTCTCGGTACAGCCCTCTTCTACGAACTCCGCTACAAGAACAATGAGGAAGACCCCTCCTTCATCCTCAACCAGGGTGTCTACCGCCAATCCAAGATCCTCGTCGTGACGGGACCCAACTTCGGCTGCGGCTCCTCCCGCGAACACGCCCCCTGGGCGCTCCTAGACTTCGGCATCAAGTGCATCATCGCACCCTCGTTCGCCGATATCTTCTTCAACAACACCTTTAAGAACGGCATGCTCCCCGTCGTCATTCCCGACGCCGCTGTTCTCGAGAAGATCGCCGAGGAGGCCCGCGCTGGCCGCGAGGTCGAGGTCGACCTCGTTAACCAGCAGATCAAGGATGCCGAGGGCAACGTGCTGGCTTCCTTTGACGTTGATGGCTTCCGCAAGCACTGCCTCGTCAACGGTCTCGATGACATTGGTCTCACCCTTCAGATGGAGGACAAGATTCGCACCTTCGAAGCCAAGCGTACCCTCGAGACTCCCTGGCTCGATGGCAAGGCCTACCTTCGACGTGGGAAACGCGGTGGTGCGACCATGGTTGAGGCTGCGCCTGTTCCCAAGACGAATCGCGGCGACGTCAAGGGCGAGCCTCTGGAGTGGTAGACATGATGCTCCCACCGATCTATTCAAATCCAGCCCCGTCTATCTCTCTTCCCCCTTTTTCTCTCTCCATAATGAGTCACTTGATACGAGATTGCGTTAGCCGTGCGAAAAGAATTTTTTTTCTTGTTTTTATTCAGAATCCATGGCATCAAGGCATTGGGACGAGTTTCGGAATTTTCTTTACTTATTACAACCACTAGTACGAACAATATACCAGGCTATAGCAGTCAATATATTATCTTATTACAAATATCTTGCCACTCAGATCTACAGAGTAAGACTGCGTTAAGGAGCAGATGTCAGGACCTCGTATATTCATACCATAATTAACTCTTCTTCGATACCATCCTTCATGAGAACTAAGTATTTCCCCAGATAGGCATCGGGTAAAACCCAAAAGTGTTTTTCTAGACAAAATGAAGTAGGGAAACAGCAACAGATTGAAAAAGAAAAAGAAAAAAGAATCATTAAATACATGTCTTGCCCCATACGTGTCGTGAGTGAGTAGCGGACAAGCTGATTAGGTGATGGACCATATTAACATTCAACATCCGGTTCATTAGGTGGACTCGAAGTCGTTTCCCCATTAGAGGGTAAAATATCGTCAAGAATTGCGAGAATATGCAGATAGATAGAGAGGTCGTTTGGATAGCGAAGCCGGTGGATGGATTGTCATGAGGACCGGTTCGGATAATGTACAAGGGGCGTCATATGTGGAGTCCCTTTATTGATTTGAGTAGTATATGCTGACGGTGGCACTGCTGAGAAGCCCTTTATGGTTTTGTGAGCTGCTCTTTCCGGAAGAACAGTAGAAAACCGGCACTGTTGAGAGGTGTTAGTTGACATAAATCTTGAGGTAGGGCTATAAAGGCCATACCAAATCAACAACTGGAAGAACAGAGAAATCCAGAACCACGCATTAGCGACAGAGCTAGCGCCATCAGTGACATCAGGCGAAATTGGTCCAGGACCGATATTGTTCGGAGCAAATGCTCTAGCGCAGATAGTCGCGATTGAGCCCAGCACTTGAGATGCAAGGAGGGTGAAGCAGATGTGCATCCGGGTTAGGGTTTGGAGCAGAATCATGCCAAAGCCGAGGCCTTGAAGCGAGTCCAGGATACCCAGCCACAGCCAGAGACTGCGGGATACAAGGGCTCCGCTTGTATAGCTGCCGGCCCAGGGTAGGAACAGACCCATTCCTGAGACACCCCACCAGATCTGTGCCCAGCGGGGAGCCCCGAGACCGCAGGCAAAGACTGGCAGGATCCAACTGTGGGATTTCGAGAGGTAGCCGAATACGAACAGAATGCCGACCCAGACGAAGCCGAAGAAGAGAACGACGAGAAGCCCGATTTGCCACGCATCGGCATGGACTGAACTCCAAAGGACTATACCATGTTAGTTTTTGGTGTGCGATTCACCGGTGCGAGTGTACTCACAGCTCCAGTTTCTTCCGTAGGGTGCGCTAAGGAAGAAGTTCTGTAAAATGACAACCACGAAGTTCCACAGGATAATCTTGCGACGGGATACCGACTGATAGAAAGATGGAACCTTTCCAGGTGTCTGACGATAATAGTTCGGTAGACCGAAAAACACAAGGAGACCAAGGATCCAGAGGAAAACTGCTATAGGCATACAAAGGGCCCTAGAGAATTGTTAGCAGTGGAAAGCTGTACAGTGACTCGAATATACGTACGTCATTCTCCAGGTCTCCGTAATATGAGACTGGACATTGGGAATGCCGCTAGTAACTGCTTGTGAGATGGACGTTCCCCAGTACCACAGACCGATGATATAGGCTTGCTGAGTGCCTTGAATGATGCATGCACGCCACACCCACTCCTTGACTGGGGCACCGCTTTCATCTCCAAAGTTGAGGGCGAAGAATAGTGAACCACTGGCTGAAGCCGCAGCGTACGTTCCAGCGCCCACGTTCTGAATCCAAGCTCTGGCAAACCCATCACTTTCGTAATGTGCGATTCCAATGAAAACAAATGCGAGACCATAGAGCAACCAAGGAAGAGACAGTACCACAACAGATTTGCAGAAGCGAAACAAGAACCACCAGATAATAGAACTCACGAGGTAGACAGTCGCGATTCCATAGAGCTTTTCAGGCCTCTGGCCGACTTCGCCAGTGAGCAGTGTAATCTGATACGAATTGGCCGCGATAATCTGTCCAAGACCAAGGATGAAAGAGTAGATTGGCCAGTCAAAGATTCGCACTTGCATCCACTTCCTGAGACCAGAGGGCGGAACGTAGTCGTTTCCAAGGAGGAATTCGTCTGGCCTCCTGGGAGGGCTTCCACTTTCACGCGATCCGACCTCCTCGTTTGAAATTGCCATAGGCGAAGAGCCCTCGAACTTGGTGCGGAAGACTGATGATGAAGGCGACTGGTTGCGGCCGAGCTTTGCGTCACGGAATCTGTCAAACCACTTCTTCTCACTCTTCTCGAGATACTCTTCGATACAAAGCTGTGATTCAGAATTGGCGCCGTTCAGTCTTTCAAGCTTGGCTTCGAACACCCTATAGAACTCCCCAGTGCTGTCCGTAAACGACGGGTCAACCTTTTGCAGCTTGTAGTCTTTCTTCTCCCCAATGATCGAATCGACAGAGAGGACAGACGCACTGCTGAGACGGTTTCCGGGTTGAGAAAATGGTGGTGCAGGTGGTACGAGAGTTTCATCCCCATCAAAGGTCGTCGAGCTCGCGGGGGATAGCATCGAACGAGAAAAAATTGAGCTCTGGCTGGAGTGTCTCCGACTGAAAAAGTCCCTGACGGTAGAATGGGGGGTCTCCTGCTGCGCTGCGATGTCCTCTCGGCGAGCTTCCTCTGCTTGTTCAGGAGTAAGGGTATATTCTGATTCACCGTAGAAACTCGGGATAAAGTCGTCATCACTGCTCTCTTCGGTCATGGAAACGCTTGCGTTTTCGTCCGTCCCAGCTTGGCTGTTTCTCCTCAGCCTGCGGCGACCACGGCGGATCAGATGTCCAGGTCCAGCGCGGACACCAAGGGATAGATGTCGGCCAAAGCTGGATCTATGTTGCTCATCACCACCTGGACTAGGATCCCTGCTGTAGACAATTGTGTTCCGCTGTTGAGGCCCATAGGCGCTCAAGCGGTTGATGTTTGAGTAGCTTCCTGAACGAGAGTGAGCTAGAGGAGGCGTCTGTACTCCAGTCGGGGTCACAGTTCCTGTCGAGGCAATTGGTGGTGTCATCATTCCATTCGGGGTGTTGTACCCAGAGGGCATGTATGGCTGGCCGTTGGATTTGACTAGGCCCTTGCTGTGAATTCGCATCGCCGTTGACTGGAGAATTTCCAGATCCTCAACCCATTGAGCAACAGGAAACCGCTGTTTTGCAGATCTTGCACGCATTTTTGCCCGGACTTGAGGCTTAGAGCTGAGCGCACTTCCAATAGCCAATTTGAACTGGTGAAGAAGATGGGCAGTGGTTGTGGACTCGACGTTATACCACCAACCTGGCATCTGGCCAAGACCACCCACCCTTGCTCCAATGCCCAAGGCTCCTTTACGGCCGAATTCAACGGCTACTAATCCAAATGGTTCATCACGCGAAGGAATCAAAGCAAACTCAGCGCCAGAAAAAATGAAGGGAGGAAGTGCAGTGAACTCAGGTTTCGAGTACACACGTCCAGGATAGAGCTTCATCATTCGATCTAGCTTGAGGGCAGCAAACTTTCCATAGAGATCAATAACCGGGCCAACACAGATCAACTGGACATTGGGACGGGCTTCCAAGACGGCAGGCATAACATCAGCAATCAAATCGATTCCTTTTTGCATTGACCATCGCCCCACGAAGACTAGAAGGTCGGCGTTAGGGTTTTGAGCAAGACCAGCCCACCCTTGTGCCTGGCGCTTGAGCTCCGCTCTGCTTGCCTCGTAGGTCGGATCCACCTGAATATCACTATCCTTAGGCAGCTCCTTGTTCCATTCGGCAGTGTCCGAGGGATCAGGGTTTGGAAGATTCCCAACTTTCTTAAGGCCCCAGAAAATTGGATAACGAGCGTAGGAACGTTTTCCATATTTCCTCGAAACTCCCACAGCGCCGAACCCTTGTTGATGAACACGAAGATAGCTTGCACCGGCATGAAGCATGTTGAAGACCTCGCCGAATTGGACATATCGCCTTGCAACATCGACCTCGATATTAAAGACCGAGCATACCTCATCTCTTTCCTTCTGGGTTCGCATGGGCCAGAGGCCTTGGAACTCTGCATTGTGTAGCGAGAGACACACTGGAACCGTCTGAGGGAGAAGGTAAAGCGGGGCGATAGAACCATGATAGTCGTTAATATGATAAAGATCGATGGGGAAACGTTTGATGGTTTCGGCGATACATTGATTCCAGGCGGAGTAGTAGATCGCGCTGTCAAGGTCGTCCATGCGGGCAGGGTAGGGTTCAGCCTTTGATTGCTGACGGAACACAGGAGCATCCAGAAGAACATAAGTAATGTTGTTCAGCACATGATACTGGACCTTCACTTCATAGACATTTCCAAGGACTGTCACAAACATTGGCTCCGCGGGTTGGTCCTCTGGATAGTCCACGCCTCCCACGCATGGAACGACCCAAATCAAATCTTGATGCCCCAGATTCTTCCCCATCAGTTGAGCCATAACCCCAAGCCCGCCAATTTTGATCTTGATGCCCCAATCCTCAATGTCGTACTCCATAGTGGCGATGAGAACTGAACGCCTTTGCGAGGATCCTGTTCCGAAAGCAGGTGTGCTTTGGAGGAAACCGGACTTGTTGGCGAGCCGAACAAGGGGATTGGTGGAGTTATTCCTGGAGAACAGGAACGGAAAAAGCGATTTCTTCTCACTGATTCCAACCTGATTGAACTTGACCTGATAGAAAGACTTCATGAAAACATATACACACCCTGCGGCCGTCACAAGAGGCACAAGCCAAAGGAGGATATAGACAGCCAGCTGAATGTTTCTGGACCCTGACGGCTGGAAATGGATTCGTTGGGTGCCATCGTCGATCCAAAGATCCCATGACAGGTACGAAGACGGTGGCCGTTCGGTAATGTTGACAGAAAGCTGGCTCAGTGATGAAGGTGGCATGCGATCAAGTACTCCGTCGGCATCAAGGTCGCCGAAAACAAAGCTTTGGTCGGGCTCCCCATCCGGGTTCATGCCCCAAACGTTGAACTGTCCCTGGGCTGGGAACTCCACTCGAAGTCTGTACTTCCAATAGCCGTCAATGTCTTGTTTCACCTCGTTGTCCAAACCAGCATCGTAACCGTACTGGTTGTACGGTCCATTGAAGAAGAGATGAGGGAAACGTCGCTGGCGATCAACACCATAGTCGCCCTCCTGGACATAGCTACTGCTGCCAGTCAACTTGCTCCAGTATTCGACTCGCACGTGCTTTCCTTGCCACTTCTGCTTGTCTGTCCCAGACCAGGGTTGTTCTTCGATCATCTCCTCGCCACCCTTGTAATCTCGCCAGTCAGAGAAAGAGCTACCCCAGTTGGTCGAGTACCGGTACTTGTCGGCACCTGCGGCTTTATGTCGTATGTAGAGCGTCCCATTGTCATACTGGTGGAGGAGGTCGGTGGAGTAATTTGCTGCGGTAGATACCATGGGGTTTTCGGCCTGGCCGACGCGGATGAGAAAGTGATCAACCGCTTCTGTAGAGTGGTCACCATTCTCAGTAGTAGCATTGGTGACAGTCAGACGATGAATGCCGTTATAGGCTCCCGTCAGTTTCGACGTCCATACCCATGTGCTAGGAAGTTGAGCAGTCCATTGCGTCTCACTCGGGTCCATTTTCTTGCACTTGACATGGTTCTTGTCAATAGAAGCTGTTCTTCCGGACTCTGTCGTGGACCGGACCGAGATGGCCTTCGTGACGGAGTCACAGTCCATTTCGGTGGAGAAGTAGATGCTCACATCAATATCCTCTGCTTCGTCGGATGCGACTTTGGAGATGAGGGGTTGATCATGCCCTGGTGTTATTCTGGTAATCATGGGTCCGGGTCGAACAAACCGGCTCTTGGGAACAAATGCCTTGAACTCGAAAGGTTTTAGAGTCAGTGAATCGAGGCAGCCATTGAACTCTTTGGAGCCGTTGAGATGGAGCTTCATCGGGCTGTCTTTCAAGTCGTACTCGTCGTGCGGGTAGAACAGATTGACAACAGTGGTTTCGGTGGCGAAAGGGGAGATCAAGGCTGTGTCATTGTCGCTGCAGTCGAACTTGTACTCAACCGTCGTGTTGTCATTCTGATATACCAGCCAGACTGGCTGGTTGTCGTCGAGCTCTTGGACTTTATATACCGCATCTCTCAGGACAGACCACACGCCAATCTCTGTGGCCGTACCATTTGAGCCCGGGTAGAACACCTCTCGAGTTTGATTAGACAGCTTTTGAACAGAGTATCCGTCATTCAAAACCTCGAAATCCTGTCGAAGTTGGTACATGTGTTTGATAATATTCCGGATAGGGTGGGAAGGATCGCGGTGATCGTAGGCAACTGTTTCGTCATGGCAACCCTCGCGCCCCTGACCGATAGGCCAATTGTAGTATTGGCCTGCAGTCAATGCAAAGCAACCATGGGTTCTCCATGCCGTGGCCGGGGACATGGCCTGACGGCCATAAACGTAATTATCTGCTGTTGCATCTAATATGTAGAAACCTTGCTCTTCCCCCCAAAGCAAGAGCGGAATTCCAGGAAGATGTAGGGTGGTGATAAACATCCCCAACAGCTGCCTCTCAATGCCTTGCTCCAGCGCTGGCCAGCGGAACACGTCTTGATTCGTGGCACCATACATGTGGCGTGGGTCAAATTTTCCGGTATTCGCGTTGATCATGTCGTTGGTCATCACCATCACGTTCCAAGCATCAGTCCAGTCAACAGGGGTGTCGTAACCAGCAGCGAGATTGCCATCAAGCCCAAGAAACCGAGTAAGTGAGCGATAGGTTGAATAGTGAAAGGCCGCGCTATCAAGGGCCTGTAGGCCGTCCTCACGAAGGAAGTACTGATGATCAGACTTGTTGTCCATCCGCATTGAATCCATTGCAGAGTCGGGGTATTGGTTTGGCTGTCTGCCACGCCCAAGGTAGATTGCACCAAAGTTATTCCCGCCTGTAATTTCCCCAGGTAGAAAGAAATTGTCCTTGCCAACGTCTCGAGCACACTCCCGATAAGCACTTGACATGTCTCCCAGAGCATCAACGGTAGATTGTGTGGCCTTGTCATAGCGGAAGCCATCAATATCCAGAGCTTTGATTATCATGCAAGAGTGTCTGATCAATCTCTCTCGGACGCTTGGGTTCCATTCACGGAGACGATCTTGCACTGAAGCAAACTTGGCCAATTGACGCTCCCAGTCTGGGTAGACACCAAACGCCTCCCTGTCACCATACTGGTCAAAATCGCTATCATAACAGCCCTGAAGCTGATCGCGGGCATCCTTATCAACTGGCCAACCAGTCTCGTTCCAGAATCTAGGATATTCACAAGTTCTGTTGTACTCGTTTCCGATATCAAAATCAACATAGCGGCGGTCAGTTTTCCAAAGGGCTTCGTGTTCCTTGACGGAGAATGGGGTAGTGACATTTAAATAGCCTTCAAAGCCAATCAAATCGCCCATTCTGTAATGATCAGTACGGATTTAGAAGGAAAATAGGTCACTGGTAAACTTACGTTGCAATAGTGTTGTCAAACAACACGTACATCTTTCGCTTATGGATTTCATCGATTGCGTTTCTCCAAGTTTGAATCGTGCCAAAATGCTGGTCCAACAATGTTGTATCCAAGATCGAGTAACCATCCGCACCCCAAGGTTGATTCATGAGAACGGTACCTGCGAGATAGATGCCCTAATAGCAGCGTTAGTAAAGCGGAAAAAGCTTGGGAAATTGAACGGGAAGAGCCAAACCTTGATTCCCATTCCTTGAAGGTAGTCAAGTGTATCAACCAAGCCTTGTGCATCACCGCCGTGTCGCATTTGATTCGAGTTTAGGTCATGTTCGAAAAGCGTGCCATTGATATTATCGTTGGTAGGGTCACCGTTGACAAATCGATCTAGGAAGAGGGTGTAGAATGGAAACCTCCAGTTGTCCGGCGAAGGCATGTATTTGTGATTCGGCCATTCTGGTGCGGTGTAGTCGGCTGGAGTGGCGGCATTCTTGTTCACATTGAGATTGTAGTCGACCAAAGACTCCTCGTAGGGCCAGCCTGTTGCAGTCCCTGCGAGCAGGGCAAGCAGCGAGCTTGAAGTTGCCCACTTCATGGTTGACGGTAACTGATAGCCGGTAACTTCAGACAGTCCACATGTGTCCGGAATTTGACTAAAGGTGTGCGAAATTTAACAATGTACAAGAGACCAGCTCAAGAACCTAAGTGAGGAGCCCAACGAATCTGCTTCGGGTCAACGGTTTCCACCCCGGAGATGCCGCACTGTCGATAGAGAGGAGGGCAACTGTAGAAGAAGAGAAGAAGAAGCCTCCGGACGAAGGTTTAGCAGCGGCAGTAAGAGAATAAAAAGAGAATGGGCAGAAGAAAGCGCAAAAGAAGAAATCATATGCCCGAGTATATTTCCGAGGAGCTGCAGGAAAAGCGCAAACTATAGGACCGGAGAAATCATTATTAGCTGTAGTATACTGATAGAAAGGAGGGTCAGCGAGGGATTGATAGTGCCTTGAAAGAGAAAAAGCAAGCGAAGATCCTTCCTAACCCACCAGTACTGCGCCAACAGGATCAAGACTAGATTGCCGGCTTAGTCGACAGATGGGCGGCCAGATGGAGCCTCTGCTGTGCCTATGGTGGCGTGGTGGGAATCATACTCCTTTCGTTGAAGGAGCAGCCCCCGATCCACCCATGATGACTCGTGTGCCGTCAGCCAGTTGATAGGAGAAGGTCGCGGTACCCATTGGGCCAGCGGCCACAAGGGTCAGAGTCGGGTAGGAAGGGGGAGAGTTGTCGCAGGAGACACGAAGCGATGTCCACTCAAGCTCGAATGCATGCAACTCAGTCGCAGAGACGGCGCCCAGGCGGGAGATCTTTGTGTGGATCCATGGTACATACAGCCTGGGTCCTGGTAACACTGATACGCCCGCCTCCTGGAGGCACTCGTTATCTTAGTAAGGTGATGACAGCTTCCAGTTTATTGTAGTAGCCGTCGATATCAAAATATAGAGACTACTAGTAGATGGGCTTGAACTATAATGGTTCGTCTAGGTATGCTGACTCTGGCGGCAGCCCCGGAAAGAGCGCCCGCAAACGTAGTTGCTATTGTTAGCCCGAGAATAAGCCGGAACTCTACAAAGCCTCGAGTTGAAATCGCGATCTCTTCAGTTCTATGGACTGTGGAAGAATTAGGAGTGGGATAATACCGATTCTTGCCCCCCTCGGTCGTTCGCGTTCTCCCCTTCTGGTGTCAACAAGACTAAGGTGTATATTTACGGTCGGAGTGTATTGAGAAAAGATAGTAAGTACAGCCTACCCTAGATAAACGGCGTTAAATACAGATTGAATGCTCATCAACGAAGAGCCATAGTATTCCTATCAAAGCCACCGATGTGCACTCAATCAGTAAGTAGGACGTTCAGTGTACTACTACTAGTTGTGAACTGACTGCCAAAGATACAGGCGAGTCAAATACACACCGTCACAGCTCAGGACAGCGCCAAGCGAGATATCGCCCGCGCGGGCCACCCCTTGCTGGGAAGGTTTGGAGGGATATGAGGAGTACAACGACAAATCCTAGATACGATGTCTCATATCTGGCTGTCCTCGGCTCTATCTTGAAGGCCATTGTACCGGTAGCCGCCCTTAGCGGGCCCTTTCGCTCTTACGAGGGATGCGTATGCAAGGAGACTCAGCTAGCAACTTTGGTTCTTGGAGTTCTCTTTCTGCTCCTTTTGAGCACAATTCAATCCACTACCTCAAGGTATTAAAAGGTCTTATCTGCCCGGCATGTATATGGTTACCAACAAGGAGAGCGAAGATAGGGAGATTTGAGCGGGTGGCTGGTGCATCTCCATAGTCGACAGTCGGTGCGGAGTCCTATGTACAGTTCGCCGGTCAACCGGCAATATTTGCTAACAGAAGAGCTCAGCGTTAGGGTCTCTGCGAATAAAATGACTGGAGGGTTGTTTTGACCTGAGTTTACGAGCTCTTGGCAATAAGAACCTTGGCCCACGAATCCTTGTATCAATCTAGTTGAACGTACGCCGAGGCTTGGGTGCGTAGAAACAAGACCTTGGCTATCGGGCTGTCGCTTATACTTGAACTCCGAGAAGAACTCCGAGAAGAACTGTCATATTGGCTGGCATATGCAGTGCAAGAGTCATCGTGGACGATGTTCAAGTTTGCAGGTGGTAGTTGAAACCGTACACCATTCGTAGGGTAGTGAACGAACCTTGCTGATTGTATGCCATGTATCGTGATTACACGCTGCTACCTCAAGGTTTGTACTAGTATTCAGCCAGGATAAATAGAGCTATTTTAGCGCTGGCTTAAATCATCCATGACATGACTCAATTGGCTATAATGTATTGCTTGCATGTCATGCCCCACTGCTGACCGCTGGTTGGGTTACGGGTGGGGAGGTTCTCTCACCTCCCTCCCTGTGTGTTCTCTCCCGCCCTTTCGACTCCTAGATCGTTGAATTCCTTCCCATCAGATGATCGTGGTCAGGGTCTGAGAACAGTCTTACCGTTGGAGTGAAACAGACCCACGATAACCTGAAATACTCCTTCGTCGCCTGATGTCATTCATCCTGCCACCAGAATTTTCGCCAGGGACGACAATTCTGCTTTGCAAACAGAGAGCCATTGTTAGCCCAAAATACTGTTGGTTTGTAGCTAACACAAGGCATGCTGGCCATCTGAACGAAGCCTAATTGGGACCGCTATCCCCAACTAAACAGCGACACGGCAAACTAGAATATGGCGATGTGTCCATTGCTCGATCGGATTATCCTCAGGTTCGCCACTTAGTCATCCAACAGCGCAATGGCCTAAAAATACTACAAAGGTGCGCTTGGAAGCGATGGCCCGCAACTTCAGACACGAGGAGAAGCTGTCGGAGTGTTCCCTCCCAGTCGAGGTAGCCAGGCTTACACCGGGCGCAGACCTCCTACAGCTTCGCGTTGGCTGAGTCCAAGAAATGCAGATCTGATAGCGCAGAGCTCGTCTGGTTTCAGCATGTCCAGTACACGCGCAAAGATTTCGACATACGCAGCGTCTCCCACACGCGGTGTATGATGCACGGGGATTATCTAGGTCCTTCTACTCCAAGGACGAACTACGATGCGCCGAAGCGGCTAATTTTGGGATCAGATGCATGATGTACAGAACCTGGTCTTTTACAATAATCCTACTTTACATACCTGACAGAGTTGGTGCTAATTCTCGGTTACAGTAGCAGACTCGACTCGAGCTATACCCGCTTTTCAACCTTTCGAAAACAACTAGATTATCCGATGTGCAGGCGCCGATATGTTCTATCCATATGCACATGGCATGATTATAGTTATTTCGACATATCAGATGCATAATTATTGCAGGATCTGCAAATTTGACTTGTTCTCCCTCTCGGCGCACCGCAAATACACATCACATTCTGCAAACAACTAGGCAAAACTTGGCTTACGGGACAACATCAACCGACTGCGAACTCTGTTCAGCGCCAGCCGAACTCACCTTTGCAGCATCGCAACCCTGCTGAAAAGGCGCGTAGTAGTTCTGCAGCCTCGTGTGCTTGCGTGTCAGCCCACAGACACTAGGCAGGCCGGCGGTTGCTCATTGCAACAGGCGCTCTCTGCAGTTTTCCATGAGGTGTTTCTCATGCTCGCGCATTACTTGATCTTGATTTGCGCAGGAGAAATCATTGCTTCTTTCTTTTCCCAAATCCTCAGGCCATTCATTCCAGCACCTTAGGAATGCACACTCACCGACCACCCAAGGTTGCGTAACTTTTCATCCGATTTTACGTCTACAAATGCACAGATGCGTGTGCTTGGAGAAATATAGGTAGATCAATGGCAAATTTCTAACTCCTCGGCTGTTGCGCTCATCGTCTTCGTTTACGTCTTTCAGCCTTTCTTGGAGGTTGAGCACAAGCCCCCAACCACAGGTGTCACGACTTCGCACTTGTCATTCTGAGATCAATTACGCCACCGGAAATACAACGAGTCAGTGGAAATATTAAGAGGCCATACCTGCCCAACAACAAGCCTCCAAAGACTTGATCAGTGCTCACAAGCGGCTTCTGCCTTGAGGGACTCGGAGGTATCCCTCGCTTCTCGCCTGCGAGAACCTTAAATTACTCATCACGTTTCGTCTTTTGCCCTTCGGCTCCAAGGTAGCAGATGCTCGAAATGGAGCTGGGACCTTCTACACACGTCGGGGAACTTTTAAACTGCCAAGTTGATACTGTCGGTCAGGGCTCGGCTTCAAATGGGCTGGGTCAAGCACAACCTCAGTAAGCATTAATTCCTCATTTGACCCTTGTGGGAGTTTGAGAGAGCTCTCCGTACGTATTCAAGGCGTTGTATCCTGGTAAGTTAAGTATTCGAATATCTATCAGCTTCTTTATCCCGTTTAGGATGAACTCTCCGCAGTAGGCCAGGTATATGTATATATATATATATATATATCTGGAAAGGCAAAATAGACCTGGGCTAAAACAAAAGCCCTAAAGGGTGGGAAAGTAGTAGGGAGAAAAGTAGCAGCCATTGCATTCATAAACACTCGTGATATATTTTTATTCAATATTTACGGCGAACTATATCTATTCAGCACCATAGCGAGCCCGATAATCCTTCAGGCGCTGAACCTCGGATTCTCCAATCTCACCACCAAGCTTCTCAATCAAATCGTGAAGGCCAATAACAGACCGGATAGGAATCTTCTCCCCGAGATCCCTCTGCGCAACACCTATCGCGCTCTTGCTCTCAGTATCGCTAACCCTTTCCTCGCGATCCAACAAAACCACAACACCAGAGACAATGCCGCCTTCCTTTTCAATGATCCCAACAGCCTCGCGCAGCGCCGTCCCAGCGGTAATGACGTCGTCGACGATAACAACCCTCTTCCCCTTCAGCGGGGCGCCGACAATGTTACCGCCCTCGCCGTGATCCTTCGCCTCCTTGCGGTTGAACGAGTAGCTGACGTTGTCCCATGTTCCCTTGGGCGCGGCAGCGAGCGAGTCGCGCACGGCAAGCTCGTTGACCACAGCGGCGCAGATGGGGATTCCCTTGTAGGCGGGGCCGAAGATGATGTCGAAGTTGGGGGTTGTTGTGCCGTCGGCGGCGGTGGTGACGAAGGGCGGGGCAGAGAGGACGCTCGCGTAGGCGGCGGAGGTGGCCCGGAGAAGAGGCGCGGTGTGTAGGAGGGAGGAGGTGAAGAAGTAGGGGGATTCACGGCCGGATTTGAGGGTGTAGGTGCCGAAGGAGAGGACTTTGTTCGAGATCAGGAGGGGAAGCAGTGTTGCTTTGTAGTCTTGACCGGCCGGCATCTTGAGCGGGGTTTTCTATTTTTCTTTTTTTAACAACTGGACTGGATGTCTTGGTTTATGAAGCGAATGAATTATATTGGACAAGATAGAATGTTATTTGGCCAATTGGTATACTACGGAGAGGAGAGAGGAGGAAGAAGCTGAGCACCTCCGCTGTCGGGCATATTTTTTTTTCTTCACCGTAAAAAAAGAGGGGCGGAAAGAGGAAGGAGGGGCGGAAAGGCAGTGAATTGGATTCTCCGAGCTTTCGTCCTTCCCCAACTTCCCCCTCCTCCGCCCTCTTCTCTTATTCTTTTCCATCTCCGCGCCGTTTCGACTGGGGTTTGGTATCTCATTGGCTTGCTCATTGTGATTTCCTTCTTATCCTTTTTGCTTGTATCACGGAAAAGTCCATTTCGGAGCAAAACACGTGCCAGTCAGATTCTCCGAACTCCGGAGCTGAGGGGTCCTCATTGACATCTTCTCTTTTCTACCGTTTGTCTCGGAGCAGGCTCTCTTGATTGATTGCTCTTGATTGTCATTGCCTGTGTTTTCGTTCCTGGAGCTTCCCCTTTCTTGCTCTCCAGTGCTCCGTTTTATCTCCCTGAGGTTGTTTTCCATTGCCTCAGATTGTTTTTCTGAGCAATTCGCCTGCAACTTTGCGTCGTCAGCGTTGCGACTAAAAGCAGACATCGTGGAGCGAGATTGGCTCTACTGAGCTCCTGTGCTATCTCCACCTATTTATCAAGTTCAATGTGAGTCGCGAAGCTCTGGTGCTTTGTACTTTGATCTAGCTTTTGGTGGTCTGGGTGCTAATCTCCCTTTGACTAGAAGCATAAACACCCTGAAAGATGCACATCAAAGACAAACTAGCACAAAATGAGGCTGCCGAAAGGATTGGCATCTCCTTCGAGTTTTTCCCTCCGAAGACGGCACAGGGTGTGCAGAACCTGTACGACAGAATGGACCGCATGCACTCATTGGGCCCATCCTTCATCGATGTCACCTGGGGCGCCGGTGGACGACTCTCGGATTTGACCTGTGAGATGGTCAATGTCGCGCAATCGGTATACGGGTTGGAAACATGCATGCACCTCACCTGCACAGACATGCCTCAGGAAAGGGTTGACGCCGCGCTTCAGGCTGCCTACAAGGCAGGCTGCACCAACATTCTGGCTCTACGTGGAGATCCGCCCCGTGAAAAGGAAGCGTGGGAAGCTACTGAGGGTGGTTTTCGCTACGCGAAGGATCTGGTCAAGTACATCAAGGATAAATACGGGAACCACTTCTGCATCGGGGTCGGAGGCTACCCGGAGGGTGCTGATGACAATCCAGATGTCGATCTCTTGATCGACCATTTGAAGGAGAAGGTGGATGCTGGAAGCGACTTCATTGTTACCCAAATGTTCTACGATACAGACAACTTCATCAGCTGGGTCCAGAAGTGCCGCGCCAAGGGCGTCAACGTGCCCATCATTCCTGGTATCATGCCGATTCAGACATATGCTGCCTTCATTAGGCGGGCGAACTGGACAAAGGCACATATCCCTCCCGATTGGCTCGAGGCCCTCGAGCCAGTGAAGAACGATGACGCAGGCGTACGGGAAATCGGTAAACGCTTGATCGCAGACATGTGCAGGAGACTAATTGCATCTGGTATCAAACATCTGCACTTGTAAGTTTATCCTCGTACGATCACAGACTGTTTAGGAGCTCACAACATCTAGCTACACGATGAACCTCGCCAAGTCGACAGAGCTCGTCCTCGAAGAACTGAAGCTTTCACCGACCGCCGAGGCTCCGATCCAACGGCCTCTGCCATGGAGGCCTTCGCTTGGCTTGAACCGGAGAGAGGAAGATGTTCGCCCTATTTTCTGGCGGAACCGCAACTCGTCATACATCGCCCGGACACAGATTTGGGACGAATTTCCCAATGGTCGCTGGACGGACTCTAGATCTCCAGCTTTCGGTGAACTGGATGTCTACGGCATAGGTATCAAGGGTACCAACGAACAAAACATCAAGCTCTGGGGCGAACCGAAGTCTCTTAGTGACCTCGCCGATGTCTTCGTTCGCTTTCTCGAAGGCAAGCTGGACCGTCTTCCGTGGAGTGATTCCCCAATCACTGCGGAGACCAATGCCCTCAAAGACCCCCTCATCGAACTCAACAAGCGTGGCTTCTTCACCATCAACTCCCAACCTGCTGTGAACGGCGTCAAGTCTGCTCACCCTGTTTATGGATGGGGCCCCAAGAACGGCTTCGTCTACCAGAAGGCCTACCTCGAACTTCTTGTTCCTGCATACTTGATTGACGAGCTGATTGCCCGTATCGAGAAGAATGAAGATTTCACCTACCATGCTGTCAACAAGCAAGGAGAGCTGCGAACCAATACCCGCGACAGTCCCAATGCTCTTACATGGGGTATCTTTGCGGGCCGTGAAGTCGTCCAGCCGACCATTGTTGAAACAGTCAGTTTTTTGGCCTGGAAGGATGAGGCCTACCAGCTCGGTGAAGACTGGGCCAAGTGCCACGATGCTACAAGCCCCAGCCGGAAGTTGCTGCAGGGCATCGTGGACAGCTGGTACCTTGTCAACATCGGTAAGTGAAATGGCTCGAATCTCAAGCTCGAAACTAACTTATATTCCCAGTGAACAACGATTTCCACAATACAAACGATCTCTTCGATTTGTTCAAGGACTTGAATGTTAAAGACATTGACGTTGAGATCGCAGGCGAACCCAGCGAACCCAAAGTCCACTTGAATGGAGCAACCAACGGCACAACCAACGGCACTGCTTCTGAACAACTCGCGAAGAACTAGGCGCAAGGCGACAACTCAACACATGCCTTGAACCGTTTAACACGGCTTTATACTGCCTCGATGCATCACTATACAACCACCTAATTCAACACCTTTCTCAACGATATTATCCCGGGCGAGTCCAGGGCATGAAATGTTTTACGGCGACACGAATGAAGACCTCTCAACGATTTCTTCCTCTCAAACATTATTTTAATTCAACATGACCTTTCCATTCTCAACAATATACCCTAGCATTTCTCTTCAATTTTTCTTTGGGCACGAGAAAAAATTTCAACATTCAACATCATTTGCAGCTTCTTCCTCTCGCATAGAGAAGATAAACAAGAAGAACAAAAGGGCGACAACAAAAAGCAATTGCATGGGTCGGTCTTATACTACATTCAACACTATACGGAGGACGGAGTTTATCTGTGGCTACACGAAGAAAAGAACCAAAAGTGAGCGATTCGATCCTTTTCAACATGGGATGCGGATGGGGAAACCGGAGTACTTGTCTGATTGCATGGGCCATTTCGTCTTTTATTTTACTTGTCCTTTTGGATATCGCATTTTTGTCTTGAATACCTCGTCTACCCTTGCATATTGTCTCCTCCGTCTCTGCAAATCCGACGTATCTGTGTGATCCTAGTCGCATCCTGAAAATTGGCTAGTCTTGAGTGCTCGAAGCCAGATAAAGTATGTTTCTTCTCACTGTCAGAGGATGAAGAGGGTATTCGACATCCACAATTCCCGCCTTGTTCTTTGTAGCCCGTCAGTCTGCCTCTTTCCTAGTAGACTTTCTCGACCGGACGGCACAGTACAGATACAAAACTCGAAACAAAATGGCATGATAGAGCAAAAAATATCCGTCTATAGGCAAAGTAACATTGGAATGGCTGAGGCTCGCAAATAATGTACATCATATCGACCCGCGAATAAGAATAGCCAAGAGGATAGCCAGGACCAGTAACGAAGATAGAAATACAAGATACCCGTGATCTCGACATGTGCTGAGAAGGCCGAGAGTAGAGAGAGGCACAACAAGCTAAGGTTGAGGGATAAGATGGTGGAAGAGGAAATGGTAGTTCGAGGTGAACAGTCACCATGGGATGATAGGAGTTAGACTGAGAGAACACGAGAAACCGCGCGAAAAGCCAGAGCAAATGGTCTTGCGAGCCATACCATCCAGACCCCAATCAGGATGACAAATCCGACTACCCGTGCGATCAACATGGCAATGAAGACAAGAACGACGAGGTAGACCAGAGCTTGTCCAAACTCAGTGAACGACCAGGTAAGATCTTTGTCGTCGGCCTCGGGCCACGCCCCGGTGGTGTTGTAAGCAGATAGAATAGCCAATCCCTTCCTTAGAAAGTGCAAACAATGCTCGAGCATGCCCAATATACCGTGCAGAAAGAGTTTGAGCAGAACTAATTTTGAGCCGCGATTTGCTTTTATTTGTTGGCAAAACCCTTGTACTTGGGCAAGGAAAAGAAAGACCATGTCAACGATCATGTGAAATGTTTCCGAGCCTATAACTTCTTTTGGTTGCGGCTGTAGATCGTTCTCCGGTTGATCGTGATTGAGACATGATATTTTGGGCCCGGAATCTGTTTCATGATGATCCTCCACTTGCTGCCCATCTAATTCAGCGACGTCAACAATCTTAGCACGCATCATTGTATCGCAAGATTGCGGTGACTTTTGGGGAGCGGGCGGAGAACGTATTATTCTGTTGGGTGGACTTGAATGCCTCGCCTCGGGAGATGTCGGGGGTGTTCTTCTGGAGAGGATGTTGCTCGCTCTGCTTGCCGGGCTAGATGCGGCAGAATCAGAGGGCTTCTCTGATACAGGATTGATGCGAGACTCAGTTGACGATCTGGGGATGCCTGGCGTACGGATGGACCCACGTATAACCCGTCTCTTGTCGACGTTGGAGTTCTCCGCGGTGGTGACCTTGGCTTCTACCAGAGGCCTTGCGGGTGTACTTGTTGTGGGAACTGGCTTTGAAGGTATTGCAGAGGGTGCGTTTGATTTTTCCCAAGAATTTTGACTTACTCGACGTAGGCCCGAAGGCGAGGCACCCGCTTTGGTATTTATGGGAAGCTTTGTTCGGATGTCGGTGATGAGCTCGCCTGCGGCGCGCGAACTGGGCTGTGGGTTTTCGGAACTGCTGTGCACATGACCTCTTAAATCGGTCATGGTCACCATAGTACGTGTTATAGTGGGTGTGATAATGAACACATCGTCCGCTCTGAGGCCTAACTTGCGGTTCTCGGAAGATCTGGCCGAAATCTCGATAGAATCTCGGCCCTCCCTCTCTTGGGAGCTGGTAGACTTCTTTGTCTTCAGCTGCTGACACTGTGCTTCGCGGCAAAGTAGTTTCGGTGACGGCTTCGAGCATTGGGCGTGCTTCAAATTCTGCGAAATTGATTCCCATTCTTCTTGGATAAGGCTCGTCTCTCCTGACGCCCCCTTCATTCGGCGTGTTAGAGCTAGGTTCGACTCTCTCCGAAACCTGGTTAAGCGAGATGGGATGGTCACGACTTTCGGTCTTTCCGGCGTAGAGAAGTATAGAATTTCGTCGGGGTTCCTGACGTCCGGTCCATTTATTTCTCTGCATCCTAAAAAAGAACCATCCGGGTTCGCTCGCGATGGCACTTGCTTTGGTCCCGTAGATGACTCCTCCCAGATAGTGCTGAATCTTTGTTTGCCAACTTCATCAGGGCAATAATAGCGGCGGTGAGAGGGAATATAAGCCAATCGACTTTCGTCTTCTGTATTCGTCTGTGCTGGTCGGGAGTCCTGGCCGTCGAGCGTACCTAGCCGTTTCCCGGCCTGGCCACCTTCTGGCGTCATGGCACGAGGGCTGGGGAGAGTATCTGGGTCGAGCATTGCCTCCCCTTCCTTTTGTACCCTATCAATACTCCGTTGGTATGCCGTTATTTGATGGACGTTCATGGTCGGTGGATTTGGCTCCCTTGCTGATGGCATATGGACGACAAATCTATCTTCCCATTCCTTCATCGAAGTTGTAGGACCAGATATGGGTGACACGGAAGAATTTGAGTTGTAGGACGAGTCAGTGGCACCGTCTGTCTTGGATCTGAGGCTGGATGAAGTTCCGCTTCCATTAGAGCTTGCCGAGTGATTACTCTTCGTTCGCACTGTTCCGTTTGTGAATTGATCTTGTTCAACCACATGGCTCTTGTCAGACTCGCTTCGATGGCCAAGGCTAAATTTGCTGTCCTTCGCCGCAGGACTGATTTCGGGCGTGCCTAGTTTCTCGGCCGAGGAGCTTCCTGAGTATTTCCATTTGTGCTTCGCTATCTCTTGCCGTGGAGAACTGGCTAGGGAGATGATCTTCCGATATGCTTCCCGGTGAGGGGATTTCTGCTTGTCTTTATCCCGTGAAATCGGAGAATCTCTGTCCAGCTTATCTCGGACCTTTCGCCAATATCTTTCCCTTTCCTGATCGGTAGACTTAGGTGATTCAGACTCTCGTGAGCCGCGGGGAATTCTTGATTGAAGACCAGACGGTTGACGCTCTCTCTGCTTAGGCGAGTCGACGTTGTTGTTACGTTGAAGATGCTCTTTGTCCACGGATAACTTCAGGACAGGAAGCCTGGTCGGTTTATGTTGCGACGATGGCGAATCGGTTTCAGCATCAGAGATGTTACTTTCCGAACGAGTTCCAATTTCAACCGCCCCCTCTCTGCTGTTGATCGCATCGGAATTGGACAAAGCACTTTTGTCACGGGGAGGTTGAAGGTTGAGCAATTGCCCGTTTGCTAGGTGGAAGTCTGGAGCCATATCGACACGTTGGTGATCACCAACTCAAACGCTGTCGACTCGATCGTCAATGCCGATTGCTTTCTCGGGTTGTTCTTTCCATGGGTGCTCTCGGTGAGGTCGGCAGTGATTCGTGATATCCAGTTGTATTCTGGTCGCGCTTACGAACTGGTGATAAGGAGATGACCGTAGGAATATGGTAGGTGGTTGGCAGAGAGGTTGAAAGACTGTCTGTGTGCGGCCTTCCACGGATGGGTTTGCAGCGCGTCACGGGTATAAGTCCTGGCAGTGGAATGCGAGGTGTTGGGGCTGCCACGGTCCGGAATGTTCGCGCCAGACGAGGTTGGTATGTACTTTTTGAACTCTGATGCAGTCTGGAATGGAAGCCGCAACCTTGGCAGGAACCTTTCTTCGGGAAATAAGGGAAAGTGCGCCGATCCGTAGCTTCAGAGGCAGAGCGGATCTTGAGGGCGATTCAGTTCGTCAAATCAACTCCATACACTCGATTCACCACGATTGCACTTATATCCATGGCAATGCCGGTTAAGAAATATACAATACTCTGTACAGCGGCGAGAACGAGCTTTTTGTCAGCCACATTCCGACTTCGACCGAAGCGTTCTAGCATATGAGGGGTGAGACTAAAAGTGTGGCTCATAGGGTTGTCGATGCAAGGGTCTTTCATGTTCTCGGGATGAACAACCCATCGCCGTTGATGATTCGGCTTAGTCAAAAGCGTCCAGTCTCTCGCCGGAGAACGCTCTTGCTTGTTCCAGGGGTCATGGGGCTGGCAGCGGTGGAAACGCTGCTCTTCTTCAGTGGGCTTGAGGGCCGTACACTCCGTTGTGAATAGTAGAACCCCCTGTCATTGTGAAGACGTTGCTCTGAGTTTGCGGGAGTGGACTTCCGTAGAGGTGATCTAGCATGTGAGTAGATACCTAAACTACCACCATCACCACCAGGGCGGGTTGGGGTCTGTCGAAATTGAGGTTGACGAATGGATCCCAGGGGAGCTTTGACGACAGGTGAGGCATCGCGCATATAGCTAGGAGTTTGCATTGAGTTCGAAGCTTTGGTCGGTGTGGAAGTGAAGGAACTGTTGCGGGAAGAGTTCCATTCGGGGTCAATATGGTGGATATAGTTCGGGTTAGGGCTAGTCTTGAATCCCCGATTAATGATAACCGTTGGCGTAAAGGTGTCGACTTTATTATATTTCTCCTCAAACGTAGTGTTAGGGCCGGAAAACTGGGTCCCGACATCGCGCATTAGCGGCTGGGTTCGGGGATGAACGAATTTCGTATCGTATTCTTTCATGACTTCCTTGTGGATCAACAATTCATCCTTGCCCTGTTGTTTGAAGAAAGTTGAGAGATATAACATCTGCGCAGAGAGCAGTGTTGTCACAGTAATTGTGGTAACGATCGTAACGCTGGGTCGAGGGTCGGAAAGCTGAGTTGGCAGGGTAATCCAGTAGATGAGGATATGCGCAGGACTGAAGAGACAGAACAAGCGGAGACAAATTGGTAGAGGGTCCCAGAGCGCAATCTCCCAGACGTCACGCTCAGCATTCGGATGTGCCCTTGACTCTGCTGATCCAGAAAGCGTATTGGCTAGGTAGCGGAGAGGCGAGGCCGTAGCGGGTGTAGAGTCAACTCGGACTCTGCGCGCAGATGGGGTAGAAGGAGCTTGGTCGATAGAAGCTTCAAAGAGGCGATAATGGCGCTTTCGGTGGAAGGTATAGAAGGTGTTCAAGGCCGCTATACAGACAAGGAAGTGAACGATAAACGATGCCTATCAACTTCCAGTCAGATTTTAAGCACAAACTCCCTTGTCAAAACAAAGAACCTACAAGCCAGCCCCACAGAGAGACCCTTTCATCCTCGCCAAACACATCATCGAGGGCTTGGCTGCCAGTTGGTCGACTGTTCGCTCTTGCGATCATAAAGGTAATATTCAGAGCCACACCCAAGGGAACCGCCCAGTTTTTTTCAAACTGCTCCCAATCATTTGCATCAACCTCCTCCGAAAGCCAGAGCAAGAAATCTAGAGGGTTCAAGTAGGATTTGATACGCTCAGCCAACGGCTGGCGACGTACAAGCCGGGGCATAGTGATGTCAAGGGCACGTCGGTTGCTGTACAAGCTGGTAGAAGAGTGAAATAAGTAGTGGGGAGTATACTCGAGCGCTTAGAGTCCAATAAGTCAGGACTGAGATGTCAAGGGAAGTTTTCGGCCGTTGACCTTGAGCTCTGAAGCAGCTTGCATCGAATATAAACAACGCAACAACAATCAAAAGGAAAAAAGATGGGGGAGCTGCGGATTAGATAAGCGCTAAGTGAGGTGGGACTAACGCGATTTAGATGACGATTGACAGCCCGCCCGCTTGCTTGAGACTCCGAAGCTGGAAGAGATACAGCCTTTTTCCTAGGTGCTGCTTGAGGTTTGCTGTGCAACTTTCTCTTTATTGAACGGCATCCCTGGTGGCTTGCACATATTATTTCCTGCCGCTCCAGCATCGAAAATGGCCGCCGCCGTCGCCCACAAGGTACCAATTATCATTCCCCTCTTCCCCAACTCCGCACGAGAGACTCCTTCTAACTTGCTGCTGTCTATAGGAGCGACAATTCCTTGCCGTCATCGGAGATGAAGAGTAAATTACACGAGATGCCCTCCGAGAAGACAAATCACCGCTAATACTTCCTCGCGCGTTCAGCTCCGTGACGGGTCTTCTCCTCGCAGGAATCGGGGTGAGAGCTCACCGCACCACCTCCGCTACTAATATAAGCTGACAGTCCTCCTCTCAAAGCACGTCACAGAACCCCCAGAGTCTCAACGGAACTTCCTTGTTGTCGACGCAAAGACCGAGACTTCTACAATCGAGAAAGCGTTTCAGAACTTCACACAGGAGCGCAACGACATCGCCGTCATCCTAATCAACCAACATGTATGCGACCATTACTGAAGGCGGAGTAAAGCTATGCTGACTGGTTGCTTGGTTCAGATCGCAGAACGCATCCGACACGTTGTCGACTCCTACTCCGAAGCTTTCCCCGCCGTACTCGAGATTCCGAGCAAGGACCACCCATACGATCCCGAGAAGGACAGTGTATTGAAGCGTGTGCGCCGGTTATTCGGAGAATAGATTCTGTCTCTTTCTTCCCTTATCTTCTTTACGTCTGTTATATATCTTTTGCATATCTACTTCCCGACAAAGACGCATACCTTCTGAAACCCTTATGGCACTCGGTTATCCCAGTGCGAGACATTGTCTAGCCAATACCTACGCACTGTGTCTACATTTTACCAACTTACCAGAGTAGTGCTCATAAAAGGATGAGAATGATATAAAATACTTGACTAGAAGCGGGCGACCTGAGACTCCGTTTCAAGCGTCAAATGACCTCCTAGATGCTAGGTAAGAAACAAAGTGCAAATATGCCCGTCGGAAGATATGCATATCAGAGGTGGGGTAAAAAGAGGTAAATACACCCCGAACGCCGCAAAACACGTAGCATATATTACTGGCAGCAATCGTAGGGAAACGGACGTAATATGGCATCTGGGCACAGAGAAAAACATAGTAATGGAGAACACAATGCTAGCGAGCGAAAAAAAAAATGAAGATGCGTGATGTCGGAGACTCAATGGATGACGTTCAAAGTCATGGAGGCGTAACACGAGGCGGTGCGGTCATATAGGCAAGAATGAGGAGAAGGTTGTCTCGTTGACAATCAGAACTGAATGTTCTTGGCATCCAAGCAAGTGATGCGCTTGTCATCCTTGGAAAAGACATCGGCATGAACAGTGTATCGACCCTGTGTTGAAGGTTAGCTTACACCCAGAGAATGCTTGACGCCAAAGATAATGTGGGCCATACCGGAGGAATCTGTGCGGGCAGTTGAACCTCCTTGGTCAGGGTCATTGTTCCCGCTTCCAAGGGACACTCTAGGTCCACGTTCACAATCTGGTCACAGAGATCGGGGCGTTGTTTGACAAGGGTGATCAATCCGTATTTGACCTCCAGAAGAACGTAGGCGCCCTTCTCGACTCGCTCATGCAGAACACCTTCGGCCTTTATGGTGAGAGTTTGGCCACTACGTCCGGTCAGTTAAGAGAACTTGAGAGGGGACCTTGCGGCGACTTACGGCTTGGGAGGGTTCGGAGACAAGTCGACCGATTTGATGTCTAGAATGTTGCCGTTGGGATCTGAGCAGTATTCGAGGGGATTATCGCCCTTAACGGGGATTGCCTCCGAAATCACATCCTGCGACGACCAGAACGAAGCGGGCGTAGCAGTAACGCTGAGGGGAGCGAGGCAAAGCACGGCCGCCGATAAGAGCTTCATGATGGCGGTTGGAAAGAAAGTCTCTCAGAGGACGGAGGGGAGTTGACGGCGGTAACGATCGGTAGGGAGGTTATTTGACAGTAGTACCTGGGCTCAACGCAGGTACGAAGTCGACGAGGAGGAGAGTTGGAGGCTTCGCAAGATTGTGTCATGGGAACGGCTCTTGAAGCGCCTTCCCAAATGGCTGGGCACACGTGATCCTACCGTCTGTCTTATCCAAGCCACTGTTCTTGGCGTTGCGCAACCTTCAACCTGAGCACTCAGGCTTCAGAACGTGACCATTTCAAATTGCATAGCCTCACACACGATGACAGAGCCAGCCGCACTGAAACCCTCAGGATCAACCCTGCACTTGGAGCTTTCTCCTACAGCAAAGCGACCCCGGGGCGTCAAGCTATCTACACCTCCACTACGTAGTTATCACCTCCAGCCGGAGAAATTGACCCGCACCCCACTCATGCCCCATCTAACTCCGCAGGGACAGAGGTCGGAAGCAACGTATAGACCAACTGCAAGTAAGTACTTTAAATCAAGGCGTATAGGGTGAGCATTGATAATATTATTTACAGGTTACAAGTCATTCAAATCATGTCATCTAATGCTCAGAAACGAAGATACCGGCCATACCCATTCCCTGGAAGAGTCATTAGTACCGTCAAAGGAGCCGAGGGCCTGGGGAGCAACTCACCGTTCCTACGCACATAGAAGTGACAGCCACCCTCTTTTTCTGTCGTCGCAACTCCGATAGAGCAGTAACAACCTGTCGTGCGCCGGTGGCTCCAAGTGGATGCCCGAAGGCGCTGGTTCAAGTCAGCTAATATTCAAATTAAACAGTGAAGAGACCCTCTTACATAGCGCCACCGCGAGGGTTGACTTTAGCCTCATCCAGGCCGAGCTTTTGAACACAGTACACACCCTGTTCCTTGGTTAACCTTTTGCACATTTCAAAGAGGAGCATGACATACCATAGATGCAAACGCCTCGTTGATTTCAAAAATGTCGATTTCATCCTTTGTCAACCCGAACTTGGAAAGAATCTTGGGAATGGCATATGAAGGGCCGATGCCCATAATTCTGGGCTCCAGACCCACCACAGTTGCACCTGCAAATTTGCCCAGGATGGGTTGTCCGAGCTCCTGTGCACGAGATCGCTTCATGAGGACGAGCGCAGCAGCGCCGTCGGTAATCTGACTGGCATTGCCGCCAGTAGTGTTGCTTGGTTTCCACTGAGGGAACGCGGAGCGAATCTTGCCGAGTGACTCGGCCGTTGTCCCGTAACGGATGCCATCGTCCCGGTCAACAACGACAGACTTGACTTCCCCGGTCTTGGGATCCTTGATCGTTGTCTTCACAGGGACAATTTCGTCCTCGAACCAACCGGCCTTCTGAGCAGCCTCGGCCTTTTGGTAGCTCTTTGCTGCGAATTGATCGTGTTGCTCGCGAGAAATGCTGAATTGGCCAGCAACATTTTCGGAAGTCTGACCCATGGGTTGCAAATTTTGTGAAGCAATGGGGTGCGACAAGATCGATTCAGACAAGTCCGGCGCCCCGCTGTCAGCATTCGTGCTCATGCTCTCTGCGCCAACTGCGATTCCAACGTCAATGGAGCCAGCTGTAATCTGGTTGGCAATGTTCTGGATCGCCAGCAATCCAGAGGAGCAGAAGCGGTTGGTAACCGATGCGGCGGTTGTCACGGGGAACCCGGCTGCGAGGACAGCGGAGCGAGCAACATATGCTTGCCCGGGGCAGAGGCAGTTGCCGACACAGACATCTTCCACAAGGTTGGGATCAAGCTTGGATTTTTCGCGCACGGACTAGTTGACGGATTAGATATGGGTTAAGCGACATGGTGAGCATCATCAAGTACCGTCAACAAAGAGATGAGCAGGTCATCGAGACGGGTGTCCTTAAGACCACCCTTTCTCGCCTTCGTGAGCGGGGTTCGGACAGCGAGTGTGATCACCTATTAGCAGGAAGTGTTAGCCAATAACCGCCAGACGAAATGACAGCGGCGGCAACATACAACATCGTCAGGGTTCTTGGCCAAGAGCTTGTCTTTGGCGGCACTAGGACTAGAGCCTGAGATCTGGTTCGCGATAGAGGATAACCGCTGCTGAGGCGTAGACATTGTCGTGGTTGGTTTATGCCGCTGTACAAGTGGATGAGAGAAAAAGAAAGTCGGGCAAGCAATCGGTGGCCCCACGGTATGATATATGATCTCGGATCAGCTGGCAGTCTTCATGAACCGCGGCTCTGGGGAAGATTCAAAATCAGAAATCCAGCCGAGAGCAAAGGTGGGCCAAACAACAGAGCCGAGAACCGGTTAACTCAGTTACAAGTACTACTTGTTCCTGGCGATCGCACCCTCTAAACGCTTATGAAGCTGGCTAATTTATACTTGATGTAGTGGTCGCACAGTAGATCCGAAGCTGCCTCATATCTGCAGCATAGAGCCCAAATCCTAAAAGATCCCGAGGATGATAGTCTCGCGGAGAGGTTGAGAGCTGGAGATTTGCCCCAATCTCGGGACAGAATGTGTGGCCCCAAAGCCGATGGCCAGTGCCGCAGACTTGTAACACAGGTGTAATATACAGTAATATATACGGCCTCGGTTGTCGGTGTGCACACAAGTTGAACGAGGAAGTCTTCGTTCTTCATCAATACCAACTCAGAATTTTACTGAATTTGTCTAGGCTGAATATAAAATTGGCATTGTCTTTAGGCATTTCTCCCAGCCCAGTATATCAAGTAAAGCTCGCTGTTCATAATTAGGGCAGATTGCGGACGCAGGACGCTGAACTCCAAGGAATACGATTGTGGGGGAGTCCCGGTCTCTTGAAAGGTGGTTCCGTGGGGGAGACGGAGAAATCACCCTCACTCCCGAGTTGATTTTGGGCCTTGATACCTGTGACTGGTTCTCGGCCCTCGTTAATCAGACTTGACATGACGCACCACCGACCGACGCAGGGGGGAGTTGCTCTCCAGTGACCGCGTTGTGGGCGGCAAATCGGCCGCCTCCAGCTCCCGTCCCCAGATTCCGTCCCTGACTCGGTCTTTAGGATAGTGCGAGGCACGCAGCCGGAGAACAAGTTAAAAGAGTTGGGGCAACCTCGGGGCATATGGGGGTTTGATTTTGTTTCCTCTTTTACCAGTCGGTTTGGTCATAAATCTCATCGACATACATACCTTACAATGGAGATCCTCTCCGAGATCAGTCTGCCCGCCGTGGCAGCGGCGTCAGCCTTGTCAATCGCCGCTGGTGCTTATTTGAATGCCAAACTCTCTATTTCAACAGATCTGACTACTATTCTCAATGATCGGGCATTTGCGAATCGACTGGGCCAACGTATAGCTCAACTGGGCGATACTACCACTGTGTATGGAATGCTTCATCGAGTGGTGGAAGTGGAGGGACGTGGCTCGACGGAAGCGCTTTGGTTTGAAGGGAAAACATGGACATATGCCGAGCTGAAAGATTGTACGTTTATCACCCTTTGAAGAAGACTGGTATCCTAACACTGTGACAAGTTGCGGACCGATTGGCCGCCCTTTTCTATGAAAGAGGTGTCAGCAATGGAGACTTTGTTGGTGTCTTTACTACCAACTCTCCAGAAATGGTTGCTATCATTTACGCGCTCTCAAAGCTCGGAGCTGTTGCTGCTCTCATCAACGTCAACTTGCGAGGTATGACCGAAGCCCTTCCGTGAAAATCCAGGCCGTTCTAATCTTTCTACAGACGATACCTTCGTCCACTGTCTCAATGTTTCCGGCTCCAAGCTTATTATATCAACCCCAGACATTTCACAGCATGTATGCTCAGACTTACCGCATCTCTCTTTCAACATATCATCTTTTGATGGGACATCTGCTGTGTCCGAGCTCATCACACCAGCGGATCTTCAACAATACTCACCAGCCACCTTATCAGCTGCAAAGCGGACTCCAAGTGATCTATCAGCACTCATCTATACGTCAGGCACAACAGGCAAGCCGAAAGCTTGTGCCATACGCAATATGATGGCCTTGATAACCTCAAATCCCCTCTCCCAGGATGTCAACAATCCCTCGAGGTACTTTCCACTTCGAACCTACTGCTCACTTCCTCTTTTCCATGGTACAGCCTACTTTACCGGGCTGTGTTACTCTGTCGGCAATGCAGGAACACTCTGTATCCGCCGCAAATTTTCTGCTTCCAAGTTCTGGAAGGATGTACATGACTCGAGGGCGACGCGTATTCTCTATATTGGAGAGCTTTGCAGGTACCTGCTAGCTTCATCCCCATCACCCTATGATCAAGACCACTCATGCATCGTTGCCGCCGGTAACGGCCTGCGCGGAGACATCTGGGAGAGTTTCCGTAACAGATTCAACGTTCCTGAAATCCGCGAGTTCTACCGGTCAACAGAAGGCATCGCCAAGTACGACAACTTTGGCTTTGGATCTTGGGGTGCTGGGAAGGTTGGGTTTTCCGGGCCCATAAGGCGACTTTTTGAAGACGACACGATCATTGTGAAGTACGACACGGATACGGAAATGCCCTATCGAGACCCCAAGACGGGCTTCTGTATCAGGGCAAATATTGGAGAGGAAGGGGAAGCCATCGGCCGTGTGCGAAATCGTGGGTTGCTGACCGAATACCTCAAGAATGAAGAAGCCACCGAGAAAAAGCTTCTCCGAGACGTGTTTGAAAAGGGTGATCTTTTCCAACGCACTGGAGATCTGCTTGTGCAGGACTTTGATGGCTGGGTGAAGTTTCAAGATCGGGTGGGCGATACCTTCCGCTGGAAGGGTGAGAACGTCAGTGCCGGGGAGATCAGAGATCATATCTGCCAGATCCCGGGCGTACATGATGCTGTCGTCTATGGCGTGAAGCTGACCGCGTACGTGTTTCATTTCGACTACCTTATGGCGTTATGCTAATTACGTGTTTAGATACGATGGCCAGGCAGGAGCTGCAGGTATCACGCTGGATGATCCGTCCGAGTCAGCGGCGGCCGAGTTCACAACCAAACTGTACAGCGAATTGAAAAAGAAGGGCGTCCCTTCATACGCCCTACCACGTCTTGTCCGGTTGACAGAAAAGTGAGTAGACTACTCTCAATAGCGATAATCGACGTCTTTACTAACAAAGTCTGTGCTAGGGTGGCAACCGGAGTTACGTTCAAGCAAGCCAAGGGCGAGTTGACGAAGAAAGGCTGGAATCCTCAGGGTGACTGGAACGGCGACAAGCTATACTGGCTGAATGGCACGAAGTATGAGAAACTTACTGATTTGAGCTGGTCTACGATTGAGAGCGGGTTGGCCAAGTTGTGAGGCATTGTTGATAGTCGTTTGATAGACCTTGGGGTACATGCTGTATAGTATATATTAGATGGAGTCTACAGGAAGATCCAGGGTAATTCATGGCATCTTGTGCTGCTTGCACTATATATAGTACCCAGCCACATTTGTCACATAGTAAACTTGACAACTTGCCTGGTTTATTCTCGAGTTCCAACTTGATCTCGGTTGCCCCCTGGTGAGATCAAGCAAGTCCAAGCCATCGGGATCCACAACCATTCTTTTTGCCCCACAGCAAAGATCAATCAAGTGTTTAACTTGATGAGATCGCCACGCTTATCTAACTTACCAACCGTTGTCTGCCGTCTAAAAGTCGCTCTTTAGCGAGTCTGCGATGGCTTTCCTGGACTAGTCAATTCGGATCATGATCCAAAGGGAGGGGTCGAACTCCCAGCGCAGAAATGTGAAAATCTCAACGTTACATTTCCCTGATCCAGTATCAGACTAGGGACTGTCAATTAGATCCCCTCAACACGCAGTCAGCATGACCTCCATATCTTCAGATGACGGAAAGCCTCGGGACCCTATCGTCCAAGACTTGCCTGTCGACCTTGAGGGGGATCTGGAGCAACCCATTGCCCCCGACCAGTTCGACAAGAATTACTGCACGACGAAACATGAAATATGGGCCTACTACTCGTGCGTATCTTTAATGACTCAAGAAATGCGTTGCTGAACCCTCTTTAGTTACTACATCGGAAACAATGGATTGTCTCTATTCAGTGCGTGTCAAGACCTTGGCGAAAGCTTAGCCCATTAATCGAGGTCCCGTATACTGACTCTATCGTAGACTTTGCACCAACTGCCTTCCAAAACCTGCTCTATCAAGCAGCTGGTGACGAGGGCCTACTCCTCTTCGCGGGGAAGCAACGCTCCATCGAGAGCATCGTTCTTCTTTGCAATGGCATTTCATTCGCAATCCAGGTTGTCGTCTTCCTAGTCATTGGCAGCTTCGCCGACTTTGGAACCTGGAGGCCGAATATCCTCATTGGACTATCAATCGTCGCATACGCTATCGGCTTCGGCTGGCTGGGCGTGCACGACGCTGAGAAATGGCACGCCGGGGTTGGTCTGTACATGGTTGGCTTGATCGCGTATCAAACAACCCTAACCTTCTGGACGGCCGCATTCCCAGGACTCGCGCGCAATACGCCCGAGATGAAAGCCAAAGCCGAGGAGTACAACACCGGCACCATCTCGCGCGAGGAGTATGATTTTGCGGACACGATGAAGCGCAGCCAGCTGGCCAACGTTGCGTTCTACGTGCAGTCTGTCGCTGAGATCTTTATTCTTGCTGTGATTGTGGGCATCATGTTTGGGTTGCGTGTTGATGACAGTGAGACAAATAATAACTGGGGCTTGAGCGTGCTTATTGCCTTTGCGAGTGGAGTCTGGCTCCTGGTTTCGCTGCCTTGGTTCTTCCTTGAGAAGCGCCGGCCGGGGATAGATACCGCGGGTCGAAATATCATCGTTGCCGGGGTCAAGCAGCTGTATATTGCTATGCGACAGATTTGGAAACTCAAGCAGAGCTTGCTATATCTTGTTGGTGAGTATATAGATAGTTTCAGGCACATCGAAGCAGACATGACTGACAAGTATACATAGGTTACTTCCTCCTCGGAGACTCGCTAAACACAACCGTCACCGTGATTGCAACATTGCAGAATAGCATCGTCGCTTACAACACTCTTCAACTAACCTACCTCCTGATAGTAGGGATCGCCGCACAGGTACGTACACAGCACCGCACCGCACCTTTCCCAGAAACCCTAACATTCCCAGGCAATCGGCATCTACACCTTCATGACCCTGCAAACCCGCTTCCACCTCTCCCCGAAAATCATGTTCAACGCCATCGCCCTCGCCATAGTCCTCCTCGACACCTGGGGCATGATCGGAATCTGGACGCAATCATTCGGCTTTCACCACACATGGGAAATCTGGGCGTACCAAGCTTTTTACGGGCTCTTCGTGTGCCCCTGGTACAGCTACTCGCAGATTCTGATTTCCGAGGTGACTCCCCGCGGGCACGAGTTCTTGTTCTTCAGCCTATTTAGCATCATCGGGAAGACGTCGTCGTTTATTGGGCCGTTGGTGTCGAGTGCGATTATTGATGCGTCGGAATCGGGCAATGCGAGTTTACCGTTTTATTTTTTGGCCGCGTTAAGTTTGCTTAGTGCCGGGGTTTTGTGGGTGTGGTTGGATCTTGAGGGGAGTAAGAGGGAGCAGGAGGTTTTCCTGGAGGATGAACGGATCGAGAGGGAGAAACAGAGAGGTGAGAGTGGTGGTATTCATATTTAGAGGCCAAAGTAGGCGTAGGTGGGTGGACTCATGGGTTACTTTTTGCTAGTAAATAAATTCATGGGTGGTTGGCCATATTGTATCTCAGGCACACGTTCTCATGGGAAAGTTACTTGTCTTGCACTATGATCGATGTTATACTGAGCAAGCGCAAAAAGCTGAACAATCATAAGACATCAAATTTAATTTCAGGTCCCCTAGCGGGAGAGAAAGCAAACTCCAGCCCATGCCATGCCTCTGCGCCGATTTTTAAGAAAACAGAAATAGAGGGTTATAGAAAAGATACAGATAGCAAGCAAAGGGAACATACAGAGGGGAAAAGAGCCTTTATATATTCGGGTAGGCTCAATCCTCTTCCTCCGTTGACTTTGACTTGCTCTTCTTTTTCTTTTTCTCCTTCTTCTGTGATGCGTCGACGTCCGGCTCGACCTCGGAGTCCCGCTTGCGCTTCTTCTTCTTCTCCTTCTTCTCTTTCTTCGCGCGCTCGGCTTCCTCGAGCTCTTCCGGTGCAATGAACGCCTTCTCCCTCTCCTTCATCTTCTCCTCGCGCTTGACCCGCTGCTTCTCCATGATTTCTTCCTTGTGAGCACGGTCCTTGGCCTCCTTGGAAAGGAAGTACTCTCCAGACTCGATCTGCAGATCCACCTTGCTCTTCTCCGGCGCGGGCGGGAAAGGCGTGTAGACCTTCTTCGACTTGTCCGTGACCTTGAGCGGCACGCGGCGCTTGGACAGCGTGCGCTTCTTGAAGTTGGGCAGGAATCGGTCCCAGGATTCTGTGGCAAGTGTAGGGTCCTTGGCGAGCTCGCGCTTAATCATAAGCTCTTTGATGTGGTAGATGGGGTGGATGTTGGCCATGCAGTCGTCGACGATTCTTCGCACTTCCTTTAGGCCCTTGAAGGGACCCATGGCGGCAACGGTGTTTCCTTGCACGAGGATGTAGGTGCTTGTGAGGAGTTCGAGGGCTTTGAGAGTTGAGCCTTGCGGGCCGAGGATACGTTGGCGGCGCTTGACGAAGCGTTCCTTGTTACGGACTTGGTTTCGAATTTTGATGATGTCGCATGCGACGCCGTCTTCGAGAATTTTCAGAGCCTAGACAAAAGTAGAGCGTTAGTTGAGGTATTCCCGAGTTCCGAACGTAAGGGCCGAATTACCTGCTGGACGGGGACACTTCGCGACAGTAATTTGATGAGATCGCGGGCCTTGAGAATCGCTGCTGGGTCGAAAGTTTTCCGAGTCGTCTTCACTGTCATGCTACCCTCCACCAAATCGAGTGTACAGGCAATCCCATGTTTCTCCAGTGCCCTTGTAACAACCGGCCATGCTTCCTTCAGGTATACCTCGCGATACTTGGGGAAAAGCGTAGCAAACGATGACTCTTCGGCGAAACTTCCGGCGGCATTGTCTTCGGGCTGGAAAGGATCGATCTAACAAAAGTCGAAGGTTAGCAACGAGGTCGTGAAGCAGAAAATAGAAAAAGCCCGCTTACCTTCCACTTGTCAATGTCGTCCGTGTCCCACGGCTTGTCTCTCTTATATGTGGAGGGCATTTTGACGGCGTTCCTGGTGATGACGGCGGGAAGATAATTTATTGCTGCGAAATTCTTTTGATGGCGGAAACTTTTAACTCGGCCGGCCACTTGCCCTGATAGGAAATTGTTGATGCCTTGGAGGTAAGGCTGCAACTAGGCCTTACACGGATCTACACAACACTAAGACTCGAGCGCACGATCGCAAGGAATTCACGGGGTATACGGAGTACATCGTAGCTTATGTGGGCTCGTGCATTAGGCTTGGGCTCTATTATTGACGTGCTCCCGCCAATGTCTGAGAGGTCCAGACTGCGAACGACCTCCATACTCCGTAGAGCTGGACCTCTGTCCGATACTCCTGGAGAGACATCGGTTCTCAGGGATGGATCGCATTCCTGGGGTCTCCTTCGGAAAAGGGCTAGGCCCGCCAGCCTGGCCCCTTTTTGCTTGGAAGGGGGTTGAGCGGCAAGTATGTAGTGTCCAACGGAGCAGTCGTTGGAGCTAAGAATCCGGATATCAGCAGAGAATGATCGGGCCACACAGATTGGGTATCGATTTTAACATTCACGCTTCGGCTATCTAAGGGCTGTGAAACAGGAGCGGATTGGGATAAATGAGCTTTCGCTTCGATCCACCCGTTCGCATTATTGCTCTTGTCGTTGGATTTAGTTCGAGGCAAGTAGTGCAAGTAAATATGTCCAGTGGTATTGGTTCAGGCGAGCGCCTCACTTCCCGGGGTCTCTCCGCAGTTAGATTGAGCTCGATGTTGGCAGTGAAACTCTCATAGACTCGGCGAAACCGAATTAGGAGGAATTACGAGCAGACCTCGCCAGAGTCCTAGGTCGTATATCCCAGCAGAACGCTTGGGTTGGGCTGATTGACCCTAACAATCCGTAATCTGATGCCAAGGAAAGAAGATATTCTTAGCTGAACAGTAAATACCTCATAGGAGCACAGAGCAAAAGACCTAGCTTGATGGCGCGGCTAGTCGAATCCGAATGGTAAAAGTTGGCAGAGAGATATGCTGGTGGAGGAAAAGTAAGGTTCAACCCCGGACCCGCGAAACCTCATCCAGCTCTCTCTTCCTTTTGACCCTCTCTCCTATCTTCTCGCTGCATCGGCATCTTCCTTCACTTCCAATGCGCATTTCATTGAGACTTTGTTTCTTTGCAATCGACTGGCCTTTCTGAATATCTTTCTGGTTCCGGATGCTCTTCTCCAGGCTCCTCTGTTTGCTCGCATGTTCGCACGATACCTCGAGGCGAAAGGTCCCACAAAGTCGAGCCCATCCATTTCCCTTATAAACCTGCTCGCTTGCAAAGGAGATATAGAAGGGAGATCTGTTCCGTTATATGGTCCTCTGCGTTCTGATTGAAATGTCATCTGGGCAGCAAAATCCCTCCACCAACTCTTTTTTACCCAAAGGGTCGGCACGCCAGTTTCTTAGAGCGGCGGTAATCAAGCCATGTTTCTATCCACCATAGAGTTAATAGGCCAACACGAGAGCCCTGATTGATAATAGACCGTCATATAACCTTGTTGTGCACAACTTTACAATGGTAAGTTTGCTGGATCTGATGACAAATAGAGTTTCTTATGGAAAGCAAGGAGTTTATTCAACTGACCACTCTTTCGGAATCGCAGCTCTATCTTTTGCTCAGCCAGCAGGTTCGTTTTGATCAACTGGGGAGCAAGGTCCGGGGATCCATACGCATTAGGCCAGCAAACCCCCCATGAATATTGTTTCATCGTCCCTCTGATCAATGTCGGGGCTTTCGTCCAATGCAAACATATCTGGTAGGTCAGAACAATGCGGTTACCCCTGAGATTCTGATCTACTTACAGGGGGAAATAAGCCTTCAAGCTGCGGTCACCCACCTCCCCCTGGGCTCGTGATATCAGATCTTGATATTGTGCCGGAGGCATATGAAGTCGTTGAGTCAGAGGATATAGGGACAAGGAAGCGAGCAATTTGGCGATGTTCCCACAATTCATCGTGCCTATACTTCGGCTTGTGGGGTCTGCCTCGTGGTCAATAGAACCCTGCGGCAAGCACATGGACCAGAATAAGGCAACTTACTATCCGGCCAAGCAGAAAGAGGTAGAGGAATCATCTTGGCATCTACCTCTGTGAAGCCAGCTGCAAGCAAGAGCGTCTTCAGACGGGTGCCCACGCGGAAGTCCTTGATTCCTTCCATTGACCTCATGAGTTGCGAACTCCATTGCCTTAATGCATGCTCATCGCTTATCGAGCCGTTGTCTGACTGGACGTTGAAGTATATTTCGACCATCTGCACCCAGCCCCCTGGTTTCAGAACTCTATACCTCCCAACCGTCAGCGATGTGCCCCCGGCAAACAATCCAATGTACGGATTCACCGCCAAAACTAAACCTTTTGATGTCTCTAATATATGATGGCCATCGGGCTCGATTGATTCCTGCCGCGAGAAGTCGAGAATGGACAAGGTCGAAGGAACTCGAGGAGAAGGTGAAAGGCCGGTTGAGATCGTCGACCTGTCAGGGGTGCATTAGCACTCTCTGCCCAATACAATTCGATTCAAGTGATCGCTCAGACGACTATATGGCAAAACCGTGCCAAGTTAGATCCCCCTCGCACGCCAGCGAGGAGAGGATACTCAAGCGCGGGGATTTTCAAACAATATTAATCAAGAGGAGGGGCAGCTCACTTGGAGACAGAGGTTTTCTGGCATATCGTCCGGGCCCATATGAGGGTAAATATCGACTCCGATCACCTGAAAAATATGGCGTGGTTAGCTAAAGTTAGAGCTAGGTGGCTTTGTCTGCGTACGAACTTCACAGTCTGGATTCTGTTCTGCTACATCGATAGCCCAGGAGCCCGCACCATAGCCGCAGTCTAGCACCTTTTGCAAGCGTCGTATCGGAGGGAAGATCAGTCGACCGTCAAAGACTCTGCTGAAGATACGATGCTGGAGTTCCAAGCGCTCAGCTTCATCCTGTCGAGCGCCATAAATGAGTATAGAGCCAGTAAGCGGAGACGAATCCTTACTTCGTCGACAGGCTCGAATGATATTTGGTTGTCGATTGAGTATTGTTGGTACTCTCGACCATGAACAGATACTGTGCGAAGGTATTCGTCGTCCAACTCCTCTGTTTGCGAACTCGGACTCCTTTGTCAACAAAAAGTCAGAATCTCTCACAAGTACCTGAATTGACAATACTCGGGAAAGGATACGTCATTATTGGTGGCTGAAACTTGGGCTGAGTGCCGTTGTGCGTCGGCTAGCAGGTTGGTTTAGAGGGGAGGCGAGAGATCTCATGCCGAAGTGGGATGTTGGGTTAATATCTCGTGGCGGGTGACGGGCGAACTTAGTGTGGTCTGAGTCTTTGTTCAAGCGAACGATGTGGCAGAGGAATCCGTCGGCATGGAAAGACCGTTGGGCTCGGGCAAATGACGAGAGTTTTTGCCCTCTGGACGATTCGGAGAACTACACGGGATTCGCTTTTGTTGCCTAGGTACGAAATGTACGGAAGGTAAGAGATTGTGCTCAACCTCGAGCCTCCCGCGTGCCCTCATGGTGGGAGTTCCCAGCAGATCCATACTGGGGAATATAGGACAAATCTGATTCGAACGAGACAAAAGCAACCTGGAACGCATGATTCATGGCTTACATTGATCGCCTACATCCTCAGAACAAGGGCCGCATCCCCTGCCTAACGGAAATACACACCAGCTTCTTAGGCATAATAAGAGCATTACGTGCAGGCAGCATCGGAGGGGTTGGAGGGGTCAGCAGTGCGCCGCGGAGTGGCACGGCCATGATCGCGATGCACAACCTGCTTCAAAAACCACAGTCATTCTGTTCCTGGTTCCAACGATATGCCATGAGTGGCCGAGTGATCAGTGTGAGAAACTCAGGGGTTGCCTTGACTTACCTTTGGAAGGTCATCGAACAGGTCAGCCAGCCCTGGATGATCTCCGAAGGCAAAAAGCCTGCGATTCCGCTGCGACGCTTCCGCGGTTATCGGAATGGCAAAGATGGACCATTAGTCAACGACTCAACACTCTGAGATCCAGGCCGCTGCAACACACACAGTCACGAGGAAAGTAAATAGTGGAGCACTATGGGCTTCACAATAATGACCATTCTGGGATACATGCACGTCAGGAAGTCGGCCGACTATACCTTGAAAGGTCATCGGATGGCAGCCCGAGGACTAACGACGTTGCCAACATAACCAACCCAAAACCCGCATGTCATGGCCGAGCAACCATTCGCAAGAAAGTTTGGGGGCTAATTGGCGTTAAAAGACCTCGGGGTGATTTCCCAATTACCCAACCGAAGCCTCTTAGGGCATAAGGAACTCGTCGATCTATATTTGTGGCTTGATCCCTCTGCCACCCGAGTCTGGCGAGCCGCGGTCATATAGATCGCATATGCATCTACACGAGTTCGGCGACGGCGCTCCCCGAGTTCAGCTGAACGGATAGCGCCATTCACAAGGGATTGGGGGAATTATTCTTCAATTTTAAGGGCGGCATTCGAAATGCACAAACTAGAGGACGAAAATGCGAACATTATTCTCACATTACCTCAGCGGGTCCGAAAGACTCAGCAGTCCAAAGTCGTTCCCCCCACGCGTTTTCCGACATGCAGGATTTCCTGGACTATTATAATTTCTTTCCCTTGATCCTTCTCTAATGCTCCTACGCCACTTGTTCACCGCTTCTTCAAGGTCACCTCGCTATTAGTATGTGGCCTTGAAACAATTGACACTAGATGACCAGTTTGATGGGCCTCAATCCTGATAAAGAATAGCAGGAAGGGCCAATCTGGACCTGCCTTCACTATGAGCCAATTACATCCGTTATGCGTCCTGCAGACTCCAACCACTTTGAACAACTTGAGCAGCGGCTCGCCCAGAGAGGAACAACGGCTGTGGAGCCTGAAACGGGCCAAGCTCCAACGGCCATTGTGAGGAGTTGCGCTGAACTTTGGAAAGGGAGACTATCCCGAAAAACAAGTGCAGACAGTCCAGAAGGAACTTTGATTTGTCCCATCGGCTGTGGACACTGGACATGACTTGAAGCCAGGTAACCGGTGGCTGAAATACGACTCGGAGGCTGCCAGGCTGGAGCCAGACGGTTAAAGTGAAAAATGCATGCCAGTCCACGGGAGAACGAAGCGTTCTGATTCGAAATGTTTGCTTAAAGCGGGACACGCTATTCTCGAAACGACAAGCTGCAGCAGAGATGCAGCGGCATATTCTTGCATTCTTCCAATGTAAGCGCACCGGGCGTTCATGCATGTAAAAGCGGTTCAACGGGCCCGAGTTGACATATGTATCCAACTGCTCGGGACCGATGCTAAAAAGGTGCAATGGTGGTCCAATGTCCATAGTCTTTGGTAGGGATTAGAAATCCCAGAGCCATGGTTCAGCTTCGGGAAGCAAAGCCCATTTTTGGGAGGTGCGGCCCGTTAGTCTTAGTGTGGTCCCGCGCGTGGGAAATGGAGTCGGTGCCGTTGGATCCTCGCGATGGGCGCATACTCCAGTCCGTCGCAAGTTTATGCCCATCGTTCTCATTTCTGAGGCTCGTCATTCTATTGTTTACGATGGCCTCACTCAGGAAGCTGGACCATACACCGATCAGTGATCCATAATACCATTTACGTAATCCGAAGCCGACACTATCCGGACTCGTAACTTCGGAAAATTATATTCTATTATTTTGCTCGACAGCCAGATAAAATGGACGAGGGAACCTGAAGTATTGCAGTCGATTGCCTGGCTGGCATCTCTATACCCCACAGGCACTGCCTGACCGACCACAAGGACAATAATCTTGCGCACAATCCCGAAACGCACCATCCGAACCCTGCAGATAGCATACTCCGCGGCCATTAGAGAATCAGGTATATCCATTTTGAAATATACACACGCACCCACAAACTCAACTCAATACCGTGCTTTCGTTGTGATGCAGAGACGCGTGTTGATAAAGCAATCCGGAGTGCGCAAACCTCTCCAACTATCGGCTAAGGGTTAGAATCGACTGACAGAAACGCTGCCATCGAACTATATGTCGCGCGTGGATCCGTTGCACCATTTGACGCATTATTCTGGGTCTGCAATGCCTCTGAACACACGACTTGAAAAAGCTGACCGGGTTTTCTAACAGAACCCGGGTGAAGAGAGCCATGTACTTTTGCGTGCGACTGTGGGCATCTGAGGTATGTGTGTGGTGGCGAGCGGCCTATAAACGGTATACACTGCGTAGATGGAAAGATGCAGAGCTCATTTCTGTTTCGGTCTCAGCGTCGGTATCGGGCCTCAGTCTTCCTTACTAATAGAGCTCAAAGCGTGCGCCAGCTTCAACAAGACCACACTCTCAGTGGCGGCAAAGTAGTTCAGGCTGGATTCGTCAGCATGTGTACAATCGTATAAATTGAAGCTGACGTGATATGAGCAGCACTGCTTACCTGTCCATGAGAATCCGGAGATGGCGACCGAAGTGGTCTTCATACCGCTTCAGGGTATCTTCGAGTTTTCCGATTCGAGAAGGGTCGTAAGCTCGCCCGTCGGCTACGGCTGGGTCTGCACTCAGCTCTGGGTCTGCCGAGGTCAAGGCGCGAGCCAAGGATGAGGCGGTCCAGGATGCGAACATGGTGCAGCAGGTTAGGAGTTTGGAGTGAATCTGTTGTCGGGTTAATCATTTTCCATTGACCTTGAAGATCGGGGTTGCGCAAAACCTACCTTGAGTAGCTTAGCCTGCGTCAGCATACACTCTTTCAGGCACGTATCCAAGAAATCGACGTGATCTTGCATGAGTTCGTCAACTGTCCGGTTAACTTGCTTCGTGCCGTTTACTGTGACTTCCGACCCGTCTGCGTCGGTGCCATTCACGCGGTCCATGAGTTTCTGCCAGTTCGGCTCTATAACTTCCGCTGTGCAAAAATAGAGCAGCTGCTGTATAAAGACGAGCATCTTAGAGCGCAGGTTCCACGCGCGCCTCTTCCACAATTCGAGACGTCGATCGGATGACTTGTGTCGCCAGCCGAGGATCTTGGTCTGGTCCAGCCAGGCAGATGATAGCATGGTTTCGAGATGGCGGAGGGATAGCAGGTGTCGGAAGATGAGTTGGTAACGGAGTACGGTCTTGCGGCTGATGACGAGGGAGAGCGGGAAGGGGACGGAATAGTCGAGTTCGAGGGCATCGAAACCGATGATGTCCTTGTCGTCGTCTCCGCCTGCTTGTGGGGCCTGGTATTTCTCCAGTGCAGCTTCGGGGTTGTCCTGGTCGATACCAGAGACGCTGACAACTTGCATGAGCCATTTGGTGAGTCCAATCTTGTTCATTCGGACTTTGACGTCTTCCTTGAAAGGGTCTTGTGCAGCGATACTGCCTGGTTGGCGTAGTACTAGATCTAGAAGTGATTGCAACTTGCTTTCGTTGACGTTTTTCGCCGGTTTGCGCAGCTCTGACGCCCCAAGTTCGAGGAAATAGGAAAAGAAGTCGGATCGATCCAGGAAAAAGTAGTGTTTGAGGGAGCGGAAGCGAGTAGTAAGAGAGTTTTTGGTTAAGAGAAGATTCAGCAGCGAGGCGTTGGCATAGGTGTAGGCGGCGTTCACGTTCTCCAGGAAGCGAGGGTCATCAAACGTCTTGGGTACGTCCTTGACTGCTTTGCTAACATCAACACCTCCACACTCCCGGACGACATTCAGATATTTTCCAGCTAGGAGGACCTTGTCTCGTACACTGGCAAGCTGAGGTGGAACCTCGTTATCGCGAATCGTATATCGCTTTTCCCAGTATTCATCCGTGTAATCTTCCTCTAGCTTCTCGCGTTTGATCCATTTCTGCTCCTTGACGAGGAATTCCGCGTGAGGGTCCTTGATCCCGCCATGATGGAGCCACTCATTGAGCATTGCCATGTAGGGCCTGCTAGATTCCCGAAGAAGAGTCTCTAGTAGTGTCTTTGTGGTCGGATCACCAGAGAATGTTGCTAACCGTTCGGTCAAAAGCCGCAATACATTGCCTCCTTTACAGATCTTTTTGCTGGACATAGCACCGGGAATAAGATCTCCCCCCTCTCGCAATTGCTCAAGAATATTATCAACGTCGTCGAAGTCGTCTATTGATTCGTCAAGATCTTGATCTAAGAGACCGTTTCGTTTGAGTAGTTCTTGGCCTAAGGAGTATAGTTGAGCTAGGCATTGGCTAGTCGGCATGGTGTGGAGGTGGAGTACGTGAAGGGTGAAGTTAGGATTGTTTAGGAGTTGTGTCTCAAGCTGGGCGACAAGGATCAAATAATCCTTTAACAGTTTCCGAATTGTGGCGCATAATGCGTGGCTCACTGCACCATACTCTGCGCGACTCTGGACCTCGACGAAAGCCTCCAAAGCACTGTAATGTGTCGCCATCTTCAGCATAGACCTGGTGAGGTCCCGCAAGGTCGGATCGAGCCCTGACGGTAGCTGGAATGCCGGCCCAGTCAAGCGCTCCTTTTCCGCCGTTGGATCATACTGGGCTTGATAATGGAGGTATTGCCCTTCGAATCCCATGAACACAAACAACAAGTCTTCTAGAATCGCATTTTCCTGCGCATCGGTAGAAAGGTCGCGCAACGGGGTCGGCTGAAGGTATTGAGGGAGAGATGAAGCGAGCGGAGGTACGGATACGCGACTAGCTAATGGTGCTGTAGAATGAGGCATCAACGAGGCGTGCGGGTTCCAAGGCACTGGATCGAGGACAGTTAGTACCGCGACTGATTCCTTGAATTCAGGAACTAACGATCCGATGCCTCCTTCTCCTTCTTCTTCACGCTTGGACTGAGAGCTTCAGGCGGGTTCGCCCGCCTTGAGCGCGACTTGTCTCCTTCTCCTCTATTTCCTGCGCTGGGCGACTCCCTCACCGGGTTCCTGGATCGGCCATGTACTTTCTCTTTGGTCTGAACTGTCAGGCGTTCGGTTCGCTTTTCGCTCGTGATGTGATCTCGGGGCACCTTGCTCTTCTGTGTCGACGTGCTCCCGCGATGATCCATGTTTTCTGCTTGTAATGGGGAAGCTGTGCCGCCGCGTAGACCGAGCTTTTCAGCATCGCCGACAACGCGACCAGATGCAACGCGGGGTCGTGGTGCGTTCATGTGGCTGGCGCGGCGGTCATTGATGGACATGGTCCTGCCAGGTGCAGAGCCAGTGACCGGGCATTCATAGATAGACAAACAAACAACCAAAAACTAGCAAGGAGTTGTCGAATTCAGGCATGAACATGGGAGGTTGGTATACTGAACCCTGCGTCCTTCCGTCCGTTTGGTTTTAGCGCGATTTGGGCATCGCCGCCAGGCTTGATGCCTGAGGCGGCGAGACTCTCCGCCAGGCACTTGCGGGACTTGCGTAGCCCATCTCAGAGCTCCAGAGCTCCAGCTTCGGCATCTTCAGCACCGCACCCACTCCTTGCCTATTTACCTCTACTCTAATCTCCGAACACAGCCTCTGACAGCTCTGTATACCTCTCCTAGTTGTCATTGTACCTCTCAGATAATCCAACATGTTCATCGCGCGATCTGAATACGGTAAGCTCCGCCAGACCTCATCTTCAAGACTCCGATGATCTAACGACTTCGCTGGCAGACCGTGGAATTAAGTACGACATTCTCCCGCTTGAGATTTAGCCGCTCTATCAGACGTTCTAACGCAATGATAACAGCACCTTCTCCCCAGAAGGGCGTTTATTCCAGGTTGAATACTCCCTTGAAGCTATTAAGCTCGGTTCAACCGCCATCGGTGTACGTCTGCTCTATTTCGTCGTGTTATCTCAACCTGTCTACGTCAATATCGGGGGTTATTAAATTGCCTGCGAGAGGCAAACATGTACAGCCCGCTGACTGCCCCATTAGGTAGCTACATCAGAAGGTGTAATCCTCGGTGTTGAGAAGCGTGTCACATCTACCCTGCTCGAGGCATCCTCCGTGGAGAAGATCGTCGAAATTGATCAGCACATTGGCTGTGCCATGTCCGGCCTGCAGGCTGACGCCCGATCCTTAGTCGAACATGCCCGCGTTGAATCCCAGAACCACTCTTTCCACTACGCCGAACCGTTGCGGGTTGAGAGCTGCACTCAGGCGATCTGCGACCTGGCCCTGCGCTTCGGAGAGACTGGAGATGATGAGGAGAGTGTTATGAGCAGACCTTTCGGCGTTGCCCTGTTAATTGCTGGTATCGACGAGGATGGTCCTCAGCTGTACGTTCTTTAAATTCTCCCGCACCCATCTTGCACTAAATGCCAGTCTTGATGCGATTGCTGATATTCTCTCCTATATTAGATATCACGCTGAGCCCTCCGGTACGTTCTACCGCTACGACGCGAAAGCCATCGGGTCCGGAAGCGAAGGAGCGCAGGCGGAGTTGCAGAACGAATATCACCGCTCCTTGACACTTTCCGAGGCGGAGACGTTGGTTCTGAAGACACTTAAGCAGGTCATGGAGGAGAAACTAGATGCGAAGAATGTTCAGCTAGCGAGCGTCACTAAGGAGAAGGGCTTCCGCATTTACAACGATGAGGAAATGGGACGTGCTGTTGCTCAGCTGGGCGGGAACCAATAAGTGAAATCGGATATCCTGAAGCTCTGCTGGGACCATCATGAAGATATGTGTTCTACAGAGGGCAGTTATGTTGGACTTGCATAGAAAAGAACCAAATGACCTTGCCTGATGACCTTGAAACAAATTCTTCTTCTTCTGCCCACAATATACGTATATGACGCTAAGGCTAACGTATAGCTCGTGACTGAGGTCTAAAATATACAATGGGTATCAAGCTGATCAAGATGTTGATCAGCGAATTTTATAGACACAGGGTTTCAGCACAGCGGCCTCTTCCTCTGGCGACATTCCCTTCTCTTCAACCTTAGCCTTCTCAATGAACCTCTTCTTACCAGCTGCAGGTGCCGCAGCAGATGCATGCGGACCCTTCGTCGGGGCACCACCCTGTTTCACAAACTCCATTTTGACAAACATCTTGTTCGACTTATCCACAGACTCCGGCTTGAGAACAAACCCTCTCGTCCTAAATACCTCAATAAAGGCCGAGATATCAGTCCCGTCATCCTGCGCAGGACGAGCATCTTCGGCGTAGATATCTTCTTCATCAACATCAGACCCTGCGTCATCATCGCCCTTCTTCTTGAGCTTCTTCTTCTCGGCCTTGGTAAGGGTCCTTTTTGCGCCGATCTGCGCCTTTTTGCGGGTGACTTTGCCGAAGCGGCTTTTCACCTCGCTGACCCAGCATTCACCCTTGCCGTCGCTACGAAGGACGCGCCAGGCTTCTTCAACGAACGAAACCCAGTTCGTGCCCATAAGACTCAAACAAAAGATTGCAACGTCAACGGAACCGTCTTCCGCTGGAAGGTTGGAAATGTCGGCTTTGGTTATAGGAGAGTCTTTGGGGGCGTGAAGGTCGTAGCTGAGGAGTTTGAGCTTGAGCTTCTGGGCTGATGGGGCCAGGGTGCGGTGGAGCTGAGCATCACCACAGCCTAGATCGGCAATGGTGCATGTGCCGTTGGGTCGTCTCGGTATCGGTAGTGCCTGGTTCCGTGACTTTTGGTCTGGTTTGTTTCCTTTCCTGGGGGCATTTGAGATAGCGGCCCTGGCACGAATAGCGCTGATGTATCCGTGGACAGGGTTTGAGGGCCAAGACTCTTTAACCTGGCGGGAGAAACCTGCGTGGTATTCTTCGAAGAGTTCGGGGCTCGCAGTGAAGAGCTCGAGGGCTTTCGTCGACGGGGTGGTGTAGAGAGTTTCGTTCAAGTGGCGGAAGCGAGAAGAAATCAGTTTTTGTCGCATAGACTGTTGAAGAGGTGTTAGACTGGCCTCTGTCTTCGGAGGCGCTACTGGTAGCGACTCGGTTTGAGGGACGGAATCGGTAGCCGGTGCAGATCCTTCGGACTGCTGAGGACCCTTGTTCTTGTTCTTCCTCTTCCTCTTGGATTTGCCTTCGGTAGCATCTGATCCTGTGGGCTCCGTTTCAGGAGCCACTTCGGAGTCTGCGTCTTGTTTGGGACCATCGTCTTTCTGTTCCTTCTTGCGCTTTTTGTCAGGCCTCACAGATTTGGCGTTGTTCTGCTTTCCATGCTTCGCCGGGCCAGTCAGGCCTTCAATATGACGGCGGTACATCGCGTCCACATTCTTCTTGGTGACCTGATCATCCCGCTTGCGCTTCTTCGATTTGGCGTTTGCATTCGGTTTGGGCGACTCGGTGGTCTGGGTCTGGGTCTGGGTTTTCACGGGCTCGCTCTGCGGTTTGAGCGCAGATGCTGAAACTGACCAGCCTGGAACGGCAAACATGATAGAATTGACGAGAGGCAACTGCTTCCGAAAACTGTCCGTGGGAATCAAGGGACCGTTCCGTTCGAAACCAACTGGGAGTGACCGTTGCGAAGCAGAGAAACCAGCAAGAAAATTTCGGTGGATGAGGCTTTCTGCCTGTCAAAAATGGCGGTACAATTTTAGCTACACCGCCTACTGTAACAGACCCTGAGATGCCGAGTTCAACCCTCGGCGATTCGGTCTGATGGTGTTTAGATGATTGAATAATGATTCCGCTACTTGCTTCAAGCAGAACTGATCAATAATTGGAAGTGCTCCTCTAAATATACAGAGTTGAGTAAATGCCCTCAACGCAATGTCAGGGAGGCTGCCGATCCCAACTGGCGATCTTGAATGTGATAGGCTTGAGCCAACAATCAGCTGTGGCCCGGCCGGCCGGGCTTAAATGCTGCAATATTGGTCCGTGCACCGCGCAGCCGCTGAGCATCAGAGTCCAGATCTTGATCCCTTCTTCCCCCGCAACGGTTGACCTTTATCCATTCTGAAGATTTGCTCTTCGCTTGTGGTTGTGAGTACTCCTTTCGGCTGACTATGGAACGTGCCCTTTCGAGGAGCCTGCTCTTTTGCCATGGAGAACGCAAATCCTACCAGCGCTATCCCACTCGATGCAGCGCCGACTTTTGAAACGGCAACAGACGATCCGCTCAGCAAGAATGAAGCACCACGACAATTAGCCAATATCAAGGTGGCGAGGAAGCGCACCAAGACTGGATGCCTGAGTACGTGGGTGGATATCATATTACGAGCCAATATATAGTGTGCACCATTCCCCAGCTAACTATGATTAGCTTGTCGACAACGTCGTATCAAATGCGGAGAAGAAAAGCCTATTTGCAAGAATTGTACAAAGTCAAAGCGTGAATGCAAGGGCTATGCGCAGCGGTTGATCTTCAAGAACCCCTTGGGTATTCCCGGAGTACCAAATCTCATTCCAACTCAGTCTCAACCTCTTCCGAGTCAATACGAGGGCGAAATTGACCTGCAGCATCTGACTTCGGCCGGGACCCATGGTCCAATTCTCGCCCCCAAGCTCCATACGATCCCTGATTCGGCACAACAGCCTGCTCCTCAGTACTCAGCCGTCTATACACATAGTATAAGTCATGATGATGCTGTTTTCGCTAAAGAATTTACCGTCCCCGCTCAGACGCTACTTCCAGAACCACCAACTCGTAGAGTCGCGGATCAAGCCGCACCTCATAACCAGCAAAGACAGGAGTCTGCCAGCTATGATCAATTTTCTATCCGCGAGCTTGGACAACGTCAGCAGGGCACTGAGGATTGGGTCCGCCAAGAGGTTGAGACAGCAGATCTTCCCCAGCTTTTACAGATACCGCAGGTATGAATATTCATCACACCAAACAATGTTCATGCGACTGATGATAATACTAGAAACTTGTTCCGGGTCCAGTGAACTACGAGAGTACATTGCCTGCGCAACAATATGTCGAACCACACAGAGTCCCTGCGCCGATGCAGGTGGGGTCCTCCATGACTCCTTTGTCACCCTTTGAATATATGGACGACGACGATGACGACCCATATGACGTGGAAACAGATGAGGAAGCAGAAGAACAGGTTAAAATGCAAAACTTGAACCAGCTCAACATGGTCATGGCTTCCGCGCATCGGGACGAAAAGCAGCTTCGTCTTTTTACTACCTACTTGGACGAGCCTAATATGCTAGCCACCTATCAACCGACTTTTAGTTCATCCCCATTGAATAATCCCAAGACTGCCCGAATCTTTCTCCATTTCATTCACGCTACTGGCCCAGCCTTGTCAGTTTTTGAGCGGCATCCGATTGACCCTTCGATGAGATTTGGTGCTCCTGTCCCCGTGGCACAGCAAGGTCTTTGGACATATACTCTCCCTTTGAAAGCATTTGATCACCTAGGCTTGCAACAGGCTATGCTAGCTTTGAGCAGTCTGCATATTGCCTACCTTCAAGGCACGTCAAGTGCAGTCTCTCTGAAGCATTATCAATACGCGCTTCGAAGAGTCGGAAAAGCCGTCGGACTTCCCGCGCGCCGGAAGCAGCTAGGCACGCTCGCAGCCTCCCTTCTTCTAGCCTACTATGAGGTGATGACTGCCGATCATATCAAGTGGAACAACCATCTCGGAGGGTCAGCACAGCTGCTTCGCGAAATCGATTTCGCTGGCCTAACCCGTGACCTACGCGCTCAGCGACGCAGCCGATGGCTTTCGCAGAGCCACGTTTATGGTTCCTTCATGGACAATTATTTGTTTAGCAACCCCACTTCTAGTGACGACCCATTTGCGGAACTGGAGAATGAAATCGACGAGAACATGATAGGCATCTTTCTAGGTCGTGCGGTCAACTACGACCAGTTTGGGCAAGTCGAGGAGGAGCACGCAAGGTCTCGGAAGAAACACCTTTCTCCTAAAGATATTGAAACTCTTCGAATCCAAAGTGACCTCTATTGGTGGTTTTGCAAACAGGATTGGCTCCAGAGCATTATCAGTGGCCAGCCATTGTTGTGAGTAATTTCTGTATTTTGATGGCCTTTTCAAGCTGACTTTGAGTAGCCTACCCTTCTCTCATTGGGGCCAATGCCCTCCGCGTGCGCGCTTAGGGCGGCTTGACGCGATATACGGCTCTGCCGACCATTTGTCATTGCTGATGGGTAGATTGGCGGACTTTGGGGTACGAGATAGGAAACGAAAGATAAAGCTAGAGAAGGCTGCCGGGCCCGGCGGTTGGCGGCCGGACGCAAGATTTGGCATGTTTATGGCTCAGTATGGTCCTCCAAGACCCGGAAACCAAGGGAAGGGGCCCTTTGGACCTCCGCCGCCTGTCACAGCCGGACCCCATCATCCCGCGGGCTCAGGGCCGCCCCCGAACGTGTATCCCGGGAACGGACCCACTCAAAGCACCAGGGGAAGTAATATGAATCCTCGGGGGCCACCAGGTGGGTCTTCAGGTGCTCCTCCTGGTAATCCACCCATGTATGGCATGATTCCTTCTCTTGGACCGAGGGGATTGCCTCCTGCCTTCGCGGCTTCGCTGAATGATCAAAATGACTTCCTGGAACACAAAGAGGACGAGGAGGAAGTATCATACGAAGAAGCTGTGAGGGAATGGGAGGATATATTTGCAGCGTTCGACGCATTTGAGCAATCACTAGGGCCCGATTTCATGCCTTTACCGGCCGACTCCACTATACCGATCTACTCGCCGTTCGGGCCGGCTCTGCAATATCGTACGCACAACATTGGCAGCCTATGGGGCTTTTATTATATCGGTCGAATCCTTTTGCTTCGGCTGCATCCCTCAATGCCACCCGCTATGATGGTAGCGGCAGGGTACGCAGGTGCCGCGACAGCGCATCACGCTCAGACCATCGGCAGGATTGCGGCTGGTATATATGGCCCGCAGTCTCAACACCACGGAGTTGAGGGGTTCAGCCCAACATTGGGTTCCTGCTTAATCGAAGCGTCAGTGGCTCTCTTCTTTGCGGGCGTACAGTATGTGGATCCTGACCAACGTGAATGGACCATAACCGTTCTGGATGATATTTCCCGCCTTACGGGTATCAAGTCCTCAGGCGCGATATCCCGAGGCTGCAAGACAGCTTGGACGGCCGCTTCAAAGCGGCCCGGTGGCCCTCCTTACAATCCTGACCCGAGGCCTGATGCTCACGACCCACCAGCCTGGAAATACTACGAAAAGTTCGAAGCTAATACCGAGAGACGATGGGTGCCTGTTCCCAAGACCAGTCCTGGGCCCCTCACATGGGCAATGGGTATTTTGAGCGTCGAAGATAATATTCTCGAAGAAACCGGATAAAGAATGTGGATAAAGCAGAGGAGTTACTCAACATGGGGCGTTGAAGAGACTTCTGGTGCGGCAAACGGTGTACCACAGCTGGCTCAATGACGAGGATGGTTGAGGAACATTTTTGGTCCGTTGGCATATTATTGATGATCAATGTTTCAGACTTCTGGTGGGAACGTGGTCCCTCTCTCACTGTTCAGAGTATATGTGCTGTCGTAATGATTTATCGCTTCGTTCACAGCAGAGGCTACTAGTATAGTTAGTTGTCCTCTGACACCTACCTGTCCAGACCACAAGACGCAGTGACCTGGCGTACTCATTTGGTTCCTGCAGCACCGAGATATCGGGCTGCGCCAATAACGCCAGGCCAGGTCATTGCGCATCCAGTGACAAGGCAAAACTCGCCCCATAAAATCAATGCAGTCTCAGTTCAAGGACAGCGCTTCCAGTTGAGCCAGATTGAGTGGTCCAGGAGTGCCCAAGTGTCAGGTACTAAGGTAGATCATAACGGGAGACGCAGGCCATGCATCGACTTCCGGGTTGGGCAGCGACTCAGCAGGAGCCAGCGGTCCGCATGAACTACTGTGGGCCTACGGACCCCTCCGAGAGCTGCATCTGGGAGTTCAGCAGTTGATGGAAAGGCAGAAACAGCATTCACCGTCTCTTCTCCTGCGAAGCAGAGGGTCACAGGTGTTTTGGGGCAGGCAATGAGCGGACACCGAACAAAACGAGGCGCAGACAGAAACCTCAGAGATGGAAATAATACGGTATGGAGGGGAGCAATAATTACACAACCTATATTTAGGGCGAGAGCAGATCCCCAGACTCGAAAGTTGGAACGGACGTCATCGCTCAGCATTATAAAGCGGCCAGCGCTTCGCTCACTCTTGTCTCACAGCGCTTCTGTTTACTTTTCTTTTTCCTTGCCTCAGACGAGATCGCAATACCTATTCTCACTTTTTCCTCTGCGCATTGAATCACGTCTCCAACTCGATACTCCCTATCTTTGCTCAAATCCACGGTTCCTTTACCCCACCACACCAGCGGTCCGTCCCCAGTCATCCGCCTGCGTCACCCACGGTACGCTCGAGCTGACGCTTACGGGTCAGTCGCCATGCCTCGCTACTCTGACTCGCGCTCCAGCGTGCTGGAAAGTGACTCCGAGTATCTTTCTCGTGAGTCCCGCGGGCGCCATCGGTCCCGTGGTGCTGCGATCCTCGACCGACCACCGCGCAGAGTTGAAGATGAATTTCGCTGGGACGCTCGCTTGCAAGAAACCGATCGCTTCGGACCTCCAGCTCGCCGACCGAGCAGACACTATGAAGATGACCACCTTCACCACTCGGGACCCCTAATTCGCCATGAGCGCCGCCATGCAGAGAGTCCCCCTCCTCGACCCAGGATGCTGCGCAGACAATCCTCACTTGATACATACGATCGTCTGCCCTCGCGCAAAATCGACGAGTACTACCATGGTTATCTCCCCCGCGGGGCGCCTAGCCCTCCTCCTGCGCGCCGCAGGGTCCGTCGAGACGAGTATGAAGCGATTCGCATTCCGGAGCGGGAGAGTCGATATAGGGAGAGGGTAGAAGAGGTGAAGTCATATCCTCGTAAAGGCAAGACTCGCATGCCCCGGAAGCTCGTACATACACGTGCGATCCGTGAATACGGGTATCCCTATGAAGAAGAGGTATGGAACATAATGTGTGCGCGTTCGTCCATTGCGGTGCTAACAGAATTCAGGATGACCTGGTCATTATTCAACTAGCTCTTTCCAAAGAGCAGATTGATGCCGTCATTGAGAGAAGTCGCGAGATCAAGCGTCAGGCTGAAGGTACTGTTCACGTGCCCTAGCCATTAAGCGCATATACTGACCATCAGTTAAGCCATTCCTATAAGAGCACGATCTCCCGTCCGAGCGACATCGAGACACAGAAGAGTGGAGCGAGTCGCGATGGAGACCTTTACCCCAAGTCCAAGGGCGAGTGAGACCCTTATCGTCGAGCCAGCGTCGGATCGATACCTTTCGCCGTCGCCCGCAGGCTACGACTACTCGACGAAGACAACGAGGAGGACTGTGTCCCGGTCTCGGTCGATTTCCATTGCACCACGTACCCGTACCCGACGTCATTCATCTCCTGTCCGCATGCTAGTAGCGCCTCGTGACGAGCGCAGCGACAATCCTGGACAACTCGCGATGGTTATACGCCCTCGAGACAGCGATAGTAGTCTTGATGACTATGCCATCGATCACTACAGGCCGCCATTTGACCCGGAAACTGCTCTATATGGGCCCAGCGGTGAGGAGGAGGAAGTCTTAGAGATCAAGAAGGACCGCAGAGGTAGGCGGACCAACTGAAGTTCTCATACGACAGCTATTAACATTTTTGATAGGTCCTCCCTCGCGAACCCTTCGCCGCATGCTTGCAACCATGACCTAACTTTCTCTTCTTCCCTTCCAGCTTACGACACGTTTCTCCTTTTCTTTGTCACGTCTTACGAGTTTCTTTCCTAATCTGAGCGACTGAGAGATTAGATGGGAGTATGTGATGGGATCATATCAGGTTTCGCAGGCATCGAAACCGTGTTTTCTGCTGTCTTTACATTCGATATACTGTTACTTTTAGTTGTATTTTTCAGACTGTACACTTCAATACTACGGCTGTCACTTTGTCATTGATGGGATAAAGAATGTAGATCCTCCCAAAGAGAGCATGTGAAACAGTGGCGGTGCAAGGCGGTGCGGGAGGCCTCGACTCGCTCAAGCGGCCAAACCAGCTTTCCCAAACAAATCGACACACAACAGCTCCTCTCCCCCTATCACAGACGCCTGTTACCTCTTTCTTTCTTTCCATTCCAACCAGCTGGACTGTTTTGCTTTGTATCAACCATGGACAAGTTCCAAGCTTTCGGCAAGAACTTTAGGTGAGATAAATGGCAGCCTACAACATGGTTATCTGTCGCGGAACTGCATCCGTCGTCAAAAATGACATGTATCATGCTTGAGATAATGGTTGCTAACATGGGCCTGGTGTCGCTTTGTCTTGAAACAGTGCGAACTTTACGCCATTTGCTGCGCGCACACAGCAGTTGATCCGCGAGCAGCTAGGCCAGGTCGAGGACAAGACTCAGCTTCCTGATGAGTACATCGAGCTCGAGAAGAGGGTGGACGCCCTCAAGCTGGTACACCAGAAACTTCTCCAGGTGACGTACGTCATTCCATGCCGCAAATGAACCAGGCAAGCTGTCCTTACATGTCGGCCTATAGCTCCCAATACTCCAACGAAGCCTACGACTACCCCCCGAACATCCGCGAATCCTTCAACGACCTCGGCCGCACCATCAACGAGAAAGTTCAGCTCCTCTCGCAGGCCAGCACCCCTGCCGAGGCCCAAGCCGCTCTGACCGCGCCTCCCGCTGCGAAACCCCAGCCCAAGACCTTCAGCCATGCCATCGCCCGCGCTTCGCTAGCTGGCTCCCAGACGCTGGCGAGCACCACAGCTGGAGAGGACCCGCTCGCGACCGCGCTGGAGAAGTATGCCCTTGCCTCGGAGAAGGTCGGTGAGGCCCGTCTGGCGCAGGACGCCCAGATCCAGTCGCGATTTCTGGCTGGGTGGAACACCACGCTGAACACGAACTTGATGTTTGCGGCGAAGGCGCGCAAGAATGTGGAGAATGCCCGGCTTATGCTGGATTCCGTCAAGGCGAAGCATAGAACTGCGGAGGGAGATTTGGATAGCTTGAGTGAGGAGGCGAGGTCAGAGATTGAGCAGGCGGAGGATGAGTTTGTTGGACAGACAGAGGAGGCGGTCAGCGTTATGAAGAATGTGCGTTCCAATTTCATGTTCAATGAAGCTATCGGAGATTTGCTAATCATGTGCTCTAGGTCCTCGATACTCCCGAACCCCTCAGGAACCTGGCGGACTTGATCGCCGCCCAGCTGGAGTACCACAAGCGCTCCTACGAGATCCTTAGCGAGCTGGCTCCTGTCGTCGACTCGCTCCAGGTTGAGCAAGAAGTGAGACATCCATTCCCTCCCCTACCGCTTCGATGTGCCGCAACTGACTTCAGACAGGCAAGCTACCGTAAGAGCCGCGAGGGGGCTTAGGCGAGTCACACGCGCCAGTTATTTCTGCTTCCTATTAACATGCCCCGCGCCGTCTGTCATGTATCCCTTCTTCTCCTACACACTCTACATCTTCCATCCCCGTACGTCATCTACCTATTTGGACCTGTAAGGGCGTTTGATATCCCTCGACGGCGGATATGTGATTTGAATTGATCCGTAATCATTAACCTCTTATCATTCCACCATGGAGCCCAAATGAGCTGTAGACAATCTGTAATTTGTAAATATGCATCCGGATTCCCAATGACATATGTACACTACACCGCCACAGCGCGCCCGCGCCACACCAGACCCATCGGCCACAGCATCTCGGGGAAGCTCCATCAGCCAGTCAACCTTGAACTGCTCACACAGCCCTCCTCCAACCTAATCTCACATAGAAGGTCTCGTCTTTGCACCGCACACGTTATTGTTTCCGGATCTAGCTCCGCCGATTGCTTCGTTACTCCCGCCGTCGAAGGAACTCCCCATTCCCCGGCCTAGGCTACCTACCTACCGACTCCGCGACAACCCATACCCTTCTCAACGAGCGCAGACGTGTAGCGTTCAATCGAAAACGCTTCGACTCGACTAGGCCGGCCCAGTCAAGTTAATCGCATCTCACGCACATCCTCCATCCATAGGACCCCTCCAGAATCCATAAGAGAACAACATGGCAAACGGGTACATACTCCGCCCACGTCTCAAGACAAAACAAACTGTCAATCAGTCAAGAGAAAGAGCATCGGCTAATCTTGATTCCTACGGAATAACAGTTGGAGTCTCCTAATCGGCCTCATCGTCGTCGTGGCCGCCGGCGTCGCAGCTTGGTTGTTTAGTCCGAAGGGGGAGAATCAGACGTATGTCTCCCCTCTTACGTTTTCACTCTCTGTTCCAGCGCTGCATCGCATTCTGCTCAGTGATATCTCGCGGAAGGGGTCGACCTTACCCATTTCGTGCGGGCGAAGAGCATATGATGCACTGAATATGCGGCGCGGATCAAATGAACTGGATCTGTATGGATAGCAGTACTAACATCAACTCCCTCTCTACAGAGTCTGGCGAAGCACAATCATCCTCTCGCTTGCGAGCTGTTATCTGATGTGGGGTATGTTTTTCTTCCCTCTCCCTACCTCTCGCTATACGATACAACAGGATCTTCGGCCCCGAAAAAGAGAACAACATATGCTAATCTGTCCCGTTCACCATACAGCGATCACATTCCTCGCACAATGGCATCCGCTCATTGCTCCCCGGAGATCGGATATCCGGCCTGATCGCGTACCGCAGTGATAATTGTTGTGAAAGGGGGTTTTGTTCAGGTTGTGGATAGAGATTGAAGATTGGGGCCGTCGGATTTCCGAATACGCCTCGTTGGTGCCTAGTCTGTGCCAGGATTGTAGCTCCGGCTGTGGGCATTGGCAGTTGACGGGCATTGACATAGCTCCGTCGGGCTAGTTTACGATTGAGATCTCAAGGATCACTGAGGTGGGTTGGGTGTGGATGGTATATGGAGGGATGCTGCATGGCTAGCAGCATGGCATTTATGTATAGTTACTTCTTCTCGTTTCTTTCAGTATATCCATATGCATTCCATTTCATTTTCCGTGCTGGGAACACGTTTCCTGCTGGCTTTTACGGTACGAGCGAACACTCCAGGAGTTGCGTCTCATACTTTCCGTAAGAAGCCCAATCAGTAATATATACAATAGCAGGCGATCTAATATCCGCTTCAGAACAAGAATAAAAGACACATCACTCACCCTATCCAACCCCAACAATCCCCAAAATAACCTTCTGTACCGTCCACCTAGCAACCAACCCCGAAACAGCAAGCGCCATAGCCCGGAAATACCCACATCCAAGCAGGATATACAGCGCTTCGATGTTACTCAGCAGCACGAGATGCGTATCCGTCGCACCAAGGGTAAACAGTGAGCTGGCGATCGCGATGATATTCGCGACGTAGCTGGCTGGTATGGCGGATGGTATGAGATGGAGGAGAGTTTCGAAGAGGGAGGATGAGAAAGAGGACGATGACGTCGATGAGGAGGGGGGATGTGATTGTGTTGAGGATGAGGATGAGGAGCCGGCGAGGGCGGCGGGGGTTATCCCGCCTCCTGAGGCATGCTGTGCGAGGTTTGGGTGTGGTGCGGAGCCTACTGCGGCGGAAGAGGAGGAGGCTGAAGAGCGTGAGTCAAAGCTACCGCTGCCGTCCGGTCCCCAAATCACGAGAAGGATTGGGAAGAGCTTCGCGCAACTGCTGACGAATAACGCGGTGCTGATTGCAGTTGGACTAGCCTGGGATGGCGGTGAGAGAGGCTGAAGGCTCTGGGCTGGGGCCGTAGAAGTGCGATGTAGTGGAGGCGGGAGACTGCAGAAAGAGTCGCGCGGGCTAGAGGGTTGGTTTGGGCGTTGGTTCTCATTTGTCACGCCATTGGTGCTGCCGTTACCACTGCTCGTGCCATTGATACTGGTATTGGTGCTGGTATTGCCAACGGTGCTCTGGAAATCCTGCAAGGGAGCTTGCGATGCAATCTTGGACGGACTTTGCGACGCAGAGCTCGGGGCTTGTGGCTGCGGGAAGGTGGGGAGGACGGGTGTTGAGGGATCCGATGCGGGGACGTCGGTTGGCTGGGATAAAGGGCTGTCGGTCGGTTGTTTGGAGTTCGGTGGAGTCAAGAATGACGCGAGGAGACGGACGGTGAGATGGTGAGCGAGGGTTGCGAGGGCGTTCAGAGTCAGAAAGAAGAGGTATTGCACGATGATCGGAGCGCGCGAGAGGAATGTTGACTCGAGAGACGGAGACTTTTCAATTCGCGCCCAGGTCAGGTAGACGTCGAAGAGTAGTAGGAGGACTCCGAGGCGGATAATAGAGCGCTACAGCGAAATCAGCCATTGTCAAAGGCAAGGTTTGGATGGTCTATCGCCTATGTCTGACATCAAATTTGTGCTCGTCTCCTTCGAGCCGATTGAAGAGGAGATGGCGGTACACCTTCGAGTATTAGCCAAGTCCAGAAACAGCTGTAGACCTCAAGTACCTGTGGCTTGATCAAGACAAGATCAATGAAGATCACGACAAAGTCATGCTCAACGTATTTGTCGGCGAAGCGTTTGCAGCGCGGGCACTGCGTCAAACGCACGCCTTTGCCCAGAGACCGATCATCTGCGCGACTGTAGGCGCTGTACAGGTGCGAGACCGGGTACGAGCATTCGATGCAGATGGGCATCGTCAGTCAATGCCCATGATGAGCGTGGGTTGTTGATGGATTGCAGTCGCATAGTTGGAAAGGAGAAATGTGGTTCTGCTGATCTCCGATATCGCCGAGGGCGGTGAGCTACAAAGAGTGTATACGCGGGAGAAATGGCGACGACTTAAAGGATAAAAAATTCAGGATATATTCCAACCTCTGTTCTATGTGCATCTGTATATAGTATATATTAATCAATCACTCCAGTATCGTCCGCCCAGCTAGGCTGGATGCTTCGACACACATACTCGTAATCCCGGAATATCTGCGGATTCTCAGGGAGATCAGGAGTGGTCCAGAACATGGTCCAATTGGTATCCGAAAGTTTCCAGGTTCCTAGAGACCGTTCAAAGTACCATTTGTTGACTGGGTTGTCCTTGCGGCTACGCCAACACACTCCGTTGGGGAAGCATGTGCGCACCATGGCATTGAACACAATATCTGCAACACCTCCAGCACCTTGACTGCGTTTGAGGACTGCAAATTTGTCGAGATACGGCACCATCCGTGCCGTGCTTGCCTCGCTCCCGTCATCCTTTACACCGGGCGGGAGTTCCCAGGTTAGAATAGCGCCGCCTTCGTACTCTCCTGCAATGATTAGACCAGCCAGGCGGCCGTTGACTCGGTTGAGGTAATCCTGTACGTCGAGTTTGCGGTTGAACGAGTCTTCAATCAAATGCACGAGTCGGGGAAGATCAATGCTAGGCTCTTCGAGGCTCAACTCTGGGCGGTTGTGAGCTGTCCACACTTGGACGTGTGGATCTGGAAAAAGACTGACGGGCATGCCGCGCTTAACAAAGGTGGTGGGCGGTGCGGGTAGGTTTATTGAGCCGCGTGCCCGTCGACTCAACGGCAATGAAGATGAGAGTAGAGGCTTATCGGTGAGAAGGTTATGGATGAGGGGGTTCCGCTGTCGTCGTGTACCCACGGACAACTCCGTGGCTTCTGGCGAACGTGCCGAGTCCGCAACTTCAAGAGGAGAAGTAATGATACCAGATGATGCTGATGGAAGCATTGCCAAGGTTTGTTGTGAGAGTCGCAGATTCTCCAAATGTCCCTCAATAGTGCTTCCACCGACCTTGAGAGGCAACAGACCTTGTTTCGAAGGTGCAGACGCAATCTCAGAATCGACCAACTTTGACAGCGGATTACTCTGGACGATGGAATCAGCAAGACCTGTACCCTGTTTCTCACCCGCCGGTTGGCGGACTTGGGAAAGCTCGCGCTCAATGCTCTCGAATTCCTGGTCCATATTGATAAAGGCATGCGACGTCTGAGGCCCACGAAAAGCTGGAACGCCTCCGAGAGGATCTAACAGGACAACACGGTCCAAAGACACTTCCTTCTGTAGGTCACTAATCTTCTTGGCCACCACCAGGGGATCCTCGTCAGGATCTGGTGTCAATGCCAGGCCTGCAAACTCCTTGGTCAAAGCCAAAATTGCATCATTAGCGGGTACTATCACAGCCTTTGGCACGTCTTCCGTGTACGCAATTGGCGCAACAATCAGGATTTGGCCATCCCGCAGCGGGCCAAGGAGTTGCTTGCGAGACGAGACCGTGGGTATGTTTGGCGTCTTAGCTGACAAGGACAACACCGAAGCCAGATATGCGGACATCGAATCAGGCTGAGCGTCAATTGCCGTCGAAATGCGACCAACCTGCTCGGTAGCTATTTTCCGCAGCGTGTTGGCATCTCCGTCCGACCCAGGGTCAACAACCACACAGCAGGCCATCCCCAGCCGGTTGAGCTGGGAGAGGGTCTTGGCCACGCCAGTCAAAGTATGATCATCCAGCAGCTGCGGGGTTTTGATTTTGACCAAGGCTAGGTGCAGTCGTTCTGGTAACTCCCCCCGTGTGGGGGTGGGTGTTGAATCATGAAGGAACACGGGTGCATCGTTGATGGATTTCGACGGACAGTAGAATGACCCCAAGTTGACGCCGGAAGGTAGTGAATTGGCAATGGTCTGCTCGATTTGTTTACTTGACTGTTTCTTTGGGGGGTTCGCTCCGTGCTGCGCTTTGATCCGGGCGAGGTATGATTTCGCTTCGCGTTTAGTAGACGCCGAGTTCAATAAGCTCATAAAGAACTCCTAAAGCCAGTAATATGTCAGTTAAGACTCTCGCGAAGCAATTGACAATCTGAAGCTACTATACCCGATCGAGCAACTTCTCCTTTGCACGACGGCCGAGCCGATCATAGCTGTGGCTGGTAGACGAGAAGTCGGCGCTCTGGCTGACTCCGCGATCGCACGCGAAAGAGAAACAGCGACGGGGAGCTGAATGAGCTTCATCGCAAGCATTCAGTACGGCCGAATGCCACTATAATAATAATGTTAGGTGAAAGGCCGAACAGCAAGAAGCAAACAAGCTCGTACCGTGAGCGGGGACTGAGCAGCCCGCGACCAAGTGAGCGCCCTCGAGCTCATGGTGCATCGCTAGGAGAATTCGAAGCTCATTCCAGGTACAGGAACAGAGAGACGACCAGGTTCCTCAAGGAACCGGAAGGGCAGAGAACATTGTGGGGAGCAGTTGGCGGGTCGGAGGAGGGAAAAGAAAAATGGGTCGATATCTTGAGGGAAAAAGCGTGAGTCAATGACGATGCAGCCGACTCCGTTCTCGGCTGCGTCGATTTCTCCCGAGGCCAATCATCGGGACTGGCTTCTGGTTTATCATGAGGGATGAGGGATTTCTCAGGATCAGACACACTGAGCTTCCCTTGGATCCTTGGAACAGGATCCCGTCGCCTGTGAGCCCCTGTCTGTCGGAAGTTGTTCCTGAACTGGCGGTCGAGAATAGCGGTAAACGATTGTATCCATAGATGGCAGTTGAGGCCATTCACATTCCAGGCCAATTTTGGAGTGTAGAGGATGCTCAATAATGGTCCCTGGGAGGGGATCGCTTAAGCTAAAATATATATACAAACATATCTCCTGGAAGCAATTTCATGTGCAAATTGCGACAGTACCAACCACACAGCGTCAGACACGAAACTCAAGGCAGAACTATATCCCGCATAATGAATGCTACCTCCCTGCGAGGAATCAGCGATAAACCAACCACTAAGCGAGTCCTTTATGCTTAATGACATTTGCGTTTCCAAGGCGCCCTGCTTATCACAATTCACGGTTTAACTCTCTGCTGGGTGGCGGCCGGTCATCCATCCGATTAAATAACGTCCCAAGCAAACTCTCTCGCTTCCGCCTGGATATATATCCAAGTTGCATCCGGGTTCCTAACGATGGCCCTTGACGTTCTCCGGGTGGACAAGGCCTCAACACAACTTGAGGAAATCTATAATATAGATACAGCCTGACAGAATCATGAAAGGGAGATACGCGTATTGGCGACGGTCACTTAGGCATGTACTTTTTAAGCTCCAAGTACTAGCTAATATGTCAAAAGGCAGGAGCTTCATTGAGAAAGAGTCCAAGGTTGATGTCACAGACACATAGAAAGCGTAAGTTTATAGCAACCTTATTGGGGTTCAATCATCCTATTTGATTCAGTCGAAGTAACCTTTAGGAGCATCCGCAGCAGTGTGTTGGAGTCGGAGGTAAACCAGATATCCAAAGCTTATCAGTATCAATTATGCTCTGGCCTCATCTCGTAACCACAACCGGAGAGGGGCGACAGAAAATGAGCTTGTTGTCAGAGCCTGAAAGTGCTTGGAAAGAGGCGGACTTTTGACACTATACACTATGCAACGTGATATAGTCCACCCATGCCATGTCCAGTGATACCTCCTAGTCCCAGTAGTCTGGAGAATACGATAAGACGAGAGTGGGGGAGCAAAGATAGGGAGTAAAGGTTGCGAATGCCCCGCAGGCTGAACCGGGTGTGAAAACTCTTCAAACTCAATCAAACAAAAGTACTCCGTACTCTAGGAGGCGAGTTATTGACCAGGATCTTGAGCTTCTGCAGGACTGCAAGATTTGGCTAAGAGATTCTCGGCCCTCAGCGATCTTTGTTTAAATTCTTCTAACTGCAAGCCTTATCGCCTGCGTTATATTGCCGACCCACCAGCACCCTCGTCTGGAGCCTCTGGACCGATCCCGGTTTGTCGCCTTTCCTCGGGTTCCTCTGCCGTTTGAGATTTTACCTTTTTTTTCCTATCGCTCCTTCCAGACCGATTAGCCTCTCACTCCAGACTTTCATTCACTTGCACCACTGTTGTCGTTATATATAACATCAGACCATTTCCCGACCAACTGTCTTTCACCCCACTTCTGAACTACCCCTCTCCAGACCATGTCGGACCAGTCAAATTACGACCCCTCGCATCCCATCAACGGGCTTAAACCCTTATCGAACGGAGATGGCTTTTCCCTGCCTATAAACCAGCACGATGGTTCGCGCCTGCACGATTATTCGGATGCGATGATGGCCAACGGACTTCCCTTGGAGGATGTTGACGAGGACGACGACGACGAGGAGGCTGAAGATGACTATGTCGCTGTCGATCATGACGATGTGAATGACTATCCCTATTGGTTTCGCCGCCCGCCCGTTCACCACCGCTCGAAACTAGACGACTTGCATCCCTTTGTGCAGGTTTTGACCGAGTCGAACGTGGAGGATTGTGTTGCAGTTGAGGAGGCATTCCCTGTACAGGAGCGTTGCTCGCGTGAGAAGGTATATACATTTTGCGCAGGCCCTATTTCGTACTCCGCTGACCCCCCCCTCTTAATAGTTTCAATATCGTCTCGGAAGATGCCCTGAGCTGTGCCTTGGCCTGTTTACCCTCCCAATCCTGAACCACGGCGAGCCCAAGCCTCGCCCTACCCTCGTCGGACACATTATCGCCACGCGAGTATCTACCCCCCATGTGACGGACAAATCTATGGAGCTTCCGGAGAACTGGAAGACCGAACGCCTAACAGTCGTTGATGGGGAAACTGTTGGTCATGACGATACGGGAATGTCGATTGCGATTCACTCTCTTGCGGTCTCGTCCGAGCACCAAGGGAAGGGCGTCGGTAGCACGTTGATGAAGTCTTACATTCAAAGAATCCGCGAAGCAATGATCGCAGATCGCATTGTGATTATCGCGCATGACCACCTCGTCGCATTCTACGAGTCCTTTGGATTCCAGAGACGGGGTCCCAGCAAGTGCCAGTTTGGTGGTGGTGGTTGGACAGATCTGGTACGTTTCCATCTTCTCTCTACGACATGAGTATCCTTGCTGACTAGTTTCAGGTGTTGGAATTCAACACGGAGGAATGATCATATTCCTGATACCACATTTTCATGACTTGTTCTCGGCTGCGACGATTCCTTCTTCTTCGTTTTGACTAGCATCTTCTTTACTATTCCCTCCGTTCTGTCTGTATTCCCATCAATGCATGTTCACGGATTGTGCAATTTGGTCTCGGGGTGGTCGTTCGAAAAGCAATGGAGTTCTCTGGGGCTACGATGATACGATCTGCTATGATATGATGACCGGGTTGGTTTGGTCAGGGCAGGCTCAGTGTTTATCATAGATACTTCTGTAGTCAATGTATATCTAGCACGCTCAGTCAGTACTTTTGTCCGGCAACCTGAAATTCTCAGTATTTTTGTCTCGGTTAGAAAAGTGCAGAATCCCCCACATCGCTTCACCGCCCACCCCAAAAAAATTCTGCCTCCGCGCCTCCCATACATAATTTTTTTGATCTGGACGGTCGGCGATAACAACTTCATCTTGCCTCATTTACGGTCGGGTTACTGCTAAGAGTCATCTTTTTTTCAATCGACAGACTCTCATCAGGTGCCCATCATGAAGACTACGTGGAAAGATGTAAGCGCCTTTTGCTGTTGCCAACCTGTTGCCAACTGATTTCTCCTGTACTGATTTTCACCGCTTGATAGATCCCTCCTGTGCCCACCAGCCAGGAGTTCCTGGATATCGTCCTCAGTCGTACGCAGCGACAGCTGCCGACCCAGATTCGTGCGGGCTTCAAAATCAGCCGTATTCGAGGTATTTTGCGACTATGATAATCCCGGTGGACGGTTGGACCGGTCTCTAACTCGAAAATTTTCTCCGCTCAGGATTCTACACTCGAAAAGTCAAGTACACCCAGGAAACGTTCTGTGAAAAGTTCCAGGCGATTTTGGATGGATTCCCCAGACTGCAGGATATCCATCCTTTCCGTGAGTGCCCAAGAAATCTGCTAGTTTTGACCGCAACTCGTCTCACAAGCGATTAGACAAGGATTTGATGAACACCCTCTACGATGCCGATCATTTCAGAATTGCCCTCGGTCAAGTCTCGACTGCGAAACACCTGATCGAAACCGTGTCCCGCGACTATGTCCGCCTCATCAAATATGCACAATCCCTGTTCCAGTGCAAGCAGCTGAAGCGCGCCGGTCTCGGTCGCATGGCCACTATCTGCCGTCGCCTGAAAGATCCTCTCGTTTACCTCGAACAAGTCCGACAGCACTTGGGTCGTTTGCCATCGATTGACCCGAACACCCGCACTCTCTTGATTTGCGGATACCCCAATGTTGGAAAGTCCAGCTTCTTGCGCAGCATCACCCGCGCCGATGTCGATGTTCAGCCCTACGCTTTCACGACCAAGAGTTTGTTTGTTGGTCATTTCGACTACAAGTACCTGCGATTCCAGGCTATTGATACACCCGGAATTCTCGACCACCCTCTTGAGGAGATGAACACCATCGAAATGCAGTCCATTACTGCCATTGCCCACTTGCGGTCCGCCGTGATGTACTTTATGGATCTTTCCGAGCAGTGCGGTTACTCCGTCTCCGACCAGATCAAGCTCTTCCACAGTATTCGGCCTCTTTTCGCCAACAAGCTCGTTTTCATCGTGGTGAACAAGATTGATGTCCGACGACCGGAGGACCTCGAACCCGAACTGCAGGAGGAGATGCAGAAGATGCTCAAGACGGGTGATGTCGAGATGCTGCAGCTTTCTTGCACTACCACCGAAGGTGTAACAGATGTCAAGAATGCCGCTTGCGACAAGTTGCTTGCTGAGCGCGTAGCACAGAAGCTCAAGTCTGGATCGAACAATGCCGGCACTCCAGGTGGGAGACTCGGCGATGTCCTGGCCCGTATTCACGTCGCACAGCCCATGGGTGGTGTGCAGCGTGAGACTTTCATCCCTGACGCCGTCAAGGGTCTCCAGAAGTACGACAAGAACGACCCCAACCGGAAGAGACTGGAGCGGGATCTCGAGGAGGAGAACGGTGGCGCTGGTGTTTACAACATCGATCTGAAGAAGACATACACACTCGCAGACGACGATTGGAAGCACGACAAGATCCCCGAAGTCTGGAACGGCAAGAACATTTACGATTACGTGGATCCGGATATCGAGGCTAAGCTCGCCGCTCTGGAGGAAGAGGAGGAGAAGCTCGAGGCCGACGGCTACTACGAGTCGGACGAGAGCGTCGAGGATGCCGAAGACGCCGACACCCGAATGAAGGCGGATCTGATCCGCGAAAAGCGCACCCTTATGCGCAACGAGGCCAAGCTCCGCAAGTCCCTCAAGAACCGCGCGGCCATCCCCCGCAGCGCAAAGGCCAAGAAGCTCTCGCAAATGGAGCACGCCCTCGACGCAGCCGGCTACGACGGCGACGCCGCCGTTGCCCGCGCCCGGTCCCAGAGCCAAGTCCGCGGACGCACATCGACCCGCAGCGAAATCGACACTGGCGACGCCATGGACGTCGACCAGAACGACCCCAAGCTGGCCATTGCCCGCGCCAAGGTTCGCGCTCGCAGCCAAGCTGCTACAGATCGTCTGCACGATGGTGTTACCAGCGAGACCGCCCGCTCCAAGGCCGAGCGTCTAACCAAGCTGGGCCAGAAGAAGATGAACCGCATGGCCAGACAGGGAGAGGCCGATCGTCACCAGACCGTCTCTCTCACCAAGCATTTGGTACGCTGCTTTCCACACCCTCTCCATCAACCCCTATCAGACATAACTAACAAACCACTAGGTCGCCGGAAAACGTGGCATGGGCAAGACGCAACGTCGTTAAACCAATCCCCTTGCGTTCATCCTCCGACTACCTGCGTGGCTTTCCTCTCTCGCTTCGCGCCGTTCACGAAACAGCTACGAGGATCCTCTCTCTCTCCGACCTTAATACCCTATCCATCCTCCGTAGTACAGTCCTTCATACTCGTCATGATCATGGGTGTTCCTTCATCAAAAAATTCAACCGGCGTTGGGGAAGGTTTTTTCCTCTTTTTTTTTTCTTTTACGATATCTTGCACGTTTGACTATAGGCTGTCTGGATTGAGCTTATAACTATTATACATATTATACATATTATACTCGCCAGATGATGCAATGGATAGACTTCCAGTTCCTTTTACTGATTGTTATAGAATCCTGTCGTAGTCTGCAGAATAATGCTGATTGTCTTGACCATGCTCAGTACCTCATGAATCCAGCTCGAACCAACTGGAGTTATATTCAATATTACCCTACCTAACCAAGCCTAACACCTATCTTCGCGCAAGGCCTTCCGACTAAGTGAAAACTCTGATGGCCGCTCCCTTCCTCCCCTTCGCTATACCATCCCCAAATGCAGCCAGCCCCACCAGCAGCGATGAACACGTATATAGATATATCCATCTACTCCTCATGAACAACCCTAGCATTCGGCTTCGCATCCGGATCCGCATCAACATCCTCCGCATCAATAACGCGATCCCCAAACGACGCGGCAATCTCCTCGAGCGTCTTCCGCTTCGTCTCCGGGAAATAGAAGTACGCGATCACAAGGAAGAACAGCGTGCAGCCTACAAACACGTAGTAATAGTTCTCGTGGATGTTGGCGAATGCGCTAGGGCCAGCTTCGGTTACTGTTTTTGTTATTTTATTAGCATTAGGATTTTGTGGGAATGGGGAGTGGAAGAGGTCAGGGGGAGGGGGTGCGTACTGCCCACGTTGACGATAAAGTGCGATGCTGCGGCGAGACCCATGATTTTACTGCGGAGCGCGATCGGGAGGACTTCGGCGCCGTAGAGCCAGGTTGTGCTGTTGAGCATGCCGTCTGATGGAATTGGATGTTAGCTGTGCCTTTCCCTGTCTTCCGGGCTCTCGGCAAGCGCAGTGTTGTTGGGAGAACTTACAGTAGATTACAACGAACAGGTAGATACCAAGAATAGCGAAACCCTTGCCGATGCGGTTATCTGTGTTCTGGAACTCGCGTTGCATGACAGCGGCGTAGATCTCGACGACGATAATTCCGCTTAGACCCGCGAGGATCATCCTATATTCTGGTTAGTCCTGTATATCTATTGTCATTGAGGTTATGAAAACTTACTTTCGACGACCCCACTGATCGGTCAGATACTTCGTGGTCAGGGCGTTGGTGACGAAGGCAATGGTGCCGTAGACTGCTGCTAGGGCAAGGATAGTGTGCTGGTCGATGCCGAGGGATTTGTATAGGATTGCTAAGCGCTATTAGTTTCGGTGTTGGTGGTGACTTTGAGCTGGCTTACTTTGATAGTACTAGAGAACGTTAATAGCTAACACTTTCCATTGGATGGGGTAGCATACCTGAATTACATTGACACCAGTAAGACTCGTCATGGTTTGTACGGCGATTGACCTGACTCATTAATCCATGGTTCTCCATCACAAGGAAGAGGGTAAACTCACACTAGCGCACGGTGCCTGAAAAGCTTGAAGATCTCCTTGTAGGATGTAATCTCGCGTTCCTTCTCGTACTCAATCTGAGCCAGCATCTGCGCAAACTCCTGCCGGAGCTCGAGCGAGTTGAGATCGCGGCGAATCCGACTAAACTCATTTCGGGCCTCCTCCACCTTGCCCGTCCGGACCAGATAACGCGGAGAGTTGGGCATGAAGGTGACCAAACCGCTGAACATGATGATACCCCATGGTATCTGGATGGCGAGAGGAAGACGCCATTGAACAGCGCCGTATGGAGCCCAGCTGCAGGCGTATCCAACCCAGTTCGAAGCCATGGTCCCGAATGCGATACCGCAGCCTGAGATACCTCCAATCAATCCGCGATAACGAGGGTCGGATATTTCGCTGAGGTAGATGGGGACGGTGCCAACCATTCCCCTGATCGTTGTTAGCGCTAATGTTGCCGAATAGTTCAGGGAGACTCACCCGACTGCGACTCCGGCCAAGGCACGGCCAGCAAGGAACATGCCGATGTTGACTGATGCTGTTTGGATGGTTGTCCCAATCGTAACAATGATGCACATGAGTTCCATGAAACGGAGACGACCTAGTCGATCGGCGACGGCGGTTTGAAGAAGGGCCCCGACGGCCTCGCCCGCGATATAAACCGCGACAACCTAAATCCATTTAACTCAGGGTCATAGACTGGGGCCAAGGTGACATACAGCGCCTGTTAAACCCTTCGAAGGGTGTTTCATGTAGTCGATCCAGCTCTCATGGGCAATTGCTATGGAGAATAAGCGAAGTGCTGCGGCATATTATCTCGGCGACTTACTCGTAGTGGCGATTCCAGTATCGAAACCCTAGCAATATTAGTCTGATGTACCTCGGCGCTGGGTTTGGAGGTACTCACGAAGAGAAAGGTTCCTATCGCGGCAAAAAACGCGACGCCCAAGGCGTACCAGCTAACCATCTTGGCCAGTTGTAGCGGAGTGAATATGGGTGAGAGACAGTTGCTCAACCGGAAAGATGCAGGAAGGGCACAAGATACCTATGTATCCCTCTCACAGCCGAGCGCCAAAGGATCAGCGGATTTTATCCGAGGCGCAGGAGCAAGCAACGAATGCCCTGATGGGCTGACCCCTCGGGGTATGGCCGAGTACTCCAAATGCTGGGGAACGAGCGCAATCTGGGGGAGTGGAGACAAGCAGGGAGATTCGGTCAACAACAACCCGTTCACCGACTAGTGGTTGAATGAGTCGCATTTCAAAGAAGATTATTCGACGGAGGAACAGGTTCCAAGGTCCGTTAAAGTCAAATCATCAAACCAGAGAGGCAAAACATCACGTCGGAACCGGTCTCCCAGAGGAATGTATGGCCCGGCCCCAGGCTTCACGATTCGACAGCCATAGCTCCGCGTGGGGTGGCATATTGCGTGGGGGTGCAGATGAAGCTCCTCGAGTCAGGATTGGAGACGGTCAGACAGGTTTGTGAGCATGACGTCCTGAAGCTGGGGTGGTGACTCGTGTGGCTTGCCCAACACAGGAATTGATGCGGGGAGACGACTCCAACATCAAAGGGTCCGACACCTGAAGAATTGAATGAATCGGACACACCCCGAGGATGTGGTTTCGTTCTGGTTTGGCGCCATCTTTGAGAGTCGAATATCCTTTTTGTATCCTGAAGAACATTCATTCTGTCCAAAGCTGTTGAAAGGCTGAAGCCGCCTCTGTGAACAAGCACTCTTGGTCTCTGGGCAGTGGATGCGGCGCCGACGTCTGGCTATTTTACCCGAAGAGGAGTCTAGTTGCCTCAGGCAAAGCCAAGTCAAAACGGGACTAGCCCCTCGCTAAATCGACACTAGCAGCCCATCGCTTCTCCCGCGAATATAAAAGGGCCCGTCGCCCCCGCCATTTTACTTGTTTTTTTTCTTTTCTTTTCCAGCTCTCTTTGCCTTTTGGCTTAGATCAAGTGTAGTATCTGTTCTTTTCAGTTTAATCTCTGAAAGTGTTCTACTGAACACATTCTTGATTAATCTTATTTTTGGTCTCCGTGGCAGGGCCTCTGTGCTTGCGCATGCTCTGCTACACAGTGTCATCGGGCTTACACTACCTCCGATCGACGCGAATCACCTTTTCATCAACTTGGCCGGCTTGTCCGACTGATTGGAGAAGAGATTTGATTCTTTTGTCGTGTTTGTGCTTTGGTGCGAAGGAAGATGTGATGCTAGATCTTGTTCATCTCCCATCAAATACAGCGGAAACTGACACTTGAGATGCTCGCGAAAGTTGCTGTTTTGGCCGACTACTACGACTGCAGGGAGGCTGTAGTCTTTTTCATGGATCGATGTTCTAGATAAAACTATTCCCACAAATTGGATTCTCTAGTTTATGGGTTGCCTGGTATTTCCACCTCCCTGCCATACCTCAACCGCCATATCATGCAGTCACGACTGGATTGACAATCTTGGGCCTCCAATCCCCGATAACATAGTAAGCTGTATGGGCACCTGAATCCTCAAATATGCTTGAATAATAACACAGAGCAGGATTGATGAATGATCGACGGCAGGGAGAGATCACTGTCCGAATTCTCGAACTTCAAAGTACACCTGATCAACTCCAAAGCGGCAGCAAAGGGTGTGGCTTCGAATGCAGCTCGTATGGAACTCTAACAAAGCAGAGGCACATGAAGGCTCTGCGTTCACCGAGGCCTGCAGCGTCTTTCCCAGGTTTGAGATACGGATTACTCGTGCAAAGTATGCTATCGTTCAAGTCGCCGGTATGGTCTAGTCCAAGATCGCCTGATTATTCAAACTACCAGCAGAGTCAGACGTGTATGAACTCCACGTTCAGATATCACTTTGGTTGGTTGAACGATACCATTGAAAACCTTGACTTAGACAGCCTTATCCATCTATAGTTAAGGAACTGTCGAACTTCTTGTTGCTGAGTTTGTCACCTACCAGACCATGAGTATCCCTGTCCAGCGTGTCGCCGGTTGATGTAGCAAGCTATTTGCCAAAGACCATAATGGAGACGAAAGCGACTTGTACTAATACCACTTGGTATTCTTACGGAGCCCCTGTATTTGGTCTTCTCGCTAAACAATGAAGAAGTTAGTTTCATCCGCATGACAAGAGCCAGAGCTAGTCAAACCAAAAAGTCCCCGAACTCTGCAACAAGCGCATCTTCATATTCACTATATCGCTGTTCATCTGGCCCTACAGTTGTAAAAGTCGTTGCGATATTAAAATTGACCCATCCCATCCGCTGTTTGTCGCTAGGAACAATGAGTATTTTTGGGGTTTATATCTTAGTGGTGAACGTGAGCAGCGTGTATCTGCTTCATGCCCTCTATTGCTTGGTAATAACAGGCCTTAGAATAGTTTTCGCAATTCAGACTTTCGGCATTTGGAAGATATTTAAGTAGTATTGCTTTAGGGTGATATTTATCGTGCGCGAAATGTTGCAAAGCTGGATGGAACGCGGGAGGGTCAATTCGATTAATGTGGCCGTAGAAGTATGGGACAAATCCCCGCTTGCAGACATTATGATTGCAAAGATTTATATAGGCGTTGAGTTCGCAGCGGAATTGATTCAGGTATCAACCATTCTCGGCATATCCCGGATCGCCGTTATCGTGAAACTAAGTTGTTAGTAACAAGTAAAGAGCAAGTAGCCTTAGCTACCTACAAGTTTCATAGCACATTTCCGCCCTTTAAGGTCTATCTCAAACACTGAGGACTGATTGGAACGATATATTTCTCTAATAATCCGTATGTTGGCAGGGACAACGTTCAGCGAGCCTTGTTCGCTGAGGCGCATTGTCATTTGACGAATGCATCGAGGTGTGGTCGGCTTCGGTCAGCTCCCTGACTCTGATTACGAATTGATTCACGTGAGGTGCAGGATATTTGAAGCTGATTTTGCAAACTACTGTACTGCAATATAACCTCGAGTAAACCAGTTCAAGCACCAAGATACGCCTCCCTCTGCGTCAACATCCAGGTCAAGGTGCTCGAGGCCACAATCAGCGGGCTCACAAACCGACCCTTGAGCTGCGCGCTCCCGAATCCCAACCATTCCCCAACAAAGTGTAGCAATGCAAGACCAAATGTGCACGTCGCGAGATCGTAGACCACGGGGTTCGTAATGTTGTACGCAGCAGCGAAGCGCACGAAAGCAGAGAGCAACGTCCAGGTACCGAACAGGCGGGAGGAGAGGGCGTTGGAGTGCGGGCTACCGTCAGCGAGACGGCCGTTGTAGAGCTGTGCAGTGTAGGCTTCGGAGAAGTAGGCCTGGAAACTGTTCGCTGCGGAGATGACGGAGACCTGGGATTGTTAGCTTGTGTTTGCGAGGGGCAATGCTGGGATATCGAGTGCATACCAGGGCGAGCCACTTGGGGAGGAGACCGTCGAACGGAGGGAGGTAGGAAAGCAGTTGGTCCATTTCGTTCAGGCAGGGGTTTCAAGCTGGCGGAAGATACTGAAGCAATTCAAGTCGTGGCTAGGCGAAAGCGAAGATACGTATTTAGCACTGTCGATTGAATAGTAATCATTCAAGCTTGAAGCTTAGCTCGTTGCTCTCCTTTTTTTAGCGCGCTATTCCTGATTTGGAATTCGTCCAGCTCCGCCGGCTCTTTCTGGGGGACTTAAAGCAGATTAAATACTACGTGTAGCCTAAGTGTATAGCCTATTTACATAGCCTATGTTGTCATACAATCGAATAGACCTTGGCTCTGTAGCAAATAATTCTAATGGCTTGGGAAATGTCCCGTTCCAGCGACAAGATTGTTGAGGAGCTCAAATCCCGTGATCACTAATCTGGGTCAGCGTTGAGCATTGATCTGTGTCAGCGGCGTTGAGCCTAGGCAAATATTTTGGCTCACTCCGTTAAATTTCCCCAGACATCCGGGATCTCACCGCACACACGTTGCAACTTCCCCTCATTTGGTTACTGTTTTTTTAACATGGACTTTCTGAAAGATACTCAATCCTGCCTGTCGAAGCTGGAGTTCAACTTTGCTCCTGGCTGGCAGAGCGTGGCCGCCTCGGCTCTTCTAGCAGCTGGCGGCTGGTTTGCTATCTCCAGAGCTTGGACCTTGATCAGGGTCCTCCTGAACCTGTTTATTCTCCCTGGAAAGTCGGTAGGTGGAATTGAGATTTACCGAATACATTTTTGAGGAAAGACGTGCCGTGCTAATGTCTTGTGTGTCTAGCTCCGCTCTTTCGGTCCCAAGGGCAGCTGGGCAGTCGTTACAGGTGCCTCTGATGGCTTGGGCAAGGAATTCGCGCTTCAAATCGCCCGTGCCGGATACAACATCGTCCTCGTTTCTCGAACCGCCTCCAAGTTGACAACCCTGAGCGATGAGATCACGTCGAAATACCCCTCGGTGCAGACCAAGATCCTGGCGATGGACTTTGCCCGCAACGAGGACCAGGACTACGAGAAGCTGAAGGCAATCTTGGGCGACCTGGATGTCGCGATCCTCGTCAACAACGTCGGAAAGAGTCACAGCATCCCCGTTCCTTTCGCTCTCACCCCCGAGGATGAGATGACCGACATTGTCACCATCAACTGCCTGGGAACGCTCCGTGTTACACAATTGGTTGTCCCTGGAATGATCCAGCGCAAGCGTGGATTGATCTTGACCATGGGCTCCTTCGGCGGTCTCCTCCCCACTCCTCTCCTCGCTACCTACTCCGGAAGCAAGGCATTCCTACAGCAGTGGTCGACCGCCCTCGGCTCAGAGCTCCAGCCGTACGGCATCACAGTCGAGCTGGTTCAGGCTTATCTTATCACCTCCGCCATGTCCAAGATCCGCCGCACTAGCGCTCTGATTCCCAACCCCCGCGCCTTTGTCAAGGCGACGCTTTCCAAGATTGGAAACAACGGCGGCTCCCCGACCTATGCGTACAGCTCCTCCCCTTACTGGAGTCACGGTCTGGTGGCATACCTCGCTACCTGCGTGGCTAACCCCATGAGTAAGTGGCTCACGAACCAGAACAAGGGCATGCACGAGTCAATTCGCAAGCGGGCCCTGCGCAAGGCGGAGCGCGAGAACGCGAAGAAGAGCTCTTAAACAGGGACGGGAGACATCTCATGTCGAATGACCTCATGTTAGACTGTCCTTGCTTTGATGCTCCCGCGCCCAAGTAGGCTATATGTACATATCGTATGAGAGATGCAGACGCTACGAGGAACCATTGCCATGATTCATGACGCGGTCGTCTAATCGGATTTCGGAACCGCAAGGCAAACCATCGTCCGCTTTCTAAGGCTGCTATACTGGTTTAATACATTATAATATTTTACTATTCTTGAATTTTTACCTAACGAGTGGCGACAAATAAACCAGAGCTTTTCTGAATCGGCTTCTACCTGCTTTGCTATCTACCGTCGTCCAATAAGAAGCCCCTCAAACCTCGAGAGACCTATGCGCAGAGTCGCGGACCTGCCACTGCCAGACCAAGTCTGGCCGCAGGTGTCTGTGAAAGGCAAGTCAACCGGAACCTGAAATGTTTGGTTAATGTTTGTCTAGACTATATTTATCGCCGAAGTGGATTCTCGCAACACACGGGCTCGCCGCTATAGCGCTAAGCACCGAACTACTGCACCGTCATCACCTCACCTCTCTTCGCAACTTCGCATCACTCGCATCACTCAAGCCAAGATGAGAGACACACCCTGTTCCAACGCTATGGGATTGCCGCCGAGAACACTGACCTTGTAGGCTGATAACATACCTTCTCCTCTCGGCAAACCCCCTCCCTTGGCAAGTCTGCAGAGTCTTCTTGGACTATGTAAGCTAAGAAGCCTAGAAGCCAGATGGATCTCTATCACTCTCTGCGATTACAGGGCACGGTTCCAGATACGGAATGATCTTCGGAGATAGAAGCCGACAAAACCTCAGCTGTCCTTGGCTGAACCTTGGATGACGGATCCGGTGGCTTTCACCGAAGGCCCTAAAGTGACCTAGATGGGTGGGTCGGGATGCCGAAACGACGAGATCGAGCGTCGAGACAAGAATTGTGCGGGAATGTTCCGGCTTGGGTGAGGTCATTGATATAAGATATGGTCTGATTTGAGTTGTTCGAATATCCCGATTGTCTGTGAGTGCCTTTTACTCACAGCAAAGCTATCTGAGTAGGCTATACTATGGATGCCCTGGCAAGGAGTATAACAAGAACAAATCTACCACGAGGTCCAGCTTTGCTCTAGCCTCAGAGCCAACAAGGTGAGGTTGAAATTTTCTGGTGGGCCTATCTACGACCAAGACTTGCGCTCAGTGGATAGCGACCCACTCATCGGTGAAGGTTTTTCTGCGGTCGAAGAAATTTCTGCATCCGAATCGGCACACCGAGTGGATTTTGGTTGAGATGCCGAGTTCTCGGCCTGCCGAGAAGGTCGGCTCGGGATTACTCTGCACTCAATGCTTTCCCGCCCGGACTTAGGCTTTGGCGGTTTGGAAAAAGGAAGAAAAGGATACGAATTGGAGACTTCGGACTTTCTTTCATTTATGTTCTCTCAGTATTTCGACCCTCTCTCTACGACTGTTTGAACTCTCACCTTGAGATCGCCAGGAGAAGAAAATTCTTGGGATCCACATTTCCTGCGGATCTGCCGTGAATCCGTGATTCTTGGACGAATCCACTTCTACAATCTCATCACGATACGCAAGAAGAGAAAAACAGCGAAGCGACAAGATGAAGTGGATCTTTTAGACCTTGTCGGCGGACTCTCTGTTTTCGAGCTGGAATCCCGCAGATTATCCGTCGAATCATGGTGAGGCAGCTCGAATGCCACTTTCCCTCTGAAGGCTCAACAGCTCAAAGAGAGCAAGCAGGGCGAGAAGCCGTTTGTCATGCCGCCTGTCAACAGAGGCAACGAGGCAGAAGGGCAGAGTCAGCTGATGATCCGTCAATTTCCTACTGGCAGCGCATCGTCTGCCATTTTGCCGCCTGCTCCTCGTCATCGTCTTCAGTCTCTGGCCCCTTCTCCACCGTCTCCCCACCAATTCTCGTCGAAGCACCATAGAACTTTCTCCTCATCTGCCGATGCCTATGAAATCCCCTGCCTCGCTTCCCCCTTTCGGGCCCCGTTAGATCCGGGCCCCCGTCCGGTTCTCCCGTGGGTTCCCCGATCTTGGGAATGCAAGCCGACTGCCGTTTCGCTTTTTGCTGCTCACGCGGACTGCCAGGCCCGTACCAGACTCTCATACTACGTAGTTGGATCGTAAAAATGTCTCGCTAAATCTCTTGTCCCTGATTTCCCCGAAGTTCCAACTGGTTATAACATCCCTTCGCCCTCCCACGTTTCCTCCGTGGCTGGTTCTTCCCCTTGCGTCTCCCTCATTTTACAACAACAACAACAAACACCACCACCCTTTGCCCTTCACACCTTCACTTGACGTCTTGAACCAAGTGATAGCAACCATCAATATGGGTGTGGGCAATCTCAAGGGCCTCTTCAAGCCCAAGGCTGAGCAGCAGGAACACTCTCAGGCTACTACGCCGGAGAGGGCTGACTCTACCCTGGAGAAGGACAATGGCATCATCGACGACAGCCCTGTCAAGTACCTGACCTGGAGATCTTTCATCCTGGGTATCGTTGTTTCTATGGGTGGTTTCATTTTCGGTTACGCTACTGGTCAAATCTCTGGTTTCACCACCATGAATGATTTCAAGGTTCGATTCGCTGAGCGTCAGCCCAACGGCGAGTATGCTTTCAGCAACGTCCGTAACGGGTTGATCGTCGGTCTGGTATGTTACTTCTGACGGAGACCAGAATATGCGCAGTGTACTGACAAGTGTAGCTTTCCATCGGTACTATGATCGGAGCTCTCGTCGCCGCCCCCATCGCGGATCGTGTCGGCCGCAAGTTCTCCCTAACCTTCTGGTCCCTTATCCACATCGTCGGAATCATTATCCAAATCGCCACCGATGACAAGTGGGTCCAGGTTGCTATGGGCCGTTGGGTTGCTGGTCTCGGTGTCGGTGCTCTTTCCAGCGTCGTCCCCATGTACCAGTCCGAGGCCTCCCCCCGCCAGGTCCGTGGTGCCATGATCAGTGCCTTCCAGCTGTTCGTTGCTTTCGGTATCTTCATATCCTACATTATCAACTTCGGTACCGAGTCCATTAACTCCACTGCCTCCTGGAGAATCACCATGGGCGTCGGTTTCGCCTGGCCACTGATCCTCGGACTCGGAGCTCTCTTCCTTCCCGAGTCCCCCCGTTTCGCCTACCGCCACGGCCGTATCGACGAGGCTCGCAAGGTCATGTGCAAGCTCTACGGTGTTGGCCCTAACCACCGTGTCATCGTCCAGGAAATGAAGGATATCAAGAACAAGCTTGATGAGGAGCGCGCTGCGGGAACCGCCCCCTGGCACGTCATTTTCACCGGCCCCCGCATGTTCCACCGTGTGCTCCTCGGTGTTGCCCTGCAATCTCTGCAGCAGCTGACAGGTGCCAACTTTATCTTCTACTACGGAAACTCTATTTTCACCTCCACCGGTCTCAACAACTCCTATGTCACTCAGATCATCCTTGGCGCCGTCAACTTCGGCATGACCCTACCAGGTCTATACATCGTGGAACACTATGGCCGTCGCAAGAGTCTGATGGCAGGTGCTGCCTGGATGGCAGTTTGTTTCTTCATATGGGCGAGCGTGCGTATTTCCTGACTCCTGACAAGCTAGAAAACATGCTAATATCAAATACAGGTCGGCCACTATGCCCTGGACGTATCCAACCCACAAAACACTCCCGCAGCCGGCAAGGCCATGATCATCTTCACCTGCTTCTTCATTGTCGGCTTCTCCACTACCTGGGGTCCAATTGTCTGGGGTTGCGTGAGTGAGCTGTACCCTGGCCCAACCCGTGCCCTCTGCATCGGTATCGCCACAGCCTCCAACTGGGGCTGGAACTTCCTCATCTCCTTCTTCACCCCCTTTATCTCCTCGTCCATTGATTTCGCCTACGGCTACGTCTTCGCCGGCTGCTGTGTCGCGGCCGTCCTCGTCGTCTTCTTCTTCCTCAACGAGACCAAGGGCCGCACCCTCGAGGAGGTCGACACCATGTACGTCCTGCACGTCGTCCCGTGGAAGAGCGAGCACTGGGAGCCTCCGGCCGATATCATCCGTGATATCCACCCTCGCCCTGATAGTGGGGATAACAACAAGGCCAAGGCTGAGGGCCAGGCGGAGCACGGTGAGGGTCTGACGCAGGGTACCCTGGCGGAGCCCCACGAGATCCGGGAGTAGATGTTATGTATCAGATTAGATTGAGATGTTACGTTTGATTATGATTGGTCGATTGATCAGTTATGATGGTGTTTGATGGGGATGAGATGGCTGAGCTGAAAATTGCATTTTTGGGACGGGCATCTTGATTTTTCTTGCCGGTTTGGGATCAAGTGGTTTGCATTGTATATTACCACTTTACTTGCATATAGAGCTTTGCCTAGATATACACTTATAGACATTCACACTCTACTATTACCATCACGCCGTGACTTGACCATATCGCCCAGTAACCCTAACTCGCACCGCCAATCTTGCAACATGACTCCTTGCCTACGGAATGCTGATTTAGATAGGAGGACGGTTCTTCAATTGGCGCAGTTCATTTAATCAATACAGAATAGCCAAATCTATGAGTTGTCGAGCGAGCAGCATCAGATCGGGCTAGCGTTGACACGGACTAGGTAAGAGAACTGTACCCGCGGCCAAGCCTTCGGAGCCTCAACGCTAATACTCCAACTCTCTTTCCCGCATGCATCACTGACTCAATAACTACCTATAGACAGAGACCAGCCCGAAAATTTCAATCTGTGTATAACCAACTCCACAGTGCGTGCCAGAGATGATCCCGTTATCTCCTCTGCCGATATGTCCCTAGTGGTAAGCCTGACTACCCATGCTGCAAGCTCTGTCTATTCTGCTAACATCGCATAGGAACACTGGAACCACGACTCAAACCTTATCAGACGACAAACAGCGCGAGAAGATCTTCACCGAGTATGTCGTCCTCGATGTCGAGGGCCAGCAGGTAAACCCTAGTACCTGCCTGTACAAGGACGTTGATTTGCTAATAAGCCGGCGTTCTAGCACTACCGAAGACTAACGGTCCATCGCAGCCTTTACAAATCCAGTGGTAGTAGCCTGACTCCTTCAGAACGACAATTACTCGATTGTGTCCGCCGGCCCACAGAACGCTTCACCCATTCTTCCTTCGGTACCGCAGCTTCTCTCCGTGGCGCAGAGTGTCGAGGAATTTAACGAGGATCCGGAAGGGGCACTGCATCCAGAGACCGAGACAGAGTCCGAGACCGAGTCAGATACTAGCGATGCCGACGCTGACGCTGACGCTGACGGGGAGTCTGAGTACGAATACAAATTCGATTAGACATCCTATCACTGGGCCATGGTGATCGGTCGAATCCACATTATTGACCGTATAACCTTGTTGGCTTCAGAAGGTCAAGGACAAGGCCCAGAATCAGATGCTGGGAAAGTGCTGATAGTTTGGTACGAGGCTCGCGGCCGCGTGGTACGTTTATACCACGAAACAGTCAACAATGCCGCGCACATCACAGCCGTTGACAACGCTATCTTCGATGACCCATGTTGGCGGGTGAGAACTACCGCTGAGGGGCGGCGTTGGGCCCGCCGTATGGGATACGGCGATATGTATACAGTATACCAACCAGCTCAGGTGATATTTTGGCTGTGGTTGGCGTTGTCAAGGATGTAGTACCTGTGGCCGACCTGTATTTGATATTAGCATGTTTTCTGGCTTGTCAGGAGTCAGGAGATAGCTGCTGAAGAACATGATATCTGGGCTTCACATAGAAGCAGTCGAGGCGAGCGCGGGCCCGCCCAGCCGGTGTATGGATATCAGTTCCGCGGGCCCGGGCTGCCGAGAATCTTGCTGGCTAACTGCGAACCCCTTTAAAAAGCTACTTCATTCTAACTCCGAATCAATCTCGAGTGCTAGTTGTCTTCTAAGAATTGCCCCCTTTTGCCATAAGACATGTCGGTCAGTTCTCCTGCTACCGCCGGCTATCTACCGGCCAACTAACCATGTCCGCACCACGCAGATGCCATCAGGGTATGCTGACCCGAGATCTATGGATCTCATCAACACCCGCTCGCCCTCAGATTAACCCCTATTCCCTAGAGTCGAAGTCTCAGACGAATGCATCACCGCATTCAGAGACATGATGTACAAGCGCGGCGCAAGCAAGCCGGCCTTTGTGATATACAAAATATCCGACGACAAGGCATCAATTCTCGTGGAGGAGAGCTCGACGGAAAAGAGCTACGAGTCGTTTCTGCAACGGCTCACTTCCTCCGTGGACGCGGATGGAAAGCCGGCGCCTCGGTATGCAGTATACGATGTGGAATATGATCTACAGTCTGATGGGAAAAGGTAGGGCCTTTCTGACTTGACCATTTCTCCTACTAAGTACGTCCAGATCGGCGACTGTGTTTATAAGCTGGGTGCCGGAGGAAACTTCTACCAAGGTATGTCCTATTGCAACCACGAGAGCAAGCGCATCCTGACTTGCGGCTAGTTCCGGATGTTGTACGCTGCGACCAAAGAGCAGCTGCGAAGGGCGCTGGATGTCAAGGTCTCAATTCATGCAGACGGGGCATCGGATCTAGAGTGGAAAACAGTTTTGAAGGAAGCAAGTGGCGGGAGAGTGATCATTTAGATAGATCTATACTGGTGCCATACCTACGGAGTAAAGAATAACGGCCAATCAGAATCCTCACAAACAACAAAGTAGACATGTCTTGGCATTTTCGGCAAGTCGGACCCGCGGGCCCGGCCAACCGAAGGCATCTTTGGTGCTGTTCGCAACCTCATCCCGGACAGCAACCACCATGGCCCCAGTCGACGCCGGCGAAACAATCGAAGCGAGGCGGCACAGGTTGTCCTCTGTCCCACGAGCGGTAAGGACCTAGTCGTTCCCACCCACGCCCCCGCCAGCCACTAACAACAGCTCTGCAGTGTGAGGGGTGCAAGATCCGCAAGGTGAGAGTGGTGGACTAGTAGAACCAGAAGGGATGTGTGCTAATCTGAGGGATACAAGGTCCGCTGTGACCGAACTATACCATGCGCAAACTGCCGTGCAGCCAAGATTACTTGCCGCCAGCCTAATGACAAGTCTAGCCGGCAGGTACAGGCGGATCGCGTGGCGAACCTGTATCTGTTACCAAATGCTCTTGGGATCAGACATGCTGATAGAAATCGTAGTCAAGGTATCGTGGAGCACCTTGAGAAGCGTCTTCAGACCGTTGAATCCAGGCTTGCAACTTTGGAACAGCCCCAATCGCAGCCACAGCCGCAGCCACAACCAGTGGCCTCGACGGCGTATGCTGTATCGTCGACCCCCCGCCCAGTAGAAGGGCTTCCTGTTGCTGAAGGTGAGCCTTCCTTCGCAGCACAGTCTCTCCAGGCCAGCGAGAGTGCGCGCACTGCCTGTCAAAGCGACTCGGGTACAGAGCACTTGCTCCGCCAGCTCCAAAGCAATATCCGTGCCTCAGACGGCCTGTCAAGGTCGAACTTCGTCTTTCGAAAATCGACGTCAAATGTAATTTCAACGCCTCAGCTACTGCCCGCAACTTTAGTGACATGTATCCTACAACGAATGCATGGTATAGCCCGTGTCCTCCCGTACTATCTCAAGTGGCTGAGACTGACGCTTTCCAGCACACCGTCCCATTTTTCTCTCTTCATATGCCGTCAGTGACCTATCGTTGGTGGAGAGTTTATATCAGAAAGTGTACTCAACTACTGAGCTGGTATCCCCCGGTGAAATTGCCAACATGCATGGAGTTCTGTTCTTTCTTATAAAAGAGATGATCGCATTCAAGGATCCGCTGTGCCAAAAAGTTGATCTTACCACTTACATAGATCACTGCGAACAGATCTTGTAGCCGCAGTCGAAACTTACGAAGTACTTGCTGTACCCAGCTTTGAGAATATCCTTGCCCTGGTTATGGGGGTAAGCACCACCACCAGCCTTGCCGGACTGCGTGATGGCAGCAAAGAGCTAACTGAACTCTAGATGATCAAGGCCCAAGGAGAATCAAAACCCTACTTATACTGGCAGCTTGTCTCCGCGGCTGTTACACACTGCCAGTCTCTCAACTACCACCGGGAGTCCACGTACCTACAGATGGCCCCTCAAGAATGAGAGCGCATCCGTAGGGTATTCTGGACAGTCTACACCTTTGACAAGAACATGTCGCTTGTTCTAGGCCGTGCGTCATTTATGCAGTCTCTTGACATTGACGCCCAGCGACCCAAGGTTTCACTAGACCCAGCCCTCCGCGCCTGGGACGAGTCATTCATCATGGGCATTCGGCTCGCGGAGCTACAAGGTCGCATCTTTAACCTCTACTCGCCCATCATAATGACTAGAGATACATCTGCCCGAGAACCACTCGTGCAGGACCTCGCACTAGCAATGGAAAAGTGGTATCTGGAACTCAAGCAGATCAATCCAGAGGGAGTAAATAGCGCCAGGATATATTCCCTATCTCGAGGAAACTGGGAGATTCTGTTTTACTCTACACAGACCCTACTCTTCCACGCGTCCTCAGGACTGGGAGGCGGAATCAGCGCGCAGTGCTTCGCGGCAGCGCAGAGTAGTCTGCGCGCGCATCTTGATGTCTTTCCACGGTATCAGGAGGCACAGCTTCTCTCTGCCGCGGACTATTGTAATTGGTGAGTTTAACACCTCCTCTCCTCGCTGTATTCCCTCCCCGATAAAGGCCCAGCCACTAAACTGACCATGCAGGATCCTCCTCTCCTCCTCCTTTGTCCCCTTCATCATAACCTTCCTACACGCGATCACCGCAAAGGACAATAACAGCATAACCCTGCTGGAACAAGTTCTCGACACGCTACAGACCTTCCGCACGACCTCACGCGGCTCCGAGAATCTCTACCAGATCTGCTCAACATTCACCCAAGTCGCGAAGAAACTCGACTCCTCGCAGCAGCAGCAGCAGGACTCACTACATGCTTCGGACACCGCGCAGAATCCCTCTCTGTTCGACCCGGAGTTCTTCCAGGATGCGCTGGGTGCAGACCTCTCCACGCATGGGGATGGGGACATTAGCATGCTGGACCCGGTGTATACGGCGGATATTCTGAATGATTGGCTTAGTGGGCCGCCGTTTCCGTGGGAGAGGCTTGATATCGAGCCAGGGAATTAATAGGTACCCTGGCGCCAGACAAGGATTAGGATATATGTCGGGAAGAGTTGCCGGTAGCACGCTTGATAGAGCAGAACGAAAGAAATATATCTGTAATTCTAAGTGAGAGTGTGCCCTTCTATCTCTGTATCCAAGCGGGTGTACGGGTGTAGCTCCCTACATGGATATTATTACAAAGTATTATTTCCATCTCATCTCTGTACAGAGGAAGCCAAACCCAGTGCCACCCGTTCCGCTCGCGGCCTAAACCCCGTGGGCTTGGGAAAACTAGCTTTTCGTCAGAGTCTGCCACATCTCATCTTCTACAAGGCCATCCATATGATCCCTCTGCAGCATAACAAGAACCTCCACCCCTTTCTCTCCTTCCCCCCTCCGCCTCGGCAGAACAATCACAACCCCATCGGCCTCCATATACGGCAAGCGCACGAAACCGAGCCTCCCCAACCCCAGTCCAAAATCCACCCCGTACAGCCCGAAATCGGCCCACGAGGTGATGGTCAGATCCCTCGAGTTGAACAAGTCCCAGCCGACAAAGAGACCGCGGGGGTCTCCCGTGCGCGTGCTCAGCTCGTGGACCTCGGCGACGTGGCGCGCGTTGATTGTAGATGGGGGTTGGGAGTTGAGGATTGCGGTGCAGATTTCTGCAAGGGAATGGATGGGGCTCTCGTTTGCTGCTGCGAGTGCGGCTGCGGAGAATTCGGCGACAGTGTACAGAATTGCGTTGCCTAGATATTGGGCGTCTGGTGGGGAGAATGCTAGTGGTAACCGCTGGCGCGCATTCACTGCTGTTACCAGGCGGCTGCTTTGGATTGCACGCGAGGAGCTGCCAGATGTTGTTCGGACACGCGTGATTGTGGTCCAGAGGAGTGCGCTTAGGATCGTGTTTGTGAACGGTGGTGTCGATGTATGTTTGGCCAGCAAGGACTTCAAGGTATCGATCCAGTGCAGCGAGACTGTAAAGAGCTTGCATGTCGACGAAGGAAAGGCCTCGGGGACCGCGGGGGGGAGCCTCGAGTACTCGGGATGTTTCTCGAACAGCCCGTCTGTCGAAATGGACGACGTCTCAGCGAGGTCATCCGCAAGCGCCGCCGTCAGGCGTTCGCACCTCCCCTTAAATGAGCTGGGAATGACCAGGCCAGGCTCTGCGATAGCCCTTGCCCAGTGCCGTATAATCTCCGAAAACGCTGCCCCATCGACAGCGTTGTGATGCATGCAAACGCACAAGCCGCATCCTCGATCCGCGAAGCGGAACGTACTTGCCGCGAAAACAGGTGCTCCTGCTGTGTGTAGGGATTCGTCGATCATACCAGACACCGGCCATACGGTCTCTGGAATCAACTCGGGTTGCATCCCGTTTGCGGAAACGGTGTCGTACGAGATGTCCATCGTACCCTTGTCGAGGAGCGTTGGCGTAGTGTGTCCGTCCCATCGGATCTCGAGAGAATACGGTTCTCCGGCTGCTGAAGCTCTTGGGAAGACTCGACTGGAGAGCCATGGGATCTGCTTTGAGATGACATCGAGACCAGATTGCAGGAGTAGGGTGGTTTGTGCGTGTTGGGTTGTTGCATCTTCAAAGATTAGGACAGCCCGGATGTAGTTCCGCGGCATCAAGGCATCGATAGGGGTGAGCCCCTCGACGGAGGTTGAATTGGTCATAGTATCCTGCTCATGGAAATGGCCGGAGTGTATGTTATTGATCCGGGCTGGCTTTATAGCGAGGGCTAGTATTATGCAGGGCTGGCTGTCCAGTGCCACGGGCCCGAGGGGCCGGATGTGCAGTCGGCCAAATGCCCCGGGTGAGCGTGCACCTATCCTTTACTGCCATGGGACTTCAAAGAGGCTGCGAGTACACAGTAGTCGGCTTCAATCGGCTGATGCTTTCCCGGTTTGTTCGGAGATCAGGGACGAGGTACGCGCTGGTTGCGGGGCTGACGGACGACGCACTAGCTGGATTGCTTGATTTACCCGTCACTTCGCTTTTCGACGTAAGCCTGTGGCGCTACCATACAATTCATCACGAAGATGGTTCTCATGCCACCTTTTTGGCCAACTGAATCATTGACAGACGATTCCCTCGCTCCCCCCGGGCCCCCAGACCCAGCGCCACACATAGAACCAGCAGCTGACAAACAGCCAGCGCTACCCACCCAGCAGCCAGCCCAGCAATTAAAAACATCATCTCCCACCATATCAAACTCCAGATCGGCATATCAGGCGCCCCAATTTCAGGGTCAGGCCCTGGTGGTAGTGGTCTCATCCTCCAGCCCTGCGAAGCACCCAAGGCGATAAACGCCATAACTTGGAGGCCAAGACCAAGCAGGCTTAGGCTGCCCTGGTTAAATTTATTACCATTATCATGGTAGCGAGTAACCATAGTGCGGATCTGCGGGATTGCGGCAGCAAGGGAGGTAACAAGGCCTGTAAAGCGGAAGACAAGGCCAACAACAAAACTATCAATAATAATATTGACGTCGTCATGTCCTCCTTCTTGTGTTAGAAGATCTAGGAAATATATAGCAAGCGCAAGGATAATAACTGCATGGGCAAGGACTATGGCGAGGATGGCTATGTTGCTAGGAGCCTTAGCAAGGGCACGGGTCCCCGAGCGGGAGGAGATATAAAGAGCTAGCAAGATAATCGCTGCCGCCCAGTGGGTAAATGCCTGGAGGTAGATTACCAGGGCTGAGAAGAGATTAAATCCTGTTAGCTCTCCATCTCGGAAGCAGGCCCAGGCGAAGCTGCTGTGTATATTTTTAATTCGAGTGGCGAAATGCGTAGTGGCACTGGTAGTCAGGAGGATGATGTACCAGCCAGAAATCCCGGCATCTCCTGTCGTGGTGATCTTGACAAGCTGCGGGATATAGGAGGCGGCGACGAAGAGCGTCACTAGGCTAGAAGAATTAGTTCTTACACAGCAAGCAGCCAGGATGAGATAAAAGGGATGTGGTGGACAAATACAGATGAATAGCTGTGGAAAGAGGTGTCTGAATTTGAGTGGCGCAGATGCTGGGGTCCATGGTGAGGGGATTTGGTGTTGAAAATTCCAGTTGGGCGGCAAGCGTGCTTTTATAGCTGTCTGTTGGGCGGGTTACCCGGTAATTAATATTACAGGTTGCAACTCCCGTTTGTCCTTGGCTTTGGAGCCTCGGTCGCTGCCTGTGGAATGAAATCTGATCTACCCTTCAAAGATTGTCCTCTGACTGATGTAACCTCACAGATGACCGGTACAATGCGCTTTGCATTGCAAACGATTCCAACAGACAATGATTGTTGTCCCACGGATGCCCGCGACGATTCCGCGAATTGCCCACGAATTGCCCGCATTTCGGCTTGGCGGGAAACTAGGACTAGCGCTGGCACGGACCAGCAACTCGGCGCTTAAAAAAAGCATACATACTTCTTTCTGTGCGGATATATCTCCCAACAATAGGATTGCAATCCCTGCTCATGCGGCCGAGATACTAGGAATGCTCATTGGAGCACAATCCTCGGGATCGCCGAGGTCGCCTGCGTCTCTTCCGCGCAGCCCAACCAAGACACCCCACGGAGCACGTGGGATAGATAGGTGAGGGGGGATTGCAATTGTCACAAGCTGGGCCTCTCGGCAAAGTCCAAGATTTGCTACAGCCTACTTTCAATAACCGTCTGCGGTTAGTTGCCCGGGCAGGGTTGGCTGTGGGCTTGCTGCGGCCTGCCTCCATTGCCTGTTTATAGTTAGCCTTCTCGCTGCCTGCCCTGCAGTTTGCAGTGGCGATCCCGAAACGGTTGAATGGACGAGCTCCAATCTTAGTCCAAGGATCATGGTCTCATGGTTCGTTCACCCCATGCAAGGGGTCTTCTATTGGAACGTGTATCACCAATAAGGCCTCCTCTTGCAAGTCACGAGCCAGACAGACTTCAACTCCCAAGTCGCGCATACCGAAAAGTTGGCGCGACTGCCCAGACCCCTGTCCCTTTTGCTCAATTATCGCATTTCAATACCGCTGTGGCCAACGGGGTGTCTGTGCAGGAACCCGCTTGCTCCACATCGATTGCTAGTTTGCCCCTTACATCACGATGGATTGACAGTCACCAATTACTGTCATCGTGGTTCAATCGGGGACTAATTTCACTGTATAGCACTAGCCCTCTCCGCAGTGGGAGCCTTGAGAACACGGTTCAGGCATTTTATCAAAATCAGCGCTAGCTTTGTCTACTGCCAGGTGCGTTAGAACGAAGTCACTATTCAGCTTTTAGGGTTACAGCGCGTTATCTTGGCATGTGTAATAGAATATGTGTCTTGTAGCTGCAGCATATCGTGTGGCAGAGAAACAGCCCCTCTCCACTTGTTGAGATACCAACAGGGGTAAATAGATCGTGTTGTTAGTGGTGTACTCCGTACCATCGGTCCCTGTATCCCGAGCTTTGATTCAGCCGTCAGGTGGGCCCTGCCTCAGGGTCCATGGACCGCGGAAATTTCTGCTCCACTCTGAACCAGGAGACACCTTCAGCTTCATCGTGCTAAGTTTACATCCACCGAAATTTGTTCAGTGTTCAGACAAATACTATGGGCTCAATGAGGTACGTTGCGTTACTATGCCATTCCAAATGGTTTTAGCAACGCCCATAATCCCGGAAGATGGCGCACGGATTGACGCTACTCAAACTATATCAGTAACTATGCCAGACACTCAAAACCAGTTCTTTCGCCCATGCAATTCTGACTAGTCTTACTTTACCAACTCGTGAATCCTTCGCTAGCCACATGTGCACTTGCTGCTTTCAAGTTGTCTCAGTTGGCACTACTCTAAACGTCGCTGTCCTGATACGGCTGTTGGGTTATTCCTTCGTCTTATGGTCTCATATTATTATAAACACTACCTTTATGATATCCTCGACTGCCTCATACCCTCGTGACTATTATCGCTTGCAGAGTACGAGTACCTCCCAATCGGTCTCGTCTGCACCGCCTTGTCACACTAGCGCATTTCATAGTTGTTAGGTCCAACCTACCCAGGACTAACTTTGCGTGGGAACTTGAGTGAGAGGAATCTAGCATCTAGATATTGCTCCATGTAGGTCCTGTGATATATTGAAGAGAGGTCCAGCGGGTCGTACATTAACGAATACGATGGCTTTGATGTCCAACAATAAGAGAATCTTAGCTGAATCCTCCGCTTCCCTGGCTTTAGACAGAGGAGAATATTCCGCCGGAACTCTAAATCTTTGCAGCTTGCGCCCTGTACGGTCATGTAAAATGACGAAGAGAGAGTCTGCCACTTCAAGTTGGCGAATGCAATGGCTTCAATGGCCAACAACACCGGGATTATAGTTAGTATCTCCTTCCTCTCGTGACAAACAATGACCTATTCGTCCAGGTGTTTTTCATGTTGGACTATCGGATGTGCCACGCAGGATCCCGAGGTGGCATGAGTATACTTCGCTTACCCAGATGGGCGAATGCAATCGCTTCAATGTCCAACAATACCCGGAGAGTTGGACCTGATACCCCTCCTCCTTTCCTTCCGCATTCTCTCTCTGGCGGCACTAGTCGGTTCTTTGGGCGTGTCTGTGCCTCATGCGGATCCATATTCCCTCCATGGCTCGGAGGGAAACACAGCCGACTGGAAGTCGACCCCGAGGTCACCTTGTCAGCCCTCTCGAATGTGATAGCCCATTGCGCTCCGTGATTAGGATCTATGGTATGGGGCCAGACAAACGTATAAAGGGGCACACGCCGCACAGCATGAACAGGTTTTGTTGCAATGGGCTTCATATAACAAAGTCGTCTTCCTTAGCGAAGTGCAAAACCCAACATGAATCTCTGGCTGAAGGCTTGTGCCTATGTTCTGCTTGCTCAGCGAGGTAAAGTATTCTAGTACTACCCTTTGCCCTTCTCGGAGTCATACTTATAGATTCGGTCTAGCGCTAGCATATCCATCTCCTGCCATTTTCTACCATAACCTTACCGTGGAAGAGTTTGACCCCGCCCTGCAAAAAAGGCAGAATGTAGGTCAAGGGCAGATGCTTCGCATCTTGCCCCTCGGAGCCTCTATTACCAACGGCGAAATGTCTTCACACAAGTGTGGCTACCGAAAGCATCTTCGCGAAGCTTTACGTGCGGCTGGGTATGAAGTCGACATGATAGGATCCAAACAGACTGGTATAGACTTTGATGACAATGATAATGAAGGTTGGGGTGGCTATACAATTGATCAGGTTCATCAAAAGGGCAAGGCTATGTACCCGGCGAAGCCAAATCTTGTCTTGATCAACGCAGGAACCAACAACTGCCGCTTGAATGAGCGTAAGAAAAAGCCAATATCCCTCTACATCTGCCAGCACTGACATCGGTGAATCGAATATAGATGATGCACTCGCGAATGGCTACTTGGACATGCATAGAATGGTTCTCGATATCTTCAACAATATCGAGGGAGTTACTATCATTCTATCTGGCTTGTTGCCTAACAATGCCCATCCTCAGTGCAACAAAGAGCTAAACGATGGCTATGGTTATCTTGTTAATAGCCTAGCTGCTGAGGGAAAGAAAATCATCTATGCAAATCTGCAGTATGATTGGATTGACTTAGCCGACGGCACTCACCCCAACGACGAAGGGTACAAGAAGCTGGCGGCCGTCTGGTTCAGGGCTATTGATCAAGCTCGGCAGAAGCATTTCATCACTGATCCTGCTCATATTGACCCTGGAAAGGGCGAGAATGGTGTCTGTGACAAGAAGCCAGGAGAGTATGACCTCAGTGGACAATCCCAGCGTGGTTCTGGTGCCGATGATGGGCCCTACAAGCACAAGGGTCAGGCTATGGGAACGGCCCGTCTGTTTATTAGCCCGATTCACGTGAAGGACCTAGGCCAAACCCTCTTCGTCGCCAAGGTGATGGGTGGTCTTGGAGGTAACCTGGTCTGGTATGCTGGAGGATTCTGTCTTTCTCCGTCTGTTCCCTCTTGAGACATGTCGAGCTGACACCTCATGTTAGGTACTATGAGCCAGTACGATACCCAGGTGAATTCCGAGTATACAGCTATGACGACTGGAAGAGCGGAATACGGAATACGTTCAAGGTATTTGATGTCGGAGACTCATGCAAACCCCAAGGTGTGAGGTGGGGCGACGTGGTCAGTTTCTCAATGTTCTTGATCTCCTATACAGGGACCCATTACCCCCCGTCGTACCTACGATACCCAATGGCCCCATGCTAACAGATCCCAGAATGGTGACGGCTACGACGACTTTATTTGTATTGGACCCGAGGGTAACATGCATGTTCTAACCTTACTGGTATCTGGCCTCCGTTAACGTGAACCAGGTATGTCTCTTTAAACAAGCCCCCGTACTTTTACGATGACCCGAATCATACCTTTGAGCCCTTAGGGCTGTATATGGAGAACCCTAGGCCAGAAAGCACCCAGACTCACGTGAGGCTGGGGGACATTGATGGTGATGGCCGACTGGATTACTGCTTGGTTGCTGGCAATGGAGATATATCATGTTGGCGAAATGGGGGCACCCAAGCAAAGGCGGAGTACTGGCAGGCAGCCCCTTGGAGTTGTGTTCACTGGCAAAGATAAGGGAAATATTGATGGCGTCCGACTTGTTGATATAAATGGTGATGTAAGTGTCTTCGGTTGTATCGTCCTGATTTTTCATCCCACCTGCTAACCTCTGGAATCAAAGCACCGCTCGGATTGGCTTTATGTTAATGATGATGGGTAATGTACCCCGTGGCAAGGGTAGAAACTGCATAAGTTATATACTTACTCCACTGCAGATCAGTCGATACCTATATCAATAATCGCGGCCATGACAAATCGCTTCGACCAGATTGGACAGACGCGGGGCGGACTCATGCTGGGATGGGCGAGAAAGGGGCTCGTGAATACGTCATGATTGGCCGCCTTGGTTCCAACCGCGCGCCGATTATATCTATCAGAAACCAGTACAGGTTGCGGACAGTGAAATTGGCGGAGGCCTCCCAATAATGGGAGTCGAGTTCGACTGGTGGCTCAATGAGGGGTCAGGGGGAACAATGCTCAAGGCGGTACGCAAGGTGACATCAGCATTTCTCGTCCATTTCTGATACTGATTAGGACGGCAATCACTATTGTGATATGACTGGAGATGGAGGTATGTTGCTCAGAGAGGCCTGCTCTCGTGGACTTACACATACTGACCGTGCTTTCTAGTTGACGACTATATATGGGTATCTAGCGAAGGTATGCTTTTTAACTCTGTCGAATAGCCTCGCAATATTTGACCTGGACCCTAGGTGATATCCAGATCTTTCGCAATATCATGGACCCTCCCAATTGGGGCCAGCATGGTTGGTACTATATCAAAGACTGGCCGCGCAAACAGATTCGAATAGCCGATATTGATGGTGATGGAATCTGTGATATCATATACCTTGATAGGTATAGCGATGTGGATGACTGGTATAAGACTGAGTATATGGGACCTGGGTCATCCAGCTTTAAGTTTACTAGCCAAGGACCACTGAAGGAGATGGGTTTATGCAATGAACGTGATGGAGTTGGTCTATTTGACCTCGCTGTCCGTTTTGCAGATCTTAAGTAAGTTTCTGAGCTACACGCGGCCCATATATCACAGGCTGACCTTATTGACATAGTGGCGATAGAAAAGCAGATCGACTGGTAAGCAGAAAACAGCTGGTCTAGGGCTGCGTGGCGGTTGCTAAAACATTTATAGTGCATTGATCCAGACGGACGGACGTTCGCCTGGGTCAGTACGCCTGGAAGCGGCTATGTTGATATGGGTAGGTGAACATTTGGACTTTAATAAATACTTACTAACGAATTCATACAGGACAAGTCAAGAAGCCTGAAGGCAAAGACAGGGCCAATCTCCGTTTTGTAGACGTGAACGGAGACGGCATGGCGGACATGATCTGGCTAGATAAGTTTGGCGGGTAAGAGAACCTCGCTCTCCTATTATCTGGTAATAATCAATCGCTAATTTAAAACAAACTAGGAAGTCACAAGTGTGGTATAATGAGAAGATGGAGCCTGCTCCCAACACCGCTAGTAGCATGACTTGGAGGCCTGGTGGTGACGCGTACCTCCAATCAGCCAGAGGCGAATGTATCCACTATGCCAACTTACGAGGCACAGGGCGCGCTGATATGATCGACGTTGATCCGAGGACTAACAAAGCAACCGCTTGGTACTCAACTCCTTGTGATGGTGGGTATGGGCTCAGCGGCACTGATGATGGAGAGATTCGGGATCCAGGGCTCCCAGTGAAAGATATTCCTGACGGCCCGCAAGATCCAGATCCTCCTCAGGAACAGGTACCATTCCCGTCTTTCCCTAGGTTCATCGCTCTAGGGGACTCCTACTCGGCCGGTGTCGGATCCGGTGATCCCATCATCGATGCGTATGACATACGAGGGGAATGTCACAAATACGAAGGCGCCTATTCCCATCAGCTCTGGAAACAGGAGTTGCCTCTTCAAAACCAACAGTTCGACTTTATTTCCTGCGCTGGGGCCAGAGCCATAAACATGTTCGCCGGAGGGAAAAAGCAGCACAGCTATCTGAACGGAACCCAGGTCGAACTGATGAAAACAGTCCCTGGAAATGAGTACGGATGGTCTGTGCCTCTCTCCCAGAAATTCATGTAAAGTTCTAACTTGTGGCAATATAGGGCAACTCTGTCGCTTGGAGGCAATGATTTAGGTTTTGGTGGCATAGCTATCTATTGTCTTTACGTCGCTGAACCACTAAACGTATGCGGAAAGAGACTTGCCGAAGCATGGCGGCTACTCGAAGGTGACGACTCTGAGTTCGAACGAGCTATGCGAAGCGCCTATTTGCAGATTCTGGAGACCGCTACAACACCACAATTCACATTGATTGTGACTGGCTATGCTCGGTTTTTTAACGAGGAGGCGGACCACTGCATTACGAAAAGCCTAAATCCACTGATTCGTTACCCTAAGCTAACGCGCGATATACGGAGCCAGCTCAATAACCTTGTTCTGAAAGTCAACAATGTACTCAAGAAGCTCGTTGAGGAAATCAACAAAGACAATGAGACAAGGCATCCCCGAAAGTACATTCGCTTCTATGATATCGACGGCAATTTCAATGGACACCGTATCTGCGACCATGATACTGAAGACTGGAACGATGAGCATTGGTTCTTCACACCAATCAGGAATCTAGATCCTCGTCCTGATGAGCCTAATGTGCCCCCTCAGAACCCTGGGAGCAACTATGACCATGAATTGAAGCGTCGCAGCAAGGGAGGGAACTACTTTTGGGAGGACCTCTACCCGGTGGACTACTCAATCTGTCCCCCTGAAGACACCTGGGGCGAACTGGACAACGAACTCGGCGACGAGTGTGCCTTGATGCGAGCGATGGATCCAGGCCGGGCGTCGTACCCTACTAACCTCGAGCCCAGAAGCTGGGATGCGGCAAAGCGGTGGAAGTCGCGAATGATGCACCCTAAATGGACCGGACATGGTGTAAGTGATGCATAACTTGGGTGCTATCACAGTCTTTAAAGCTTTTTTTTGGTATTTGCTAATACAGATTCTCTTTCACAGGCAATCAAGGATGGCATCGCCGCTCAGTGGAAGAATAACTGGGGCCGCCATGCGGCGACGTACAAGAAGTAGTGTGGCTGCATATAGGTTCTGTATATCTGCTAGTTAGCTTCCTGGTTCACTTGACCCAGACTATCCTTTCTAGAGCTATCGAAGAAGTGCTATACATGGAATCTTGCATGGTCCGTCAAGAATAAGCTGAGCAGCGTCGAAGATAGAGAGGCGAAGGGTGTAACTGGGCGTTTGGAAAGCTGTATTCAAGTATAGTGGCTAGGAAAACTACACAGGTAGGTTACTTCGAGGTAGGATATATATCATTGATTCTTATAGGCTTACTAACCACAATCCGACCTCCTTATGCTGTTTGGTTTTCTAAACCGCCTTCCAGAACATCCTGGTCAATTGATAGACATGCTTACTCAAGCTATATCCCCCTTAGCAACCCCGCTCGACATCACCGCATAGCTTAGTAGAGCGCCGCCTCATCTCCACGAAATGAAAGTTCACGCGGCCATCTTGGCAAACTGCGAAAAGGACATGCTTCAACAGTGAGAATCAGGAGTATAGGCCTACTTGACCGATTGATCGTTGACCGTTGTTATTTGTGTTCCAGCCTGAAATTTAACGTACTAGTTACTGCCCTCCTGCTTCCAGGCCGTTCAGTACCCTACCATTGCTATTATCCCTTCGGACCTCCAACAATTCCCACCGCAACCCCCGTCGCCGAAAACCCGACTGAGCCGTTCAGCCTCGGAGAAAAAATCATCGTCATCACAGGCCCCTCCAATGCCCGTGGGTAGCCTTCGAAATAGCGCGCGGATGCGCAGAACTGGAAGACACCGTGATCATCACATATCTTGCCGCGAAACGGAAGCCCATGGTACTCGAGTCGAGGAGCTCCCCGCAGAATTCGGTATCGCATACCACTGCGATGTCTTGTCTCCCAATATTCCTCCGCCAAGACGCTCGTGCGAACCGTCATCAAGGGCTTTGGCTAAATCGATGACGGCTTCGTAGTTAATGCTGGTAAGCTGCCGGTGAGGCGGCGTGCTCGAAGGCTCATTTGAGGACAGTATGCAAGTGACCCATCAAGGCCCTCGGCGTGCACTTCAAGCAGTGTGGAAAGGGTTCGTTGGTGATTACCCTGTCTATGTTGGGGCCAGAAGCGGGTTTTCCACAGGACTAAACTTCCTACAATGTTGCAAAAGTAGGCTACGTGCATCTGGCCAAGTCACTGGCAAGCGAGGGGAGGGACTTTGCGCGGATAAATTTGGTCTCGAGGGGGTTATATCGATACGGGATTCTCGAGTTATATCAGCCATGAGACTATGGATACCGGGAATTCGTTGATTCATAGGGAGGAATGGGGCTGCGAAGGCGTTGAAACGGGATGAGTATTCTCTTAGCGATGCGAGTTTATATACGACTAGGGCTTATATTCTTGTTGATGGAGGGTGTTACGCGAGATCTATTATTAGTTTCTTCATCCGTGTGAAACCCGTGTAGACAAAAGACATTTGCAGGCCGGCCTGGCATAATCCCGCCTTTCCAGGGAAGCTATCCCTACATCGTAGTGTAGTTCAGATTCGGAAACCGCCACAGCAGCAAGAGACACCGAACCCATTCGCCATAACCAACTCGACAGCCTGAAGCAACCCCTGCAGAGCATGGTTATTACCCTGGTACGTAAAGACATACGAGCACTAATCCGGCACCAGCGTCGCCGCCATACCAATTGCAAAGGACGTGGTGAGGATGAACTGGTTCCAACGCATCCAGTCAACGCTGCACATGATGCGGACACCGGAGATAGCGACGGAGGAGAAGAGGAAGGTTGTGAGGGGGGTGCTGCTGCTAACGCTGAGGGGCCATCTTATGGGCATAAGTCAGGTCGCCTTCTCCCCCAATGGTCGTCAGCTTGCAACCGCGGCCTATGACCATACGATACGGGATTGGGATCCTACAGTAGCATCAGCCCTGAACACCATCATCATCATCATTTCATCACATTCATCGCCATCTATATACGCCAGGGTTCCATTCGGACATGATCACTGCATTGATATTTTCCTCATCTGGCTCGTGGCTTGCTTCGGGATCGTATGATAAAACTGCCTGCATTTGGAACCCCGACATAGTCACTGTATTACATAGACTTCGAGGCCACCCTTCCAGCATATCCTCCCTTGCTTTCTCCCACGATGAGGGACTCCTGGCGTCGGGGGTTCCGGATAATACCACGAGGATCTGGGATGCCTCCACTGGAGATTGCCTGCGGATATTGACGGGCCACAGTGACAGTGTCACGGCCCTGCGGTTCTCGCCAACGAATGCCCTCGCAACGGCATCTAGTGGTATCGTTCGAGCCGGATGCCAGCCATCGCCCGTCATATGAAACCTACAGGGCAAAGCTGATATTTGTGTGCCCCTTCAGGTTATGAAGCAGGCTCCCGGATTCTAGATCCCAGATGCAGACTTCCCTGTCATCCGACGCAGAGGCAACCCAGCTTCCGTCGGGGGAGATACAAACGAGGCGAACCTCGTCGACATGGCCGTCAAGTACGTGGTGCACCGTCCCAGTGATGGGACTCCACACCCTGGCTGCGCCGTCCGCTGACCCAGATATCAGATATTGCCCGTCATATGAAAACGCCAGCGAGTGTACCCAGGACAAGTGTCTGTTCACGGTCCAAATCGCCTCTCCAGATGATACATCCCATAGGATGATGACTCCATCCTGTGAGCCCGAGGATAGCCAGCTGCCATTGTGTGAGAACGCCAGAGCATCGACTGCCTCGGAATGGTCGGTCAGAGTCCGGACCATGACGCCAGTGGCAGGATCCCACAGTCGAACACGCTCATCCCACGATAAAGAAGCCAATCATGTTGACCCCGTGTTGGAAACTACCAGCAGGTGGGATATGCGCTCTGTGTCCTCTTGTAGCCTGTGGATTGCCGCTCCCGTAGCAGCATCCCAAACGTAGATTGATCCATCGTCTGATCCATCGTCGCTCCAGAGGCCAGCCAACAGGCTCCCCCGTTTGATCCAAATACACCAGCGCAAACAGCCTCTGAATGCCCATTATTCATGCACAAAAGCGGTCCCCCGGTTGCCGCATCCCATGTTCGAACCTCACCGTCAACTGAGCCGGATGCGATGGTCTTACCGTCAGGGCTGAAAGTGACCATGGAAACTGGCTGTCGATGCCCTTCTAGTGTAAATATGTTTGCTGTCCAGTCGCTCTCTACAGATGGCAGCTTGTGAGGATGGAGGAAGGGGGAAATTTCGTGGATGAATTGCTTGCGTACGACGCTGTTCAACGGACTGAAGATCAAGGCAGAATTGTATATCTCCGTGGGTGCGGTTTCAATAATAGACCTGAACCGGAGCAGGAACCTCCTTGCGTCTCTGAGAAAGGAGACTAATTCCTGTTGAGTTTCTGATTTCTATGGGAATCGTATGAGCATTTACCGTGTGTCCTCAAGTTTTGGGTGGGAGGGATATTGCTCACAGCTAGATAGTCTATTAGATCTGAAATCATCCAGATGCCTCGGGACAGCTGCTTCATTGCTGATAGAGCTTCCAGCCAATGAAGTATATGCTCTGTTAAGAAGCCATAGATATCACCGCCCTCTGAAGGACCCCCTGTGCATCCCCGTGCAGCGATCAAGTAATCAATCCAGTAGCAACATGCATACTGAATATACGTATGGACTTGGTTCCTATTCACGTTCCTTTGGGCTTCTACAGACGCACGGATGGAGCCATTGCCAGAAAGATGCTATCTTAATCCTGTCTTCATGATCGACAAATGCTGCGTGACGATATTGATATCATGTCCGGTGCAATCATTGCTGTCCATTTGTGTATGAAATACCTGATCTTCCTTATCTGGCAGAGCAAATGGCCTTTTGCTCCAGGTCTCGAACCAGTTGGAGATGGATGCATTGCCCTCTGGTCTAACGATATGATCTTACGGAAAGATCAGAATCATCCCCTAGAGCACTGATGTCTATGTAGGAATCAAAACGCGGGGCACTGCATAGGTAGCTATTAAAGCTGGTGAATGCTAGTAATTTGCTACGACACCGAACCTACTATTAGTTAGCATCCACTTAGTTATTTCTAGTTATTCCCTTGTATTATTTTATTTAGTAGATTATTAAACTAGGTTTATGCAAGTAGGACAAGAAATTCGCGAGCTACTACTATGTTTATATCCCGCTTGAAAATAATTATGGATAGGAAATAGGTACGTCAGAGATAGTAGCAAACATGTCACATATTAACTAAAGCCCAGCTTGCATGTTAAGATCCAGGGCCTAGGTGCCAACGTGGAATTTTGATGCAATTAGAAAGTCGACAATAATATTGACCCGACAACCGTTGATAACACTAATAATGACAATCACTCTCCCATAATGCGTGGCAACGAGCGGAATGCAAGATATTCTCTGTTGAGCCCATGGCCGATTCGAAGACTTCATCACCGGGTCCCTCGCCTTTGCCATTGCCGACATCCACGTTGCTCTTCACGTCGAACTGGGCAGGGGGAAAGTATTGCCGGAAGACTTCCGGCACCACCGAGACGCACGTAAGGCGCCGGCTTTGGCACTGATGCTGCAGCTCAACGTCAAACGCCTCGCCCAGGCCAGCTCCCAAACTCTCCAGTATCTTCCTGGCGCCCCCGTGAGTGACCGCGTACGCAAAGGTACACACGGGGCTGCTGGACCAGTATACTGCCCGCTTCGACTCGGGTAGGAGAGCAACCTGGTCCGGCCAAAAGCCCCGGTAGTCTGCGTGTGAAACTACGTGGATATCATCAAAGACGACCGTTTCGATCGACTCGGCCCACTGTTCGCCACAGTGGCCGAGCCAGAGCACGTCCCATTCGACGCCGTAGGGGGACGCGTCCGTCTCCGGGGCTCTGGTTAGATTTCGCACCGCGACTGAGACATTCATCATTTGACTCTGCAGCGCAATGTCCCAGTCAACGTCGTCTTCCATGATGAGAGCAGTGTCAATCTCAGATTGATAGACATGCTTGAGTAAGTCCAGGTGAGCGAGCCAGGCTCTGCTGGCCCCCGGCGACGGATGCTGAGTCTCCCACCAGTCACCCTGAATGTTGGCGAATGCATCCGCCAGGCGATCGTCCACTGGTGGTTGTGGTGGGATTCTAATTTCGATGCCCGTGAGGTTCGCCGCAGCTTCAAGGCCTCGTGTCCGCCACGAGGGGCGTTGCGACAGGGCGAATATCTGTTGAAACTGCGAAAGCCGCCGTTAATCATCTAGGTTCTGCCCGGAAAATCGATCGGCGCGATGCTTACTCCTAATGTGCGGTTCCCCGCATGGTCTTGCGGCGTCAATTCAGGGATAGGGCTGGCCCCTGGACCCTGACGAAGATGCAGGAATGTCAGCAGGACAAGGGCCCCCACAAGCAGAAACACAAGGCGTGATGGTGTTGGCATTTTGCATTTTCAAGGAGAACAAGCGTGTGTCTTCTCCGCCTCGTTGTGGGTGGGGGCCAATCTGATGCTCTTCACGTGCGGTGCCTGGAAACAGAAAGCACCTTGTCAATCACTGCGTCTCACAATCTCGGGCGCCCAGCCAGCTGAGACTCTTGGCGCTGTACAACACGCTCATCCCACGGGTCAATGAGGCAAGAAAGTTCCCTCGTATGAGAGTCACCAGTTGATTAAGAGTGAACTCATTAACTTGTTTGAGAACCAACCGCTTCCATGGTAGTGCTTTCAATATTGCAAGCCCAGACATTCATCTCTGCTGCCACCTCGCGACTGTCCAAGGCATTACGTAATCTTGTTTATCGTGGTTTCCACAATGGGAATGCCAGTCACGTGAGACTATGCTGTCCCTTGCAGTCATGTGACCAGGCTGCTTGGCTGACAACAATATGCTCGTCGATCATTTCGACGGTGTCTTGAGGTGCGTCTGACTCGTGGACGAAGCTGGGGATCAGAAGATGTCTGTCATCTTGGGGAGTCGCAGGGACTGCTGAGGCCATTTCATAAATTAGCTCAATCCAGCAGGAATCTGCCGGACAGCTCTTTCCTGAATATATGCAACCACCGTGCCCAACTTCCCATCCGGAGCGCCATGGCCTGTCAGGTGTAGAGATTGATGTTGCTTTGATGTACATCCTCAGTACTGTTGAGGCAAAGTCTACAAGTTTCAATGTTGTGGAGTCCCATGACCGCTACTCATCGACCTTTGCATCTGTTCGTCCTGATCGACCAGCAACTATTCTTGCCATCATCTATATCAATGCGGCGATAGGTTAATGAATGTCATTCCTTCTTGAAGACTTTAGGAGTCCTCCACAGTCCTCGTTTGTCCATACAAGGCGTGTCCCACAATCAGCATTGCAGGACACAACCAAGTGGCGCACACGACCCAGCCCTTACAACCTGAAGGTTTACCGCCTGCATCCATACTGTTAAAGGAACTTCGAAGGAATAAAGAAGACGTGTCATTGAATGAAAGGATTTCCGAATAAATACATGCGAAGAAGACATGTTTGGTGAGGTTCAATAGGTTCTCAGCAAGAGGTGAAGCTTTGAAGCGGAACACCAAGCTCCTTTGCGCCTTCAACAATACTTCGATAGGATCGAGTCCAGCTCCCGACAGGCGTGTTGTTAATATATACAAATTGTCATCGCCGACATTTAGAAACATTCTTCGACGCCAATATCCTTTCTCCACTTTGACTTTCCAAGCCACCCACTGCTGAAGGGCCAAAAGACCTAGCCTTTTCAACTCTTTTGTGGCGTCACGGGGCCACTTCCGGCCGCATTGGAGGAACGGGGGGACCCGGCCAGGGGAAGAGACTGGCTGCTGCCAGGAGTGCCCGGGCGAGATGGGCTCGCCGACGCAGCAGAGGAAGGACGCGACGGCTGGGCGACAGGTGGGTCGGCGTCGAAGGGGAGGGGGTTTGCGGGCTTCCTTGACTAGCAATGGCGCCTAGTAACTTGATTGGTCTGGCAGAAATTGCTTGTAGATAGACATGTGCCAGTATCGTTATTAATTATGCGGCACAGCTGGTGGTGTCATGGATATTGGTGGCTTACATTGGGCGAGGGTACCCTCGCCTAGCAGTTCATTGAACGGCTGGAGGTCTCCAGTGGCCTCGACATTGCCAATATTGGCGTCTCCTGGACAGCCACTTGCATCAAGTACCACCGCACGAGCCAAAAGCCAAAACTGACAAGGGGGGTCAACCCGGCCAAAACGAAATCCTTAATCGATGTATGTCTGCGGTGGCTTGGGCTCGAATGACTTGCCCGTTGTGCGAGGATTGTAAGTGATTATGTGGCTGGGCTTGGAAGGGAACCGAGTTGTTGTCAGTTTGCAGGATTCCTACGAGCTCTGCCCTCCCTACAGGGAATCTCCCACCGTGCTCATCTGGGAAGGTGCACGGGCTTGCACCTGGAGAGTGGTTGTTCCTGCCACAGATATCTACACGTTCTTACTCTGACTGGTCAAACCCTCGGACCATGCTGACGGGCCTTGGCAGCGACGACCGCCCTTAGTACCTCTGTTGTGTGAGGTTGCCACAACAAGCCCCTGATTCCTGGATCACGTGGAGCAGGCTGTGCAGGTGATTTGGGAGATTTGGGATGCCATGAAGCAGCGTTAACGCACCTAAGTAATGAGACTAGGCCTGACTTGTGGTACCTAGACCCTGGTACCAACCATTCTTCACAAAAGCATAACTAGTATCGATAAGGTACTCTTATATCGCTAAATATACACCGCAACGAAATCCCTCCGTTTGCGCTTTGAAACAGATCTACACAGGCCTCACCGTCTCATACTCCATCTTTCTCTGCCTCTCAAACCTCACTCTCTCCCCTCGCCGCCTCCGCCCCTTTACCCACGCAGTCCTAAAAGCCTTGGTAAACGTCCGATCTGCATCTAGGACTTCCGTGTTGTCCGCACCCCAAAATCCAAGGTAGCTTGTTTTCGGGAAGTGCGTGGTGAAGAGGGCGACTTGGTTTGCCACGACAAGGGGATCTGGTTCTAGACTCTGTGGTTCCGGCTTAGCGACAGGCTCAACCTCGTGACTGCTTTGCCCAAGGCGTCGCTCGCTCTGGTGAGATAGGTGCTGCAATTGCGGTGGTGGTGGTGGGACTATATAATTGACAGACAGATCCGTCAACTCTGGAAACAAGGGCGTTTCCGTTACAGCCAATTCTCCAAACGCGGAGATGTCGAGCGGCAGGTATTTGATCGTGCAAACGGCCAAGAACCGGCATGATTTGCCCAGCGCAATCAGAAACTTCGTCTTGAGGTTCTCCCGCGTACAGTACAGAGATAATTCACGGAGCATGCCAAGTCCGGAGAATAGTGACGGGAAGATTGTATCTGTGGGGTCTTCTGGGATGTGGAAAGAGGGGAGCATTGTTGTCAGATGGAGCTCTTCCAGGTTTGTCAAAGAGGCGAGAAATAGGAGTTCCGTTGGGTGGATTTTGATCCTAAAATGGAATTTCATATGCAGGGTTCGCAGGTTGGGGAGGTAGCTGGGGAGGTCGCGGAGTGTGAAGGTGCTGGTGGTGATAGTACCCGAGTTCTTTCTGACGGCGACGGAGATGGGAATGGCTCCCAAAGAGCGGGGCACCCGAATGCAGAGGTGTTGGACATTTTTGACATGGGAGAGGAGTTTCAAGATGACATGGGGAGCTACGTCCGCCCCTAGCACCAGTCTGTCGAGCGAAGAGAAGGCAAAGGGCTCAGGGATGAATTTCAGGTCTGCAGAGTCTACAATCTCCGGATCGTGCAAGTGATGAATGTCAAGTTGTTTCAGGTTTGGTTTCATGGCGAGGCCGCATAGAATGCGAGGGTTTGCGATGGGGCCCAGCAGGCTGATATGGAGGAGAGACGGGCATAGTTGGAGGAACCGTATAACCGCATCGGGATCCTCTACCAGGCGCGTGGCTCGAAGGTCTAGTCTGACGTAGCGGAGTTGGGGGCAGTCATTTGCGAAAGCATCTAGCAGTGCTGTGTCGGCGGTATTATCAAGATCGACGCTGGTTATGCTTGGGGCCAGGTAGCGCCTGAGGCATGGAGTCGAAAGTGGAGGGTCATTGCAGACAGGAGAGTCGTAGAGCTCGAAGTTCAGAGAGGTTAGCTGGGAGAAGTCGGGACACCTCACTACTTCATGTTCTTGTTGATCACGGGTCAGGATTGTGAGGTCTTGGATGAGAGAAGAATAAATTTGTAGTCGATGAGGGGCAATCCTGAACAGGAGGTGATCTTCTGAGGATCGCCAGATTCTAGGGCTTAGGTGCTGGAACCATCTGCGGCTGACGCGGAGAAGGCGGGCAGACTCGGCAAACGACAGATAGTTTAGGATTTGAGACAGAATTTCTGGAGGGAGGCCGTCCATTATGGGTTGTGAGAAGCCACGTTGGCGTTATGCGCGCTTTTCTGTTCTGACCAAGAGACGTTAACGACTGCCTCGTATAGGTTGCTGCCTTGTTGCCTCAGGAATTCGGCGGCAATGCGGTCGATCTTAGCTTTCCTCCCTAGTTCTCAATCGATTGCGCAGGCGCTTAGCGAGGTGCTCAGCTGTATAAGTTTCTTGTGTTCTAAAAGGCTACCTACTAGGTATTTAGGGATCTGGGGGACAGCAGATCCCTGAGATACTCTATTTCTCTTGAGGTCTCAAATAAGTTGTTTAATATAGTAGAATAATATATTCTCCAAAGATTGCAAAACAACATCTTTGGAAGTTTCTCGACTACTGGTGTGAGATGAAAATTATAAATTGTGAAAAAAAAAAAAAAAAAAAAAAAAGCGACAGTTAACATCATTCCCAAGCAATCCAGCCACCTCATCAATTTTCAAAATACCGGTTGATTTCGAAGCCATTCCAAACCACCAAAAACTATGTAAAATTATTTAAACTAAATATTTTAATAATTAGGACAGCTAGTTCTAATACACCCCTAAATATAACATTCTAAACAGGTTAGTGGAGCGCGCTTTCGTGTAGTTAAAGACCCTAGAGTAGAAGAGGTTACTAGATTTAAGCCACCACCTTACTCATTCAATTGCTCATTTCTTAACGCAATTAGATCCCTTGCCTCTTGTACTTAAAGGCATCTATTAGGAGACATTTACCGCTTTAATCAACTCTTCTTTTGTACCTGAACTTGACTTTCTGCGCGAAGATCATGTAATTCCTGAAGACAGGTCGCAGCGCTAGAGTACTGGAAGTAAGTCTCCACAAAGGCACAAAGCATGATATCGCCCTTGTTTGGATGGATGGCTGCAGAAACGATTATTGTCAGTTGTTTGCCGACTGTGGCTGGGCGACAGGGCTTGCGCGTGACGCACCACCGCACGCATCAGCTACCCAAGCAAGATGTGCATCCATCATGCTCAACCTTGAGCCTCTTCCTCTGCGATGAGACGGGCACGGTATCCTGATAATTGAATGGCAGCAAGGCAGCAGTGCTACAGACTCTCTCATCGCGAGAATCGGTTGGATGTGGGGGAGGACAAACATAGCACTAATTGCAGTACCATTGGCATTACTTCTTCACTTCAGTTTCCCCGGGCCAGCTGTTTTCGTGACATGGCTGTACTTTTCAAGGTAATCGTGAATCCCGTGGCCCTGCCCGATGAGGTCCAGCAGGTGCCAGAAGGCCTCCTGTAAAGTAATATAAAACTTGGGTAGTACCCTTCAGACCATCCTGCAGGTTGGCTGAGCTGAGCGTCTGCTTGGATCGGGCGGGAGTAAAAAAAAAGAATTCCCTGCCCATGTATCTCCATTTCCTCTTGCCTAAAAAGTATGGTTTCGTTTCGGCGCATGTAGACATGAATGCGTATTTGAGACCTTGGCTAATTACCGCATGGAATGGGCAATCTGGCCTGACATTTGGGTCAGTTCCCGAAACCATTATCGTCGCGCTTGTCAAGAAAGCCGAAATGCTTGGAAGGTCACGCCGTTATCCTTCTTTATGATCTGAGCCTCGTCGAGTACGAGTCTCTGTATTCTCATGGCGTGGTCAAATAATGCACACATAGGGAATGTTGGGGGCGTCCTAAGGATCCTCGAGCGGTAATCCCGAAAATCCACAGGAGTTTGTTCGTAAATTGCAAATTGTGTTCTACGAGCTGATGATTATTTCAAACTTCGCTTTCAATCAGTGCATGGAGCGTGGTCTTCTGGTCATCTAGAATGCAGGCCTTTGGAGCGGCACCCTAAAGTCTGTAAGTTATAGTCAAGTAATGGGAAGGATATAATGACTTACCTCCTGATAGGCAGCTCTTATTGCCTTCAGCCATTACTTCCTGCCGGAAGCAGGGCAAATAATAAGGGAAAACGATCCTTGCTCCGCTCGGCCTGCTTCAATGACTAAAAGACCCTGGAGCGTCTTTCCAAACCCCATGGCGTCGCCACATACGCCACCCCTGAAACTTGACTTGCAGAGTTGATGTAATTGAGCCACCCATTTCAACTGATACCAATGGAGGCGTATAGCCGTATGTAATGGGCGATCTGGCCTGACATTTGGGTCAGCATTGGGTCAGCAATTGAGTCAGCATTTGGGCTTATCCTACAGCTACTCCGTACAGCTTTTGAATTGGTCTAGCCGTGAGATGTTACATGGTATTTGCGCTCCTCCAGGCCCTTGTCGTTGAATGCAATGGTGCCATGCCAGCCCTTGAGATAGCAGATGTACCTAGTAGGTGTGCAAGGCGCGTGCGCGCGCGGTCAACAGCCATGTCGGCAGTGGTCCACTTTGCACCTCAAACCCGAGATATATCTCCGCAGTTGGACGTCAAGGTTCCTCCACGCACGCAGTACAACTGACTGTTCATGTTCCGCTTCCCCGCATTGCTTCGCCAGCGCTAGTACTGAATTTACAGAGGCTGATGGTGGTACGCGCTGTTGAACGTCTTGGATTGTGTATCGGATCCTGTCAAGGCGCTCCTTCGCTTGCGGGAAAAGCATTTTGAACCTCTGCTCGATTACCTTGCACCACTCGTTGACGTTGTCTCCATGCACAAGCCCTCGACGTATCATGTCCGTCAATTCCGTGTTGTACCACTGGGTAGCTTCCCCACGAAAGCAGGTCTCTATGTTTCTGCATATCTGGCGCGCGAGACGTTCGAGATACCACACCATCTTGTGCGTCTTTTCCCCGCTCAGCCGGTCACTGCTCCCACTTTTCGATTGGACGACAGGGCTAACAAGACAGTGATGACTGAAGCATCATGTATTTACCGGAGGCACGACGGTAGCATCTGTCCATATCCTACTAAAGCCTGGCGGGCCTGAAAGGCTTCGAAGGGAAGGGGCCATTTCAGGGGTGCGCTCTTGTCAAGAATTATCCTCAGACTTAGAATGGAGGTGCTTACTTCCAGTTAAATATAGCCTTTGTTAGCCCATGGACCAAGACGGGGGTGGGAAGATAAAGGTAGTCTTGCACTTTTCCAGCAGAACGCTAGACCCTACTATGCAATCTTTCAGACTTCGTCAGGTGAGGAGGACTTGTTCATCTTCCCTTGGTGGTTTAACCTCATGAGGTGTATGGAACAGACAACCAGGTACTATGTGCTTTCCGAACTAGGAGAGGCCGACCCGCTGAAGGCACAGTCTGTGACCGGTTTCTCTCGGACACTATACACTTCGATATACTGTCTCCGTGGTGTATGAGTAATATCCACGGCTTAAGATAGAGAAACGACACATGTTTACCACAAGTCAAAGATATCCCGAGAAATATCTCGTAAACAGCAATCCATCCTAGTATGATCAGGTTGGAGCTACCTGAGTGTGCCAATGAAGGTGCGTATCTGGCTGTCGTCTAGCACACTTGTTTTTGTGATAGGCCTTTAGGAGTCCCGAGTAGCTGCCGGGGACAAAGATGCATTCCCGTCTCAGCACGACTGTAACCGCTATAGTACGTAGTGAGGAGGACAGTATGAGAAGCAACAGGCGACCTGCCCTGACAGATCTGCCCTAAACACTTAACAGCGTGTCCAGCAGCACGATAACCACATTCCTGCCGAGCTAGTATTTCCATCCCGTCAGCATCATCAGAGTCTTCGGAGTCTTCGGAGTCTAAATTAGATTAGAACAGGACTCAGCCCTTGCCAGCCGCACTGGTGGGCGCAGGGGTGGGACTGGACAGAAGGTCATCGTGCTTGGAGCGGCAGGACCTCGCGAGAATACTATTAAAAAGACCCAGTCTGTTACGTTTCCCCTTGTCCGTTCCGCCACTGCGGGTGCGATTAGCCTTCTCGCCAGAATCCGTATTTGATTTGCGTCCCGAGTCCTCCGTCGTGCCTCCCGAGCCCTTGTCTTGGTCGTCCGGTCCCAATCCCCTCCCCTTGCCCGCAGCTGCACTTTTCTTGTTACCCTTCGTTTTCTTCTTGCGCCTCTTCTTGTCCTTCAGGCCTAAGGGGGTTACCGTGTTGGTAGCACCTGCCGGTGAAGTCTTGTCTTCCTCGTCGGACTCGGTCACCCGCTTAGTGGGCTTGGGACTAGACTTGGGTGTTGAGGGAGTGGCTTCTGACCCCTGCTGTTTCTTCTTGCGCGGCTTGTCCACGCCTCACCGGGGACATTCCAGAGGATAGGGGGCTCTAAAAGTCCGGTTGAGTTCTACCACCATGTATGAGTACGATGCCTGGTCGTGAGCTTGCTGAGTTACCTTGCGAAAATGCTCCATTCTCCATCGTAGAATGTCAGCCCCATGATTGCGGCTCCGTTGCCAAGGCCGCCTTGGGTGAGATATTGTAAAACAAGGTTCAAGACTGCTCAAATACTTTCGGAGATGCAGAAAGCGTGGCCGCGAAGCGAAACCGCCGAGTTAGGGTTTCAAGGTATGATCCAAGACGTCCACGGGTATCTGCGCGCCCTGACAAACCCTGAATCTGGGTCAGAGACTTGAGCGCCTGATTCTCGTTGTATTCATTGTCAGCAAATGTCATCGGTTGCCCCTGCATCCTTCCACCGCAGACTGGATGAACTGGAGTGCGCGCCTGCCTGATCCTGGAACAAATGCAGTTGCTCAAACGCCGATCATGCTTTTAGAAAGAACTGCTTTACCAAGCCATTTGCAGTTGGCGCATGCACCTCCGAATGCCAGCGCCAGGGAGGAAGCAAAACACTAAAGAGGCACTTCTCTTGGCGGAATCCATGGTTAATTCCTTCATTCTGAAGAGTAGGAGGTCGTACAGCGTCCTCGCTCTTGAGGTCCCAGATTCCCAAGTCCTAATACGGGGTGGAAGCGAAGGAAGACGCTCGCAGTGAGTGACCATATAGATGTCTATAGATAACCTGGACCACACACACCGATGCCGCCTAACCAATGGCGGGCACGAGATTCCCCCTTCCCAAATCTTCTACTTCGGCCGGTCTAGAGATACCCATGTCAAGAGCTCTAGGAAGATAATGAGGTTCTAATTGTAGACACGATCACCCGCACGACGGAAAGGGGTCTGTGTAAGGGCGCCTGTTTTCTTTTTTCTTATTCCCTTCCAGTCCATTTCAGTCTGCCCGTTCCCAAGTTACAAGTCGTCGAGCACGTCGGGGCATATGTCGGCTATATGTGGACTGGGATGGGCTAGCAGCAGAGAAGCCTTAACAAGGATTGATAATAAGTAGAGTGGCTTTCCTGTCCTTCTTTTGTGAAGTCTTGACCACAAGTGAGGCCAGAAACACTTGATCTCACTGGGGATGAAAAGGGTTTGTCGAGGTGGCCACCTCGCACAGGAAATGGGCGGCAGCCTGAGCTTCGCTTGAATGGATGACCAAGGCGTTGATGTATGACGCCCATACTTCCCGGAGTGTTGCCTGCTTTAATTCCTTTTAAAGCATGGCTGCACGCCAAGGTATCGGAAGTGGTCTACAGCTTGAGAGCCATCTGGTCGGTAGGCGGTTCTGCGAACTGGCCCGGCACAATATCCCAATAGCCGGTATATTGATGAGCCCGTAAATAGTGATACTCATTGCAGGGCATACAAGCGCACGAGAAAGCCGCGCATCCCCGTTTAAGTCGAATTCATATGGTACTTGATCCGTTGCTCAGTGGCCCTTCTTGAAACCCATCGCACGGAGAGAACATATCTCCCTCTCGCAGATTCAAGGGCCCCTGCTATCTCCTAGCAAATGTAGGTTCTTGGCAGCGCGATATTCTTTGCCAGCGGAACGAATGAGGCACCAGTGTGCAATGATACGCTTCCCAAGAGGATAGGAACAACCGACATACATTGCATCAGAGCCATCGTCTGATTTACCGATGATAGTGTATATTCATGCAAGAACCCTCCCTATATTCGCGAATTCCACTAGGCTCAACCCCCCATCTCCAGTTGACAGAGTCAAACAACGCGTGTTCCACCTTGAGCCTTTTTCGACGAGGCTCGTCTCCGTTCCCGTCCTCATTCTCATCTTAAGACTGGGCTAGGGATTGCACACAGATGTCAAGAGTGCATCTTCCCAATCGAATGTCGATGCAGATAATCTGTCCGGGGTAGGACGTCTTTCGTGCTGTGGGTCTATGCCGAGCATCTCGCAGTCGATGGCTAGGATAGAGTGTATTGGCGCGCATGGTGCTCTACTGTGCAGATTGGGGTGCCTAGAAGAGAATGACGGCACCATGAGCTGCACTAGATATTTAACGAAACTTGGGGGCCTCTCTACATTTTGACGAGGTCCTTATACAGTCTCGTCGCATTCCTGACATGCGCAATAAGTGTCGAAAGTGGCCGACGCCACATTGAGTGGTTGTGCTGCTTGTGGTGAACAAGGCATCTCCAGTAATATAGAAACCCGTCGGGCTGATACTGCGGCATGGAAGCCCCCGGAGAACTGGCTGGACACGCCAACCACCCCTCATGGTTCAAGCAATGGATGGTCAGGAGGAAGGAGTGCTAACATCCTTGTAAATGCACAGGACAGACATAGCCAAGAATCAAGGAATCTGGAACAATGGACTCTTTGGGTACCATTGTAAGCTCGCAGCTACTACCACAGATATCGGATCCGTGAGGAACTGGGGGGTGTTGGAGAATGTCTCCAATCGTCTCCTGCGGGTTAAACACAGAGACGGATCTCCTGGTCTGACGGTCCTGTGCCGTGCGCCAAAAAGCCACATAAATCAAGCACGGGGTTTTACATCGGGGTGGCCGACAAGACCCAAAAGAAGCATTTCGGAGTAGGCGAGCGACTGACTGGTGGACTCGTGTCGAGATTGTCTTGGCCGCGTGGCCGTATATGATGGTTATTACAACGGGGAGCCCAAGGAAGGTGCTTCACCGTGGGAAAATTTCCTCGCTCTGGCACCTGGTGGGCATGCCTGCTCGGTCGAGGACATACAGCTCGACTGTCCCGCGCACATGACCCGCTGTTGTCACCTGCCGGTCAACAACCATGGCTGGATGTATCGCCCCATTTCCCCCAAATACTAGGTAGTAAAAGGTTCATGTCGTCCTGTAACTTAGTATGCATCTCGGGCCAACCAGTTTCAAACACTGTAGGTGGAAATGGAGGGTCTTAATGCTTAATAAGTAAATCTGGCTCTTTCTTCGAACCAGCACATAGGGGAATAATTGAAACGCAAGGCTATACATGTAATTAGAATCATACTATCAGGTACTTTCGCCTTGTTTCAAGCATTGAAAAAGCAGCATTAAACTCACTGGTACCAGCTTCGACTTCGAGAAGACGGACTTGATTGAGGAAGCCCCTACAGCACCACATCTCTACCTCACTCGTCCTAAATTCGATTACCTACCTCCAAAGATATGAGGAGATGGCGTACACAGGCGCACTCAGCGGGCACTATTGGCCGAAGGAAGCCATCTAGGCCCAAGCAGCATGGATTAGCCCATGTGGGCATGCGCATGGTACTTTAGTCCTACCAAGGGAGTGGTCATGTGGCGGGTTTGGGATGTATATCATGGTGCTTGAAACACCGCGAGCATACTGGCCCCATGTCCATCAATCTCCTTTGTTGTCCTCTTAATTGGGTTGGGCATTCTGGCGAGATACCATCAGCGCAGAGATGTATGCTCCCCTTGGTCAAAGCACCACACAAACACCTCAAAGTTAAAAGGATTCTCGATACGCCAGTACGTCTGTGGATTTATTACAGTAGTTTGACAAGGCAGTCTGCATGTATCTCTTACCAGTGATGCAGTCAACTGGTGGCGGGCACCCACACGCGATATACGCGACTGTGGGCCACCATCACTTCGAACATGCTATCCTTGGAAAACTGGTGGTTTTATGTTCTCTGACGTCTCACAGCAGTCAAGAGACGTGAATATTGTGTCCCGGCGGGTTTCAGGCAGTTGCGTATGCCATTTGAGAGCCGTCCCTGCTATACGCAGAGAATGAGGTCGAGAAAGAAAGAGAGAAATCCCTAAAGGGGCTCCACGAGGAGAAAGCCACCGTATGGTGGTGACAGCATCTTCTGCAAGAGGGAATTGAGCTACTAGGGTGAATAACAGGTCGCTACGGGATCTTCAACAGGTGGGCAATCCATTCTCCAGGCTGAATCTGGCGTCTGCTAGAATTGCGCCGGCGCGGTTCGAATGAACCTATATTCCAGATTTGAAGCCTCATGTGGTTGGTGATTTGTCCTGGGATTTGAATATCATTCATCGCCGCGGAGAAGATGAGGATGCGGATGCTTTGTATGCACCCAGTACCTCGGGGAGACCGTACGCACGCAGCCCTGAGAAAGGTGGAGAAGGTAAAAGGAGCTCGAAATGGTACGGTGGTCTGCCCTCGTCCGTGAAACCTCAAACGTCGACTTCAAGGACGCGGGCGGTATCTAGTAGGCTTTGATAGCTGGGGGCTCTAGTAGCCGAGGTGGTCGTCGCCAAAGTATCAAGTTGGAAGTGGGGGTTGTCAGTGTTGGGATTCGCATGCGAGACTTCATCAAGGTTGATGGCGTCAACGGGAGAGGTCAGCAGCTGTCGAAGAGTATTGTCAGTGATGGTAATGCGCAGTAAGGTAGACAGTTACTCGATGAGATAACAGGAAAAGGAGACTTACCGCAACAGCGACAGCAGGGAGTGCAAGCCACAGAGTGAGCACAACGATCCTGAAGAGGCTCATAGTGATGTTTACCTGTATGGCCGCTTGGATTACATAACAAATGTATGCCAAGACCTCTCTTGGTTGCTGTTTCCATTCAAAGTCTTGACTCTTCGACTACTAGTAATAGTTAGGAACTGTTAGTAGCACACACTGGGCTATTCTTGCCGTGATTAAATGACGACACCCGCCACACACATGTGATACCGAGTAGAATCGTTGCTTTCGGTTGCAACGCCAGAGACACTGGCATCTTGCTTTCCTGATTTTCTGCACAGACGGACGACCGACGACCGGTGCTAAATACTTGCTTAGACGGGGTGTCGTAACAGTAATAGTGAGCCGCCAAGTTTTCAGGAACGGTCACAGACAGGGATGGGTCTCGAGATCAATAAAGCCGGTTAATCTGGCCACTTAGGAAGGCGCTTGCCACGAGTCTAGTCAGTTAGACGCAAAAGCGGATGGCTCTTCTGTCCCCACGTGCTTGAGTGCAATACGGCTAGCCAAATGCTTTTGACATTCGTTCACTTAGATTCAGGATGCAAACTCTCCGTAGAAATAGCTTATGCCACCCATCTAGGTTTCACACCAAGTCTGATGAGGTCTCTTGCTAACGCCATTGCTACCCTGATCGCTGGCGGCCGGGTCCCCTTGGGCATCGTTGATCCAGATCTCCTTGGCGCAGTGGGAGCAAGAGTACGGCTTCCCAATGACTTAGCGACATGGTCCAGAGGGATTTCTGATAGAGGATTTCACCTACGGGGCCCGGGGCCAGCCCGGCCGGAGCAGGAGGTGGCGGAGCTCCTTCGGCCTTGCCATCGTCGTCAGCATGCTAACAGTTACGCGAAAGGGAACCAAGCACTTATATTTTGTGCTTACTGAGCAAGCCGTTGCTTCTTCGCGTTTTGCGACGCCAGCGCCGCACCGGGGGGCTTTCTTTTTGCCATTCTGGGAGGGCAGTCCACGATCCAACCTCGCCGCTTACAGTTCGCGGTGTCTTTGATAACCGAGTTGGTAGGATCGAGTCTAGTTGGCGCGCCTGACGTGGAGAAACATGAGAATGTTCCACGGTGGATCGATATCCCATTTCAATGTCGTGAATCGCTTCTCACACCACGAGAAAGGAGTACCGACGACAGAGGAAATGGACTGGTCTCTTTGACGGATGTGTTGACATAGTTATGGATTATTTTCCCAAACCATCAGATTCCACAGGTAATTCTGCTTTCGAGGGATAATTAGCCAACCTTACGCCTCCCTTCACGCGGCTGGGCGTGTGCTACCATCAGCTTCTGTACCCATCCTCCACCCGGGCTGTTTCGTCGTCATCGAACCTTGGCTTGCGAGGCACAATAGCGCGCCGTGCCCTGAGCGTTACCGGTCAATTTTGCTGATTGCATCGACAATAACATGTAGAGTTAATCGTTGCCAAAATGAGCCACGAAGCTGACAAAGGGTCCCAGGCCACTTACCAGAATATTGCTTTGGCGATTCATTGTGCACAGCCAGTCGAGGATAGAGCCTAATGGTCGTTATGCCGCAGATCCGGTAGCGATCGGCGAGCCGGACACGGTTCATATACTCCCGTAGCTGCCCTCTTACATTAGCCCAATCAGGGTGGCTTGGTAGCATGCCTAGGTATTAGGATGAAGACCAGGCCTCTTAGCTTCGGAGAGAAGGGATTTGCATCGTCTTGGCTGCATCCCAATCCGACTAATAACGGCGATACTGACCGTTTTCCGACTGGTCCTGGTGATGAGAATGTCAGAGTCTCAACAATCAATCCGTCAAATCTCGCGCCGAATCGTATAGCGCGGGGCTGTCCGTCTATCCCAACGCCTTCAAAAGTAGCGCGGTACGGCGCCGCTGTATCAATGTTAATTCATTGCTACTAGTCCGAGCCCCATGTCCTTGATGATAGAACCACTTGGGCCACTGCAGGATGACCACCGCGCTGGCATCTGGCGATCGTTCGTTTCTGACAGTACACAATGAAGGTCGGAGAGGAGCGGCCCACACAAACCTCAAGTTCGTCTAGATATAACTGGTTTTTTTCAACGTCGAGCAGGCGGACGTTATGTTTCGGCTACATGCCGCCAGGGATGCGTATATCCAAAAGTTCAAAGTGTCGGTTCCAATACCCCCCTGAGACTTGGATCGATCTATCAAAGGCCCCCGGCAAAACCCTGGCACTGCCACCAGGTTGTTGCCTTGGAGCTTGGACAGACCTTAGAGGTATGCAGGTGGCTTTCCAGGAAGAGGAGAAGGATGACTGTTGATCCAGTCCACGAAGCAGGGACTGAATCGGAACTGCTCAGTCAGTCTAGGGACTGGGTGTTTCATGCAAATCACAGAGTGACAGCGTAACCTGTTTCGGTGTACTTTGTCCTGGGTATCCATAGAGCTGCCCAGGATGGAGGCCAAGTATACTTTGGCGCAGTTGCCTCTCATCGCCACAAGAGACTGTGCCATGTACATGACCATCGCTTTGAGCTTTGCACAGGGGATCAACTGATCTGGGATGCATATGATATCGTGTGGAGGACTGGCAATCCGACGTTTGTCGTCGAGCGGGAGACGTTGATGCCGCGGTCGCGGAGCATACTGAGCACTCCTGTTAACGCTATGTGGGCCAAATGGCCCATGTCGTCTGCGGCATAGTACGCAGCGAATGGTGATTTGGTTGATGTGGCACGATATTGGAATTGTCTTATACCATGGATGAGAATGTTTCATGGAAGAAGAGCTTTTAGAGTTAGTGTTCGGGGGTAGGTTGGCTCTTGACTTTTTTCCTTGAGTCGTCATTGCTGGAGAAATCCGTAAACTACACAGTGAGCGGGATTGCGCACTATCTCGGTAGTACCGTACTTGTTGAAGGACTGCCCAGTCAAAGGCCAAGCACAAGCTTTGTCCTTCGTCACTACAACACACGACACCATGTAGGCGGTCGATAGCTTTGAACGGCGCTTCTGGAACAGCCATCGTCACGAGAGGGATGAGTTGTTTTTCTTGGCTTGGTGTTCAAATTCGAATATGAGGCCGTACCCGTACACGGTGGCATACTCCGACCGATTTGCAAAGCTATTCTTGTTCTTGCGAACGACGCAAGGGGTTCATCAACGGCGGGAGAATAGCCCGTATGTTAGTAGAAACGCAGCCCAGGCCCAGAACTGCGTGGCCAGCAGGTGACTATTAATGTGCTCGTTCGCCGGCGATTATGGCATAGTCGTCATTTATGACGGACCTCAGTGCTGCAGGTATTTTCAATTGTCATGCCGAGATCCGCAAAATATTACATCAACTCACGGCTAGAGATAGAGATAAAGCTTCCTCGCAATGAACCGCGCTAACGATGACCCCAAAACGCAACTACCCAACCGATGATTCTTGCTTGAGCTTGAAGCATATCGGCGTTGAGCGAGAAAAGCACACGCCTCCATTGGAAGTGCTCAAGCCATTCGGTCTCGGGTGGTAGATCGGATGGCCCTCCAGCACAGGTGAGTCGGTTGAACGCAGGAACATCCAGAGATGTTAGATTGATATACTTTGGGACGCCGACGACAGGGCGTGTTTTGAACCCTTTCCCATCGCGGTACCGACGGGCCTGCGTCAGCGGAGATGTGGTGGTTCTTGATTTGCTAATGACCAATTAAGGTTGCGGTCATCTATATTACTAGAGGCTCGCTTGGCTGTCATGTCCGGCATGTCGAAGTCGGGAATAAGGTAGTAGCTGGGTTTAAAGACAGCTTCGCGGGGGCGATTCGAAAGGACCAAACCACCAGGGCTCTTCCTTTAAATATCACCAAGAACAAGAGGAAGCATATCAGGGATATGACCTTGAAATACGCGGCCTGCGTCCCTTGTCTCATCATAGTTGGGATGGATTACCTCCTTACGGATGACAGCAAAGAGAGCTGCGGTCCACGCAACGTACCCCGTCATCACAGGGTCGTTGGCAGGCCCTCGCATCTCGACTCTCCGTTACCGCGTTAAAGGCCCCCGGGGTTCCCGGGACAACCTCGTCTCCCTCTGCGGCCGCCTATCCATACCATGGTTGTTGTTTGCGTATGCTGAATAATTGGAGACAAAAGGATAGTGACCTTGCGTGGTTTGAGCCTTCTGCGCTGCTCGACTTGTGCATCCAACCCCAAAAGAGGTAATATTGGATGGGCTGCCAGAGAGAAAGAGTCCGAAAATGGAGAGGAGATTGGCAGCAACGCCTGGGAAGCTCGGGCGCCCAACTTGAACCAGATGCTCAGAGATCGTGCCCGAGGAATCAACTTCAAAGGCATGGGCTTGGTCGACGGCCACTACTGACATGAAAGAAGGCATGTGAGCTAGAGCCTTCTACGGAAGACAAAGAAACTGGGCTTCCAACGACTGCTAGTCCTAGGAGCCAGGTGTTGGACGCCTAGATGGACTTGGCAGCCTCTCTTCTCAAAAAAAATCCACCATTCAGTTGGTTGACATGTAGTAGCCGCGATATGCAGGTGGCCACGCCATGCCGTACATACGAACACCAACTGTAAAGGCCGGCATAGGGACCGATGGGATAACCTCGATAGGTACTTGTCTCCCTCCTCCTCACCCTGTACGCGGTCCTCCTTGGGAGTATGGACACAAGCCATGTATCCGTAGAGTCCGGGGTGCCTAGCGCTCACCCAGGGGTTCCTCTTTTTTGTTTCCAATGTTCAAGCCTTGTTTTAGAGGTGGTCGGGGAACCTCACCCTGTGACACTTTATTGAGGATGAAGACAGAAAGAAGCAATTTATTGGACCAAAACTCGGAACTCTTGACCAAGAGTTCCATGACCTCGTTGTCCACCTTGGTTTTACTCTTTGTTGGCGTACCATGTGACGCGAGGAATTTCAACCTGCACGATCGCTGAACCGAGGTTATCGGAACTATTCTGGATCCTCGAGTGCATCACATAGTTGTTCCAGATGTCGTGTGCTGTTCCATGATCCTATCCCGAACCCAAAAGATAAGAAAAGGTGGTGCGGGGTTGGTAACCCTAACCAGGGATGGGAAGTCAACGCTATTTATCCAGAAGGCTCAGGATGAAGATGCAACGCTCGAGCATTTGAGCAAGTGAAAGTCCTTTTGACCAGGTCTTTGAATGCCTCGTTTCCTATTTCCCAACCAACAGAAGCCACAGCAGGTCGAGGAACCCGTGCCGCCTTCCACGCCAAAGACGAAGACGAGAATGAGGTCGAACTCGATCACAAACAGGCAGAGCAGCACAGCGACAGGCAGGAGAGGGCCAGGACGGTCTATTTGTTAATAGCAACTTGGGTGTGGTTGGTCTAAGTACCCGACCTGAGTTCTTCCAGTCCCCTTGAGGTGCGATGCCCCATGGCGAATGGCAGAAAGAGACGTTCCAAAGCAGCCTCGATAGGTTTGTTTGACTGTTTGAAGAATAGGAGTAAGGGAAGCATTGTTGGGGGGTCCATGCTGCCCCGGATTTCCCCATCCACACCAGAAGGCGGGACGGAGCACCGGCGAGAGAGCCCACAGTCTCTCACGGGTCAACAGGGTCTGAACTCCTGTCCAAGGGGGTAAGCCAGGGACGGCGACAGGTGCGTTTTACAAGCACGGAATAAACCATGCCGCAGGCGGCAATTCGACGAACTGCACGGGGGCCTAGTTCTTGGCTGTCGCAGGTGCTGGAGGCGCCCTGTCCCATACCGCCCGAGGAGTGCCCGCGGGTAGCGGAGAGGGTTGAAGAACAGTCGTATTACGAGCAGCTGGCGCTGCCCCAATGTTGACCAAGGTTGTCGAAAAAAAGGCCGCGAGTAAAAACGCGGGAGTGGGGGTGTGTGGAGAGGGGGCGGTGGCAGGCAGTTTCCCACCCCAGAACTGGCGGAGGCGGCCGCTGTTTGCGAGGGTGGCCGGGCCTGCGCTTGTCCGAAGGCGTTGGGGTGGAGATTCCGGTGGACATAGACATCTGGCCACGGTCAGTACGGAACGGCAGCGGCGGCAGCTGCAGGGGCGGGCAGAGGCGGATCAGGCAGAGAGACAAGCTGGTTCCTATTCGAAAGCATCCGACGCTGATAGGGCCTTGTCACCCAATACGAGTCAGGATGTCACGCATTACCTGGTCCAGATAGGGTATATCTGGTCTGTTTGAGGCAGAGGTACATGCTTGGTCCTATTGAATTAAGGATGGCGGACCCTCAGAGCGCTGATCTGTATGAGAACGTTTCGCAGATTTCAATCCTGCTCCGAAGGGAATGAAATAGCTCTGTTGCTACTGTCGCCCACTGTTGCCCATCCCCTTGTCCTGATGTTGTCTCCATGGGGAGAAATTACAGGCAGCGTTGAAGAAAGGATTCGTCCGTTCCAAGGTATTCCATCGGGTGACAGTATTAATGTCCACATGGCTGCGCTCGCATTGTCTATGTCTCTGAAACAAGAGAGTAAATAGACAAACATGTTCGTAGGCCTTCCTCCTGAGCAACAAGAGCGCGGCCGAGCAGGATATAGGGTCGTCAGTTGTCATTGCTCCATCGCGCTCCGTTCTCACCTGTCCTGACCTCGCTGATTGTGGCCATTCTATGATGCCAGTGGTCAACGTTCTGAAAGAAGCCACAATAGATAATGTCCACGCATATTATGGAAGTATTGAGGCAAGAGTGCAAAGGCAGCGGGGTTTTCGCGCGTATTGACGGCCTCCTCCAATTTGAGAATCTTCTCCGGGCCTGCTTTGGCTTTCTCAATCGTCGTCTCGGCAAACTAGGGGTTCCTTCTCCCGGCTGGCTTTGAGCACTGAGTCTAGATGGCCCTTTCGGCTGGACCGGTGTGGCCTCACGTCATAAACGGCTTATAATTGGAGGGATCTTGATCTGCAGATTCACCAGCACCAGTAGGTATCGGCGCCCACAGGACCAAGGTACCGAACGGCACTGCCCGGCTAGTAACGGAGCGTTCGCGGGAGGATCTGATGAATTACAAAGATACGCACCTAGGCCAAAGTTAGCCAGCACGCATCTCAGGCGAGGGAGTATACAAAGACAGTGCACGAAGGCAAACAACCCACAGTCTCTCGAATATTCAACTCGAGGCATGACTATCAATGGCGAGTAACGGGACCGCATGCGCAGTATTCCTTGTAGGTGTTTGATAAAAGGGGTGATCACAGAGAGGGCAGGTGTGGGTGGAGGCCACGACGTCTCTCGGACGTAGCAAATTCGTTTTCCGCTCTCGACGGAGGTGGAAACCTCCAAGCCCTCGCGGGGGCTGAGCATGCGGGGCGGCGAATGACAGGCGGGTAGATGTTTGGTTCATTCTAGTATCAATGTCAACGCCATGTTCTCTTGCGTGGAGAGAGACCAAAGGAACCACGGACTGGAGAAACCCACCTTGATTTGCCCAACGGCCCTAACTTGAACCCGACGACACCTCGACCTCCCCATCTATCCCACCCGCTCATATATCATCGGGAAGTGAACCCTGATTGATGCGATAAGACGCGTGCCTGCGAGATCCCCTTACCTCCTTTTCTTCTTGAGCATTCTTCAGTTCTTGCTTGGCGTCACGAAGTTGGCCGCCAAGATCCCAGACTGTGGCCTCGATAACGCGGGGCGAATAGAAGGAGATATCATATTCGGTGTGGTGTGGCGAGAATGGGGAGCTGCCGTGGTTCGCAGTGTCCAAGATCCAGTATCTCATTGCTGGCCACAGTTGGAGGGCGTCGGCAATCCATTGTGCTTTCTGGGACAGGGTCTAGTCTTGTGGACACAAGGGAGTGCATCAGAGATGACAAGCACGGTAGCGCTGCCGACATCGAGATACTTTATACGCTACCTCATCAAATGGTCCTGTACGCACGCCCTCGGGCGTCTCATGCAGATCTTCGGCATCAGGATTGGGGAAAAAAAAAAAAAAAAAAAAAAAAAAAAGAGAGAAAAAAGAAAAAGCCAGGTGCAGAAAGCATCAACCCTATGCACCTGGTGATCCATCATACAGTTTGCCAGCCTCAGTCGCGCGCGGGTTGCATTCCAAGAGTGAGTGGCTTGATGCTGGGATCTACGCTTGAGAGTTTGTGCACGGCGACCCAGGGGGTTTTCATCTCCCCAACTGCGCGCGAATGTCCGTAGCGGGACAGGACATGATCGCAATGTCGGGCACGTAAGGCCCAGTTACTCGATCGTGCGTCGCCTTATAATCCCCAAACGCCAACTCGATTTGTGCAGTAACGCAGACTGCCGACATTACCTGGCCGACGTTGGCCAGGAAGCGAGCGGCGTTGCACGCTTGCCTCATCCCCACAGCGCACATGTTCCAAGTCTGGGCTGGTCAGCACGCTATGCTTATGCTTCAGTAACCGGTCCTTCTGGTGAGGGGCCAGTCATCCTGGTGTCGGTGGCCGGACGGGGAGGTTTCGGAGTAGGGTTCAGGAGGCCGAGGCGTTCCGTTCGACCCGATCCTGAGTACGAACGGTACGTAACGTACCATTCTATGGATGCCATGTTCGAGCTGAAGGTAAATATCGAACGTGCATTCTTGGGCAGCTTATTGCTGACCGTCGATGATGTCTCATCCGAAGATTTTGGGGGGCTCGCTCGGCTTGGAACGAGAAATCGACCTCACAGTGGAAATTGGATCAGATCCATTTTCAAGAGTCGCACGCTTGCCCATGCCCACAGTGCCCCGGATCGTACAGGAGGCGCCGGAATCCGGGGACTTTCGAAACCAAGCCGCAGGAAGCTCATGTTGTATGGCTCCATATCCAGCAAGGTGACGGATTTCGATCCGATGGACAGGAATGGCGGGACATAGGTAACAGTAGCTAGCTAGTAGCTTTGAAGCCTGTTGCAAGTGGCAGTGTGGCACGGGGAGGCCCCATTTCGTCTGTGGTGCTCGTCTTCGACAGCCGGTGGGTGGAGTGGGTGGTTGGTTATCGCGGTGAACTGCCAACGGCGTCTCCAATCCATGCATGGCTGGGAAAGGAGGGTAGTGTTTGTTTTAGGGCTGGCCGTATACCTTACCTTTGTAAGGCGTGGTGCTGATTGAAAGACTAGCGATCAGACTAGTGAGGGAAGGCTGGCATATGCTCCGTTTCGTCGGACATATTGTGCTGTACCGGGGGTTTTGAGGCGGACCATAATGAAGGTTGACAGAGTAGGTGGGGTGTACGCATAAATGAAGGCCAGAGTTTCCACGGAAGAGAGGCGTAGAGAAGAGGGAGAGGAGCGGGGGGAGTCAGGGGTTTTATAAGCCGACTGGACGCAGGCAAACGGAGTAGTGAACGAGTCGTGACAAACGATTTTTGCGATATGGGGAATGGAGAGCGTGGATTGCGGAGTTTTTTTTGTTTCTCTTCACTGGATACATTACTAACGGTATGGTATAGCTAATACGATTACGGATGTATAAGAGAGTGGGTGAACTAGGCAAGTCTGAGTTCTATTATGATCCATGGTTTTCTATCCAGGTCATTCTTGATTCTAGCTATGTAGAGTGAAGAAGAAAATGTCCCTTTATCAGGTCCTGATGACGAACAAGAAGAGCAATCGAGCAGATCGTGGCGTTTGGCGAGTGTTCGGAAACCGACATAGTCTGTAGACGGATTTCGTTCCAGGTCGCGTTGTGCCTCTTTGCCATGAGCCATGGACTCTTTGCGAGTGTCTGGATTCCAGCGGAAGCGCAATCCTTGCCGAAGACTGTTTGTAGGGACGCCTTGCTGGTAGTCGGATTTCGAGCAAAAGTCCAGGTGTTGCTGTTCCGCTGCACCTGAGTCGCCTTCGGGATTCATTGGTGAATCACTTTTGGGAGGCATGCTTGTGTCTTGACGGACACCGAGTTGGCGTTCTGCCTGCCCCAGCCGAGAAGCACTCCAGGCAGCTTGGGATGAATAACGGCAGGCAGGCATGATGCCACGGGTACGTCGTCAAGCGCGACCGCACCATAAGCGATGAAGGATTTTCTGAATATCGGGCCGACCAAGTGTCCACTCAAGTGACAAAAGGCGCAGACGTCGGCGATGAAAAGAGCGAAAGACAGTCCCATCCATCCCAAGGAACAGAGGTGGGGGATATCCAGTTCTGCGGATGAAGCTGGGCAAAAAGCGGCTCCGAGATGTACTCCACGGGCGACTGGGGGTAGCTTGTGGGAGGCGTTGACGTGATGGGCGTTGTGGGTGTGAGCATGCCGGCTGTATCCAAGGGCGGAGTCAGGAGTTGGTGTTGTTGTCGGTGGTGGGAGCTTGAGCAGGCTTTGTCACTATTCACAAATAGGATTAGTTGGGGGTATGGTGCCAAGGACTTCGAAGGCTTACATTATCTGCCGAAGGACAGGCACAGCTTTGCTGCAGAAGCTGCTGCGGTTAGAGAGCGATGCGAAGACGTCAAGAGATTTCCAGAGGATCTCCTTGATATCCTGAGCTTCGTAGTGGTTGTCTGGGTACATGAGCATGACGCAGAGTATCACGGCAGCATGAAAGGCATGGAAGCTTCCCAGGCCGCTGTTGAACCACTTGTACGAGGCAAACTGCGGAGATTCGTAAAGTGTTTGGTGGATAGCGAGAGAGGTTTTTGCTGACGCGACGCACTTTGCGCGTGCGGCGCATGTCTCTGGAGTAATGTCACCTTGCAGGTAGCGGCAGAGAGCGGGTCGTAGGAGCAAAAGGTACAGCTGGTGAATGTAGCTGTAGAGAATGTTCAAGTTGGCTAGGTGGTGAACAGGAAGGGGCTCAAGACCAGGTTCAAGCTGGTAGCGCTTTTCGCACATTTCATGCACGTTGAGAATCTCGGCTTCAATCTGCGTGACCGAGTATCTGGGCGGGAAACTGAACAGGGTGTCGCAGATCATGGAGCTAATATTGTGCAGCCGGTATTGCACCAAAAGGTAGGTCATTTGTGTCGGGCGATTAACAGGCCCCGAGACCGTACCCGTAAGCAGATCCACATCGTTGACGTCTAGAGGAAGCTTTACACCAAACGAAGACAGTCCGGGGTTCAGATTGCCAAAAGTGACGTTTTGATTGACATACAACATGGTCAACCCAGCCCAAGCGCGCCGTCGCTCCTCCCGCTCAATAGGCCCAAGGGCAAACCGTTCCGGGTCGACGTGGCAGCCCATCGAGGTTGCAGTGTGGTGGGTGAATCCCAAAAGGGTCCAAGTGGGCAGCCCGCGGTGCAACCGCGCGTAGATGATGAGAATGAGCGACTGCAGAGAGTTTATGGAATGGCGGGACATTACTCTGTCTGCCGCCAGGCACCGCAGAGCAGCGGACCGGTAGCGAGCGGAGAGGACTTTGACATTACGACTGACGGTCTTCTCTCGGCCCAGGTCGGAGAGCAGAGGATCGTCATCGTGAAGAGCTGTAATGGCAATGGAGAGAATGGCAAACAGTAGAGAGATCCATGCCGTCGAAACACTATTTGGATCATGGCAGAACTGCTGGTACTCGGCTTCGAACGTAAGGTCATGAAGGATATGGAATAGCTGATACTGTTAGTGAGAGATGGCGGTCGAGAATTTAGATGACTTACAGGAGAGAAAACGCGAAAGTAGACATCTTTGAGTGCGTCGCAATACCGGCTCGGGGGAAGAATAGCGAGTAACTCTTCCCTCGAGGCCGTACTCGCTGCAAATGGAATACATAGGTCATCATCGTCATCGGGGATCTCGGAGCTGATATCTAGAGGATCGCTCGGAGAACTCGTGTGGTTGGTCGAGCTCCATTGCGGCGCCAACGGTAAATAGCGGACGTATCCTGATGCAAACGTCTGCAATGTGCCAACGCTGCTTAGCAGAGAATTTCGGGTGTATTCTGATGCCAGACCGATAGCACTGTCCGGCTCGGAGAAGCTCCCGCTCAGGCTCGGTGACGGTAGCGGGGAGTGAGAGCCCGGGTGCGAGCCAACTTGCTTATGGAGCAGATCCTCGAGATTGCGAATTCGGGCGAGCAGCTCATTCTGTACGGTGGTGTCCGTGGTCAACGTGTTCTCTGACGATAGTCTCGGCTGTCCGAGGTAGATACAGTCTTCAGCTCCAAGCCCTCTTCGAACACACGTCTGGCAAGGGCGTCCATCGCGGGAGCAACGAATCTTCCTCGTCCGGCACGCCTGGCAGCTAATCGGTAGCCGCTTGCCGGTGGGTCGAGAGGAGGGTGTCATTGTGTAAACAAGTGATTTGTGATGCGGAATCGATGGTGGAGGGTCAGAGGAGACAAAGAGCGATGTTGACTAAGATTCATCCGCGAGGATGAGAGATATGAAACAAGTGGTGTTAGATGATAGGCGGGCAGATCATCGAAACAAGGCTATAGTGATTTGATGCAGAAATTCTTCAGACATGACTCGGGGACGGTGGCGCTTTAAAGTCATTCCTAGGACCATGGTTTGTGCTGTTCTGATATTAGTCAAGCTCAGAGCTACAATGACCAATCGCTATTCTTACGCGAATTGTGTCGACTGGAGAGATTTGAGTTTGTTTTCCACTTTGGTCGATCGTGCTGGGTGCAGTCTGGGTCACAGAGTTCTACGGAGTACTGCCACTGATGCACGAGCTAGCGAGCCAATTGAAAGATGATCTGCACGTCTGTCTTGCATGAGCGGCATCGGGATGCAGGCCCAAGCCAATGGACCTGCGAGATTTGCATTCCACGTTGCTTGCCACGCGAGAAGGGGAAACGGGGTCGATGGTCCAGAATGGACTATTGAAGATGGTTCGGGTGGGCCCCCAATTGCATTTAGTTCCAGGCAATTGGGTCACGATCTTGAACTCCTTCAAGCGATAGACTTTGAGGCTACATGGTGTGCCTCGTCAGCCAATGGCAATGGTGGCTGATCTTCTCGCTGGAGCTTCAGAGGAGGTCAAAACGCAGCACCTTGTCCGAATGTAGTTTATGCCGGAAAGAGACATGGGGATTGTGATTGAATCAGTCGCAACTGATTTAGTCATCGACCTTGAATCGCGATGCCTCGGAAATGTCTCGTGGATGCCGTATCACAGCGGCTGCGTTGGGTTGTAGCCGAACCTTGATAGCATTTCAAATTCCGGCCATCGTCGATTGCCAGCCAGCGATCGGCAGTCAGCAAGTCAGCGCTGCGTCGCAGTCTGTCTTGAGAGTCTCGCGATGTCGGAAATTCCGGGGCAGCTCTGGCAGCTCCATTGACTAGAACCGACGGCGTGGAGTTGGGGCTGGCCAGAAGTACGGTACGCGTTCAAAGCGCAAATTGGTGGCTCATGGCGAGGAAGATGTTTCGCTGGGACTCACGGGTTCGTGCTGTCACGAGCGGCTGTGGGGCAGTTGGCTGGACCCTGGGAAATGAAACTGTAAGAATAGATCTCTCAACTTGTCGACACTACTCGAGGACTCCAGAAGAGGAGGAGAAGAGGTGCGGTGGACACAATAAACTCTTTTGGGAATATGTGTGGAGTTGACAGTAGTATGTAAAAGTCTCAGAGTCAGAAGACGGGCAAAAGTGCAAAAGCCGGGGAAAGGCTTCTGGAAGGTGGCTGGAAGCTCCCCGAACACCAGAATCTCCGCCCAGCTGCTGCATGCAAGCCAACCAGTCCCTGCGCAAATGCAGCAGACGTCCGTCTGCAGGATCCTCGTTGCCAGTACACGGCCTGATTGGCACTTGGAGGACCGGCTATGGGATTTAGAGTTGGACCAAGGATGCAGATTGTGAGATTATACCGGAATTATTGATGCACCCGGTCGGCCAAGGTCCATCGACCTCATCGCTCTCAGGAGGCGGGAGACTGCGGATATCATTTGTAGAGTATTGAGAGAAGGCCTGAACATTGACAGCTGGGGCTCCGAAGTTTCCTATGATCTTGACGCAGGGTTGAGACCCGTTCTCGATTTTTCTTACGTGAAAGATGCCCGATGATAGATTTGGCTTCCTTGCGTCCATGGTTGGGAGCAGACGAGCCGTCTTGCAACCGTGGCACGGCTCGTTGCGGCCCACCGCTCATTTCCCCTATCCATGGAACGCAGCACGAGTAAACAACCACGTAAACAAGCAGCAGAATTTCGGTCAACAGGGAGATTTTCGTATCACTTACTCCATTCTCCAGAGCAAGGCAAAACAGATGTTGCCCGACAGAGGCCTGATCTTGTGATGAAAGCCGTCGGGCACGGCTTCAGCCTCAGCCTTTGTAGATTTCTTTCATTGTCCTTGAGGATAAGACGGCAGAGATTGATTATAAGAGCGTCGTTGGGACTCGACGGACATGTAGTTGAGAGTAATCGACAAGGTACTGTTGAATCGTTGATAGTGCTCACACCTCACACAGCAAAGGTACTGACCGATCGAGCTCCATCACAAGGCTCCTTTTCACGTGCGTCCCTCTTTCTTTTCTGCTCTGCAACTCTTCGCCTTCATCGTCCATCAGCGATTCCTGCTCTTTCATCACTTCCTCGGCAGTCTATCGCAGTTTCAATCCTCTGTGATGTCCTGAGGATCGCTATCGTGATCTGCCGCTATATTGCCTCTCCTATAGCCATCGCGTCATAGCATCCCACCAAGCCACTAGCCTCATCCTGTTTGCCCCTCCATCGGCATCCATCCACTCAGCCCTGATATCATTCTTTCATCGCTCTTGCATCTGCCCCGTCTTCATCTGTCCATTCCCCTCGCTTCCATCGTGCTTCGACCGTTCTTCTGTCTTGTTTCATCATTCTGCCTTGCGCCCGAATCCACCGAGTGTGCTTTCGATTGGCCTCGCGCTTCCCCTTGTGTTCCCTCGATTTCTCATCTCTTTGTAACCACGCTTGACTCAGCCTGCTTTTGATTCTACCCCACCTGCCTCCAGCAGCCCAGCCCAGCCGCCTGTTCCGGTTTTTCTGTGGCCTGCTCCCTCGTCTCACCCTCATTATCTCTTACCCCGCCATCCCTCGTCCTCTTACACTTTCATTCCATCTCTTTCTCTTAAACAGCCCCTCATGTCGTCTTACATCTACAGAGAGCGCGAGCGAGAAGACGACTGGGACGAACCCCGTTCTTCAGGCGTTTCCGTCAAGCGCTACGTCATACCTCCCGAAGATCGAGAACGAGAGCGAGAGCGAGACTTTTTATTTCGGCGCGAAGATTCAGGCCCCAGTGATCGGGAATTGGTTATCCGGCGCACCACTGAGCGCGAAGAGCCCATCATGGTCCAGCGCTACGAGCGTGAGGTTGACTACGATCGCTCCGACAGAGACTACTACGAACGTGAGTACATTGTGACGGAACGCCCGCGCCGTATCCCTAATCCCATCGTCATCCGTGAAGACCAGCCAGTAATCATTCAAGAAGCTCGGGGCCCCGTTTATATCAACCCACGTGAATCGGACTACGAGATGATCCACCGCTCAGAGGTGGACCGAGACCGAGAACCAGCCTACTACTATCATCGCCGTGTCCGAGAGTACGACAATGATGACCGCCGCATCCGACGAGAGCTCAGCCCTAGCGACTCTGTCTCCCAAGCAACCCGCCGCCGCGACGATGACTACAGCAGCGATGACAGCATGGTTTACATCCGCAAAGAGACCAAGGAATACGATGACCACCATCGCCGCCACCTTGCCTCGGGTGCCCTGGTCGGCGTAGGCGCCGCAGAACTGCTCCGGAGTCGTTCAAAGAAAAACGGAGGGGAAGTCTCCAGCGGTGCTGGCCGTCTCGGGCGCGATGTAGGCGCCGGTGCCTTGGGCGCCGTTGCAGTCGAAGCTGTCTCGCGAGCCAAGGATTACTACCGCAGCAAGAGCCGTCATCGCTCCCACTCCTTTGATGACGACCGCAGCTCGCGTTACAGTCATCATCGCCACTACAGCCACAGTCACAGTCACTCCCGTCATCGGCGCAGCCGCAGTCGATCTCATTCTCGCTCTCGCGCTCGAACCTTTGCCGAGATTGGTTTAGGAGCCGCAGCCATTGCTGGTGCTGTAGCTCTAGCTCGGAAGAAGTCAGACAAAGACCGACGCAGTCGCTCGCGCCACCGTCGAGGAGTGAGCTCGTCTAGATCGGTCAAGGGCAGCGAGGATGAGAAACGCAGCGAGTCACGCCGCCGCAAGCACATGGCAGAAGCCGGTCTAGCTGGCGCTGCCGTAGCCGGTCTTGTTGAGAGAGCTCGCAGCAAGTCGAGGAGCAGGCGGTCTCGCTCTCGATCCAAGAGCAGACTCAGGAAAGCTCTTCCCGTCGTGGCAGCCGGTCTAGGATCCGCCGTAGCAGCCAACGTATGGGATAAACACAAGGACAAGGAAGCCGAAGAGGCAGTACACCGGAAAGACCGCCGACGTTCCAGATCGCGAGGCCGGCCGCAGTCCGAAATCTATCCCGACCCTACCCGAGATTCTGCCGGCCTGATCGAGTACGGCGACCACCCAGTAACCGGAAGCATTCCCGCCGCAAACTACTACGGACGTCCTGTCAGCTCTCAGGGATACCACACCGATGCATCTGACCCAGTAGCTCGTGGTGCTGCTGGGCACCGTGGTCGGACCCGCAGCCGTAGCCGCAGTCGCAGCCGGGCACGGTTCAGCAGCAGCTCGCCGGACTCCAGCGGCGAAGACCGCCGACGACGCAGAAGCCGTCACAGGCATCGCAGCAAGTCTCGCGATATAGCAGGAGCTGCTCTGGCCGCCACAGGGGTTGGGTATGCGGCTCATAAATACTCCCAGCATCGAGAGCGGGAGAGAGAAGACAGGGACAGGCAGCGTAAGTATTAAGAGGATAGCCAGCGGTCGTTAGATCTTCTTGGCTAATCCTTTCAAAGGATATGACAGCGATGGGCGCCCCAGCCCGTACGAGGAACCATATAGCCCCGGTCCTTATGCGGCTTCCCCTAACCCAGGCGGATCGCTTGATCCCCAATTCCGAAATGCCAACTACTATCCGCCGCCGCCAGGTTCAGCGCCTGTCCCTCCCATGACACCAAACCCGTACAACCCGGCTGATTATCCTCCTCCAAACGCTGCCCCTCCCCAACAGTACAATTATCCTCCTCCCGGGCCGGATCCCTACGCCAATCGGCCACGGAGGGCAGATGAGAATGTGAGTACCGCACGGAACTTTTCCCCTCCAGCCGCACAATACCGACCTCACGATGGTGTGTTGAGTCAACCACGCATTCTTGGATATCGTGTTGACGAATCTCGTTCAGGTTTAGAGGATCCCTCTCGATCAGGCATGCCGCGTCACAGGCGCAGACGGTCGCGCGCTGGGAGCGAACCACCCCAGTCCAAGTCTGTTGCCTTTGACGTTGATCCGGCAGTTGATCGAGAAAAGAATGGATACGAGACGGACGACAGCGACACTACTATTGATGCAATGGACTCAGGTCGCCGCCGTCGCCGTCGACGTCGTCGCCGCTCTGACCGACGCCACCGTTCCTCCTCTGACCCCTATCGATCAAAGCGAAGTATTGCAAAAAAGGAGGGCAGCACAGGCCGGGAAAACGGACTTGAATCGGACTCTGACGCGACGATTGACCTTCCCGATCGATTCGACCGCGAGGGTCGGCTACTCCCTCAACCGGGCGACGACCCTCTGGCCGATCGATTCGAGCATTTGATGAAGCGCGTAAACCGGATTTTCGTTTAATGCTGTTGTTGTTTCTTGGTTTCGATTTCCCTTGCGTAATTTCTGTCTCCTTCCTCGCTTGGGTGGAATTTCTGCTGCGTTCTACATGATGAATTTATGATGGCTATGTTTTCCGACGATAATCCTTGATCATGAGTCACGGCCTCTATAATGATGTATGATCTATGTTACTACACTGGTTTTGTTTATATGCGTTCAATTGATTTACTACCTGTTATCCAACCTCCTCAGTTCTCTGGATCTCAGAGTATCCATCACGTAGACCGTCCAATCCTTGGCTTGGCTTTGAGGGTAACCAAGATATATATATAGTTTTCGCAGCCGCCACCCTCCCCAGTGGACCAATACTCCCACTATCAACCCAAATAATATCTCCTTCCCCCGATGAGGTCCTTAAAATTGTCACCCATTATTCTAGATTATCTCGATTTCCCCGCGAGATGAAGTCCGTTCTAATATGCACTTTAATATTTGCTATACATTTCCTCGGTCCGGTGCTAAGGCACCACACCCAAATCTTGTTCACCACCCACCCACTCACTTAATAACAATCATGGCAACAAGGGGTCGCGATCTGCTGGTGCTATGGTATCTACTATAGGTAACTCACTATACTGCCATTTTATGCTGTTAAACCACCTGGATTAAACCAGAGGTAGTATATAGCCGCGCGATCACCTAGCCTAGGAACGAAATGATGCCGACCAATGTAACTAACTGTCTCAATTACTCACTTACCTAGCTACCTAGCTACCCAGGTACGGACCTCATTAACCCGCACTGGTTTAATCCAGCACCGAGATTATAAGAAAGAGGCAGGTGAGTATAATTTTTCTCAAATTGGAACTATCCCACAGCGCCCATGCTTGCTGTGTAACCGGGCAGAGATACTAACTAGTAGCCTAGCATGTAGCGTACATTACATACATCGTATCCTATCATGCCACATTATAATCAGTATTTGGGACTTTTGTCGTCATTGTCATAGCGCTTTTGCCTCGCTTGGTATACGAGTGATTAACGGTTTGCGCTAGAAAAGGCCGAAGCGGGCGGAAAACCGGGACTGGTTGAAAGGAGCCCCGAGGAAGGTTCGAAGGAGCAAGGTAAGAATGCAAGGTGGGAAGAAAGGAGGATTAAGCACGTACAGTATCGGAAAAGGGTTAAAGGAGCGTTCCGAAGAATAAAGAAGGGGGTACGAATATGTCCGCTAGAATGAAAGGAAGGCAAGGGCAGAAAAAGGATATTTATCATAGCAACACCACCTCGCCAAATCTAACGGTTGGGTATTTTATTTTAGGCCGTTAAGCATGAGCATAGAGTAGGCATGGACATAGACACGGAGCCTGTCTGGAGAGAACGGAAGAAGAAGCAGCCACCGCGCGGACCGCCGGGTATAGTTACAAGATAAGACAAGGGATGCGATGATATCTATGAGGAGAATGGGAACCAAGGATGAATGGATGATTGGAAGGATGGCTGGATGCATAGAGTAGATGATTGAAAGAGACCACAACGCCAGTGAAGGCTCAAGCTGAGTGTATGCGATTTGGGTATATCGTAAGTAGTAAGACACGAGACAAAAACAAAGGAGAGATAAAATGATATCTGTCATGCACTCGTCATTTTGGGGGACATTATCAGAAGACCAGGCAGTCTAGTTGGTCAGGTTGAAACTGAATGAGATAGACCAGGTCGATCATCGATCAGGCGACGAATGCTCGTCTGGTCATCGCGATCAGGGCCCGGACGGCCTTTAGAGTCTCGCCTTCCGAGAGCGACGCGCCGGGCTGGTTTCGACGGGATAGTTCAAACGTTGAGACTCTGACGGTTTCATTCTTGTCTGGGGTGTGGCTGGGATCGTCACCACCGACACCGTCGTCCGGGGTAACCTTGATGCTCGAGCTGATGGACGCCGTATGGAAGCGCGAGCTGAGCGGGAGCTGATACTGGACGACACCACCGACAATCAGCTCAAACGGGTGCTGCAATACTCGCTCCCAGCGCTCTGTACCGCCCTTCTCTGTAGAGTTTCCAGGGCGCGCTAGACGAATCTGGCCCTTCGAGGTAGAAGGTATATGATTCCACGGCGACGCCTCAAAGGTCAGGGTAGAATCCAGTCGGAAGACGCGACCAATGAGCATGGTCTGTGGATCGCCGGCGGGGTCGCTCGGCATGGGATCCGTACCCTTGTCCACACCACCCTTGGGATGTGTCAACTGATCCCTAAGCCCGTCGGATTCGCAATCCGAATCACCAACGCAACGAGCTGTGCGGGCAATGTCCGCCGCGCGTTTCCGGCGTTCTGCCCTCGGGAATCTGTCTAGATCGGAGCCATGATCGTGCCAGAATTTGTCGGTTCCGACGTAGCGGCTCTTGGCGAATATATTCACGTCGATATCGTCGATGACCACGGGGAAGAGGTTGGGGTTGACAGCTTGCACATTGAGGTCTAGCATGAGCTCCTGTTCCGACGCAAGAACGTTCTGTATCTCGAGGACCTGCACGTCGAGTAGCGGCTTGGTGATGGCCACGAGAAATGATACACCGCCGCCGACGAGTAGGAAAAATAATAGGCTGACTAGAACACACGCGCCGTACCGTGAAACATAACTGCGATGCCGCTGCTGCATGTATTCCATCTGTCGCAAGCTCGCACTATTAGGTCGTCGACCGCCACGGCTACGCGTTTGACGCGGAGATCCAACTAGCGGTGTTCGCTCGTCGTCTGCGCCCTCCGCATCGAAATCATAGCCATAGACCTCACCAGCCTTCTTGTAGCTGTTGATCGTTCGGTAGTTCGGATTCGTGCGAGATCCCGGTTGTCTGGCTTGTCGGAACCCGCTTCCAGGAAAGTGCCGAGGGGACTTGTGTCCTTGCGACTGCGGGAACGGCGAATCGTTGTCGAACAGCGAGGGATACATATTTTGCCGTCCGTGGCGCCCCAGGTGATGGCGCGGAGTGTGAGTACCGTTTCCATCCATCCTTGGGTGAGACCGGGGGATCTCGTCGGCATCCCCGTCAACACTGCTTGTATATGTGTTGTTCGTAAACTTCATGCTGCGCTTCCCCGTAACGCTGTGATTTCCTTCCCTCAGTGCAGCGCGACTCCGGCCGGCTATCGCATCTGCCTGACTTGCCATTGACGTCGCACTGGGCGTGCGCGAATGATATCTGCTCTGCCGAGGGTATTGTTCTGGCGGATTAGACTCGTAGACAAACGTCTCATCGGAATCTGACACATCGGCTTCGTCGACCGCGCTGGCCACCTTGGCCTCGAAGATGTCAGCCTTCGACGACGCAGTGCCGCTCGCAAGAGGCGTAGGTTTTCGAGATCTTCTCTTCTCTTTCTTCGGGCGAATGGTTTCGGTGCTAGGTTTCATCCGGAGAGTCCCCGGGTCTACTCTTCCGGACGAGCCTCGTTCGCCCGCTCCCACGCCGACGGAAACCTGGGGAATAGACGTGACGGTTTCGGTCTCGACGATCATGTTTCGAACAGAGCCATCTGCAGGTTTCGTACGAGAGCCGCCGCCCAGCGAGGTAGAAGACCGTTTCGAGAGAAGAGCGTTGGGTCTGCTTGTCGCAAAAGACGGCCGCCGACGATTCTCCTCCAACTGCTCCGAGCTTTTATTTCCACCACTATCACTCCCACTCTCAGTATGAAGCCTTGATGCCTTTGGCGTAGCATCTTCGTCAATACTCTCTAGCCTATCATCATCCGGAGCCGCTTGAAGGAGTATAGTATCGGTTGACGGGGTTGACTGATCGCTCGCCATCTCCTGCACGGTTTCCAGCGCTGAACCGGAACCGTTGACGCCTCTGTTCACGGAGCGAGGCGCGCTCCTGTCCGATTTGGCGACGTACTCATCGCCCGTAGTCTGCGTCCGTTTGCTGGAGGTGTTCGGCTGGTTGGGTACCTGTTCCGACCCCCGAGATCCGGCCCATAGCGGCATATTGGACTTGTCCGGGCTGGGTGCATCGGAGGACGGTTCGACATTTGGCGGAGGGCTGATGACGAGAGGCTTATTGGGCTGCGACGGCGCTCGTTGCACGGTGGTGGTAGTCGCGGGTGGGAGCTTACCCGGACCGGGGCTCGGGCTTGTTGTAGCAGAGCGGTTGGGACTGCGGTCGATTTTGCGTTTCCGGGAGCGAGAGGAAACGCGGGAGGTTGATGTTGACGAGGTCGAGTTGCGAGGGTGTTGGGAGGAGCGGGTGGGAGAGGGTTCGCGAGAGGATATAGTGGAGTTCGTGGCTGAAGGAGGGCCGGAGGCGCCTGGAACGGGATGCGAGGGTTTGGGCAACTGCGAGAGGAAGGGGACGTGGCCCTGGGATTTGGTGGTCGAACGTGGCAGTTCACTCATGTCGCCTTCACTGGCGGATCTTCGGGTAAGAGATGAAGGAGGCACCGGTACATCGTCTTGGGCAGCTTTGGGTCCACCACCACCTGCACCATTAGGGTAGGGCGACCTCTCGGATTCCTCAGCCATGGTCTCTATCGAGTCAGGTCAATGCTGACAAGCGCATGGGAAGTCAGGGGAATCCGAGAGGGGACCAGACTGCAGAAGCAGAAAAAGAAAAAATAATAAAATAAAAAGCAGCTGTGAGAATAAATCAGAGGGCAAAAGAAAATAAAGGCGGGAAGAAGCGGGAAAACAGTTCGGCGAGCAGTTGATAGGGCGAAAAAAAGAGTACAACGAAAATAAGAAAATCGCCCCGGGGACTCTTCTAGGCCGTGAATCAGCCAAAGAGCAGGCAAGCTCAGCAAAGAGACCGATGTGTTGGATGACAATAGCGATGGACTGATGTCGCACAGAGCACGTTACATGGGGGAGACAATTGGCAGACGAATAGCCAGCGGCCACATGCTGATGGGGAAATACCAAAGGTCCAAGGGGCAAATCACGACCCCCGAAGGGAGGCGACAGCGAGCAAATCAATCAATAGTGGTATGGGGGTCCCAATAGTCGTCGCGGTTACAGGAGAGACACACCAGAGTCAACAGCAACTTGATCAGAAGACAAGACAGACAGAGAGACGGTGAAGGTGAAGTGAGGTGGTTGAATGTCTAGAACAAGCTCCGGCCCCGTTAGCTCACGGAAACCACCTGTCGATCCGAGGAAAACGCCGGCCGCTGACCTCAGTCACAACTCACGGTGGGAGGATCCGGCCAGGGATTGCACCAGGTCAACGCGAAACAGGTATTATTCGTGGACCCCCACCGGTGGCCGTTGGGGTTGAGAGATCCATCAACGAGCCCTCCGGCTCCAGTTTCTCAGGGGAGGCGAACAGCGAGGTCCAATAAAGCGAGCCCACGTCAAACAACGAAGTAGCGAAGAGTCTAGCTTGGAAGCCGAGCGAAGAATCCGGGGAGGAGGACAACAAGAATCCACCAGGGAGGTGCACACCCGTTGACCGCTGTAAGCGTGGTCAGCCTGACACAGGGATCTCGATTAGAGCGAGATGATAGACAGGGAAGATGCAACGAAGGAAGATAGAAGGATGCGGCGAAAATGGCGATGATAAAGGACGAAACACAAGCTCTCGATCGTAACTCTGGTTCTTTGGCTGGGACCAGATCCGGGAACTGCTGTGCTGAGGGATCGTGGGAGACACTGGTACCGGGCCATGACGGGCGTATGGATTAATTACCCGCAAGTGGGAGGCTCTCTGCCGGTAATTATTGTCATACTCATACCGATTGTTACCATCATGGTGACCTCATCCCGTTTAAATCTGCCACACGAGGAGTCTTGGACCTCGCGCCCGTGGATGAGGGATAAAAAAAAGGACTCATCGATCGATCCAAAATCAGCTCTTTATTATTGGCTAACGATCTATAATCCAGACGACTTATTATCTACAAAGCAAGAACCCAACCTAGTAACCCAACGCCCCAAAGCCAGCTTAGAACAGGCAACACAGTCCAGACAGGTATATGCCCACATATGAAAGTTTCCAACACAATCCCAGTATGTAATTAAAAACTGGAGCGTAAGCGGCTGCAGCCAGTCCGGCATGCTAGCACGCGACCCGACCCCTAAACAATGTTGTACACCCGCTTCGCAATGAGGAATGAACAGAACGCGAAAAGGACTAGACCGCCCGTGACTAAACGAGTAAGTTAGCGAAAGGTCCACGGGTAACTGTGATTTGATGTTATGGGAGATTCATACTCGAGTAGAACCATGTCAGGCTATCCACGTCCTGGCCAGGTACTTTCACGTTCATCCCCCACATACCGCAAATGATGTTTAAGGGGAGAACTATAGTTCCTAATACGGTAAGCTTGCCCAGGACATCGGCGGTCTGTTCTTGTCGCTCGTTCATGAGGATGTTGATTTGCGCCAGGTAGTTGCTGTGCGCGCGTGACAGGAGCCTGCAGAAACCGGATTAGCTCAAGCTCGAACAAGAGATAAGGAGCGAAAATGACAAAAAGTCAAGGCGTAAACGCACGTTTCGTAGTAGGTCAAGCTGCTGGTCATGGTCATAATGTGATCTTGAATATCGCCCAGATACAGACCAATCTCCGATTTGGGCGCCACCTCCCAATGCTCGTTGCATCTCTTGGCGAAGCCCTTGACGACATCTGCCTTGGTACTCAACAGTCGATACAACCCCATCACTTTCTTGCGGCACACGCCCACGCGCCGCAGCATCTCGCCTGGACCGGGAACTACAGGCTGTTCCTTCTCCTCCTTCGAAGGCGCCTCGTCAGAGTGCATGTGCATGATCATCTCATCAATCTCATCGACCTCATCCTCAATGGCTTGAATCAAAGGACCAAAGACGTCGGTGATGTCATCAATAAGCGCATATGAGATCCAATCCGAGCTTAAAATCAAGTAGTCCATCAGTTGGCGGATGCGCCGTCGCACATTCGCCGGGTGCGGTGTCTGCGAGAAGTGAAAGGACAGGATGCCCTCGCGGAACACAACGAGGTACATATTCACTGGCTGTAAATAGTTTTCGCTGTTCGGGTCTTGCTCAAAGGTCCGGTAGTTCAAGAAGTAATAGTTTCGGAACAACTCGACCTTCTCACGTGCTTCCTGCATCATGATATCTTCCGCTGTCAGAGCATGAATGCCGAAGGCTTTCGAAATTACCCGCATTTCCGCGTCAGTCGGACAAGTAACGTCGAGCCAGAATGTCGGTCGAGGTCCGTATCGCTTCTTTTTTGGGGGAGCTTGGGGATGATCTTGGCCAATATCGGTTGATGCCCGCCCTTCCGACATGGCCTCGCTTATGATTGAGGTTCGAAAGTGCGCCCTCGGGTCCGGCGAGTGATGTGTTTCGTGATTGTTGGAAGAAGTCGCCGTCCTAGTGCCCGGACTGGGATTCGAACTACGCTGACCATTTGTTGGGGTTTCACTCGGGCGGTGTTCTGAATCGCTCTCCTCCTCGTCCGAGGAGTCCTCAAGCTCAGGCGGATCTGGAATGAATAGGTCGCGGAAGCTACCTCCTGGCGGCACCAACTCGGAAATTGTCTGTGCATGGATGGTGCTTTGGAACTCCTCGTTAAAATAAGTGAATCGGTACGGTGCCTCGTCCTCCTCGTGCCGCCAGAATCGGTACTGTGGACGAAGGCGGCCTTCAACCAGCATCGGTTCGTTGATCTTTTTCGCGCGAAGGACACCCGTCCGGTCTTCCTTTTCTACACGGCTCCAGTCCTCCAAGACAGACAAATCCGGCCACTCCTTGTCTCGTCGCCTGCGCCGCTCGTCTCCTCGCGTTAGAGCTGGAGCACACTCTGCTACTTCCGAGGCGTCCTCCTGCGGGAAGCAAACGTCTTCCTCAGCCGGGACGGTAAACCGCCGATGGAGCCCTTCCCGAGGGGTACGCTGTAGAGAAGAAGCAACGGACCCCGGCGAGCTTTTAGACCGCTGAGCAGTGCCCTCCACATCAATCACCATGTCCTTTGGCCGGGATGAGCCAAACCGATCATTGAGATCCCTGCCGATATCAAAATTATACTCCGCCCCTGTAACGACAGCATCGTTGTACCCCAAATCAGGCCCTTGCTTGGGGGTTCCGGGAACTGAAGGAGGGTTGTTAACATCATGGCTGGGTACATCGCGGGGCGAATGTCCAGATGAACCAGACTGAGCAGATCGGCGACGCCGGAACGAAAACGGACTGGATTTGGAGTCGGCACCGTATCGTAGCTGTGTCGCCGTATGACTGGAAGAAGGCCTCATCAACGGTGTACGATCATCAGGCTCGTCGTGTTCGCTATCGTCTGCGTACGAATTGTGGCTGCGATCTAGGTAGTTGCGAGGGCTGGGGTCGGGATTGCGAAACGAATTCGACATTGAACCAGGTCGAAATGACTGCCCTAGACGGCTCTCTCTTCGGGGTCTCATCATCGGTTGATTCCTATTTCACCGATCCAATCGGTTAGCAACCGTTTCTCGAAAGCGAGAATAAACGTGGTGCGTAGACATACCGATGATCCAGCAACGCTTCGCTTTCCAGACTTGTATTGCTCAGATTCCCTCCAAGCTTGTAGAATGGCGTGGAACCCTGCGGTCTGCCCTGGTTCCCCGCCATCACATTCAAGGCCTCGTTTTCGGGGACTGTAGGTGGGGCGCCGGGCTGTGAGTCTTCCGGTGCGAGAAAGGATTGTCTGCGATTTCGACGCTTCCGATGCCGATTTCTCTTCCGCTTAGGTTTGTTCGAGCCCGATCTGCTACCTGTATCCGCGTCGTGCCTCGGTTCCTCAGTTGGTTGAACATCTGGGCCGGTGGTCCTTGGAGAAAGGTGAGGGGAGCGACCGCTGCCCAAAGAGGGACTGTTCAAGAAAGGCGAGCTCTGTGACGTGGGCTGTGGATGAGACATCGTGAAGGTTGGCGACTAGACGTGTCTAATTGGGCTAGAAGCTTCTCAGGAACGAAACTAGTTCGAGGACCACTTGCTCCGACGATGATAAGTGGACTAGGCGATGGGAACAAGGAAGTAAAAGAGTCTGCAGGACGAGAGGTCATGCAGCTGCGGATCTGACTAGCGGAGTGGCTTGACCATGTTCAGGGAGAGCTCAACGAAGGCCCAGTCGAGAGAGTGACGCGAGTCGCAGGCTGTGGTGGAACATGGGGCATCAAGCGCGGGTTTCGCCTCACGGAGAGAGGAAAAAGGGCCAGGGCTGAAAGAATAGACGAATTAGCTGGATTGGATAAGACTAGTAATTGGGGCACAAGGCGAAGCCGAGCTTTCGAGTTGAAACCTGGAATTAACGGACGGGGTCCACGACTGGTGATCGCATCGTCAGGGAGCCCAGTCATGTGATCTAGGTCACCATATTTTCTCGTGACGTCATACTGCAGCTGTCATCCAACAATCCCGCAGGTTCTGGAGAGATTCAAGCCTATCGTGGGGAATTGCCTCGGAATGGACGGTCTGGAACTGTGTCGCGGGAGGCCTAGACTGGCCAGCAGTTGCTCCTGAACGCGAATTGTGGCTTTCAGTTGGGAGCTTTTTGAGTACGGTGTAATGCTACATTTACTCCACAGTACCACAGTTGTATACACACCCCTCAAATCTCTGGAGTATGGATGGCGAACTGCACGGAAGAAGAGGAATAAATTACCTGTGATGCTTAAGACTACCAGTAGTTCAAAAGCGACCTATACAACACTTCGGACGCCAAAGCCTAATACAAACAACCCATTAACAAGCAAAACGCTTCTCCAAAACTCCTCGTCCTAACCCGATTCATAGCGCATTCATCACTCATCACTCTCTATCTATACTCTAACCGCAATACTATCATTCCGGCTCCATGTCCGAAAATTCGCCAGTCGAAACGAAGGCCTCTTTGGCGTGGGAGGGACAATATCCTCCTGGCCAGCCTTGTTTTCACCTTTATCATCATTGGCGTTGACGTTCGGACCAATTCGCGCCGTGCCCTTTCGTTTCTTGTATATCCACCAGCACACAATCACGATTAGTGTGAGGGGAACTGTGAGAACAATCCATAGCCACCAAAGGCCCGAGACGTGGATGCGGAGACTGTTTTCCCTTGCGAAGAAGATTCCTGTGTCGAGGAGGGTCTGCCGCAAGAGTACAATCAGCACCGTTCCTGAGACACACAATCGAAAGAAAGCAAGGAAAAAAGAAAGGAGGGTAGGAAGACGCACCGCCGTAAAGGTCCCTGGCAAAAACACCATCGTAAGCGCCGCAATCGCATTCATACTGGTACTATCCCTCTTCATACTCGCTGCAATCTGGATATTACTCGCCGCATCCTGCTGGGTGACGAGATTATACACCAGCGCCATTGTGCTATCCTTTCGGGCCTTGTAGTTCAGGAACCAGATCTTCTGCTTCTGCACGGACTCGATTACGTAGTTTATCGAGTCGGCTGCGCGCTCGTGTATCTGGATTGGACTCCCGATAGCTTTATGGAGATGCCCGTGTACTGTGCGGATCGCGGACGCGGTGATTATCGCGACGTCGGCGTTACCGAGGTGGGAGTCTGCGTTCTGCGAGATGATCTGGAGTTGTTTCGTGAGATTGCTGAGATTCCGTCGATCGCTGTCTGATAGGCCGGCGAGGTGGTCGTCGACTTTATTGATCTGCTCCCACATGAAGCGGCGGAAGCGAGCGGCGTGGAACTTGGAGGCTTCGAAGGAGAGTGTGGAAAGGATGACAGCGATATCGAAGGGGTCTCGGAGGAAGATATTTGTTCGCTGGGGTGGGCGGGCAGTTTCGATGGTTGTGTCGAGGATGGAGGATAGGACGCGGATGCTTGAGTCGCCTTCTTTGTGCGAGATTATGTATGTGGTGAGGTTTAGGGCAGCGCTGTAGCGCATGTAGACTGATAAGGGGGCGCCTTGGACGTGTAGGTTCCAGCGGGGGTGCTGGCAGAAGAAGTCTGTGAGGTATGAGAGAGGGCAGAAGTAGGTATCCTATTTGCAGAGGGCGTACCGCATGCCTGAAAATCCCCATTGCTGTCCGATTCCCACCGTGTCTGTGGTGCCCAGTAGTCTGGCCGCCCTATCAAGTTCATAATGTATAGCGGGTTGACGCTAAGGGATCTAAACAGTTCTCTGGTGCTGTCTTGGGTCATTGTTATTCGACTCCCGTATGATGTGTTCTTAGCCGGTATGAGAGGAACGAAGCTGCAAAGGTCAGGATGAGGAAAAGGAATGTGAATGTACACGTACAATGCGAGCAGCCGCCGCGGCATCGTATCAGTCGATGCAGGCGAAGTGCTTTGAGGGTTAGAAACTTTCTTCACAAATTCTTAGCTCTCATCGCAGCACGAAGAGCTTGCTTGCTAATAGCTCACCCTCAGAAGACCCGACAGCAGTTCCGTGTCAAGCCTAAGCCACTCTTTGGGGAATGTATTAGCAAGACCAAGAACCCAACATACAGAAATATCATGTCCACTCACTCGACGTCCTCCCATCCGAATCAAAACACCGAATCTGCGTCTCGTCCGAAAAGTTCCTCGCATTCGCAAAATGTGTATGATGCTGCGCAGCAGAGAAGACATCCTGCAGCGACTCTAGCGTATCAAGCGGGTAGCTATCGCGATCGAGCGAGAAGTCAAAGTCGAGGTCGTTCACGTTCAGGTCGTCGGCTTTGGCATGGCGGAAGACATCTTTCATTTCAACGGAGTTGCGGCGTGGTTTCACTTTTGTGTGTCCGAACGAGGCCTCAAGGCGCGAGATGTGGAATGTATCGTGTTTGCCGTCCATTTCGTCATGAGTGTGAGTCGTGGGCTGCGTTGTGTTTGTCGATGGAGACGGAGATGGAAATCTGAGATAGCGCAATACTGAGATTGGAGTCCAGTTATACGACTGGCAGCGATTTTAAGCCGCATGTTCCCCAGCGCACTAGAGCCTAGCCTTCGCTCTCGATGTCTTGAGCGCGAGATCCATCAGGTCAACGCAGGCGGTTGGCTGCGCGACTCGAAAGCTTTCCATCATGTGGCACCCAAGATCTCGATGAACGCAGACCCGCATGGATGAGGCCAGAGGAGCTGTGATGCGACCAATCATAGTGTACCAGGGTGCGAGGCTTGCAATTAGATTCTGCACGAGAGGATTTGGACCCTTGTCAGTCTGGCGAATTGGGGAAGATTGTGCCGATATGAAGGAGCACGAGGTCAATTTTCTCGCCCTCGTTGGTGGGAATCTGCAGGGGTTTGCTTGCTTGGCGGTGGTTGGGGAGGGACTGTACTATAGCGACCGACCCTGCTACTTATTTTTAGATAGCCTGGTCACTGCGTAACTTGCAAGTGTTTCTTTAGTGAATAAAAGGCTATTTTCATACTTTGTTCTGACCCATAACACATCCTATGCCATCCATATTTAACCCTGGCTTTCTATCTATGAAAAAAAGAAGAAACCCTTATATCCTCTAATATATACAAGCATAGCGGTTGCTAACTCATTTCATATATCCCCATATTAACTTCAGAGACTCCTAGCCAGGCCTAAAATATCCTCAGCCTCAGCAATCTGCTCAAAGGGCGAGCGGTCTGCATCAAACCGGACTAATAGATCCCCAACTGTTTTTATGATGAATTCTTATACATTTTGAGTGTATGGTAGAAACTAATATAGACGCTTGCTCAATGAAGGTCGGCAGTCAAAATGAAACACATGGATCAATAATGCGCCATATTAGGTTCGCATTGACAAACAACCCCAGCAACCTGTAGTGAGTGTGCTTGAAAGCCCGAGAGAAGCAGGATTGCTGCCCTATTCTTGAGGCAACAGGTAGGTTCTCTCTGATATAAAAGCTTTAGTAAACGTAGAAGGGTCTTATAAGCATCTAAATCTCCCTGTGATTCCACATAGGAGGCGACATCAAACAGTGTTGGGTATGGGAAGGTGAACAGTACGCTAGTATTCTAAGACGAGCATTCTATTAGTATCCGATGTCAACTCGAATGATGACAACAGCAAAAAGGGCTCCAGGTACTCCGAAGACTCTAAATGCGCTATTATACCTGGGCTGAGGCCCGTTTTCCTTTTATCTCAACCCGCCAGGATCGAGTTATAATACTTCATAGGAAGGGAAGGCGTGTTCAACAAAGCAGGTAACAGGCTTTATAGTCATCAAGCGATATGCAGAGCCTTATTGCTTATTGCCATAGTGGTTCTGAGGCTCTTAAAGGGTAACCGCATAGAGAATCTGGAAGGAACGAACATGGGCCCGGACTGAGCTCGAAGCGAAGACCACTTGGATATCCGCTCTCCAGACCAACCCAGACAGAGTGGACACCAACAACACAATCCAACTTTGAACACACATTCGTTTCCCAGCTTCCAAGCCATAAAGTCATCACAGTCATACCGCTTTTGCCTATCCCGAAGTCCAAGCAACAAACTAACAAAAAACCACCCTCCTTCCTACCAACAATGTGCAACACCACCAGAGTCTCCATCAAAGACCTCCCCAAACTCTCGCTCCTCCACGCCCTCTGGCAGAACTCGCCACCCGCCATCTGGTACAAAAACAACGACATTGCACCACCATCATGGGGCACGGAAGAAGCACTGGATCGGGCCCTGAGCCGTAACTGGCACGTCGATTATATCGTGGGCAGAGTCATCAAATCGGATCTATCGGGCGAAGAAGTCGACCCGTCGGGGTATGATCGCGATAATGGCAAGGGTGCATTTGCAGAGGTTGTTCGGAAACTTCGAGAGCAGGGACAGGCTGGAGAAGACAAGGAGAGTGAGGCTCGTACTGAGACTGGGAGTGATGATGAAGTGAAACACGGAGAAGAGAATGTGGACGAGTTGGATGCGATTTCTGGTTGGAATGGTTAGGACTCGTATAGAGGAGAAGATAAGAGAAGGGGAGGAGAAGGAAGATGTGGAGGGGAAGGACGAGAAGAGGGACCAAGGGGAGAGAGTCTAGGTTAGTGGAGGTGGGCACTTTTGCGAAGAGGGTGAAACATGGCTATTCTTTACGGTAGCTCTCATGACTCTATAGTTTCTTTTCTTATATTGCTTTCTCCTGTCTTGTTTCGAGCAGAATCCTTGGAAGCTGTGCCACTCTTAGCTTTGCAATTCTTTGATGTTATCTTTACGAAAGACTTTAGTTAAAAGGCATCGTTCTCTTCTAATATGAGTGCTTCGGGTCCCTGTACTTGACGATGGCTATATGGTCTATCAGATCTTAGGATATTACCGGTACTCAATACCTACGTAGCATACCGGTAGATGCACTACGGCATTCTGATAGACGAGAATGAGCCTCTCAAGCAATTCAATAGACGAACTACAGATAACAATGAACGATCCGTCCCTCTACCGTCCCTCTACCTACTCAAATAATCCCCCACGCCAAAATTCCTTATCCTAAAGCTTCGAATCAACCCAAACAGGCTTCTGCTTCATCGCAAACGCCTCAAGCCCCCTCTTCAAATTCTCCCCACTAATCAACTTCATCCCATACAACTCCGCGACCCTCCGACTCGCCGCCTCCACATTCCCCGTTTCCCACGACTCCCGCAGCCCATACCGACTAACAATCACAGCATCGGGACTAACATCAGCAACGCGCTGCGCAAGCTCAATCGCGTCGCTGAGCACCTTCTCGGGACTCTCGGAGATGTGATTGATGAGCCGGAGGGATTTGGCTTCTTGTGCGGTGATGCGCCGGCCTGTTAAAGCGAGTTCCGAGGCGATGGGCATGCCAACTGTGCGGACTATGCGCGAGAGGCCGCCGGCGCCGGCGTAGAGGCCGCGGAGGGCCTCGGGGAGGGCGAATTGGGCGGTTGGGGAGGAGACGATCATGTCGCTGTCACAATGATTAGCAGTTGGCCATGTTTTCGACAGCTCAGAGACGAGGAGTGTAGGATGATGGGGAAGGAGAGGGCATATGTACATACCAATTCAAACAAATCTCAAACCCGCCACCAAGCGCAAGCCCATTAACAGCCGCAATAACCGGCTTCTTCCCTCGTCGCTGCGAAATGCCCCCGAAACCATTCGGCATGGGCCCCCTCCCCACCTGTCCATTTCCATCCCCAGAACCCCCTCCTTCCTTCCTCTCATCAGCCGCGTTTCGAAACTCCAACTGCTCCAGCAAATCCGCGCCTGCCGAAAACGCCTTGCTCCCCGCACCCGTGATAATCCCCACGCGCAGACTCGGCTCCTCGTCGAACCAGTTCCAGATTGCGAAGCCGTCGCGGTGGCCCTGTGTTGGGATGGCGTTCATGCGCCGCTCGCGGTTTATTGTTACGAGGAGGATGTGCTCTTTGGGGAAGGAGAGGGTGAATATGCTTGATTGCGGTGGGGGGTTTGTGAATTGCGGCATTGTGACTTTTCGAATTGATATTATGCTTTTTTGGACGGGGCGGTATGAGAGTGACGAGTGGAGTGTTTGTTTTGAGGATGGTGTAGTTTGTTGTGTGGTATATAGTTGAATGTGATGGGAGTTGGAGATGGTCAGGAGTAACGCCGGGGAACTTCTTTGTTGGGGTCCCGAGGCAGCTGAAGCTCCCCCGCACGAGATGCCGAGGGGGAGCTGGACTGACTCGGGCTGGTCGGGCCTGGGCTTATTGACATGCTCGGGATCAGGAGTAGCCTACTCAACTCACCTAGTCTCAAATATATATATATATATTATTCATTTGTTTATAGCCTATATCCGTACTAACCCGTTAATGGTTGGTGGTGGTGGCGGTCCAAGGTTATATCATATCTTCGCCTGCTCGAAAACAAACAAATTCCTCCCCCCTTCATCCGCAACACTCCCCCGCTTCCCCACCTGCTCCGTTTCGCCAGAGAGTTGCTGTAAAGTATACGGATCCTCGACGTTTGCAACGAACCGGTGGCCGGAGTCGAGGCGGCCGATTACGAAGCCGAGCACGGGGGAGCCGTCGCGGCCGAATTGGACTGTGTATGTCTGTGTGATGCATTTTAGATTAGTATATGGAGAGATATGGATACGGGAGTGGTCTAGGTAGTTTCCTCTCTCGTGAGGAACCTGTATGGCTGGATTGTAGGCGGGCAGACATACCTCAATAACACCACCCCCATTCGCACTCTCCTCAATAACCGGATGCTCCTCATCAACCCTCGAAGGCAGCGGGTTCCATGGCGGATACGTTGAATCAGCTCGCGGCTGCGTTGAGAGGATAACGGTGTGGTGGTATGAGAGCACGCCGCCGTTTGCGAGGACGAGGCCGTGCACTGGCTTCCCTTGATTTTTTGTGCGGAGTTGGCGGGTTATTTCGGTTATTGCCTATATATCAATAACCAGTTTTAGAAATTGGGTCGTTATCTAAGGTAAGAGGTGTAGGGCGGACGCACGTGCATAGAATAGTTATTCCCCGCGCCACCAAACGACGTCAAGCCGCCCAGGACTGTGAGGGGCTTGGGACCGTGGAGGGGCAGGTTGAGGTGATGGGCGGCGAGTTTGGGAACGATGGGGAAGCATCTGTTCTTGTCAATACTGCTTCCTTCACTAGGAGTCTCGCTGAGGGTCCGCACGAGTAAAAGTCGAAGAGCTCAATTTCTTCCGCTCGCAGGTTCGATGCTTTTAAGGCAGCGTCGAGCGATTGAGTGAGGCTGCGGCTCTGGTGGAAGAACGGTCGTTCCCAGACTAGACTGATCGTTAGTGTCTTTAAAGATCAATTGGGGGAGTTGAGCATACACCGAGCGCTATCACTTGTACCTGCGCCTCCAAGTGGGTATATCCATTTCGACTCGGGGATACCTAGCTCCTTTGCGAACGTTGTCGTCGTGATAATGCATGCTGCGGCGAGGTTGACCGTGTTGAACGCATTCATGAGAAGGGGATCTATCAATCATCCGTAAGCGATGTCCTCGAGCGGCCCGACTCAAGCAGGCTGTGCACTAACAAGGCGAGCAAATCAATCGATTCCGCTTCGTCACAGTCCCAATCGACTGCGCCGTCTCCGGCTCCTTCCCATAGGACCAAGAATACGGTGACTTCGCAGCGATCTGCGCAAACTCCGCGTAGAGATCTGCGGACTCTTTATGGTTGTCGGGTAATTTCTGCTGGAGGTGCGCTCTGAAGGCGGCTTCGTACAGCGGGTATACTTGGATTGGGGCGCCGAGGAAATGGCGCGTGCCCACGTCTGTCTCGTCTTGTAAGTTTATGCTGAGACCAAGGAATTCGAGGGGTACTAACCCTCTGGCCGCTTTCTATCCCAGGGCGAACTATGGTCGTCAAGCTTCGTCCAATGCGGAGGCGGGAATTTTTTTGCCTTCTTGAATGATTCCACTAGATAACTACCGTTAGCACCACAACACACTCTCCAAATCAAGGAAGGGGACAACAAACGCGAAGCCAACGCCTCAGCCCCAGTAACAACCGCAACCCTACTCTTCCCATACGCAACCCTCCTCGCCGCCTCATCAACCAACTGCCCCGGAGAATCCCCACCATGGTGACTCTCAACTGTATGCACGGAACCCGGCAACCCCAGCCTCTGTACGACAAGCCCCGGCGCATTCGGATACGGCCACGTCCAGTTCGCGACGACGGCAACGCTCTCAATCGCAGCTTGCAGTTTGCGCGCGGCGTCCGGCGCAAGCGTGGTATCTTGGATAGCGGCGCCGATCGCGCGCAGCATGAGCGTCAACGGTTCGGCGGCATCGTCGCGACCCTTGGAGTCGCGGTCGTTGATGTCGCCGATCCCGACGAGGACGGGGATTTCTGAGGTGCGTGGCATAGTAATCCTTTCTTCTTTTCTTTTTCTCCGGGTGGAGGGTTGAAGATAGCTAGGAGACTAGGAGATTAGAATGGACTTCTCGGCGTGACGAGCCGTCGGATCAGGAGCAGGATCTATCAGGATCTGTCCAGAAATCCATGTGCTTCGTCCGGCTTTTGTACGTAGTTCCGCCGCTGTACCATGTTACCGAGGCGAGCCCGCCCTCTCAGATGGCACGCCCGGTGGAGTCATGACCGAATGGTTTCTCGGTACTCGGGAAGTCCAGCGCGGGGAAGGAGGCTGCAAAGCTCGTGTATACTCCGTCGCCCTGGGCGCCGTGCAAAATGAGTATATATGCCCTTTTGTGCATTATGTTGATTATGTTGGGCAAAAGTGTTTCTTTTGTTCTTCTTTTCAAGTCGTATTTCCTTTCGTCGCAAAATGGCTCCTAGCAGTATGTCACCGCACCAACGGAGAACGGAGTATCTCTGGATGCCTTGATTCTCGAATTACCCAAACTAACCTCTGCAGAGCAAATCCGTACGAATGTCACGGAGATCCTGGGTGTCCGCCACCCAGTCCTCCTGGCAGGCATGTTCAATGTCGCGTCCCCAAAACTCGCTGCAGCCGTGACCAACGGCGGAGGTCTGGGAGTGATCGGCGGCGTGCAGTACACCCCTGAACTTCTCCGCGAAGCGCTCAACGAACTGAAGAGCTACCTGATCGACAAGAACGCGCCTTTCGGCGTCGACCTCCTCATCCCGAAAGTCGGCGGTAACGCGCGCAAGACCAAGTATGTCGCAAATCGAATTTCAGGTTCCTTCCCATCGATTCATCGCTAACACATGTCAGCTATGACTACTCGCACGGCAAACTCGGCGAGCTCATCGAGATCATCATCGAAAGCGGTGCGAAACTCTTCGTCTGCGCAGTCGGTGTCCCACCGAAATGGGCTGTCGACCGCCTCCACCAGGGCGGCGTCCTTTACATGAACATGATCGGGCACCCTAAACATGCACTCAAGGCTGTCGAGGTTGGGGCGGACCTCATCTGCGCACAAGGTGGTGAAGGCGGAGGCCACACAGGCGACATCCCCACTGTCGTCCTGATCCCCGCCGTAGCGGAAGTTCTCCAGGGGAAAATCAGCCCCTTCACGAAACGCCAGGTCGCCCTCGTCGCGGCGGGAGGCATGTTCAACGGCCAGTCTCTCGCAGCAGCGATCATGCTGGGCGCCGGCGCCGTGTGGGTAGGAACACGCTTCATCCTGTCCGAGGAATCCGGCGCATCACGCGTGCACCAGAAAGCCCTCCAAGACGCGGGCTTCGACGACATCATCCGCACGACTATCTTCAGCGGCCGCCCGCTGAATACCCAGGCGACGCCGTATATCCGGCGGTGGGAGGAAGAGCGCAAGCAGGAGATGCAGGAGCTGCAGGGGAGGGGGATTATCCCGCTCGCGCATGATATGGAAACGAAGAAGGATGATGATGAGGTGTTGGATAATGCGCATCCGTTCCTTATGGGTAAGGTTGCGGGGCTTGTGAGGGAACGGTTGCCTGCGGGGAAGATTGTCGAGGAGATGGTCGAGGAGGCTTCGGCGTTGTTGGAGGCCGGGGGGAGGGCTGTTTCGAAGCTGTAGATCTGTCTCCGTGTTGTTGTATATGGATTTGGTTTCCGGTCCGCTTCAGTAATGTCATGACAGCCATACTTGCAATAATTTCAGCTTCTAAAAAGCCTTGAAGTGATGAAAACATGATAGAGCTGGGTAAATGCAGTCTCTTGTGTTCCTTACTGTGCTGCAAATAAGCTGAAACATCCAGCACTAAGCCAAAACTGGAGGTGATTGCTGCCTCAGGTATCGCAAAATTTTCAGAGCTTCCCCGCATCTCACTCTTCGACATACATTATTCTCCAACACATCAACAACACCATCTCCACCGACACAATGGACACATTAACCTTCCCGGCCTCCTCAAAACCGTTCCTAGAGCCGTACCTACCCCAAAGCACCTTACCAGAGACCCAAAAAGATGAAAAAGAGAATCCCCTCCCCTTCACCACCCTCACATTCGCAACATCCCTCGACTCCTCCCTCTCCCTAGCCCCAGGAACGCGTACAACCCTCTCAGGCCCGCAATCCAAAGCGATGACCCACTACCTGCGCTCGCGCCACGCCGCAATCCTCATAGGCGTCGGCACCGCTATCGCCGACAACCCCGGGCTGAATTGTCGCATTGAGGGCGTCGGCGGGTATGGCTCGCCTGGGCTAGATGGGCAGCCGCGGCCGATTGTGCTTGATCCGAGAGGCAGATGGGAGTTTAGTGCCGATGCGAAGATTCTTACTCTGGCGAGGGAGGGGAGGGGGAGGGCGCCTTTTGTTATTGTTCGGCGGGGAGTGGCCATTGATGAGGGAAGGAGGCACGTGCTTGAGGGGTGTGGGGGGAGGTTCCTGGAGCTTGAGGTTGAGGATGGGAGGGGGTTTGATTGGGGGGTTTTGTTGAAGTGTTTGAAGAGGGAGGGGTTGGAGAGTGTGATGATTGAGGGTGGCGGAGCGGTGATCAATTCGTTGCTGGAGCCGGGCTTTCAGGATCTGGTTGATTCTGTTATCGTCACTATTGCGCCGACGTGGTTGGGAAGGGGTGGTGTGGTTGTTTCGCCGGAGAGGAGGGTTGATGAGAAGGGGACGGCGATTGCGGCGTCAAGGTTAAAGGATGTGAAGTGGCATCCGTTTGGGGAGGATGTGGTTCTCTGTGGAAGGATGGGGCAGGTCTAATCTAGCATGTCCGGACGTATGTACATGGATCATGTCTATAGACGAAGCAGCTATATGTTCGGAAACCCGAGTCCAGCGAGGACCTTTCTCGGCCCAACCTGTTTCCACTGCTTGAACTGCTCATCGCTCGTCAACCAAACCGAGCCCAGCATCCCAGGCGCATTCGCAGTTATCCCTTCAAAATCGGCGCTCTGCCTGGGAATGACGATAATCCACTCCTTGGCCAAAGCAACATTATGCGGAAAGTACTCCTCGCTATCAGAATCTACCCCCAGTGCCCGCTTGGCCTCTACTAACAAAGTCGTATACGCCTCAAACACCTTCTCGTACCCATCCGAAGCCCCAATATCAACCCCATCAAGATACCGCAAAAAGTATCGAAACGGCACGCTCTTTTCATCGAACCCCCTCTCATCCGGAAACAACCTCGGCGGCCGCGGCAGCACCTGCAGATGCTTATGCTGCCTACTCGCCCCAGCAACAGGCCCACCATTATAAATGACAAAAAACGACCTCTCTCTCAGTTCACTCAGCACCTCACAGGCAGCCCCTAGATCATCCGCATCCAGCGGCTCGCGCTGCCGCCGATACGAGTCGCTCGTCAGCAGCAGCAGCTGCGGCCGGAACATGCAGAACTTGTTCACGACAAGCAGATGCGTGCCCCGGATCCTCGCGAGCAGTAATCCCGGATCGCTGTTGCCGATGTCGCTCCCCGGGCCGAAGCATTCGGGTTTTTGCGTCGCGTGCGGGTCCTCGTGCCCGCTGACGGGGTCGCCATCTTGGGGCTTTTTGGAGAGCGAGGGGCTTATGTGGAATTCGAGCTATAACCTCTGATGAGCGCTGAGTTCATAGTGTGATGGGAACGTGCGGGGGTTTTTGGGGAGGAAGAAATTATGACGTGATGTCTCACCACGAACCCGGCATCTTCGAGCTGGATTGTCTTTCGGTCAGCGTAGAAGACGGCCTTTCTGGCGACTAGCTCGTCGAATCGTGACAGGATGCTCTCGTAACTGAGCGGAGATGTCATTGTAATCGGTGGCTTGTCTGTATGACCTTGAGATTAGTTGATAGAGGGGTCTTGGTGATATCGGGCGCCATCGTCAAGATCGTATTCAGCCTGGAGGCTGTGCTCCACTGCTGCATCAGGAATCGCTGCCTAAGGCAGAAGTGCTATCAATGGTTTGAGTATCTCACTAGCCGAATCTCAGTTCTGCAAGGTTGGGCGTTTGATACACATGGTAGGTTAAGATACATGATGCGAGCATACATTTGGTATCAAGACAAACCGTAAAGCGGCCCAACAACCCTGCTATTTGAAGGGTTTAATGTTGGTATGAGGATGTGACGTGTGGAGTGACTGCCTGAGGCACTAATCGGACCTGCATCCACTGCCACTCAACCGTTCAAGCTGACCATTTCTTGGACCATGAGCAACGCGTGCTAGACCAGACAAGCTACAAGCTATCTTCTAGCTTGTCATGCGTTGCACAGTCCTCTATATTACCGCTTTCGGGCAACTGAAGCCCTCTTATTTCTGGACCACCACGCAGCTCCTGGCCCTGGAATCGCTCCAGGTACACCGCAACACCAGCATCGATCCCATAAAATTTTGCCTGACCAAGCCAGTCTTTCCACTCAAGCTCACTATACCGTGCTACCCCCTTATCTTTCCCTTTCTCTTGCTCACTCTCCAAAAAGGCCTTTAATTCGCAAATGCGAAACCGCTTCTCACCGCAGATATGCATGTACCGAACCCGGCTGCTGGTAGCAGCAACATTACCTTTTACCAACAGCTTACGATGGACGGCTGATTTCTGGGGGAGAAGGACACGCTCAATTACCTGTCTCGAAGCGTTCTCCACACTGACTAAGTCAATGTACCCTTTCCATCCCGTTGTCCTGGGCACGGCCCTCATTGCCCGGGACAGGGCTAGCACACTGCCCAACACATTTCCTCCAAATGTCGGAGGGTCACTTTTATCAATTCGGCTACCTTCATAACCATCCCCGTCGCCGCTCATGAGGCTGAGGCCAGTGGGCCGATATACCGTAACAGGGACTCCATATCGTGTACTCGCCTTCTCAAGAAATACCTCGCTGGCCCATTTACTACTCGTATAGCCATGCGGCTGTAGTGTATCCAGCTGCGGCAGGAACGACGAGACCGACATCTCAGGGAACGTATCCCTCCGCGAGAAACAAGTCACGCCCGCTGTTGAAATATAGTGAAACGGGATACCTCGGGCAAGGCACAATGAGAGGAGAAACTTGGTAGAGAGGAGATTCGGCTCGCGGAGTGCACTGTACGGCTTGAGGAAGGAGACATCCGCGCCGTTGTGGATTATGCGGTCGACATTGTGCGAGATACATGATCTCGGCTTCGCTAAGGCCCAGCGTTGGATGGGAGAGGTCGCCGTGGTACATGCGGATTTTGGAAGAGGAGGGGAGCGAATTATTGAGTTGAGGACCGGACTCGGGTACCATTAAACGACGAGGGCAGATGGCTATGGAGTGGATTTGTGATATCGAGGGGGCGGCGAGAAGGTCGTGGAGGAGGGCTGTCGCCAAAGAAGCCTGTTGCGCCAGTTAGGAGGACTTGTTGGACGGTATTATCGGGCTTGTGTGCGTGTCCATTGTGCTGCATGGTATAGGCAGGATACTCCTGTACTGCTGTCTCTATGTCCGAATTGATGTAGGGCAATGATTGCCATTGTTGCTGTGTTGTCCTCGCAGCATTACCTACCAGCTGCGCCATCTCATCCAGCGTCGATGCGTTGAACAGATCCGCCAGGGAGCTCTCAAGCTTTGTGGCTCTTCGAATACCAGCCTGAAGCCTTAGCATCAGCAGCGAGTTGCCTCCTAGTTCGAAAAGGCTCGTCTTCCCTTCGATCGGACGTTGCGTTACTGGACAAGTTGCCTCCCACAATCCCTTCAAAATGCCTTTGGTCCCGGCTGCTGCAATCGCCCCCCGATGATGACGAACATCGATGGCCCTGATAGATGCGTAGCGAAGCGAGTGCTCTTCTGTCGACTTTTCCAGCAGCCGTCAGCGGGATATTCTCGATAGGGACCCCAACACGCCTGCTATTATCGCCATGTGGGTGGTCCCGCTGCAACGGGGGTCCCCTAGTCCCCTCATTGACATCTGTTTGATTAGAAGGTACGCTTGGGCCCTCTTTCGGTCTCCTCACCCTTTGTACTCTCTTTTGTCGTGCGTTCTGCCCCTCGCCACGCCTGCTGAATACTGATTGACACGTTCAGCACCAGAGATATTGGAGCGAGTTAGTTGAAGACGAGTACCTCTCTCAAGTCGTCGCTTGCTATACAGGAACTTTTATAGCTCCAACTCCTGGTTACGGAGCTAAATGCTAACAAGTTTGAACCTGGAACGGTCCTCTTGCCGAAGCCCACTGCACTGTTTTCCACGCGGACAGCCAATGGATAATCGCGCTATCTCAGAACCCCGAGTATCACGCACGTTCGAAAGCATGTATATATCAACTATCACCTCATCCGCAAAGTGGTTCAACCATGCAACGTTAAATTCGTCTACATCCCTACATCTGAGCAATAGGCCGACGGCGTTACCAGGCCGGTCGAGGAACTCGAGCCTCAATTGCTTTACCCAGCAGTCTAGGGACGCGAGCCTACAAATGGCACGCGGCTCGAATGCAGCTTGCTCGTAGAATGACGAGCCATCAAGACCAAATCGAATGCTCAAAGAGCACCCGTACCATTACAGTTGAACCCATTTCCGGTGACGAAGCAGGTGTCAGCCTGCTCATCGGCAGAGTTTGAGGTTTCAATCTGGCCAGCCTCGGAAATGGCGGCTCATATCAAAAAGTACTGCTTCGGGTCTGGGCCAGGGGTGTTGCCGTCTCCCAGCTCGTTTGGATAATGGATAGTCCTTGTATCCATCGGCTGGTCTTCCCTCGCCCCTATACACACCTGACATCCACCTTGTACGGACAAACGTGGGCTCTGAAAAGGGTAGCCGTTTAGGCCCAGTGGCTGCCAGTGGGATTGATAACCCCGCGCTGTATTATCCCTCGGGAGACGAGACTGTAAGCGGCCGCAAATTGCTTTATGCACCTCCTCCAGGCGCTCGATGTTCACCTGCAAATCGACCCGAGACCATAAAGACAGAGCTAATGTCATACCAGACCAACGAAAAGTCAGAGAAGGCAGGAAATGCGCAGCTGCTCCGCCGATCACGTTTACTGAACTCAACGAGAGCCTCCAACTTGAGCCCCATTCCTCAAGACTGGGTTGCAAGCACTGTGGCAAGAGCGGCCTGTTGCTGCGCACCGTAAGACGCGGATTGTGGGAGGAGCGTGCACGGACAGTTTTATTCAAGTCCGCCTTGGTGTGGCCTGGGGGGGCATCGAATAAGAATCCCGGGGCTTCTTTGGCTCGGCCGTTTCCATCTTCAACTACAAAGCACAGCGGCTATTCTATCCAACACAAGTCCATGTGGCAGGACAAACCTTTGGGTCTCTAAGAACAGTCATTTTTACACCATAATTGTCATGCCCAGGGCAACTGAAAGGCCCAGGTGGCATAGGAGCAAGTCCCGATCTCTCAATCATTCAAGTTTGCAAGCTTGTCTGCTGGACAAGGTGCTATTCCAAGCAATAGCCAGACCAAATCGACAATCACATATATACTTATGAGCATCAACTGGAGCGCTGGACGCTCGTCCGTTATTCCCGCATGGCCATGTTTGCTGACCATTTGTATCCTACCAAAGATTGCAACTTATTGTACCTTGGATTCGATCTATTCTCCAAGATCACGGGGGAAGAATTTGCCTCTACCTCGCACTTCGTTACCTGCCAGCAGCTATTCCTTGGTACGACAATATATCTAGTCTACTCAGGAGATTATCAGAAGAATTCTTTTATCTAGGCATACCTGCACTTTTCCAGGCCAGTATACGAGGTTTCCATGCTAACTGGGATTTGATAGATATCCTCCCCATGCACAAAAGCATGCCGGAGATTCCAGCCTCTCTGTCCTCCTCCGAGTTCTCATGGACATGCACTCAACCTGGGAAATACCCCTCTCGTCAACGACATCATCTCTCCGCTACTAACACGCTTGGCATTCAACTTTGAGAGAAGACATAATGGTTTAGGGGAAAGGGATGTTGTTGATGGCTATTCAAGAACTCCCCATCAGCCCATCGCGCGCCTCACTCCATGTGGCCACCACTACCATCACTCATGTATCCGCGAATGGTTCGTCTTTTTAACCACACGAGACCCCCGCAGAAGGCGGCATGCCCGTGTTGCCCAGGAAAAGACTGTCTCATTAGAAAAGCTTTCTCGGGTTGACGGTATGATGTCCGAGAACCTCGAGTTGTTATTTACAAACTGATACTAATGTATTCTAGGCCCTGTAATAGAGACAGAGGAATGGACCGGGTACAAACCGGGTGCTCAATGGGTTGGCGTCGATCCAACGGCGCCGCCTGGGCGTAGGCCCGGGGTCCGACCCCCAAAGGCCCGGTTAACACCGGGGCCCTGGCTCTAGAGGCGATGATTGCGATACTTACGCATGAGTGATTTCAGCCTTACCTCTTCTATATTGCCTCAAACTGTAGAGATGTCCGCCTTCAGCAATGTGCGGATTTCTTGATCTTGCTCAGCGTCACTCCTGTCTTTCCCTGCTAGATCCATGTACTTTGGGATACATGTGGAGCGAAGAGACTGGGAGCTCTGTTACACATGGCCAGTGGTATAACGCGGAGGCCAGCTTCCGGGATCCTGGTGTCTGAAGCTCGCCAGGCGATGTCACGCCAGGGGGTAAATATGGTCATTACGCAGCCACATCAGCCTATCAGGACACCCCAGATCATCACTACTTCTAGCCAAAGAAGAACAATGCCACCGAGGCTTCGCTCAAACACAGCCACAAGCCTCGGCGAGGCTACGAGACGGCACGCCACGGGACTTGACAGTGGGTGACCAACGACGCCATCAGCCCTCGGTGCACATTCGGGCGTGGGGTGGCAGGGTAATGGTGTACTACACTACAGTGTGCCGCCGAGCAACCAAACGCCATGGCAGTGAGCCTGTATTGTAACGCGTTATACTACAGAGGTCAACCACACGCAAATCATGAAACACCTCGGACTATAGACACCATGGTCATTATAGTCGTTCGTGCATTAGACATGGAGTTTATCTCTATTAAGCCTGAAGGAGAGGCCGGCCTCTCCCACGCTCGGTCCTTATGGCGAGGAGGACAAGTGTGCGTGTGTGCTGGGCGGGGTAGTTACCACAGCAAAGCGATTACTACGCATGCCCCATTCTGGGCCAAATCTGATCTAGGGCTTCGAGGAGGAAAGCTAGATTGCTTCCAGCCGGGCATACATGTCATGCAGCAAGCACGGCACAGCTTTGACTGCCAGTTCCACCTGGCTGGCTTCGCGGATGCACTGCTATATGGTCACCATCGCCAGTGATGCAAAGACTCACAGAGCAACGAAGCTCGATGTGACGTCTGTGCCTAGGAGAAGGAGAAACAGGAGAAGCATGGGGATATTTACCTGGTCGCGTACACCGGGTGGGGTGTGGCGTCCACTAAGCTTGACCCTTGTAGGGAATATGGGTTGATTATACCGCACTGCAACTGAGCGCGAGATGGGGTTGAGCGAGCACATCTGTGAAGTATATGACCATCAGGTCATACTGGTCCACCCGCTCCATGCGTCCGCGATCCTCTGTCCCACACACTCACTCCACTTCGATTGTTTTCCTCTTCGGCATTAACAGATGGCTAACGGGGTATTGCAGACGAACCACCTCTCATACTCAGGCAAAGTAGCTTCAACCTGATCGACATCATGCCACGGCCCCAGAAACTAGAGAACATACAGTGCCACGCCTGTGGAGTGTACGGCCCCGTATACGCCAATTGCCCTTACATGCGGGCCCCTGCCAACCATTTTGTAAGGACGCTCCCTGTCTTGTGGTAACATCTATGCTCATCATTTCAGAGCGCAAGCGGTGGCTTTCGCGGTCGTGGTGGCCGTGGAGGTTCGTGAAACATGTAGCAATACTTCCGCCTTCTTCCATGGCGGCTGCCCTATGCTTGTGCTCGACACTGAGGACGAGAGCACTTCTACATATACGACCATGATTTCCCAGGCAACATGTTCGCGCTCAATCAGTTCGCTCGGGTTTAGATGTGGGATTACCTCGCGGAGATGTTTGTGGCTTATATTGTCTGCAAGCCCGTTGGAGATACTAGAGATCTGCCACCGCTAGGAGAGGAGCTGGACGAGGTAGAGGTGGTGGACCATTGTGGTTTAATTTAGATTGTAAGAAGGGAAGCTGAGACGTGTATCATTGTGAGGCTTTGTGACCCAGACTGCCAGGCCCAGAACTGTAAAAGCGGGAACGTACTAGCTACCAGCCTATACTATACATGGGTAAGATAATACTCACCCCGTCTACCTATTATCAAACTACATACCAATCCTTTCGGATAGCGTTAATCCAGGACGCACTGAGGGTGGCCGGCCGAGAAGAGACTTTACTCTATCGGGCTTCATTAGATGGAGGGGATTGGGAACCCATCCGCCGCATGGACGCGAGGGGAAATGTAGGATATCTGCTTCAATGGAACAACCGTGCTAAATCCCGCGGGCTAACTAACTTGGGTCGACATCGAAAGGTTGAGCTGGGTCGCCAACAAAGAGAGAAAGACCATCTCTATCCTAAATAAAATCATCAAACAGGCATCTGCCCTCGCCGGACCCCTCTGATCGCCCCGTTCCGCTAGGCTTTCACGGTTGGCACTCTTCCTGCTGAATCCTTAACACAGACTAAAGGCACAGCAGACGGCGAATAATACAATGGAGGTAAACCAGGCCAGTCC